GTTGAGCAGTATTCCGGATGCCGGTCCCGTCCCGAAATGACATTTAATTCCCAGGGCCTGTTGACATGTCGGAATCGTGCTCTGGTCAAATTAATTAAGTGCCCTGGTTGATTTAATTAATTAATTGAATTCCTGTATTCTCAGTGGATCAGTGGCCAGTGGCGTTAGTAATTTATGCAACCCTGGTTTACTCAAAGTCAACAGTACGTCAGCGCAGTGGTTAAGGGTACATAGAGTAGATATCCCACAGCTACGCCAAAGGCGATCACAAGTCCAGCGAAGTTCTACGAAGTTTAGGAAGAAATTGTGAACAGGTTGATGACAAGAGCCCTGGCATCTTTACTTCTGCAGATCGTCGCTACAGTGGAGGGCAACAAAATATTTACCTCCATGGCCGTCATGAGTTTTCTTTGCGGGCGCCATTTACACCACAATCTGACTGATAAATAACCACGTGGGGGTCGAGTAAACACTTCCACATTGTGTAAAAGGCTCAGGAGAAGACATTACAGAGTAGCTTGCTACTTCAGACAGGTCAGAATCTTCCAGAATAATAATAGTGCTCCGGCGGAATTAAGTAAGGACTCAGCGGCCGATGTAGCATACTTAATTCCGTTTCCCCAATGTAATATGCCCATCTGTAGGGTTTCATAGTTAATGTGAATGGCTCTTTCAATGCCATTCCAACACTATGATCGATGCCTCGCCTGGAGTAAAGTCAATCGTTTGCTCAGCTACTAACTAATCCCGCGGGCTGCTCGAGAATTCGAAAACAACTGGTGAGTAAATGAAGGTCGTTGGTCCCGTTGAGCTCGGAAATAAACAGTTCATTGATACCGATAAGTAGAATTGCGCATCAACAGAGTGGATAGTGCTCGAACAGCTTGCGCCATGGAGGCAACAAGAGTAAATCAAGACCACTGTATCGATGTAGCACTTTGCTAGTTGACAGATTTGCTAGTTGACAGATCGGATGACAGGTTTGTAAAGTAACTATGCTTTCAGTGATAAAATCAACTGTAATTACACCACTGGTACGGGAGTGGAAGCTGCTCTCAAGGACATATCTCGTCAGTGACATTCAGAATCACAAAGGTTGCATTATCGCCACCAAATGAAAATATCATCTGCTCCCGGCTGTATATCCAACGCTGCCCGGTCGCATTGCCAATCCTCCGATGTGTCAGCGATGGCCAAGCTCGCACATGGCGACCCTGGAGAATACCGGAGTAAGTACGTGTTTGCACCACGACGAGCTGATAGTTGGTGTACTGTTGTGTCACCACTGGTAGGACCGCAGGTCGTTCATAGATATGACAGCCAAACCCAATACTTGCAGTAAGTACTGGACTTCCAATCAGTTCTTCTTCTTTTTTTTTTTTTTTTTTTTTCTCAAGAACGGTGGCTGGTAAAAGACTGGCCTCGTTTGAAAGGAGGCTTAAAGTTGTCTGGGAAGCCAACGTCATTTTGCGGCCTGTATATATTGAGACTTGGAACAATGGGGCAAATGCAACGATCGTCCTCCTTCCTCAACCATTGTACTTCACTGCTGCATTATTAAAAAGTGACCTGCAAAACAAAATTGGGTAACTGTGTTCAGCAGCCTGCGGCGGCTCCGCCGTCTGTCATTTATCCAGTAATTCTACTTGTGACACAGATGAAAGGTCAGATCCAGAGTTCAAAATCCAACAGCTTGCTGTATTTTAGGAAACTTCAAGCAATCTCCCACCCGAGATAGAATTCATACGACTACGATATGGTCATCGAGCCAGTTCCTCTATTATTATTTTTAACATGATGTTGACTTTTTGCGTATTAGGCTGTATCTGCCTTGAAATATTTTACCCACAAATGGCGTGATAGCGTATAGCGCACGACCTTAATTAATGAACTGCTAGACTCAGAAGATGTACTGTACTTTGTGCGTGAGCTACAGATAGCTACGACGGTAAATAAAACACTGAGTTTAATTTACTCTTTCCCGCTGAGCGAAGTCGTTATCATTGTTTTTCAATTTCTGTACTACGGGAGTTGAAGTCACGAGACTGCAAGTGATACATGAACGTGCGTCACAGTTGATCTTCTCAGTGCCCCAATAATGCTCTGTATGTAATTACTTGATTAGTTCATTTCGGTCCCATGTATTGGATTGATTTCGCTTTTCCCAAGTTGCGGTGTAGAGAACCTTAATTTGCATTCCTCTATCTATCGTTCAGTATATCTGGAGCACAGTGATGACTCCCAAAGCGCAGACAGGAACATCCACCGCACATCGTTTACTGTGGCCTCCATGGACAGAGGCGACGCCTCATTGGCGATAATGCCACTATATGGTGGGCTCGCGGAGCATCAGAGTGAGGATTGTGGGGGCCTTAATAAGCACCATCCAAATGTCCTCGAAAACGCCATCTGTTGCAAGGACACCATTTCGTCCCAGTTTCTCCTCAGAGGCAATAATACGTTCAGTTCTTATCTATCTCCCGAGTTAGAGACTAACACGGAGGAGGGGCTGCATGCTTCCAGGTGCAGGCATATGTGTGACATGATGAGGTTACTTCTAATGTGTGACATGATGAGGTTCCATCTAAGTAGAATGTGGTGGGTGGAACGAGTGCCGATTATACACCCTAAGACAAAGCCAATTTAATTGGACCTCCTATATATATATATATATATTTGCGTCCATCTACGGTCACATACCTCTGTAGACGTGTCTAGTGTTCCTCTTATCGCTCTGTGCACCACTCTTGACAAGGAGGAGACGAGAGCAGTTGGTGTGAGACAGTCAGGTGTCTCGTTGCTTGAAACACAGGTTGGTGTGTCTTCAAACGTTTAGCAAAACACAGACTCAAGTGGAGGGAAGCGAGCACACTCTTACAGTACAGTGTGCTGAAAATGGCATAGTTTGGGTTGACAAATTGCAGTAGACTTACTTAGGTGGCGCGGGGGCGCCCGTGAGCGCGGGGTGAGCGGAGTAGGAACGTTTAGTGAATTGTGAAAGCTCCCGAATTACGCATACATAAATGTGTAAGCCACTTCAGCGCGTTGGAACTGTGGCTTTATAGTTCGAAACTATATGTTGTTAAAATGTGGAAGTTTGGGACGTGTTTGATTGACACCGAAACCTCTTACGGAGTTTTTGCACGAGCTGCAAAGGTAAACATATTAAAACTTGCGCCCAAGTAACACTTTTGTACATGCTTTCGATATGCGGGGTACACATTATCAGAGATTACCTCTAAGAAGTTTCTCAAATCGGGATTGCATGCAATGTGCGGTATCTTTGGCTTAGTGGCACTTGTGGGGCGGGCTATAAATCAATTAGTTTGCCATCCAGTCGTGTCCATAACATAACCGGTTTGAGCACGCGCCGCAACATGGGCCTGCAGCCGCAATATGTGACGCCAAGCTGTGGCGTTTGCCAGCACTCGAAGCGTTCCCCTCTCGTAGTATGTATCAATTCGCTGAGGAAAGGAATAGCGCAATCTTTAGGAGGTCATCAGGTCTCGTGGTAGAACACCACCCTATGTGTGAAGGTCAAAAAACAAGTGGTAGCAGTCAGAGTGGGCAAGTAAGAGGGAAAGTTGCAGTTGGGTAACCCGCTTGGTTCTCTTGCCCACATTGGGACAATTAAGAACCCCTACGAGGAGTGTGTGGGTAGCATCCGTTCCGATATCGCTGCATATGTACCAAGAGCTACCGCTGAAGCGGATGGCGGCCATTGGTCAAGGAATACATCTTCGTATACATGTGCGTGAATACTGCGAGTGGAGGAGGTTCCCTGTAAAATCACTCTCTGATCTCTGAACTTTCTCCAAAATGCTTACGTAGCTCAATTTGGTGGTGCGGAACGCTACGGTTCCGTTCTTGACGTTAGTTGCGGCGCGGGATATCAACCACGTAAATTAGGGAGTGAATTATGGTAAATTATGGCAATCATGAACCTCGTTCCAATTGAACGCGGGCCAGTTCGTCCTGGAGCTTTAATTATTGGGATACAAATGACTAGGCTTCGATACTGATAGTGGGGATGGGAAGATTTGGCAGTTGATAAAAGAACAATGCCACCAACGGCTTTGGACGTTTGCCTACTTCGTGCTGGGAGCGGCACTGGGATACTAACAAAACAAGTAATCCATCGAGTTTAACAAATTTCAATCCTAGCTGTGAAGCGACTCACCGAAGAATGCAAAATGGAATGCTGTCAGCGGTGGCGCTCCCTATCCTCTCACCACGACAAATCGTGTAATACATACTTCACTGACGGCTGCTGATTGCGGCGATAGACTTCGTGGTCATACCGATGACCATACATACGGCGGTGTGGGTCGCCGAATCTTCCAGCCAACGCGCCTGTCAGCTTTGTTTGGTGGTAAACCTAGTTGTTGATCCCAGGATAGGTAAAGGCTGAGTGCAAGGATTTTCTCGCTATGTATTTGTTTCTAGAAACCTTGTGTTCATGGGTGTAGGTAGGAAGTTCATGTCGGCATCTACAGTTCCTTGTTGTGCCACATACATATCTACTTATACCAGAGCATCAAGGATGCGTGAAGACTGGGCCCCAAAATTAATGCCTAATATTCAATAAATAGTGTCACGCTGTGGTGCTTAAATATGTGAGAGATGGATTCCATTCCTGACCCGTCGGCAATTCAGGATCCCGCTCGCACGTCGAGCAATGGAGATATCACAGCTTTTTTAATTATCTACTTCGCAGCGTTTCAACAAGTACGTTGGTTGTATCAAATGCTAGAAGTCGCACCTTCGTGGGGTTGACAGGTGCTTAAGCGTCCAGAGAGAGAGCAAGGGGGGGAAGAAACACTTTCATGAACTGTGGAGACGTTGGTTGGCGCAGAGTGTTGCTTTGCAATTCTTTCGACTCATCGTAGACCATGATCCAGGCTTGTCGGTAAATATGGTACAAGCGGCTGTGAACGCAGCTGTTGCATGCGGCGCATACAAACAGTTTCTACTTTATGAAATGAGCATTCGAGTTTTATCTACCAACGGCCCTTTTGCTCGGGCACGAAGGTAGAAAGCTTGCCTGTGGACAGTCCTGTGCGAATGTTACGCAGGCAGAACGCCTCCATTTCCTTCTGGGTTTCATACGACAGTGTACCAATGTGGGGGAGACAAATAGCCCGAGGATGCCGCAGAAGTTCTGCTGGAATTTGGGGCTCGTTCTCATAGACGTCAAGACCGGCTCCGGCAATTTCACCAGACTCCAGGGCTGTGATAAGGGCCTTTTCGTCAACGACTGGTCCCCGTGCAGTGTTGATGAGGACTGCAGACGGCTTCATAGATTTGAATTCGGGAGTTGAGATCGTGTGTTTCGTCGCCGCGTTCAAAGGAAGGTTGAGGGAGACGACGTCCGAGGTCGACAGCAGCTCGTCACGGGTAACATACTTGGCGCCTTGTTCAAGGTCTTCGGAAAGCTGGTTGCGGTTGTGGTACTGGACTGTCATGCCCAGGGCCCGCGCACGCTTGGCGAGTGCCCGGCCAATGCCGCCCATACCCAGGATGCCGAGAAGTTTGCCTTGCGGATCCGACGAGAGGGGGAGACCCCTGTGGAAGCTGCCAGCCTGAGCCTGGGCCAGCGCGACGTTAAATTGTCGAAGGCTCCCCAGCATAAGAAAGAGGGCTGTGTCCGCGGTGGGGTCGTCCACAACTGAGGGTACATTGGACACCTGAATATTGCGCGCCGTGCAAGGCTCCACCGTAACTGATGTTAGCCCTAAGGATCTTCAGTATCAAGGCTCACTTTGGTCATAGCCAGCACCATTATGAGAAATGAAACGCAAGCTCGATGGAAGCTGCGAAATAAGTTCCTCGTCGAAGCGGCCAGTAATCTGGGAGGTCAATGGTTGTTGAACAACGATACACATACGTTGATAGAGCCAGTACCCTTAAAGTGACGGTAGATAGCCGTGATATCCTTGTAGTCACTCTTCAGATCGTTGATAAAGGAGGCCCGGTCGGTGCTGGTGAGAGGCTACATATGTCAGTGCTGCTCCCAGCCTCAAACCAACAATCAGGGAGGCTTCGCTCTTCAGCGACTCCAACTCCTCATGAGCCAGGTTGATAGGGTCCAATAGCAAAACGCGGGGCTTAGTCGATGCGCTCAAGAGTCGAACATTGCGTTGGGCTTTGAACAGGGCGCCGACAAGTGAGTGGGCCGGCCGGGATTTGAGAAGCATGGTACTACGTAGAGAGGGCAGAGGAAGAGACCTAGGAAGAAAGCGGCGCGGGTTTCTCGGTTGCGCGTTGTGACGGAGAGATTAGATTGGGTAGACCGTCCGGCCATAGCCGGAGGCCGGAGGGCACTGATAGTACACAGCTGAATATTATACACGTCATTGGCCACGTGATCCAACAACGCGTGTCGAGTGCGCTTCATTGATTCAAGTCTCGCGCTCATGCGTTGCGTCAACATCAACACCTTCATCCCCGCAACATGGCCGACGACAGCGTCCCCCTTCCCTTCCCCAACCTCAAGGTCCCCCAGTGGCACTACCAAATTGCCAACGTCGAGCGTCTTCGTGATGAGGCCAGCTCCTCGTTTTGGACAGCCGTTGAGACTGATGGTAGGTCAACTGTCATCGTCTCCACGCACTCGCCGCCGCTGGGATGCTGACTGTGCTTTTCAGAGATGGCTCCTTACCTCCGGTCAACGTCAATGAAGCCTCCAAAGGCAGACCTTCTTGCTGAACTCGAGAAGAAGAACGCCGAGGAACTGGAGTCTATTGAGACCAAACTCAAGGATGCGGAGGAGAACTTGGGCGAGAGTGAAATCTCGGAGTTGTTGAGGTCCAAGGCCATGTACCTGTGCCGTATCGGTAACAAGGTAAGGTTCTATCTGATTTGTACGGCAGACTGACATTTACAGGAGCTAGCTATCCCTGCTCTGGAGACAGCTCTGGAGAAGACGGCGGGCTTGGGAGCTCGCATCGACCTTGTTCTTGCCATGGTCCGCATTGGACTCTTCAGCTCGGACGTCCAGCTCGTCATTAACAGTATCTCTCGGGCTGCCGAGTAGGTCTAACCCTTTCGATGATCGTATATGCTAATGGCAGGCTGATTGACTCGGGTGGTGACTGGGACCGCCGCAACCGCCTCAAGGTGTACCGTGCCCTTCACTGCCTCTCCATTCGCGACTTCAAGCAGGCAGCCGACCTCCTCATCGACTCGCTCTCGACGTTTACTGCCACCGAACTCATGGAGTACGAGGAGTTTGTTGGCCTGGCTGTTCTTGCTGCCGCTGTTGGCTGTGACCGCAAGACTCTCAAGGCCAAGGTGTGTACTCGTACGGCGGCAAAGCATTTTGTACTGACGAGCAGATCCTTTCCAGCTCTGAGGTTAATGGGTGCATTGCATCTATCCCTCACCTTGCCAACATGACCGAGTCGCTTTACAAGAGCAGCTACGCCTCGTTTTTCCTCGCATTGGCAGAGGTGGAGCAGCACTATCTCATTCCCAACCCCATTCTCGCCCCCCACGCCCGCTACTATGTTCGCGAAATGCGTATCAAGGCCTACCAACAGCTTCTTGAGAGTTACCGAAGCCTTACGCTTGAGCGCATGAGCCGCTCGTTTGGTGTTAGCGAGGCGTTTGTTGACCGGTGAGTCTTGCATTGGGAAACTGCATACCAGGTTCTAACGCTGCTCAGCGATCTCTCGAGGTTCATCGCCAGCGGCCGCATTGCTTGCACGATCGACAAGGTCAGCGGCGTGATCACGACTGACAAGCTCTCGTCACAAAACAAGACTGTCATTTACGAGCAGTTCCTCAAGCAGGGAGACCTCTTACTGAGTGGTGAGTGTGGACTTGTCTGGTCTGCATATTGACAAAACCCAGACATGCACAAGCTCCACCGTGTGGTGGGGTAGTTTAGAAGTACGAGAGAAGACAAGGTACACTTTACACTTCGGTATGCGAAGATATATGACAGTTCTTCGCTCGATGTGCGAAGATGAGAAGGCAGTTGGGAAATGGCTGAAAGGTTGGCACGCAGCAGCCCATGATGATAGCGGTTGCAAGCATGTAGTGGCGAGTCATACCGGACGCGTTTCTGATTTGGGGGGCCACGCAACAATAATGGGTCAAATAGCAAGCAGATGGGGCGGATGACGTCAAGTAGACCAGTCAGGCCGGTCAGGTGCACAGTCCGTGATTTTAGATACAGACCAAGATACATACAAGGACTGATTTTGGATACAGTTTACCATCCACCAACTCTGCTATGCCACCCCAGCTGGTGCGGCCTCCATTCCCATCGGGCTGGTCCACGCTCCCGCTCACCCCGCCCAATCTCACTCTGGCGAATACCCTTCCAGTCGGCCAGTCATTCCTTTGGCACCGTCACCGTCTGTCCGATGAAGTTGAGGAGTACTCTCGCGCTGTCGATAATCCTCCCCGGGTCGTTTGCCTTCGCCAATCGCCTTCTGCAATCTTTTATACCGCTATACATGCCAATGCTCTGGATCGGGACAGCGACCACTCGACTGGCTTGACCAAGCGTTGGCTGGAAGACTATTTTCAGTTGACTCGATACCCAAAGCTCGGAGACCTGTACGACGACTGGCGCATACGCGACCCAGCGTTCTTTTCACAGATTGAACTGCAAGACACAGCAACGGGAGTACGTGTACTTCGACAGGACCCTTGGGAATGCCTAGTGGCGTGAGTCATAGCAATCCACGGCAGACAACTAACTACAGCTTCATTACCTCTACCAACAACCATATTCCCCGAATCACATCGCTCCTGCATCGGCTTTGCGACGCTTTCTCCCCTGTGATACTTGTTCTTGATGCCCTTGATGGCTCTGGCCAAACTACATACCGCCTATTCCCCAAGGCCGAAGCTTGGCCTACGGAAGGACTGGAGCAGAAGCTTCGTGAAATGGGCTTCGGATACCGTGCTGGCTTCCTGGATTCAACACTGGACATGTTGCGGTCAAAAGGCAAGGTCGAGCTTGAACTTGAACAGTGGCGCTCAGCGCCTATCAACGAAACGCGAGACCAGTTACTGAAGCTGAAAGGCGTTGGACGCAAAGTTGCGGACTGTGTAATGCTGATGAGCATGGATCAGGTAAGAGACCGGGCACCACCTGGGCGGGACATTGACGTTTGTGCAGCCTTCCGTCATCCCTGTGGACACACACGTTTATTCCATTGCCGCTCGCCACCCCGACTTTCCTGGTCGTCTTCGCAACAAGCCCATGTCGAAAGCCATTTATGAAGAAGTTCAGGACTTCCTTTCCCAGGCATGGGGACCATTGGGAGGTTGGTATCAAGCAGTAGCATTCGCAGCGGATCTCAAGCCAAAGACGCCAACATCGGACACGTCCACTCCAGTCAAGAAACGACGCGCGGAGTCTGACGGTGTAGCTACAAAACCTCCTACCACGCCGATACCCAATAAACCACGCAACTCTGACGGCACTGTGGCCACAAAACGAATGAGGAAGACGCGAGTACCAAAGTAACAGGGGACACGAAGACCTAAGTGATGGGGGCAGGGGTAAAATCCTGCATAGGGAACGGTAATTGGAACCGTGTACTCCAAATAAGGCTGCGAACGAGGCAAGGGGTTTGAAGGGCCGAAATGAATGACGACGGGTATTGAAGACACGAGGCACCTGCAATGGATAGTGGTTCGTGATGTAATATGCGGGCGTTTGGCCACAGTTTACGACACGATGTAGCTGAGCGCAATGACCAGGTAGAGGGCAATGACTAAGTTTGTCAGCGAGGGTAACATGTGGGCGGGATACATACGCATAAGACCTTCGAGGTAGTTGCTCTTGCCGTCCTGAAGCAGCATGTTGACGAGCAAGACAGAGACGAACATGACAATTGTCTCAAAGTTGGCGAAGTAGAGAGTGAGGTCCTTCTGAAGGGGCCAGGCAATGAGCACCAGAAGGGGAATCATGCCGGCTGCAATCTGGATACTCGAGCCAACGGCAACACCAATGGTGAGGTCCATCTTGCCCTTGTAGGCCATCCAAACGGAGGTAACGTGCTCCGCAGCGTTGCCCACGAGGGGGAGCAGGATGAGACCAATGAACCTGTTAAACGTCAGCACAGCCACTCGCAAATGGTTCAACCGTACGCCTTGGGAATGTTCCATGTCGTCGCCGTGTCATCGATGCTGCCGACCAGAATGTCGGCGCTAAACGCAGTCACAGTGGTGACGATGAGGAGCCAGATGCCTGCACTGTATTGGTCCATGTCGGCAACCTCCTCCTCCTGCTCGGCCTCGCTGACGAACAACTGCGCGTGGGTGCGGAGCTGGAAAAAGAGGTAGGCAATGTAGGTCGAGAGGAGAATGATGGCGGTACCACGCGACAGAATAAGGAGACCGTGGAGGGAGCCATCAGGAGGGGCAGGCGCATCATGAGAGAACCAGCCGCCGGTGTCGCTGGCCGATGCGTGGTCTGAGATCAAGTCAGTACCGCCTCCATGGAAATGAAGCTCTCACAAGCAGCGGGGATAATAAGCGTAATGCAAGAAAGAGTGAGGAGTGACGAGCTTGCCTGAGCGCCAGTGGCACCAAACAGCGCCTCCTGCTGGGTAAAGCCTGCACTGAACGAAATTAGCCCGGTACCGAGAACGTGTTTTCAACTTGCGCAAAGAAGCTCATGCCCAGGACGAGGAGAAGGTTTGAAACGATACTGCCAAGAAGGGAGGTCTGGACGAGACGGAGCTGGCCCTGGACAAGAGCAGCAATAGCAACAATGAGCTCGACAGCGTTGCCGAACGTGGCGTTGAGAAGACCACCGATTGTCTGGCCCATTTCCATGGACAGTTGCTCAGTAGCGTCTCCGAGAAGCTGCAGCTATGTCAGTCCAGTGGCTAGTGGATTACGGAAACGGCCCTCACTTTTGCGAGAGGGACAATGGCAATGAACGAGGTCACAAAACGGGCAGTGGCCGACCAGTGAGAATACTCTGCGACAAGACAGATGGGGACGAAGATGGTGAGGGCATTGAGCCACGAGCCAAAAAGAAGGTGACGGCTCGACTTTATAAAGTTGAAGCGAACAGCGGCGGTGTGGCCGTTGCCTGGTGTGAGGAGGGGGGTTTGTTCGTGAGGGGGCATGTTTGTAGACGATGGCGACGATGAAAGGAGTGCACTGAGGGTTGGGTGGATGGGTGGGGAAGGATGGATGGGGGTGAAAGAAGGAGAGGGATGTGTGGGGATGGAAGACTGGCTGGACGACAGGCAAACAACCGCCAGCCGTTGGTTGTGTGGGCCGGAGGCGTTCAACTGGTGCGCGACACTCAGCTCTTGGCGGAGATGGGAGCGACAGCCTATGACGTATACCCAAACATAATATCTCTTGCACCGCTTTGCGGGGCCCGGGTTAGTGCACGTGCAATGACGTGTCAATGGATCAAAGGCCAATAGATCAATGGAGCCAGAGACAACGACGCATGCCACCCGTTGCACTCGGCCGAGAAAGGCAGCATGGCTGCTGTCCCTGTGGCCTGTGGCCTGTGGCCTGTGGCCTGTGTGGGCTGTGTCCCACTACAACGTCATTCGCCATCGACACCTGCTTAAACAATCCGGCGATCCTAGCACGAGCGACACACCTTGTCCCCACAGGCCACAGGCCACGCTCCTCGACAGGCCACGCTCCTCGACATTTACAAGCTTACAACGAGGACCCACGCCTCCCCACGCCTCCCCTCGTCCACCATATCTTTCCACATCTTCACCATCCACCACACCCACGCCACCCAGTCACAGAGCACCCCACCCACGCGGCTCCATCCGTGCCCCTCTTGAATCTTTGGCCTCTTACCCAGCAACATCCCCAACCCCCACACCACCTCTCGGCCCGTCACGTCGACGTCTCCAAGGACCGGGACAGCCACGACCCCTGGCTCAATCCTCGTTCCGTCACCCATCTTAGCGTCTCCATATCCGCCTGTTTCACAACAACTCTGGTCTCCATGTCGCGATCGTGACGACCGCTACCAGCCTAGTACTTCTGGCACGACGACAATGCCTGCCCACCATAACACACAAGTCATCATCTCCCAAAGCCACCCCACCAAGCTAGTCAGCATGCAGGATCAACCTGCCGAACATGAATTTCGAAAGCAACCAGTCTCGCCTCCCCCGGGGTCTGACAGCGACATGGGAGGCCTCAGCAGCGACGGACACGAACAGCCGCGTCCAAAGTCGCTCTTGAGCTCGCTGCTTTCAGACCATTCTTCACCGGCGAAGCGTCCATCAACCGGCTACACGTCTGGCCCATCGGCGCCTTCCTCGGCGCCATCAACTGCCTTCTCCAGCCCTCGGGCCCAAGACCCGGTCTCGATTTTACGACGCGGCAGTATGGGGTCGGATGGGGAACCGTTCCACCTTCCATTTGCTCACCATCACGTTCCCACGCCACTCCCAAAGGCTCTACCGCTTGGCACCAGCCCGCCCCCCGTTGACGCTGTGAGTGATTAATCTTGTAGCACGCTCTGACTCTGAAGGCTCCTCACCGATCCGCTCTAACGTTTGCTGTTGCACAGCCCCGTGCAGAGCAGGAGCGTATCCATGCTTCTCAACATGACGACATTGACGAGGGCAACGATACGGATCAAGGCTACGAAGAAGACTCCGAGGACGGCTTCTCGGACGACGAACCCACATTTATGATGCAAGCAATGGCTCGGGCTCGTGAAGCAAGAGCCCGTGCACCTCTCGTGCCGATTCGGGCGGCTTCAGTCTCTCCGCCTCGTCCGGCAATCGTGTCGCCGTCGCGCAGAGGACGTGGTCACATTCGGGTCGATCCAGATGTGGCGCAAGATCACAAGTCTTGCACCCGTCACTACAGCCCCCCGCCTTCAGACGCCCGCTCTTCCCGTTCTGCACCACCTGGACCCCGTGACGGCCGAGCCGGCTCTCCAGTTCCTTCGAAGCACGAGGACGAGGATGACGATGATGATGACGAAGATGACGAGGAGAGATCGGACGAAGAAGAAGAAGCACAACCCGAAGGTGAAGGACGGGCAGCGGCCGCCGCCGTGGTCCATGAGACGACAGTTACTCATGACGACGAGGCCGTTATGAGCGACGCTTCGGTCGACGAGGCCCCCATGTCGACCGTTCGAACTATTCTTCGCCGCGCATCCGAGCACCTGCCGTCTTTCCGTCGTCCGTCATTTGCACTCTCCACCCTGCAATCTGACGCCGTCGATATTGTTGACAAGAGCCCTCCTGCCGAGGACCCAGTGTTGTCGCGTGCCCGTTCTCTTGGAGCCCGTTCGCACCCCGTGGGCATTCTGTCAACAGATGGGGGCGCAGAGACCAGTTTGCGTAGGGTAGGAATTCTCTCTGCAGACGAAGGCGAGGGAATGGCCCGTAGCCGGCCAATGACCTGCCCAGTGCGCCGTGGGGAGGAGTAATGTTGTACCAGACGAATTTCTAGAATGGTTGTTCAAGTAGCCAAGTAGACATACATGCATTTTTGTAACGACACCACACATGCTAACCAGCTACAGTATCTGGCGACATGGATGAGGTTGTTGGGCGTGCCACATGCCACGGTCCAGGCAACCCACGGTCGGGTCAGGTGATCAGCTGACAAAGAGGGATTTGGCGTGAGAGCTGCGGGGCCCAACCGGGCCACAGCCAACGGGGCAGGGACACGGGCGTCGGAGTCGGGGATCCACAGGCAGCCATTCCCGGCACCACCCCCTCCCTCACTGCCCTTTGTGCACCACCTGACAGATCGCACAACTCTCTTCACTACTCTATACACACACTCTCTCTCTCTCCAACTTCAAGCCTTCGTCTTTCACACCACCTTCATTCAATCACCAGCTTTCTTACACCGCCCGCCCGCCCCCTTTGCTCCCTCACATCCCCCTTTTGGCGGTCCCAAGTGAACCCCACCCGCCACCACCCCCCCCCCCCCCCCCCCCCGACCACCCATCGCAGGCTGTGTGTAACATGTCGACCTCTCCTCCCAACGCACTGCACATCCCTTCATCTTCTCACCGACGTCGTCCCTCGCTGCAGATGCCCTCCCCCCGCGCCATACCCGTTGTGTCCCCTCGAGCAGCCCCCATCCCCATATCGTCTCCTCGTGCTGTCCCTCTCCCCGTTCCTCAGCGTCATGGCAGCATCAGCATTGGATCCTACAACTCTATCTCTGATTTTGCTTCCCTCGCCTCTCCACGACTCCGAGCTGGGAACCGCGGATCTGGATCGTTTGGCGGCTCGGTATCACTCGGAAACTCGTTCGTCTTGGGTCCCGCTATCACCGATGACTCGGACAGCTGGCTGGACACACTGGCCACTGATGTTACCAGAGAGCCTGTCCCTGTGGTATCTGGTGATACTGGTCTTGAGCAGGCCACTGAAGTGAGTTGAAAACGATACAAAGGCACCATGGCTGACTGTCAAGACACTTATCAACGTCGCATCCTCGTGCCTGCTCGTCCAGCGTGGCAATGGCTACGGTCTGTTTGATGTGAGTGTGAAATCTGTCTTCCTTTTAGGTTGGCTCTGACACTGTATAGTTTGCAGACTTAAACACGGTCCTCCTCCTTGTCCTCATTGCTGCCTCTCAAAACTCGCCCGATGCTTTGGATGACCGTGCACGCGAAGTCGTTACGTGTCTCAAGAAGGGCATTCGCCTCGGCGTCGGAATGGTCTGCGGTGAGTTGATAATTTGGTTTAATCCGAGCTTGTCTAACTTGGTTTCAGACATTTCACAAAAGAATCCTTGCACCCCATTCCCGCCAGACACCACTCTGCGTCGTCTCCTGCCCTTGTTCGCTTCTGGTGTTCACCGAGTGGTTATCACGTCTGACCCACCCCGCGTTCTCGAAGCCTCAGCCTTGTTGGCCTACTTGACTCGCAAGCCCCCTCCTCTCTTCCGCCTTTGCTTCTCAGAGGTCGATTTGCCGCTTCATCCACTGGTTTCTCTGCCTTCAAGTGCCTCGATTCTGGATGCCATGCAGGTCATGAGCCTCAACGGATTGAGCGCATTGGGGGTTGTGACCGGAAACCCCGAGGGCGAGCTGAGCTCCCTGATAGGCGTCGTCACTGTGGCCGACTGCTCCAAGCTAGTTGTGCCCAGTGAGGGCAAGCAAGTGTTGGGCATGGGATTAGGCGACATGTGCAAGAATGTCCTAGTTGATCACCATGGTAGGGAGCGTGGCGAGGAACGTGTGCCAGGTATGTTTAATACGTCATTTTTCTCCAGCTTCTGTTACATCTACCTTGCACTTGGGCCACCTTGCTGAAATGCCCACTTAGTTCACACCATCACTCCGACGACTACACTTCTTTACGCCGCCAACCTCATTCTGGCCACTTCATCGTCTCGAGTCTTTATGCGCACACCGCCTGCCGCCTCCCCACCATTGTCCCCCGCCTCTTCGTTTGACCAGCTGTCCCCACCGTCTTCCCCCGCACTGTCGCCCATCTCCATTGGACTTCCAACTCCGACACCTACTCAGCTGTCATCGTCATGCGTCATCTCCATTCTCGATCTCTTGTCCTGCCTGGCTCGAACCTACCAGAGCAAGCTTGTGCCATTCGAGCCGACAAGTGATACAGAATCGTGGGATATGATCCCTGACAATATGGGCAAGAGACGCCGTCGGGCAAGCAGCTCCGCTGCAGCCTCGTCTGGCGCCTTTCAGTCGTGGCGCTGGGCCGATGACCCGTCTCCGTTCTAGGCGCACACCGTTTCCTCCACGCCCCCGACCCATTCTCGTTCGCCAAGCATCTTAACCTTCCCGTTCCCGACAACATCAATAAGGAAATATTGGGCTGTAAAAACACAGACTCGCATCATCAATGAAACTATCAGAAAACTTAGTCATATATGCATTGTGTGTACAACTACAAGAGACGTGCAACGGCGTACAATGTCGCCACGCCACCACCGCCAAACGCTGCAACCCAGTCTGACCAACGCAGCTGCTTGATTGGAACCACTTCAGCTCCCTCTTCCACTGTAGCGCCTTGGACGGCGAGCCGCTTGAGCCATTGCTCCTTGACAGCCCACACGCTGCGCAACCATATTTCAAACTCTTTTGCCTCTGCAGGGTCTGAGCCCCCCGGAGTTGACAGGTCTAGGGACGGAACTTCACAGGAAGCAGAGCCCAAGTCGCTGTACAAGCGAAGGTGGACATGGACAACAGGTGGAGGAACGGATCGCAAGAAAACAGAGCCGAGGCTGTACCACTCTTGAGGGTACTTGCCAAAGGGGACCCCCGGGTAGCTAATGGTAACGTCGAGAAGCTTGAGGTCGGGGATGCTGGGGAGTAGTGTTCGCAGGCAGAACAGCAGGCCAGTAGAGCGAGGGTGTAAAACGCCAACAAAGTCATCCTTAACCAGGTCAGCCGTGAAATCTGATGCGAGAATAGACTTTGCTCACGACTCGTTCGCGGTCTGCGTAGCGTTTGCTTTTCGCTCGTTCGTTGTCACTGGTGATAGTCCCCTCTGGGAAGATCAGTAGCCAGAGAGGGGAGCGCATCTGCCCTTCCTTTGCAAGTCGAGCCAGTCGATTGAGCGACTGCGTGAGGTTGTCCTTGTCGGCAGCCCACGACCGCTTCAGGAAGATGAACCGAAAGAATTGCTGTAGAAGTCAGCAGACGCAATTGGTGCCAAGTTGCATACCATTCCCCATCCCACAATAGGGAGATGCTTGAGGCTGGCTTTTAAGAGAATCGTTATACCATCCCCATAGCCACTGTAACAAGCCAGGATCCACAGGTACATCCAATCTGTGTACGCCTGGTGGTTGGCGATAACAACCATGCGGTCTGGCAGATTGATTTTGACGACATCACCATTGGAATCGCGCTCAACGATTGTGGCGAGCTCTGGCTGCTCGTCGGTAGTAATCACAAGGGATGTTGGGGCGCATAGGACTGTAATCGCAATCACTGGACTGTTCAGCAATATAGCCTTCGCCACCCAATACTCACGAAGTCTGCCGAATCCATCTTTAGTCCAGGCAATCGCGCGCCGGAACAGCGGTCTTCCCAATATGGGAATGAGGAGAAGCGGGAGGAACAGAAACTGGGCAGAGCTAATTCCCAAAATGCCGAGGTTGAACACAATAGGGAACACAATCTTGCTAAACCACGGCCCATAGCCTGGAGGCCGCTTATCGATGGGGAGCGTGTACAAGGGTGGCGGGGTGGACGACATGGCGTCGTTCCCTCAAAATGACAAGATAGTGTTTGGTACGGTTGCTGAGAGAGATGTAAGAGTTGCACAAGTGAATGCCGTTGTGGCCGGGGGGACACGCACGCAGTCGAGCTGGGTTGGCTAGTTGGCTGACAAGGCGATGATGATGAATGGGTGGTCGAGGATGCGGGGTCAATGGTGGTGTCTCGGCCGGTGATCCGGTGACGTCGCTGTCGAACACGTGGATAAACATCGGAGATGGCCGGATGACCCGGTGCCTGGGTGTACCGTCCATGCTGTAAATGTGTTCCTTGTCCTCCGTTCTGGAACGTCGCGAGGTTTGTTCTTGTACAGTATATCCTGTCAGCTGCGTTTTCTACGGCAGTCGGAACTACAAACAACGATTGGTGACAGATGGCAAAGACCAAACTGTGCCGTCGATTACCCCGAAAAGTGGACAACAACAGCGCGACACCAATGGTCAGTCGATTCGCCCAAGTCTCGTTCTGGTGCCCACCTCGCGAGGCCACGATACAAAAGGCTTATGATACAGACATGTTGTCTGCGGATCCACAAAGAGCTCCTTCGGGTAAGGCAGGCACTGCACCACGAGTTACGCACTCCGCTGCTGTTTCCTTCTTTCTTCGACGACGCACTACTCGAGATTCAAAAGTCGGTAAACGCGTTAACGCATTCCCGCGTTCCCACGTCCCAACGATCCAACGACTGTCGCTCAGCGGATCAGCGGTGCCTAACTTGGAAGGCATCACTGCTGTTGGGTCAAAGAGTGCAGAGTGTATATAGGTGGTGCAAACTGCTACTCACTCTGTCCCACGGCGGGCGCTGCCGAAACATGATCGCTTGCGATGCCATACATGCAATGTAAATATGTAACCAACCCAACCCTTAATATCCCACTTGCAACACTTTTCCCACTTTGCACCGCAACAGTGCGCGCAGCCTTACATTGTGGCGAGCAGGGCAGCTGTCGCCACCGTCGCCACCGTCGTCCGCCGTGTCGTGTGCGACGGGGGCGTTTGGGGGGGGGGGGGGCCGCGAACAGTGCGCCCAAGCGCACCGTGCGCCTCATGTCGCCCTGGACAAACATTGAACACCACACAACCCTCTCTTTCCACAACTACACCACTACAACACACAACACATATCCCATCTGCAGCTCAGCAATGGCCAAACTTCCGTGGGGAGTGCACGTCCTCGCCCTCTTCCTATTTTGCTTTGTCGGCTTTGTTCTCAGGTAAGTTGGCCAGCATTGTACGGAACGAGCGCTGAACCAGACAGCATCTTGATCACCTTCTCCACTCCATTCATCCCACCCATCGCCTTTCTGACAGCACCCACAAATGAAAGCAACATCAGCTTTGGCGCATTTGGATGGTGTTCATCGGTCAACTGCAGTAACACGCAACTTGCATACGAGTAAGCATCAACATGGGTGGATGAGGGGCTAACCTGTAGGTACTCTCCATATGTCAACAAGTCGCTCACAGGCGCAATGTTTCTCTGGCCTATCGGTGCAGTCAATGGCGCGCCCCTGCATCACTGACCTTGGCAGGATCGCTTCTCATGCTCTTCACAGTCCTCTCCATTCTCCCTCTACTCTTGGTTCATGAGGCTCCAGGGTTGCGGTTCGTTGGCAACAAGCCCTTCTTCCTTCTGTCCTCGGTGAGCCCAGCATTCGTTACAAAAAGTCTTACCCATCAGATCCTCGCGGCGGCCTTTGTTGGCATAGGTTGGCTTTTTTCGTTGTTTGGATGGAACATTGCAAGGAGGTCATATGCGCAAACTGGTGTTAACGCGCAGCTTGGGTAAGTGGACGATCATGACCACAGCTGATCAATAGCCCAGCAGTCTGGATGGGGCTCGTCGCAGCCCTATTTATCATTGGGTGAGTATTGTGACAAGGGTGCTGCCGTCTGACAGGGCAGTGTTGTGGCGATTGGTTGGCCAGATGTTCGGTACGAGCGACCAGACCACGCATACGAGCGAGCACCGACAACCAACGGCAACGTTGTTCAAACTACCACCACAAGACGCGTGGTCCAACAGCCTTCACCGCCCATCGTGGAGCGAGTGGAGCAAGTGGAGCGTCCCCTTCCACAGCCCGCGGGGACCCCTGTGCCGCCAGGCGATGGTTATTACCACTATAAGCGCACCACTCGTGAGGTGGTACCAGGATAGTAGCAATATGTAGAGTTCATAGACTAGTGAGACATATAATCCTGTTGTGACCGCCACGAACTGGGGCATCACTGGCAGTGAATGGATTCTGTTGTCGCCGTGTTACTCCGTGGATAACGTGGCTGTGTGGTCGGTAATGTCTTTGGGCGCACGAGGCCGCCGCATGCATTATGTGCACCTCAAATTGCTTCGTCAGTATCACAAAAGACAAATACATTTAACTAACGTTCATGGAATTGTGCGAGCAACAGCTTTTAAAGACCCATACAGTTGGCATAAAACGTCGTTGTCCCTGCCCAGTCAGAGAAAAGCTTCTTGACGCCAACTTGTCTGGCAAGGACATCAATAACTGTGAAGAGGTCACCGTCGCGCTTAATGACACTAGAAAACGTTCCATAAAAGGAGTCTTGAACGCTGTCAACAGTGGCAAGAGGCGGAGAGCGCTCCATGGACCACCCGATGATACCGAGACCCAGCTTATTCGCCGTGTTGGCGTACTCTGAGGGGACAATTGTACCATTCGCGACAGTCAGAAGATAGTTGATTGGTGGGGAGACGTAGTTGACTCCGTCCGCCTTGTAGCTAGCAAGACTCGCCGCTGTCCCGTAGTCCAAGTACAGAGCCTGCTTGGCAAATTTAGGCTCATTGTCCAGCCAATATTTGATGTCAGAATAGAGGAAGGACTGAGGCCAAATGCGCTTAAAGTCGATACCGGCAATTTTGTAGTCGTCCACAAACTGTTGAGCAAAGAGGTCCTGCGTGTAGTTGCCATCAAAAGGCATCGCCACTTGAGGGATCTTCAACTCTGGAGAAAAGTCGAGACCAAGCTTGTCCACCACTCGAATGTGCTCGCTGTGCGACAGGAGTGTGCCGCACTGAGAGTACAAGTTGGTGCGCCACGGGTAAGTACCGCCGAGATGCGTTTCTGGCGTCGTGGCATTAGCATTGTACGAGTCCATCTTGCCACAAAGAGACTTGAATTCGGCAAGGGTCAAATCGCTTGTGCAGCACTTTGCACTGGCCGCAATCGTCCCGTTTGCAGCGGCGAAGGGCTGAGTGCACTTGGCGTTCAATTCCGGGACGACGACAACGTTGTAGTAGTGTGCAGGTCGCACTGCGAGTGACGGCAGACTAGCTCGCGGTCCTTGGTAAAGGTAACGTCGCATTCGAGTATTCCAGCTCCCATCCTGGCACCAGCGAGTGCGGATTCGAGAGTGTGCTCCGGGAACTGCAAGGTACCGCCCCCGCGGTGCCCAATAGTCCACTTGTTGGATTTCATTCGCTTGTTTTTGCAGCGAAGAAGCTTTGTCTTGAGCAGTGAGTCACCCATGTCATCGACAACGTAGTAAGGACGTGGGCCCAGTGAAATCTCTCTGATGCGAGTCAGAGTGGCAAGCTCAGACTCAACGTCATGGATGAGAGGTGCAGCTTGCGTATTGTTGGTAGCCACCACACGCCCAAGCGGTAGGCCCACAGCGGAGCCAAGGGACACGAACAGGCCGAGGAGCGATAAAAGTTGCACTGGTGGCTGTTAACGCAGACAGCCTCTAGCACTTACTCGTGCTCATGCAGCGACGGCAGAGTGGGTGAGTGGACAATTGCTTGAGCACCACGCTGGGTGGGACATGCACACGGCGGAACACGTATCTCACGTGAGCCATGCGTTCGAAGCCATTTTGTGGGCAGCGTTGGGCAAAATGCCAAGACAATGAGAAGCAACCACTCGTAACGCCATGGACCATGTACCACAAGTGGGAACGTCGTTGGAAACGGACCGTACGAGTGCTGCAACCACAGCGTGCGATAAGACATGCTGCTGCTCTAAACATGTTTCGTGATGGCAATAAAATAGACTGGCTGTTTGTTTTGTGCCGGTGCCTTCAGAGATCAAAGATAGGAGATCACAGATCAGAGAACAAATGCTGTCTCAGGGGATCAGTGGTTCGCCACCTGGGCACCGTCCTTTGGCACAAGAGTCTCTCATGGCAGCAGCAATGAGAGGAGGCATTGGAAGCCGGAACCGTTCGCGATATGGAGCATTGTCTACCAAGTGTTCCATGGGCCATAACCTTAACGGCCGCACGCTGCAAATGTGGAAGAAACATATAGAACCATGGAGATGGGGGGTGCGGCTAGCGGGTTTCTGGAATTTCTGGGAGACATGAAAATGCGTTGGGCTCGTATTTCCGGTAGCCAACAGTCTCTGCTTCAAGATGGGGGCCTGTAAGACTGTCCCCCCTGCCACTACTATGTTAGCCCTACATTGCATAGAGAGTAACGTCGATGCATGTTATCAGGAGCAGAGCTAGCAGAGTGGGACAAACTGCATGGCTGCAAATACACCGCGGCGGCCGCCCATGAGCGCGGCGTTCATGGGCAAAGTGACGTCAACGGCGTCGGCGATCGCCTGCGCCGCGTGCGCGGACCGGCCAAACGCACCAAACAGTCCAGAGCGGGTCTAAAGCGACGACGTCACCACGGGGTCACTCGATCACTCCCGTCTCTCCACCCTCTAAAGATAAACCACAAAACTCGCCTCTTTATCGCATCCCACTCTTCACTCGACTCTACCACGTCTGCGTCCATCTACCCCCACCACCTAGAGGATATCCACACCGCCTAGATACACCACAAAGGACCATCATCGTCATTGCCTCCTAATAGAGACGTGCCACAAGGTTACACACCCTCATCATGTCCGACAAACCGCCCAAGTCGACGGGCGCTGGGCAGCGACTCACCCCCAACTTCACTGGCCTCGACTATGCCAAGTTCTTTTGTAAGTAACAGTCATTTGGAGTAGGACAGAGGTATTTGCAGCGGGGAGTAGATTGTTGTTTGTGAGGGAAACAACGCAGCTAACATGGTATCCAGCGGCCGGCGCGCTGTGCTGCACGATGTGAGTGTTGCCATGCGCCTGCGGTCCTCGTACTAACTGCATAGCTCGCATGGTGCAATGACCCGTGAGTCTGCGTCTCCCAGCACCTCCATCCTGACTGTTTAGCTATCGATGTCATTAAAACCCGAATCCAGATTGACCCGACCCTCAAAGGCAACTCTCTCGTCACCGCCGGTCGCAAGATTGTTGCTGCAGAAGGCCCACAAGGCTTACTGACGGGGTTCGGTCCAACCGCAGTGGGCTACCTGTGAATATTGCATGCACGCAAGAGACCAAGAGGATGTCTGTGACGGTATCTGACGGACCAGTCTCCAAGGTGGCGCCAAGTTTGCGGGTTATGAGGCTTGTGTACGTCTTTTTCCGACCCTCATCTCCTGTTAACTGACGCCGCTCAGAAAAAATGGCTTGTGGACCTCTCAGGCTCGCATGAAAATGCTGTCGCGAACCGTACTGCTATTTACCTTGGAGGCGCTGCCATTGCGGAGTGAGTCTGCATCGTTCTGACTGAACCTGACATTCAGATTCTTTGCCGACATTCTTCTCACCCCTGCCGAGGCGACCCGTATCCGCCTTGTTGCCAACCCTCAGGTAAGCCAGCAGCCGCTCTAATGCACTCTGACTGTGTACCAGTACGCTCCCGGCTTTGTTAGCGCCTTCACAAAGATTCTGCGCACCGAGGGTGTTGGATCCCTTTACGCTGGCTTCATCCCCATTCTCTTCAAGCAGGTTCCTTACGCCATCGGACAGTTCACCGTTAATGAGCGTGCTACCGAGTTCTTCTACAGCCGCATGAGCCCTGAAACGAAGGCAAACCTCACAGCTTCCCAGAGCTTTGGCATCACTCTCACGTCTGGTGTCATTGCTGGTTTCGCTGCTGCCATTCTCAGTCACGTAAGCCACGTCCGAGTCTGTGCACATTTGCTAACAGTTTCTAGCCTGCCGACACCCTCCTCTCCCAGATCAACAAAGGTCACGGCCCCGAGGGCACGATGATGCACCGTCTTTATGTTTTGGCCAAGCAGGCCGGTGTTCGCGGGCTCTTTGCTGGTCTCGGACCCAGGATGAGTAAGTCCCAGTTGTGAAGACACCCCACCCGTAAGCGAACACTAACTTGGCCTAGTCATGACGGCTGGCCTTGTCAGTTCGCAGTTCATCATGTACAAGTACATCAAGGCGGCTCTCCATGCGCCCCCCGGTATCGAGATCCACAAGGAGGCCTAGAGAGAGAGGGAAAGCATCAGTGTGTCCTAAGAGAGTGGTAGATAAACATGTACACAAAACGTGGAGATGACCATGAGGCCATCGATCCATCGACCAGCGGGGCGCGGCGATGTTACGTGATCGTGCTTACGTGCTTAGGATGTCACCCCACGTGGGGTGTCCCTGAGACAGCTGACAGTAGTAAAGACGAGCTGTGGCCGTCGCTGTAGCCGCGTGCGTTTGTGAGGGTGTACGGGTTATGCGTAACAGGCCGCCACAGGCCACAGGCCACAGGCCGCTGCACGCCGCAGCGAGACACACTTGGCGGCGACGACGCGGGGGGGTCGGACACGGGCAAGTGAAGTAAGATGGTCTGCGTACAGTGGCCGTAACAGTGGCCGTCTTCTCCACACAATGTCACTTTTTGGCGAGCCCGCGCCGGACGGGCCCTGAAATCTCCCATCGTGCCATGCTCGGTTTCTCGTCCCATCTCTCGCGACGTGGCCGCTCCTCCGCCGCCCCGCAGCCGGCGCGCGGGTGCGCGCGCGGGCGCGTGTCGGGCAAAATCCACAGCCAATGCATGCGCTGAGAGGGTTGGGACACAAAGGGTGACATCGCATCTCTTGCTGTTTCCTCTATATCTCCTTAATACCCTCTCTCACACCTCTCTCACACTCACTCTCTCTCACTCTCTATCTCTATCTCTACTCCTTTTAATTAATTTCACCACCATGCCCGCCGACGCCCGTTCCGAGTCGCGTGTTTCCAACTACACCAAGTTCTGGCAGAAGGACTCTGCCAAGGACGGCGAGGCCGACAAGGCGAACCGTCTCGACCAGTACACTGACCTGGTCAACGGTACGTGTCCCGCCCCCCATCTGTCGCCCCATTGGCGCGCGAGACAAACCACTGACGCGCACCAGGCTACTATGACGGTGCTACGGAGCTTTACGAGTACGGCTGGGGTGAGTTTCCGGGCAAGGCTTAGTTAGGTTGACGTCTGCTAACCCCACCCAGGTAACTCGTTCCACTTCTGCCGCTTCTTCAAGGGCGAGGCCTTCCTCCAGGCCATTGCTCGTCACGAGCACTACCTCGCCTCGATGACTGGTCTCCGCCCTGGCATGCGTGTTCTTGACGTCGGCTGTGGTGTTGGTGGCCCCGCCCGTGAGATTGCCCGTTTCTCGGACGCCAACATCGTTGGTATCAACAACAACGAGTTCCAGGTCCTCCGCGCTCGCCAGAAGACTGCCCAGGCCGGTCTTTCTGACAAGGTGTCGTTCGTCAAGGGCAACTTCATGGAGCTCGCCGAGCAGTTTGGCGAGAACAGCTTTGACGCTGGTGCGTAGACCGCACATCTGATGCGATGCCATCTGGACCTCTGCTCACCTGTTCATTCAGTCTACGCTATCGAGGCTACCTGCCACGCCCCTACCTTCGAGGGTGTTTACGGCGAGGTCTTCAAGGTCCTGAAGCCTGGAGGTGTCGTGAGTCACCATGCAATGTAAGCCTCGCTGACCCCAAAGTTCGGTGTGTACGAGTGGTGCATGACCGACGAGTGGGACCCTTCCAACCCTAAGCACAAGGAGATCGCCCACGGTATCGAGGTTGGTGACGGTATCGCCGAGATGCGCACTCTCCACGCTGCCCGCAAGGCCCTCAAGACCGTTGGCTTTGAGATTCTTCACGAGGAGGACCTCGCTGCTCGCCCCGACGCTGTCCCCTGGTACTACCCTCTTGAGGGTGACGTCTTCAAGGCCCAGACCGTGTGGGACATGTTCACTGTCCTTCGCATGTCGACCATCGGCAAGATCTTCACCCAGAACTCGGTCTGGGGCCTCGAGAAGATCGGCCTTGTCCCCAAGGGCACTTATGATGTCGGAGAGTCGCTCAAGGTCGCCGGTGACGCCCTTGTCGCTGGTGGCCAGAGCAAGCTCTTCACCCCCATGGCCCTCTGGGTCGTCCGCAAGCCCGCTAACTAGAGTGCAATCTGGGTTATATTGTGTTGTCCGCCTGTTTGATGCATACACTGCCGCTGTACTTTGTGGGAGTGGGAGGCCTCAGGGCCTGTCTTTCCAAAGCGCTGTGTGTAGTGGCTCTCTCTCTCTCTATGCAGTACATCCGCGGGCTTGTTGACCGATAGAGCCCCGCACCCTCAATAACAACGGTCGCTGACAAGCTGTTGAAAGAACGGACAGTCTCGGAAACGGTCATTCACTGGATGCAGTAAGGAGAGCGCTTGTCAGTCTCACATTGCAATCATGAGTTAAGAATGCATGCTGGGTGTGTGTCGTATCTGTGTATGTCTCTTGGGGGGAAAGTCTCCTCGTCTACTCCTGCTTCTGAGGAACCGAGTCGCGCCAGGTTTTGAGGACGTTGTTCTGGTATTCGGCTGGAGCAGGGCCGGCAAAGATCTTGAGACGCGCCAGTCGGCGGTCACGGAAGGTGTTCTTGGGCAACATTCCCGACACTGCGCGACGGAGAATCTAGTCTTGTAAGTCCATTGTCAATATTGGAGGGTGCCTACGTACCTCCTCTGGCCTGCGCTCCCTCATACGCGAAATGGGCACCTCCTTGAGACCGCCAATGAAGCCAGAGTGGTGACGGTACACCTTCTGTTCGGCCTTCTTGCCCGTCAACCGAACCTGGAGAGCGTCCGACACAACCACATAGTCTCCGGCATCCACTAAAAACGTCAGCTTTCGCTCTGCGTATACTCGTGCCTCACCGGCCGGGTCGTATGTTGGCTTGTGCTTGCCCATGAGCACGTATGCGATACGGCTGGCAAGATTTCCGAGGACGCGGTCTTGGCCGGAAGCGTGGTGCCAAACGCGGGTGAGGGCCAGAGCGGTCTGGGCGATGGTTAGATCCTTTTCTCCTCTTCTCCTGCTGTTGCTGTGCCTCGCATGCCTACCTTTCCTTTTGTGGCGGACATTGTCGTGTTGTGTTGTGACTGTGGTTGTCGACAGTGGTTGCCGCGAAAAGACCAGTGACGATCAATACGCGAACTCTGTCCCGCACGCCAGAGTATGCCACGCACGGAAACCCCGAAATCTCCGCCCCGCCTGGCCTGTTTGCCGCTCACTTCGTCCACAAGTCCATTCACCTCAGATCACAGACAGGTCCTCCAAGCCCATCCCATCCGTCGTCATCGCCATGAGGTACGTTCACCAACGAGCCAGCAGTCCTGACAGCTGTACAGTCAATACGCGTCTGTCCCCAAGTCGGAACTCGACGAGTCTCAAATCCGCGAACTCGAGGAGTGGGAGATCTCGCAGGGTCCCCTGTCTGTTCTCCAGCAGGCTGTCCGCAACAACAGCCAGGTGCTCATCTCATTGAGAAACAACAAGAAGCTCCTGGCACGTGTCAAGGCGTTTGACCGTCACGCCAACATGGTGCTGGAAAACGTCAAGGAGGTGAGGATGGCGATGTTGTTGGATTGGATTCCAACTCGGCAAACATTTGTTGACAATCACCGCAGATGTGGGTTGAGACGCCCAAGGGCAAGAACGCCAAGCCTGTTAACAAGGACCGCTTCATCTCGTGCGTCTTGTTGGACTCGATTCATCACTATCTGTACTGACATGCGCAGCAAAATGTTCCTTCGTGGTGACTCGGTGATCCTGGGTGAGTTAACGGGCCATGTCTTCATCATCCTTGGCAACATCCGCTAACTTTGCCTCAGTTCTGCGGAATGCAGCATGAGCATAGATAAAATGTGTTAAAGACGACCTTAGGCGACAGCGACCCGATACCCAGACTCTTGGTCGCTGATGAGATGCATAGTCAGCTGTACCGATCATTCGAGCCGCAGGTGTTGTCACACTACTATACTAATACATGATAGAAAGGGGACCAAGCTCTTCTTCTGAGAGCCACAAAGGGAACACGATCCCAAGTTCTCTACGCCAGGACGCCACTGCCCTTGGACGAGTGAGCATACTCGACGACGGCGTTGACAGCCTTCATGTCCAGAGTGTTGCCCAGGTTGATGCTGGTGAGCGCCTTGACAGTGAGGTCGTCCTTGACACTGCCGATAATCTCTACGTAGGTGTCCTCGATGTGCATGTCCTTGGCCTAGTCAGCACCCTGTATAGTTCTCTTCTGTTGCACATACACGAGAGAGCATGATTGCAACCTGGGGCTGTCAGACAATGAGGCAAGCGAATGTTCAGTGGTTTACTCACCTCGCCACCGTCGCTGGCCTCGACAGTCGCCGTGTCGCCAACGAGCTTGAGGACCTTGGCAGTGAGGCGCACGGTCTGACCGCGGTGGTCGCTGAGGAACTTGGAGTTCACGCGGGCTAGGGGATGGACATTAGGATAAAACAAACAACCATAGGCGAGCGGTGTGGAGGTGGATGTTGATGTGTATGTGGAAATGGGCATACATAAACGTTTTTGTCAGCTTAGACCCGTTTCTCAATCACATCCTTTCTACTTACGCTCTGGACCGAGACGGGACATGGTGATAGATGAGCAAGTAAGTGTTGTGGTGGGTAGACAAGAGAGGATGTTGGGACCGTCGAAGATGACTGGACTGGCCAACCGCTCAGACGCGACGCGTCGTTTTTGATCCCGCCAACCTCCCTTATTAATATCACTGCATCATTACAACTGTCAGCCATATTAATGTTCCTCTTAACACATGTTTCTAATGATCACGTGATCCTGAAAAAGTCTGCAAGCTATGCGATGATCCGTTGGTGTGACCCATGGCTATAGCAGGGCGGCTGTCGTTCTCCACAAACACCATTTCTTCAACAATCAACATGGTTTCCTTCCAGTGAGTCCCTTATCTACGGGGACGTTGGCTGACAAAGCAGATGTGACGGCTGCGCCGATACCGTCAAGAAGCCCGCTCTTGACAAGCACCGCCAGCGCTGCTGGGCGAGTTTTAGCTGCATCGGTAAGTTCTGCACATTGTGTATGAAGGGAACACGGTGTTCTGACATCCACTAAGACTGCTCCACCACCTTCCACAACCAGGACTACAAGTCGCATACCTCGTGCATCTCTGAGGCCGAAAAGTACCAGGGTGCTCTCTACAAGGGTCCCCGCAAGGGCCAGCAGAACCAGTCCACTCCCGCTTCCTCCAACGCCACCCCCGCCGACTCACCTGCCCCCTCCGAGGGCGCTGGTATTGCCATTCACCCCTCGCGCATGAACCAGATGCAGGCCGGCGAGTCTCAAGCACCAGCGCCATCTTACGGAGCTGGCCGAGGACGTTTTGCTCAGCGCGGCGGCCGCGGTGGATTCGGTCGTGGCGGCTTCAACGGCGGTGCTCCCTTCAATGCTACCCCCCGTTGGTCTGCCACTGGTGAGAACAAGACCGCGCCCGAGACCGGTATGAGGACATGGGGCTCGGCACCCACGTCCGACTCCGAGGCTCCTGCTGCTACCAAGGTAGCACCGGTGGGGGCGACCGCCGCTGTGGCGACCGATGCTAAGAAGAAGCGCAAGGGCGACAAGGGCGGCTGTGGCTCCAAGGCCAACTCCAACAAGGCCAAGCTGGCTTCTGACGCTGCTACCGAGGCCGACGAGCCCCAAGCCAAGAAGAGGAAACGCGACGACGAGGTTGAGGATGCCCCCACTGCCGCTCCTTCCGACAAGACCCTCAAGCGCTTGAGGAAACACATGTCAAAGATTGAGGACAAGGCCTCTGGTGTTCCACTTGCCAATTGGCTCGAGCAGGTCGCTCAAGGCAAGGAGAAGACGCTCGACAAGTCGGAGGTTCTCCAGGGTATTCAGGTTAGCTTTGTAGATGGTCGCTGGCAGCTCAGTGTGTAAACTGGCCCGCTCAGCTTGTAATAGATGGCATGCATATATGTGATTCATACAAAGTACAAGTGTTGTGGGGGCGTGAGTTTATTCCGATGGCAGAGCTGGAAGGGGCTTTTCTTCGGATGATACGAGGCTGTTGCCTATGGGAGGCGGCAGGAGAGCAGGGGATGGGATAGCAGCCGGGGTTGAAATAGTGTTTGTCGAAGCTGTTGTGGATGACGACGACGCGGCCGAGCTAAGCAATGACGGAGCAGGACGGCCTTTACTGCGTTCAATTCGCAGACGGCTGGCCACATTCCGCGCAGCTGCCTGGGGGCCGGTCTGGAAACCGCGCTTGGTTTCTGCGTGGTCGGATCCCTTCCACCGACGCCAGCCGTCAAAATCGATAAGCGCCTGGGGAGGTTTAGCACGTGTAGACGTTGGAGAGAGAGACTCACCTGCATACAACCCCACTCAACCGTCTTCTTCTCCAGCCACTTGAGAGAGACTGGCTTGGTCAAGAAATCATTGCAACCAGCAGCCAGGGCCGCTACACGATCGGTCTGTAGTGACGACGCAGTGAGGGCGACAATGATGACTGCCGACCGAAAGGGAGATGATGCCACAACTTCTATCGGTCGCTGATGGTCACCCAGAGGTGTGCTTGGGAAAACGCCGATGTTGTTGTTCTTTTCTAGCTTGCGAATCTCCTTTGTCGCCTCGATGCCGTCCATGACAGGCAGCTGGATGTCCATCTACATGGGTCAGTTGTGACACCATTCTTGGATAACGCACAAGAATGAGGTGGAAACCGCCAGTGCGCCACTTCTCAACCGCCTCCACTCCGTCCTTGGCGGTCTGATATTTAATCTTCTTCCTTCGGAAAAACATGCTAAGGATATTCTGGTTGATAGGGTTGTCTGGCTTGGTCAGCAATGGTCCTCACAGCTTGCCCTGAACACTGAAGAGCACCCACCTTCCACAATTAAGACATTAATGGGAGGCATAACGACATCCGGTGTCTTGGGGGGGCGAGCGAGGACGGGATTCTCAGCAATGTTGGGAAGTTGCTTGTCACTGCCAACGCGACGCGTCACGGTAGAAGACCGCTCCCTGCCTTGGGCGACAATAGGCTTTGCATCTGGGTGCGTGGGAAGAGTCTTGCGGCGAGCCGAAAGCGGGGATGGCAGCGCCATGGCTGCTTCAGTCTCAGCCGCGCGGGCTGAATCGTCCGTGGTGGCACTGGCTGTGGAGGTTGTGGAGATGGCGGACGTTCTGCGACTACCTTGCAGCGAGTCGGAAGGTGAAGTTGATGCCGTCAGGATGTCGTGTTCTGTCGAAGTCCTACGACTCGTAGCAGCTTGTTTACTGTGTGCACTTTCGCTGCGCTGCGAGAACGACAGGGAGCGCCCACTTGCGGGCGGCTCAAAGAACATTCCGAACGGGCGACCATCGGGACTTTGCATGATGACCCCAGAGGCTCCCGAAACTGACTTGCCGGTCGTCGAGCGTGCAAAGTACTCTGAGGCAGACGTTGACACGACCTCGGCTGGCGTCGAAGCCTTACGAATGACGACCTCGGCTGGACGTAATGGTGGGGAGATGACCGACGGCGGCACTTCGCTCAGAGGGGAGCGAGCCTTTTGTGGAGTCGGATCAGCATGTAGCATGTCAACCGAGTCGAAAAATCCCTCTTGAGGCACACCGGTGGGGGTGCGGTTGCCCGACGCAATCTGAGGCGATCGAGGGCTAGTGGCAATGGGCGAAAAGATGGGGTCAACGAATGGCTGCCTAACAGCAGTAAACAGTGTTGTGAGGAGTCGACGTGGACCAACGGGCTTAGGGACAACCATGACCTCTGCTGCAGATGAGGCACCCATGACGGAGACAACATCTCGCACTTGATGATACTTGTCGAGACTGGTGAAATGGATGATAACAGTTGCCGGTGACTGGCGAACACTTGCTGTAGATTTTGCGCTACGGAATAGCCCCGGTCGCTTCATGGACCGCTGTCGTACAGTTGCGGGTGGCGTATCAGGCTTGAGTCGCAGCAACTCGTGGCGGAGGACGGTAATATCCTCGTCAATAATGACAAACTTTGCCGCCGCTGGCACTTCGATGGTGTGGACGTTGCTATCCACAGGAATATGGGACACGTCCAATCCCCAAGCGGTCAGATAGCTGGTGAGGTGTCGAGCAAAGATGCTGGTGTGGCTGGCGTGAAGGTTGGTTTTGCATCCCCTAAGCGTTTCGGCAAACTCTGCAAGTCCGCTAAGGGTGGGCTCTTGGGGTAAAAGCATACCAGCAAATGGCTGTCGGGCTTCTTCTTGCTCAGGTGACAGAGGGGTCTGCTCTCCCACTGAGGCTCGAGGGAGGACGACTGAAAGTTCATACGCGTGGCGAGGGAGCCCAAACCCTGTGGGCGAGGAAGGAATGGTGTCCGTTTTGAGCCACGCATTCACCTGGCGTAACAGTCGATAGCACAGCTGTGTCTCGAGCTTGGGGGTGGCGGCCTCTTTTTCTTCCACAAGGCGTGTGAATGGATTCAACTCGGCCTTTGGTGTCACCGCGTTTGAGGTATCGAACACCTGCGCCACGTTGTGTACGATCTCGAAGACGCACAACAGCGGGCCATCCGCCGATGCAGACGATGTAGAAGAGGCATACCCAGGCGAGGACGGGCGAGGTGAAGCTCCGTGGACAAGGTTTCCTTCCAGATCCACGTTCGGGACGGAAACGCGACGCAGCATGGATGGGGACTGGGGTATCACCTGCAACCCGAGCTCAATAGTATCGCCCTTGCTGGCGACGGCCAGGATCTGGCGGATAACCTGTTTACCTGTCAGCTGGTCGCGTTCTCGTTCTCGTCAGGACACTTACATGGCTTAAGACATATCCTATTCCTTCGCGGTCACCAGTCATACTAATATGCTTCATGCCCACGTCACTGTGGAAGAGCACTAGCTCAACTTCCGCCTGTGCGGCCTCGCCACTTAGTTGATCTGCCACGTTTTGGAGAAGCTCGCCAATGTCAAAATCGTCAACCACACGTACGGCGCCAATTTGTCCTTCACATAACGGCACAAGGTTGGCGGACAGGTAGTTCAAGCCCCGTATCGATGTGAGCAAGGCGGAGACGGTGGTGGTGGGCATTGGTATGGCGCACCCTGCATACTGTTCCTTTGCATTGTCCAAGAGGTGTGGCGGGGATACGTAGAGGAGTGCCTGCATCGTCGCGTGTAACGAGTCCACAAGTTCGAGGGAAAGCGAATGCCATGGATCAAACTTGGCACCCTGCGGTGGTGGACGCAATTGAGGTAGATTGTTGCGACTAGCATTCCTAGTAGGTCGACTGAATGACATCGAGCCATCATCGGACGGAGGATAGACTCGTAGTTCATTCAGAGGCAAATCTCTTTGTAGAGAAGAAGTCTGCAGAGGTGGTAGCTGCCAGGGTTGACCAGCCTCAGTGGTGGTGGTAGGGGGCGGAGGGCGCGCGTCATTGTCATCGCCAGACGAACTCGAGCTTGAATGATGGGAAAACGGGTCCTCTGAAAACGAACGCGTGTTATCGAATGGGTCACGACCGCGCGAAGGGGGCGCAGACGTCAAGGACGGCCATGTGAAGATTGGGTTTGACGAGGACGACGTAGAAGTGGTGGACAGCTGCAGCCGGTCAGCTCTGATCCCATGTCGCTGCCGTAAGCAGTACACACCGGATGACCTTGGTCTGGGGCAACTAGATCTACCATGTCAGATGTTCTCCGAAAGATGTCTACTGTGCGGTCCTTGGGTGAGACCTGCAAGGGGGTCGGAGTCGTAGTCGGCCGCCCGCTGTCGGGGAAGGTGGACAGACTCGACACGTGTGGGCTGCCGGGCACAGATACGGGGTCTGCGACCACTGGAAGAGTGGGGTGGCCGGCGGCCATGGTGCTGGCGAGTCCAGAGCTATATGGTGGCCGTTGGTGAGAAGGGGACGGTCGACGGCGGGGTGGGGGGTATGGACAACTGCGTGGACGAGCAGTGCATCAGATGGTGATGATGAACACCGGAGCGTGGCCCCGGGTGGCCGAGCGGCGGGGACGGGGATGGGCGACGGAAGCAAAATGGGCGCCGCTGTCACCTGCCTATTTTTATATTCTATTGGCATTGAATTCATGAGAGCATGAGACTGGTGATACAAAATAGCAAACCTTGCGCCACAACTTGGGGGCAGGGAGGGGATGAGCGCGCTACTACGAGCGCAAGACTATTGGGGGATGATGGGGTTCAGAGATCAGCGAGTGATTCTACTGCTTGTGAAAGCTGATGATTTCGTCGTAAAGAAGACGCCTCAGCTCTTCCCGGCTGAGGTTGTCCTTCATGAGATCAAACTCAAAAAACGATGAGTCCAGAGGTTTGGCAGTAGGCTCGTCATCAGGGTCGTGGTAAGCGTCCAGATAGGGGTGCTCAAGACACTGCTCCACAGTGAAGCGCTTGCGGGGATCAACTGTTGTTGTGAGCTAATGGTTACGGCGGCGGGCAGCTGCTGTGCACAACTCACAGGTCAAAGTCCTCGTCAAGAAGTCGACAGCCAGAGGGTTTGCCCTGGGGAAGAGCGACGCAAACGATCTCCGTGGGCGGAAGGCCATGGCCCGAATGTAGTCTCGCGAGCGGCGCGACGTGATGGCGTAGAACTCGTCCGTCTTTGGGGTGCCAAGAACGTCCATGATCAGAGACAGCTGGTGGTGGCTTTGGCCAGTCAGTAGCTGGAAGCATGCGCAGCGGTTTAACTCACTAGTCTTTACCAGGAAACAGGGGCTTTCCATTGAGCATTTCTGCCAGAATACAGCCGATGGACCAGACGTCAATGGACTGGGCTTGGTCAGTCTATGTAACTGCCAACTAGCTCCCGTGCTTACCTTGCTGTACATGCGGAACGAAAGCATGACCTCTGGTGCACGGTACCAGCGAGTGGCCACGTACTCGGTCATGAGGCCTTGCTCGTTGTTGTTCGGGTGTGCTGTTTGGGTACTGCGAGCGAGGCCAAAGTCGCAGACCTTGAGATCGCAATTGGCGTTCAGGAGAAGGTTGGATGGCTTGAGGTCACGGTGAATAACTGGGCTGTCAGGTGGTGACCGGAACCTGCCGTCCGCACAACGTACTCTCAGCAGAATGGAGGGCCTTGAGAGCACGACACGCCTGGTAGATAAAGTACTGGCAATGATCATCACTGAGGTCTTGAGTGCGAATAACCTTGTGCAGGTCCGTCTCGAGGAGCTCCTGGACCAGGTAGACTGTCCCATCAGCTGGAGCCTCTTCTGGGTATTGCAGTTTGCTCACCTTCCTTGAATTGCTCATATGATGGAGGCTTGACAATGTCAAGGACGGTAATAATGTTCTCACTGACACCCTCGTCGGCAAAGTACTTTAGCAGCTTCAGTTCACGGAGGGTGCGGAGGGCGAACATGGAGTGATCGAACGGGGCGATGCGTTTGATGGCAACCTTGGTGCCAGACGCAATGTGTGTGGCCGAGGCGACGACACCATATGCGCCTTCTCCCACAAAGTCGCCGACCAAGTAGGCATTACCTGCCGCTGTCAGTTGCCGTTATCCATTGATGGCAGCGCGGACTCACCACATTCAAACCGAGCTCGACGAGCGTGAGTGGTGCTCGAGCCACGAGTCGACTTGTCCTGAACTCCGGCGTTGGCTGCGGCCATGGCAGCCTGTGCTGCGGCAGCGCGCTGGGGATCAGCCTGTCGGCGAGTCGCAGTGGACATTGTGGTGGTGAGGGCAGGCAGTTGGGGTAAGGACAAAGGAAGACGAGGGTATGACGGTGTGGGGCACGCTTATATAGAGATAGCGACAGAGGCGATGATGAGGACCGTGAGCGAGGAACGAGCTCCGAGGACAGCGGGCGTTGAGTGACCGACGTTTGCGTGCAAACGTGTTGGTCGAAGGGGCGGGGGGTACCTGTCGTAGACACCAGACAAGAGGAGGCGGAAAGTCGAGAAAGAACAAGGGGGATGACTTCTTGGACGGACTGTGTTGAGAGTCGGAGAGATGGTGAGTGGTCCGGCCTCGCCCCCAGCATGTGTCGTCGGTCTCTCTCGCTCGTCTCTCGTCTCTGGATCTCTGTGCTGCGGGCACCGCGCACCGCCGCGCGTGCGCGGGCGCGCACCGTGTCTCGCGTTTCGAGTCTCCTGCTCCAGTTCTTTGTGCTGGGCGGGGGGCTGCAAGCCTGCAAGCGAAGCGCAAGGCGGCGTTGGCAGGGACAAAGGGGGAACGGTCGACCGACAGATGGTGGTCCGAGGCCCGTGCACACAGGAGACGCGCCGGGGGGTGTTACTTGCTTCGAGACAAAAGGGGCCACGACGACGGTCAAGACGCGCAAGGCGCGCAAGATGGCCATGATGGCGGCGGCGACGACGGGCCCAAACGCACGCCGCGCGCGCGCACATATAACGGCCCCCAGCTCCCAGGTGTATTTGCGACATCTGACGAGTGGCGTCCAACTCGGCGCAGCAACACTGTACTCACCCTGGCGGGCTGGCTGGGGTCACAGCGGGGTGTGTGCAGCGGCCAGCAATTGCCAGCAAGCCAGCTGGCCAGCTGCCAAACAGTCACGTTTCAGCGCTGTAAGAAGCAGATAGAGTAGTGAGTGTATCGACACACAAGAGATTGAGAGACGGGAATTGACATTACTTCTGGTGCGTCGGGGTCTCCATCTCTCAAGTGTGCCCAGCGGCCAGCGGTGCAGCGGTGGCTCTCAGGGACACTCAAACAACAACACCACCGCAGGCCACAGAACGTCACGTGATGTGCTCGATCTGCTTGATGTGCTCCATCCCTACGCTGCTCGGTGGATCGGTGGCTAGCCAGCGCGTGCGTGCAGCGCAGTCAGTACTAAGTAGAGTGCTGCTTGTGCGAGACTTCAGTGATCCTTTTATACCGGCGGCAAATCCTGCCGATCACACGGGTGGTTGCTGGCTGTGCCCGGCGGCCAGCGTCATCTGTCGAGGGATTTGGGGCAACGGTAACTTTGGATATTTATTGCACACAGTACACAGTAGTAGTGCCTAGCAACAGCGGCAGCAACAGTACCAGCAAGCATGTTGAGACCTGTCCCAGCTTGGCCAGCTTGCTCGCATGCACGCGCACACTCAATTATCTCGAGCCCCTGAGGCCAGAGGCCAGAGGCCTTATGTACGTAGCAGGCGTAGCACTCTTGCTTTTGCCCATCGGGCCGTGGCGGCCATGACCGAGACGGGCGGATCCGATGGCCCAGAGCGCCAGAGCGTTTCGCCAGAGATGGCCAGATAAGTGAGTAAGCCAGAATCAGCTCTCGCCTCCGGCCGGGGCTCTCTTATATCACCACCCTTCCGTTGATTGCATTCCGTTCTCTCCCACTTCCCACATTTCTCCTCTCTCAACATCTGTCACACCATTTATACTTTTGGCCACCTTCAACATGGATGTCTCCCCGTCCGTCCCAGTGGCGCAGCCCCGCCGCTTGGCTGAGCTTCCGCTTGCCAAGGACATGAGCCACCACATCAACCGCCTCACCAAGAACCGTCAGGCAAACAGCCTGAAGGAAATGTACAAGTATGCGTCGTTGCCGGGTATGGTGTCGATGGCCGGTGGTAAGTCAGAAAGGGATTGCAGCACACTGGTGCTCGACATGGCAGAGATGTAATGTACTTGCTGACACAATCCAGGCATCCCGTCACCTGCTTACTTCCCCTTTGAGACCTTATCGGCCACTATCCTTCCATACGACCACCTCCCCCTCGACCCCCCTCGAGTCCCAGGCAAGGAGAAGAAGTCGCTTCTGTCGTGGCTCTTTGGTGGGGCCAACATTTCGTTTACGATCCCCAAGTATGCCGAAGACCCAAAGGATCCCATGGCCATCTCCCTTGCCACCTCGCTTCAGTATCAAGCCGCTACCGGGCCTCCTGCATTCCCAAAGTTCCTTCGTCGATACGTCGAGGAAATCTACAAGCCCGCGTATGCCGACTGGGATGTCATTCTCGACGTAGGCGCGACCGACGGCTTTGCCAAGGTCTTCAACATGCTCTTGGAACTCGGTGACAGTCTTCTCGTGGAAGAGTGGACGTACCCTGGCGCAATGAACGCCTACATGCCCTACGAGGTCAATACCGTTGCTCTCAAGATGGACGCTGAAGGCGTGATTCCCGAGTATATGGAGAACGTGCTGGCCAACTGGGACGACTCAAAGGGGAGGCGTCCTCGTGTCTTTTACACCGTCCCCACGGGTCAGAACCCTACGGGCGCGACCATGCTTGGAGACCGTAAGAAGGCCATTTACGCTATTGCGTCCAAGCACGACGTCGTTATCGTTGAAGATGAGCCCTATTACACCCTGTTCTTGGGCAAGTATCAGCAGCAGGGCACAAATGCGACACCCCTGCAGCAGCGTCAGATCGAGTTGGAGAAGCAGGAAGGCAAGGAAGGCAATGCGGCGTTCATCGAGTCCTTGCCTCCTACCTACCTTACTGTGGACACTGAAGGCCGTGTCATTCGCCTCGACACATTCTCCAAGACCTCGTGCCCTGGATCGCGCCTGGGCTGGATCACATCTTCGCCAATCTTTGTCGAGCGCCTGACACGCATCGCAGAGGCCAGCACCCAGGCTCCTAGTGGCTTTGCAACTGCAATGACCATTACCATGCTCAACACTTGGGGCTGGGATGGGTACATGCGCTGGCTACGTGGTATCAAGGCGGCATACAAGATGCGCCGTGACTGGATGTGCGATGCGCTGGCCGACCAGTTCCACCTCGAGTTTGATGACGGTGCTCTGAACCCACTGGTTCGCGACACGGCTGGTCTCGGTCGCGGTTTCACTGCCTATGCCAAGCACCCTACTGGCAGCGCCGAGGCAAAATGGGATGAGAAGCGCGGCGTCGTGTCCAGCCGCGGCACCCCTCTCTGCTCGTTCATCCCGCCGACGGCAGGCATGTTCATCTTCCTGGCCGTCCATCTCGACCAGCACCCCGACTACCACCTTTTGGGCAACGACGCCGACGATGTACTCATGGGCAAGCTCTGGCGTGAGCTCGCGGAACACCTTGTCCTTTTTGCACCAGGCATCGGCTTCGACTCGAAGGGTCCGCACAACATTGGAGGGAAGGGTGTGGGCTACTTCCGCATCTCGTACTCTATCATCACGTACGAGGAGTCTCGCTCGGCGACGGCGACGTTTGCAAAGGTCCTGACCAAGTTTTTGCGCGCATAAATCGAGACAGGTCTTCCATATATATCTATGCGTCGTTGCAAAGTGTAGGGGCGAGCGGAACGGTTAGAAGGAGGGTTACAGGTTGTTACAGAAGGTCCCCGTGTTGTGAATGGATGAACAGGTGCATATCAAAGCTCCAACAGGAAGATGTCGTCTGTCTGCTGGTCCTTGCCCAACCAGAAGTCGTGGCTGCCCACCATTTTGAAGCCGATCTTCTCGTAGAAGCGACGTGCGCGATAGTTGTGTTCCCAGACGCCGAGCCAGATGTACTTGTAGCCTTGCTTGCGGGCAACGCTGAGCGTCTCGTCGAGCAGGGCACGTGCCACCCCCCGTCCGTGAAAGTTGATGTCGGCATAGACACGCTGCAGCTCGACACGCTCCGGCGCGGGAATGTGTTCAAGGCAAGGCTCATGAGTGCCGGTTGTGAGAGCGGCAAAGGCAGCGACCTGATCGCCAATGCTCGCAACGGAGAATGTCTTGCGCTCGTCGCGCAGCTCGGCTGAGATAACATCAGGCGTAAAGTTTGTATTGAGGTAGTCATTCATATCGTCCGCGCTGCATGTGTGCGCGAACGTTGCTTCAAAGACACGCCAACCGATGTCAGCGATCACCTTGGCGTCCTTGTCCTTTGCTTGGCGAACAACGACAGGGAGCTCGCCTTCCGGGGGACTGGAGGTGCGGGACGGCGCCTCGGATGGCCCGAGGTTGGTCTGAGCCATGGAGGCATTGGGTGCTGCTGTCGACGTCAACATCATACGGGCATGGTAGACTCACTGTTCATGTCCTGTGATGGAATGGCGGAATGGACGGTGCTAAGATCTGCTAAGCGAGTACTCGCTCGAGTCGAGTGGATAAATGTTGCTCCTCACGTGCCTGATGACGCGCGCAGGAGCTGAGGGTAGTCGGATTTGCCCGGGCGACTTGATCCTCTCTCTGGCCTCCAGTACTGCCGTTTAGTTTCTTTGCGGTGAGTAGCCAACTGTCATGTATACAGAGGGCGTCAGGAAGTACTGAAGAGATGTCGTCGCAAAGGGCGGTGAAAACAGCTCTCTTTTGCACTCTTTGGACCCACTGGCCATGTGGTTTGTAACCAAGTAGGATGCAATGATACATGTCTAATGCCTCTACGAAATGAAACGTGCTCCGCTTTGCGGGTAACCACAGTGCCCGGACGATCCCAGCTAGCTCCTTCCAGCGCGACGCTTCTCGCGCTTCTTCTCGCGCTCCATCTCCTTCTCCTCGGCGCGCTCCACATTGAGTGATCCCATGACCTTGCGCATCTTGGAGTTGTACTCGTCGTCCTTGGCACGCTGCTCGCGCGCCTTCTCGCCAGCAAGGAAACGGTTGTCCTTGCGAAGCTCGCGGATAGCACCCTTGCGCTCCTTCTTGTACTCGGCGCGAAGCTTGTTCGCCTGGTTGCGCTCCACGTCGGGGTCGTAGTGCTTGCCGGGAGCAAAGTCGTCCTCGAACTTGGGAGCATACGAGGCAATGGGGATGGGCTTGTGGTCCTGGAGTGTGAGGGGGGTGCGAGCGTCGCGGGCGAAGCCAAGCTGGCGCGAAAGGCTCGAAGTGCTTTGAGTGAAGACGTTCTTGAGCTCGGGGGCAAATTTGGCCAAGCGAGAGCCCTCGAGAACCGCCAAGATGGGGGTGAAGAGCTCAATGAACGCCGCGGTCGATGCGTATAAAGTGGCAAACGATGAGATGAGCTGAAGAGCAGCGGCCAACAGGTCCGCCTTGTTCTGCTCTTCGTCCGATTCGTTCAACGCAGAGACGAGGTCGGCAGGCTGCTGAGGGGAGACGCTCGTTGTCATTTGGATATCACAGCTGATAACGTCGGGATACGCAGTGACAGGTGCGGCGTCCTTGCGGCGCTTGACCAGCGAGAGGACCGACGTTGCAATAAAGTTGACGGCCTCGGGGACCAGGCGCTTCGACATTGACTCATACTGGGCAATGATGGAGCACAGGAAGAGGCCCGACGCAATGTCGGAAATACCACGGATACGACTCTGTGACAGGTACTGGCCGATAAGCAGCACTGCAGGCTGAACAACTGGGTGCGAAAAGTCACTAGTCGACCAGGTCGCGCCGACGAGGCGAAGAATGACAAGTTCTGGGGCGCCAGGAAGCGTCTTCGAGTCGGGGTTGCTTGGCCCGTGAGCGATTCCGCGTTGAAGGTTTTTCTGCATCAAGGAGAGCTTGGCGACATAGTGTGAGGCTGCGGTCAAAGGGTTGAGCTTGACAAGAGCCACGAGGTGAGGGCCCAGAGCGGAAATGATGCCAAAGTCCGGTGTGTCCTGGGACGCCAAGATGAGAATGTAGTCGAGCAGAACACCGAGGAACTCTTGAAGCTTCTCCTTGTTGCCCTGGGCGAGACTCGGGTGGTGCAGTGCGCGAATACGCTGAACAACAGTGGGAAGAGCCTTGTCGTCGAGGCCCTCGAGAAGGTCCTCAAACTCCTCGACCGTTGCCGGGCAGGTGAAAGTGTAAGGAATCTCCTTGGTGGCAGCCTTGGCCTTGGACGACTTGGCCCTGGCCTTGCCCTTGACAAGGCGGGCGACAGGCTCCTCGTCGTCATTGCCCTCGACGTCAGAGTCGAGGTCTTCCATGGCCGACATCTCATCGTCCTCATCGTCCTCATCGCTGTCGTCATCCTCGCTGTCCCCGTCCTCCTCATCGCCATCATCGTCGTCCTCGTCCTCATCGTCACTCTCGTCAACGTCCATGGTCTCAATTGCCTCGCGGGTAAGACCAGGACCAAGAAGGGAGATGCCTCCATCCTCGTCCACATCGCCAGCAAAGTCGTCGTCGAGGTCGTCGGCGTCAGGGGCGCGATCCGCCTTGCGTTTCTTCCGTCCGCCATCTTCCTCATCCTCCGAGTCCTCACCACGCATGCGACGCAGGCGCTTAGCCTCGGCTTCCTCAAGGCGCTCCTTCTCATCGGCGGCGATCTCCTCTTCCGTTTTGGTGCGGTCCTTGGGCTTGGCGCGGGCTTCGTATGCCAGAGCACGAACAAACTGGTCATAGTCTTTGTCGTCATTCTGGCCTGGGAGAGGGACCGCTGTTCTTGAGGGGCCGGGAAGTTGCACCTTAGGGCGAACAGGAACTGCGCCACCAAGCAGCTCGCGCAGCTCGTCAAGTCCCTCGTCAAGCTGCTCGCGCATGTTGGTGTCCATTTCCTTCTGTTGTTGCCTCTCGAGCTGCCAGTCAGCGTTTACCGCACAAACAACAACTTGCCTTGTGCTCCTTGCTCTTGGCAATAATCTCGTCGTAAATTTCCTGCTTGGTCTTCTTGCGCTCGGGCTGTGAATGTTAGCTTGATCCAAACCTATTCAACTCACCTCGTCCTCGTCCTCGTCCTCGTCGTTGGCAAAGCCTCCAAAGTGCTCGCGGTGAACCTGGCGGCGACCGATCAAACCACGGTCCTCCTCGTCGTCCTCTCCCAGGCCTTGAGCGTCAAAGTCGTCGCCGGGGAGATCCATGACACTGCGACCGCCGTGCGTAAGACCGCCAAGAGCAAAGCCGTCCTCGTCGTCGTCGCCAAACGCGTCATCGTCATCGAGGTTGAAGGCGCCTTTCTTGCCCTGGCCCTTCTGCCGTTCACGGGTGTAACGCTCGAGCATACGGTCTTCGAGCGACATTGTAGCGTCATTTTCACCAAAACGACGATCACGGAACGTTCCCGTGTGGTCGCGGAGGTGGTGCTCCTCAAGGAGGGTCTTGCGACGCTGCTCGAGACCGGCCTGGCGAGCCGCCGCAGGGCGACCAGTGACGCCCTTCAACTTGCGACCCCCAACATCGTGCTTGGTCTAGTTTATTAGCTGCAGTCCATCCATAGTGTCCGTTTCCTCACCTTGGTCTCGCGCTCGTCAAACGAGTTGAACTTGGCGCGGATCTCGTCGAGCTTGGCAGCCTTCTTCGCGCGGTCAACATCTTGCGACCTCCCCTTTTTCCCCTTGCGATCCTTTTTGGAGGCCGATTTGCGGTTCAGACCAGCTGTGTTGAGCGCAGCCTTAAGCTGCGACAGCTGTGACGGGGCCATGGTTATTGGTAGGTTTGTGTACACAAAGAGAGCAGAGCTTGAAGCATGGTGCCGCGAAGTTGAACTTTTGGGTCCACCGAAAATCCACCGCATCGCTGATACGGAGATGCAGAGAGAACTCCGGAAAAGAGGCCGCTCGCCACTGCCGCCAGAGAGAGTGTGGTGCGCGTCATTGCTGAGTGACAATGTGTTGACATAACAACTCTCGACATTCAATCCTCCCTCTACCGGCTACAGTCCATGGACGATAACTGTTGCCAACATGCAAGGGGAACCATCTAGAGATAAAGATCTCTCATTCGCAAAGCTCAGCGACCTTGGACTGCATGTCGCAATCAAAATGTGAGAGAAACCCATGCCCTTCGTCGAACCTGTCCTCACCATTGTGCCCCAGCGTCTCCCTCGAAGGAAAGATCCCAAAACGAACGTATACTCAGCTACTGGAGAATGAAGATCTCAGGCATTCGGGGGTTGATAAGGAGTGAGAGTTCTTTCCGTCGGTCAGATACTGACAATGCAGAGGATTGGCCGACCTGTATGTCACCTGTCAACTGTGGACCGATGGCAAGGCCGAGACTCTTCCCTTCAGAACAGCGTGGAAGGACTTTGCGAGGTCATACATGTGAGAGGGAATTAATTAATACAACGGTGCTGACTTGTAGATGGAACCAGTCAATCGTACTGCCTATAACGTACCCAAGCTTGCTACCCAACTCCCAGCTGGCATTCACAATCTGGGATGTTCAAGGCGCAGGCAAGAACGTCCCAGTTGGCGGTACCACAATGAGCCTGTTTAGCTCTGACCGGTGCAGTTCACCTAATATGTGCTAAGCTTACCATTTCCAGGACTCTGCGCCGTGGCCAGCAGCGCCTATATGTTCATCGCGGTGTGGAAGCCGATCCCAAGCCAGAGTCCACGACGCCTTGCGAGATGCCGATGGCCGAGGACGAGACCGGGCGGTTAGAGCAATTGGTCAAGGAGTACGAGCGTGGGGACATTGTCAAGATTGACTGGCTCGACCGGATAGCCTTCCGTCAGATTGAACGAGCTCATGCGGTAGGCTGACATGGGAACGACGATTTACTGACCCGACAGGCTGAAGCGAACAAATCGCAGCACTTGTTCCTATACATCGACCTCCCTCACTTTGACTTTCCGGTAGTCTTCTCGGAGCACGAGAGTCCGATTCCCAATCCCCCTCAACCAGTCGCGCATCCCCCACAGGCGCAGCAACATACTCCTTCTTTGCCGCCCCACTTCCTCACCACCGACAAGAACCTCTGGAAACTGTATGATCCTGACTCGTGGCGTGAGAATCCCGTGGAGATCAAGCACCGTAAACTTCTACGTAGCCAGCGTCTAGGGGACGAGGGCAGGGACCTCAAGCCTAGCCCTGCAGACCGTGACAGGTTGAACGTGAGCACCACGACGGAAGTTATGCGCCATGCTGATAATTTAGGAAATATTTAGTTTGCCGCCCACAGCGTCGCTGTCTGCCAACGACAAGGACCTCTTGTGGAAGTTTCGCTTTTCGCTCTTCCGCTCCCCTCGATCGCTCACAAAGTTCCTCAAATGTGTAACTTGGTCTGATCCGGTTGAAGCAAAGCAGGCCACCGAGAAGCTACTCCCCCTGTGGGGACAGGATGTCGGTATGGACGACGCTTTGGAACTTCTTGGCCCGGGATTCACCGACCGGCGTGTACGCGCATTTGCAGTGGAACGGTTGAAGCGGGCAGACGATGACGTGAGCTCTTGGCAAGTGGAATTGAGCTAATGACAAGGAAATTCTCCTATATCTGCTACAACTCGTTCAAGCGCTCAAGTTTGAGCATGAACCTATCCCATCCACACGTTCACACCGTCGTCGCGAGGTAGCACCTAGCCATGAGGCCGAAGAGAGTGGGCTAGCTCAATTCCTTATCGACCGCGCGGTTACCAACCCGGAGTTTGGTACCACCTTCCACTGGTACTTGATGATCGAGTGTGACACACGCACCCCCACGGGTAAAATGTTCACCAAGGTGGCATTCCGTTTCATGACCAAGCTGCTGGAAACATCAGCGGGTGTTGCGCAAAGGGATGTCTTGCGTCGCCAGGGCGAGTTGGTCGAGTCGCTATCAGCACGTGCCAAGGACATTCGGGGCTCCAAGGACTCGAGGTCTCGAAAGATTGACAAACTTCAAGCGTACATTGCCGACGCTCGCAATGGTCTTTGCCCCCTCCCTGCTCCTCTGCCGCTTCCCCTGAACCCCCGAGTATCAGTCACTTCCGTTGCCGCCGACCGGTCGTCCATCTTCAAATCTAACTTGCTACCCCTTCTCGTTTGGTTCGAAACTGGAGACCAGGTGATACCGGCGGACGAGGAGGACGAGGATGCCGATACAGATAGCCTGTCGCCAGACTACCCGGTCATCTTCAAGAATGGTGATGATTTGCGCCAAGACCAGCTGGTCATTCAGCTGTTCAATCTCATGGATCGTCTCTTGCGCAAGGAAAATCTCGACCTGCGTCTCAGCCCATACTCGGTCCTGGCAACAGCGACCAGCGAAGGCATGATTCAGTTCGTTCCGAGTAAGAGTTTGGCCGCCATCATGTCCGAGTATGGCAGTCTGCAAAACTATTTGCGGGAGGGTCATTCCGACGACGGTGCTCTCGGCACTTACGGCATCGAGGCCGGGGTGATGGACACTTTTATTCGCAGCTGCGGTGTGTAAACCGTCTACGGATAGCATCTGCTAACATTCAGCCGGTTACTCTGTTTTGACGTATGTCCTGGGCGTTGGCGATCGCCACTTGGATAACCTGATGCTGTCGCCAGATGGTAAGGGCAAGAAGGTCGGCATCTTGCTAACTGGCAGGTCACTTTTTCCATGTCGACTTTGGCTATATTCTCGGCCGTGATCCCAAGCCATACCCGCCCCCTGTCAAAGTGTGCAAAGAGATGGTGGACGCCATGGGAGGCACAGGCTCGACCCACTACGCCCGCTTCACGGCTCTTTGCTACACGGCATTCATCGGTCTACGCAAAAACTCCAACCTGATTCTCAATCTTGTGGCTCTCATGGTGGACGCCGGTATTCAGGACATCCAGCTTGAGCCAGACAAAGCTGTGTGGAAGGTGAGATATTACCTCCAAACTGGCCACTGACATGGCCAGGTCCAAGAGAAGTTTATGCTCGACCTATCGGAAGAAGACGCGATTAAACAGTTCGAGGTGCTGCTCAGTGAAACGTCCTACCTCACTGCTGTGTTTGATCGCATTCACGATTGGTATGTACCTGGACCCCATATGATGTCTCCAGCGAGGTTGCTAACCAAGTCCCTTAGGGCTCAATATCTACGTGACTGAGAAGGGTGACACGCTTATCATGGCCTGCGAGGCACCTTGCCCTGGTCCATGTGGTCTGTTGGAGCAGTGCCAGAGAATACCCTGCATCGGTAGGACATTTTTACTATTGCTCTGCCATGTTGTACTTGCAGTTCATTAATTTGGTCAAGCGCAATAGTCGCAGCAGGCTCCCGGGACGGCAGTGATCAGTGAACACACCAGAGGCCAGAGGACCGTGCGAAAAGCCATGGCACCCATGACGCCGGCCACGCCAGCCCAAACGCCAAGGTCATTCACGGCCCGAGACGGTTGCAGAAACGGGCCGACTGACCGGACGTGCCGGCGGGGCCCGTCAAGTGGCAAAGTGGCTTTGGCTTCCTATATCTGGGTCTGTGCCCGGACCGCTTTGGTGACGAGCCACAGGAGGGTGTAGGTCTTGAAAGGCAGACTCGCAATCAGAATTTGTCGGCCCATAGAATGCGCTTTGGACGGGATGGTTGGGCGCTGGCGCGCTGGACAGGCCCCGCCTCATTTGAGTCGGTGGCGTGCCGGCTGACCGACCCCCCCTGGGGGCCGACCGACCCGGGGTGTGTGCGCGTCGGCAGAAGATGGGAGGTCGAGGGGGGAATGCGCGCGTGCCAGGAAATGCAGGACATGCAGGCGAGCCGAATGGCATGCGCGCATTAATGATGGAGACAATGGCGACAAAAAGTTGAGGGGACGAAAGTGAGACCGGTAGGTGGGCACGGATCCACAAACCCCCGGGGGGGCAAAAGTGAGAGGCATGAGAGGGATGAGGCCATGGAGGCATGGGTCAAACGAAGGGCCGACTGAGGATGCCGAGCACGAGTGCCGCAGCAGGCCCAGCAGGCAACAGGCAGCAGGCAGCAGGCACGCTGGCACGCTGGCGACCGACGAGGGGTCCCCAGAGCCCATTTGGCCCATTTCTTGCATGACCACGCGGGGAAGAGAGGCGGGGTGTGGGTGGGGGCAGAGCGCCGGCTGGGCAGCAGCCTGCAGCTGGCCAGCTGGCAGGCAGATGGCTGCAGATGGACAGCGGCATGGCGGCGACGAGTCCGGGAGCATCGAGGAGCGGAACGCGGAACAGCCGGCGCAGAGAGGGAGAGAGGGAGAGGAGAGAGAGAGAGGACGTCGAGAGTCAGAGAGACACAGGGAGGACACGAGGTCCACCCACCCTCCCACCCACCCACACCCCCACACGGCCACACACATAATGCAAGACTGGTCAGTCTCTTTGTCCCCGATGTTGGCTCATTGACTCGTCTCATCATCCATTCACCCTTGTCCGCCGCCGGCCGTCTGGGCAGGCAGTTTACACTTTAGTTCTCGTTTTCTCGCTTCAACCGTCGTCGTCAACGCCCCCTTGGACGACCATCCGTATTCTTCTCTTCACGCACCTCTTTTCTTCGTGCATTGCAGCCCGCCGCCATCCTACCATCCTACCATCCTTCTGCACCTCTACCCTCTACCCTCTACCCTCTACCCTCTACCCCCCTCCCCTTTCGCCTGCTTTCCCGCGGCAACTCCATGGGCGAGCTCTCTCCCGTCGCAGGCCACCTTCGTAGGGCGGGAGTAATCCATCAGCCAGGCCAGGCGACGGCCTCGTCTTCCGTGCTCGCAACTTCGCCGCCGCCGCGCATCCTACCAATCCTCCCTCTGGACCCCTTGGCAAGCGACATCCCGCTCCCCTTTGACAGTTCATCATCATCCAACAAACGACGCAGGTCCGCACCCTACCCTATTCCTCCTTCCTCAGCCGCACGGCCTCCACTTCCTCCGCGAGCCACCTCGTCCACAATGAACAACAACCTCCTCGCGAGTCCCGGGTCGATGGACGAAGAGCTAGACTCGACTGAACGCAAAAAGCCTCGCTCTGGCAGCAGCGGGTCCCAGCAAGTCCTGACGAGTGAGTCTGCCATAGCGTGTACCGTCGCGACAACTACTGATCCATCCAAGGCTGCGAAGCGTGTCGCAAGGGCAAGTAAGTGCCTCTGTTGTTGTTTGTTGGCGAGAAAACGTGTACTGATCCGTCACAGGCGTCGGTGCGAGCCCTCCCCGCTGGTACCACCTGACCACCCCGACGTTGCCAAGCTCCCATGCGCTCGTTGTCGCCGCTTTGCACTCGAGTGTGTCCGCATGCGTGTCGTGCGCCGCAAGGGACCAGCCCCGGTGTAAGTCCAACATACCCATGGCGTTCAAAGCTAACGGATGTAGCGATCTGAGCGCCATCTCTGACGCCGCCCACGGATACACCCTGCCGCCGCCGCCGCCGACGGCGGTGGAGTCGATGGACACGGCGCGGTCAATCCCAACCACAACGTCAGGATCCGGTGGCGGACTCGCTTTTGATGCCAACGCACCGTAAGTATCCCACCTCCCAGTGGCCAGTGACGTGCGGCGGTGGAGGCGTTCACATAACCGGCGCAGTCACCTCATTCTCAAAGGACGGTGGGGGCCATATGCTAACACACCACATAGTGTCCTTACTTCGCCCTCCTTCCCCCTTCTGGCGGGCAGCCCCAATGTGGACATGTCCGCCATCCCCGTCAGCCTCGACCAGGTCGTGTCCCCTACCGTTGTGGACCAGATCATCCAGCTGTTCTTTGACTATGTCTACCCCCTTACGCCCTGCCTGCACAGGCCAACCTTTCTTGCCGATCTAGCAGCACGCCGTGACAAGACGGATCCGATCTTCTTTTCTCTTGTTCTAGTCGTGCTGGCCTCGACTCTGGTGCAGGTCCCTCGCGTTCTTGTCAACCTCGACAAGCAAGAAGTGGAGGCGCTCGCGCGGCGCTGCGTACGCGTAGCGAGGACTAAGGTCGCGTTTATCTGGGAAGACCCAGTGCCGGTTCGGGCCGAGTTTGGTGAGCCGACATACTTGGTCGGTCCTTTACTGACCTGCTACAGTTGTCATCTTCTACCTCGAGGGCATTGTTCACCTACTCTTGGGCAACAACACTGCGCATGTGATTGTCACATCACAGGCCAACCAGTGCGCACTCGCCATGCGCCTCAATGAAGAATCTAGTTACGAAGGCCTCAACCCCATCGAGTCGGAGATACGTCGCAGGATCTACTGGCTCTTGTTCCAGGCGGACAAGAGTTCGGCGTGTATGCGGGCCCGTACCATCTGTTTGCGTCTCGAGGACGCCCCAGGTCTCTGTCTGCCGACCGAGGTCGACGATGAGCAGATTACTTCTAACGGCATTTTACCGCAGCCGATTGGCATGACCCCGGTCATTGCCGGCTTCAACATTGTTACCAACCTTTTCCGCATCCTCAACGATGCCCTTCTTCTTCAACGGCGCAAGGCGGCTCCCTCCGTCGACAGCATTCTCGCCGACCTGCAAAATGTCAACCAGCTCCGTGAGCGTGTGTTGAATTCCACTGCGGATGTATCCAGTCCGCTGCGGATCCGTTCAGCCTACGACTCCCGCGCCGCAAGGTAAGTTGTCCTGTGTATCCTGACTGCGCTGACCGCAGTCCGGCGCAAGGATGGGAGGCCAACCTCAAAGGCCGCTTTATGGATTTCTTCACGGGCGCAGTGGAGACGCAACACATTAACAGCTTCCTCGTCATGCAAGGCAACATTCTCGTCACTCAGCAAGTCGTACGCCTCGTGCTCCTCCAAACGCGCGAGGCTCTCCTTCTGCAGTTGTCCGCCTTGACGCACATGCCTATGCAGGGTGTCGGCGGTCTGGCAGGTGTGCAGAACAACGAAGTGGCGGAAGACATTGCATGTGACCTCCTCGATGGATTGAACAGTCTCCCCGAGGAGTGTGTCGCGACCAACGGCCCTTCCCTCGTCCAGAAAGTTCGCTTTGTCGCAATTCAGTTGATGGAATGCTCGACTCAAACTTCGCCTCAAGCCATCCGAGCGTGAGTGACAGGCTTTCGAAGGAGCTGTGCTAAACCCTCTCAGTCAAACACTGCTCATGCAATTCCTCTCTGTCCTTTCGGTTATCGAGGGCATGTATACCTTCGGCCGGGACGTCAGCGCAGAGTAACGTGATCGTTAATGCTTCTTGTGTTTCCCCCCCTCCATCCCCCCCCCCCCTTTTCCCCCTTGCTCTCTCCCTCTCTCTCCCTCCTCTCTCTCTCTAGTTCCGGTCTCCACGATGGGTCCCAGTGACTCCCCCTGATCATACTCTCTATCATTCTATGTTTTTTTTTTTTCGTGTTTGGTCCCTTGGTGCGCTACATCGCGCAAGTTGTAGTGGTTCCACACAAATGTGTCTCGCATATGCATAGGCTCTACTGTTTATTTACACCCATGCCACTGACCTACAACCCGTTCCATTCGTTACGTCCCTTGACCTCAAACTCGTACACGAGTTGCTCGTCCGCAAGTGCATTGTCACTAAGGAAAGCTTTCCAGCTGCCCGACTCCACCGACCAGCAATGGAAAAGGTCATCCCAGTGCGAAAGCTCGCGACGAGTAATCTTGACTGTGACCTGTTGGCTGGCACCTGGTGCCAGCATGTCCGTGGTGGCGATGCCTCCGAGGTGGCGTACAGGGTGAGCAATGGGAGCTGGAGGAGAAGAGAGGTACAGCTGCGCCGAGGTGGTTCCCGCCACTCCGCCAGTGTTGGTGATGGTAAATGTGAAGTCGAGGTTGAGGCCATCACGCTTAACGTCCATGGCACTGTACTTGAACGAAGAGTACGAAAGACCGTGGCCGAATGCGAAAAGTGGGGTAATCTTGCGTTCAAGGAACCACTTGTACCCGACTGCGAGGTCCTCGGTATACAGAACCTTACCGTTGGCGGAGCAGAAGTTGCCGTGAGCCGCAATGTCCTCTTCACGCACAGGGAAGGTGAGGGGTAGGCGACCCGAAGGGTTGACCTTTCCAAAGATAACGTCGGCAAGAGCGGCACCAGCGGCGTTGCCGCCGTACCACGCCTGGACAATCGCGGCCACGTCGTCGACCCACGGCATGCTCACGCATGAGCCGGTCTGAACGGCCACAATCGTGCGTGGGTTGGCGGCGGCGACCTTGGCCACAAGCTCGTTGGTGCGCATGGGCAACGAGAGGTCTGGGCGGTCGTAACTCTCGCTTTCAAAGTCCGGGTTGAGGCCAACAGCGAGCACGACAGCGTCAACATTCTTGGCGAGCTCGACGGCCTCGGCCATGGCCGCGTCGGGGTCAACCACGGGGAATCCGCCAATGCGCACACCAAAGTTGAGAATCTGGCCAGTTTCGTTGCCACCGCTCATAACACCAGGGATGTTGGAGTACTCGCAGTGGATTTTGTACTCTTGGCCAGCCACAACGTCGACAGTACCAAACTCCTCCAGCGTGCCCTGGCCGAAGAATGTCTCGCCGGGGTACTGCAGAACATTCCAGCTGTCGACGACGAGCTTGCCGTCGACGAACAGCTTGGCACGACCGCAGACGGAAATGGAAAACTGGAAGAGGCCAGTTGTACTGGCAGTCCAGGTTCCACTCATGATACCGTACCAGTCTTGACCATCGAGAACGGCAGGCACACCGTCGTTGAGGAGTACGTGAGACGCCTCGCGGCGGTAGTGATGCACGGCAGAGGAGCCAGGAGCCAGCGAAGTGTACAGGCGCATGTCGGCACCAGGTTGACCGTCATCGCGAAGAATGCCGTCCAGGTATGGCAGCATCTTGTGACTCGGAGTACCGAGCGCGTACTGGACCTCGACGCCTTCGGGGGCCGCAGCACGAATACCATCGAGCACGGTGACGACGTAGGTGACGTTGAGCTGGGCCGAGCCACCACCAAACACAGTCTTATCGAGGGCACGGGGCCCAATGACGGCGATGCGCTTGACGCCGCCGTTCGAAAGAGGGAGCGCTTGACGCTCGTTCTTGAGCAAGACACAAGCACGAGCGCCAAGCTCTTGGAGCAGCACGCGGTCGTCCGGGCGGTCTCCTGTGACCTCAATGTCGTCACCGTAGACGGTCTCAGGAGAGAGACGGGCTACACGCTGCGCAAACTTGAGTACATTGGTGACACGCGCGTCAATGTCGCGCTCGTGAAGCTTGCGGGAAGCGAGGCAGTGCTCGACGAGGAAAGGTGTGCGCCACTTTGCAGTTCCGGGCATTTCAATGTCTTTTCACGTCAGCCACAACAATCCCAGGAGGAGTTCTTTGCAACTCACCTTGACCAGCAAGAATAGCAGTGTCAACAGAGTACGTGCCAAACCAGTCAGACATGATCATGCCATCCCATCCCCACTCCTTGTGCAGGACACCATCGAGGAGCTCCTTCGAGTCGCCGACATGCACACCGTTGACACGGTTGTACGACGACATGATGGAGAGAGGGTTTGCCTCTGCAACAGCAATCTGGAAGGGGCGCATGTACACCTCGCGGAGAGCACGCTCCGACACCTCGGAGCTGACGGCGGTGCGCTCGTGTTCAATGTCGTTGGCAACCCAGTGCTTGAGAACAGCCGCCACACCCTATGGGTGTTAGTTCGTCTGACGTTCATGCCACACTCACATTCTCCTGGAGGCCATTGATGTAAGCCGTAGCCATGATACCGCTCAGAATGGGGTCCTCGGTGAAGCTCTCAAACGAGCGGCCGCCGAGTGGCGAGCGTTGGATGTTGGTCGTCGGCGCAAGGAGGGCGACAGCGCCGCGGTCCTTGGTTTCGCGGGACAGAAGGCCACCGGCGGCGTGCACCAGCTTGGGCGCAAAGGTGGCTGCGAGTGCGGTCTCATTCTGCGGCGCATAAGCAAATGTGATGGTTAAGTGGACGCATCATGTCTCACCGGAATGCACATGCCGGCGGCTAGAAAGGATTGTCAACAACACACTCTCACACACAAACCCATGGGAATGGGACTTTTGCAACTCACTCTGCTCGGCAAATGACGCTCCACGCGCACCATTGGGTCCGTCGCTGACCTGCAGGTGTAAGCTTATCCACATAGTTGCAGCCATACCTTAACACCCGGAATGTTCAGACGGGGGACGGGGTGAGTATGCCACCAGTCGGCGCCAGCGAGCAACTTGATCTTCTCCTGCCGGCTCAGCTGGCTGACGAGATCGGGGATGTCCGCGTCGAGGAATGAGCGGTCACCATTGTGCCATGGGGACGAAGTGACCTTGGTGAGCGAAGGCGAAGAGAGAGGGGGTGACAATGGCGGAACTGCCATGATGTGGGTGTGGACTGTGGAGGGGAGCGCCAAGGGATACGATCGTGAGTGACGTCGATTAGAACGAGTGGCTTGTTTCTTCGGAGGACAAACAGGCGATCAGGCGACGGGCGGGGGGTCGTTGAGGAGGTGTAGGCCGATTCGTGTCGAGTAATTAAAGAGAGGAGCATGCACTACCTCCTGATACTCACCCCCATCAACCCGTCACGCGCAGAGAGCATGCGAGCAACGAACGGCCCGCAATCACTCTTCCGCAGGCCCAATGCCAACACGGTGCCGACTTCGGCCCGCATGGTTGCTCCGCATGAGCTGCTATAGCACACCTTGGCGCATTGCTCGCTCCTTTCCAAATCGTGCAAATGCATGGGGGGGTCGGCCATTTGCTGTCTCGGGAACCAACCATGCACGCCGTCGAGCCCCAGGTGTTAGAGCCACTATGCACAGCCCATTTGGCCCAGCCTTGCTGCGGACAAGCCAGTGCGGGTTCCAATCCAAGTACACGATAGAGATTGGAGCTTTGGCTGACTGAGGGTGGACCGGAAATGCTGAACCTCTGCCAATGTGCGCTTTCGCGCGCGATATCCCCTCAACCAAGCGATGACTCTACAGCACAGTAAAGAAGACACGCTCCCTAAAATCCATTCACAAAAGCACGTCAGGTCGTCTGTCTGGTTTAAACACCGTACCCGCACAGTTGACCAGAGTCTCACCTCCGCCAATTTCGTCCGCTCTCCATCATCACAGGACAAGGGTTATTGCTACGCTTCCCAGGCCGCCTAATGCCGTTTGTCACGGGCTTGATGTGGTCGGCGGTCTGTCAGGCCCTTCTTTCTCGCAGCTGCTCGACATTCTTGCGTCGTCCTCGCGCGCTGATGACGGCGTTTGACAGTGTGGACATGCGTATCTGTTTTCTTTTCCCTCGAATGCGCCACCCATGAACACCACCCTTCTCCGAGCTTGGGCCTGCTGATGAGGAACCGAAGAAGCATTGATGAGCATCTAGTGCCCCAAATTGAACACCATCAACCTTTGGCCTCTGGGAACGGCGTCGGATTCAGCTCAGGCGACGACAGGTATACATGTTGTGATATCATACATGTTATATGTGTCCTTCCTGCAGAGCAGGTAGGTGTGGTCCGTGATCCGTGATGGTGGAGCTTGGCAACCTTCCAAGGCCCACGCAATGCTGGGTCCCATTACCATATCCCGTTTCGGAGCTCGGCCATACTTCGCTGTTTGGCAGTATGGGGACTGGGATCACTTGCACCACAATCGTGAATGGCGAAACTGAGACATAAATGTTGGTATCGTCTTCACCTCTGACGCCACGGTAGAGGGGTATCTGAGGGGATGGCAGCGAAGTGCAAGGCTGGACGTCGACAACGAGTACTGGAGTTCTGTACTGATTTTACAGGCGTGAAGGTACCAGCTTGGCAATTGCCTGAACAACGTCTCAAGAATGGCGCCAGTCTCCTTCCTTTGCGGAGGACGGCATGGAGATAAATGTCAGTAGTTTTTGCCTTGAAAAATGAAGGAAAGCACTTCATGAGCCTTGCCTGTATTCGAGAGATCGTGGGAGAGGAATAGCCAGACATCTGATGGGCGATGTGACCCATGCATTCCGAACAGGCAAAACACAGGAGCAATAAAAGTCGCCACCGTAGGTAGGCCACCATGACACCTGGTTTTGAACTCTCCTGGCTCCTGGGGGCCTTGATAACGCGCCAAAGTCGTGTGGTGTGTGCCAATTTGATTCCGTCGCTAGTCTGTCCTCCACCATCGTCAACCGTCATCATCATCTCCCTTCCTTTCCACTCATCCATCAGCACGTACACAACAATGTCGGCAGCAATGGACGTCGACGCACCCTCCACCGCACTCACCAAGGACAAGAAGCCTCGCTTCGAGGTCAAGAAGGTACGTCTCGTCTCACCGACCACACCTTCCTCGTGTCATTGAATCACGTACGCTGACAAGCAGTGGAACGCTGTCGCTCTCTGGGCTTGGGGTACGTCGTGGACCCACATGTCAAACAGATACTGACAAAGCAGACATTGTTGTCGACAACTGCGCTATTTGCCGCAACCACATCATGGACCTGTGTACGTCTCCGGGCCATTGCGGTTAGCATCCGAACTCGGCGCGCTGACTATCCCCGCAGGTATCGAGTGCCAGGCCAACCAGGGTGCCGAGAGCGAGGGATGCACCGTTGCGTGGGGTATCTGCAACGTAAGATTATGCGAAGAGATAAAAGGGTCTGTCAGCTCATACTGCAGCATGCGTTCCACTTCCACTGCATTTCGCGTTGGCTCAAGACTCGCCAGGGTGTGTACCACAGACATGGCTCCATTACTCTGCGACGTGCTGACTCTTGCAGTGTGCCCTCTGGACAAGTGCGTATCCATTTGGTTTCGGTGTACTAATCCATTAGCCGTCAATGGGAGCTTCACCGTTACGGCCGTTAGGCGACCCGACCGGTCGCACCACCTGTTACAATGTGTCCACCCAACCCCTCATCAAGCCAGCCCCCTTCGCCCTCCGTCGACCATGTCGACATTCTCTCTCTCCTCCTGTGTACGACGTTCGAGATGTATATGCAATTTCACATCCTCATCTATGATCCCCAAATGCTATGCTGATGATTCCAACACGCCAGTCTTGTGAGCGTTTGCCCGTGACTGGGACCACTCGCGGCGCTCGAACCGCCCCTCGCGCTCTTCCACACTATCGCCCAGTTGACGCACCGCTTCCTGCAGTTCGTGCACGATATGGATACGCGTGGCGGTAGGGCCGTGATTGTCTGTACCAGAGGCTTTGCTAGCGTGGTATGCTTCGACCAGGGGCTGCACACGCGCGGTGATGGGTGCCCCAACGGTGATGCTCACGTTTGCACCAGTTCGAAGCATGCCGCGAGGCCATGTCCTGCGCTCGTTCATGATCTGGTCAAAGCCTATTGTCGTCAGCCACGCTTCAACATGGTCTGAAAGCTCACCAGAGATCCAAATGGGAATGACTTCAGGCATTGTCTGGGCGTCCATCAGGATACGGCCACTGTTTTGTAAGCTACTATTTGCCTTTACAGCCTCTCCTCTCCTCTATGCGACACTTACACTCCCCACTTGAACCGATGCAGTCCACCCTTGGGATTGGGCTTCTCCTGGTTGACCTTGCCTTCGGGGAAAATGTGGACATGGCCGCCTTGCTCAAGGCGCTTGATTGCGGTGTCGACTGCAGGCTGGTAGATTCCGCCGCCGCGGACAGTCTCAATGACCTGGCCCCAGCCAAAGAACTTGGACATGACGGGGTTGGTGAACATGATGTCAGAGGCTATAGTGAAAGTGTCAGAGCTGTGAGACATGTATGGTCGTTGGAAGGAAGCACACACCTCCTAGTGTCCAGCGCAGGTTGTGGCACGTGTGTGATGGACGCGCGAAAGGCATAAAGGTGGAAAGGGGGAGCATCGACCACATCTGAGCAGTGTCAGTTGTTCATCATGGATAGGGGTATAAAATATCATGGTACACACCATGGGGTCGTCAACAACCGAGTTGTGGTTGCATACTGCGGGTTAGCACGTCCGTTCACTGCAGATGGGTGTCACAGTGGTTATTGCCAGCCGGTGACACACGTTCGAACGTACCCGTAATGATACCTCGACGCGGCAAGCTGCCCAGATGTCCTGGCACAGAGACATCCTTGCCCTTGCCCTCCCTGGTTGCCGCAGCTGCGGCCGCGATCATCTCGGGCTTGTTCTCAAGCGCCTTGAGGAGGTGCTCCGTGCCGTGAACCTTGTACCCGCGTGTTGTGAGGGCCAGGAATGCCTTGCACCACAGTCCCACCACTGAGAGTGTGATACCCGATGCCAAGGAGGAAGGTGGAGGGGGCATGGCGAAGGAAGAGAGGTGATGTGGACAGGCGGTGGACAATACAGACAAGGTGGACAACGAGGGTGGAAGGCGGACGAGTGAGCACGTCGCGTGGTGTGCAAGGCCAAAGAGAACGCAAGAGCGAGGGGCGAGGGAGGTTGAGTCGGTGCTTGAGAGCGTACACGCGGCGGACGTGCAGTGCAGCCGAGAGTACGCGCAACAAGCTTGACGAAGATGGTGAACGATGCAAGAGATGGCTTTTGTTGGGTCCGAAATTGTTGGTCCGATTAGACCGCCGTGCCTGGCCGGGAGACGCACCAAGACACTCCGGCGATGGGATGGCGGTGGCGTGAGTGTTAATGGAGGGCGAGCACGACACCACACCATCTTCTGCATACAACTGTGAGATTACAAGTACTCTGTGTTCCTATCTCAGACATGGTCTTGACATGTTGCCCGGTCGTTGCTCACAGCACACGCCGCGGTCCGGATCCACTGGATCCCCCTCCAAAGCCGGAACGACCCGGTCCCCCAGACCTGCCAGGCGGTGACTCTGGAGCAGGCTCCTCGCGCTCACGGCGCTGTTCAACGTCGTTTCCGCGCCATGCAAAGCGCCGGAGGTCCTCAAGGTTGATTGAACGAAGCGTGTCCATAGCAGTTGCAGCGAGGTCGACTCTGGACATGTTAAAATCAGAGGGTCATGAGAAGCGGGAGCTCACCTGGGAACAACGCGTTCCCCGAGACGTTCAGAAGCCATCATGGCCTCCTTCCATCTTTCATTAGCACGGCTAATGTATGTCAACGCCTGCACGTACCTCTCAACGCAGAGACACCAGCGACAGCCCTCGGTGAGACCTTGGAATCCTGGGCGGCGACTTGAGAGGTCGTTGCCTGACGGTCAGCGAATGCAGAGAATGTTACGCATCCAGTCTGGGCACAGGCCCGCAATGAGAGGCAGTGTAATGGTTGGCCCACACCACCCCCATGACGACACTCACCTCGCCGCTTGCTAAACTCGAGAAACTCCTTGGTCATGATGCCCGCAACATAGTGCTGCCCAAAGTCTTCCTCCTCGCCCCAGCAGTATCCGTCGCGATAGAACCCCGTCGGATGGGATCGGTCCCCCGGTCGTGTGTTGGGCTGCAGGGGCCCATGTAACACTGGTGCATCAGCGACAAAAGGTCGAGCATGACGGCCGCTGGGGTCACTGGACAAGCGGAAAGGGAACGACGGCACATGGTGGATCCCACGATCCACCCATCGTGGACAAGCATGAGCCGGTCAATGTGCCAAGTTTGCCCTCAAGTTCTTACACCCAGCGCGACTCACCACTCAGCTTGGACGTCTCTATAACCATTGTGCTTGCGCGACGGCGAAGAGGGAAGCGAACGAGTGCTCGGAGTGCGTTCATGGGTTGTGCCGGTTGGGCGAGAGTGAGTGTCCAACAGGTGGAACCGCCAATACGTCATCGGCGCAGATAAAGTAGGTACAGTGTCGCCCCCAGGAGCCACCTCTGAACACACGAGGTCGTGAGGATGCCATGCGCTGCAGCTTGTTCCTCGGAACAGGTATGAAATGCGTTTATATATGCATGGTATAATATATCCTCTGGCCATCGGTATCGTTCGCACTGCCAAATGGCTCAATCTAAGTCGGGCCACGCAAATGTGCGTCGAGAAAGTCGAGCATGGGGATAACACATTCGACCCACCCCTCGTCCTTTGGCGACTGTTCGAGTAAATAACTGGCTAACGGGATCCCAATCTTGATCTCAGTCCAACTTACCCCAATAGCCCAGTCGAAACAATGGTCCATGCCCTCGGGATATGCCTCACCAACAGCCACACCTGCCCTCCTCAAAATGGCGGCCATCTTGGTCGCCTCGTGCAAGGGGACAAACTGGTCTGCGGACCCATGCAGGATGAACGTTGGAGGGTATGCCCTGGCCACTTCTACGTCGTTTGCCAAGCGATCAAGCGGATTCCATGCTCGGAGGGTAGCACGGAACACGCTGTCGTCGGCCGTTTCGTCGCAACGGAACACCGTGCGAAGCATTATTCGTTTCTTTACCATATAAGTCACGAGGTCGAGGTGGAAAAAGGTCGCGTCGGTGGGTGTATACTCTGGCAAGCCGAGGTGTGCGCGGGTTACTTCGAGAGGGACCACGGGGGGCAAGTCACCCGCCCACGGACACTGGACGAGGGCCTTGCTCGGATCCCTCGTCTTCATGGCCTCGGCGAGTTCCCCCTCCGTTGCCGACGTGATGTACGGGTCAGCCTTGAACGGCAGCGTGGTATGGTGGGATGGGTCGAGCATGTCGACCATGCCATACACGTTTATCACAGCCTTGGGTTTGGGGTCAAAGTCAAAGCCGGCCAGCAGGGCTGCTGTCGCCCCTGCACTGGCGCCAGCAATCACGCCAGCACAGGGGTCGGCACCGACCAGTCGCGGCAAGTTGTCCATGCACCATGCGTACGCGGTACGAACGTCTGTCATGATGTCCTTGATGCCGACGTGTGGGAGCATGCGGTAGCCGACCGACACGACAGTGTATCCGCGTGACCGAAAGGCCGGTACGACCCAGGCCGTAGGTGAGGACCATTTACCTCCCATGAAGCTGCCTAGGGGGTGAATGTCAGCTGTACAATCAATGCGAGTCGTGTAGCTGAAGCCGGGGGCTCACCGCCATGAAGCCAAAGGATCCACGGCGAGGCGGAGGAATGTGTCGAGCCGGAGTCTGCTGGCCAGACGCGTAATGGACACGCTACGCCAGCAATGGTTGCATACACGTGGTCGCTGAAGCCTGGAGGACATGGTGTAAGTGCAGCGTGTGGTGTAAGCGGTGATGCTGTTGTGGCCGTCATGGTAGTGTGACGAGGGAGAATGGGCAGACAGACAGAAAGAAGATGGAGGAAGAAACCATGACGATGGTTCGGCTATTAGAGTATATCGGCCATCTCCGTTGCCGGATGCTGTGGCCGTTGGGCTAGACAGGACGTGTGTTTGGCAGCACCCTCGAAAGCGTACCCATGTCTTGTATGCCTGTGCAAGCCTCCAACAGTACTCGGAGAGCCGCCTCAACTGCACACTGCAACAAGTATGCGTACGGGTACGAGTACATTACAACACGATGAGGCCCTCGACCGGTCGGCCACGCGTCTATCAAACCCATCCCGCCCGGAGAGGCAGCCGTTTACTGCCCAACCCATCCATAGATGGTCTTGCCCTTTGTCATGTTCTTGGCGACAAGCTTCTTGGCCACGAGAGCGATGAGTGCCTTGTTGACACGCGGATGGGGGAGTTCAGGGGGAGCGACAATTTCGGCGACTGAGAAGAGTGTCAGTAAATCAAGTCGTTTGACTGTGTTACACGGCTGCGAAACGTGATGTGGAAGCCAGAAGCCGGCTGGGTGAGAGAACGTTGGCACACGGCCGCGGTGTCGCACCAGAACTAGCCAAGGACACTTACTCGCAAGACCTTCCTCGCTGTCCATGAGTCGTCCAATAACCTTCTCCATGCCTAACCTAGCGTCCATGTCCCCGCCGCGGTACTCGAGGGGCAGTTGGGTGTCGATGATGCGCGAAACCTCGATCTAAGAGAGGGAGACAGGTGTCAGCTGATGACTCACAACGGCAGTTGTGTTGCAAGTGCGCCGCAGTAAGGAAGCGGCGGTTGACACCACGCGGTGACAGCGAACACCGAGCTCTGCAGCCGGATCGCCCGTACTCACGTCCCTCTTCTTCTTTGCTGCCAACGCAGCCTTCTTAGCCGCCGCCGTGGTGGCGGTAGGCTTCTTGAGCGCGCTCGGCCGTCCACCTGCACCGGCACCGCTGGGTCCAGCGGCGGCTCCGGGCCGAGCCTTGGCAGCAGTCGTCGTGCGGCGGGACTGCTCGTCATCGTACACCGTTGCGTACGTCATGTCGCCGGCATATCCGCCCGGAGACGACGGCTCACGGCCAGGAGTCGGGGGCGCGTTGGACGCACGCGTGGCTGACGACGACGACGATGCCAGCACATTGCCGCTGCCACTTGCCACGGCGGTACGGGCCTCGAGGCGTTCGAGCTCCTCCTTTCGTGCCCAGCTGCTCGGGTCGGGCGCCTCGTCCCACTCGATACAGAAGGCGTTCATCTTCATCGCGTAAAGGTAGGCCGAGAACCCTTCGTTGAACGTGCCCAGGGCATCGTGCAGCTGCCCCACGCGCTGCATGTTGGCGGCCAGTGTCGCCGCTTCATCGGCAAGTTCGGTGAGCGCCGGAGCGAGAAAGTCGAGCTCGGCGGCAGACTTGGTGGACCGGTCGGTCGAGCGGGCGAGACCGGAGAGTGACCCTGTGGAGATGCGCCGGAGAGGATGTGATGGGGACATGATGGTAGTGGTTGTGGATGAGACAAGGCCGGAGAGTTGGGTCGCGTCGGGAAATAGGGCTTGTTGTTGACAACCAATTTGATCCCGCTCGCTGCTCGACGGCGCGGGGCTAAACGATGGCCACTGGGCCACTGTGCGATCGCTGGCTTGTCAATCACAATGCAACTTGGCTGCATCCAACACTGCATGACTACATGCTCCTCATGGATATTTCAGTGCGGACACTAAGAATAAAGAAAAAACTATGCCCACAACAAATGACCCTCTCTCTGCCTTTTGCTCACTTCCTTGCTCACTCGGCACGCTCCTCCTCTGTCAGGTGGCGCTCTACTTCACACCCTTCTCACACCCTTCCCAGCTCTAGCGGTGCTGCATTGGCATCTGGCCAGGGATACCAGGGACGCCTGGGACGCGCATGTTCCCAGCGTACATCTGCTGCATTCCCGACATGCCTTGCATGTTGGGAACACCGACACCGCCTTGCATGGGTCCACCTTGCATGGGCCCACCTTGCATGCGCACGCCCTGACCGCCTTGCATGGGGTATCCCTGCATCGCGGCTTGCTGGGGCATCATGCCAGGCGGGTAGGCGACCTGCTGTGGCGAGCTCGGCACCATGCCACCGAGAGCGGCATTGGGAGGAAGACCGGCGCGCTGGACTTGATATTGCTGTTGGGGAGAGAAAGAGATGCCACCGCCGCCAGACGGTGGGCGGTACTGATGGGGCAGGGGCGAACCCATTTGCTGAGCTTGAGCTTGCTGCTGGGCCATGGCCTGTTGTTGACGCTGCTGAAGCTGAAGTTGCTGCTGATACGCGATTTGCTGTTGTTGAGCCATTTGTTGCTGGACCATTTGTGCGGCCTGAGCTTGAGCCAGTTGCTGCTGAGCAGCTGCCTGCTGGGCGAGTTGTTGCTGAGCCGCCTGTTGAGCTTGCTGTTGGGCGACGGCCTGGGCCTGCAGCTGCTGCTGAGCTGCTTGCTGCAGCTGATATGCTTGCATTTGAGGAACAGCCTGCTGAGGAACAGCCTGCTGCATCCCCTGCATACCAAGACCGAGAACACGCTGTTGGTTCATCTGGCCAGGAGACGACAACATCTGTTGCTGCTGTTGCTGCTGTTGCTGCTGAGCGTAACGCTGGGCCTGCTGCTGAGCGGCGACCTGCTGAGCGGCGACCTGCTGAGCTGCCTGAACCTGCTGCTGTTGCTGGGGGTAATAGCGTGAGCCAGGGGGAAGTGTGTGGGGTGGAGGCTCGCGCAGGGCGTTGTGTGGTGAAGTCATGTAGCCAGGGGTGCCAGGAAGCTTGGGATGCTGGGCGTGAGGTGAAGGCGACAGGCCATTGACGCCCATTGTTGGTGTACCGCCCATGGTTGCCATGGCCTGCGTCCGCAGGCGAAGGGTGGCATTGTCGTGAAGAGCATGCGCGCGTCGTGGGTCGAGGGTGCCACGAATGATAGGTGCACGGTTCGAGAGAAGACGGCGGGCGAGAGTGTGGGCGAGGCCAGGTTTTGACGACGACGACGACTTTGCACTTTCGGGCAAAAGGGCCGCAGGAGGGGTATCCGACGACTCGACAAGATCAGCGAGCGATGCAAAGAGCTCGTCAGCGACGGCGCGCTCGCGGTCAGAGATCCAGGACGCGTCGCCCTTGCGAACTCTCAAGTCTTGCCAGACCTGCAGTTCCTCGATGCGGCCAACGTTGGCGTCGAGGATCGCGTCGACGCTATCCAGCTCCTTGTCGGCTTCGCCGTTGGCAGCCGCCTTCTCGGCGCCCTCGGTCTCCTTGTCCTTGTCGGCATTCTTCTCGACCTCGGCATCCTTGCCCTCTGCTTCCAACACGCCGGTCCAGCCCTCGTTGGCAATGTCAACAACAGTTGTCGACCGACGGGTCCACTCGCGATGGCGGGTGTGCTCGTGCATGAGGTCGAGAGTCGAATAGTAGCCAAGGCCGCTGGACATGCGCGAGTCGTAGGTGGGAGCAAAGGAAGGCTGGAACGGCCTGTTCGGGGCAGCAAGTGACTTTACGGGATGGATATTGGAGTCAAAGTGGGTGCGACGAGACGCGCGCAGCTCCTTCCACCTCTGGGCTTTCATGCTGGCGCGGCGGACCAGGGACTCGGCGAGTGTTGGTACGGGACCCTTGTCATCGGCACCGAGAGGCGCGGTAGCCTGCACAAGGACAGGCTGAGCATAGCCAAACTTGCCACCCGTCGCGGCCAAGGTCTGGAGGAGCGTCTTGTCGTCAGGCAGCCGCATCTTTTCGCGCGCGTCCTCAATCTCCCTCAGGTCCGCGCTGGCGGTGAACCACTCGCCACTGGCGTGGCCCAGTCCGTTTCCGGGGGTCTTTTGCATCAGAGTCCAGCGCTCCAGGGGCGCAGTCGACTTGAGACTCGATGTGCCGTCAGCGAGGGGCTCAACCTGGAGGAGGAGCTGGTGCAGAGCTGCACAAAAGACGTAGATGGCGACAGTGGGGAAGTGGGACGGCAAAGGAGGGGTCGGGAGGTGGATGCGCGCGAGGGAAGGGACCGGATTGGGGTAGCCGCCGGGCAGCAGGAGGTGCTTGGAGAAGAGGTGCAAAGTGGCCTGGCATGACATTTAGCACAGCCCGCACAAAAGAGGAAAGTGAGAACATACCACCAGCTGCTCCCACGTGAGCGTCTCCTGCTTGAGGAGGTATCCCAGAGTGTTCTCCTCCCTCTGGTCAAAGTTGGGCGGCAGCCAGAGGGTCAGGACATTGTTGATGGGGGAAGGTAAGCCCTTTGCCATTCTGTTTTGTCAGATCAGAGGTCACATGCAATCAACCGGAGAGCTCACTGTGACAGGACCACTCCAATGGCGTCGCGGACTTCTTTCGAGAGGACACGTCCTTGGCGGTCGCCATTTGCACCAATGCCGGGCTTCTCTTCACCCACCGCCTCGCTACCGTTGATGCGTACGCGTTTGCTATCGGGCTGCTCGCCGCCTTCCACAGGGCCGGCTGCCGCGGACGGCAAGGTGACATTGGTGGAAGCAGCATCGGCGGCGGCGGACGCATCGATCGACGATGTACGCTTACGCTTTCCGCTGGCATCGGTGGACGATGATGGGGAGGCTGCTAATGTCTGTTAGGTGCTGCTTGTTCTGGCAGACTGCATGGCGTGTGTTGACCACCGTATGGTGCACACAGAGGAGCGGATGCGCGCCCAATGCAATGGCGAGTGGGTGTACTTACAGATGGGTGTGTCGCGAGCGGCGGACCCCCTTGTCTCCCTCGCCATGTTTGCAGAGGGTGCCGAGGAAGGTGGAGGGGTAGGGAAGGTGGGTGGATGAGCCGGGGAAGAGGACGCAATGATGTAAGCTTGGAGGGGGAGGAGGTTGATGGGACGTGTGGGTGACCTGCAGTGTATAGGACTGGGGGGGCAAACCGCTGTTTGATTGTTGTTGATGTTTTGTTGTGTAGAGAGTGCACGACCGAGATGAGGCTTGAGGGAAGCTAACAAGGACGAAAAGGCTTTGGAACGCGTCCCTGGTTTGGGTCCTTTGCTCAGGTGGACGCGACGAACAAGGCAATGGAGGAGGTAGGTACACGCGAGCTGTGCAGTTGCAGCGAGAACGGCGTGTCGCGACTGCACGTGTGACGGGCGGAGGGCAACGACCTGGCCTGTGTGCACGAGAGTGGAGGGTGGGGTGGGTCGCGCGTGGAGAGAAGCGGGGGTGTTGACGAGGACGGGTGTTGTTGGGTGCCAGGAGAAGGGGGGGCGGGCTGGTGGGTGTTGCGCCGAGGGGTGTGTGGTGGTGTGGGTACGGTGTGCGCGGTGGGATTGGGATTGGTGAGACGGGGGTACACCACCACCCAGCGGCACCTAATTTGCCTCCGTCCACACGTTGTGGCGACAACTGTGGTACTGTGGTACGCTGTGGCGTGTGGTCGGGGCATGGGCCCCCATGATGCACGAAGCCTCTCTCATACTAGCACGCTGCTTTGTTCGCTTGCTTTGGATGCAGACATGTAGACATGCGGACCGACTAGCAATTTTATATATATATATATATATATATCTCGCGCACTAGCGTCCAAGGTCAGCCCGCCATACTCTAGCAGAAGGGATGGCCGCAACGGCTGGCTGCACAGACCCAAGTGCCCCGAACGCCAAGATGCGTCAGAGCACCAACGCCGCAGCCCAGGTGCACAGGTGCGTGCCCGGCCCTCTCATAATCCCTGGTGGCACAGAAGACAAGGAAGGTATTGATCAACATTGGCATCTTCGTCTCGACATTGCGCGCCACCCGTCTGTCTATCAAGGCTGTAGTGCTTACAATTTGGGCACCCAGGCTCCCCTCTAGTGGGGTGGACCGTTCCCATGTACATTTGGCTCCTTGTGCGCCTGGGTACCCTCTCTCCTCCCTCCTTACTTGGTCTCCTACGTCGTTGCCAGCTTATAGCCCGACATCTGGCAAGGAAGGGAAAGGGGAGGCACGATGTAAGACGTGGCTCCTCCTCTTCCTCCACCCTACACGGACCTCGGGGGTCTACTCAAAGGGGTTGGTGCGGCCGGCTTGGTTGCTTGCCTTGTTTCCGTGGCCACCGTCCAGATCCGATCCCCACGAACACAGCGCGTGCCACCAGCGCTCGGGCTTGGAGGGAGGTGGTGTAGACTCACTGTCCGTCGACGACGAGGTGCCAGCAACAGCAGCACCGCCGCGCCACCCGGGGCCAGCGTAGCCAAACCCCCCTTCATCGATTGGTGAGGTCAACGGTGACGATGCCGTCATGCGCCGCGAGTGGCTGTGAGGATCGGCAAAGGGACCGTGCCGCTGCATCGTGGGGGACGTAGGGGACGTTGGCTTCGCGGCCGCGGCAGGTGGCGGCTGGGGGTCGTAGGGGTTGGTGTACGCGTTGGGGCCTGCGCTGCCCGTAGTCACAGTCGGCGATGCAGGAAGCTGCAAGTGTTAGGGAAACCGGCCAACGACGCTGTGATGGACACTCACCTCGATGTCCTCGGGCACTCGCTTGTCCTTGCCAGTGAGGCTTCCCCATCCCATACCATTGCTGCGCTTGGCCGAGCTGATAGACTCGCTGATGAACGACATCGGTCGCGACCCATGCGAAGTACGCGAACCAGAGGTGCGCGGCAACGACGCCGACGAGGAATTGGGCGACTCGGACCCCACTGGCGACTGCACCACTCGGGACTGCCTTGCAGCCTTTCGCCTTGCAGTCTCGCGCGCGGTAAACTTGGCGAGATTCTGTGCACAGCTTGTCAGCGACCATACTGCGCAAAAAAAAAAACGTATGCCGCGCCTCCTTCAAGCTGTCCTCTAGGATTGAGGGCGAGGACGCCGCGCACGCGGCGGCGACCGAGAAGAGAGAGGGAAAAAAAAAGAGCCATGGGACACATACAGCTTGAACACGCTTCTCCTCTTCCTCGACGTCGTTGAGTGGGGGGTACGAGCTTGTCTCCGGCTCTACCTGGCGAGTGTAGCCATCGCTGTCCCAGGCGCGCTCCTTGCCCTTGCTCTTGCTGAGACGATAGCTGCTCCGCACTGCACCGATATCACCGCTCTCGTCGCCCTCTTCTGTGCTGGTAGAAGACCAATGGCCACGACCTTTGCCCTTGCGGTGGTGGTCTGATCCAGAGAGAGTGTCGTCGCTGTCCTCGCGGAGGACACGGCTGCTGGATGCGTTGGGTCCGTGGTCGTCTAGGGTCACGGTCGGGGAGGAGATGCGTTTCGAGTAGACGATGGACCCGTTGACAGAGGTTGGGGAGGGAGCCACATTGCCAAACGGTGGGTTGACCTCGTCGGCCAGTGGGGCGTACGACTTGTTAGAGTGCAGGCCTGTGGTGATGACCGATGGCATAGGGATGGGTTGGTTGTGATGTGTGGGAGGGCTGGTGGAGAGGAAGCCAGTTGCGGGCGATTCGCGAGGCGCCGGGGAAACGACTGCGGAGTTGAAATGGGGGGTGGGGTGGGCCACCAAAGTAATGAGCCAAGGGAGTGAGAGAGGGGGGAGAGAGCGAGCGAGCGAGTGAGAGATCGGGCCTGGGGGGGCAGCACGGGGAGCTGAATCCTGCAGCTCCGTGGATCCGTGGGGAGGGTGGATGGGGGGAGGGGCTGGAGAGTGTGTTGTGTTGTAGGAACGAACGCGTTGTGTGTTGTGTGTTGTGGGCTGCGTGACACAAAGTTGACTGAGACAAGATGGGATGGATGGCACAGGAGACGACCGACGCGCGACGCCGCCGCCGCTCCGCCGCCGCCGAAATGAGGGGCCGAGGGAGCAAACTGTATTGTAGTGTGCGCGCGCGTGCCCGCGCAGGCGCGCGCAGGTCAATCGTGGGCTAATTTACCTCCGCCAAGCCACACCGGCCACACCCCCGTCTCAGAGCACGTTTGCTCCGCGCGCGTGTGGGTACGCGGCCATATGTTGTCTCCCATTTACGTGACTGCGTGCGGGCCACCTGGTGATCATGGTGACCCGTCCCCGCAACAAACGTCTCCCCCATCCCCCCAACAAGGCCCAAACAAAGGCTTTGGCTCACGCGCTCTGTCGTCATATTGTCAGGAACCATCGCTCATGTTATCCCCCGTGCCACATCCATATACAACGTTATAACTCCGGCCACACCGCCCTGGCAGTAACCGGCATTATCTCCCCACGTGGTCATGGGCAAGCCAGCGCGCCAGCTGCACTCACCCACCCAGCGACGACGACGCGCGTCATTGCGTTGCGTACGGTGGTGGGATGATGCTTGCGCGTTGCTAGATACATACCACAACACACACATTGCCACAGATCGGGTGCTGCATTGCCACAAGACACAGCACACATACACCTCGTCCACCTACCACTCCCGGCATCACTAGGCAGCAAGAGAGCTTCCCCTTCTAGCCCACACGCCCAGCTTCCACCTCACCCATCCCACTCCAACACAACCCTCCCATCACCATGTCCAACATCAACTTTGTCGACATCCAGCACCTCAAGAAGGGCGAGGTCAACCTCGGGGTGAGCGCTCCCAGGCCATTTCATTTGTCTTCCTGGGTTCTAGCTGACAGTCCAGACCTCCATCATGGCCGTCAAGTTTGACAAGGGTGTCGTTATCGGCGCCGACTCGAGGACGACCACCGGCTCGTACATTGTGCGTCACAGGCAATTTCAAGCTCCCTCCCTCGTCTCATTATGACACTCAGCTGACTCTGCCAGGCCAACCGTGTGACCGACAAGCTCACCCATATCCACGACCGCATCTACTGCTGTCGCTCGGGCTCGGCCGCCGACACCCAGGCAGTGGCCGACATTGTCCACTACCACGCCCAGACCTACACCGCCGTGTACGGCGAGAACCCTCCCGTGAACACTGTGGCGGCTCTGTTCGAGAAGCTCTGCTACGAGAACAAGGACAACCTGTCTGCCGGTATCATTGTTGGCGGCTGGGACAAGGAGAAGGGCGGCAGCGTGTACAACATTCCCCTCGGCGGTGGCATGTTTGAGCAGCCTTGGGCCATTGGCGGTGAGTGTTGAAAGTTGGACTTGGCCCTACAGGCTCGCACTATACTGACATACCCAGGCTCGGGTTCAACGTACGTGTACGGTTACTGCGACGCGACCTACCGCGAAGGCTGGGGAGAGGAGGAGACTGTCAACTTTGTCAAGAACAGTGGGTTGAATTGCAACGAACACCGTTGAGTGCTACGCTAACCTTTTTTTTTCTTTCCTTTTAGCCCTGGCACTGGCGATGGCTCGCGACGGCTCGTCGGGTGGCTGCATCCGCATGTGCGTCATCACCGAGGACAAGGTTGAGCGCCACTTGTGAGTCATGGACACGGAATTCAAAGCAGAAGAGACGTGCTGACAGGCGACAGTGTCCCCGGAAACGAGCTCCCCCGTTTCTGGGAGGGCAAGGAGGTTGTTGGCGGTCACTCTGCCCAGCCCACGGCCGTCTCGGCGTAAAAGAGACGGAAGAACGTGGATTATGGGGCATACTGGTAGACTTGGAGCATTGTAACGATAGCATGAACGCAGTCACCGACACTGAAAGAACGAGAAAGCCAAGGTTGAAGCATGCGCTCAGGAAATGGAGGGCGGAGGTGGCCGGAGGTGGCACCGCGGTTGGAATGCCGGCGACTGCCATTTCCCAGCAGATAGTACTGCCATTGAGCGACAGCGCAGAACACCTGCGTGCAGGCGCAGCAACAGCTCAGACCATGTCGCAGCAAATCGAACAGGCCCAGAGATCACAGAGAGAGGCCCGAGCGATGTCTGACTCCAGCACTGAGACACCCGAGAGGAGGATGGGCGAGCCTTGCATCCCTGCCGCCATCTGCACCTGCACCTCTGTGGCTCCCTCGGCTCCCTTGTGCGCTCGTGGCCGCTGTTCGTGGACCGCCTACGAGAGCTACACGGCCGGGTCATATCCCTGATCTGACGCACCTGTACGCCGGCCTGTACGCCATCGGAAAGCGCCAGCGGCCAGCGGCCAACTGCCACTGCAGTCCATTGCAGGTCGCCATCAGCCACCTCCCTTCGCTGTCCCTCGTCTCGTCGGTGAAGCTTTCAGGTCTCTTCAGGTGCAGGCGTCCAGGCGTCCAGGTGGCCAGGCAGGCCAGGCATTTGCCAGTCAGCTTTGCCAGTCAGCCCATACCCGCACATGGCCCCATGGCAACTCCAGGCGCACACTCTACTCTGCCTCGCACACACCCGATACTGAACCGATTCGCCAGATCGCCTGGCGCCGCGCCCGCCCTGCCATCTTTCCTCTTGTCGTTGTCCGAGTACTCCTAACAGACACATCCTTCCGCCCATACACACACGCGCTCACTACCACTACATACGCTAGAAGGGTGCCCCTCCTTCGACGCTCGTACAACTCCCACCGTCTGCGGGCAAGGTTGGCATTCCTCGCCATACAACAGGCACGCGCGACATACGGGTTTCCACCACCACCCCACCTGTGGCTGCGTACTGTGCGGCAGTTCTCTCCTAGCGCGCTAGCAAGGAGACACAAAGGTGGGTCCACAGGCGTGTGTTGTTGAGTAAAAGGAAGAGGAGAGAGGCAACGAACCCGAGGGCTAGAAGCACCACCTCGACTGATATAACCTCGCTTGGACAAATTGCAGAGCACCTAGAGTGCAAGCAAGGCACGACCGACCTGTAAGGTCGGTTTTGGATGTGCCGGCCTCGCGAGGTTGAACGATGACAGATATGGGTTGTTCCGTGCGCAATGCCGCCAGAACGTCGCTCCCGGGTCATCAGCATGTGAGACCTGGCCATGTCTGCTCAGCATCTTGTCGTCGCCCAACTCCCGCCCCGCCTATACGCCTAGGCTCGACGGCCAGCTAACGCGCAGCAGTCCTCTCCCCCACACCCCCGACTCTGTGGGATCTTGTCCACCTGCGCTACTCGCCAGATCGCCAGGACATTGCGCGCACACGCAAACCGACAAAGCCACCCCGCGACCCACTCTGTAACATCCTCCATCTATCCGTCCATCCCCTTGTCTCCCCCATCCGAGGTGTCGCCGTCGTCGAGGTTGGTGGTCCGAGCGGTGGTGTTTCCATCTGCCATTGTTTCGTTTCTCCCATCTCTCGCTCTCTCTGCCGCCCGCCGCCCACGCGCGCGCCGCCCCATACGCCCGGCACGCCCATTTCTGGATCTCTGCCGTCTCTGCGTCTCGAGCAGTCCACTGCATACCTCATTCTCATCACCGCTCATCCATCCACCCTCCAAGCCCGATACAATCGGTAACGGCCACCAGGCCCCCTCTCCCCGCATCGCTCCAGTGGCACGCGCTCCGTTCACGCAGCGTCAAGCCCCAGGCAGCACACACAACCCGCCGTCATTGTCCTTATCCCCCCGGACGGCTGACATTGCTCGACTGTCCTATCCACACATCCCATCACCGAGGAGCCCGTAAGCCCTCCTATCGACCTTTGCAGCTTCCTCGCTTTGCTTCTTGCGCATCCCCAGCACCAAGTCGCGTGCTCCCACGGTTTCCGCCAGACCACACATTCAACCGGCGCTTATCGTTGTGACGCCAACCATTGCGGGTTAGCATCTGCGCATCCCCCATCACCTGCGCTTCACTCCCTTTCCTGAAACCCCCCCATACCCACAAAGGCCAGCTTTAGCGGTCAGCGCTACCTCCGTCAACATGGGTGCGGCGTGCTGCAAGCCCGAGGTGAGCTGCCCGACCCCGCTCTGACATGCAGCGGCCCACTGACAAGCCCCCCACAGGCGATCGACTTTGACGCCGAGGTCAACCTCTTCCACTTCTACCTCTTGCGCAGCGTGGGCAAGGGCGCGTTTGGAAAGGTGCGTAGCCCTCAGCCACCTTGTCGCAACGATGACTGACCTAATCCCCCTTCAGGTCCGTGTGGTTCAGCATAAACAGTCCAAGACACTGTACGCGCTCAAGTACATCAACAAACAAAAATGTGTCAAGATGAAGGCCGTGGCCAACATTATCCAAGAGCGCAGGCTACTCGAAGAGGTGAGTTGGGTTGACGACCGGCCATCGGATGACAGCCCGCTGACAGCGCCACAGATTGACCACCCGTTCGTCGTCAACATGCGATACGCGTTCCAGGACGACGAGAACTGCTTCTTCGTTCTGGACCTCATGTTGGGAGGCGACCTGCGCTTCCACCTCGACAGGGCAGGCGCCATCTCCGAGGAAGTCGTGCGGTTCTACGTAGCCGAGATTGCCTTGGCGGTTGATTACCTGCACTCGAAGCGGATCGTGCATCGCGACCTCAAACCCGACAACATTCTCCTCGACGAGCGCGGACACGCACACATCACAGACTTCAACATTGCTGTGCACTTTTCAGAGCGACGTCTCTTGACAGGAGTAGCAGGCAGCATGGCGTACATGGGTAAGTCCAGGCCACTTCCCTGACAGGTCTTGCCAAGGACGGCACACCCTTGACAAGACGAAGGAGAAGAAAAGTACCAGAATGGGTGGTTTGCTCACACTGCCTCCCTTACAGCGCCCGAGGTTCTCACCAAGCGCGGTTACTCTGCCCCGGTAGACTTTTGGTCGTTGGGTATTCTCGCGTACGAGCTGCTGTTTGTGCGACGACCATTCCGCGGCAAGACAAACCCAGCACTCACCAATGCCATCCTCCACGAGCCTCTGATGTGGCCCGAAGATGCACCGAGCCGATGCTCGTCAGAGGGCATGCAAGCGATCCGAGCGGTGAGTATGCGCTGCGCCGCGGCTTGCTTTCCACCCCACTGTGCTCCCACTGATAAACAGATGCTGGAGCGCGACCCCAACAAGCGTCTAGGATGGCGCCCCGGAGGCGGCGGCTTTGCCGACATCAAGGCTCACCCTTGGTTTGCAGGAATCGACTGGGACGCACTCTACAACAAGCAAGTGGTGCCACCATTTGAACCTGATGTGAGTGCCCTTCAACCACCCTTTTCGGGCCGGAGACGACCGCCCTCCGCCTGTGGCTGACGGTGTGACAGTCCAAGCGCGCCAACTTTGACGCCACTCACGAGCTCGAGGAGCTGTTACTGGAAGAGAACCCGCTCAAGGCGCGTAAACGCAAGACAGATACAGACACCGCCGCGCTCTCTCCAGAAATGCGCATGATGGAAGAACAGTATGTATTTGGCGGGTACCGCAGTGCGCGATGGTTGCTGACCTGACCTCGCAGCTTCACCATGTTTGACTACGCCCGGACACAGAGGCGGTCCTACTACCATCCACCGGGATCACAGCCTGGTGCCCGTGCGCGCCCCGCTGTGCCCCAGATGCCGTCACAACCACAACCTCAGTCTGCGCAGCAGGCCCTCGGTGACAATGGTCCTCCTTCACACGCTCCGTCCCCTGCGTTTGTTTCCAGCGCAACCGAGTTATCCCACCTCCCCTCACGGCCATACACCCCTGGAAGTGACCGCGCCCATACCGTCTCGCGCACGGGAGACCACATCGAGCAGCAAATCATGGAGGGTGGAGGGCTCGCCAACATTGGCTCCCGTGACTGGGCAAAGCAACTCGACCACGAACCTGTGAATGGCGATGACACAGTCGAACACAACCACAACGGTCACGGCCATGGTGCGCCCATCGTGTTGTGATCAGACGTCATTGCGTCAGCAGACATTCCATCCCCCTTTTGCCCCCCTCCCCCCAATGTTCGTCTCACGTTCGTCATTCACCCTTCAATGTTTGCCCCACCCACCTCTCTTGGGCCCTTTTCATTTGCCTCGCCATACGGAGTTCAGGAGTGTTACGTCGTTCTTCCATTTCTACTTTGCATATATAGTCGTCACCTCCCCGGAATCCCATGCCTCGCTGGCTTGACCTTTGTTTTTTGCACTGCCTACCCATGTTCTATACCCCTCCTGCCTTTCCTCCCCGGCCTACCTAACCGCCCTTGTACCGCAGGCAATAAAATGCACATGTTGGGAAGCGAAGAAGCGAGACGCACAAACGCCCAGTTGCAAGCAGCTACTCCTTTTGCATGACGTGAACATACAGTGCCTTGTTAGGTCCCACATGAGCGCGCCACGCAGATCTAGATTGTGTGGATTACGGCCCACTGTGCGCCTCCTCCTGCTTTACTGATTCATTACGGACGAGGCGTACGGCGCCTGGCGCCAGCTTACGTGTGTGTCCAAGATATCTACGGCTGGACGAGCACGGTCCACGCGGCGCGATCCGCCGGCTGCTGGACGCGCACCTCGCGTTTGTCGGCGCCCTCGCCATGGCTGACGCTGAGATGCGGGAGTGCCAGCCATCCAGCCCCGCCGACGGCGACGGCGTCGATCCGTACGTCCAGGTTGCCATTGGCCGGGACGGGACCGACACGCGCTCCGCGCGGTCCCGACCAGACGAACCCGTCGGCGGTGTCGCCGTGGACGGCCACGTACGCCGCCGACGACGGGTGCGCGTTGGCCAGCGAGAGCGTGGCGGAAAAGGCCTCGTGGGAGCGCACCACAGCCGGCGACGCAAGTGTGGCTGTCAGGAAGGGCTCGGGCGGCACGGCCTGGAGGGCTGGGAGGGCGATGAGGGCGGTGTGTTCCGTCTCGTCGGCCGTGTCGGCCGGTCGCCACGTTGCCTTGAGGTGCGCCACGGGTCCAGGTGGAGTAGTGCGCTGCGCGCCGGCGTCCAGCTTGAACCGCGCAGCGAGGGAATAGGCCGTCATGTGGTCCCACCGCTGAGCGGGGGATATGGTGGACGGGAGCGACGAGCTGGAGAGCGTCACACCCTCAGCGGCAGGAACAATTTCGAGGGCCGAGACGAAGACGCCGCGCGGGCCTGGGACACTGAGAACAGTTGCGAGAGAGGCAGTTGCGCCAGCACGAGAGAGGGTTGGGGTAGAGCTGAACGGCGAGAGGACGGGGACAACGGCCGTCTTGGCCACCTCGGCGACAGAGACTGTGTGCTCGTCGTCTGCCTCGTCGTCGGGCCGCGTGACAGCGATGCTAATATCGACCATCTTGGTGCCTGCCCGCGGACTAACGAGATACAAGACGGTCTCGGCGGCGCCGTCAACAAGCTGCAGGTGGTGTTCCTTGAGCATGGACTCGGTCGACTCGTCGTCGAGCGATACGGTTGCACCGTCGGGTTCCGCGCCAGGCTGCAGAAGAACCGACAGCGAGAGCGCCAGGTTGGCGTCGCACGCCTCGGCGGCAGTCACCTTGAGAGTGAGTGGGAGTGCCTCGCCGACAAACGCGGCTGGCGCGTGTACGACCTCGAGGGCGACGCTGTGTGCACGGGGAGCAAACGAGACAACAGAATGGATACCGCCGAGAGGAGTAAAAGACTGGCCGTTGGTGGTCCACAGCAAGAGGCGGCGCGGGGTGAGACGAAGGTCGAATGTCCAGGGGCCTTGGGTGAGAGTGAGGGTCACGTCTGCGACGCACAGTTCACCGAGCTCGCCAACAAGCTCGCCGGTGACGACCAGAGGCCGGCCAGGCACCCACTTGAGTGCGGCCTCAACAGGGTGCTCGGCCAGCCCAGTGTCAATGGTACCAACATTGACGGCACGCGATTCGCCGGCTGCAGTGACCACAATGTCCCCTCGTGCATCGCTACAGGCGATGCGCAACGCCGTAAACTCGAGCCGAGAAATATCCACGCCAGTGGGGCTGTCGATCACAACCTGGAACGGCACGGCACCGCCGACCTGGGATTGTGCGGAGCGGAACCCGGCACGCGCCTCGAGGATCGCATCGTCGCCCACGTCGATGACAATGGGTTCAGACGTGGCAGGTGCCGTCGTCGTGAGTAGGCTGGTAAAGTCCTCAGGCAGACCGGAACGGTCTTCGGCCTCGACGCCACTGCCTGGCGCCATCATCTCAATGAGCAGGCGAGCGGCGGTCTCGACGTTGCCTGTGGCCTGGGCACATTCGTACTCGATGGCGCGAAGCTGGCGGACCATTGGGCGCCAGTTGTCGGCGGTGAACTTGCCCTCTATGCGATTAAGAGATCTGGGTGTAAGCTTTGGTAAAACGACAGTACAACGTACGTTAAAGCCAGGTCATACTGTCCAGCACCGCAGTGCACTTCGGCAGTCTTGAAGGCAATATACAGCGCGAGACGGGACTCTTCCTGGCCCTGCTCTTTGAGGAGATTGAATGCCTTGTTCAGGAGCTCAACAACAAGCGCCGCGTGGTCGATCTTCTTCTCGTTGCTGAATCCAGGTGCTGAGGCAAGTGTGCCATGTTGCTCGGCGGCAAGCGCAGCGTCAAAGCGCGCTTTGCGCTCAAGAGTGCTGCACGCCGCAGTGTAGTAGTAGAATGCGGGTGGGTGGAGGATGTGTAACGCATTGGTCGAGCTGTTCGGCAACGGGTCGTCCAAGGCTGGAACGCTCGGTGGGGGCGGGTACGTCGGTGCTGGGAGCTCGGGAATGACAAAGCCCTCGGCAATAGCCATCTCGAGCACCTCGGCCAGGATTCGGTACTGCCTCGCGACCCAAGACCAAAACTCGAACGTCTCCTCGCCAATACCCCAGCCACGGGACAGCTCACCAAAGCGGCGCAGGTGCACAAAGTATGGGACAAGCACGCGTGGACCCGAGCCCTCGTAAAGGAGCAGCTTGCAAATCTTGACGGCGACGCAATCGGCGAGCACCTTTGCCTCGGCCCAGCGTTTTGTTCGCGGAGGCATCGTTGTCGTCGAACTGAACATGCGTGCCAGTTCGTTCCAACAGTCCTCGTAATGGCGGCGTGCCAAGTCGAGCTCGCCACGGACCTCGGCAAACCAACCAGCCTTGAAGTCGTATCGAACTGTCCAGCCCTGCGGTCCCAGTGGACGCGCAGCGACAGACGCGGCTCGAGGTCGGCCCGTTTGCGGGGGTGGAGATGTGCTCTGGCCGGCGACACGTCCGCGCTTGCGACGCAGCTTCTTGCCGTGCGCGTTATAGTACTCGAGTGCAGAGTCATAAAGCGCGTCCTGGAGCGATCGCACAAAGTCGGGAAGCTCAGAAGCAGGAACAGGGGTAAGAACAAACAAGGACGCCTTGGCAGACAACGACGAGGTGCGGCGGAGATGCGACAAGCGCTGGTCGAGGCCTTGAGACTCGAGAGTCGCTGCCGACGCCATGAGCACGACGGTGAGCTTGATACCGCGCTCGCCAAGACGCTTTCTCCGGTCGGCAATCTCGCGGACAAGCGCCTCGTCTGCCTCACGCTCTGCCTCGCGCTCGGCGTTGGCAAGGACCTCTTCGCCCAATGAACTCTCGCCATGCGCACGGTAAGGCGTCTCGTACAATCGGAGGAAGAGCACAAACACGGACGGCACCAGCTCGGCGTGCTTGCGTACCCACACCGGAGCGATAAGGCCGTCGGGGTGCAGCGGTGAGCTAGGCGTGAGTGGTGAGAGGGGCGAGTGGGAGTCGTCGCCGCCGGGCTGGCCGTTGGCACCGGGCATCTTGCGCAGCGGGAGGCGCACGCCGTTGTCGACCATCATGACGCGGAAGTCGCGTCGCTGGTCTTCGGGAAGCCATACGCGAGCCGGCGCACCGAGGGGTGCAAACACACTGCGCAGATCGCGCGTCAAGGTATCAAACTCGGCGTCACGGGGGTCACTGGCGCGTGGAAGAGCCAAGGTCTCCACCTCGGGTGACATGAGGGGCAGACCGCTTGTATCGGTGCTGGGCGACACGCCAAGCGCCGGGGAGAGCGTAGTCCCTCCTGGGTTCGGGCTGAGCGGCACGGGGAGCTGGGAGGGCATTCCTGGGTTCGGACTCAGCCCCGGGTTCGGACTGAGGCCTGGATTCGGGCTCAGTGCTGGGTTTCGCGCTGCGCTGCTCGCGCGTCGTCGGGTGTTCGGGTTGAGCCCGCCGACGAACATGAGCGGCTGCGGGTGGGCGAGGAACTGGATGGTGAGCATAAACATGAGCGGGAGGTGGGGTCCCATGGACGTACCTCGAGAGGATACGAGTTCATCGTGAATGCAGCGCGTTGAGCGGGTGGGGGGGGGGGAGTGGGTTGATGAGAGAGATGCAAAGAGGAATGAACATCCGGAACGCCTGCACCTGTGCGTCACCACCTGTTCGGCGTACGGCGTCGTAGTCGGTGCCTGAATTGGCCGCCGCTCGAAGTTGCAAGATTCAGATTCTCGAGTTTTGAAAGTTGACAAACCCAACAACAGACACTCCTCCATCCCACACACACACACGTCATGGTCGCTCCAGGTGCAAAGAATCTCTGGGTCGCGGCTTCCGATGGCGACCTCGAGCGTGTGCAGGTGCGTACTTTGGCTGAAGCAGCTGAGCAATTGGCTCCACCACCCTCGATCTGCATGTTCCCAAACGTGTGCCGTTTGTCTCGGTGCGCTGGGCCGTGCGACCACACGCCCATGCTTGAGCAGGACCAGTCGCGTCTGGTTCTAGAGACCATCTGCTCCCCCATTCCCTCACTCTTGGTGTGACGCTTGCTGACACTCCAGGCTCTCATCGCTGCTGGCGCGTCGCCAAATGACAAGGACCAGCACTCTTACACTCCCATGCACGCCGCCGCTTCGTACGCGCACCTTGACCTCCTCGAGTTCCTCGTTGGCGCCGGCGGTAACGTCAACCTTCCTGACGACGACGGAGACACCCCGCTCTTCACTTGCGAGAGTGTCGAGGCCGCCCAGTGGCTCGTCGAGCACGGTGCTGACGCCGCCCACAAGAATGGCGAGGGCTTGACAGTGGGTCCTTTTCCGTTGTCGCTCCGTGCACTGTTGCTAGCGCAAACTGACCATGAACAGGCTGCCGATTCCCTCGACGAGGACCACCCCACCGTTGCCGCGTACCTGCGCTCTGTCAATGGTGCCCCAGCCCCCGCAGCCCCAGCCGCCGAGGGTGAGGGTGAGGGTGTCAACCAGCTGGCCGTGGACGAGTTTGCCGCCCGCCAGACCGCCGACCTCATGGCCCAGTCTCAGTCCATTATTGCCGAGGCGCAGCGCACTGGCACCAACCCCGACGACCTGCTGCGCGACCTCGTCCAGCGTGCCGTGCGTGAGGGCTTTTCGTTTGGCGGTGACATTGGCGACATGGCTGGTTCCGGCCCAGACGTCGACGAGGAGGCCCACAAGCGCGCCCGTGGGGAGTAGACTGGTTGCCCGGGTGATGTCTGTAGGTGATTCCGGGTTAATATAGATGTATCATACACACATGCCACTGAGCAGCTGGCCGCAAGCGTCCACCGTGTTGGACACTGACCTGACCATGTTCCTGGGGGCCATACTTAGTACACTGTGGTCCAAGATCGTGTCGTCTGCAAGCCCTAAATGGAATCAACGACGTATTGTTAGGGTGTCAGCTGGCGTGTGTCCGATGGAAGGTAAGGAACGTGAAGAGGAGGGCATCAGGAGGTTCCTCAGTGTCGGCTCCAACTCCAAGGTAGAGAACTGAGAACATGGCGGTGATAATAACCGGCACTATTTTGCAATTGCAGCCAAGCGCCAGCACCGTTGACGCAAAACTGACAGCGGTGAGAGCAGACAAGCCCACGAAGACATGTGAATGTGGCGGGATCGGCGATTTCGACGCCCAGTCAATCCGCCAACAGTCCCACCAGTCCACAATCCCAAAAATGACTCCCCACCTTCCTCCTTTGAAGACAGGAAGGAAGAGGGGCTCTCACAGCAGGTCCGACTGGGAATCGAACCCAGATTACAAGAACGATCAAGACAACACTCGTCGGGAGGAGGAGGAGGATGAGGATCAGAATCTTGTGTACTGACCGTTATACGATCAGACCCCGATGGTGGCTTCTTCGAGGGTACCAGGAACTTCTGGAGGTCTTGGGGGTCGATTATCTGCACAGGAGTGCGGGCCCGTTGCCTGCTAAGGATTGCAGAGGGTGTCTGGTGCGAGGAAAACTCGGCCCTGCCCCCGGGAAGAGAATTTTGCGCTGGCTGTCACGAGAGTGGGCCTTGATGACACCTAACGGGCCTGTAAGGCTATACAACGTAAGGGCAGCATTTCTTGAGTTCACTCTGGAGCACCCCCGTGTCCTCCTCAAAATGAAAGTCCGGAAAAATGCACCAAGGCGGCAAGCCGACGAGACACACCGGCCATAATGTCCCGATCCTCTTCCTCGCCTTCCCTCCGTTCCTCCTCTGCTTCCTGCTTCAAAAATGAATGCTTCTGATCACTCAGAAGCAGCTCAGCAGGTCCGACTGGGAATCGAACCCAGATTACAAGAACGAGAGACAATAGCAGGGTTGAAGACTACTACGTACAGCCAATCAGAATCTTGTGTACTAACCGTTATACGATCAGACCGACATGTCTGTGTTCTCTGCTGCTTTATTCTCGAGCGTCTGCACTCCTCTGTTGACAATGATCTGACCTGGGAACGACTGGGGCCCGCTGGCGAGCAAGGGCGAGACGACATTGGTCCGGCGGAGGCATGAAGAGGAGGTGGACCCTGGTGTGGGGTCACAAATTCGGGGGCCCGAACTTTGCACCCTGGTACCCCCCCCAAGCACTGTCTTTGCCGTCCTCGAGATGCTGGTGATGATGGCGAGCTGGAACATGGAGTGCACAGAACATGCGGGGAACCAAGGTGGATAGAATCTGACAGGCTGATATCGTCGGCAGAGTTGGACCAGTCGCCTGCCACAACTGCCACATTCAGTTTTGTGGCACAACTACCACCTCTCTTACGTGATTCCGAACTCGCCTCTGCCCATCCCTCATACCAGGCTCCGTCTCATTTATATATCGAGCAGCGAAGCCGGCCTCCAGCCACTATCTCCAATTCGGGGATGTCGTCTAGTGGTAAGACACAGACTTCGCATCCAATCCTCAATCCTCTCCACCTCGTCCTCGAGCTTGGAGAGACGAGGGCGACTGTCTGTAACCGGTGTTCGATTCACCGCATCTCCAGCTCCTTTTTAGGTTCTTGCAAGAGTCTAGGACGGTCACAGACATCTACAAATGCTGCGGGGAGGTGTCTGGGAACAGGTCTGTCCATTGCAAACGACCGACCGAGGTTCTTCGTGGCACGGCACACGCACGCACGGAACGCTGCTTGGTGATGCCGGGATCTCAAATCCCCCACCATCTCCAATTATTTTGGCTCACACACAGGCACACGATCTCATGATCTCCCTGAAACCCGGCCGCGTTCCAGGTGTAACCGTAGTAGCCATCTGGTGGCACCCGGAGGTGGCGCGGAAGTGGCGCGGAGCGGAGCAGATCGTCGGCCCCCGAATGCGCCGAGTGCCAGTGAGCAGTGGCACACGGATGTGTGTAGACACGACGACGTGTCGTGGGAGCAAAGAGTTTTACAACGTGGAGTGTGTACTGAGTACAATGCTATGCAGAAAGAAGAGCTAGATAAACCATTAGGTGAGATGGGGGACGAGATGGTGGCGCCAAGATGTGATGGCGTGTGTGTGTGTGTGTGTGTCGGGGGGATGCTATGGACGAGTATGGCACGGTTGGCCTTTCCGGAAGGGCAGATCTACTTGATGTACGCAACCATGCCGATGGCGATGACCTTGAGGATCGCGGACATGAGGCTCGAGAACCACGCCGAGGTCACTTGTTCAATGGCAAGACCGGCGAGGGCTCCAGAGACAAATGTCGCGAGGTACACGACACGCAGGTCGCGTACGCGCGAGCGACCCCAGAAGAACAACTTTGGGTCAGAGAGCACGCCCACAATGACGGACGTGACCATGCCTGTGAAATTAGCAAACTAATTTCCTTGTGCAGAACGCAAGCTCGACAAACCTGTTGGCATGAGCGGCTCGATTGTGGTACCCATGACGATCTGGGGACCACCCTGGACGGCGGCCACGAGCATGGATATCCATTCGTAGCTCCCATACTGCTGCAGCTGAATGGGTGCGCTGGGAGACACCATGAAGGAGAACAGGAACAGCAGGATAGTCTGGTAGACGAGCGAGAAGAGGATCCAGCCGCGCTTCCGGTGTCCTGGAGGAACGACGTCAGCCACAAACTAAGACCCGGTGGCCACACTTGGCCCCAACTCATGCAACTCACCACACCTGGCGCCGAGCTGGCCAAACACAAGACCAGCACCGACAAACCCGGCCATGGACGTTGCCGTTAGCGTGAGCTTTCGGCCCCTGTGGTGTGTCGCCAGCGCAAGGAGGATAGTGTTACCTGAAGGAAAAAAAGAAAACACCCATGTCAGCGCGACTGTTGCCATCTCGCCACTCGGCCGTGTCTCAGATCCGTCGCCTCCTTTGCGTCCATGTTTGAACGGTGCCGCCCCAAGGGCACGGATCCACGGATCCACGGAAACATACCGGTTTGGTTGGTCGCAAAGCATGAGTACTGGGTGTGTGGTCAGCGCAGCCGCGCGCAGTTGCCAGCGTGCAGGTGCTGCGGTGTACCTACAATTGAAAGCATGATGCTGTCGAGGAGACTTGTGCTAAAGCTCACGACAAGCATGGCAGGGACAGCGGCGCTTGGTGCAATCTCGTCCGACAGCCAAGCGCTCCACCCCTTACGGGCGCCTCCGGCGAGTTGCCACTTGTTGTTGTCGTCGTCGTCGTCGTCGGCGCCGGTGCGTACGCGGATGGGGTGCGGGGGCTGGTTGGTCTCTGCCTCGGTGGCCAGCTCGCTGCGCTCGTTGAAGACCTCGGTGCTGGTCAAGGACGTTTCCGAGGTCGCGTGCGCCATTCCGCTTATGGCGTCGGCGCACCCACACTTGCACCGACAGGGTGATCCCTGTGGGGAAGAGGGAAGGAGCCTAGCCTGTTCGGCGTCGGTTGCCATCGTGCCATAGTTGGACCCCGCCATGGTCGTTGGTTCGCAAAAAGGTGTACGCGCAAAGAAGGAGGTGTGTGTTGGGGGGGTTAGACGTGAGAAAGAAGAAGAGAAAAGATGAAAGGACGAGGAGCGTTGGGTTATCTACCTGAGCGCAGAGAGCAATGGCTCACAGCAATGGGCGTGTCTTGGCTTGGCTGCATTTGGCTCCGGCGCAGAGGACGAGCTCGGACGAGCTCACAGATCACATTTGACGGCCCGTTTTTTTGTCTTTCCATTGCAGATCGCCCCTTTTCTCGTGATCTCGTGTGGGGACGTGGGGAGAGAGGGACCGGCAATGTGTTGCTCCTGCTCTTATTACCCCGCAATGCGCTCACGTTGACACGTTATTAGCGTGTTATTGGCGCGCGATAGTCGCGATAGCTTGCGTTGTTTGCGTTGCCAGTGCCAAGAGCGTTGGTGCCGTTGCGCGCGGTTAGGTCACCTCCCTGGCCCCGGCCCTGGCCGCCTGGCGCGAGGAATGGTGCGTGATCGGACCCGTAAATCGCGAACGATGACGCCACACCCGACAATACAAATTGACAAAAAAAGGACTAATTCACCGCCCTCCCCAATACAAATCTCGGTTCAACCGACTACAAATCGCTTACAAAACTACAAATATCAGCCGACCGCAGTCGAGAAAGCCCAGCGCTTGGACGGCCAGGATCATGGTACACGGCATAATGCATGATGGTGGAGTGATACATGCCCACCAGGGGCTAACAGAGTGTAGATATCTATGTGGATATGGCTAGTGTGGGCAGTTGCAGAGATGGGAGGGTCGCACCTGCCAAGCCCGGGCAATCCGGAAATAGCAAAGGCTGTGACTGCCTCGCAACTGTTCCCCGTTGAGTGTCTCGTTTCTCGTCGTTGCCGAGAACGTATGTCTAGTTGTTTGTTTTTGGAACGTCTCTACCATGCGCTGAACGCCTTGAAACCCAGTCCGTAGATGATGGACTCAAAGTCCCTGAGGTTGTCGTACTTGTCCCAGTTGACAATCTCAAAGGGGCTCTGGCGCCAGTCGGGCTGGACGGGGCCACCAGGTGGTGGGGGCTTGGGCGGCTCGTCCTCGCCGTTCTCCTTGGCAACGGCAACAGCAGCCTCCCACCCCTGCATGACCTGCTTCATCTTTTGCTCCTCCTCGGTGTGACGGCGCTCGTCGGCGTCGTGACGAGCGGGCTCGCGCGCATCCACATAGTCAAAGTCGATGCAGAGGGCCGAAACGACACCGCCGTGGTAGCGGGCCTTGGCACCGCGTTCGCGTGCGGCACGGCGCATGATCATCTCCTTTGCAGGTGCACGTGCAATACCGTACTCGTCGGCGTCGGCAAGCATGTCGTTGTCAATGTCGCCGAGACCGCGGCGGTCGTCGTCGTTGGGCCGTTCGAGTGGCTCGCCAAGACGAGCCGTGGCCGGGGTGGCGGGGAAGGTGTCAAACAGGGGCATTTGCTTGGTCTGTCCCCAGGTAAAGCCAAGACCCACACCCGATGGGATCTGCTTGAGGAGGTTGTAGTGGACAAACAGCGGGGCGCCCCATGCGTCCGACTGCATCATGGTGTGGCAGCAGAAACCAGTGGCCGAGTCACGGGGCAAGGCACCACCTCCGACCCAGCGTCCGGGCACGCCGTAGCGCTTGCGCAGGGACAGAGTGGCCCAGCGGAAGATGTCCTTGTCGCCGTCCGAGAACATGTAGAAGCGTTCGTGACCCTCCAGCATGTACTTGCTGAGCAGGAGAATGTCCATGTTGCGCTTCTTGTCGATAAAGATCTGGCCGGCCTCCATCTCCCACTCGTTGCGGCACTTGATACCCATGAGCGCCCAGACGGGCGAGCCAGCCGACGTCTTCCAATAGTCTTGAGCGGTAAACAGACCCAGACGCTTGTACACTGGCGACTCGAACATGTACTGTGGGTCCGCGGCAGGGATCGAGTCCGAGTCGAGGTACAGGACGTGACGGTACTTGCACTGGATCATGGCAATGGCCTTGAGGTGGTACGACTTGCGAGCGTTGCGGTCCTTGGTCTGGCCCTCGACAGCTGTGAGCTCGGCGTTGAGCTCCTTGAGCTGTTCGCGAATCGGGTCGTCCTCGGCGGGGGCCTCCTCGGGGAAATGGAAGATCTGAACGGGAAGCACAGTGCCGCGCTTGCGCATGACCTGGATAGACCAAACGGCGCGCTGGAGCGTGTCGGCGTTACCAGCGACCATGACGATTCCGTGGCCTTCCTCTCCATAGTCGTTGAGCGTGGGCGTGTCAATGAGGGCCTCCATGTGCTGGATGAGTTCTTCGCGCAGGTCGTGAATCGACGACCTGTTAAACGTCATCCAGGCGTTGGAGTGCGTTTCCAGCATGTAGGACCCATGCTGTGGCTTGATGGTGGAGCATTCCTCCAAGTTCCACTGCATGAAACCACCCAGCTCGACCTCGCCTTCGACCTCACCGCGGCCGCCGGGGGAAGCGCGCCAGGCGTCTAGGCGTTGACGCAAGGTCGCAGTGACGGGCAAGGGGTCGGACGCAATGTCAATGGCACGCTTGGAGGGACCGCCGTAGAAGGGGGAGTAGTCGGAAGGCTTGGGCAGTTCGTCGCTCAGAGGCGGGAACTCCAGTGGCTTGGGCTGGACAAAGTCGCTGGACTCGCTGGACGCTTCTTCTTGCAGAGGGGCGTCATGTGTGGGTGTCGTCGGTGTGGACGGGTCCTGATACTGCGTTGTGGACGGGCCAAATGCATACTATGCGAAAGTCAGTGTGCGGTTCCTTGTTTGCCAAACTCACGCCGCGGTCGTGGGCATACACTAGCAATGCCAATGACAAAAACAAGGTGAGGCCAAGGATACGCCGCAGCCCGGTGCGGCCACAGAGTCGGGCACGCACACGCGCCCAACCTGAACCCTTGCCGTTGTTGTTGTTACTACCATAGTGGTAGCCGGCCTCGAGCATGCTGGGCGAAGCCGGCGGCTTGGAATCTGAATAGGAGGACACGAGCGTGCCGCTGTCTGAACTGGCTGGGGATGAGGACGAGTAAGGTGAACTCGGTCGCGAGTCGTTCAACGATAGAGTGGGCTTCATCGAGCGGGGAAGAGACGCGTCGATGGCCTCTTGCGGAGACGACGAGACGACGAGAGGGAAGGGAAGAGAGTGGACGAGTATGTCGTCGAGCGATGGCACTGCTGAACGTCGTGGGAACAACACAGGTGTCGCAGGCTGCTGTGGTAAGGTCGGTGAGACAGTGCGATTAGAGACGGGGAATGAGGTGGTCGGAAGGGGGGTGGGCACGACGGGCGCGTGCTTTTTACAGTAGCTGGGATGGGGGACGAGAGATATGGTACATGAGAGAGAGAAGCATCGCTGCTGCGAAGAGCGTGGTCACTGCGTAGCATGGTCGCAGCAGGACGACGCGCGCGGGGGGTGGTTGCTGTTTTGGTGGTGGGGTGGGTGCACAGTTACGGGGGGATGGGCAAAGGGGCTCTGTGATCCGACAGAGTGACCTACGCCGCTCCGCCGCTGCTGCGTATCTAGGGGCCCACTGCCCAAAAAACAGAGTTGCCAGCCGGTCTCGGCCCTCGTTTGTACCTCTCCGCTGCTGCTGTTGCTGCTGCTGCTGGCTGCTGCCGTCGGAGCTGGCGGTGCATAAGGGGAGGGACGCAGGGGGGTGGGGGGTGAGGGGCCCGCTGGCCTGCGCTGGCGCTGTTCTCGCCATATGCACGGCCGTCCACTAGATGCGCCAGATCGAAATAGAACGCAGTCATCGAAACAGGTTTTCTTGCACCAAGCTGCGCGTCTCGCAGCCTGGAGACATCGCTATACCGCTGCGTGCACGTTTTGCAGGAGACGCAGGCGCAGCAGCATGTCTGGGCCTCAAGCCTTCACGCCTCCTCCCTCAGGTAGTAAGAGTAGCAGGTGGGGCCGTGCTACGTCAGGCTCTCGTCTCTCTACTGCAGACGTATTCAATGACGCATCACCATACAATGCGCGCAGTCACTTTTCCGTAGTAGTAATTTCCCGAGACGCAAAACGTCACAACCTACTGCACGCGCTAAACGAGAGCGGCAGCGAGCGCGCGGGTGGATCGCATGTGTCCACCTGGGCACCTGAAGAGTGCGACTGCAACGGCGGCCTGCGGGTGACGCACGTGTGCTTGCATGGAGTGCGTAGTTTGCGTATGTGCTTGTCGTGAGAGCGCGCGAGTTGCGTGCGTTTCGCATCTGCACAGTCTGGTACACGCGTCCACGTCTCCGTCCACTGAAGTCTGCTGGCTGTAGCTGGCTCTGTTGGCCGCTGGCTGCTGTGGCACTGCTTGCAGCTTGCTGTCCGCTGCGGCCACCTGTTGTTAGTGTGTCGATGGCTCGGCGCCATCGGGGTTCTGGCAGTTCTGAAACACAGCTGCCCAGCCACTCGCTTCGACCTATCGCGATCTAAAGGCCGATCAATGACTACGCCGAGAGTGTAGTCCTCCGGTGCTGCACACCTGTGCAAGCAGTGCCGGCCGCAGTAGCTCCACAACAGCGCTCACTGCGGCGTACGCGCGGCGCGGGGGCCGCCGTCAAGGAGGCAAAAGCAAAGCCTCTGGCCTCTGGTTTCAAAGGTTCGAGCTCGCGTTCGGAATTCGGAAGCAGATCGGACACGCGGACCCTAAGCGGCCGAACATTCAAAAATGGCTCTGCGCTGCGCTGTGGCACAAAGGTCAAAGGATCAAAAGAGTGCAATGTGCAAAATGTTGCTAGGTGCGCCATGCATGTCGGGCGGCGCCAAAGCCACCCATCACCGCACGGTCGATACGCAGCGTCAAGCTTACAAGGAGCACTTGGACCATTCAGAATAACGACGAGCTGCCTAGGCTATTGGTTACGATGTAGGTAGAAGGTAGAGGCGATCCAGCCATGCGCACTCAATTTCGTGCGCGCAACGCGTTGCCGCCAGGAAATTGAGGATGCAAGACTCTGCACATCGTTAAGTCGCGTGCAAGGCCATTCCCATTCCAACTGCATATGTTCTTCTGCTTCTCGGCGATATCGTGCATGGCCTGCTTGATGAAGCTGCGTTTGTCGTCGCGGTCTTTGCAGCAGCCAGTACCGCCTTTGACAGAACACAATGTAATTTGTGCCCGTAGAAAAAATATTTTTGGTGATTTTTTGTTTCTCGTTAATTGTCACGTTTTAAACCAACGTGGACTGAACTGTGGTCCATGTTCTGCCCTCCTAGCAAAATTTACATCACCATAACATGGCAGTCGGTAGAGGCCAAAGGCTGAGGGGCATTGTATATGTATGTGCACACCCCCATCCACAGCGCGCATATATTAATAGGGCTACTTTTCTACATAATCTCCCCGTCTCCGAGGCCGTCGAGTGCTGGGTGCATATGTACAGTACATACCAGCAGCCGATTGTTGGGCAGTGCCAAAGATCCACATCTGTGCACACCTCCATCCACGGCGTGTCCACATTACTGGGGCTTCTTAACTTCTTTCTCTGTCTCGGTGGAAGTCGAGGGCTGGGGACCAGCGACCCATGGGAAAGGGGGTGGCACCATGCGGCCGCGCCTGGCCCTCTTGGGGGGAGGTCCGTTGTATGTTGAAGGCGCGTCGAGAGCGGACTTGATGTTGCTCACGACCGCCTGTCCACCACGTTTGAACGACTCCCCAATGGCCAAACGGTTCTCCCTGCGGTAATCGCTGCCCCGGTGCCAGAGGGCGGCGAGTGCCTCGAGCGTAGGAATGCCGCGGCGCTTGCCCCACTCGAGGAAGCTGTCACCGAGGCCGACGGCTGCCCAAGATGTAGGTGGGATTGGCAGGCCCCAGAGGATCTTGACCACCTCCTCCATGTGTGGAGCGAGCGGGGCAACCGGGCTAGCAGTCGTCGACGGCAGACGAACGTTGGCGACGTTGACCGTGCCAAGCATGGTGGCGCTGCCCGCGTTCAAGTCGGTGAAGGCGACGGACTTAAGTGCCAGCGAGGATCCGGGGTCGCGACGCACGAGCTCGAGGGCCGTCGGTGAGATCTTGGTGCCGGCGTGGATGCAGCTGGAGATGGGGAGCCACTCGCCTTCGACCTGCTTGATGTCAGCGAGATGTCACATGAGGAGAGATGGTGCCACTTACGAAAACGCAGAGGGTCCAGTAGAGAGTGTTGGCGGCGTTCTCGTCTTGTGCCAGCCAGGAGAGGAGGTGCGCCAGCGTGCAGCACCCGCCGTTGTTCCACAAGCCGCCGAGTTGCTCTTGAATGACATCGTACGTGTCACTGACGGTCGCTTGGTGACGGCGGTGATCTCCCTCCCTTGTCTTACGTGCCACAAAGGCAGTTGCTTCGTCGCAGACCAAACCCACGACACGCACGTGAATGGTACCCTCGCGACCACGACGCTGCCAGCAGAGGTCGCCCTCGACTAGATGAGTGACACCGACAATGCCCTTGCCCTCCGTCTGGCGCGCACGCACGGCCGACTCGAGGCCCCTGGCAAGCTTGTTGAGATAAACCAGAATACCGTTCCTCGAGATTGGGGGAGTGTCGGACGGGGGGGACGAGGCGGCAGAGCGCGAGATGGCAAAGATGATGGGCTGTGCCCAGCGGTTGATGTTGGCGTTTACCCCAATGTTGCTCGCGGGAACCAAGTCGCGCGTCATGCGAGAGGTGTCGGCACTGGCATACTTGCCGCCCACCCGGATCGTGAGAGAGAGCGCAGGGACGTCTTCTCTGGATGATCAGCTTGGTTTTGAACGATGACGTGACTTACCGGCGGTGGTGATGTCGGCGTCCTCGCCATCAAATATGACGGCAAGGAAGTCGGGGGCAGGAGAGAGGGGCTGGTCTCGGTGGGCATACCATCCTTGGAGGAAGATGCAGAGACGGGATTGCCTTTGCGTCATTTCAAGATAGTATGTGAGGTCATTCAGGTGGCTGTAGGTAGCCGACCTGGCCGCTGTTGGTTAGCCAGTGGCTGCAAGTTTCACTCACAAGCTTGGCAGTCTACAGTGATAGGGACGAGGGAAGGCTTGATGCTCTTGAGCTCAGTTAGCTCGGCGATTGCGGCCGCCGCGTCTAGTGGGAAGGCCTGGTACGCAATGGACACGCGAACGCAACCTCCGTGGGTGTCAGAGTAGGAGATTGGGCGAGCAGGAATGCCGTCCAGCTTGGCGGCGACAGCGCCGGCATACGCCTGGCGGTAGTGCACTGGGACTGTCAGTGATTGTGGCAGGCGATCTTCAGGACATACTCAAAGCGTTTGCTTGACCAAGTGCGTCTGCCAAACGGGTCCGAACGTCCGCGTTCTCGGCTGGGACGGGGGCGAAGCGAACCTTGCGCAGGTCGAACGAGGCGGGTGAGTTGAAACCGCCAGGCGCTGTACATTTAGCGTCGTTTCTCGCTGATACGCTTACCGTCGCGGAGCTTGAGGGGGTCATGGTGCTCGGTCCAGACGATCACATCGGCTGGGAGTGTTAGGAGAACCACTGAGAAGGTCAATGTGAACGTACCTCGCAGCCCATCACCAAAGGGAGCAGACGGAGCTGCACGCTGAAGCAGGTCATTGTCGTTTCCGCCTTCGCGCGGTTCACCATCTTCGTCATCTCCGTCGTGCCCATGTTGATAATCGGGGTGGGGAAGGGGGAGAGCGTATGCAACGTTGGCAAAGTCTTCGAACGAGCCGCCACGCTTCTGGAGGTGCTCGTACTCGATGACCTTGACGGAAAAGTCGTCGTCAAGCTCGACGGGGAAGCGGGGAGTTAAGGAGGACTATATGCCATCAGCGTTCACTGTGGAGTGGCTGTACAAGAGGCTTGCACTGACCGACGAGGAGCCTGCGGCCGGAACGGAGAGTCCACTGGGGTGTGGATGGGTGAGTGGGGAGATGTTGTGTTTTCAGGTGGGTGGTGAAACGAAGGTGAAAAGAAGGGAGTCGGGAAGAAATGGTAAAGGAGAGCCGCAGGCCTCAGAGGCGCAGAGGACAAGAGTGAGGGGGGCGGGCGGTTGGGGCGATGGGATGAGCTGTGCAACCTCCACCAAGTTTTGCCCCAGAAGGACGGGCGCGAGTGGAGCGTGTGCAGCAGAGGCGTGTGCGCGTGTGCAGCACACACGCCTCGCGGCGTTGTTCTTATAGCGTGTGTCACATGAGGCTAGTATGCGTGACCTCGCAACGCGCACAGCGCCCTTCAATGCCCAACAGCTCTGCGATCTGCGAAGAGCAAAGGACCAGGCTTCTTGGATGTAAAGCCCGACGCGGAGCAGCCTGTTCAATGATCAGTGAGTTTCGGCGACGGCCACGACCTGTGCTACATGCAAAGCGAGGATGCCTGACATGTTCCATCACCAGGGAGCACGAGGCTATACATCGATAAACTTTATCTTCTACCTGTGTTCACAATACAGTATGTATGTAAAATTCAGCCGCCCACGCCTGACAAGACAACTACGGTAACGTTCGCCTCATTGCTGCGGCCAGCCACATTGACAGTCGCCTCCATGTGTAGTGCGTGCTCGAGGTCGTTTTACAAAGTGTGCCGCTCAAGCACATACTGCAACGTCCCTTCCATTTTGATGACCGCAGCGGGTGGGACGTTGCAGTATGTGATTGAGCAGCACACCTGGCAACGCCACTAGCTCCGTCATGTTTGAGGTGTTCGATCACAGAGTTGCCGGTATATTGGCCATAGCCCTCGAGGTATTCCCAGTTGGCCTCCATGGCGTCCGCCAGCGAATTGTCACTGGCAATTTCGACGTTGAAGATGTCGAAATTGCGCTCACGTCTGCGCGTGGGGCTGGTCGGGGTGTAAAAATCAACCGCCTGATGAGCGAAATTTGCCAGGGGTACGCAATGAATGACATGGTGATGGCCGATGACCTGGACGTTGAGGCATTCGGCGTGCTTCAGGAACGTGAACAGATAGTAGCTGAAGCGGTCCGGACGACCCGTCTCAGCCCCGGCCTCTCACCCGGGGCAGTGTATGTGACGCAAAGGGTTTCGAGAGAAAAAAGGAGCTCGAGGAGGCGAGCCATGCCGTGGTCGACGTCCGTGCGAGCAGGATGGTCTTGACGGTGGCCATTGGGGGTGTTCCATAGGGCTGAAACTCCCTCAAAGAGACCCGGAGCGAGAACAAGGTGCTTGAGAATAAGGAGTTGACCTGATCGCTCGACAAGGTTCTCCACAGTGCGAACAAATGAGACCAGACCTCCAGGAGACTCGATGGTGACGCGAGATCCAATCCACGCCTGCAGGCAGGTGACGGGTGGGTAAGGTACGCTTGGCTGTGAGACAGTCGTCTGGTTGAACTTGTGCGCAAAGTGGTCCATGTAGATGGGAGAGGCTACGGCGGATTGAGCCTGATTGACCTGGCGGTAAAGACCAGGGACGTCGGCGTCGACCTCGGCCACGTAGCGCCAAAGTTGAGGCAGTTCTGGAGCGGTCAGCCATAAAGGTGGCAAAGAGACCAGACACGGTACTTGCCTTGAATCAAGTCGTGCAGGAACGTGTCCGTGCTTGTGGTGTCGCTTCCACTCGCAACAGCGGTTGGGAGCGTGGTCATCTTGCAAAGAAGGTGGTAAGGTGGTAAGATAGCAAGAGGTGGAAATGGTGCAATGGGAGGGGGATTTGTGGAGCTCGGAACTCTGGTCTCGCTACTTTGAACGAATCGCCAGAGTCACATTTCTGGTGCGTGACGTCTGGACGAGGAGAGACCTCGCAGCCGCACGAGGCGTGTGAACTAGGGGAGTCCTTCCGCATTTTGGAAGCAACGCGTCGGGACTACCAAGGATCCGACGATCCGAGGACACGGGTACAGGGGCACAGGGGCCTTCAGAAGCTTAGAGGACTTTGAGCCGCCCGTGTCAGTCACTCCTTCTGTGATCTGTGCACTGCATTGGACACAACTTCGGATTGTACAAACCCAAGAACAGCCTTGTGGCACTGCCACACTTCCCAACACGTCCAGCACTGATGGCTCGGATACAACATACACGCTATCACACCGGGCACCGTGCACTGCTCGTCCAACGCAAATGGTACATACATGCTTGGCCACGCATATTTGTACACTTATGTAACAGTACACACCTCCAAATTCCCCACTGCTCCCACCTGGACGATAATGGCACATGCCTGGTGGTAGTTAGCAACAATCCTTCCAGCTGCGGGAGTGTGACTTACCGCAGCGGCCATAGTCAAAGTGGTTCTCGTACGTGCATGTCGGGAAGTTCCACGTGCAGCCTGTGGCGGGGATGGAGAGCGAGGCAGCGGCAACCACCGCCGCGCCCGGCGTTGGGCTGGCGACGGCGGTGGAGTGGCGACGAGCCGGGGCGGGAGATGGCGACCTGGATTCCCGCATGTCGCTGAGGTCGATGAGCTCTGCACCGCTGCCGCCGGACGGGAACGACGAGGGTCGGGCTCGGGAGGGGCCAGCAACGGCGTTGTCACTGGTGCGAGCACTCTTGAGGGGAGTGTCGCTGACAGCGTCGTCCTCGTCGTCGCCCAGCTTGCCGCGCCTACGCTTAGCCCGGCGCGAGTTGGTTTGAGCCGAGCGGTTAGCGTCGGTGGCGAACTGGCCAGCAGCCTCCGCAGCCTCGTCCAGGTCGCTGTCTTGCCCGAACTGGAAGTGCGTCCACCTCCACCAGCCACCGTTGTCGGTGGGGCCGCGGTGCTCTTCCTCGCTCTGGCTGTTAGTGAGTGTCGGTGAGAGACTAAACCCACCACGAAGCCGAAGCGGCGCACATCCTTGCCAAAGTTTCGCCAGCCCGCCGCGGTGCCGCCACTGTCGTGTGTGAGCTTATGCAACCTGGTGAGGACGTGAGGACATTCAGCTTACAGGAAGTGCTTGTGGAACGCCTCCTTGTGAACGCGGACCGTGCGGGGGGTCTCAGCCCACAGGATGGCGCGCTTGGACGGGTGCTTGTCCTTCTCGGCATTGATGGCGCCGAGGAGAAGGGCGAGCACCTTGCGCGCGGTGTCCACCGTCTTGGCCGTGCGGCGATCGGGCGCGTCCGACCGCTGGACAGGGCGGTGGATCTTGCGAACCGAGGCGAGGTCGTTGGACAGATTTGGGTGGTCCATCTTGACCTCGAAACGGTCGTCCTTCTTGCCGCGCGTAAACTGTGTTTGGGTCAGCCGGCGAACAGCAAACCACAGATCGGCCACAGACACGACGCACCTTGATGCCCATTTTCTGGATATTGCGGCGGAAGGCGTCCCAAGGGTTGCTGGACTTGGAGGACATCGTCTCCCTTCAAGCTTGTCAGTCTTTGCAAACATTTCTCGAATGTGGTACACGCACAGCCACTCCGTGAACCTCGCCTTGCTCAGAACGAGAACGCCTGTTCCTTCCGCCCAGGAGACGAAGCGCTCTTGGCGAGGGAGCGTCGCCTGCGAGACCGCCAAGTCGTAGAGGTGTTCTATCCACGGCTTGCTGCGGTCGACGTGCGTGCGCTCGTACGGCCACCTCGGAGGGGGGACCGGCTCGCCATTCGGCTTGAACATGCCATACTTGGCAATGGCCGCGATCTTGTCCTTCTCCGCTTGGACGTAGGCGATGGCAGCTGCGAGCCTCTTCTCCTCGAGGGCTGCCTTGTCAGCAACAGATCGCTGCCGCTTGGAGGGGGTACTCACCCTTGTCCTCCTCAATCTTTCGCACAGCCGCATCCATAGTGGCCAGGCTGAAAACCGAAATAGGCTGGTCCAGGCAAGACAGCTTGGGGATGTCGAGGGGGTGTGGGGGTTCCATGGTAGATTAAGTTGGGTGGATAAAGGTGGGTGTATGAAGGTGGGTGGATAATGGTGGGGTGGGTGGAGTGGGTGGGGTGGGGAGGTGGGGCTGAACGCAACTGAAAGAAACTGTGAAGCAGTCAGAGATCGCGGTGCGGGTGGTGGTTGGGGGGGAGGGCGGTGGCGATGCTGGGGCGCGGTCCGGTGATCTCGTACGACGACTTAGAAGTCACAAAAGAATCGTTGCTCCAACGTGTCCCATGCCCCATCGTCGTCAAGGTCACCAGTGCGCCAGTGCGCAGCCCATAGCTTCCCCCCATAGCTTCCCCCCATAGCTTCCCCCCATAGCATAGCCCAAAGTCCGTACCGGGGAGGGGGATCGGCGTGGGGGGGGGGGGAGGGGCGCGTCTCTTGTGCCCGCGGACGGACGGTGGTAACGTAGCCACGACGTGCAAGTGCACTGGGAAGCTGGGAATCGACAGAGTCACGCTCATGGTTCGTGAGGTCTGGAGGAAGAGACATTGCCAACGCTCGAAGTCGTGCCATGTGTGGGCTCAAGGGGAAGCTGTGCAGAATGTGATCGCTGTGAGCGCCAAGATCAGAGGATCAAAAGACACAGGTTCTCGGAAGCTCAGAGGACTTTGTACACCGCCTGTTATCTGTACTAAAAAAAAAGAAAAAAGGCTTTTACCCTTGGCCCCCTGTACCGCTGTACCGCTGTGCCGCCTAGCCTTCTTTGTGCACTTGCTAAGACGCGATGCATCAGTCTTCCCCGGACAGGACCTGGGGGTTCACAGATCACAGATCACAGAAGAGTCGAAGAGCATCCTCTTTCCGGTGCCACAATAGCCGTCGATAAACAATGAGTGCGAAGTCCAGTCATCCCGCACCAGCCACACACCGGGCGTCGCGCTGACCCACTGGCCACTGGAAAGCCCCACGCTCACCACTGCGCACACGCATAGGGCGCTCTCTCCGTTCTCACGCATATGTCACACGCCCAGTGGCGCGCCAGTGGCAAGAGGTTCTGCTTTCTTTCAACTCCTTTCACCTCCTTTCAACTCCTATCACCTCGCCAACAGTCACTCTCTCTCTCTCAACAATCACACCCCAACATGGCCATCGAGTCAACAGAGATCCTTACTCAAATGGATCCGAAAGAGTTTAGAGCAAACACTCTGAACTACAGGTATCTTGACACTACCTCCAAGGCCGACAAGGCCGCCGTTGTCGTCAATGTCGATGCCCAGCTAGCTGCCAGTGACGCCGAAGCAGCGCTTCAAACCCTTCTTGCCCTGACCGGCAAGTCGCAAGCAATCCTTTTGGGCGGTGTGGAGCCCACCACAAAAATCCTCAACTCCACCGTCCCGGTCATCAAGGACTTGCCAGTCTACCGGATCCTTGACGATGTCAGGTGTTCAAGCTTGCCTCCCTCGGATCCAAGCTCTATCGCATTCCTCCCCCTCTTTACCCCTTGGTTTAACCCAGACGAGGTGAGAGATGACAAGGTCACCGCAACGCTAACAAAACATAGATCAAGACACGCATCGCCGCCATCTGTGACCTCTTCATTGAGCACACGTCCGGCTTGGTGATCCCTTCACCAAACTTGATCGTCAACTTGTGGGATGAGCTCCACCAGTCTCGCGACTTCGAGCTCCAGCCCACCACCGTCCAAGGCGTTGTCATGGACATGTCTCCCATTACAGGCATGGCCATGACTTATGCCAACGCAATGTGGAAGTCCCTGCAGACGGTGAGTGAAAATTGGTGTGACTTGACTGACTAGCAATTCAGATGGTCGACGACCGTGTCCGCGCCAGAGGACAAATCCCTCGTCCGCGTGCGACTTTGTTCCACCTGACGACGGACGTCAATGCGTTCTATTTCCCGTGAGTAACGTATCACATTTCCACCAAACCAATGGTTCTGACTGTCTTTAGTCAAGGTAACCACGGTATTCAAATGGAAGAGCTCAACGACGACGAGCAAACCGAGGTCCTCAAGTACGCAAGCGCTGCACGATCGGCAGGTACACCACTGCGCACGGTGGCGAGCATGGTTCTCCGCAAGCACGGCGTCCTCTTGGTCCCTCACCACGCCAATTGGCTCAGCCGCTTGCCCTCCGGCCCACTGAAGCCACTCGCGCAGAGGTACGACGACCTCCATGAGTTGCGCGGCATGTACGACCGCGAGGATGTCCACGCCCGTCTTCTCAACGACCGTCGCTTCGTGTGGTCGGCCTACAACCCCTTCCAGACGATCGACCGCGCCTGGGAGGCGCAAGGCATTCTGGATGGCACCGTCGAGGCAGATGCCCTGGCCCAGAAGGGCAACAAGGTCGGATGTTGCTACCTCTGTCGTCTGTCTGCCCCGAGGATCCGTGAATGGTCTCGTGGTGGACGGCTTTTGGTCCATCGACCCCCTCCGCAGCGACCCCACCAACCTCATCTGCTGCGGAGTCTACCTTCAGCTCGCCGAATACTTCACTGATCGTGAAGATGGTTTGGCATTCTCCCAACCCTTGGCTCCGGCCCTCCTCACGACCGGAGGCCGAACCCTTTCAATGTCATCCGAAGCGGCAGCTGTCCTGTGACAGACTGCGCTGCGGGTGACATTTACGGCATGGCATATGACGAGGATCCCATGTGCCAGTACCTCGCCGTTTGTGGATCCTGCAAGATTTACAGGCGAGAGCAAATGTCGGAACTCAAAAAGCTGGGCCAGGAGGTCATCCGCAAGAACACCGTCGCCACCATCCGCGGCACGCGCAATGCGGTCGTCCTGCAATGTGGGATGGCAGGGTGTGCCAACCGTTGCGTCGCCCACGACCGGCCTTCGGGCTCCACCTTTTACGGCGTGTATGGTTTCGTGTCGTCCAAAGGCGACAGCATCTGCCCCACTTGTTTCCAGGCTACCGGCCGCATCCGCGGTCGCAACAAGGTCGCTGGAAAGTTTGGCAGCCTCTTTGGTGGTGCACTCGACCGCAAAGTTTCGACAGCGCTGCCGACATTGTTATCCGCGCAGCATCCGAAAGCGCTTTATCCAATGACGACCTCCACAAGCGGATAGGCGAGCAGAGTGTTCACCTCACTCACAAGCTCTACCCTGGTAAGAAGGACGACTTGACCCCATTTGCCTTTTCATGTATTGACGTGGCTGCTCAGTTCCCATGGTCCCGGCGCGGCCTACTCCAGTTCATCCAGCAAAACACTCGTCGGGTTGGCGCGATCGAGTTCTTGAGCCAGGTCCAGCCCTGGAGCGAGGACGATGTGTAAGAGATACTTGGTGTAGCATACATGACCCATTCCCTACGTGACGCGCTCCTCATGCCATGCGGTTCCTTATGCCATGCGTTGAATTGCCCATTGACCGAACAGAAGCGGCGGACGGTGGCACCCCCAAGGTGTGGCGACAGCGGTTCCTGCCCCCAAGAGTTATTCAAACTCACCATCTTGAGGGCTGCGGTGGCACAGTAGTATTTTCTCCACGTCAGAAAAATTATAAAGTATCAGACACGACGCTGCCCTACTTCACAGCGCATTGTGGATCGTCTCAATAATTTTGCACGCAGGAGTGCGGATGTGTGAAGAATGTGCAAAGCCGCGCCGTCTATCATACCTGTGCTTGTTTGGTCTCCACTTTTTGAATGTACAAGACATAGAGCATAGCATGCATTTTTGACAGACTGTGTCGGAGCAGAATTGTGTGGTGTGGGAAGCCCTACGAGCTGCTGGGTCTTGGTCAATTGGGGAACACCCAAGCTGTGGCAATTGACGCAGATGGCGAGATGTTGTCCCGTGGGGTCTTCGAAGTTGGTCACGCCGAAGACGCCCTGGCTGAAGCTGTCCTCCACCTGACAGAAGCCACCACGAATGGCATTGAACAGAACGCGCCCTGCTGTCTTGATGAGGGCGCGGGCCATGCTCTTGGTGAGTGACAAGCCGTCAGCAGCGGTCAGAAACTCGCTGATCGGGGAGTGGCGGGGACAAGAGACGGACGTGTGACTGTCGACGTCGAGGAAGTCGATACTCCATTGGCCCGTGGTGAGACCAGTACCCACGATGGCGGTAGATGACAGTGGGCAGCCATATTGGCAGCAGCCGGTGATGTCGCCCGTTTTAACGAGAGCAGCGGCCCTTGGGGTACCCGCGACAACGCCGTATAACTCTCGACGCCTGTCGAGGATGATGGCGGGGTCGCAGTAGTGCCACTGGTAGCGGCGATCGTTGAAGACGCGAGAGTGAACGTCCTCGTTGTCGTACCTCGTTGCCAGATCCTGCAAGTGTTGGACGCGCTCTTCGATGGGCTGGAGAGGAGGGACCTTGTCGTGTCCCACCAGCTCCTTAAAGAGCTGTCCAAGCCAGGAGCGTTGAGGTACCATAACGCCGAACTCGGCGTGAACCATGGCGGCAACCGTGGGATGCCATCAGGGAGCTTGTCGGAGGCGTACTCTTTGATCTCCTGCGCTTCGACCGAGTCGACCTCCTCCAACTGAACGATACCCTGGTCACTGTTGGGGTCAGAACTCTGCTCAACTGCACACAATAGGCGGAAGTAAAGAAACCGCACTCACTGGAAGTACAGCTCGTTCACTCGAGTCGTGAGGTGGAACAACGACACGCGGCGTGGCGGAGTCAGACCGGCAGCCGTCATTCGTACTTTTGTGAACTACAGTTAGCCATGCCCTTGAACAAAACACACCTCTTGCAGCTGTTCCCACGTCTGAGACAGATAACCAGAGGCGCCAAGGCCACCATTGATCGGGCTGGTGTCAAAGAGGACGCCGAGGGGGATGGTGGGGTGAATGTCGAAGTCTCGGCTTCCGTATTCGTCGTCCCAGAGGTTGAGCAGCAGCTCGCGTGATGTGATGATGTTTCCGGCGGTGTGTTTGATGAACATGTCGGCAACAAGGCCCAGGCGCTCTTCAACCTTCTTGTTAGCTTTCCGCGTCCACAGCAGAACTAGCAGAACTCGCCTCGGTGGGAGTAAACCAAGGAGTCTGAGAAGCCAGGTGTGCGATGTATCCAGGTGTCGTGGGGGACAGAGACTGGCACCAGACGTCTTTCGTGATCTTGAAGACAGGGAGGGATTCAATCACGGGTACAGTGGATGCTGGTAGCTTTGGGCAGCGGTCCCCGCCACCGAGAAGAATCGCTTGGGTCTTTCCGGTCAAAGAGAGGAAAATCTTGAAGGCCGCATTGGGGTCACCGGCACGCAACGTCGCTTCCACCTGGGCCGCAATCTGAACCTTCTGGCTCTTGGGAACAGAGTCAAGGTAGCTCAAGTTGGTGGGGCTGGCCGACAATTGTTCCCAGAAGGCGGTAGCCTCCTCTCCTATTGTATCTGCAGCCCTGCCCATGGTGATGAGAGTGCAGGGTGAGGAGAGAATGAGGGAAGGCGGTACACAAGTGAGCTGGGTGGCGAAAAGGAGTGGTGTGATGGATGGAGAGAAGGAAGACGATGCGGTTACACACGAACCCGAGAACGTCCAGCTGGATCTGTGTGTTTGTGCGGGTGGAGGTGATCGAGGTGACGCGTCGAAGCGCGTTGTATCAAAACGCGGGGTGTGTTTACACAACAAACTGGCCCACTGGCCACTGGCTGTTGGCCAAACAGGGGCGGATTGCCACCAGCCATCCGAGTCCAGTCAACCCCCACGGCGCCGGACCACTTCACCGCCGACGTTCATTCACAAATTCAAACACACACCCTCGTTCCCTTCTCACCAAGCAAGAGCAGGCTAGTGAGTGTGTGCATTGTGCATTGGATCAGTGTGAAGGTTCATGAGCTTGAGACTCACGAATTAGAGGAGCGCAAGCGCCTGGCCCAAAGCCGTAAAGATTACAAGAACTCCCTCGAGGCCAGGATCCTCGCCGGCGAGAAATTCGGCTACTTCTACCCGAATGGTGACAAGGTGCCTCCTCCTGTGTGGCCATGGGAAGAAAAAGTCCTGAGTCCAGAGAACCCTTGGTTCGGCCTCATCTTCGACTTCCTTGTCGAGCAGGCGCCCCTCGCGCCCCAGAACCGTATCGCCGACTGGGGTGACGAATCTGGATTCGTAGTGTTTAACAAGGACGGGTTTGTTGACCTGTTCGTGTAATCACACTTTCCAATTAACCATAGGTCTTTCAAGTCGCCTTCCCAAAATGTGTGTCGTTCATTCATCGAACAGCTTTCCGAGATGGGTTTTGAGGTATGTCCTACTTCAATACGCATACAGTAGGGTTGACATCAAATGCAGCAGAAGACGGGAGAGAGTGGCGACAACTACGCCTACGCGTTTCACCACCCCTCGTTCATCAAAAACGACCGCGACGCCCTTGACGATATCAAGCCTCTCGATTCGCGTGACAAGGACATTGTCTTGTCCTCGACGAACGTCTTGCCACGCCCGTCGACGCTGCGCGCAACCTTATTGAGCTCCTCCAGGATGCTCTTGACGCCTCTGTCACCAAGAACCCCTTGGAGCGCTCCATCCAATGGGGGACCAACAGTGGCGTTCTCCAGATTGACAAGGCCCACTTTGAAACCGAAGTGCTGTAAGTCAAGTTGTTGTTGTGTGGGAGCAGCACAAGAGGAGCTGACCGCGATCGTCCAGCCTCGCGAGCAAGAACTTGACCTGGCGCAACTTCACAGCCAACATGGCCCGCTTTGGCTTCAAGCAGGTGGCTTTCCATGTCATCACATGCATGCTGACAGTAGGTCGGCGACGGCACCCGTGGTCCCGACGGCCAAGCCCACCTGTGGTGCTTGAGCCACTCGGCCTTTTTCAATGGATGCGTGTTTGACGAGGCTGTGACTGCTGCAGCCAAGCATGCGGCTGACACCGACCGCTAAATGAGTGAGACGTCAGAAGAGTAGGCGCAGGAAGGGCGTCATGTCCGCATCGCGGAGGTGGAGGAAGAGAACGATGTTGACGGAAGCCGCCAGCGCGACACGGAACCTGGACGTTCTTGGGAGTGGTAGTAAATAAAAAGAAATAAAGTTCTATCATACGTTGTCGTTGCACACAACTCCTCTTCCATCGCCCAGCGACTTCTTACGACATATGCTTCTTGCGGTTCTTGGGTGGCTATGATGTAGACCATCATCCTGCTGATGCGTCTAACCAGGCGAAAAGTGTTTGCCGCGATCACTTCTCATACCTTGGTACCAGACAGTCAGACCCGACTCCTTTAAAGCGCCGCAGGGAGGTCGCTGTACAGCCTCTTCATCGTGGGCAACAACGTGTTGCCTCTTTCCGACAGAACACATGCGCATGACCTCATAGATCAGAGATCAGATCGCTGTACTGATATCCCTCGTGCTGCACATCAGACAAATCGGTGAATATCGGTGAATATCGGTAAGATCGGTTAATTGATTAATCCCGGATCCGCCACAGTCTGTATATGCCTCCAGTCCTTGATACATCGACTTATAACTATCGACGAGACTGTGTTTCTTGAATGCTGAGCGGCTAGTGTTGAAAAGCCATGTTTTATGGGGGGGTGGGTAGTCACAAATGATGGAGATAAAGGGGGACTGGGGGTATAGTGGGTTTAGGAGGGAAAACGGGAGCAATTTTGACGCTGTTGAGGCATCAAAAGTCCTTGGACGTCTTCCATCGCTTAGTAACGGTCTGTGATGGTGAGCACGACAATTCTGATGGCGCCGAAAGCATGACATACAGTGAGCTGGCTTGTATGGGCCAGCAACGGGGAGACCAAGGTACTCGGCCTGCTCAGACGAGAGGGTGGTGAGCTTGACGCCAAGCTGGGCGAGGTGGGCACGAGCAACCTCCTCGTCGAGCTCCTTGGGGAGCATGTGGACGCCGAGGGGGTACTTCTCGTTCTCGGTCCAGAGGGCGATCTGGGCGAGGGTCTGGTTGGCGAACGAGCACGACATGACGAACGAGGGGTGGCCAGTAGCGCAGCCAAGGTTGACAAGACGGCCCTCGGCGAGGAGGATGATGTGGCGGCCCGAAGCCATGGTGTAGCGGTCGACCTGGGGCTTGATGTTGACGGCCTGCTTGGCGTTGGCCTTGAGCCAGGCAACGTCAATCTCGACGTCGAAGTGGCCAATGTTGCAGACAATGGCGTCCTCGGGCATGGCCTCGAAGTGCTTGGCGGTGATGATGTCACGGTTACCGGTGGTGGTGACGAAGATGTTGGCGCGCGAAGCGGCGTCCTCCATGGTGCAGACCTCGTAGCCGCACATCGAAGCCTGGAGAGCGTTGATGGGGTCGATCTCGGTAACGAGAACACGGGCACCGTAGGTGCGGAGCGACTCGGCACAGCCCTTGCCGACGTCACCGAAGCCGGCGACGACAGCGACCTTACCAGCGATCATGACGTCGGTGGCACGCTTGATGCCGTCGACGAGCGACTCGCGGCAGCCGTAGTAGTTGTCGAACTTGGACTTGGTGACCGAGTCGTTGACGTTGATGGCGGGGACCTTGAGCTTGCCGTCGGCGAACATCTTGTAGAGGTGGTGCACACCGGTGGTGGTCTCCTCCGAGACACCCTTGATGTCCTTGAGGTACTGGGGGTACTTCTCGTGGACGAGCGAGGTAAGGTCACCTCCGTCGTCGAGGATGAGGTTGAGCGACTTGCCCTCGGGGAAGGCGGCAAGGGTCTGCTCAATGCACCAGAGGTACTCCTCCTCGGTCTCGCCCTTCCAGGCGTAGACGGGGACACCAGTGGCGGCAATGGCGGCAGCGGCGTGGTCCTGAGTCGAGTAGATGTTGCACGACGACCAGGTAACCTCAGCACCGAGAGCGGTAAGGGTCTCGATGAGGACGGCGGTCTGGATGGTCATGTGGAGACAGCCGGCAATGCGGGCACCGCTGAGGGGCTTCGAGGCGCCGTACTTCTCACGGAGGTACATGAGTCCGGCTATCGTCAACGTCAGTAAATTGCTCTAGAATCGTCGGCGAGGGATACGCGTTGATGACAGTCGGCAGGATAAGAAGCCGCCCATACGCCATGTATGCGACCTGGGGTCCCCCGTATCTGCCACTCTCGTGCGGTCTCCCAGAGCTTTAGACTTACGCATCTCGCGCTCGGCGAGCTCGATCTGGACATGTTAGCGCCTGCTCAAAGTAGCACGATGCCTGTCGCTCCCTGCCACTCTCGGTCTCCCAAACGATGGGTGACAGGAGGCAGAGTGCGATGCCATGCTGTACTCACCTCCTTGCGGCCGAAAGCGGCGAGCGAGATGTCGGCAACCTGTATGCAGCGTCAGCATTGTCCTGTGTAAGGCTGGTTGGTGTGTTGGGACGCACCTTGTAAGACATTTTGGTAGAGGTGGTTTGGGGGGGTTGGGTGGGGGTGAAGAACTGAAAGTCGCGGACACGTTCTTGGTTTTTGAATCTGCCCAGTGTGAGACCCGCACGCCCAGCCACGGCGGGTGTCTGTCCGCATCGCTCGATCCCTCAGGGCAAAATCGCCCCTCAGCTAATTTTGATCCCGCAGCCCCACCTCCCTCCACGTCGTCCCATGGGTCCTTTAATCAATGCCGAAAACCCCGACAGGTGGCACCCTTTGCAACACACCCTTTCGCCCAACCATTCCGTGCACACGTTGTTGAATTGTTGTTTCTGACAGGCATGTGGCATTGAGCGGAACAGTTGCCGTGTAACTGGGACAGCAGTGCAGGAACACTGACACCGGTTTACATCATGGGATGACACGTTGACCCGCCCGGGCTTGACCCATTACACAGTTCCTTCCCCCAGCCGCCCTCGCCCATTGGCTAGACGGCGTTCAACCCTTTGTTGCAAGCCATCTTTCGTCTCTGTGTCTCTCGGGGACTATCCCGAATCCATTCCTGGCCAAATGTCCTTTGTGGCACCAAGACACTCAAGTGTACACCAATGCCACAATGCAAAAGGCTGTCTTGCGGTTCGTGGCTGCGAACTTCATGGCATGGCAGCCTTTAGTTGACTGGTATGCGATGTCACAACCTCCCTCCGCAATCGATGCCTCGCCGGTGCGATCAATATCCGCGAAGAGAGGCCATGTGTGCCCCCGCTAGCCCACATCTGCCTTCATTGCTGGATACATATGTACTCTCAAAGTCTATCCATGGAGTTTGGGTTTACTGGGAGCGCTTCGCAGACATTCCTCTCCTGCTGTCCCTACCCTCATCGCTGTTGCGCATAATATGGCCGAAGATACTATAGACAGATATAAGGGAGACGAATAATTCACTATTAATACATATAATTCCCAAACAAATGGCACCGCGCCACTGGCGTGCCACGCGACCGCCGCGTGTCTCTCTCGTGAGCATCCCATAATTTGCCTCCGCGCCCTCGAGGTCGCGCGCCGACCCACACGCGCCTGACCACCCGGAATACGCGAGACATGACGATTACTGCCAGTAGGCTCATAACTCTCAAGCATTGTTGATCTCCTTTTCCCTCCACATACCTTCACGACCCGTACCGAACAACAGAGAGTGATAAACAATGGCAGTGACCGCCCACGATAGCGGACTCGCGGGCGGGTCGTTGGCTGTTGACGAAGAGACCGACCTCGCTCTGCTGGTATGTGTCGATGTCACTTTCGCGCCCGACGTGTTACTGATTTGATGCAGGACCAACATCTGCTCAAGACCAACACTCTGAGCAAGCGTATGACAAGTGAGTTGCCATTGCGTATCCCTTATTAACCTTTAGCCATTCTATCACAGCTTGACACACGGCTTTCTCGCCTCGACAAGTCGATCGCGCCGTTGGGTATCCGCGAGCTCACGCGACAAGCCGCCAACATTGACCTGGCCATTGCGCAAATGACCGGAGCACCGGTGCCCAGCTCTGCAGCCAAGCGCAAGGACTCGTACCCCACCACGTCGAGTGCGAACGGACACGGCTCCTATACGGAAAGCAGCAGCTCGATTCCTCGCAGCGGTTCCGCAGGCCAGCTTCCGCCCTCGCAAGTGTTCAGCAAGCCAGCGAGTAAAGTGGTGGAAGAGAAGAAGAAGAAGAAGACGGAATCACCCCTGTCGTCTTCGCCTTCGGTCATGGACCGCAAGCGTGCCGTGCCACGTACCGACGTTCTTCCCCGCTGGCAGGAGACGTCGCCACAGCTCGCAGCGCCCAGCCTGCCTACCCAACGAGCTCCGAGCCCCATGAGCCCGGTCGTCACCCCTCAGTCCCTGTCGCCCCAGATCCCATGGAGTCCACAGGGAGATGGCGGAGAGCGTGTAATTCTGTCCCGCGGACCGGATATCATGGCTCTGGGAGAGTACTTTGGCGCATTGGAGGTCGTTATTGCCGACCTCGAGCACATGAACCAGGGGCTCATGGAGGGACGGGGAGGCACGAGGGAGCAGGGCGTTGCCGAACTGGTGAGTGGTGGAAGTGTGTTTAATCTAGAGTATACTGACCTGCCAGTCATCCATTGTTGAGGACGCGTTTGGCCAGTGTGTCCAGATGCTGCTCCAAGTGACGCGCGACACAATGCCACGACCCTTTGACCCCAACACATTTGCGGGCTCCGACGTGCCTTCCCCAGCTACATACTATCCGCCGCTGAGCAGTGTGCGCGCTCTCACCGCCCGTCTAGCGGCCGCTGTTTACCCCGACCAACCTACTCCCAAGACGACACAGGTCCTGCAGCCCATTTTGAACGATTGCATCGCCGACCTTGCGGCCGCGCGTGGTGACTGGATTCGCCGGTCTCTCACGGCCGTGTCGGCACATGTCGACGAGGCCGGAACTGGCAACTATGAAGGCCGTGGTAGCGAAAAGGTCCGACTGGTCATGAAGCTGTGGGACTCGTACCTCGTCGCTGCCGAGGCCGAAGCCGCCCTTGCGGCCGTCACCTTCCCCGGATCTGTAGGCCACCAGCTGGTTGTCGAAACGCTGCCATATGGTTTAACAGTGCTCAACCAAACGATGACCCAGGTTATCGCGGGTATCAAAAAGTCCCTCACGACCCAGACCATGTGTCTCCTGGATCTCTACGCGGCCCTCAGCACTTTCCAGCCAAAGTACGAGACGGTTATGGCAAACCTGCTCGGCCAGGACGGCGCCGACGTGCAAAACGCACTCAACCCCACTCTCAGCACTATGCGCGCGCTTGCGTTACGTTCATTCCCCGAACGCCTTGTCGATATTCGTGCCCCAGCGCGTAACGCCACCCAGAACGTGTCCATCTCGGACACGACGCATTCGACCCTCGCAGACCTCGAGGCACTGCCTTCCTACGGCAACCTCGTCGAGACGCTGTTGCGGAGTAGCGGTCACATTGAGCGCTCGTGGCTCATGGGCGCGAGCACACCGCCATCCACGGCCCGCTCTGCAGCCGAGGAAGGTGGCCTCGTCAACCTGTACGCAGCAGACGTGTTGGGTACGCTCTTGATTCACCTTGATACGAGCGCAAAGATGATGCGCCGCCCACTGTCGTCCACCTTCCTTCTCAACAACTGTTAGTCCCACCAAGAGATATCCGTGGTCACGACCTGTTGCTAACTTTACAGTGTCCCATATCCGCAACACCACCTCGTCGTTCAATGCCGACATCATCGGTCCAGGCGCGGAGGACATGTTGAACCGGCACTTCCGTGAAGCCAAGCAGTGAGTTACATTTCGTTTGCATAACTGACAAAATCAGGGGCTATCTCGGCGAATGGACCGGCCTCACCGCACTGCTCCAGCACACTGTGCAGTCGCGCTTCAACGTCGGCTCGTCGCATGACAAGCAGAGCACAAAGGAGGCTGCTGCGGCCTTCTTTGAGCGTCTTTCCGAGCTCGAGCAGACGTGCAGACAATACCCGCTGTCCCGGGCCGACCCGCATCTCCGCGACCGCGTTGGCAACGAGACGGAGGAGCTTGTGCGCACAGCCTATTCCCAGTTCTGGAACAAGGCGCACGGCAAGTATGACAAGTGTGAGTAGACAACAGACGAGAGTGGGTGACACGAGTTGCGCTGACGACGCATAGACCTCAAGGGCAGCCCCGACGAGGTGGGCCGTCGCGTCCACGCCGTGTTCCGTTAAGACACGCAAACGTATACCTCCCTCCGTAAGAGAATATATATAGTATGTTTCTGCGCCGGCGCCTTGCACATACCACACGGTGGTCGGTCGCTGCGCGCAGTGTAATTTGGTCCATCTGGTATGCATACCCTGTACTGTTCGCAAAAAGGAAGCCATTATCGCCGCGGTATCTGTGTATGTAGTGTACCCGCGCCGCCTGCACCAGATACATTATGTCTATCGTACATTGATCGTTGGGCATGTGCTATGCCGCGCGGCCGGCGTTGGGGTCCTGGTAAATATGGTCAGTTGAATCTCATCCGAGATGTCATGCACACAACTAACCTTGTAGACCTTGAGCGCCTGGAGCTCGCCGACGATTCGGTCGATGCGGTCGCCCTCGTCCATGCGCTTGGAAGGCAGGAAGCCGCGCTCCTCGTCCTCCTCGTCCAGGTCGGCGTAACCCTTCATGCCCACATCCATGCCCTCCAGGCCGTCTGAGCGTGCCGTTTCGATACGCAGACCCTCCTCGTTGGCGAGGTGAAGAAGACAGATGAAGCAGAAGGAAGTGGAGATTTCGGACATCTTCTCGCGCGGGTAGTTTGAGCGGAGGGACTGGATGACATGGTCGAACGTCTTGACGGGTTCGAGGGGGGCTGACGGGTCGGCGGGCTCGGCGGGTGTCTGAGGCGCCTGTGACTCGGGGTCGGACACTGAATCGTCCACCAGACCCCTGAGGTCGTCCCAAATATCGTCCTTGAGGCGCTTGACGTCGACGCGCTTGGCCTTCTTGGCGTACCGCACGTTCTCTGGTCGGGGGCGGCGCAATTCCTCGCCCTGCGTGCTTTGCCACAGGTCGTCGACATCGCCATCGGGAAGAGGCGCGAGAGCGTCGTCGACGAACGCGTCGTCAACAAATCCGTCGTCGTCTCCATCGCCGTCGTCGTGGAAGAACTGCGACTCGAAAGGTAGCGCTCCGCTGTCCATGTCCATGGCATCCGAGCCTTCTGCCCGGTCGGCAGCGGCCTGGGCCCAAAAGTTCTCGTCAATCTCGCCATTGGCGTTCTCGACTACGCGGCCACCGCCACGACGCATCCGGAGCGCAAACTTGGGCTTGAGGAACAATCGCAGCAACTGCTGGCTGCTAAAGTGCATGTCGTCGGGGAGGAGCCACTCCTCGCGGCGTGCTGCTGCGGCAGACTTCTTGCCTCGCGAGCGAGATGAGGAGGGCAGCTGGTTTGTAGCCTTGGTACCAGGCGCAAACAGAGTCTTGGACGACTGTGCGGCTTCTGGGTTCATAAAGTCGATGGTGAACGGAGCCTTCTTCTCCTTCTTCTCCCTGGTACCCGCAATGACAGTGTCCTTGCGTGACACCTTGCGGAGCTTCCAGTGTTCAGCGCCTGCCCAGGCCTTGCCGAATCCAGAGTCAAAGTAGTCGAACATGTTGTCGCCGTCCTCTGTGCCGATAAACGACATGACAAGGTCGGCGCCACGACGAGGGTCAAAGGGGCCTTGCGAGTCGCCGTGCTGGGCCGTGGGCGCGCCGGTGCCAAACACATCTTGGGCAAACTCGCCGTCGTCGGCCATGGACATGTCATCGCCGGCATAGCCGGAAGGACCGCCCATGTCATAGTCGTCGTCGCCGAAGAAGTCGACGGCTTCACCCACGGGCGCGTCGTGGACTGGTCGCTCGGGCTCGTCCGCAAGGGAGGACAGACCGGTAATGGCTGCGAGGTCCGGCATGTCGTCGGCATCGGTGCTAAAGTGGAAGGTGGCCAGAGTCTCGGAGATTGCGAGGGGCGCAGTCTCCTCCTCGGTGGGGATGAGCTCGCGAAGACGCGAAATGTCGACGAGCTCGTCGTCTGGCTCCTCCTCCTCTTCGTACTCCTCTTCAATGACAGCATCACCGGCGTCAAACACAACACGACCCGTGCCGTCAATGCCCAGGTGGTTCATGAGGAGACCCATGGCGCCACCCTCGTCAAAGTCTGCGCTTGTCTTCTTGAAGAGCGGGTCGACAGTGAATTCAAGGTCAAACTTCTTGACCTGGAGCGTCGTAAACGACTTGGCCAGAGTGGCCTCGGAACGGTGGGACTAATGTCAGCTAAACGGCGATGTTTGCCAAGCTTACCTTCCTGGCAGCCTTTGGTTCGCCAGATTCATCGTCTTCGCCATCCACATCGTCGCCGTCGTCTCCGCCACCGCCGCCGCCAGCAAGACCACTGAGGAGCTTGCCAGTCTCGGTGGCGACACTGTCGACACGCGACGTCCAGATCTTGACACATCCGTCCAGCGTACACGACGCCTTTTGAAAGTTGATGCTCTGGTCGTCGGGGCCGTTGCGCAACAGGGTCAGGTCGTGAAAGTAATCGATGAGGGCAAAGTTCCAAGTGTTTGTCGCCGTGATTTTCTGCGAGGTCAGCTCAAACACTTTCAATACCTCTTACATTGTCAGTGGCGAGCTTCATCCATTCTTCAAAGTTGGTGTTCATGACTTCCATGCTGACAGGCGGCGTGGTGGGGCCGACGGTGCTGAGACGCTTGGCGCGGCGCGCGGCAACTTGCTGAACAGCGAGGGCGGAACCCTTGCGCTGGGGAACATCGGCAGGCGACCCCATGCCACCAGGATTCTCCTTTCCAGCGTGTCCGAGACCGATGTCTGCAAAGTGGGCGGACTTGCGGCGAGCAGCACGCTCTGCCGCGTCGTCGTTGATCATTTGGTTTGTGCGATTTGTCGGACGGAGTGGGGTGCTGTCAGATGTCGGTGACGCGATGGACGCGTGCTTCTTGGCCTGTGCCCGACGCCGTAGTGGTGTGGAAGGGGATGAGATGGGTGTGGGCATGGATGCTAGTGACAAGGAGGGAGAGAGAGGGGAGGCAAAGGAAGGGGGTTTGTTGGGGTTGTTGTTTTGTTTGGCTCTCGGTTGATTGTCCTTACACTGACACTTGGTTGACGGGCGCGACTGGTTTACTTCCGCAGGCAATTTGAATCCGGGTCTAATTACTCTGTTTTACGTAATCATATATGTTATGACATTTGAGCGCTCTCAAAGGGCCCCACGGCCTCGCCGCCCAGCCGCGCCCCCTGGTGTCACGCACCGCCGTCTCCCGGAGAGGGAGGCCGACGGGGGTCATCTGGTGGGTTGGTTGTCATCTTTGGATCTTCTGTAATCGCAACAACCACTCTATCCTCGTCCAACTTCGACCACCCCACGCACAAGACGCTCCAGAAGCTCTACCAAGCCGTGAAGCCTCCCTTGCCCTCGGCGGAGTTTGCTCCATATACTGCACTCCCACGACCCGGCATCCCCACAGCCCGCCACCATGATTGTGCTGGACAACGACTCGCGTGCCGCTGTGCAACGCGTGATGCGACGCGCTCCCGTTGCTGGTGAGCTCTCTCTTATGCTGGGCGTGTGCGCTAACCTCAGTCATTGTTGTCCTCCTCGCTGGCACATGGATCCTGTTCGTTGCATTCGTCTCCGTACAGCAGGTGCTCCTCACTCGTCATGAGACGGGCCGCTTTCTCATACAGTGCGTCGACGACGTCCCCGAGGACACAAGATTGCTGTGAGCTGACTTGTACAGAATTGTGGTGTACCACACCCTTCTTTTCCTCTCTGCCGTTTCCTATACTGCGGCTGTGACGCACCGCCCCATCTCGCCTGACCAAGACCTCGCGCCGCCCCATGCGCGGCCTCTCCGCCCCGATGAGGTGCGGCAACCTTCACCTGCTCGCCCCGCGACCGCCGCAGTCGATGGAGACGACGATGACGACATTCCACTACGTCTGCTGCGAGCCACACGCTCGCCGCAGCCCTGGGATGAACACTCAGGCGCAGATGGGCAAGTTGAGCAGGATGGCGATGCAGCAGCCAACGCGCGCAGTCGCCGCAGTCCGAAGCGTAGCGCCGAGCGCAACGGCGGCGGTGATGACGAGGACTATGGCGAGGACGGCGCCGAGAACCACGCCTTGCTGGCAAAGGATCCCGAGCCCGAAGCCACGGCCCTCATGGCCAAGGGCGCCACCGGCGGACTCCGATGGTGTCGCAAGTGTGATGGCTGGAAGCCTGACCGCTGTCACCATTGCCGGTCGTGTATGCAGTGTGTCCTGAAGAGTGGGTAGAAAGACTCCTTTTGGAGGATCATGCTGACCCAAACCAGTGGACCACCACTGCCCCTGGCTCGACAATTGCGTTGGACTCCACAACCGTGAGTCATTGGCTCGCAAATACTACCCACTGACATGGCAGACAAAGCCTTCATGCTTTTTCTCTCGTACACCACTGCGCTGGCATTGTTCGGCTGTTCCCAGGCCGGCATTGAGGTGTATCGCTTCTTCACTGACCCACTCGATGTTGAGGAACTGAAGAACAACCCTCACGCCGCAGCCATGATGGATGAGATGGATGTAAGCTGCCGTGACCGTGAAGTATAATGTTGACGCGGGACAGATGCGCTTTGCTCTCCGGCCTGTAATCTTCATGCTCCTGACCATTCTCGGTGTGGCATTTTCAATTGCCCTCGGTGCCTTGTGCGCATACCACTGGTATCTGCTCTTGTGAGTTGTCAAGGGGTATGCCTTCAAGTCTGACCATTAGGAATAACCGCACCACGCTCGAGGACATGAACCGCTCCGTGCCGACTGCGTTGCTGGATCCTCCGACGAGGGCTCTCTTGGAAGAACTTGGGCCTCGTGGTACGCGCCACCGCATTCCTGGAGCTTGGCGCCCGGACCACATCCTCACGCGTCCCGAGCGCACCCGTCTCCGCCAGGAAGCTCGGAGTATCAACATTTATGATGTGGGATGGCGCCGTAACATGCGCTCCGTGTTCTGCGGCGATGGTGCCATGCCCTCGACAACTTGGCGTGGATGGCTGTTAGAGGTCAGGCAAGGCCTGTGGCCTCTTACGCGGCCTCGTATGAGGTAGGTTGCCGATTGCGCATCGCGTGCTAACCTACCAGGCAGTATGGCGCTGGCCACTTCTTCGCCCACGACCCCGCGGCCTTCCAGGAGCTCAAGGCGCTCACCTCGGAGCTGCGTCTTGGCCTCGAGCCAGGTGTTGAGCCTGGCCACCCAGAGCAGTTTGCGCCTCCAGTACCACGCCGTTTCGATGTGGGTGGTCAGTTTGAGATTGGTCGTGGCGACAGCGACAGTGACAGTGACAGCGACGCGACTTTGATCAACGGCCGTATGCCGCGTCGCAGCAGTTATGAGTGGGAATGAGCCGCATCTGCCCCCCGCCCGTGTATAGCATAGATAGATAGCAGCATAGCATGGACACGTTTCTCGATCTTCAACCTGCGACCTGCCCATGCCCATGCGCTTGCAGCCAACGTGCCACGGGCCACGGGCCGCACGGCAACGTGCGAGCCGACGCGGTCGCCAGCACGCCCCTCTCATTCACCAACTGTGTGGCTGGTGGAGGTGAGAAACAATAGGCCGACGGTGGGCGGCCCAGTCGTCGGCCAGCCGATGCGGGGTGAGTGAACGAGAAGCAGTTGTGCCAACGGACTCGCGGTGGTTCTGATTCTCGCAGAAGCATGGGTGGGGAGGGGTCTGGAAGTGGCGCGTCCCTCTGGTGCGAACGCCGGTTAATGTCAGGTCGGACTTTAGCAGAATGCGTAATGCAGAAGCAACACGGGTGCATCGTCGTCGCTGCGGCTGCGCCGCTGACGACAGAGATAAAGCCGGTCGGTCGGTCGCGGCCTGGGCTGCGACAACCCTGTTCCCTGTGGGGGGGAGAGACCGGAGGCGGTATGCACACCCCCTGCTCTGCAAGGTGAGATTTGGGGTGTGTGTATATGCTGTGTGGAGAACGAGTGTTGGTGTCATTGATCATTGATGACACGCATGCAGCAGCAGCAGCAGCCTCCGCGATGGAGTTACCTTTTCTTCGTTGCACCGACGACGTAGCATATGCATCTTGATGACGAACATGACGATGTTTGCTGACGATTGATGATGACGATGCCGTTGGGTTTGCAAGGTGCCTGGACGTGCGGAGGGTTGCGGCAAGAGCCAGTAGGCCCGTAGGAACCCGCAACGGCAGCAGCAGCAGCCTGGGTGTTCTGGCAGACGAGAAGAGGTACGCTTGGAACGCAGAAACAGGACAAGCGACAAACGACCGACCGACAACGAGAGAGAGCCACAAGAGAGCAAGGACCCACCCACTCAGGCACACAGATGTATGCAGCAGAGTTCCACGGCACCACCCAGGGAGCGGCAGCGTGGGCGCGCGGGGGTGAGACAGCCACCACAGCCAGAGAACCCCACTCGCCGCTAGATTCACCCAAATCGCTACCTCATCTCACATCCCATTCCACCATCTCTTGTCGTTCCCACCCCATCGCCTACACCACACCCATCGCATCCCCCTGCCACCGCGTGCAGTATCCACCTTTCCCAGCAGTCCTGCTAGACTCCCCTCTTACCTGGTACGTCACTGCAGCCAGCAACGCCAACACAAACTGGCCGAGAAGCAAGCATCCTTGCTGGCCAGCGGCAGGAACATTGCCCCCACCATATGGGCGCGCCTTCCTTGCTTCGTGCGATCTCGGAGAGTGGGCAATGAGCTTTGGCTTCTCACACGTCGCCCCGCCTTGCACACACTCAGACAACCGCCCCCTTTCTCACCCTTCATGATGAACACTGCGCCGTTGAGGTCGTGCTGACTCTTATCTTCTTCTTCTCTCCACCTGTCCAACTCGCTTACCATCCCCCTCTGGACCATTGGGCGCATGCCGATCTGTACACGCTTACACAACCGTCGCTCATGACCTTGATGACCTTTATCGCATCTCTCCCCTCTCCTCCTCTTTCTCCCATCCTCTCCCAATCCCCACCAGCAGACTCGGCACTTTCATCCAAGTACCAGTCTCGCGGGGCCCGCCATTTCCTCGCCATGGACACGATGCACCCCGACCCGACCCCGGCGGTCCCGGCAAGCCTGGAGGACATTCGCGAGCAAGTGTCGCGTCTCGAGGCCGCACACCGCGCCAAGGGCATGCCTCTCTCGGGACGTATCATCCACGTCTTTCACCACTTGCCCGTCGAAATTGTCCGTCTCACCCAGCCCAACACGTTCGGCACCTTGTCGTCTCCGATAACCCCAGAGTTCAAGCCTGAAGACACTTCCACGACGGTGGAGAGCATTGACGCCAAATGGAAGATTCACGCCCGTCGCGGCCACACTGCCATGATTTCCGGTATCCGCTCCCTCTCTGACACCCACAATCAGATTGTTGTGGCGTGGACAGGCGACGTCCTCCTCCAGCCGAGCGCCCCGTCCCAGGTCAACACCCCCAAGCAGGTGCCAACCCCCAGACGTTCCGACCCACCACCCAAGATGGTGCTCCAGGACGCTGTAGAGCTCCACCCTCTCCTCGTTGACGACACCCCGCTCATGGTGTACAACGGCGAGTTTGACAAGGAGGAGCAGGACGAGATCACGTCCGAGCTCGAGCGGTTCAGTGAGATTGAGGCCCAGCATGAGGGCGGCGGTCTCCTCAACTACGTCCCCGTCTTCCTCCCGCGTGATGTGAGCAAGGGCCACTATGAGGGCTACTGCAAGACCAGTGAGTTCCGCGGAATCCGCCATCGAACTGACCCCAGCTCTCTGGCCCCTCTTCCATTACCTGCTGTGGCTCGACTCGACCGCCACCGTCCCGTCGCCCGACCCGTCGTGGATTGCCTACCAGACGGCCAACGAGCTGTTTGCCCAGCGAGTGGCTGAGCAGTACCGCGCCGGTGACCTCATCATTGTCCACGACTACCACCTCCTCTTGGCCCCCAAGATGATTCGCGACAAGCTCCAGGCCCCCATCATCTTCAACCCCCAGTGGACTGTGCCCATCATGAACCCCTCGCCTTCGGTCAGCACCGAGAGCCGGAAAGGCATGGACTGGGAGAATGGCAGCGCCGCGTCGGACAAGCTGCAACCACACTCTGGCAGCTCTGCCGCCAACCATCTGGCTACCTCGGGTCTGTTGGGCAAGGCTACCGACCACCTCGCCAACGGCAACGGTGCTGGCGAGATCATGATTGGTTTGTTCATTCATACCCCATGGCCCAGCTCTGAGATCTTCCGATGCCTGCCGAGTGAGTCACCTTTGTTGTCACCCACACGCACTGACGTTGCCTCAGAGAGGAGAGAGCTCCTGGAGGGCATGCTTGGCGCAAACCTTGTCTTGTTCCAGACCTACTCGTACTCGCGCCACTTTGTGTCCAGCTGTATCCGTGTCTGCGGCTACGAGTCGACCTCGGGTGGTGTGGATGTCAACGGCCAGAACGTTGTCGTCGGCCACTGCCCTATCGGCATCGACATTAAGCGCGTCTCGGCTGCCCGCGACTCGCCTGGTGTCTTCCCCAAGGTCGAGACCCTCCGCGCTCTCTACCACGACAAAAAGATCATTGTCGGCCGGGAAAAGCTGGACGCTCCCAAGGGCGTGTACAACAAGCTGCAGGCGTTTGAAAAGTTCCTCCAGGTCTACCCCGAGTGGAGGAACAAGGTTGTCCTCATCCAGGTCACTACCCCAGCGCTTTCCGAATCGCCCAAGCTTGAGCGCGAGGTCGCAGAGCTCGTCAGCCACATCAATGGTGCCTACGGATCTCTTGACTTTACCCCTGTCCACCACTAGTAAGCTACAAGGGAGCCATAACTTTGCTAACCCGCAGCCATCAAGCGATTGAACACGACGAGTACTTTGCCCTGCTGTCTGTTGCGGACCTTGCCCTCATCACTTCGCTCCGTGACGGCATGAACACCATGTCGATGGAGTTTATCCTGTGCCAGCAGAAGACGAACAAGTCGCCCTTGGTGCTCTCCGAGTTTATGGGCACCTCGTCGTCGTTTGGCGAAGCTCTCGTCATCAACCCTCACGACCTCCTCGGTGTCGCCGAGGCGATCAACATTGGCCTTTCAATGTCCGACGAGGAGAAGGCTCGCCGCCATGCCGCCATGTACCAGAGCGTCATCGGCCACACCTCTCACTCATGGGCGTCGACCATTGTGCAAAAGCTCCTCGAGAACGTCGGCAACGAGCACACGGCCCACCAGACACCCGTCCTGGATGTTCCCGACATGCAGAGCCAATACAAGAAGGCCAAAAAGCGTCTGCTCATGTTTGACTATGACGGTACTCTTACTCCTATCGTCAAGGTCCCCTCGCAGGCCATCCCGACGGACCGCACTCGCGCTGCCATTGCCGCTCTCGCTGGCGATCCCATGAACGTCGTGTACCTCATCTCAGGCCGCGACGGTGACTTCCTTGAGGAGCACTGGGGCATGGTCCCGCGTCTCGGCATGTCGGCTGAGCACGGCTCGTTTGTCAAGACGCCGCAGGAAGGCGAGTGGGTCAACATGACCGAGGCACTCGACATGAGCTGGATGTCCGAGGTCGAGGACATTTTCCGTTACTACACTGAGCGCACGACTGGATCCATGATCGAGCTCAAGAAGGCCTCCATCACGTGGCACTATCGCAACGCCGACCCGGACTTTGGCGAGTTCCAGTGCAAGCAGGCCCTGGACCTTTTGGAAAGCAGCCTGGCTCCCCGCCGGCCTATCGAGGTGCTCGTTGGCAAGAAGAACCTCGAGGTCCGGCCCCTGGCCATCAACAAGGGCGAGATTGTCCGTCGCCTCCTGTACGAAAACCCCGACGCCGAGTTTGTCATTTGCGCAGGAGACGACAAGACCGACGAGGACATGTTCCGTTCCCTCCGCGGCATCTTCCCTCCCGGCGGCCCGCGCGAGGACGAGCCAGTGACCATGAAGCCGCCCGTCGGCGTCACATCCGTGCTCGAGCCCGAGGAGATTGAGCTTCTCCCAGAGGTCGAGATGCAGATCCGCCCCGAGGGTGTCTTTGCCACCACTGTCGGCCCCGCGGCCAAGAAGACGCTCGCGCAGTGGCACGTCACGTGCCCCGAGGAAGTGGTGGACGCCTTAGAGCAGCTGCTAGATGAGTGAACGGACGAAAGGAACGATTTTTTGTAGAGATGAGCGTTTGTGCGAGAAGAGGAGATTGGGCATGTATCGTAACGTGAAAGATGACTGGAGCTCGTGAGCAGCTCGTCAACACCGCGCACACTGCATCAAGGGGTTGGCACGCAGGGTCTCTGGGCTGCCAATCCCGCCACTTGCCTACCCTCGAGCTCGCTCGCATTTGGTTCGACTGGGCGCCAGCCGATGCAGCCGACGAAGGGGGAGACAATGCGCCACTGACCACAATCTCGCTCATCCTTAAGCTTAACTGCCTCCCATCAACGACGTCTGTCTCGTGTTCACCCCACCTGCCCATCACCATCCACCATCGCAATGGCCTCGGCAAGAGAAAAGGACGACCTCGAGATGGGGCTGCTGGCCGAAGACACGTGCCCAGCGTATCGCCCAGCATGCGGGGATTGCCCCGTCTGTCGCTCCAGCAACAAGACAACCCCCACCGCACCCACACCCACGTCCCAACAACAACCCACACCAGCCTCGAACAGCCCAATATTGTACGGCAGAATGCAAGACGGCTTCGACAACTGGATTGATAGCCAGCTTCGCCCGGACCTAGCTGCAATCTTTGCCAATTTCAATTTCCGTCTCATCCTTCGCATCTTGGCCACGGCTGCTTTCCACATTTGCTGCATCGGACTGTGGATCAGTGTCTGGGCTCCGGGATTCAAGTGGTACAACCGACACGTGGTGGATGCGTACAAGAACCCCGACGCGGACAACAAGAACGTGACGCCCATGCAAGTGGTGCTCATTTTGCTTGGAAGTGTGACCATTCTGTTCCCAGCCCTGATCATTACCCCGCTCGCTGGGTTTATCGTCTTGTATCTGTCCCGAAGAGTAGCCACGAGGGTGACGGGTGGCCTGCGTCCATCATCGTCAAGTGCGTAAAGACGCTGGGGAGGCTTCGATAGGACGACAATAGATTGTAACTGTTCGCATGTGGTCATGAACTGGCTGTGCTTGGCTGTGCCTCGCTCGATCGCGACGCTGGCTGCGGCAGTTGAACGCACCGCTCGTTTCCTCTCCACTTGACTGTATCCGATCCCAGCTTGTCTCCGCTTTCGCGTACTCTCTGGAAGTGTATCGACTTTGCTCGTCAAACTGTAACACTTACATGGTGATCATGACGGGGAGAACCCACGTAGTGCAGGCGCCACACGCTCGTCACCTCGGCATTGATTACATTGGCCCCATTTGAAGCAGCCTCCTTCCTTGCACCCATCCTTTGCTATCTCGTCATGGGTTAGTATCCGTTAGCTCGAAGCTGTGTTGTGTTTACTTCTTGGTTTTGAAGGCCACGAGGGGCCAGCCGCGACGAGGGGACGTCCTTAACCATCACCTCTGCTTTCATGGCCTTGCATGTTGCGCGCAAGGCACTCTTCCGAGCACCTTTCGCGGACTCGGTGACAACCAGACAACACCGTTCCTGCCACTGCTGCCATCTGTATGCCGAGGAAATGTTCATACCTGTACAAACCACTCTTGACTGCCATGCCCACGCCGCCACCAGCTGCACCATGCCTCTCTAGCAGCACCCGCCCTTTGCCTTCTGCTCCTTCAAGTTGACTGCTGCGGCAGGCTTGCGGCGCTCAAACTCTCCGCGCTCCACACGCTCGAGGATCTGGCGCGCCGTCCACTCAAACGCGTCCACGACACCCCAGCCTTCCTTGGCGCTGGTCTCGACGTAGAGCAGGTTGTGCTGCTTGGCAAACAGGGCGCCTTCGAGCGTCGACACGGCTCGCGGAACGAGCTTCTTGGCGGGCTTGGACGCCGGCATGCCGGCTCCAGTCGCGCCCGCGCTGCCGCCGGTCGTGCCGTCCTCGCTCGGCCGTGCGCTGCCCTCTGCTGCTGCGGGCGGGTCGAGGGGCACGGGGATCGCCTGGCCAAACTGTATTTGTGGCAGCGGGGTGGGCTCGGTCGCGCACAGGTCGGTCTTGTTGGCGACGAGGATGATGGAGACGTTCTCGTCGGCGTGTGCTCGCAGGTCATCCAGCCAGGAAGTGACGTGCTCGAATGCTGACGTCAGTTACCGAACAGCGGCTCGCTTTAACTCACACTCTCGCCGCGTCACGTCGTACACGAGCAGCGCGCCAGCTGCGCCTCGGAAGTAGCTCCTGGTGATACTCCGAAAGCTCTCGGTGCCCGCCGTGTCCCAGCCTAAAGAAGTCGAGTCAGCATTGGCCATACTCATGTCCCATCGCAACGAGTTGGTGTTGGTGACCGACTGTGGCTGTGGGGAGGAGACACTCACACTGCACCTTGACACGCTTCCCCTGCTCTCCAACATCAATGATACGGGCCGCAAACTCGACACCGAGTGTCGGCTCGCTGGTCCCGAACCGGTCGTCGGTGAGGCGGACGAGGAGACATGACTTGCCCACCGAAGCGTCACCGACAATGACGTACTTGAGGATACTGGATGTCAGAAGCAGTGGTTTGGGGAGGCGGAGAGAGCGAGCGAGAGTGACGAATTGGAAAGGAAGAAAGGAAAGAAGGAGATTGAGATCGAGCACCGAGAGACATCGCGTAATAAGCACACACCGGAAGAGAAGATTGGGTCAGCACACTGTTCCGTCGCCACCGACTGCGCAAAACCCACTAGTCCCTGCCTGTCAGCGTTCTGTATCGCACGCAAGGATCTCTTACCATGTGAGCTGCTCCATTCTAGCTGCTAGCATCTACGCTCCGCTCGGTGCGGCAGAGTCGGTATTCGAGATCTGGCAAGTTTCGCAGGCGGTTGTTTGTGGGGGGGGCTCGGAAGAGTCCGGTGGAGTGGAATGCCGAGAGGGTGTGAGAGAGGATGGATGCAGGGGCTTGAAAGATGCAATTGGAAGGTGATGTAGTTGCTGATGATGAGGTGCCAGACGCTGGGTGAATGGTCAGGCTGTGCGATGGAGGTTGTGTGAACAAATGGATATATGAGTGTGTGGGGCGTTTCTTTACATGACGAAGTGAGTCGCTTGGCTTGGCTTGGAGCCCGGACACATTGGAGAGACTCTCGGATGTGGGTGGCAAGCGACCGCCACGGAACCAAATATACCATTCCGGGCGAGTTGGTCGGTGGCTGACACCCCGTTTATTCCAACATTCCTCCCAACCACCAAGCAGACGAAGCATGACATACGATGTGGACAAGATGCAGAGGGGTATACAATGATCTACAGACCTAAGCTCCTAAGCGTTCAGGGCAGCCTCCTCGTCAACGACGGGGTTCTCGACGGGGGTCTCGGTGCCCTCGGCCGGGGTGGCAGTGCCCTCGACGGGAGTGACGGCGCCGCTAGGAAGCGCAGGGGTGCCACCGGGGAGAGTGGACTTTGGGGCGGGCTTGCAAATGTCCTCGCCAAAAGTGCGCTCGGAGAGAACGCTCTTCTCCTGCTTGTCGACCAGGAGTGACATGGAGTGCTTGGCCTTCCAGACGGGCAGGTAGAGCGGGAGGGTGAGCTTGCCGCCCTGGGCCTCGCCAGCCTCAAACTTGACAAGCATGTTGCCGAGGTCGGCCTTGACAAGGTCGGTCTTGAAGGGCTCCTCAAACTTGTCAATGGGAGGGTACATGTCCTCGAGGAAGGTGCGGAGCTCGTCGACGCGGGCAACCTTGACCGACTCGGTGGGGACGTGCTGGAGAATCTCGCTGATGCCGTCGGCCGAGACACGCCACTTGCACTTGATGTCGGTACGCTGCTGGCTGTCCTGGCGGATAAAGGTCTTGACACCGGCCGAGATCATGCGGAGACGAGTGTAGTCGTTGTTCAAGACAATCTTCTTGATGGTGTCGTTGACAATGTACATGGTGCGGAGCGGGTTGCCGTACTCGTTGCGAACAAGGAGGTTGTTCTCGGGGAACGTGGCCTGGAGCTGGAACCACTCCTTGAGCACGTCGATCTCGGCGTGGGTGGGGTCGACGAACGAGAAGGGGTCCTCGCGGAACTGAAGGTCACGCTTCTCCTTCTTGGTGGCCTCGGAGCGGAGCTTCTTGGGCGCAGCGGCGGCCTCGGCAGAAGGCGAAGCGGCGCGCTTGAGGGGCAGGCTTCCCTTCTCGTCAATGGCGATAACCTCGTCGGGGGTAGGGAGCGAGGCAATGTCGACCTTCTCGACCTTGGTGGCATTGGCGGCGGGGGCCTCGGGGGCAGCCTTCTTCTCAAGGACACAGACGTAGAAACCGCCAGTGTTCTGGTCGTGGGGGAGGAGACGGAGGGAGCGCTCGAGGTTGAGCTCGGCGGCGTTGGCGGGAGGCCAGCAGGTCTCGGGCATGCCCTTGAGCTTGTCCTGCTCACGCTCAGCGCTGGCATCGACGGCAGTGCGGTACTCCTTGAAGGAAGCGTGCTCGACGAGCTCGTCGTTGGGGCGCGAGAAGACCCTCCAAGAGTTGATCCCGGGGCGGCGCTTGAGGGCGGGGAGCTTGTCGGCAACGTCGACAATGTGGAACTCTCCAGGGTGAGCGTTGAGGGCGGCAGCAACGACGGCCTCGTTCTCGGTGGGGTTGAACGAGCAAGTCGAGTAGACGAGACGGCCACCAGGCTTGAGCATGGCCATGGCGCGGTCGAGGATGCGGAGCTGGATAACGTGGAGCGAGGCACCGTCGTAAGGCGACCACTTGCTCCAGATCTCGAGGTTCTTCCTCATGGTACCGTCACCCGAGCAGGGGACGTCGGCCAATATCCTGTCAAACTTGAGGGTCTCGCCATCGCCGAGGCTAATGTTGGGAATCATGGCTGAGGGTGTTAGTCGCCGCTGAGAGGGTGAAGAGCGCGGCACTCACTGGCATCGAGGTTGGTGACAATAAGGCCCTTGGTGGGCATACGGCCGCCGGTCTGGTGGACAAGCATGTGGGTGCGCTTGTAGTCCGAGTCGTTGGCAATGAGCATACCGGTCGACTCTGTGTGGTAGGGGTTGAGAGCCTCGATGATCTGCGTGGTCTTGGAGCCGGGGGCGGCGCACATGTCCAGGCAGTAGTGGTGGGGCTCAACGTCCATGAGGAGAGGGGGGATCATCGAGACGGCCTCCTGACGGCTGAGGTTTCCCTGCGAGGTCAGCGCATTGCAAGTACAGCGGTGTTACCTACAACCGAGGTCTCGCCGACGAGGAAACGCTGGAAGGTCTTGAAGGCAGGCTGCTTGCGGACAACGCGCTTGGGCGCAGACACCTCCCACGCAAACTGGTTGGGGTACCACTCGATGGGCTTGGGAGCAGCGTACTTGACACCCTCAAGCTCGACCTCCTGCATGGTGGGGACGTAGACGTCCTTGATGAGGCCGTTGATGGTGTCGGCGTGCTCGCGCGAGCCGGTAACACGGAAGGTCGTGGGCAGCTCGGTGCGGAGGATGTTGAGGAAGTCCTCCCACTCGGCCTCGGGCACAATGTTTTGCGCCTGGAAGGTTAGCTTATACCGAGGAATCCATAACCTACCTTGTAGTACTCCTCGAAGGACTTGTTCTTCATGGACTCGGTGTCAAAGTCGTTCCACGAGGCGCCGTTAGGACGCTGAGTACGGGCGTTGGACGCCGGCCTGCGGCCCTGTTTCGGTTAGCACCTGCCAACAGCCTTCAAGCCTACCCTTCCACCACCACCGCGCTTTCCGTGCTTGCCCATTTTGTTAAGTTGGAGAGGCAAAGAGGGTTGTTTTGGTCAGACTATGCTCACCAAAAGTTCAAGATTAACTGGATGTGTGACCGTCGAAAACAGCTCGTCACGTGACCTGGAGATGTGAAGTATATTTGGTTCCGTTCATGACGTCGGGCGTGGGAGATCCCTGGGGGGTCCCACACCTCCCTTTCGTCGGGGCCATACGGGCCATCTCTTCCTTGGATCCTTGCACTCCTACAGGCCTCCAGGGATCTACTGTCGTCTCAAGCATGGCTGTCTCTGCAGTGAACGCTGGTGGCCGTTCTCTTGTTGCGCGTTTGCCAAGCTGGTGCCTCGGCTTTCGGACAAGAACGGAGGTATGTCGGTTCTGGTGGTCGGCAAACTCCGAGGCGAGACCCACTCAATTGCTTCTCATTCTGACACTGCCGATTTTTCTCAAAAACGCTAGAAGCACCTGCGCCATGGTCTGGATCAGTAGATCAGTAGTGTACCCACCTATTGTTGACATGTCCTTTGGGTCCGTGGATGATTCAGCTGCGACAACAATGAACCTGTTCCTCGCGCTGCCCGCTGCAGACCTAGTGGCCAAGTGGCGAAGTTGACGAGCAGCAGTGACCATGCTCTGCCCACCGTGCCACACTGGACTGGCCACGGCATTCCACCAACTGCCATTTGACAACAAATACATTTCACTAAGACATGTACTTCTCTTAGGACGTCTTCTCTTTGGCTTCTTGCTATAGACGGGAGCGCTGATTAACTTGATGTAAGCTCGTTGACTTGGGGGGCGTTGGTGTTGGGACAGGCGACGGGGGTGGGTTGGGGACCTGAGGAAGTCGGGTCCTACTTGGTATCACGGGTCGTCATGCGACGAAGGCCCTCGGCCACACTGGCACGGCGGAGCATGGCACCGACGCTACCACGACGGCCGCCACTGGTGCCGTCGCCCGCGGCGCGGTTACCCCATCCGTGCTCGGCCTCGCCCTCCTGGGACTTGCCGCGGCTGGTGATACGGTGGAGCGCGTCCGAGACGCTTAGACGGCGGCCCTCGGAGATGCGGACGTTCTCGGTCTCGCGCACGCAGATGGGGCAGTCCGGGTGGCCGCCCCACTCGGTCGTGCCATGTGCGGCGTGGACGAGGGCCTCAGCGGATCCCTGGACGTTGCCGTTGGTGATCTGCATCTGGCGTGTGGCGGGCCCGCGGGGGAAGCCCATGGTCACCAGCTCTTCGATACCGCGCTGCATGTCGGCGTTGCCCACGCGGTCGGGCTTCTCGAGGATGTCGTGGGAGAAACGGCGCAGGCGGCCCATAAAGCCACCACCGCCGGCGGTGGGTGGGGCTGCGGCCGCAAGGTCTTCAGACTTGTTGACGGGAGAGGCTATTGACGTCACGTTAGCGTCTGCGTCTTTTTTGCCACCCGCCGCCCCTGCAAGACGACTCAACGGGACTCACTCATTGTTGATGTGGTTGTGTTGTGTGTGAGGGAAAGGAAGTTGTTAAGGATCACTCGGTGGCGACTGTTGTATGCATGCCCACCCCCACCCTCCTTGCCTTATGTACAACCCATGTCACCGGGCACAAGGTCACAAGACTGCCGAGTCGAGACCACGACCGGCAAGCCATTGGCAACTGATGTTCCGGAGTTGCTTGGCAGAGTACATCATCCGCGGTTGCCAAGGCACTTTGCCTAGGTCGTCTGTCATGAGATGGTTATCGCCGCCATTGTTCCATCCCATTGTTATTTCCCCCGTTATCCATTGGGCCAGTGATACGCCGCAGCCTTTTTGAATGGCAATGTTCATTGGATAGGGGTTCACAGATCGTTTTCGTCATTTGGTGTTGGCTGGCTGTGGGAATGTGTCTCGGAGATCTTCGCAATGCCGTCAATTCGCACCACTGGCCGCTTTTGGCCGCGGCCAGGTATACCTGCCCACCTCCTCGTAAGCCCCGATGCGTGCATTGTTGGGCATGACGGCAACGGGAATGCCCGTTGTGCACGGAACAGTGGCGAGCAGCGTTGGGTTGGTGGTGAGTGGTGAGTCACTCGCCAGTGGCAATACCAACGACGGAACCAGGTTGGCCGCGGGCGTGAGCAATTGCTCCCTATCGGTTGGCCGCTTTTCCATGTCGTTCTCCCATCAACGGCTCGTTTACGGGTTTTGTGATGTCTGTAAGCCGACAGTGCTGTGAAGCAGACAGCAGATTGTCCTAGTGGCGTCTGATGCTTCAAGCCGAAGTGACACCTGTGGCCGACGCCGAGAGCGGCGTCAAACCGTCATCACGGCTCATATCACCGTCGAGCGCATCTTCCTCGCCACCGCTCACATCTGTGCTAGAGCTGGTCCAGTATAGGATATTTGACAATATTCTGTGCCCCTGCGGACACGCAGGGGACCTGTGAAGTGGCACCAGAAGAAAAAAAGAAAAACATCGCAAAATGGCCTCACATTTAATGACCAGGCAAATGACGAGGCAGATGGCCGACAGATATTGCTCCACACCGAGATAGTCTTGTTATTTCTTGACTCCCCCACATAGCTACGCTTATCTATCTCTCTCCGTCCCTCTTATCTTCCCCATTTCCTCTCTGGCCACCCCGTTACGGGCACGTTCAAACGATACGCCTCACGTCGCTTCCTCGTGGTCCGCGCTCGCCACTCGCCTCTCATGCGATGTAGAAAACTGTCCCTGTCACTCCGAGTCCATTATAACGAGGGGGCCTCATATATGTCCTTTCAAGATAGCCAGCCCAAAAATATAAACCTCTATGCACTCATTGTTGGCCGCAGAGGCATCGATACATGACATGACGGCACCACATAGTGGCCAAAAGCTGATTATCGCTCGCTTTCCTTTGGCCACACGATGCCGAACATGTCAGCTCAACCCACCTCCTTTCAGCCTCTGGGCAGCTCAAACAGGAGACACAGCAACAAACAGGCGCAACAGCGTTGCTGCCACTGTTCTATTTCATGATGATTCACCCGCTGTCCTCTCAATGGGTTTGGACGCAAGGCCGCTCCCGCCGCCAAGCCTTTCGGCCGGCACATGACCGTTGCTGTCTTGTCTGTTGAGCCTGTATATGTCGTCTCTTTTTACCCGGGTCACTGAGCAATGCGACTGGCGAGTGCATACAGCAGGACGCAGAGAAGGAAGTCAAGAGACAGATAAAAGCATCTAATCCGGAAGGCGCAAACGCCTCGTTATCGCCTCGCCGCCACTTGCACTTTGACCCGTAAGAGGCAAGTGGAGGTGGTCCACCCCAAACACCCCGCCAGCCCCTGCACACACCTGTGTTTAGAGCTGCCACTTGGTGTATCAGGTGCCGTATGCGATCGTAGTGGTCTGGGGGGTGTCAGAGAGCTCGATTGGTTATAATGCACGGTCGGTGTCCCCGTTACCCACCATCCTTGCCCCAACCTCTGAAACCCTCACGACCTAGGCGAGACTCACTTCCTTGAGCGATATCCACGCTTGGTCGCTCAGTTTTCCACAGTACATAGAGCCAGTAGTAGCCGGTAGCGAGCCAAACGAAAAAAAAAAGGCCGCCACCGAGCGCCTGGACCGCTTGCTGCGCAGCAGAGCGCACAATCGGGTGTCATGTCGACGTACATACATAGGTTTCCCCCCCTGTCTGCGTCGGAGTGGTCCATTTCCGAGGCCTTCTCAATCTTCTGTTGCCCCCCTTCCAAGAAGGCCTCATTACGTCGCCCTGGGGCCTGCGCATGCGTCGTGCAGTGTTATGCTCGTCATTTTCGGATCTCGGACCCCGGCGTCTCGCACCCGGTGCTGTAATCTGATTAACGACTGGTTGTAGCAGCAAGTGCAGCTGCGCAATGCTGTGGACCAGCGAGCGGGTCGGTGGGTGGTCCGCATGTCCCTAGCACACACGCTCGGCCGAGGCCAAGAAAGACCAAGAAACAAGAACCAAAAGGCCAAGCCTGTGCAAGACCATGCAAGACCGCGTTGCTCTCGGCCCGGCCCTGGGCTTATCGCGCGGCAGGGTGTGAGCATGCTTTTTTCCCTTCATTTCATGAAAGAGAGAGAAAGAGCATCGCAATGTCCCGACATGTGCAACGGGATAGCGTAGCGTTTCCTTCCGTACCAGTTGGGTGAAGACGACTTGAGCGGCAGAGGTACAGCGAGGATAGCTCCACCGATGAGCTTGGCTCCATGAAGACAAGCTTTGCATACCCGAGCAAAGGAGGTCCGCTCGCCGCAGTCCTGAACATTCGGCCTGTGGGCGGCAACCACGCCCACTACGCGACGATCGCAAGCGACAAGGTTGGCCCGAGAGCACTACCGACTTTTTTTGAGTGGCGCTCTTGCACTCTTGCCGTCGCTTCGCTTGGCTCGGTATGCCTCGGTATAGCTGGGGCCTGTGGGCGGGTTCGGCCTAAAAAGTCACCCACGGGTCACTCGTGCTGGGCGGACCATGATTGCAATGTGTGACGCATGCATCTCCCTTACATTAACCACTACTGAGCCCAATGGGCCCGCCGCGCCCACGTCCTCCCTGACTCTGGAGGTATGGAGACTGGAAGTGACGATGTCAAACGCGATCGCTGCCGCGCAGCATAGCATAACAGGCTCGTGTTTCACGCGCCACACACAGGCGTGCAGGTATGCTGGCGGGCTCCGAGGGGACATGAGATGGTGGATACCTTTCCTTTAGCGCGCCGGTGTGCGTGCTACGCCGCGTCGCCGGGGGAGCCAAGCCTACGCCGAGAGACGAGACGAAACGCAGTGTCGACCGCGCACGCACCATTGCAGTGCAACCACCCACCCACCCTCCTGTGAGCTGTGAGCCTCTCTGCGCTCCTGGCACATAAAAAAGTCCTGGATCCCCGAGAAACCCTGTTTTTCCTTTCTTTTATTGCAGCGATACGAGCGAGCGACCGTCTTTTTTCACTGCTCCCTCGCAGGCAACAGACTGACCCCCTTATGTCATGCTCCGTTGCTATGGCGTCAGCAGTCCGACGGATTCCAGCGTCGGTAAACCCAAAGGCCGCCGTCCCCGTCTCCGTGCCCACCGGCGAGCGGGACATAAGGGGCGAGCCCGAGGGTGGCAGCGGTCGGTTGCTCAGTGGATCAGTGGTGTGCTGCCGCGGAGATTAACTCGCCAATAAATGCATCTAAGGGTTTCTCGCATGACGTGAAGGGGTGAGGGAGAGGGGTGGGCAGATGGGCATCACACTGGCTTTTGTTTCACCACCGTTCCCGCGTCGAGCGCGAATGAATGAAAGAGCAAGGTCAAAGGCAATCAATCTACTGCGCCGCCGAGACCCGGAGGCTATCGTGTGTATCCATGACTGTGTCGCGCCGCGCTTCTCGCCTGTCTCAATGGAACCTTGGGCAACCTGACGCGGGGAGAGGGGATGCAAATGGCCAAATGGGATGGCGCTGAGGGACAGCGTCCCGGAATACCTCGATATGCCTCGATATGCCTCGGAGCAACCTGGGAATATGATTGGGGAGGGATCGACCAGGACAACGGGGGGGTTGCGATGTCTGCCTAACGTCGAGAGCGAGTAGTCTCTGTTTGATGTGCGCGATTGCATCCCCCCGTCCTAAGCGACGCTTCCTCTCGCACCAGGACGTATCGCGATAGCACAGGCCCCGTGTGTGGCACTGTCTGCCTGTTTGCAAAAGAAAGACGCGCGTGAGGCTCACGCGTCGGTCGTGTACCGCCATGGCAACTGCGTCGCTTCCTCTTTGTGGAGCGCAACAGAGTAAAGCTACCCCTAGGCGCGATACATGACAGGCACCAATTTGTGGCGGCTGTTGGTCTTTTTTATTCTTTCTTCTGTGCCACCATGCAACCCAAAAAAAAAAAAGACATGGTCGACGGCCACCCATCTGACATGTGCGAGCTGCGTCGGTCACGCTGATACGGTGATGCGAGCGCGCGAGCGATGGCGCATGTGGGCAACGGTTTCCGGGTGCGAGCGAGTGAAAGAGCCTATAGATGCCTAGATGCCTAGAGGTCAAGCCTCGAGCTAGAGCCGTAACCCGACACATCCCACGTTCCACCTGCCCAGACCAAACAAAAGGAGGCTTTGGCGTGGGCGTCCAGGTGCACACCAGGTTCACCAGGTGCAGCAGGCTGACGGTATCCTGGGTATCATGTATCATACGACCAACGAGAGCACGGCGAGGGCCCGTGCGCCGGCCTGCACTCGAGCATGTGCACACGATGGATTTTGGTGCCGGCGGGGCAGTCGAGTGGGGGAGGCGGCGGTGCGGTGCGGCGAGGGGCTGCTGTGGGTTGGCAGACGGCGCCTCGAGGCCCTCCCAAAACAGGTGGGCGGGAGTGCTGTGACTGGCTGCGCGCGCGGGGTGGTGTAGTCGGGTGTGCGGATGTCGCCATGCGTAATATGCACACACACATGCCATACCGATACATGTTGCGCACGGGGCGGCGTGGGGCCAGCCATACAGAGAGAACATTGGACGCACCGAGCGCACCGTCTCGTCTCCCAGGCATTGTGTCAGCCCGGATGGCTAACGCAAGGCCGCCGCCGCCGCCGCCGCGGTAGACAAGGTTGGGGGGCCGTGGGTGCCCTGCCAAGGTGCAGAGCGCAGAGCCCAAGAGCCACTAGATGTAACGGAGAGTGCGAGCCAAGGGGCCAGGCTCTCCCTCGGCTCTGGCGATAACACAGAAAACGAGATATATTGAATTGACGCGCTACAATAGAAAGCGTAATAGAGAGGGCTAGAATGCGCGTGCACGCGATCTCTCTCTCGCGTGCGTGGGACCGGTGCCGGGGAAGGCAAAGGAAGGAAGGCTGCGTGGGAACTTCTCTCAAAGGACCCAAACGTGCAGACGACGCGTGCGGCGGGCGTGTGTGTGTATGCGCGTTAGCGTGTGTGCGCGCGGATCTGTGTGGGTTCAAGATGCCCTGGTCGCTCTCTCTCCCGGGTGCGCCTGCGCACAGACCTCTGCCGCCCCGTCCGGTTGCTGCGGGATGCCGGGCGCAGAATACGTGTGTGTGTGACGTTTTAGCACGGGGCGTCGGCTGTGGTGGTGTGTGCATGGATTATCGCAGCCCCGCGGCCTCAACCCCGACGCACACTGCACTCAGGGGAGAGACGCAAAAAGGGACCCACGGTGCGGACCCCTGAAACTGTCGCGAGCGATCTGCCACAGCCCCCCTCCGCCCCGCGCCTCCGTCTGCCTCCCCGGGTGCTCCCCCTGCGCCGTAGCCGCAGCCTGCCAGCTGAATGGAGCCGCGCGTACCCACCCCCCCCTTCCACGTCGACGCTCATAAAGAGCGTGGCCATTCTCCCAGCCCCAGCTTCTCTCCCACCCAGCAAGCAAACCCACAGCCAGCGCCCCGTCCCCAGATTCCCCCGGCCTCGTCGTTCCCAGGCATCCGCTTTCGTCCTTCCTTCATTGTTCGCTCCTCTTCCTTTTGCCATTTCCACACACCTTTTTTGCCCTTCTTCTGATCACACGAAACCACAACCAACCTTTGCATCACACCCAACCACCACCACCACCACCACCACTATCTGGCATAACGAGATACCCACCCACGACACCATTCACGAACACACACCCCCAATAATACCCTCCTCCCCCCCGCACACCTCCACCTCACTCCACACCACAATGTCGTCTGCCGCCGCTGCTTCACCTGCCGTTGCGTCGTCGTCAAAACGCGCCGCACCCACCACCCCGGCCACCCCAGCAGCCAACAAGCGTGCACGCACCGACATGAGCGAGGCTCCAGAGGACGACGATGAGCCGATCAATGAGGAGGACATGGACGACGAGAGCAAGGCCAAGGCTGCGCGCCGCGAAGCAAGGGTAAGTGTCCTTTGCCGCTCGGCCGAAAAACACACATCCATTCACAGCAAAACTCACACCCACTCTAGACAATCCGCAACCGCGAGTCGGCGCAGAGGTCCCGCAACCAACGCAAGGCCCACCTCAGCTGGCTCGAAGCTCGTGTCGTCGAGCTCGAGAACGAGAACCGTGCACTGCGCACGGGCGGCACCGCCCCCTCGACTCCCTGCAAGACCCGCGAGTCTTCCCCCGCAAACTCGATCGTCTCGCTCGCTTCCGACCTCGGTATCCCACCCGAGATTGTCAGCGCCGGCGGCGGTGTCAACCTCGCCACCGTCGCCCCGCCTCCCGCCGACGTCGACATTGAGGACATTAAGCCTCGCATCCCCACCTCTGTTCCCGACATGATCTCTATCGCCACGCCCCAGCTCTCCATCATGGAGCAGGCGCCCTCGACCGACCTCGCCACCGAGAACATGCACCTCCGCTGGCGCGTCAGCATGCTTGAGAACATTGTCAAGCAGGCCGCCGCGTACTTTTCGTCCAACACCCCCATCGACATGGCCACGGCACCCCCGCCCCACCCCATGATGGAGGTCCACACTCCCTCGCCCCCGCGTATCGCCGGCATGGACGCGACCCTCTCGCCTCCTCTTTTCCCGACCCTGCGCGAGCCCGTCCAGTCGCCGCTCCGTCTCCAGACCAAGCTCGACACCACCAACAACATGACCCACCCGGACACGAACCAGTCGACCGCTTCCGCGGACGTCGTCTCGTCCTTTATTGACCTGTCAACTCCCGTCGCTCGCCACCCAGCAGTGGTGGCGACTCTGCCGGCAGTCTCCTCTGAGAGGCGCGGCGTGGCCCTGCAGCGGGCGACGGAATCTTTGACAGCAATCAACTTGGACTTGCCGGCCAACCGGCAGCGGCTGGCTACCGTGGCCAGGGTGATCGTGGCGTTGGCGCGTCTTCGAGGCTGGACCTCGGCGTCGCAGGCTCGTTCGGCGCGGACAGCCGCTCAGCTCAAGACGTCGGCTCGTCGCAGGACGCCTGGTTCCCTGAGGGCACTCAGGCGCACGAGTGGGACGAGGAGATGAACGACCTTCTCGAGACGCTCGAGGGCCAGCCCGACAGCGTCTCCAAGGTTGTTCCCGGCAATGTTGGTGTCTCGCCAGCGATGACCGGCGACCAGTGGGCTTGGGAGACGGCGATGGTCGAGTTCTAAACCAAGGACTATGACAGCGGAGGATCAGAAGAGAAACCCCCCTTAGAAAACAAAACACAACACACTACTCGAAAAACACCCAACCAACCACCCCCCCTACACCCTAATGCGGGTCAACTTGTCCCGTTTGTGTATGATCTCGGCCTGGCGTATACACACTCTTATCGTGCGCCCCCTTGGCCTATTGTCTGTAAGTCCCTGTCTCGTGCTCAGTCGTGTCTCGTGCAATTGCGACCAGGCTGGCATGTCTCCCGGCACACTTTCTTAGTTTTGTGTACCTTTCTCCACCAACACCTTCCCTCACACTCCCATCCTGGTATTGAGTGTCATCCCGCGCCCGAATGGCCCCTGGAACAGCCGACCCCCAGCCTCCGCGGCACACCCGCTCGCCTTTCGAGGCTTGAGCCGTGAGCAACAGCGTGAGCGGGGTCGTGAGCGACCAGACGCCGCGGGTGCAGGTGGCACCAAGTTAGGTGGAAGTATGAGCGGGGGCGAAACGTGGGAGAAGGCGCGCCGAACGACGAGAGTTTTGTGTTGGTGAGACTTGTTCAACCCTTGGAGCGTTACATGCGATGCGGTCTGGATGCGTGCAGGGCATGCTTGGGCAGACCGATTGCCATATGGTTGGGTTGGCGGCCATGTGCCGCCCACCGGAGGAGAAAAATAGAAAGACAAGCCCACTTTGTAGCTGTTATCGAGACGATGAAAACGACATTTATTGCCCCCTCATATGACTTGTTGCAACTGAAGGGATCGTGAGCATGGCCGCATTGGAAGCAAAAGGGAGGGAGGGACTCGGGACAGTATTGCATGACAGCCAGGTGGGGGGCGTGTGCCACATTCATTCTTCACGTTCCATATCTCATTTCATCGCTTCCAGAACGCACGATTCCAGAACACACGATTCCTGACGCTGACCTCGGTCCAGCATCAGCCATTTAATCTCGGGCCGGGTCTCGTGCGCAACTGTCCGCAAGGTGCAGCAGTACCGCGGCACTGCGTAGTCCATGAGGCCATGAGGCTGTGGCCAGCATGTGGCCGTGGCCATGTGGGTCGCCTCAAAGGACGCGGCGGACGGCGGACGGCGGACGCAGCATGGACCGTCCGTCGCACGCAATGATGGCACATGGCCAGCTTGACCAGTAATAAATAGGATCGTAATGACTACAATAGACGCAATCGCTCTGCCCTCCAGGAGCGACCGTCCGGAGCTCAGGTGCAGCGAGGGCGAGGGCCGGGGTGGAGAGGGAGGGAGCGAACACTGCCCCGGTGGGCAGCTTATCCTTATCCCAGCAGCGCCAGTAATCGCAAGCGATAGTCCAACGTGGGCAGCACGCACGCACGCACGCACTGCGTATCCCGAGCAGTGGGCCAACCAACATCCAGTCAACATCCAACACCGAACAACCAACGACCAACGTCGCTGCAGCCGACGGCAAGCGCAGAGCGAGCGCCACAAATGCACACTAGTAGACCACTTTGCGTTTCGTTCCACCTACTCACCTATGTCGATGCACCTAGTCTTGCTCGTCCACCACAGGCGCGGTCGTCACGCAGACAGACGCACATTCTCTCTCCCTAGACTCCATTGCACCATTGTCCTGCATCTGTAGCAGGTTCGAGAAACAGGTAAAAAAAAAAGCCACCCCCAGTCCCCCCCATGCCCATATGCCCATATGCCCATTTGCGTGTCCCCGTGCGCCTGTCACTTTCCGCAAGGTAGACCCGGACGCCGCGGCGCTCGGTACAGAGTACTCGCGCACTCGCTGCTGCTGCTGCACACGCAGGTAGAACAAAATGCGCCGCGCTCGCGCCAACGTAACCCCTTCCTTCCTTCCCTTCGGCCTTCGGGCCCTTCGGCGCCTTCGGGGGTCGGTGCGGCCGGTGCGGGTCGGTGCGCACCGGCGCCACCGCCGGGTACGCGCGCGGCCAGGAGAAGAGACGCAGACGAAGAGGAAGACGCCCGCGCCGGGGATGGCGATGGCGCCGCGCCGCGCCACTGTGGGCAGTCGAGATACATACCTGCCGCCACGATCGGGCGCGCGGTAACGGCCACGGGGGCCAAGACACCACGGCCTGCGCACGGCTGCGCTTGCCCATCCGCCCTCTCGCATTGGCATTGGCATTTGCATTTCATGCAGGAGCAGGAGCAGGAGAGGAGAGCTGGAGAGCTGGGGGACCGGCAGTGGCGCCGGCAGCGTGCCTTGCGCTCGCGCCGCGTCTTGCGCCATCATCGCAGTGTTTTTTCCCTGCGGTATAGATTCCCTGTGTGGCTTCATGAACAAGGCAAAGGTCAGTGCACGCTCTGTCTCTCGGTTAGCGTCGTGGGCCGTGCAGAGAGGAGAGGGGGGGGGGGCATTGCGGCCTGAAACACGCTCGGCGTGAAATTAGTTTGAGGGAAGAGGGGGGGAACGCGATCGCGAGTGAGTGAGTGACAAGGAATGATGGTGACCAGGGATCCGGCGATGAGGATCGACGACGACCGCGCGGCGGGGTCTGCTTGGGGTTCAACGGTGCAAAATGCATCTAACTACATTGCCCACCGGCCAGCGGCCTGGCGGGACCTTATGCCTGGGTATATCTCACAACATCATGCGTAAACGGTGCGTGTGTGGGTCCGGGGTGGTTGGTTGGTGGGTTGGTGGGTTTGGAATGATGGTGTCGCGTTCGTTAGATGGGGAGGCCGTCGGGCCCGAGCGCAATCTTGACCTTTTTCGCGCGTGGCTTGGCCTTCTTGCCGTCCTTCTTCTTGGCCGCCGCGCCGGCCTTTTTGGGCACAGGTGTGCGCGCGCCACTGGGCGCGCGGTCGTCCATGTCGTCGTCGTCGGCTGCGGGACGGGCGTTGGCCGCCGAGAAGAAGTCGTCGCCGTCGTCGTCAAAGTTGCCGAGACCGTCACCAAAGGCCGAACGACGCTGGGTGGCGGCGCCAAAGGCCGGAGCAGTGTAGCCGTGGGCCTCGGCCTGTTTGCGCTTGGCGACCGACTCGGCGAGTTCCTCGTCGTCCATGAACAGCGAGGCAATCTCGGCCGGCTTGGTGACGTCGTTGATCGACTTTTGGCCAACGACAATGTCCTGCACGTCCTTTTTCGCACGGGCGAGCTTGACAATACGGTCCTCGATCGTGCCGCGTGCAATGAGGCGGTAGACGGTGACCTGTTTGGTCTGGCCGACACGGTGCGCGCGGTCCATGGCCTGTGCGTCGTTGGAAGGGTTCCAGTCGTGGTCGTAAAAGACCACAGTGTCCGCAGCAGTCAGGTTGATACCCAGACCACCGGCGCGGGTACTGAGGCAGAAGACGAAAATGTCCGGGTTGGTCTGCCACGACGTGACCATGTCGCGACGGTCGCCAATAGCGGACGAACCGTCGAGGCGGAGGTACTTGTACTGCCTGTAGATGAGGTACTCTTCGATGAGGTCCATCATCTTGGTCATTTGGAAGTAGAGCAGGACACGGTGGCCGCCGGCCTTGAGCTCGCGCAACAGGTCGTCGAGACGAGCGAGCTTCGCCGAGTCGACAATCATGCGCTTGATCTGCGGTGCGCTGAGCGTCGAAATGGGCGTCTGGTACGCTGGCGATGCGCCGAGGAGACCAGAGGGAGGGACGCCGGGCACGATGTGGTCCAGCTGCGCCACGGCCAAGCTCTTGTCGCGCTCGCTGGGCGTAACGCCGTACAGAGCCGAGTGGACAGTCTGGTCGTTGGCCAGACGCTGCTGCGTGTCGACAAACGAGCGGCTCGAGACCACAGGGGTGATGGGCGGTGCAACGGCATCGACAGAGGCAAAGCGAGCGCCGCCGCGAGAAAAGTACGACTCGTTCCACACCTGCGTTGTAATGTCGCGCAGGGCAGGGAGGCCTTGCGCGGCGGCCAGCGGCACGCGCGGGGCAAGGGGGTTGTACTTTTTGGACGAGGCAGCAAACGTAGCGTCCGAGATGAACGGGCCCTTGACGACATATTCGTACGAGTCCTCCGAGCCCTCGAGCAGCTTGACCAAGGGGTGGGCAGTGGCACGGTGGTGTGTCTCGGCAGGCGACTGGTCCATGATCCGGAGGAAACCAAAGTTCGAGTTGTCCTCCTTGAGCGACGAGTTGATCCAGTCGGTGCTCCAAATGTTGAGCAGGTTGTTGAGGACGTGCGTGTCCGAGCCCGCGAGGCTCGTCTCTCCTGGCCGGTTGAGCTTGCCGCCGTCGGTCCACACAATCTTGGGCAACGGCACCTCGATGGCGTTGCGCCACGACTCGGGGCAGTATAGCAAGTCGCCCTGGCGGTTGAGGTTACCACTCTGGCTAAACGTGCCAAACATGAACGGCGATACAACGTCGGCGCGCTCAAACAGGTCGGGGTGGTTGCAGACCTTGCGGAACTGCATGACCAAGTTCATGAGCGACTTGGCACTGGCCGAGTCGGACGAGTTGTTGGCCTGAGCAATGAGGTCCGAGATAGAAACACGCTGGCGCAGAGCCTTGTAGATCTTCCTCTGGCGGCCACTCAGGTCGACGAGGAGGTCAATCTCAATCTTGTCACCAAGCTCCTTCTGGACGTGCTTCTTGACACGACGCAGCATGAACGGTTTCAAGATCATGTGCAGACGCTTGAGCTGTTCGGGCTTGAGCTGCGACTTGTCGGCACCACTGGCGGCGTTCTCAATGTCCTTGGAGAACCATTCGGCAAACTCTTCGTGCGAGTCGAACAGCTGGGGCATGATAAAGTGGAGAAGCGCCCAGAGCTCTGTGAGGAGAATTGTCAGTTGCTAGTCGTGCAGAAGGTGACCTCAACTCACCGTGCATCGAATTTTGAATGGGTGTACCCGTCAGCAGAAGACGGTTACGGCAGTCGATCGAAAGAAGCGACTTCCAACGGTTTGACGACGAGCTCTTAATGGCCTGCGCCTCGTCGAGGATCATGTACTGCCACTTCATGCCGTGGAAGTACTTTTCATCCATGACAGCCAACTGGTAGCTGGTGACGAGAATGTGGAAGGGCGAGTCCTCGGTGAAAGTCTGGTTCTTCTTGTTCCAGATACGACGGAGGGTCTCGCGGTCCTTGGGCGAACCCCAGTAAGGAAGAGCCTTGAGACGGGGCACGAAACGGGCCAGCTCTTGCTGCCAGTTGTGGAGTGTCGAGGCTGGTGCAATGACCAGGAAGGGACCCCACAAGTTGTGGCTCTCGGCAAGGTACGCGAGAAGCGAGATGGACTGGATAGTCTTTCCGAGACCCATTTCATCGGCAAGGATACCGTTGATACCTTGCTCGTAAAGGTTTCCGAGCCAGGTGAGACCCTTGAGCTGGTACTCCTTGAGCTGGGCCATGAGCATCTTGGGCTGGGTGATGGTGACACTGTTGTCACCGAGCGACGGGTTCTGGAAGTTGAGCTCGTCGCCGTCCATGGTGTCATCGTCGAGCACCTTGCCGTTGGCGTTTTGCGTGGCGTCAAAGTCGCGAGCGCGGTCCTTGTTGGCCTGGATGGCCGCCTGGGCGCTCTTGGCTGCGTGGCGACGCAGGTTCTCGTCGTCGTCCTCGTCATAGTCGAGCTCCTTGAGCGGCTCGGTACCGTCCACGCCGTCGAGCTCGTGACCTTCGGGAGGAGGACCACGAGGCGTAGACTCGCCGTCGTTGCCCTCGGCCTCGGCAGTCTTGATCTTCTTGCCGATAAAGTGCGAGTACAGCTCGGTCTGGGTGAGCAGGAAGTTGAGCTTGCGGGCTTGACGCTTGGATTCGCGCGCCTCTTCCTCGGCCTTTGCCTTTTCGAGGGCCTCTTTCTCGGCACGCTTGCGCGCAGCCAGCTCGTCCTTTTCGTTCTTGCGCCAGTACACGAGCATTTCGCGCATGACCTTTTTGCCCTTGACGGCGGCGTCCTTGTTGATCTTGGTCGACGAGCGGTACGTGGGCTTCATGTTGCGCTGGCTAAAGGCGTTGCGCACAACGGCCTGTGCTGTACGCAGACAGTCTTGCTTGGTAGCGCTGTCGTATGCCTGGTTGACACGGTAGACCCTGGGAATGTCACGGCAGATGGACATCCAGACCTGGCGCTGGATCTCGTCGACAAGACCAAGGCGGACCTTGGCCTCGGACTCGGACACGCCGCGAGGGTCGTACGTGTTAGGAATGTGCTCGGGAGCAGGCGGTGGCGGAGGAGGACCGACTTCTGACACGTTGTCTGCAATGTCGAGGTCGCCAGCCTCGGACTGGTCGCCCGCGGCCTGCTTCTTGCCTTCGCCGCGCTTGCTGGTCGGCGTCTCCTTCTCGCCCTTGGGGGGACGGGTCCAGCGGCCCTTCCCAACCCCAGGCTCCTTGGCCTTGCTTGAGCGCTTCTTGGTAGTGGAGATGGGGGTGTCGCCATTCTCCATGCCAGACGGCTCGTCGTCGGTGTGGGGAGGCTTGATGTCGTCGAGCTCGGAGATGATCGCCTCCTCGGCAAGGTCGACAGCGTGCTGCTTCTTCCTGCGCTTGGTTTTGGGCTTGGTAGGCGCGGGGCTGGCCTCGCCGCCATCCTCGAGAAGGGCTGCAATGTCGGCATCCGCCTCGCCGTTGAACGTCGTATCGCCGGCGTCGCTGTCCTCGACGGCCTCGCCGCGAGCGACACGCTCCTGCATCTTGCGCATCGCCTTCCAGCCCTTGGCGGGCCCAGGCTTCTTGCGCATCGTACCGTCCTTGCGCAACGAGGCGGGACCGTTCTTCCGCAGCCACATCTCGTCCTGGACCTGCTTGACGTCGTCTTCGGTGAGACCGCGAAGGTCGTTGACCTCGACCTTGGCCATGACTTCGAGACGAGTGAGGCCGCATGGCCACACAATTCCATTGGGGTCGCCAGGGACAGTGATCTCATCGCGTGTTTCGTCACCGTCAATGGCCGAAGAAGGGGGCATGGGGCTGCTTCCTTTGACGTCGCCCTCGACCAGGCCGAGAAGCTCATCGTCAATGGCCGCAGACGACACCTTGGGCTTGCGCTTGTACTTTTTCTTGGGGATCTCGATACCAGCGGCAATGGCAGCCTCTTTAGCCTGGCGTTGAGCAATACGCGTCGGGTGGTCCGCGGGCCAGCCCTTGCGCTTGACGGGGACCTTGACAGGACGCTCGTCGCCGTTCCCGAGGGCAGGCGTCCAGTGGACGATCTGGGATGCTTCGCGCTCACGACGCTGCTGGAAAAGGCGGAGGTGCTCTTGCCAGACCTCGTCGTTGGCGGTGAGGCCGTCGTCGGGTCTCATCACACCTTTGCGTCCCGAGTTTGCGACTGTTGGTGTGGTCGTCTCGACAGGTTGTGGCGCCGGCTCTGGCGAGTGACGACGGTCTGAGCCTGCGCTTGACTCTGGGCGCGAAGGAGACGCGCGTCCGTTCCGCCAGCCCGAGGGTTCAAATGGCTGGAAAGTTGGAGCGGAGCGAGAAGGTGCAGGCGGAGGGGAAGGGGAACGGTATGGGTATGAAGATGAAGCGGAGGGCCCAGGACGCGACCGCGGGCGGTGGCCATGATGACGCGAGTCATCATAGTTGTCGTAGGGGTCGGCTTCGGGGCCATCATACGAGGTTTGACGCTCATACGAACCACTGCGGTCGTATGAAGGCCCACCTTTGGTGTCACCGCGGTGGAGGTAACTCCGACCAACATCTACAGGCGCAGCTGCACTGTAATAGTCGGAACGGCTGCGTGCAGCGTATGGCGGGGTATCGTAGCCACCGCGAGACTCGGCGGCGTAGCTGTAGTGCGATGACTGCCTGGGAAGGTCGCCGCTAGGACGCGAGGACCGAGGGGGCGACGCGGGCGGAGGAGAATTGACGAGTGCAGATAAAGCCATGCGAGAAGCGGGCGTCGGACGCGGAGGCGATGGCTGGGTAACAATGTCAGTACTGGGTGTGGCAGTGGGCTTCGACGACGACAACCAGCTGACGCACGGCTCGGTCAACGTTCATGCTTACTGATCCGAGTGCAGAATGAGACTGGACGGGGCTAATGCTGGGCGAGTGGTGCCGCTGACGGCGGTGCGCGCCACGCTCGTACTCGACCATCGCCAGTACCTATAAACGCGTGGTGGATGGATAGCAACAGGCGTTTGAGGCGGGGTGACCGACGATGGGTGGGAATGAGGATGTGGGTTGAGCGGCGGCTGCTGGTGGGTGGGGGGGACGGGGGGGGGGAAGAACCCCGTTATGTGGGCGGGGCTGCCCAAAGGGTTGTCAACTCTTTGGTTGACTGTGGGTGGGTTGGTGGTTCCACTGGGGTGTGGGTGGTGGGTGGAGGTTCCGTGTGGTGGGTGTTGGGCGAGGCGTGCAGCTGGGTGGTTGGGTGATGGATGGCGGGGTATGCAATGGTGGATGGAGCGATTCAAGGTGGGGATGTTGGGGGAATCTGGGAAAGAACAAGGCAGATGTGGGTGCTGTGACTAGGAGAGGTGGGGGGGTGCCCTTTGCTCGGCCGGCAGGCCTGCTGTCGTGGTGGGTGAGATGCCCTCCTTGCCCCCTCTCCTGGCGCCGACTGACCCCGTCGTCTCTCCCTTTGGTTGAATCCACCGATCCACAACGACGCGAGTGTAATCGGAGCGACTAAATGTACCATCCCAGATCACACGTCATTCTTTCACACACACAGCCCATTTTCAGTGTGATAACCCCTCTCACATAACAAAACCTTGATGCGTCGTCGGCCCGCCCGCTCTCGCTTTTTTCGTGCGCGCGCAAGACACGACCGAGACCAAAAAGGTCACAGCCGTCAGCCTCTCGGTCGCCCCCGGCTTTGTGTCGCCTTCCGGTAAAAAAAATGTGGGGGCAACACCGTGGTGCCGTGGGGGGCGTCACTTTTCACCCACAAGACACCCATTCCGTTGTTGCGCTTCTTGCAAAGAGTCCAGCCCCTCTCCCTCCTCCCTCTCCCACAATGCACAAAATGGTGTTGCCAGTCGCCACCACCTTCCACAGTTGTACAGTTGCCTTGTCTTTGTTTTGTTATTTCGTGCCAACGCAATATGAAGCTACACTTGTCATTGTTATACCCATTAGGCAGCCTTACTAATGGCCAACATTACAGTGCATACCTATGTCCTTCTTCCCAACTAACGGTGCGACAGAGCCTGCTATTTGTGTATGGGACGACTAGAGCTGACCGATCGAGCCTGCACACAGCCTACGTCGTCGCACACCGTTGCTTGATTGACGACACCATGGTGTGGTCAGGAGCACCGGCCCACACGAGAAGCAGCCGGTCACAGGCCACAGGACAGAGGCCCGAGCACATTTCAGTCTCATTGGCACACACCATGCAGCCTGCGCTGCAACTGGTTACATTATATGGAGCACCGCCGCACCATGAATCAGGGGAGAAGGCAGGACCATGTGGATTAATCTGTGCAAACAGAGCTCGATCTGCGCACTGCGACATGCTCGGCTGCGGAAACATTCGCACATGCTGGCCTGCTGACCTTTTGGTCCAGCTTGGCCGAGTGTTTGCCACACAAGGACCGCAACGAGTTAACGTCATCACGGCTGAGGTGGTGCGACATTTAGACCAGATCTTGCTAAACACGCCTCCATTTTGACCGCGGCGTCTCACACCGGACACCCTACCGTTGCTCACATCTGGCGTTGCCGTCAGCAAAAAAGGCGAGGAAGCGCCGGTGAAAACGGGTCTCCGTGTTAACCGCACACGGTTCGGGCCCGTCCATGCGTCCATGCGTGTGCGCTCTGTCCATCGGCAAACGGACGGACGTAGCGTTTTTTGATCGCGAAGAAGTCATTTCCCAGGCACACCCGTGGGATTGGCGCGCCTCTGCGCAAGGAAACATGTCGGTACCGTGCCTGGATCACGTGAGCGGGCCACAGATACCACCCATACGTCTGGGTGGCCGTCACTTTGCACGCTTGGTGTGTGCTTGTCATCAGCTCTGTCAGCTTGTGCATCCAGCATCAACTCTGAAACCTGCAGTGGGTCTTGAACGTATACGCTTTTTGTCGGCTGTGCGGCAAACCATACAAGCTGCAAGCGAAGGTCGATTCCTTGACAAATGGCCGTGTCCGTTAAGTCCATTTTGGCGGCGCCACGGATGAAAAGGAAGCATTTGCAGTTGCTCCGAGAGTCCCAGAACCCACGTATGGTCACTCCCTCAGCATTGTTGCGTCCAGCTTGTCCGGACACAGTGGCGAGAACAAGAGTGCAACTTATGCAATGTGAATGCAGTTCGGCGTCCGCCTATCGCTCAGTACAAGGACGCGGCCGAACGGAGGGCGGAGGGAAGCGCTGAATCGGAGGGAAGGTGTGATAGATCCGCACCGGCCTTTGTTAGCCGTCACCTATCTCTCCATCATCCACGACTCCTTGTCTACTGATCCACTGAACTGCTAATCAACGCGCCTATGACACCGCAGTCCTCCGGACAGGACGGTCATGTTGTAAGGAGAGACACAAGACGATAATACTCGTTGACTGCGGTCCTGCGGACCACTCGGTGGTTGGATCACCGGCCTCAGGCACCACGCAAATGCAACTGCCGCTGGCTCTGCCGCAATTCCACTCCGGAGCGGTTACCCACCACAACAACCGACGGCTCCTCCGGCCACCTCCTCCACCGAACGGGGTCCTCGCACAGTGCCAGCTGCCATGACCATCTCCGAGATAAACCCCGGAAGAACGGTCGTTGTTGCGGCAAGGACAGGGGTGGAGGGGACCTGGGTCATAAAAGGACGCACTCGAGGGCCGTCTTCCCTCGACACGACTCTGCACCGACACTCACAATGTCCATCACCAAGTTTCTCCAGATGAGCGAAGAGGACCGCCGCGCTATCCACACTATCCGGTGTCTCGCTGCCGACCTGTGCCAGCAGTTCAAGGGCGGTCACCCCGGTACCGCCATGGGCGCGGCCAGCATCGGCGTCGCGCTGTGGCGATACCTCATGAAGTACAACCCTGCCAACCCCGACTGGTTTGCCCGTGACAGTGAGTGCTAGCCCAACCGCCGAGGTGTGTCTTTCCTAATGTTTGCAGGGTTTGTCCTGTCTGCCGGCCACGCGTGCCTCCTGCAGTACATGATGCTCCACTTTGCAGGCTATGAAGAGTGGTCACTGGACGAGGTCAAGAAGTACCACGCGCCCAACTATGGCAAGGCGGCCGGCCACCCCGAGATCGAGTACCCGGGTATCGAGGTCACCACCGGTCCCCTGGGCCAGGGTATCGCCAACGCCGTCGGCCTCGCCATGGCTGGCAAGAACCTCGGAGCCACCTACAACCGCGAAGGTTTCCCGCTTGTCGATGGCAAGGTGTGGTGCTTTACCGGCGACGGGTGCTTGCAAGAGGGTGTCGGACAGGAAGCCATCTCGATGGCCGGCCACTGGGGCCTCGACAACCTGATCCTCATCTACGACAACAACAGCGTCACCGTGGACGGCTCCATCGCCAACTGCTTCACGGACGACTCGTCTGCCAAGCTCAAGGCTACCGGGTGGCACGTGATTGACGTTGAGAATGGCAGTGACGACCTGACTGCCGTCGTTAAAGCTCTCGAGACCGCCAAGAACCTCAAGGGCAAGCCGACGTTTGTCAACATTCGCACCGTTATTGGCATTGGCGCGGCCAACCAGGGCAAGGGCAAGGTCCACGGCCAAGCTCTCGGCGATGCCGACGTCGCCAACGTCAAGCGCCAGCTCGGCTTTGACGCCGACGCCAAGTTTGTCGTCCCCTCGAGCGTGTACGACTACTGGACCGAGACCAAGACCCGTGGAGCCGCTGTCGAGGCCGAGTGGAACGCGCTGTGGACCAAGTACCAGGCTACGTATCCCAAGGAGGCGACTGAGCTGCGGTCCCGTATGGCCGGCAAGCTCGAGGGCTGGCAAGAGTTGGTTCCCCCCAAGAGCGCCCTCCCTACTGCTCCCCAGCCCACGCGCAAGTCGAGCGGAATCATGGTCGAGGCCCTGGCGCCCAAGTACAACTCGTTCATGGTCGGCTCGGCGGACCTTCTCGAGTCGACGTTTGTCTCGTGGCCGGGCATGACCGAGTTCCAGAACCCCGAGTCTGGGCTTGGCGACTACTCTGGACGCCAGATTCGCTACGGTATTCGCGAGTTTGCCATGGTGGCGGTGGGTAACGGTCTTGCGGCGTACCAGAAGGGCATGTTCTTGCCTGTCATGTCGACCTTCTTCATGTTCTGGCTGTACGCTGCGCCAGCTGTGCGCATGGCGGCGCTCCAGAACCTCCGGTTCATCGGTATCGCCACCCACGACTCGATCGGTATCGGCGAGGACGGCCCCACCCACCAGCCCATCGCCCTGGCGACCTTTTACCGTGCTCTCCCCGGTATCAACTTTGTCCGCCCCGCCGACGCCGAGGAGGTCATTGGCGCGTGGCAGCTCGCGCTGAACGACGAGGTCGAGCCGTCGCTCTTTGCGCTCTCGCGCCAGCCCGTGCCCCTCCTCGAGGGCTCGAGCCGCGACGGTGTCGCGCGTGGCGGCTATGTCGTGTACGGCTCCGCCAACCCGCAGCTCACCCTCCTCGCCACTGGTGCCGAGGTGTCGCGTGCCATCGATGTTGCCAAGCTGCTCGAATCCCGCCTGGCCGTGCGCGTCGTCTCCCTCCCCGTCCTGGCCCTCTTTGACCGCCAGCCGGCCGAGTACCGCCGCTCCGTCATCCCAGCGTCCACGTCCCTCGTCGTCGCTATCGAGGCGTGGGCATCGTTCGGATGGGCACGGTACGCGCACGCCGGCTGCCACATGCACACCTTTGGCGTGTCGGCGCCTCAGGACGTGCTCTTTGAGCACTTTGGCTTTTCGCCCAGCAACCTCGCCGACAAGATTGGCAGCTATGTGGACAAGTGGCGCGGCGACAGTGGCAAGCTTGTCCTTCCCGGTGTGGGCGAGTTTGAGGAGCTGCTCGAGGGCTATGCTCAGCACTAATTATGTAGAAACAGTTCCGTACAGTGTAACATGCAGCACTACTGCGTTTTTCTATTGTACAACGACAAAGGTTTACAGTTGGGGAAAGGGCCCACCCCTATTGTGGGCCAGGGAGAAAAGTGAGACGGGGAAGGAAGGTTACAGAGGAGGAAGGGTGACGTTGGACATGCCGGGCAGGTCGAACCGCAGCGTCATGAGATCCAGTTGGGCTGAAGAGTAGTCAGACCAGCACCGACTTGATCAGATTGTCAACTCACAGATATCCATTGGCGGTGAGGTTTGCGGGAGGGGCTTGCTGTTACTGGTCGTCCCGCTCCCATCCTGGCACCTACGCTGGACGAGGCCGGCGTCAGGGATGGAAATGTACGTCTGGAGCTGTTCCTGCACTTCGGTAATGTCGAGCTCGTCGGCGTGGATTCCAGAGATACGCTGCGCAAGGGTACCGGCCACCCAGGCGACACCAGACCAATACGTTGTCTGCCGCGCTAGACCTTGTTGCAGCGTTGAGATTGAGGTTGTTGCCACAGACGTGAGCATGGTGCGGAAGAGCTCGATCTGGCGGGCGTCCTTTGCGTTCCTCAGTCGTTCGGCGTTTGTGGTGCCGCCATTAGCCCGGGTGTCGTCGCCGCCCTTGTTTTCAATCTCCTTGATGTAGCAGCAGCCCGCGACGTAGAATGCCTGGTTGACAAACGGGAGCGCCAAGTAGGCATACGGGTTGATCACGTCGGCAAGCACGAGCATGTCGCCAATGGTGCGCGCACTGTTACGCCACACGTTGGCGCCGCAGACGGGTGTCTGGTGTCCGCTGGGCATCGTTGAACGTCGAGGGTGCCGCGTGTACTCTACGCCTGTGAGGTAGGCGGATGCAATCTGCATGTGCATCCAGAGATGAATGTGCAGGAACATTGAGTCCTGGTGCGCGTGGCGGTGAGCCTGGAGGTTGGCCACACTCCACTGCATGCCCTCGGGAAGCGTGTTGTACTCTGCAACGGCGGCCGCACGGAGCGCTGTAATCTCCCGTTCCACCTCGCCGACCATTTGAGGCTCGACTGGCGCGTTGAGCAGGTTGATAAGAGTGCCGTACGCGAACATTTGGCGAGCGGCAAACGGGAAGGGAGCGCCAGGAGCACCCGGAGTTGTCGCGTTAGGGTGGACGTCTTCCTCGGTAGGCAAGTCCTGCGTGATTTCCTCCACGCGGAAGGTCGTCTGTCGGCCAGTACCAAAGGCAAGCGCATAGTCGAGTAGCATGACACTCCAGAATGTGAGCCTGTTCATGCGTCGTTCCTCTGGAGAAATGTTGTCGACGGTTTTGAGGTGCAGGCCCATGTCAATGGCCATGCGCACCGCCATGCCCGTGTACATCCACTCTTCAGGCTCAGAATCTGGTTTCGCCCGTCAGTATGTATATCACATAATCTTGTAGTTAGTCACTCACCATTGCCGAAACAAATGTGGCCGAGGAGACAGAGCGCAATCACTGTCTCGCGGGAAGGAACCGCCAGCATGTTGGGGAGGAGGTCCTTGGCACGCTTGAGGAAGATGTTGCCATACTCGTGCGGCTGGAGGGGCGCGAGGGCAATCGCGGGGTGCTCGGAGAACCTCGCCGCCATGGCGGCAATGCAGTTGAAGAGGAACACGCTACCGGACCCGGCTTCGAGGTCACGAAGTAGTGCTTCACGTTCAAGGGCTGGGAACTGGCATCCGAACCGCTCGGAAAACACATCGAGGAGGTGCTGCATCACTGGTGTAACCGGCATGCCGTCCGTGCCGAACATGTCGTCGCTGACCAGACCTGGCGCAGGCGAAGGGTACGTTCGTGGCTCGTTCTCGATGCGAACCTTGAGCGAGAGACGTTTGAGACCAGGGGCAATGGCTGTTGGGCCGTGGGGACGCCACCAAGTGATTTTGACGATGCGGCCATCACCCGTCTTGGGAGTACGGAGACCGTGGGGTAGCTGTGCAGGACTGGTGTCGTCGCTGCTGCCTTCCTCGACTGTCGGGAGTTGCGCGCTCATGGCCATGATAAACTGTTCTGGATCAAACCCATCCAGCCCTGCCAGCGGGAGCGTGAATGGGTTGTTACCAAAGTCCACATTGTTGCTGGTGAGCGACAGCGAAGTGGGCTCCACCGTCGCGGGCAATGGCGCCCATCCAACCGACGACAGGTCCCATGGCGCCGAAGAAGGCCCCGCTGCCCCCGCGTCCCACTCTTCAGCAGCATTTTGTGAGGCCCCACTTCCTCCACGCTGTGCCTTTGGGGGTGGTCGACCCAATCCGCGCTCCGCCATGGACGCTAGACGCTTTGCGCGACTCCGCTCCTTTCGAGCCTGGCTGCTGCGTCCATCCTCGGTTGGCCACTGGCACTGGATCTTGTCGTCCAGGCAGTTGGGACAAGGCGCCGGCGGCATGCCGCCGCACTTGCACTTGCGCGAGCGACAGGGAAGACATGCCTTCTTGGCGCGCTCCACCTTGCGCTTCTTGGGGCCGAGGTCGCCGTCGTCGTCGTTTTCGCAGCTGTTGTCGTCGCGGTCGCGGTTGGGGCCAAACTCATATGGTGTGTCGCCGCCGCCGCCTTCGCTGCCATCCTCCTCCCCGAATGGTCTCTTTGTCGATCTCAGAGTGTCAACATCCGCAAGAGTAACAGGTTGCGTGTCGAGGCCGAGCATATCGTCCGCGACCACCGTATGTTTGTGTATTCACTGAATGAGAGTGAGTGATGTGGTAACACTTGATCCCAGCGTCGTTTGCGTTGGATGACAGAGCCATGCCATTCACCGACGTAAACCAGTAAAGGTCCGCGTGGACGCCTCTTGCTCCTTAAACTCCTTTCCTTCCCGGGCTTCTCTCTCCCTCCACACCGTCCGCCGACTGCCCAGACTCGTGGTGTCCTGCCCAGCCCAGGTATATTTGGCCAGGCCTGTCCCTGGGGCGAAGAGCAACCGAGAACACGACAGTCGGCCACCTGCGACTTTCCCGGGACGATGAAGAGCGCGGACTGTTGTCGGCCGTTGCTCTTGTGCGCCCGCGCGTTGCAAGAGCATCGTCAACGCGGGTCCCCCACGGCCCCAGCGCCCGTCGTGGCCCGCAAGTTGCCGCGTTCCGCTTGGAGCCAGTTAACCCGGGGTTTTCCCGTGTTGAGTTTCCTTTCTCGCACCTATCCGGCTGTTGCGTCGGCAACATGTCGAACAGGTGGCCCAGGCAAACGGTGCATCTTTCAGCCGGAGTGGACCTGAAGCTGGGATGCTCCGGGCACAGAAACATTGGCCCAGAGGAGCCATGCCACAGCCAGCTCGCATCTCCCGACGGGGCGCTCCATTTCTGCCAGTCATGGTGCCGGTCGACATGCCGGCCACCAAACCGCTTGCCTTGATATAGGCAGCAGCAAAGAACCGAAATGCAGCAGCAAAGAACCTCCCCTAGACACATACACTCCAGCAACAATGACCAAGACGATTGAGACAAACGGCACTTCTCAGGTCGACCCCGCGCTCCTCCAGCGTCCCAACCTCGCACTCTGGGTCAACAATGAGAAGCAGTGGGTACCGCCGGGATACCGAAAGGCTCTGAAGCTGACGAGCAAAGAATCTATATGAAGGAGGAGGCGTTCCCCACTTGCCCGCCAGACAGCTGTGTCGTGCACGTCGTAAGTCTCCTAAATGTGTGGCGCATGGCCGCTGACAACGACAGAAAGCAACAGGAATCTGTGGCTCGTGAGTATATTGAGGGACTCTACTCTCCATCTCCAGACACTAACCTGCTGCCCAGTGAGATTCACTTCTGGAAGACTGGCGGCATTGGCGATGTCCGCGTGACGCACCCCATCATTCTGGGCCACGAGAGCGCCGGTCAGATCATTGAGGTTGGCGCCAACGTGACCTCCTTTTCGGTTGGAGACCGCGTTTCCATCGAGCCTGGAGTCGCCTGCTGGGAATGTGGCATGTGCGTTCGCGGTCGTTACAACTTGTGCCCCGACGTCAAGTTCAGTGGCACGCCTCCCACCGACGGCACGATGAGGCGGTTCGTCGCCCACCCCGCCCGGTTCCTCCACCGTCTCGGCGACGACGTCAGCTACGAGGTCGGTGCCCTCATCGAGCCTCTGTCGGTTGGTTACAACGCCGTGCGCCGTGCAGCACCCTACCTTGGCCAGCCTGTCGTCGTGGCCGGAGCCGGCCCCATCGGCCTGGCCGTGGCACTCAGCGCTCGTGCTGCCGGTGCCAACCCCATCGTCATCACCGACCTCGAGGCCCACCGTCTCGAGCAGGCAAAGGAGATGGGCTTCAAGAACACGGTTCTCATCGACATGGCATGGGACCGAAACGAGGTGGCCACCAAGCTGCGTGCCGCCGCAGGCTGTCTCCCCCAGATTGTCTTTGAGTGCACCGGTTCCGAGGCAAGCATCAATGCCGCGTGCTACGCCGTCGAGGACGGTGGCACCCTCCTGCAGGTGGGCTGCGGCAAGCCCGAGATCTCGCTGCCGTTCATGAGCCTGGGATTCCGCGAGGTCAACGTTGTCACCTCGTTCAGGTATCAGCAGACCTGGCCTGTGGTTCTCCGCCTCGCCCAGTCTGGCGTGTTCGGCGACGTGACACAGCTCATTACACACAAGCTGCCACTCGAGAAGGCCGTTGAGGCGCTCGAGATTAGTGCGGACAGGACCAGCCGTTCCATCAAGGTCCAGATTGTAGACGAGTAGAACATTGGTACATTGGATGTCACGAGTTAGATGTAGTCAGCAACGGGACGCACATGAGAGAGACTGTCAGGTCAACAACAAGGTGTTCAATCCTCTGTAGCAGAGCCTGCGGGGTCAACCCAGAACCGCAACCATTGGCCAACTGACAAAACATCATCGGCGAGATGGCCGAGCGGTCTAAGGCGCTGTGTTAAGGTTTTCTTCTGTTTCTTTCAGAATTTCATCCGCAGTCTTCGGACGTGGGTTCGAATCCCACTCTCGTCAAAAGAGGATTCAGTTCCTCCCAAGTCAACTTTTTGGAGTAGGAAAGAACACGAGGAAGGTCAGGACAGTCGCGAAGAAGAGTTTTTTCGTCTATTTTCCCCTGATTTTTGTGACTGCCTCTCATCTGAGTTCTGGTGCGTGCACATTAGACGCCAGAACAGGACATACTAGAGTTCCAAGCGTTCTACGGGCAGAGATGTCTTGCATGAGGACTTGTTGGGCCAAAACGAGTGTAAGGGACGCGAAGTGGCATGGGGGACTTCCGTCAGAGTGACCCTCCACTTGCCCTCCTCAACCAAAGCTCCTGTACAAGTTGTACTTCTGGGTCCCCTCAGGTACGAGTGGTACGCGATCTGCCGGTTGACGTCGCTTGAGCTCGTTAGCTGGTCACAAAGTCGACGCCAAAGCTGTCAGGTCGTCCCTTTTCAACAGAGTCTGAGCGCTATTTCGGGTTTAAAACATCCCCCCAGATATAGTCGCTCGTTAGCATAATCGTTAAAGTGCCCTGAAAGGTTCGGACCACGTATATTACCAAGCTGGCCGGGGTTCGAATCCAGGAGATCGAAACACGAACCACGTATATTACCAAGCTGGCCGGGGTTCAAAGTAGATCTGAGATACAACATGGGGGAAAAGCACTGGCCAGTGTAAAGCGACTATTTTATTGCCACGCGGCCGGCGACATCAAGCGATCAAGCTCGAGGACCTGGGCTGCGAATAGTCAATACCAACCATGAACCGGGTGATCGGGAAATGGGAGGGTGTTGGTATGGTGCCAACGGAACGCAGCTGCCTAGCATATCTAGGTCACCCAGGTGTTCCTCCCAACATGCCTGCTGGCCTGCTGACTTAAACGGACGACGTCTGTCCGTAGTCAGCATTCTGCCTGCTGGTACATACTTCTGCATCAAGATGGCAAGAGCAAGTTCTACAAGTCTACTATCAATTTTACTCCTGGTTGACAACATACCACACGATACCAGTCTTGGAGCTGGTCGAGTATGTGAGGGCATTCCGCACGGGGCACCACGCAAGCGAGTTTACACTGTTGGTAACGGAAATCTTGGCAAGCTGGGTGCGCGCCTGAACGGCAAAGATGAAGACGCACGTGTCGTCGCCAACGGCAACGAGCTCGCCGTCGGGAGAGAATGCAGCGTGGCGGATGGCGGTGGTGGGAGCGTCAAAGTTGCGCACGACAATCCAGTCACGCGTCGAGAGAATGGAGAGGCGTCCGTCCTGGCCGCCAATGGCGAGGTACCTGATGAGGGTTAGTACCATGGTATGTAAATGTCAACGCACCTTCCCAGAGGGTCGATAGCCAGGGCCAGTAAGCTGGCGACATGGGGCACCTGGCGGAAACACCTTGCCAGTTGACGGTGTTTCCTGCGCTCGAACTCGGCAGCGGCGGCGGCCCGCATAGCAGCCTCTTTGGCAGCGTTGGCAGCCGCGGTGTCCTCGAGCGAGGGAGTCTGTGGAGGAGGAGTCGGCTGTCGGGAAGGTGGGGCCGTGGCAGGTGCAGATGGAGCAGCGCTGTCGACGGCCGGGCGGGGGGAAGGCGCGGCAGAGGGTACAGCAGAGTCTCCAGACGAAGGTTCGGCCATCTCAATGTCCCCGTCTGCTGGCGCGTCGATCTTGACTTCTGGGATGTCATTGTCGGCACCCTCGCCTTCCGCCTCTTGACCCTCAGCACCCTCGGCAGGCTCAGTGTTGTCACCTTCCTCGCCCTCAACCACTTCCCTTCCCTCGCCATCCACAGGTTCACGCTCTGCCTCTCCCTCCGCCTCGGGTTCTGGCGATGAGGTACGACTCTTCTTCGCTGGCCGCTCGTCGGCACTTGGTTCGTCGTCAGGGCGCGCGAGCGGTGGCCGCTCATCGGTCGGGTACCACCAGGAAGTGAGGGATCCGTCGTTGGAGACCGACATGACAGCGTCACCTGCCAGCCAGAAGCGAAGCGAGTTGATCTGAGCGTCAGTATACAGACCAGAGAGTCTGAGGGCGGGGGTGGAGCTCACCTCTTCGACTCCGATGTCAATGCCGGCACCGCCCATCATGATGTCCGTACGCTGCTCCCAGTGCTCGTCTTCGTCGTTTCCGACGAGCCAGAAGAACAGGACCTCATCACGTGTTTGCCGCGGGCACACCGTGGCAAAATGACGTCCTCCTGGGTGGAACGCAAGGTGCAGGACGTCGCCAGGGATCTTGAACGTTGCGAGCGGCGCGGATCCCTTTGTCACATCCCAGACGGCGATGGAGCCCGGCATGTTGTTCCCTGCGGCCTTGCATCCCGATACGAGAATCTTGGGGTCCACAGGGCTCCATGCCAGCGCCGCGATGTTGTGCCCATGTGGTGAGGGCGTTTTGGAGCTGCTCGGCAGGCTGTGACTGGAGCTCGAGTCGACCTTGATGCCGTGCGTGCCAATGTGCTGCGCCTCCCACACGCGCAGACCCGCGGCCTCGGTGCCCGTGGCCACCCGCTTTCCGTCACAGCTCCATGCGATCGACTTTACGGGCTTGGTGTTGCCACCACGGACCTCGATGGCTCGAGAGAAGCGAGGAACCTAGGAGATCAGTTGAGCACCACTGGCGTTGGGAAACTCACGGCAAGGTCGCGCTGGGCAAACGCATTCTGGGGAAACGCATCGTAGCGCAGGAACCCGTCGACGTATTGGTCGGTGGCGGCGCTCATGTTTGGTGGATGTGCGGGCAACGATGAGGTCCCAAGTGGTCACTCGAGGCCGATCAATATCGCGCCTGGTGAGCTCGAGATGGTGAACGCAAGTGTCGCAGGGCGAAACAATCGGCCAATAATAAATTACGTAAACATTGTTGACGAGCGGAAGCATATCTGCGGGAGCGGCGGCAACCGCGAGCGTTCATGATGCGGAGACCCCTTCCACCCCAAAGTAACAGACGCGGACGTTTGGTCTCTTCCTTTCCATAATACCAACCTAGACCAAAACCATGTCGCTGCGAGCCGCCCTTAGCACCGCCCGCCGTGCACACACCACCGCAGCCTTTAGGGCAGCAGCTTCTCTCCCCGCTACTCGCCTTGCAGCTCGCTCCTACACCACCTCGACAGCTACCCGCGAAGCTGCCGCAACTCTCGAGCGCGAACAGGCTCAGCTGGAGCGCGTCCTGGAGACGGCTCGTACGAACGCAGCCAACAACGCAGCCAACGGCAAGAAGACGGACCCTCAGTTCCACAATGGTCTTCGCATGCTCATGTTTGGAAAGCCTGCTAGTGGAAAGGTGCGTTGTCTCGCAGCTCAACCCAAGTCACCCACGGCGACGTCGGTTGTTGTGGGGGAAGGTCAGGGGATCGAACGGTCGGTCGTGCTGACTCGCAGGGAACACTGAGCTCGAGGTACGGCCTGCGTCAACATCGTCGACTCATGGAGGACTGACATTGCAGGCTAATCAAGTCGCACGACATTGCATTCGTGTCCACCGGCGACGTTTTGCGACACGAGATTCGCAGCAAGAGCGACGTTGGACGCAAGGCGGAGAAAGTCGTCGCGGCCGGCGGTGAGTCAACCACTTCGGACCGGAGTAGTCCCGGGTGACCGGTTGTCTGGCGTTCCGTTTCCTGACCAAGCCTCACAGGTCTCGTCTCGGACGAGCTTATGCTTGAGCTGGTCAAGACCGAGCTGGACCGTCACAAGGGCAAGGTGAGTCTGTGCGCTGGTGTGTGAAAGTGGCAATGAGAACGAGAAGCAACACACACACTTCCTTTATCGGCTTCGTGCTAATCATTGTCCAGAGCTGGATCCTCGATGGATTCCCGCGCACCCTCGAGCAGGGAAAGATGCTGAACGACGTCCTCACCGCCGAGGGCATTCCCCTCAACATGATCGTCAACCTCAACGTGCCCGACGCGATCATCATGCAGCGCATCACATGTGAGTAGCGTAGTGGCCGGCTGTAGTGCGACCGTTTCTGGTCCCGCCAGCCGTGCCTCGCGTTTGGGTTCGCTTGTAGCTCACAACCGAACAGCACGTTGGGTGCACCTCCCGTCGGGTCGTGTCTACAATGACGACTTCAACCCGCCAAAGGTGCCCGGCAAGGACGACGTGACCGGTGAGGACCTCAGCAAGCGCCCAGACGACACTCCCGAGGTCTTCTCCAAACGTCTCCAGTCGTACTACAAGTCGACCGCACCACTCCTCGAGGTGAGTGCTTGCGCCATGTTGTTAACCCGTGGCACTGTTGACGCTGCTACCACAGTACTTTGCGCACACGTGCCCCGAGACTCTGAACTCGCTCTCGGGCTCGAGCTCGGACGAGATCTGGCCCCACCTCGAGGCCCTGGTCGAGCCGGCCATTGCGCACCGCGACCCCGAGCTCGCCAACGCCGACCCGCAGGTCACGCACACGCGCGAGGAGGCCGACGACCTGCGCAACTCGGCCGAGCTGCCCATGGACAACGGCAGGCTGGCCCACGTCCACTAGGCGGGTGGTGGCTGGTGGTAATATAAATAGTTGTAGATAGGCTGTGCGCTTTTGGCCGAGGCGACAGACAAGGCGAGGCGAGGCGCGGTCCGGTGGACGGCTGACGACGGGTGTAGATGGCAGTGAGAGAGACACAGCGAGAGTGAGTGGGAGCAGGCAGCAGGCTGTAGGCAGTATGGCAGTGCGGTATGCATGTAGCAAACTGTAGACACGTACGTACGAGCATGATGGCATGGGTTTGGAAAACAAGAGGTAAGCGCTCAGCACTGTTGAGATCCGAGTGGGTGACTGGGGTGTGTGCAGTCCATGTGGGTCGCGACATCCACTTCTTCAGCAGGTCAACGACTGCTTTGATGGAGACTGCCTGATCTGTTGCTACATGCACCCCAACGTCTTTTGTTTTGTTCACAGCAAAGTCCTCTTCTTCATGCATTCGTGTGCAATTACAGTTTATACAACAACGCCTACTGAATGTGCTTCATAAACAGGTAGAAATCCACATTGCCGGCGTCCATGCCCGAGTGGTAGATGTAGTGCGAAGAGATCCACGCGCTCCAGGTGGCTCGCAGGTAGTGCTCGGGGAGGCGGCGGAGGAGCTCGTCGAGGCCGACAGTGTCGATGAGGGTCTGGGGCCAGGCCTTGGCGAGGACACTGCGGCGGCTCTTCTCATCGTCGTAAAGCTCGGAGAACTCGAGGTCGTCCTGGAGCTTGTTGAGGGTGGTCGAGAGACGGTCCGAGATGGTCGTGCGGGCCATGGTGCCCTTCTGGGCGTGCCACTGCTTGTTGATGCAGTTGTACTCGGCGGCGGCGTTCTCGCAAATCTTCTGCTGGATCTCGCGGACGTAGGCCTCGTAGAAGGCCGACTTCTTGCCGTCCTTGAAGATCATCTTGTCGACGTACTCGGGGTCGGTGAGGGAGAGACCGGCGAGGACCTCGAGCGACGACGAGGTGACACCACCCTTGTTGGTCGACGAGTCCTTGTAAAGCACCACGCCCTTCTTCTCAAGCCAGAAGCGAGCCTGCTGCGAGAAGAAGAGGTTGGCACCCTCAACAACGTACTTGAAGTTGGGCTTGCCCTCCGAGTCGACGAGCTGCGAGACGTTGGAAATGTTGACCGACTCGGGACGACCACCGCAGGGGACGAAGAGGTCGCACTTGACGCGGAGGTGGAACGAGTTGCGGAACTCGGTACCGTCGGGAACAATCTCGCCAGTGGGGAGCTTGTAGTCCTGGTCCGAGACGAGAACCTTGTAGCCCTCGGGGCCAAGCTTGGCCGAGTCGAAGTCACCGATCATCTTGCGGCCCTTGGCAAGACGGATGAGCTCGGGGCGGTTGAGACCCTGGGGGTCGTAGAGGACACCCGAGCCGTCAATGATGGCGACAGTCTTGTCGTTGGACAGGAGGATCTCGTTGGAGCCGAGGTCACCGTCGGGACCACCGGTCTGCATCTTGGTGACGTCCTTCTCCTTGAGGCCGTGGGCCTTGTAGACACCGAGGATGTACTGGCGGACCGAGAGCGAAGTCATGCCGTAGACATCGTGGGGGATACCGCCGAGGTGCTCTGCCGACTTGCCGGTAGTGAACGACTTCCACCAAGGAGCACCGCGAGCGCGAGCGTGGAGCGCGGCCCAGTCCATCATCTCGGCAGTTCCCTCGTCGGGACCGAAGAAGAGGATCTCGGGGGTGGTGCGGCCCGAAACATCGACAATGGGGCCCTTGATGCCAGGCGACTGGCCAGGGATGAGGAGGTCGATGACAGCGTCGACGTACTTCTCAAAGCAGTTGCGGGGGTTGGCGCCGAGCGAGGGGAGGATGGTACCCTTGGAACCGCCCTCGGGAATGTCCTTGTTCTTGAGGGTCTGGGTGGCAGCGAGGTTGTAGTTCTCGTCAAAGAGGGTACGGATGTTCGAGTTGTAGTTCTCCTTTCCGCGCGAGCGGACGAGACGGATACCACCACGGGCAACGTCGCGGAAGCGGACGTGGAAGCCACGGAAGTCGGAGCCGACAACGAAGAACATGCCGAAGGGCTGCTTGGGGTACTCGATCTCGGGGAGGAAGCCCGGGTTGAGGCGGAACGAGAGGGCAACCTTGGTGGGCTGGTAGAAGTTACACTTGAGGACGTGCTTGTTGAAGACAAGGAAGGCCTCGAGGATCTGGGCAGCGTGGGGGTTGGAGGCGGTCTTGCGGATCTTGGCAAAGAGGTCGGCGTCCGAGAGGGGCTCCTCAGTCTTGATGCGCTGGAACGAGAGCGTAGGGGTGAGCTGCGAAGCCTCGTCGGCCACGGGGTAGTGGACCATGGCAAAGTTGATGTAGAGCATGCGGATAAGCTCGGGGTGGGCCTGGATCACCTCGCGAATGTTCTCGCGGGTGAAGGTCTCCTCACGGAAACGCTGCTTGATCTTGTTGAGAACCTCGGCCTGGTTGGGGTCGTTCTCGTCAAGAATGTTCTTGAGCGACATGTAGGCGTTACCCAGACGGTTGCAGAAGTGCTGGGTGAAGATCCATCCGACGTAGGCGTAGGTGGCCTCCTGGACGGCGTGAGGGGTCTCACCCGAGGCAACGGTGAAGAACGGGTTGTCGGGAATGCAGTAGAGGAGCGAAGCCTCGCGGACGACCTGGTGGATCGAGTGCTCGATGGGGGGAGCCTTCGAGTTGGGGACGGGGTTGAGGTAGAGCGAGACAATGGTGATGCCGTTCGAGAACTGCTCGACGTACTTGCGGGGCGAGTAGAGGCCGTAGAAGTGGTAGAGGTCCGAGAGGGCGGCAAAGTACGAGTGGGTCGAGCCCATCTTGTAACCAATGACGACACGGTGCTCGCGCGAGTCCTCGATCTGGTACTGCTCAATGACGATACCGTGGCGACGCTCAACCTCGTTGAGGACCGACTGGTAAATCTCGAGGGTGTTGGGGGTGGCCTTCTCGAGGAACGCCTCGTCCGAGACCGAGCGAATGTCAATCTGGCCGTTGGCATCGCGGACAGCAGCAGTCTTGGGGAAAGTGCAGGGCGAGACAAAGTAGCAGCGGAGCTGCTGCGAGATGGTCGACGAGATGGAACCAGCCGAGCGGTAGGTCTCGAGGCGGTAAGCCTTCTCAGGGGTCGACTTGTCGAGGAAGCCGGCGTCGATGCGGCGCTCCACGGTCGAACCCGGGCCGTCCTTGGCGGTGATGCCGGCAGCAGACGAGTGGATGAAGACGGCACCCTCCTTGCCACCCTGCTTGACCTCGTCCTCGGTGGTGACCTTCTCGAGGTCAATCACGAGCTTCTCGGGGTCGTGCTTGGTGTAGGCAAGGAGCTTGGCCGAGTAGAGGGCAAGGACGTGGTCGGCAATGACGGCAGGGGTCTCGGAAATGCTGTCCCGTCAGCTTTTGATAGACGCTATATCCCCGCTGCCACCATTTTACTTACAAGTACGCGTTGTCAATGCCGAGGCCGTTGTAGAACCAGTCGACCTCGCCAGACACGAGCTCCTGGGGCATGAAGCCGGACTGAGTCAAGATTTGGGTGACCTGAGCCTGCTGGGAGGCCTTGAGGGGGAAGGGAGAGGCGACATAGCCACTTATGACGTCAGTTTCAAATACCCGACCCAAACTCTTCGCGCCATTGACCATGGGAAAACAATTATACTCACATCTGGTCCTTGAGGCGACGCTCTTGAGTCTTGCCGGCCGTGAGGTTCTCCGGGATGGGGATGTGGGTGGTGTCGTTCTAAACAACAACGTTAGCGAGAGTGGTGCGGGGAGGCGGGACGCTGGCACTTACAGGACCCGGGGTGGCAGTAGGGGTGGCCATGATGATAGGGGGAGGATGGGGGGGTAAGGAAACTAGGCGAAAGGGAGAAGGGCGACGAGACTGGGGGCGTCAGTTTTATGTAGTGGACCGCTGGGAAGCAGGTGGTGGGCGAGGTGGTGGGCGAGCCAACCCCGTATGGGGCGGACATGGTGGGGCGGCTCAAAGTGACGCGATGATCTCGTGACCGTCTGCATGCCATCGCGGCCATCACGGAGACCAGCGCCTTGCTCCGGCCGGCTTTCTGGGTGCTTCGCACCGCCAGTTACTCACCTCAAAAGTCAAGAAGCGGGGAGGATGGAAGGATTATAGGTGGGATGGGAATGTGGGGGATGGAGGGTTGCTCTGGTGCACGGTCAGCGTCTGTGCTATAAGAGTAACAATGGGGGGGATGGCTGTTGCGGGAAGCGATTATAGCCGCGCGATTCAAACGAAGGGCGCGGGGGCTGTGTGTGTGCCACTGTTGGAGCTGTCTCCGATATAGCACAGAGCGTCACAGCGACCACGCCCTGCTATCAGACACAAGCAGCGACGAGAGGGTGGGGGGCAAGAAGTGCTCTACACGACTGCCTCCCTCTCCTCCTTGTGTGTGCGTGTGTGCTGGAAGGCAGAGCGGTGTACGCTGTGTGTGGAATGTGTGGTGGTGGTGCGGGGAAGGCAGTGGATGGGTGTTTGGGATCTGTGGATCTCACTTACCCAGGAAGCACGCGTAAAGCGAGAGACCGAGTCTGCCTGCTGCGGGGAAGCAGTAGGGAGTAGTTGTGGGGTGATGGGGGGTTTGTGAGGAGAAGATGACGGGGAGAGGTGCGCGTGATAATATAACAACTGGGTGGGCTGGTCGATGATGCTGGCTGGGACAGTAAGCGCTGATCTGACGGCGTCCGCGCAGGTACGGGCTGGCTGGGCTGGCGGCGTGTGTGGGGTAAAACTCCCGCCAAAAACGTGTGGGCAATTCTCTTTTGCGTCACCCTAGCCATTCGAAAACGACCACGCGCAGCCCGCATGATCCGGGCGCGCACAACGACAGAGCACGGCTGCGAGCCCTCAGGTAGCGTGCGTGGGTCGGCCCTGATCCGGTGCGTGCCAGGTCTTTTTCAGCAGCAAGAGCGTGTGCTGCTCTCTGGGGTTCGCGGCCGGGGTCGACGTCAGTGCAGACAGCGAGCGCGGCGGTCACGACTCGCACGCCAAGTCTGTGTGGTGGCAGAAAATGGAAAGAGGTGGGCTAACCGAACCCTTCCGCGGCCAACAAACAAAGCCAGGCAGACCGTTCAAGCGGGGTGTGCAGTGGCCAGTGTCCAGTGGTGTGATGTAGGAGGCTTGACGTGAGCGGCCCGGCCAGATGCCCGCATACTCTTACTCTCCTCTAATGCCACTCAAACTGCTCATTGTTCCCAACCCGATGCAAGCCATGCTGGAGGTTCTTTGGTCACATGCAACTCTCTCGCACTGATTCTGTAGCAGAGACGCGGCACTGTGCTGCAGCAGTAGCTTCGCCAAGCTCACAGGCCCAGCCCTTGCGGGTCCAACACCGGTGGCTGGGTCGACGATCCCTATTGCAATGCTTGCCCCCCAATGCCTCGGGTACTGGGGCAGCTCGCCAAATGTTTACCCAATGTTACCTGCAAAAAGGTCAGATAAAGGCTCAGGAAGACAGGGTGGAATTGGTGGTGGAAATACATGATTCGAAAACACCGTCCACTTTGTTCGAATTTCCGGCCAGCGTTCGGCTTGCTCGCCCGGTAACGCCAGCCAAGAGCACATGCTGCGTCTCGGTGTCCCGCCAGCGTATGCCAGGCTCTCGCCCCAAGACGGGAAACCCCCGGAAAACTCCCCAACTAACACGAATGACGAGTCGGATCATGCAGATGCCCACACTGGCTCGCTCGTTTCGGCGTGACGATTTCGATTTTGCAGCGGCAGTCACCGCAAGGAGAGAGCCCCCGCAACGAGTCTGGGCAGGCCAGCCAGGCCTGGGCTGCCCCCATACCAACCCCCATCTGCAAAATTGCTGCACGAGTGGACCAACAAGGCCACGTAGCACGCCACGGAGAGTGGACCCCATGGGCAAACTAAACTGGTCCACTAGGGCCCCAGCGGGCTGAGCGATGGGGCCTCGCTCGCACTGTCACCGCTGGCCACTACCATTGCTGTGCATCACGCCGTGCTGGTCCCACTATGCAGTGACAAATTTTCAGAGCGTCAGACCAAACGTTGCTCTACCGACGACGGTGCGGGTGTGCCCTTCGGCATTCCAAAAAAGTCGACTCGCTGTGTGGATCAGTGTGTGTCCTCCGTATCTTATCATCAGAGCACTGGAGCGGGTGCTGTTTTATCTCCTTCGCGCCCTCGAGTCATACACCCAGCGTCCTTATCGGCGTCCCATGCCAGTTTCCCAGATGCAATGCACAGCAGTTTTTTGCCTCGTGTTTGCCAGCCTGTTGCCTGTGAATGGACACATGCGTGCGGGTGACGGTGTATAGTAAAGACATTGCCCACATAGGCGACGGGTAGACTCATCCAGGGTGAGTGTTGAGGAGAAACCCAGCGTGGCTGCCGACACTTGCCGACGCGCTGTCAAGGCAGCCAGCCATAGCTACCCTCTGGCCTCTGGCCTCTGGTATAGGTGACACCCCGCGGGCGCAGGCGGGCACCCGACGTATGTACGCTTACACACACACCAAGCTGTCGTATACGCAACCCACTGTCTTGCCCCGTCCACTTCCTCCCCTCGGGGCGCCGCTCGCCCGGAATGACCGAGTGAGCCACGCACAGCAGGTGTGGCAGCGGGGCCTCCGCGGCTGGCGTCACCACCCAGCGGCCCTTATCGACCTGCGTTGCGTCGGGTATACTCCGTCTATCTCCTGCCTGCCGACGCGGCCTTGCGCAGCTTCGGGGGTCCGTCGAGTCGGAGTGTGCTGGCGACTGTCGCGATCTGTCGGGTTCGCCTCCCCGTTCCGGAGTGACCGCACCTCGACGGCAGAGAGAGAGACACACACGAGACGGTTTCACCATCCTCACCATCATCGTCACTCTAATTCAAGATCTCTGTCGTCACATCTTGTGTCTCGTGTACTCGTGTCGTGTGCAACACACACATGCACAGATACGAGAGATCCCGAGCACGACTACTGTACGTCGCTCGCTCACTCCGAGGCCAAAAACGCGCAAAACATTGCGCAGGTGGTGTGATCTACGCGACATGGCCAAAATTCCAGGACGACGACGTTGTGGCGCTGCGTACGGAGGGTGCTGTCAGCCCCAGAGACCACCGCCCCCTGACCCCACCATGTGGTCGGATGTAACGGCGAGAACGCGGGGTGGATTTGGCATTGCTACATGCACTCCTCATGGCCTTTCGGCCTCATTGCCACACGTGCGCGGCAAACGTGTAATCCATGGATGTCGGGGACGCATCCCGGGAGCTCAGGCGGATCCTTCCGTCGTTTTGTTGACTCTACGCGTCGACAGCTGGCTTCTCACTGTGGCTGTTCGTCCAAGCACTACTGCTGCAGGACCTCTCGGAAACCTACAGGTAATATACCCATGTGCTCAACCAGCGCCTGATGTGGCAAGGGTTGTCTCAACGTGGCGACATTCGTTCGGGTCATGAGCCCCGAAGAAACAGGCCAGAGATACCGAATGATCCAGGCCACACGTGCAGCTCACAGCGGCAGTTCGTGGTTTGAGCCCACATTGTGATTTGCGGAGCCAGTGCACGACATGCCGGTGCGATATCGATATCTCGTCCTTTGTAAACGGGGCCAGCGGGGAAGAGACATGCCATCCTCAACTGATGTCACTGACTCCAACCCCGGCGCCCTACTATCTACCTGGCTGGTCTGCGAACGCCCTGGCAAGTGATTCGGTTGACCGTATTGACAGTGTGGCGGTCTTGAACTGCTTGACAGCAGGATGAGTGGAGTGATTTGAGAAGTGGAATGTGTGGTTGCGAGACGGTGTGCTTCTGTCCACGTCGATGGGAGTCTGGGCGCAGTGTGTGCTGCGTGTTGCGCACTGTGCTCGCATGCTTACTTTGGCCATGTCTAGACTGAACTGATCCCATGCACGTCGCCGCTTCGTCTCGTTCTCCACTCACTCGACCTTAACAGACACCCGCCATGCTCGACTACGATGCCTTCCCCCATGTCATCGAGCGCATTGTTTGCTACTCCGACACCCGCACTCTCCTTTCGCTACGTGGCGTGTCTGAGCATTTCAAGACCTTGGCGACCAACCTCCTCCTTGAGCATGTGACCCTCACGGACGAGTACATCTACTTTCAACCGCGCGCTGCCGGCCTCAGGATCCCCTGGACCCATGCGTCTTGGGTTACCATGGAGCTACAGAAAGTTAAAGCCGTGGACAGCGACATGGAGGCGGAATGGGCGGAGGACGAGGGGGATAACCTCGTCCCCCTTAACCACGAGGGCGACCTTCCATACGCCTTTGGCAACTTATTCCTTGTCCTGCCACGCACTATCGAACACCACGTCCTCACAGGCTCCAACGGATACTGCTCGGACGACGACGACGACGAGCCGTGCTGTGCTGTTCCCGATCTGTACCAGCTGAACGGGCGTCTCTCGTCGACGGACGTTCTTCGCACGCGCAAGTCGCCGTTCCTCGATGCGCCCCACTTGGTGTGTTTCTGTGAACTCGAGACCGAGGGCGAGGGCGAGGACGGCGTCACAGCCACCCAGCCGACCAACGTCAAGTGGCAAAAGTCATGGGGTGACCTGGACATCGGCACAACGAGGCTCCAAAGCACGGTCACCAACTTTGTCTACGACAACAACCCACTCACGCCTTGGGCCAAGCCCTTTTTCCCAAACATTTACATTCCCGACGTCATGGACGAGGTCACGGTGATGATCACGCGCGGTCCATCTCGCACCTATGCTCGCGCCGCCACACTCGCCCCGCGACAAATGCCTTTCCTCGTCATGCTGGCCACGCAGGTACCCTTGCGGCGCGAGCTGGCCGTCAAGGGCACGTTTGTGGGGTACGAGACGTGGGACTTGAAGTGGCTGTATGGCGACAAGCAGATCCCAAATTTCGACCCGGGCGTCCCGACGTCCACGCACATCGTTAACCAGATGACCGCGTTACTGTACTGGGCCTACAAACATGAGCGGGAAGATGTCGTCAACAGGGGACTGTACTATCCCGCACTCATGACAACCTGGAGGTTCATCACCTTTGACGAGTATTGCACAGAGATTGGCGAGGCCGCGTTCGAGCTGCAGGTCAAGTGGTAGATTAGCCCCTCCCCACCGTCCAGACATTATTAGCCCTTGTCAGAGGTAAATGTATATCTTCCATGCATTTGCACGCCTATGTGACACAGTGATCATACTGCTCTCTTTTTCTCTACTTCTGGGCCTCAAGCTCCTTGACCAACTCGGGCACGGCGTCAAAGAGGTCAGCAACAAGACCGACGTCGGCGATCTGGAAGATGGGCGCGTCGGCGTCCTTGTTGATGGCGACGATGAGCTTGGACTCCTTCATACCAGCAAGGTGCTGGATGGCGCCCGAGATACCGACAGCGACGTAAAGCTCGGGGGCGACGACCTTGCCGGTCTGGCCGACCTGGAGCGAGTTGTCGGCGTAGCCGGCGTCGACGGCCGCACGCGACGCACCGACGGCAGCGCCGAGAGCGTCGGCGAGGGGGTCAAGAACCGACTCGAAGCTCTCCTTGCTCTTGAGAGCACGGCCACCAGAGACGACCTTGGAGGCCGAGCCAAGGTCGGGGCGCGACGAGACGACAATCTCCTCGGACACAAACTTGGTGTTCGAGTCGGAGGCGACGGGGGCAACCTCCTCGACGGCAGCCGAGCCACCCTCGGTGCTGGCCTTGCTGAAGGCGGTGGTGCGGACAGTGACAATCTTGACGGCGTCCTTGGAAGACTTGAGCTTGAGGATGGCGTTGCCGGCGTAGATGGGACGAGTGAAGGTGTCCTCACCCTCGAGGGCGACAATGTCCGAAATCTAAGCACGTCAGCGCCGCGCGGGGCCAACCTCCGAAAACCGAGATTCCGGTTCTGGCGAGCAAAAGCAAAAAGGACGCAGACTTACCATCGAGACATCGAGGGCACCGGCGAGGCGGGGGAAGATGTTCTTGCCAGCGGCAGAGTGAGCACCGAAGAGGTGGGTGATCGACTTGCTGGGGATGACAGAGGCAAGGAGGGGAGTGACGTCTGGGTGGTTCGGTTAGCGGTGCCATTAGACGAGGATAAGGATGGGTTAGCCGACCACCACAAACTCACTCTCAGCAATACCGTTGGCGTACGCCTCGTCGGCGGCAGCGTAGATCTTCGAGAGACCGTTGATGCTGGAAGGAGAAGAGCGTGTAAGCATGCGTGCGTGCTTGGACACTGCGAACTCGCCGCGCCCATGCCGGCGCCAAGAAAATGGCCCCCCGGCACACGATGGATCAGATCTCACCTCTTAACCTGCGCGAGGACGCCGTCAACGTCGGCCTTGGAGCCAATAACGATACCAGCGACCTGTGATTAGGGTATCAGTACTGCATGGACTGTAGCGAAGGGTATCCGAGGCCACTCACGTCGCCGCCGACCTGCTGGGCGGCAGTGACGGCAGTGAGGGAGCCGTCGTTGAGCTTGCCGCCCTTTTGCTCGAGGAAGACGAGCGACGAAGCGAGACGACGCTGCGAGAGGGTCGAGAGCGACGACGAGGCGATGCGGGAGGTGCGGGCGGCGGAACGGAAGAGCATGGCGGTGGGGAGGAGGATGGTGTGGTCTAGAGAAACAAAGAGATGGCAGAAGGCAAAGGTTGTTAATGCGGGTCCAAGGGACAGACCCACTCCCACCACCTGGCGCGCGCGCTGCTGCCGGGTCATTGAGCAACCGGAGCTCGGCCGGGGCAGCTTGGATCCTTTACAACGGAACCTGTTTTTGGGATTTAGGCGACTCTCGTCGGATTCACCGAGCGAACGGGCCCTAATGTAAGAGCGTTACGTAATGACTCACGTGATTGATGACAAGGCGCGCGCAGGAAAAAAGGCGCGTCGAAATGATCGGCAAAATAGGTGTGCGTCGCCAGGTGCTCTCCCAGCGCAGCGATCAGCACGACAGACAGGAGGCAAGGAGGCGATGGGAGGGAAGGACTGTGCGCTGTGCGGAACAGCCAAAGTGTTGGCCAGAGAGCCCACCAGCACGGCACAGAAACGACCACTGGGCATCTTAGCTGGCACAGTGTTGAATCTCTGAGGGTTCGCGTTCCCTCCAACGTTCCGATTTGGTGCCAGGTAAATGCTGATGTGGCGCAACAACAAACCGCCGCGATGACATTTGGAGTCCTCCAGGTGGTACTGATCGGCCTAAACGGGCTGACAACATGTCCGGGCCCAACGGTCCTGCACCACCGCTTCCACCACATGACTGCCGACCTGCCGCTTCTTCATTGTCCCAACTCCAGGGGTGCCTTGTTCGATGCCGTTCACAACACGCGGTTATGCCGCTGGCAGTGCTTTGTTGTCAGGGGCAGAGGGGCCAGAGGTCAGGATTCCAGCTTTGTTGTCGAATCCACCACCCCCGTGCCTCGAGCTCTGCTCAGTGAAGAGCAGATACACCACAGAGCAGCACGTCATGCTCAAACCAAGATGGCGATACGCAAGGAGGGCAGCTTGCCAAGCTTGAGAGTTGGCCATAGATCCATAGGGTTGCCTCATACCTCATGTGTAGCGGGGACGCGACGGCACTTTGGATCTCCGACGGCGAAGGCGGAAATGAGACGGCTGCGCCACGGTTTAGTGGTCGTCCATGTAATCTCATGCCCATGGTGGCCGTTGTGGCCATGCACTTGTGGGCAGCTACATGTACATACGAAGGCTAGCAGTGGTGTCATGTAGATGCATAGGACCCCCATGCACGAGGTTGTACCTTGCAAACAAGATGCCTTTGCCTGGAGCACTGGTCGGAAGCTGACGTTGACCGCGTTTCAACTGGATTGCTTCATCGTGCATCCCAACTTGCTATTCCTCCATTGTCCATCCCGCCACGCCACAACACTTTGTCACTGTACTTTGTTGTCACCCATCCGTCTCCAAAGCACTGCTCCACGTGCGCATATATTGCACGCGTACAGTAGCTGCCCCGCACCATCCCGATCCACAAGCTAGTGCACCAGCGATAGCTCGCGACGACGACACCCTCGCGAACCAAACCGCTGAGAGAATCCCGTCACCATGCCTTCTCGCGCGTCCGACATGGCCACGCAGGGCTTTACACTCAACTCGGCCAAGGCAGCCAACGGCGAGACGGTGCACATCAACGGTGAGCTGACCCCACTTGATACGAGCTCGCAGATGGGCTGACCCTCACCAGATTACGTCTACGTCTCGTCGCCATGGTCTGAACGTGATGGTGAGCACGGACGGTTCGATTGTCGACACTGTAGCTGACAGTGTCGCCCCCACTGGGCTCACCTCGTCCACAGGTACTCCGTACATTATCGCACGCATCCTGGACTTTCTCCCTCCGAGCAGCGCGATCAAGAAGGGCTCGTCCAAGATTCCACCAAACGAGCTCCATGTCCGCCTGTCTCTGTACTACCGTCCAAGCGACGTGAGTCTCGTCATTAGTGGTGACATGCCTCCTATACTTCCACCACCATATCCTGTGACCCTGCAGCTCACGCATCACTACAGATCTCAGGACGAAGCGTCTCAGACTTCCGTCTGCTGCTCGCCGCCATCCACACCATCATTGAACCAATCTCTGTCGTCCGTGGTCGTTGCTATGTGCGACACAAGGACAAGATTGAAGACCTCATCAAGTGGAAGCACACACCAGACCACTTTTACTTTGTCAAGTTCTTCGATCCGTACATCAAGCGCGACTATGAAGTGCTGCGTACTGCTGCCGTCAACAACAGTGCGTACCTGCACGACGCTGGACAGAAATGGAACGGACCAACTGCGGAACTTTTGTGCTGACATGGCAACAGTCCCACCAGACGTCAAGGAAGTTCTCCTCCAGCGTTACGAGTATCTCCTTATGGAGAAGGAGATGGTTGCCGATCTCCTTGATACATATCGTAGCTGTGTTATCTGTGAGAAGTGGGCAGCCAGCCCCGACACTGTTCGCTGCGAGTAAGTCAAATTCTGCTGTGTATCTCCTGGGGGGGCGTGTCGCGCGTTTGCTGACTGTATAACCCACAGGCTCTGCAAGAAGTTCTACCACATGCAATGCCTCAATCCACCACTCGCAGCCAAGCCAGCCAAGGGCTACTCGTGGGGATGCCTCGCATGCACCATCCAGCGCCGCAAGGATGTCGAGTCGGAGAAATACCGCTTCACATCGAACGGTGGTTCAGCACCGCCCCGCGGCAAGGCGGCCAAGAAGGAGAAGGCGGCCGTCAATGACAAGCCCGACGTCATGTTCCGTGGATGGCCCTGGCGTTACTTTGGGTGGGTACCATGCACTTTGCAGACTGAATGTGCTGACCGGGCGGCAGAATGTACACGCGTGCCGAAGACACGCTCAACCCCGAGGACCTCATCTACCCGCGCGCAGTGACGCGTGTTGGCCCCAAATTCCAGGCCAACGTCATGTCGTGGGAGCAGCAGGTCGAGGCCGAGCGCCGGCGACAGGAGAGCTTGGAAACTGTAGGCCCGTCAAGGCTGATTTGTGAGCTCAATGCGACTTGGACAAGTTTAGCTGACGGCAGTGGAACGAGGCTTTGACCCCGGGGAGAAGAAGCACGAGTCAACCATCACCCTCGTCTGTGAACCAAGTGACGAACGTGAGTTGCCATATGTGGAATTCAGCTCACAGCAGTCGGCCGTTACATGGACGCCGTCGCACAGCTGCAGATGCCTGTTCCGCCTTACGATGTCAGGCGTCTGAACAAGGCGGTCGAGTCATACACTGCCATGGGCCCCGACAAGGCTCTCAAGTACCTCCAGTCGCTCAAGCTGTCCGACTTCAACCCGATCGAGGTAAGCTTGGAGTAATGGTGCTTTAGCTGACATCCAGTGGACGGACGAGGAGACGCGCATCTTTGAGCAGGCACTGGAGAAGAACGGTGGTCTCGATGCCCACTCAACGGGCAAGCTGCTCGGCAAGCGGGCCGCCGAGGTGCTCAAGTTCTCGTACACGTGGAAGAACAAGAAGCTCAAGACTGAAAACGACCTCATCCGCCAACACCGCAAGGTGCACGCTGCTCACGCGCGCAACAACAACAGGACTCTTGGACCACCTTCCCTCGGCAAGATTCGCTCGCGCGCCGAGTCTGAAAACTCGGACGACGAGGGCTCGCTCTACAACGCGTCGTTTGCGACGATCAACCGCATGCAGTGTGCTGCGTGCTCAACGCGAACGTCCAACGTGTGGTGGAAGTGCCCCCGCACGGTGGCAGGCAATGCCATGTGCGAGAGCTGCGGGTCCAACTACCGCAAGTACGGTGTCATCTCGTTTGTCAAGGCCGAGGATGCCAAGCGGCCAGAGAAGAAGGAGCCCAAGGGCCGTCGCGGCGTCAAGGGCGACACAGCGTCTGGCGCGTCAACACCGGTTCCCTCGAGCGCACCCAAGCTGCCGCCGTGCTCGTGCTGCCGCAAGATGGAGCCCAAGTCGACCATGGCGCGCTGCAAGACGTGCACCTTCTCGGCCCACTCTGGCTGCTACGGTATCCCTCCCGAGGCCATGGGTCCCAACTGGGAGTGCGAGCTGTGCGCCAACATTGGCACCGAGGAGAGCCACCTCGAACCCCGCTGTGTCCTCTGCCCGCGCGACAACTCGGCCCTCGTGGCAAGGATCAAGAGCAAGAAGCTGCCTGCCGACTTTGACATGCTCTCGGCTCTCAAGCCTACGGAGGGGTGCCGCTGGGCCCACATCCTGTGCTCTGCCTGGATGCCAGAGGTGCAGTACGCCAACGGAGGGACGTTTAGGCCCGTCGAGGGTATCAGCACTATCGCGAGCTCACGATGGGAGGCGGTAAGTTGACGTATACACACATTGTTCAACTTCTAATCTCACAGACTTGCACGCTCTGTGGCCAGCAGGACGGTGCCAAGATCCAGTGCAACGACTGTGCGACGTATGTCCACCCGTCGTGCGCATACATTGCGGGCTACCGCTTCGGCTTTGAGTTCCAGCTCGCCAAGCCTGGCCGCTGGCACCGCGACACAATCACGATTGCAAAGTTCAAGGATGAGGCCGGTGTCATGACCCCTGGATGCTGGTGCAAGGGCCACGACCTCGAGGGCCGTGCCATCTACGACATGTTCGAGGTCGACCCGGACCAGGGCGAGAATGCGCTCCAGATCTACTCGACACTGTACAAGACCATCCCTGCCACCGACGGCTTTGCCCTCCTCCGTAAAGCCCAGCGTCTCGACAGGTTTGAGGAGATTGAAAGCACCTCTGCGCCCGTACACAGCTGCTCGTCCTGCGGTATCGACGTTTCCCCCCGCTGGCACGGTGCGGGCGCAACGACCCAGTGCCATCAGTGCTGGTTCCGTACCCAGCCTGCTGTGATGGCAGCTTAGGGCGTAGTATAGACAGCCGCGCATGTTCTTATATGGGATGCAGTACAATAGATACACAAAACTACAACGAAGCGAGCATGCCTGTGCCAGGAGGGCAGTTGATATACTCATACTCCTGTTGGTCGGGCGTGAGGATGAAGATTTCGTGCCACAACTGGAGCTTCTTGTTGCCCTTGAGCTGGGTGGCATAGTCGCTCAGGCCGTGGAAGAGCTCTAGATGGGTCGGCTCGGCGGCGGCCCACGCCTCCAGACTGGCCAAGTCGTCAAAGTACGCCAGGCCATACGTCTTGTCTTGCTCCGTCCACTCGTTGCTGCCGGGCGACGGCGGCGCGAGCTGCCGCACAAACCTTGCCGAGTAACAGCCCATCTTGGGGCTGTCGCGGAGCTTGTCCATGGCGCGCTGTAGGGCCAGGTGCAAGGTGGACAGGTAGAGCGCGCGCTCGTCGTCGTCGGCACCTGTCCAGTCCTGCCCCGAGCGGGTGAAGCAGAGGTTGCGCCGCGTGCGCACTTTGACGCGCACACCAGACGCGTTGTCGTCTCGGTCGTCCTTGGCCCGCTCCGTGTCGCCACACCACTCCAGGCCCGCCACCGCGTCCGTCTGCGCGATCCCAAGGCGGTCCCGCGACGCGCCCCAGTACCCTGCCTCGCGGACCGGTCCACTCGCATGCGGTGCCAGCCGCGCCGCGCCCTCGCGCAGCCCCGCCGCAGACCCGAGGAGCGCCTCCATCCGGTCGTCGGTCGGCGCGACCACTTCGAGAAACCACCCATACCCGCCCGGCTCGACTTCGCGCGCCGCGTCGTTCCACCACGTATCGAAGCCCGACGCCGAGCGCCAGGTGGCAAACGCCGCGCGCGACGGCCAGTACGCGAGCACCGTCCGCGCCTCGCGCCCGGCAGCGTCTGTCGATGTCCCGACGTCATATGTCCCCGGACCGCCGTGCGCGACAAGGGCGAGCGGCGTGTCCAGCACCGAGGACGGGAGGTGGCCCGGACGGCCGTGCTGCGCGCCGAGAGTCATGAGCACAACCTGCTGGCCGGGGGCCCAGCGCGCACAGTGCGCCGACGACGTTTGCGGGTCGTGCGCCGCCGGCTGCCGGCTAGGGACGGTGCGTGTTGTTCGCAGGTGCGGGCAGATGGCCGTGTCAATGGTTGGGGTCGTCATGGTGTGCACTGTATCCTGTGGGTCTTCATTTGGCGACGGGCTGCGGCGCTCTGAGGTAGTCTCTTATGTATCAGTCAGATTAGCGACAGGCAGTGAAGAGGTCAAGTGGTTGAGTCAGCTCATCTGGAGAGCAACAGCCGCTGATGGGAAACCTCGACAAGGTGCCGACCGGTGTGCGTCATAGTTGACCGGAGGCACCGTTTGTCGCGTCCAAAATCGGCACCCAGCTCCAACCAGACTTTGCTGCTTTGTCCTGCCATGTAACAGCATCACAGTGATTGTTGCAAAAATGTGCATAGGTGCCGAGTACAAGACGACGGCACGGCAAAAAAGTGTTGGGGCGTTTGACAGATGACAACGATGAAAATTACTGCTCTCCTTCGCGCTCCGCTTACACGAGCTCGGTCTCCTCGCCGATGAGCTCCTCGACCCACTCGGACACCTGCTCCTGCTCGCCGGCAGCGGCGTGCTTGAGCTCCTTGCCAAGGGCCTCGCGGGCCTCGGCAAGACGGGCGTTGTTGCGGGCACGCCAGGCGTCCCACTCGGCAATCTCGCGCTGGCGCTGGGCGAGCTTCTCGGCCGAACCGCGGTTCTCCTCGGCGGCATCGTCCTCGTCGAACTGGCGCGAGAAGTCCTTGAGCTCCTTGCGGATCTTGCGCTGGGTGTCCTTGGAGAGGAGGGTAGGGGGGCGGGGACGCCAGACAAACTGCTTGAACTTGTCCTGGCTCTGGTGGACGAGCTGCTGGCCCTTGAAGTCCCAGATGGTGAATCCGGGCTCGGGGGTGCTGCGCCACGACGAGGCGCACGAAGCGAGGTAGCGTCCAGAGGGGTCCCACGAGATCTCGGTGACACCGTAGTGCTCACCGATGGCGAGCTGCTGGACGTTGGCTCCGGGCTCGGCGACCTCACGCTTGTCAGTGTCGGCAAGAGTGAAGTCGAGGTCGTAGAACTCGATGTCGAACTTCTGGGACGAGCCCATCGAAGCGAGGACAATGTGGCGACCACGGGGCGACCACATGAGGGTGTTGGCAACCTTGCCCTCGAGGTGCTTGATGGGGGCAAAGTCGCCCTTCTTGGGGTCAAGCTGGTAGAACGAGACGGTGTACTTGATGATGGCACCGGGGACGTTCTGGCCAAAGTTGGGGTCGTTGGTCGAGACAATGGCGAAACGGTTTCCACTGGGCTCCCAAGCGAAAGTGGGGACGTAGTCCTTGTGCTCGATAACCTCGACGGGGTAGTCCTTCTCCCGGAGACGGAAGAGCTCGAGGTTGCAGAAGGTGGCCTTCTTGGTCTTGGCCTTGCGGGCGTGACGGTCGACCTTGACACAGAGGAAGTCGCCCTGGTTCTGCCAGTAGAACTTGCAGTCGGTGACGTTGAAGAGGTTCTTCGAACGGAGGACAGTACGCGAGGGAATGGCCATGAGGTTGACACGGGCGGGCTGGTTCTGGGCCTCGGGGGTCCAGTAGGCGAGCATGCACTCGCGGCCCTTGCCAGCCTTGCGGTTGGCCCAGTCCTTCTCGCTCATGGGGCACCACTCAAAGTCCTGGACACCCTCAATCTTGACACTCTTCTTGTCCAAGAGGCCCATGCCGGGGAGCTCGTAGATCTGGATGGCCGAGCCGACCTGGGCACGAGCGACGTAGGCGTCGTCGGGCGAGAAGCGGAAGATGGGCCAGGCCTGCTGGGGGCGGCCCTCGGCCTGGGCCGACTGGTCGGCGGCAAAGGTACGGAGCACACGCTGGGTCTTGACGTCCCAGATGACAAACTGGTTGCCCTCGTCGTCGGGGCCAAAGGTCTCACGGAGAGCGGCGTTGGCGTGGTTCTCAAAGTTGCCAAGGGGCTCCTCGGACCAGGTGACGAGGTAGTTCTCGCAGGGCGAGAACTGGATAAGACGCACACCGGGGTGGGTAAAGCGGAGGACGTTGACGCCAATGGGGCCGTCAAGCTTGGGGCCCGACCAGAGAGCGACACCGACACGGTGGAGCGAGGCAAGGTGGGTACCGAGGGGCGACCACTGGAGGTAGAGCTCACCCCACTTCTGGTTCTTGATGGGCTTGCCATCAGTGTCCTTGACGGCCTCGGCGGTGCCGTTGCGGCCGTTCCACCAGAGGTTGACCTCCTGGTCACGGAAGGTGATGTACTGGTCACGGCCAGCAACGTCACCGAGCCAGCTGCGGAGGTGGTCCTTCTCAATGAAGGCCTTCTCGCGCCAGCCAGCGGGGAGCTCGCCCTCACCGATGGGGAGGTTGGCGAAGCGCTCAATGTCGCCGAAGCGGTTGACGTGCAGGACGTTCTTACCGAACGAGGCGCCGTCAATCACGCGGAGAGCGTGCTCAGCCTCGGCACCGTCAGGGTAGGTGAGGAAAAGGAAGCCCTTGTTGGAGTCGCCTTCCCAAGGCATGCTGAGGATGCAGTCAGTATCCCAACAACGGCACACAGGCATGCTTGCTTGCGACTCACTTGACGCGGTCCTCGTCAATGGGGGCACCGGCCTTGGCAAAGGTCTGCCTCAGACGCTCAATGAGCTTGTCCTTCTTGGACTCGTTGACGAGGGGAACATTGTCGACAACGAGAACGTTCTCAAAGCCCTGCTGGGTGTCGACGGCGTACTTCTCCTCAATCTCGGCGTAGCCCTCCTGGAGCTCCGCCTCGATGTCGCGTTGGTCTTCTTCGCTGAAAGCGCTGAGGTCGGGGTTGACCATTTTATCGTTTTGTGATGGGGTATAGGTGTTTTCTGCTGATCTCGCCGCTTCAAACGCGCTGGCAAAGAAGGGGCAACGACACGCCCGCCTGATTTTCGGAGGGCGTAAAACCGCCACATCGCTGTAACACCGTTATTGCCGTTGTGGCAGCCAGCGACTGTGGCAGCATGTGTTGGCAGTCCATCGTCGGCGTGTATGCATCGCAGTGTCTGTCGTATAGAGTTCCGAGGGGGTCGCACAGTGGGAGGATGATAGCATGTGTGCTAAGAGTCATGACAGCCCACGTTGCAGGAGAGAACCCACTGAAACCCGCTGCTTCTCGGAATCTCTCGGACCTGGGCTTCTGATTCTCACACGATATGACACAGAACGCTGGAAGAAACCCGGCAGGTAACCATTGCGACTAGCCCTCCGATATCGTGTTCATCGCAAAGCCATACGGATTATATTCACATTGGGTTTATAGCGTGGAAGGTCATTATCATGTCATAGAACAGGCAGCATGGATCGGTAGCTCTTAAGAGATGACAGTAGGGGAGCTGACGGCCGCGGGCGGCCAGTCATCCTTGTCAGGCTGGACAGCGTAGCCTCCACCAGAGGTGTTGTCAACCGCCGGGATGGGAGCAGCCCTGTTGCCAACGAGCTTCCTGAGAGTCACGTCGTAGATCTTGGAGGCACCCTGCCGAGTCAGCGATTCCCAATCAGCACCATCAAACGTACCTTCCAACGAGGGTGGCCGAGGTAGCCGAGAATGAAGAGCTTGATAGTGTAGTACTTGGCTGGAGGGTTCAGCAATAAAGTCAAACTTGGCGATATACGAATGTTGGCCTCGAGGAATCCCGCGGCGAGGCTCTCAATGGTCTGGACGAGGCCAAAGAAGACAAAGTAGAGGAGAATGTTGTCAATCTCGCCAATGTTGCCGTCGTCCAGGAGCATAGCTGCATGGTACGTGGGACCAGCAAGGCAGAGGGCCGTGGTGATCGGGTGCGCAAGGCCGAGAATGTTGTAGGGAACGAGCAGTGCGAACCTGCGGACCGTGTGTTAGGTTTGGGGCGTCTCATTCCTCACCCGATGGGCTTCCCACAGGAAAGGTCCGACTTACAGGACATTGCCACCGATGACGAGGAGAAGACGGTCGATGCCAGTCAGCTTTTCAGCGCTGCGAATGGTCTCGGAGCGACCAAGGATGTCGCGGGCCCGGTTCGCATTGGCACTGGCAATGCCCTGTGCGCGAACTGCGACGGGGTGGTTTCCCAGCTCGACAGCGCGCTGACGGGCGCCTCCCAGCGCGGCAGAGACCTTTGCGCCATGCTCGCGAGCACGCGTCACGGCCACCGAAGAGCGGGCGCTGTTGAGAGAGTTGGACACGCCACGGAGACGTGTGCCGATAGCCTGGCTGGGTGAAGCAGGAACTGTAGTGGGCGGCTGGGCAATGGGAGTGGCCGTAGGCTGCGACTTGGGGATGACGCCGTCAACAACCTCCGGGTGGACGTCGCCGACGATGGGGGTGGCCGCGGACATTTGGAGCAGAGTTGTGCTTGAGACTGTAGTGTACCAGTGCTTGTGGTGCGAAGTTGCTGGTGAGGGGTCGTCGAAGGGCTGTTGAGACTGATGGGAAGTGCAAAAGGAGGACGACAGAACTGCCTGCACCGGCAGTGGCAATGCGGTGGCATGCGAGCGCACGGGTGGCGCAACGATGTCATCGCCGAAACGACGCACGGGGACGCGGCAAAAGGTGCGAGCACATCACAGATCACAGATTACAGATCACAGACATGGGTGTATAAGAGGTGGGGGCAATACTGCTCTCTCTGCGTGACGGGTAGAACCCGTGGTATGCATGGCAGGGTATCAAGACCCAAGGTAATAGATATTAACAACGCTCGCACTTTTGGTCAAATGCTGCTCCGCTCGGCTTCTTCCTTCCTCTCCTCCCGTCTAAAGCTTGTTCTGCTCCTCGATCTTGGCGTCCACCTCGGCGAGGAACGCGTTGAGCTCCTACACAATAGTCAGCTTCTGCAACCGTCGTGGTACGCAAACGGTCAAACGTACCTTGTCCTCGGGCTCAAACTGCAGTCCGTCGATAATCGCGTCGTGAGCCTCTTCGAAACGACCAAGGCCGACGAGAGCGCGTGCTCGCCTGAAGTGTCCCTTGGTCCAAGGACGCCTGAGCGCGATGACAGCCTCGGCATCTGCCAGCGCGTTGGCCCTGGTTGGGTCAGCTCCTGTCCTCAACATCGAGCTATACTCACCAAGCACCAGCCAGGTGGAAGGCGGCGGAACGGTTGCACAGAGCGATGGAGGTCTCCTCCTTGGAAAGCTGCGCCAACTCCCAGGGTGGGCGAGACAGCGCCATGTCGGCAGAGCGAGAGTAGTTCTGGACAGCGACGGGAATGTTACCAGCCTTGAACGCAACCTGTAGGAGTGGGCGACAATTGTACGACAAGGCAAGGATAATGTCAGCTCTGAGCAAACACAAAGAGCCGATGACAACTTACATTACCTGCCTCTTTGGCCTGCTTGATCTGCTCGGCACGCTGGGGAGGGGGCTGAACATTGGGAGGAGGGGGGATGGCCTCGGGAGGCGCGGTGCGGAGGAACTGGTGCATGTAGTTGAGGGCAGTGTAGTTGACATTGCACGCGTCACACGATGGGAGCTTGTGCTCGGCACAGACAACCATCTGCTGGCTCTGGGGAGGCTGGGTGTTGGGGATCGGGGCCTCGACGAACGCAAAGGGGACGGTACGGGTCGGCAGCGAGTCGAGGAGAGCTTGCATTGCCGGGTCGCCGTTGAACTGCTGGAGGACGTTGGGGCCAGGAGGGCCGCCAGGGCCCACCTGTTGTGGGTGGGGGTGAGGATGGGGGTGGGGATGGGGGTGGGCGTGAGGAGCAGCCATTTTTGTTGTTGTTGAATGAGTGATGTTGCTGTTGCCGGGACGTGTTCTTGCCGTCTGTCAGAGCGTCGACACACACCTGGCGCGCTGGCGATGAGAGAGCTGACACGCCGATCGGTTGAGACGGTGGCCGCGCGCCGCTCACATGAATTCCACGTGGTAAAATTCTTACGTAATGTAACATTACACTGTATTCGCCGCTTTTGGCAATTTCCGTCATTCGGTTGGAACGCGGGCGAGTGGCGCGTGCACGAAAACAGTAAACAAAGCCTCCATCTCGACACCACACCTTCATCATCACACTGTCGTTCATCCACAGCCATCCACCCATCCACACCAGTCTCGTCGCCTGGTCACTCCTACTACACACTCCTGATCCATCTTGACAACCCCCCCTTGTGCACAATGTCGTACGTGGTGCCTTCTCCTCCTCCGCGGGACACCTATCTGACCCCGTGCGCCACAGACAATTCTCAGGCTCCTTGGTGGCCAAAAGAAAGTCTGACCTCGTCGAGATTGCAGACGCTCTCGGCATCAAAGACCAGGAGGGCACCAACATTGAGCTCCGTGAGCGCATCCAGTCCAAGCTCGACGCCAACGCCGACTCGCTGCGCACCACGGACGCCTTCAAGGGTCTCTACGGCCGTTCCCGTCGTCACCAGTACGTACCTTGAGTATGACAGAGAATACTTTTGGCAACGGCTTGCCATCCAACCGCCATCCATCCACCGCCTAACACCTCTCCAGGACGTCGGACGGCTCCGACACTCCCGCTCCGGAGAAGACTCCCGGTCGCGGTCGCCGCTCCATCAACAAGACACTCGAGAAGATTGTCGATGCGGCCAACATCCCGCTCCCTGACAGCCCGCTGTGGGTATCCCCTGACAACATGGGTTGAAGCTTCGGTCGTTGACGTGTCCCACAGCAGCTCCAAGATCCAGGAGAAGGCGGACAACGCCCTCGCTCTTGTCGAGACTGATACCAAGGACATTGCGGCCCGCATCTCGGATGCCTCAAGCACGCTTGTCAAGTTTGTTGATGGCCGCAAGAACGCTGTTGAGGGCTGCGTCAGGGACCTCCGCGACGTGAGTTCTTTGTTTTTGGCACAGAGTACTAGCTGATGTGTAGATTCTTTCCACCCCATGTGGCCTGATTCCCGTCGCGATTGCCATTGAGGAGGCCTTCCTCTACTCCCACGTTGTCTCGCTGGGCAAGCATGTCGTCCACTTCCCGCCCCTTCGTTCAGACAAGGGCACCTTGGCCTCGCTCCTCCGTACCGCCTTCTTCTGGGCCCCCTCGATCTCATGGAGCTACTGCTTCCCCACTCTCGAGTCGGTCCACCCGAGCTCGGATGTCTGGCCTGCTACTGCTTGGTGGTGGGTACAACGAGAGACGATGGTTGCTGATTGCCAGGTTCTTCTCCACCGTGCTTCCTCCTCTGGTTCTTTCCAGCCTTGTCAGCTTCATTCCCCAGAAGGGAATCCACCGTGCCGGCGCGTCCACGCGCTACCAAGGTGAGTCGTCATAATGTGTGCCCAGTTGACACGCCCTCTTTAGCCGCGCACCCGCCCACACCCACCTTCGACCCCCTCACGTTTGTGTTCTTCCGCCTCGCGATCCTCCTTCTCCCTCTTACCAACGCCGCCCCGGCCGCGTTTGTGGACGCTTTGGAAATGAGCGGCAACTCGCAGGCCCGTGCCCTTGGTGCTGGTCTTCTTGCTGCGCTCATTATTGCCCAGCGCCTTGGCGGTGCCACGCGCGCGTGAACCACTCTCGCAAGTAATAACCCATCGAAATAACCATAAACATGTCCTTTTTTGGTGTTAATATCCCTTGTAGTGTGCTAGTGTGTGCGCGCCCTAATCTGGCGTGCCCGACGGGCCTTGTATACCCCTAGTATGTAGCTGTGGTTGGACTATGCCGTGATCGTTGCAGCAGGTGTGGGTGTTGTAGCGTTAGGCCACATGATATCAGACGGACACGGAAAATCAAAAATGACGTGTGAATCGCCGCTTCTCCCGCGACCCGTGCGCGCGTCTCTTGTTGCACGCGCGTGCGGTATGGTGTGGTCGCCGCCGCGTGAACACCATCAAAGCCAGGCGTCATAACTCAGCTCTAAACAACATATAGCAAACACGCGCTTCGCCCAACCTCATCTTTCGCGGTCTGTCAATGTTCAAGGCGCTTCCGGCGCAATAGAGCGCAGTCTCGCCTCCGATGAGACGGCCACCAGAGAGCCTCCAGGCGCTCACGCCGTTCCCGACGGTCGAGGCACGAGTGCACGAATCAACAGAGCTCTGGGCGCGCGACCTCCGAAGCCTGTTCGAGCATGCGCGCGACCGCTTCGCCGACGTGTCCTGGGAAACGGATAGTGGCGACCGCGTATGGGCGCATAAAGGTGGGTGCAGACTGCACATGGGGTGGGGGCGAGGCGTGGTGCCGTTGTCCGAGACGTGTGAAGTTGTGTGAGACTCCATGCTGACCTGTCCCGCAGCCGTTGTCTACGTCCGAGCACCCAGTGGGTAACAGCGGAGCGCATATGGAAATGAGCAAGCGGAGAGTCGACTGACGCGTTCCGCAGAGGCATTCAAGGACCGCTACTTCTTAACCAACAAGACTATATCACGATCTCCAACCAGTTTCAGCGCTCAGGCGCCCACTCCTTCTCCTTACCCTGTTGGGTCGTCCTTGCTGCCACCAGGCTACGCACGAAGGACACCCAGCCCATCCTTGTTCCGGGAGAGCACTGCGTCGATTGACACTGCTGAAAGCGACGGGACGCTCCGTGCCCCCACCTTGGGTGCAGGCGACGGGGTTCTCCGCCTCGGCCACGACGACGCGCCCGAGCTCTTCCGCGCACAGCTTGAATGGTTGTACACCGGCGAGGGCTTTGGCGACGTTGTCGAGTGGATTAGCGAGGAAGCTGGGGGCTCTAATGCCAATGTACGCGACTCGCTTGGTCGCCGCGGCGACCTTGCAGACCGCAGGGACAAGCTTGGCCAAGACCTCACCTACATGTGGACATCAAAGCTGTACTGCGACGTCCGCATTCACCTCGAAACCCCCGATGGCGAAGGCTACAATTCCGACACGTCCGCGGGTTCTGACGATTCCCTGTCGTCGACAGTCATCTTCACCGCTCATCGCTTCATGCTCGCGTCACGCTCACCCTACTTTTCGACTGTGCTTCTCAACCCAAGCCAATTCCGCCCCGTCACAGCCGACATTCACCTCCCTACCCCTCCTTTCACCCCCGCAGCCCTGCACTTTTGTCTGGGCTGGATCTATGCGGGTCACCTCGATTTCTCCAACCGCTCCTTTGATCTCTTGACCGCATTCCAAATCTACCGTGCTGCCAGCTACCTGCAACTGGAGGCTCTTGCCGACGAGCTCGAGTCACGCCTTGTACACGACTTTTGTCACGGCCTCGAATGGAGTCGCTGTCACTGCCGCAAGTGCATTGGCCGCGTCTCGCGCATCTGGCGCTTTACCACTGGTGGCGACGTTGGCGCACTGGAGCTGCACCGTCGCTGTCGCAGGTTCATCCTGAGCGGCTGGGCCGAATGCTGGGGCCGTGAGGTTGGCTTGGCCGACAAGGGCGAGCGGGACGACCTGGTCACGGACGTCATCTCGACGCTTGGCCCCAGCAACGTCGTCACCTCGTTCCGTGGCATTGAGCGCGTCCGCGCTCGCATGGAGCACGGCATTCGCACCAAGGGCGCCGACGCTGCCATCTGGGTCGACGCGCTCGGCGACATGATCGAGGTCGTCGAGAAGCGCGCGCGCGAAGTCCTCGCCACCCAGTTTGCCGCTGTGTGTGAGAGCAAGGAACTCTGGGACGTCATGGCCGGCAAGGGCTTTAGCGAGGACGTTCTCGACCACGTCTTGCGCGAAATTGTCGACATTGCAGGCCGCCCACCGATCTTTATCGAATCGCCCAAGATGTACCAGACTGTTGTCTCGTCCATTCTCCTCAAGGTCCACCCCGATACTTTGGAGACTGCTCTCCCGCCGCGCGGTCTGAGCCGTCAAAAGATTGAGCAGGCCAAGGAAGGGATCCTCGTGCACATTCGCCGTCGATGGATGCAAATCAAGGAAGACGGCGGGTTTTTGGGACTTGAGCCCTGGTCGTTGAAGGAGATTAGCGATGGTGCGTCCTCTTGTGTGTAGCTTTGAGACTGACTTGAAAAGAAATCGAAGTACCTGTAGACGACCTCCTTTCGGCCCGACACGTCACATTCCCTCGCTCTCGCGACAAGGGCTTCCCGCGGACATCGTCTCGGGCCACTGGTCTCAGTGAGGCTGATAGCTCTCGCACGCGCACGGCGTCGGACGCAAGCCACACTTCGACGTTGCGGTCTGCCCCCGTACAGACCCCTGAGCCGCCCGAGCCCAATGGCCTGCGGCGTCTGCGTCTATCGAGTTCTGCGTCAACCAGTTCGGCCGTCTCGGTGCGCACAGCAGCGTCGCGTACTGCGTCTACTCAACGACGTACCACACCTACTACTGGCCCACAGGCACGTAGTCCAACGGCTGCACACAAGACATTTGTGGTTTCGGTCGGCAAATCTAGGGGCACGCCTGGTCCAAGTGGAACCATGAGTCCTACCCCTCCACGTCCTGGTCAGGTCATGACAGGTCCACCAAGACCACTCCTGACTGGCAAGTCTGTGGGGTCGAGGGTCAAGGAGCGCATAGAGTCCCCGGCATCGCCCTCGCCCCCTGCGTCGCGACCTGGTACTCGTACTGGTTCTCGTCCACAGTCACCAACCCGTGGTCTGCGTCACCAGATTTCAATGGCGTCCGTTAGCTCCGTTGCCACGTCGCGTACATCGGCGACTGTTCGCTCGACAACATCGACAAGGACGGCTACGGGACTGACGGGACCGACAAAGGCGTCGTCATCGAGCACCGCAGCTGGCAAAGCGCCAGTCGGCAAGGCACCTGCCAGACCGGCTACAGCGGCCGCAACGACTAGGCCGGCGACGGTGACAAGACCGACGACCACTCCTGCAACGCGTACGGCCAGGCCGACCGTCACTGCTGCCAATGGTACTCCCAAAGCTTCCAGTTCCAGTGCGACCACCAGTACTGGTACTCCCAAAGCTTCCGGTTCCAGTACGACCACCAGCACTGCCAGAACTCCCATCAGCGCTGCTGCTACTGCCAATGGGAAGGCTCCTGTCCGCGCAGCGCTGGCCACAAAGCCAGTGTCTGCGGCCACTGCGGCTGTCCGTCAGCGTACAATGTCGGCCGTCAGCACTAGCTCTGTTGTCAAACCAGTGGCGCCGCGCACACGGACTATGTCGGCATCCAGTTCAAAATCTCGAGCCCCGACGGTGGCTCCTGGTGCGGTGCCGGACGTGCCCCCTGTGCCAAAGACAACGACCACGACCAAGCAGCCGGTCGTCACACCCTCTGCGAGCCGGACGTCCCTTGCGAGCAAGGCGTCTATTGCTGCAGCCAGAGCGACTACTGCCAGGCCATCCGACCCCAAGACGGCTGCTGCGGCAAAGACACCAACGTTACGGCCATCTGCTTCTACAAAGTCGCTCGGCGCTCGTTCCACGGTATCGGTCAAGACCACCAAGACAGCGGTCTCTACCACACCAAAGACGCCTACCGTCTCCAAAGCCCCTACCAAGCCACCTGCCAGGACCCCGTCCACTCCATCCGACACTCTTCAGACACCTTCTACTGGTTCCAGCACTCGCGTCCGCGCAACGTCGCTGAACCCAAAGGAGACTCCTCCGTCTATCGCCCGCCAGCGTACGGCATCGTCGTCGGCGCCCTGGAAACGCGCGACCCCTCTTCCACCCACCGTCGCTGGCGTGAAGCCGCGTGGGTCTATTCGTTCCTCCTCTGGATCCACCGAGGGTCCTCCCGAAGCGATTACCCCGCGCCTCTCGGTTGTTGAGCCCATTATCGTATTGGATGACTCTGCTACCAACAGCCCGGTACTCGCCGAGTCGCCAAACGAAAAGTCGCGCCGGTCGTCCGACTCGGACATTCCGCCCGTGCCTCCCCTCCCATCGGTGGTGGTGGAAGAGGTGAAGGTGGTCGATGAGCCCACGGTCAAGCTCGAGGAAGTTGGCAATGGACAGGCCGAGGTTGTGTCCCCCATCTCGGTCGTGATCAGCCCGACACCTGAGGATGAGGCTGTCCCAACGACGCCAACAATTATCGAGCCGGTTGCTCCTGTTGAGCCACCTGTGGTTCAACAACCAGTGGTGCTCCCAGCTACGGTGGAACAGCCCGCTCCCATTGTGAAGGCTCCCACTGTTGGTCCTGTGAAAGCGCTTGAGCTTGCTGCAGTGAAGGCTCCAGAGCCTGCTGTGAAACCCCGGACTACCGCCGCTACCGTGAAGCCGGAGCCCACGGCGAAGGTTCCCACTGTGGTCGAGCCTGAAGCTCCAGCCAAGGTTCCAACTGTGCCCCCTCCTACTGTCGTCGAACCTCCGCCCACCCCGGCCAAGGTGGCTCCTGCCGTTCCCACTATGGCCGCCCTCCCCAAAGCGACGATGAGCGCGGCCAACCCTCCTCCAACCCCTCCCAAAAACCCGAGGCGATCATTCGCACCCCCAGCCACACCACCAAAGATGGAGCAGCCTCTGCCTCGTGCGGCCAAGGCCCCTCCTCCAAGCTTCCCCTCTACTTCTCCCGTGCCCACCATCGCCAGTGTGGAAGACAGCCCTCGCAGCGGCTTTGCCGGTACCATGTCTCGCAAAGTCAGCGAGACGGGTAGTGTGCGCTCTGTTCGCTACCATCCGGCTCACGCGTTTGACCCACCTCCACGGAAGCCATCTGTGTCGGCGGCGCCACCCGCCCCGCCGAAACTGGAGGTTGAAGACGGCAATGTCCCCTTCAAGGGCAGCGGCGTCACGCTGCACGTCGGCATCCCCTGCATTGTGACACTCTCGACGCGTCGTGCGCGTTTCCGTGCCAACGTCAAATACCTCGGCACCATGGCCAACGCCCGCGGGCCTTGGGTCGGTCTCGAGGTCGACGACTTGGACCGCTTTGGCGTCGAGACGCTCCCGACCGGCGCCAAGAGCGGTGTCCGTTATTTCCACTTTTCTCCCCCCGACGCACCAGCAGGCGACGAAGCGAGGTCAATCCGCCAGCGCCGCATCTCGGCCATTGCCGACTCGTTGTCCGGCCGCGGTGTGCGCCGCCCCAATGGTCTTGGCCTGGCCGTGAACGGCAACAACTCGCTGGGTCCACCAGCCGACACGCGCCGCGCGGCCAGCCCCTTTGTCGCAGACTGGACAGCGCCAGAAAAGCCCAGGGCGCTGTTTGTGCGTCCCAGCGAGGTCTTGTTCGTCATGGGCGCCGAGTAGGAAGGCTGCTCCTTCCCTTTCCCCCCACCGTCGGCTGCGCCGGCGTTCCCAGCTGTGCATCTTCGTTGACGAGCCACGATACCCCCATTTACGCGCGTTTAACGACTATTCCGGTTATTTGTATATCTTGCATCCAACAACACCTTGATTCCATGTTGAGACTTAATGCATTGTGACGGACGCAAGGACGCGGACGGACGCAAGGACGCAGCGGACGAGGGGAGCTCGGGCAGTGAGTGGCGCAACACGTTGTCGTTGTGTGATGTACAGTGAGGTTGTCTGCCACACGGTGTGCCGAAGCAGTGCAGGTTGTAATGACGTTGCGCCATGTGCTTGTAAGAATGAGCGCGACCTGCGCATAACGGTCAGCTACGACTGGTCACGCACGATGCGCTATAGCTCTGGGCACAGACGCAACATGCAGAGGGTCGTGTCGACCACCAGCCTGGACTGTCGCCCGCGGAACTTTTCCTCCAGCGCAAATTGTCAGTGCCACACGACCACACGACCGAGCTTCAAGAAACATTATTTCAAGTGCCATAAGCACCCCATCCATAGAGGCGCCTGATGCGCTAGTATACACGCGATGCTCTCCTAGTCCCCGGTCTACACGACTCCGAGTGGGAGAACCATGGCAAAGTCTCTTGAGGTTGGCCAGTCCACCACCCACGCGGATACGAAGTTGACGCGCTTAGAGGTTGAGCTTGGTGCGGCGCCAGTGACGACGCTTGGCGTTGTACTGGATCTTGGCTGTGGGGGGTTAGCAGGGGGTCGTCGGGAGGGGAGAGTTAAAGAGGGAAGAGGGGAGCTAGACGGTATGCGGCGATGGGCAAACTTGGTTGGAACAGAGCTGTTCTCTCTGCCTCAACCATGCCCAAGCACCTCCTGCTCCCTCTCCCTCTCCTGGATCTCTCGACGCTCGAGGGACACATACTGTCGGTCTTAAGACGGAACCACTGGGGGATAGGGCGGTTCTGGCGGGCCTTCTTGGCGAGCTTCTGCTTGATCTAGATATTGTTAGCACTCGTCCTCTCGTCCTCTACACCGCAAAATTCACGAGGAAGGTCTTCTGGGACGGCTAATGATGTTAGCAATGATCCAAGAACAAGAAGAGCAAGAACACGGTGGACTGGCAGGGCGATCCGGACGATTTTGATGGTTGTTGGATATTTGGCGCAAATTGCGACAATCTACGCCCCTCTTGCTTGTGACGGTGACGGACAGGACGCCGATGAGGAGCAAGTGGAGACGCTTTCTTGGGCGAGTTGGGCTTGTCCAACCCGATCCAACATATGCCCTCCAGCTTCCAACACAACGTCTCCACGCATGTCCTCCTGGAGGCCTCCCGCTCTCGTTCCACCAAACGCCAGCTGTCGGTCGCACTGCGTTCCTGCCGTCGTCGGTCGCGCTGTCTTCCTTCTGTCGTCCGGTTGTCGTGGTCGTCGCGATGTCCACCGTGTTCGTGCCGTAGAGCTCACCATTTTGGATGGGTTTCTTGCGGGATGGAGAGAGGTCGCTGCGTTCAGAACGCCAGTCAAGTCGCCTGCCAGGCTGCACCAACCCGCATCGCCATTTGCCTCCGTTGCCGCCTGCCAGCGAAATTTCACCGCACCGAGGGCGGAGTTATGGATGCCACATGGATGTGGCGCATCTGAAAAAGTGGCACTTTGGACCACAGAGCCCTGCGCCCTTTGCAGGTGGGTGCATGCAAGCGCACACTCGACAAGCCCATTTGTGCTTCTTCCCGGTGACAACGCGGCCAAGCGGCAACCATGGTCATGGTGACCCGTCGCACGCCGTATTCACTATAGTTCTACTGTATCCTACACTTACATCCCTCTGTGCTGCATATTGGGCTATAGCCTGCATCACCTCCCAACTTGTCGGTGCATATTTTGACCATGTCGCCCACGTCTGGACGACTCAGCTGAACATGCACTGCTTTTCACTTTCACGTCTTTATGACAACCTCCACAAGTAATATCGGCTGTGCTGGCCATGAATGTCATAGTAATGTGTACAGAGAAGACGAGTTGGGCCTCGCGCTGTACGACCGTAGACGACCACTGGGACGAAGTAGAGCTTGCGCTGGTTCTAGCCAGGCGCAGGAGGCTGAGGGCGAGTGCGGTGGTCCACATTCGACCTTGGCGGTCGATGGCTTGGCCTTTATGTACCGTGGCCAGGGTAACCTGCTTGCAAATGCTGCTGCCCGCGATGTCAGGTCCGCTCGCGAGCGACATCGCCGTGGCCTGTGCCACCTGGGCGCACGGTCGCGTGAGCGCGTTGTCCTTTGTGACGCCGGTTGTCAAAGGACACGATACGGGCCAATTTGGTGGCAGAGCGGGACGGCTAGCAGCAGTAGTCGAGGTTACACTGTTGTAGACTGGTTAATAGAACGTATTGTTGTAGACAGGAGAAGATACATTCGCTAGAGAACTATCAAGGATGCTGTTGCTCTAGCTATGTATATACCATTCTCCAACTCATGTATACGGGTGGAACTCGTATAGGTTTAGTCCGAACCTTCCTGGGTTCCGATGGTACATACAGTATTGATTGTGACACGGCCTGTGACACCGGCACCAGGCCTGTAGACCAGGGCTCTGTTGCGGTCAGCAGCATAGTCATACCACTGACTTACTCTTGCGCCACGACTGGGGGTCGCAGGTCGTCCACAGAGCCTCGTCATGGCGGTCCGGGCCGAGCTTGCGCTTGACGCGAAGAAGACGCCGCTTGAAGTCGAAGGCAGCTTTGGCTGCCGGGTCGGAATTCACTCATGCTCTCCACTTCTTGTCCGACTGCCGCGCGACGACGCGGTAGCGCTCGTTGATGTCGTCCTGCTCGGTCTTGGGCAGCGACTCGAGCATAGACTTGCGCTTCTCGCGCACTACCTGGTCGCGCTCGTGCTGGACCTCGGGGTGGTTCCTACGGAAGTCCCGGAGGCGTTGGATGATGCGGTCCCTAACAGCAGGTACAGTACGCTGTGGTACCGCTGGAGAAAACGCGCGCGTTGCTCGGCAGGGGTCGAGGGATTCATGTCCCGGACGGCCTGCTTGAGCGGGTTGACCTTGTTCGTGCCGCGGTGGTGGCGGTCAGGCCAAACGACACCCTTCTTCTCGACAAATGTGTCCAGCCAGAAGTGGAGCAGAGCTTCCACATACTGGCCCAACACACGGCCGGTGATGCCGAGGGCCGAGCGACGGGCGGGGAGAGCACGAGCATCCATGCGGAAGAAGGGGTGCATGGTAACATCCTCCTTCTTGCCGCCGGCCTTGATGTTGGCGCGCGCGAGCACGTTGAAGAGCCTGATGCTGTCAGAGACCGTTTCAACTGCACATGGTACGCACTCGGGGCCCTCGTCGATCCGGTTACGGTGCTGGTCCCACCTCTGGCAGCGCGGCGGCGGTGCCGGCGTACAGGGCTAACGAGCCATCCTTGGACGACAAAGCCTTGATGTACGAACCCCAAGTGCTGTTCATTTTGGCCGTCTGGAGACAACCAATCTGGACAGCAGTGGGGGGCGAGTCGGAAACGAGAATGTCCAGCACCTCGGGCGCGGTGCCGAGGACAAGAAGCGGAAGGACGTCGTCCACGGAGAGGAGCGAGGTCACGCCGTGGAAGAGGTCTGTCATACCGGGCTCGTGAGCCGCGGCCATGACGCGACCGAGACGCTCCTTGAGCGTGGCCTGCTTGGGCACGTATGCCACAGACTGGGCACGCTCGTTCCACCAGTGGCGGAAAACGGGAAGGGTGTCCTCAACCTGTCTCGGTCAGCGCGGCTATTTGGTTCTCCTCACTCACGACCTGGACCGACACGGGTCAGTCGAGCGACGGGCCGGGTATCTAGTCCTGATCTTGCGCTCAACCCCTCGAACGGGCTGAGTGACAGTTCGAATCGAGCGCGGGGGACGGCCTACAGACATCTAGAACGGGGTGACAAAGGAGACACTCACGGGCACACCGAGGTCGTCGACCTTGTCCTCCTGGGCGTCGGCGTCGGCCGTGTCAAACTCGTCGTCCTCGTCCGCGGCCTCAAAGTTGGGGGCACGCAGGCCAGCGTGGTCGTCGACCTCGGGCAGGTAGCCGAGGACAATGGCCGGACCCGCGAAGCCGGTGGACGGAATGTGAAGGTCCTGTTGCTGCTGCTGCTGGACGCCGACGGTGATGGTGTACGGCGTACCAGAGTAGACCGTGGGGTCGAGCGTGACCGACGATCCATCCAGGTGGAGGATACGGATGGCTCGACCGAGGTACCGGGCGAGCGCGGCGAGGTCAATGTGGTCGGCGTGTTGACCAGGCTGCAGCATGTTCTCCACATACTCAGCCGGGTCGTTCACGTCGGCCACATGGCCAAACCAGTCGGCGGCCGTTTGGGCCAGCACGTCGGCTGTGGCCAGACGCAGGTCGAGGTGGTCGACGCCAGCACCAGCCTGGAGGGCGACGGCGCGGTGGGCTCAGTTGCCGTCACCGCGGACATCGTGAACCTCCAGGTGCTGAGGGTGGGGAGGCTCGGCGAGGAGGGTGGCTGGGTCGGTGGTTTGAGAAGGCTGCGAGGATGGGGAAGGCGAGGTGGTGGGGGTCGAAACAGTGGTGCCGAAGACTGTTGGCGAGGCTGAGCCGCGAAGGAATGGGGACGAGGTTCTTGATCGTCAGCACCGACTCGCAAAGCAGACAAGAAGCACCGCCAATAACTACCGTACAACAGTGGCGGAGCCCAGAATGCGGCACATCCACGGCGGCGGTGGCGCAAGGTGTGTCTCTTTTCATGATCTGGTCAGGTTACTCACGCAGTGGGGGCAGTGGCGTGGACAGAGAGAAGGAGAGACTCCTTGCGCGGCAAGACAGCGAGCTGCAGCGAGACGCGGAAGAGGTCGCCAAAGGGGACGCAGACAGAAAGGCACAAGGCCAGGGCGAGTAACCACCTCATTGTGATGAGGGGTTGGGGTTTGAGAGAGGGGTATGTGGAAGATGTAGCGATGGGGGCGATGGTGGTGGGGGTGGTGGTGGTGTGATAATGTAAGTATTGAGAAGATGGAGTGGTAACATGCCATACCTGGGTGACTCAACCCGCCGTCGGCGATCTTTCCCTCCCATAGGCGTGCCCTTCCCTCCTTTCCCCCATCGTCTCTCTTCTCTCATTCCATTTTTCATCCTTGGGCTTATCCCATTACCTCTTTAAAACTCATCCGTATCCAAATGCATTCAAGGGAGTCCTTCCCCCACTAGTCTTCAGATGAAGCTCTGACAAACGGTGGAGGGAGGGGGAAGGGTAACAGAGTGGGCTCCTCGATCCGAGCAGAATTTCACGGACGTTTGCAGCTCTGCATTTCTGTACATTTGTGGCAGGATCGCTGCCAGGGGGAGATGAGGATGCCATCACGCAAAGGCCAAGGATCTGTACCACTTTTACCCATGCATGAAAGAAGGTGCTCGTGAGATAAGGCAACACCAGGTAAGTAAGCGACCAGTGCATCAATGGACAAGTAGCAGAACACGGGCGCCCCCGCCTTTTCCAGATGTCAAAAATGTGAGGAAAATCAACAATTATGATTTTTAACCCCAATTCGCCACAGGGACTTGGCCAGCCTGGTCCCAACCTGGCGGCTTCAAGTGCAAAGGCTTACATTCGACATAAGTCTGGACTGAACTGTCACTGTATCACAGCAAAGGCTGACGTATTGTTTGTATACCCATCGGCGTAGAAGCGCAAAAGGTACATACGGACGGAAGCTTACATGATGGGCCACGAACGGCGCATTCAACCAGTCCCTGGTGAACCAACCTTTGCTCCCAACCGTCCCCAGTTCAGTCACGTATGCATCATATGTATGAAAGAACATGCGCTCGACAAGTCACCAGGCAGGCAAGACGCATCCTCTCGTGAGCCTCACCCATGCATCCATCTCTCTAGCTCAACGTGCTCTTCCTCCATGTCCCGCTGCTGTCCTTTTGCGCCAACCACCCGATGAAGCTGGGCACGTCCTCTGCAATCTTTCCTGGCAAGCTGCTGTTGACCATGAAGCGTGGAATGTTACCGCCAGCGTCACTGCTCGTGGCCATGCGCCACTCGACCTCTTCGCCGTGCTCCCGGACGAGCTCGACAGAGACGTACCGCCCGCGCACGCGCGACTTTTCGTCGCCGACCTTTTCGGGGCAGTCTGGGTGGAGGAACGGGATGGACACTGGGAGGAGGTGAGCACGAGGTTACTAAACGCAGACGCACCATTCATAAACGACCGCTCGCCATGGGGTGCCGATTTCAGCTCGCGGCTGAGCAACAGTGTGACAAAGGTGCGCGGGTTGGTGGGCGCGGGAGTCACGTATGTCATGCGCCAGATCTCGGCGACATGAGGCTGGAGTACCTGGAGGCATTCCGACTCGCGCAACAATTCAATGTACCTAAGAGGGTCAGTAAATGGCGAGACGCGTATATGCTCACTCTCTCTCGTTCTGCGCAACGTCAGCTCTCTGGCCATTCACGTTTTGCTCACCTCTGAGTGGTACTCGAGCAGTCCACGCCTAAAGCTCTCGTACAGGCCGTTGGGAGAGGACGTCATGATGCGCTTCTGACGCTCCACATCGTTGAGCTCAAACGTCGGCCTGCGCTCATTCGTCGGACGGTCCACGCCATGGATATCCGAGCTGCGTCGTCGCAGCTTGTTGCCGATGGCCTGCAGCAACGAGTTGGACGCGCCGTCCTGTTCGGCGCCTTCTCGGATCGAATCAGGAGTACACTGGGCAAGTCAGCACAGGAAACCCATTTCACACTTACAGATGTCATACGGCCGGCCCAGAAATCATTCAGGCCGAGTTGTTTGCGGATCTGGGACAATGATGAGCACACGACCATACGGGGCACTCTGTGCTTACCTTGCCAGACGCCCCTGAATTCGGCAGAGTGAACAGCTGGGTGTTTCCACCGTGTGGTGCCGAGTGCTTGCTCCATTGGCTAATAGGTGGTCAGCACCAGCCGATCACCAACGCCCTCACTCCAAGGTGTCCGCCAGTTCCTCGCCCATAGCAAAGTACTGGTCGAGAAACGCTGCGAAATCGGGTCCCGCGGGGTCTGGCACGTCCTATGCCCTGTTCAGCAACAATCCACCTGCAGGAACATACGGCTGGGACGAGGCATTGCAGTGTGAGGTTGGGCATGGTTTTTGAAGTGTGTGTTGATGTGTCGTCGGTGAGGAGAGTGATGCTGTACAATGGAGATTGGGTCCTTTTCGAGGGCGATCGTGACATCCGCCGGGGGCCGGCGGGGACGGAGTGAATGGGCGGGTTTTGCGATACATAATGACGTCATCGATGGGCCGAGCCCCCGTGTCTCTCTGCCCCGCGCACGCCAACGGATGATCCGGGGCTCCAAGCAGCCGCGTGGGATGGCGGAGGCAGAATACCCCACAGACCAACGTCTCCCTCGATGTGGGTTGGTGTCGTAGACCCATTTTGGGTCGGTGCTTTCGTCGCAATCACTGGAGATCCCCCGTCTTCAACGTCCGTCTCTTGGTCGTCACCACTCCCAAGCCCGGCATGGCCGAGCCGCCGCGCGTCCCCGCGTTCCTCGCCAAGATCCGCGCCCACCATGCGCCCCAGACGGTGCAGACAGCACCCATCGACTCTACAACCCCATCCTCGACCCAATCGCCCGTTCATGCCGGCGGCAACCAGACCGCGTCGACAAGTACCAGTGCGACGGGGCCCAACGGTGCCACCACGCCCACCACAGTGATCCCGATCGCTCCTCCTCCCAACGCACTGTACTTGCCGCCTCCGGCCGTGCCCACTGTCGAAGAGGACCTCGTGCCGCCCGAAAACTTTGCCGCGGTGACACATGGCGTGTACAGGTGCGGCTTCCCGAAGCGCCGCAACTTCAAGTTTCTCGAGACGCTGCAGCTCAAGACCGTCTTGACGCTCGTACTCGAAGACTACCCAGAGGCAAACCTGCAGTGGTGCCAGGACCAGGATATCCAGTTCATGGTGAGACAAAGAGGGCCGTGTGGACCGTTCCGTCTCCCTCTAACGTCGCTCAGCAATTCGGTATCCCGGGCAACAAGGAGCCGTTTGACAATATCCCCGAGGACGTCATCTGCTCGGCGCTCGTGGCCATCTTGGACAAGCGCAACCACCCATTGCTGATCCACTGTAACAAGGGCAAGGTGAGTTACATCCCGTACATCGACATTCTTGGCTGACAAAGGAAGCACCGCACAGGCTGCCTCATTGGGTGTATCCGCCGGCTCCAATCGTGGTCGCTCACATCCATCTTTGACGAGTGAGCTCGAGGCCATGGGCGCCAGCTGACGTACAGGTACCGCCGCTTCTCTGCGCCCAAGTCCCGCGCCGTCGACCAGCAGTTCATCGACCTCTTCTCCCTCGCGCCCGTGTGGGCCGAAGTGGTCGAAAAGGGCGGCGGCCTCGCCAACCTCCCCGACTGGCTGATGCTCACGTTGCCACTCCCGCTACAGGCCCTGCGAGAGGCGCAGCGCGAGACAGAGGCACAGCGTGCTACAGAAAGAGAACGGCGCGTGGCCAATGGGAATAATGGTGCCGGAGGTGGTGGTGGTGGACCGGCGAGGATTGAAATGCTGGACATTGAGCCCCTGCCTGGCGTTGGGTACGAGATTGCGGCACGATGACCGCCCGCCCCGCCGCCGCGACGACGACGACGACAACTTTATAGAGATAATGTCCATCAAAGGACAGAGTGTATTGCTAGCCTAAATGCAGAGTGCTACCTGTTAGATATATTTCCCCCCCATCGAGCTCGCGTCGCTCGCTGCTGCGTCTCCTTTTGGCTACGGCCATTGGCCTTTCATCAATCATGCTATCATCGTACAAATGCCCTCGGCGCGCGCTATCTATGCCCCGTATTTCCAGCGCATTTCTCACTTCAAGGTCTTTTGCAAGATGGTGATCCTGTCTCCGAGGGACAGAGCAATGCCCTGGGTCTTGGAGCGGATGCGCACGTGGCCCTGGATCGTGCCCTCTTCGGTCTTTTCAATCGACAAGTTGGCAAGGGCGTCCTCGCCAAACAGACTGCGCGCGCACAGGTTGGCAGAGAGGAAGTCGCAGTCGCCCGACAAGGCCGCATCGGGAGTGAGGCACGCCATGTTGGTCGACTTCATAATGTGGTCGAGGTACGCGCGGAGGTCGGAAATGGCCGTGTTGACGTTGACCTTGTTCTCCCACTCAAACTCGGTCCACATGCTACGGAACTGGGCCTCGTTGCAGTATGCGGGCTTGATATAGTCCATAATGTCGACGTGGACGTCGCTCAGGACAATGTTGACGCTGGCGTCGGCTGCGCCCTGCTTGTCGTACACAATGTTGCCAAAGATGACACCCGTCTCGGTCGACGACACCTTGATGGTCGCCTTGATGCTGTGGAAGCCGTGCGGGGCCAAGGTGTGGGGTGCTGGCCTCTCGACAAGCTTGAGGTCGCCGAGCGTCGCAAACTCAATGGTCAGGTTTTGCAGAGTCTCCGAGGTCTGGTTGACAATGAGAACGTCGAGCATAATGTCAAACTGCTGAATGTTGACAACAGCCTCGGCGTACACGGGGTCCGAGAAACCAGTGAGCTGCACTATCCGCCAGAGCTTGGACACAAAGTCGTCCTTGACCTCGGTGGTGCCCGTGGCGCGCACAACATCCGCCTCGTAATCATCGTCGTCGCCGCCAGCAGTCTTGAGTGACAGCTGCGAAAAGTTGATCAGGTCGTCGACCTGGATCGCCTTCTTCTTCGACTCGAGCTCCTTCTTGGCCGACACCTTGGCCTCCTCGGCGCGAAGCATCTTGGCGTACGCAGCCTGGGTGTCCTTGAGGAACACGTCGTGGACAGACTGCGAGTCTTGCAGCTGGGCGAGCGACTCGACACAGTTGAGGATACGCTCCTGAGAGTCCTCGTCAATGGGGACAGTGACAAACTTGGACTGGCCGACGCGGACAACCGAGGTCATGATGAGGATGGCCTCGGCACGGAGCTGGTTGAGGATCGCCTGCTCGGCGCGGAGCTCCGAGTAGCGGAGAACCAGCTTGGTGAGAGTCGAGGCGAGGACGGTGGCGGTAAAGTAGTCACCGCCGAGGATGAGGGCACGCAGAGGAGGCTTGGCAGCTGAGCGGACCTGCTCGAGGCGGGCGGCGGCGGCGGTCGAGGTGTAAACAGTCTCGGTGGCATAGGTGCCGTCGGCAAGGACACGCGTAGTGGTGACAGCCTTGGGCTGCTCGGGGTCCTTGACACCCTCAGCCTCATCGGCAGCCTCGGCCTCGTCGAGCAGACGCTGCTCGGAAGCGAGGATGGGGACCTCGCCAATCACCTTGCGCAGCTCAAAGACGGCGCGCTTGATGCCCGCGGGGTCCTTGCAGTACTCGCCGACAATCCACATGGCACCACGGAACACCTTGCCCGACTTGATGTCGCCAAAGGTCTGGATGAGCTTTTCGGTAATGGCCGAGCGGAGGTCGGGGAACTTTTCAACCACCTCGCGCACAAACGAAATGACGTCGACGGCCGAAGGGTTGTTCGAGTCGCCCAGGAAGTCCATGAGGACGTAGACAACGTTGGCGGCAACCTCGGAGAAGCGAATGGCGCACGTGTGGATGCTCTGGATAAGAAGCTGGCGGTACTCGACGTTCTTGTCCCAGTCGGCCGCGAGGGTCGACTGGAGCTGCTTCTTGAGGAAGAGAACAACGTCCTCGACGTTGCGGCTGGTGACAAGCTGGAGAGCGACGCCAAGAGCCTTGCGCTTGACCTCCATGTCGGGGCTGTTGAGCACCTTGAGAATGTCAGTGGCCATGCCGTCCAGGACGTGCTCGTGCTTTTGGCGGAGAGCGTCAAAGCGGTCCAGAACAATGAGCTTGACGTTGTTGTCCGACTCCTTGACAATGAGCTCGGCAAACGCCTGGCCAGCAGCCTTGATGGCAGCGGGGTTCTGGGTCAAGGTGGTCAGGCTGGTGGCAGCCTCGTACTTGACAGCGTGGCTGGTCGAGTTGAGGAGCTCAAAGATGCAGCGGATCCACTTGGCGCGGTGGCCACCCTCGACACGAGCCTCCTTGCGGATGAGCTCAATGACGGCCATCTGCATGAGCTCGTCCATGGTCGCGAGCTGGTCGGCAACGGACAGCAGGTAGCGGACGGCAGTGGGCTGCGACACGCTGCACAGGGCCGTGAACGCGTTACGCTTGCAGGTCGAGTCCGACTCGGCGGCGAGGAAGGTGTCGAGGAGCTCGGGCGCGTCGGGGATGAGGTGCTCGTGGTCCTGGTAAATAGTCCAGACGGCAAAGACGGCGTTCTTGCGCACAAACGAGTGACGGTGTTCCAAGCACGAGCGAACCGAGGGGACCAGAGGCTCGAGGAGCTCGGACTCGCGAATCTTCTGCAGGAAGCGCAGAGTCGCGCCACGGATGTACTCGTTGGGGTGCTGCAGGTCGTTACGGATGGCATTGCACACGAGAATCATCTCCTGCTTGAGCTTGCCGTTCTCGTCGAGCTTGGGGCAGATCCTGGGTATGGTTAGGACCAAGAGGTAGTAGTGTGAGGACGGGCCAGTGTACTCACTCCCAGTAAAAGTGGAGAAGCTTCTTGATCTGCTTGTTGCGCGAAGGGAGGACATACTGGATAATGGGCATGAGAAGCGTAGGCTGCAGATGTCAGGTCAGTAATGTGCGCTTGCTGTTAGCTGCTGGTTGCAGCCACTTACGTGGCTCTGGCCATTCAGAGTGCCGACGATGATCCTGCGCATGGTCTCCAGCTTGACCTCGTCCGAGCCCTTCTGGAGAGCATTGCGGAGGTCCTGCGACGAAGGAGTGTCGAGCAGGTCATCGTGGATGATAGTGTAGCACGTCGCCGAGGGTTCCATGGCGGGCGGCTGTCGCAGGAAGGGGAGGGGGAGGGGGAGGGAGGGGGGATCGCACGCAGTACTCTGTTGGCGGAGTGCGCGACTGCGAGGAGAGACGGGGCGAGAGGGATGTAGGTGTTGGTGGTGTGTGTTGGCTGTGAGGAGCTGTCTCTCGCAATTGGTGTTGCAGGTGGACCTGTCGTCGATGAGCTGGAGCGCGCGTCACGTCCACACCCAGGCCACGCACGGCGTGGAGGCTGCCCTCCGCCGTGTGCCAGGCCCCCTCTGCCAGGCGCGCTCTGGGCTCAATGGCCCCAGACTGCCACACCGAGTTATTACCGGGTATTCCCGGAGGTGACCGCCCGCCTGGCTGGCTTGGTGGGTGCATGCTGGCTGGCTGTGGGCTGGCTGGCTGTGGGCTCCTGGGCTGGCGGTGTGCGTCGTCCTGGCTGTGTGGGCGCGGGGGGGGCCATGCCTGATCCCTCCGACGTTGCCGAGCGGACCAGGCAAAAGCGATTACCTTGGATTCAACGGTTCGTGTTAACGGTCCTCTACAACACCTCTCCTCCGGTCCCCTCCCGCTTCTCTCCAAAATGGCCTCGAACACCCAGAACGTGAGCACACCGCAACGCTCCAACACTGCCCCCAAGCAATCCATGTTGGCTAACCACGTCGTACAGGTCGTCCGCTACACCGCGATCCTTGCCGGTGTCATCTACGGCTTCTCCCACGCCGGCACCCTCCAGGCCAAGCACAACGAGGAGTCGGTGCGTACTCCTGCGGCAGCTTGGACACCAAGCTGCCCGCGCGCGCGCGCGAACGGGAATGTTGTTTTGCTGACCATTTGTCTTCTTCCCTGCCAATCTCCAACCACCGAACCGATTTGAACCACCGTCGAACCCATCCGAAACACACGACACTTGGGTCAACTCGAACCTTCGATACCAACAACGTCCGTCTGGTCTTGTGCTCCTCGGCGACCTTTGGCAACCCTCACGTTCCTACATATAGGCCCAGCACGCCACCGCTCGCCGGGCAGAGCTCATCGAGGAGGCCAAGAAGGCCTGGGTCGAGAAGCAGGCCGCCGCCAAGAGCTCTTCGGGCCGTGAGTCTGCCACACAAAGCTGGAAGCAGGTGCTAGCAGGGAAGATGGAATGGACAAGCAGAAGTCGACTGGGTGTGGTCCCGGACGAGGTCCTGGGTGTGCCATGCGCGGCTGGGACTTGAAGATGGGGAGGAGGGGGGGCTCATTGTCGTCGCCGGCCCCTCCCCCAGTCACTTTTCGTCTCGCGGCGGAAGTCGTCATCCGTCATCCGCCGAAGCCGAAGAGCCGACAGGCACCTTGCTCGCGCGCAACGACGGGCCCACCTCTTTGTTGTTTTCTGGGCTGTTCCATCTTCCTGCAAAACATCGGCACCTCCAGCTCGATATTCCTGTTGTTTATGCTGACAATACCCAGTCGTCACTGACCCCGAGGACCCCGCGTTCGACCTCGAGAAGGTCGTCGCTTCGTGGGAGTCGAAGTAGGCTGGATATTAGACACCGCGCCATTTAGGGAAATGCAATGGCTCTACAGGATTATGTGCAACGTGCTTGGCTGTGGGCGTGTGTGTATAACGTAGCGTTGCCATGGTTTTTTGTCGCCGTAATATGTCAGCCGTAACTTGTTGGGGCGTTGGTGTCACTCACGCTGATCGCCGCCGCCGCCGTCTGGCTCGAACAAGGAACGGAATCAGATTGGCAGATTGATTCCCCGCCGCGCCATGACGGGGGTTGTGAACGCGTTCAATCATCTGAATCCCAACATCCTCCAAACACCACCCTCTACCGTCGCATCCAGCCAACAGGGCGTGGCACAGCACTCCGAAACGCGTAGAGAGAGCGAACCACTAGAACACCTATTCCACCCCCCACCCGGCTTTGACCCCCTTCCCCCCTCCCTCTCCACCCCCTACACCATTGTTTAGACGCGACTCGAAGATGGCGTCCGCCGACGAGCCCATCGAGGTCACCGACGAGCTCTCTGCTGCCGAGGAGAACCAGGTCATCAACGAGGTGAGTGCACTGTGATGGATTGACTGTGTGGTTTGTGAGCTGACGGATGGCAGGAGTACAAGATTTGGAAGAAGAAGTACGCGACGTCGCTGTATGTGTTGTAGATCCCTCCACTGACATTCCTCAGCACCCCTTTCCTCTACGACACTGTCATCACCCACGCGCTCACATGGCCTAGTTTGACGTGCCAGTGGCTTCCTGACGTCGAGTCGTGAGTGATGAACGAGCAGCGCCGTTGCTGACCACCGGTGTTCAGGCCCAAGGATGCCGACTACACCGTCCACCGCATGATTCTCGGTACCCACACTTCGGGCCAGGCCGACGACCACCTCATGATCGCCGAGGTGCACCTGCCAAAGGGTGGTGCGGACGGCTCGGGACGCGACATTGGGGAGCTGTACGACGAGGAGAGGCAGGAGCTGGGTTCGCACACCAAGAGCTCGGCGCGTATTCGCGTCAAGCAGACCATCAACCACAAGGGCGAGGTCAACCGCGCGCGCTACATGCCCCAGAACCCCGACCTGATTGCGACCAAGACTGTGGCCGGCCCCGTCTACATCTTTGACCGCACCAAGCACGAGTCCAAGGCTCCTCCCAAGGGCGAGTGCAAGCCCGACATTCGCCTCGTCGGCCAGAGCAAGGAAGGTTACGGCCTGTCGTGGTCCAAGGTCCGCTCGGGTCACATTCTGTCGGCCAGCGAGGACACGACTGTCGCTCACTGGGACATTGAGGCGTACAAGAAGGACGAGGCCGGCATCCAGCCTCTGCGCAAGTACACCGGCCACTCGGCGTATGTGGGCGATGTCGACTGGCACCCAGAGTACGACTACATGTTCGCCTCTGTCGGTGACGACCGCAAGCTCATGATCTGGGACACTCGTAGCGAAAACTCTGCCAAGCCCAGCCAGCAGGTCGAGGGCCACTCTGCCGAGGTCAACGCCGTCGCATTCGCCCCCGCATCGCCCAACCTCATCCTGACCGGTTCGAGCGACAAGACCATCGGCCTGTGGGACATTCGCAAGCTGTCGATGAAGCTGCACTCGTTCGAGTCGCACTCGGACGACGTTCTCCAGGTCGCCTGGTCGCCCCACTCGCCTGTCCACTTTGCCTCCGCCGCCGGCGACCGTCGCGTGCACATTTGGAACCTGGACGCCATTGGCGCCGAGCAGACCCCCGATGACGCCGAGGACGGTCCTCCCGAGCTCATGTTCGTCCACGGCGGCCACACCGCCAAGGTCAACGACATTTCGTGGTCGCCCTGCGCAAAGTGGCACATTGCCACCACGGCCGAGGACAACATTCTCCAGATCTGGGAGCCTAGCCGCCATATCCGTGCGGCCGCCGAGGCCGACGTGTCGGCCATGGACCTCGAATAAAGAGAAATGTTTTTAAAGAGGTTTAGAGTGTACGCTGGTCACACCCCCGTCCCAGATCTCGCGAGTGTGTGTGTGGCCGTGTGCAAAAGTCTGTAGCTAAGGTATGAGATGGTCCCTTATGCATGTGTAAAGCGGGCGGCCGTGGAACCGGGGTGTTGAAAGCGGAAGCGGTGTCGGGCGAGCGAGTCGGGAATGATGACGGCGGTGCGGCGTGTGTGCTTGTCAGTCAGTTCTGGTTGTTCTTTGAAAAGATCTGCCAGATTGGATTCTCGGCCACATCTTTGGTGTTCGTTGCGAGATCCGAGGTCCAAGATCCTTTTAATAATTTAAACATGGTGTGTGGAGTGTGGAGGTAAACGAGCAAAAAGCGTAACCTGTTCACCTCGGGAAACGACACTATGCTGCAGTCAGTGGCAGAGGGAATTAAAGGCTTGACGAGTTTCCAACCCCAGAATCTATGAGCGACATGTATCAGCCACAACCAGAGTCCGTCATTGCAGGCCCACAGCCCCCCACGCGTGGTGAGGACCCGCAAAAGGTATGTGTATGTACTCTCAAAAGTGTATCTCTGAGACTGACTCTGTGCAAACCGTTAGTCTCCACGGAGACGAATCCCATAGTGTACGGCATGGCATGGACAACAGGTACGGCACTAGCGATGCACCACTGCCACAGAGAGTCATGTCGTGCCCAGCCGCCGGTCAGTTACCCGACACTGGTGACGGTGCGGTGGGGGGGGGGGGGGGGGGTTGTTGCACCGGTCAACACTGCAACCTCCTCTTGTCGCAGCACTGTATTTTTCTCGTATGGCGCACAGCAGTGACTTGCTTGCGGCCATCGGTAAGCGCTACTGTGCATTTTTATTTTTATTTCGCCCACTGGAGGGGATGAAGGAGGGCGATGGGCATGGCATGGCATGGCGTGGCGCGGGCGCGGCAGAACGTCTTCCTCGCTGTTTCCTTCGGAAACAGCACACACAGTCTAGTCTGCCATTTTGCGTGGGGTGCCATCGTACCTTTAGTTCTACCAGTGTTCTGGTGGTCGCGCGAGCGTCCAAGACCCGGCGCAATAAATTATGTACTCGTGCAGGGTACTCCATGGCGGCTGAGGAGGAGGAACAGGCTGAATGGTATTTTGGGGTGGCACTGCTCGAGCGACCGGCCTCGGTCTTCTGTCTTCCCTTTCTCCACTCTATCACCCGTCTCTCCCTCATGGTATCTGTCCCGCCAGGAAGACGTTGCGCTCAGTGTCAAAGCCTCGTTCGTCCAGAGAATGCCCCGCGATCAGGTAGCGGATTGGTATTTACCTGGAGTGGGGGACCTCACCCATCTCCCCAGTCTTGCCCGCTGCCACGTCCGGAACGTCGGAATGCCAGGCCACGCCAGTTCCATAAGCTGACAAAGCGCATGTCGAGGCCAGAATGCCAAGAAGGAGCAGCCTTCAGGAGTGAGCAATTCCGTACCTCCGTACCGGCGACCCCACGCCGGTGAATGCTCGCACGACCGTTACATGTCGTCGGCGCTTTTTGTTCCAGCTCGAGATTGCCACCTCGAACCTCCTCGCTCTCCCTCATCTCATCGGAAGCGGAGTCGTCGTCGTCGTCCTCCTCCTCCTCCTCCTCACGGGAAGCGGCGGTGTCCAGCAAAGCACTGTGCCTTGTTAATAAAGGTTTTGGTCGCTTCCGGGGGGGATGCACGCTTGCCTCGGTGTCATCCTCTCTCCCGACATTCCCGGTCGGTAGCAACCTCAATTTGTTCTTGTCCTGATCGACAACGAGCATGCCATCCTCCCCGCCATGGGCATATGTCTCACTTGTCATATGCCGGTCTCCGCAGGCAGGGAGAATGAGGGTCGTGGTGTTCCCGAATGAATACATCCGGTACGTTTAGAACGCGTATACAATTTTGGCAACGACGACGACGACGACGGCGACGACGCGCACGTTAATCTGACCACCGCCACCTGCTTCTTGCCCCTGCACACACCCAAAGCTACTGCGTATACTCCGTCGGTACTTTTTTTTCTTCTCTGCCTTTTGTGATACTACAGACTCTACTACTTGTCACGCTGGTCGCGCTCCTCCCTGTCGCGCTGGGCGTCGCGTTCGCGACGTTCCTCCATCTGGAGGCGCTCGTCCATCATCTCCTTGAACTGGGAAATGATGGCGCCCTCCTTCTTCTCCCTCTCCTCGCGCTGCATCTTGAGAATTGCCCACTTTTCTTCAGCGTTGATGACCTGGCCCTCTTTACGCAGTCGGACAGCAGTCATGCGCTGGTGTCGAGAACCAGACATGACGTAACCGGCCTCTTCGTAGGCAGAGATTTGTTTTGAATCAAGGCCGATTTCGCCACGCCGAGGAATGCGCTCGCCCTTCTCCAAGAACCGCTGCATTGCTTGCCCCTCACCGGGCAGGAGGTCGCGGAACCTGTCAGGGGGTATCAGCACCGCCATTGTGTAATAAAGCCTGTCAAAAAGGAAACAGGTAGGAGTCCGCGTGGAACGGAATGTGACGTTTGCGCAAGTGCCAAGACGCGACACCAGTCTACGTGAACGAATGTGGCAGCAATGGCAGCCATCGCAAATTCGTTTCTCGTTTCCGAGACAAGAGAAAGAACAAGAATAAAACGACTCACGCTCCACGGTCATACTTGCGAGCCGGATCCAACGGAAGTTGCGGTCCAACCTCTGGTCCCTCGTCGTCTGCTGGTAACTCGGATGCTTGCACAGCTTGTTGCGTATCGTGTTCACGCTCGCGTTCAGCAGAACGCGACCGGGCCTTGCGACCAGTGGCACCGCTCTTCTCGACCCAGTCGTCGTCGGCGGTCCGTGAACGATGCCTACGTTTACGGTCCTTGTCCTTGTCGTCGTCGCGTTCACGTTCACGCTGCCTCCGGCGGGCTCGTCGCCGTTCGCGCTCACGCTCCGCATCAGAGTCGTCCGACTCGGATGTGTACCTCCTCCGGCGACGTGATTTCGACGACTTCTGTGACCGACGTGCCTTGTCTTCGCGTTCCCTGATGGTGGTGGTGTCAGCTTTTTTTTGTGGGCATGCTGGTCATGTCCCCCCGCAGATCCGCTCCACATGAGCCCACATCACATGTCATGTGGAGATTTTAATGGTATGGTGCGGCACAAGGGGCGGAGGCGGGAACTTGGAACAAGCGGGCACGCACAGCATCTGTTCGGCATAGGGGACCTTGGGAGAAGGTGGCCAGATTGAGATTTCGCTCTTCTCGCGGATCTGGCGGCGTCTGATGAGGAAAAAGAGTCAGTCTAGAACGAGAGCCAAAAGGCCAATTTGGGAAACCGTGATGGCGGAAGAGTGTACCATGGGACGGGACAACAGAGCAACATGGGGACTCACTCCTCAAGGTTCACGGGTCCTTGCTGTCCCTGCTGACCCAGTTGACCCGGATGACTTCTGAATGCAGGTGCCAACGTCGGTTGGAACGGAGGCATCGAATGCGGTGGTGGTGGTGACGACCGGTGTGACGACATGTGGGGTGGCAAAGGCCTTGTCCCACCTCCACCTTCCCTCCGTGGAGGGTACATTTGGCGACCACCTTCCCTGTCGTGTTCGCGTTCACGAGCAGCATAGCTTGGCGAGTTTCCTCTGGATCGATACGCGTCGCGTCTCAAGTTGCGGTCGTCGCGATTGTCGCGGTCGTCAACGGTGTTTGAAGCGTGACCAAGGATGCGCAGGCCGGAAGACTCGGATTGCCGTGCATGGTGTTGTTGTGGTGGTGGTGGTGGAGACGAACCTCGGGGAGGACGAGGGGGTAGACCTGTGTGCAGTGGCTGGATGGACGAGAGCCCGCGAGCATCGCCTTTTGGATGGCGGTGCAGTGGTTGTTGATGTTCCCCCTTGTCAAGAGGTGGGTGTTGGTGCCTGTCGAAAGCTTGCCGCTCCTCACCAGTGCGGTCTTCCCTTCTGGCAAGGAGTTGTTGTTTGAGATCGCTTTGGCGGTGCTCTTGTGCTGTGGACGGAGGAGCGGGGGATGCGTGCGATGAGGAATGAGCGGTGGGAGGAGAGCGTGGGATGTTGCGTCGTCTCGACGGGTGGATGTCTGCCATGCCGGGGCAGTGTGAGGAGAGGAGGAGGGGGTTGATGGGAAAGAGAGAGAGAGAGAGACGAGAGACGAGAGACGGCTGGAGAGGAACGCAACAAGAGGGAAAGAAAAAAAGGTGCGACCGAGCCGAGCGAGGCACGCACAGAGAACGACACAGGAGGACGAGGACGAGGACCAAGGTGTGCCGGCAGGGAGAGCGAGAGCGAGAGCGAGAGCGAGAGGCGAGAGAGAGAGACAACGGACAGAGAGGTACAGAGAGGGAGGAGCAAAGGATATCGCGGTGCGCGCGTACGTACGTTACAAACGCAGGATGTGACATTTTGGTTCCGCGCGTACCGTCGCGCGCCTGTGCCCAGTGGCCCCGCGGTGTGTCTCTCCCCCACCCAGCAACCCACTCTCTCGGCACGCTCACCGACGACGATCCCTCCGATCGATTGTGTGAGGATCACGCTTTCAAGCTGCAGCAGCGACAGCTCTACTACCTACCTATACCCACCCCACCCCCAGCAGCTGCCCCGCCCACAGCCAAGAGAAAGAGACAGACAGAGAGAGAGCGCGAGCCAGAGCCAGCCAGACATCCGGCCGTCCGTCCTGGGCCAGAAGCCAAATACACAAAAGCCAGGCCAAGAACCTGCTCTCTTCTAGTCCTCCCCCCCCCCCATCCCCTCACTCTCTCTCCCCCGCTCTTTCTTCCACCACAACCCCCCCCCCCCCCCACCTCCTCCTCCCCCCCAACCTCATTGTTTCTTTCTTTCACTGCAGGCTCCTCTCACTCCCCTCACCCATTCTGTCCGCAACGTCTCCCTCGCCAAATGGCGACCATCTCTGGCGAGCCTCGAGCACGACGTACTCACGCACGTAGATCCTGCGACCTCTGCAAAGTACGCAAGACGAGATGTGAGCTCCCCGACCTCGACGTCCCTTCCTCTTCCACACCTCTGCCCACGGACAAGTCTTGCCATCGATGCAGAGTGCTGGCTCTCCCGTGCGTCGTCGACGACAGCCGCATGGCCAAGCGCAGGAAGAAGGTCGGCACACCCATGACCTCGTCTGGCGGCGTCGCCAATACGGCCACTTCCGCCGGAGGACCTTCTGGGATCGGTCCAGTCCGCTCCGTCGCTACCAGGAAGAGCCGCACGCCCGCTCCACATTCAAAGACCGGGTCGTCCCCTCTGGGAGAAGGCTCGGTGCCCAGGCGCCAGCAATCCAGCGTGTCACGGCAGTCGTCTCGCCCAGAAGGAACACCCGCACCTGTCAACCCAGTCGACCACAATGTTGACATTTCAACAACAAACCCTATGGAACTGGATCCATCCAGGACGTGCGTTTATAACACATAAACCAACGGTGTAACTGACTACCTTTTCTCAGTTCGGCAAGGCACACTGTACGCATGCATGGCCGACCTCTCACCATTACTGCTGGCATGCTCAACATTGCATATGCCAAGATGTTTGAAGGCCTTGGGCGGCAAATTGTTGTCGTGGACGACGGAGACCTCGAGCGTCTCATCGAGCCGGTGATGCGGACCCGGTTGGCTGCTGGCTTTGCCCAGCTGCGTACTATCCACCCTCACCTGCAAAACCTGAACGAACTCCTCGGCATGTACCGCGAGTCGCCAGCCGATACCCCAATCCAACTCCTGCTCACCTCGACGGTCTACATCGCAGCCCAGTCGCTGGGGAGTGACAGTGACGGTCGCCGCCTCCGTGACGAGCTTGCACCCGTGATCAGTCACCTGCTCCAGCTTGTCTTGGCGCACCAGACGTCCTCCTTTCACGCCATACAGGCGCTCGAGGTGTTGAGTCTACACGTCCCGTTCGCCCCCGCACTCCCTCTTCAGCTCACGGACCCACGTACTCTTGCCCCTGCCCGCGGGCTCATTGGCGCCGCGTGTAACATCTCCGACATGCTCAATTTCAACGCCCTTGTCAACTCTCCTATCGAGCACTGGCCCAACCCTGACTACTGGCTGTGGCTGGGTGTCCGCATCGGCGAAGCTCAGATGGCACTGGAAGATGAGCGGCCAAGAAAGCCGGCTCTTTTGTCCGAAGCCAGAGCCTCGGCAATGGAGCTCATAGCGCCGGACAAAGAAGGCCTCTGGACCTCCGTTTCCTTTGCGGAGGACTCTGCGGAGCTGCTCGGGAAATTGACCGTGTGTGATAGACTAGCCCGCCTCGACGAGCTGCACGACTCTCTGGGGCGCCTGAGGGTCGTTGTCGACACGGCCAGCAACGTGCCAAACTACAACGCGGTTCAAGGCATCCTGGACGAAGTAGACCACTTTGGTCACCGCATAGCAGCAGTGGACAAGCGCCATGACGATGTTCTAGGTGAGTATAGTCATTTTAAATCACTTTTCTGCACTCCCAGCTGACACGTTTTAGCACTCCTGGCGCTCCCGTTGTCTCTCTCCTCCGCGTGGCAGTCGTACCGGACCATCAGGCGTCGATTTGAGACCATGAAGCAGTACCTGGTGGCCTTCCAGTTCTTGGTGGCTCTCCACTTTCTTCCTGGCTCGGTGATCGCCCTCCACAACCTCCCGGTACAGCTCACCAGCGCTCGCGCTGTTCACAGTGCGCTGAACCGGGCCTACGACCCATCTGAAGTGCTCCGAGCTCAATCAAGCAACTCGGCTGCCGCCGACGACCTTCGCCGCATCTCTCGTACGCGTGGTGACATGGCTGAACAGCAATTGTCATCGTTTATTGAGCTCTCGCACTCGATCCTCCCTACCCATGGCGGCGCCGCGGACATTATTCCTCTGCACGACACCATTGCCGTCGTCCTCGAGAGTGCCAAATCACTGGTCGAGCTCCATGCCTCAAGGCTGAGCCTCATCCGGCAGTTCATCCCTATCCAGACCGCCATTGGCCTGCCTCGTTGGGCTAACCCTCTCACTCAAGTGGGCCACATCATGCGCAAAATCAGCATGCCTCACGACGAGGCGGAGAGTGACGGAGGCGAGAGTGTTGCCAACGGATGTGCCAACCTCGTCGGTTCAATGGTTCGCACGGTCAACATGTGGACCGCGCACATTGAGCGTGAAATCGCCTACCCAGTGCACCCGACCGTCCGCCAGGTGCCAATGTCCTTTTCGGCCTCGCCACAACTGCCACCACAGCAAATGCGCCCCGTCACCCCCATTCTCCTTGGCCCCGTCCCGTCACCCTCTGCCGGCGGACCCTCCAACTTTTCAGGTGGCTACATGCCTTCCTCCGACAGGTGGCTGTCGGCCGACCATGGCGAAGGGGCATCTGGTAAAGCGGGTCCCAGCGGCGGGATTACAGAGTTTGGCCAACATCTTGTGCACCCGCCAAGTGCTCTTCCGACTCCAATGACTGCGCACCACCCTGGCACCCAGCAGCAGTCAATGGACAATATCCTCTCGGACATGTTTGGATATGGTTATGCGCCCCCAGTTGGTCCCGGTTCAGTCCCTCATGCTCCTCCCGGCGGAGGACCAGGTGGGGGAGTCTACACTCCTCAACCGCCCCACCACTTGCCCTCGCCAGATGATTACGCACAAGACTACATTGCCCCGCGCGAGCTGTCGCCTCACGTTCAACCAGTTCAAATGCCGCCTCAGCTGTCTCCCGGGCAATCACAAGTGGCATCCGCTACGGGCCTGCTCCCTCAGCACCCATCCGTGCCGAGCCACCCACACATGATGATGCCGTGACTCGAACAGACCTGTGGATAGCCGAAATCGTCGCTACCACACAACCGCCACAAGCCACCCACCCCACCCACCTCACGATGACCTTTTGCGGCCCCTACAACCGGGGTCTGCCTGTATCCCTAGATCTCTCTCTGCGAGAGAGCCACATAGACTCGTCTTGCCGCCCCCTTTTCCCCCTCCCAGAACCCTCACATGCCGCACATGTATCTGTTATGAAGCAAGAGAAGTACGCCACTGTGTGTTTCCTACGTGATTCTTCTTGGCCATGGACCAGGTCCCAGCGAGAAAAAAAAGGGACATCCGTGGGAGTAGGGACACTCATGTTGTTGCATGTACGCCGCCGGCCGGCGGTCCAGAAATGGTCATGCAGCTAAACTGCCTGGTTGCGAGATCCGCCACAGATCGACACACGGCACGCTGTACGTTACATGCAAAATGTATGTATCCAACGTTTCCGAGTTTCCGACGCGACACACTTCTCGTACTTCTCTTCTGTTACCATGCCTTTCCAACGGAAAAAGACGCAGCACAAAAGGTACAGGTCACGTAAGACCCAGCACCCGAGAAAGAACAAACTTTTCGGACTTCGGCTTCTGGGACGCTTTCGACGCGCGGAACGTGCGGAACGGAGCCGAAGAACATTGTAAAAAGCACACACACAAGGGCAAACTAGAAGGGCCGTTGCGGAGGGACGTACCCATGTGTTGGGCACACCCAGGTCATTGGCGAGGCACCGTTCTGGCCTCTGGGACAGAACGCGCGCAAATGTGTGATTTTATCAAGGGTAATTGTTTTTGCTTTTTTTGCTTTTGCTTTTGCATTTCCTTTTGCTGCGTGGCTCCACTGTCGAGTCCGCGGCCCTCTTGTGTGGCGGGCCACCATGGCCACCTGCCAGCCCTTCTTTTCACTCGCCGGTCCGCGGCGGACAACGAACCGCCTTGCAACTATTGGATGTGCACCTGCAAACCGCGGATATACGTTTGCTCCGATACAGAGGGGCGACGCGTCCACGGGTCAGCGACAGTGCGACAAGCAACGAAGCGGTGCATTTCACAATCGCGGCACCGCGGCCGTTGTCCAGTCCTTTGGGTGAAGGTTGGACTGCATTGAGGGACACCACAGACACGTGAGGAATGAGTGCGGGCGGCACGGCTGTCTCTCCGCTCGTTTCCCGCTAGACCCACACAACATAGACTTTTGTGACATGAGACGAGACGTGTGCCACAAGGGACACCTGACGATCCGCGGTCCGCCCAACATCAAGTGATGCAGGTAACAGCCTGTATCTTTTGGCCCGGGCCGGGATGATACTTTTGGCCTTGAAAGTGTCCGTTTCCGACCTGGCTTGGGCCCTGGATCTGTATGGTTGTTTTGGTAGACGTTTACGTTACGTTTTCCCCCCACTCTTGCAAGGTCCCAGCAATCCCGCTGGGCCGCCGCCTGGTGTGCTCAAGTAGTCTTGCCAGACACAGCCGGAAACCTTGCCCAAGGGAAAGCGTACGTACACCCAAATGCCTTTTGACTGGAGCCAGGAAAAGCAGCCGAAACGCAGACGGTGCGTCCCGTTCATCAACCCCTTGACGGCTATGTGGACCTGTGCTGGCGACATCATGGCAGGCTGTGGTGACGACCCGGCCCCTAGGAAGGCAGCTGTAAGGTAGGAATAGCCACCCTTCCTCAAGAGCGAAGAGCGGAGTTCGGGGTGGGTTGATTCTGGAACATGGGATCGACGGTCCGGGGAACCGAGAAGGACATGCGTACTCGTGTCACCACATGACGCACAACAGCACCAGACGTTAAGCGCTACTGTGGGAGATAGGGAGCAAGGGGGATACGTGCATCAACGAGAGCGATAGTAGTGTGGCAAACACAATCCCGCACCGGGCATATGGCCATATGGACGCGGGTTTCCCTTTGTTTCCCTTGAAACCACCTCCCTCCAGCAACCCGACAATCCATGACTCTCTATGTGGCGTGAGCAGTGGAGCGGAGACACGGCGAGTGCACCTCGACGAGCCAACAGGCATGCACCATGCTGTGCCGCCGACTGCGCCTGGCCGTCGTGCTCTTGCGTCATGTGAGTCCGCAGACGTGCCCGTGTCTTCGTCGTTGTTCAGCAGCAGCAGGGTGGTAGTGGGGGAGATGGAGTGGAGCCACTAGCGCGCTGGTCGTGGGTGTTTGTGTGGTGCAGGCGCCACAACGAATCACACTGTTGGTCAGTCGGACACGGGTGTGAAGATCTTCCCTCAAGAAGTAAAAAACTCAAGATCCCATCGTGCTTAGGTTTGTGGGTCGGACAGTGTGTCCCACGGTGCACGTCACACCGACGTCGATGGGAACAACGATCCAGCCTGCGAGGGCAGACTGCAGGCCGCAGGGCCGGCCTCGGGACTAAACCACTCCCCGTTCCCTTCATCAGGTGTTGGACTGCAGTCTGGTAGGGCCATTGCTTTGGGACTTCGGGACAGTGACGGTTACCCGCTGCGTAGAACACCGATATTTACGGAGAGCGGAGAGCACAATGTCCGCAACATAGGCCGCAATGTCAGCCAGAGACCCATCATGTCTCCTCGGCCCTTCCTAAACCCCGTTATGGAATTCATCCAGCTCACTTGCATCACTGCTTGGTCTCATACTGAATAGTTGTTGTGCACATGGGTCGGAAACCAACGTCCGCCCCGGGGGCATGTCTTGTGCCAACTGCCACACTGCCTCGTTGACCAGTTCCTGTTCCTGTTCCCGTGCTCCGCCTTCAACTCACGGCTTTCCCGGGAGACGGTCCCTTCCTCATTGCAGTGTCAAGCAGTGTCAAGCTGTAACTGGTGTCGCCTTGGTCTTTGGAACTGTGACTGGAACCTTGGCAGCCACAGACACACCGTACCGCAGGCCCACGGCCCTTATGAACGGCGTTCAGATGTCCGCTGGGGAGAGCACGCAGTCTGGCGGTCGTCCTCGCGTGCAAACGTTGTTCACGCGCGCGGCTCTTGTGTCATTCCACCATTCCCCAGCAGACCACAAGCGCCACCTCCAAACACACACAAGCGCCCATATGGCTACAAGCGCGCAAGCCAGGTGGAGCCGGAAGACCCACCCCAGGGTTACTCAGTCTCATTGAGCAAGGATGCCGTAGGGGTATCGGCCGTCCCCTTCTCTCCCACAACTCTCCAGCCGGGTTCGGCCTTGACCACCACGTCAGTAGCAGTACCTTTACAATACCAATCTCGTTGGCGATATCCAGATCTCCCCTTCCTCCAGCGTAGTGTCTCCAGTCACCAGTCACCGTGCCGAACACTAGCGCCTCTTGTGCCGTGCTCGTCGTACATGCCGGCCCGAACGGAAGAGGGCCAACATGGGGGCTATACCTCGGTGCCAGCATGCCCATTGTCCCGGTGCCGTCCAACCACTGTTACCTTCTGTGGGTGCCGCTGTGGTTACCGTTCCTGCTGCTGGAGGCATGTAGATGGCCAGGCCACCCATGCCACCCATGCCGCCGCCGTAGCCATCCAGAGGAGCGTGAGCGTGAAAGTGAGGTGAAGTGTTAATTTCCGTGTAGCTCGGTCATGGTATCCTTCCGGCTTGCTGGATCCGCCCTCGCACGGCCTTTGCTTTCGCGGACCACACACTCCCACTCGCCTTTGTCGTCATTGAGGAATCCACTTTGGGTGGGGCCGTCAGTTCCCCACTCGGCATTCGGCCCGACTTGAGGTGTGTTCGGTCGGCCGTCGACGTCAGTTCCAGTGACAATAACACAAATGCATAACCCGTCCCCCCTCTCCGCGCCATACAACGTCCCAGACGGGGGCGCCACTCTTATGTATAGGTGGCATCTCCCTTATCCTCGGCGTGTGTGTGTGACACTCATTGACCTGGCAAGCTGTATTCGCCAGCCACAGCCACAGCTGCACACGACCTCGACTATTAGGAACCAAGGGGACGAGACTAGTGCTCGTCGACCTGTTCGACATTCTCAATAATCTCGAGCACAAAAGCCGAGGTGACGCCTGGGATCTGCCTCTCACAAGAGTCGAATGCCTGGCGCAGGCGTTCGAGCACGACGCGCGCCGCCTCGTCGTTTGGTATGCGGGCCTGCAGCTGCAGAGGGGTGTCAATTTAACGGGTTCTAACCAAACATGCCTGGCGCAGAGTGGAATCTCGCAGCGCCAACTTCGGGCCACTCACACTTGCAATAGCTGGCACGATCACATTGTCCAGCATGCTGTCCTCGTCGTCGTCGAGTAATGGGTCGGCATGGTGCAGGTTGGGCGGCAAGTGTTGTGCCATCTGAGCGGCATGGGCATGGGGGTCAGGTGCACCGTACGCGGGGTGCTGTCCGACCGAGTTGCGCGGCTGTGACTGAGCCGCTGGGTACGCCTGAGCCTGGTCGCGCAAGTGCTGTTCACGGAGCTGCTGATCGCGGAGTTGCTGGTCACGGAGCTGTTGCTGCTGCAGCTGCTGGTGGGCGGCAGAGTGGTCGTTTTGCATCTGCGCCATGTGCTGAGCCATCTGTGGCGCCATGTGCTCGGGGTCCTGTCGAGGAACTGCACGCTGCATGGTGTTGCTGATCGCGTTCGGGTCCATCGGAGTAGGCACTCCCACCGCAGGAGGGGGTCCTCCGGGGGCAGGCAGTGGTCGACTGGCCCGCGAGACGGTGGCAGGTAGTGTGTTCCGCACCGTTCCAACTGCGCGTTAGCGATGTCTTGAATTACGCAAGGAAGAAAGAAGTCTGGTGGTGGCAAGTGTGCACCAACTCGGTGGCCGGTGGCGACTTGACCCGCACCAAAGTGTCGTCCTTGTTTTCAGACCAAGGCCTTAGATACCACCAAGTTGTCTCCGCCCCCTCAACACGAAGCCGTCACGGCACTCACAGTCCCACATGTCATCCTCTGAAGGTCCAAAGCCGGGCTCCTGGGGCCCCGAGTCACGCGACGACTCCTCAGCGCCGAGTCCACCTTCGGCCTTCCACTTTTCGTGACGTTCGATAAGTTCGGTAAGGTACGACGCCTTGCGTGCTGAGCGAATAAACTTGTGCTTGAGAAGGTCCTTTGCACTGGGACGGTTGCGGGGGTCGCGCTGGAGACACAGCGAGACAAAGTCGCGGAATGGCTTTGAGAAGCGGTCCGAGAGCTCGGGAGGAGCGTTCTTGGGGATGAGGAAGAGCACCTTCATGGGGTGCAACGACGCGTAAGGTGGCTCGCCCTCGGCAAGCTCAATGGCGGTGATGCCCAGAGACCAAATGTCGGCCTTGTGGTCGTAGCCAGACTGCTTGATGACCTCGGGCGACATCCAGTAGGGCGTGCCGACAAACGTGTTCTTCTTCGTCATGGTCGCCGTCAGCTGGCCCGACACACCAAAGTCGGCCAGCTTGACGTCGCCATTTGCTGTCAAGAGAATGTTGGCCGCCTTGATGTCACGATGCAGCTTGCCCTCGCCGTGCAGGTACTCGAGTCCCCGCAGCAGCTCGCGCAGGAGAATCGCAATGTACTCCTCCTTGAACGGCCCCGCTTTCATCTACGCGCGTTCATGTCAGCAAAACTCCCAGCCCCAAAACTCAAGCCCCCGAATAGGCGCTCTCAACCTTTCGTGTCAGGACTCACCAGGTCTGAGCACGAGCCGCCGGCACAATACTCCATAATGATCCAGAGGTGCGAGCCTTTGAGGAACGACCCATAGTACCTGTGGGTGTCAGCACACGCCAGAGGGAGTGGCGGAACTGGAGGAATGAGAAAGGGTTGGACGAGCCAGGTGCCAGGAGCGTGCAGACCGCCGGCCTCGAGGCAGGACGACCAACAACGCCAGCCGTCGCCGATATCCGAGACCGTGCACGGGACCTCACTCCCCGTCTCTCCCTTGGCACGTCGGTGCCGTAGTGACAGTGGCCGTACCACGCCGGCCCGATGCGACGCCCCACGCCCCCACACTTGTTGGATCGCGCGGTCCCAACCAGTCCCAACTCTCGGGTTGCCTTGTATCTCATGTGTCTGTCTGAAGGGACGGGCACAGGTCGGTGGGCTCACCTCGTGATGCATTGGCTGTCGAGCTGGCCTAGGATCTGGATCTCCTGCTGGATGTCGTCAATCTCATCCTCGGCGCTCTCAAGGTCGATGATCTTGATGGCGACAGGCAGAGTCGTGCGCCGGTCGTATCCGCGGAACACCTCGCCAAACGAGCCCTTGCCTGTGAAACAAAACGTCAGTCAGTCTGCCCCTGTGACAGCGTACAGCGCAGCTCGAGGCCACCACGCAGCGCCGGCAGTGTGGTGCAAGGTGGTGGCGTGGTGGGTGCGCACCGAGCCGCAACCGCGGGACGGGAGCGACTGGTTTCTCTTTGGCGGCTCGCGACGACACACACCACTACCCAACACCACAACTTTATGGGTCGTTGCCACCGCGGCGCGCGCGCGTGCAGGGATGATGGATACGTACCGATACGGTTCTGCTTGACATAGTAGAGCTCAGGATCGGGCCCCTGCGCGGGAAGAGCGTACGACTGCGACGAGTTAGACTTGGTGGTGGTCTTGGTTGAAGAAATGGTGTCTCGGCGTACCATGACGGGCGGAGGTCGCACGGCAGGCGGCGGGGGGGACGGGGTGGGGAGGGGGGGATTAGGTTGTCGGCGCGGCGGTGAATGTGGTGGCCGACACGGAGAGGTAGGGACAAGAAGGAGAGAGAGAGGTGGAGAGGGCGGTGGAAAGACGCGTGGAAGAGGGATTGAGGAGGGATTGAAAGTATCAAGCAGGCGACTGGTTGTGGACGAGTGAGCGACGGCGCGACGGGTGGTGGTGTGGGTGTGGACGGGGCACTTGGGCTCACTTGGTGACGCGTTTCCCGCCTGGCCCGCGTTCAGCGGCCACGTGGCGTTCCGAGCGAGTTGGCCGGTTCGAAGCGAGCCAGGCCACACTTGGAGGTACCACAGCCATCGCAGCCGTTAGTTGGGTCAACGGTGATGCAGCGCGAGCTAAAAGTCTCATACTGTATGCATACATTTTGCCCTCTAGCGCCCTCTGTAGTTCTCTCTGTACACGCCCAACAAAACCCAAACCTCTCCTGCCTGCACTGGCCTCCGGGGCTAGCAACAGGGGGCGTCCATGAAGTCCATGTTCACTCGCTCAACCTGTCCCGTGGCCGGCCAGTCTCCGACTCTTGCCTACGCTGTTCTCACGCCCGGCCAGCGTCAGAGGTCCTAGCCGAGCTCGAAAAGTGCTCGTCGGAGCCAGTTGCAGGCGGAGTCGCGGGGCGGGGTATCCGGTGGAGGATGCCGTAGCTGCCATTAGTGACCGTCCAACGCTTCGATTTCAAACGCCTACACCCAAGTCGCGTGCACTGCTCGACCTCGCTGCCCGAGGTCCCCGCGCGGTACTCGCGCCCGCCCGATCTCTCGTCATACACCCATACAAGGGCACGCCGCGCAGAAGTGCTTGGAACTGGCCACAGATAGGCCATCGCTCCAACTCGGTCGCAGTGATCGAGAGATCTGTCGCGGCCCCGTCCTGTCTCTCTTTGACCACCTTACGCCTCCCCTCGGCGGCACCTCTTTGTCACGGATTCTCGGCACTCACCCAACACCACAACCCAACAGGCCGGAGCCGCCCCACTTTTCGTTCGGGATGACGACCACCTCGCGGAGGTTGCTGTACGTCAGCGAGTGAGCCATGTGGGAAGCCACAAAGGAAGACGAATGGGCTGGACTACGAATATGCCAGCCCTCCGGTACGACTTCCTCCATGAGGTACTCACTCGAGGTCCGCAGAGTAGACATACAGTCGCAGGGGCTTGTCGAGGTGCTGGGTATGCGTGTCAGTGCCATACGTGTGTGACGCTGCGTCGTCGAATCCGTGCGGGACGCTGTAGCAACTCGGTGACGATCAAACTCACCGCTTCGACCAAATCGTAGAACGCGTGCTCGCCGTGCAAGGGTCCGCCTGCCCAGCCGCACACCCAGTCGCCAAAGGGGACCAGACCGGCCATCTGTTTTGTCAGCGGCGTTTCCTAATGGACTCGAGCAGCTGGCAGCACAAGGAGAAAGGTAAGGTGGTGCGAGAGAATGAGGGAGGGAGAGGGAGGGCCTGTGTCCCAGGAGCCCAGAACAAGAGGGGTAGGATGGCAGATGCTGAGCTGGTGGGACGTCACGCTACGCAGGGGTGGAAATAGATCTGCGCACAGTACTGCGTTGCGGCAGTGAGCGGCTGTTGGACACCATGGCTCCAGCGCCGTGTGTCCTTAGTCGACCTGTCCCACTTAAACTCATCACAAGCCAGTCCCTTGCTTCTTAGCCTCCCTCCTTCGTCTTCCTCCCTCGCCCTCCTTTCCCGCCTTCCTTCCTCGCCTCCACCCTCATCCTCATGCACTCACCTCAGCGGGGCTTCCCTCCAACACCTCGAGGATATGCCACACGCTCTCAAGCGCGACGGCGGGGTTGCACACGCGGACCGAGATACCGAGGAGCGAGGCGTTCGGCTGGTCCGACCACGCACGCGATGGTGTGAGCGCGACATCTGCGTGGCAAAGGAAAGTCCGATGGTGTGCACGAGCGCGGGTGGAGGTTGGTGTGGGTGTGGGCGGGCGTGACCGGTACAGCAGAGCCAGCGAGGTGGGATGGATCGTGAGAGGAAGAGGAAGAGTAGAATGGTCACACCGTCATGAGAGCAGCAGCTGTCAGCCTTGACTCCTTACTAGTTGACAACTCCTGCTCCTTCCCCTGCTTGCACTTACCGCGAACACGCTGCGTCTTGGCATTATACACGACCAAGCCGATCGTCCTGCCCTCGTTCGTCTCGAGGATACGCGCGAGCTCGGCAGGTGTAGGCACGCTCACTGCGCCGCCGGCAGCGCCGACGCCGCCCGTGGGCACCGAGGACGCCTCGTCCACGCCGATGAGGTAGTCGAAGAACGGCTCGACAAGCCCGTCGGCGGGCGACCCCTCGGCCACGCGCAGGCAGTGCAGCGCCAGGTCCGGGAGAGAGGTGAGGTTTGTGCTGGAGCTTTGGCCCATGGTGTGGATAGCTGGGTGGTGTGAGGGTAGAGGTGAAGCGCGATGGAAGGGATGGCGATGGCGATGGCGATGGGCACGTCACGGATAGTGCACTGGACGCGTCGATGGCCGCCCCGGGCGGAGGCAAAATGATAGATGAGTGGCGTGCGGTTGGTGGCATTCCCATCAGTGGCCAGTGGATGACTGAACTTGAGCCCAGGCAGCACGACGGCCCGCTCCGGGGCTGAGCAGGGGGAGACAGAGCCTGTAGGACGACGCTGGGCATCGGACAGGAGATGCGGGGGAGCCATACCCGACGCGGCGCAGCACGATATGCACGGTTACAGAGCGAAACAAGCGTATATGAGGCAGGCGGCCGTCGAGCGCACAGACAAGAGGTCCGGCCCCCCCCAGCCATGTCAGCCAGCTGCAGCCAGCCTTCTGTGCCAAAACTGCCTGGTGGGTGAGCCTGGCGGCCTGGCGGCCTGTGTTCGAGAGCTGGTTCTCCCTGTTCCTTTCCACCAGGCCACCAGCCAACAGCCTCGTCTTCGCACATGTGTCCAAAGACATGTGCACCCAACGCACCCCAACCCACAGGGCACAGACCGCAAACAGCCTCAATGTGCGCGTGTGACTGACTACTGCCCTGCCTGAAACCAATTCAGCAGCGCAGCAGCCATACGGCCAGCGGCCAGCGGTGCCGCTCGTCTCCAGTGTGAATCGGTACGCCAAATGCATAACAGCTAGGCGTCTTTACAGCGTGAGGTGGCACACGAGTCTCGTGAATACTACTATACAACCGACGGCTTTTGTGTCTCAGCCGTCGCGGTAAACGTCTGGAAGCCCTACTGCGTAACCCGGGAAAATGAGAGAGAGAGAGAGAGAGAGAGAGAAAAGAAAAATAGTCCTCAGGCTCTGGTATGAGCCTCGACGAGCATGCCGAGGAGGTCGTCGACGTCGCGGTCAAAGGCGTCCATCTTGGCCTGCAGATGGACGTAGGATGCGCGGACTTCAGGCTGGAGTGCGTCCAGCGCAAGCTTCTCGCCGTAATATGTCTTTTGCACGGCGTCGGCCTCAACCGGACGCGGTGCACGTCGTGTGCGGCGCTCTTCGTCGGCGCGGGCGCGAACGAGCGCACTGAGCAGCGAAATGTCAAACGCTTCCTCGGTCCACAACACAGACTTGCGGGCCTGGCGTGGTGGCAGTGTGGAGGCGACCACAGACGGGGTTGAGCGTGCGAGAGATTTAGTGGGGGAAGGGTTGGTGGGGGTCGTTTGGGTCGGCGTTGAAGGAGTGTAGGGACGCTCCGACGAGACGGGCGTCGCAACGGACGAGGTGGATACTGCGGGCGGTGGCGTGACGGGTTCGTCGCGGGTCGGTGGTTCGGGGCTGGGGGTCGTGGCATTGTCCGGGGTAAGGGCGGGAGCGCGGTGAGGGGGAGGGGTGGGGTTGGTGCGAGCGAGCGCGCCGTGTTGGTGGGCTGGTGACGGGGAGCGGTCTGGGGGCGCAATGCCGCCCGAGGTCGCAACTGCGGCTGCGTCGACACCGACAAGGCCAGCGGCGGCACCAGCAGCAAGAGCAGTGCTGGGATCGAGGCTCTCCGACCGTGAGATTTGGCTCTCAGTCGTCTCGACCTCGTCGCGTGAGGCGTCTTCGTGCGCCTGGATACGCGGGTCGATGTCATGCTCTTCGTCGTCCGACTCGTGACCTGCGGTACGAATCGCCTCGACGGCATCCTGGGCCCACTCGACGCCGTCGTCGGGCTCAATCTCGTAGCCCTCTGCGTCCTGGAGGTGGTGGTCGAGCTGGCCCTCTACGCCCTCGTGCTCTTCGAGGTCGCGTTCGTCGTCATCCTCGTCCTCCTCGTCCGAGCTCCAGGTGTTGCCTGGGTGGTCGACATATGTTGGGGGCGCAAAGATGACGCGGCGGCCCTCACGCTCCTCGACAACATCGTCGTCGGCGGCGGCAGCTTCTTGCCTTGCGGCGCGGCTCTTCCACCCGATGAGACTCTTGAGCTTATTTTCGCGCACCTGCTCTCCTGCGGCTGCCTCCTCTCTTGTTGGGGCGGCAATGTCAATGTTGCGGTGCTTGTTCAAACGCGCCAGGCGCTCGTATGGCGTCTCAACGTTCTCGGCAGGGATGTAGCCCACATCTTCCGTCTTGAGGACGCGCACAAGCCACCAGTACGAGTTCACGTCGTCGAGGAGCAGTAGTGAGTCGCCCTTGACGACCGACGCTTGGCCCTCGACGGTAGCAAGGAAGGTGTGACTGCGTGTCGTGTCAGTGATGTTGGTGTGGATGTAAGAGCGACAACGAGCATTCAACAGACGTGCTCTACTCACAGCGCGTATATCAACGAAAAGTCAATGTTCTCGTCTGGCAGGATGCTTTCCTCCGAGCTCTCGTCCGAGTACATGTCGTCGTCGTCCATGTCTCCATCCACGTCGTCGTCGTCGTCATGATGGTACTGGTGGTACTGCAGCTGCTGCTGCTGAATCTGCTGTTGCTGCTGATAGTGGTGCTGGGAATAGTAGTCTTCCATGTCGTCTTCCAAGGCGTGGTGGTCACCGTCTTCCGAGTCCTCGAGCACCGACATGCCACCGTTGCCGTACGTGTCGTAGCCCATGTGTTGGCCCAAGATGGCTGGTGCGTGAACGGCAGCTGCCATGGTCGCACGATGTGGGTGGGAGTGGGGTGTGAGAGAGGAAAGGAGTCGCTAGCGCGGGCGCGATGGGCGCGCTGCGATGGTAGGACGGGGGAGGGGATGGGGATGGCGGCGTCTGACCCAGTAGATGGATGGATTACGCGCGAAGAATGTGCCCGAGGAGAAAGCGGTGAAAGGGGAGTGGATGGGTTGACTTGGTCGTCGTCGAAGTGAAAGGTCGTTAGCTGTGCGTTACAGGTGAGACGGAGGGATGAGGGTGGTGGTGGTGGGGAGTGTCGAAGATGAGAAGAAGAGTAAACGACACAGGGATGGATGGGATGGATTGGATTGGGATGGAGGAGGCATGGGCCTGGGCGCGTGCAATGGGCGGGAGGCAAGGAGGGAAGAGGGCACAGGGTGAGAGGGGACACACACCACACATTTCACGTGTCGGGGGCAACAGCGAGGGCGGAAAGCCAGAGGCCAGAGGAAGAGAGGGCGCAGAGGAAGCTGCCGCCGATGCACACACCACACACACACACACACGCTCTCTAGCTTCTGGTTTTCGCTCTCTTTTTCATGTCTGTCACTCAAGGGGGACAGGGCACACAGGGCACACAGGGCAAACATCCACGCCCCCCCGGCCTCTCCTCTGCCGCCTTTCGCGTCGTGGAGAACGGGACTCGCTCCTCAGGGGCACTCGCGTGGCTATAGGGCCGAACTAACGGGGAAGCTGTTTTAAAGAATGCGCAGTTTGGGTCCGTGCTGTGGCCCCCTAATGGCCTAATGGGGCTCTGTAAATGGTTTGGTTGGCCTATTGGCGGGACTGTATTAGGAGGACGACTTCTGACAGACCATGTCCTGCAACTGTTGACCGTGTCCTCTCTCTCCAACAACTCGTCTCTAAACCTAAACTTTCAGTGGGAGGCACGTTCAGTGATCAGTTACATGCTACTGTACGGCCGGAGACGTTACATTGCGCAAGAGTTGTTTGTTGTTGTCGTCACAGGATCACATGCCAGCACACACAAATGACCTGTCGGCTCCATCTCTGTGGATTTGTCGCGGCCTGTGCCCTGTGGCCTCTAGCTAGCTGCCAAGTGCTTTCACCTTCAAATGTACGAGTGTGTCTCTCCTGTGCGCCATCCCGTGCCCCCCGAATGTCATATTTTCGTCACCCGTTGGGTCATGCCAAGAGTGACCTTTCCCCCAGATCTTCATCTTGTCGTGTTCATGTCCCCCAGGTTCTGCCTGCTCACACCGACACCCGTCGCGCTGGCACGCCCTGGGCCCTACCACGCGTCCGTCCGAGACAACGATGTCCTGTCACCAAAAATGCTCCTTTCAGGCGCGCTCTGACGTGGAGAGTGGGAGCGAGTTCACAGCGGAGGCATTCCGCTGCCCTTTCAATGGATCAATGGGTAACCAACGCGATTAGGTCGGGGCGTATTCAAAGGAAACTCCACAAGGAAGTTGTCGTTGTTACCGCAAAAGTGATGTCGAGATAGGATTCCACTGGGGTACAACTTCCGACCTTTGACCTCTGCGGACCGCTTCGACGCACTTCGGTGAAACGTACTTGTGGAGCCCAGCACGGAACATCCTAGAGTCGCGACATGTGCCATCGTACGAAGCGTGAGCGTACGAAGCTGGCGAAACGTACACACAAGCCACATCTGTGCACGAAGCGAGCAAGGTGCGGGTGGCTATGGCGAAGCTTGGGCGCGCGCGCAATGGCGCAATTGCGCAATCTCGCTCCGCCGCCGCCGCCTCACGAAGCACCTCTCTCATCCAAAGAGTGAGCCGCGGCTGCTTTGGTATCCGGCGGACCAACTCTGGTCCTCTGGCCGCGCTCTGGCATCCTAGTGGCAGTTGCCGGTGGCCAGTGGGACCGCGCCCCCTCTCAGTAGCCCTATCGGTCGTCCGGGCATGGGCTGGCCGTGGTGTGGTTCTGTCTTGTATCGTGCTGGGCTCCCCATCTCCGCAGACCTTGGCTCTTCCTCACCTCACAGTGACCTCGCTGTCAGCACCTGTTGCCGCCAGTTATCACAAAAGCAACAAGAGAGAGACTATGACGCCCAAAAGCATTCGGTCTAGAGGACACCCAAAACGCAGTCCGAGAGACACCCGTCCTTCGGAACGAGTTCAACCCAATGCCTGTTGGGCGAGAGAGCGCAGTGCGCGGTGCCTTGCCAGAGTCCTGTGGCATGCCGTTCGCGGCCCGCATACCATACTCGGGCCCCTGGAGGACGCGTCGTTTGCCATCTCGACGTTTTGGCCCAGGATGAAATCATCCCCCAACTCATGCTCTGAAAATGCTTTACTGGTATCCTGTATGCTCTCTGGCAGGCAAGTCTTGAGCGTAAGACTACGGCTGCGAGAGAAGACCACCGAGCCCAGCACACACAAACCGATCGAGACTGCAGCGTTTGGCAGGTGGGCACACACCCTGGCGGCCTGGCGGGACGGTGTGGCGCGTTCTGGACGCGCCTCTCCGCCCCAGGTTGCCTGCCGGTTTACGTAGATTGTGAAGCGACCTCTGCGCTCTGCGTCGATGCGTCGATGGTCCAACCGCCGTTCCACGTCTCGCCGTGGTCCCGTCTGCAGCACTCTCGCTAGAGCGGGCTGTGGCCAGAGTGGACGGGATGCATGGCGGGCGGGACGGTGTGCGGGTGCGGTTTGTGCCACGGGTCACACAGGGAAGTGGGAGGGAGCGAGGTGGGATGACGCGTCTGTAAACCACCACCATGCCACCGCCAGCAGCGGTGGGCTTGAAGGACGGAATGCGGATGCAGCCCCCAGCTTTCAGGTGTTTTTCAGGCCGTTCAGGCGTCCTCTTGCTCTCTCAGGACGTTCTGCAGCCTTCAGGTCGGTCCTTGGCTTGCAAGGACTGATGTCGACGGTGTTGTACAGAGCCAACAGAGCCAATGCGCCTGAGAGCCGTCGGGGGTTCGTTTTGCCTGTCCATCGAGCAGGACGACACACGGTTTGCCGTTCCTGAGAACGCAGCCCGCTACGGAATGGACAGAGGTTAGAATGTTGGGTTTGATGGGTTGATCGCAATCACAATGGATTTTGGTTGTCAAGCCGAGGACAATGACTGGGAACTGCCGTTCTGGAATGAACAATGTGTGCACATGGACAAGAGATCTGTATGAGTTTGATGGCTGTGGGCCCCATCACGACCACGACGGTACCCACTGATGCCGGCAAATGTGTTGGAGAGAGGAAGGAGCGCGCGCGCACTGCTGGATGTGACGTCGGACCTCCAGGGGAGGGACAGTGCATTGTGCGGCGCCATCAAAGGCTTTGGTCTCTCTCCCTCGATCCATCCTCTCTCTAGTCTCTAATGGGGGCCGTGCTTTCAGTACACGGCTCTCCTCTGGCGTCTTATTCTTCTCTCCTTGTTCCACGACCACACTCATCCCTCTCTCCGCATCACACCTCGTCCACTCCTTCTCAACCCCTCCCTGCCGCATCCCGGTGTGCACTCTCCCCCCCACCCCGCCGCCGGTGTCCTTGTCTTATCCCCGTCAATCTCTCGTTCCCTCCTTCTATCAAATCCGTCCATCTTTATCAACCACGTCCTCGCCGTCCACACCGGCCACACCCCTTCCTCGCCCATACGCCGCGGCCCCCAACTAGTAGCCCAACCCGCCGCCCCACCACCCTGCCGTTGGTGTGCGCACGGTCCGCCGCCCACGCTCCTTTGCCGCCGCTCTGGCAAGCACAGTAGACACACTGTCTACGCCTCCCCTCACAAGCTTCCCGCCAGCCCGTTCTGCCGCACCCGCACAGTAGTGTGTGCGTGCGTGCTTGCACTCGCTCGCTCGCTCGCAAGTAGTTCTCTCGTCTCATTGACACCTTTGCCTCCTCTAGACTTTCCAGGTCTCACTTCAACCCCTCTTTCCATTCTCTGCGACACCACTGCCAGCGCATCACACTCCCCCGCACCATCACTTGCTTGTCCAACCAACCCCCCCTTTGTCGCTCTCGCTTTATATCACCCACATACGCACGGTGCTGGCGACGGGGCCTGCAACCGGAGCCCGCCGGAGCCTCCAGCCCTCCAGGTAAGTCTTCGCTTCGGTAGAACAAGAGACGCAAAGTCTTGTGTGCTGTCCCCCGGATCCACTACCTCCCCGCCAGTCTCACTGACACCTCCCCAGCTGTCTAGACTAGAGAAACAGAGAGACACCTACCACCTTTTCCCCCTCCAGACTCGTAACCGAGAAGAGCTTGGCTTGAAATGGTCGCTGTCGACTACAAGGTCCCCTTACCGGCGTCGCCGCCGCCAAGCCCGCCCCGTGGTATGCCGAGCGCAAACGAAGCCGGTGCTGGTGGGATCACCACCGCAGTCCCTTCCACTTCGAGCAAAGGTGCCGTTGCCGCCGTCGCAGCAGCGCATGCGGCCAAGTCCATAGGTGGCCCGACGCCGATCCCCAGTCCAGATGTATCGCACGACGATCTCCAGGCCGACGGGTCGTCCCGTGCCGACGCCGTCGACGCCGACGCTGCTGCTGCTGGCGGTGCTGTCCGCTCACAGCTCCCGCGTCTGACCGACTTTGAGCTCATTCGGGTCCTCGGAAAGGGTTGTGCCGGGAGGGTACGTCTGCAGAATCTCAAACCGAGCCGAGCGGGGAGAGAGGGAGGGGGGAGAAGGGAGAAGGGAGTGCGTACTGACTCGTGTGTCACAGGTGTTACTCGTCAAGCACACTCCATCGGCTCGCGTGCACGCGATGAAAGCCATCTCAAAGCGTGCCGTGCTCGCCAACGACGAGCTTGACCACACGCTCGCCGAGCAGCGGATTTTGGCCCTGTGTGCCATGCGCGAGCGCCGCAGTGCATTCATCTCGCGTCTCTACTACTCGTTCTGCGACAAAGAGAACTTTTACCTCGTGATGGAGTTTTATCCAGGTGGAGACCTGGCGACTCAGATGGAGATCCACGGCGTGCTTGGTCCCCTCCGCACGCGTTTCTACACGTGTGACATTGTCGCGGGCCTCGAGACATTGTGAGTTGGGTGTGGTGACACATCCGTTCTTGACCCGCGGCTAATCTCTTTTCCTCCTCAGGCACAAGGAAGGTATCCTTGTTCGCGACCTCAAGCCTGAAAACATCTTGCTCAACTGGCATGGCCACGCCGTGCTGGCAGACTTTGGCCTGTCAAAGTCGTTTGGATACCGCGGTGACCCCGTCCCCGTCAAGCTCCCGCCCGACTACATCGAGGGCAAGGGCACGCCTCCAAACTACGCCGGCAAGGGCTTTGGCTCTTACCGCAACGGCGAGCTGACATGGGACCGGGCGTACTCGTTTGTCGGCACACAAGAGTACCTTGCGCCCGAAGTGATCAAGCGCAACCACTACACCTACGCCATTGACTGGTGGGCGCTGGGCTGTATTGTGTGCGAGTGCTTGACAGGCCGTGTCCCCTTCCGCGGCCACGACGACGAGAGTAACGTGAGTAGTGCTAGTGGTGTGCACACGCCACCGCAGCGAGCGCCAGTGGCTGACAACCCCTTGCCAGGCTGAGCTGTACGAGCGTGTGATCAATGCGCGCTGGGACGCCATGTACCGTGGCGACCACCCGCGCAGTTACCTCAAGGAGCGCTATCGCATCGACACGACCACTTACGACTTTATTGATGGAGTGGGTGTTCGCTAGATTGTCTTTTGCGGGTGGCAAGTACTGACATCTGTTCAGCTTCTTCAAAAGGAGCCAATGTTCCGTCTTACCGAACCTTCTGTCTCAAACCACCCTTATTTTACCAATGTGTAAGTTGGGGCAATGTCGGCAGCAGCTTACGCGCCAGTGACTGGGAGACTGTGGAGAAGGGCGATTACCAGGACCCGTTTCAGCTCGACATCGACCCCGTTGCCGAGTACAATACCCAGTTCTTCCCTCGCCTCTGTCTCGAGGAGACTCCCTCGGTCGACATGTCGGGCCATGACTATGGCAAGGAGCCGGACGGAGAGCAGAACGCGCTCAACAATGACGAGATTTACAACGCGGCCCAGGCCGAGTTTGCGCGCGAGCTCGAGTCGTTTGAGTGGACGTGCCAGTACACGTACGACTTGGACGAGAACGAGCAGGTCGCCGACGCCGAGGTGGCCGACGCAGCCCCCGACGCCATGGAGCAGGACGAGCCTGAGCTTGCTCGCCCCGCATCCATTGTCCGCCCCACGTCGGTCATGTCTGGTGCGCCGTCGATTGTCACATCACTCCCGTCGGCTGTGTCCACGACACCGTCCAGCACCGACGACATTCCCACCATCCCTTCAGAGCCCGCAGACAGCGTCATGGAGTCGCTCAAGGACCCCGAGCCGGAGCTGGACAGGGAAGGCGCGGCGTCGCCAGTCTCCTCAAAACCGCCCTCCGTGCGCACCACTGCGTCGGCAAAGGTGTCGTCTCGTGCGCCATCTATCATTCTTCCTCTTGTGGACGACCAGCCTGAGGCGATCGCAGCTCCTGCTGTTCTCAACGATATTCCCGACACCACCAAGCCGCCTGCGCTGCTTCCAATGTCCCCTTCCGAAGGCAAGGTCCCTCCCAACCTCACTGTACGCCTCCCGTCTGGGCCTCCCTCCAGCGGTCTCTCTGTCTCGGACGTCATTGCCATCGGCTCGACCTCGCAGGGTAGCCCCAACTTGCTCATCCGCCGTCACCGGCAGCTTCCCAGCATTGACAAGTACCCGCACGCGCGGCTATCGGTCGAGCTCAACGGGACGTTTGGAGCGCTCGGCGATGAGGACTGGGAGCAGCTCGATGCCGAGGCCATCCCCGAGATGATCAATGGCGCCAACGCAAAGGGCCAAAGCTCGGCTCCCAACTCGTTCTTTGCCCGACTCCGCCCGCGTACGACCTCTCGCATCCTGTCGCGTACGGGCCGTAACGCGTCCATCCGTGTACCTTCTGGTCTCCGCAAGGCCGTCACCTCGGACTCGGACACTTCGTCTGAGCGCAGCCCTTCAAAAGCGGCTCGTCAGCCCCTGTTTGCTTCGCGCGGTATCGAGAACACCAAGAAGGCGTTTACCCGCATCAAGGCGTTCCCGCCTGCCAAGCGCAACGAGCGTAACGTGTCAGGAGGTGGTGTGTCTGGCGCCTCGTCCACATCGCCGTCGCCCGTCGCTTCCATCAGGGGTCTGGGTCTACCCAACTCCCGGTCCATGACTACCGGCATGCGGGATACCTTGCAGGTCGACCACGCGACAGTTCGTCGTGGCGGCAGCATCAAGGCCAGCGGTAAGCGCGGGTCGTCGCGCAGCGCCGCCGACCTGCCCAGCCTCTTCTCGAGGCCAAAGGTGCGCCGTGCCAAGATGGACGACAACAGCACCGGCAGCGGTGGCGGCTCGACGAGCACCAGTGTATCGGCCAGCCCGAGCCTGGTGACCCTCGACGAGCCCATTGTCCTCCAGGTGCCCTCTGTCGCTGTCAACCCCGCCGTGCCCCGCGTCGAGCTCACCACCACTGCGCCGATTGTGTGGGAACTCTCGCTCGAGGGCAAGTAGTCAGCCACTTGCCACTTGCGATCTCGCCACTCCTTCTCTCTCTTTTTTTTTGCATCACATGCCCCGCTCCGTACACGCCCCCTCCCCCGCCCACCACGACATTCCTCCACGAACCCAAACATCCCCCCCACCCACCCACACAACAAACGACTACCCCGCCGACGACGGGCACAGATGACACCTTAATCACCATCATGATGGTTCATATCCTATTTGTACAGATCCCCCCCATGTCAACATGCCTTAGATCCGTCCCAACCGAGGGGAGACAGGGTGGCGAATGTGGCACAGTGGCGCAAAGTGGATGCGTGGAGGAGTGACTACCTCGTTGACGAGTGTTGCTGACTAGTGGAGAATGTTCGCCCGGGAATACCCATGGTCGTAGCATGTTCCATAGCGCACACACACACACTCTCTTGCTCTCCGGTGTCTGCGGACGTCGCCGGCTCAGGGTGATGACTGACCTGCCCACGTCGGCGACGGCGAGGACGCCATCGATGCAGTCGCCGGCCAATAGTCAGCAAAAAAGTGGACCCCCGGGTGTGTGATTCCGAAGTTGGTCGCAATCGCCGTGATTTCAACCCCACCCCACCCTCTGCCCCAGCCGATGACGACAGATGCAGCCACCACACGGCCGGCCAGAAGCGAGCGGGACCAAATCGGCTGATTCATCTGGGTAGGTGATCGTGTCTGAATGTCTGAACTTTGGGCACACCGTGTTCCTATTTGAATAATCTATAAAGGACCCACGAGGTGTGTGTGATCTCCCCCACACTCCATCTTACCCAGCCCACAAAACTGTCGTCCATCACCCTCGCCCGTGCGCGAGTAGTCCGCGCATCCCCCCTCCGCCTCTTTGCTGCTCCTGCCCTCGCGTCCGCGTCTGTCTCGGCCACGTCCATCGCCCTCCGTCTCGCATCCACCACCCCCGCTTCCACCCGCTCCTTCTCCACCACCCGCGTCAGCGCCATGCCCCCTCTTCCCGTGTCCAAGGCCGCCGAGGTCGGCGAGTAGTGAGTGGCGCATGGAAGTTTGCGCGCGCGCGCGCAAGTTGGGGAGAGAGCTCTCGCTGACATGTTTTCTACAGCGACCTGTTTGTCATCGGCGGCGGTTCCGGCGGTCTCGGTTGTGCCGTACGTCACGGGGACTTCGGCCGGTTGAAGGAGATAAGGAGGTTTGCTGACAGACCACATAGCGCCGCGCGGCCAGCTACGGCGCCAAGGTCGGTCTCGTTGAGGCCAGCCACCGTCTTGGTGGTACCTGCGTCAACGTCGGCTGTGTCCCCAAGAGTGAGTACTGGGAGTAGAGAACGGAGCCGGCGCGCGAAAGCACCAGGTGTTTGATTTCTGTGTCCACCTGTGAAACCGCCAGCTAACGTCGCCAGAGGTCATGTGGTACACGTCTGAGGTTGCCGATGCCCTCCGCAACGCTGCTTCGTACGGCTTTGGCTCCGACGAGGTCAACTACGGCATTGCCAACAGCTTTGAGTGGCCCAAGCTCAAGGCCAAGCGCGATGCCTACATCCACCGTCTGAACGGCATCTACGACCGTAACCTCGCCAAGGACAACGTCGACTACCACGAGGGTTTCGCCTCGTTCATCGACGCCAACACTGTCGAGATCAAGGAGGCCAACGGCGAAAAGTACACTGTCAAGGCCAAGACGATCGTCGTCTCGGTCGGTGGCCGCCCCACTCTCCCCACCGAGGAGCAGGTTCCCGGCGCAAAGTACGGTATGGACTCGGACGGCTTCTTCGACCTCGAGACCCAGCCCAAGCGCGTCGCTGTCGTCGGTGCTGGCTACATTGCCGTCGAGCTCGCCGGTGTCTTCAACGGCCTCGGATCCGACACCCACCTCTTCATCCGCTACGACGCCGTCCTCCGTACCTTTGACCCCATGCTCTCCGAGGTCCTCGTCCCCTGGATGGAGAAGACTGGCATGCACATCCACAAGCACTCGGCCATCCCCAAGATTGAGAAGACCGAGTCGGGCACCCTCCTCATCCACCAGAAGGGCCAGGACAAGCCCGTCGAGGTCGACGCCCTTGTCTGGGCCATTGGCCGTCACTCGAACATTGACGGCCTCGGTCTCGACAAGGTCGGCGTCAAGGTCGACAACAAGGGCGACATTGTCGTCGACGAGTGGCAGGCCACCAACGTCCCCAACATCTTCGCCATTGGCGACGTCCAGGGCAAGGCGCTTCTCACCCCGGTCGCCATCGCTGCCGGCCGTCGTCTCTCCAACCGTCTCTACGGTGGTCCCAAGTTCAAGGATGACAAGCTCTCGTACGAGGACATTCCCTCCGTCGTCTTCTCGCACCCCACCATCGGCTCGGTCGGCCTGTCCGAGCCCGAGGCCCGCGAAAAGTACGGCGACGCCATCAAGGTCTACAAGACCCAGTTCCGCGACATGTCCGGCGCCATGCTCGACGAGGACCACAAGCAGCCCACGGCCTACAAGCTGGTTTGTCTCGGCGAGGAGGAGAGGGTTATCGGTCTTCACCTGATCGGCAAGGGAGTGAGTGTTCTTGTTTTGCTTTTAGTGTTCCAAGTAACCTTGACAACAACTTGTGCTAACAACGCAGTCGGACGAGGTGCTCCAGGGCTTCGCTGTCGCCATCAAGGCCGGCGCCACCCGCAAGACGTTCCAGGACACTGTCGCCATCCACCCCACGTCAGCAGAAGAGATTGTTACCATCTTCTAGTTGCGATAGTTTTGTGGCAGATGTTCAAAAACAATACACTAGAACCCGCCAAAGCGCCCCAGTTACATGTATCTACGTGCACTCTAGCGTCGAGAACTGCTGCATTGCACTCTGGGAGACGTTGGACGAGAGGCTGCGCCGTGCGGAAGACTGGGCGAGAAGGTATTTTGGGACCGTGGGCGAGAAGGGACGGACTTGTTCGGCAGTACAGTAGCGCTAATCACGCTCCCTCCACTGTCATCACTGCAGTCCTGTTCTAGGATCCTCGTGACGGATTAGAGCATGCTCCATGAGGCGTAAAGCAACATGTAATGCAGTCTGGAGACCTGCAGGGACTTGCCCGAAGCAGAGCGGACTCGTCATGTGGAAAGTGGGGGAAAATAATCGACTACATACTTCAAGGAAAAAATAGTGTACCATGGGTTTGGCCTTCTTGGTTTCCACTGCGGACAGGGTGGCGGGAGGAAGAAAGGAAGGCTGTGGGAAAAGGTAGGGGGAGCCTTTGGCACTTCTGTGTTTGAGTAAGCTGTTCTGACATGCTCCTCTCGAACTCGATGCATGCCTGTGGTTTTCATCTCAATAATGCCAGTGCACAACATATCCGTGCATCGTGCGGCCAGTAACTATGAACTCATCATGGGCGACTCCACTTCTCCTGCATCACTCCCTGCTGTACCTCTTTACGTTGGAGCGTAGCATATACATGTGTGGGGTGCCGGAACACGGCCAGCACTATCGTCCGGCGACATGCCTTACGGCAGCACAGCAGTGGTTCCGCAGGTCTGGAGTAGCAATCTCGAGCGGGCAGCTTTGGCGCCGGGAACACCTTCAGAAAACAGAACATGGACAGAGGGAGGGCTTTGAGCAGCCGTTGCCGTAGGGAGAAGCTACACCAGACATGCCAGACACTTGCTGTGCTACATCACTGTCGCGGTAGTCGCATGCAAGCCGTCCTCCTCGGGGCCTCAAACTATACCGTGCTTGTTCAAGCATCAAGGGCGGTTGTAGGAGTGTCATGGGTCTGAAGTTGAGGTCTCTTATGGAATCCTGTCATGGTGCAAGCTAGCCTTGGTAGCCGGTGTATGAGGTACATCAACGTCGCGGCGACAAATGGCAGCGTGCAAGTGTACATATGACTGACAAAGGATGTCAATAATTTGTCGGCCAATGGTTCGACGAGGGGCCAGGCTGTGCTATCAAGAAGGTCCAAGACTGGGAGTCAAATAATGCCTTTCAGATGGTCGGGCCGTGGAATGACGAAGAATACAGAGGGAAGAAAATGAATATAAGATAGTGCTGATACGACGCGCCACATCAGCCAAACAACCGTGTCTCAGATCGTTAGCCGTAGCGCACAAATTGCCAGAGCCGTGGCAGTGCGGCAAAACACCATCCACAAACACCTTTCCGTTCATCATTCTTTCAACATCTCTGCGCTTCAACCAACGATGCATGATGTGCAGACACGTAGCACAGGTGGGCAAAAGTAAAGGTCTCACTGGGAATCGAACCCAGATTACAAGAACTATCCAATCGGATCAGAATCTTATGTACTAACCGTTATACGATGAAACCCGTTATACAGATGTCAAATGCCCGCAGAGCTCGAGCTGACCACCCTCATTACTTTCTGCTCCTGAGGCCTGTGCAAGCCCCCCCACGCATAACAGGCCCTACACCTTGCTTCCTGCATGGAGAGCTTTGTGTTGGACAATAAATTGCGTACGTCGACGTGGAGGGGCGGCGCCTGTGAACCCTTCCTATGTGGATCGACATTCCTTCGTCGTCTCGTTCCTGTCGTGGCACCACGCGCGCGAAGGCCACAGAAACGAGGCGCGAGGCGTATCATCGATTGTCAAACCATGAACCATATGTCTGACCTCTTTCCTCTCCCCCCCCCCCACCCCCCACTCACCTTGCGGACGGAAACAGCGGTGCAAGCCCGAAGGTCAAACACGTCGCCTCCCCCTCACGGCGCCGCGCCTACTCGGTACTGTCGCCGACGAGAGGCGACACCATGTCGGTGGACCTGATCGACCTGATCGACCTCGCTTACCTGGGAATTCATGCCTCGAAACCTCAGAGGGAGACACACGTCTCGCTCCGTCCACGGATCCGTGGTGGACGTTGAGGCGTGCGGTTACAGACGAGGGCCGCACGACAGGACGCAGGCCCCGTAACCTTCTTGCGACCCTGAGAGCGTGCCGTGTCCAACATCTTTGTTCTCGTCCGCCACATGACGCAGTGAGGCAAGACCTGTGCGCCGACGGACCCGAGGGATGCGATGCGACGGGCCCCTAAAGGTTCCCCCAAGTCCGGGACAGGTGTTAGTTGGGCCTCTCAGGTTGATACGGCGCCGTCGGACTTGGGATCTGTCAGCTCCTGACGTTAATATACATGGATGAAATGTTGCGATTTACACTCTGCGGGAGGTGGCGACACGTGCAAGCTGGGTAGCAAGCACATGAACAATCCAGCAACGCCTGCGAATTACGCAGTACTTCTGCCGGGACACACCCCGGACTTCACACTGCGATAACCGTGCGGTTGCCCGGGCCGACCGGTGTTGAAGTAACGCACAAAAATGGTCCGACTTGGGTCACGAGAAATGGTCCGACCCACTTGACGAGCGGTTACCAGCGGCAGAGGCCCCCCTCAGCACGTCAGAACGTCCACTGGCGAACGCCGCTGTGTCAGTCGTCCGCAACGCCTCATCCGCCGCTTGGGGACAGGATCTCAGCCGCATCGAAGACCCATGTGGGTCACCTATTGATCACTACATTTCATCGGCACACTGATTGTGCCGAGAGCGATCACTAAGCGCAGCCCAAGATGTTCGGGCGATCTGCCGATAGGCGTACGACCGCGTTGTGATATGGCGAGCCATGGCTGTCGCGGTCGACACATGTGGCGGAGCGCGGGGCCGCCGCCAAGCCCATGAAGCGACGCAGCTGAGAGCCACCGTCCACTTTTCCTTTACGCCACGGGCCCCTCTCACCGCGCGTTCAAGGCGTAGCGCTCGCTCTCTGTCGGTCTCGCTCTCGCTTTCGCTCTCACGCACACACCCCCCGGGTCGAGGTGCGCGCGAGATTCCTGTGATGGAGGTGGCATGCAGATCCTGCAGCTTATCCACCATCCCCACATCCCCCCATCCCCCCCCCCCCCCCCACCCCCCTTTGCGACGAGGCGTCAGTGCCCCCATGCGGTATCATGCCCAACCTGAGCCACAGCCGAAGGCCTCCTCCCATCTCCAACCACCCTGGACTTTTCTGTTCCGTCCACACCGAAATATAAGGGGAGCATATGGTGCGCAGCATCGAGTCATAGTGTTCCCCCTCCCCCTCATTTGCTCTTTCTCATCATAATCCAGCTCACCCCTCCGTCCGCCGTTGACGAGCCATGGCTGCTGATTACTCGATCCTAACACCGGCCCCTTCATCATTTCGGGGCTCTGCATTCAACTCGCCCTCCACTGTGCCAAGAACTCTCCCACTCCGCGAGTGTGATGACGGCCCCGCCGGCCTTACTGCCAAAGGACGGCAGCGGGTCAAGCGCGTCCGCACCGTCACCGGTTGCGTCGTGTGTCGTCAGCGTCGCGTCAAGTGCGATGAGCGGAGGGTGAGTTGTGGTTGTCCCTCTGTCTAGCGTCTCCACTGCTGACACACCCACCACCACAGCCTCGCTGCACCAACTGCAGTCGACACCCCAACCGCGTATGCGAGTACCAGTTCGCCCCCATTACGCCTGGCCGCGGCAGCAGTGACACGATGGTGTTGTCCAGTGCCAGCACATCAGCGGGCACGCCGTCGACGTCGGCCCTCCCTCTCTCACCGGACCCGCCGATCGCCGACGAGCCCTACCTGTCGTCTGCATACCGCGACATTGTCGTCGAGCGGACCCTGGCCGGGATGATCGCGGCCGAAGGACGAGGATTCGAGATCCTAAAGTGGGTCCCGATGTTGTTTCTGTTTCTTTCTTTCTGTTCGCGTCCACACCATGCTGACTTGTGCGCCAGTCCCACCGGTGGGCCGTCCAGCCTTGCAGATGCACTCCTCTCCAAGCTCGCGTACCAGCTGGGCCCGACCAGCTCGTTCGATCCGAGGAGTCCCACTGCGCCGCTGCGCACGCTCCTGGCGTACCATGAAACAATTGTCCGTCGCTCGTTTACCGACCTGGACGACCGCGAGTCCCGCCTCCTGTGCAGCACCACGGCGCTCTTCGCCACTGGATCCGTGACAAACCGTGACGAGCTGACCGACAACTACCTGGGCCTGGTGCGCAACAAGTCGGCCGCTGCCGCCGCCGCTGCGGGCATGGCGGTTCCACGCGCCAGTCGCGGGGGGTAACGGGTTTGGCGGATATGGCAACAACGAGCCTGTGACTGGCAAGCTCGGCGCCGTGGGGTTTACCTTGTTCCTCTCCCAAGTTCTCGCCCCGGCGCCAGGGCGGTGGAAGGAGCAACTGCGCGCAGGTGTCGAGTGGGCAGTGGCGCGCGGTGGGCCCGGCTGGGTCATTGGTGTCTCGCCGCCACTCCCGGGCCACCGTGGCGGAGATCTGCGTAACGTCCAGCCCATCGCCATGGCGCTGTACTCTGACTTTACGGCTCTGCTTGTCATGTTTGGTGAGTGCGAGAGCGCGCTAACACCCTGCCCCCCTCCCCAGGCGCTGACACACCCTGCAGCCAGCCTAACAGAGGGCACGCTCCCGATTTTTATCAACTACAATGATGTTTCGTGGATCCTCGCTTCGCGAGCCCTACAGCTCAAGTGTGCCCCCGGCATGCCCGACCTGTTCGAGGCGCTCCTGGCCGCTCCCCGCATCATTGTCCCGACGTTTGCGACCGCGGTCGGGCTGGTGTCTCGCCGTCTGGCCGTGGACCCGCAAGCCGAGATGGTCAAGGAGCAGCTCGACCACGAGGTGTCTTCGCTGCGCACCGAGCTCGAGGTGGTGTGGCCTCCGCGTCTGGCTGGCAGGCAGGATTCCAGGAGACTGCAGTATGGCGGTCGCCTGTGGCGCCTGGCCGTCCTCATCCTGGTCATCCACAAGGCCCAAGAGTTCCCGCCCACGTCGCCGGAACTCATCATGCATGTCGCCCAGTTTATCGAGCTGTGTTCCGAGGCCGCGTCCGATATCGGGTGAGTTATGCGCTGGATCGGCTTTGGACACGAGCAGCGCTGACACACCCCTCAGACACCTCTCGGGCTGGCTCTGGCCCATCCTCATGGTCGGCTGCGCGGCCTGTCTCCAAGACCACCGCACGGCCATCTTCGGCATGCTCCCGCTGGCCCGCTCCTGCGTCGGCGAGAAGGACTGCTCAGACGAGGCCGGGCGGATCCTGTCCCTGGTGCATCTGCACCATGACATTGGAGATCACATGTACCATATCCGCGACGCGGTCAAGGACGACCCCATGCTGGACGTGTTGCTCGTTTAGTTGTAGAGAGGGAGTAGCGAGGACGAGGGAAGGACGAGGGAGTGGAGACAGAAGAAGGGGGAGATAGGAGCATTGTGCATAGCCTCATTTCATAAGAAGTACAACCAGCAGTAGATGTCGTATATGTAGTAGCCATGAGACCGTGATCCACTCATGATCCCAACCGTTTACTGGCTACTGGAGAACACAGGCGTCCTCGATATCAACCGACGTGTTGTCGTCCGGAGTGGAAGTGGACTCGGGGTTGCTGCGCGGTGGGTTAGTGTGCAGCCGATATCAAAAACCCACTCACGCAAAGACGACAGAGTTCATGGTGTGATGTTGAGGGGATGGGGAAGCCATCAATGATCCCTGGGGGCAAGTAATGTACTTGCGGAACACGGAACAGTGTGACACAGTGAGACAGGACGGGTGGGCGGGGGGGGGGGCATGTGATGTGTGGCGCATTTGGCGATCTGTGGCATGTGAGTTTCATGGCCACATTCGCCCCATTGTTCTTGTCGGCATGCTTCTGGTCAGCTGGTCTCAGACACACGTACAGGATTAAAGGCTGCATGTCATGCATGTGTACAAGATACTTCTGCGTGATTATTACATTATACTAGTGTGTCTCGCCACTACATCCCAGGGGTGGGTTGCGCGGTGGGGGTGTGTGGGTCTGGCCACTGTTGGCTGAGCTTGGAGTGCCAGCTGGTGTCGAGACTCAAGATCGATTCCTGGGATTGGCTCTGCGGGAGATGGAGAGGGAAGGTCTGGAGCTGCGGTCCACCCTGTGATGTGTCGCTGTCAGAGTTTGGAGAAATGGTCGACTGCCGTCTCGACTCTGGGAACGAGTGTGGTGGGGTGGGGTACGTTCTCGGAGCTGCAGTGGGTCGACCGCCTTGTGGCCCGGAGTGAAGCTGGGGCGAGATGTAGCCTGCGCCGAGTGCTTTCTGTTGGTCGTGCTGGAGCTGGCGGTGTTGCTCGAGAATCTGAGAGCGCTGCCACGATGGAATTGCGGCTTGCTGTTGCTGAGAGTCCAACTGCTGGGCTTGCTGAAAGAACATGGAGTCGTAGGTGGCAGCCGACCAGTCGGCGGACTCTGGTGCCAGCGTCTGAGGAGGGTTGTGGAACTGGACCTGGTACTGTCCGACAGCCCCCGTGGTATGACATGGAACAGGTACAGCTGTGCCCCCTTGGGAAGCTGGAGACGCCGTGTAGAAGGACTGCTGGATGTCCTGTTTGCCTCCGCTCTGGTATTGACCGAGATAGCACGGATCCAGCGAGTAGAGGTGTGGCTGTGACTGCGGGACCAGTGTCGCCTCGCTGTAGCGGTACGCAAGCTGATTGTTGGCGGGGATAAAAGGCGGGTTGTGTGCTTGCGAGCGCGAAGGTGGTGTGTCCATGTAGGTAGACGGGTAATGAGCGGCAGTATTGCCAACCTCGGCACGAGGGAGTGGGGTAAATGGAGAAGCCAAACGAGTCCTTGCGGGTCCGTGCTGGTCCGAGTACAGCGCACTTGATCCCTCGTTGACTTCATTCTCAGCCAGGAGGCGAGCGGCCGCTTCCGCCTTCTGCTTGGCTACCCTTCTCTTCCTGGCAAGCATAGATTGTTGGTTGCGCTTTATGCGCTTGGCTTCCGCCACCTGTGCTGCCTTGAGCTTGCCCTCTTCGAGTTCGGCCAGTTTGCGCTTGAGCGAGACCCGCTCGGTGTCCTCGGCAGTAACTTGGTAGTGTTGCTGTGGAACCAGGGAATTGCCGAGTGGCGCCACTGGAGGGACGGGAGCCGCCATCTGCCGGACGGGTGCCGACAGCACTGGCTGGGCCGCAGGCATTCCCTGCCACTGTGCCAACTGCTGGGTGTGGCGTGGCAGCATCGGCTGGTGTTCAGATTTGACGACTCCGGGAGACGTGTAAACCACCTGGTTTGGCTGAGAGAGGAGCTCCATAGGCCAGCTGAGGGTTGGCGGTTGAGAGACGACGGGAGCAGCGAAGCCTGGCCGAAAGTCTGGTGCCCCAGCGTAGAGCAAATATGGCTCGGTAATGCAACTGCCATTGTTGGGGGCCTGGACAGTGTACAGTGCCGCTTGGGGGATTGTGGTAGGTTGGACGGGAGCAGGAATGCTCAAGATGGTGTCGCTTGTGAAACAGGTGGTGTCCTGATGGATCATGGTAGAGGATGATGGCTGGATCTCTGGCACAAGGGTCGTGGCACTGCCTAAGCCATCCAGCCACTGCAGCGTTTCGGCTTCGACATCGAGGCTGATGTGGCCATGTGGTTGAGACAGTTCAGCCAAGGCCGCCATGCTTGCTGGGTCTTCCTGGAAGTGCAAGGTGAGGGCCTCTGCGAACGAGGTCATCGCATCGGCGGTCGCGGGGTTGGCTGATGGCGTGGCTGGTTGTCCCAGGTCCGCAGGGGATTGATGGAGATCTGGCGGCGGTGAAGGTGATGTGAGGTCGATGACCGTCCCTGGTGCCGTTGATGGCCCATCAGGCTTCTCAGGTGCCGTGACTGAGACCTCGAGCCCAAGTCGCTCATCGAACGTCGCAATGGTCTCGTCCCACTCTGCCAAGAGGGCAAGGTCCTCGTCGTTCAAGGCTGGGAAGTCCGGTTCCGTAGGCTGAAGCTTGGGCGAAATGTAGACCATCATCTTGCCCATTTGGTACGCCTCATACTTGAGCCGCTGCTCCGAGAGGTTGGGCTGATGGTCGCGCACCCACTCGTCGGACAGTTCGATGACGCCAAACTCTGGTGGTGGGTCGCCAACCCCGCGCTCGGAGATGCCAACGCTGCGGCGGCGCGCCGTCCATTGCAAAAGGCGGATCCAGGCCAGTTCACCTTGCTCGACACTGGCGCAGTTGAAGTATCGTATGACGCTGGTTTGGATGCAGGGTGGGAGGTCGGCCCATGGTCGGTTCACATGGTGGTACATGGCAAGTCGGCCGTACCAGCTCGACCTCTCATCGAGGAAGCTGACCGTCTCTGAAAGGTTCTGGAAGGCCTTTTCGTACTCGACGGCGAGCGCTTCGTCACTCATGGGCTGTGGAGTCAGAACAAACCTACTAAGGGTGGTGGTAGAACGTACAGGTACAGTGCTCGGTCCCACTCCGTTCACAAGGTCGCCCAACGGGTCTAGTGCCTCGTTCAGCAGTGGAGTTGCCATGGTGGGTTGCTCCGGTGATGATGAGTGTTGAGAAGAAAGAGATGGGGGTGTGAACAGACCGGGCGAGTCATTCTGAAGGTAGTTGAGAGGGGCATCAGCCACTGGTTCTGGGACAATGGACGACTTGTAAGCCTGTGATACAGGATGTTTGATGGCTGATTGGGTGGCAAGCTGATACTGAAGCAGCGGGGACGACGGTGACTGATGGAAGGCTAGTTGAGAGTGGGCTATGGGTGGAAGGTGTAGATGTGTAGGAGGGGCAGACATTTTAATAGCGGGAATGTATGTTTGATGGAGTGTGTACAGGAGGATGTGGGGCGGAGGATGATTAGGGTGGATGAGTGTTTACAGAGCTCACCCACACGCCAAGGAGGATGGATGCACACACACGCCCATCAGCGTCTCCCATGGCGCCCCAATACTCCCGTTACACCTCAAGCGCACAGAGGCAGCGTTTAAACACGTTTTTAACAACCTTTAGAAGCACTGGCATGCATGGGACGTGGGAAGCACAAGAAACAGTGCAACACATGACAGATAATTCGGAAGAAACACGGAAAAAAGTCTTATCTGGGGGAAACACGCGCCGCGACCCATACACGCCATGCCCAGCTGCTATTCACTTTGCTGTGCCGTCCGTCGAGCCATCCTTCTTGGTCATAGAACCCAGACACCGCCCGTGACCAAGTATCTCGACATTGGATGCCGCGTCTGCCGCATCCAAGGTGTCCGCATACACTGCCAGCCACTCTGCATCGTGCAAAGTCCACCCGTCCTCCATCTCCTCCACCATGTCCCCAAACACGCTTTGGTAGAGACCATCGGGGGTTCTGACCTGCTGTTCGGAGTCGAAGGGCTGGAGGTGGTTCCCAACTATCGTCTGCAAAGGGTCGAAGACGAGGCGGAGGTTGTCTTCCCCAACGGCCCCAACGACGTCTGGCCATGTGGAGTGGGAGTAGACACCTTGGTTCATCGGGTCGGTGTGTTCGGGCACACATGGAGGTGGGGGTGACAGGGGATGGGGAGAGAACAGGGGAGGTCGTGGGAACGAGTTGTCGAGATGGTCCATTGCGTCGGCGAACGCAGCCAGGGTGGGAGCATCTGCAAGGCTCCATTCTCGCTGTTATCTGTCAGTTGTGGCGGCGGGAAAACAACTGTACCTTCTGAATCCATGGGTCTGAAGGAAGCATGGTTGCAGTTGAGGTGGGAGAAGGCCGGGTGCGGGTGATGGGAGACAGATGCACTTTCGCAAGGTGCGACATGTGAGTTTGTGTATTGACTGATGCACCGTTGCAGGTTCCCGCCATCCTTCCTCACAGTCTACACCCCCGCTTCATTCCTGCTTCGTTGACCACCCGCATCGTTTTACTCTAACGGTTGGCAGGGTGGACAGGGGGGACAGTGCCAAGGAATGCACTGGTAGGTATTTCATCAACTGCTAAGGATACCAGAGCCATGCGCATGCGCTCGCGCGTGTTGGAGAAGAAGCAGAATGCCCCATCACTCGGTGCGCAGTCGACGGAGGTGGACGTCTCGGAAGTTTCAGACGACGTTGCTTCTCACCGCAACGCCCGCGTCGCCCCCATCATACGTTTATGGAGCAAGCGAGGTTTCCTCTCTGCATGTCATCATTCACGACCAACAAGACATTGTCATCGTGGCCATCGACAACCTCAGCCCAGGGTCTCCGCAATCAAGGCAGCGATGACCATGTTGGGCGCAAGCGAATATCCCGCCGTCTACCAGGTATTTCCGGCCAGCTTCTGCTACATAGTCTCAGTCTCACGTCGCTGATGCGTAACCTACACCTTTTCTCCCTTCTTGCAGGTGACACAGTGGATCCTGCCCGTAACGTGGCCACGGGGAGACTGGCCTGGAATCGAGAGCGCCATCTCGCACAAGCTCCGCAGGCGTCTCCGGCGGGTCAAGCACTGGGACTTTGCGCACACCGAGCAGGTCCAGATGTTTGAGTTTGTGGGGTTGCGGACGTGTACGGTCGTCACGCTCAAGACGAGGGTGAGGGATGGAGGGAGGTTTGAGGAGGGTGTGAGGCAGTTGTTGTGCGGCAAGGCGGGGGTGCCGTATACGCAGTGAGTTGCAGCAGCGTGGCGTCAGAGACGACAAGCTGCCATGAGCTATGAGGGCATCACGCTGAGGCCTACCGCAGGTGCAAAATCGAGACGTTCGAGGTCGTAGACCACGCCTCGGACGGTGTCCATGACTCTGACGCTCCAAACGGCTGGTCCGTGGCCATGTCCCGATAGTGGCGATGATAAAGCAGTAAAAACGTCCATGAAAATAATACCAAACTAGCCACGAAACCTGACGACGTTATAAAGAAACCGTTACACCCATCCTGGTACACCGTTCTCCACATTATACCTTCCCTGTCTCGACTCCAGCCACTGTACCTCCGTCTATCCACGCATCCTGCCCATCTGCTCACATGGACCTGCCGCGCTCTATCTTGACAGGCGGCGTGACTTGTCCACCATACCCATCGTCCTGGAGGTCCTCGTCGGGGATGACGGACCGCATGCGCTCTTCCAGCTTTTTCAGGCTCAGACCACAAGCGCAGTCGGCCCACTTGCCCAAGTCGTCGTCGGGATCGGTAATGAACCTGCGCTCACAGCGGGGGCATACGCCGTTGGCGTTGCCGACGACGAGCGGGTCGTGGTCGTGGCGCGAGTGCGGGACGGACGTGAGGGGACAAGTGCGGCACGCTTGCTGCTCTGCAGGCGTCCCGCACACGGGACACGGCGCAGTGTCAAACTTCAACGAGTCGTAGCTCGGCAGCTCGACGACCTCGGGGATGAACCCACAGCTAGGCACAATGACGGGCTTGTCCACACGGAGCATGCGCAGACCACCAATGTTGCCTGCCGGCAGCTCGTTGCCCTGCACGTCTTGCCCGGCGATCGAGTACCAGACCTCGACGACCAGCTGGTGTTTGACGTGGATTGGTGTGATGACCCTGAGAGTTAGCGACACGCTAAAGACTTCAACTCACCCTTCAAGAGTAGACGGCCTTCCAGTCTCGTCGTTGGGCAAGCGTCCCATACCGGTGACCTGCAGACTACCAGTGTCCTCGCCGCCGCACTCGGTCCCGCGCCACAGCGCCGGCGAGTCCCTGGCAAGCTGACGAGGGGGACGCACGCCCTTTTCCCATACGACAAACGGTATAGTGCTGCGAATGGGTTCGGTTGTGGCCGGGTCATCGCGAGGTGACCTAATGGATGTGGTCTGCGTGAGGACGATGCGAATGTAGTAGATGGTGCAGGTGGGTTCGGGAAAGTTGATGTTAATCGTCGACTTTAAGAGAGCGCACACGGTCCAGACGTCGGACATGAAGCGGATCTCGAATGGTCCGAGGCCAGGAACCTCGCCTCGTCGGCGTTCGTTGAGCGTGCTCACGCCATCTTCCGGGTCGGGGTTGTACATGAGCCAGATGCCTCGCGACGCGACGACGTTGCCGCGCAGCCAGCGGACTTCTTCTTCCGAGTGGCCCACGGGGTCGGCCCACGACACTGTCATTTGCGTGGCAATGTCCATGGAGGGAACACCCCCGCCGTCGCCCACAGGTGTACTGGCTCCAGACGTATAGGGAGACGCGTTGACGGATCTAGGTCCGTGGCCTCGTTCAGGACTACGCCCGCGACGAGGCGTCGGCGCGGGACTTGGGCTGGGCGAAATCATGTGCGTACTGACACTGCGAGGGCCACCGCCAAGTCCCTCCACCTCTGCAATGAGCTCGAGCTTGACGCGGCCGGTGGGGTGGACGTCGTACCCAGCGAGGCCGTATGGGATGACAATGGTAAAATTGAAGCTTGAACAGAGTAAGCCACTGGTCGGTCACGGTCCGCTGTTTACTCACCGCTGCACACCTTCCTGGAGGATGATGGCCCCCTTGACCTCGATAGTACGCTCAAACAGCACGTCCTCCTCCCACATGCGTGCGGGACCCATGTTCAAGCGGCACGTGTTCTTCAGTGTCATGCGAATGGCACGACACCTGCGTCGACCCATGCCCCTTGGGACATCGACCTCGAGCTCACCCGAGAGCTCAGAGTCCTGCAACTCTAGTCTTGGGGGACCGAGCGAGGACCCAGATGCCTCGGGATCGTCATGCTGCACGTCGGTGCGGTTGTTGTTCATGAACACGCCGCCATAGCTTGGGACGTTGATTTGGAGACGGACACCGCGCTTGGTGTGGTGGGGTCGCGCCGGCGACGCCGCTCGCGAGCTCGAGCGCGAGCCGCCAAAGAGCCGTAGCATTGTGGAGGCGGCAGTGGGATAGCGGGGGGATGTGTGAGGTAGTTGTGGGTGGAGAAAGAAGAACAAGCTAGGCGAGGCGGGTAGCGGTTGGCGAACATGTGTCTCGTAGAAACGGCGCTCGTCAGAAATACCGGGCGCGTGGATGTTGAGCGTCACGGCGCTTCCGGGTCTCGGCAGGGTATATCCGCCTAATCCTTACCAGGGCTTTGCCAAGGGCCAAGGGAATGCTGGTGCTGCTGCTGTCCAGGCCGTGTGTGTTGCATGCATGGAGACATGGAGCCCCCATACAACCAGGAGCGAGAAGTGCCCTTTGGTGTACCGTCCCCCCCTGGGAGTGTATCCGGATCCACGGGTTAACGGGCTGACCGTGAGAGGGGGGGGGGAGAGGACACACCTTTGAGCGACATGCAGCTTTTGAAAGTCTGTGTTGGGTTAATTTAGCCGACTGTTCTGTTACATTTGGCCGGTGACTAATGGGCTAATCGACCAATCGCGCCCCCGTTTTGCGCTGTGCAAAATGCGGAGCCGATTCCGCAGGCGAGCCGACGGTGAATGATGTCGTCGCTCGCCGGCGGGCGTGTACGGGGGCGTGCGATCGTGCCTGTGCTATACCGCGGCCGTTAGATTGGGGGGGAGGGCACACGAACACCCCCATCAGGCGGCGACTACGCAAAACACAATCTCACCCATCCTCATCCTCACACTCATTCACTAACTCCATACACTCATACTCCCCCGTCGTCGTCTCTCTCATGGCAGTGACCATGGGCACAGACACCCCAGGGTGGGCCGCACAGCTGCGTGCAGCCATCCCAGAACCCCATCCCATGTGCGCAGCCGACATTGTCCTCGCGCACGTCGTCATCATAGCCACCATCCTGGCCCTCGTCCCGCCACCCACGCGCACTGTCCGGATAGTGCGTGCAGTCCTCGCACCCGTCATCTTCCTTGTCTGGCTCTACCTCGGATACGTGCCACTGTTACGCACACCACAAGAACGATGGGGCACATCAATGCTGCTGTGTGAGTTGTGTGATTGGGAGCCGCCGTTTGTCCTGAAGCACATGGCAACTAGCGTCTTGTCGGTGGCTGGCTACACTCTCGGACACCTGCTTGAATGGGCACCTCCATCGACATCGGCGACCAAGCCTTGTTTCAGTGCTGACAATCCCCGCAGTCTCCTTTGGCGTCCGTACATTCGAGTGGCTCATCCTGTTCCCACCCGAGCACAACGCTTACCGCATTCGCCACCTGCCCGACGGGTCCGTCATTCCAGAGCCTGTTCCCGAGGGTTGGACATGGGCCAAGGCTCGCTGGGCCGCATCGCTTTGGTGGTCATGGCGTGGCATCGGGTGGAACTTTGCTCCTCCTCTCGCAAGCAACATGGCTGCCGAGCCGTTCAAGCGCAACTCGAGCCGCAGGGCATACGTTATTCACCGGTCGCTATACCTGGTCGCGGTCTTCCTCGTTGAAGACTTGGCGTCGACGTTTATGCGCATTGCTGCCCCCGACTTCTTCATCACAGCAACTACACCCTACTCGTCCCTCTCGACTGGCCAGCGTGCCGCGTACTCGATCGCCGTGGTCGTCCGTATCGTCACGTCCATAGAGTTTACCCACGTGGGCATCTCTATTGCATGTGTTATGGCGGGAGGCTACTTTGGTATCAGCGAGGACAGCGAGCTGTTCTCGCCATGGGGATGGCCACCGATGTTTGGCAGTCTTGGCAGTATCGCCGCCCACCCAGGGCTGGGTTACATGTGGACGAGGGTGAGTGGAGTGCTTCCGAACGAGGGTTGGGTTTTAGCTGACCATGATTCAGGCGTGGAATCAGTATAATCGGCGTGTGCTGTCCCAGATTGGCTGGGTCCTCATCGGAGAGAGGCTTCTGCGTATGCCACCGACTGGAGAGAACGTCAAGAATCCTAAACCTCGACCGGTCGAACCCGCAGCACCGTCCATCAAGCACAAGGGCGTCGAGCATGCAAAGGACAACATCATCGCGGACATTGTGCCCCCTACACCCCCACCTGACACCCCTCCTGCGGACGACAATGACAACAGCAACCTAGACACACTAGACAAGCTCGGCAAGGTGGACGGTCACCTGAGCAGCCACCTGAGAAGACGTCAGGCGACCCAGCAGCCCGCCATGCCGCTGACGCCCCCGGATTCCGGCCGGTCATCGCCCGCACAGCGCACAAAGCGCCAGAGCAAGGTCCCGAGCATGGTCGTCAACCTGGCCAAGTCGGTGATTGTCTTTTTGCTCTCTGGCCTGCACCACGACTATGCCTCGATTGTGCTGCTGTTGGACGCTATCGGGCGCGGCGACGCACCGTTCTCGGCTATCAATCTCACGCCCTTCTTTGTGGTCCAGCCCCTCGCGCTGGCGGCCGAGGCCATCTTCAAACACATGTGGCGAGCGTTCAAGAGGCGCGTTGGCCTGAAGGAGACGCCGGCACTGCGAGAAGCTGAGCGTGTGGTTGCCCTGGTGTGGATGTGGGTGTTCCTGGGCTGGAGTGCTGGGTGGTTTGTGGAAGGGATGAGCCGGATTGGCGTCTGGCGGCAGTTTCCGAACAGCAAGGATCGGCACTATAGTGCTGTGTGGTGGGTATGGGGAAGCTGTGCATAGAGAGACGAGAGAGCGATCGAGAGAGAGAGAGACGAGAGGTGTTATAGACAACGAGTACGAGAACGCATATGCATATTAGAAGTGAACGACCCCACCTCTACCCAAAACCGTCTAATGAACCATCGCCCACTGGCTGGCGGGACGCGCGCCACACTGCCAGATTCGCCGAATGTCCGCACCAGCCCGAGTTCCGCCGTGCCCCCAGGCTGGGCCGGGCAGCCTGCCAATGGTCTTTGCTGCAACTCAGGCGTGGGCTGTCTTCCTCGTCGTCGCTGCTGCTGCCAGTCTTGCCTCCCTCCCTACCTCTCGGCCTCACCACTCCTCCCCCAAAATGGCCCTCACCCGCATCAACCTCGCGCCCACCGCGCGCACCCTCGCCTCGGGCGTCCCCGCCGCCCGCGTCGCCCTCCGTCTCCCCCCCGCCCCCCACCACGGCCACGGCGCTGACGGCCCCCGTTCCGACGCCCCCGCCAAGTTCGCCGGTGGGTTCAACGGCGTCGCCTCGGTCGCGCGCATCAACGGTGCGTGCGCGGCCGGCGACAACAGTGTATCGTGCGCATGCAGAAGCAGCAGCAGCAGCAGCAGCAGCAGCAGCAGCACAAGGAGCAGCGCGGTGTGCGCGAGTGTGCCGCTTGCCCAAAGACCAACATCGCTGTTGTCTGGCAAGCCATGTCGAAATGTCGAAAGGGCTCCGCGTCCTTCCGACTTGTTGGGCACTTGCACTCTTGCTACTGGGCCTTGTGTTGTTGCGCTTGCACGCGCGCACGATACACGAACCTGAAGTGGTCTACAGTTGAGCTGACAGAATCGCAGCCGGCCCCAACGGTGTCTTTGGCCAGCGCCGCATGCACACCTCGTCCAAGGCCCTTGCTGGCCGCGCCTCGACTGGTGTCCCCGACTTCTCGGCCTACAAGACCGGCAACGAGTCGCGCAACACCAACGTCTCGTACTTTATGGTCGGCGCCCTCGGTGCCCTTGCCGCCTCGGGCGCCAAGTCGACTGTCACTGACATTCTCTCCAACATGGCCGCTTCGGCTGATGTCCTCGCCCTCGCCAAGATCGAGGTCGAGATGGGCGCGATTCCCGAGGGTGCGTACACAACTCATCTGTTACATTATCTGGGGATCCACGCATGCTGACTCGTGTTCGCAGGCAAGAACCTCATCGTCAAGTGGCGTGGAAAGCCCGTCTTCATCCGTCACCGTACCCCGGATGAGATTGAGGAGGCCCGCTCGGTCGACGTCAAGTCGCTCCGTGACCCCGAGACCGACGAGCAGCGTACCCAGCGCGCAGAGTGGTGCGTACCGCGGCCATGCTGCTTGCAACCACGGGCAATACTGACTTTCTCTCTCCAGGCTCGTCATGGTCGGTGTCTGCACCCACCTGGGTTGTGTCCCCATCGGCGAGGCCGGTGACTTTGGCGGATGGTTCTGCCCCTGCCACGGCTCGCACTACGACATTTCGGGTCGTATCCGCAAGGGCCCCGCCCCCCTCAACCTCGAGATCCCCCAGTACGGATTCAACGACGACGAGGAGAAGATTGTCGTCGGTTAAGTCGTTGATGATGAGGGAGACTAGATATGCACCAAACCTATCCAATTGAGCATGCGATAGGGCTGCGGGCACGCAGCCCGCCTTGGGAAATAGTACAAGATGGGAGGGGGAGGGGGAGGATGGGGACCTGCACGCAGACACTGTGCAGATGTAGCGTGTAATCGGTTGCGAGTGGCATGGCCGTGACGTCGTACAATCGTACAATCCGTGTTGGGGGCTGGTTTCGTGCCGGGTGTCGTCGGCTCTGGTCCCTGGCTTTGTGTGCTCCGACGCGCTGGTGTGGGTGGCACTGCCAACCAGTAACCAGGCCGTCCCAGCTCAAGCTTCTGCCTCTGACACACGGGCATAGCTGAACGAGAGCAGTTTGCAGGTACACGCACGACGTACCATGCTTGCTGGTGCCAGTCCCGTGCAATGAAATACATGCAGAAGTGGTGCTAATTGCTAATTGGCTCCTATACCCTCCATCCACACCCAAATACCCTAGATGCGGACTTTTTCTCTCGACCCGACACCAAAAGAACACCTATGATGAATGGTGGTGTCCATTTTAAGCGGAGACGACGCCGACGCTCTTGACGCTCTGGGCCACCCGCTGGGCAGCCTCCTTGAGCATCGGGTCGCGCAGCTGTGCGGACAGCAGGGGGAGGACGTGCAGGTGGTATGCGCGCTGGGCGGCGGGCGAGCCGTGGTGCGTGAACACGGCACCGATGATGGCCTCGACGGTCATACCCTTGACCTTGAGGTGGCCACCCTCGCGACCAGTCTGGAGAGCGTCAGCACAATATGTACAGCAGGAGGAAAACGTCGGTGCCAGAGCGCGCGCGGCACACGGCTCTGCGGCAACCGCAACCACCACTCACCTCTGCCCGGTCCCAGCGCATCACATCTCCGACCTTCCACTTGTCACCGACGAGGAGACCAAGGTTGTTGTAATGACGCAGAGCAGCGAGCATGCTCTCAATGTCGCGACCGCGGAGCAGGTCCGCCTGGCGCACAGCCTCGGACGTGCCCAGCGCCGAGTGGATGAACATGGCCTGGTACGCGCCGATGGCGCGGCGGCCCAGGAAGGCCAAACGCGCATTGTGCGAGGCCTGGCCTTGCTCAATCTCGGCAGCGGTGTAAGGTGGCGGGTGGGACATGCGGTGGACGAACTGGTACGACTTGTGGGTGAGCGTCTGGAGCGCCAGCTGTTCGGGGATGGCGGCGGAGGAAGGGAGCTGGAGCGTGTGGCTCAGGAACTCCTGGGCCTCGGACGCAGTGATGGACGGGTGCACCTGGCGAGTGGAAGCACCGTACGAGCGCGATGCTGCAGGCGTGACATGGTTGTTGGAGGGGGAGAGGTGACACGAGGAGACGCGCGCGGACGGACAACAGCGACGACGCAGACGGAAATTTCAGGAGGTCAGAGACAACGAGCAAGCGGGTCAGCGGACAGCACAGACGGGTCTCAAGACGCATAACGCACCCTGCGCTGCTGGTCGCCTAAGAGGCGCAAGGGCGCGCGCCGACGAGGAGGCGAACGACATGGTGAAGAGGGGGAGTGGAGATGGTGGAAGGAGAGAAGGGGGGAGAGGGAATGTATTTGTTCAGGCGGGTCGGAAGCCAGAACAAAAAAGTCGGAAAGAGGGTATGGGGGGTAATGAGTCTGGTGCGCAGTGGGCCAGATCTATGCCGGGTTCGTCGTCCTTGTCGTCCTCGTCGTGTGTTGGCGGGTGCTCGCCGTGGGTGTATGTCTTGCGGCCGGTCGTTGAAAGTTCAGAAATCGGTCTGTCCGCCCGCCAGCCAGCCACGCGAGCACTTAGCAGCGGAAAATTCCGGTGTGGCGGCGGCCAATACTGCAAGGGACTTTGTTGTTATAGGACCCGAGATCGTATTTCACTTCCCTCATACACTCGCACAAAATGACACATGAAGTGAACAGATGATACAGTATACATGTGGGATACAACTGTGACGGACATTCTATGTTTCAACTAAAGCTCCACACACGCATCACGTCCCCCTCCAGCCCCACAATACGCTCCTCGTCGAATGCTACTTGCCGAACGCCCAAACCAGTTTGCTCCTTGGGTGGTGCAGCGACAGAGGCGGGCGCCATGGATACGGGCGGCGAGGCAAGGAAGAGGCGGCGTGCTTCGCCAGAGATACTTGCGGGGTGTGGAAGGAGTGCAAGGTCGTCTTGGTCCTCGTCGGCCTCTGTGGGTGGCGATGGCTCGCGCGGCCGCGAACGGCGTCCACCAGCCTTGACCTCGACGTACCCCATAGCCATACCCACACGTCCAACTCTCGCTTCCATCCCGACCCCCTCTTCGCCATCGGCCGCCTCGTCCAGCTCCCAGACGAGAACTCGCCCGTCCCGGCCACCGCTAATGGCTCGCCCACTAACGAGTGCCAGAGAGCTGACGCCAGTGCTCGGCGCAAGCAGAGTCTGAGCATGTGTGATCGCCCTTTCACCGGCAGCCGGTAGCGAGTACACGTGGATGACACTGTCCTCGCCTGCGAGTACGACCCAGCGCCCATCACTTCCAACACCTATGGCGCGGCCGCGCACGCCAGGGACGGGATCGATGCGGCGCGGCCAGGCTGTTGGCGACGTCTCGGCGGCTTGGACGTGGTAGCATTCACCACGGCGCACACTGGCACCGGCGGCGAGGTTGATGACAAGCTCTTGCTCTGCCACAGCCCAAGACGACGGGTACACAGGCGTAGAGTATGTCAAGGCGGCACGATATCGGGTTCCACCAGCAGTTTGCGGTGGCAACAACGACAGGGCCGCCGGGTGAAAGCTCACGTCGGAGCGGAGCGTTCGGACCAATGTCGGGCTGCCGTCCGCCAGCTTGTATACGACCAAGTGAAAGCCAACGGTACACGATACCAACACTGGGTAGTGCATCACAGCGAGGACCACTGGGTCGTCATCTCGCTGCGGGACGGCATGACGACGCCGAGGTCGCGAACGGGTAGTGCTGAGAGCCTCGCGCACCCAGACTAACCGGCCGTCCTCCGCCAACCGCAGGCGGACAATAGCGAACCCTCCTGATTCATAGAAGATTCCTAGGCGTGCTGGGACATGGGACCCGTCTGCTGGAGTCACGGCTTGATCGGCGACGATGGCAGTGACTAGGTCCGGGCGTGCTGGCGAGGACCAGCCCGGTGGAGGCGGCACAATACCGAGCGGCGACCCTGAGGCGGCACTGGAAGCGTAGATGTGCACCAGTGGGGAAGACAGTGACGATGCACAGATGAACGAGGGAAATAGGGCGAGGTGTTGTCCCGATTCTGGTGGGCCCAGGAAGTCCCGCTCGCGGCTGGCGGCTGGCGATGGTGGGAGGTCGAGTGAGCCTTCGGCGTGGACATTGCCGTTGGACCTAGCTGTCAGCTGCTGGCACCAGTATCGGGCAACTTACCAGTTTGTACCCAGCTTCAGCATGTGCTTCCAATCGACACCATCGTGACGGACCGTGTCGTCACCTCGATCCAAGTCCAGGTCTCCATGTGCGTGGCTATCAGGCGCCGGAGTCGGACTTGGGCTGGGTGGCGGGAATGCACGACTCGGTAATCGTGCAATGGGGCGTAGTGGTGTCGCTGACCGTGACCGGGAGTAGACCAAACGCGAGTGGTGCGGGTGGGGATATCGTTCTACAAACGTCAGTGGACAGGTTGCGCATGCTCTAGCTCTTACCAAGGTAGAGGCGCTTCCATAGTTGCGGGTCGAGGGCGGCGCGAGCCCAGTGCTTGTTGACGGTCTGTGTGCGTGCGAGGTCGCTGGGCGAGAGAAAGGAAAGAACACGCAGAAAGAGTTCAGGTAGTTGAAAGAGGTCGCTGAGAGGTCTATGTGGGCCTGTGTCGGCTGGCGAGGCCGAGCGACAGCGCTTCATGGTAACATGAGGAACGGTAGAACGGTACAAGGTGACGACGGCCTCCACCTGGGTATCGCGCCGTACGGCGTAACTGGTGGCCACGCGCGCGTCACGATTCGAATCCGGACTATTTTACGTAATTGTCAAAGTCCGCCGCCACACAGAAATTACCGCCATTCTCCGGCGACGACGGACCAAACGCTCGCGCTGCCTCCCTGGCTGGGGCAGCGGCAGGTGGTAGTTCTTTGAGCAACTGTGCGTGTTACAACCTTCTCCATCCGTCAAAATGTGAGTGCGACCCAGCCACCACCATACGACATCCACCGCGACAGAGACACCGGGCACGACAGCGACACTCGACACCGCGAGCGCGCGCACCATCACCTCTTCACGCGTTCTCGGCGTCGCGCGAGCGAGTCCTCATGAGAAACTCGCACAGAAACTGTTTCCCTGGTGGAGCAGTTTCGATGTCCTTGCCCCACTTCGACATGTCTCTGTCTCTGTCCGATGTCGATGGTCGTGCGCCAATACCCTTCCTACGAGTGCAGGAACTGACTGTACAGGCCTCCCCAGGTTAAGTCCAAGGCCCAGAAGGCCCTTGCCGCTCAGGCCGGTTCCAAGGCCGGGTGAGTAGAATCTGCGAAGTCCACCACGAGTTCTGGAACGTGTCTGGTCATCTGCGAGGAGAAGGAGGATGGGCACGAGAGGTGCACAGGAGCGCAGACCAGACCAGACCGCCAGACTGGGGACTTTGCCACCTCATAGCAAGTTTTTTCTCATTTGCTGACTGTCTCCAGCAAGAAGAAGAAGTGGTCGAAGGGCAAGGTGAAGGACAAGGCCAACAACGCCGTCGTCCTCGACAAGCAGACCTAGTGCGTATTACATCTCGCTCGCTCTCCAGAGAGCGACAGAAAAATAGTTGCGTCCTCGTACTGACTTTTTCCCCAGCGACCGTATCCTCAAGGAGGTCCCGACCTACAAGCTCATCTCGCAGTCGGTCCTCATTGACCGCATGAAGGTCAACGGCTCGCTCGCTCGCCGTGCCATCGCTTTCCTCGAGAAGGAGGGCCTCATCAAGCGCGTCGTCCACCACAACGCCCAGCTTATCTACACCCGCGCCATTGTCGCCAAGGAGTAGATTTGATCCGACACCTCGATTATTGAGTAGGACGGGCATGTAGGATTATGGACAGCTTGCATCATGGCAGGAGTGAAAACAGCACCAAAAGATCGGGCAGCACGAGCACATAGCAGAAATTGCATTGACAGGGAATCGGGTTGACGCGGGCGAAACTGTTTTGCCACCGGTGGATGTTCCCTTCACTTACGCAGATGAGCGCGCTTTCTGCTCCGACCGCCCTCTCCTCTGCGTCTGCGCGTCGTATACGTTGCTTGCACCCCAGTATCCATGTCCGTAGGTGTGCAGAGGCTACAGAATCCGGTCAGGACGCCTGCCAGAATGCGACGCGCGCGCAGAACTGTGTACGGTGGGGAGTTTCGCAAGCTCTACGGTGGCATCCGACCTGAACGCCTCTGCCTATTTCTGGGGGAGTGCTACTAGAGAATGGTCAAGAATGACATGCAATGCAAATGCAACGAAGGTTCTATGCTAAAAACATATGCCCATTGTGCTCTTCGTAGTCTCTCGCGCTCCTGGCCCACCGCCTATCCTCATTGCTTTGTGAGTAGTGCTGTTGGTGGAGGTGGTCCAATCGACACTATCTACCCGCGGACACCGACGTTCTCCCTGGGACGAGACGCCAGCCAGTCCCACACGCGCTCTGCCACACTGCGCATAGTAGAACGCACCTCGTCGCCCTCGGGCGAAGACTGGGTCATGACGGGCCGTCCAGCATCACCGCCGTCGCTCACGGAGGTCACAAGAGGCACATTGCCTGCGAAATGTTAGTAGGTAGTGCGACGAGCAACACGTGGTACCCACCGAGAACCTCGAGGCCGAGCTCGTTGGCTGCCTTGGTAAACTTGTCGGCGCTACCAAAGAGCTCGTGCGGCACTGAGCAGGACGAGCAGGTGTAGTGGGACATGTTGAGCAGCAAGCCGGTAATCTGCACCGTTGTCAGCTGCGGACGCGGCAGGTTCGAGAATGGTGAACTTACGGGCACATTGACCTTCTGGAACATGGCCACACCCTTGCGCGCGTCAATGAGTGCAATGTCCTGCGGTGTCGAGACGATGACCGCGCCGTCGACCACCACCAGCTGTCCAAGACTGAGCTGAACGTCACCGGTTCCTGGCGGCATGTCAATGACGAGAACGTCCAGGTCGCCTTGGCCGTCCGTCCAGTCGACATCGAACAGGAGCTGCTGGACAGCCTTTTGGACCATGAGACCACGCCACACAACAGGAGTGTTGGGGTCAGGCGCTGCACAGGGTGAGCGTTGGAGCGGGAAAAGGACACCTGGCTGCTTACGAAGGAGGTAACCGATGGACATGGTCTTGATTCCGTGGTTCTGCAGCGGGAGGAGCTTGTTCTCTGCATGACATGTTAGTTGGCCATATACTGTGTAGCCCAGAGTTCCAGGCTATACCACTTACGTTCGTTCATTGCTGGCTCGCCCGCATGATCCAAGCCCATGAGCATGGGAACACTGGGGCCGAAAATGTCGAGGTCGAGGAGACCGACGCGGGGTGCACGGCCGAGCGGACTGGTCTTGGCCAGCGCAAGCGCCAGGTTGGCTGCGTCTATTAGTGACACCTACAGCTTGGCATGACGCTGTCGGACTCACCGGCAACGGTGCTCTTGCCAACTCCGCCCTTGCCACTTGCGACGACGATGATGTTCTTGACGCCGCGGATCCGGCTGCGCGGGGGCGGGCCGCCGCGACGGGGCAGCTTGGGCGCCGGGTTGGCCTCACGGCGAGGAATACCCTACTTGTCAGCACATGCGAGGACTATCGGTAGGTTGGTTGCAAAGTACGGACCAGGGGGTTCTCGTGCGCGAGCGGTGCTGCTTGGTGGAGGCGACGGCGGTGGCTGCCGTCAAGGCGGTGGTTGAGAGCGGTGCTGGGGCCTGTGCGTGCGATCAAGGACGAGCACGATGCCAGTCTCAACGGAGCGAGAGCATGCAGGGCAGATGGGCGAGTCAGGCGTGCAGCTGCGAGAGCTGCCATGTGCATGATGCGTTCGGGTGACGGAATGGACAAGAGGGAATGGATCGATTGACCAAAAGGAAACATTCTGACATCAAAGGAGACGGACGAGCCTTCCCTCTCAACCCTAACCCAGCCAGATCCCGCCGGCCCATCCACATCTCCACTTGCTCTTCTCACATATCTCATCGTTGTCTTCTTGTTCGACGCGGCTCGGCGCCAAAGTCACGCACACAATGGCTACCCCGAGACGGCCAAGCGGCGCACGCCCAAACCCTTCTTCGTCTCGTCCAGCTCCCCCTCCTCCCCAGCTCAGCATCCCCGAGGGCAATGTCCGTGAGTCTGTCCTCTCCCCCCTCTCTCATCGCCGCGACCCCGCAACCCCCGGATCATTCGGCGTGACCACGTCACAAGCTGCCAGCACCGCCGCCGTGCCGTCCCCACCTCTCCCGAAGGATACCGCCTGCCCTCCAAGCCCATGCATCCCCATCTCCAGCGTGCTCGCTAACCATGCAGCCGGCATCAACGTCGACCAGGCAGGCCTTGGCGGCTGGCAACAACCGTCCCCGCTCCCGTCCTTGGCTCTCCGCCCAGGCAGGCCAATGCCCAGTTTGTCTGCTGGCCCATCGGCGCGTCCCAAGCTCAAGCTGCCGCTCGGTGCGCCGCGCGCAGCCACCGCCCCCGCGTTGCCAACGCTCGCTGGTTTGGATAGTGCCGAGCCGGCCGCTTCGTTGACACCGACCCTCTCTGCGACCCTGGCACCGCCGCCAGGCGCACCAGGCCGACCGCGTATGAACACACCTCGCATCAGTACGCCAGCCCTCAAGCTGGCTATCCCAGCCGGCGGAGGCGGTGGGTCTGCTTTCATGGCGCAGGACGAGGACGAGGGGTCCAGCCAGCTCCGCACACCTGTCCCCGGTGAGGACTGGGACGCGACGGTGCACGCGCACAGCTATGGCGCCGGAGCCAGCGGCAGCCGACTGGCACCAACTGGCCACGACGACTTTGGCGGCGCCGACCAAATGACCGCCATGACCAACGAAGTGCGTAGGGCAATGAGTCGCATGACCTTTGAGAGCAGTCCGGCTCCGAGCATCGGTGGACGGTCGCGTTCCGGATCCAACGCGAGCAGCTTTATGGAACGTCGCGAATCGTCCAACTCGTTGAATCCCGCCGACGACCTCCGCCAGCTGCGGGCACTTTCGATCGGTACGCCGACGCGCGACTTGAACAGCGATGGGTCCCGTCCCAACTCTATTCACGACACTGAGGACTTGACACGGCTGGGTTCCGACCTGACGCTCGTGCGCCGCCTGGGTGAAGGAGCTGGTGGCTCGGTCGACCTCGTCTGCAGCGCCCGTGACGGACGCGTCATGGCTCGCAAGGTCATTGCCCGCACCGCCAACCCATCGATGCACAAGCAAGTACTCCGCGAGCTCGAATTCCTGTCCACCACCAACTCGCCTTTCATTGTCGAGCACTACGGCGCCTTCCTGGCTGAGCAAGACACTCAGATCTGCATTCTTATGGAGTACTGCGAGGCTGGATCACTCGACTCGCTGCTGGGACACATGAAGGACCAGGGTATCATCTGCTCGGAACATGTTCTGGGTCGTATCGCCTCGTCGGTTCTGCGTGGTCTCGACTATCTTCATGAGCGCCGTATTATCCACCGCGACATCAAGCCGTCCAACATTCTCATTACGCGCCAGGGCGCCATGAAGCTTTGCGACTTTGGCGTCTCGGGAGAACTCGTAGACTCGGTTGCTGGCACGTTTACAGGCACATCCTACTACATGGCACCCGAGCGTATCCTTGGCAAGCCATACACTATCAAGTCGGACGTTTGGTCTCTGGGTCTCACTCTCCACGAGGTCGCTCACCTCCGCTTCCCTTTCCCTCCCGAAGGAGAGAGCCAAAACGTTGCCCCCATTGAGCTGCTGTCGTACATTGTCACCGCTCCTGTGCCGTCCATGAACGACAACCCGTCCATCGGCCACGCCTGGACCGCCGAAATCAGGGACTTCCTGGCCAAGTGGTGAGTCGAGTCTCGACCCTGCAGTGTTCGTTTAGCTGACTCGACCCAGTCTCATTCGTGACGGTCAAGAACGACCATACCCTCGCGAACTCCTCACGCACCCGTTCATCGTCCGGTCCGAGACCAAGAACGTCAACATGGCGAAATGGGTGGCCATGCTTGTCCCTTCGCTGTCCCAGTCTTAGGTTCCCCAAACCCAATGAAGGTATATGATAGTCCAAGCTGGCCCCAAGCTCAAACCCGGCCACGAGGCTCGCTTGCAGCCCATTTGGAACGACATTTGGCCCAATACGCAGCAGTCGCTTGGCGGTTCGCCCACCGCCTTCAACCGCAGTCACGCGCGTCATGGCTACACACTGAATGAATTCCCCATCACCTCAACCCCTCCCACCACCACACCCAACTCCTGGCACCCGTTCCCCGACCCAGAGTACAGTAGAATGCCACTGCATGTGCCTGTTCCGATATGCATGTTTATCAAGAGCACGAGAGTGGTGGAGTTGCTGCCCGTATTGGCGGTTGTCGCAATGAATGGAGCACATGCGGCGCAGCGAGCGGCAGGCATCCTTTTCTGTGTCGGCACGAACTCCGTCTGGGTCTCTCTGATTATAAGCCGGTCGTGGCCTGCTGGTGGTTGATTCCGTGCATCCTCCCTTTCTACCCTTGCTGTTGACACACGACCATCGTGTGAGGCCGAATTTTGAGCGGAACCGTGTGGCTGCCATCAAGATGCCTCCACGGCAGGATCGGAAGGGAGACACATGTACTGTGAGTGATCACGCCGCTCGTATGTTGGCCAGCGGGGCCGTCGACCTTTCAAGTGGTACTCGCTGGCCGGAGCCTGGCATACCAACTATGGGCCATCGAATTACTGATTCTGTGGTAACTTTGGGGCGTTGTGCGTTTCTCGACCGCCCAAGATACCAACGACGGCGCTCCAGTCTTGTAAATGGTGGACAAATTCCGGGCGTTATGCGTTTCTCGCCGGCGTCATCGGATCCAGTGTACCACGTTTGCGTATCAGCAAGCGATTGCAAGCACAGAAGTGGCAATTCACGAGATCACTGGCCACTGGTCCACCCTGGCCACTGGGAGGCAGTGACTATGAATGTAGTCAGTTGAAAGCTGCCGTTGTGCTTAGACGCCACACCGGTGTGCACGTCCGTTGCGTATGCCACCACACGTCCCACCGTAGCTTGCAGCTATGGTGTTGGCAAGCAGCCTAGTGGATTCAGCCACGGGTGGATCATCAATCAGACAGACGCCGCGCGTCGCAGTCGTTGATCATTGGCAAGGTGTGCCGGCCTGGAGAGGTGGCCCCCGGAAACCCCTCTTTTCATTAGGTGTATTTCGGTGCTTCAAGAAACACACAAGTGTCCGGCCCCAAAGAAGCAGTACATTCATTATGGGTACTTTTGAGCGTCTAGAAACACATAACCGTCCCGGCCCAAAGAACCAGTGCATTCATTATGGGTATTTTTGAGCGTCGAGAAACACATAACGGTCCGGGTCCAAAGAACCAGTGCATTCAATATGGGTATTTTGGAGCAATGAGAAACACACCACGTTGGGATTTTAAAAAAGCCAGCGTTCCTCTATGCGTGTTTCGACGCCGTGCGAAACACACAACGTGCCGTCGTTAAACATGCCATTCTTTCTCTGGGCCCAACCAGAAACATATGGCTCCCAGTTGTTAAAACTCCAGCTCGTTCTCTATGGGGCAAACCTGCATTCTCCGACTTAACTCGTGAATGTCGCTTATAGGATCATAGGATAATAAGTGCAGACAGACGCCTTGGTCGCTGTTGGGAGGCAAATGTGTTCAACGCCTAAATCGACCATAGGGCCAAAGCATGAACCTGGCCTTGTTGGAATTTGATGCCGTTTAGCGCCCGAGACCGATGGTCTTAAGCTGGCAATTGTTTTTCAGAAGAGGATGGGGATGCATAGACGTCTACAGAGCTGCTTATATGCACACAGAAGGGAGGCCCGAGCACTACAGAGAAGCATGAGGACAATGAAGAAGCAGAAAGAGCAGCATTGGTGCGGTACCCTCGTTCTCCGGTCAGCTCGGTGCCACACTGCAGTGGCGCAAGTGGTTACGTAATCTCAACAGGCCTGTCGGTGCCAGGCCGCCCTGAAGGGCTCAATATTCCCCAAATCTCAAGCGTACGTTGCGTGTATCGTTAACACGTGTAGGAAACCTATTATAATATAATCCTGTCCCCTCACCTGGGAGGGGGTTCGATTCCAACAGAGGGCAGATCCTGTAGCGCCACTAGCCAGGACGCGGTCATTAAACAAAAGACCACCCGTGAGGGATCTGAATAAGGAAGTTGCATTACAAAAACATAGGGCCCCAAATGGTGCCCAATGTTTTTTGCTTTGGATTTGAAAAGGCCTGCCCTTTGGTAAATGTTATTTAATGGAGCTAGAAACCTACAACGCGCTGTTGTTAAAAATTCCATTCTTTTTCTATGGTGTTTCTGGCCCAACCGGAAACACACAGCATGCTGTGGTCAAAGGTCTAGCTCGTTCTCTATGAGTTTGATTTGGACCAACGGGAAATATCCCCTGTGTTGTGAAAACTCATGTTTTCTCGACGTCAGTCCTATACACTCCCAATAAAAGTCTTGTTTGTCCAGAGTTCAGTAGCGGTTAGCTAAGACTGATGACGCTATGAATCCCTCATTGTAACACTGGACCACTGAGCGAGACGTCAATGCCAGTGCGTGAACACACCCTTGATCGCCATTGATAACAATGTCCGCAACTACAGTGATTGATACAACATAATTTTATATCCTGCGTGTATGTAATGTATGGCCGAGTACTCCACCATACCTCCCAGCTAAAAGCCTATCATTTAATCCTGAAGCGAGGTTACGGGCACGGGCAGTGGAGCAGTGCAATGACACCAGTGAAGCGTTGTCTGTGTTACAAAAAAAAGCGAGACATCGGCTTGACTCCTCGCCAAGCAGCATCCCGAACAACTGCATGGCAGGCCAGTCGCCCAGCAATGCAAGCTAATGATACCCCAACCTCGCTAGGCATACAGACCTGGCGACATAATCACGTCAAGCTGTTTGCAGGATCTGCAGACGGTGTTGCCAAACTGCCCGCGACCCATCGTCCCATTTCCGCCACACTGCATTTCCAGGGCAACAGCGGGTCGAACAACACAACATGAGCACCCCTTGCACCTCTCGCACCGGCCTAGGATGTATCTCAACACGGACCTCTCGCACCCACCGGACGCCTGCGCTCCTGACTGCCTGACTTTGCCTGACTGGCGTATGCCATGGTAAAACTTGACACGCAACTGAGCCCCCCTTCCCAACCCCGTCCTGAAGCTGAGACCTGAAACGTACATGCGCGCGGAAAATACTCCCGCGGCTCCCCGCATTGCCGGCGACACGCCAAGCCGCAGCGGCGCCGGTGGATACTGGGCCTTCACGACTTGGTTCCTGCTTTGCTGCTGGTTGTCGTCTGATCACTCCACTGGTACTCCACAACACCCACATGCCCACCTAGCTCAACTATGCGCTCTCCCACCCTCCCCCGCATTCCGATCCACGCGATCGAAGCGGCACCGCATGCGCCCGTACGCACGCGGACCTTCGTGGGCCCCTTCATCGTCTTGGTAGGTATCGTGTGCGCGTCGGCCACACAAACCGAGTTCGCCTCGTACCTCGCCCAGACTCTCGACTTTGACAAGCCGTACTTTTCCTTCTTTGTCACCCACTCGGCATTCACCTTTGTCTTCCCCGTCCACCTCGCGGTCCTGTCCCTTCGCAATGGACCACGGGGTGCTCCCGCACGAGCCAAGCAGCTCCTGCGCAACCTTCGCACCGTCCTGGGCGACCAGCTCCAAGTCACCCCACGATGGCGCCAGCTGTGGAGACCCCTTAACCGCAAGATCCTCCCTCTCACAGGGCTCATCTCGTTCCCGGCCATTGCCTGGTTTGTGGCCATGGCGCTGTCCCCGGCCATGGACATTACCGCCATCTACGCGACCAGCGCGTTCCACACATACTTTTTCTCCCTCATCCTCCTCGGCACGCCCCTAACGCGTATCACCGTTATTGCCATTGCCGTCGCGTTTGGCGGTGTCCTGGTCCTCACCCTGGACGGCGCCGGCGGAGGGGGTCCGAAGGGGTCAGAAGGCTTTGGCGGGCGCCGCGTAGTGGGTGATATCATCATGGTCATTGGCGCGGCCCTGCTGGGTCTGTACGAGGTGGTATACAAGATGGTCCTCCCCGAGGGCGAGGGCGGCACACACCTCCACGGCAACCATCCCGCGTCGCCAGTTGTCGCACACTATGCCTCCACGCCCAACGCCGCTGCGGGTTCGTCATCGCAAGACCCCGAGACAGCAACCGATGTCGGGGACGACGACGACGACGACGACGATGACGACCGTATTGCCCTCGACCGTCCTGCCGGTTCGCGCACACCACTGTTGCCCAAGACCACGAGCAGCTCGTCTAGCTCCGTCACCAGCTCACCGCCCCGGTCGTCCTACCCGGCGAGTCCTGTTGTTCCAAGCCTGCGCACGCCAGTCCCTCACCTCCCGACGGCCTTACTCTCCAACTTTCTCACTTCCGCCATTGGCTTTGCGACCTTTGTCTGTCTTTGGGTCCCCTTCCCTTTCCTTCACATGACAGGAGTCGAGGAGTTTGTGTGGCCCCATGGGAGCAAGCTGTGGAGCACACTGTTTGTCGTTGCGTCTGGTGGCGCCATTTACGTGAGCTACATTCCCCGTCGATCAAGTGCTAACTCTTGCTCAGAACGCTGGCCTTATGACTCTGATTGGTATCTGGGGTCCCACCGTGGCTTCCGTTGCCAACCTGCTCACCATCGGTCTTGTGGCCGTCATGGACGCCGTGTGGATGGGCCGCATCCCCGACCTGCAGACCATTGGTGGCGCAGGACTCATCTGCGGTGGCTTTGCCGCCTTGTTGTGGGAGGGCGACGTCGAGGGATGAGGCCGGTGGTAGAGAACCTTTGCTCAACATAGATGTATACTTAGAGGTTTCCCAGAGTACACGCCTTGAACAATTCCGCCCCGTCGTCACATTGAAAGTCAGGCTCGTCAGGTCAGGTCGCGTGTGGCGGCCAATGACGGAGGTGGCAACGAGGAGCGCCTGTGATTTGAATTGAAGCCTTGTCCGACCGCATTTGATGACCCAAACGTCCCAGTGACATCAGGTATCACGCACCTCGTTGTCTCCACCGGCGCCAGCGTGTCCTGTGCACCTTATCTTGCCCATGGCCTCTTGGTCGTGAGACAGCATGCATGCCGAGGATGGAATTGCCACACCGGGAATAAAAATCCGCAAGCGGACGAGGTATATTGGTCCCGCGTTGTTGACGGTGGGAGTGTACGGGGTCCTGGATGTTGTTGCCAGCCACACGCCGCGGTCGAGTGACCTCACAGCGCCATCAAGTCCCATCCCGCCACACATTTCCGTCTCATTCACTCTCACTCATCCTCCATCCCACCTCTTTTTCATAATGGTGCGCTCTCTAACCCACGGACCTGTGCAAGAGCTTACACACCCCTACAGTCTCTTACACCACAGGCGCTCCGCCTGCTCTCGCGCGAGGTCGTCACCCTCCGCACCGAACCGCCCGAGGGCGTCCGCATCGTCGTTGACGAGGACGATCTTACCGCACTCGAGGGATGGGTGCAAGGTCCATGTGAGTTACCCCACAACCGGATCTAGTCGTGCCATTTGCCACTGGTCCCCGTCCGAATCCACGAGCACACCGTCAACCACCACCACAAGGCGGTTGTTTGGCGTGATGTGCGGTGGCTGGTCGACTCCGCTTGCCGCCCTAAATGATCAATGATCAATGAAAGACGTTGCTGACCCACCGCTCTAGCCGGCACACCGTATGAGGGTGGCTACTTCCGTGTCCACTTCCACTTTGGTCCAGACTACCCTTCGCAGCCCCCCAAGTGTGCGTGTTGGACAATGGATTGAGAAACCCGCGACTGACAAAGGTTGCAGGTACCATGGTCACCAAGATTTTCCACCCCAACATCTCCAAAGCTGGCGAGATCTGCGTGGACACGCTCAAGAAGGGATGGAAGAGAGAGTATGGTGTTGGACACGTCTTAGTCGTGAGTGCAAGGGATGCGGCTATGCTTTTGACCCGAGACCCAACGAGTGCAGCTCACACAGCCATTACAGACCATCAAGTGCCTGCTGATCTACCCCAACCCGGAATCCGCACTGGACGAGGAGGCAGGCAAGCAACTTCTGGCCGACTATGAGGGATACTCAAAGTACGCCAGGTTGCTGACGGGCATCCACGCCACGCCAAAGGTGAGCTTCGGACTTCGCTTCGGTCTCACAAGCTCGTCCTAACGTCCAGATCCCCCCCGCACCCTTCCGCGACTCTGCGCCGGCCTCCCAGTCCGACTTTGTCCTCCCCAACCCCCCTACGGCCTCGGCACCAAGTGCCTCTGCCTCCCCCTACGCGTCGGCATCAGCCTCGCCCCAGCCTCTATCCCTCCCGCGCCCGCCCCTCGGTGCGTCGCGGCAGGCCACTTCGCCGGCTCCGCCCAGCCTGGATGATGGACCCGTCAAGCCGACTGCGGGTGCACCTACACCGTCTACGGGTGTGAAGAAGGCTCCCACCAAGACTGCCCCGGCTGCCAAGGCTAAGCGTGGCTTGAAGCGTCTTTGATCGGTGAGAGTGTGTGTGGAGACTTTGAGGGCGAGCGGGAGGATGGGCAGGCATTGGAGGGTGCATGCATTAGGACACTGGATTCATCATTGTTTGTAGCGTGTTGTGTCATGCAGTTGATGGTCGCGTCGGTTACCGCGTTCCCGTCCCAGTTGCAGTGGGTGGCCGTGGTGGCAAAGAAGTTGGGTGCTGGAGAGGGTTGCGGGTTGCTTGAACTGAAAAATCGGTCGCGTCGTTCATTTGTTTTTGGTTTCACCCTTTCCCTTACTGCAGCTTACTGCTTTGCCCTCCATTCATCCCAATGCCCCTCCCGATACTCGACAGCCCGCTGCTCACCCTCCCTGTCCTCGACACTTTGCTCGCGCGCACAACAGACCCCGTACAGAGGGTCCAACTCCTCGGTGCGAGGGTGCATGTGTTGGCAAAGGACGTTCCGGTTCGGCATGCGACTGGAGCACCTTCAGCGTCCGCCGCTCCAGAGTCTGCTTTGGCAACGACTGCTCTGAACGCCAACACGGATGCTGTCTGTATCACTACCCAGGTCAATGCCAGCTCTACCGGCGCGGCTGAAGCGCCCCTCCCAGCTCACACTCCTGCTCCTCGTCACGCACCCCGCATCCCGTCCGACCCCACACCGATACTCGCCGCCCGCCTTGCCCTCGCGGACGCGCACCTCCTCCTGCCCATCCCAGACCAGCATGCCGCCGAGGCTGAGGCACTGGGTGTAGAGGGAGAGTGCAAGAAGCTGAGTAAGGCTGCGAAGCGGTGGACGGGGATCGAGGCAGCCGCGGACGGCAGTGCCGAGGCCACAGCTTGGGTCAGCCAGCTGCCTGCCCTGCGCGTGCGTGCGCTCCGCGTGCTCGTTGCTGTGGAAGAGGGGCTTGGGAGGCCCGCGCGTGCTGAGAGGTGGGGTAGCCTCGCGGACGAGCTGGAGGGCAAGTGAAGCGGACGCACATGATCACATCGACGGGAGGTATGTACAGTACGGAGGGTGTCTCTGTCTAAGGGTTGCGCTCACACTTCTAGCTGGGATTCTCGTCCCCCCCCCCCACTGGGATAAACACCACATGGCGACGGAAACTACTTTGGATTCGCCGCGGGAAGCTGGGATCTTCTTGCTAGGCTGCGCTCTACGCCTACGCGCCGTCGACCTCGAGGCCGAGCTGCTTGCACACCAGCCAGGCCGCCACCGTCGTGGCCGTCTTCTTGGTGTCCCTCACCGCTTCGGCAGAGTGCTCGACACCCTCCTTGTCGACGACACTCACCGATCCACGCCAGCGCATACCGGCTGCACTGCACGCGTAAGACGGCATGCGGCCCGTCTCCTTCATCGCCCATGCGTTGAGCGCACCGGTCGACCCAGCAGTCACGTGCGCGGACACGCCGCCCTCGTCCTCGGCGATACTCTGCAAGCTCTTGAGGTCTTGTTCCATGCAGGCGAATGCAAAGTGTGCGACGGGAGTGAAGAGCGGGCGCAGCCAGCGTTCGATATAGTCGTACGCCTCGCCGCGCGTGCGCATGGGACGCAGGCGGAGGGGGGCCAGAGGCTCGAGTTTCCACGCAGAGGTGTAAGCCGAGGGGACCGCAGGGCCATCCTCGGTGGTTGAGCTGGAACGAATTGAACGGGAGCGCCTGGGCGTTGGTGTCCCGAGATGCTTCTCGGGCCAAGGCGGGGGAAAGCACGGCGAAGCGAATGGAATCGCGAGGTCGGCGACCTTGTTGCAAACCTAACAGTTAGGCCTGACTCCTTTCTTACGAGCTACTCACGTCTTCGTCACTGATCACCCCGTGGGACTGTTCTGCGTGGCTGTCGGGGGTCTTGTCTTCGCGAGTAGGCCCCAGTGGTGTCTCGACAGTCTTGTCCTCGACGGAAGTGGTGCCGTTGGGGGACGCCTTTTCGCTGGAGCCGTTGGCCGTCTCGTCACCCTCGCTGGTCGCGTCTTGGACCTGTTCAGACCCCTTGTTCTCGACACCATTGATCCCAGTGCTCATGTCCTCGAGTGTGCTGGTGTTGGTAGCGGCCCCCAGCGACACATCGACAGAAGAGACACTAGCAACTGACTCGACATACTCGACATACTCGCCATGTACACTCTCAGGGTCCGCCGTCGCAGCGGCACCGGAGACGGTCGTCTCCGACTCTGCCTGGGCAGTGTACACACCCGGAACATCACTGGCCAGGAAGTCGTAGAACACGCCGGCAATGTAGGCTTCAAACACTGAGCCGCGGGTCTTGACCTGGACGCGGGTGGTGTACAGTGCGCTCGGGGCGGCTACAATCATGTCGGTGATGTGGTAGCGAGAGCAGAGCTGGGCCAGTGTGGTATTGGCTACGAGGTGAGCCTTGAGCATCTGGAGATGTTAGCTGCAATACTTTTCTTCACGCGGGGCGGTCCACAGCTCACGGTGGCAGGCCCAGGCTGGAGCTGGGGGTACAGGTCGTGCAGGAGCGTCGTGACGACAGCGCCGAGGAGACCGTCGCCGACGTGCTCGAGCTTTTCATAGTCTTCAATCTTTTCTGCTGGATCTTGCTCGAGTGCATGTGGGCGACGAGGAAGAGCGTGGTTGCTCGAGTGCGTGACGGCGAGGCGCGCCAGCTCGGGATCAGCAATGGGAGGGAGGGGAGGGAAGGGGAACACAGGGAGCTCGGGGATGATGAGTGTCGCGAGGGAGCTAGCTGGTGGCATGGTGGTAGATCTACCAGGTAAGAGTGTGTGTGCGTGAGAGTGAGAGAGTGGAGAGGAGGACGACGACGATGATGCGAGGAAGGTCGAGAATGGTCACCTAGCCGCCAACAACAGACAGAGCGCTAAAGGTGGAGGCGGGGCCCTTTTTTGCCGTTGGGTGGCAAAACGTTGAAATGCCGTGTCCATTTTCATATCAGTGCCCAAGATTTCTCGCCCTTCCGTGTGTCCCTGGGTGATGTGATTGTGTCGCACGCGACCACTTGTCTATCTGTCTGTCTCCTTCACCATCATCCCAACAGGCCAAGCAGTCGGGCTCACACACCCCGTTCCATGCCCCAGGCCCTCTCATTCTCTGCCTGGTCGTCGCTGCACATGTCTAGGAGCCCACGTGTAACGACGACGCCAACAAAGAAGAAAGGACCCGCTCCGTACCAACCCCAACCAGTCTCCGCCGCATCCCCCCTCTCGTCGGTGCCCGCAATGTCGCGCGACGCATTCGTGGTCGCTGCGGGCTCGGGAACGCCCCGTGCAACCAGCATGAGTGGCAAGAAGCGCCCCCGTGAGAGCGACGAGGGCCACAGTGCTGCTCGTCGCACCCGCTCTGTCGGCGCCGGCGGCGACGGCACCCGTGACAACAGTGCCGCCCGCGAGCGTGAGGCCTTTCAACGCCAGCTCATCGGTGTATTCGTGCCTCGAGCACTGAAGGAGAGCGCAGAGGGCAACTCGGCAAACTATTCCGACCTCGTTGCACACTTTCTTCCCACAGCTCTCCAGCCCATTGTCCAGCTCCCTCCACTCCTCCCCCTCCTCCGCGCCCTCACCGCGCACGTCTCCCTCCTCTCTCCCGACCTCCACGGCAACCTCGTGAGCGCGATCCTCGCCCTCCCCTGGGCAACGGGAGACGACCGTTTTGTTAAAACCTTTGTCGGATGGGCGGGCGTCCTCGTCTCTGCTCACCCCGGATGGGCAAAGGAGGTCGTGGGCATGGCGGTGAAGGGTTTCAAGTGGCGTGAGTAGCGTGGCTGCGCCGATGCCGGTAGACTGGTCCTGACGATGACGCAGAGCCCACCTTCGGTTCCGAATCGACTATCACCAGGCGCATCTTCCATGCCCGCCACCACTTCCTGTTGGCACACCTGCTCGAGCTCATCCCTACGCTCCCTACCGTCTTGCAGCAGATCCTGTCCCGCCAGGCGCCGCACAAGCGCGAAACCGAGGTCGTCCAGTCGACATGGGTGCGCAACTGCTGCGACCTGATCGAGTACTGCCCCGAGCTCGGCGCCCGTGTGTGGTCGGGTCTTGTGGACAAGATGCTCCGTATCGACCTGGAGATCACCAACAGCGTCGAGGACGACGATGACGATGATGATGACGACGATGATGACGACGAGGACGAGGATCTTGCTCCTGCGCCTGCTATCGACCCATTTGACCTCTTCGTTTCGCAGGACGTACCCAAGGACAGTGTCGATGAGGAGAGCGATGACGAGAGCGACGATGAGGCAGACCCGGACATTGATGCTCTCAGCTCGGACGAAGAGCCCGAGAGCGACGAGGACGACAAACCCAACATGGCCAAGCTGGCCGCTGCTCGCAAGCTGAAGCGCGATGCTCTGCGGTCGATGCGGTCCAAGCTCGATGCAATGCTCGCCCACTTCCTCCGCCACCTCCAAGAGTCCATGGGCGTGAGCGAGCGTGGCCTGTCCGCTGCCGAGCTCGGTGCTCAGGTCGTCCCTTCATCCCAGAGCTCGGGAGCGTCGACCCCTCGCAACCGCCCGGGCACCCCGACGACATCCACCACCCCCAACACCTCGCTGTCATCGCGTCCGGCACTCTCCCCGGCCCAGTCGCTTGCCCACTTCCAGACGCTCCTCAACCTCTTCTCGCGCCAAATCCTCCCCACGAGCGCGACCCAGCACCTCCCGTTCGTCATCTTCATGTGCTCGAGCATCTCACCGGCCCATACCGAGCTGTTCCTGCACCTCCTCGTCTTGCAAGCGCTGTACGCGCGTACATCGGACGCTCCCACCCTCGCCTCACAGCCCGTGTCGCTGCAGCAGCGCGTAGCGGCCACTGTCTACATCGGCTCGCTCGTCTGCCGTGCGCGCTTCGTCACCGACGACCAGGCAAGGACTGTTATGCAGTACCTCCTTGCCTACGTCGAGGGAAAGCTCGCGCAGGCTCGCGGTGGCGACGCCGCCTCCCTTGCAGCCCTTGACGAGCTTCCGCTCTTCTACGCCGTCTGCCAGGCCTGCATGCTCATCTTCTGCTTCAGGTGGCGTGCGTTCGGTCCCGGATCCACCACCAATGACGACTGCGTCACTGGTGAGCTGGAGATGGACGATGTCACCGCCGACTCTGGCGCGGCCGGTGGCCCATGGCTGTCCGACCTCGACACGCTCCAGCGCGCCCTCACATCCGAGCTCAACCCTCTCCTTGGCTGCAACCCCACAATCGTCAACACGTTTGCCAAGGTCGCCCACTCTACCGGCTTTGCGTACTGCTTCAGCATCATCGAGGCCAACCAGCAGGCCGCAGCGCGCGCGAGCACCTCGACCCTCCGCGGTAGCGGCTCGGGCCACAACAGCCCTGCCGCCAACGGCCGCTCGGGATCCACCTCGGCCCAGGGTTCTGGCTCGGGGCGCAAGCGTACGGCCCCCGTTCACGCCGCGCCGCGCATGGCGCGCCAGGCTAACGTCGAAGCCGGCCTCGACTCATACTTCCCCTTTGACCCGTACGACCTGCCCCGGTCGGGCGAGTTTGTCGAGTCCATCTACAGGACATGGGACGAGGTGGCCGTCGACCTCGGCGGCGACTCGGACTCGGACTCGGACTCTGGCTCGGAGGAGGAGGAAGAGGATGAGGACGAGGACGAGGACATGGAGGAGCTCGACTCGGACGACGAGCGCGGTATGGCCATCAGCCGCTCCAAGCCCCGCGCCATGCCGCGTCTCCCCAAAGTCGGCTCGTACGGCGAGCACCGTCGTCGCGACCTGCTCCGTGACGGCGGGTTGAGTACCAGTTTAGAAAACATGAGCATATCACCAAACGTCTCGGGCCTGGCGTAAACGAAGGCGTGACGAGCGTAATAGCATTTGTTCATTGTTGCCATATGAATGTTGTACACATCGGAAAAAGCTCTACAGGGAACCACTACAGAGAACGACGAATCAAATGGACGAGCGGCTGAGACGGTGTTAGCTATCGACCAACCCGGTGATGATGAAGCTTACCGGATACGCGTGTTCCTCTTGGTTGCCATGACACTCTTGCTGTCGTCGACGTAGCCGCGCGGAAGACGACCCTCAGCAGCCCACATTTTGAGCTGCTTACGGGCCGCCTCGAGGCCAATCTCGCGCACCTCGGTAAACTTTTTGAATCCTCCAATCGTCTCAAACTGCTGCACGGGCATGGTCATGTACCGGCAGTACGGGTCTTCCTTGACGTCTTCGAGCGTCTTGACCGACGAGACGTAGGTGAGACGAGACGAAATCTCCGTCATGGACGGGACGGCGCCCTTGAAGAACGGGTTGAAGCGCTGGAAGAAGAGCCACCAGCCCGAGACCGAGTCGCCATAGTTGCGCGGAGACGTGTCGTCGATCGAGCCAACGTCCACGACGATAATGTCGCGAATGCCAGAGGCGCGGAGCGGCCCGATGGGCGTGTTGTCCATATAGCCGCCGTCGACGAGCACTGTGGGGTTAGCTTCATGTTGTAACCGGCACGAAGCTCACGGTTGCCATTGTCAGAGAGCGGAGGGAGGAACCCGGCCAGCGTCATGGAAGCTCGGACGTAGCGCCTGAAAGTCAGCTGCGTGATGGCAATCCAGCTCACCAGGCATAACCTGAACGGTGGATATCCATGCGGGAATGCGTAATGTTGGTCGAGTTGCAGAAGAACGGAATCCAGAAATCTTTACAGTCAGCCATGGCTTCCGCTGTCAGTCGCCTACCTTCTATGTGGGTATTGTAGAATGCCTTGTCTACGAGACGTCAGTAGTGTTCTTGGTCTGTTATCGCCATCGTTGCTCACAAATACCGCGGTCTGGATGTCAGCAAAAAGTCTAATAGGTGCCCACATTCAGCTCACTAAATTCGTGACCAGTCGTGTACGCAACGAAGGGGTATGTGACGTCGCTGAGGATGCGGAGCATCGAGCCCATACGACCAGCAAACTGCTTGGCGCGACCCGTCGCCTGGATGATATCCGTGTTGCGCGAGTAAAGACCGCCAATCATGGAACCGATCGAGCAGCCCGAGATGCCGTCCACGGGGATACCAGCCTCTTCGAGCGCCTGGAGCATGCCCAAGTGCGAAATACCGCGCGCTCCACCGCCACCGAGGACAAGACCCACTTGCTTGCCGCACAAGCGACGAGCGATACGGGCAAAGTCGTCCATGTGCGGTGGGCGCCGTGGGCGACCGAGAGGACGGAGGCCACGGTATTGCTTAATCTTGGTCTCGACCTGTTCGCGGAGGTGCTTGAACGCAGCAACGGCCGAAGGGTCGTGGTTCTTGCGTGCTTGGTTTGTGGAGACGACGCCGGGGAGCTCGACGTGGTAATGAGCCTGGACCCATGGACGATTCTGGTTTGTCAGAAACAATGGGTTCAATAATATAGCCCTACCTTGAGCCACAGACGTGTCGATCCTGGAGCAACTGTGCGTTCGTCATGGAGGAGGATGAGTTCTTTACGCGCATAGCACTTCATGGCCATGAGGAGCTTTTCTGCGTCGGTTAGTCGGACTCCAGCGGCTATAACCTACCGTATTCGCCCAGGGATGGGTCATCACCCATCCCGACAACCAGTACGAGATCCGCCTGGCGGATACAAGTCATGGTCCACTGGCTCGCAACCGGCGTGTCGGCGACGTAGAGAACAATACGGTGGTGTTGCTGGCGGGTTAGGTTGTTCCTGAGCGAACCGTGAAAACCCACCTCCTGGTCGGCAAGCCAGCCTGCAATCTTAAGAGCTCTGTAGGGTTAGACTTTTCTCCAGGAAGTAATAACCCACCCCATCCTGGTGAAAGCATGGCGTCCGAGGTGACGCATCACAGTTGCCTGGTCGAGGTATGAAGTGGCACCGCCAATTTCCTCGAGCGAAGTTTTCAGTTTGCCCGCAAACTTGGCCACCGGGACGCTACGGTTGGTGCCGATAATACAGACCGTTTCTGGGTTCACAGTTAGTTACCGTCCGGCTAAAGCTAACTGTCGTGTAGAAAACGCACTCAAGTTCCTGTCGGCGCGAAGCTCCTGAGACGGACTCCAGTGCTGGACACTCTGCTCCCCAACAGCCTTGCGGACCCTCCTGGCGATGAGACGCATAAACTGCAGCGTCGTGGCAGGGTGGCGGGCACTGATGGCGTCGAAGAGCGCAGCCGGGATACGGACGAGTTCGGTCTGGCGGATAGCCTGCACAGTTTTGGGACGGACGGCACCCGTGATGACGTCCAGTTCTCCGATGGAGTCGTTTTGACCGTACTCGCGATGTACGTCGACGCCCTCCCTGTCCTTCTTCGGGCTCACCGCACGAAGACGGCCGTCTGATTGTTAGCTATGAGGTGGGGGCTCACACAGCTTGTACCCACTGATGACGAGATAGAAATCGGTTGCCTTGTCTCCCTTCTCGTACTGCGATAATGTTAGAAAATGGGCAACCATTGCCGGACGTACCAGAATCTCTCCTGCACCTAGCTGGATCCAGTCAAGACCGGCATCAATGTGAAGAACTGATGGGTTAGTCTCGCAAGGTATCACCTCGTAAACCTACCTTGAGGCGAAAGAAGAGACAGGAGACGCTTGGCAAGCGTAAGCTGGACGAGTGGCCGACGCTCGGTAATACGATCCAGCGCGTGCTGGGGGAGGAAACCGACAAAACAGTCGGTCTTTGCCCTTCGTGGTTAGAGTTCTCTCGGTCGCCCCCCACAACTCACCTAATGTTCACGTATGAGTCCTGGCTGCAAAGCGATGAAAGGTAACCGGCCAATCCACCAGGCTGACGTCAATTTCGTCGCTCTCGGTATTTGAAGCCCACCTTGACTGTGTAGAGCTGCTCCTCATCCGGTGAGCTCGAGTCTCCAGGCTTCTGCGGTACATGGCCCATTGCGAGGCCGAATGGACGGTCATGCGATGAGCGGTCGACCGCGGGCAGGTTGCTTGACTCATTGTCGTCCTCGTCCTCGGCAGTACGGACGGGGATGGAAACCTGCAGAGTTAGTACTGGGCTCATCCAGCCTAACTCACGTCTAGGAAGCCGTCAATGACATAGTATAGACCCGAAGCACGGTCGCCCTGCTTGGCCAGCGTTGCACCCTTCTTAAAGTGGAGGATCTCGAGGTGGGTGCCGAGGTCGCGGAGGATCTTGGCATTCACGTCTGGAGCGCCCCCAAAGCTGTCCTGCATGCTGGCAGAGACGCTGCTCTGGTCGTCCGTGTCCGTTACACCGGCATTCAAGAGACTCTCGCGCAGAAGACCACCAATGTTGTTGTGGTTGTGAGCTCCCGAAGCATTCATCATATCGAGGACGTTGCCGAATGGCGGCCTTCCGTTGCTGGTGTGCGGACGACCATTTGGGAAGAGCATGGGCGAGTTGGGAGTGGATAGCGACACAGAAGCCGAGACAGAGCGACGGCCGTGTGCGTCGACGTGGTGCGCGTCCTGCAGGAGACCAACCGACTTGGCAATGCACTCGACGAGGGCATCACGGAGCTCAGTCTCGTCCTCCTCGTCCGAGTCAAAGCCGAGGTGATCTGTTGAGGACAAGCGGCCACGCCAAGTGTCCATGCGGGGCAGGCCTGGCGTGTTGGGAGACCGGTAAAACGTGTCATTGACAGGAGCGGTTTCGTCGGCGGTCAAGGCCAGGTCACCAGCAGCCACCTCTTTGCGCATCTGCGAGTTGCGGTGGATCAAGGTGCTAGGGTGGTGGTGGTTCAGCGGGCTTACCGATAGCATCTCCTCGGCGGCGGTGTCTTCCGAGTCGGACGCAACAGTAGAATCGTCTTTGGGGATCATGAGAGGAATGGGCTTGACAGCGGGCGTGTTGGCCGACCTGGGAGTGACGGAGGGGAGCGACGGCGCCTTGACCGTTGGACTAGGAGGCACCGTGTCCAAGAACTCCTTTGACATGGTGCGTCTGGAGACGCTCTCTGGGCGACGGCGCCGCAGTTCAGGTTGGAACCGCTCGCGGAGGTGCTGCATGCCTCCACCAGAGTAGAACGAGCGGGGTAGCGGGTACGACACGAGCTGGTTCAGAGCTGCCTCGGAGCGCAGAATCTCGCGAGTGAGTCCGAGGAACTTGTGGGCGGCCATGAATGTGACACGGCTGAACCGCTCGAGTACGACCTGGACGATGGAACCGGTTGCTTTGGGGTACTTGCGGGTGAGCTTGCGGAACGCTTCGGCCGGAATGACCGCGAGTGTGCTATCCACCGTCGCACGAGCAATGGTGCCCTTCATGGCGTCGTCCACAAAGTTTGGCGTCACAGGAGGTGTAGGGTGATGGGACAAGTTGCTGGGGCGGAGCGTCGACTTTGGCGCAGGTGTGGCATCCATTGATGGCGAGGATTGAGTAGTGACCGGCTCGGACGATGAGACGTCACGGAACATCTTGGGAGAAGGGTTCTCTGGCTCTGGAGACCACGAGGAAGCCCGGGCAGTGCCGTCGGCGGTGCTGACGGAGGAGTAACGCCTCAGACGTGAGGCATCGGGGTCGGCAGATGGTTCCAGATCAGTGGGTGAAACCTCTACCGGGCTGAGGCTCAGGCCCATGGTGCGACCGTCCAACTGGCTGACATCAGAGTCGGCTCGAGACGCACGTCCTCCAGTGTGTGGACTGCTGGTACCGCTGACGTCTTCCGACGGCGTAGCCCACGGCAGTTTGATGTCCTCGGTGAAGAGCGACAAAATGGAGAAGAGCGACGAGAGCGTTCCGCCAGTGGAGACTTCGTTAATCAGGGTGTAACCATTGAATGAAGACGAGCTGTGGGTGAACGGGTCGGGAGAGCTGGGGACGCCGCCATCCGAGGTGGGGGCAAACTGGCTGGGTCAGAAACGGCATGAGAGGTTATCACCCACCACCTGGACACGGCCCTCGACGACACACCAGAACTCGCCACCGCCAATCTCCATAGTGTCCCCAGCCGCGAGACGGCGGGTCTGGAGGTGGCGGCTGAGCTCATGGAAGACGGGTTTCTCGAGGTATCCAAAGATGCGGATGGCAGAGAGAAAGTCGTCGAGGTACGACTTGAGTGGATTGGCCGAGCTGTTGGAGAGGTCATTGAGAACCTCGTCGCCAATGAGGGGCAACGAGTTGGAGAGAGTGGGAGGGGAAGGGGGAGGGAGGCTGGAGAGGTGAGCAACTTGCTGAGGACAGCCTACCTACGCGTCTTCCTTGAGCTGAGTGTATCGAGTGAGGTACTAATGATGGGTCAGCAGAGGGTCGTGTAAGAGTTACCCACCCTGTAGCGAACAACGAAGAAGATGGCCCCCACCACACCTGCGAACAGAGCAGCAATGTGAGGGAAGCCGAGGGAGATTGTAAACGACGCATGGAGCATCTGAACGATCAGGCTGATGGTCAGCTTCACCCGACACGGGTTTTCCAGCTAACGTAGGAATGGTAATGGTGACAAAGGCCACGGCGCTCTGGACGAGCTGGAGGATGTAGAGGGTGGCGGCTACGAGGGCACTGGCGAGCGACACCAGTGGGTTACTGCCTGGAGGAGGAGTCGGCGGGCGCGCGTGTGTTGACAGCTTCTCGACGACCTCGGCGGCGGCGAGACCGCCTTGGAGGGCCGCGAGGAGCACCACGGTGAGGGTCGTCATGGTGGTGTGGAGACGAAAGGAAGAGTGGAGTGTCTAGTTGAGACGGACGATGATCATTGTCGTGTGGAAGAGAGAGAAAGAGTGCGAGGAAGACAAAGCCATTCGACCCATGAGAAGAACGTTTGCCTCTCGACGTGATCTCCTTTGCCTACGCTTGCTTCTGCGCGCTCTCCGCCCGCCGCCGCTGACGCGCCTGGGGGTGTGTGGCCGATTGCCCTCTGGCGCCAGGCACGATCAACACGTTTCCTAATTTCCTGCCGTACACGAAATCCACTGGCTGAACCTGGCCGACCAACAGAATATCTCCTGGGCTCTACACAATCTGCTGCTGTCTCCCGCCGCGCCTGTTGCTTTAGAGCGGCCTCCATCGCCCAACCACCCTCGCGCCATGTCCATCGAACCGGGGATTCTCGAGTCGCACCTCGAAGAGCTTGCTACAGACTACTATGGTGAGCGAGCCATGAGACAGCCCACTTACCTCGTGTGTCTTCGGCAATCAGGCTGACAGCTTCCAGATCTCCAGGCTTCCCTCGCGAACCACTTCCAGCAGCCTCCCACTGCCCTCGAGGCGCTGCGCATGACGAGCAAGGGACACCCGACAGTGATCCATGGTGAGGTGGAGCTGGAAACCAGGAGGTGACACGAGACCGTGGACTGACATGACCAGGGTTCAGCCCGATGCTTGCGGCCGGCGAGACCGACTGGCGCCAGCCCGAGTCCTACATCAAGGTGCAAGGCGAGACCCCGCTGACCATTGCTGTTACGGATGACGGGTGAGCTTATACTGACCATAGCGGAAAGCTCATGCCAGACTTGCCGACTCGGTGCGTACCCTCGCCGACGGCACGACGTCGTTTGTCAAGCCGCTCGACGAGACCATGACCATGACGGCCTTCCTCGCCCGCCTCACGGGCCAGGACGAGTCGCGCGACGAGGCACTCTACCTCCAGTCGCAGGACGGCAACATCTACCGCTCCGAGCCGGGAGCGCGGGGCTCGCCAGAGCTGGCCACTTTCCAGAGCGTAGTGGCCCGCGATGTGTCGTGGATGAAGGAGGCCTCTGGTGGGCCGCATCTTTGCTCCTGACAGTGTGCTGACCCATGCAGGCGAGTCGGCCGAGGCAGTCAACCTCTGGATCGGCAACAGCAAGAGCACTACCTCGTTCCACCACGACCCGTGAGCTGATCCTGTTGGTCGGAGCTGACAGCCAGATATGAGAACATTTACCACGTCCTGAGCGGCAGCAAGACGTTTACGCTCCTGTCGCCAATCGACGGCCTCTGGTTTGAGCGTGCGTGTAACCACTCCGTAAGGCAACCTGACACTCGAACGCAGAACAGTTCCATGCCCCATCTACACTTGTGCGTACCGCAGACGGCAAACTCGAGCCCCAACTAGACGAGCCACCGGCACACCCCGTGCCGTGGGTCGAGGACCTGGACGCGCCTCCCCAGTCCCGCCCCGTCACTGTGGTACTGCAGGAGGGAGAGACACTCTACCTCCCTGCTGGGTGGTGGCACAAGGTCGAGCAGAGCGAGGGAAGCACAGGGCTGGCCGTGGCGGTCAACTAGTGAGTTTGCGGTTCACTGACGCAACAAACTGACAATCGCCAGCTGGTACGCGTCCGAGATCAACCCCCAGCGATACGCTCTGGAACGCCTGGCCCAGCGCGTGGCGCGCACCGCTGGCCGCGATGTGCTTCCAGTCGACATTGTGGACGAGGACGTGTGGGGCAGCGAGGTGGACTCGGCGGACGAGTGGGACCCCAAGGACTGGGGCAGGTAGATAGATGGGCAGCATGTAGCAGCGTACAGAGGGCATGTAATGCGCGGCTTCTGCCTTTACAACTTCGCAAGCAGCTGTATCGTACCGGGTCAGTGTAGCCAAGAACATGACGAGCAAGGATGAACAAAACGCGAGACTGTGTCAGTGCAAGAACACAACAGACGGCTAGAATGCTAGATGGATGCCATCGAAAAAGCGCGCTGTCCTACGACGACCTATGCATACATTGGCAACACCTCGCACCGTTTAGCGGGTGTAGGTCCAGACGCCCTTAAGGAGGCCCTCCTTGGTGGCAATGCGGTTGATCGACTGGGAAGCGTCAGTAAAGAGGTTTGGAGATGGAGTGACGAAGAGGAGGGGAGGAAAATGTTGCGCTGGGGTGGTTGGCGGTTGGCGCGTGTAAATTGGATGGGCCAGGCAAACCGTGCTGCGACATGTCCACGACATGTGACACCCAGCACGCCTGGCACTGCAACCGCGACGGCCCACTTGTCCCCAGTCTGTAGCGCGACACTTTTCGCCCTCCTCTCTCCATGTCTCGTCTCGCGACGAGAGAGCGAAACTCACGTCGTCAGCCTCGCCCTGCGAGCGGACCTGGCCGCAGAGAGCGATGGTGGTGCCCTGGCCCTTGATGGCCTTGCCTTCGGCGTCAACGTCGGCGACGGTGATCTGAACCGAGGCGTGGTCCTTGGCCGTGATCAGGCGGTCTGGAGAAGGTGGTCAGCGAAACTGTTTCCCGTGGGCCAAAATGTCGAATCTGGGCGGACACCTCGAAACAGAGCGCGCGCGCCGACAGCCCCTCTCCCGCCGTCCTCCAGCTCCCCAACGCTGTCCCTCCCATGCTCTCCATCCCAGCCGTCCTCCTCGCTGCATGCTCGCGCGCTCTGTATCCAAGTTTGGCCATTGGGGGTCGTGTCGAAACTCACTGGTGGCGGCACAGTGGCGGGGGATGTAAAGGTCCTACATCTAGTCAGAGACACACTCCCGTGGTCGTCGCGTTCCTGTCGCTACTCACAACGAGCACACCCTTGTCGTTCTCTGCGGTTCTGTCAGCTGCGCTCTCTCGCTCGCCACCACGTCCGAAACGCACCCATTTTGTCTGATTTTGAGGTAGGTGAGGAGTAGTCGAGGCGACCTCGAACGTCGACCGTCCGTGGCTGGGCGGGGGCTGGCGGGACCACACTGCAGCCAACCCAGGTTTGGCCAAAATGGAATGCCGGCGAGATCGTTTCGCCGATGTGGCAGTTTGCCACGTGTCGTGACGTGCCTGGGTCAGCCCTCCGTTGTATGGCACTTTCAGGAGTCTGTGATCTGTGAGCTGTGAGCTGTGATGCTCGTTCATGCATGCACTGCCAGCACTGCATACACATTCGACTGCTGCATATCTATCTACTCGCCGTCGAGCTCGTCCTTCCGAACCTGCATGGGGGAGCGAACAAACACCAGGTCCTCATCCGCGTCCCCCTCCGGGAGCCGCTCCACAATCGCCCTGCGATCCTGTCAGCTGGGACTGTCTGCATGGCTGGCTGCAACTCACTCGCACTCGCACAGCAGTTCGGTGCAGAACAGGTCGAGGTTGAGGTCGGACGGGTCGTCGCCGAACCTGGGTTTCGTCAGCTACTCGGCATCTCCTGTAACTCACGGCTGCTCAATCTGAGCTGCAATGCCCTCCACGCCACAGAGCGTGAACGCGGTGCACATGACAATCCAGATCATCTTCCAGCCCATGGCCTCGACGAGGACGAACGGGAGGCACAGGAGGTAGAGCGTGACGCATTGCTTGAGGTGGACACAGAAGACATAAGGGAGCGGGGTCTGGATACTGGTTTCGTCAGCTTCACCCTGTGGTTGGTAGCTCACATCCTCTCCATCGACCCAAGCTGGTCAATCATCGCCTGCACGATCCCCTGCATGGCGTTGAAACCCTGCTAGTCAGCGAGGCTTCAGTGCGGTTCGGTGTTCTCACTGCTGGGCCGACGTCCTCAAGGTTGCCTTGGCGACGGAAACGGAAGAGGCCGCGGCTGATCTCGTGGGCACTGGTGGAGCGTCAGAGCGCGAGTCTGCTGAGGATGACCTACATGACTAGAGGCAGACCGACCTCGACCATGCGTCCAAGCACGCTGTCAGCGCTCGAGGCAGCGGCAGCAGCCGCATCGACATCCTCGGCGGTACGACGAATGTCCTGGCGGACACCAGACTTGATCAGTGGGGTCCGCTCGTTGACCGTGCTCGTGGTGGACAGGCGCGACATGGCAGAGGTGGAACGTGCACTGGCCTTCTTCTCAATCTCGTTGATTGTGGGGCGACGAACGCGCACGGCAGTGGGACGGCGGACGGCTTTGCGCTCCGCATGTATCCAGGCAACAGGCACATCCTTGCTGGGCGAGCGGTTGGGCGTGATGGGGAAGGAGAACGAGTTGGACTTGGAGTTGGGCGGGGCAGGTGGCGGTGCCAAACCGACATTGAGCTCCTCCTCGCCCGTCGACAGTGCCGAGCCCGAGTATGTCCTCGGCGAACTGCATTGCGACCCACTGAACGCCGACTCGCTCTCGTCTCCACTGTCCTTGTCGCTGTCGTCGTGGGTGCCCTGTCGGACGAACTCGACAAGGGAGTGAGGAAGCAGCCCTACGGCGGTGTCAGTGGCGTCTGGATGTGAAAGCCCACGGCCACCCGTTGAAACCGGGACACCGTGGCCAAAGACTCACCCTGGAGATCCGCATGGTGCACGCCGCCTTCAGACCTCAAGTAGTGCTTGGTAGCGAACACAAAGCCTACGACGAGCCGGATCAAGTCCTTCTTGCGTTGCGTGAGGTCTTCACGGCTGATCTCGCCGTTGGGAGGGGGCACCACATTGATCCAAATGGCCTGCGAGTCAGCTCCTATGTGTGGCTGTAGCTCACCCTAGACAGGTTTCGAGCACTAGCAATGAGGGAGGTAAAGTCCTTGCGACCCCTGCATGTCAGCTCAGCTGCCTCTATCAGCCGGGAACTGAAGATACGCACTCGGCATAGCGCTCATATGCGGTCGAGTTGCGGAACACTGCCTGTTAGCCAGGTGTAACCCCCAAAGGAATGGACCCACCGAGGAGCAGACCGACGACGACAGAGAGCAGCGGGACTGGAAATAGATCAGCAATTGCGTGCTTTGCGGCCGCCTTTAGCGTAGTCGAGGTGACGACGAGGCGGCGGCGAGTGTTGCCTGGCACCGCAGTTCTGACGCCACTCACCCACGTTGTTCGTGAGCTCAACGTGCTTGCCAAACACCACCGACGCAGCTGCAACCGCGGCTGAGAAGGCAGTGATGAAGACGACAGGGCCCATGACCACTGGAATGATGGAGGAGCTGTACACGAGCACGTCGGCGAGCCACGATATGTTGGACAGCTGTGGCCCGTTAGCAGGTGATGGGCTCCGCCTACGTGACTTCCGAACACCTACACGTGGCTTGCTCTCCTCAACGCTCTGCATGGCGAGGAGCGACGACAGCGTCTTCTTGGGCCGGCCAAGTGATCCCTAGGGCCGTCAGCGCTGCTTCACCCTCTTCACTGCACACGTACCCATGACTTGGTCTTGGAAGTGGCCGGCTTCTTGGCCTTGGCCGTACTGCCCGAGACCTGGCTCGGTGGTGTCGATGTTGACTCGGCCTTCATGGCTGTGGTGGTGGTATCTTTGGTCGACGAAGCGACAGCGTTTGGATGAAGGAATGGAGGAGCAGTGTCACGTCGCGACATGTATGTGTGCACGGGGGAGGAGGCGGTCACGCATCCAGCAGAAAGGAAGGAAGCTAAGCAAGGTCCCATCGAAGGGGGGACGCGTCGCTGAAACCAAACCATATACCCGGGTGGAGGTCTTTGTTTTTACTTTCAGCCCACAGAGCCCACATGCATATGCACGATGCCAGCACAGCCCTGGCCCCCGCCTCACGAGTGCGCTCCGTACGCTCCGGTGCGCACGGTGTGGAGCGAGACACACCCAACGGGTGAAACTCGGCCCGCTTCCCGGCACACCTTGTCCTGTGATCTGTGAACAGTGAACGGTGAACCAACAGATGTTTCAGTAGTGACGTCAAACCGCGCACAGCTGGGCGCCGGACGTGGCCGCTGCTCCGCTGAGCCAAGTGATCCAGTGATGTGTTGTAACCCCACCAAGTCACATCCTAGAGCACAGAAACGCGCTTGAACCACTTCAACTTTGGCTCTACTATATCGGTGCGGTGGAATGCACCTCCATGATACTTGGGGGTTGTCCAGCGACTGAGACTCACGGACTACGGGTGGCGAACGCGCAGCCCACGGGCACACAGCTGTATGGTGGCCACCGTCGGTACGGGCCGTCGTCGCTGTGGACACAGACGCCCGACTGCAAGACACCATGCGCTGTGCGCACACGCCTTGGTTGCCGATACGTACCTGCAACACCTGATCACCTGACCTGGACCGCACAGGTCCCGGCTGCCAGGTACTGCCAACCGGGAATCGTGGCTCTGCCACGGCGTTGCTACGCACTCCCATTGCCATCCATGTTCTTCCCATACTGGCCATCTTCTTGTTGCAGAAGGCGACCGTCCCTAGCTAGCTACATTACAACAGAATCACGCTCACTGTCTCGCCCGTCTCGTATCTAACACCCGCATATGTCCCTCCTATAACTGACGGGACTCTCTTACTCCTTGTCTGCGAGCTGCTTCTTGGCGTCCTCGAGCTCCCCCTTGATACGCTGAAGCTCAAACTGCTGGGTCGCCAATTGGTCGGCGGCCTTTTGCCATGACGACTCAAACTTGATGGACCGCTCGCGCTCTTCCTCAAGACGCGCATTCGCCTCGGCCAGTTGCTCCTGAAATACAGTCAGACACATGCGATCGCCCGCGAAAAAAGGGCAAACTCACCTGGACTTCGTTCTTTTCGCGCTCCTTGCCGAGTATCTCCTCGTCCACCAGGCCCATACGGTTGGACAGTTCGGTAATGTATTCAGCTGCACGGCGCAGGAGCTGTCCCTTGCCGATCTTGTCCATGCCGCCGGGGATGAGGCGGGCAATCTCGTTGATACCCTCGTTGATGTTCTCTCGCCTGCGGCGCTCAACCTCCTTCTGTTTGGGTCAGTCAAGCAATTCAAGATGGATTATTACCCACGTGGCTGTCCTTCTTCATCTTGATGGGGTCTATTGGGTCACCGTTCTCAACGGGGCCAACAACAATGTCTTCGTCCTCGCGACGTCGCTTGGCCCTGCCGATCGTGCGGCCCATACGCATGCCGTTCTGGTCGCTGTTGTCCTCGGACATGGCGGCGTCGGCTGGTTCGTTGCTGAGGTTGTGGGCGCTGTTCTCAAACGTAAAGTCGCCATGGTCGTTATCTGCTGCGGCCGCGGCTGCGGCTGCGGCGGCCGACTCTTCCAGCTCGCGTTCGCTCTTGTGTGCAGCCTCGAGAAGCGTGTCCAAACGCGCTTCACCCATCAAGAGGCTGCCATCGTCGCCGCCGACGTTGAGACCGCCAAACAACTCGTTGCGGCCGTCATCCAGGACATGCTGAGCAAAGCTCGTGAGGGGATTCTGCGAGTCGCTCGAGACGCTGTTGAGGGTGGCTGGGTGGAGGGAAGGGTCGAGGTTGGCAAAGAGGGGGTCGCTGGGCTCCGCGCTGGATGGACGCGAGTGGCCGCCTGCGGACCCCGAGCTGCCGTCGCGTGGGGCTGAACCCGAGCGGGCGAGAGACATTGCTTGGGACTGGAGTTGGTGGATGCCTCTGTCTGGGCTCAAGGTGGATGGGAGTATGGGCAGTTGTGAGAGTGGATGGTAGACGCCAACGCGGGTTGTAGGTGTGTGTGGGCGGCTGGAGCGTGTTGTGGCCCCGTCGGTTACTTGGCAATGACGCTCTGGGGTGTGTGTGCGATGAGAGAGAGAGCGTGGGAGGGGAAGACCAAGTCATGTGATCTCTCGGGGCACAACAAACGCAAGAGGCGCGTCCACTCACCCAGCCATTTTCAGCTCATGTATTTTTCAGCATTTATCCCATTCGAGCCCACACCCCTCCTCCACAACCTGCTGCCACCCCCCCAGCTCATGACGGGCCATGTCCATCTCTCGCGGCCATAACAATATCCCACACATCACAGTCACCATCACCATGGACTCACCCGCCTCGCAGCCCGACGAGCCCCAGCAGCCCGTGGCTGGCTCCCCCTCCGACTTCCTCAAGAACATTGTCGGCAAGAAGGTCAAGGTCCGCATCGGCAGCGGCATCGACTACCACGGTGAGCTTGCACCGAGCAGGACACATTGGATCTGGAGGAAGACGCATCCGACACGCTGTCGGACAGGTCACGCAGGCTGTGCATATTGGCATTAGTTGCAAGATATTGTGGCCAGTATCCACGCAGCTGATTGCTTGATTACCGCCCAATCTGCTTGTTACTGCGGCCAACCTCACGCAGACATGCGTCCGATGACTGTCTTCCCCTACCCGGTTCTGTCATCCTTAACGGCCCTCGCTAACTTCCAGGTCTCCTTACCTGCCTCGATGGCTACATGAACGTTGCGCTTGAGGACACTGAGGAGTGGGCGAACGGCCGCTTGACTGCAAAGTACGGCGACACCTTCCTTCGCGGCAACAATGGTGAGTCTAGCTATGTCGGTTCCTTCAGCCATGCCAGATGGACCATGCTCACGCCTCCCCAGTTCTCTACATCTCTGCCCTCGAGGACTTGTAACGATTACGTGGTTAATGGGAGAAGTCAGCGCGTAGAGAAAGGAAGGACAGACGAAGGCGAGGGAATGGGCGTAATCCCCCGCTGTAGAATCGTAGAGGCTAGCCCCCGGTGTCGACCAGCACCCCAGTCGAACCGTGTCATGTATATCACCACCCCCATGATATGTGCATTCGAGTGCCCATGCAGCAATGTAGCTGTGCACCCAAAGCACAGAGGAGCAGAGTAGAAAGAGAGTGTGATGGCACACGGGTCCATGACGCTAATCGCAGTCGGTGTTTTGATTCCGGTGAGACTGTGCCGTTCACCGATCTCAACGACACGCTGGCGCGCGTGTGCTATCACGCCGCCCATTCCAGAGTATCCCATCTCGCTTCGACACATCGACAGACCCATACCCGTCCTCTCTCCATCTTCTCCAGCACACTGTCGTCACACGGCAAACGAACTCACCTATCCGTTAAACCCTCTGGAAGCGAGAGCAGCAACTGCGAGCAGCCTAACGTGCTGCTCTCGGGTCCAGCCAGCGTCATCGACCACGTCCCCACAACCTCCACTCGGCAAAAGAGTTGACGGTCCTGTCTTGTCTGTCCGCATATCGTTGCAGGACAGCGCACCCTAGCCCACCCTAGAACCTAGTACCAGTCAACGCCATGGCGGGGACAACAACACCCATCACCCAGCCGCCCGATGGCGAGATCAACCCCGGAGAGGAGGAGTTCTATGCCTCGTGCGTTCCGTCCCCGCAGCCTGCAACTGCGGCATTGCCCCAGGTGTACGTCTGTGCTGACCATTGTCCTTAGGTGGGGCCTCTGTATCCTCTGCTTCCTCCTTATCGGCGCGCTCTGCACCTCGTATTATCTCCAGATTAAGCGTATTCGCGCAATCCATGAGACTGTCATCTCAATCTTCGCCGGCATGGTCGTCGGCCTGGTCATTCGCTTGTCACCTGGTCATCTCATTAGGCAGATGCTGGTGCGTTAGCTGGATGGACTGAGTGAAGCTGTAGCTGACACCTCTCCAGTCGTTCAAGCACACCCTGTTCTTCAACCTCCTCCTTCCGCCTATTATTCTCAACTCGGGCTACGAGCTCAAGCAGGTGAGGTTGACGAGGTTGGCGAGACTCCAAGCTGACAGACAGGAAAACTTCTTTCGTAACTTTGGTATCATTCTCACCTTTGCGTTTGTGGGCACGTTCATCTCTGCCGTAGGCATTGGGTGAGTCACTCGCCAAGCTGTTGTTTGTGACTGACATTGTCCTCAGAGTTCTTGTGTACCTCTGGTCTATCCTCGGTCTGGAAGGTCTCAAGTTTACGCCTCTCGAGTGTCTCATCTTTGGCTCGACACTGTCTGCCACTGACCCGGTCACTATTCTTGCCATCTTCAACTCGGCCAAGGTTGACCCAAAGCTCTATTCGATCATCTTTGGCGAGTCGATCCTCAACGATGCCGTATCGATCGTCATGTACGAGACTCTCTCGCGGTTCCACGGCGAGGACATTTACCTGTCGTCACTCTTCCACGGCACTGGGATTTTCTTGTTCTCGTTCCTCGTGTCCATGGCCCTCGGTGTCGCTTTTGGTCTTGCCTGCTCGCTCGGTCTCAAGCACTCGCACCTGGCCACATACCCGCAGATCGAGAGCTGTCTCGTGGCCCTTGTCGCCTACACCAGCTACTTCTTCTCCAACGGTCTCAGCATGAGCGGCATTGTGTCTCTCCTGTTCTGCGGTATCACTCTCAAACACTACGCCTACCACACCATGTCGAAGCGAACGCAAAAGACGACAAAGTACCTGTTTGCGGTACTGGCTCAGCTGTCGGAGAACTTCATCTTCATCTACCTCGGCCTCAACCTCTTCACCCAGGAGATCCAGGTCTTCAAGCCCCTCTTCATCCTTGTCTCTGCCATTGCGGTCATGGCCTCGCGTTACGCCGCCGTCTTCCCACTGTCCGAGCTCATCAACTGGATCTTCCACCTCCGTGGCCAACGCTACGAAGAGATTCCTCACTCATACCAAATGATGCTCTTCTGGGCTGGTCTCCGTGGTGCCGTTGGCGTCGCGCTTGCTACGGGTATCACTGGCGACAATGCCGACGCCCTCCGCACCACTGTGCTTGTGGTCGTGGTGCTCACCGTCATCATCTTTGGCGGTACAACCGGCCGCATGCTCGAGGTGCTCGGTATCCGTGTCGGTGTCGAGGATGACGATGCCAGCTCGGACGAGGAGGTAGAGGGTTGGACCTCGCACCACGGAAACATTGCCCTGCAGATGGGACCCGGCGGCCGCCGTTACGCTGGCCAGAACGGTCAAGTCTATGGTGGCGAAGACGAGGAAGCCGGCGGCTTCATCTCCCCCATCGATTCTCCCTATCTCCCTAGCCGTAACCTTCCTGGTGGCCAGCGCTGCACCTCGTCTCGTCTGTCGCTGCCCCGCAACTCTTCGCGTGGCGGCTTCTCGACCGAGGACGACTCTGACGAGGAGCCCCTGCCCCAGGGCTACGGTGAGCGCGGTGACACCGAGGCCGAGGCTGGCTCCTCTGCCCGTCCTGGTATGGTGTTCCGCGACGGCCAGTGGTTCACAGCCCTGGACGAACGGTACCTGCTCCCTCTGTTCTCCAACTCGGTCACCGCTCGCCGTCATCACGCCAAGAAGGCGCGCAGGAGGGCCGACCACGCCGGCGACGACTCGGCGAGCGGCACACCTCGTGGTGGCTCGCTTGAGATGCAGCGCACCGACGGAGGTGACGACAACGCAGATGCTGAGAGCGAGAATGGCAAGCTGAAGGGGATGCGCAACTTTAGGTGAGCCCGCTGTCGCCTCTTTCGTGATCCCACTGGTCGGCACGCTGACACAGAGTAAAGCGGGACAGTGAGCGACTTGTTCTTTGCGCCTGCGGACCCACTGTCCGCCTCACGCTCTACTCCACCCCCAGGCAGCAGCAGGCAGCGCTCTGGCAGTAACGACCGCAGCGGTAGCAACATGAACAGCCCCCGCTAAGATGTAAAACGCTGGCTGGCAGTTAAACAGCCATAAAACCTCAACCACTTCTCCATGCACGACCGTTAGACATGTGCGATGTACATCCCCTGATTTCACATGCATGTGGCCTTTATATAGGATATTTCGCAGATGATTACATGCACTACCATCTCGTACAGACGCAAAAATGAATGGACAACGACAATGGAAGGCACTGCGGGTGTGTGAGGGTGCCACGCCAGGGCGCGAGGCATCCACACCGGGCGGCTTGGCCGTCCATCAAGGCTCAGTCCTCTTGATCAAGTCCATCATCCGACTTTGTCCTCGACGTTTTTACCCATCCAATCCATCCTCCTCTGCCATCCCTCGGTCCCTTATCGACATCAAGGCCATCCTAGGACCTGCATAGCGGGCGTGTATCACTCCGACTGCACTCGCCTCCCCACACATTTTGGCCACCCCGCGACAACACCCCGTCCCGCTCTCACCCGTCTTCGGGCGGCGGCCGTCTCCTCCACCTTCTTGCTCGTTGTTTGTCCGACTGTCGTGTGCGTTTTGCACACCACACATACTATCCGCCCACCATGACGACCCAAGTCAGCATTGACTCGATCCTATCAAAGTTCCCCAACATCCTCTCCCCTGCAGAGATGCAGCTGCCGCCTGAGAAGCGCGGGGAGGTGTTGAGGCAGCGCGTCGCCGCGATTGTTCAGTCAAACCGGCGTAACGCTGAGGCCCAAAAGGCTGCTCAGCTTGCGGCTCAACAGGCTGCTCAGCAAAAGGCCGCTGCTGGCATCATGGGGGCTGCTGTAGCAGGGCAGCCTGGAGCTATCCGGCCGCCTAATCCAGCGGGGCTGGCAGGCCCAAGCCAGAGTCCGCGTATCGGGATGCAGCAGCCGCAGCTCCAGATGAACGGCCAGCCGCAGATGAACCAAAATGTGAGTGGCCTTGTCGCCAAGACGCAATGTAAGAGCTGCTTCAGGCAGCCGACTGCTGTCATGGCACGAGCCCATGGGTGTGCACGGTGATGGTGATGTGACGCTGATGCGCCGCCACAGGCTCTTGCCGAGCAGCTCCGTCTTCAGCAGGCAGCCCAGGCGCAACAGGTGCAACAACAGCAGTTCCAGAACATCCTTGCAAACCAGCAGCGTCTTCAGCAGCAGCAGGCTGTTCAGGCTGCTCAGCAGCAGCAACAGCAGCAGCAGGCGGGGCAGATTACCCAGGCGCAGGCGCCCACACCAAGCGCCGTGGCGACCCCAATGGCCCAGTCTTTGACGTCCCTCACCTCGCCATCACCACAAGCCCAGCAGTCGCCAGCAACCACTGCAGGAATGCTCGGCGCCTCACCTGTCGCGACGCGCATGCAGCCCGTTCCCAGCGGTGGTGCTGGTCCAGGGATGCAGCAGGCCGGCACCCCAGTGCAAGCTGGCCAGCCGGCCCCACCGGGATTGAGCGTTTTCGGCAGCGACCCGACAAAGATCATTGAGCAGCTGCCACAGCTCATGAAGATGCGCCAGTCGGGACAGATGAATGCCGAGATGCAAAAGACAGTGAGTGAAGAGGTGTGGGTGGGTGACTTTTGGTACCAATGTGCTGCATGAGTGCATCAGCGCAGTATCACCAAGCCACCAAACGACGTCGCCTCCCCTCCACCTTGGGCAATGATCAACCTGGTCATGACAGATTGCTGACATATCCTATCAGTTTGACACCCTTCTCTCTACCCCAGAGGCCAAGGCGTACCTCCAACAGTTTTCTCAGCGCCAGCAGCAGGCTCAGATGCAGCAGCGCAACATGGCGGCGGCGGCGGCTGCAGCCAACGTCAACTCGCCCAACCAGCCCACAGCCATCCTTGCCGCCCAGCAGATTGCGCACCTGCAGCAAGCACAGTACCGCCAGGGACCTCTTGCCAGGCATCAGCAGCAGCAACAACAGCAGCAGCAGGCCGCCGCTGCAGCAGGTCTTGGACCCGAAGCACTCGCACAGCTCGGACCACAGCAGCTCGCCCAGTATGCTCAGCAACAAGGAGGACAGCAGTTCCTCGCCGCTCAGCTCCAGCAGCAGCAGCAACAGCAGCAACAACAGCAACAGCAGCAACAGCAGCAGTTCCAGCAGCAGTTCCTCGCTCAGCAACTGCAACAGAACCCTCAGCTTCAACAGCAGCTGCAGCAGAACCCCCAGCTCCTCCTCCGCCAGCAGCAGCTCGCTGCCCAGGCTCAGGCTCAGGCGCAAGCACAGGCTCAGGCGCAAGCTCAAGCCCAAGCTGTGAACCGCACCCCATCGCTGGGACAGACCCAGCTGCCGAACATTCAGGCAAACGCTCTGCAGGGGTTGCAGCAGCAACAAGCGGCTCAGATCCAGGCGGCTCAGATCCTCCAGCAGCAACAGGCCGCCGCCCAGGCGGCCGGTATCCCGATTACGCCTCAACAGGCGCAGCAGATGGCGGCGGCGGCACTGGCCAGCGCGAATGCTCAAGCTCAAGCCCAAGCCCAAGCACAGGCGCAAGCACAGGCCCAGGCCAACAACAACTTTGGCTCGCCGCGTCCGCCTGCCGCTCAGGGCCAGCAGCAGCAGCAACAGCAGGTCACTCAACAGCAGCAGCAACAACAGGCGGTTCAGCAACAGCAGCAACAACAACAGACGGCCCAGCAGAAGCAGATTGCCGATCTTCGCACGCGCTTAATGCAAATGCCCGAGGGTGACCGCGAAAAGGCCTTTGAGAAGAACCCCAAGTTGCGCGCGCTCTTCTATGGCAACCTCAACCTGTCGTCGACCCAGCTCATGCAGCAACAGCAGCAACAGGCCGCTCAACAGGCGGCTGTCCAGCAGCAGCAGGCTCAGGCCCAAGCCCAGGCTCAAGCTCAGCAGCAGGCCGCCCAACAAGCTGCTCAGCAGCAGGCCGTTCAGCAGGCTCAGGCGCAACAGGCCCACCTCCAGCAACAGCAGGCTGCTCAACAGCAGCAGCCGCAGGGCGCGGGTACGCCTACGATGCAGCAGCAAGCTCGTCCTCCTGTCGGCTTCCCTGTCATTAACAACCTGCATATTCCGCAGAACAAGCAGCGTAACCTCGCTCAAGGAGGTCAGCAACAGCAGCAGTCGTCGCCTGGGAGCTCGGTGGCGTCCCCACAAGTCCGCCCCAACATCCAGATGGCAGCCGCTGCTGTCGCCGCCGCGGCCCAGGGCAACACTGCTGCTGCCCAGCGCATGTTCCAGCAGGGCATCCCTGTGGCATCTCCGGGCCCGTCACCTGTGGTTCGACCACCTGGAGTTCCTTTCCAAGCCATGCCTGGACAGGCCCTCACGCCCCAACTCATCTTGTCCGACTTGGACAAGAAGGGATCCCTGCCACAGGCTCAGCCCGTGCAGCAGCGCTCAACCAACGACATTGTCAATGGTAGCCTCGATCGCTCGGGTTCGATCATGTCGCGTGTTACGTGGACGGCCACCCCGGAGCACGATGCCGAGCTGCGCACCAAGCTGTTTGAGATGCACGCAATCCCGTCACGCTCTGCTGGCCGCGCCACTTTGCTCGAGGGTCTCTCGACTGTGCCCACTCTGGCCAACGTCCTCGGCGAGCGCCTCCCCAACGACCTCCGTACCCTCACCGAGGTCGACGCCGATACAAAGAGTGAAACTCTGGCTGCGGCCAAGGGCGGCAAGAAGCACGATATCGAGGGAAGCGGCATGCCAGGCCAGAAGAAGCAAAAGGTTCAAGACCTTGCTTTGACGATTGACAAGAGTCTCGACATTGAGCGTCCTGTCGAGGACCTCCTGTTATCTCTGTCGGACGAGTATGTCGACCTCGTGTCCCAGACAAGTTGCCAGCTGGCCAAACACCGTAATGCGGCCACGATCGACCGCAAGGATGTTCAGTTTGCGTATGAGAGCCTCTTTGGACGCGCACTGCCAGGCTTTTCGTCGGATGCGATCCGTCTCGACCAAGCCCGTTCGTCACGGCGTCAACCGGGCCAGCAGCGTCAGGCCAAGCTCAAGCTCATCAACGACGCAAAGGCCAACTGGCGGAAAGAAAAAGACGAAGCCGCCAAGGCGGCCGAGCAGGCTATTGTTGCCGCACAAGCTCAGGCAGCGATGGACGCCATGGCTCCGCTTACCACCGACGGCACAAACACGGTTGCCATGGGTACGGCTGTGGGTACGGCGGTGGGTACGGCGGTGGGAACAGCAGTCGGAACGGCGGCGGGCACGAGCGTCACAAACACGCCAGCGCCAGCACCAACGCCAGGGTTGCCTGTTGTTGCGATCCACGCTACGGTTCCCGATATCCCGGCACCCGCAGTGATCGTCAGCGCTCCTCCACCTGTTGCAGCAACGGTGGTGGTTTGAGCGGCCCCCCCTGAGGCAGACACGAGAGATATCTAATGTGTTGTTCTTGTAACTGTAGTGTTAATAGTTAGCATATCATACATGCACCCCCAATTACGCATTGAAAGAGTACCATGGAACTGGACAAAGGGCATCTCGAGGTCACTGGAAATGTCATGTGGCGGCATCAAATCGCCCGCCCAGCCATGCCATGACGGGCCTCCACTTTGCCACTCAACACAAGGAGAGGATAAACCAACCAATCCATCCGTCCTCCTTCTAGTCCTCTCCACCAACAATGCGCTCCCCACTCGCATCCCTCCGCCCCCTGGCACGCACCGCCTTTGCCTCTACATCAACATCCACCTCTCCGGCCGCTAGCGTCGCTGCTCGCCGCTCGTTCGGCTTTGCGTCCGGACACGTTGACGACGGCTCGACCCCAGCGTTCCACGGCTCGCTTGTTCCCATTGTTGTCGAGCAGACTGTGAGTATGCGCTGCATTATGGACAGGAAGCGAGGGCCAGGACACTGGGATGTGACGATTTGGGGGCCACATGCGATTGCCTCGGCCACAGAGGTGTTCATGTGTGATCCTCAAGGCCGTCTGGTTGTCCTCGCAGCGGATCCTGCCGCGATTGAGTTTGAAGCACAAGCTGACTGAACTCTTTTAGGCGCGTGGCGAGCGGAGCTATGACATCTACTCGCGTCTCCTTCGCGAGCGTGTCATTTTCCTTGGTGGTCCAGTGAGTTGACAGTAACATGTGACGCGTGTATAGTCTCTCGCCCCCTTCGCGAACATGACTCAACATCCGAAACGGTTGGCGAATGTCGTGTTCGGGAAAGCGAAACGTTGCGACAGAGAGGGAACAAGTCACGCGGTAACCCCGTGTTATCCTGGCTCCATATCCTCACATGCTGTGTGACTCGCTCTCGATCGTGGACCTGGGTCTCAAGGTTCAAGGGGAGAAGACCGAGTCGCCCCTAGTGCTGTCGTTGACCTCTGCAGGTTGCCGACTCCATGAGCTCCCTCATCACGGCCCAGCTCCTGTTCCTCGAGGCAGAGGACGCATCACGTCCCATCAGGCTGTACATCAACAGCCCCGGTGGCAGTGTGACTGCCGGCCTGGCAATCTACGACACCATGCAGTACATTTCCTCGCCCGTCCACACGTTCTGTCTCGGCCAGGCGGCCAGCATGGGCTCGCTTCTGCTCGCTGGTGGAGAAAAGGGCAAGAGGTTTGCGCTTAAAAACAGCAGCGTCATGATCCACCGTGAGTTGACACAATTGGCGTGGTGGTGTGTGGAGGAGTGCGAATACGCTTGCGTTGGCCTGGCTTCAGTAACTGATGTTGTCAACAGAGCCCTCTGGCGGCGCGTCAGGCCAGGCGTCGGACATCGCCCTGCACGCAAAGGAGATTCTCAGAATCCGTGCAGTCCTGACAGACATTTACGCCGACCACTGCACACGTACAGACGAGGTTCACACCCAGGCGAGGGAGCGTTTCGGTACGTACTCGGCTGCCATCATCTCCGAGCCGTTCTGACATGCACTCTGCAGAGAAGGCACTTGAGCGCGACTACTTTATGACCGCCCAGGAGTCTCTGGACTTTGGTATCATTGACAAGATTGTCGACCGCAGGGCAAAGGACGAGCCCGAGGGCGAGGCACCCGGTAACGACAAGGAGAAGAGCGAGACAGCTCAATAGACGTGGTGGCCCATGTGCGAATCTGGTCGACGACAGATCAATAGCCAGTTTCGTGACACTCTGTGGTACCGTGGTGCATGGGTTGCAGAAACCCCCTCTTGGCCAGACCAGACTTGGTTGGCCATACCGTCCATACCGGCCACCCTCTACACCCTTCAATCCAAACCTTGACCATATATCTCACTGCACGATGCCATGCACATGCACATATAGACCGTCAGACGGGTCAGATAACTCAAAAGAACCCACCGGGATCGGATCGGCATTGCCCTGCTTTTCCAGTGCGGTTGTATCGTTTGGGCGTGATGAGTGGATCCACAGCACGACCTATACACACAGGTGCACACTGTGACCGCGCTTTTGTGCTGGGACCGCATGGTGCATCATGAAGTGTGTCAGGTATGAGATTCTGATGCAGTTGTCCTTGACCGGCGACTGTGAGGATATGCATCTGCCGCCTGATGCCTGATGGTGAAACCCGACTTGTCTGAATGGGGTGCTCTCCGTTCCTCCCGGTGCCTATCACGCTGCTTGTTGCGTGTTCTAATCTGTCGGCGCTGTGCTTGTCTCACACCTCACACCTTCCATTGGCACAATACGCCATGCCTCGCCCCCCGCGGGAGTTGCGTACGCACGGCCGTCGTTGGGCCGGGTTACGGTATCGAGGAACCGGACAAGAGGGGCAAGACCCAAGGATGGCACGAAAGAGAAACACCAGAAACGCCAGAAACGCGTGCAGTCCTCCCCATTCCCCGTACGTCCCAGTCCCACTCGCCTCCAGTGATGGCGCATATAAAGGCAGTCACTTGCGAGAGACGCATGCTTTATCCCCTCTCTCCTCCTCGTCCTCGCCTCTCTGTTTCGTTCAAGGCTTGATGCCGCACTTTCGCTCCTTTGTCCTTGTTCTCGCCACTGTGGCGGCAGCCTCGCCTGGTGCGGGCTACCACCGCTACAACAAACGCTGTGCTTCAAAGAGCCGCGCTGCCCCCTCCGTTGCTACAGTCACAGCACTCGACGCTGGCGTTTCGACTGCTGTCAACAATGGAAATGTTACAAATGCCTCGGCAGCAAACGTCACCGACTCAGCAGCCACTGCTGGACTCGCAGCCGCCAACCGCCTTGCCAGTGCCGTCCCCTCGGCGGCGACCCCGACAACTGTGGCATATGGTGACTATGACGGAACCCAGCAGCTCCCCACCGCTGTGGCCAACGGTTCTGCTGCCCCTAGCGACTCTGCAGCTGTTTCGTCGGTCAACAGCTCGTCGTCAAACACCGCCGCTCCCTCTCTACCGTCCTTCAATGCTACCACCGGTTCAGCGCTCGACATGGCCCAGAGCCTCAAAGTAAAGCAGGTCTTTGCTCACTTTATGGTCGGTATTGTCTCGACGTATACCCAACAAGACTGGGAGAATGACATCAAGCTCGCCAAGTCGTACGGCATTGATGGTTTCGCCCTCAACATTGGCACCGACGACTACTCTCAGGCTCAGCTCGACCTGGGCTACGCTGCCGCCGAGGCCGTGGGCGGCTTCACAGTCTTCATCTCGTTTGACTTTAACTGGTACAAGACCGACCAGGTCAGCAGTGTCTCTACCATGCTTGGCCGCTATGTCAATTCGGCGGCCCAGTACAGCGTCGACGGCCGCGCCTTTGTCTCGACGTTCATCGGCGACGGCTTTGACTGGTCCCAGGTCGAGAAGAGCATCAACCACGCGCTCTACGTGGTCCCCAAGTGGGACCCTACGGCCACCAACGCCGAGAACACTGGTGTTTCGGGTCTCTTCTCGTGGCGCGCCTGGCCGGGTCAGATTGACAACGTACCCATCAACGCGTCCCTCAGCACTGCCGACGACGAGCTGTACATCTCCATCGCCCAGGCTCAGGACAAGGTCTACATGGCCCCCGTCTCACCGTGGTTCAGCACCCATTTCGGCAAGGAGGTCTCCTACTCTAAAAACTGGCTTTTCAAGTCGGAGACACTCTGGGTTGACCGCTGGAACCAGATCCTCCAGCTGGGCGACAAGCTCCAGTTTATCGAGATTGTCACTTGGAACGACTATGGCGAGTCCCACTACATTGGCCCCTTTGACACTCCCCACACCGACGACGGCGCAAGCAAGTGGGCTTCGGGAGTGCCACACACTGCCATGCTCGATGTTGCTCGTCCGTACATTGCCGCGTTCAAGGCGGGTGCTACCACACCTGCGGTCGACACTGAGGGACTCGTGTACTGGTACCGCCCTCACCTCAAGACTGCCGAGTGCGACTCGACCGACAACTGCGGTTCAAAGCCTACCGGCTGGGAGTTTGTCGCAGACTCGGTCTTTGTGGCCGCCATGACCAAGTCGGGCGGCACCGTCACTGTCACCTCGGGCAGCAACGCCGCCGTCACCAAGACCGTCGCGGCTGGCATCCAGGTCATCGAGGTGCCCATGGGCGCCGGCGAGCAGCAGTTCAAGATCACCCCGACCGGCGGCTCGGAGCTCTCGGGCACAGGCAACATCACCGTCTCGGCTGACTGCTGGAACGGCATCTACAACTTCAACTTTGCCTCGGGCAGCGTCATGGCTGCCGCTTGAGCAAGAGGGTATCATCATTGTATATTTCAGAAGTGAAGTAGACAGAATAAGTGGGGCGCCACTTTCAAAACAACAAAAACACGCCCTAGACTTGGTAGACCGGGGCGCAGGGCTCGAGGGCTGCGCTCACACACTCCTCGCTCGCTCGCGATCTCTACTCGTAGCGTGCTGTGCATGCATACCTGATATGAAAAGCTTTTAGGAGTTACAACAGACGCCGATCGGACGTCTGCAGCCGAGGCGGGGAAAGGGGGTACTATGGGTGCGCCACTCTGGGAGCGGTGCGGTGCGGTGGGATGGGTAATTCGGTGGGGGGGGGGGGGGGGGGGGGGGGTTACAAGACGCAAGGCAGGGCGACGTCTAGTCGCTCTCGTCGTCGCTGGCGTCGAAGAAGTCGTCGGCCTCGGCCTCCTTCTTGTCCTCCTTGGTCTCGGTCTTGTCCTCGGCGACAAGCTCGACCTTGGCGCGGCGCTCCACCTCGGGGGTGCCGGACAGAGTGCCCTCCTCCATGAGACGCTTGGTTTCAATGAGGATCTCGAGGCGCTTGCGAGTAGGCTTGTCGAGGGACTCGTCGTCGAGCGACGCAGTCAGGTGACGGGGGAGCTTGAGCTTGTCGCCCTCCTCTTCCGTCTTCTCGCCCTCCTTCTCTGGCGGGAAGATGGCAATGTACTTTTGCGAGTTGCTGCGAGTCTGTCAGCTTGAGAGCAATAGGTGCAACCACTGAGCTGGCCTTGAGTCTATACTCACGGGAAGTTGATGATGTAGTTGAGCATCACACGAGCGTCGAGGAGCTCGGCCGCGGCCTTGGCCTTCTTCTTGTCGCTAGCGCCCTCAGCCTCGGCCTCACGTGCCAGACGGCGGATGAGACGACACAGCTTCTGGCGCTCAAAGAACTTGACCGCGTGGTACTTGGTGCCGTTCTTCTTCTCCACACCGCGCTTCTCGGCGAGCGCGAGGTCGGCCTCGAGGGCGGTCAGGCGACGCTGGGTGGCGACGCGGAGGGCAGCCTCGAGCTTGTCCTGGGAAGTAGGTCAGCGGACTGCCTGCGGGCTTAACTGTGGGCACTGTAGGTTTGGTTTGCGTCCCGAACCCATCCCTGTGATACGACACTCACCTTGGCAAGCAGACGCTTGGTCTGGCGGATCTGTCCCTTCAGCTTGCTGACGCCGGGAAGACCGTCACGAGCTTCAAGGGCTGGGACCTTGAACTTCGGACCAGATGAGGGGCCAGCCTTGGCATTGCGGGGCTTGCGGCGGTTTTGACGTTCGGCGGGCATGGTTGGGTGTGGTGAATGTGGAGAAGAAGAAGAGGATGTGAGAGATCCGGAAGTGGAGGAGTGAGGAGCTGTGGCAATTGTTGACGGAAATTTCAAGGCAATTATGTGCCTGGCCTGGTTTCTAACAAGACGGGCTTGACATTAGCGTTTATTTGAAAAACGGCTGCTGTGGCACGGCAGGTGAACTGTGCCCACGGAGGGCACTTGCCCCGACAGGTTCGGCGTCATTTCTTGTGGTGTGGTTTGGAAGTGACCGCAGCGATAGATATTTCTATTCTTTACCGAGCTGGAAAAGTAGCAGATAGTGATTACTTGCCGAGTCCACGAGCGCGTGAGATTGAGTCGCAATGAGAACGCCCGCGGTGGCACCTGTCCCTTTCGGTACCCACCACGTCGTCAAGCCGAGTCTTCCAAGGCAGTACTTACATTGGGACCTTCCCAATCAAAGTGGCCGTGCCTTCCCTTTGGAATATCCACGCAAAAGGACACCACTTGACACTGGCAGGACAACACAGAAGGCGAGCAGCGTTCACATTTCTAGTTCGGAGTTGCCGATGACGTAATGCCCACCACCGCCTCAAGTTCGCCGCGTTTCACGGTGTCCATTGGTGTTCCTTTCCCCTCCCCGTTGTTGCATAAGCGCTGCTAAACAGCTGTGTTGCTCTGCGGGTGCTCTCATGTGAGCGGTGCTGGCACAACAAGTAGCATTCTCCAGGCAAAGGTATAAAGGCATCCAGCGTCGGGGTCATTACTTCCCATCTCCTTTCACTCACCGAACGACTTCAACAACCATGGGCCTCCACCACCTCATCAAGGACATGCGCACTCCCAAGCCAAACTGGGACGAGAAGTTTGCACCATACTGTCTTGTCCGTACTCCCCCCAGATGGGCGTGGCAAACTCTCCACTGATCACTGACTCGCCCAGCCAAACGTCGCACCCATTGAGCGCCTACCCGAGGCTGTGGACCGACTGCGAGCTGCCCGCTCGCGCGAGGAGGCCATCGCGACCATCCGCGCGTACATCCAGCCCAAGGTCGAGACGAAGGGCGCCAAGCCCGTGACCGCCTTGCAATCTCTGGCCGAAGAGGTGAGTGGTTTCGAACAGCCGGCGTGGAGGAACGTTTGTGCTGAGACTTGACAGGTGCCAGAGCGCATTCCCGAAATGAAGGTCGTGTGGGATGTGTTTGGGCTCAAGACCGTCCGCGACATTGCTCTCAACGGCGGCGGTCCTTGGTACGCCTCGCATGGACCGTACGTCGGGTTCAGCGGTGCGCAGAATGCGGCCTACGCGGGCAACTAGAGTGTGGAATCGTGTGGTCCAGTGTATATCAGCATCAATGTATCCAACCTGTATCACGAGATGCCCAAACAAGGTGGCCAGTGGAATGACGAACGGGCGGACGGTCCATGGTCCAATAATCCGCATGCCTGTCCCCCTCTGCTCTGCGCTCTACACACCTTTGCGCGAGTTAAGCATCAGTAACAGTCCAATGGCGAGTCCTATGGGGAACCCGGTGGCCAGTGGCTTACCAATTTCAAGGCACCGTGACATGTTGCTGTTGCTGCCGCCGCGAGCCGCTTCGCTGCCGAACCCAAGCAGCTAGCAACTGCACAGCATACAGCGAGTTTAGCACATGACCGCGTTAGTCACGAAACGCGCAATCAACCACCACCACTTATAACTTATCAGCACGCCATTCCCAACCCACCTACACTTACATCTTTCTCACTGTTCCCTGTCCCCACCTTTTGACAACTCGCTCTTACCACCATGGGTATCAAGCATCTCTTCGGGGGCTCCAAGAGCCCCAAGCCATCGCCCGACGACGTGTTCGCGCAGTATGACCTGGTATGTCTGTTGTCTTCTGCACACACGTGCGCTGCTGCTGCCTGTGTGGTGCTTGTGTCCTGCTGCAAGCTACCACGAGTGGTTGCTGACACAGTTGCTGACACATCCAACCAGCCGCCAGTCGGCTACATTGCCAAGCTGGAGCAGGCCACTGCCCGTCTCGAGAATGCCACCACGTCCGAGGAGGCGATCGCCATCGTGCGGGCGTACATCCAGCCCAAGGTCGAGGAGAAGGGCATGCAGCCCCTTGTTGCCCTCGACAGCCTGGACTCGGAGGTGAGTTGCTTTGGCTCAAACCCCTGTGGGGCTTGGACTTGCTCTTGGACTTGCCCACTGATCACTGGCCACTGACGCTGTGACCCCATTAGGTGCCCGAATGGCGCAGCGAGATCCAGATTGTACGCGAAGCGTTTGGCCTGAACCGTGGTGGCAAGAAGGGCGGCTGGGGTTCCGGAGCAGTGGGCGGGCTGGGGGTCAGCGCGGGTGGCGCGTGAGACTCCAACATCGTAGGGCCGTCATGTTCATGCGTTCATGACCCCGTGTTGTACAGTACTGCTAGCTGAGGTTAGGCGTCTAATTTGGCGAGATGTCATGTCTGTATATGTCAAAACCATGTCGTACCAGACAGCCCAGTGTCGGTAGTACCGTGGGGATCGCCGGTGATGGGTTCCCAGCAGCGAGGGCCGACCCCAGTGGCCCCGACTTGCCCCGCACGTGAACCAGTGAGGGTCTGCATTGGGGGATCATCATCCACTCAACAAACGATTTATTGACCAGAATGCTCCCTCAAGTTGCAACGCGCAACCGAGATGTTATTAACTCCATGCGCAACAGATACATCGCGCTTTTTTCACATTCTACTGTACTAGGGCAAATGACAACTATCCAGGGGGGAGGAGCGACATGTCGAGCTCCTCAGACTGGCCAACGGGGAGGTCCTCCTCAGTGAAGGGGGTGATAGGGGTACGGGGAAGCATCATGACACCTGGGTGTGGGTCAGTAAAGTAAACAAGGGGGGTGACAAGGTGTGTCTGGTGGATCGCAGCTTACGCCCGGTCATAGGTGACACAGCTGCTACCGTAGCGTCACACCACTGTTGACTTACCGGAACGAGCGGCCTCGAGGACACCGAAGGGGCGGATAAGGCCAAGGAAGGCCTCGACACGAGTGCTCTTGGCGGTGAGCTCGACAATGACGCTCTCCTCAGCAACGTCGACAACACGGCCACCGAACTGGTCGGCGAGAGTCTTGACGGCTCCCAGGTGGAGGTTCTTGGCGATGAGGGCCTCAGACTGGGTGATGTGGCGGCGAGAAGAGTAAAGAGCGGCGCCAGAGACACCGGCGGGGAGGTGACCCTCGGCCTCGAAGGTGCGGACAAGCTGCTCCTCGCGGGCCATGAGGCCATCGTGGACCTCCTCAGCGGGAGGGGGCGCGAGCTGCGACTGGGCAACCTCGGGGCCAAGGATGGAGACCTTGGCGAGGAGGAGCTCACGCTCAATCACCGAGGTGTTGGTGTAGTCGAGGACAGCCCAGACGGGGACGAGGTCCTCGAGCTGCCTGCGAGCCTGCTCAATAACGGCGTCCTGACCCTTCAGGACGATCGACATGCGCGAAAGGTCGCGGATCTCGGTCTGGCACACAACAAGCGAGTCTGGAGACATTAGTAAAAGGGGGCGACCACGAGAGAGGAGCGAGAAGCAGCTGATGGAAAGACTAGACGCAGCAGCGTACTCGCTCCTCTCAAGATGAAGAGCGGCCAAGCCATACACCGAGCGCGGCATTCGCTCAGGCGAAACCAGCCTCTCATCAATAAACTCACCAATGTTGAAGCCACGGCCGGCGAGGATACCAGACACACGCGACAGGACACCGGGCTCATTCTGGACGAGACAGTTGAGGAGGTGACGCTTGAAAGGCTCGGCGCTAGGGGGAGGGGTGTTGTAGAGAATGTTGGTGACGGCCTCCTCAGCGCTGGGGGCACGGGGGTGGTGAGTGGTAGCAAGGTGAGGCGGGCGCTTTGAGGGGTGGTGGAGCTTGTCTGTAGATGGTCAGCTGGCCATTCAACTGTGCGTGCTCGCCGACGTGAAGCTCTTCTTCATCGTCACGATCCAACTCGACTCGGCCGAGCTGTATCGAGACAGGAGAGGTCAGGGCGCTTCTTGATGCTCACAGTCCAGAGCACTGGTCGAGTCGTCGATGGGCTTGGGGCCAGCTGGCTTGAGAGCGGCAGCCGTGGTGCTGAAAGCACGAGCCGCGAAGGGGACGCGGCGGAGGCTGGCGAGGGACATTGTTAAAGGAGTGGTGGTTGGAAGACGACACAAAGAGAATGTCTGCTTGGCGGGAAAACGATGGCCGGCAACCTTCACTTTCCCTCGAAAGACGGGTCTGGCTGGCGGGTGGGTGTAGACGGGCCCGCCGCTGCAGCCGAGAGAGGTGGTTGTCGACTCAAAGTCTGAATTATTACGTAAAGAAAAAAGACGGAGTTTGGGTTTCTCTCCGTTGCTAAAAAATCGAGAAACACACTACGGGCCACGGACTGGTACAATAGTGAAGGTAAGCCTGAGATACTGCGTTCTCTGTGCCAAGAGTCACGATGGCGCGTCCGTACGTTTGGAAGATAGCAACCGCGCAACCGCGAATGTTCCTACGTACAGCCATGGGCATAGCTGCATGTATGTCTCCCTAGGAGTAGGCACGGTTGTGACATACATACACATGCTCAGCATATGTCTCTACACAATCCTAATATGTACACGATCCTAATGTTTACACCCCGCGTAATGGAGATCTGTCGAGTGCCTTGTGCCCGATTGGCAGCAGCTTAATGCTGTTTGGACGCATTGAGCGTGCCTGGATCGCGTCTGTGGTCGACGTCCATGCCGTCCTCTCGACAGCGCCATGCGGCTGCTCTGCGCGTGCGCCACGCCGGTACGCCGTTTCCCGCCTGGCACAGTCTCTAGGATCCAGGAGCTGGGCGGTATTCTTGGCTCGTTGAATGCCCAAAAGAGCCGGGCTGCCTCTTCTGCGCTTCTGCCCCAGTGCCCGCGCAGGCGGCGCCTGCTTTTCCTGCGTTTTTTTCCTGCTTTTCTTGGCCGGCTTCCGTGTTTGTTCCTGCCTTGCTTCTGCGTACCCCTTGCTGCCCGTTTCCGGTTTGCCCAATTGACGAATGGGTGTCCTCGCGCTCGCTGCATCATTGCTCGCGCGCACTGTCCTGTTTCGGCCTTGGCTGCTCGGTGGCTTGGGTGGAGCAGCCACCCCTTGGTCCGTCTCCCCTCTCTCCCTCTCACTCACTGCGCGCGTCCTCGCTGTGTACGCGTCCATCCCTCTCTCTCTGTCTCTCTCTGCGCGCTGCCCAGTCGAACCGCACCGCCTGGCTGCGCGCCCGTCTTATGCAAACGCTGGTGCCCACATCACCTTTTCTCTTTCCCATCCTCGCTCTCACACACACTCTCTCACTCACCTTTCCTCTCGTTGTACGAAACCTGGCCACGGCCTCCCCCACATTCACTTTACATCACTCTCTTTTACCTTCAACCCCGCCTCGCCACCAACAACAATGCTTTTCGCTCCTCTTGCCGCTCTCCTCGGTCTCGCCGCCCCGGCCCTTGCGACCATCTACACCACCTCGCCCGTCGCGGCCACTGTCGCGACCGCCGGCCAGGTCCTCAACGTCTCGTGGGTCGACGACGGCACCTCGCCCAACCTCACCACCATTGGCGTGTGCTCGATTGACCTCTGCGTCGGCTCGACCACCCAGCAGACCTGCCTCCAGAACCTCGGCGAGTCGGTTGACGTTTCGCTTGCCAGCTACCTCACCACCACCATCAACGCCACTGCTGGCGAGAGCGGTGACTACTGGTTCGTTCGCTACACCTCGACCAACTACACCAACGCGACCACCGCCGAGCCGTACATGCAGTTCTCTGCTCGTTTCACGTGAGTAGTGGCAATCGGGCAAGAGGGGGGAGATCGATCTATTCTTGGGGCGGGGTGTGTGTACCCACACCATACACCGCCAGCTGGGCACACTCTTCGCTCTCACACACACTGCCACCAGCGATGGCAACACAAAGGACAAGTCGTCCCCGCATACATCCCCTGTTGGGGAGGGCACGAGCGTCGCTGAGTCTTCCCTGCTTGGCGACGCTTGGGCCTCCGGCGCCACATGCTGTGGCGCAGGCATCAACAAATGGATAGGATTGGAAACCCCCAAGCGGCACTCTCCCCCTCATGCATGAGCCAAAGGGCTGACCCCGCAGCATCAACAACATGACCGGCACCTTTGACGCCGCCGTCTCGAGCGAGATTGCCACGTCGACCTCGGTCGCGTCGTCGTCGACTGTTGCCAGCTCCACCAAGAGCTCGACCGCTGCCGTCTCGACCACGTCCGCCGCCCACAACTCCACCTCGACTGGCGCCTCGGCCACCGCCGCCGCATCGACCACTGTTACGGCGTCTGCCGCTGACGAGATCATTGCCCCCGTGGCCTTTGCGCTCCTCGCAGGCATCGCGGGCTACATCGCCCTCTAAGCCTGTTCTCAACCGGACACTTGTCACACACATACACACTCTTGTCACTCTCGCCATTCTCAGCGACTGTGACATCTTTCGCGCCTAGGGATTCTCGAGTCTCCAGGGTCGGAATGCTGTTTTCGTACCCACCACCTTTTATACCTTCCTTCTCCAGGGTCATGCATTACGCCTCGATGGCGAACGTGCATCATTCACATCTCACGTCCGCCCTCACACTGATCACTGAGCGCATGTTGTTGGCTTGTTGCAGCCTAGGGAGAGGATATCGCTGCGGAGAAGGCACACACCGTCGTGTGCGGATTGCGGGAACTTGGGGCGCGCTGTTGCTCCTCTGTCACTGTCCACACTCCTGTCCGCAGGAATCAGTCTCCTGTCCGCAGACTCGCACAGTAGCCGCTGCGCCATTTCTGCCACTTGTTGCACACTAATATAATTCCTGGACAGCGACCGCGTGGGTGCACGCCTCTGCGTCCACTTCGGCGTCAGTGCATACAGGCAGGGAATCGGGCTTGGTCAGTCAGGTTTACTACGGGCGAAGAGGGGGTCAGGAAAGGTGTCAGCAGTCAGGACTCGCCTCCCAGCCACAGGACAAGTCCAAGTGCTACGCATGTCCACTCTGCCAGGCTGCTGTGCGCCAAATACAACTGTACATGCTGCGAAGGTACACCCCAGGACGGTGTTTTGTCTAGCTGTTGAGGAAACGCAGGGCGCCAAAGAGGACGTTGATGACGGTGCCAAGGACAATGCCAATCTGGTCATGTCAGTTAGCTGGAACCGGAGCGATTGAGTCAACTCAACTAACCTGCATCCTGGTCCCAAACACGACCGAAGGCACCACCTCGGAGCCCACGAGCGGCGAAGACGATACGCGGGTCGACACCGTATCCGGCGCAGTGGCTGCGGGAGGCGGCGCAAGAGCGTCGATCTGCAGGGGCGGTGTGGACGGCTGCGGTGGTTGTGGGCCGAGAGGGTCGTCATCATCCGTGACACCTGGCCCATCTGATCCGCCAGTAGTGCCACTTGCGCTCATCGAAGCAGCGTGGGCCCGGGCAAGTCGCTCGTCCTCTGCGCGCGCAGCCTCGTCTTCCCTGCGTGCTGCCTCGTCTGCCTCGGCTTCGGCATCAAAGAAGTTGGGCAGCGGCGCGTCACGGAAGAAGAACCACGGCGTGAGAGGGACCAGGAAGCCGACGAGGAGGCCGTGGAGGATCGAGGCGTACATGCCCTCAGATGAGGCTGCAGTTAGCAATGGACCCGTATCAGATGAGCCTTTATCAGGTTATCATGATCTGACAATTGACCACACTCACTCGTCGCTGTTTCCGGTGTCAGGTCACCCTCTATCCACTGCTCTTCCAAAGCTCTAGCGTGCTCGTCATTTTCATAGTTTGCGCCGAGGTCGGGTACCTCCTCTCCACGCGATTCGTAGAACTGGCGACGCATGTTCGCGACGTCCTCGGGACTCAGGCCCGCGTCCAGCAGCGTGTCAAAGCCACGGCGCCGGGGAGCTGGCGCCTCGACTTCTTCCTCCGGTGTGGTTCCAGCAGCCAACGGACCGCCGACATTGCAGTGGAGATACACTTTGCCTTCGGTACCAGGTGCGCCGTCCCTGTCCACCTCGGCGAGGCCGACTTCGCGGAGCACCTGCCCCACGTCGCCGCCCACACCTGCTGCCTGCCGTTTGACACGTTCCTCGAGCGAACGGAGCCACGGGAGAAGAAGGATACCGTCTGTCAGGAGACGACCGGCGTGGATGAGACGGAGCTGAAGACCAGCGACGCTTGGGCGCATATGACGGATCTACCATTAGCCATGGGTACCACGGCATCGGTCGGTTACCCACCTGGTCCTTGACGCGGCCAACACTCTCGCCGTCATCAACCCACACCTCGAGGTTACCCGCGTCGTCCGAGAAGATGACGGTCACTGCACGTCCGGCATCATGGGAACTCTTTCCCTTTCCCTTGCTGTCCCCGCGGGACCCGCTGGGTTCGGCGGCCTCGTCGCCCTCGGCCTCTGCGTCATGGTCACCGTCGTCGACGGCGCGCTGCTTCCCGCGCGCCTTGTCGCTCTTCGGCTCGGGAAGGTATCGCCTCGCTTGCAGCTTGGAGCGAGATGGCGCATCCAGGTGCGCTGAGGGTGGGAGCAGGGGTTGGTTCTCCTCTGGCGGCGAGGACATGGCTGGACAAGGTTGTGGTGGTGGAGGACAATGGTGATGCAACGTCACCGCCCACATGAACCTGAATGCGTGCGCGTCTGGAATGGTAATGGCAAGGAAATGACATTACAATATGGTCACGTGACTATTTGACGTTTGCTTAATCGCTTCCCGCCACCCAGTCCGACGACTTTGCCGGAGTGGCCCGGTTGTTCTTGAGATTTCTGAAAACGTCCATCCTCCTTCACTGCCTCACCAACCACCATGTCCCGTGCCCTTCGCTCCGTCCGTGCTCTCTCGGCTCTCCGCGCTGCTCGCATCGCTTCCCCATCTCCCATGGCTTTGGCCCGGCCCGCTGTCTCTGCTTCGGCCCCCGTCTTCCGCCGTAAGTTCGCTTGTCTGGACATGTTCACCTCCACCTTCCTTGACCTTCTCTTCTGTCGGACCTCATGTCCGCCCCTCACGACCGTGGCATGATTCCCCTTCCCACACCGCCAAAATGGCCGAGATCACCAGCTGACACCGACTAGGCTACGCCTCGGGCCCCGCCCCCGTGTCCTCCATGGACGGCACCCTCGCTCACGCTCAGTCGCTCCTCGACGAGGGTACCCGCGCCCTCGAGGAGGGCGACCTTCAGCGCGCTCAGGCCCTGTACAAGGAGAGTGTGGCCGCCAAGTCGACCAGCGGAGGATGGTTCAACCTCGGCGTGGTGGAGTACCAGCTCGAGAACCGCGAGGCCGCCATTGAGGCCTGGAAGCAGAGCATTCAGCTCGAGCCCAGTGCCGACGCCTACACCAGTGAGTATTGAGTTACAGTGAGGACACGCACACTCGAAGCTTGGAGCGCGTGTCTCTATTCAGGACATACACATTACGTCGTCTTGCTGACGCCACAGACCTCGGTTCTGCCTACATGATGTCCCGCCCCCCTCAGCCCGCTGAGGCCATCAAGGCCCTCACTGCGGCCATGGAGATCGCCCCCGAGGACCCCGAGGTTGCCTTCAACCTCGCTGCCGTGCTTGAGTCGAGTGAGTGTTGTTGTTGTTGCAAGGCTGGTGAAAGGATTCTTCCGTTGCCAGTCTTGGCTGGAGGGAGAAATCACGTTGGATCTGGCATTGGGATGAGACGGTATCCGGAGTCATCCGGCCACCGGTGGTCCTTCCAACCACAGACCGTGGCCTCTACGGTCAGGTGTAGCTCACATTGCACGCGCATTCCTGAGCTAACAATTAAGCCGACTCTCTCGAGACTGCTCTCACCCTCTACCGCAAGGCCCAGGCCGGTGGCATTGAGCGCGCCGCCGCCAACGTTCGCAACGTCGGTGCCAAGATCTTGGCCAAGCAGATGCGCGAGGAGGAGGCCAACAAGAAGTAAACGTTGTCTCGAGCCCATCCCTCTCGGCACGCATTCTTCACTTGCACGCACACCTCGCGCCGCACATCCCCCATCTGTATTATCACCCCAACCAATCTCGAGCACTCGGGAAAATCTAAAATCAGGCAAAAGTCACGCGCGTGCCACAACAAAACCAGTCGCACCACGCTATGCGCACTGGCGGCTCCCTATCTATCCCACAACTATATGGAGCTAGGGCTACAAAATGCATTGCATTATCTCCTCTAGTCTGATTGGATCCAGGACTGTTCCAGGTTCCCAGAGGCCCAGAGGTTTCCGTGTACGTGCACCTGTCTCGGCTGACCGAAACAACAAAACGGTACTAAAAAGCTCCAACGCGGGTTAGGTCGTACATCGCGTCGATCTCGCTGTCCATTCCCGGCGGTACCGAACTGGTAGCTCGAGATCGGCGGGTGCGGCATCCCAGATACCGGATGCCAGTTTCTCGGGTCCAACGGGGCTCAGTGCTGTCGCCCAGCAAAATCCGGAGGCGAACACTGTCGATCACCAGCAAAAACGTACTCGTGTTCATCGAGGCCGACTTGTCGACGGGCCGATACTACTTGCCGCTTGCTTGGCGAATGGCACGGCACTAACGGCCATGTCTCGCCATGCACTTTGCGCTCCTTGCCGCTTTTCCGACGTCAGAAGCGGGCTCCGCCGCCGACGCCGAGAGGTGGTGGAGCGGAACCGTGTCGTTCCAACCACGGCGGGCACGCGACCGCGGACGCGCGGTGGAACACGGGGACGGTGACTGTCGACCAGGAGGAGGGGAGGGCTTCGAATGTCGCGCTCGAGAGGAGAGCGGGCGAGTGCGTCGTGGTGGCAGGACGAGGGCGGAGAGAGGTGCGCCGAAACGACGCACTGCAGATGGGCACTACGAGGGTTGACGACGACAGGATGGGTGGCAAGTCCATCTTGTCGCTGGACCCAGACTCAGACCCCGATGAGGACCTAGATCCGTATCCACAGCTGGCTCCGATAGTCGACACCGTTGACGCGGTGGCGTACCCTTCAAACACGACCTCGACATCGTCCTCCTCGAGCATTCCGGCGTGTTGGCCGATCGGAGGGTAACCGGTTGTGTCAGGTTCCAGTTCGACCGGCAGCGCATGGCCAGCCGCGCCACTGACGGTGGCCCCCGTCGACGTTGGGCTGGCGGCGCCGCTCGTACTCGCGGTCGCATGCATTGGGAACGGGGAGACTGTGGTCACGGGGATCGCAACGCCAGACGGTGGCGTGTATGGCAGCGGACTGGTGGACGACGTGGACACAGACATTGAGACCGTGGGGGTGGCGGATGGGGACCAGGGGGAGGGCAACGGTGGTCGCGTTCGGGTGGTACGGCGTGATGGCCAAGGGCTCGGTGTCCTTTCGACCTCATCGACGGTGCTGTCGGTATGCGTGCTGGCGAAAGGATCGCTGAACGCCGTGTACGTTTCCCTGCGTGGCCAGGTGCGCGCAGGAGGCGACATGGACGTGCCATCTGCCATGTTGCGAGGGGACGGCCTTGCTGTCTCTGCCATGTCGCTGTTGTCCTCGTCGCTGTTTCGAGGCGCCGCCAGGCTGCCACGCGCACTCGCCCAGCCGCGTGTACCACCTACGCGCTCGAGCTCGGCGTACGTGAGCACCGGCACGCTCTCGGACCGGACCATGGGCACTGCTTGGAAAGAGGTTGGTGTTCTGCGGTTGGGTGGGGATTGGTCGAGGGTGGTGGCAGCGACGGCTGCACCCCGCTGGCGACCGAGGCTGGGAGTCCTCAATGCTTCACGCTCGTCGCTTCCACCGGCCTCGTAAGGGCTCAGAGCGTCGACGGGAAACATGCCTACCAGAGGCTGTTGGCGAGCATCTCGCTGGCGCAGACTGTGGCCGTGGAAAGTCGCAAACCGGCCTGCTCCGTACCTTTCGCCTTCATAGGTCGAGTAGTGGGTGGCCCCGTCGTGGTAGTGTTCTGCTTGATAGTGATACTCAGTCGCAGGCAGGACAGGGAGGTCAAGCTCGAGGTCGTGTGCCGGTGGTGACATCGGGTAGTCGTCCTGGTACTGTGAGAGCACCATTGTATTCGGTGTTGGGTCGCGTGGTGGAGGAGGAACAGATTGCGTGAGGTTCAGTCACACTGTTGATAACAGTGTTACGGTCGACGAGCAGTGGCGAGGTCGAGGGAATGTGCTGAGAGAACGGACAGTAGCAGTGATGTGAGGAGTGCAAAAGGGTGGGAGTGAAGCGACGGGTGCGCACCATGCATGTGCGCTGCTGTAAACCTTTTTAGTGATATTCTCGAGCGTACCACAGCAACGGTCGGTGACCGAGACACCCGATGATCTGCCTCAAACCTCAGGTCTCTCAGGTCTCGGCGCGCGACGCCCACTCCGCGGTACGAGTTAGTGTTCGGGTGACGATCGGCTGGGTCAACTGGAATCTCGAACCACTAGTGGAGCCTGAGGTGAGAACAGACGCAAAGAGCCAACGCCAAGGGCAGGAGCCAAACTAGAACACCGCTTCACGCGATGTCCAGCGGGCCGCGCCGCCGTTCGTCACAAGCGCGCGGGGGGATGAGGCTGACGAGGTCGGGACAGGCGACATGGTGCGACACCGCGCGGTAGATGGCGGCAGCAGGCGGACAGCAGCTGGACACATCAGGGAGCATATAAGCGCGAAAACTCACACGATCGTGGGCTCGGAGCGGGTACTGGATGAACTGGTCTCGTGGGTGTCATGGAGGCCAGCGGAAAGCTATACTTGGGTTGGAGGCAGGGTTCTGATGCGGAGAATATCTGAGCATCTTGGGAGACTAATCCAGACCCATTCAGCTGGCCAGAACACCTATATGAAGTAGAGTGGTCATCTGAGTCGGACTTCGGGGCATTGTGGCCAGGTGACAAGAGTGTGAGCAGTTGATGGGTACGGTGTATGGTTCAGTGTCGCAAAATAGTTTTTGCGTGCAGTGAGATGAGCAGACAGATCTGAAGATCCATCGTGAAGAGACGGATTGCCAGCCCACATAACCCGCCGCAGCTGCGCATCGTAAACTGTAAGCTTTGAGCATGTGGAACAACACGCAACCGAACGTCTACGCACTCGTTGCTTGTCGAGGGCGCTCCTGTGATCCTGTGATCAAAGGCATCAGGTGGCCAGGTGTGGTCGCTCGCCTATAATCCTGCTGCCAATTCAGCCAGTCCCGGAAGGTAAATGACAATACACTGCAATATCGGCTGCGCCACTGGAGCTCCTACAGATGCAAAGCAGCCTCTCACAATGCCGTGAGAAACTCAAGTGACGGCATAAGAGATCCTTTGTTCTCGTGTACAGTGCTTGTACCACGTGAAGAGATCCTTATTTCGCTGGCATACCAATCTCTGATTCTTAGGTGTGTCCCCAATGTGTCGTTGGCTCCCGCTTCCCGTTTCCGTTCAATCTCGATGTGTTCCGTCTGCAGTCGCTAGCTGTGGCATCGACACCTACACCCGGATATGGGCAGACGATAAACTGAACAGAAGACCGTTATGCGTCTCCCGTCGTTGCCTCCCATCGTATGTAGTGGCCAGAGAGCATTGGCGATCAGGCAGTCCGTGGGCAGTTGAATCGATCAACAAATAATAGCACCACTCGTCCCAACCTGATCCTTCCTTGTGCCCTGTTCAGCGTCCTGGGGCCGTCACCACCTGCAGACATGTTATCATAGTAATTCTGAGCTGCCCCAGCATGTCGTCTTCCCTTTCTATTCCTTATCCGCCTGTCATTCCCCTCTGTGTCCCGTTCCTGCGGCGTGCTATTTTGCTCGTTGTCCCTCTCGAGATGCTCGACCAGGAACTCTTTGCGTGGTGGCGGCATGCGCACATGCGCTGCATCTCATGGGGTCGGTCTGGGTTTATTATTTACCCATATGGCATTGGCTCCACACCTCTTCGGACCGTGACGGCAACCCCACGTTCCCCAAGTTAATGCGACCAAACTCAAACTTTGCAACTCTTACGCGAACCCCAGAGCTACCGGTTCCCAAGAACCAGGAGAGTCACTCGGACAAATGTAAGTACGCACGACAACCTTACCTGAGATTGTCAGTGCGGCCATGGGCGGCGGAACACAGGGACGGGCTGCGAAGGTTGGGGAGCGCAACAGCGAGGGCAAGCACGCCGTGGGCGCGGATGGCAGCGTGATGGGGAGTGAAGTGTAGGTGGATATTTCATTTTGCTCGGCGAGGGTTGATTCCCGCACACGCTCTCATGTGAGCTGCCCCATCTTCCCTGTACTCCTCCTCTCTTCTCGGTCAATGTTAAGGGACATGGTTAACCTCTTCTTGCAAACGCCGGTACCCGCAAGCCAGCTTGCGTACCGATGGAGTACGCAAGTGAAATACAAGGGTTGGTGTCCACGCTCAAGCACCAGAAGCTTGCCCCTACAAGTGCGACGCGGTGCGGAAGGCCCCATCTGAGCACACCATCGTCGACAACCGCCACGCTCCTCTCGGCCGTGAGGATGAGATGCAATTAGTCAAGCTCCATCATATTCCTCCTAACGTCCTGCTGGATCGCGCATCCTTCCCTGCTAGGGTCCTTGGGTGAACGAGATCTTGGGGCGAGGCATGTACGACGCGAGATGCCATCCCTCAAGCTCCATACCGGGTCCCGATATCAGCTTGTGCCCCTCATGCCTTTGCACCGTCGAGTGGGTTCGCCTCGCTGATGTGTTGGGGGAAGTTTACGCACTCGTATTTCATTGTGACTACCCAAAGACTACCTTCCTACAACTGCGTCTCCCAGACCCAACCACGTACCACATCCCACCGACTTCGTTCCACCAGGTATCCTCATGCCGCACCCAGAACCCCAGTTTACCACGCCAATATACCTCTGAAGACAGTTTGGTTTCGGCGACCGGCGACCGGCGACCGGTGTCCCGGCGCCTCATACCGACCGCGTCCCTCGACCCAACATCCCATGGCCTGATACCAGGTGCAAGTGGCAAGCACGCCATTGCCACAAGACGAGCTTTTACAACTTGGCAGCTCGGACAGGCGCGGGCTCCTTCTTGGCTTGCTCCCTCAGGTCCTTGCGCAGAATCTTGCCCGAGGGGCTCTTGGGGATGGCGTCAATGACAATGACGCCGCCACGGAGTCGCTTGTGGTTTGCGACCTTTGAGGCGACCCATGTCGCCACCTCCTTTGCGAGCGAGTCCTTGTCAGTCGTGTCTGCGCTGGCGACAATGTACGCGCGGGGAAGCTCTGTGGCCTGCGAGTCGTCCCAGATGCCAATGACGCCGGAGTCGACGACCTGCGGGTGTTGCAGGAGGAGGGACTCGAGCTCGGCGGGCGGGACCTGGAAGCCCTTGTACTTGATGAGTTCCTTGACGCGGTCGACCACCCTGGGGTTTGTCAGCTCTGCGTGGTCTGCAAGAAAACTTACTTGTAATGTCCGTCATCGCGCCTGATGAGCACGTCGCCCGTCTTGAGCCAGTCGCCGTCCATCGTCTTGGCCGTTGCCTCTGGGTTGTCGTGGTAGCCCATCATGACACTGGGACCGCGCATCCAGATCTCGCCGCGCTCGCCTTCCTTTGCGTCCTCGCCGTCCTCTTTAACCAGGCGAGCCTCAAACGTGGGCAGGATACGCCCGACCCATCCGGGCTCGACGTTCTCGTCGCCAGTCGTGCAGTGGCTGACGGGGCTCGTCTCGGTCATGCCGTAGCCCTGGGTGAGGGCGATATGCGGGATGCGCTTGTTGAACTGTTCAGTCACTTCAGCCGAGAGCGGGGCCGCGCCGGACATGAACGTCTTGACGGACGAGAGGTCGTACTTGGCCACGTTCTTCGAGTGGAGCAGGACAATAACCACGGGCGGGACAATGAGGCCGTGCGTGATGCGGTACTGCGCGTCAGCTGAATAACCACTCCAGGACAAGCTCACCTTCTCAATGGCGCTGAGCACGGCAATTTCCTCAAACCTTGGGAGGATGACCACGGGAACGCCGACAGTCGTCGGCTGGAGAAGAACAACGGTCAGACCGTAAATGTGACTAAACGGCAAAATACCCAGGACGACGTCCTCGCCAGACTTGAGGTTCTGGTACGCGACATTGACAGCCTGCAGCTGCGACGTCATGTTGTGGTGCGAGGTCATGACACCCTTGGGCAGGCCGGTCGTGCCAGACGAGTAGCACAGCCAAGCGGTCATGCGCGAGTCCTTGCCGTCGAAGCGCGCCGCCTTGCCTGGCTGGCCCATAATCTCCCCCAGGGCCTTGTACTGGCTGGGGAAGGGCTTGTCCTTGGGCTCGCAGAGAAGGATGACCCGCGACGCCGGGAACTGGCGCTTGAGAAGGGGACGCGCCGCGTCAAACGTCGGCAGGAGGGAGGGCTCGATGAAGATGACCTGCGTGCCGGAATTGTTCACCTGGTGCGCCACTTCGGGAGGGCCGCTGGGCGAGTGTCAGTGGCTAGTAACAGGGATACGGGAATCACAACTACCCACTAGGCATAGTTTGCAGGCGACACAGTCAACCCGGCCGCCATACACCCATACGCGGCCAGGGCCCACTCGATCGAGTTGAGGCCCCACAGACACGCGACATCGCCACGCTTGAGCCCGAGTGCACGGATGCCCGTCGCGAGACGCAGCGACGTCTCCTTGAGCTCGCCACGGGTCACGGTACGGTCTGTGGCACCGTCGATGAACGCAGGGATAGAGGGGTCAAACTGCTGCAGAGGGCTGTCGCCAGGCTTCTCGGGGAACAGGTAGTTGAACAGGCCCACCTCAGGGAGAGGGGGCACCGGGTGGTCCGAGGTGTAGATGATCTGCGGCATGGTGTCGTGGGGTGTGTATATCCTACCTGCCCGAGTGTTGAGTGCGAGTCCGCTTGACGAGGGAGATGTAGCTGGACCAGTACCAATGGGCAGTTGGTGAATGGAGAGGAAGAAACGAAGGCGGGGGGATGAGAGAGGGGAGAGGGGGGATGGTGCACACGGATATGAGCGGCGAGAGGCGGGGTACGGATTGTGGGGAGGTGGGGCACAAGGCACGACGGCAATTAGGCGCTAACCGGCGCGGTCATCACTGGCCACTGGCACGAGTTTGTCGGTGATTGCAATGCCGATGTGGGTAGCCAAGGCCACGCTCGAGATGCTCTTGGACTTGTGCCAAATGCAGTGTATGTTGCTGTTTGCTACAGCCACCTTTCCATGTCCATGCATTATACGAACATACGCGAGAGAACAAGTGTTCGCAGCGGCAAGAATGTGATCAGCATCCGACCAGCCCACCTGCCACTACCCCGCCCGGCCCCTCATCCCCACCCGCGGGGCCACGTCGCCTCCCCCAGCAGTCACCAGCGCCTCCATCCATCCCTGTGGCCTGTGGAGATGCACAGTCTGCGTGTCGCTCGATTGCGCGTGCTGCAAAAGTGAGTACATGAGCGGTCAAGAACGCGGTTCCGTTCCGTCCAGAGGTCCGCCAAAGCGGAATAATAAAGGGCGTGCAATTGAAATAGGTGACGGAATCCGGTATCGGTCACGCGCGCACACACGGATCAATACCAGCGGGGACCGAAGTGGGGCTGCAGGCTGCGCCGTCTATGTAGTGGCCTAGCACCGAGAGCGGGTGTAGGGAAAGGGAAGATGCATGACCATATGCGAGGGGGAACGGTCTATCTACAAGAGGGAAGGTCACTAACAAGGAGGGGCGGATAAGGAGGGCAGGTCACGTGATGGTAGATAGTAGGTCACGTGATGAGCGTGTGGGCACCTGGGCCAGGGCGGCTACAGTCCCTCATTAGGTCCCCGGTCTCTACTGTTAGAAACACGTAACCAGATTGCTTCCGCCGAATGATGTCAGCAGTCCCCCAAGCGCTAGCCATATAAAAGACCATCTACCGCTAGTATACCATGCATCTCCGTTTCTCTTTCACTCTATACCTCATACCCTCGTTACCTCGCTGGTACTGTCTGCAGCAGTGCTAGCATCGACATCTGAGGCTCTCTTTTCTTACATCTACACAAGTATGAAGCTGCGTTGCCGGACTGGTTAATTGGGGTGGGCCCGCCTTTAATACCTAGATTCCGTGCGCGTACGTGGATGGATGGCTCCTGGCCCGAGCCATTCCCCGTCCGGGGCGTCCAGGGCAGCACCCGACCGCAAGAGAGCTCCTCTGAAGAATCCCTCGGGATTACGACCGACCGACCAGCGAGACAGGAGATGGTGGGGGCGAGCGAGGGGGAGTGGAGCGGGGAAGTAGGCGCCTCATACGAGGGTTCGAATCTTGAGATCGAGATCGAACCCAATATAGAGTACTCTACTTATTGTTGCGGGCAGGCGTTGGGAAAGTCCGATTTGCTACAGGCGACAGGACGATTGTGGGACGACAGCTTGCCGAGGAGTCTGCCGAGAGGCGTTGCCGAATGACGTGCTCATACCGACTGCTGAGTTCGGACGCGGCGGGGAAGACACCGTACACCGTTGAGTGGCGGGACAATGCGCTCAACGGGGCCGAAAAGAAATCAACGAAGCGGTTCCAGAGGCACGCCGCCGGTAGCTAGTTCAGATCCAGTACATTGATGCTTATGGAAGGCGATTGGAATTCTCGCACGAGGCTCGGGCCATGCTAGTTCTCTGGCACTACAAGATATGTGTGAAGGGGGTTGGGGGGTTGTGGTTGTAGTGATGGCACACATGTGAAATCACCACTGCTTGCGGGCATACAGGCCAAACACGTCGTTGATGGTGGTGCCCTCTGCGTACGTCTTAAAGTCGTCGGTTGAGACCTTGCGCTCGGGAGCCAGGACGCTCGCGGCCGTCACTGGAGCGTCAGCTGCGAGTCACCTATACACAACTCACAAAAGTCCTCCATGGCAAAGTCCATGACGACAACGTCGATCACCTCCTCGGGGTCCACGTCGGGCATGGGGCTCCGAATAAAGTCGCTGCAGTGGGTCAGTACCTAGTGCTCCCAGGGGCATTATACCCACACTTGGTCAGGCGAGTAGGGCACGGGAATGTGCTCGATATCGTCACCACGGCCCTTGCACGCGTCGTGCGTGACGTAGCCGAGCGTGCGGGGCTTCTTGGCGTCCGAAGTCATCGACAGTTCGTCCGAGCCGCCAAGCAGGTTGGACTGGACGTAACGGTCCCACTGGGACGCGAGCCACTCGTTGTATACGTGGCGGACGTATGCCTCGTCGTCATCCACCGAGGGGGCAAACTTGGACGCGCCGGCGCGGTTCATCTCGACGGTAATGTTACCTGCGAGACCGGCCGGAAGACGGGTGTACAGGAACTCGGTGTTGAAGGGAGACACAGTGAGCTCGTCGTTGCGGTCAAACGGTCCGGCAAACTGAAGTGTCAGTGGGTTACAGTGCCGATCTCTGGCGTTCTTCCTACCCACCACGTCAAAGCGCAGACTGCCGGCATTGCCAATGACCACACGAGGGTGGCCATGACGCTCACGGTCGCACACAACCTCTGGAATGACCTTTTCGGCAAACACAGTGAGAACCGAGCGGGGATGGCCGTACGGGTGGCGGTGGAGGAAGTAGTCGTGCGGGACGACACCAAACGGCCGGGTGATCTTGAGCTCGTGCGCCAGGTTATCCAGAGACTGCGAAATGTTCAGACCGAGCTGTGTGTCGAAGTCGTCGTCCGTCGTGCCAGTGTGCCACTTGTAAGTCACTGGGTTGGCGTCGAGGTATCGCCTGCTAATCTCAAGTGCACGGCCATCGTCCTCCGCTGGAGGAAGGTTGGACGAGGTGAAGGCAATGGTCTCGAGGTAGCAGCCGGGAACGACACTGTTAGGGTTAGCTTGGTGTTGGTCGTAGAAAAACCCACGCAATGGAGCGGTCGTCGTACTGCACGCAGTCCCGGACGTGCGTGTGACCACCAAAGACAAAGATGGGGACGAGGGGGTGGACCTTGCGGATGGCTTGGTAGACCGGGTACCACTCCGAGGTCAGGCCACGACCGGGCATGTGGCCAACGAGGACGCTGGAGAGTCAGTTCAGACATACTGTCATATAACTGAAGACCCATGAGTGATAAGACACTCACAAGTAGTCGGGAGCGTCGGCAATAGCCTCCTGGAACCAAGCCTCCTGGGCCATCTTGACGGGCGCCTGGACGGTGATGTTGCGGTCATGTGCCTTGACTGAGAGTTAGCTCCAAGAAGCGCTGGCAGAACTCACAGTTGAAGAGAACGCCAAATGCAGTGACAGAATTTCCTCTGCGCTGGGTCAGACACAATGGGAGCAAGCTTCCACCCACTGCTTGGTCTCAAACTTGGCCACGCGGTCTGAAATCGGCACCGAAACAACCTCGCCGTGCTCCTCTACAGTAATGTTCACGTTGGACGTGAGATACCTGCCATTCCAGCGCTTGTGGTTGTCGTACAGCCACTTGGCCGAGCTGTACTGGTACAGCTCGTGGTTTCCGAGCGTCAGGACATCGTAGTGGAGCAAGCCAAAGATGCCGTCTGCGGCCTCTGCGCTCTCGCGCGACGTCGAGACGAGTCCCGAGCCGTCGTGGTGGTCGCCCGCGTCGACTAGGAGGAGGTCTACACCGCGTGCGTCTGCCTGGGCGCGCATGTGCGTCGCAAACGAGGCAAAGGTGCCCCAGTCACCAGAGTAGTTCTGTCATCAGCTTTCACCAAGGCTGCGAAGCTGTCGCCACCCACTGGTTCGGGCCAAGTGTCCTGTCGCCGTCAGTCGCCACCCAGTACTGCTCAACCTACATGCTGATGACCCCTGAGCCAACCTGGCAGTCAGAACACATGGCCAGAGACAAGTACATACCATGCGTGTCGGAGGTGCTGATAATGTTCACGTCGCTCCACTCGAGCGGGCGGTGCGGGACGGGCAGCTCCGACGGGTTACGGAGCGCCAACACGTCCTCTGCGAGGGCGCGTTCTGCCGCCCCACCCTCTTTACCCACGGCGAGGGCGAGTGCCGAGGGCGCTGCGAGGAGCACAGTGAGAAGGAGTCGAGCCATGGTTTGCTTCGAGAGATCGAAGGGTGGATTGTACAGTGAAGCAATTGGATTGACCAGCCATATCGCGCGTGTGTATCAGTCCAGTCCGGCCACTCCCCAGTCGCGCCGGGATCCGAGGGCCGTTGGTGCCTGGGCGGCGACGGCACTATCTCGCCACCTGGCACGCACTCGTCCGGTCCTCCAGCCGCCGCAGCCATGTGCGTTTGTGAGTTACGTTTGCATTCTCCACACCTCTCACCGTCGCATCTCCACCATGTCGTACTTTGAGCGCCTCGCCGCGCAGGACACAAAACAGCTCATCCGCATCGCTGCAGTGAGTTGCCACTCCTATGTCTTTGGCCCTAACCCACGCCCAGGCGCTGTCGTTCATGCTCACTGACACCGTTGGACTCTCCTACAACCTGGCGCTCATGGTACGGCTCGGTTGTGCCCCTTCCCCCATTGAGCCGACACACTGACACCCCAACCTCTACAGCTCTTTGGACTGGTCGCGGTGGAGCTGTCGACCACGGGCTGCGAACAGTTCTTCCTGTCCATGGACATGATCTCGGGCATCTTTGACCTGTTGTCCATTGCCAGTCCGATGCCGGGAGTGGTTTCCAGGATCGTCGCCCTCATTGTCTTGTTCCTCAAGGTCCCGATCTACCTCTCGGGCGTGGTCCACCTCCGTGAGCGCGGCGGCGACCTGACATGGTCGAGCCGCGGGTTCGCTCCTGCTGGTGAGTGGAACAAGGAGCGAAATATGACGTAGTGCACCGAGAAAGAAGATGCTGTTGGCTGACGCTTGGCGACAGGCTGGATGCCCGCTGGCATGCCTGGTGGTGGCGGTGGTGGCCAGACGCTCGGTACAGGCCCTGTTCCGTCTGCTGCTCCGGCCCCTCCTGGCTCATTCCCTTCTGGCGGATACCGTCTTGGTGGTGACGAGGCCAACCAGCCCCGCGGGCAGACGACTCGCGATGGCTACGAGGCAATTGCCTAAGTTGCCGAGTTGTTCCTCGTCACTCGTATACCTATACACACTTAATTGCACCGTAGAACGAGCCTTGTTCGCTCGACCTCTGTCACGGTACGACCACGCGCGTCCCTGTTGATACAATGCATGCTCTACAAACACACCCATTCGCGCCCGTTTGATCTAAATGCCGCGGCTGCGCTCCATGACGGCGCTCATGTCGAGGACCTCACGGAGGTCGGCACCGCCGGCCATAAAGTCCTCGGCGTCGATCGACTCGTCGGTGCCCTGGAGGATCTCGAGCGAGGTGTTGTGCGAGCCGCCGAGGGGCAGACCGGACGAGGTCGACTGGAGCAGGAGCGGGTGGTGGTTCTCCTGACATGGGTCAGCCAGGCGTCAATAGAACGGAGGTACGCACGGTAGCCACGAGCTTGAGCTCCATGGCTTTCCTCAGGGGGACGGCGACACCAAAGTTGTTGCGCTGCACGGTCGACTGGAGCTGCTGCTGGGTCTCCTGCCACTTGTCATGTCAGCTTAATGCGTGTGGCAAGGGAGAGCTTACCTTCTCGAGACGGGCCTGGAGTGGGGAAGCGTTGCCGGCAGCGACGCTCTGGGCGGCCGAGGTAAGACCGTAGCGGAAGGTGTCGTGGGTGCCGCTCATGGGGTGGTTGGTCGCCTGGCCATGGTCAGTGTGAGGTCACATATATAGGAGGAGGAAGGCGAGGTGTGGACGTACCTTGGTGGAGACCTGGTAGGTCTCCTGGGACGCATTGACGGTGGCGGGTGTGAGACGGTGGGACTGGAGGTCAGCTGAGTTGGTAATGGTATGAACAAGCTGCTCACCATTGCTGCTGTTGGGGGTGGTAGATGTTGTTATTGCAGCTACCTTGAACGACACACTCGGATACACCCAGCCATATGCTCGCGCATGCACCAGGCAATGACGCTGCCATCAGCGCTCACGCGTCTCCGGCGATATATACGGCGTTATGGCCATGTGGCGGTGTGTGACAGATCTGACGCCGTGCGCTTACAGCTCCCAGCCCCCCAGCCAGCCAGCGAGCCAGCCAGCTGCAGCCCGCCCGCGCCGCCTTGCACCCGCGCCTGCAGACCTGCCAGCGCAGCCCGTGACACCCAGCGGGCGGGGGCCAGCAGCCAGCCAGCGCGTGTGTGCCCATACAAACCCTCCCCCCTCCTCTCCCTCGCACTCTCCCCTGGCCTCTTCATCTGTCAATCCACTCCAGTCCACCCACACACACCACCACACACCCCACCACGGACACTCACCCACACCCCACACCCACCCACCACCGCTCCTTCTCACCCACCCCCCTCCCACTCCGTCGACTGTCGTAGACGGGCACACCCACAACGTAAGTCACACCTCTCACCGCCCCCGCTCCCACATCCCCACACCCCGTCGACCCCGTCGCCCCAATCCATCCCGCCGACCAGCGGGCGGACGCTGCAGCGCACCGTTCGGAGACAAAGGAAGGCAAGGGAAGGCACACCCACTCACAGCTGGCGCTCTCGGCGGCTGGCTGACACACCGTCTGGGCCTTCCAACCACACCGCTCATCTCCATCCATATCCACCGCGTACACCTCTCCCCTCCCCGTCACATCATCTATCCCTCCTCATCTCCCTCCCCCTTCGTCCCTCCGCCCCCCCCCTGCGTACACTCTACGCCCACCTCTCCTTCCCTCGTCACACTCCAGCCCTCGCCCGTCGCTTCCAGTCCCGCGCGTGCCCCCCCCTTCCTTCCTTCGCGCTCCGATCGTCCCACCCAGCCCGTCTCCCACCTGGTCTTCCCCGGAGACGCGGATCCCCGTCCCATACACCCCTCCCTCACCTCCATTGTCCCCCCTCCCCTCCCCGGTCTACGTTCTAACCGCCCTCCAGTGCGCGTCGCTACCAGTGCATCGGACACGTCGCCCACCCCCATACACTCCACATACAAGTTAGGTGAGTCTTGAGCCGACATCCCCCATTCTCTCTTGCGAGGCCGTACCTGCGCGTGCCCAACCTCGACAGGCGCACGCCCTGCACTGCATGACACTGGGGACTGTGCACCGGTTCCATCCGCACACACTCCCTGGGTCTACCCGTGCATATGCGTGCATGTCAAACATACGAGTCCTTGCTGCTGGCCGGCCTCATTCGTGTGACGTGGAGTAAATTTGACGCTGACACGACCATTCTTCATTCTCCTCATCCTTTCAACCACCTATCGCTCCCCCCTTGCAACTCCCACACGGCGTCTACCACACACCTTGCGCATCCGTCTGCCGCTCTTGCGTGCACGCCTGCCCTCCGTCGGCTTCTCTTTTGGATTGGACGACTCCCTCTTTTGTGTCGTTCTTCTTCCTCTTCTTTCACATCCCATTTCAACCACACTCTCAACCACGCTACGCTCCACCCGCTCAACCCAACCCACGTTGGCTCACGCAACCCCGTCGCACGAACCCCTTCCTTCCTCTTTCGTCAACGCCGGCGACCCCTGCGTGGTGTCCTCCCACCGCCTCGCCGTCATCTGATCGCTCACCACGACGCCCCGACACCCTACCCAATCCGGTCGCAACACACGCAACGGCCCTTACACCCCTCCACCCCTTCGGGCTATGACCACACAGTTCAAGATGGCGTCCATGGACCTCCGTGTCGGCGGCAAGTACCGCATCGGCAAGAAGATTGGTAGTGGCTCGTTTGGTGAGTGCAGCAAATGGTGACGCTGACGGGTGCGGTTCGGCATGTCGTCGTTGCCACCGCGGACCCACCCGTTCCCGTTTCTCAGCGCGCAAGTCATGTGGCTAACTGGATCAGGTGACATTTACCTCGGCGTCAACATTGTCTCCGGCGAGGAGGTTGCCATCAAGCTCGAGTCAGTCAAGGCCAAGCACCCCCAGCTCGAGTACGAGTCCAAGGTCTACAAGTCGCTCGCCGGCGGTGTCGGTGTCCCCTTTGTCCGCTGGTACGGTACCGAGTGCGACTACAACGCCATGGTCCTTGACCTCCTTGGCCCCTCGCTCGAGGACCTGTTCAACTTCTGCAACCGCAAGTTCTCGCTCAAGACGGTCCTTCTCCTCGCCGACCAGTTGATCTCGCGTGTCGAGTACATCCACTCGCGCAACTTTATCCACCGTGACATCAAGCCCGACAACTTCCTCATGGGCATTGGCAAGCGTGGCAACCAGGTCAACGTCATCGACTTTGGTCTCGCCAAGAAGTACCGCGACCCCAAGACGCACCTCCACATCCCTTACCGTGAGAACAAGAACCTCACCGGTACCGCCCGTTACACCTCGATCAACACCCACCTGGGTGTCGAGCAGTCGCGTCGTGACGACCTCGAGTCGCTCGGCTACGTGCTCATGTACTTCCTCCGTGGCCAGCTCCCCTGGCAGGGTCTTAAGGCTGCTACCAAGAAGCAGAAGTACGACCGCATCATGGAGAAGAAGATGACCACCCCCACCGACGCCCTCTGCCGCGGCTTCCCCAACGAGTTTGCCATCTACCTCAACTACTGCCGTTCGCTCCGCTTCGACGACAAGCCCGACTACTCGTACCTCCGCAAGCTCTTCCGCGACCTCTTTGTCCGTGAGGGCTTCCAGTACGACTACGTCTTTGACTGGTCGGTCCAGCCCCCTCCCCCCAAGACCGCCGACGGTGCCGAGGCCGACCTCCAGCAGCACAACGCGCTCCTTGCCCAGAAGCGCCGCATTGTTGCCGAGGGCCAGATCCCCATGGGCTCAGCCGCCGACCAGAGCAAGATCGAGTCGCAACGCCAGCTCCGCTCGCAGACGCGCAACAATGCTCGCGAGCAGGGTGGGTGGTAAGGCCGTTTTGCCCGACAACTCGGCTCACGTCGCGGCGGTCGTCTCGTAGGCGGCCGCAGTGTGTCTGCTGTGTAACCGGCACAAGAGAGAAGGGAAAGTGAAGGAGTGCACAGGTGGTGCGAAACGATGGAGGATGGCAGCGGTCGTGGATGTGTAGGAGCATGTTGGTCGGCTCGCCACGGAATCACAAGCAGCTTGGCGGACATCGCTGCACCGCCAGTCAAGATTCCCCGGCGCCCAATGGCCCCGGCTATGCTCCCCCTCGACCCCCATCTATTTCGCACCCCTTCAACGCCTGCGTCTCGTTCGCTTGTTACCATACCTTCCTCTCTATCAACAAGCCTCATCTCGACTCCCCTCACCACTCCCAGCTCCTTCCCCCTCCCTTCCACCTTCCTGCCCCGACCTAATTTCCCCTCCACCTCTCGCGAATGATACCCCCGACTGTCACTCTTTTTTCGACAGCGCGTCACGGCCTCAACGATCCGTCACGCTACGAAGGCCGCCTCTCGAGCCTATCTCGTCTCCCTCCTCATGGCTGCTTCCACACGCAGCCCTCTCTATACGCGGTCTACACCTACCGCCTCGCGTCGCGCGACCGCCTTTGGGCACGGTCCCCTCACCTCTCTCCTGTCTGATTACATCCCCCTCACATCCCCCCACCCTCATATCCACCCCCACCCCCTCCCCCCCATCCAACCCCCACGCAACCGCCCATGCCCTGCCCGGCGCCAACCAGGGCCCCAAGTCCCCGTCAGCCCCCCCTCGCACAACATTTCTGTGCAAGGAGGTGGGGCGGCGGGAGGGCGCCATTGCCCGCGTCAAACAGCTTGAGAGCAAGTCTCATAGCCCGGAAGGGCTTACCTTGTTCATGTTCGTTTACGCGAGTGCGCAGGCTCAACTACAATCCCCCGACGACACCCTTGCGACACATTTATGGCCTCGCGGTCCGGTCGTTAGGGGGCTTCCCTGCGTATGATGATGCATGTTATGTTCGCCTGTTCCGTTTTTTTAGTTGGGCATTGTTGCAGATTGTTGCAGATTGACAAGAGCGAGCGAAGTGGAAGTGAAGGAAAGGCACATGGGCACATGGCCAACCGCAAGGCACCCGACCAAGTCCCGCTGGTTCACTGACGACGCGTCGGAACAACGCCAACGCCAACGCCAACGCGGACGGGGGGGGGGTTGGGAGTGACCCGCGGTCAGCTGAGGGCTGAGGTGAGGCAGGTTCCTTGAGCCGCGTGTATGGTTGGGATCTTGGGAACGCGCACATGATCGAGGTCAAGAAGCCCAGATCCAGCCAGAGGTGGTGGGGTGGGAAAGGGAGAGAAGCAGCGACGCAGGGACGCAGGGGGAAGCAGGTATGCACAGAAGCAGACAAGTCAAGCGTCGAGTCTGGTGCGAACAGAGCAGTGTGAACAGAACAGAACAGAGCAGAACAGTGTGAGCAACAAAAGGCGCAGGACAGGATCGTATCGAGCCACACCAGAATGGCGGCTGTGATGCGGGCACGGACACGGGGGGTACATGCAAAGATGGCTGCTGCAAAGTAACCGCTACAGCTAAATCTCAAAAGACACACGTGTAAATTGTCATCTTCGTCGACAAGGCGGGGAGGTAGGGGGCAGGGGGGGCACTATGTAGATGGACAATCTGCAGTGAGATGGACGCCGCGACGCTGGGAGCGCGCGCGTGAGGAGACAGCATCTAGTCTGCCTTCTTGTTGGAGAAGGCGCCGGTGGCCTTGATGTGCTCGTCGGCGAGGCGGTTGTACTCGGACGCCTGCTGGTCGGCCTGCTTCTTGAGGGTCTCTGTAAAGGGGGAGGGAACTGGTCAGAAAAAAACAGCCCCACTCAACTCTCTTTCCCATACCACTCACCAAAGTCGCGGTCGGCGGCCTGGTAGGTCTTGACCTGGCCCTCGAGCTCCTTGACGCGCTTGCGCAGCTCCTCGTTCTCGCCAACGACACCCGAGCCCTTGGCGGTCTTGGCCTGGAGGGTGTTGTACTCCTCCTGGACGTTGATAAAGTCGAGGAGAATGTAGAAGACGCGCGAGAGGATGAGCGACAGGAACAGGGTCGCGCCAGTGAGGTAGACTGTAGGATGGGTCAGCCTTTATGCCGCCTGGATGTCTTGCAGTTGGCGTTTCAGGAATGGGCAACTGCCCGAGAACCAGGCGTCAAGGAAGTGTAAAACGCCACGCCCGCGATAACAGAAGAGAGGCGGAAGTGCACGCGAAAATGGCCGACAAGGACTGCCACGCACGCGTGCACCGCCATCCCTGTGTCGAGGACGTGGCTACAACTGTGCCACACGGCGCCCAATGGAGGAAAGCAACAGGGTCAACTCACGATTACGCTGGGCGTAGAAACGGCGGGCGGCGCTGAGAAATACGTCAGTAAGGTGGTCCCTTTGCACACAGATCGCGGAGACCCGGGGGCATGATGTCGTCACTGCATGTTGCAAGTTGTACTCACTAGGTGGTCTCGGCGCGAACATCGGCCATCTCAACCTTGGCCTTGGCGGCCGCACCCTCCTGGGCAATACGCACCATGCGCTGGAGCGCATCGATGAAGAGGACCGCCACAAAGCTGGAAGCGGTCAGTCAGTTGATCACCTAACAGGAGGATGTTCAGCTGTGGCGAACTCACATGAAGGTGATCTTGAGCTACATTGCGTCAGCTACGGCATGCACCGCCTAGCTGCACACTCACAGCGTACTGGATCTTGGCGACAATGGGGTTCTCGCTCAGGAAGTGCATCATGCTGCCACTGTCAGTTCTCGTTGGTGGTGACGGCCGCCGGGCGCCGGGCGGCGCAGGACATGACAGGGACTGATCGACAAAGCAGTGTCCCAAATCACGGCCATACGTCGGCGCTGGTGCTCACCGCTTGCGCATGGCAAAGGGCATGGGAGCGATGATGGCTCCAAAGAGGCCAATCTCGCTCATGAGGAGCCCAAAGCACACTGGAGTGTTTGTCAGTCTTCGCTTCGCGTTGCCTCATGGGAATCGAAGCCGGGTTGGATCGCGGTGTGGTGAACGTACTAGTATAGTAGAGCTGGGCACCGTTAGCGATGTACGCAGATGTCAGTGGGCGCCGGTATGCTCACGGTCATGGTGGATGGATTGTGCTTGTGAACGAGAGGGTAAGCAAGGGTTGTCGAGAGTGAGAAGAAGAAGAGGAGGAGCGCAAAGACGACAAGGATAGAACCTCTGGGTGACGACGTGCCGCGCGTGAAAGATCGATCGGGAAGGGAAAGCCGGCGGGGGTTGTGGCCCTCATACGTCATTGCCTCTCTGGCAGGTCGTCGATCCGCCACACTGCGGGATTACAGGCCACATCGCCGTCCGACCGGCTCCTGCGCTGATGCCAGCAGACTATTGTGGACAAGCATCACCAACCAACAACACAGCCCACCCCCCACCATCTGTAGGGCATCACCAACAAAATGGCCGACCTCAAGGTACGCACAGGGAGAGTGCCACACAGGCAGAGTACTGACCAGCAGGCCTTTGACGACCTTTTGGACAAGACAGTGCGCGCGCCGCGCCTGTCCGGATCCAAAATCAAGGAGCTGTCAGACTCGGCACTGCGCTTGGTCGCGAACGATCACCACCTCGTGACCAGCCTGCTGCGACTGAACACGTCGTTGCCGACAGCCAGCACATCGAGGATCTCGTCACTCTACGTCTTTGACGCGATTGCCCGCGCGGCCAAGTCTCAGGTCGACAAGGGCAACGGCCGCACACCCTCCACGGTCCGTGGCCAAGGCACAAACGCTGGGCTTTTGGCCAAGATGGAGGGAGTGGTCGAATCGTGGGTCGCTGGAATGGTCGATGATGGCAAGGGGGGCGTTTGGTCCGAAGGAAGGGTGGGTACAAGTCGCCGCAAGGCGCCAACTGCATGCGGTATTGTTGTTGACACTGCTGCAGGACAAGACAAGGAAGATTATCGAGATTTGGCGCAAGGGATCGACCTTCCCCGAGGCGTGCATCTCGCAGCTGGCGCAGCGCATTGCCGAAGCAGATGGAGGAGCCGCTGGCCCATCAAAATCAGGTAAATATCGGTCCATCAGTCTCCCTTTTGTCGCATTCTCTCGTTGTTGTGAACCGGGTGGCCACAAGCGGCAATCAAGAGTGGCGGATCACGTCAACAAGACAGACTTACACAGCGCTGCGGCGTCGGTTCGACGTGCGCGGCGCACTGACTTCCCACCCCGTTATCTCCCACATCCACATCCCCATCACCATTGCAGCCGCCAGGAGTGTATCTACGCTTGTAGGCGGACGACCACGCATCACGCATGCATCCCTTTCGCTGCTGCCGGAAGGCTGGCCTCGGCCGCTCGCTCGTGCCACTTTGGATCGTCCCCTAGGCCACTTGCCACTCCGTATGGAACTCTTAGGTGTCGTGATGCCTTGTCTCTATCTCTCTCTCTCTCTCTCTGCCTATCCGTCCCCCTTCTCCCTAAACCATAGACCGTTGCTGAGGCTCTAGTCCGCTCCACCACACCCATATCTGCGCCGCCCGCGCACCTCCTCGCGCGCTACGGCACCAGTGCCAAGGTGTCGCCGGCGGGTTCGCCTGCTTTGGCCAATGCCCAACCATCGGCTCCCGCGGGGCAGCTGCCACCCGAGATCATGGCCCTGCTCGGCGTGAAGAGCGCAGCGGAGAGTGCAGCAGAGGCAAAGTGAGTCAACAACGTCAAGTCTGTGGCGCCACAAACTAACTTGTGTGGCAGGGCTTCGACGTCCTCGGCCATTGATGCCGTCCTCGCCAACGTTCGCAACGCCCCCGCCTCCGCACTCGCACCACCGGCCGCGGCAGCGCCGGCGCTGGATCCCGCCCAACTCGCAGCTCTGGCCAACCTGGGAACCCTCTCAAGCCTTGCTGTTCCGCCAACCGCCTCGGCTACACCAACACCACCAATGCCACTCCCTCCTCACGGTGCCGCCTCGCTCCCTCCGCGCCCAACATTGCCTCCCCTGCCCGCGAACGGGGACAGGTACGGCAACACCAACGGCCACGGCAATGGGTCCGGAAGCAGCTATGACGACCGCAATAGGCGGCGATCAAGGTCCCCCGAAAACCGGTATTCGCGCGACCCACGAGACAGGGACCCTCGCGACCGGGACCCTCGTGACCGTGACCCCCGTGACCGCCGCGTCGAGTTCCGTGAGCGCGACAGCTCGCGTGAGAGGAGGGATTACGGCGACAGGCGAGACGACAGGCGCGACTCTCGCGACTCACGCGACTCGCGCGACTTCCGAGACAGGGATAGGCGAGACGACCGCCGCGACGATCGCGAGCGCGACTACCCCGACAGACGGGGAAGCAGCGACCGCGACCACCGAAGCGACTTCCGCGCACCCCTCCCTCCCAAGCCGACAGACTTGCCGGCGCGTCCTGCGGGCCTGCCCAGCCGCCCGTCGGAGCCCCACCAGCAACACTCTCAGGTGCAGGCCACGGCAATGAGCCCCACCCCTGTCAACGCTGCTCTTGGAGGTGCTGCTACTGCTACTGGAGGAGGAGGAGGAGGGGGGTCAGGTGCTGCCACCCTCGCGACATTCGACATGGCCTCGTTCAACCCCACCCAGCCCGAGAGCTGGGCCGCCCTCGCTGCGGCATGGCACGGGTCGACGGGCCGCGAGCCCAACCAGATCGAGCTCATGCAGTTCCTCGCCACGGGACAGGTGCCGGATGCGATGGGAATGGGCATGATGGGCGGAGGTATGGGCATGATGATGGGAGGCGGTGGAGGTGCAGGTGGTATGGGCGGAGGTATGGGCATGGGCATGGGAGGTGGACACAACACCAATGGATTCTAGGCGGTCGCAACGCCAGGGTTCACAGCAGCTTTTTCTGTACATATGCATGACACACATTCTGACTCTTTTATTCAATATAAACAACAGCCGACGATCAACCATCAGTATGCGCGTGCTCGGCTCCCATAACTTGAGACGCGGTTTGCGCCACATACCCCAAATCTGATTCATGAAGCCCGGGTAGGTTCACGGCCGCTTAGTGGCCAACGAGCCCACGGGCCGTCAAGCCACCGCAGTAGTCTTTTCAAGTGAAACACCTATCGGTCGGTACACGTCGTGCTCTGCTCTGCAACAGCAAATTCACTACAGGTGCATCATCTAGACCGGGACTGTCCCGTGGACGTAAGATTCCTCGATGGATCATCGGCGCGTGGACCGACTCGGACTCGGGACTCGGGGCTCGTGGCAGTGGTGTGGCGCGTACGGTGGGTCGTGGAGAGGTAAAAAGGGACGAGGGGTAAAAGGGGAAGAAACGGGACAGGTGTGATGAGGGTCCTGCGGGAGAGACCAGTGACGGTACATGAGAAATTATGCCAGCGCGCCCGTTGGTGGTTGTGAGTTTGTCGGAGCGCGTTATTACTTCTGTATTGTGTTGACCAGCCTGAAAGATGTCAGCTGAGGCAAAGGCGACAGCGTAGCTGAACAGCAAGGTAGGGGGTAAACAGTGCCGAGCACCTAGACGATGGTGCCAGCAGCAATAAGACTTGGGTCCAACTGCTGGCCGTCCGAAAGATGTGGGCACTGTGTAGCTCACTACACATGCCCAAACCGGTACCTACCAGTCCAATCCTTCCTCCAGTCCATCGCCCTTGGTCGCGCAGCTTCCACGGACACTCCACTCGCGTCCCTTCTCCTGGCCCGCAAGGCCCAGCTTGTCCGAGATCTCAGCTGGAGACAGAGCGCCAGCCACGTCCTGCTTGTTGGCAAACACCAGCACAGGAACGTTCTTGAGCTCATCCTCGGACAACATGGTCAGAAGCTCGGAGCGCGAGGTGGGCAGGCGCGCAACGTCCGCCGAGTCGATCACGTAGATGATCGCCTGTGTATAGTGTCAGCCAGTCGACCATGACATTGTGTGCCATAAAGGACGAGGAACAAGAGCAGCTCGAGCTGCGCACATGTGCTGCGCAACAGGAACCTCCATCGACAAGGGTGTGGGTGTGACGTACCTGCGTGTTCGCGTAATAACATCGCCAGTATGGGCTGCTGGTGTCAGATTATGCCTCATGAAGGGGTGGGCGTGCGTACCGGATGCTAGATTGTCCTGTGGGGTTGTCAACAAACGAACCTCGACGACGCAAACAACCAGACTCACCACCGAGATCCCACACTTGGAAGTTGATGTTTTTGTACTGCACCGTCTCAACGTTGAAACCGATAGCTGCGAGTTGTCAGTTGGGGAGCAGTCTTACCGACAGCTGTCCAACTTACTTGGGATGGTCGAGACGACCTCTCCAATTTGCAGTCGGTACAAGATGGTAGTCTGCACGTCAGCTTCGCGACCCCTTGGTTCCGAATCGCGGCTGCTGCCAGCGGCGGCCACCGCGGCAAAGTGCACGTCTCTGCAACTTGCAGCCAGCCAACGCCCGTCGCCGACAATATCGGAGGCAGCAGCTCCATTAGCGTCTCTGTCTCACCTTTCCTGCCGAGTCGAGTCCGACCATGAGGATCCGGACCTCCTTGTCCTTGCCCCAGAACGCGAGGGTCGAGAGCGACGAGTAGATCCTGGAAAGCGAGAGACCCATGGTGGGGCCGGCGCCGTGCGTGCGTGGGGGTGGGGTTGGCAACGGTACGTGCGCGGAGAGGGCTAGTGTGCCGGGTTGGTGGAGGGAGAGAACGTGAGCGGAGGCTCAGACGGCGGCGGCGAGAGAGAGAGATGGCGATTTGTGCTGAGCAATAGTGGAATGGACGAGACGGCCGGCCACGATGAGAGAGGAGCCCGACAGGGCACGCCGCGCGCCTCTGGCCAGAGCGGCGGAACCAAACTGGTGATGTTGTTTGGAAATGCCCATTAGTAATTGGGTCTAATGGACGCCTGAAACGCATAAGGCCGTCAGCTTTTGACAACCTGGGCCCCACGGTATGTTTTGCCGGGTGGAGGCCCAGAAATTTCAACAACACCACTCACTTATCCGCGACAATGAGCAGCGACACCGAGACCAAGGAGGAGCGCAGGGCCCGCAAGCAGGCCAAGAAGGAGGTAAGCGGAGACTCGAGAAGACAAAGCTGACAATCAGGCCAAGCTCGCTGCTGCCGAGCCCGTCCAGGAGATCAGGGAGGAGGTCACTGAGACCAAGGAGGAACGCAAGGCTCGTCGCAAGGCTGAGAAGGAGGTGCGTTGATGTGTGCTGGAGAATAATGTACTGTGGCTGACTTCTACAGTCCAAGGCTGCCGCCGAGACCAAGGTCGAGGGGCCCAAGGCTGAGGAGCCCAAGGCCGAGGAGACCAAGGAGGAGCGCAAGGCTCGTCGCAAGGCCGAGAAGGAGGTGAGTCGAGTTGCTCGTCTATCGTGTACGACCATTTCAGCCATGGCTGACTCGCACAGGCCAAGCGCGCTGCCGAGGACAAGGACGCCGAAGAGAAGTCTGATAAGAAGGACAAGAAGGACAAGAAGCGCAAGCACGACGAGACTGCCGAGGCCAAGACTGAGGCCACGGAGACCACCGACGTTGCCGCCGCTGAGCCCGAGGCCAAGAAGTCCAAGAAGCCCAAGGGAGCCAAGAAGGAGGTCAGCACCTCGGCCCCAGTGTTCTCGGACGAGGCTCTTTCTGAGCAGGCCAAGAAGGGTGAGCCATCAGTCTAGCACTCCCCACTTCACGGTTCACGTCAACTGACACTTTAGCCATCTGGTACGCCCAGCAGTACAAGGAGCACGGCGGCGCGGTCGCCGGCTCGGCGTGGAAGTTCAACAAGGCCCGTCAGGGCTGGCTCCTGCGCAACTTCTGGAACGCCGAGGAGGTCACCGAGTCGTACCTCGAGGATGTGGTGCACTACCTCAAGACCGTCGTCGGTGGTGCCCGCACGGGTCTCGTGGAGAAGGCACGCAAGTTCCTCAAGGGCGAGGAGGAAGTGAAGGAGGAGGTCACTGAGGCAAAGAAGGATGAGAGCGCTGCCGACAAGCCAGACGAGGCTATGGAGGTTGACGGCGAGACCAAGGAGCCTGTTGTCGAGGAGGTGGCCCCCGTCGCGCCAGACGCGTCGATCGAGGTTCGCCGCGCGCGTGCTGAGAAGCTCCTCGCCGCCATGGGCGAGGCTTAGACACTACTAGAGAGAGGGATGTACTATAGCTGCCATATACATAGAGGTTACGCTAACTGACAGTGACGTGCTTTGATACATGTTACGGTTCACGAGGCGTCGGCAGGCTTGCCCTGGGGTTGGGCCACTGCAAGGTTAGCTTGCTACTGACGGGATTGGTGGGGTGTGAACGAACCTCTAAATACGCTTCGTACAGGGGGTCCACGGCGGCGTGGACGCGCTGGAGGTGTCCTTCGACGCGTTGGATGTCGGTCGCCACACTCTGCCTCCTCTGAATGTCGGTATTACTGCTTCCACCTTGGGCTGCGAACGACTTTTGGAGGTTCTTCAAGTCGGCGAGGTTGCGTTCCAGTTCGCCGAGGGGCTTTTCCAAGTCACGAATCTTGTGCTTGAGGTCCTTGCGCGAACCGCGAGCCTCGGCGCATTGGCGCACCGTCATCCCACATGATCCTCCGCAGTAGGGGCACTTGGGCAGACTTCGGGCAGCCTTGCCAGTGAGTCGCGCCCTGTGGAGGGTGCTCAAGATGGCCCACACAGGCTCGTCTGGGCTGAAGCGTTTCATGGCCCCAGTGACGTCAGCAAGGTTGCCCTCATTGTAAGACTCACTCCTCAATGCTCTCAGCTCCAGCCAGGACGACGGGGCAGCGTGCGGCAATGTGCAACTTTGCACTGCCACAGATAATGCACCCCTGAACATCGTCGTCGTCCTGGCGGTTGGCTTTGTGACGTTTCTTGGAAGGATCCGAGTCGCTGTCGATTACGATTGCGTCGCCGTTGGTAGTTCCCTTGGTGGACCGGCGACGCTTGGGGGCGTTCTTCTCACGCTCACGCCTGTAGCGTTCGGTGTGGGCGTTGACCATGAGCGTGATTGCCATCAAGCCCTTCTCCTGTTCTTCCTTCTCAAGGACGGTGGCACGGATCTGCTTTTCAATTGTCTCGAGCTCGTTGAGAGGTGTCAGCTGCGGGCATTCAACCAAGGTGTGGTTCTGCTGGCACCAGTAACATGGGATCTCGGACAACTCGTTGGCCATGGCTGTCGCAGTGCCGGGGTGGAACCTGGACGAGTCTCCCAACTGGAGAACGTGGGTAGAAGACTCTGGCTGAGGTTGAGCGAGGCTGGGACGCGGCGTTTTATCGGATAAAGGAATAGCCGCACGAGGAGTAGAGGTTCCCGACTGGTGTCGTGGTGATGGTGCAGACGAGGGCAAAGCAGAAGCAGCAGCGGCCGCAGAGGAGGCCGCGCCGTTCACCAGAGGAGCAGCGACACCGTTGGTTCTCGCCGCAGGCAGAGTGCCGTTTGTCAACGGCGCGGCAACTGGGGGGCGCTCGACCTGCTGGACGGGCAGCCGTTGTGCAGGTTGTTGAACAGGTTGCTGAACAGGTTGCTGAACAGGTTGCTGAGCAGGTTGCTGATCAGGTTGCTGAACAGGTTGCTGAATAGGTCGCTGAGCAGGGTGCTGAACAGGTTGCTGAGCAGGTCGGTGTTGAACAGGTGGTTGTGCAATTTGAAGAGGACGTTGGGGAGGGTGTTGGGGAGGGTGTTGGGGAGGGTGTTGGGGGGGAGGATCGGCAACGGCTGGACGAGGCTGCGGAGCCTGTTGCTGAGCGGCAATGGCGTATGTGTGCGGTGGGGGGTATGTGTGTGGGGGCGGGGGCCGCGGGTATGTGTGTGGTGGTGCAGGCACATGGCCTTGCGCTGCCTGCTGGAAGACCGCCGGGCGTCCGACTGAGGACGGCACGTTGCGGACTCCTGGGCCTAAGCTGATGTAGTACTCGACTGTCTGGCGGACCTGGGGGATTGTAAAGTGGGGGTTTAGACGGCGGGCGGCCAACTGGTTGTCGGCCCACATGGCCAAATTGTCATAGGTCATGATGCGCTGTCTCCAGTCATTGTCGACATAGAGCACCCTGTTCCACTCCCGGAGCAGGTTCGGCAGATCCTTCAACAGTTCGCGCATCATTCTCAGAGTGTCGCGTGCGGATGCCACCCAAACCGCGGGGTCGTCCATGGCTGGTGGGTTGGCTGGGTGGGGTCCTGGCAGAACAGGTCGTGGCTCCATAGGCCAGTGGGGCTGGGGCCGTTGCTCAGGTTGATGGACCACAGCGCGTCCATTTGCCATTGGGCCAACAGGTTGTGGAGCAGGGACGTGTACCAGGGCGTTCGAAGGCTGTAGTTGCGGAGAGACCACGGGAACATCATTCGCCTTGTGTTGAGTGGTAGATGGTCCTGGTCCGGCCTCGCCCTCCTGCGGCTGGATGCCGGGCGTTGCAGCCGCTTGTTGTTGCAGACGGTACCGGGTCAGGAGGTAGCGCTCGTGGTTTGTGAGCTTGACCCTTCCAGTGACGGTCGTTCCAAGGAAGTGTCTCTCGTCGACACTGAGGTCTGCGAGGTTCTCCGGTACCGAGTCATCAATGAGGTCGTCGTCATCGTCACCATCAGAGGTGGCAGCGGGGGCGAAGTCGGTGTCGGAATCGACGATGATGCTGGCCGACTTGTGCTTGTCTTTTCCCTTGCCCTTCTTCGGCCGCCTTTTCTCAGCCAAAGTCAACGGGTCATTATCAATATTGTAGTTGACGGCCTTGCGAGCAGCTGCACGTTTACGAGGGCCCAGCTCAAGCTCTTTAGCCGCCTGGATAGCCTCTGCCTCCTCGGCGTGTTTGAGAAACTGAGCCCAGCTGTTGTCGTCGAAATCCGGGACGTCGGTCTCCTCCTCATCGGCGTCTTTGAGTCCGCCCGTTTTGGTCTCCCAGATGCGTGCAAAGGCGAACCCGCCCTGCTTGCGTTCGCTTTCGTTTTCCTCTGAGCCTTCCCTCGCATCCTTGGCTGCGCGTTGGGCCTCGAGCTCGGCCGCTTGTTCCTTCGCTTCCTGTTCAGCGCCTTCGATCAGCGTGTCGATCTCTTGAGGCGTCCAGAGGTGGGCCGTCGAGTCGTCATCGGCCATCTTGCTAATCTCCTCCGCGCCAAAGAGGATGAGGTTGTCGACCTCGCCTTCCTCCTTCTCATCGTTCATCTTCTGGACGACGAGGTGGTCGAGGACCAGCTTGCGCTTGCCCATGTTGATCATCTTTTCTGATTTGTCAGCGCGATAGTGCACTGTGTGCCACCCACCTTCAACGGAGTTCTCGGTCATAAGTTTGAACACCAGCACTGGTTTGGTCTGTCCATAACGGTGGCTGCGCGAGATTGCCTGGGTGGTCAGCTCGATGCCAGTCATTCCTTAGCTCACCTGAAGGTCCATCTGGGGATTGAAGTCTGGGTCGAAGAGGATCACTGTGCGTCAGGTATGGTAAAGACAAGATACCGTACCAGTATCGGCCGATGCGAGGTTGATACCTACACCACCAGCGCGGGTGGTGAGGAGGAAGATGAAGTAGTCCGAGTCTGGCGCATTGAACTTGTCCATGTCCTTTTGACGTGTTGCCTGGGCGACCTCACCATCGAGTCGCAGATACTTGTAGCCTTCGCCCCACAGGAAGTCCTCGACTGATTGGTGGTCAGTACACTCGCTCGCTCTCGCCAGCTCCCGGCTCCCAGAGCTCTCTGGCGGTGGATGCAGCTCCCCCTTAGGGCACTTACCTCGATCCAGTGCTATCTTGAACTGGGTAATGTCAGCATCAAATTCCGCCATCCTGCGCCCCCGCTCGGACATTGGGCACACACCTGGCTGAAGAGGAGGATACGGTGACCTCTTGCCTTGAGGCGTGGGAGCAGTTGTTTGAGGAAGAGGAGCTTGCCGCTGCCATCAACGAGGCGTTTGTGCTGTTCCTCTTCTGAGAGCTCCATGTTCTCCAGCTCGGGCTCGCATAGGTACGGGTGCTGGCATCCCTTCCTCAGCTGACGGGATGTCAGCGCGTCATTCGGTGTCGAGGGCATACAGTGAGCCCGGGTACGTACCTGCATGAGGAGATTCCTCGCGTGGCTAAGGTTAACCATGGTGGATGTACCCCGCGTGGGTAGCGCGATGGATGGATTTGACTATCTGAGAGGGATGGGATGGGGAGAGTGTGTGTTGGCGAAAGAGGTGCGCGGCCCACGAGGTGGTGGTCTGTGGTGGGTTGTGTTGTGATTGACATGGCCCCCGCCGGCTTCAAAACACGAAACGGACGCGCCAGACAAACAAGCAGTGGCAAGTGGGTGGCAGTTTGCTTCCGCGTCATATGGCAACAACAAAAACCCTAACCCCTTTCATCCATTCGCCTCCACAACAGCGGCCCGCCAGCGGTTGAGCGGTGACGACTCATGGCTACGACAAGGTATCACATCTGAAGACCGCACCGTACAAAAGGTCTATCAATCTCTCTTATATAATTTGATTCCCATTACGCCGAGATCTTAGCCGCCTTGAGCTTCTTGCGGAGCTCGGCGAGCTCAGACTTGATCGACTTGACCTGGGCGGTCTCCTTCTCAACATCACCCTCGGCGCGGCCGAGGCGAATCTCCTTGACAATCTTGGTCTGGGCCTCGAGCTTGGTCTCAAGCTCGCGCTCCTCGGGCGACTTGGCGGCGTCGACAGCGGCGGCAGCAGCCTTCTTCTTCTGGTTCTGAGACTGGGCCCAGTTGGCCTTGTGGTCGGCGGCGCCCTTGGGAGGAGGGGTGGCCTTACCGTTGGCAGCGGCAATGGAGGCGGCGGCAGCCTCCGAGGTGGGGTCCTGGAAACCACCGAACTGCTTCTGCCACTTGGCCTCCTGCTCGCCGTTGGTGTTGTCGATGCGCTTGAACAGGTGGGCAGCCTTGCCGAGCTTGTGGCCAGGGAGGATGTCGATCGAGAAGGCAGTGGGGAGCGAGCGAGCGGGGGCGTTGAGCTGCTCAATCATGCCGGCCGAGGCGGTGGGCATGAAGGGGTGGAAGAGGGCGGAAAGGAGGTAGATGAGGTTGACAGCGTTGAGGAGCACCTGGCCGCAGCGCTCGGGCTGGTTGGCGAAGAGAGCGTTGTCAAGACCGCTGTCCTGGAGGTACTGGTTACCACGGGCCGAGATGCTCATGGCGGTCTGAAGACCCTGGCGGAGCTTGGTAAGGTGCATGAACTCGCGGTACTCGGCCAGCTTGGTGTTAACGTCGGCAACAAACTCGGCGTCAAGCTTCGCGTAGTCCGAGGTCTCGGCAGCAACGTCAATCTTGACCTCGCCACCCTCGAAGCCCGCGGGGCCAGGAACGACCGAGTCGTACTTGGCGTTGACAAACTTGATGGCCTGAGAGTAGGTTAGCAGCTACCAGACGGATGGACCCGCAACACCTACGCGGTTGATAAAGTTGCCGAGGTTGGCAAGCAGCTCGTTGTTGACGGCCGCAATGAACTTGGACCACTGGAACGAGGTGTCGCCAGTCTCAGGGCGCTGCGAGAGGAGGTAGTAACGCCAGACAGAGGCGGGCTGGCCGGTCTGGGCGGCGTTGTTACCAAAGACTCCGATACCACGCGACTTGGAGAACTTGGTGTCCTCGTAGTTGAGGTACTGGGTGCTCGAGATGTTGTGGAGCTTGGTCCAGTTACGGCCGTCGGCGATGAGCATCGAGGGGAAAAGAACGGTGTGGAAGTAGACATCTGAACGGTAAGCAAAGATCGAACAAAACGTACTCACTGTCCTTGCCCATGAACTGGTAGAGCTGAACGTTCTCGGGGTTCATCCACCACTGCTGCCACTTGTCGGTGTAGGCCTTGGTCATGGAGATGTAACCGATCGGGGCGTCGAACCAGACGTCTAGAGGTCAGCAGTGTTGAACAGCAGGTGACTCACAAATGACCTTGTCGGCCAGCTTGGCATCCTCCTCAGCGTCGCCGACCGAAGGGACCTTGACACCCCACTTGAGGTCACGAGTGACGGCAGAGGGACGGAGACCGTCGCGCATGCGGGGCTCAACAATCTCGCCCTTCTCGGTGATGACGGCGTTGGTACCCCACTTGGCCTTGGCGCGCTGCGCCTGCATCCACTCCTCGAGCTGGGGCTGGATAGCGTTGAGACGGATGCACGAGTGGGTCGAGGGGCGAACCGAGAGCTTGTGGTTCTTATTCCTCTTGCAGCGAGGGTCCTTCAGCTCGGTGGGCGACGAGAAGGTAAGACCACACTTGTCGCACTGGTCTCCACGAGCATCGTCGTAGCCACACTGGGGGCAGGTACCCTCCACGAAGCGGTCGGCAAGGAAGAGCTTGTCGTCCTCGCAGTAGGTCTGGTCGGCGGTCTCGAGCTGCATGAAGCCGTTCTTGTGGATATGCCTGTAAATGTCCTGGGTGACCCTTACTTTGTCAGCAGCTGCGTTATTAAAGCAGCTGAGATAACTCACTCAGTCTGCTCGGGCCACGAAGTACGACCCCACTGGTCGAAGCCAATCTCAAAGAACCTACACGTTAGTCAGCGGCAAAGTGGCTCCACCTACTCGTAAACCTCAGTGTGCAGCTTGTTGAACTTGGTGGTGAGCTCCAGGGGCGTGATGCCCTCCTCGAGAGCCTTGGTCTCGGTAGCAGTACCGTACTCGTCGGTACCACAGACCTATATCCGTCAGCGGCTGTGCTCTCTCAGCCTCCATGGAGTGTACACACGTAGAGGGTGGGGTTGTTGAGGGTGCGGTTGTAACGGGCGAACACATCAGCCGAGAGGGTCGAGCCGATAATGTTACCCAGGTGGGGGACGTTGTTGACGTCTGCACAAGAAGGTCAGCACTTGGACGACGGTCAGTCGCGTGACTGGTACCCACAAGGGAGAGCGGAGGTGATGAGGACATTGTTCTCGCCCTCGACTGGGAGAATAGGACCGTCCTCCTTGTTGGTAATCTTCATGAGGAGGCCCTCGGCCTGGCGGATATTCCTGTCGGACATGGCTGGGCGATTAGATGGAGTACTTGCGTGGCTCCACAGGAGAGTGATGAAGGGGTGATTAGAGAGTGGTGAAGAGAACACAACAGATGGCGAGCAATGACCCGCCCAGTAGTGCCAGCCCGCAGCGGCGGCTTTGAGCGACTCGAAATCGCCCCCCGCCCGTTTTGATCAGCGCGGCGGAAAAGGCAAATGGCGAATTGGAGCCCCGCGTTTTGAGTTTTGGGCGGCACCAAGATTTCTCAACAACGACGAGCTGGTAATGGCGCAACAGGACGGCTTCAACAACACCTTCACGCTTCATACACACCCACGCACAATGTCCGCCCTCGCAGCAAGGAGGGCCGCTGCCGCCGCCATGGCTTCTACAAAGCCTACGCTTCCCCAGCAGTCGGCACCTGAGCCCAAGCGCCAGGCATCGCCACCGACTCCCGAGCCAGAGTCCGACTCGCCTGTCGCCGAGTCCCAGTCCGAGTCCGAGTCCGAGTCCGAGCCCGAATCAGTCGCCTCTGTGCCCGCGCCGTCGAACAAGCGCCGCAAGATGGAAAAGAATATGGTGAAGGCGGGCAAGCCTTCTCCCAAGCCTGCTTCATCCAGCCGATACTACGTCGCCCCCGAGGAGCCTGCAGAGACGCCCAAGCGTTCCCGCAAACAGCGTCGTTTCTCCCCCAGCGCCGCTATTGGGAGTGACGATGGGTTCTCGGGCGGATCAAGCGAGGACGAGGATGAGGATACCAACGATATGGATACCGAGGGAGCCGTTACGCCTTGGTCAGGTGCTCAGAGCCCCCGTGTGATGGACCCCGGCCCGTCGAGGCAACAGAAGTGAGCTTGATAGCGTGTTCCAATGCTAACCTTTCAGCGTTCCTACTCTGCGTCCCGGTAGCTCGACGTTCGCGGCAAAGGAGGGTATGAACCTGGCCCACATCAAGGAGGATACTCTGAAGGCGGCTGGCATGGAGATTCCTGGGCCAGGTGTGGTTGTGGCCCTCGGTGAAGATGAGGTGGGTATTACCCTACGTTGAGATCTAACCCAGCAGTCGTTGCTCATCGCCGGAACGTACATTCTCACTCCTTTGAGACACTCTACGTCTCTGGTCTGTACCACACTGAGGACTGCTACCGAGTCCATCGAGTCGTACCCCGTGTTTGCGCCGACATCCCACCCCATCCCCGTCCTGACTCCCGAGGTGGATGAGGAAATGATGCTCGAGTCGCCCATGCTCTCGCAGCTTCGCCTTCCCAAGGCCCTTGTTACCAACGAGTCCACATCCATCTTCCTCATTCAGGAGAACCGATGTGGTATTGACGGTCTCCGTGGCGACGTTGTCCCCGGATTCCAGAACATTTGGCTGGGTGACAAGGGCGTGTGGGGCTTGCACGGCGTGCACCCCGTCCTCGGCTCGACCTTCACCCCAGTGTATCCTCATGTCACGCCCTCCTCGTGGGCCCACGCTCTCGACAGCCTGCGTGATACCGACGACATGGTGGATGACGATGAGACTCCTCCTCCTCAGGACCGTGTGCCCGTCGTGCTCGTCAAGGGTCCTAAGCGCAGCGGCAAGTCGTCCGTCGCTCGTGCGGCTCTCAACCGCTTGCTCGACACGTACGAGCGGGTCGCCTGGCTCGAATGTGACCTGGGTCAAGGCGAGTTTGGCGCCGGTGGCTCCGTCGGCTTGTGGGTTCTCGACCGCCCAGTCTTTGGTGCTCCTTTCACGCACCCTCGCGTCCCCGAGCGGGCCTACTTCCTGGGTGAACTGAACCCCAGCTCGTGCCCCGACGAGTACATGGCTGCCATCCATGCGCTCATCGGCCACTACCAGTACGAGCTGCAGTACCCTCCTGCGCTCCTCACTTCCGGTGGTAGGAAAACCGACTCGATTCCCCTCGTTGTCAACACTCAAGGTTGGGTCAAGGGTCTCGGCGAGGACCTTATGCGCGCCATCGAAGGTGCCGCAGAGCCGACCCACGTCTTCGCCTTTGAGATGGAGAATGGTTGGAATACCAGTCCTGTTCAGGTCACCTCGGAGCTCCCTGGCCCATGGGACAAGCCTGCTCTCGCTGGCGCCACCCCGCCCCTGTTCTTCACTCTCGAGGTGGCACCTTCTTCGCCCCTCCAGGCGCGCTACACTGCCGCCGACATGCGCTCCCTCACCACGATTGCTTACATGCACGCCCGCCTCGGTACTCCTACCAGGTGGGACTTTAACGCTCCGCTCTTCGCCGTCCGTCCGTACCTCGTCAAGCTGGGCGGCGACGGTGCTCTCCAGCGCGCCTTCCTCTCCGGCGAGGGCTCGGACGCCATCTCCCCAGCCGACCTGCCCTTGGCCCTCAACGGAAGCCTGGTAGCCCTCCTCGAGGACTCGACCGCCGCCGAGGAAGACATGTATGTTTCTGCCCGCGTCCCCCCTGCCGTGGACGACGCGACCTTCCTCGGCCTGGCCCTCGTGCGCGCCGTTCGCCCGGACCCGACCGACAGCCACATCGAGCTCCAGCTCCTCACTCCTCTGGGAAGCGCCGAGCTCGCGCGCGCCAATGCCCTCGTGTGCAACCGCGCCCTCGAGCTGCCGGCGTGCGGTCTCCTCGACTGGCGCGAGCGCGTGCCCGGCGGCGGCGTCAGTGAGGACGGCCTGGCCGGCTATAGGTGGGACGACGTGCCGTTCTTTGACGCGTCTGGTACCGACGCTGTGGGCGGTGACAGGCGTAGGTTCAGGAGGAACATCCAGCGCAAGGGTGTGTAGAGCAGTGTCCCTTGCATGTCATCTTGTTATTCTCATCGCTGGGTTGAGAGGAGGCCGATAGAGTTCATGAGTGGCACTGATCAGACTGACGAGTGCGGCACATTGGAGGCAAATCGGTGCAGCCAACAGCAGTGCCGAGTGAAACACTGTTCTCGCTCTCAGGTGAGAGTCCAGAACATGGCAGCGACGCGAAAGACAAGCTGGTGCGCGCCTGACACCTCGAACACTTTAGCATGTGGAATGGCCGGCCTGTGACTGGCTGAGACAATGCGCAGCAGGCGGCGAGAGGCGCCTGTAAGGGAAGTGATTGCGTCAGCGGAGCGACGTGGACGTGCGGACGGCAAACGTCAACATGAGTAACGACAACAACGATACCGCCTGGCACAAGGCCAAGCTTTGGGTGATAGTCAGTCTGCCTGCATGCATCTCTGTCCTTCTTCCAGTCTGCCGATCCTCTACGTCTCTGCTGCTCTGCGATTAGGGCACGACCTTGCCGATAACGTTGTAGCGCTGCCACATGTCAGCTGAAGCCACACTTGCTTGAAACAGCTGCGCGCGCATGAACACCGTGCCAAACCAGCTCGGACGTCACTCGTATGTGCCGAGCTGGGTCGGGTCGGTCACAAGCGAAGTAGAAGCTCCTCATACGGCGTCCAGCTCGCCCCAAATCACGCCTTCTCTCACCTTCTGGAAGAACGTCTCCCACCCGTCCAGAGTCTTCATCTGGGCCTCGTTGAGGGGCGAGTAGTCTGCGACAGCGTCCTTGGGGTCGAGCGAGGACATGCCTGGGAAGAGTTAGCCATGACGCGATGTGGGCGGGGGCAGGAGGTCCGCGAGCATGGGGGCTCAGGCTCAGGCAAAGTACACAGAGTCTGCCGGCGGTTCATGACCGTCACATCAGGAGGTCAACAGCTACAGCTTGATGGTAACAAGAACCAAGCTGCGCTAGCCAACACACCGGCAACTTCTCTCTCCCACCACGCAGACTCCCACCACGCAGACTCCCACCACGCAGACTGAACTCACCAAGACCACGGCTGGCGTCCTTGCCGGCAAACACATTGTACCCCGATCCCTTGCCGTACATCTCGGTCTTGGCCGACACGTCGTACACGTTGCCCTTGATGGCGACGTAGATGGGCTTGGACGCGTCCTCGCCGTTGTACTGGGCCAGGTCGGCGACCGAGATGGGGTCCGACTGGGGTGACATCAGCGATTTGTTATTGCGAAGAGCGACGAGGGAAGACGTGACCGCATGTCCTGGCAATTAAAGCGACGGCCTGCATCCACGCTTCAAACACGGCCAACTGGGGTGCTCGGCGGGCGCGGTACACACCTTTGGAGGGTTGAGGTTGGTAGCAGGGGCAGACATGATGGACGCTTTGGGGAGCTTGGAAGCGGGCGCGGTGTCCGAAGTCGACTTGTTGTCGGCGAGCTTGGCGGCAGGGGCGGCGGCAGGCGGGGTGTCCGGGGCCGAGATGATCTTCCAGAAGGCGGCAGCTGAGACGATACCGAGGCCGACGACGATAAGAGTTCTCCAGTTGGTAACGATGTCGTACCACATTGATTGTGTGAAGAAGGTGGACATTGCCGAAGGATGGGTGGCCTGGTGAATGGCGGTCGGTGGGTGGGGACCGGGCGCTTATGGCCAACGCCGAGCCGCCGGAGGCAACGTATCCGAGTGGCGCAGCATCCGCACGCTCGGTGCTGCCATCTCCAGCGGTCCAGTCGGCGTCGAGCGTACAATGCACAGGAAGCTCAGGCATGGGAACACACCGGCATGTGATAATAAACAGGTACATGCATAGAGCGTGGGATACATGTATACGGCCGGTCCACTGTCAGATCTATCACAATGTCCTCTAGCCAGCAAAAGGACGACTCGCTTCGACCGCTCTACTCGTCGGAGGAGCGCTGGAACAGCTCTGGCGACGGGTAAGTGCATGTACAGGAAACAATACCGGTTCGACTCACTCATAATGTCGGCCATCGTGAGCTTCATGTTCTTGACGCTGCTGCCGTTGAGCGCCGCCTGCGCGAGCTCACGCTTCTGCGTTTGCAGGGCAAGGATGCGGTCTTCAACCGTCTGGCCGATAGTGAGCTTGTGGATGTTGACGTCGAGCTTCTGGCCGAGGCGGTGGGCACGGTCAAACGCCTGGTCCTCGAGGGCTGGGTTCCACCACATGTCCATAAGAACAACGTTGTTGCAGCACGTGAGGTTGAGACCTGAGAGTTAGATGTGTGGATTAGCGAAGACGAGCTCACCTGTACTTCCGGCTTTGAACGATATGAGGATGACGCGAGTCTCCTTCTTGGTGCGAATCTTTTCAAGAACCACGGCGCGCTGGTCGGCCGTAAGGGTGCCGTCGTAGCGGACATACTTGATCTTGGCCTGCACAAGGAATGGCTCGACGAGGTCGAGGAAGCTGGTAAACTGCGAGAACACAATCGTCTTCTCGGTGCTGTCGCTGCGCTCGTCGATGTCACTGAGCAGTTCAAGCAGTTTACGGATTTTGGCACTCGAGGGAGGGAGAACAGGGTCACAGTCTCCTCCCTTGGCCTTGACCGCAATCTCGTTGCACTCGGGACACATGCTCAGTTTCTGGTCGTCGAGGCTGCCAGGTCAGACACACATCGCCAGGAGCTGGGTACTCACACAACAAAGCAGATCTCGCACTTCTTCTCAGAGGCGACACCAAGGCCCGACAGAAGATCAGCAAGCTCATCAGCCTGGTCAGCCTGGCTGTTCTCGAGTGCGTCCACGTCATAAGCCAGCGCCTTGGTAACAAGCGCGGGGTGATCACAGGCTGAGGGTTAGTTCCGACGAATATATGGTAACCTACCCTGGCGGAGACGTAAAAGCATGGAGAGGACGGAAGTGTAGTTGCTCATGGCCGAGCCGTTGCGGAGGAACTTGTTGAACGTGAGGGCAGTGCGTTGCTCAAGAGCATCGTAGAACTGGCGTTCCTCCGCATCAAAGGTGCACTCGACGACCTCGACACGGCGCTCGGGAAGGTTGAGGATGGGCTTGCCGTCTGCCTGTCAGCAGGCGTCGTTCAGCAGCAACTCACTGATAGTGGCATCCTTTGTCCTGCGGAGCATGATGGCCTTGAGAATGATATGCAAACGCTTCATGGCGACACCGGTGCGTCCAGCCTTGACCTCGGACGAGACACGCGAACGGAACGTCTGCCAGTTGTCAAGTGGACGCGCACGGAGAAACTTGAAGAGCGAGTAGAGTTCCTCGACGTTGTTCTAGTGGGTCAGTTGCATATCAGCGACCTTGACCCACCTGGATGGGAGTACCAGTGAGGCACCAGCGGTACTTGGCCCTCAATTCGACTGCGGACTTGGCCGCGGCAGTCTTGTGGTTCTTAATGTTCTGTGCCTCATCTGTGGTGTGAGCTTATGGATTTTATATGTTAGCTTACCGATAACAACACGTAGCCACTTGACGTCAAAGAGCGCAGCCCTGCGAACAGCCTTGGTGGCCTTCTTCTTTCCCTTGCCTTTACCCTTGCCCTTGCGAGGGGGGCTGTCGCTGTCGCTATCGCTGTCGTCCGAGTCGGACACGGCGTTTGCGTTTGCCTGGATAGACTTTTCAAGAGACCCAAACTCGGATGAGAGGACCTGGAACGTCGTGATGACGACGTCAAACTTTTCAAGATCCTTGCCACCTGATTGTCAGCTATCGGGCGGGGATCCATACCTCACTCGTTGTACGCTTGGGACCGTGGTGCGTCGTGACCTTGAGGAGACCAGTCTTGGTCTTGGTGCGGACTTCGGTGGCCCACTGCTCCATGACTGCGAGGGGGGCAATAATGCTGATGGGTTAGCTGTTGAGCTTGTGTCATCGGGCCACCCACAGAGTTCCACCCTTGTAGACCTTCTTCTCGGCAGGAGTGTGCCTCCCCTCGACGATACGAGCCAGAGTCTGAACGGTCTTACCGAGACCCATGTCCTGGGTGGATCAGCATTTGTCTCCGTGAACAAAACACTCACGTCTGCAAGGATTCCTCCATACTTGCGCCCAGACTCGCGCTCACGCATCCAGCGGGTACCACGGACCTGGTGGGGCATGAGCCTCATGCCGTCCGCGAACCCCTCGACAGTGTCGTCGCCCTCGTCGTCGCCACCTTCCTCGCCGTCACCGACTGCACCAGCGAGGAGCTCGCGCATCTGTTCCTCGGGGTCACCACCACAGCGCTCAAAGTCGGCGGCCGAGTACTGGGCGGCACCAATGTCAAAGTCCTCGCCATTCTCCTCGACTTCCTCCTTGTCACGCGCGACGACGTTCTGGGGGATGGGGATTGGGACTGGCGCCGGGCCGCTCTTGGGTGCAGTGCGTTCGTCGGTCCATGATGGCCAGCCGTCGTTGCGGTAGTTGGCAGCGCGGTCAAAAGCACTGGCTCCACTTGGACGGCCGCCAAAGGCGCCAGACGAAGGCTTGATGTAGGACTCCATACCGCCGCGGTTGCCGCCCTTGCGAGAAGCTCCTGCTGGGCGAGAAGGTGTAGACTTTTTGGCAATGCTGGCTCCAAAGCCAGAGTCAAAGTCAAATGCGTTGGCGGGGGCCGCGACGTTTGCAGATTGGGAAGATGCAAGAGGGGGAGGGGGACGTTGGCCGACAAACATTGGACTTGAAGACCCGTGCGAGGGCGCCGCACGCCGATTATCGGTCCTCTTCTTGACGGGCGAGTCCGTCAAGTCGATCAGTTCCGCATATGGGTCGAGGCGAGATCGCTGGCTCATTGCAGACAACAGCGTTCAGCGAGCAGTGCCGAGAGTGTGTGTAGACGGGTGTGTGGGTATGCAGGAAAGAGAGTTGGCATGAGCGGCTCGCTCCCAAAGTGTTGTTGACATCACAGGGTACAGCATATAAATCTCCTTACGTAATGCCTTTGGTTTCCCTTCTCAACCTCCGGACCTGAAAGCAAGATGTCCATCGGCCGGTCACTTTCGTCGTCGTCTTCAACCCATTCACCTCGAGCTGCACGCCCACAGCAGCGCCATGCCCGTCTCCGTCTTTGTCGGCATTCCGCGCATTGCAGCGGGTGTCCTCGACGCTGCCGCACCCCGCGTCGCCACCGCGTTCGGCCTTGGAGCAAGGCGCGCGCCACCACCACTCTTCTCGCGCGCCCTTTCGTTTTCGGCTGCAGCGGCGACCTGCATGCTGTGTCATGCATCGAGGCAGGCTGCCAGGCGGAAACACGCACTGCGTAAAGTGAATTCCCTCACTGTCCGGCTCCTCTCGACGTCCGTGGTGCGTCGTCAGGCCTTGGATCCCAAAGAGTCAAAGGTATGTTGCCCCTGCCGCCAAGAGGTTCGCGTACCTCTTTGTGCTCATGTCACAGCCTGCACCTGCCGAGGAGATCCACGAGTCGCCATACACGCTCCCTAACGCGCTTACACTTGCGCGTATTGCCTCGTGCCCATTTCTGGCGTACTCGATCGTACACGGCAACTTTGAAGTGGCCACCGGCCTTCTCGTCGCTGGAGGGTTCACCGACTGGGTGAGGCTGAGCGAGCTGTGGATGGGGGGCTGACGGCAGCTTGACGGATATCTCGCGCGCAAGTGGAACCAAAAGTCTGTGCTGGGATCCGTTCTTGACCCTATGGCGGACAAGACGCTCATGACCACGCTCGTGGTCACCCTCACGTACAAGGGCCTCCTTCCTTGTAGGTGCCCCTTCTGCAGCTTGGGACATGTTCTGCGTCTAACAAAACAGTGCCGCTCGCCCTTCTCATTTTTGGACGTGACTTCGCGCTCTCTATGTGGGCGATGTACGTGCGATACATCTCGGTGCCTCCTCCTGTAGGTTTTGCTTTGGGCGATCGTCAACTAACCCATTCTCAGAGGACGCTGAAGCGATATTTGGACTTGTCTGTGCCGACTGCAGAAATCAACGCAACCCAGATTAGCAAGGTGAGTTTACCCTTAGACACGGCTAAGCTGACATCAAGGTCAACACTGCCCTCCAGCTTGTCCTCATGGGTGCGACAACGGTTTCGCCGCTCATTTCCGCTGCGTTCGTCGCCCCTTCTCTCGAAGCTCTCCAGTGCGTACCTCTTTTGCTCCCCGAATGGCTTGACACAGTGACCTGGTTCTATATGCTTCAAACCCTCGGCTGACGCCCACAGGTGGATTGTGGCTGTGACGACCATTTGGAGCGGTGTCAGCTACCTCGGCGCTGCTGGCTTCAAGATGTTGAAGCCGCCCAAGTCCAAGCCAAAAGCATAAAGGCATGGCCAAACACATATAGCAGGAGATGCAGACACGCAGAAGCCACACATTGTTACAGTTGCATGCACACGACTGACCGCGACTGACCGCGACTGACCGTGTCGGCAGTCGCTTAATGCCAAAAATCGCGCAGCCAAAAACAGCAGACTTGTATGACGTCACGATCGGGCGGCGTGGCAGGCAGCGTTGATCAAGAAGAAGTCGCCACCTGGCGGCAGTTAATATCGCGGTCTGGACGTGTCACGCACTTTTCCCGTTGTACTCTTCTGCCGTTCCAGTTCGCACATCTCACCACTCAACGCACCCATCCAGCTCCAAAGCCATCTCTCGACCCGTGTACATACCCAGGACCATCTCCGCCAGCACGCCCAAAAGCTCTCGCCCTGCACCCTGGCCACCGCGTTTTCCCCGAACATGAGCCTGCCCCAGGTACGCTGCGAGTCGCCACCCAAACCCAACGGCCAACGGCCACCATGCTGACCCCTCCTTCGCAGTACTACTCCATCCTCGGCATCCAGTCGACCGCCACTAGCGAGGACATTCGCCAGGCGTACCGCAAGGAATCGCTCAGGACGCACCCGGACAGGCTCCCCGGCACCGCTACCGCCGAGGAGCGTCGGCGCGCAACGGAGCGTTTCGTAAGTGTTCCGCAGCCCCCAGGCAGGCACATTCGCGTCATGGACCCCGCGACGCTGACCGCACCACCTCACAGCAAGCCGTCGCCGACGCCTACTACGTCCTCTCTGACCCGGGCCGTCGTGCCGAGTACGACCGCATCTTCCGGTCACGCCCGGCGTCGGCATTCGAGACCTCCACCGACCCGGACGCACAGGAGCGCGCCTCGTCCAACTTCTTTGAGGAGTTTGCTCGTTTCTTCACTGCCGGAACGGGTACGGCCTCTGCCGAACCCGGTTCGGCGAGCGCCGGCCCATCTGGTGGTCGTACGGACGAGAAGGACGACGAAGGGGCACCGCACCGCCCGAATGCCGAACACGTCTTTGGCGATGTATTTGAGGACCTGTAAGTGGACCTCAATCGCAGCGACGCCGTGAGGTGGATGTGGTGTGTTCCCGTCCTCACCTCGCAAGGCCTTCCTTTTCATGCTTTTGATTGTCACAAACTGACACGTCACAGTCTCGAGCCAGAGGTCGCCCACGTCCACAAGACCTGGACATATGTCGGCGGAGCCGCGGGCGCTGCGCTCGGCTTTATCGTGGCCAACGCCGCGGGTGCTGTTGCAGGAGGTGAGCTACCGGACTGTGAAAGAACCTAACCAGCCAGCCTTTGCTGGATCCCAGCTCGGTCGTGTACGCGACGCGAAGGGCAAGCCCGTCGCGCAAGTCTTTGCTGGCCTGCCCATGTCCCAAAAGACCCAGGTAGGTGTTGACAGACGTGTTTTTGTCCCACCGATTCACTGACATGTTCAGATCCTCCGCGCGCTCGCGTTCAAGGTCTTGGGTACCATGCAGTAGGCGACACCGAATAGCCTCTACCCTCTTGCCCGTCTCATCTCGATCCGTTGTTCTCAAAACTAGTCTTAGGTATCTAAAAAGAGCGACACACCCACCTGCGCTCGGATGTCGTATGTATCGTCTACACACGCAACGTGGCTGGCTGCCACCATATCGGATCATGGTACAGGTCACTACATTGGGGATATATACAGCACTACTAATGACCTTAATTTCGTCTTACTAACAAGCTTGAGACTTCTACTAACGTGGCGTAAAGTGCGGTACTCTACAGGATTCGAGGGCTCGCTCATGGGAATATCACAGCTCTATCTACAGAACGCTCTTTCATGTGGTTGGCGGGGCTTGGAAATCTTGAAAACACAAGGGGGGGAGGTGACTGCGGATACCAGAGACTTGATGTTGAGAGTTGATTTGATCACTGAACCGTTTCGAGCCTGAACTGCTCGGGAGAGATCATGGAAGCGTACTCTTCGAGGGTGTAGAAGTGCACGTTGGCCATGGCTGCCTCGATGTCGAGACGTGGACCTTCGCGCTTCATACGACGCCTCCCCCACCCTTTATCCTTTTCGAGGTTGGTCCGGATGGCATTCTTGATTGCAGTCCTGGCAGCGTCGGGGTTGTCGTCAGCTGTGCCGATTACGTCTGGCACGCCAACAATCGTGCACGCGACCGAGTGCCGAAGGATATCGCTCGAGAATGTGTCACACAGGCGCCAGGCGAAGTCTTTGGCCTTCGCAGGGCTCCAAAGAGAGGTGGTAGTGACAGTAAAGACGATCTCCTGGAGTTCCGGGCGTTCGGCAATGAAGAGGGCGGCGTCGAATAACAACATCTCCTTGGTATTGTAGCGAAGGTTGAGAACAAGTCGACGAGTCTGCTTTGGTACCCAGATAGGATGTTCTCCATCGGGGCAACTTTTGAACCAGATGCATTCCTGTTCTCTGGTACAGTCGACGAAGACGATGAGATTCGTGGCACCAGTGGAAACAGACTCATCCATATCGAGGTAGTGGAGAGAGTACATGGCCTCGGAGTAGTATCGCGCAGTTTCGAGGTTGGGCATACGGGGGAAGTTGTTATCCATCAGGGCAATCAGCACCGGCCCATCGGGGACGTCCAGGACCTTGATGCGGGAAAGGTTGTCACGAGGCGGTTTGTTGTCGGTGTTATGGGCGACAGACGCGTCTCCTCCCGAGTATGCGTTGGAGGCGGAGGCCCTTTATGAGCGCTGGGTCTTCTTCATACGGTATTGATGCTTGTAGAGATCCCAGAACGCCGGAATACGGCTGCCTTTGGGGTCGCAAAACGAAAGGCGAACGGCATCCCGAGGCATGTTTTTGAGATTGTAGACGGCAGTCAGACGCACATGGTGGGCGAGAATGTGGTCCACTTGGTCGCAGACTTGACGACCAGTGCCACGCAGCTTGAGAAGGGCGTCTCGATCGGCATAGGAGAGGATGGAGTCGAACAGGTGAGGATAGCTGCTGTGAGGGAGGCAACCGCTTTGCGCTGGCGGGAGGCCAATGTGTACCATGGCCAAAGGGATGTGTTGAAGTTGATGGAGTGGGTGATGACAAGGTTGGACCAGGAAGAAGGTGGTCGAGTCATCCCACGGAACCAAGTAGTGGATCAGCGGGGCGCAAACGGGTCGTCTCACTGCCAATGTGGCACAATGGCAGGCTCTGATCGTGGTCGCTTGGAAGGGCCACAGACAACTTCTCTCAGCAGCCAACGGGTATCCAGGCAGATGCATAGCGAACCTTTTCAGGGATGATCAGGCATGTCGTGGTACGGTGACATGTGGGGGGTCCAACTATGTACATACAAATGGTGCTGACCTGTCTAATCTTTGCTCCCACCGTTTGCTTACTCAACCGTCTCCAGCATGAATTGCTCCTGGCCCACAGTCTGGCGGTATTCGTCCAAGGTGAAGAAACGAAATTTGGAGAGCCCCTGCTGGACGTCCAAGCCCTTGAAGATGCCGGTGTCATGCTCCGAGTTACGGAGCCGTCTCAGTTTGGTTTTGACTACGCTTTTGATTTCGCGCTCGAGGGCAGGGTCGGCACCGACGATTGTGTACGGGACCAGCAAAGCGGGGTGCATGAGCCCATTGATGATGTTGACCAGGCGGTCCAAGACACCGGGGTTGTCATGCCCAAGCTGGCCTTGAAGAATGAGGACAATGTGGCAGAGTTGGAGCGACCCTTCATACTCCCCCCAATGGTTGATTAAAGGCTCCTCGGGATCGTAGCGGACTGTAAGAACAAGCCGCTGAACATCGGCTGAGGCATACAGAACGGGATCAGTCTCTTCCACTGAGGACGATTGCCGATTGAGATCCATAAAGACGATGTGGTTAGAAACTGTGGACGCCACAGGGTGGTTTTGGTACCCAACAGAGTACACCGTTACGGCGGGGTATCGGACGGTGTGAAGACGAGCCAACTTGGTGGCGCCGTGGCCAACTATGAACAAAGCGGCCAGAGGCAAGATGTCCAGTATCACAATCTGGTCCAAGTTGTATGTGGAAGGCCAGAGCATTGTATAGCAATGCCCAATGGAACGATAGGCGTAATCGGAACCATCATTGAGTTGGAGACTGCGCGCACGGGCCGCCCCTCCACAAGTAAGACTGGGAACCATGTTGCCGTCACGGTCCCGGAACATTACAGCATGTTGGTAGGTGGGTGGGTGATCTGGTCTGTGGTCGTGGGGACTAGGACAGGTGCTGTTAGGTGCTATGAAGCAAACGACCTCAGTGACCGACATGCGAACATGGTGTGAAAGGATGGCGTCACAGGTGTCCCGCACTGTACGACAGGTCGCGCGCAACTTCAGGAGCGCCTCGCGAGACGAGAAGGAGAGAATCAAGTCGAAGATGTGAGGGTATGCCGCCTGAGGAAGGGGGCTGGATGATTCTAACACGGGCATGGTGGTTGGATTGGGCATGGTGGAATGGACAGTTGAAAGAGGAGACAGAGAGTGGTGATGGTGCTAAATGTGTTGCGTGGGAGGTGGGGTGGGCGTTTTGGGTGTGGATCTGGGCACAAACGGCGGCTTCCGATGTTCACATACCGCCAAGCGTACAGAGGTACAGAGATCAGAGACCGTCAGCAGCAAGAACATTTAATTCCGCCGCCGAACGGAATGGTACATGCCCGTCAGCAGCTGCCATAGCCGCCGACAAGTGGGGGTTATGACCTCCGCCACCGCCGCCACCCAAACCAAAAAAAAGGTCAGCTGCCATCCTGAGATGACAGCCCGTGCGCCGCTGTTGCGATACACCTAGCTAGCTTCCTGACGGAGAATCGAACTCCGATCTCCCGCGATCATAGTGACAAGCGAGCATACTAACCGTTATACGATCAAGAAGAGATGAAAGAGGACCAGGAGATTGCGGGGCGGTCTCGGGCCCCTTCGTTTTCCGCCTTTTGTGGGCGACTGGGAGAGACGCGGTGCATGTGATATGCATCAGACGAAGCAGAACAAGCTTATGTATGAGTGAGTAAGATTGGTATTGCTTCAGGAAGGCGAATGCGACCAAGAATGGTGAGCGGAGCGAGAAGCGACGCCGAAAACATGAGGAAGTGCCGGTCGCCTGTTTGTGGCGGTTGATTTTGCGGCAATTTGAAGTATTTTTCCTCTCCCGACCAGCCTGACACCTCAGGTCGTGTCTTTGATATAGATACCAAGTGTCAGAGATCCACCACCTGGTTTCCGTCTCTGAGAAGGTACGTGGGCCAGCCGTAAAACGAGCCAATGAGTCTGCCATGCGAACGTCGATTGGCGGATGGTCACCAGCAAGAGCACCGTGGTAGAGAATACGCCACCCACCTCCTCCACTCAGCAGCGGTGGTCTAACCCAAAAGTACAGTTGCATATGCAGTTTGTCCAGTGTGTACACAAGCCTTAAGGGGACGTTACTGCGCCAATGGCACCGCCTCGTCAAACTACACATCCATGACCGTCTCCAGGTGGAACTGCTCGGCCGGGATTGAGGCACGATACTCGTCCATGGTCATGAACTTGAGTATATCAATACACGCGTAACCGTCGCTATTGGACAAAGCGACCAGCCTCGCGTTAAGGTTGGTCTTGAACTTCTCGGCACCTTCGGGCTTGATACCTGGAAGCTGATGGGGGAGGCCAACGACTGTGCGTTGGAAATTGTCGGGGAAGTCGATATTATCACCAGTGCAAACGACAAAGTTGAGCAGGTCGTCAACGAACTGGCTGGCGGCAGGTGACTCGAGGTTTGGCACCTCACCACGATGTGACAAGATGAGGGTGATGGCGCGGGGGCAGTCACCGCCCCAGTGTAAACGGTAGAGAGGTTGCTCAAGGTCGTAGGTCACGTTGATAATCATCTCGGTGCTGAGCTCGGGAACAATGATGCAGTTCACGGGTTCCCTGTCACGTAGGGAGGGGAGTTGGTTCAGGTCGAGAAAGACGATAGAACGACCCGGGAACGGATTGATTTCAACATCGAATAGGAAAAAGGCCGCTTCGATCGAGAATCTGAAGGTGCCGATGGGGGACATGTCAAGGAAGTCGTAAATCAAGTTGAAGAGGAGGCCGAACGGTATTAGCCTGGCTGTCTCAACGTCGAACACATCGACAGTCTCGACCGAGTGAAGGTTTCTGCGGCGGAGAATGTCGCCCTTCTTGAAGTCTTGCGCCCGGTCACTCTCCACGTCATTGCGACCCGGAATGCGCTTGCCGTTTACCCCCCTGAGCCCAAATGCGTTGTGCTTGCAAATGTGGTACTGGTGATGGCCTCCAGGGCAGGGACACTTCACGACAACGACACGAATGTGTTTGGCTAGTTTCTTGTCACAGAGCCCAAGGAGGTCGCGGCTGGTCGCGCGGAGCCGGACCAGTGAGTCGTGAGGAGCGAAAGCGACAATGCTGTCGAAGATGTGAGGAAAGAAATTACGGTCTAGGACCGCCATGGCGCTGGGACCCGCCTCGGTGTTGGACGTGATTGTGAGTGGGAAGTGACGAGGTGATGCAGCTGACACGACGCGCGATCGCGCGCGACGTGTATGGTTGGCACGTGCCCGTCAGTGGATCAGCGGATCAGTAGGGCGATGCCGCGGCGAGACTGCTGTGTGGCACTTGGGGCGCACTTTTGTGCTCACCCGCTCTCTCGATGCTGGTAATCGATGCATACACTCTCCCAATGTTCCTTTCTAAACGCCGCCAACAAGATGCTCATGGAGGGAACGCCCAGCTTACTGGGAGATGGTGAGCTGGACCTTGCCATCGACAATGGCAGCCGAGACCCTAAGAGCGGTTGTCAGCTACACACACCCTCCTTACCAGCCAAACATGTTGGTGACTCATCACTCACTTTGACAGGTCGTCCACAATCCAGGTGGCCCCGAGACCCTCCAGCTCCTCGCGGGGGTGCGAGGTGCAGACGGCGAGGACCTTGCATCCGGCCTTGACGCCGCTGATGACTCCGCTAGGGGCGTCCTCGAACACGATGCCTGGAGCGTCAGCACGAGGTTCCGACAAAAAACGTCGCAACTGTTCTCAATCTCCGCCACGGAAGGCAACAGTGGCAGGCACTTAATCCGGCGCGGCCATGCCACCACCATTTGCCGACCGTTCAACCGGGAATTGAGTCCAATCTTTCTCGACTTACAGTCCTTGGGGTCAACACCGAGGGTGGCAGCGCCGGTGAGGTAAGGCTCTGGGAAGGGCTTGCCCTGCTTGACGTTGTCGGCAGTGATCAAGTGGTGGTGGGCGGGAATGGCTGAAAAAGCGAAATCAGTATCCCAACATGGCAGGCCTACTGGAAGAGCTTACCGGCAGTGGGGAGGGCGTGGCTGGCGTACTTGTGCGTGGCGCTGGTGACGATGGCCCACACGGGAGTCGGGGCCGAGTTGAGCTCGAGGAGCGTCAGTACTGGCTCATGGAGATATGGCACGCCGTGGTAGAGGATGGTTACAGGTAGCAATGCTTGGTCGGCGACCTGTTCCCCATGCACTCGCCGCATACACTCCAAACTCACGGTAGTAAGAAGGTCGTGGACACCGGGAAGGATCTCGAGGCCAGTCTTTCCCTCCTTCTGGAGACGCTGGGCCTCGCTGACGATCATGGCCTCGAAACGGTCCGATTCGCGCTGAACGTGAGGTGAGTGCGATTCTTCCGTACTATTCTTTCTCAACTCACGGCGTTCTCAGCAGGGTCTGTGATGCCGCAGAAGTTTGACAGGTTCTGGCGTGTAGGGATTCCGTGCGCGGCTGGGGACAGCGGTCAGTTCGAGGTCAACGGCGGAGAAGATGTGAGCTCACTCTTGAGAACGTGGTCGAGGTCGAGGTTGAACTCCTTGGCGTAGACCTCCCAGGTGGCAAGGACACCGGGTGTCGAGTCTGCGCGTCAGCATATGACCTTGTAAGAGTTCCGGTGGCAATGGAGGAGCTTCGGGACGGCGTAAAAAGAGGTTGTTCGTTGGGCAACAGCCTCATATCGAAACACGTGTCCAAATGATAACAACATGCCCTCTGACAGTGTTGACAGCCCAGAAAGTGGTCCCTCAGACCCCGCAACGGCCGTAAACTGCTCACCAAGGAGGGTACCGTCCATGTCAAAGAGGAGGTACGCTGGGTCAAGAACAGTCGTCATGGCGGCGGTCATTGTTGATCACGAGGAGGAGGGAGGGGTGTGGAAAACGGATAAAGCCGATGTCCGGAGGGTGGAGTGTTAAGCTGCGGGAAAACGCGTTGGAAGAGCTGGTTACAAGATAGACGGTCGACGCGTAAAAGTGGCGAGCGCAGATGGTAGAGATGAAGCACAGAGGTGGTGTTGTGGGTGAAAGCGAACGAACGTGGAGACAGGGAGCTTTGTAATGTGGGGTCGACTGGCGGTGTGTCCCTTTTGCGCGCGCAGAGTGGATTTCTGATAAACCGCGGCTGAACCTCTTAAACCGGGTGAATGTCACGGCCCGCCCCAACGAAGGGGCGGCTGTGCCTGGTGGTTTGACGCGATGACTCGAGATTACAAGAGGCTTAGTAAAAAACCGAGACAGTTTTACTAAAAAACACAGACGCGCAAGACGGCTTTGCTGAAAACCCACAACGGAAACCAAACGCTCGAACGCTCTTTTACTGATAATTAAGGTTCTTACTAAAAACCAGCGTGACAATTTCCTAAAACCAAAGACGAGCGGGTCATTTTACTAAAAAAACCACACTCCAAAACCAAACCAAACCGCTCCTTTAGTATTAACCCTCGTGTCGCCTGCCTCGACGCAACCAGAAACCAAACAAACAAGCGGATGGGCAATCCTGCTGCACATGGTATGGATATGCATCTGACGCGCGACCTCTACTCTTGAATCTAGAATTAGAGGTTCCAGAACTGAACGGCGGGGGCTCCGGGCTCGGACGCCTCGACCCTCTCGGTCGACCAGCCCTCGGCCTCGGTGACGGTGCCCTCGGCGATCTTGGCCTTGGCCTCGCTGGCGGCGACGACGTCGATGACGTCGTACTTGAGCTGCGACTTGATGTGGGGGATCAGGAGCTTGATGGTGTCGAGCTCGGAGAAGGGGAGGGTACGGCCGAACGCGCGCTTGCCGGTGGTGAGGACCTTCTTCTTGAAGAGCTGGATGAAGGGCATGGCCTTCTTGTCCTTGCCGAGACCGGCCTCGGTGAGCGCGGCGCGCATCTTGACGTCGTCAATGGTGCCGGTCGACTCGTCCCAGGCCGACTGGACAATGTCGACACAGCGGTTCTGCCACTCGGGGAACTCGGACGAAACGTAGATGCGGACACCCTTGGGCTTGGTGGCGTCAAAGGCGGCGACGGGGGCCTTGCCCTTGCCACCCTTGCGGCGGGCGAGGGCAGTCTCGGCCGAGCGGAGGACGTCGACGACGGCCTTGGCGTACTCGAGCTGCTCGATGGCAACGGGGTCGACGGCAGCCGAGGGCTTGGGGAAGGGGGCGCTCTGGACCGAGCCCTTCTCGCCGAGGATCGTGCGGTAGATGTAGTCCGAGAAGTGGGGGGTGAAGGGGGCCAGGAGGAGGGCGTTGGCACGGATCCAGCCAAAGATGAGGTCCTTGTGGAGACCGGGGCCACCGTACTCCTGGGCGGCGACCTGGCGGTACCAGTTACGGGCAGCCTCAAAGTCGTAGAGACCAAGCTTGAGGGCCTCCTTGAACTCCATCAGGTCGTAGGCGTTGTAGGCCGCCTCGATGAGACGGTCGGTCTCGGCCTGGAAGAGACGGTCAAACTCGTTGAACTCGCCAGTGCGGAGCTTGTCAGCCGACTCCTTCATCTCCTCGGCCCAGAGGCACGCGGTGTGGAGACGGAGAATGGCCGCGTTCGCGACAGTCTCCTCAAAGTTGGCGTCGGTAATGTCGTCACCGGCGTCGGCAAGAGTGAGACGGACGGCGTCGGCACCAAACTTCTGAGTGGCCTCACGCATGGTGAGGAAGTTACCGGTCGACTTGGACATCTTCTTGCCGTTGAGCATGAGGTGACCGTTGCAGCGGACGGCGCGGGGCCAGTGCTTCTCGGGGAAGATGGCGGCGTGGTTGTAGATCCAGAAGGTAAGGTGGTTGGGGATGAGGTCCTTGCCCGACGAACGAATGTCAAGGGGGTAGAAGTACTGGAACGAGTACTTGAGCTCGGCAGCCTTCTCCTTGGGGACCTTGGAGTCGGCGGGGAAGGCGCCGTCGCAGAGGACGTACTCCCACATGGCGTCGGTCATGTCGTCAACGTTGATGCCGAGCTTGCCCTCCTTGCCCCACATGTCCTCGTGGAGGAGGTGGGCGACGGTGTAGTACGACATGTAAATGGTCGAGTCCGAGAGCGACTCGACAAGGAACTGGGGGTCCCAGGGGAGCTTGGAGCCGAGACCGAACGAACGGGCACAGGCCCACTGGTTGAGCCAGTTGAGGACGGCCTCAAAGTTGTGGCGGGTCTCGGGAACGTAGGTGTTGAGCTGCTTGAGGAGCGACTCGGCCTTGGCCTTCCACTCCTCCTCTCCGTAGTCGAGGTACCACTGGTCGACAAGGGCGACAACACAGACGTCGGCCGAACGCGAGATAACCTCGGACTCGGGCTCGGCGTAGGCGACAGCGAGGCCGGCGTCCATCATCTGCTGGCGGACCTTGGGCTTGGCCTCCTGAACGGGCTCGCCCTTGAAGTCACCAATGGTCATGACACCGTTGTAGAAGCCCTCCTTGTAGGTCTGCTCCTTGGCCTCGGCGAGGAGCTTGGTGTCGCGCTGCGACTGGATCTTGAGCTCAGTGCAGAGTTTCTCAGCGGCCATGTCACCAAACTTGGGGGTGCTGAGGACGGGGATGGGGTCGACGGCAGCCCACTCGGGCTTGATCTTGTACATGTCGGCCTTCTTGCGGAGGTCCATGAGGGTACGCCAGTCATCGGGCGAGTCCGAGGGAACCGAAGTGACAACACCGGTACCCTTGGTGGCGAGAACACCCTCCATGGGGAGGACGTAGACCTCGGGGACGATGCCGAAGGGAGGGCGGATCTTGGTGCCGATAACGTCGGCGCCCTTGACCGAGGCGACCTTGCGGAGGTCGCCACGGGCACCGTCAAAGATACCCTGGAAGGCCATGTTGCGGGCCGAGCGCTCGGTAACGAGCCAGACCTCACCCTCCTTGGCCTCGTAGAGGCCGTACTCGATACCAGTGCCGACAAACGCGTTGGTCTGACCGTACATGGTCTCGGGGCGGAGAGTGGCAGCGACCATGAAGACCTTCTTGCCGCCGACAGCCTGCTTGACGTCGCCAGAGACATCAGGTCCCCACTCGAGGACCTCCATCTTGACGGCAGTGTACTCCTGGGGGCCAACAGCCTCACCCGACTGGCGGTCGTGGTCCATGCAGGGCTGGCCGTCCTTGGGCGAGTAGATGGTGTAACGCTCACCGAACTTGATACGGCCCTGCTGGTGGAGCTTGTTCATCTGCCAGCGGACAAAAGTGTCGTAGTAAGGGTTGGCAGGGGTGGTGAGGAACTGCCTGCGCCAGTCGACACGGGCACCGAGGTTGGAGAGGTCCTCCTTGGCGATAGGGGGGAAGTACTCGAGCCAGTGGATGGGGTCGGCAAACTGCTTGATCTCGTCCTTGGGGACACCGATGAGCTCCATGATCTGGTACTGGTACTCGAGGCCAGTCGACTTGGCGTTGAGCTTGCCCTTCTTGGCCTTGGCGGGGTTGGCCGACTTGGCCTTGGGGTCGGCAGCCTTGGGGGCCTCGACGACCTCGACGACCTCCTCCTCGGCAGCGGGCTGGACGTGGCCAGCAAAGTCCTCACCAAAGAGCTCCATCTCGCGGATGATCTTGTCAGCCGAGGTCTGGTCGTGATTGTCAGCACAGATACCACACGCGCCCCTCGCCACGCCCACACCCCCCGGACCGTGTCCTGTGACATACCTTGATGGGCATACCAGTGGCGTGGTAACCGACGGGGAAGAGGACGCGCTTGCCACGCATGCGCTCGAAACCGGCGGCGAACTCAATCTTGGAGATGGTGAAAGCGTGGCCAAGGTGGAGCGAGCCGTTCATGTACGCGTAAGGGAAGGTGCCGAACCACTTGGGGTGCTTGGCCTGAACCTCCTCCATCGAGAGGCCAGACTCGAAAAAGTCGGCGTACGAGGCAACACCCTCGGGGAGGGGAGCGGGCTCGGTCTCAAAGGTGCGGTCGGCAGCCCAGGCGGCCTGAGCAGTCTTCTCAAGGGCCACAAGGGTGTCCCTCTTGTCGGTCTTGGGTGGTGGGTTGGACATGGTGGTATCCGTGTTGTTGTTAAAGAGGCAAGGGGATGTGGAAAGGCAGCGAAGAGTCACGGTCGACTTATAGGCGGCGGCAGTGATTCGAGAGTGGAGTAGGGACGCGCCGCGGCGAAGTATGAGATGTGAGGGTATCGTGGTGGCGAGCCGTGTACCGGCACTCGCTTTCAAGAGGTGGGGGGGTGGGAGGGACGATAAGAGAGAGGAGGTTGAGAGCGAGCTCGCTGGTGCTGATGACCAGTGACTCGAAAAACGGACTGGGCCCGGCGCCGCAGGGTGAGCGCGGAAGCAAAATGTCGGGACCCACACCCATACACGCCCTTTGTGTGCTGGAGGGTGCTGCTGGGCGTGGCGAGAAGCATACATGTGGGAGCATTGACTCGGCGCACAGTCGACGACGACGTCGCTATCACACAACCGGTGCGTGCGTTCTGAGCAAGTCGTGAGCAGCTTCTTCGATACGGAGCGGACCATGCATGCATGCACCACATGCACACACCGTGGCGTCGCTGTCGAGTCAATTTCCTGTGTGGCGAGTTGGTTTTTTGTTCGTTGATAGCCACAAATGTAGCCCGCGGGTCCAGAGGCATATCCGTGTGTGGGTGTGAAGAAAGGGCACACATTGGCACACAAAGGGGAAGCCATCATCTCCATCTCATCACAGCATCCCTACTCACTGCTCACCTGTTCCTCCTCTCCACTGCTCTCTGTCTCTCCTGACAGTGTCATGTCCCCAGCCACGCAAGAAAAAGTCGGATGTGGGGGTTCCCCATGGGGCCCACATGCTTTGTTGAGGAGGCACACAACCCCCAAGCGTGGCCAGCCCGTCCAAACCGCATGGGTTGACGCCATCCTCGGCTGCCTGCACACACATACACACGCTGGTCGCTGCGGCCTCGGCACCGCGGCCTGACGGGCGCCGACCAGGACCTATCTCGAGGAATGGTGCAGATGACAGTTCGGCGCGATGGCCGACTTTTCAGATATCCAACGACGACGGAAATTCCCGTTCTTGCGTGTGTAGGGCGAAAACGGTTGAACGCGGTTAACAGATTGTCAGTCTTTGGGTCAATATCGCGACCTGTGAGCATCAAAACGGGCCACGGTGAGCGTCACATGCATCACAGATATCACAGAAGGACTCTCCAGTGCTCGCCGGGCATTAAGAAGCATGCATGGGGGTTCTGTTGACCCGCCAAGCGACACTGCAGAATCGTCCGAAAACTCGCCGGTTCTCCACCGGTTGCCCGCCGGCTGGGTGCTCGGGCCGACATGTCGGTGGACAGTGTTCGTCACCCATCCCCCCGCAACTACATAAACCGCGGTTCTTTCTCATTCTGTTTTCCTTCTCCCTCCCCCCCTCGACTGGCAGATTGACCCCCTTTCAGAAACAGCCATGCTCGTCACTCTCCCCCTCGTCGCTGCCCTCGCTGCCCTCGCTCCCGCCGTCTCGGCCAACTCGGCCATTCAGGAGTACAAGCTGTCGGCCCCTGGCATCCGCGCTTCGTTTATCCCCCACGGCGCTCGTCTTCTCACTCTCGAGGTCCCCGACCGTAACGGCGAGTGGCGCGACGTCAACCTCGCCCACGCCGAGACCAAGACGTTTGCTGAGGAGACCTCGTCGAGCCGCTCGTACTTTGGCTCCGTTGTCGGGTGAGCGTTCAGCTGGGGAAGCGCTTCTGCGTGCAGCTGGGAGCTAACAGTCTACTACAGCCGCTACGCCAACCGCATCCGCAACGGCACGTTCTACGTCGATGGCCAGGACTACCACACCCCCCTGAACGACCATGACGGCCTCGACACCCTCCACGGTGGTCTTGAGGCGTACGACGCTCGCGAGTGGACTGTTCTGAGCTCGAACGCCAGCACCATCACCTTCCAGCTGCTCGACCACGCGTCCGAGGGCTTCCCGGGCAACGTCCTTGCCCTTGCCTCGTACACTGTTACTGCTGGCAAGCTCACGACCATCCTGACAGCCTACGCGCTCGACCTCCCCACCCCGATCCTGCTCACCACCCACTCGTTCTTCAACCTGGCCGGTGACGCCACCACCACCGTCCTCGACGACACCCTCGAGCTCCCCGGCGCCGGCCGCTACGTCATGGTCGACAGCATCGCTGTCCCCACGGGTGAGATTGCCGATCTCCGCTCGGTCCGCCCCGACGGCTCGCTCCACCCGCTCAACTACACCTCGGCCCGCCCCATCCGCGACTCGCTCGACGCCAACCTGTGCGGCGACGGCTGTGTGGGTCTCGACAACTGCTGGATCTTTGACAAGCCCGAGCCCGTCGACGGGCCTTCGGTCGGCCCCGCCCAGGTCATCTGGACCTCGGAGCAGTCGGGCATCCGCATGAAGGTCCACACCAACCAGCCCGCCATCCAGCTCTACGACTGTATCGGCATGGACGGCACGCTCGCCACGTCGGCCGGCACGGTCGTCAAGTATGGCTGCATGGCCATTGAGCCCCAGGGCTGGATCGACGGCATCAACCACCCCGAGTGGAACCAGAGGCAGATCTACGCGCCCGGCCAGGGCCCCCACGTCAACATTGCAGAGTACGCGTTCGACACCGTCCCCATCGCCCAGCACCCCGACCTCGACGCGGCTCTTGGTATGGGCTCCCAGGGCTTCCTCCACGTTTAAAGTGGGAACCTGGGGGGAGTGAGATGGGGAGCCTAGAAGACGTGTTCAAAAGTACGCGGCCTTGAGCCGTGTTAGACAGACGTTGGGAGCGGGAGACGACGGGTGAGAGTGTAGCGAGAGAGAGAGAGAGAGAAGTATCACAGGGCGATCCAACCCTCGTTGTTGCAACGATTACAATAGATACATGCATACAATGGTCTATCTTGCCGTGTTACCACTAGCCACTGGTTCGTTCGTGCCGGGTCCTCTCATTGGGGCTTGGGCATCATCTTGGTCGTGGTCATGTACCTCTCGGTGATCTCGCCATAGTTTTCAAACAACTGGGCGGCGGTGCCGACAGCAGCGGCGGATTCGAGAAAGTCCTGTGACCGTCAGCATGGCTTCATTGGATACGAGAAAGAAGCCACGCCATGTACGTCTGTTGTTCACCTGACAGACGGCAGGACAGGATTGAGAGCGTGCCGAAAGCCCGGCGAATCACTCGACTGTCACGGCACAGGCACCTCCCATCTCCCATACCACCGTGCACGACTCCAGACACTCACCCGCAAGCACTGGTTCATCTCGACCATGGCCTCGTTACACTTGTCCTGGGGCAATGTCAGTTGGTGTCGCAGACAGCTTGGCCTCCTTCAACAACTCACGACATTGCGGATGATGCGCTCGAGCAGCACGTTCTGCTCCGCCTCGTGGGGGTTCTGCATCTGGCTGAACCCGTCCATCGGAAGAGAGGTGGGGGTGGGCTTTTGACGAGTAACGCGTATCTGGTTCGGCGAGTGATTCGAGGGATGGGTGGGAGACAGGTGGGTTGCGGGGGAGATGCGGCCGTGTTGCGCAAGGCAAGGCTAGGTGTTGGCGACGGGACGGGGTTACGGCTCTGTGGGTGCACGTATGCTGCGAGCTGCGGTGTCTGAAAGTCTCGCGGATATGGCGCGTACGCGCGCGCGCGTGTGTGTGTGAGGAGGAGGAACCAGGGCCCGGGGAGGCGGTCGCGGTGTCTGCGAGGAATGAGAGCAATGGGAGAGAGCAATGGTGAGAACACGAACGAGAGAGTCAAGCTCGCTGTTGTTTTGGCAACCGGCGACCGCGCATTTGCTTCCGTCAGACGAACCAAACAACATCGACGCCCCCAGGAGCAAGTGGCACCATTCGAATCCTGGAGAGACGATGGACTCTGGCTTCGGGCGGCTGGGGATCGGCGCAAAAAGGCTTCGCTATCATAATGAATGACCCACAGGGGATCAGGAGATTAGCTGTTGGAGGCATCGTTCATTGAACAGTTATATATGGCTGCGCAGCAGGCAACCCCAGTCTATCAAATGCTAAGCGTAATTGTTCAAAAAGAAGTGTCCGGACACACGGCGAGTGGGAAGCGATGACAAGGTTATATGGAGTACAGAGTAGAGTCCTTGGTGTTTAAATTGTCCAGTGATAGAGGCAGTGAGAGCGTGTGGGGGGAGCCGTAGGTGTCATTCAAGGGCCGTTGACGGCCCGAAAGACCCTTTTGCGCCCCTGAGGAGGCATGAAGCGGCCGAAGCGGCGTTTTTGCGGTCCCCAAGCGTTGGGGTCGGTACCGTAACACAGGTCGCTCCAGCCGTCGCCGTTGACATCCTTCGTAACCGTATCAGGCCGCACGATGATCATCGCCAGCTTGCCCTTGGACAAGTGCCACCCCACATGGCAGTGGAGAGGCCACACGCCCGGCGTGTCGGTGACCAGGCGGAGGATGGCGTACGAGGTCTCGGGGATGAACAGTGTGTCGCGGCGAAGGGGGTTGTCAAAATTGACAAAACCGTTGCCGGCGGCGGCGTTGGCCTGGGCGTCTGCCAAGCAGGTAATGTTGCCCAGACCGCGTGCGACAATGTGGAACTTGCGGCCGTGGAGGTGGAACGGGTGCGCCACACCGTTGTCCAGTTGGTTGACGATAATGTCGTATGCTCCAAGAGTAGGGAAGGTGGTGTGGGCGAACAGACTGCCGTTGAGATCCTGGCCGCGCTGCACCTGGGCCAGAACAGCTGTGATGTTAGGTGCTGGCGAGGGGGAGTGGGAAGACAATCCAGGTCCTGGTGTGCTTTCTCAAACCTTCCCCCCCGAGTGGGGGGATGTTTTTGAGCACCAGTAAACCCTACAGAACCTCAGTATCACTCACGATCGAAGATCTTGTTAAAGTACGGCACTCCATTGAACGCAAATCCACTAAAGTTGGCAAAGTCTATTGGGTCGAAGAACTGGCCAAACGACGAATTGAAGACATGGGCTCCGTCGGGGGTCGCAGGCGGGTTCTCCGGAATCAGCGGGCTGGGAGGACCGGGGGTCAGAACACTATCCTCATGTATGCAGCCACGCCTGAGACACTCACACCACAGAGTGGAGGTTGTCAATGTCCATGCACGGGGCGTCGGGGATCTCGAGGTCGCCCCACGGCTGGGTGGTGGGTAGCTGGGACGGCGTCTGGTTCGAGTTGTCTGTGGCTGACCGTCTGTACTTTGTGGCGGCAGTACCGTGGTCGTAGCGCAAAACCCCAAGGCCAACCATGGGCTCCTGGCGAGCGATGCAGTCTAATATGGGGTGTCAACAAACATGTAGCTTTTGGAAATGTGCCACACTGGTGGCGGCGGTCACTCACGCATCCCTACGCCCGCACGCATCCAGAATGCGTCACCCTCTTGGTCGGTGTTGACGATGATGGACAGGCGCTGTCCCGGGGAGATGGGAACCTCATGAACTGAGAGTGTCTTAATCTCAGTGTCGTCGACCTCGACAACGTTGAGCACGTGGTTGTCGATGGAGAAACGGTAGAGGGCGTGGGTACCAGAGTTGATGACGCGGAGGCGGATACGCTTGCCCTTTTCGACGACGACCTCGGAGGGGGCATTGGTCGAGCAGGGGACACCCTTTTGAGCGACGGAGCAGTTGGTCTGGCCCACACCGTTAAAGAGGACCGCGTCGACGGGAGGGGGAATCTGGGCGCCACGGTATCCCTCCAGGCTGTACAGTGCGTCGACGATGACTTGGGACTGGTCGTTCATCCAGTCTGAGAGGTACAGCAGGTGCTCCTCGTCAAAGTCCTGGCCACGCTTGACGGGGTCGTTGACCGAATGCACGATGAACCTGCGGGACAAGGGTCAGCCTCTGCGTTGTCGCTGCAGCCACATGCAGCCACACTTACGCGCCAACGATGCCGTCAGCCATTGTGTTGGAATGGTGCGCGTGCCACCAGAAGGTGCCAAACTGGTTGTTCACCGTAAACTTGTACGTGAACGAGGCTCCTGGAGGGATGGGGCACTGGGAGATGCCCGAGACACCGTCGGCCCAGTTGGTTCCATTCTGGGAGATGCCGTGCCAGTCTGGGTATCATGTTAGGAAACACGACGACGCAAGAGAAACCACCGCGACCGCGATGTGCCTGAAGGTGTTTCGGAGTCCTCTGCTGCCCACTCCCGAAACTTACGAAGGGCCTGGCCGATGTCGAGGTGGTTGTTGACATGGACAATGACCGTGTCGCCCTCATTGACCTCGATAAGGGGCCCTGGGAACTGGTTGTTGACTACCATCATCGAGCGGAGGAAACCACTTGGGGACCCGGCAGCTGTGGCAATGTCGAACGTGAATTCGCGGACGGTCTGGTTGGAACATGTCAGCCCGCGCCTGCGCCCATCACCACCTCCTCTCCCATACTCACCGGCTGGTCTGTAATGACAAAGTCCGGGTCCAGACTGAACGAGGTCGGCAGCACTGCGGTCACGGAAGGGATGGGCGGCTGCGGGTAGCTGTAGTTCTCCGGAGCGTATGGGGGCAGCCCGGGAGGTCCTCCGCCGGCACCACCACCACCGCCACCACCCCCAGTGCCCGTTGTGGTGGCGGTTTCGGCAGTAGCACCAGTGTTGTCGCCACCAGAGGTGGGAGTAGCGGACGCGTCGAGGGAGGTGGGAGCGATGGGATTATCCTCCGCCACTGCACGGAGGATCGTGGCAAGGGCCAGGAGGGTGTGTGCAAGCGGGAAGTGCATGGTGGTGATCGGGTATTGTCGTCGCCGTGTCTCTTGTGTCGAGTGTGAGGTTCGTCTAAGTTGTGGCAGAAACTGTTAACTGGTCAATCCTCCAATGTGACTGCCACGCTGATGGGAGATGGGTTTGGCAAGTCGAGAGATGGGAAGGGGTCGGTCCAGGCAACGTCTTTAAATGCATGTCGCCAGGGAGGGGAGGCGTGGTACTGTATACTGTAGCCACCTTTGCTGTGTACGGGAACGCGGTACACCAGGTGAGGCGACCTGCGTATTGCAAGACCGACACATGTGGCTTGTCGTAAGCTGATGGGTTGCAATGACGCCGGTGGCAGCGTTCCCACTCGCACTGGCCACTGGGATACGATATGGACATTGTACAGGGCCAAGGTTGTACGACTCTAGGCACATATGCGGAAACGTGCGTTCAATGCGGCCAAGGGGCGGGTTGGTTGTGGTGATAAATAGTCAGTCGCCAGGAGTGGAGATGGGGGTGAGACATGAAGAAAGGTACGATCTTGACGGCAATGGGAGGCGGCAACGTGGACGTAGAACCGTGGCAGTGCAAGCTCGTCAAGCTCACTTGTGCAGCAATTGAGGACTCCACAGGCCACACGGTCCACAGGGCATGCCAAGCAAAGCTGCCTAGCTCTGCTGGATGTCCGTACACTAATGTAGGTTGCACCGGACAGCCTCCCGGTACCTTGCTGTTACTAGAGCCTTGAGCTGATCGGCGACTACCGCCCACACGTGACAACGGAGAGCACTGCCTGCTCGCTCCCACTCGTCCAAAGAGAACGGCATGGTCTCCCTCACCAGGAGCGGAAGACCAGTGTACAATTGGGTCAAAGAACAGCGGATACTGGGTGGCTTGGGGGCGGTGTACCTGTCCCGGTAACAATGTACGCTCGCCTTCATGTCTGTCTCTGTACACCACTTCCTCGGCACGCGACGCAGCGGCAGAAAAGCAACCAAGAAACCAATAGCATTCAATGTGCTGTCTCGGTGTAGCGTGGACGCCACAGACACCGACCTTTGAGGCCAAGGGGTATGTACTGGCAGGGAGCGCTTTGGGAACCGAGAGGTCGCGAGAGAGCCTTGTGGGAAGCATTTAGCCACACCTTGTTTTCGGCTTTGTTTCACCGACATTGACATCCGCTGTGCTTGGCATCGTGAGACAAGCTTACCTGCAGGCAGTACGTACAGGGCTGGGCCAAGGTGGCGAGCCCACATACGAGAGAGACCACCGTTCTGCGATAAGGAGCCGTGAACATGCCTGGACAATTATACTCGCCACCCCGACAAAGCCGGAATGGACCGGAAAATCGCTCGAGGCTGGTTGAATGTCGGAAAGACGGGGTGGTGGTGGACACTGTTTCGTTTTGAATGCAAGCCAAAATTGCGGGCGGCGGGGCCTGGGAAGCGTGGACACTCAGGTTTCCCATGTACATGGGGTTACGCGCATGTTCGGATTGTACATGAGCATATGCACGACAAGCGTGCACGAGACATGAACAGTGTCGGACACCGCCGCGGGCTTGTCATATTCATTTGTCTGTCATGAGCATTGACATCGTTCCGGGTGCCTTCGTTCGCCAGGCAGCCCTAATTACGACTGGCAGTACAACGTAGCACGTCTCGGACTCGAAGCTTGTTCTCAGCCTTCGTGTCTTGCACACTCTGGCGGCTAACACAAAATGGGGCGCGTTTGCACGCACATGAGGAGAACGAACCACAGAGCCAATACCGCAATCCACAAAAAGCGTAATCCAAGGGATGCATATCCGTATCCGGTCCCTCGCATCAGGAACCATGCCCCACCGTCGCTACAACCGCGCTCACACCGCACCGCATACACGACTCGAACCGTAGTCCCGAGATTCGCGGCTGGACACGACGAGCCGCGAATGACACTGTCAGACCTGGCGGAAAGTGGTTCACCCGACAACTGGTTCACCTTCGCCTCAACTGTGGGATCTCGACGCACCACCTGTATTGTGCGCAATCGGTTTCAACGCGCCGCGGTCGTCAAATGCTGTCGAGCTGTCGTATGTTACAGGCACGTGGCGTGTCCGTTTTCGTCGGCGGCTGTTCAGCAGTGAGAAACAACAACGTCAATGTCAGAAGCAACCTCAGTCATTGGACAGTGTCTGTCGTGAAGAGCTACAGTGCCCAGGTCCACGGGAACCTCGTTGCGGACACCATCCGCGACACCTGGGGGAGCTCTGCGACTTGCGATACATCCCACGGGTATTTTTAAACCCGCCAAGCCTACTAGATCTTGCTGACGAGGTGCATTGCGTGCTGGCCCAGTGCCCACTGGCGCATGAGGACACCAGCAATAGCGGTCTCTGGGGGAACACGGGTAAAGTGGGCATAGTCGTCTGCCGGGGCCGACTCGTCAACCTTGCCCTTTGTCACGTTGTCCAGCTGCTTGTAGTCGTCCTTTGTAAACTTTGACCCCGAGGCAGAGTTGCAGATGGCTGCCACGACTTCGCGCGGGAAGAACTGGGCGTCCTCGAGCTCATTGTCCAGGTCAAGACGGATCTGCTGGCCTTCCTGTGCGCGGCCGTAAAAGCCCACCATCAAGTTGGCAGGGTACGGCCACGGCTGACTCGAGCCGTATCGCACGGGGCCGACCTCGATACCGGCCTCTTCCAGGACTTCGCGACGGACGGCCTCCTCGAACGACTCGCCAGGCTCAATAAAACCAGCAAGGCAAGAGTACATGCCTGGAAGTTAGTGGGTGTGACGAGGCCAGGAGATACCCACCTTTGGGCCAAGCCTTCTGACGACCGAGAAGCATCTTGTCGCCGGTCGAGTCGAGGATACCCATAATGATGACCTGGGAGCAGTAAGTCTTTGCCGCAGGCACTGTCGGATGCTTACAGGATCCGTACGGGGGTACGCAAAGTTGTGCAGTCCCGTGGTCGAGAAGCAAGTCTTGCCCTCGACGGGCTCGACCGAGGTGATGCAGTTACGCTTCCAGCCGCCCCAAAGGGAGTACGTCTGGGCGCCACATGCCTGGCAGAACTTGTGGCGGAAGTTCCAGTCGATAAGGGGACGAGCGAACGCAAACAGGCCTGCCTCCCAGGCTGGCATCATTGCACCGGACGCGCGAGCGTCTCCCCACTCGCCATTGACCGAAGCAAGGTCCAGACCAATCGCAGATGCGTCGAGGGCAAAGTACGGCACGCCGGTGGGGGCGTGCAAGTCCTCGCCCTTTGGCGCCAAGCGCTCGTCAATGCCCAGGAAGAGCAAGGTCGGCAACGTGTTGGGAAGTCGGATGCTCTCGTACGCCTTCTTGGCACGAGCGTCTGTCACACTTTCCGGTACCGACTGATAACCTCCCGCGAGGTACTGCTCCACCTGGGCATAGTCGAGGAACAGCGGAGTCCCAATCTTGCCTGCTTCGACGAGAGGGTTGCCCTTCCTAAACCGCGTCAGCTGCTGTACAGCGCAGATGGTCCGCTGATCGCAGTATTTGGTAAAACAGCAGCGCGAGACTTCCGAGACAGCATCCAGGTTTTACACCTTACTCACAAAAACAGCATAAACTTGGCCCTTGGGAGGTATCCGTTGAGCTTGCTCGCATCAGAGCGCTGGAACGAGACGCGGTTCAGTGGGGGCTGGCCCGAGTAGAAGCTGGGAAGAGGTCAGTCAGAGATTCACAGAATGTTTGTTGATGAACAGCGATGGTCGCAAGCTCGCACCGACGAGAGCGTCTACATACTTGACAACATTGTCCATGATGCTGAACTTGCGGATGGGCTGACGTGATGAGATGCGTGCGGTAGTGGGTTTGGATGAGAGTGTCCTGGAGAAGTGGAAGAGGGATTGAACGACTGCTGATGCGCGTGTGGGCATGCAGGTGATGCTAAAGAGCGGTACGACGTCGTTGTGGGGAGATGGAGTTGCCGGAGTTGGCGGCGTGTGTCATCATGGGCTCGCGGTGAGCGGTGAGTACACCGGCCAAGTCCGTGCCGGACCGGCCTTCTAGCGGCTTTCTGGCGGGGGCCGATTAGAAAAATACATTAGCATTTTGGGCTAAATGGAGATTTATTTGGAGGCGTCGTCCAGTTTGTAATTGGGGGGTTCCTTGATTGCGCCATCTGTTCGCCATGCAAACGCGCTCCCCCCATGGAGTCACGGCCACTTGCTTGCTGCAATGAAGGTCCTCCAGCCGTGTAGTGTACGATCCGTCGCGCACAATGGTCGCGCATCCGCAGCATTTTGCCTTGAGCTGTGGACGCACAAGGCAAATGGCGGCCATTTCACGATTGAGACACGCTTCCGGTCGAAGATGACGTAACATGGTAATCTCCGTTTGTTTCTCTTCGCCGTCGCGACACTCCATCCCCTCCAATGTCACTCAACAACACCATGACACCGTCCAGGCCTCTGCAGCTGGGCACCTTGACGATAAAAGCAGATCCAGATGCAGGGCCAAGCGCACAACCTGACGACCCAGAGTGGGCACTGCTCGACGCTGCCTACCTCGACCGCCACCCATGGGCCCCCGAGGAAAGCGACAAGATTGGGCTCCTGAAGGACCTTTTGCGCGACGTGTACCTCAGCACAAGCTGCGATCGGCGTCGAAGAGGCGATGAGGTTGTGGTACGGGTGGCCATTAGTACCAACGACGCTGGTCGGTGGAACAATAGCTCCCAACGTGTCAACCGGCTCCGTCGGCTGTTTCCACTCTTGGACAAAGGATGGGATGGCGAGGAAGGACGGCTGCTGGAAGATACAGTGAGTCCACTTGGTTGAAGCAGTCGGCTAATTCCAGCCCGAGGACCTCTGCGCCGGCATGCAGGCACTCTACGCCCTCATTGAGAGCCCGCCAGAACCACATTTCGAGCCTGGCGAGTTTCTCGGCGACGACGAGGCCTTTGCCGGCTTGACCAACTATGAGAACCCGCCAGGCGTACAGACCATGATGTACAAGTACCAGATTGTACGTCTTCCATCCCGCGTGGAGCTGACATTAGCGCTCGGTGGCAAGGATGCTGCAGATGGAGTCGCAGCCGGGCACGATGGTGGATCCCTCATACTCGCGCTTCGCCGAAGCCGCTACCGGGGAGCGGTACTTCGTCGACCTCCAGCGCATGGACATTCGGCGGCAACCGTTTCGATATCCGCTGTCACGCGGAGGTATCCTCTGCGAACAGATGGGTGTTGGCAAGACACTCATGTGCCTCGCGCTGGTCCTGGTGTCGCGCCACCAGCCCACTCAGCCGCCTGTCGACTTTGCCAACAACATCTCAGCCGTCACGACGGACATTGCCTTACGAAGCTACCCTACAGCCTCAGCTGCAGTGATGCGGGGAGAGGTGGGCATTTCACCAACGACGGACGGGACACCCTCTCTCGCATCCATGTGTGCCGACATTGTGGCGTGCAGTAATCCGGCCGCGGCGAGAACTGGGTGGAGCATCACACCTACAGTGGAGAAACTGATCGACGAGCGCAAGTGTATCTACTACCGCTTTCCGCCACCAGTGAGGTTACCTCGTGGGGCCAAGAGGGTCCCCGATATAGCGCCTGAGCGATTCGTCCTGGCCCAAACGACCCTTGTGGTTGTACCGCTGCTCTTGGTCCCGCAATGGCTCGCCGAGGCCGAGACCCACTTGGAAGCAGAGGCCTTGAAGATTCTGGTTATCCCCGAAGGAGGCCGAGAGAAGACGCCGTTGCCACCAATGGAGGAGCTTGTTCGATACGACGTACGTAACAGGCCGTTGACCCGACGTGTGGCGCTCACCCAGCAGATTGTTCTTATGAGCTTGGATCGTGAGCTACCAACACGACCACCCTGACAAACTTTAGGTTTCCGGCGCGAGGGCCAGCGATATGATGACGAGACACTTACAACAGAGCTCTTGAGGGCTCGTTGGAAGCGTATCATTCTTGGTGAGTTGTTGGGCGCTGGCTGCTGGAACTGACAAGCAGACGAAGGTAACATTGCCAACAACACCAAGAGTGACGCAATGATTCTGGCCGATGCACTCAGCATCGAGCGTCGATGGATCGTTAGCGGAAGTGGGTAACCTTTGCCGGACTCAACTGACCCACCAGCGCCGACGACACAGTTAAAGCAAGGGACAGAGAGTGCTGTCAAGTCGTTCCTCGAGTCCGAAGCCATGCAGCGCGTGGACTCTGGACGCTCAACACCGAATGGCCATGCTACCAATGGACACTCTACTTCCGGCACCGAGTCACCGCGGCGGCAGTGGTCCAAGGCAGACCTCAACGACGTCGAGCGCCTCGGCAAGATGCTTAAAGGTTTCTTGGCCTCTGAGATTTTCCAGCAGGAAGACTTCCAGCGTCTCGTGACCACGCCACTCCGAAAACGGGCAGGACCGATGTACGGCGCAGTGGAGCGAATCCGACAGATCATGTCCGCTATTATGGTCAAGCATCGCCCTGGTGTGATTGATCAGGAGGTCAGCCTCCCGGAATCGACCCTCACCGCTGAGACCGTGCACTTCACCCACTGGCAGCGTCTCACGTACAACGCTCTTACTGCACTCATGGCCAGTAACGTCTACACAAGTGGGTGACTCATCTCCTATGTCATCTAACCCAGCAGGTAACTTCGAAGACCCAGACTACTTTCTGCACCCTCGCAACACCGAGGCGTTTAATCAAGTGGTGGCTAACCTCCATCTCGCCTGTTTGTGGTTCTCGTCCACAGAGATGGACCTTGAGGGTGCCATTGGACGTACCGAGAGCCACCTGAGGAAGAAACAGGTCACCGAGGAACAACGAAAGGGGCTGGAAGAAGCCCTCCTGCACATGCGACGAGCTGTTCTTGACAGCCCTGACTGGTCAGAATGGATGCAACGCGCGGTACCCTCTATTCCATATGAGGCTGGTATGGTGCCAGCTACCATCTTGGATGCTTGGTCCGAAAGCCGTCACACCCGTCCCTCGCTTGTCGACGCCGCCAGCTTGCAGATTATGCGTCAAGCAAACACGCGTGGGGCCGATGTCCAAGACATTGTGCGTTCGGGTTGGGACGAGCGTGTCAAGCACCCAGAGTGTGAAGCGCTCCTGGCCGTCATGGAGAAGGCCGAAAAGGAGTGGCGGTCCAGGCCCAACCAGGCCAATGCGGCCCACGTTCCCGGTATCAACCACCACCGCGACGACACCAAAGCAGCAGCCGACAAGCCCAAGGCTCCAAAACTTGTGAAACGACTCGGCAAGAAGAAGAACACGGACGACGTGATGGACATTGACAACGCGCTCGACGAGGCTGCCCGCAATGCCGAGCGCGCTGCAGAATCCATGCGCGGTGCTCGTCCCATGCCAGGCGTCATCCAGACCACGAGCATGTCGGCCAAGGTCAACTTTGTCATCCGCTCGATTCTCGCCGCGCCGCCCGAAGACAAGTTTGTCATCTTCGGAACATATGAGGAGATTGCACACCTCACCGACGCGCTCGAGCTTACAGACATCAATTCGTGAGCTATTGCACTCGCGCCTAGCTGACTCCAGGGCGTACGCTGGTGCCAAAGTGCCAGCAACTCAGCGCAAGGCCGCACTCAAGAACTTTGCGTCTCCAGGCATGCGCGTGTGCCTGCTCGAGCTCAAGTTTGCTGCTCGCGGCTTGACCTTGACCGCTGCCAACCGCATGATCTTCATTTCGCCCGTTTGGAGCTTGGACGTGCAAGCGCAGGCTATCAAGGTGAGCTTTTAGCTCACGTGCCGGAGCTGACAGCAGCGTATCCACCGTATTGGACAGACTCGGCCGACCCACATTGACATTCTTGTCACCCAGGGCACCTTTGAAGAGGACATTGTGCGCCGTGAAGCTGCAATGCGGTCCAACGAGGAGGAAAAGAGCTACTCTCGGGCCTTGATCGAGGTGCGTTTGGCTGCTTGGCTCGCCGAAGCCCGAAGCTGGAGCTGGCTTCTCGTGCACGGACACGAAACACAAAAGGTGCGACATTTTCTGACCCATTCTGCAGAACCCCCGCTTTGTGTATGCGGAAAGCGACGACCAAGCCACGTTTCCCATCCGCCTCGTCCCCCGAGAAACCACGCTCAGCGCCGTTGAGCAAGAGACGTACGCACAGTCGCTTGCAGCTGTCGCTCCCGGCACCACGCCACCGGGAGAAAGTGGCAGCACGACGCCGATCATCACCCCAGCAACCCCGCGGATCCTCCCCGCCGCCGCTGATACTTCGACCAAGAGCAAACGTGTCATGTTTGCAGGCGTGGACGACGACTCGGAGGAAGACGCCTCGGTCCCGGTACCGGCAAAGAAGCGCGCACGGTTTGCCGATGACTGATGCGAGTGATTTTGCCACTCGGGTTCCGGTGGCTGTGGCTACTCGTGAGGCATTTACGAGGCCGGCGCGGCTCTGATGTCCTCCACTCCACACAGATCTGGGATCAATATGGAAGTCCTGAGGCGAGAGAACAAGTACAAACAATCATTATCGCCGCGGCGATTCCCAAAGTCCTCCCCCATCAACGACGTTGTGTGCTGGCCGCTCGGCCCCCACGCCGTGGAGGATAGATAAATACAGTCCATGTAGCCTCCTCTTCTCGCCTTTTCTCCTTCTCCCCACCCGCATACTCGCCACCCTGCCACCCATCAACTCTCTCATTGAAGCCCTCGCACCTGTCTCTGTGACTGCCGCGCGCCTCGCATTCGTCGCCATGCCCCCCAAGAAGCCCAGTGGTGCTCCCAAGCCCAAGCCCGGTGCGGGTGGCAAGAAGTGAGTCAACGTGGGGTGAGGCCGGGGAAGGTGGCGGAGACAAGTGATGGGACGTTCTGGTCGGTGTCGGCTGGACCGAGGACACGTTTTAGGCTTCTCGCAGTTACGACTGCCGAGATTCTTTCTCACTCATGCCCGCTGCTTCACCTCACGAGGAAGGCTCCGTAGTGCGTAGCTGACACTTGCATCCAGGCCCGGTGCCCCCAAGGACACCAAGGATGCCAAGAAGCCCGCCGGCGGCAAGAAGGACTCGAAGAAGTGATCGACCAACCATCGAGAACACTCGAGCTTCTGATGCCTGATGGTATCGCCATCGTCAGGCGTCGGTGATCAATTCTTCTCTCACCATCCCTCAGCCTCCTCCACAGCTACTTGGCTCCCACCGCCGCCTCATGCCGCGCCACTTCGTCCGCCACACTCACCGTCATGACCATGTCCACCCGTTAACTTGATTGTGGCACCAGTAGTAACCTAACTGTGATGGAAATCCGTGGCATGACGTTAAAAAGCTATACGGATACAGACTGTATAATTCTGTTACACTGGCTTGCTCCGCAATTCGCGCTCTCCTTTCCTTTCGAGACCGGGCAGAGCCCTGCCGTGGCCATGAAGTCTACAGGGAGTATCAAGTGTTGCACGGCGGGGAGAATGGATAAGATTAATCAGTCGCGATGCGGCCTCGACGGCACTGCCGTTCAGGTGCATGCCATGGCGGCTGCGTGGCCACTCGTGCCACAACATCGGCTATCAGGCACTGGTCCCTCGATCCCTCGTAACGGACAAACATGTAAAACACTAGACGATGCATTTGTGTGTGGTGCTTGACGGAGGTATGCAACTCGTCTCCAACCTGGTCCTCCTTCAGATATCCTCCAGGTCAACCTCCTCGCTGTCTGTTGGCGCCTCGGCCCCGGCCTGTTCCTGTTCCACACCGCGCACAGCCTTGTCTGTAGCCTCCACCATGGTCTCCAGGAGCGTCCTCGGTGTCGTCTCGAGCTCGCCCACGAGCTCGGTGATGACGGGCAGCTTGCCCTCCCACGCAAGCGTCACGCTAGCCAATCGGCCGGCGGCATCGTCCTGCTGGGGAGCGCGACGCGCCTCGCGCGCCTCCCGCGCGATTGCAGAAAGGTAGACACCGACGTGCTCGACGATATCCTCGCTGATGACGGGCAGGACCTCGGCGACCACATCCAGACCGTCGGCCCAGCGCTTGTACCGTGCGAAACGGTTCAGGACCGCCGCCGTGGTCGGGACGAGGATTGGTTCCGAGGGGAATCCCGCAACCGCGGTGTTGAAGAGGGCAAGGGTCTTTGCGTAGCGGTTCCTGCGCGAAGCCTGGAGGACGGCGATGTATGCCGTGTCCCCGCGTGAAAGCGTGGCCTTGATGCTGGGAACGACGGAGAGCGCACCCCAGTGCCGTGCCGCGCAGGCTGCGGCGATGGTGACGCCGAAATGGCCGAGCTCGATACCGTGCGCCCGCGTGATTTCCACGAGACGGTGGGCGAGGAGGGGATACTGCATGGCCAGGGACCGGAGGCGGGCACGGGCACCATCGGCACCGAGGGCAGTGACGAGGTCGTCGAGTTGCTGCTTCTCCTGGGGGACGGTACCCTCCACATTACCAATGAGGCCGTACGCGTGCAGTGCAGTGGTCGCGCGGTTGTCAACCGGGACCCACCTGCCTGTTGTGGCGAGGTAGTGGGCGAGGACGGTCCGTGCAAACGCAGTGTTGGCCGAGGACCGTGTACCGCGGGTGAAGGCGCGAACAAGTGTGAGGGTCGTGTACGCGTCGAGGTAAGGCGAGGTGGTGCACCACTGGGTGTATGCTTCGCGCACAAACGGGAGAAGGCGGGCGCTCGCCAGCGCACGCAGCACACCAGGGACGACAGCTGCCGTGTCCGACTTGGTCTTGCTAAGGTCCTCGGCCAGGCGAATGAGGATGGAACGCGTCGGCCGGGCAAAGGCAAGACGGAGAATGTTGCGAGGTGTCAATGGGGCGTGGGGGACGGGGAGGGCCGAGTAAAACTCGAGAGCGGTGGCGATGGGGAGTGCGTTGAGGTGGACGTTCAGAGTGCCGGCGTCCATGGCCGGGAAACGCTCGTCTTTGGTCATGCGCAAGAGGGTCGCTCGAGCCCATTCAACCTGGCTGGATACTCCGCTGACCGAGGCTGCGCGGCACGCGGCAAACACAAGCTCGCACGCGGCACTGAAGGGCTCGCTCTTCTCCATGGTCGTGACAAGGTCGTCAATCATCCAATTGGCACGTTCGTCGAACCCCCAGAACAGGGCTGTGCGTGCAATGGCCGACTGGACGAGGAGTGCCGCTGCCTGTGGGTGTGTGGGAGAACTGCGGCCAAGGATACCTTCTGGCAGCTTTCCAAGACTGAGAGGGTACTGCAAGAGACGGAGAGCGTCTGATGCACGGCCATTGCGGGCGAGGCGCGCGACAATCTGAAGGAGCGGCCACGCCTGTCTTGGTTCCCAAGTACAAGTGTACACCATCTCGTAGAAGATGTTTGGGAGGAGATCATTGGCGTCTTGCTTCATCAAAGCACGAGCGATAATGACGTTGGCCGAACGCGAGAGGCGAGTAACGGTACGCCGGCGGAGCAGTGCGGCAATCGTGCTGTACGCCTGGACAATGAGACCTGTTCTCAACTTGTCGCCGGGCGTCTGCGGGTGCTGGAGGTCTGCCTCTGCCTGGAGAATCTCGCGCAAAGCATGAGCGTCGGGTTTACGCAGGAGGAGGTCGGAGACGAGCATCTGGTGCATGCCTGTCGGACGAAGGTTGGTGTACAGTGTCCGGATCTGTGGCAGCAGCATGGTGAGGTAGTGGTCATACAGTCCACTTGACCGCAGGCCAAGGTAGGCTGCTCCCGGGTCGATCCAGGACTGAGTGTTGTCCGCCGGTGGAGGGGCAAGGAGAGCAGCGACCAGCTCCTCGTCTCGCGCAAAGCTCATGCTTGACCAGATGGCTTCGTCGCTGCGGCTGTCGAAGAAGGCCTCCAGCGTGAGCCTCGAGCTCGACGCAAATGCCGAGGGTCGCAGCATGTGGGGGGGAAGTGCGGAAGTGTTCTCGCTCTCCCTTGCTGTTGCCAGCGAGCGTGTTGGTGTCCGCGACGGCGCAGGACGCGGCATACGCCGGAGGCGGAGGAGGGAACGGTTGCCGAAGCTGAAGGTCAGCTACAATGATGATGGCAACGAGCTCACCTCGGCATGATGCAATGCTCAATATTTCATGCCCCTTTTGAAAGTCCTCTCGCTCGTGAGCTAGGCGAGCGTCTATGCGCTGTGAAGGATTGTGGTTGAGTGGTGGGTGGTTGACGGACGAGCGATGGACGTCGCCGTTGCCTGAACTTTGACTGGCGCCGCGCTTCATTCCCCCGAACGCCATGTGACAACCACGTGACCTCTCTCATCCCAGATCCCAGCAGCAGCCTCCACTCAAATCAAATAATTTGCCACCTAACAAACCTCGAATCACACACAACACAACCATGGTGGGTAGCTCAACGTTGAGAAGCGCTCGCTGACCCCAGCCCCGCGCAGCAAAGGCTACAACTTCCAGGCGGCACGCGCCCGCTGCCTCTCTCACCAAGCGCTCCTTCGCCGTCGCCGACTCGCAGGTCGCCGAGCAGGTCCTCCCCGGCTCCGCCCCCGCCGTCACTGTGAGTTGCAAAGCGTACGGTTCTGAACAACTCTGACTGTTCAGATTGCCGACCTCGCCGAGGCGCCCAAGAAGACAAAAGTCGAGAAGCCCTTCCTGGGTGCGATCCAGGCCGGCGCCGCGCTGCACCCTTATTCGCGCTCCCACATCAGGCGCGAGAAGCGCAAGGCCAAGGAGGTCGTCGGCGGTGGTCTTGACAGTGTCGCCGCTGCTCTCGCCGAGGCCGCTGGCGAGGTTCCCGTCCCCGAGGCGCCTGTGCCCAAGAGCAAGGGCCACGCGCGTGTTGTCGACGACGTTCCACAGAAGAGGAAGCAGGAGCCCGACGGAAGGATCGGTGAGGGCCGCACCAAGCCCCTGGCCGAGAAGCAGCGCAGGAAGCAGATGTGAGTTGAGAATAAAAAGGTGACATGGGGCTGGGCTGACAACACCCAGTGCCAACAACGCGCGCCGCATCCCCGCCGTCATGCAGCACCCGGCCTTCAAGGCCAACCCGTGGGCGACTATCCGCGAGCACGCGGCCAACTCGCTGGCGACTTCCGAGGCTGTCACGAGCGTTGCCGAGCGCAAGGCTGCGGCCGAGACTGCCAAGTCCAAGGCTGCCGAGAACCTCGCTGTTGCCATGAGCGGCATCGAGTAGAGCGTCACGGATTGAGACGAAGTCTGGAGAGAGAGAGAGAGAGACAGTGGGGCCACATTGATACCGCGCATTGATACCATGGAACAATACATCACACGTCGCAGTATACAGCACACACGTCTACTGAGCGCCAACCTGTCGTCACATGCTCGACCTCACCCGCTCCTACCAGGTCTCTCTCCACATGCTGACCTCACCTCACAACTTGGCTGCTCCAAACACGCTGTGCTTGATACGTGTCCACTTTTTGGAACATTCCTGCGGTCAGCTTTCCCGCGTCCTCGCCAAAAGCTAACCTGCTGGGTCTTTGCGTGCCCCGCCTGCCCTACAGCATGAACCACCGCGGGCCAGTTCTTACCCTCGCCGTAAATGAGCTTGGCCGTGAGTGGACTACCAAGCAGTGGTGGGACACAGCCGGGGACGTACCTGCATGCGCCAGAGCGCACGCTCTTGCGCTGTTGTCCAGCCTCGCGAGTTGCCGAATGTGGGCTGGACAAATGGCTTCTCGTGTGGCGCGCTGCGGGGCACGTCGTTGCTCGGGTTCTTGCCGTTGACGGGTGCACCGTCGGGCCGCTGCCGCTTACACGTGCACTCGTGGCCGTCCATGTCATCGTCGTCATCGTCATCGTACTTGTCAGCCTTGCGCTTCCTCGCCGCCGCCTTGACGGTCTTGTCCCGGCTCGTGCCCTTGGCCACCCACACCAACCCGGCTTGGTCGTTCATGACCCAGCGGCCCTTGACTCCATCGGGACCCTCCACACCGTCAAGCACACCCATCAGCCCACTCCCCTCGACTCCAAGTGTACCCGATCCCTCGCCCACTTCACGCATGTACCCCACCTCGTCCACCTTGCCGGTCCACGCCCACCGCCCGTTCTCGAGCGGCGCGATCCACGGCTGCCGTTTGGAAAAGAGAAAGGGCGGGCAGCAGGTACGCCCGATGAAAAAGTAGTAGTTGCGCTCTTGGGCCGGTGTGCGGTCGGGGTTTGCCAGGCGGGCGAGGACGAGGTCACGCTTGGACGGCGGGGTGGGCGGTAAGGGTGCGGTCAGCTCGCGTAGTGGCTCGGAGACGTCGCGCGGACGTGGGGGCCGGTGGAACTGGGGCGCAGGAGGGGTGCGCGGCGGCGGAGGCGGCGGTGTGCTGATGACGGGACGAGGCGTTGCGGGATGCTGGGGCGTCTTGCATTCTGGAGGACTCGGGGGAGCTGGCTTGTGGGGGCTTTCGACGGGGGTCACTGGCCCAGAGATGGTCTTGTCGTCGTCGTCGGTGACATCGTCGTGGGTCAGGTCGAGCATCGGTGGCTGGGGTGGTAGAAGCGTGAGAGACAGAGGCGGGGGAGAGGGAGGGTCTGGGTAGGATGAGGGCGAGGGCGAGGGCGAGGCTTGAGGTGGTAGGGGCAGAGCCATGGGTGAGGGGGTCGCTAGGTCATTGGGCGTCCCCGCTGTCAAGTCGAGGCTGTCGCCGACGAGCATGGTGTAGGTAGTAGCGGCAGCGATGTAAGGATGTGAGGAAGGAGTTAGTGTTGTTGCTATGACGAGTGTGAGTATAACTGTGAGCCCCTCCGATGACGAGAGAGTATATGTGTATGGGGCGGAGGCGAAGAACAGAAGATGATGATGAGAGACACATCCAGCATCATATCTTTACGTCCTCCTTTATAAAACGCGCCCATTCGGCAAACCCCGCCCACCGCTCGGCTCTCGCCGGGGGAACTGTCTTGGGTGCCACATGATTATCTCTCCCTAGCGCCAGCCAATTGACCAACTCGCGTCTCACCAAATGGGCCATAGCTCGGAATGGCTAGTCTCCATTGCGTGCACACTCACCTCACCGTCACCCTCACCTTCACACCTGTGCGGCATTCAACGGGACGGTGCCGACGGCCGTGAGAGCACGAGTGCCAGCACCAAGAGCCATCGGATGTACCCGACGTGGCCCCACAAAACCCGCGTTTGAACCCTCCTGTGCCCCCCTCGGCAACAAGGGACCTCCCGGTTGGGCGGCTGGTTCATAGCCGCCTTGCCGCCGGGGCCGCTGGCCGCTGACAATCGCACGCAGTCACTCACCACCAGCAGCAGGCCAGCAGCAATACAAGTGTGACATCCCTCTCTCCCCTTTTCCCTTCCTCCCCATCCTCTCCCCCATCTCCCAAAAACAATGGCCTGCTCCTCGCTCAACGCACTCATCGCGCACGCCGCGCGCGCGTCCAGCGCCCCCGGCGGCCTCGACGCCGGCGTCATGACCATCCAGTACGCGACCCCGCTCATCGCCGCCCTCCTCCTCCGCCTCATCAAGCTGCGCGAGGCCCACCCCACCCTCTTCACCTTTGCCACCAAGGACGGCCTGGCCAACCTCGCCGCGGGTGTCGTGCGTGCCGGTGGCTCGCTCGGCGAGGCGCGTGTCATCATGCGCACGTTTGGTAAGTGCTTTTTCATCCCGGTTGGGACAGAGCTAGACGGCTCGGGGCTCGCTCGGGGCAGACGCGGGAGAGCCGGCACCGCCGCCTGGGGAACGACGTGCGAACACATCCCACTGGGATGGATGGCACCACTCCGACCAGCCTTATCGGCGTCGGTTCTCAGTGTCGACCCGCGCACAGCATACGCGGCCGCCGCTGCCACCCCCAACCGGCGATGCCCGGCGTCGCCCCGGTCTTCGGCATTTTCCAGGACACAGGCCAGAGCTGACCACCCGCAGGCATGCTGCCGATGCTCGACTGGCTGCTCAAGCTGCACCCCAAGCCCATTAGCGCGCTGATCAAGTTCTTTGTTCGCCCCAGCCTGGCCAACCTCGACATTAGGAACCCCAAGGTTCTCGACACGATCCGTGTCTTGCTCCTCTCGGGCTTCTACCTTGGCGAGCACGTCGCCTGGCTCGGCACCAAGGGTGTGCTCCCCCTCTCGCCCGAGACCATTGGCAAGGCCGCCGTCTTCTCGGTCCGCTCCTGGGCGTAAGTACAACACGGGAGGAAGCGCAGCGGCGCCCCTGCCCCTCGCTTGCAGCGTACAGACACGGACACTGAACAGAGGCTGACTTTTGTTTCCCAGTGTCGACGTGGCCATCACCGTCACCCGCCTCTCGCTCCAGTACAAGTCGCTCACGGCGCGCACCCGCGCCCTCAAGGCGTCGTCCAAGAAGACCGAGGGTTACGAGGTCGCCGCCAGCGACGAGAAGGCGGGCGACTCGTCGGCCGAGACGTCCGCCGCCGCCGCCCTCAAGGCCGAGTGGGCCACCTGGCAGCAGAACGCCATGGTCAACTTTGGCTGGATCCCGCTCACCATCCACTGGTCCAAGCCCGGAGGTCTCTGGACCAACCCCCTCATCACCGCCGTCATTGGCTCGTACGTCGCGTACGCCAAGTCGTACGGCGTGTGGCAGCGTTCCGCCTAGGTGGCGGCGGCAGAAGGCGCAGCAGCGAGCTAGCTATCTGCGCTTGTTACGAGGCGAGAGACAGAGAGAGAGAGAGAGAGGGATCAGACAAGGAGAGTAGGGTATGCGTCCGGGCTACATTTCGTTGTGCTACCTACGAGCCAGAAGCTGTGGAAGTTTGTCACGAGAGAGAAGGAGCAGCAGTCGTTGTGGATACCCCCCCAGATGTACGTGCTGAGCGCGGCTAGTCGAGCTACCCGGATACGCAGCGAGCAAGTGAAGAAGTGCATGCACCGTAGCGAGAGAAAAGGGCGCGTGTGCGGCTACGGTATGCGACGGAAAAGCGATGGGGGAGAGGGCGCAATGTTCGACCTGCACTGCACTACGCACTGCACTGCTCGGCATCGTGTCGTGATCTCGGCAATTCGCAAGATGCACATGCTTGTTTGTGGGGCCCGATTCGTACCGATCGCCATGTCCCAATGTCCTGCACTGTTCAAGTCTCTCCTCATTCGATCGTGGGATCATGAGGGGAGATGCCAAGAGCCAAGATGTTGCCGCTGACCGTTTGAGCCCCGCATTGTGCCCGACGAGACAGCAGCTCTGCAGGGGTGGTGTGTGCGGGAGGAATGGCGGTGTGGACTTGGCGGTCACGACGGGAGGTCGGTGGTTGCTGTGGGTTGTGGTGGGTGTGGGTCGGCTCGAGGACGCTCGCTTGAACATGTGCACCCCAGTCGAGCCGCTGGCAGTGGCAGTAGCTCGTTGGCATTGTGCTGGAACCTAGGGGGCTCGTTGAGGTTTCGTTAGTGGCACCAGTGGCATCGCACTGCTTGTTGCCGGACATTGTGTCGAGAGCGACTGTCCGCCCTCGTCATGCTCTATTAGGCTCACCGCGATACAGTATGCATTAGAGGGGGATGAGCGCCAGGATCACCAAATCTTTGCAATCAATGTGTTGATCCCACTTGAGCCGTTGGTCCGGTGGTGTAGATCAAGAGGTGATCTTCCTGCCAGCAGCCTGCCCGTGCGCTCGCCAACTTGCGTGCCCATCTCTTGGATATGCGCTGATCACTCACCACCCCGGGGCGCTGCATCTCTATTCCACGCACTCCATCTCAGGAGACAGGCGGTACATGTCCCCATCCAACACCTCACCCACGCCAAACAAACAACACCGTGACGGGAAAACAACTCACACCACAAGGCAGATGCCCGTGGCCGGTGCCAGCGTGCCAGAGATCCAGAGAACGCAGTATCGATCCGGGAACAATTCCCCCCGCACCCGATAGTGCGTTATGGACCCCCCCGAAATACACACTACAATTCGCCGTGTTTCGCAGGCCATTTTTCGCGCCTTTCGCGGCCGATTCGCCTGCGGTTTCGTACATTTCGTGCGTTTCGTGCGGCGGCGGATAAACCGTCGTACGTTGGGACGGTGGGTGCGGTGGCGAGCAGGGGAAATGGGTTGCTTTCTGTCGATGCATTGCTTTCCGACGATCCCACAGATGGGTTCCTTTTCGATCTACAAGCGATATCTATCATAAGCGTATATGCGACTCCAAAGCGATTTCATTTCAGAAACGGTTGCGGGGGGAACTGCCGCACTCGGGGCAATTGCAGTCTCATTTCATACTTCATTTCGGGGCATTTCAGCCGTATTTCTCGTAACTGGCCGAGGAAAGGTGGGGCTGCAGGAGGCCAGGAATTCCAGGAAGCCAGGAGGCTGCATACGTTGCGATTGTTACTCGGTCGTTGACGCAACCCCATGACGTGATACTGGCCCATGACGTCTGCGCCTGGTCTCGCAGAGCTAACAGTGCCGACCAACTGGGCCTATGCTGTGTCTCCACCTACTCTCTCCACTCTGTCCAAACGCAGCTTGATATTACCACCACAAAGACCAGAGCGGACTCTAGCGACCGCGCCTCACGGCCAGCAAGTGCAACCAGTGTGCATACAAAGAGAGATGTGGGTCCGCAATATAAAGGGGTATACAGTAGTTGGACGTTTGTGCGCTTACAGTTGAAGGGAGCGCCAGATCTTGCTCCTTTTCCTCATTATCCATGGCTGGCTTGGTCCAGAACGCGCCCTAGTCGCGGAAGCCACCGGCAAGTGTCTTGCCCTCGTCGCTCTTGGGTCCCGAGATGCCGAGGAGAGCGTACCGCTCCTCGATGTAGTCGATGGCCTTCTTGCCCGTCTGCGCTTCGTACTGCTCGACGCTGAGGGGACGCTCCGCGAGCGGGGTGACGCGCAGGCCGTGGCGCTGGGAAGGGTATGCGTCCTGTCCATGGTCAGTAAAAACACGTCGGCCGGTGGGACACTCACAAAAGTGGCAGAGTGCGTGGTGACGCGGTTGTCCCAGAGGGCGACGTCGCCTGCCTCCCACCTCCACCTGACGGTGGCGTCGGTCTGCTGGGCAAAGCCGTCACGGAGGAACGCGAGGGTGTTGTCCGACTCGGCCTTGGGCACGCCAATGATGCGGGTGACAAAGCCAGGGTTGACAAAGATGGCCTTGTGGCCCGTGACCGGGTGGACGCGGACGACGGGGTGGACGGTCTCGATGGGCTCGCGGCGGGGCACGGTGATGGTTCCGACACGCGACGCGGCCTGGTTGAATCCCGTGTGCAGGGCCGAGAGGGACTCGAGGTACTGCTGGTAGTAGCGCGAGAGGGACGAGTAGAGCGCGGTGCCCGACGACCACAGAGTGTCGTTGCCGACCTCGGGGGTGGTGAGGAGACGCAGGATGGTGGGTCCAGGAGGCTGGATCTCGTAGGTCACGTCCGAGTGGAAGAGCTCGGCGCGCGAGAAGGCGTACGGGTCCGGACGCGAGTTGCGGTCGGTGTAGACAACTGGAGCATGTCAGCTGGGACCCCGATCATGTCGCCAGCCAAGACTCACCGACAACATCGTCCAAGTCGCCACGACGGGGAACAGCGTAAGTCGGGTGGGTGTGCAGGGGACCAAAGTGGGCACCAATCTCACGCTGCTTCTCGATCGTAAGGGTGTGCTGCTTGCGGAAGTCTGGAATGGGTCAGCAACGGCAAAGGAGCATTTACCAGCAACCACGACTTACACACAACACCACGCCTGGCAATGAGCAGGGCACTGCTAGGTCAGCAACCAGTTGGCGCGAATACTACCCACAGGTCATCGAGCTCGTCCTTGCCGAGATCCTCCATCTTGGCGTCGCCCTCAATCACGGTGCCGATAGCGATACCGAGGTCCTTGATACGGCCACCGTGCGCCTCGACGAACGCACGCAGACGGGCATACCCCGGGTCGGCAAAGTGGCCGCGGTCAACAAACTCAAACGGCTCGAGGGCGGGTCCCGACTCGGTGCGGGGCGGGTTGTGGGCTGTTGTGTGGTGTCAGCAAGAAGAAAAAAAAAAGTCGGAGTGGTCACACGACATGGCGCGCTCTTATCCCGGTTTGTTTGTCAACAAAGCCAGTGGGGCTCGGCCCTGGTGCCACTCACGAAGGAACTCGGCGTAGGGGTAGTCGGTGTCGACCGCGCCGAGGACCTCTCCCTAAGGTTATTGTCAGCTTGTGTGCTCGTGCAAAGTCGGGAGTGCTTACGACATAGTTGTACGGGTCCACGAGCTTTGCCTCGTCCGTGGCAGAAGTGGCGGCCTGGAGCTTGAGCGTGCCCTTGAGCGGCTCCTGGGTCTGTGTCTGAGTCTTGGAAGCAGTGGCGACGGGCATGTTCAGCAAGGTGAGAGAGGTAGTGGAGAGATGTGGAGAGAGCACACGACTGGAGCTCGGGATGATACATATAGGACCATGCGGACAATGGGACTCGCAACCCTCGTGGACCCAGAGAGAGATGCAGCACGCAATCAATGACCACCGGGGCGGCTATGGCCACACCGCGCGCGTGTTTTGGCTCTGGGCCCAAGTGCCTGGAACCGAACAACCTCAGGCGCGCTCGGCGCGTCCACCAGCTAGCCAGGCGCCACGCGGCCATACACCCGCAAACTCCGGCCAGCGTGTTTAAAAGGGGGGACCAGATAAAACATCACCCCACCCAGCTCTCCCTCGCACCCGCACAGACACACCCACGCCGCGACGGAGCGTTAAAGGCCAGCGCACCCAACACTGCAGGTTTCTCTTCGTCCTCTCCTGCCCCGCTGCAAGCCCCAAGACTACGCTTTCAAGCTTCCCTCGGGAACGGTCAGCACCTGTCCATGGCTCGTACGCGGTGGTGGAATCATGTGAGGCAGAGGAACACCCCCTTTGCTCTGGCGCCGGCGCGATCCCCTTCACCGGGTTGAACGCGTCCGAGTGCTGTGGGCATTGGGTCAAAAAGCTCACGTATCTCCCGCCCTTTCTTTCCAGGTGGAGGGGTGGGTCGAAGAGGGGCAGACATTTTTATACACCAGCGTCATGGTTTTTAATTCGATGTACGGTTTGTCTTTAATGGTGGCCAGCGGTGGGGGCGATTGAGTGGCCTGAGTGGAGGATGATTTCGATTGTACACTTTGGAGGCGGCAGCCCATTTCTGCCGTATTTGACCGCCGGGAAGGGCCAAACAAAGAAATCAAATGCTTGCCTGTTGCGGGTGGCCGGTGGGCGGGAGCTCGCGCAGAGGGATTGATCTTGCCACACTGGCATTGACCGGTCATGCTGGCAAACGGTCATGCTGACACTAGTGTCTTGTCCGCTTACGGCGCAGTTTAGTACATCCTCTGATCCTCTGCGCCACTGCCAAGCTACGGCGACGGTATAGACGAGAGGGAGAGGAGGAGTAGGTGTTGGGGCGCGCTGACGTGACGCTAGCAGCCTGGTTTGTTCCGTCTCCCATTCTGTCTGTGCCACGTACGTCCCATGCTGCAGAGCTGCAGAGCTGTGCTTCCGCCGACGGCCTCCGTCTCTCTCTCGCCTGTGCACCGGATGGATGCCTAAGACGACGCACGCGCTTGGTGAGAAGCCGACGGTGGTTTGCGTGTGTCCGGCTTTGTGGCGGTGGCGTTTTGCGAACATGGAGGAGGGGGGCAAATAGATGCTCTGAATTGCTAATGGGCGGGCACAGAGCCTCGCACGGTGGGCTGGCGGGCGTGGCACCACTTTTCACGGCCCGTGTCTCCTCCATGGAGGGTGCTGGAAACTTGTGACAAGGAGGAGTGGGTAGCTACGGTATCATAGACTGTGATTCAATGGTTCTTTGAGGATGCATACTGTGTTTTGGAGGATTGATGCGACTGAGGAGGGGGACTGTGTAGGGCATGTGAATGTCATGAAAGTGAAGCTGTTGTAATCCGTTTAGAATACATAATTGTAATGAATTAGAATGCATGTGTAATGAACGCTGAAAAGTGCCTCGTTGATCGGTGAAATGGAACGCCGAAAACGAAGCGCCTGACCGCCACAGTCGCCTGTGGTGTGCAGGTCGTCCGCAGGCGGGCGGGCGGGGGCTGCAGGAGGGGGGGACCGACGACGGGGGGGGGGGCAATGCGGGTGGTCAATGTGGCACCCTCATCACTCATTCCCTCCTCACCACCACCACCACGGCAAACATCCACTCCATCCTCCCTCTCCTCCTTCCTACCCCTCCTCCAGCATTGCATCCAGCATCACAGCGCGCACACCCCGCTCCACACCCTCCTCCTCACACCCCTCACCCACTCGCACAGCGAGCACCCTCGTGCGCGACCCACCACCAGGCGTCCTTGTCCGTGCGGTCCACTCGCTCTTGCGATAACCCCTCCTGCCTCCCGCGCCTGCCTCATGTCTCTCGGCCCCGACACGGCGTCCTACGCCGCACACCCCCTCCCCCGTCCCTCCCCTCCCCCTCCTGCCGTCGCCAGCATCCCAGCACCGTCGAGAGCGACAAACGCGCCGCTCGCCACTGGACCTGCCATGACCAACTCTGCCAGCGACGTGCCGCCACCGCCCTGGACTGAACCGCCACCAAAGTCGATGGCACCCGTCCAACCATGGTCCAACTCTACACACGACCGCAACTCTCCCTACTCGACAAACGCTGTGTCACCCGCTCCCACGCACGAGGAAGCTGCCAGGCCCTCTGCCAGCGGCGTGCACGGCGCTTCACCACAGGTTCCCCCCGGTGACGACGCGCACACTGCCGCCAACACCCACACTCCGCACGCCCACTTGGCCTTGGATGACCCCATGGATGCCTCCTCAGCGTCCACCCCCGTCGAGCCTCCCTCCCACGGTCCCAGCGTCATCCTTCGCATCCCCGCAACCGCTATGCCCAACGGTCGCGAGCGCACCGACTCGCCCGCCACGGGTGCCGTGGGCAAACGCAAGCGCCGCTCAGAGTATGTTGCCACACTACGCATTTAAACGCATGGGACATTTGATGTTGACCCTCTCTTTCCAGACCCCCACCTCCCCCCATCAGTCGCCCTCGCCGCGGACGTGCATCCTCTCCCGGTACGGGCACCGGTGCAGCCGGTACCCCTGTCACTGCGACGGCGACTGCCAACGGCACGCCTGCCCGTGGTACGCCCCGTGGTACTCCGCGCGGCACGCCCGGGCGTGGAAGCACGTCGCGCGACGGATCGAGCGCGCCGAGCTCGCGCGCTACGCCGGCAGGCGATGCGCCGCCCCGTGGCGATGCGTTGAGTATCTTTGGCGCGCCGACGTCCAACGATGTGGCCGCCGAGGTGCAGTCGATTGTGGGATCGTCGGGACGTGCCGTCCGTGAGCGCGAGGTTCGTGAAGCTCGTGAGGCCCGCGAGGCCCGCGAGGAAGCCAACAAGACTGCTCGCCCCACCCGTGGTGGCGAGACACACGTTCGCTCTGGTGTCTCTGCCAGCGGCCGTGGTCGGCGAGTGGGCGGCTCGGCCCGTGTCAACGCCGCGGGAACCAGCAACGGTGCAACCCGCAAGATCAAGGGCAAGGGCAAGGCCGATGCCGACTTTGTCAACCAGGATTTCTGCTCCGTATGCCGTGGTATCGGTCGCTTCCTGTGCTGTGATGGCTGCCCCCGCTCGTTCCACTTCATGTGTCTCGACCCGCCTCTCCGCATCGACGAGTTGCCTGCCCAGGAGACTTGGTTCTGTAACAAGTGCAAGGCCGACCGTGGCAAGCACGACCGTGAGAGCGGCCGCGGCACCGTCGACTCGCCTGCTCGCGCAAAGGAGGGGCCGATCAAGACCGTGTTCCGCACCATGTGCCACAAGCTTGACAACGACAACCCTACCCAGTTCCGTCTCCCGCAGGAGATTCGCCAGTTCTTTGTCGGCGTGGCTACTGGCGCACGCGGCGAGTACGTGGATGCCGAGGGAACCCGCACCAAGTATGAGTGAGTCGCTGCCACATTTTTTGGCCTTTTTTCTTTCGCTGACAATCCCAGCCGCAAGGGCTTTGCTGAGGAGCGCGACCCCGTGCGACTGCGTGACCCCAAGACGGGTCCCGTTGCATGCTACAAGTGCGGCGGAAGCTCGATCCCCATGCGTTCGCTGGCCAGTGACCCCGAGGCATCTTGGCGCCCCATCGTCTCGTGCGACTATTGCAACCTCCACTGGCACCTTGACTGTCTCTCGCCGCCTCTGGCGTCCATGCCCACCTCGATGCGCAAGTGGATGTGCCCCAACCACTCGGACCAGGTCATGCCCGCTCGTCGCACGGTCCGCTCGGGGCTCGAGACGGTCGATGTCGGCGCTATCGGCAAGCACAACAACGGCAACGTTGTCGTCGTTGCCGACGAGGAGCCTCGCGCGGCTATCCCTCACGAGGACATGGTCATCAACAACCGCCGCTACCGCGTCCCCGAGAAGATTATCCAGCTCGACTTTTGGAACAAGATTCGCGCGGGTGCCGTGGCCCCGGCCAAGATTGACAAGCGTGCTCGCGTTGCGCAGGAGGCTCTCAAGCACGCCACGCGCGCCGACCTCGACGCTGCCAACCTCATTCTCAGCTTTATGCACTCTGGCCTGCAGCCCGAGGAGGAGGACGAGGTCGTGGAGGAGGAAGCCGCGCTCAAGGACGAGGACGTCGTCATGGCCGAGCCCGCAAAGCCCACGCCTGCCGCGCCCCGCGCCACGTCGGTGCCCGTCGCTCGCCCCGCCGCCAACGGCCGCAAGTCGCGTACGTCCACGCCCAGCGCCGCTCCGAACAGCGATGGGCCCCCAAGGCGGATCACCCTGCGTTTGCCCCAGCAAAAGTAGATGAAGCCGTCTGTCGCAATGGATATCTATCGCCGCGCGCCACCAGGCCTTGACGAAACGTCGGCCCACTGTTAATAGGCCGCAAAGCACAAAACTACACCGTGTTCCACCATGGCCCCAGGACCCGGTCTGCTCCCTTGCTCGTGTCCCAAACACTATCTCCCTCTTGGCGACCTGTTGCTTCACCCCCGTCTGTGATTTTCTTCCATTTTAACCCCCCCCCCCCCCCAAGCCATTCCACCGCCCGCCTTCCTCGCCCCTGGGTCCCGTCATTCATTTCCTTCCCCCCCTCCATCCACCTCAAACAGAGCGTTTTCATACCTACTGTATATTCAGCATTTACCCGGGTTCCGCAATGCATCGTGTCTATGTGAACGCCGCAGCTGTGCAAACAACGACGCAGCTGAGCAAAGTGGATCTGTCCTAGATCTCCTCTGGATCTGTAGGCGACAGCCAAACACACAAATAGACATTGGTGTCAAACCGTGCCGCACAGAGACCGACCCCAGGCTCACTGATATCACTGGGATCTCAAGATCCACAGACGCATACATACTGACGTCAGGCTGCCGCTGTCGCGACCTCGTTGCTGCAGCCAAAGGCAAGGTGCCATTAGACACCGAGATGCATCTATTACTCGAGCACGGGCACGCGCCCGGTATCTGCCACAACCGCGACCCGCCTTCCTCCCCTGCCTCTAACCGCCACCACCACCTGTGCCCTCCCTCCCTGCCACAAAGACCCAATCGTCCGTCGTCGCGTCTCACTTCCTCTCCCCTCCCCTCCCCTCCCCTCTGCTCTTTATCTTTACACGATCGCGTCGGGGACAGGAATGTCCGGCGCGCCGCCCGGTCCGCCCATGGCGCGCATGGCCATCTCAAAGGCCACAAACGTCGCGCCGTTGGCGAACGGCGAACGGACAAGCGTCGGGGTCAGGCCGCCCGTGAAGCCGCGCCAGCCCTGGGCGCGCCACGTCTGCGCGAAGCAGTCCAGCATGCCCCTGTACTTGCGCTGGGACGGGTTGAGCGCGTCGGTCTGGAGCTTGGACTTGACGACGTCGATGGGGTAGATCCTGCGGGGTGTCAGTGGGGCGGAAATGGCAGTGTAGCGTGGCGTGGCGTGGTGTGGCGAGGTGGGTTGGGTTGGGTCGGGCGCGGGGTGAATCGGCAGCTGTCTACACCCCGCGCCTCCCCTCGTCCCCCTCCCAGCCTCGCTCTACATCACCAAAAAACCACTCACGAGCCCCAGAGAAAGTAGCCAGCGGCCGCGCCGTATCCGACCGCATACAGGGGCGAAATGTCCGCCCTCGACCCGCCGTTTTCGCGAATGTGCCTCTGGACGAGCCACTCGTACGCCGCGAAATAGCAGCCGTATCCGATACCGTCACGGAACATGGTGGGCACCTGGCCCTTGAACAGGCCCGGCAGGCCGTTCGACTTGATGAGCTGGGCGGCGCAGTCGAGCGGGCCCGAGTAGAGCTTGGCGTTGGCCGGCTGCGTCTGCAGGCGGATACGGATGTGCTCGACGGGGCCGGCGACGACCGTGTTGGCCAGACCGCCGATGGCGCCCGAGGCGTACAGCTCGGCTGTGGGGGTTAGCCAGGGGGGGGGGGGGGTAGGGAGGGAGGTAGGAGGGAGGCACGGGGGTAGGAGTCGAGGAGGACTATGAGCTTGCGACCGCCTAGACCGTAGCTCCCCTCCTCGACTTGTTCACGGTGATTGCGGGGGTGGAGATGTATCAAGGTGCAGCCGTCGAGCTCAACGACAACGGACAGGAGGAGCTCGATACCTTGGCCAAGACCTCGAACCTCATCGCCACACCAGCATCGGCCGCTGCACGCCCTCCCTAACCGTGACGCCAGAGGACTCACGGAGACCAAGCTCCTTGCCGCCATTGCGCTCCGAGAAGAAGCGCTTCGACCACTCGAGCGCGCCAAACTGGATCGAGACACAGGCACCTGGAGAACGGGCAGTCAGTACATCTAGGCATACCTTTGGGGAGGCCCGACACTGGTCGTCGGCTGCTTGCGTCACGTACGCTACGGCAGCCCCCGGCGTCTGTCTGGGCCTGCTGCTGCTACTCACCGATACCGAGGAGCGGGGTCAGAGTGCCCTACGCGCGTTAGCCCCAAAGCTCGACGTCCCATCGTTATCGCGTATCGTGTGTGCCCCATCAGGGAGGTGGGCGACGGCCCTCGAGTGATGGGCATGGACCCATTCGTGGCTTTCGGCTCGAGCAGCAGCAAGGCCACTGGGGGTGGTGCACCATGTATCGCAGGCTCCCCCGCCCGCGTCCGTCCACGACACGCAAACCGACAGACCGGAATTCTGCTCACCTTGTAAAAGCCCATCGGGCCCTCGTTCTTGAGCAGTGTGCTGGCGCATTCGAGCGGGGAGGCAAACGTGCCCGGAGCGGCGGTCTGGATGCGGACCTTGACAATGTCAAAGGGCTGCGGTGGTCAGCTGGGCTCGTACGGAACAGCTCTGGCACTGTAAAGAGAGCTGATGAAAGAGTGCCAGGGACGCGCTGCTCCATGAGTATTCCTGGGAGAGGTCTGGAGGGCAGGGTGGCCCAGAGCACGAAGCATGGCAGCAACGCGCTCGATCAAACCCCTCGACACCGATTCGCCTACGCCCAGCCCTACTCACCTGTCCAACGAGCACCTGCGCGACACCGCCGACCGACCCGCCCACCAGGTCCTTTTGCGACTGTGAGAGCCCCATGACCTCCGTTAAGCCGTGGGTGCGTGGGGGTTGAAAAAAAGAGTGGTGTGGTGTGTGGTGTGGAAGAAAAGAAAGGAAAGAGAGAGAGAACGCGGAGGGCCCGTTGACGACCGCGAGGCACTGCCGACTCACTTTTGACGCTGCCTGATCCCTTGGATATTGACAGATGCCGGCCGGGTCTCGGCGTGTCCGCGCCGGGGGGAGATAAGGAATGGAAATATCCTTTGGTCCTAAATGGAAAACAACCGGGTGGGCGTTGGAAAATACAGAAGCCGAGATGCCAGCGCCGCAGCGTACGTAGAGCTGGGGCACGCTGGGGACGCAGGTCAAGTCATGCATGGCCATGGTACAACAGAACAGCTCCCGGCATATGCTCATACACAATGATACATGTCTAGAGGACGTCCGCTGAACTCGGTATCTACGTATCTGCCGGCCGCACACTTGCGCCGCTGCCTCCTCTCCCTCTCTCTCCCTCTCTGTCTCGCGGCATATTCCGTACAAGAAACGCACAGACACCTACACCCTACGCAGGCGGCTGCGACGGACCGAGGAGGTCGGGCGCCCACGCCTCCCTCAGCCAGGCATTATGCGGCTGTGCGGCGGTGGTGGCCTGGTTCTGGCTCTGGTTCTGGCTCTGGTTTTGGCTCTGGCTCTGGTCCGGGTTCTGCCCGTTGCCTGGTCCCGGCAGAACATGTGACATGGGCTCCACCACCTGCAGGCCCGCACACCCCATGGCCGTGGCGTCGAAGATGAACTCGGGGAACATGGTGTTCGGGTCGGCAGCGACGCTGCCCATGCCGCCGCTCGGGTCGAGACCGGCAGACTCGGACGGCGCAGTGCTCGTGTGCGACGGCTGGGAGCGGGTGAGCGCTGGCGGGGGCTCGTGGCTGTGGCCGTTGCTGTTGCCGTGGCTGATGGACGGGGCGGGCGGGTCCGAGGTCGCGCCGCCCTGGCGCGCCTGCTGGGTCAGGAGGGCCTGGAGGATACGGTCGACGTCGGAGGGGTTGAGGGGCTTGGACAGGTCGATGATGTCCGGGTTGACAACCGCCTGCAGAGGAGGGGCAGGAGGCTCGACTGGCAGAGCCGGGGCTGGCACCGGGGGAGCCGCGGCGGGGGCGGGGGCCTGTTCGCCGTGCGAGCTCGTACGCGACGGCGCACGCACGTCGGGAGGCAGGTGCGATATCTGGCGCGGGAACGTGGTGCCAAAGCCCTCAAAGTAATGCAAGTTGCTGTCCGTCTGGAAAAAGTCGTCTCCCGGGGTCGGTCCCTGCAGCTGCTGGGGTGGTGTCTGGGTAGCCGAGACGTGCGCGGACGACGACGATGCAGCGCCAGTCTGGGACATGGGCGGCATGGGACCGAGGGGGTTCATGAGATGACGAGTATCCTCATAGGAGGCGTAGTACATCTTGCTGGGATCCGGCTGTTCCGCAGCGGTCAAGTCGCCCCCGGCGGTGCCAGCCTGCATTGACAGGAGATAGTTGTTAAACTCGGGATCCGTGTGGGCATCGGCGCGGTTGAACATGCCCTGCTGCGCAAGGGCGCCAGCAATGAGTTCCTGGATATCGCCCATTGACGACTCAAAGTCGGCCGCGCGGGGGGTCTGGACTGTCGTGGGCTGGAGGTTGAGGAGGGAAATGTCAGGAGGGGCGGTGGAGGTGGAGGCGGATGTGGACGACATGGCCTGCTCGATGGAGAATGCCGACGCCTCACCGTCCGAGGGGAGGAGGGAATTGAGGTAGGCCATAAAGTCGACGTCGGACGCTGCCAACGCTGTGGCAATGTCGTCGACGCCAATGGCCATACCACCGTCGGTGCCTCCCGCCTCTGAGCCCTGGAGCGCATCGGGGACTTGGAGGTGGTCCGAGGGACCGGGGAGGGCGACGGGGTTTAGCGAGGGGCTGCTGTTGAGCGACGCCTGGGATGACGCCGAGCCGCGGTGGACGGGGCTCGGCTGGCGGCTGCTGTTGGACGCCGAGCGGGGAGGGGCAAGACGACCAGCGCTTGTGATGGGTTTGGGGAGGATGGGGCGAGGGTGGTTGGGATGCAGGGCCAACGACTTGGATGCCGACTTGGATCCAAGCGATGTCGCCCTCTGGAGCGCGCCTGTGGCCGACTGCTGGCCAGAAACAGACACACGGCGCGACAGGCTGCCGTTGGATGCTTCTTTGGCACGCGACACGGACGCCGCACGGCGAACGCCGCTTGCGGGCCCATTGGGCGGCGTGGTCGTGGCAAGACCCGCTGTCGAGGGCGTACTGCCTGCCGGAGAAGGTAGGCGCTGCTGGGATCCAGTAGGCGACAGGGCTGCCGGGGACGCGGATTGAGCCGACAGAAGCTGGGCGCTCGCTGGCACAGCGGCAGCAGCGGCAGCTGGCGCCGCACTCGAGCCACAACATCCGCCAGACGCCTTCTGCGGCGGTTCGAGCGGCTCGTCGTCGGCCATGAGCGTGTCGCCGTCGTCATCGCACAGACAGCGGACACAGCATCCACAGCACTCGTTCTCGCACTTGCATTGGCCTGGAGCACACTGGCACCGGCCATTACAGCACTCCAGCGGCTTCAGCTTCACCAAGCCGAATGCGCGAGCGGCGTCTTCGGACATTTGTGCCACCGAGGGAATGACAGTCGTGTCGTGTGGGTTGAGCTCGGAAGCCACACGAGCGTGAGGCGGGTTGGGAGGCACCTTGGACGCAGCGAGCTGGATAAGGTGCTCGATGGACATGACACCCGACGGGATCGACAGATGGTCACCGCAGTCGAAGCAGCTCTTACAGCTGTCGCCGCACTCGTGCGAGTGGTCCCCCTTGGGTGACGATGTGGACGAGGCCAGGTTACCGTGTGTGGCGCACCCGGGGCACTCGCACCCGTCGCCACACGTACATGCCCCAATGACCACGTCCTCGGCGGTCGGGAACGAGACAGGCCCGTCGACATCCATCTCCATGGGCTCGACCTTTGCGCCGCCGTTGGACGCCATGGTGTCAAACGTGTGGATGCCAGGAAGCCCCAGGGCTGACCGTGGGATCTCGCTGGCCACCGACCCGTCTTCCTTGAACACGGCGCCGAGGAACTTGTTCATGTCGGCAAGGGGCCGGATACGCGGTGGCGGCGGGCGCGGGGACGCACTCGACGTCGAGCCCGACCAACCGTAGCTGTGGGTCGACGACACCGACTCGCTGCGAGCCTTGACGGCGTGGCGCGGAGTAGAGCTGCCATTGGTCGCGTAGGGCGAGTAGAGCTTGGCCTTGTGGACGTGCGGGGACGTGTGTGCCGGGCGGTGGCGGTTGTCAGGTGATGCCAATGTGGTGCTCGTCATTGCCAGGTTGAGGCTACGCAGCGACGAGAAGGGGGCAGTGGGCTGCTGGGGGGTGGAAGACCCCGATCCCGAGGTACCGCCCTCGGACGGGGTCGTCGTCGTCGCCTTGGTCTTGAACATTTCAATCAGGCTGTCGGTCACCTGGACGTGGGTGTCGATACGTGATGGCGTGTTGCTCTGTGCCGGTGACTGGCGCCCACGCTCGCGCTTGGGCTGGCAGCACTTGCACTTGCCTGTGGTCGAGCAGTGGCACGGGTTGAGGAGGTTCTGCAGCTTACGCTCGGCTGCCTGTCCGCTCTCGCCACCCAAGCCCGTAAGCGCTTGGGCGGCCGCTGCCATTTCGTGCACGTCCCTCAGGCCATTCGGGAATGTTGGGGTGGAGCCAGGCATGCCCTTCTTGGTCTCCACCTCGGGAGTCGGCAAGGGATGCGCAGGAGCGACGGCCGCTGGCATGACGGTGGTGCTCGCCGGTGGCGCCTGGACCGGCGCAGCGGACGGGGGTGGTATGGAAGGCGGGGCATTGGGAACTGTAGATGACGACGAGGACGCAGCCGCGTTGAGGATGATGGACGTCGGGGGCGGCTGGTTCTTGATGTCACCACATGAGCACTGCCCGGATCAGCACATGATGCTCACTCCCTCGCTCTCGCGCTCGTCAGGCAGCCCGAAAAACGCCCACACAAAGTAAGCGAAGACACCGTTGAAGCGTGGCGGTGTGCGGCGCGGCTCCAACGGCCCCGCCAGCGCCCGCTCTTGCCAACTGATCCCACACGCACGAGGCGCACATCGTTACCCACCTTGTTGTGGACGCTGCCAGTGCTAGCGCCGCCTTTGCGCTTCTCGCGACAGAACTGGCACTGCGTCGCCGGCCGGCCCTTCTTCTTGACTTCAAAGAGCGGTCGGTCGGTGTGCGTGCAGCCCGAGACACGGTGGCCCTTGATACATGTCGCGCAAGCGTACTTCTTGTCGTTAATAAGCACCATGGTGGGCTACAGGTAGGGGGCAAGGATGGAGTTGGAGAGGTGTGCGAGCCGCCCGGAGCCGTTGCCGGGTCGCAACGGCGGCGGCGGGGGGTGAAAGGTGGAGGAGAGTCGGAGAGGGGGAAAGGCCTTTGAGAAGACGGAAAGGCAGGTGCTGAAACGGTAGGGCGGATGGGAGTGCGACCGTGTGGAATGCGGGTGTGCGAGATGAGATGGACGGTGTGCGCACGCGTCGAGCCCGCGACCAGAGGGAGGATGTTGGGGGAGGCGAGGCCGCTGTCGTGCACAAGGCAGCAACTGAAAAGTATGACCAAGGCGGGTGGGGGTTTGCTCGCAAGAAGCAAAGGGCCTAGCAAACCCTTAGCGTGGGACGGGAGAGACGTTTGCAGTAGTGACGATGGTGATGGTGAGGAGTGTGGGGGCTCGACGATGACCCCAAGGGGTCTTTGCCGGCCGTGTGAGCGCGTGTTACTGCCTTTTGGGAAGGCAAAGCATCAAGTGCTGGGCGGAGGATGATGGGTGTGGAAGAAAGAAAGGAAACAAGGTCAAGGCGGTGGATGTGATGGAACGGTGTAATGACGCTGGGCGGGCCAGGCGGCGCGGGGTGGGGGAGAAAGGGACTGGGGTGGCGGCGAGCGCGCTCGTGCACATGGGAGACGGTGTGTGTCGCACCAAAAAGGTTTGGAGATGTGCTCGGCTCTTTGCATCGTCCACATTCTTGCCTAGGTGCCCGCCTCTGGCTCCGTCCATTGCACGCGTGCAGCCAGCTGCTGGCTACGGATGTCCTTTGCGTACCCGTGTACCAGCGTGCAGCACAAGAAACACATGCGGGCGGCGACATGCGCCAGCCAGGAGTAGCCCTTGTTCCTCCTTTTTCCCCCCTGTTTTTCATCTCCCTCCCTGCGGTGGGCAGCGAGCGTCTCCCATGCGTCTCACCCATTCGACATGGCATACCTGGCGTTTGCTCCCGCCACGCCGAAAATGGCTCTGGCAGCGCTCTGGCTTACGCTTTGTCAGGCAGTTGACGCGAAAAGGTCTCACATCGCAGAGGCGCGGCATACTCTCCCACGGTCAGTCACAGTCCTTGCGTCATGGCATCTATACACCCCCTCTCGGCTGGCCACAATGAACATCCAGTCTACCAGAAAAGAAATCACAAACGAACACCTCCAAGAAGATAAATAGAGAACATCCTAGAGGACAATACGCACACCCATGCCATGGGCGTCCAGCACGCCGTCCAGCCCCGCCATGAGGTGCGCAACGTCCACCATCGTCAGGCCCTTTTGCCAGGCCACCGCGCCAAACTGGGCATGCGACGCAATCTCGCCGCACGCCTGCACGCTCGCGTTGCACAGTGCGTCTAGGGTCGCGCGCGACACGGTGATGATCTTGGGCGGGGCGCCCGCCGGCGTCGCACTGTCGGGCTGGGTGAACAGGTCCGGCTGGCGGCCGACCCACCAGTCGCCCGTGGCGTGGCGCAGCTCGTCCCCGCCCGGCAGCTTGTCAGGCTGGACGATGCCCAAATGCAGGAGCAGGTCGATGGGGAGCGGGAGGGGCGAGATGTTGGCCAGGCCGGCGGAAGGGGGGAGCGGGATGGTGGGCGTGCTGGGGAAGCGGTGGGCGAGGTCTTGCAGGAGCATGAGCGGCGCAGCGGGGAGGACTGGGAGTGTCAGTGGGGGAGGGCAGCTATTGACTAAACGCAGCCAAGCAGATGCTCACCTTGGCCCTTGGGATCGGGGTACGGGTCTGCAAGGAGCGGCATGAGCGTGACCACCTGGATGGTTAGCAACTGGATAGAGCTCTGGCTAACGTACGCGATGGCAAAAGTCCTGGGCAAACGCCAGCGCCTGGTCGACGTCCTGCGCCGTGTGCTCCTTCTCCACCGTGAGCAGCGCCAGGACCTCTTCGCCAATACACGACGCGTCGATCGAGTACCCGAGGTCGTGGAAGAGGGTGACAACGTCCGCAACCACGGCGACGGCGGGCGCCGACCGCTCGCCGACCTTGATGGGGAGCGTCTCGTGCTGGCGCTCCTTGAGAATCTCAATGTCAAACAGGTCAGCCACCTTGGCCTCGTTCAGCAGGTCCTCGCGCCAAGCCTTGGCGGAGAGGAGGTTGTCATTGTCCCACCCCGTCTCCGACGCGAGGAACATGCCCAGCGCGCCGCGCAGCGCCGTGTCCGACGGTGTGGTGTCTGCCTCGGCAAAGTAGCGGCGGTGCTGAGGCTGCGAGAACAACGTGTGGAGCAGGTGCAGGACTGTCAGGAGGTTGACGCAGTGGAGGTCGGATGGGAACGAGAGGGGGAGCGTCGTCGGCAGATGCGTGCTGGGCGCCGCCTTGAGTGCGACCTCTGGCAGCGAGGCGAGGAACGCTTGAATGGCCGTCGCCGAGAGGTCGACCGCGTCGGCATCGACAGTGTTTGACTGTGTGGCCATGACTGGGGGTTGGTGAGAGGGTGAGTGGAAGGAAAGTGACAGACGGTGAGATGGCCGGCGATCCGGCGCGAGTGAGACAAAGTAAACGAAGCCCCGCCCGGGACTCTGCACCGTGGGTGTGTGTGTGTGCATTGTGCGGCGGTGGAGGCAGGCGCAATGACGCAAAGGCGGCGCCTGGGGGCTTGTTTTTGCGGAGAGGGGGTGGGTCTCCGCGTCACGCTCGTGTTGGGAATAGAAATTTTAAATACACGTCAAATACAGTTCAAATGCCAGAGGCACGCCGAATATCTCGACTGTTAAAACAGTCGTTGTTCTTATGGACGGAGGCTTTTTCAAAGATCAAAGAAACGCACTACGGATTTTGGGAGAAGTGGTAGCAAAGTCGTAGTGTGTTTCGTCTCCAAATACCTAATTAACCCAATTTAACCTAATGAACCCTAATGTGCGGATAGCCTCTTCATTGAGAAGAAGCGGTGCTACAGCTCTGTTCGTAGGCTCCTGGAAGAGGTACCACACGTACATTGGCGGCGCAAGCCGATAGCTAAGCCGCTGGCCGCCAGACAGGTGACCGCTCTGAGCCAGTTCACCTTTATCTATGACTCCCACCTTTTGAGGTATGGGCGCAAGCAAGCGGGAGGGAAAATACACGCCTGGTAGCGAGCGAAGAACGGGACAGGCCCGAGTTACGAATGTCAGGCTGAGGTTCTGGCCCTCGCCAGTGGTCGCATGGCTGACGTCCGTTACGGTGCCTCGTTTGTCGAGAGCTCGGGTCGCGGGTCCAGTCCTGACATATTGTAGCACCCTCTGTTCTGTGCTTCTTCGTCAGGAAGCCATATGTCCAAGGGTCATGGTGCAGCATCCAGGCCCTCCCTTGTGCCCGGGGAACCTCGCAATGCCGCATCCAGCACTGGACGTGGGCTCGCTTCTGGACTCTGGACTTCAGTTTTGCCAGTCCATCTCAATCCTGCTCTCGGGCCACAGCAAGAAACAGGGCCAGGGGAAAGGGAAAGGTCCATGGGAAAGCCTTGTCGAAGCATCCCCCGACGACAGCAGCTTACAACGACGAGGTTACGACAGCGTTGGGTCGAGACCGGCGGACGTCTAAATATGAGTCAGGAGGAGGTCGAGAGGTCATTCTTAAGCGAATAGCACGCAGTAGTCGTGGACCATGCAGCTCACTGGTCGCTCGCTCCAGTCGTTCAGTCCGTATCCCGGTGTCTGTGTCGTGCTGGGCAACATGTCTATGGATAGACAGGAACATGCTGGGCATTGCCCACCTCAATCAACTTTCGACCTTTCGGAATCTTGATATCTTGGCGTTTGGTGGGAGGAGACTGGGAGGTGGGCGAGGTGGTGGGGATCGTTTAGCACCACACCAGCACATATGGATCTCTGTGTGTCCGGGTAGTGAGAGGCACTTCCTCATTCTGGCAGTTGGGGCGACGGGATCGCTTCGAGAATGGTTAGAGTGTACCGGTTACCGATACGTTGACGCATTATCCCAGTCTAAGTCTAATATCGACGCTGGTTGCATAGTTCGTCGGTCATCAGTGCTGGTAACGCAGTGCTTGACCTTCAGCGTGGCTGATTTGATTTGCTGGTGGAGAGGTGGAGACAATGACAAACCAACAGGGGCATGATTTTGTTCGATTATTGGTGTTTTATTCACCGCCACGCACTCAACTGCACATGCGCCCCCTCTGGCGCACCCGCGGACGACTCCACACGCTCTTGACATGTCCCCAACCCCCGTCCTCTAAGATGTACACATATGCATAGTACACTCTCCTCGATCTAATCAACTAATCAAACACAGGATCCTCGTGGCAGTGCAGCGAGCGCAGATAGGTGACCCTTGGAGGGTCGATGAAAAAATAGCGAACCTTCTCAGCAATCTCCCCCGGGTAAACGTCTTTCCTCTTCTCCCGCTCTCCAATGCTGTCCCTCAGCTGCTCGACGAGTGACTGCAGCTGGACGTTTTGCGGGTTTTGCAAAACGTTCTTGATCTGGTGGCTCCATCCGGGCAGGGCGGTGAATTTCGAGTCGTAGGTCATAAAGCTGAACACGGGCCAGTGCATTGCCCGCGCCACTCCGCTGACCAAGTCGTACCACAAGTTGACGTCGTCTTGATGGAACTGCTTTTTGATCTCGGCACGAAGAGCCGGGCTCGGGTCGTAGGGCGGTTGCACCTCGGCTTGCTTGTCCTGGGTGGCGGCCCTGTTGCGGAGCGACACCTTGGGCATACCGCTCAGCGCGAGGCAGTCGTCTTCCATCGTCACGCCGGCCGTGCTGCAAAGAACAATGACGGCGTTACAGGCCGTATCCTTGAACAGGTTGATGTCGTGTGCAGTGGGACGGCAGTACACAGGATAGCCGTTGGGCGAAGGGACGAGGATTGGTACCAGTTCGGGGTCGCTGGGTGGGGAGCCGAGGTCCAGGTTGGGAATGCTCCCACTGTCCGCCTCTCCCAGCACAAGCACGTTGAAGCGGTGAACAATTTCGTTGACGAGGGCCCTCGCAATCTCCTGCCGCCGAGTGTACCGTGCAGTGACCCGGTCAAAGAAGACGCCCGCGACCGTGTCGGTCACTTTGCTGACAGCACCGCCGACTTCAGAGGGTCCTGGGATAAAGCCCGAGGCGGTCGAGACACCGGTCGAGACGAGGCTGATGACGGCGGCGATGGCTGCCGTTTTGTTGGCGTCAGAGCGAGTCGTGTCATTCATGACATCGGTCGTGGCGTTGATAATGGCTGCATACACCACTCCGACTTCAAAGCCCAGCTGTCGGACGTCGGCTGTGACGTTGTCAACGACAGTACCTCCCTTGCTTGGGTCATCCTTGAATAGTTCCACCAGTTTATCGACAGTGAGCGCGCTGAACCTGTTGGGCGACGGATCGTGAAGAAGGTACGCCACCATCAGGTCGTGGCATGCTTGGACACTGTCAAAGTGGGTAAACATGGAGCGGGCTGCACCGCCGTGGTTGGTATCGTAGCGTTGGCGGTACCCGTAGTTTCCAAACATGTCCGGGCCATAGCCCTTGCTGACAAACGAGCTGGCGGGAGGAATGATGAGGTTGTATTCAGACTGCAACCAGCGCTTGAGTCTCCTCAGGCCGACAAGCGGCAACAGGCCATGGTCTCGAATCGCACGTGCCAGAGTCTTGTTCAAGTATCGCCAGTACTCTGGTGACGCCTCGTCACGAATACACATGATGAGGAACATTGCCGTGGGGGCGTCGAGCTCGAGGTTGTCCCATCTACGGGCAAGCGCCGGGTCGTCATAGTTGAGGCTGGCGCGCTTGATTGTGACGCGGTGGCGGGCCAGGCAAAGCATGAACTGGTTGACAGACTCTGACGAGGCCCGGCGCTCCTCCTGGTCAAAGGGGCGGTCTTCGATGGGCAGAGCGTGAAGCAAGTTGACGGAAATCTTGGCCACGTTTGGTGGCGCGTTGAGAAATCTACGAACCTTGTCGGCGTCGGCCTTGACCGCCAGCTGTCGCTCGGGGTCGATCTCGATCACCGCGTTGACCAACTCAATGTATTCTCCTCGCGAGCCAGTGATATAGTTGTCCGCCGCAGGCGCGTCGCGTTGCAGCAGCCGCTTGTGCTTACCCGTCTTGATGCTGTTGCGCTCGTCGGGAGTCAATTTGCCCTGCGAGTCTCCCCAATAGTCCACGTTACCCCACGTCTCATGGAACCTCACGAGCGCGGCCTCCCTCTCGCCCACCAGTTTGCCCTTGGTTCGACTCCAGAACGATGGTTGTTGAGGTTTACCGGGATCATACTCTACTGCGATAGCTCGCATGGCCAGGAGCGGTTGTGGGGCGTAAGTCGCAAAGGGCGACGAGGCCGGTTCAGTCTTGATGGGGTACAGCTGACCGGGAAGCTCTTCACCGTAGAATGACCACACGCCGAGCCGCTGCTGGCCCCTGTAAACGTTCCATTCGTGGAGAAGTCCGTGGAGCCGTTTCTGTTCCGCTGGTGGTTATCAGCACACGGGCCGTCGTCGTCGTCGTCGTCGTCGTCGTCGCTGAGACGGAGAGCGCCAGAGCACCAGAGCTCACGTGTACACAAGCGCGAACGGTCTTCCCAGGGGATCATGATTTTGGGCATACGCTCTTGAGGGTGCTTGGGAGTCTTTACAGCTTGATTCTTCTTGCTGGACTGAGCAGCCTTCCTGGCGCTCTTGCGTGCATTCTCGCCTTGGATGGGTGAGCTTTGTTGTCTGTGAACAAGGAGCATGCGGGGCCAGCGACAACTTACGGATCTGGTCTGGGATGATATCCGCATCGAACAAATCCTCGGGGGGTCCCCACTCATCGCGAGGGATCCAGTCCATGATGGCGGTAGTGAGTTTGGTGGTGGTGGTGGTGACGGTGGATGGAACACATGAGGTGGTGAGTTGACAGAATGGGCTCGCGCTCTGGCCATCTGGAGAGGGAGGGGGTGGTCACTGATCAGCAGAGCACGGGTCCGTGCGTGAGTCAACACCAAGCCTTCTAGAAAGGCTGTCGCCATCGTGCACCATGCCGCAAGTAGACGCCGATGAGCTGGAGCAGTCCATCAGTGCAGTATACAGCTCCAAGGTTGTGCAAGTCCGTGATCAGTGTTCTGGCGACGACTGAAACTGCCACATACCAGCTGTTACACCACACCGGCCACACCGCCGGCCACACGTCACCTCCCACCGCTGTGTCCGTTCCTTGCGGGTGTGGCGGTGTTGGTGTTAACGTGGGCGGAGCGCCCGGGTCGCCGCCAATCCGACTCGACGGTGCGGGTTTAAGGTGCAGAGCGTTACATTAAGAACCACAATGGCGGATATGGACATGTATGGGCGGCCATGAGGCGTGGGGGGTTGTGCTAAAGAACTATATAAAAACGAAAAAAGTGTCCTGTTCGTCTATTCGGGCAAGGGGTGGGAATAGAGGTGGGGGGTGTGGATGGGAAGGGGAGGGGGTGTAGTTTGTGTCATTGGTGAGGTCGTACGCGTATACGCGAGGCGTTGTGAGGGGGGGAGAGGGGGGATGGGAGCGCCATGAGGCGATGAGTGTCCGTTGTTTGGTTTGGGATGGTGCGGTGCAGAGTGGCGCACAGGCGATGACATGGCGAGCCACGGTGAGATGGCAGCTCGGCTTGCTCGGCAACGAGGACTCTGGAGTCTGCAGCTCTCTAGACGTAGCCCGCCTTTGCATGCGAGGTCCACGCCGGGGCACGGTGGAGGGAGCCGTTGGGAGAACCGTTGGGCGACCCGTGCGGCGAGCTGTGCAGCGAGTCGGGCGGCGACAGCAGCAGCTCCTCGGGCGTGCCGGGGGTGCGGGGCGAGTCGGACGCGGACAGAGGAGGAGTGTGCTCGTCATAGCTGTCGGGGTACGTGTCATAGTCGTAGCCGCTGTGGTCCGTGTATGCAGATCCCTGGCCCGAGCTGCGTGCGGAGCTTGGAGACGACTCGTCCCACGCAATGGCTAGCTCGGGGGGAGCGAGGCCGCGACGGTGGCCTAGGTGGTGAGCGGCATGGTCGTGACCGTGTCCGTGACCATGTCCGTGTCCGTGACTGTGGCCGTGGTGGTAGCGCGGCTCCGAGACGACACGGCGGCTGTGCTGTGGACGAGGCGCACCGATACCAAGCAGGCTGGTGGTGCGCGGAGGTCGCTGAGCTTCCTCTGTGATCGACGGCAAGCGAGGCGAGCTGTGGTTGCTGGAGATGCAGTCAGCACACACGTTCCGTGTTCATTTCAATCTCTACGCGTCGACGCCAACGACCGCAGCAGTGCACGTACCGGACGACAGGCGAAGCAGATGAAGGCGTCTTGGGCGATCGTTTGCGATCGCTGCTACGAGGTTTCTCCTCAACCCTGCGGGAACGTCAGAAAATTGGACCCGGCGGGTCAACAACGTTCGCCCTCGGCCCTCGACGTACCATGTGAGCTCGCCGTACATGCCGACCTGGACGCGGCGGCGGGGCCGCGACGATGAGGCTGTGGGAGGCTCAACGACCATGGGAGGCAGGCGGCCGGGGGTATAGGCGTCGAGAACGAGAGAGCCGCAGGCGCAACCAGGCTTGTCGCACCGGGACGCCATGACGTGAGGGAGGAGCGAGGTTTTAGTGGGCGACAAAGGAACGAGTGGGAGTCGAGGACGCGGCGACGCCGAGTCCAGTCGATTTTTGCAGAGCTGAGAACGAGCTAGAGAGTGGGATGGGGAGGAGAACAATGCTGAGGCGAGAAAGAGGGGACTGTGGATTTTGTGGTGGTGGAGAAAGGATGCACGAGGTGGACGGTGGGTGGGGGTCGTCTCAAATGTAAGGATAGGTTTAATAACAGATGACACACCCTGTGAAGTCTCGTTTGTGGGCTGTGTGCGACGAGCGAGTGGGGGCCTGGCGGACAAAAGTAGAGGGAGGCAGAGCTCCCCTGGGCTGGCGTGTTAGCGTCTGTCCGCCGATCCGATGCGTCTGGGACAGCACGCCGTAAACGGTGTCGCTTGTCCTTGGATCCTGGGCTCTCATGCTCTGGCCCCTCTCTCGCTCGCCTTGTTGGCTCGGAAAGGCGTCTTTTCGGTCTCGGACGCCCGCCCAACACCTTGGGCCAGAACTATGATGCTGCCCTCTCTCCCCCCGCGCTCTGCCCTTGACTCCTTGACTCGTTGTTGCGTCATGAGCCACGGCACACCCACCCAGGCCGGGAGCTCACACACTCTATTTTCTCGCCGCCGCCGCCGCCCCCTGACGCACTCTTTCTGGCATTTTGTATCAAACGGTCCCAACCGCAACAGGCGGGCACACCACCCCACGCCCGGATGTAAAACTGCCCAGATCAGACACAACAACGACAACGCAGGTCTCCCGGACGCTACGCCGTGGCTATTTATCGGCGCTTTTTAACTCTTTTGGGCAGGCAGCTGCCAGGCAGCTGGCAGGCGGCAGCGACCGCAGCGCGAGATCGAGACAAACGTGTGAGCTTACTTTGTTGTTGCTCCGTGATCTGCGAGCTTGTCGAGGCAGCAAGCTCGCGGGCCATGTCAGACTGACACCTCCCCTTATAGACGTTACTCTGCTCCCCCCCCCCCCCCCCCCCCTGCATAGACACAGCTGTATCTGGACGACGGAAAACAGATGAGGGGTTGTGGGTTAAAAGGGACGGGCCTGGGGGGGGGAAAGGGTCGCCCTCGACGCCATCCAACGGCCAACAAACACAACCCCTCGGCGCCTTTCGGCACAGCATCCTGCACATTGCTCGTGCTTTTGCCCCTCTGAACGTTCCGGGAATGCACCGCGTCCCAGAGCTGAAGGGAGAGCGCGCTATGCACAGTGGTGTGTAGTTTTTAATAGCATTTTTAGCACACCTTCATATATCACGTCAGGCGAGACTAATGGGAGATTGGCAGGGTTTTATTAAACCGGCTTTTTTGAATGGGGGTCTTTTGCCACCTGTGGCAGATCACACTTTGCCATTCATCCGACGCACACCGCCGTGACGCATCAGTGACGCCATGAGAGAGAGAGAGTTGCGACCGCCCCCCCACCCCCGCGCCGCGCCCCCCGTGGCTCACCCATCCCATCCATCCATCCATCTCCCAAACCCTCTTTGCCCCTTCGTTAAACACGACACGGCAATGTGGTCCTCTCCATTGCGCGCGGTGACGTGGCTCCTGGGCGCGCTGGGCGAACGAGAACGAGACCAAGATCATCAACAACAACAACAACCACAACAGCGGCAGCAGCAGCGAGATCGAACCCAAGATCCCCGATCTGCACAGGTTCACCTGCACGCTCCCTTCCATCCCGATGCACCCGTCCACAACAACTGGCAGACCCCTTCAGCATCAGCATCCTCATCTGGGCCCGGGTCCGCGCACGCATGGGCCCTCGCGCGCGACCGCGCCGCCGAGCTCGTTGCGCAGATGACGCTCGCGGAAAAGGTCAACATGACATCGGGCGTGCAGGGCCCCTGTCAGGCCAACGCGGGCAGCGTGCCGCGTCTGGGCATTCCGAGTTTCTGCTACAACGATGGTCGTGAGCACAACAATCGTGTTTCTCCCTTCTCGCATGCCGTTGTTCTGGGGCCATGCCGATCCTAGCGATCCTCCGCTGGTTCTGTCCCCCAACCAACCCTCAACCCCCCGTCGCCCCCCTCCGAGACCGTGTTGACAATTCTCTCTGCAATTGAACTGATGTCTGACGCACAGCCGCCGGCCTGCGGTACACCGACTTTGTGACGCAGTGGCCGTCACAGTTCACAAGCGTGATGAGTTTTGACCGCCAGCTGGTGTGGGAACTGGAGCAACGGATTGCGGGCGAGTTTGTGGCCAAGGGCGTCAACGTCGAGCTGGGCCCGGTGAGCACCATCCCATCAGTGCTACACACGGCGTTGTTGGGTCCGAGACTGACGCAGGCAGCTCACAGGTGGGCCACTGGGACGATCTCCATTCACTGGGCGGAACTGGGAAGGTATGTCTCGCACAGTGTCGTCACTGCCACTGCCACGCACACGGATTCGTGCTTATCGCAACAAAAAGCGTTCACACCGGACCCGTACCTCTCGTCGACGATGAGCTACATTGCCATTGCGGCCACGCAGTCCATGGGCCTCGTGGCGTGCGCAAAGCACTATTTCCTGTACGAGCAAGAACCCGTGTGCGACGGCCCCATCGATGATAACGGCGGTCGGTCGGAATGCGAGCAGGTGCATTCCATGGTGGACGACAAGACCATCAAAGAGCTGTACTTGCCTAGCTTTGCCGAGGCGGTGCGCGCCGGCGTCGGCGCCGTCATGTGCAGCTACAACCGCATCAACGACACGCCCTCGTGCCAGTCGCCCGAGTCGCTGAACCGCTTGCTCAAGGACGAGCTCAATTTCCAGGGCTACGTCCTGAGCGACTTTGGCGCCACGCACTCGACCGTCGAGAGCGTCAACGCCGGCATGGACCAGGAGTTGCCCAAGACGTACTATTTCGGCAGCAGGCTTACGAGGGCGGTAAAGAACGGGCTGGTCAAAGAGGCTCGGCTCGACGACATGGTGCGCCGTATCCTCACGCCATGGATCGCCATGGGCCAGGCAGACGGCTACACCACGCCGTCGTACCAGAAATGGGACCTGGCAGACGAAAAGTGGAAGAACGGGTTCGTGTACCGGAACGAGCACGTCGACGTGCGCCTGCCCGACAGCGCCGACTTTGCGCGGCGCGTGGCGGAGGAATCGCATGTCCTGCTCAAGAACGACGACGGCGTGCTCCCGCTCGACGACCGGACGCGGCGTATCGCCGTCTTTGGCCAGGACGCAGACTACCCGACGACGATTGCTGGGTGTGGCGGCGACCTGTTCTGCAAGGAAGGGTCCGGACGGCGGCACTGGAACGGGACGGTGACGATTGGCGGCGGGTCGGGCGCGGCGTTTGCGAGCTACATCGTGGCCCCCATTGAGGCGATAGCGCGGCGCGCGCGTGGCCGCAGCCTGCGCGTCGACCAGGTCCTCGCCGACGACGCGGCGCACTACCCTGCCATCGCGCACGTCGCGCGCGAGGTGCAAGTGTGTATCGTGTTTGTGTCCGTCTTCCAGGTCGAGGGCTGGGACCGCGCCACGCTGGGACTGGACCGCGATGGCGAGGCGCTCATCCAGCACGTGTCGGCCCACTGTGCCGGCGACGTCGTGGTGGTCATCCACGCCGGCGGGCAGGTGCTCGTCGAGGACTGGATCGACCTGCCGAATGTGAAAGCGGTGATCTTTGCCGGATACCCGGGCCAGGAGACCGGCGACGCCCTTGCCAACTTGCTGTGGGGCGACGTCAATCCCAGCGGCAAGCTCGCGTTCACAATGGGCAAGCGCGCAGACGACTGGCCGCCAAACGGGATCCTGCGCGATAAGCACAGCGACAGCCCGCCCCGCGTGTACTTTCACGAAGGTGTCGCGATCGACTACAAGTGGTTTGATCTGCACGGTATCGCCCCGCGATACCCGTTCGGCCACGGGCTGAGCTACACGACGTTCTCGCTGACCGACCTGCACGTCGGCGCGCTGCACATCCCAGACTCGGACACGGTGCAGCCCACAAACGAGGCGCACGTCGGCCCGCATGGCCTCTACGACACGCTCTACGTCGCGCACCTCACGGTCGCCAACACGGGCACGCGCGCCGGCGCCGCCGTCCCGCAGCTGTACATGAGCTTCCCGCCCAGCGAGCACGACCAGCCCCCGCGCCATCTGCGCGGCTACGCTAAACCGTACCTCGAGCCCGGCGAGGCGCAGGTCGTCGAGTTTGCGCTGCGCAAAAAGGACCTCGGCGTCTGGGACGTGCAGCGCCAGGTATGGCGCGTGCCCTCGGGCGTGTTCACGTTCCATGCCGGGACGAGTAGTCGGGACCTCGTCTTGACGGTGGACGTGGAGATTGAGTAGAGAAGAGAGAGAAAAGGGTGAGAGCGTCAGAAGAAGGTCACAAGTGCCAGAGCCAAAGAGGTGCGTGTAAACAGAGAAGAGCACAGCAAGGGTGTCCCCCTGCCAGTGCTATGCATGTATGTTCTAGGCCCAGACCTGGTCGGGCGACACGAGGATATCGCGCCCGTTGGCACGCACGTAGCGGCCCGCCTGCCTTCGTCAGCTTTGGGACCCTTCTGTTGTCGTGTCCTCCGAGCTCACCGTATCCTTGGGCATGGATTTACGCATGTCAAAGCCGTCCAGCTCGTCGCGCGAGCTGCCGACGCCCTCCATGCCGGTGTAGTAGCTGGCCGTTAGCGAGGAAGAGGACAACGGGCGGGCTGGACCTGCACGAGTCTCCCAGCCCATGACACCCCCACTCCTGTACTCACTCGACGACACGCCTGAACACGCTGTATCCCAGCTTCTCGTACATCTCCGTCGCGCGGTGGTTGTTACACCGCACGAACAGGTCGACGAAGAAGGCGTCGACGCAGTCGGTCCCGTCTGGCGCTTGTGGTGGCTCGTCTGCGTCTGGTGTGCTGTTACCATTTGCCCCTTCTGCCGGTGCGCCCTCTGCTGCTGCTGCTGCTGGCGGTGGTGGTGATAATGGTGATGGCGCAGGCCAGCCTGCAGACCCGTCCGACGACAGGCGTTCCAGCATGGCCATAAACACGCGCGCGAGGCCGAGGCCGCGCATCGCCGGCGAGATGGACAGCGCGGTCAGGTGGCCGTGGTGCTGCGGGTCCGGGGCTGGGGGTTCGTGCTTGGCGATCACTGCGAGGGGGGATGAGAGGGGGAGCAAGGAAGAGGAGGAGGACGGCGGCGGCGAAAGAAGACACCATGGTCAGCTCGTGCTGGCAAAACAACAGAACACAACACTCCACAGGACTCACTGTACGCGCCGACGCTGTCGCCAAACGCGGGCTGCGCGGCAATGCACCAGTCTGGCCACTGGGCGAGGTAGCTCGCATAGTATCCGTTGTGGTATGTGGCCGTCCACGGGTCGGCGTTGACGCTGTGGAAGCGGAGCACGTCTGTCGCGTCAAACGGGCGCAGGATGGACATGGCGGTATAGGTTGTGCCAGCGGGTGCGTGTTCCTCCGGCGAGAGAGCGAGAGAGAGCAAGCAAGCAAGTCCAAAGGGTGGGAGTGTTGGAGGAGAGGGGTGTTGGCGCGTGCAGAAGACGCCAGATGTACGCTTGCGTGTGTGTGTGCAGTGGAGTGGCCGGATCGAGGTGGGTGTGGGATGTGGGTCAGCTGCTGTCCTTTTGAGTGGGCGAGAAGGGTGGTCAGGTGAGAGGATGGATCCGAGATTTGGCCCACAAGGGTGGAGGTTGCAACGACCGTACAATGGGCACGACACGCAAACCAACGACCCCGGCGGCGGCGGCGGCGGTTGTCCCGTGGGCCCGTGATCCGTTATCCGTGAGGAACACCCGCGACATTTGGGCACAGTCACATGCACAACACCCCTCTCTCTGTGTTCTAGATCGAACACGGCGCGTGAAAAGTGATTCCCACAACAGGTGCACAGTTCAGTGGGTCCCACCAGTGGAACCATATACGCGAGGACCAACTACCGACCGGTCTCGTCTCGCATGACCTCGCAGCTGGTCACGCGCCATGCTCTGCATACGCTGTGCCCCGTGCCCCGTACTACCCCCGCCTGAGTGCCGGAGCATCATGGTACCATGGTGATATGGCGAGAACAGAAAAGAGTCAGTCATTGCAGCAACAAAATCGTATTAGAAACTAAAAGATCGTTTTGTAATTGGGGCCTTTATACAAACCCCTATTTGTGGCGGGTCATTTGTTTGTAATGGTCACGTGGTCAAGCGTCGATCCTCGCCTGCACCAAAACCTGAGAAACACATAGAGAGCGACGAAATGGACGAAAGCATTTCGTCTAGTGTGTTTCTCCAAAATCTCAGCCTGTTCTGTGACCTGGAGCACTCCACAGATGAGACTGGGGGACGGAACAAGCGTGCAAGGGGGCACTCCAGTGTAGCCGTGCCCATGGATACAGTGGTGTGTATGGATGAGGCCTGTGGCCGGCCGTGGCGGCGATCGATGGGGATGGGTTGTTTGGACGACAGCGAGATTGGATCGTCTCCGTCGTCTAGCGCAGTTCAATAATGCCCGGTGGCCAGTGGCCAGTGGCCAGTTGTCAGTCAGTGGCTTTGCAGGTGCCTCCTTCAGTCCATGACCGAGTTACGATACCACGTGCTGAACAATCGCCGTGGTCGCGCCGCGATTCCCAGCCCTTTGGCCCATTGACAAGTGATGCCAAACGCCAGCGTGGTCCTCGTGGCGTATCGTCGGCCTCATCCGGTCGGCACCGTATGTGCACGGTGTGGTCTGGCTTTCACGTTCGCACCAGACTGATATGGGGCGTGACTGCAGACTTTTCAAGGACTGTATCGCGGCCCAGCACGCGGTGCTGCGTGCCGGCGACATACGGTCGGGTCGTGGGTTTACGACCTTGCAGGCGTGTCATAGTGCTGCTGTCCAGCTGGACACAAATGTCATGAATGTCACCTTCAACCACAGATCAAAGCAAATGGTGCACCAGCTGGGCCCCGTACGGGGAAACGCAGTCTTGCACCTTGTGTCTCTCTATCCTGCATCTCGGTCCACATCCTGGCGGTTTTGTGGCTTGTGGCGGCCGGATATGGCGAGGAAATATCACGGTACACGGTCAGCCCTCTTCCCACCTTTTTGTCGGATGCCAAATTTCCGGCCACTACAAAGGTCACTTGCGCGTGGTCCAGGCAAAGCTGGACACTTGCGGTGCAGTGTGCGCAGGGAGGAGATGAGAGGTGCTTATTCAACTTTCCCACACAGGCTGACGGAGGACTTTTGCTATCTCCAAGTCCAGGCTCTCACCTCACAGAGTGCTTCAGGGATGCGGGTGTACGTTTCTGACGGTATTCCCCAACGTCCACCAGCCCTTGGAGGGAGGGTGGAGCACTTGTACTACTGTCGCTGCCCACTCCTGGCGCCCGGACGGCCGCCGACACGCCCATAATCTGTTCTGATATCCAGCGACGCAAGGGTGGTATCGGTCCCTGCGGGAGAGGCGACGAGCGCCACCACAAATGCCCGCCGCTGTGTCCCCCTCTGGGCGGCAAAACTGGCCTCGACTGGCCACGGCTATTGCCACGGGGAGGGAGGAGACGGCTTTACCGACCACGCTCCGCAACACACGACTGTTGTGGACGGTCCAGGCTCTCATGGCGATGAGTGTGCGCCATGTCGCCTGTGTCAAAGGTGTTGAGTCGAGTGGGAGGCCGATCCAGTCAAGTTCGGAACCGACCATGGTCTACGTTTCGTCCGCAGCATGTTGAGTCGTTCTGGAGGCACAGATGGAGGCTACAGATATCCTCACAAATAAGTACGCAGTTGCATGCTGTGCGCCGGTGCACCCATAAGGATATGGAGGATATGGCGGATATGGCGCCCTCCTGGTGGGGATGGAGAAAGGCCGGAGTAAAGTGACACCTGGAATCCACGTGGAATGACGACGTTACTGCCCGTACAACGGCTTTGGTTGTGACCCTCTTCAACTACAAACGGTTGTCTTGTTCGGTGTTCTCAAACAAGCCAGCTAGCTCCCGGCCCCTCACGCTCCGGCTCCGGCTCCAGAGGCATAACAATGCGGCGAGTCGAATTTTGTTCCCCCGACAAACATGGCGCCGATCTAGAGGATCTAACACTACTAGCGCTCCTTCGGGTTGTTTGTTTGTAATCTGTAGACATCGGCCTTTATGATAATGTGCCCCGATTCTGATGATCAAGCGCTTGTAACTGCGGGACGACTCACAAGCGTCAGGCGACCAACTTTTTTGGAAAGCAACGGGTTTGGGGTTTTGACCGACGGCCAGAGTCTGTTTCTGGCTGACGCTCCTTTCATTTCCTTCCGCCTGTACCTTCGGATTTTCCGAGCGGGCCCTGCTGCGAGTGGTGCTGCGGCGGCGGCTGCGATTCCCCCTGCTAATGCATGAGGCGTGCGGCGAGCGCACCGAGCGAGACCGAGCTGGCGAGCGATCAGCGAGGGCAGGAGAGCAGTGGCTTGGCATCCCGTGAATAGGATTGGGTGCTGCGGTGGTGCGGGGCAGCCTTCCGTAATCGTTCCGCATGGTTCAACACCTTTTGTAGCTTGTTGGGTACGGACATGGCCGACGGCTCCATCACACCTCGGCGCCCGAAGCACCGAGCAGGACGTTTGCATGCCTGTGACACGCTTGCTCAGCCCACCGGGCCCACAGCTTCTTTGTGCATCACTTGCTGTCTCATTTATCTTCATCTCACACCGCTTGTTTCTCCAAGTTTTCCCCTTTCCCCACCCCCGACACTCTTTGGCGAACAGCTGGCTCCGAGCACCTCTTCGCGCCTTGGAACACCCCCGCCGGCCATCGTTCCGTTGTTTTCTTGCATTTTTCGCCACCACCTGCACAAATTCTTCTCAAGCAGGCGACTCCCACCTCAACCACAGCTACCCCTTCCCTCCCCCCTCCCCCTGCCTCACGAATGACGGAGCGCGACTCGTCGCCCTCGTCGACGCTCGCTGAGCGCAACCCCGCCGCCGAGCCGCCGGCGTCCCCTACTGCGGAGACGCCCGTGCCGAGCCAGCCGATGGCCGCCTCCAGCACTGTTCCCGCGCCTCCCATGGCCGTTTCAAACCCCGTGGAACGCACCGATACGACAGACGACCAGACCAAGGGCTCGGACGACGGCCACGATGTCGACGAAAAGATCCAGCCCGGCAAGACGTTCGCCGACGGTGGCGACGTGTACGCCGAAAAGGCCATTGTCGATGTCGAGTATGACGGCCAGGTCCGCAAGGCCATGATCGTCGTCGAGGAGAAGACGGGCAAGGAGCTCCTCAAGGACGTGACTGGTGGGCCGTACACCATGCCTCAATGGTGAGTTGGAGAGCACACCAGAGCTCAGTGCTGACATTACAGGCGTCATTCGTTGCCGTTCATGAACCCCAAGTACCCTCCCCCGCCTCCTCCTCTCTCGCTCAACGACGCGCCCATCACTCCCGAGGTCACAGCTAGCTTCTTCAGCTTCCTCTACTTCAACTGGATCAGCCCCATGATGGCGCTGGGCTCGGCCCGTCCCCTCCAGCCGACCGATCTGTGGAAGATGGACGAGAAGCGCAGCGCCGGTGTGCTCGCTGGCAAGCTTGCCGACTATTACCAGGCGCGCAAGCTCAAGGCCGAAGAGTACAACAAGCGTCTCGCTGACCCATCTACCCCTCTCCCCTTCACCCAGCGTGTCCTGTACCCGATGCTCCCGCACCGCGAGAAGCGCGAGCACGACTACCGTACCAAGCACGGCCTCAAGAAGCCCTCGCTCGCGTGGGCCCTCTCGGACACGTTTGGCATGTATTTCTGGATGGCCGGTATCATCAAGTTTGTCGCCGACCTCGCCACCTCGTGCTCGCCGCTCGTCCTCCGCGCCCTCATCGCCTGGGCCACAAAGTATGAGTACGCCATGCAAGGTGTCGGCCACTACCCCAGCATCGGACAGGGTATCGGTATGGCCATCGGCCTCCTCCTCATGCTCCTAGTCTCGTCCATGGGTGTTCACCACTACTTCCTGCGCTCCATGGGCGTCGGTGTCCTGTCCCGCGCGGCCCTCATCTCGGGTATCTACGAGCGTGCCATGAGGCTCACACAAAAGGCCCGCGGCGAACTGCCCAATGGAAAGAGTAGGTCGTGGTAATGTGTCCATAATGCTGATCAACAGTCGTCAACCACATCAGCACAGATACCTCTCGCATTGACTTTGCTGCTGGTAAGTCTTCTGCTGCTGGCAAAAATCCCCAAAATACTGCAAAACTTCTGCAGGGGGGTGGAGAGGTGTGCTGGGCCATCAGAAGGTGGAGCCGGATGCATGGAAATACGTGCCTGGGCAGTCGATCGTTGACCTCCGGCTGCCACGGCCGCCACATCCACCTCGTCCTTCGGCCTGTGACCTTCTTCTTCGACTTTTCAACATCTTCTGAGACTCGTACGCTAACGTACAGGCTTCTTTCACCTTATCTGGACCTCCGTAAGTTGTTCTAGGCTGCTGGAAAAGCGCGGTGAACTGACTTGAGCAGCCCCTCCAGTTCATTGTCATTACGGTCATCCTTCTCGTCGAAATTGGTTACAGCGCCCTGCCAGGGTAAGTGCACTTTCGTTTTCATCATCCTCCATCACATGTCTCTACAATGCTTCGGTATCAGCTCCGTGGGTCGAGGACGGGTGGAGAGTCGACGGAGAGCCGGCTCCGTGGCAGTCAGTCGATCTAGCGACATGAGGAGGCGGAAACTGAGTAACGAGGAGACAAGGAGCAAACAGAAGAGGGCAGACAAGGCGCGGCAGACAACCTGCGCTCAGTTGACTCGCCCACGCGTGGCGGCTTCGCTTTCGTGGCTCATTGGTGCTAGCTCCCACATTCACACCTGTTGGACCATTGCTCACACCAACAGTATCGGCTTCCTGCTTGTCATGACACCCGCCCAGGCGATTATTATGAAGTATCTCTTTGCCATTCGCAAAAAGGCCATGGTCTGGACGGACAAGCGTGCCAAGCTCCTCCAAGAGATTCTCGGCGGCGTCCGTATCGTCAAGTTCATGTCCTGGGAGAACGCCTACCTCGAGCGCCTCGGTGCCATCCGTGGCATGGAAGTCAAGTACATTCGCCAGCTTCTCGTCGTGCGCTCTGCGATGATGGCCTTTGCCATGTCCCTGCCCGTCCTCGCCACTGTCCTCGCCTTTATCACCTACACGCTTACCTCCCACAGCCTTGAGGCTGCCACCATCTTCACCGTCATCTCGCTCTTCCAGCTCATGCGCATGCCTTTGATGATGTGGCCCATGACTCTGTCGGCTACTGCGGATGCTCTCAATGCTCTTGGCCGTCTCCAGGCCGTCTTCGACGCCGAGGTTACCACCGAGGAACGTGTCATCGACCCCAGCCTGCTCGAGGCTGTTCGCATCGACCACGCCTCGTTCACCTGGGACGCTGCCCCTCCCGTTGAGGAGGAGGTCGCCAAGCTCGAGGCCAAGCTCGCTGCCGCGCAGGCCAAGAAGGCCGGCAAGGCCGCCCCTGCTGCTGACAAGGCCGAGAAGGTTCCCAAGTCTGGTGCCGTCACGCCCAACGCCAAGTCTGGCGTCGCCACCCCCGAAAACCCCAGTGCTGCCCAGCAGAACATTTTCCAGCTCAAGGACATCAACCTCTCGATCCCCAAGGGCTCGCTGACTGCCATTGTCGGCGAGATTGGATCCGGCAAGTCGTCGCTCCTCCAGGGCCTGATGGGCGAGATGCGTCGTACCGAGGGCAAGGTCACCTTCTCTGGCTCGACCGCGCTTTGCGCCCAGACACCTTGGATCCAGAACGCCACTGTCCGCGAGAACATTGTCTTTGGTCAGCCTTGGGACGAGGAGCGCTACTGGAATGCTGTCCGTGACTCGTGCCTTGAGCCCGACCTCGAGCTCCTCGAAGACGGTGACGGTACCGAGATTGGTGAGAAGGGTATTACGCTTTCCGGTGGTCAGAAGCAGCGTGTCAACATTGCTCGCGCCATCTACTTCAACGCCGACATTATCGCTCTCGACGACCCTCTTTCCGCCCTCGACGCCGGTGTCGGCAAGGCCATCTTCCACAACGCTTTCCTCGGTGCCCTCGCTGGCAAGACCCGTATTCTCGTCACTCACGCTCTCCACTTCCTGCCCAACGTCGACTATATCATCACCCTCGAGGATGGCCACATCTCTGAAACCGGTACCTACCAGGAGCTCAAGGACAAGAACGGCGCGTTCTCGCGCCTTGTTGCCCAGTTTGGCGCCGAGGACCACGAGGAGAAGGAGGCCGAGGACGAGGAGGAGGCCATCGAGGTCACTGAGGGCTTCTCTACGCGCAAGGTTGACCGCTCCAAGCTCGTCTCTCGCGGTAAAGGTGCCCACCAGCTTATGCAGGAGGAGCTCCGCAGCGTCGGTACTATCAAGGGCAACACTTGGGGCGGCTACTTCAAGGCCGGCAACGGTTGGATCCTCGTCCCCTGTGTTCTCATCGCCGTCATCATTGCCCAGGCCTTCACCGTCATCACCTCGTACTGGATGATTTGGTGGCAAAAGTACGAGTGGGGACACAACAACAACTGGTTCATGGGCATCTATGCCGCACTTGGTGTTGGCTCGGCCATCTCTGCTTTCTTCATGGGCTTCACCAACGCCATCCTCAACTACTTTGCATCGGTCAACCTCCACCGCGGAGCCATCAACCACGTCCTGTTCGCCCCCCAGTCCTTCTTTGACACGACTCCTCTTGGCCGTATCATGGTGAGTTTTGACGTCTCTGGGATCGTCGCTGACATGCATAGAACCGCTTCAGCAAAGATGTGGACACATTGGACAACACCCTCTCTGACGCGATGCGTATGAGTGTCAGCACTCTGGGTAACATTATCGGAGCGATCGTCCTTCTGGCCATCATCTCGCCATGGTTCTTGATTGCCGTCGCTGTCGTCCTTCTCTGCTACTACCACTGCGCCATGTTCTACCGCCGCTCGTCGCGCGAGTTCAAGCGTATCGACTCGCTCCTCCGTTCGTCGCTGTACTCGCACTTCTCCGAGTCACTCTCGGGCATCAGCACCATCCGCGCTTACGGCGAGAGCCAGCGCTTCTGCGAAGAGAACATTCAACGCATGGACACTGAGAACCGCGCCTACTACCTCACCACTATCAACCAGCGTTGGCTCGGTATCCGTCTCGACATGCTTGGTTCGCTCCTCACTTTTGCCGTCGCCCTCATCGTCGTCCTCAACCACAAGATCACTGCCGCCAAGTCTGGTCTTGGTCTCTCGACTATGCTCACTGTCCAGCAGGCGTTCTCGTGGCTTGTCCGCCAGCTCGCCGAGGTTGAGAACGACATGGTTTCGGCCGAGCGTGTCATGGAGTACTCGAACGACCTCGAGCAGGAGGCACCCCAGGAGATCCCCGCTACCAAGCCCTCGCCCGCGTGGCCGGCACACGGCCAGATCGAGTTCAACAACGTCGAGATGAAGTACCGTGAGGAACTGCCCCTGGTGCTCAAGGGTCTCTCCATGAACGTCCAGGCTGCCGAGAAGATTGGTATCATTGGTCGTACCGGTGCCGGCAAGTCGTCCATCATGGTGGCTCTCTTCCGCATGGCCGAGCTTTCGGGCGGTTCTATCACCATTGACGGCGTCGACATTAGCAAGATTGGTCTCCACGACCTTCGCTCGCGCATTTCCATCATCCCTCAGGACCCCCTCCTCTTTTCGGGTACCCTCCGCACCAACATCGACCCCTTCAGCACCAAGTCGGACGCCGAGCTCTACGACGCTCTCAAGCGTGCCCACCTCATCCCCTCGGCCACATACGGCCACGGCGGTGGTGTGGACGGAACCGAAACCCCTACTTCCCGCTTCAACCTGGACTACGTGGTCGAGGAGGAAGGCGCCAACCTGTCGGTCGGCGAGAGGTCGCTCGTTTCGCTCGCCCGTGCCATTGTGAGGGACCCCAAGGTCCTGGTCCTCGACGAAGCCACCGCCAGCGTCGACCTGTCTACCGACGCCAAGATCCAAGAAACCATTCGCCGCGAGTTCCGCGACAAGACCCTGCTCTGTATTGCGCACCGCTTGCGCACTATCATCGGATATGACAAGATCCTTGTGTAAGTTTGACCAGTGGCTGGCACCATGTCAAGCAGGCGCTAACATCACACAGCATGGCGGCAGGTAATGTCGAGGAGTTTGGTACGCCGCTCGACCTGTTCGCCAACGACGGCCACTTTGCAGAGATGTGCGCCAAGTCGTCGATCACCCGCGAGGACATTGTCCGCGCGCAGGAGGAGGCCCGGCACGACGCTGCCGACGCAGAGGCGGCCGCTGGCTTCCTCGCCGTCCCCAACAAGTAGACCCTGCAACAAGCAGGCTCTGCCACCAAGATTCCTCCCCGGCGGGTCGCCGGTGCGGTCCTTCCGCCATCTACGGCAGTCGCTCTCGTCCCCCGATAGTCGCAGACTCTGTGACTGGGTGCTCGTTTGTTCGAACACGCCGAACCATCTCTTTTTTATTTCTCACCATAATGTTTCAAAACAAACTGGTACTACCGCAAACTCGCGAGCAAAATGCCGCCTGCGGTCGACTGGCCCGGAGTGGCACTCCATGGCCACTCGATGACCATCATCTTAAAAGCTGTTTAATAGTTCCCTTCCCCTCATTTGGGTAGATCCAAGCATGCATGCATTGGTATGGGCTGTCGTTGGTCTTGGGCTGTGAATGGGATGGAGAGACGCTGTGCCATGACGTGGTGCCACTCGACCTTGGAGAGAAGCATTCTTGTGGCCTGTCTAGAAAGCCCCCCCCCCCCCCCCCCCCCCCCCCCCCCCCCCAACATCCCAACATACACACCTGCCCGTGATCACCGATATGACTTGCAGCAGATTCGTGATGTGAACGAGGTACCGTAGGAGATCGGCAACAAACCAGACTCGATCGCCATGATACTCTGGGCGAGCTGGAATGTGTCGTCTTGTTTCTAGGTTATAAAGCCAAATGCTGCTCCACAAGGATCGGCAAGCTACGACGGCGTTACTGGACCTCGCTTAGACCTGCACGACAATTCTCGGTGCACATACCGAATCTGGACATTACATTCTCCAGGAGGCCAGGAGAGAAAGGGGCGTATGCATCCTGGGGTGGTATGCTGGAAACGCAGCAGATCGCCATGGCAAAAGAGTAACCTTGGGTTTCGTGAGAAGAGGTGCGTGTGCCATAGGTGAAACAAGACACACCGATAATAGCACCAAGCGAACGGCCGGCCTGGGCCACTCGGGCACCTACGAGGCTCTCGGCTGCAACCAGATGGAATCTGCGCATTGGGACCAATGTCGTACGTTGGAGCATGACATTGCGTGAGAGCCGTTGAGCCTTGTGTGTACATACGTGGGCAAGTGGTAACCGCACTGGCTATAAGCAGTTGTCAAGCACTATCTTGTGGATTGGCTTCCCGCCAAGTACGTAGGTGCAGGGATAGGTGGCCGAAGCCGGTGTGTGCTGCCGTTTCCCACATTCCGCCCTGTCATCGTCGTGACGTCCATCGAATCCGAGGATGAACCTTGCTTGACGCGACTAACTTTTCTCTTGGCGGCTGTCTCGTCTCGGTTGTCTGACTTGTTCGGGAAGAATACCCCCCGTGCCGTCGTACTCTCCTGCAGCTCCCCCTGTCGTCGTACGCAACCAACGCTTCATGCCCCCCTCCATCCCCCCAAACCATGTCGTCGTCCCAGTCACCCGACAATCGCGGTGTGAGGCACCTTCATACGGCACCGGCTGGCATGTATCCAGAATACTCTCTAGGCAGATTCGAAATAATGGAAAACAGAACTTGAGCCCAGGCCGAGACGGCCACCCGGGGCCTGTGGACGGGTTCGAGGCCGGAAAAAAGTTGCGAGTGCAGGATGACCACAAGGACGACAGTACGACGACCCACGTCCAACGACGGCGATGGGACAGGAGGGACGTTTGGACGCACATGGTTGTAGTATTGCCGTGCTGAGAAATGGGGTGTACGAACACACGACCTCACATGGGCAGCCTCATGGATGGCCCCCTGCCTGACCTGTGCCCCACATTGGCATGGGGAGCGGGGGAGGGGGGGAACGGCTACCTATGACATGGCGTCTTGTACGCCCTTGGACGTCGGAACCAACGACTGGCTACAGGAGAGAGGAAGAACGGGGATGCGGATGGACAGATAGGCTTTGACACTTGCAAAGTAAGTTCTATTGAAGGGGTACGGGAATGTCACATACTGTCAGTACATACTCGTCGGGTATGACTTGTGTCCACCGGGGCCGACGTGCGCCAGTTAGAGTTAGAACATAAACTACCGCCGGCACATGTGTGCGTGGGTGTGTTGTGAGCCAAGACGTCGTCGTCGTCGTCGTCGCCACAATACAGTATGTGGGCTGTGAGGGATGGGAATACTTTGGGGCGCCCGTTGGATCGCGTTGGACAAAGGGACTCGGCATCGGACGGAACATGTTGCCTGCATCCATCTTCGCTCATCTCCGTCGTCTGCTCGAAAGTACATGTGGTGTATGCGTTTGTTTGCTCGCAGCTGCGCTGCAAGGGATCGACGGGTATACCCTGGCTGCGAGGTCTCCCAACCGAATTAGCTTTGCTTGACGACGGATACACCACACTACTCCCATCAAAGAGACTTCGCTGGAGCGTGGTTGTCCTGGTTGTCTTGGAGCTCTGGGTGGGTGGGTTTGGGTGGGCACGAATGGGCCCAGGGTCCCCGCGCATATGCCGGTTTGGCACAAGTATAGATGCAATAACCGTCGTAACAACTGCGTAAGCAACGACGCCAAAAGTAACGTATACGGTTCTGTTACAGCACAACCCCACAACCTGGAGGCTGGGGTCGTGGTCTCGGGCCTGTTACCATGCACAAGTGGACGGTGTGCCCTGGGTGGGACCTGTGGTAGCAGGTGTGCAGGTGGCGAGTGCCTTGGTTCTAAAATCACAGTTTTTGAACAACACACAGACACATCCCCTCAGCGACCACAACCACAAGCCGCGAGATGCTGGGCAGATGCACTGGCCTACGGCCGCGGCCCATGTGTATGTATATGCACATGCACGTTATGTGAGCGGTAAACATGCGCCCTCTCGATGAAACCAGCGAGACTGCATGCGACCGCGTGCGACCACAGTCGCGGCACTGCAGAAAAATACACGAAAACGAAGCAAACGACAGGCCCAGCCACGGAACAGCCAGGTCTCTGTCGTATCATGGCACGGAACAGCCAAGTCGCCACTGTGTCGCCATGCAACGTTTCTGCTAGGTCGCTCCTCGAGGCAAGAGCATGCGCCGTCGAGGGGGTGGGGGGATGGGGGCCGGGGGGATACCTGCATGACGTACGAACCTCGCCGCCGTCGACGCCGAAGACTGTAGCCACGGAACGGGCGTGCCGCCACCGGCGTCCAGGCCAGACTTTGGTGTTCCTCCCTCGCTGGCCAAGACACTTCAGCTCATACACCTAATGTATTCATGTGGGCTGTTTTTTGGTTGGCAGGACCCCAGAGTCGGAACGATGGGGGTATGGGGCGGTGGGAGGCACATCATTAGGACCAAAGTCCCGTGGTGGCACGGTGACCAGTGCCCGGGCCAATCGTCAAACAATGGCTGGCTGGCAGGTTGAAAGAGGGTGGGCGGGCGGGCGGGGTAGCTCTGAGCGCTGGACACGGTGATTGCAATGCACGGCAGTCTATACTCGGCTTGGACTTGCGTGCGTGCCGTTGCACGAGGAAAACAACGACAGGAGAGCGGACAGCCTGACTGTGTAACAGACGATTCCTCCGAGTGACATCTGGCGACGATTGACAACCTAGTAGTGACCGAGCTGACAAACTTACAGTGACCGAGTTGCATTTTCCCGTAGGCATTTCAGTTCTTCTTCGCCGATGAAGCTAAAGCAGAGCGGGGGAGTACGCATGGCCTGATGTTACAGCATAATGACAATTTTGGTTTGCATGGAGCCTACAGTATTCCGGGTTACTTCTCCGGTGGCTAATAGATACAAGGTCCCGCCTGCGGGTGGATCGGGGGGGAGGGGGGGATGGAACCCGTAAGGTTCTATGATTTGATGAACGGGCACAAACGAAAATAACGGGCGTGTGGAGTGAGCTCCAGCGATAACCCAAGACGACAAGACGAGTGGAAGCGAGGACAACGTTTTGCAAATGGAAGAGGAAGGGAGGCTGGTCGGTGACAGCCATGTCTGTGGATCATGGTGTCGTGCATGGGCGGTGGCGTCGAATGCATATGGTGGCGTCAAGACATGAGGATGGGGGCGGTGGTGGCGGCACAGTGTCGTCAGCCGGCGCACAGGTGTGTGAAGCTGTCCAGGCGCGGGTTTTACATGTGGAGAAAGTCGTCGCGGCGACGGCCAAAGAGACGACGAACGAGGGACTCTCGGGCGTCTGCTGGACGGTCTTTGGCCGGCATGGCGGATTCGGGTGGTGACAAGGTGTTGTCGACCATGTGCTCTCGGCGAGTGCCAGCAAACACAGCGTCGTGGGCGTGGGCAAGGGCGTGCTCGGGAACCAGGATCTCCTCGTCATCGTCGTCCATGTCGTGTGATGGTGACGACGATGATGAGCGAGGAGTGAGGGGGCCTTCAGAGCCAAGCGACGAGGTGGAGACGCTGCGGTCCAGTGCTGGTGTGATCGAGACGTGACCGGCCTTGGAGGAGCCAGCGCACGAAGGGAGGACGACAGCGCCAGACGGAAGACGGGGAGTGACCGGGAGGGTCTGGGTGGACGAGGCAGGCGACGCGGCTGCGGGAGAGAGGGGAGGGGTGTCGAAGCTGTACTGCTCCAGGAAGGGCTGAGCGTAGGCAACGACCTCCTCCTCGGTGATCGACAGGTTGTAGTCGAGAAGGAAAAGCAGCTGCTTCTCCATGAGGTTGATCTCTGCCTGCGAGAACATCTGGGCGTAGCGGCACCAGTGCTTGTTCTTGGGCGACGAGTCGTTCAGGTACTTGGCGGCGACGATGAGGGTGGCGAGGAAGACACGGTGGCGAGTGCAAGGCATGCCTGAGGGTCAGTGCTGCAATAAAGGGGGAGACATACCCTTGGCCACACGAGGCAGGCGGGTACGCAGACGTTCCAGGTAGACAATGGTGGCGACCAGGGTAGCCACTTGGACATTGGACTGGTCACAGACGACCGCCACAAAGGTTGTCAGGCCGGGGAGGCCCGCGGCGCGCATGTCGATGGTGGAGAGGTCAATGGCAGTGGAGCTCTGAATGACACTGGTGGTGGTGCGAGAGATGAAGGCTGAAGGTGGTTAGCTTGTTGCAGCCAACTGTTGGGCGATCGCACCACACACCCAAGCATCGATGATCGACACGTTGTATGTGGCAGCGACCCCGACCCAAGTATTTACTCACCGACAAGATCCCTTGAGACATCTGAACGAATAAACTCGAGAAGGGCTGGGTCGTGCTCGCCACAAGCTTCCAGAGACGCTGGATGAACGCGGTCTTCAAAGGCGGGGGAGCTGGGGGTGAACGCCGGTGTGCCCGAGGGGAAGATGCTGACACTCGAGCACGACGACTCTGTCGCCGGCGAGGACGAAGAGACGGCCGGGGAGGCAAGCATTGTGGGAGAGGAGATGGTGGGAAAGAGTGAGATGGGATAGAGTGAGATGGGATAGAGTTTATGTTTGGGTGAGCGCTGCTGGGTGGGTTGTTGGTGGTGGGCTCGAAAGGGTCGGTCTGTTGTAGGGGTGTGGCGTTGTGATTGTGGTGGTGATCGACTGGAGGATGTCTGCAGCGTTCAACGCGAGTGCAGTGAGGTTCGCGAATGCCTATGCTTTGTGTGGGGGGTGGTGCTGTGAGGGATGTGGGTAGAGAACAAGATGCGTCCAACCATATATACTGGGAGTGGTGCAGAACCAGTTTGCGACGCGCTGTCTGGATCGCTCGAGGTCTGGACCTGTTTGCCTGGGCACTCTGGCCCGAGCCAAGGCAGGCCATGCGCGCAGGGGGTGTGAGCAGTCGAGCAGTCGCGTCTGCCAAAATCAGAGAGAGAGAGTGGCCGATTCTGGTGACGACACCACCGCGAACAGGGAATAGCCTGGCAGGGCTGGGACGTGCGACGACCACAAACGCCTCCTGGCGCACTGGCAGAACCGCCCCAGCCGCCGCCTGGAACGACAAGAGAGACGGCTCGCTCGCGCACGCTGCCGCACTGCGTCCCCCCCACCCGCCCGGACACTGTGCGGCACGGGGGGGTGTTGGCCGGACTGGCCGCGCCCAGGGAGTTGAGCACCGCGAGGCGGCAGTGGCCCTGCGCAGGGGCAAAACTGTCTTGTCATTCGTGCCTCGCTGTGCAGCTGGGTCATCGTGTTCTATCCAGGGGCCTCATCGCAGCTGCACCCAGCGGTTGGGATCGGGGGGCCGACGAGGCCCCCCACCGGCTCTCTCTCTGCAAATGCATGTGTGCGTGCGTGACAGGTCCGGCCAAACTATGGGTGGTATGAAAAGATCAAAAGAGAAAAAAGAGGGCGTGACCCGCCAAAGTGCTTCAGAGGCACATCTAATACGCCGAGAGTGGGGCTCTCTCTCGACACACCGCGGCCGAAAAAGTCACACACCAGTGCTTCTCCCTCTGGGCCTCTGGCCTCCCACGGCAAACGACGCGGCTGGATCGTGTTGCTGTCCCGCAACACTGGCTATTCAGTGCCGACTCACTTATCGAGACCACACTTGCGCAGACCCCTTGACGCACTAACATGACACCCCTTCTGAGCCGCGCCTTCGATCTCTAATCTCTCTAAGCTTTTGATAGTGACACTAGCACCAGTTTCCATTGCTCCATGGCTGGCGCACACGCTGGCTGGCGCTTGGCACCAAAGCCACCCTAGCGCCGCCCCCTCTCCCCCGTCTCTGCTGCAAGATACACCCAGCGTACATGCATGACGAGGCTGAGCAGTCGGTGAACACGGCGAACGCCTGTGGGGCCTGGCGTTTAGTTTTTTTTGGCGTTTCTGTCCGCCGCGCCCAGAGGCATGCATGCAGGCAGGCAGGCAGGCAGGCAGGCAGGCGGGCAGCCGGCTCCATGGCGGCGTGGGCGGCATCGTCAGGTGGCCAGGTGGCCAGCAAGGTTCCGCTGTGGCTGCTGTTCCTCTCTGAATACAGACTGAATGGATGCCAAGTGCTGCGCTAGGCCCCCACCCACAGCATGGCCACCACCCCAAATTGAACTCCCAGACCAGTTGTGCATGTCGGCATGTCGCGCACACAAAGTGGGAAAGGTACAAGCGCCAGGATGCATGGTAGCCGCACACGCACAAGATGGCGGTGCCAACATTGTTTCGTGCAGCTACCGCGCGCCGTCCATGCCACTTGTCCAAGAAATACGCGTCAACGACTGGTTTCACCGAATGTGCATACACTGGTCAGCAGTAGTCCCACGTATATCCTGAGGCATGCGTTCTTGCCTCTCGATTGCGGACACGAGCGCGTCGCGTCCATCTCCGTTACCCCGCGGGCCGTAGATCTTGGTGTCGGCGCCAGAAGCAAGTCCGACAAGATTCGCTGCGTCCTCGCCAGATACTGGCCACGGGCACGAGGCAACTTGCACAACTAAAGAAGATACTTGCGTGACCTGCTACAAGTGACAAGTAACGTCGCCACCAGGCCTTGGCTCGCTGTACGCGAAGCAGGCCGCCTTCTTTCCGCAACGTGTTCGCCATCCACGGCCCGCGGCGTGGTACTCGGCGCTCTCTCGGAAGCATCTGCAGGCCTTGAACTGCCAGCACCGCCGTTTCAAAGGGCAAAGAGGAGACGCGTCGCGCCACACCATTGTGACCATACAATAGTGCTTGGGACGTGATGACACCGCGGGTCCCAGAACGAAATCGTCGGAAGGCCGGGGTATCTTTCAGCGCCCTGCCACAATTGAGCGATATGGGGGGGTTTCGCACACACATTGGATTGGGCTGGGCGGGGCTGCATTTGGTGGCCGTCCGGACGCTCACTCGGCTCCACTTGCTTGATTTTGGGACATTTCAACTCCGCTCCTTCTTGGAACCCACTCAAAGCCCACCATTAAGCCAACCTAGAGCCCCGTCGCTGATCGCTGAGCTTATTATTGCAATGGCCCTAACCCCCTTTGCTCGTCGCACGGTGTAAGCTCCGTCGCTGTCCAAGGACCTATCAACGCCACCCCCACTCGACCCCACTCACTGGCGGCGCCACGAGCAGCATGGCGGACATTCCTTGCTCTACCTTACACTGTCTGCAGTCGTCCTTTGCTCCACTCGGCTGGCCACTGGACGCACATACACATAGGGAATTGGCCAACGCCTTTGGCAGGGCTGGGGGGTCTGCCGGCGATTCGGCAGACACCGGGACGAGGCACATGACACTGATGATAACGCCAGACCAGCTCAACCTGCAAAGCATGTCAAAGTTGTGTGGCCTGTGGGCTTGATCAGAGCAATTACCCCTCCCTCGGACGTCTGATCAGACACACTAGGCCCGCACAGGATAACTACTTAGGACAGGTAGTAATAGAGGTAACATCCAACTGTGGTTTCGGAGGATCCGTGTCCCCTCATTGACATTGCACCTGAACGCAAAGAGCCGAGTTGCAACCTGCACCCAAAAGCCGCGCATTGTTCTGCAAAATCTCTGCAAAATCAAGGACAAAGGATATACCGGTTCCGTGTGGGTGTGTATATCCCCCTGTGAGGTGGACCAAACTGTACCGCGCCTGCACCTGTAAACGGTACATACGTCAACGGCTGTTGTACCAAAGCGCCTCTGGGGTCCAGCTGTGGGCGCATCACAATTATCATGTCGCAGAGCAGCCTGTCTGATCTATAGCCACGCCACATGCAACGGCGTTCATGGGTGCACGAGTACTCTAAGATTGGAACGAGAGGCATTCCATGTCGCCGTCCATGGCCTCCAAATTCGAAGGTTAAGGGAGAAGTCTCCCCCGTCGCCACCCCCGGACGCCACATATGCTGCGGGCCTGGAGGGTATCGCCCCGGTGCGCCTCGACGCTGAACCCCATGCTCGTTGCCTAGAATCTTGAATGAGATCCTTTTCCATTCAACGGCCACGGCCTCACAGTCGGCACGTCGGACCCTTTGCGGGCCGCCGCGGCTCTTCGCAGCGAGCGGCGGCCACTAAGAGCGCAACGCTGAATGCATGTGAACAGACAGAAAAACTAGGACTGTTGCCATGGGCGAACGAAGGCTTTCAAAAGCTTCCAACGCGTTCCGACCCTTTTCAGCCAGACGCTCTCCGAGTGCACACCGCGGACCCGAGGAAGCCATCTTCTTTTTACTTTTGGTCACGAGCAGCAACAGCCGAGGTGTTGAGGCTTACATGTTGCATACTGGTCCCCATTCGATATGGGAACGAGGGAAGCGTTGGGCGTACCGTCGTTGCCACGGAGTAACAGGTGCCAAGTACGGCCGAGCTGGTGTTCCGGGTGACTGTCGACAGCCGTACAGCCAGTTGTGCCGTTGTGCTCCCCGGGTCGTGCCGTGCATAATCCTTTCTGTGGAGCTACGCGAATGCAACTACTCCCGATATTGCCTGCGCATAGCGCACCGTGCCGTGCAGTGCAGGAAGATTGTTTCCAGGTTTGCGCTTTTCTTCTCTTCGATCCCCTGACCACTGCGACCGGTACCCCCCATCACGCATGTATTTCCCCAAAGCCTGGTCCAGTCTGTTGGTATCATACAGACGCACTGTGCTCGGGAGTCTGTGCGGTCTCTCTGAGCTTCAAGTTCAGACTCCCTTGGGATGTGGCATCTTTCCTTTTCCTGTACTACAGGTGTGCTGAAACAGTGACACCATAGTCGGAGAGTTAAAGTGGGGTGGAGCAGTGTCGACCCCCCTGGCTGGCCACCGCGTCACAGAAGACGACGAGCCCTGCCGCCTGCCACATTTGCGTCGCCCTTGTGTAGCCCAGTTGGAACGGAGTATGTGCGGTACAGACAGCTCGAAACCTTTTACGAGGGTGTCAGTGGGTTGGAAACGCACCACAACGATCGACGCATCAGTGTCCAAAACACCGCTGGCATACCACAGTCCTAAGCAAAGCACATGACGGCAACGACGTGCACCTACATGCTCCACCTTTCTTCTCGGCCCATTTGGAGCGCTCCGGAGCGCTCCGGATTTCCTTATTGTTTTCTTCATTCCAATGCATGTGCCGCGCAAAGGTGTTTGGCTTCAAGACAAGGTCCCAAGTCACACCCATTCGCGCCGAGATTCCACCCGCAATAGCCCAGCCCAGCCCAGCCCACAGAGGCCACAGAGCCGTCGTCGCCTGGACACGGCATGGGCCGGCATGCTCCAGGGCTCGTTAAGATTGGGGAAGGATTTTAGCATTGATTCTCGAAAAGGCACGGGCCACGAAAGGACCCGTGTACCACTACAGCGGGTCGGCTCGGACACAGCGAGGGGTGGATGGATATGTTCTAGGCCACCTCGATGGGAGCTTCGAGAGGTTGGTCCAGATCTTGGATGGGCAGTAGTGCATGGAGTCGTCTTCGCATCTGGGGATTTGGATATGCGGATCGTTGAGAGCCAAAGACAACGAAAAGACAAGAAAAAGTGGCATTTTGGGTGCAGAAAGTATATATCCGCGCCGGTGCCAGGTTCCAGCGGGTCAATCGCGGGCACACCTTGCCGCGTTGACTAGTGCATTAGTTGAGGGACTCGAGGTTATTTTTTGCAGCGGAAGTCAAGCTATGCTTGAAGACAGCGTGCGATGGGGGCCTCCTCGATGGGTTCGCTCCCGTCGTTGCCCCCCATACGCCTCCCGTCAACCAACTTTGCGCTGGGTATGGACCCTTTGTTCACTGTGTACTTTTAGCGGAAGGTGACGCTTACGGCTCACGGTCAGGTTAAGTGCTCAGTGAAGGAGGGGGCCTCGCATTCATCACCCACATGCCACAAGCTCTCGGTCACAACTGCGGTCATAACTTTGGCAAACAAGGTTCATGTCCTCCAGTGTGGCATGCCGTTACAAGTGGAGTTCCAACCTCTCTGCTGGAACACTTGGCCGATGTAACGCTTACGTTGGCACTATAGTGGGCATGCTGAGAGACCGATGCTCGTCGCCGTTCGGCCGCGGTTCCTTGGGCTGAAAGATCTTCTAAACCATATCAACAAGTGACATTGGTAGAGGAACCGTGCCAACGTACTTCCGTTCTCTTTCGTGCAAGGGACTGCAAAATCTTGTACGGCTGTCAACATCAAGCGAATGGCCAGAAATACCATGCCCACTGTTGGATTCCCAGCTGCATGTGGACGGATGAGATATTGCGGCTGGGGCCCAGGCTGCGCCGAAAGGAGCAGCGAGTCGTCGTACACATGCAATGCAGATTCGCAGTGTACGACGCGCAACCTTGACTCTGAAAGTGCCTCAAAGGCAGCTAACCTTGATTGACCTGTTCCTGCCCCGAAATCAAACAGACGAACCACCCGTACGACGTTCTACGCCTCTTCACTGTACAGCATCAAGGGAAGTCGTGTTATTCCAGACAGTGACAAGCAGAGTGCGCACTGGCCAGCCCTCATTAACGCGTTTGCCAGTGGTTGTCGCGTCGTTTCATGTGGCAAGCCTTTAAGGACAACCTCGGGGACCATAAGAACACAGGCCGCTGCAAGGGGGTGGCATCGTTAGTGTAAGCGCAATACCGACAATATGCTGCGGTACGGCAGTGTGGCAATGCGGCCAAGCGGGTCTGTGCCACAGTTGGGCACGTCAGAGTAGGGACGTGGAGCATGTGGGGACGTGTGGGGGTGCGAGCGCGATCATGCGGGCCGAAGATGCAGGCAGGCAATAGGCGTGCGCAGATGTGATCGTAATCAAGCGGGCCGTATTTACAGCCTACTGGACTCCGACATATGCCACAGTACGGTGTCAGGAATCACCGCTCCGGCCAATGCGGGATACATATGTTGTTGTTGGTGCACGCATGGACGTGGTGACCTGCAGGAGAGCAAAGCCCCGCCACTTCGGGTGACTACCTTAGATCGGATAGAAAATCGGCAGCTGTGCGGCACAGCAAGGCGTCCAGCCGTCACGCATGTGGTGAGCAGCCAAACAACTGTGCAAAAGCAAGCCAGAGGCGACGTCGTCGACGCGTTCAGTGCTGTTTGCTTAATCTTGCTTTCACAGTCGCCCACCTCTCCGCCCTACAGTTGCTGAACTGAATGCACATGTCCTGGCTGCCATTTCTATAAGCACAGTGCCTCTATTGACTGCGCACTGCGCGGTTCAGAGAAAGGAAGTGGGCGTTTATTCCAATCCCTGGATGCAGGCGGAACAAGCCGATCGTGCTCACGTCTGTGCACCTCTAAACTTCTTGTCCTAGGATCCTACGTATATCCTGGTAACATGCTCCTGAATACCTAGCTGTTGCGGCGTTGTTCAGTTCCTACGCAGTCCTGCAAGATCGAGGAGTCCAGCACCCCAGCACCCCATCGCCTCCACATGGCCATTCAATGACCGCGCCACTGTGACCTATACACTAAGGAAAGAGGTGCCCATACTGCACTGCTCGTGCAGTTACAATGCTACTCGCTGCATAGACGCGTACCGCGCTACTGACCTATTCACCCATTCTGACTTTTACGTGGCTGATTTTTTGGTGACATTGTTTGCCTTGCACTACCATATACCACATGCCGTCAGCGCCAGAGTGTGCTGTCGGTGTTGAGCTAGGTGGAATTAGGCTTTTCGGACTCCCCGCCCAAAACCCAGGCCCCGCAGGCAACAGACCCCAAGAAGCTCCCGTGTCCAGTGGTGAATCCAGTGGCCAGTCGCCAGTGACGCGATCGGAGTGTTCCGGCTGTAGCGCCCCGGTGGCCTCCAGAGCTGTAGTATAGGGTGATCAGTCTTGGGTCACCCCGCACTTCTCTACAGTTCCAACCTTGACACACTGCAGTCGCACTCCCACACGGCCCTTGCAGGCCCACCGCCACTTGTGGCCGGCCGGCCGATCTGCCGGCACAGGAGTCAAAGATCTGGGTCATAGGTCTTGAGTTAGTATCCTCCTCAACCCTTACTGGCTTGTGCCGACGAAACCAGGAAGCTATGGAGACAAATGAGTCGCGGCAAGGACTTGTGACAATTGACTGTTTCTGATCAGACTGCGGGGAACGCGTCGCAAGTTGAATGCCACTACTACTGCTGTAGTTCCTTTGCCTCTCAGACACGATTGTTCCGAGATCTAGATGGCTGACTCTGTGTTGCGTGTTCGTTGCAATCGCTCGATTAGAGAATTAGAGACCGAGTTGGTGACCGCAGAGTCCCCTGCTGTCATCGTCGTGTAGCCGCTGGTCTAGCTGTCCAACCCTCGAGGGTTCCGTCCGTGGTTTCACATGCTAGTCAAGCCATGTCTCGCGCGTCGCATTCAAACGCTACTAATGAACATAATCAAGTTAATGCTAGTACAAACTACAATGGTTGCGACGCGTCTCTGTTTGTTGATCTTGCTCCCGTGGGAGAGACTGATGGAGGTGGGGTAGAACCAGATTGCGTATTGTTGCGTAATTGTCGTCCAAAGCGAAAGCCAGGGCTCCGCGTAGATGCGGCTAATGCAAGATATAGATTAGAGCGCGTACCTACGTGAACAGCTGTCGAGCATATGACAAACAGATGTGACATGATGCTCGTAGCCACCCTCGTTGTTCAAACTCTACAAGTTGCCGTGCAGCAGTTCCGTCAATGTTTTCTTTCCTCCACACGATTGACTTGACTCCAGGTCAGGACCTGGGGTACTGTACGTAATGAGCGAGACCTGATGTGTACTGTAGTCGTGCACCCTTCTATTCTCGTATCCATGCCGTTGCTTGAAACAAAGTTGCTGCTAGGTGTACTCTAACCAACCCCATTGACATTAGGTCGGCACATTCCAAGACGCACGTAGCAACTGGCCAACTGGGTTTTCTCACGCCACCTCTCCGCCTGATTGCCAACCGAGATCACGGACGCATTGTAAACCCCCCAATCGGTATCTTCACCTGACGCGTCCATGTCATGTCGCATTGAAGCTTAGTGTGCGGTTGAGGCACTGCGGAGTGGAGTCACTTTAGGTCCCAGGTGTGTGCTCCGTTGATCGGCAGGGGAGAGGATACCGTTGTCAGTTGGTGGCGGCCGCCTGGCGGTGGCATCGGCCTCGCAAAACCTACATTAGTTTTTTTTACATCTGTCACGCCAGTATGCAGCAGTTCAGGTCGTGCAACTGCAGACAGAGATCGGCTAAGATCTGGTGGAGCTGGCGACTCTCAAGGGGTACAAGTGTGGCGTCACACAAGACGGCGGGTGATCACTGGTCAGACACAGGTCAGACAATTGAATGCAAGCACGAGGGTCCCGATTTTTTGTTCCATGAGCCACCGGCCACGAGGCAGCCGCCATCAAGCGCCGCCGGCTTGCGAACATGTACCTAGGACAATCAAACGTTGGCAGCCCACTTCTATGGCGAGTTTTCTGTAAATGACAAGCCCCCGCGTCATGAAAGCTGCTTGCTACGCCTTGCACCGCCTGCAAACGCCAACCCTCATATTGAGAATCGCGACATTCATGTAGTCAGTCAGTCACCACCACCACCCCAGCCATGGAGGCACGGGCTAGGAATGCGACGTAGATACGCGTTGGCGAATACGTGGCTCACCAGCAACTCAGAGTACGGAATCCGGAGCACCGGAGCGGACACGGCATGAGTTGAGCAAAAAAGGGGAGGTGACATGAACGGAAATCTCTGGATTCGTGATCATGTGCTGCTGCATGCAGGTGGGGGAATACGGAGAGCGAGAAGGAGGAGGCGCATGGGTTTGGAATGTAATCGGGAGAAGCATGCTCAACGCTTGACCCAGGTGTACTGTAAGGTGGGTCAGTATAGTTCCCAGCTTCTTTGTGCTGCCGACAGTCTCATCCGCATGCCGCGCCAAGGTGAAGACCAAGGCCGCAGCGGATTGGAAGGGGTAAGCCCAGCCTGGCACCCAGAGCACGACGGCAATACCCCTTACTCCTTCTCCATCCTCTCCCCACGACATTAATCTTGTACTCACACCAGCGCGAGCCTTTTTGCGGCCAGTCTTCTTACGCTCGGTCATACGGTTATCACGCATGAGAGCAAGGTCGCTCCTGAGAGCGGGGACAGCGTCATCGCGCAAGAGGGCGAGGGCACGACCGATACCGAGGGCGATGGCGCCGGCCTGACCGGTCGAGCCACCGCCGCGGGCGAGGGCGAAGACGTTGAAGGCGCCAACAAGACCCGTCACGCGCAGGGGGCGGAGAACAGTCTCACGGTCCACGGGGCGGGTAAAGTGCTGAGGAAGGAGGAGGTGGTTGATGAGGACCTCGCCCGTGGGGATCTCGATAGGGATCTCCGGCGCGAAGTCGCCATCGGGACCGACAACCTTCTCGGACGGCTGGTCCAGCAGCTCCCGTCCCTGCTTCGAGGGGACGACCCACACGCGGGCCGACGAGTTCTTCCTGCGGCCAGTAGCGTACGCACGGCCAAGAGCGTCGATGCCGCTGTCGGCGTTCTCCCTGGCAGCAAGCTTGGCCGCCCGCTCAGCGATACGGTCCGCACGCTCGTACGGCATGACAGCCTCGTCGAGCGCCGCGGCAACGTCGTACGAGCCAGCCAGCGAGGCAATGTGGCGAGCCGAGTTGCACGCGTTGAGGAGCTTGAGCAGGGCGGTGTAGTCGCTGTTCTTGCGAATAGCAAAGCCCATGTCGGTCTGCGCACGCCAGAACGCAACAGGAGGCTGCACGTAAGGCAGGTCTGCGGGCACAGGCCAGATGTACTCCTTCCTCAGGGCAGCGCGAGCCTTCTCAAGGATCTTCTCGAGCGATGCAATGGCCTCGGTGTATTCGGGCTTGCCGGTGAAGTGACCAGTGGTAGGAGGACGAGCACGGCGCGGCAGCGGCTCGGTGTCGTCAAAGCGCTTCTTCGGGGCGTAGAAGGGCTGGGCGGTGTAGGTCGACGCCGCACGGGACGAGCCGGCCATCGACGCGGCGGCCACAGTCCTGAGGCTGGTAGCGGCCTGGCGCAGCGCGCGCGTGCCGGCGGTGACGTTCATGGGTGTACGTGTGGATGGTGTCAAAGAGGTGGTGGTCGATGTCCGACTTTTGGCGAAAGACGACTGGACGGGGGCATTTCGGACGGAAGTGAGATGCGGGCGCCATACATGACCTCAAATACACGTAATGGGTTCGTAGACTCCACTTGCGTCACGCGTTATGTGTTTATCAGATACGGTTACACTTTGTTGGACGATTCCATCTGTCAGCAACATGGACGAGCCCATCGACGCCCGCATGGAGGCCAAGCTCCGTGCTGCCCTCGCCATCGAGCACCTCGTGCGTGCATATTGTATGGCGTTGGTGCTGACGCTCAGGAAATCGTCGATACATCGGGCAACTGCGGCGGCGCGTTCGCGCTTGTCATCGTCTCGCCCGACTTTGCAAAGAAGATGACTCTGGCTCGTCACAAGATGGGTGAGTAAGGGTGGCATGGGGGTGGTGGCAGTGAGTGGACCAAAGCACTTCAGACTCTAGTCAAAGTCCCAACCCCTCGCTGCTTCCCTCCTACCGACTTTGTCAGCCGCTCACCACCTGTCCCAGTGAACCAGATCCTTGCCGAGGAGATCACCGAGCTGCATGCCTTCTCACAGAAGACCTTCACCCCCGAGCAGTGGGCCAAGGAGCAGGCCAAGTAAGCTGCCCTCCTTCCGCCCGCCTTGTCCGCCCCCGATGGTGCACGGCGACACCTCCCTTCGACCGAACCATTGAAGGGGGCCTAGGGGTGGCGATCAGGACGCCATACTTGCTACAAGCTCAGGCTGCCAGTGGGCGCGGCGCACGAGTACACACCGTCACGACCAGAGGCCAGACGATAGAGTCGTTGTATCACCACGCATAGGCATTCACTCTAGTATTGCTAGCCTGCGGGCGGCGTATTGCGCTCACAGATGCATTCGCGCAGGTATCCCATCCCTCGCATGGTTGCTACGTTGCAGTGGGTTTCTCGCTCATGGTACTTCTGACGACGAACACCGGCTGTTGAATGATCAGCTGCGATCCGTCACGCGCCCACTCACCACCTGTTATGAAACAGGCTTCTTTCTTCCCGGCAACCGTTTCGAGCAACCCGGCCCGCTCACTTGAGGCGCTTGGCGACTCCAATGAGATCCGAGACGTTGTTGTTATAGTCTTCAATCGCCTTCTTGACCTTCTTCTTCAGACGATCCTCCTCGGCGGTGACCTTTTCGAGCTCCTTCTGGAGACGCTTGCGCTTGGTCGAAGTCTCGTTTAGCTGGCTGCGCGCCACCGACGCCTGGACATTGTATGTGACGCGGCACTGATCGATAATGGGGCCGATGAGAGAGAGCTTCTGGGGCGACAGGGCGACGCGGTGGTGGTCGATGAAGCCGTCGTCGTCGACCTGGTAGGTCTGGCCGGTGCTGGTGCGGGGAGCTGGAGGTGGGTGCTGGAGGATCAGCGTCAGTGTGGGTGACAACGAAAACAACCTGCTCCAGCTCACCTCGCTATCGCTGTCATCCGAGACCAGCTCCACCTTTGGGACCTTGAGGCCCGACAAGTCGATGGGATCGAGTGAGGGCCTGGGGGTCTGCATTGTGGATGTCAAGATGTGGGAATCAGGTGAGAGGTATGAGGAAGACACAAAAGCTGTGTGGGAATGTTAGGTGTGGCAAGTGTGGGAGGGCGCTGGTGGGATGACTGGACCACCGGCCACCTGATGCACACGGGGCACGGAACACACAGATCACGGCCTCAGCTCGCGGGTCACAGACAACTGCATGGCGTACATGGTGGCTCACTTCATCGCGTCTATAACTCCCTGCACGACCTTGTTGTACTGGTCCGTCGACTCCTTGATAGCCCTGCTGTTCTCTTCAATGTCGGTGACCGCCTGAGCCAGCTGTGCTTCAATCCTCTCCTTCTCCTCGGCCACTTTTGCAAGCTCTCGTTCGAGCCTCGTCCGGTTGTCTTTGGCAATGTTGAGCCACATTTTGGCGTATGACGTCTCGTCGCTGTACACCTCGCGGTAGTACTCGATCATGGGGGCGATGACGTCGAGCTTCCTTCCCGTGAGATGGTCACTGGGCTCAATAAGGCCGTCGGCTGCCGCAGAAGTCGAGCGGAAGTGTTTGCGTTTGCGTGGGTGCTCGAGAGGGACTTCGGGCTTTACATCATCGTCGTCTGTGGCCGCCAAGTCGATGGCCTGAACAATAGGCTGGGGGAGACCATCTGCCTGACCGTTGTCCTGGGTGGGAGGAGGAGTTGGGAGAGCACTGATGGTGTTCGCCTATGGATAAGCATGGTATTGGCAACGCTGTGGGCTCTGACTCACCTCGCTCGGGGTGTCGTTGGGCTTTGGCCGCTTGTTCGCCGTCGAAGGGCTTCCCTCTCCAGCAGACTCGGTGGGAACAGCCTCTGATTCGATAGGGACAGCCTGAGTGTCTGAAACTGTGACAGAGCGTTAGCCCAGAGGCGTCACCAGGCTGCACATGTGTTACGTACCAGACTCGGACGATGGCATGAGTAGATGAGTGTTGGTGGAAGGAGGGGTTGAGATGGAGAGAGTGGCGAGGACGACCGTGAGGGTTGCGGCGAAAGCGAGAGTGATGGTGTGATGGACACGGATAGACGGTGGGGTGCGGAGACTAATGAGCCGCGGCCACCAAGGGCCTGTGCCAGGCGATCAACGGACGACTGCAGGTGGTTCGAAAGCGATCGCCAGCGCCTTTCGTCGCACATCACCGTGTTTCGTCGCCCTTTCGTCGCCCTTTCGTCACATTTAGAAGCATTCCGTCGCATTTCGTCGTATTCCATGTCGTCCCCTTCGTCGCCCCTTCGTCGCCCTTCGCATATCTTCGCATTTCATCGCATTTCATCGCATTTCGTCACATTTCATCGGATTCCATCGCAACGAGGACGTCTGAGAGTACATGGAATCATAACACGACGTCACTTCTCCCTCACTCCTCCTTGAGTACATCAACCAGACCTTGCATAGTCTTGTTGAACTTGATCGCCGCCTCCTCGATGGCCTTCTCATGCTCTTCTTCCTCGGCCGTCAGATTCTGCAGCTCGTCCTCAAGCGCCTTTTTCTTCTCGTTGAGGTGGTTGATTTCAATGCGGAGGGCCTTCATTTTCGACCTGGCGATGCTCAACATAAACTTAGGGGACGTCGTCCCATTTTCATAGGTCTCGCGGCAGTATTTGATGACTGAGGTAGTGGCCTCGAGCTTGATGCCCTCCAGGTGGTTGCCGGGGTCCATCAGACCGTCGTTTGACAAAGAAGACAGTTGCTTCTTGCTGGCGCCCTCGGCAGACTTGACATGCTTATCATCAGCTGCACTCCCAGAGCGTGGTGATATACATAAGGTGCACTTACAGGCGTGGAAATGGTCCTAGAGCGTTTACGGTCGCGGCTGGACCTTCCAGCAGCAGTTGACGCACGGTGGTCGGGGGCCGGGCGGTCGTCTGACAGTAAACCTGCAAGTTCTGCAAAATGGTTCGATGTCATGGAAGGACTTACCCATCCTCTCCTTCTTGGCGAGGTTGTAGAGTTTACGAGAGCTTGTGCACCCATATATAGGATGACAGGGAAGAGCTGATGGGAACAACGCACGAAGTAGCGATCTCGCTCGCTTCAAAGGCATGCCCATTAACCGAGCAGTTGACAAATGCAGTACATCTGTATGTACATCACCGATCTGGCGCAGCTTTTCCCATGGTGGCTCCCTCAGGCATATATGCAACAGCGCCAACGAGAAATCGGCAAGGAGATGAACGACATACACAGCACTGGCGCACTGGCGTGTAGGATCTAGGCGTATGTTCTGCCACACGAGTGACGAACGACATCCGATTCAGAAAGCCGATCGTCCGGTGAACTGTCATTCTGTCCGCCCGCCCGCATGCAGGTTTACGCCAAGACAAGCATAACATACCTTAAGCTGATTGACATGGTATCTTCTCACCTGTTGCTCTCATATGCATGCAACATATGGTCAATGTTAGTCAATGTCGGCCGAACGGTTGTTTCCAAGACCGCGGCCAAGATAATCACGCGACGCGGGACCGGCCGAGCTCCGCGCCAGTTCCCGAACCCCACCAGCCGACACGTCTCAACTCTACATTCACCACGACTCCATCGCCCACTCTCGTCTCTTTCCAACCCACACACGATGAAGCTCGCCGCAGCCATCCTCCTTGCAGCAACCGCAATCGCCGGTCCTGTCCAGTCCCCGCTGCATGCCGAGGCTCACCGCGAGACGCGTGACGAAGCTGGTGCGTCATTTGCCACCCAAACCCGATAAGACGTGCCCCTAGTGCTGACCCTCCAGTCCTCAGCGCCGCTCACCTCGCCAAGGGCGTCACTACCGGTACTATGGCGAGTGTGTTCCCAGAGTCCGCTGGTGTCAATGCCGGTACGTTGGTGAGAGAACTCGGTGCCCAGTGCTCACCGGCCAGGTCACCCGTATGCCCTGATGGAGGTATGATGTCACCATCTCGCGCTTGAGTTGTCGCTAACCACATCTACCGTCTAATCTCACAGTCTCGTGAGCTGCTTTACCCGGATGGCTGACATTGACAACAGACGCACCATGCCACCCCAACGGCTCCCTCACCTTCATCTCCATGCCCATCTCCCTCATGACGCGTAACATCAAGGCCAACGACGGACGGGCGACCTACACTCTGCAGACCCCTCTCGAGAAGGGTGTGAGCGAGTACGGCAGACCCCGTGTCGCCTTCATTGGCGTGAGCCACCAGACGCTTTCACTCCAGCTGACAACAGAACCTGACCGTGCTGAACGACATTGACGTTGCTGAACGCGAGCGCCTGGCCACCTGTTACACCAAGTACCACCCGGACGCGCGCTGGTGGCTCCCCGACGACCCCCGTGGAGCACACACTGCCCACTGGGCGAGGCTGGATATCAACGATATCTACTACATTGGCGGGTTTGGAACGTGAGTACGCTGGTGGCTAGTCACCTGGAGGAGCTGTTTGTGTCGGTCGGTCGGCACAAAGCTCACTTGCTGATCCACCTACAGGACCGGATACATCGGCCACCTTCCTCTTGACAAGTACGCACAGGCTATGGAGGCTTAACCAGTTAGAGGGTACATAGCTTCAGTGGATATCAACACAGAGATGAAAGTTATCACAGTTGGCGCTTCATGAGACGTTCACGGCAGTTGGGTCAGATAAGCTCACCGAGGTCTGAGCCTGCGGAGACGTTGGTGGACCCCGCACTGACCAGGAGACACTGCAGGAGACACTGCAGGAGACTCTGAGATGGTCGAGGTCTGGTCAGGGGCCCATTAACAGGTGTTTATCTAACTCGGGGCTACCAAAACTCGCCTCCGACTCTCGAACTCGACGTTCTTCAGCGGTCAACACCTCCCTCCCTTCCCACAGGTGTACTCGGCGTCCCAAGCAGCCAAAAATGACGTTTGACGGGGTCGAACCGCCGACCTTGTGCGCAACTCTTGACAACAGTGTCCAAGTGTTAAGCACACGCTCTAACCAACTGAGCTAAATCGCCTCAATGTCGTCCACAAGGTGGAAGGAACTGCCACAAATTCTCCTCTTACGTAATGTGACAATTAACATTACGTAATAGCTCGTGCTTACGTATCCCTGTTGGGAAATCACGTTGCGGCGTTTCGGCGTTTTCGTCAAGTTTCGATGCCACCGTTTGGCTGGCAGACGCTGTGGGTGGTTGAACTGCCATACGAGACGAGCTTGCTTCCTTACTCCTCAAGAGCAAAAAGACGCCCACCATGGTGAGTACGGCGACGACGACCAGCACGCAAGCACAACACTCGGAAGGGACTCGAATATGGGCATCGCGCGCATGGAGAGTTGGCAGGAGGGCAGCAGTTGGAGGGGACGACTGCGTGTCAGCCGTGTCTCACGAGCGCAAACTTTGAAGGAGGCGCAAATGGCGAGCGCGCGCGCGATGTCCTGGTGTCTGGGATCCCCGAGTGTGCTGCTCTGTGCTGGACGACGACGAGCACACAACGTACAGCGCGCTGACAAGTGTCTAGGACCCCAACGGCCCCGTCACCATCCGCACCTCGAAGTTCATCACCAACCGCCTGCTTAACCGCAAGCAGTTCGTGCTTAACATCTCGCACCCCACCCGCGCCAACCTTTCGCGCTCGGAGCTCGGCGAGCGCCTCGCCCAGCTCTACAAGACCGAGGCCCAGCGCGTCGTTGTCTTCGGCCTCCGCGCCAAGTTCGGTGGTGGCTCGTCGCAGGGCTTCGGCCTGATCTACGACGACGAGGAGTCGCAGAAGAAGTTCGAGCCCAAGTACCGCCTCATCCGCGTGAGTATCTCTACAGGCAGGACGAGCTTGGTGTCGAGGACGGGGACCAGTTTTCCGCCCGTCTTCATCACAGCTCGCACTGGCCGCCCAACTTTTTCTTTGTTCCTTTGCTGACCCTTACAGTCGGGCATGGCCACCAAGGTCGACAAGGCCGGCCGCAAGCTCCGCAAGGAGCGCAAGAACCGCTCGAAGAAGCTCCGCGGCACCTCGAAGGCCAAGGCCGGTGACGCCAAGAAGAAGTAAATCAGTTCTCCAACTGGTTTGCAACTTCTACACCTCTTCGGGATCGACGTCGTTCTTCTGGGGGCTGTTCGCTGTATTATTTCTGCGCCCTTCCGCATACTTGGGAGAGATGGATCTCCTACAGCATCCCGTTATTGTGTTTACTATATGGAACACACTCACGATCGCATTTCAAAGGACAGATGTCCGGGGTCCCAATAGTCAAATTCGTTTGACTGGGATTGCGCTTGCGCGTGAGCTTCCATAGTTGCGTTCCTCGTCGAGTACCCACTCCGAGAGCGTCACCTGTTGCAGCTGCACTATTCCGCCGGGTGCGCAACTGACTAGTTGAGAGGGTTGCTAGTGAATTATTTTAACATTGCTGACTGTCAAGCTTCGCTGCACTGACTAGGCTAACATGACCCCATTTTGTAGTTCATCCCAAACCAATGCATTACATTTTCTACGCTGTCCAGATGCACCGGCGCTTGTTCTCCCGAAGCAAGAAGCTGGCAGAGGTGAAGAGGCAGGTGGTGGCATGAGGATTTTGGACGGACGAGGATTTTGGACATTCCACTTCCTCCATCATTGACTACACCTTTCACTCCCTTTGCCCATATTTGGCTTTCGTCCAAACAAAACTGCTTGCGTTTTTCATCCCACCTTATGGCCCTGCCTCTTATGCACCTATTCCACCCCTTCTCATGCCCGCACATGCATTTTTGGGCGAGATACAGCGATGGCAGCACTGCGCGCGAGTGCCCCAACATCCCAGGTCGCGTGGCCAAATGGTACGGCGTCTGACTACGATTTCATCTTCGATTATCAGGAGATCGCGGGTTCGATCCCCGTCGTGACCTACTGAGTGCTCTTGAGCATTCACTTTTTGGAGTTCTGAGGAGGACGTAGACGAGGTGAGCCGCAGACTATGGGGAGTTGGTTTGGTGCCACTTTTCATCTCTCGCATGGAACAGGTTCTTGTTCAACGGGAAACTCTTCCAATACGGACAGTGCGCTATCACCTGAGTGGCCTAGTACATGCATGCCTGGCCTAAAGAGCACACGACAGTCCCACCAAACGTCCATCCTGGAGGGAACTGATTGAAATTACTTGCAGCTACAGACTTTGACAGGAATAACGAAACCACCCTTTTCTACCAGTACTGCTCAACATGCTCGGCCCACCCATAGGCTGCTTCAATCACCACATCCTTGCCATTCTCGTCCTTGACGGTCCCTGACCAGGCGCCAAAGCACTGCCACGTCTTGGACGTGATGATCTTGAGGTCGGTATGGGCCTCGCGGACATGCTCCACGCGGAACTTGAGGTCTACCCCATCACCCGTAATCTTCCAGACCTTCTCTACCGTCTTGTCGCTCAGGTCCTTGATGTCATATGTCCACTGGAGCTCGTCGTGGATCTTGGACACCCGGCCGTCCACCAGGAGTGAATTCTCGGTCGCACCCGTTCCGTCCGTCCACTTGCCGCCGACCTGGATGCCCACCACGCGTCCAGAGGGCTGTGTCTCCACGCCCGTACCCCAGTTCCAGGTGATGGAGCGGGGCCAGCGGCCACGGCCGTGGTCGAGAGTGGCCCAGCTCTGGCCTGGTGGGAGAGCGATCTCGGTGCCATCGATAGTCACCGTTCCCGTAGCGGGTAGACCAATATCTTTGACGGTGTACTGGAACACCCACTCCGACCAGGGAACGACAACGCCGAGGCGCTCATGCCCCTTTGGTAGCGCGGCGAAGATGTCAATCGATACGCGAGCCGAGCGCGCCTGCAGGCGTGTTCCACCCTCCTCGGGTGTGATTGTGATGTCGAGACCACGGCTCTTGACGCTGGCCACTCCACCATCCAGTGTTCCAGGCAGAGTGACGCCCCATGCGAGCGGGGCCACGAGCTCGGTGTTGATTTCGGTGTTAGTCGCGCGGTCAAGCACGAACAAGGCGCACACGCCCGCGTAGTCGATGTTGCTTACGGTCAAGCTGATGATGTGCGTTGGGGTCACGACGGCCCAGTACTCCCACCGCTTGTTGCGCATGAAGCTCGTCCATGTGGTACCGATGGCGTCGGTGTCGTGTAGCGGGGTTCGTGTCCATCCCACTGCGGATGGGTTGAGCCCACCTGACGGATTCGTGAGCGAGACCGGGTCTGTGATTTCGACCCGAGCAGCGGCGTTGGGGGTGGATGCCATGGTGGGGGGCAGTTTGGTGAGTTGGTGGGCAATTGTGAATCGGATTGTGCGCGCGACAGGTGGCCATCGTGCTATGCTGTAGTCTACACATGTGGCCGGCAACGCTGCCAAGCGGGTTCGATGGTGACTGTCGACGCCGCCGCCGTGTCATGGCCGCCTTGGTAGTCGGCCTTGTCCGCAGGCACCAACAACGCCACACAAATAGCGCACTGGTCAAAAGGTCAAAGGAGCGAGTTGCCGTTTGCGGTGACGGTCAGTAAGCCCACGCATGGATGCACACCAAGGTGGATCAGCAAGTGTTCTGCTGGACTTGTCAATGTGTCAGTGTGTTGTGTGAATCGGTAATGGTTTAACGATGAGACGTTGCTGGCTGGAATTGCTGGCCACTGGACGTCGCTGGCGAGAGGAATCTGTACAATCTGCGCCCCGCTCAGACGATCAAGAACACAAACACAACACACGGCGCACAGATCCTACGACCACACACCTCTCCTCCAACTTCACACGGTACACGGTCCTTCAGAACTTCTCTTTTTCTGTCATAACCCACTCACTCGCTCGTCTACTCATCATTCCCCTGCCAAAGTAACGAGCCATGGAAGACGCCGACAAACCCCCACAGAACTTCGACCCCGATTTCGCCTCCCCCGTCGAGGGAGCAGAGCTTCCGGCCATCATCATATCGTCCGACAAAGTGGGATTCCACGCCGACCTCAAGGTCCTCGCCTCCCGTTCAAGCTTTTGCCAGGACCTCAGCGAGATTCCCATGCCCGAAGTCGAGGAGGGACAGAAGCCTCGCGTGCTCCCTTTTCCCTCGGCGTCTTCGCCTGCCATCAAGTTTGTTCTGCAAGCCGTCGCGTACAATCTGGCGCATCCGCCTCAAACCAGCTCGCCCGCGGGAGAGCCGGCGTCCGAGCAGTTATCCAAAACCGCCCTCTATGAGGCCCTTCCAGACATGCCCCAAGGCATAAAGCTTCTCCAAGAAATCCTACACTTCACAGACGCCTACGAGCTGAACGACTTTACGATCCCTGTCATCTACGAGGCTATGAAGAAGGCTCACCACTACTCTCCTGCCATAATGTTCACCATGACTGCCATTACCGACCAGGGAAACCTTAGTCATTGGGCGACCCGGATCCTCTCGGAGGGAGGCAAGGGCGCCATAGACCCGTGGTCCAACGCAATGCTCGAGACCAATGCGTCGGAACGGCTTCCAGAGTTGTACGCCCTCTTTGATCGCTGGGACACCGCCTTTGCCAACTTCAAGAAAGCGAGCAGCGGAGCGCCCATCGATGGCAAGAACGCCTTCTCGAAGGAGTGCATCACTCGCCAGTGCGCCTGCGTTGCCGAGTTTGACGGCAACTGGGCCGCGTTTACCTCCAGCTTCCGCGACAAGATGTACAAGTATGCGCTCGCCTCCCCCATGTTGATGAAGCGCGCCAAGGTCATGGAGTTCTGCATGAAATCAGTCGCTTGCGAATCTTGTGCCAAGCGCTTGGCCCCCTCCATCAGCTCGGCCTGGAACAGGTCAGTGACCAGGCAAGCCTGGAGCCTTAACCCTGGCAAGGCCAACAGCCAGTCTTCCCACGTTCGTCGCCGCTACCGTATTGTATATGCTGTTTAGGCCATCCGTATCATGTTTAAAGCTCCACCATACAACTATTGATCTCATATACTCTCTGTAACATGCATGTCCTTCTGTATTTCACTCAAATGTGCATGCTGAAGGGTGAGGGTAGAAGGGCCATAGTGTAGGGGGTTGACGGTGTTGCGTCTTGGCGGCCCAGGTGGGTGGCGAAACCGGGGGCCCGCACTGACCACGCTAACCCGGCCAGACGCGCCCAGGCGGAGGTTTCAAAACAAACACGTCCGTGTCTTTCGACCTTCCTTCCACACCATTACTCGTTTTTGTCCGTTTCTTTCTCTCCACTCGCCATCAACCGTAACTGGTCATGCAAGCGGACGGCATACCCGTTAAGTTTGACCCCAACTACGCCACCCCCGTCAGGGGAGCCGAGCTCCCCGCCATCCTCGTATCGTCCGACGATGTTGGATTCTACGGCGATCTCAAGTTCCTTGTAGACCACTCCCCTCCTTTCCACGACATGGTCTTTGTGGTCGAAGGTTGCGGTGGCAAGGAGGTAGTGGATGATGGCAAGCCGCGCGTCCTCACCTTCCTTTGCTCGGCGCTGGCTCTCAAGTTTATCCTCGAAGCAATGTCGTATGCCGTCGTCAACACGCCCATTGTGACACCCCAAGAAAACGAGACCCGCCGCCCGACTGTCACCCTCGCCCACAAGTCTCTTCCCTGCCTCAAAAAGACCGATAAGACGACGATAGAAGAGATTCTCGACTTCTCCAAGATGTATGAACTGGACGACTTTGTCCACCTCACGCTGTACGACTCGATGAAGAAGAGCGGCCACTTCCCCCCGGCTGTCATGCTGGCCGTCACTGCCTGGACCCACCACGGCAACTCCAACTACTGGGGTACCCAACTTATCACCGCCGGTGGCCTCCAAGCGATGGACGAGTGGTCGACCAAGATAATCAAGTACCACGCCCCCGACATCCTCGAGGGCCTCACCACGCTCTTCCAGCGCTGGGAGGAAGGCTACAGCAAGTTCAAGGAGTCGAGTGTGCGAGTCCCCATCGACGGCTACGACGGCTTCCACAAAGTGTGCCTCGTCAACAGGTGCAAGGCGTTTAAAGACTACAAAGGCAACTTCCAACTCCTCCAGACGACTACTCGCGAGATGATGTGGGCGTATGCGTTCCGCAGCCCCATGTTGATGCACCCCTCCAAGGTTGCCAAGTATTGCATGGACACCATCGGCTGTGACGTCTGTGTGGAGCGCATTGCGGGCGCCATCAGCTGGGCCTGGAAGCACTCGACGAAAAAGCAGACCTGGACCATGAATCCCCGCAAGCGTACCCCCAAGCGTGGCGGCAAGTCCATCACCAAGCCCAAAAAGAAGAAGGCCAACAACGGTGCAGCTGCAGCTGCAGCTACAGCAGCCCCCTAGAGTAACCTCCTAAACCGCTGGGGACACCCTCAAGATTCGATCGCCATCGATCCTTGCGTCCACGTCCTCCATTCACCTCAACGACACCACAACGACTAGGTCGCCAAGTCCTCACCTCTCTCCATGTTCCCATACAACCATACGACTGTTCTGTCTATAGCATACCTTTGTAGAAATCCAGGTTTCACTGTCAATCAACCTGTGACGCATGCGACACCTCCATGATGTATCCTCCAATCAGTCCATGCCAGTCCACAGCCCGTACTGATCGCCCTTGCTCCGGTGGCCTGTGCTCTTCTGATCAACGGGGTACAAACAACGCACTTCCCAGTAGGACATGCCTAGACAAGTCACATCCTCCTCTATTCACGTTCTCACACCTCACCCCAACGCCACCCCTCACCATGCCGTCCAAGCACGAAACCCTACGCTTCCACCCAAAGTTCACGGCGCCAGCCATCGGCACCATCCTCCGAACCTCCGACGGCCTCTGCTTTCGCGCCGACACAAACATACTCGTGGGCAGGTCAAGCTTCTTCCAAGAACTCCTCGCCAGCCCCAACACCAGCCGCGACCCCAACCACAGTCTTCAGAGCCAAAATCACTCCCTCCTCGTCGTCACTCTCGACAGCGTAGACTCTGTCACCCTCACATTCGCACTCGAGGCCCTCCACTCACGGGTCCACCGCCTCGCGCCGCCCTTTCCGCCATACCTCACCGTCCCCTTCCTGGACCAATGTCTTCTCCTCAATGACGAGTACGACCTCCCCATCCTACCAGTGCTGTACCGCTCCCTCGAGCTGCACGCCAAGAACCAGCCGGGAGTGATCTTCGTCCTCGCCGTCCGCCTGGGTTACGAAGACGCCACCAAGTGGGCGTGTGAGCTGTTCCAGCGCCCAGAGGAATTCGGCGACTCGTGGTGGTCGTCCAACCTCCACAAAGAAAACCGACCGATCTTCCTCCTCCTGGTTGAGTGCATGGTACGGTGGAACCGCGGATACTCCCAGTTGCTCGAGTTCATCGCCATGAACGCCAACTACAGGTTTTCGCCCAAGTGCCATTCGGACTCCCCCTGCGGTGTTGTGCGCCACTACCGAGCCGACTTTGGACTCTTCCTGGACGAACACCTGCCTTGTCTCTGGCCGCTGAGTCAACGCAGTGAAGCGACCGTATTTCCTTGGGCGGACACTAGGGAGAGGATGGAGATCCCCTGTGCTGCGTGTCGGACACATCTCGGACAGCTGCTGTTGCGCGCGTGGCGTGCCGGGCACTATCCGTCCAAGGTCGAGTTCCAGTTCAAATGAAGTGAGCTTGAGGATATGGTTCATGTACAACAACACTAATTTACACAGATTATGTTATCCGGACTCTGTATCCGACCTCAAGGGATGCTGTATCAAAACAGTGGACAAGCTATGTGCCAGCCGTGGACGAAAAGAGTGGCGCAAAGTCTCTTATGTAAACAACGGTTCTTCACCTGCAGCAACGCATAACCTCATGCTTCTTCTCACGTCTTCATGCGCCCCAACCCAACAATCAATGTCAGTTTTGGCCACTTCTCCACCATTTCCCTGTCTCGCAAGATGTTGCGCTTCCATCCCGACTTTACAACGCCGCTCAACGGGTTAATCCTCCAAGCCTCGGACGGTCTCTGCTTCCGCTTCAGCCGTCACACCTTGGTCGGGATCTCGTCCTTCTTTGAAGACATTTGTTCCCTACCCACACCACCCGACTCGGACGGTGACGAGATTATCCTTCCGTTTCCCACTATTGGCTCAGCCGCGTTGGCCTGTTCGCTCCATATCCTCAAGGCGATGTTAAGCAACTATCCCCCCTTCGACCCCGTCCCAGCACCGCCTTTTGAGCTCAAGCTGCTGGAAGAGGTGTTCACCTTTGCCGATGCCTATGATGTTCCAGTCATCTTGGGATCTATACTTCTGCAAGCCCTAAAGACACATCAAGCGGACTCTGCTACCATTTTCACGGTCGCTGCTGTTACAGGTTGCAAATACACTATGGCTGAAATGTCGACCAAGCTACTCACCCACGAAAGCGAGTTCAACGCCAACGCTTGGTGGGCCGCCACACTCGAGCGCAAGGAACCTCTCATCCACGCGGCTGTAGCGAACATGTACTTCGCGTGGCACACTTTCTGCCGGGACTTTCGCCGCGACATCTTTTCTCCCCCGCCTACCCGTCGTAGACTCTTGCGGTTCCTCCCGCAGTCGTTGTTCAACTATTGGCACCTGCGTACGGTGCCCGTTCCCAAAAACTTTGAAGAAAAGTTCAAGCACAGCCCCTCAGACCCATGGCTTTTGCAATCCACTAGGATCCCTAGATGGTGCTGGAGTTGCAACGAAGCGGAAATAAGAAACGTTCGCTGCCGGTGGACGTCGTTTATCCCCTCCTCGGCTTGGAAGATCACGTTTTGACTGAACGACCTCTGTCCCAGTGGACCATCGCCTATCCTGCCAGCAATCACCCGTCCTCAGGCAGCTCTCGCGATGAACACTTTACATAGTCCATACCATCTTAACCACAAGTACTCACTGTCTACATATGCAACTTGTCTACACTGTGGCACTACGCTTCGGGACCCTGGCTCGGTACGGACAGCTCTCTGTCCCCACGTCGTCCCAGACATGCGCCCCAGCGAGCGTGTTGAGCCGCGTCCCAATAGCATGCGTGACCACGACGCTTCCAAGCATGCCCGCAGCAAACAAGAGCAGCATGTTGACCGTCGAAAACTCGACAGACGCGGCATCCAGCTCGAGAATCTCCACCGTGAGTCTGGGCAACCACGACTTGCGGTCCATCACAAGCCGGTCCTGGGCTTGGAGTCGCTTCATAGCGGCCTGAATGGGGCCGAAGAGGGTCTTGACAGCGTCAAACGTCTCAGGAAGCGAGGCGGCGAGGATAGCCTTGTCGTTGTTGCACCATTGGTCGGCGACGAGGGGGGAGAGGCTGAAGGCGCGCAGGCTGGCTATCCACTGACACGGCGTTAGCTAGATGATGGAGTGAGGAACTCACTTCTGGCCGGACGGTGGGACCGTTGGCCTTGGGACTGGGGTCCGAGACGGACATGTTGCTGAGGAGATCGCACAGGTCCATGGTCGGTGTTGGTGGTGTGTGCTTTTGATGACGACAAGTCGGGGGTAGCAAGCACCCCATGCCGGTTTATGAACAGTGGACGTCTCCCCTGGCTGACACCTGATGTGAGAGACTTGGGACCCCCAAGAATGCATCTCACCCCGTCACTGATGAGATCGTTTCACAGGTCAGAAGTAAGGATCTCATCAGTAACCAGGAGCTGTGTGTCAATTGATAGCATGCTGTACTGATCTACCTTCTATCCCCGTCTCCGCACACCTGCGCACCTCTTCCTTCACAACTTGGAACAAGCCTCGGCACACTCCGATGCCCCATTGCAGTCCTTCTTGACCCGACGGCAGTAGCACGACGACTCGATGGGCACGTCAGCCACTGCGAGTGCAACGCTGAGCTGGGGCACAAGCATGCTGGCCTCTGCGGTGCGTCCCAGTCGCACCAGACACTCGTGGTAGCCGTGCAGAGCCCAGACATTGTTGGGGTGACGGACTGCTCGGGGCAGCGATGTCGAGAAGCCCAGGTCCTCGGCATACACCTTGGCAGCGTCCTCGACCCGGTTCTGCTCGAGAAGCAGAGCTGCATACGCGTGCCTTGGTGGCTGGAGCCAGCCCCACGGCTCGGCATACACCAGGTTGTCCGCGTAGTGGATCGACTTGCGGAGGTGCGCGAAGCCCTCCTCAAAGTTGCCCTTGCGGTACACGAGCTCTCCTTGGAGCATCTCCTCGGCCACGTTGAGAATGTCCTGCCACTGGTTGGGAAAGGCCTGACGACTCGGTTTGATGGCAGCGCGAGCCTCGCGGAAGAGCTTTTGCTCGGCATCCGCCTCGTCGAGGCGGCCGGTTAGGCCGAGCGCCAGGGCACGGCCGTAGTGCATGAACGTTGTGGTGACACAGTAGAACTCCCTGTCGTCCGGGAATGGCAGTGCGAGCAGGTCGTCCCACTTGCCAAAGCGCACCAGCACCTCGATGCGGTACGTCTTGAAGCCCTCCATCCAGTCGATCATGGGGGGCGAGGGGATGCGGAGGAACTCGTCCGAGAGCGACGTCTCCATGCGCTCGACCGTGTCCATGGCGACCTTGAACTGACCCGAGAACATGGCTGCGTAAATGGGGAACGTGTAGTCGTGCAGACGATAGAAGGCGTAAAAGTCGTTCGCAGTGCCGTGGTGAACGTACTTTTCGTCTGCCTCGATCGCCAGCAGATTGCCAGCAATGGCACGGCGATAGTCGCCGACCAACAAGTCAATGTGGCCTGGCATGTGTTGCAGGTGACCTCCGTCAGGAACCAGGCCGAGAAGAGCATCTGATGCCTGCAGCGCACGCTCAGGCCAGGGCGAGAGCTCCATGAGGTGAATGTAGAAGTGGAGAACACCAGGATGTGACATGGCGGCAGATTGCTCGAGCGCACGCTCGAGAACCTCCTTGATGAGCAGCGTCTGGCTCCTCTCACGCGGTGCGCCAGTCTGGATGTCCCACAGCTCCCATGGCGCAAGCTGCATAAGCGAGTCGGCGTACACGGCCGCCACGTCGAGGTTGTCGGGGTAGTCTTTGTAGACCTTGGCCATCTCGTCGGCGTAGACCCTGTTCCACTGGCCGAGCTCGTCGCATTTTGGGCCGTCCGCCGTGAGGATCCGTGTGTCGATATCAGCGCGCCGCAGGGGGAAGCGCTTCACGAGGGCAGCCGTCAAGGCTTTCTCTTGCGGCGCGGTCGCCAACTCGGCCGCACGGAGGGCAGCGAGGTGGCACTCGATAAGCGCCGACCGCAGCTCCTCAGTGTCGAAGTTCTCCCACGTCTTGTTGTAGTTGGGACCGGCAGCATAGGCAATACCCCAGTATGCCATGGCACATGACGGGTCACATGCCGCGGCATACTTGAAGCAACGGACAGCTTCGAGGTGGTGGAACGCATAAGTCCAGGTAAGACCGCGGTTAAACCATCGCTGCGCGTCGGGGGACGATGTTGTCACGGTCTTTGAATAGCTGCCAAGGTTGTAGGGGTACTCGTCGATAGGGGGTGGGGGAAGGGTGAGCGAGTCGCTAGTGATATCTTGGGTCATGGTGGGCGACAGTGAAGACGACCAGGCCAGCCATGTCGACAGATCGCGAAGAGGCCCGGGTACACGCCGGCCGACGACTTTGGAGCCCCGTCGGACTGGGCCGTATTTGGTCCCGCTCCTACAGTTCAAGTGTGGCTCTCGCTCGTTCTGTTCCTTCCTTGTTCCCTCGAGCGCAGCAAAAGGTGCAAGATAGATGGCGAGAGCGGCAAAAGAGGGGGTGTGCTCGCACGCTGAGTCGAACAGCGGTCGGGTCAGATGATGAGATTGCTGCGAACCACAACGACCAATGATAACCACCTACACTATACGAGCCGACGGACGTTCGTCGCTGAAGGCCAAAGAAAAACTAGTGGCAAAGTCTGGGCCAGTTATAGCATTGGACGAGAATTCTTCTACCTCCAGGGGTTACAGTGGTACCCATCTATGATGTGATATTGTCCTCAGAGCATCGGCAGGATGCAATGATATTAATGGGAGACTTATGTCCACCAAAACTGGCGGACCGAAAATTGTCGAAAATGGGTCTAATTACGCCACAGTGGGCACTCTTTCAGGCCACCTGGCCGTATTGAGAGATCCTATACATGTACTGATCCATTGTAAACGTTATCGACGTTAGGGGGTGCAGTACTGAGGCGTTGGTACAGCCATGGTGCGTAACGCTGAACTGATGAGCGCGCGACCAGCCTAGGGGTATGCCACTTGCGGGGGGGTGAACAGAGCGGCGGAGTCAAATGTCCTCATCACATCCAGTCAACCGATTTCCATCACCACTCTAGCCACTTTCAAACCATCAACTCCTCTGTCCCTCTGTCCCAGCAATGAACGCGCCTCTGGTGTTTGATCCAGACTTCACAACTCCCGAGGACGCGCCGATATTCCAAGCCTCGGATGACGTCTGTTTCCGTTTTCCGTGGGAACCGCTGGTCGCCATATCCTCGTTCTTTCGCAATCTCCAGTCTCTTCCTCTGCCCCCAGGTGACCAGGACGCTGTGATCCCCCTTCCTTCAGCAACCTCAAAGGCACTCAAGACCATATTCCTTGTGGCCGATTCGCTCGCAAGCGGAGCCCTCCTGTCAGTTCCTTCGACCTACCGATCCAAACACATTCCGGAAGTCATTGCTGTTGCGGACGTGTACGACTTGGAAGCCATTTTTGAACCACTCTTCAAGGCGTATTTCACCCGAAAGAGCTATTATGTGGCCCTCCTCCTGGCTCTTATCTTACAAGACACTGCCAAGGCGGATGCCACCGCAATAAAGCTTTTGGACAAGTACCAGAATGAAGGTCATGGAGACTATGGATTGCCTTCATGGGTCGACTCTTTCCTGTCCACCACAGCTCCCCTCGCCCATTCCAAGCTCCTTACACTATTCGAGTTCTTCGATGACAAAATGGACGTTGGCCGCTTTCAGGACCAAGTCGAGCTGAAGTCACGCAACGAATACCCCGGATTTCTCCCCACGTGCCGAACCCAGCAGTGTCCTGAGTACAGAAGTTGGGCCAGCTTCCGTGCGCTAGCAAGCCGCAAACTCACACGCGCTGTCGTCAACCTACACAACGGAAACGTCAAGGATATGGTCGAGAAAGCGACGGCCGATATCAAATGCGACGACTGTGCCGCACGTATGACGGAACTCCTCCGGAATGCCCTGGCTTATAGCCGCCCTCACAAGCCGAGAGACGTTGTGGCACAACACCAAGATCTTCCATGGGCGTGATGGCAGCAACCGTGTAGACTGAAGTTTGTGCAGATAGAAGCATGTATATGTACCGATGAGGTCACTTGGAAACACATCTGCGCCCACTTTTGCAACAAAGCTCAACAACTTCCACGTCTTCGTCTCGGTTTTGCCACCGAACCATCTGTCACAATGGAGCCTCTCGTCTTCGACCCCGCCTTCACCACTCCGGAAGATGCCCCGATCTTTCAGTCCTCAGATGGGGTGTGTTTCCGCTTTCCATGGAAACCTCTTGTGGCTGTATCGTCGTTCTTTCGGGACCTCCAGACCGTCCGACTCCCACCCGCCCAAGACCAGGATCTGCCACCCGTCATTCCACTGCTTTCAGCCCTTTCAAAGGGACTGAGGACTGCCTTCCTTGTGCTCAAGTCGATTGGTGATACCTCTGTCAGGGTTCCCACCAGCGACCTCAGCGACCTCTCTCACCTTGTCGACGTCGTCACGGTCGCTGACGCCTACGATCTCAACATTGTCCTCGAGACTCTTCAAACGATCTACACAGCCAACAGGAACTGGAAGACGTCTTTCACCCTGTTTGCCGTATTACACGATGTCAACGGCATGGAGAATGTCATGACCTATATCTTGGCGTCGTCCAGTTATCCCTTGGAAGATTGGATGAAGGATGTCCTGTCAACAAAGGCCCCGCAAGCTAGCTACAAGTTCACCAAAATCGCAAACTTTCACGCGGTCAATATTGAACGCTTTGACGAGCGCGCCCGGTTCCTCGCCAAGAATTCGTACAGGGGGTTCCTCCAGACGTGCCGTCAGAAGGGCTGTCAGCAGGGATGTTCCGAGTTCAAGGCATGGCCCTCCTTCGAAGCACTGGCTTATCGCAAGATTTCGCGGGCCGTGGTTCTCATGCACCGAGGACACGGCCACGACGTCATTGAACCCGCTGTGACCGCAAGTTTGAAGTGCCTCCACTGCGCCTCCCGCCTCCTAGATCTTCTGAGGGAAGCCCGCGTGTACAGTCGATACGACTGGACATACATCAAGAACTGCTACAGGAGTATTCCTTGGGTTTGAGGTGAGACAGTGGTGTTGGCCTAAGAAGGATTTCAGTAGGCAGTGCCTTCGGCCGATGAATGAAATTAGTCTGTGGGTGTGTGGCGGAACATGCAGAAAATGACTGAAATTCATCTTGCTTCTAGTTCTCGTGCGATACAAGAGCGTTGGACAGTTCGATGCACGAATGGTAGGATGCGGAATAGGTTGTGTGCATCGGTGCTGACATGAAGGAGGTCGATGATGCTTGGGCGTTCGATGACGCTGGGGCGTAGCCCAGAATCCTTCCTCACAACAGAACAACAGGACCAGGTTCGGTGCGATAATGGTGTGCTCCGTCTTCACATCATTGAGTTCACAGTCCAGCAGCTTCAAGCTCACCCTCCTTTCCGTATCCCACTTCTACTTTTAACATCGTGTTCAATCACTGGCCATGGCGTCCCTCAACATAGATCCCGACTTCAACACCCCTGGTCATCCCATCTTCCAGGCGGCCGACGGCGTCTGTTTCCGCTTTCCCTGGGAACCGCTTGTCACCAACTCTTCGTTCTTTCGGGACCTCACGAGCATTCCACTCCCACCCTGTGATGATCCGGACACCCAGGAAGTTATTCCACTTCTCTCAGCGACCTCTATCGCGCTCAAACTCGTGTTTCAGGTGCTCTCGCCGAACAAGTGGCCTCGGCAGAAGGTCAAACCCTTTCCGTACGAGCATCTCGAGGAAGTGTTCATCATCGCCGACGCGTATGACCTCAACGCCGTCCTTGAATGTCTTTATAAATTAAGCAACGATCCCTTTGTGGTATTTACTATGGCTATGGCCCTCCGGGACGTTGCCAAAATCGAGCTTGCAGCGCATGCAGTAATGAGGGCTGCCCAAATACATCCAGAAATCGACTTCCTCTTGTGGATCAAGAGTCCCGTCGCCCGCGCAAAGCTACACAGGCTCCGTGAATACCACAAGACGCATATTACGGTCAAGCTATTCAAGCATAAGGCCAAAATTCTGGCGCTATCCAAGTACCACTTATTCAATAAATCGTGCCGAAGGGAACCCCCGTGCTCCCCAAGCACCAAGTGGGACAACTTCTGTTCACTTGCCTTCAAGGAGATCACTCGTGCCATATCGTTTATTGAAGCTGGACACGGTCCTCAAGTAATCATTGATGCCGTAGTGGCCGGCATTGGGTGCCCAACTTGTGCTGGTCGCATGTCCCAGCTGATGTCGGACGCTGTAGGGTCGGCTCGGCCGGGAACCGACGGAATTCTCAAACTGCACCATTTCGAGCCATGGTTCTAAGTGACCGTTCCTTCCTCCATGGGAGAAACTGTACATACAAAAGGAGAAAACACCTGTATATAGAGACATGTAACCACCAATGCTGTGCATCGCCGGTTTAGTGCACGTGGTCAGACCTTCACAATTCAACAGTCGTCCAGGACATGTGGTGAGGACTTCTAAACTGCTGGGCGGCGGAGACATCTTGTGCGCATTGACAGACGCGCCCTCTTCCCAGCTTCCCATGCCCTTTCCACGTTTCAGCGTCTCCTCATCCCTCCTCCGCTGACCTCTTTGGCCTCTTCCATCTTCTCCATCTTTCATTCACACACACTCTCGGTGTAGCACCCAAGACATGTCATAATGTCGTCGCTGAACCTCGATCCCGATTTCAATACCACCGGTCTACCCATCTTTGAAGCGGCCGACGGAGTTTGTTTCAGCTTCCCATGGGAGCCCCTCGTGGCTGTGTCGTCGTTCTTCCAAGACCTCCAGTCCCTTCCAGTCCCCGCTGGCGGCTCCCAAGGCCATTCCGACTCTGAACTCGTCATACCGCTTCCGGCCGCCACGTCACAGGCTCTCAAAGTCGCCTTTCATGCCATCAATTCGGTCGCCACCGGAGAACCATTGGGAATGACACCACCCACGGATCCGCAAGTCCTCATCGATCTTATCACTCTTGTCGACGCCTATGATCTTGATCCCGTCGCCGTTCTCAAACCTATCTCTTCCTGCGCCAACATCCTCGAGGACGCCGGTCGTCGGTTCGCCCTAGCCGCCCTTCGTCAGGACGAGGACGAAATGGAGTCGTGTAGCCAGCACCTCCTGAAGACTCCCGAGAAGCAGATGTCCGAATGGCTCAACGCTATCCTCTCCGCCAAAGCCCCTGCCGCGCATTACAGACTCTCCCAACTGTACAAACAACGAGAGGACAAGATCCACGCCTTTCGGTCGGAGGCAACGTGCGTAGCCCGGCACAGCTACTATGGATTTCAGAAGTGGTGCCGTTACCTCCCTTGCACTGAGTACCAGACTTTCAGTCACCTGTCCTTCTTCGCACTGGCCCTCCAAAAAATCGATGAACTGGAAGTTGTTATACGCCAACGCTATGGAGAAGGGGCTTATGGTGTCATCGCTGGTCATCTGTCCTCCGTCTCGTGCTCTACCTGCCATATGCGGCTGAGCATCATTCTCCGGAAAGGTGTGGACAGATTCCACAGCACCGGAGCTCTTAAAACGCTTCCTTGGGTCTGACTTGGCGTTAGTCACTCTCGGAAACCATTCCGCAAGGCTGTCGGTCGTTTTCCGGTACAGCATTACAGTCAATCAATCTTGCAGCGAAAATGGGGCGAAATGTCCAGAAAATACCGGAAATGTTCTTGTACCCCCTTGTTCTTTCTCTTGCTTGCTTGTAAGCCCATTCCAATACGACATGCACAGGTAGAGTGATAGAGGGGGTTATCGAGAAGCTAGAATTTTGAGGGCGCAACCTGGGCGTCGAGGGAGTGCTACAGTACACGCTCCACGTCGACCCATGCCACCACCATCACCTTGACTTTCTCGATTACCTCCTCATTTCCCACGCCTGAACTCCCAAACACTTGGCCACTCTATACCGTCCCCAGTCATCAATCAACACCCATGACGTCCCCCGGCACCGAACCTGACTTTAATGCAGTCGGTCTCCCTGTTTTTGAGGCGGCCGACGGCGTCCTCTTCGCTTTTCCGTGGGAACCGCTCGTCGTCGCCTCTTCCTTTTTCCGTGATCTGAAGTCGCTCCCCCCTCCTACAGAGGAGCATCAAGATTCATCCTCGAACAGATCCATCATCCCCCTGCCGTCAGCGACTTCCAATGGTCTCAAGGCAACCTTCCAAATCATTCACAGGACAACCCATAGCCTGCCGCTTTTCGACCACCTGCCTCATGAGGCGGAGACGTTGGTGGACATGAACGTTATTGCGGACGCCTACGACCTCACGAGCGTCATTGAAAAGGTTTGCGAGGCCTACAAGAGAGCCGGAAGCTACTTTGTCCCCTTTTGTTTTGCCACGCTTGCCGAGGAGGTCGACCAAATGAACATCCTTAGTTTTCACCTGTTGCACGAAACAACCAAGAAAGAAGTGCCAGACTGGCTTTGCACCGTGCTCCAAGCCAACGCTCCTATCGCCCAGGCCAAGCTCCTCCTCATGTATCACGTCCGTGAGACCAACCTCGACGCCAACGCTTTTAAGTCTAGAGCAGATCACATGCTGGAGCACAGCTACGGCGGGTTCCTCAAGAAGTGCGTACGCAACCGCTGTTCCGAGTACCGAATTGCCGATTCGAAGTGGTTTATCAATTTGGCAGCCCCAAGGTTGCTAGGGGCATCACCTTTCTGTACCGTGGTACCGGAATCGACGTTCTTGACCTTCTAGTGGCAGATGTTTCTTGCGGCGCAACTGCGCAGCCAGGCTTCGGACCATTTTGGAGGCGGCGGTCCGCGACGCTCAACTCCAGGCCACCGAAGTCCTCGACATGTACCGCGATATGCCTTGGATCTAAATCGTTGGCAAGAGTTGCCGTCGCCGCAACCCCGACAGGAACTCAGAACAAGAAGTGGGCCTAGGACTGCGATGTGTAGCGGCTCAGAGATGTACGAGCGACTGGATCGACCCACAATGTGACCGCATGTGTGTATATTGCGTCAAGTGATCCGTGCCCGCTTAATTGCAGCCATCCAACATCCACCCACACGCATCGACAGCAACAGAATGTGCTCCCAACGCCTCGACAAGCGTCGAACAGCCTGCAGTCTGCACGGCATTGTCATGAACATGACGGCCGCTTAGCTCAGCTGGTTAGAGCATCGTACTAATACCCAGTCTTGGTTACTAGTCCATGCGGAGGTCGGCAGTTCGATCCTGTCAGTGGTCATCTATCTTTTGCTGCGTTGCTCGTGTGCGTCTTTTGCGGCGTGGTGGATGGAAGGGAATGGAGAACAAGTGTACAACTGGTAGAAGATGGATGTGGTGAGACGAGTGCCACGAAGATCGGCACTAGCGCTGATCTGCGTGCGCGCCGACAGCCGGCTGTAACCGGCAAACTTCGCGCGCCGTCTTCACGCGACTAACTTCTTGGCGTCGCACTAGTGTCGACACTGTTGACAACAGCAGGCTCCCAACTCTCCGGTAGCTAGTTATGTATGCATATGGCTAATGGCCCTCTCTACTGTTACATGGGACGTAATCGATATACTGGTGGTTGTAGTTGTATTGTTGCTGTGGTTGGTGATACCCCGCCCCGCGCCGTCGCTGTCTCTACTCGTCGCCCTCGCCCGACGACACGAACATGAAGTGGACAAACTTTTTCCACTTTTTCTTGTCCTCCATGAGTGTCCGCGCAAACTTGACATAGCTCTTGATGGTCAGGTCGTTCATCTTCCATGGGGTGATGCGCTTGATCTCCTTGAGGAACTTGGCCTTTGGGTCACCCTTCTTGCCCTTCTTGCCCTTGACGAGGCTGTCCGCCGACTCGTCGTCGTCGAGCGAGGACAGGTCCTCTGGGGAGAGCCTCTCGATGGACGGGTCGTATCCAGGGAGCAGGTGGTACGGGACCGGTGGTGGCTGAGTGAGAGGCACACCCGACAGCGCCTCTGGGAGGAGGCTCTTGGGCTTGAAGGTAGAGTATTCAATCTGGTAGGCGGGCTGCTTGTTCTGCTTCTCGATGGTGGGAAGGAAGAACTGGGTATAACCCAGGGCACTGAGAGGCTTGTTGGAGCGCGAGGGCGACTCGGGTGACGAGTATCGGGGCTTGTTCTTGAACGCGCACCGGGGCTTGTCCTCGTTCTCAGGCTTCTTGCAATCCTTCTTGGTGATCTCAATCTCTGCGAGATCTTCCTCGTCTTCTTCGTCGGGTGGGAGATTGATGAACATCACCTGCGAGTCGGCCTCGAGGGTGACGCCCGTGATGTTGTACGAAAAGATACGAGCCGAGGGAATGTAGGTGGGGATGACGGAGGGGCCAACGTTCATGACAGCATAGTCCTTGTACTTGAGGTCGGTGACTGGAGGCAGCAGGTCCCACGAGTCCTGCAGGTCCTTCTTCATAGATTCGGCCTTCTTGCTACTGCCCCTTCCCAGGACCTTGAGGCGGCCAGAGTTGAGGTTGTGTCCACCATGACGAAGCTCGGGGCCAATGAAGGTAAAGTCCTCGACGCTGCTGCCGTTGAGCATGGCGTCAGGAATCTCCATAATGTCAAAGTCTTTCTTGCTCGGGGCGAACGCGTCGTTGAGCTCGGGGACGTCGAGGAAGAAGAAGTGGTCAACATTCCTGCAAGTCAGTTTGGACTTTCGACGTCAAACTCACTGATGGCCGAAGAGGTGACCGACAATAGTGTCCTGGAACCGCAGAGCAAGATCACCGTAGCGGAGGTCTGCTCGTCAGTAGAGGCACTTTGCGAATCCACAATCGGTACGTACAGCAGTTGTCATAGAAGACGCCCTGGTGAGGCGGGACGTGGCCAATGAGCCAGACCTGCATGCCCCGGTCGCGGAACAAGTTGAGCTGGACCTCGAGCCAATCCATCTCGAGCGCACCGGGGTCGTTTGAGCGGTCCTTGCAACCGTCCACAGCTGGGATTTGTTAGGTGCGGACTACAAAACAACACCTACCAGAGTTCGATTGGAACCAAAACAGGGTGTTGAGGGAAATAACGGCAAGTTGGTCTGGAATGACCTCTACAGCAAAGTAGGCGCCACGCTCAAAGACATGGCGGTCGTCCTCGGGGATCCAGTGCTTCCAGATTCTGGGCGTGAGTTAGTACACCGGCAGGCAATGGTGGTAACGCACTTTAAAAACTCCTCGGTGATCCGGTTGGGGCCTGGCTGGATAATGTTGTGAGGCCAAATGTCATTGTTTCCAAGAGTAGGCACGATTGGGAAGTTCTTGCCAAACACATCAATCATCTTCTGGGCCATCATGCGGTTCGAGCTGAAGATCTCCTTTGGTGTTCGGGGAATGTCACGGTCGATGTCATGCCTGTGTCTGTCAGCACAGGCAACGCACAAGGGGCAGGCACACAACACGGCCTCCACACGACTGGAGGTGTAATGACGCGATGCGATATGCGAGGTGACGGAGGCGCCTGGCGTCTGGTGCCCCAACGCCCCGCGTGCAGCGTCGGCATCGGGCCATGAACAACACGTACCGAGCACTGTCTCCTGTCCAAACGACGAAGTCGATCTCGTCGACCCACTCCTTCTTGAGCCACTCGAATGTGAGGTCCACAAGGGTCATGGGCGAGTCACAGTCTCTGTGAAAGAGGTCAGCTTGCATCCGGGGCCTGCGGAGAGCTGATCACGTACGCCAAAATGTTGCCCCACTTGCCCGCAACGTCCTCGTCCTGTGTGGTGTCAACAACGTCGCTCTCTGTGCCACGGCGCCACGGTCTAGCCGCTCGTCACTGACATCGTCGTCGTCTTTGTCCGTGGCATTGAGCTGGCCATCAAAGTCTTCGAGCCGCGACTTGCTCTTGCCCTTGCCACCGCTGCCATGGCTGCTCTTGGCCTTTTCGCCGGGTAGTCGGTGGCAGCCAGAGTCGAATGTGGCGCCCGTCTTGTAATGGGTGTCGGGGTGGAAGTCTGTAATGTGTAGGAAACGGCCTTTGAGCTCTGTTGGTGGTGTGAGCAGGGGATGTATATTCTTGGCAAGGCGGCGAGGCATGAACCCCACCCGGGGTTGGGTTGGGTGGGGTGGGACGGCCGCCGCCCAGAGAGGCTTAAAACTAACTGCGTTTCTTGAGCTCCGCCGTTGGTGCGCTTAAGGGCATTTGCTCGGCGACGACGCCGCATGCGAGTGCAAGCACGGCAACGACGGCTTCGGCGCGCATGGTGGTGGGTGTAGTGGAGTGGGGATGCGTGAGAAGTGGAGATGCGATGGCGAGGAGTGACGACGGCGTTGGGATGAATGTGTGTCAGACGTCCTGACGGTCCTGTGGGTCTTTGGCTCGGCAGGGTGGCTGGCTCGGAGAATGCTGCGGGCAGAGCTGGGTCGCGTGAGGACGTCCAAAGCGCACAAGAGGTCTGGCGCTTTAAAGCGCTATAAGAGAGAGTGGGCTCCAATGGTGAGGAGGGGAGATGGGTGGAGTGCGATGGGGTGTGGGGAGCGTGGTGGAGTGCAGAGGGGGAGCGATTCAGCAGCTGCGGAACGGGTTGCTGCCTGTGGACGATGCTTCCAAGCGACTGGATGAAACAAAACGAACGTGTTTCTTTCCTCTCCCTCCACCCGCGTCCGCCGCAGCCGCCGCCCAACCGCTCAACCACGCACGCACGCAACGTCACTGGATCACTCACCAGGCTGCACCTGGCTCTGCCAGCAGCGCCGCAGTAAATACAATGAATGCATGCACGTGATCGGCAAGCAGATATTTTAGACACTCGTACACTTTAACACTTTGCACGCGTTTTGCCAGGCGCGCTGCGATGGCAATTTGCGTTATCAAAATTAGGCCCGCGAAACCCCAGGTCGATCACGGCGTCGAGATTTTGAGTGTGGAGGTCGACTACTGCAGCAGCAACAACCTCTCCTTACCTTTCTAACCAACCAACCCCCATCCATCTCGCCCATCATGGTAGGTGCTCCCTCACTTACCGTCTATTACCTGCAGAACTGACCTTTCCCCCCAGCTCAGGCGACAGTCGCGTGAGCGCCGCGAGTACATTTTCAAAAAGTCGCACGAGGCGCAGGAGCGCAGTGTCTTTGAGCGCAAGCAGCGTATCAAGGACCTCGTCGCGCAGGGCAAGCAGCTGCCTACCGAGCTTCGCAACGATGCGCGCACGATTGGCAAGGACCTTGTTCTGGACGAGGCTCAGACCGGTGAGTACAGAGCTGCAAAGGCGGGATCCACACCGAACTCGCCACTGACACACCTTGCCTGCAGACCCCCGCTCGCACGTCGACGACGAGTACGCAAAGGTCGGCACATACGACCCCAAGGTCGTGCTCACCACGTCGCGCGACCCCTCGTCGCGTCTCCTCCAGTTCTCCAAGGTAAGCTTGCAGCTGGTAAAGCTCGGAAATTGCAGCTGACAGCGTACAGGAAATGCGCCTCGTGTTCCCCAACGCCATCCGCCTCAACCGCGGTAACACTGTCATGAAGGACCTCGTCCAGACGTGTCTCTCGCAGGGCGTCACCGACCTCCTCCTCGTGCACGAGCACCGCGGTGTGCCCGATGCCCTCATCATCTCCCACCTGCCCCACGGCCCCACGCTCAGCATGACCCTGCACAACGTCACCCTCCGCCACGACGTCAGCGCCCAGCAGTCGACCGTCTCGGAGCAGTACCCGCACCTCATCTTTGACGGCTTCTCCACCCGCCTCGGCGAGCGTGTGGCCAGCATCCTCAAGGCACTGTTCCCCGTGCCGAAGGAGGACGCCAAGCGTGTCATGACCTTTGCCAACGAGCGCGACTTTATCTCCTTCCGGTGAGCTACCTCTCCTGTCCTTCCCCACAAGCTGACAATCCAGTCATCACGTCTTTGCCAAGACGTCGCACAAGGACGTCCAGCTCGCCGAGGTCGGCCCTCGCTTTGAGGCCAAGCGTAAGTTTGTCCCCGATTGGCACCCAGTTCCAAGCTCACGCGTGCCCGCCAGCCTACGAGATTCGCCAGGGAACAGTGGACCAGACCGAGGCCGACGTCGAGTGGCTCCTCCGTCCCTACATGCAGACTTCCAAGAAACGTACTCACTTCTGAGCGAGTGTGAGAGACGTTATTTACACTGCCTCCTTCGAGGCTTCTTGTTGTACAACAGCATGCAGTCACCATTGCATTGGGACGTCTGCCCTGCCCAGCGTTTGTGACAAAGGGAATTGTAACATCGAGGGAGGAGAGTGTGGCGCGTGTGACACCTTTCCGACTACCACCCACGAGAACAGGGAGACTAAAACATGTGTGACTCTTGTCTGACTATGACAATGGGCTAGGAGGGTTGACAATGAGGTAAGGGAACAAGAGGGGGAAACCTGGAGGCGGTTCAACAGGCTACAACGGTTGATGGAGGGATCTCTTTTGGGAACGGGACGGGACGTTGAGGGGGGGACATGGGCTTGGGCGCGAGCACAAGCCACAAGCGTGCAGTTGGGACATCTGATGATTCGTTATGGAGACATGGCTTCCAAAACTCAACTGCGCCTAGCCGGAGTGTTGATGATGCCGCTGCGGGGAGTCAACAAGAAGCTAATAGCTCCACACTTACAGGCTGCGGAGGAGTTCATTACCACTCTGGGAGTTGCGAAGAGTGGTCTGGTACTGGCGACAGGTGCTGTGAATGCGACTCATGAGGACGCGTTCAGAGGGAGGCACCTGCTGGGTCAGTACAGGTCATGGATTGTTACGCACTTGACGGAGAACACTCTCTGATCGCGTGTCAGTTTATGCATTGACAATCACTGTGGAACTCACGAAGATGACCGCGGCCAACAGACGAGTTGGCGACGGTAACAATGGCGGCAGTGCGGCTGTCGGGTTAGAGACAAACGCACTCTATAACGTACCCATTCTGCTGTGAACACAGTGATTCGAGGTACTTGACAATGTTGGTGCGTTGAAGAAGACGACTGGAGCTGAGCACAAACTCCACAAACTGAACACCGTGATGGTTGGTCGCCAGGGGCGGATAGGCCGTGAGAATGGCGTGAGACACGCCCTTGACGAGCGGCTCATGGAAGTTCAACAGCTTGTTGATGACAAAACTGGCGAAGAGTCAGACTCGGGAACGATGTTAACGATATTTGCAAGCTCACTGTCCGAATTGATTGTTGGCGACAGGCGAGATATCCTCGAGGATCTAAAGTCAGCTTGGATCAAGATTCGTCAACTTGCCTCCTTGAAACAAGCGTCCTGGTCTGTCAGTTCCAGCCTCAGGGTGATTAAACTGACCATGAGCTCCTCGTTGGCACAGCCTTCAAAGACTTGCTGAACAGAAATGGAGCCGTTCTGCCACAATCAGCAATGCCATGCGTGTTGACTTACCTCGTTGGCAACGGCGAGGTCAGACCAGCGACCGGTCATGTCGGTCATGATCCTGTGGATGTCAACAGCCACCTTCAACAATAGCGTACTTCTGGAAGATATCCTTGTTGTTGGCATCACGACACTTGCCAAGGTACTTCAAGTCAGCAGTGGTTCGAGTTGAAAACGTACTGGACGCCAGATCTTGCGAGCTCCGGTCTGCATGGACTCAAAGACACCGTACTGGAAGAGAGCATCGGAGATTAGAGGCTGAGGGTTAGAGCGGCCCACGGTGGCGACTCACCTCGAGTTCTTTGACGCTGACCGCCTTGACAAGCACGTGAGCACCAAACTTATTGTTGGCGATGGAGACGAGGTCGGAGCTGGGTGTCAGTTGAAACAGTGGTACTATAGCTCTCACTAGATGACCTTGATAAAGTTGATTTTGTCCTCGGTGCTGCCCTTCTCGAGGAGCTGTTGGCAGAGGTAGTTGCCGTTCGAGGTGTAGCAGAGCGGCTTGGCCCACTCAAGAATGACAGTGAGGAGATACTGAGTGATGGGCATGGAAGGGGGCTGGCCGAGACGTCCCTAGCGTAGGTCAGCAGCAGCCACAATGGCAGGTGCCAGCCACTTACTCCCAAGGCGTTGGCCGCAACCTTCAGCGTGGCACTGTTTTGAGTTAGCCTCAGACATCCCGACTGCACTAACGCCTGCGAGTTGCTCCGGGGCTCCTGGTGCGCAATGGTCCACACGAGAGGGCGAATGAGGTCGTACTCGCTCCTGGGGTCCATACGCATGTAGTCGAGCTGACCGCTGAGAATGAGATCAATAGTGATCTGGGATGGACGGTAGACGCCAGACTGAGAGTTAGTGGGATTCCCCCGACGATAAACTCACTTCATCGGTCGTTGATTGGAGTTGGAGGGGTTCAAGGTTGCGCCGAGGGTCGGGGACGTTGGCACCGACAGGATGAAAGGGGCCGTTGTTGAGGAGAGGAACAGAGTGCGAGAAGGGAAGGGTACCAAAGTTGTTGCGCAAGTGGGGAGAAGGGAGCGGCGTGCTGCAATGAGGAGGAGAGAGGACTACCTCGCTGACCTGAGGGAAGGTGAGGCGCGAAAGGCGGGAAGACTTACGAGAGCCGACAGGCGCTCCACCTCGTTGGACAGGCGAACATTGTCGTGCAGTGCATGGTCCTTTTCCATCGCAAGATGCTGAATCCTTTCCTGGAGGAAGCGAATCTGAGCGTCCTTCTACAAAACACAGTCAGCGCGATGCAGTGGAGGGCCACTTACGTCTTCCTCCTTCTTCTCTGGGGCGGGTGGCGGAGTAGCCCAAGAAGGAGGAGACCAGATACCACCACTGATGCCGGGGAGGAAGGGAGTTGCAAGGGCGGTAGCAGTCGTGTCCTGAGTCTGAGGAAGGACTGTGGTGCGTAACTGGGTGGCGTCAGTGCCGATGATCAGCATCCGATTGACTAACAGCGTCACGCTGGTGGAGGTCCTCTTGCTGCTGGGCGGCCGGAGACTCGGTCGTGGGCGACACACGCTCTGGAGAAGCAGACCAAGGCTTTCCCCAGGTTGGACTGATGCCAGTCTTCCACCTCTGTTTCTGGAGGCTAGTGGTGGCGGTGGCGGTGTTGATGTGGTCTGGTGTCGGGGCAGAGATGACAGAGAACTCAGAGTCGGTGCTGGGTGTGCGGGGGTACTTGGAATCGGTGGCCATGCGCCTTAGGGATGGAGGGTTAATGGGCCATACTACCGAGGCCACCGGGGTGATCTTGCCCTCCATGGCCAGGCTGGGAGATGGGGCAGATCTTGGGATGAGTGGATGTGTGAGATGGGAGGTGGAAAGGATGGGGCCCAGGTGGGACAGATAGGAGGAGGAAGGATGCGGAGGGAAGGATGAGGAGGTTTTAGATTGTGGGATGGAATATGAGTACCACCACTAGATACGGAGGGAGGAAGGTAGGTCGAGGAGGGAAGGCGAGGTGGATGTGGGAATGGGATGAGGGGGGGGTGGGAGGGCGTTTGTGATGGTGGGTGGATTGAGAGATGGGAGATGTGTTGGAGAGACGAAGAAAGAGAGAAGAGGAAGGTATCCTCCCCGGAGTGTTATTTAATCTAGTTGACGCGCCTTACTTTTGCGTGACGTGTGTGGTGCGTTTCTCATATTCTCATCATGTACTGCGACATTTTGGACACGGCAAAGACGGTTCTCAGGTCGCGCCACCAAAAGGCCCTCCAGGTCTCCAGGCGCGCGCCAGGCGTTCGACCGCTGGCTCCCAATCTCCCAGCCAACACAAGTTACGTAACATCGCGTGAAATCCACGCGACGCTGTACGGGATCAAAATCGCCCCCGTCGTCCCCCGATCTTACTCTTGACACCAAAGAGCGCCTGCTCATTGGGCTCGACCTTGACCACCTACAGCACCCACCTACCGCACACAAATCTAGACACGATGACCGAGTTCAGGCCTTCCATGGACGAGTACAGGCGTGAGTGACTCCTCGACGCCTTTTCAACCGTTGAAATCGGCTGGACGGCTGGCCAGCTGCCGTTCAGTCGATTCCGCGTGGTGGCTCGCATTGCGTGTGTATGATCTAGAGCTGACGGACTTCCTTCCTTTCCATGCCCTCAACTTGGTCTCGCCACTCTCTCAAATCGATTTGGTTGCGTTCGATAAACATCATGGAAACATTCTTATGGTCTTCCCGTCCTTCGTGACCCACTCCCGTCGGCCATTGCCTCCCCTCCAACAACACTCTCGTCCTCGTTGCCATCTACGCTCCCTCTCGTCGACGACACTCTCGCGCCACCAACAGAAACGATCAAGGCCCGCGAGGAGCACATCCGCGAGTCTTGGGTCAGGGCCATGGAGGCCCGTATCGTCCGCACCGAGCTCCAGAAGTGCTACCGCGGTGAGGGCGTCAACCACCTCGAGAACTGCCGCGAGCTCGCCGAGAAGTACACCGCCATGATCCGCGACAACAAGGTGAGTTTTGTGCTGTGCTGTCACGGTATGCGCGCAAACAAAGTACTGGCGTCTGCAAAGTGGTATGGAAACAACGACTGACCCGTCACAGATCAAGGGCTACAAGATCATCGACGAGGAGTAGAGGAGTAAATATGCATCCAACATTGACGAACGCTGTCGGCTACCTTTGCGCCTCTTCTCTCCTTCTTCCTCTTCAATTTCTGGGCTTCAATCTTCTGCATGGCAGTCCCCTACGCACGCCTGGATCTAGTGCCTACGCCGTCGGGCGAAGGATACCGCTGACGTAGCTGACCGAGCTGTCCCGACCGTCCTTGCACTTTGAGCTCTGCTCGTAGCGCACAAAGTCGAAAGTGACGTCGTCGGCACCGGGCTTGCCGGCATACTCGTGCTGGATCAGGTGGAGGAGGACGGTAATGGGGTTACGACCGCAGATTGTGTTCTGGGCTGTCAGCTTGGCGCAAATCGCCGCAGCTCACCTTTGTGCGTGCTAAATAGGCTTCCCACTCCTCCACGGCTCCCTGGCGAGCAGGCTTGCGGAGAAGGTCCATGCCCTCGTGGTCCATAAACTGGATCGATTTCCAGATGGGAGCGTCTCCTGGTCGCTGGCCAGCGTAGCGCTTGGTGATAGGCAAGGAGCCAGTGGCCGCCGCCCCGGCTCCGGATGGTACAGGCGGGACAGGGTGGCACGGGTCCGTTGCTCCGGGATAGTAGGGTGTGTGAGAGAAGCGGGTGCCCCTGCACTGGTGTCAGCATCCATGACGCACAGCCTGAGTGCCAGACGTACCAGTGGCAAAAGTCGCTGCTGATGACGAAGAACGTCGCCTCGTCTGCCCAGTACTTGGCCAGAAGGGTGTTGAGCGCGTCACGCTGGCTAGACGACGGTTGCCCGACGAGGAGGGGCACGAGCTTGAGATCGTCGCGTCTGGGCAGTCAGCTTCCATCGTGCCGAAGCGAGCGGTGAAGATGTACCCTTGGAAGATGTGACGGATGTAAGGAAGGTGCATCTCGAGGGAGTGTTCGTCCTCGTCGACCGAGCCGCGCATGTCGGAGAAGAGCCGAGAGCTGCGGAGCTCGGCAATGGCTGTAGGTCAGCTTCTACCTCAAGGCCAGGTAAATGTGCGTGATACAAACTCTGTAGATCGAGGGGAATGTCGCCCACGGGCGTCTCATACGAGGCGAACTTGGACAAGGCAACGCCGCTCAGATGGACATGGTGCGAGGGTCCGAGGAGGAAGACGCGTTTGCTATGGCCAGTTAGCGATTGTCACGGCAGCCCATTACACAACAACCGTAGATATCAGACCGACCAACCCACATCTTCGCAGTGGGTATGGCAGCATACGCCCACGCCGCTGCCGGGCCAGAATACGAGTACCCAGCGTGCCTGCGGTCAGCTCGAGTCCCCTGCCATATGGAGCGAGCTCACGGCGCAATGACAGCCTTGGCAGCCAGAACAGGGGGTTTATAAGGTGGGGCCGAGAGCGGGGTGACCTTGGATAGATTGGCTGTGAGCTCGGCGGCGAGCTGCGAGCCTGCGCAAGGTCAGCAGGGTGGCAAATACTGGCAGACAGCATCCACCCACCATCACTGGTATACCAGCTTCCAGCATGGGTAGCCTCGCGAACACTGCCAGCAAAGTCAGTGTGGAGTTTCCCGTAGACAAGGACGGGGACCTACCCAGACATGATCACTGAAGGGTATGGATGCGATAACGGCTATTATAGATGAGACACACAGAAGAAGGTTGTCAGGCGCGTGTGACTGAATGCACTGCGCGGATGGAATGGCGGCGTCAGACGTCACCGCCTGTGGGGACCCGCAAGCAACCGTCGTCAGTGGCGGATCCCGGGCCTTCGCAAGCGACCACGCAACACAACACGCACGCACGACGCATGCATGCATGCACGCTGCAGTGGCGCGGCCATGAAGTGCACGTGCTGTACCTGTGCTTTCTCATACTGCATGCTACCTGTATGGGTCACAGTTGTTGCTGACAGACCGGGCACCGCCGGCTGAGCCGCCAACGTCCCCGCTTCCTTCCAGACCCTTCGCCGCAACCCAAGGTGCCTAAGATGACATGTACTTCTATCTACTACTAATCTTCCCTTTTTAGGCGACCGTACCGGCCTTCTCAGCGGCAACCTTGGCCGCACCCTCCTTGACAAGGTCCGAGACCGTGATGGCCAGGCCCTCAGCAGCCGACGACGAGGCAGCCTCAGCGTACACACGCACGCAGTCCTCGGTACCCGATGGGCGGACAAACGAGCGGCCGAGCTCGACCTTGCTCACAGCCTCGTCAATGAGAGCCTGGAGGCCAGCAGGAGAGGTGAGCTTGCGCTCGGCGTCGGTGGTCAGGAAGATGGAACGGTCGGGAACCTCAACCTTGACCAGGCGGTTGGGGAGGTCCTCGTAGCTCTCGTCCCACTCCTCGGCACCGTAACCGCGGTGAGCGAGCACAACCTCGACGAGGAGGAGGTCCGAAAGGGCGTCACCGACGGCCTGGTTGATGACTTCGGAGAGCGCAATCAGGTTCTTGATGGCGTTCTTCTGGTCGGGGCTCTCGGGCTCGGCGTTCTTGAGGGTCTCAAGAACCTCGTCCGAGAAGAGGACGGTGCCGTGGCCATTGGCCTCAAAGTAGACACCAATGTCGTAACGAAGAGCAGCGTGGTGGAGGTGCTTGACACCGGTGGGGGTGCAAGTGACAGGAATGTTACGGTGGTTGATGAACTTGGTCGAGCTGCCGTTGGCGTAAGCAGTCTGCACCACACCCAGCTTGATCTTGTCGGTGAGGCCAGCGCGGGCGATGAGGTCGCCGATGAAGAGAGCAGCAAGGACGGCAATCTTGTCACCATCAAGGAGGCGGAAGTGCTTGCCGTCACGGAGGTAGTAGTAGACGATACGGTCCGCGTCACCGTCAAAGCTGCAAGCGTGGGTCTTGGGCGCAGAGAGGTAGCCGGCAGCGGCGACCGAGGGAGGAAGCTGCTGCTTGGTCTTGACAAAGTCCGCACCGCACTGGTAGTTGAGCGCACCGGCCTTGTCAAGGTCGGTGTTGATAGCCTTCAAGGGGAGGAGCTCGCCGATGTGCTTCTGAAAGTCCGCGAGAGCGATGGCGCCAACACCGTTGGCACAGTCGACGTAGAGGGGAGCAAGAGGACCACGGTTACCCTGACATATCAGTGAGTGTCCCATACTTTAGTAACTCACGACAAGAGTCTGGAAGGCAGTCGCGAGCTTGACGTAATAACCCTCAATGGTGGGGGTGCCGTAAAGACCAGTCTTGTCGTTGGTGGCCTTGACGACGTAGTGCAGGACAGGAGTGGTGGTAATGCCAATGTCCGACACCTTGATCTGGCTACCGTACGCGGCGAGACCAGTCTCAAGAGCCTTAATGAGCTCAGGACCCGACGGGCGAGTGTCGCGAGCGTACACAACCGAGGCAGGTGCGTTCACGTTAATGCGGAGAGCCGTGGCAATCGACTCGTACGCAGCAATGAGGTCGGCGGTGGTAGCGCAGTTGGCGAGCTTGGTAGCGTGGGCCTCCCAAGACTGCTCGAGCATCTCTCCAGCAGGGTCAACGAGCTTGACACCATTGTCCTGCACATTGTCAACACGTGTTCGGGACCCCATTCAATGCCACACTTACGGGCTCGGGGTTGTGCGAAGCAGTGACCATGACACCAATAGTGGAGCCGTTGAGACGCTGCGAGCGCAGAACAGCAAGGAGGCCGACGCGCAGAATGACAGACGGAAGCCTGCTTCCCCTGTGCAAAGGTGTCAGCGCCTATCCCGCCCTTCCACGACGCTGCCCTCTTGCTGGAGAACGCTGGGAACTCACAGGGTACGGAAGCCAGCAGTACCGTAGCTGAAGGTGACACCCTCAGGCTTGGGGTACTGGTCAGCAGCCTTGGAGATGGCCGCGAAGAGCGCCGAGTTGTCCTGGGTCTGAGCCATGATGGTGTGAGGAGAGGGGAAGAGAGTAATGGAGAAGGAGCTGGAGCAGGTGCACTTGGAAACAACGCACGACGACGAGGCAGTACGCGTCTGGAGACCCCAATGCCGTGTTTCACGGCGTCAATAGCGGTAACGGGAGGATCGCATAAACGTAACACATGATTACGTAAATGGTCCAAATGCAATGCAATGCACTCCGAGTCTCCAGTCGTTTGTGTTGGGTCGAGAGTCGTTTGCCGCCATCTGTCCATCTTCCCCCTTCTCTTCTCAACATCCCTCCCCAAAAGGTGGCAGCGCATCCTCATCAAGCGCAACATTACGCCACAATGTCCGCTTCGCCTTCGCCAGCTCGTTCGCCCTCGGGCGATCGCTCCGCAACCAGGAGCCCTTCTCCTGATGAGGGTCCGGCTTCGAAGCGCAAGAGGTAGGTCATCTTCCATCTCCACCACTTAGAGTCTGCTCTAGGTTGACCACCAAGTCTAAGCGTATTGCTAACACATTCCTAGGTCACCTTCGCGTTCTCCCCGCGTGGGCTCGCCATCGCCTCCCGCACAGCGCCGCCGCTCGAGGTCGCCGCCTCTTGCGCGTCCCGAGCCCACCTTTGACATGCCCCGCGTGAATGATGTGGACCCCGTCCGCAAGCGCCAGCGCGAGCAGGCCATGTTGGCGGCGAAGATTGATGCAGAATTGGACGGTGGCAAGGCCAACGGCTCGTCGACCGCCCTTACAACAACGTCCAAGGGTGATGAAGTTGCGCGCGCCGAGTTTACCAAGTTGCTTGGCTCGCGTACGGGTGGCGCGTACATCCCCCCTGCGCGGCTTAGGGCGATGCAGGCCGAGGCGAGCAAGGACAAGACCAGTGCAGAGTACCAGCGCCTTAGCTGGGATGCTCTCCGCAAGAGCATCAACGGTATGATCAACAAGGTGAGTTGTGTTGTTTTCTCCTCGAACGGTATGAGTGCTAACAGGACCCAGGTCAACGTGTCCAACATCAAGCACGTCGTCCCCGAGCTGTTTGCCGAGAACCTGATACGTGGAAAGGGCCTGTTTGCGCGCTCCATCATGAGGGCTCAGGCGTCTTCCCTCCCCTTCACTCCCATTTTTGCCGCCCTGGTCGCGATTGTCAACACCAAGCTCCCCCAGGTCGGCGAGCTTGTCCTTACCCGTCTTATTGCCCAGTTCCGCCGTGCATACAAGCGTAACGACAAGGTGAGTTCCTAATGACTGATGTTTATGTGCTGACCCTCCAGACTGTTTGCAACGCCACCTCGACGTTTATCGCTCACCTGGTCAACCAATTCGTCGCCCACGAGATTGTCGCTCTCCAGATTCTTCTCCTCTGTCTTGAGCGCCCCACCGACGACTCCATTGAGGTCGCTGTCAGCTTCATGCGTGAAGTTGGTCTCTTCCTCAACGAGAACAGCCCGCGCGCCAACACCATGATCTACGAGCGTTTCCGTGCCGTTCTTCACGAGGGCAGCATCTCGAAGCGTTGCCAGTACATGATCGAGGTCCTGTTCCAGGTCCGCAAGGACAAGTACAAGGACAACCCGATGATCCCTGAGGGTCTCGACCTTGTCGAGGAGGAGGAGCAGATCACCCACCGTATCAGCCTGGACGACGAGCTCAAGGTGCAGGACGGTCTGAACCTCTTCAAGGTGGACCCCAACTTTTTGGACAATGAGGAGCGCTACCGCCAGATCAAGATTGAAATTCTTGGCGACTCGGAAGACGAGGACTCTGGCACCGGCAGCGAGTACAGCGACGAGTCTGACGACGAGGACGTGGCGCCTGAGAAGGAGGGTATTACCGACATGACGGAGACCAACCTGATCAACCTGAGAAGGACCATTTATCTTACCATCATGAACTCGCTCAACTTTGAGGAAGCTGTCCACAAGCTGCTCAAGGTCAACCTCCCCGAAGGCCGCGAGATGGAGATGGTCAAGATGGTCGTCGAGTGTTGTTCACAGGACCGCACGTACTCGAACTTTTACGGCCTCATCGGAGAGCGTCTCTGCAAGCTGAATCGCGTGTGGACCGACAACTTCCAGGAGGCCTTCCAGAACTACTACGGTACCATCCACCGCTACGAGACCAACAAGCTTCGTAACATTGGTCGCTTCTTCGGCCACCTCCTTGCCTCGGACGCCATCTCGTGGGCGGTCCTTCACGTTGTTCACATGAACGAGGAGGAGACCACCTCGTCGTCGCGTATCTTTGTCAAGATTGCCATCAACGAGATGAAGGAGGAGGTTGGTATGAAGAAGCTGGTCGAGCGCTTGAGGTTCCCCGACCTCCAACCCGCCCTCGCGGGTATGTTCCCCACCGACAACCCGCGCAACACCCGTTTCGCCATCAACTACTTTACCCAAATTGGTCTTGGTGCCATCACCGAGGACATGCGTACTTGGCTGCAGAATGCGCCCAAGCTCCTTGCCGAGCAGCATGCCGCCCAGAAGGCCGACGAGAGCTCGGACAGCGACTCGTCTTCGGACCTCTCCAGCTCGAGCTCCGATTACTCGTCCGACTACTCGTCCGACGACTCGCGTCGTCCTCGTCGCAGGAGGTACTCGTCCGACTCGCGCTCTCCCCCTCCCCGTCGCAGGCGCTACTCGTCGGACGACTCGCGCGATTCGCGCTCCCCCCCACCTCGCGCAAGGCGGTACTCGGATGATTCCGACCGCTCGCCGCCTCGCAGGAGGGACGACTCGGCTCCTCCTAAGCGTGATGTCTCCCCTCCTGCCCGCAGGCGCGACGACTCACCGCCTGCGCGTCGCGCCGTGTCTCCTCCTGCTCGCCGTCGTGACGACTCTCCTCCCGCTCGCCGCCGTGATGACTCGCCGCCCGCGCGTCGTGCGGCGTCTCCTCCTGCTCGCCGCCGTGATGACTCTCCTCCCGCTCGCCGCCGTGATGACTCGCCGCCCGCTCGTCGTGCGGTGTCTCCTCCTGCTCGCCGCAGGGACGACTCGCCCCCACGCCGTCGCGACGACTCTCCTCCTCGCAAGCGATACGACTCGCCCCCTCGCCGCAGGTACGACGATGACCGTTCCCCTCCTCGCCGCCGCTAGGGTGGTGTATCAGGCAAAAGGCAGGATGGACGGAAGACATATGGTGTGTGTTCGTGTGTGCGTTGAGTGTTAGGTTTAGTGAATGTAGCAAGGCAAGCCCCATCTGATGCATCTGGGTGATCGTTCACAAGTATGGGACTGTATCTTCCGAGCAACGTTTACGTCTTTGAGTATTCTAACAGACTGATCGTGTGCTACAGTTTCGCACGCACATATTGCGCTGTCCGGTTCTCGCGCTTCCACATCTCATGCACGAGGGCCTTGACGTCGTTCTTGAGGATTTTGCCACTGGCGTTGCGCGGCAGGGGCTCCCTCGATACGAGGACGATGACTGGTCGAGCCGGTGATCTAAGACGAGGCGCCGCAACCTGCATGATCTCCTTCTCTGTCGCCTGCACCCCAGGCGCAAGGGAGACTGCGACTCCCACCCGCTCGCCCATCACAGGGCAAGGGACGGGCACTGCAGCCACTTCGGCGATGCGGTCGTCGAGCGCAATGGCGTTCTCGACTTCGGCTGAGGCAATGTTCTCGCCGCCGCGGATGATAATGTCCTTGGCTGTGGTGTCAGATATGAAATGGAGGCCTCCAGACAACTCACCGCGGTCCTGGATGTAGAGCCACCCCTCGTCGTCGAGCATGCCCATGTCGCCCGAGTTGAGCCACCCGTCCTTGTCAAGGGTAGCTGCGGTCGCCGCTGGCGGGTTAGCCAACAACACTATGCCTCAACCCACCTGGCTCGCCAACGTAGCACTTCATAATGTTGGATCCACGCAGCTCGATAATACCCATCGTATGCGGCGGGAGGACCTTGCGCGTCTTGGGGTGCGTGATGCGCACCTCACTGATAGGGAGTGGTGGGCCCGTACAGCTTCCAAGGCTGACGTAGTCGTCGCCCGAGATACCGCAGTGGACGCCGTTCGCTTCTGTCATGCCATACCCTTGTGCACTGGCGTCAGCTGACGATAACCGGATTCCTGAGCTCACATGGAAGCGCTGGGCCAGCGTGAACGAAGGTCGTGCGACATGCGTTCGGCGGCTGGCGCGCCGCCGTACGAGATGAAGTCAAACTTGGTATCCTTTGGCACTGATGGCGACTGGTAGATGGCAGTCACGATCGCGGGAACACTGCCGTTAGTGAAGAGCTACGAGGCCAGACGTGTTCAGCTCACCCTCCGATAACATTAATGTTCTCTGACTGGATGAGGTTGATGGCGTCCCCGACATTCCATCTGCGCATGAACACACACTTGGCGCCAATGTTGAGAGAGCGGCAGAACCAGGCAAGGGAGCCCGTGACATGGAACATGGGAACGGCGACAAGAATGGCCGACTGCTTTGGCGAGGGAACAAGCATAGACAGGTCGCCGCCCTTGCGAAGAACAGCACGGGCACCGCCTAGGGTCAGGTCAGCGGTTGCAGGAGACGACTGGCGTACCAAGGCTGCCAGAGACGACATTGTGAAGGGCCGCCTGCTGGGTCGAGAGAACTGCCTTGGGCATGTTAGTTGTGCTGTGCAGGTAAGCGTTATCCGAGCTATGCACACCCACCCCGACGTGAAGAAGATAACAGCGTCACTATCAGGTCCAAGGTCCTCGAGCGCAGCGCCACTCTCAACATCGCGGATGAGACCTGCAGGTGGACGAAGCTTGCCAAGTTCCTATTTGGTGAGCACAACCTCCAAAGCCCACCCACCTTCACACCCTTCTTTACCAGTGTTGGGTAATGTTTGATACTTTCCCAGCAGTACATCTGGAGTTGGTGTCAGTGTAGCTCAACCTATGACGCAAATCGTGTACCAACCCTGCCAACCCTCTTGGCTCTGAGGATGTTTTTATGGGGACCGAGAACCTCTGCCAGCTCTGCATCGAGGAGGACGACCATGGGGCGTGTCTTGGCCAGGCAGTGGATCTGGGCCTCGACGACACTGTACCGTCAGCTGAGGCCGGCAAACATTTGCCAAACTGACAGAGTAGCGTTGAGAACCACCGGGACGGCGCCAAGGAGGTGGATCGCCACCCAGCTCACAATCCAGCCAGTGCTGTTCGCCCCTCCGAGACCGACCCGAGTCCCCTGCCGCACGCCATAGCCACGGAGCCAAGCCGCGAGGTCGACGGCCTTGTTGTAAATGTCCCCAAAAGTGAAGTGCTCGCGGTCATAATACGCCGCGGGGTCAGGGCTTGGAGTGGGCGATGATATCCAGACACCGTCCCAATGCTTTTGCAGAGCAGTCTTGATGAACGCGCGAAAGTGAGGAGGAGTCTGTAGAATGAGCTTCCGAACTGCTATATAAGCTCACATTCTTCCACACGCGGATCGTGCGTCCGTGGACGACGCGCTCGACCATCTCCCAAGGTGCACCCGGTTGTGTGAGTATCCGGTCGCCTGGAGAAGGTTAGTAGATGCTCTGCTGCGCCTGTAGAAGCACTGCAGGAGGGCAGAATATACTCACACTCCTCCATAGTGCGAACGGCCTTTGGTGGAGCCGCCATGTTTGTTGGAGAGTCAGTGAGGAGAGAGGAAGAACAACAACATTGGCGACTAGGGAGCGTGGGAGGATTCTTGGGGCTCCAAGGCGATTCGGGATGCGCCATCCCCACATTTCGAGCTATCACGCAGCATACAGCCAAGACCGTGTCCGAGTCTTAACCAGCAGACACCATGCAATGCATCGATGCTTGGAGCCGGGCTGCTGCATGTCCAACACAAACGCACTCGACGCGACATTTGGCAGAGGCGCGGTGTGGTCGCTGGTCGCGTTTCCGATCAGACCGAATGCCGACATTGCCGCCATGCGACCCACCAGTATCTATCGCCGTTACTGTTTTTTGTACGTTACGCCGTCCCAATGCTGCCCTTCTTGTTCGCCTTCCCATTCGTGTAACATGCTCCTGCCGAGCCTTGCGACTGGTTCCCGAAGGCTGTGAATAAGAGAACGGACAGAGCATCAGAAGATTGCGGCGAGGCATTAGCAAATTACACTTAGTTTTCAAATCTAAGCGATTGAAAACCAATCTAAAGTGGGAGAATCAAATAAAACAAAAGTCGGGGCAGCCAGGAGGACATTTGTTGTTGCGTGACGAGGAGCGGTTTCTCCACTCCCCACATCTCATTCACCACCCGCCACCATGAGCAGGCCACTGGGAACCACCACGAGGCGGTTCTTGGTCCATGCCTGCCACTTCAGGAAGTCAATAAACTCCATACGAAGGCTGTATTCCACCTCGCATGTGTCTATCGATGGCATCCAGCTCCCTACACTCGAGGACTTGTACCTCAAGGAGGGCGATGACGGTGAGATCAAGCACCCCGTGAGGGTAAACTGGGGGGTTTAGTTCTAACAAAGCAGTGGTAGTGGCAATGTCTGGTGGCGTCGACTCGTCATTGACCCTTCGTCTTCTGCGGGAACTAGTAGGTGGTTCACCAGTTTGGCTGCTAACCTAACCGCAGCCCCTCAACCTGACTGTCCTCTTCATGCGGAACTGGGACCCCCTCCTGTCCGAGACTGAGCGCGAAGACCAACCCACCACTACATCGCTGTCATATAGCGGTCGCTCTGCACCTGTGGGATTGCCCAACCTCTCTCCGTGCGAGTGGGAGCGAGACTGGGCCGACGTCCGACGCGTATGTGCCCATGTCGGCGTACCGGAGAGCGACATTCGCCTTGTCGACCTCTCGCGCGAGTACTGGAGTAGAGTGTTCGAGCCTGCCGTGGCAGTATGGGAGTCAGGACGGACACCCAACCCCGACGTCACGTGTAACAAGTGAGGAGACAATGACGGAACATGGCAATTGACAGCCGCTGACTGAGCAGGGAGATCAAGTTTGGCGCTCTCATGAACCATATCAAACCCGGCCACTATCTCGCGACTGGTCAGTTTTCTCTTGCTTGGACCCAAACTGACATAGCAGGCCACTATGCACGTGTCATCCGTACCCCAACAGGAGCCACCCTTAACCGTGCCATCGACATGAATAAGGATCAGACATACTATCTCAGCCAAGTCCAAGAAGCACAGCTGGCCAAGGTAAGCCGTGCTTCTTTTTAGAGCTCTAACCTCCAGGCCGTCTTTCCTTTAGCTGGCATCCCCAAGCCCCGTGTGCGTGACCTCGCGAAGCACTTTGCTCTCCCCACTGCCGAGCGCGATGAGAGCATGGGTGTGTGCTTTATCGGCGAGCGCGGGCGGTTTGGCGACTTCGTCTGTGAGTTATGGCAGTATCCGCCTCACTGTAAACTGACATCACAGCCCAATACACCTCTCCCACTACCACCAAGGGCTACTTTGTCAAGGCTGATGGAGAACGCATTACCGAGCACCGTGGCTTGCACTACTACACCATTGGCCAGCGCCCCCGTTTAGGAGGCATGGATGGCCGCTGGTTCATTGCACGCAAGGGTGTTGGAGAGGGAGAGGACATCCTCCTCGTCCCAGGAAGGTGAGCTTTCACTTGTGCGTTGGCAAGCTGACCCCAGTGACCACCCGGCACTGCAGTGTGAGCAGCTCTGGTCGGGAGACTTCAACTGGATCGCAGGCCACCCGCCGGCCGAGATGGACGACGGAGGTACGCTCGACGCCCTGGTGCAGGTCCGTCACAGGATGAGGCCTGTCACAGGCCGAGTGCGCACAGATCAGAACCGGTGGGTATCTATTGGGCACATGTCGCTAACCGACCAGGGTCTCTGTAGAGTTCCCCAACCCTGTTGGTGCTGTTGCCGAAGGCCAAATCGTTGGCATCTGGCGCGGCGAACAGTGCCTCGGCAGCGGTGTGATTGACGCGACGAGGTGTTCGGCCTAGGGGCCACGTGAGGCCAGAGAGAAGACGTATTGTACAATTAACTCATATCTAGACGCACTGCATAGCATAGCACATACACCCATCTCATGTATCACCCCCCTCTCATCGTTTGGGTCTGTCGGAAAGGCTGTAACCTGGGGGTGCCCAAACTCTCTGACGGGAAATTGCTGCCGCGGCATGACTGTGTCCCGGTCCTGGCGGCGGATGTTGTTGTGGGTGTTTCACAGTCGTCCACCTCGTTCTGCTCGTCACTTGTCCATCCACCACAGTCACCCACCTGCGCGCTACGGCCGGCGGTCCCATCATGCGGGACGAGCCGAGCCCTCTGGGCACCCAAGCCTCAGACCTCGCCCTACGACAGGACTCACCCGACTTCCCCGACTTCCTCGCGTCCATCGGTCTCGGACTACTTGAATCGTCGCTCCTCTCCCCTTCACCGTCTCCTTCTCCCTCACCCCCTCTACCATCTCTTCCTGCCCTCCCTCTGCCAAACGGTTCCAGAGACAATGCTACTCCCACCAATCCTATGCCCGCTGGAAATGCTACGCCCACTGCCAACGGCAACATGTCTACTCCCATCGCGAACGGCAGCATCTTTAGCGACCACAATGCTACTTCCACGGCCGTGGCCAGCGACAACAACGACGCCAGTGCCGTTCTGCGGGATTTGATCGGACGTTTAGACCAGGACCAGTGCGTCCCCCCCACCGGTAACGGCAACGACCGCGATGTGACTCCTACCGCCAGCCGCCGCGACTGCAATGCGACCCCGACCGTCAATGGCAACAACAATGTGGTCACTGCTCTACCAGAAGTCACCGCGCAGTTGAACCAGCCCGCCTCCCCTACTGCCAACGGCAACAATGAAGATGCCAATACTGTTCTGCATCACCTCACAGCGCAGTTGGGTGAGAACCAGCCCGTTCCCCCCACTGCCAATGGCAATAACAATGTCATTGCTGCTGCCGTGCCAGACGTCACTGCGCAGATGGACCAGAACCGACCCGCTCCCCCTTCCGCCAACGGCAACGAGCCCGATTCTGCAGACTTGGACCGGCAGCAGCGCGCGTTCTCGGTCGCGTCCAGCTCTTCATCCATTATCTTTCTCCCAACCCCGCCGCGACCCCCGCCGCCAGAGCCTATCGACGTTGATGCCCTTCCCGATACCCCGGAACCCATTAAACCCGTTGAGCAGCGTGACGAAGACGGGCCCCCACCGTCCAAGCGGCCTAAACGGGAACACATCGACGAATCCTTGGACTCGCAAGACGCAGCACGTCGTTCACGCCGAGTGTCCGCAATGGCGCGGCCCGACTACAGACTCAGGCGCCCGCCTCGAACTGCCGACCCCACTCCCCTCCTGCCAAGTGGCAGTCTACCAGCGACCCAAAACGCCAGTCTACCATCGACCCAAAACGCCAGTCTGCCTTCAACGCAGCAACCTCCGTCCTCGACACAAGCCAAGCCCAAGCCAAAGATGTACAAGTCGAAGAAGCAGCCTGCTGTCTGGGTCCCTCCTCGTGGCATCGACAAGCCTGTCCAGCGCTTCGGACCACACGTACCGCGCAACCCATGTGCCCCGACGGTGTCATCTCTGAACCTCGATGGCGACGCCGCTGTGCCTGGCCATGCAGACGTAGACGGGGCAGACGCGCCGCCGAGCTCTTTACCACTGGCACCACAGGCGACGACGCGCGCCTGCGAAGTCCAGATGATGGGCGGCGACCGCGGCCGTGGGCTAGTCGCGACGCGCGACCTCAGTGCCGGCGAGGTTATCCTGGCCGAAAAGCCCATCTTCACCGCGAAACGCGACTGCGGCGTCAACGAGCTGCTCGCCAAGGTCAAGGACATGTCGCCAGCATGGCTCATGCTGCTTCTGTCGTTCGAGTGCTCGGGCGGATACCTACCGGCCATCGAGGGTATTCTACAGGCCAACGGCATTCCCTGCGTCGAGGACGAGGACGGCGAGGACGAAGAACCTCTGATGGGCGTGTTCGAGTTCATCTCTCGCATTAACCATTCGTGCTCGCCAAATGCCGGGTGGGCGTGGAGCGACGCAGACCAGAGAATGCGTCAGTATAGCTGTAGTTGAGGCCGCGGCGAGGTTGCTCACACCCACCAGTCCTCGTCGCGTGCCGGCCGATTCCAAAAGGTCAAGAGCTCGTCGCGTGGTACACCGACAACGACAGCCTGCTTGAGCCCCGCGCCAAGCGCCGCGCCATGCTAGCGGACCTGCTCAAGTTCGATTGCGAGTGTCACGTCTGTTCTGCACCACGCGCAGACATTACAGCATCCGACGCACGCCGTAGGCGCATTGCGACCATTATTGCGCGGTGGAAGGGCAAGCACTTTGACGAGACGTTCTTCGCTGACCCCTATGTCCTCGAGGAAGCTGTCGAGGCCGGCTCACTTGCGCACCTAGAGGGCCTGGTGTCACCACTGATAGAGATCTACCTCTACCAGTTTTACATTTTTGCCGTCTGGGGCAGGAAGGAGCAGGCCAAGGACGCGGCAAAGTACTCGTTTCGCGCGCTGGTCTGTGCCAACGGCCGCACGTTTGCCAAAAAGCATTTTATCGCAAAACTGATAAAAGAGCCAGAACGCTGGGAGTCGTACGGGTACATGGTGCCCGCCCCCGCCAAGTAGAGTGTTGTAGCAGCAGTTTCCTGTCATAGCGTAGAGAAAGAGAGTGGGTGTGAGAAAGTGAGTGAGTGTGTGTGAGAGAGAGAGACACCGTCCCGTGTGCTCATGCGGTACATCGGTGCCGCGTGCTTGCTATGATACATTTGAGTCATGTGTTCTTATCCCCGCCTCACTGCTTGCCCAACTCCCTGGCACGCTGCTCCCTCGCCTCTCGCTGCTCGGCCAACACGGCCTCTGTCGCAGTGACGACAACAGTGTTGCCCGCGCGCCTCGCCTCGGCGATACGAGCCACCAGTCCGGCCTCGGCGCTCTCGCTCGCCGCGGCGGTATCCACCACGTCGCGCGCATTCACAGCGACGGCGACGGGCTTCTTTCCGGGCTCCGTCTCCTCGACGACAACCGAGATCGCGATGGGGTTGACGGGCGATCCGGCGTCCACGGCCTGGGCGTCCGACACGGCGACCTTCTCCGCGGCGACGCGCTCGGCCTCCTGCTCGGCCCGCCAGCGGCGGATCTCGGTCTCGGTCGCGATGATGCCGCGGCGGGCAAGGGCGTTCTGCGCCTGTCGACGGACAGCGTTCTCGGCATCGCGCTGCGCGCTCTCGTACATGATGAGGTACTTGTCTAGGCTGTTTAGACGGTGGGCGAAAGGGTAAAGGCCATAAGCGCACGGGCTGTCACTCACCTGCGCCAATGACGAGGCCACTCATCGTTGCTGTGTCTGTCAGCCCCCAGACCGACACGAGGTGCTCTCCGCCCTCCAGGTCACGACTACATTAACGCCATACCTGGATATGGCACAGTGGAGAGGTCAGACAGAACGTACCGGACGACACGATAAAGGCCTTGAGACCCCACGTCTGCTTCCTGAACAGAGGCCAGAAGCGGTGAGCGATACCAACGGCCACGATGCCGAACACGGTGTATTTAGCCGCGCCCTGGCTGTCAGCAGCGATATCCCATCTCCCAAACCCTCGAGACTCGATACGGTATGGCCTTGGCACACAAAGGCCTGGTCGCACGAGACTCCATGTGTTGTGCGCCATCGCGTCGAGAAATCGCCGACGCTGCCAAACGACATGTCATGACATGGGGTACCCACCTCGAGTCCGCCCCTGAGCTGCAGCTCATACTGGCTGTCAGCTTCAAACTTCCACTTTAAAGAAGAAGCTCACGGCACGCTGCTGGTGCTCTAGCCTGCGTCCACGGTCTGTTGTCGCGGGGCTGCTCATGGCTTGGTGGAGATGTGGTGACAGACAGGATACAGAATGCCCGTAGTCACCCGAGCGCGCGCGTGTGATGACGGACCTGCGCGGTGGAGGTCAGAATGGGTGAGCGGAAGTAAATATTCGGCGAGATTTATAAGGCAGAGGGAGAGGGGATTCGGAGTGGGTCCAAGTGGCCAGTGGTGGTGTTCGGAATGGTTGGAGCGGAGGCAGAGGTGGGTGGCAAGCTGCATGACGGTGAGTTGTGGGTGAGAGGGTGAAGGACGGTCAAGCTGAGAGTCAGTGGCGACGTTTGTAGATATGGTGCTCGGGGCCCAAATGCTTCAGCGTCCGTCTGGTACCACATCGCCAGATCTCCGCCACACAAACAGCCATTGTTCCGTTCCCTCATGGTTCGAGGTTGAAAATAGCAGGCCAACGCTTGGCTCTCGGACGCACGGTGGCCTTGATCAATGATACGGAAACCATAGGCACGAGCGGACCGCCAATGAAGTCCGTCCGGTTGGGTGGTGCAGGGAAAGAGGTGTTGACCAAGTAGCATGGCCACGAGAATAAAAAGGAATTTTGGAAACGCTGCACATTTCCGCGGCTTTCGGACGTCTCGTATATGTTGTCGGCTGCTAGCCGTTATCTCAAACGGCGCAGCAGCTAACCGTACACCCCGTCCCACACCCGCCAACACTCTCGCCCTCATCGTGTCCAATGATTTTCTTTTATGCATGCAAGACCCTACACTACCGGCCGCTCGTGCCGCTCCGTTCCAAGCTCCGAATGGCGAGGTGGCGAGACATGGTGCTGCGCGGCGGGTTTTCGGCGAATGGTTGGCCTACCACCGTCCAACTGCCTGTCGTCGGCCCGGCTCTGCTCTGGACTGTGCAATGATCCGAGGTCTGCACCGGCACCTTACTCCCCTGATCACTGAGTGAGGGGGGCCGGCTACGACCCCACTGCGTCGACGTCGTGCTTGCCGGCGGCCGAGCGAGCATTAACGGGGCTGCCTATGGCCCCATGTCCGCCCCGTAGTCGTAGGTCAACGTGAGTGGTCAGCAGCGGTGCAACACCCTTTTCAGCGGGGGCTACTGCCGATAGCCACCCTCATATCCCCCTCATATCCCCTCATATCCCCAACAGTCGCAAAGATGCGCGCCAGGTTCCGGGTGGGCTGTCACCTTTTACGCTCCCTTGATCTGTTGCCGACGCGTAGATGGAGGGGAATGGAAATCGCCGACCACACACCGAGCAACCGGCTCGCTTAGCGACTATTGGCCGTGTGACCACGGGGTCCCCAACTGCTCGGCTAGGGCGGGGGTGTGTGTGCAGTGCAGACACGTCGCAGACACAGGACATGCAGGACATGCATTCGTGGTTTCTGTATGCGACGTTCCGCTGACAGAAGATCCGTGTCTCGCTGGCGTGTCTGGCCTGTCTGGCTTTACAGTTTGCCATGCTCTACGGCGAAACATAGTTTTTGTCTTTTTACGGCAGAGGGGCAGATTTGACCGACTGTGCATGTGATGGACGATCAGGTCCATGCTGGATATCCCGTCCCAAAAAAATGTTAGACGTTGCGCTCGCTTTGCAAGTCTTCACCACTCAATGGCGACCACCACTTGCCGCCCCCCCTTGATCCCCTTTCAGGTCATGCACCCGCCCACCATTCGTGTAGGATCCAACTGCCCGCGCGGTGGGAGGACCAGCTCGGTCAGCTCGGAACTCGGAACCCTCGTCAACGTTCAGGATCGGTCAGGATCGGAAAAGTCTCACTTTTGAACTGTCTTGCATCCGACTGGCCACATGGGCGACGACGCCACGGCAACACGACTGACAGGCAGATGGCCAGACGGCAGAGCACAAAGAGCAGCGCTGTTCTCGGGGCAGCGCGTATCCGCGTATCCTCTGCTGCTCTGCTGGCTTCCGATCCGGGGCATGTGGCGTGCTCTACGACGGCACAGAACAGAGATAGCATACGTCCGCACTCTATCTTTAGCTCAGTCAAATTTCCATGAACCTGCTGGCCAGGAGCGCACAGCGAGCTGCCGAACATCTAAAAGAATGGGTCACAGCTCCCACAGGTCCCACAGCTCCCACAGTGCACGCCTCCGAGCCCGTCCTTTACCGCTTGGTCCGTATTGTTGTCCCTCTGTCACTCCACGCGATCCCGATTTTGCGCAGCCAGCCCGTCCTGAGCTCCAAACGCAGGAGCCCACTATCTCCTTGCCGAGCGAGTCCCTTGGGCCCTCCATCAGCATCTCTCTAAGCGCGGGGTAGCATTCAATCTGGGCCCCACAACCTCGCTTAGACAAAAAAGTTGCTGGCGACGCTGTTGATATGACGACCCACGGCCTCTTTTCCAACGACCGTCTGATTCCTGACCTTGTTCAGAGATACGGGCACGGGCCGGAGTGACCGACCTAGTGAGGGAGCGCATGGTATATAGTCGCGACGACTCGCGATCCGTCGCTTGTTCCCCACCCCCCCCCGTCTCCGGACGACTAACTCTTGACCACTCTTTTGTCACCCACCCCAACCTTCCCCGCACTGGCGCCCCTCACCATGTCGGTTCAAGCGACGGGTACTGAGAAGGGCCCATACAGTCACCAGGTCGTCGAGGACAGCATCAAGCGTGAACAGCACGGTACTGGCCCGTTTGAGAATGTCAACGACGCCGAGGCCAACGCTACTCCTCTCGAGCACAGGAACTTCCGCTTCATCTCTCTGATCGGTCTTGCCTATGCCATCCTCAACTCGTGGACGGCCATGGCCACTTCGCTGTCCATCGGTCTGCCCTCGGGTGGCCCCTCGGCCGTCATCTGGGGTATTGTCCCCTCCTTCCTGGGAAACCTTGCCATGGCTGCCTCCATGGCTGAGATGTACGTTTCTAAGCAGCTAGACGGTGCAAGTTCTCAAGCTGACGCCTCCAGTTGCCACGTCTACCCCACCTCGGGTGGTCAGTACCACTGGGCCGCCATTCTCGCCACTCCCAAGCACGCTCCCTGGATCTCTTGGGTCTGTGGCTGGTTCGCCGTGTGCGGCTGGATCGCCCTTGTCGGTTCTGCTGGTTCGCTCGCTGGCTCGCTCATCACTGGCGCCATCTCGCTCAACCTCGGCGACAGCTACGAGGTCCAGAACTGGCACGTCTTCCTCATCTACGTCGGCTACATCCTGATCGCCACCTTCCTCAACATCTGGTGTCTCCCCATCCTCCCGCGCCTCAACCAGATGGCCATCTTCTGGTCGCTCACCGGTGCCGTTGTCATCATCATCACCTGCCTCGCGTGCTCGTCGGGCGACTTTGCCTCGCCCAAGTTTGTCTTCACCGAGTTTATCAACGAGACTGGATGGCCCGATGGTGTTGCGTGGATCCTTGGTCTCCTCCAGTCGTGCTTCGGTCTCACTGGCTACGACGCCGTGTCGCACATGGTCGAGGAGATGCCCATGCCCCACAAGTACGCTCCCCGCGTCATGATCCTTGCGGTCTGCATCGGTGCCTCGTCGTCGTTTGTCTTCCTCGTGTGCCTCCTCTTCTGCGTCGAGAGCGTCGACCTCGTCAACACTTCGGGCGCCGGCCCCCTCCTCGAGGCCATGTACCAGGCCACCAACTCGCGCGTCGGTGCCATCTGCCTGCAGATGTTCCCCATCATCTGCATGTTCTTCACCGCACAGGGTCTCCTCACCGCCTCGTCGCGCATGTCGTACGCCTTTGCCCGTGACGGCGGTCTCCCCTTCTCCAAGTTCTTTGGCCACATGAACAAGAACGGTGTGCCCGTCCCGGCCGTCATGCTCTCGACCGTCCTCGTCATCATCTTCGGATGCATCTACCTCGGCTCGTCGACGGCCCTCAACGCCATTCTCTCGTCGTCGGTCGTCTCCCTCAACATCTCGTACTGCATCCCCATCACCATCGTCCTCGTTCGCGGCCGCGGTATCCTCCGCCCGCCCTCGTTCCCCGAGCCGACCTTCACCCTCGGCCCCATCCTGGGCCCCATCGCCAACATCTTCGGCCTCATCTTCACCATTGTCACCACCGTCTTCTTCCTCTTCCCTCCTGGTCTCCCGGCCACCGCTGAGGGCATGAACTACGCCGTCGCCGTCATGGGCTTTGTCGCCATCATCTCGGCCATTACGTGGTTCACCACTGGCCGCCACCACTTCATTGGTCCCCGCGACCTTGGTGGTCTCCTTGAGCTTGCGCGTACCGAGGTTGCCCCGCACAAGTCGACTGTGGTCCGCGACGACGAGGACTCGACGATCTAATAATGGGAAGGAATACTTATTAATGAGGCGGGGGTTTACTGTTTTGAAGGTGGACCAGAGACAAGTCATGGTCCCATAGTGTCTCCCCGGTGCGGGGGACACTGTTGTTAAAAGTAGACAGTAGAGTAGAGTGTAAACATGCACAAGTTTTCAGACACTTCCATTGCTGCCCTCGTATGAGGTAAGATCCAGTCAGCCGCCGCCGCGTTAGTTGAATTTGTCACTTCCTATGCCATAGTCTCATGTCATTACAAAGCAGTGTTGCTCCCTCTCTCGCTTCTTAAAGCCGTGCCACCATCTCCTTCTCACTCTGGAACACCCTACGCCAGCGCAGCCACCACTCGATTCCCGTCTGCTTACTCTCGTCCGGAAAGTCCTTCATGACGACCTTGAATGCCAGCGCCGCAAGCTCGGTACGGCTCTCTGATCCGCGGGGCTGCGAGAGAACGGCCTTGGCGACAGTGTTGGACAGGTACGCCTTGACGTCTGGGGCGGGAACGTACGCCGCGATAGAGACCTGCACGCTGCGGCGGGCCTGCTCGTGCTCGTTTGTCTTGAAGACAATGTTCTCGACCCGCTGGACACAGTTGTGCACCAGGTCGGGGCTGACGCGCGTCGCGGCGCGGACCACGGCTGGGTAGGCCTCCTTGAGCTGGTCGGTGGTCACGCTGCCGTCGCGTGCTTCCCGCAGCAGACCGTGCGCGCAGATCTGGACCAGGGCGTCCACAAAGGGAGCTTGGCTGGGGTCGCGTTGCAGCGACTCGGAGGCAACCTCGAGGAGCGCAAGGAGGAAGGCGTGGGCAGCCTCAAAGCTCGCGCGGTGCTCTGGGCGCACAAAGTACCTGTAGAGTTAGGACGAGCTGGTGCTTGGCTAACTCACTTGTGAGCAAGAGGCAAGACGTAATCGCGGATCGTCTCTGCATCCAGTAAACGGATAAGCTGGTCGGCAACGACCAGGATGAACCCGGAAAGCGAGTCTGTCTTGGGCTCGTTCTGCAGCAGCTTGAACAGTTGCCTGGTTCCACGTGCCCCGCCGTCGGCGGCGAGCACGTCCAGAGAACCGTACAGCACTTTTTCGTATCCGTCCATCGTGCTCTCGCCCTCTGTCAGAGACGCAAACTTGGCAAGCGTCACAACGATAAGGGTCGACAGCTCGACTGCGTCCTTTTTCGAACACGAGCGCTCCGGGTTGAGCATGACGTGGACGGCGGGCCATGTGACGGCGAGGAACGCATACAGCGCTGCCTTTTGCCTCTCCCATTCTGACGGGTTAGCATCGCCTCAGCAAAAAAGAACCCACCTGGTCCACCTTTTGCCGGTCGGGACTCGCCATAGAGCCATTCCTCTTGCAACTTGGAGGCGCAGTCGACGTACATGCGGGTTGTGAATGCCGAGAGCTCGGCCCACGCAAACTCCTGGCTTCCCTCGCCACCGTCCGAGAGGGCAATAAACGTACGGGCGAGACCATGAGACAGAGACGTGACCTCATCCATGTCGAGCTGGGGCTGTACCGTGTACGTCGATGGCACGGGCGGTGGGGCGTAGCCGAGTGCTGTGAACAGCGCCACATGCAAGCGAGGAACGACTTGCTAAATGTCAGAACAAGCATCACATATGTCGTACTCACCCTCAGATCGAGAGCGCGCAGACGAGCACTGTCAATGTGGTCTGCTGCAGGGCAGTACATGTCCAGCAGGTCGCAGCTGTTGTTGTCCAGCCGCTCGCCGATGGCGATGACAATCTCCTCCTCGAGATCAATGCGTGGACGGCCCCACTTGATATCTGTGACATCGTCTAGCCCCTGGAGCAGGCCAATCAAGAGAATCAAGCTGTGGGACGAGGTAGGCGTCGTCTTCATCGCCTTGACCACCTCCGTAAGCCATGTCTGGGCGGCCTTGTCGAGCTGGTTGCGGAAGATCCACCCGTCCTTGACGGTGGGTCGGAGAGCTTCGACCTTGATCTTGGGAGCGGGGCGCACAGCAGCCTGGATCTGGTGGGGTTGCAGAGTCTTCCACAGCGATGGCGAGCTGAGGACGTCCTGGATAAACGAGTCGAGCCGGTCCCCCACAAGGGTTGACGTGAAGTGGCCAAGAGCGCCTTGGAGGGTCTCCTTTGGGATGGAAATGTCGTCCGACGAGCGAAGGACGCTCAGAAAGGGGTTGAGGACCTCCAAGGTCTCCCTGTCGGTCCTCCCTCTTCGCACCGCCTTGGACATTGTTGTTGCTGTTGTTGCTGTAGGAGAGTGTATTGTTGAGAGGGGTTCGTGGTTGCAATAACGATGGTGGACGGTGCCGGCTAACCGGGGCCGGGGGTGGTCATTTTTGGTTCCGTGGCTCACGATCGCACAAGCCCGATACGATGAGTTTGCGAGTCTTGTCAACAGCACTGTTGTCCTCATCCATGGGTCCCAAGACTCTGATGGCACTCTAGCCAACACTCCCAGAGCGATGGAGCGATTAAGCTGATCAGTGCTCAATTTTCGTAAAGGGGAGCCTCATAAATTGGTGTGGCTATGGGCATGGCTGGACGGCGACGGCAGCCATCCATCGCGAGTGCCACCAGGGCTGCAGCTTTCGCGCCTCCTGCGCCATTCAACCCACCCACGACTGTGGCCTGGGGACTGTATGTAGTGTGTATGCAGCAGACCTCCTTCGTCACCGGCGTATGTCTCATCTCCCTGTACATGTGCTCTGTGGCTCTGTGGCGAACGTGTCGATCCCCTCAGTGCTCCTGTATTCGCCACCAGACGGAACCAAATTGGGCGACCGATTACAACACGGGTTTATTGTGACTACTGATCAGACAACTCACTCCTCGCTTCAACCGTCGATACCTCGCCCAGCATGACGTCCCGTCTCAAGCACAAGCTTGAGCTGGAGAATGTCAACCTCAAGAGCCGTTACGTCAACGAGTCCTTTGTTCAGGTAGGTTCTCCAACTCCTCGAAGACTGACCCGCCAGATCGGCACACCATTGCCCGCCCTCGCCGACGCAAAGAAGGACAACCAGGAGTACCTCCCCGTCTGGGAGCAGGAGGTAGGTGGCATGCTGATATACAATCTAACCTACTCAGGTGCGCGACGAGAAGGGAAGACGACGATTCCACGGCGCCTTCACTGGTGGCTTTTCTGCTGGCTACTTCAACAGTGTTGGATCCAAGGAAGGTGAGGTTGTTGTGAGCGGCGTTTCGGTTCTAACCTCTCAGGATGGGCTCCTCAACAGTTCAAGTCGTCGCGCAACAGCCGTGCACAGCACAACCAGCGCGCAGAGGACTTTATGGACGAGGAAGATCTCGCGCAGCTCAACGACGACCGGCGGCTCGAGAACACCGACACTTTCAAGCAGGATGCGTTCGCTGGTACGCGCGAGGACCTGGGTAACAAGAGGTGAGTCATGATGCAGGTGTGGTCTTTTCTAACGCCAGCCTTTCTGGAGCTCTAGAGTCGCTCATCGTCCCCGCCAAGACCTCCATCGGCCAGACCCTCCTCCAGAAGCTTGGATGGCGGCCTGGACAGGGCCTCGGGCCTCGTGTTACGCACCGCAAGCTCAAGATCCAAGAGGGCAAACTCGGCCGCGTTCGTGCGGGAATGGAAGAAGATGACGACGACGAGCCCCCACAGGCCAGCAAGCACACGTACGCACCCCGTGATGCCCGTCTGCTCGTGTACGCCGCCAAGGACGACAAGGAGGGCTTGGGATTCGAGAAGGGACAAGGAATGGGCAAGTTGCCGTCAAGACGACCAAGTTAGTTTTCCTTAACCTCTCGCGCACAACTGACGTGTCAGTGTATGGCGCAGGACTGGGAGATGATGATGACGACGATGACCCCTATGGCGCCGGTCCAAGTGCTTCCATGGACAGTCGCCACTACGCATTCGACGAGAACGGCGAGCTGGAGGACGACGTTATTGTGATGGGCGGACCATCCGAGTCACGTCAAACCACCGAGACACGCGCCACTGGATCGGGAGACAGGTGGCACGACGGACGCGCTGTGTTGGTCGGCTTTGTTCTGGACGTCAAGGGTGTACCTGGCGATAAATGGTGCGTTTGAGGCGACGAGCATCGATCTAACGCAACAGGTGGCCTTTCCCCGAAATCCCAGCACACTGGAGCCCCCAGCCATCGCGCGTCTGTGGAGAGAAACCACGCAATGAAACGATTCGCGGCGCACCTGGGCAACCACTCACCCATGAACAGGTAGGCTGAACGTGAACTCCCCGATGCTGACATCCTTCAGCGCGGTACTGCTCTTGGAGAAGAAGCTCGCGTGTCTGCAGCCAAGTCTGTGTTCGAATTCATGTCTGAGAAGGACCGCGAGCGTTTGGAGGCCTTTGCCAAGGCTGCGAGGGAGAAGACTGCTCCACCGCCGGCATTATCACTCCAGCCCGAGCCCGAGCTCGCACCTGAACGCGCCACGGAGGTGATGATCCCGCCATTGTCACCACGTACAGCGTCGGCTGCTCTGCAAGGGTTTATTCCGTACGGGGACGACCAAGCCAAACAGGATCGGTACCGGTCATATCTTCGTTCGCAAACGCACAACACGAGACACCCCAACCCCGAACTACTCCCATCCACTAACGTCGACGAGGTCAACAATGAGCTTGCGTCGTTTGCAGCTTCGGCTCGTATCTTCAAGCCAATGTCGTATGCCATGTCGTCCCGCTTCACGTCTGGAAGCGCATCGCTGGCGGCCACGGACATGAAGCAAGCCAAGGCCGGCTTGCATATCTTTGACCCCACCAAAGCGCCGCTGCAGTTTGCCAAGGCGCAGAACACCGAGGTTGAGGTGACCAAGGTCCTGACCCCTCGCGAGCAAGCCGCCGCCGATGGGCAGTATGGCAAGCTCACCCGCGTGGTCAAGGACTTTTACCCTGTCAAGCTTGTGTGCCGCCGATTCCACGTTCAGGACCCGCATCCCGAGGGCCCACCTGAGGGTGGCAGCGGCACTGCGACCCCGACAGCTGGTGGTACTGGGTTTGAATCGTCTCTGCCAAAGAACGATGCGTCATGGGAGTCCAAGTTCATCCACCAGCCTGGCACCGACCGCGAGAACACGCCGCCATCCGGTGACGAGGAGCCAGAGGAGCGCGCTCCTCGCAACCTCGCCGAAGTCGGTATGGCCGAGGACGCCAACCAGGGCCGCGACATTCTTACATACACCAAGCCCAGCATTGACATATTCAAGGCCATCTTTGCGAGTGACGACGAGGACGATGATGACGACGAGGACGACGTGCCCAAGAAGGCCGTGGTCAAGGCGTCCGAGGCACCAAAGGATCCCTTCCCTGTGGACGAAAAGCCAGTCGACTACGCAACGTTCAAGCCGGTCTTCCTGGGTGGCAAGGAAGGAGGCGACAAGGAGAAGAAGAAGAAGGACAAGAAGGAGAAGAAGAAGCGCAAGGGAGCACTCTCGTTTGACGTTGGAGATGACGATGAGGAGGGAAGCGTCGAGGTCAAGCCCAAAAAGAAGCCCAGAGCCAGAGCAGTGGAGGTTGCCGACGAATGGGTGGAGAAGGCGTCTCCAGTGCCAGCTGCCCAACGCGAACCTCGACAGGACGACCCTCCCGCTGCCTCCTCTGCCCCGCGGTTCGGACGCAAGGGTGCGGCCGACTTCATGTAGAATATAGACCATTTCGTCCATGTATTTGTGGATTGGTGGACTGGGGAATTTGCTTCCGTTTGCCACCAATCGCCACCGAAACATTCAACTCGTCAACGCGGGGCAAACAAGCTGACATTCATCCACCATCCACTCCACCATGTTCGTGAAAAGGGCGCGGCCACGCCCGCAAGTTAGAGCGAGGGAAGCGGACGAAGACGAGGTCGCCACGGCTCCCTCGCCGGCTTCGTCGGGCGACACTGGCGACGAGGTCGGCAGCGTGATGGAGAGGAAGAAGGCGCAACGCAAGAAGCAGCTTGGCAAGTCCAAGCTGAGCTTTGGCGGCGACGACGAGGCCGGCGGGTCGGACTCTACGCCGTTCAAGCAGCGCAAGTCGCTTCTCTCGCAGGCGCTCAAGGCCAGCGCACCCTCGACTCCAGCCGCGGCGGCATCCACCAGCGGCGCGGGCGCGGGCGCCGGCTCGTCCTCGTCCATGTACTCGCGCGACTACCTCGACGAGCTCAAGGCCGCTACGCCCTCGCGTGCCCCGCGCCCCGAGGACGGCGACGGCGACGGCGGGCTCTCGCGCGCCGCGCAGGACAAGTACGCATCGGCCATCGAGGACGACCGGTCGGCCGGCATCCCGGATGCGGCGGCGATCGCGGCCGCCAAACACAAGCGATCCGCGGCTCTGGGCGGTGTCCGGGGCGCCAAGGGCGAAGACATGGACGACGAGTACATCTCCCTCGGCGGCGACAACGAGCCGCACCCCGAATCGCGGCTCATGCGCGAGGAGGACGAGGGCGAGGACGGCGACGAGGACCTGGCCGACTACACCGAGTCCAACCAGCGGCTGTACATTGGCAAGGACGCCAACCGGGCGGCAGCACGGCGGCTGAGGGGCGAGATTGGCGAGATGATTGCAGAGCGCGAGGCGGAGAGCGACAGTGACGAGGAGACGCGGGCGTGGGAGGACACGATCGTCGCTCGCGCTGGGACTGGGATGGCCGAGGCCAAGAAGGAGCCGAAGAAGGCAGCGGGCTATGTGCCGACAAAAAGTGAGTTGCGCACGTCCTATCGCAGCTGACATCAGTGCCCTCCATTCGCCCCGTCCCGACCATTGCGTCAGTGGAAGCGAGGATAGCGCAGAGTATCGCCGAGTTGCGCGCCGTCAAGATCGAGAACGAATCAAACTTGGAAACGGCCAACCGCGACCTGGTACTTCTCGAGGAGCAGGAGCGCGACATTCGCAAGCAGGTCGAGAGCGTCGAGGGCAAGCGAGAGTGGGTCGAAGAGTTCCAGGGATGGGCCGAGATGCTGGGTACCTTCCTCGAGGAAAAGCACCCATTGCTCGAGGGCATCGAAAAGGACGCGACCAAGTTTCAGCGCGAGCGCGCCAGTATGATCAGCGAGCGCCGTGCAGCAGACGACAGCGACGACCTGTCCCTCTTCCTCGGTATCCCGACCAACGTCCCCGAGGGGAGCAAAGTGGACACGTCCACTGCCAACTCGGACTTTCGCCGCGTCAGGCGAACGGCCCGCGATGACCGCCGTGGTCGCCGACGGGGTATTGTCGTCGCGTCCGAGACCGACGAGGGCTTCTCGACCGACTCGGAGCTCGACCCGGACACGCAGGACGAATATGATGCCTCGCAGCACGACCTCGAGCGCCGCGTCCACGCCCTCCTGGAGGACGTCAAGGCCGAGGACTTCAGGTACCCCGAGAAGGGTCTCGCCGTGCGCTTTGACGACTGGCGCTCGCGTTACCCCGACGACTACGATGGCGCGTTTGGCGGCCTTGCGCTCGTGCAAGCATGGGAGTTTTGGGCCCGCGGTGAGATGGTCGGATGGGACCCGTTAAGAGTGAGTTATTCCTTGGTAATCGCCGCTCACGCAACAGAGCGACAGCCAGATTGAGAGTTTTACGTGGTTTACCGCACTGTACAACTACTCGCGCCCACGCAACGGCCACGACGAGGACGACATGGACATTGACGAGGTCGGGCCCGAGGGCGACCTCGCGACCGAGATGGTGTCCAAGGCCGTCGTCCCTGTTCTCATCCGCGCACTCGAGGCTGGCGCATACGACCCGTACTCGGCACCACAGACGCGCCGCGCCGTCGACATTGCCGAGGTCATCGCCGAGCTCACTGGCAAGGACAGCAAGAAGTACAGCGTGAGTTGATCAGTGGGACTATAGCTCACACCACAGTCGCTCCTCAAGGCGATCATGGGCGTGTACCAGGTGCACATCTTCTCCCTTGCCGCTGCGGTCGCGTCGTCTGGCGGTCCCGGATCCACCCGTCCGCCACCGTACAACCCTACGTCGCGCAGCGCAATGCAGCGCTACGTGCGTCGCCGTCTCAAGCTCCTCCGCAACCTCCTCCTGTGGCGCCGCGTTGCGCCCAACGACGTGCCCGACCTCGTCGCGCGTATCGTGTCCGTCGTCCTTCGTCCAGTGCTGTCGAGGACATGGGAGGGCGGCGGCGAAGACATGGCCAAGAAGGTGAGCTAAGACACTTCCTGGTGGATACAGCTGACAACCCTCCAGGTCCTCGAGGTCGCTGGCGCGCACTTACCCCATAATCTTGTCACGTTCCTTCAGAAGGGACCGTAAAATGCATCTAGCGTAGATCACGCGGCGGCAGCCGATACTAACACCCACCTTCTACCTTCCTCCCCCCCCCCCCCCCCCCCCCCACCTCCTCTCCTTCCTCCCACCCCCAAGTGAAAGTCACCACGCCCGAGTATCAGACGTTCGCGTCTACTTTATTTCACGCTTTGCCGCCCGGCCCCCTCGTTCGAAGGTCGATCCTCTACGGCGCGTGTTCAAGCCTTGCTCAGGGCAGATCAAGAGGGGCATTCTGACCTGACCATCCTCTCTGCCTCGCAGTCGACGCTGCAGGTGAGAAAAAAAAGTGGATCATGGCTCGTTCCGCCCCGCACATACATACATACACACACTATCTTTCTTTGAATGTATTAAACGCTACAGGATCTGCGTCTGCTTTACGTGCTCGGCTTTAGACCTGTACCTGGTCCCATACACTGTCGTCCTCGGCGTCGAGCATCGCTTCGTACTCTTCGACCGTCATGTCGCGCTGTTTCTTGGCTGGCGTGTCCGTCACTGCCGCCTCTGGAGGGTCAGAGGCTGGCCGCTTGGTCCCACGATCGCCGTCGCCACTGTGCACGTCCTTGTCCTTGTCCTTGTCCTGGTCGTGCACGTCCTCGGTTTCGTCCTGCACGGTGTCTGGTGCCGGGGACCCGGCCACGGGCGCCTTGATCTGTTCCAAAATGTCTGCCACGCTGACACTGCCGCGCTGACCCCACTCGACGACATCGGGCTTGAACGCGGTCTGGAGATGGGTCAGCTCAGAGGCGAAAGTGAAGCACGAGCTGTGGCAAGTCTCACATAAAGATGCAGTCCGACGACGTCCAGCTCGTGCGGCTCATACGACTCTGCGACGAGCTGGAGCGCGCCCATGACGTGCGGCGTGTAGTCTTTGAGCGCGCGGGTGATGTACAGGAATGCCTGCAGGGTCAGAGGATGGGTTTTGGCCTAATGCGACAGCGTACGCGGGCCACTCACGACGCTGGGCTCGACGACGGCGCCCTTCTGGATCGCGCGCCATGTACCGTCGGGACGTTCAACCACAGGGCTGTGTGGGTTAGTTGGTACGAATGACGAATTCACACCCACATTCTGGGAGGTGTCAGTTCAGCTGGTCCCCCACGGCATTGCGTTGGTCAACTCACTTGGCCTTGAGGATCCCCACCCACGGCTGACTGCTCCCGACGGCCTTTTCGACCTTTGCATCCCTGTTGTGCCGCCATGACCGGCTGTTGTCGGCGGGCTTGCGATAGTCGTGTTCGCCCGGCAGCTCGCGGATCTCCTCTTCGGCCTCGCGCGTCTGCTGGGCGTCCAGGATGTTGCCCAGGCCGAGGGCATGTTTGAGGCTCGAAATGTGCACGTACACATGCGCGATGCTGAGCGCCTCGGCAACGTCAAACCCCAGCCGGCGGGCCACGGCGTAGCACCACGCCGTCTTGATGGGCGCGCGGTTGCACGTGAGGGATACGGGGAGGACGGCCTCGACGTCTGTGATCTCGTGAAACTCAAAGACGGTGGGCACGTTTGTGGGTGCGTCGCCGTCGCCGAGGGGCCGGAGGAGGTCCGAGTCCCGCCCGCCGCGCCGCTTGACCGGGGCAGTGTTGCCTGCGACCACGCCCTTGATGGCGTTGGTGAGAAACTTGCGCGTGTCCTTGTCCGGAACGAGGGCGGCCAGCTGTGCCGGGGTGAGCGCCTTGAGCTTGGTGACGGTGTTGGTGTCCTTGTACCTAGCGGCCGGATGTCAGCGTTGTGTTTCGTTTGTGCAAAGCAGCAAGTATTGGCTCACGCCTTGGCCGCAAACGCCATGGCGACGCGCATTGGCGCACCCTGCGCAGTGAGGAGCTTGAGCCACTGCTGCAGCGGGACGACGGCGTCTGGGTCGGGTGGTGTGTCTGGCATATGTGGGGATGAGGAAATGGATGGATGCAAGAGACGGCAAACGAGGCAGTGGATGGATGTATCTTGGGGGTTGAGTCACCTGGCTGCGGGGCACCGTGTGGAGGTCGGGAATGGAGGTCGCATATCGAGACATGGCGGCGTTGCTACACTTGATCAATTGTCTCTCTCTCTTCCACTCATTCATCCCCAAACTGCCGCGCTTCATGCTACCCCCCGCGATGGCCGCTGCCGTCGCCCGCGTCTGTGAACCGGGGCACGCCGGCGTGGAACTCCTGCTCGCGCCTCGCGCCCTGGTCCCGGCTCCCTCGACCACCTCGTTCACCCCCTCCGGGGCCCACATTGCCATTCTCGACTCGAGCTTCAACCCGCCCACGCTGGCGCACATTGCCATGGCCTCGACCCTGTTCCCACCACCCGTAAACCATCACGCCAGAGCAGGACCCAGGCGCATACACTGCCCGCTTGCTGCTGTACTCGGCGCGCAACGCCGACAAGACGCCGAAACACGGCGACGCGGCGCCCGCGCAGCGCGCCGAGATGATGCTGCTCGCTGCGCGCAGCGTGGGACCGGCGGGAAGCGGTGGATCTGGCGCGGGAGTAGGCTCTGGCACAGGGGTGGCGCTCGTGAGCGAGCCGACGTTCGTGGCAAAGTCCACAGCCCTCGTCCAGGCCCTGTCACAACAACAGCAGCAACAACAGAAAGGCACACCACCGCCGGCACTCACCTTCCTCGTCGGCACCGACACGCTGGTGCGTATCTTTGATCCCAAGTACTACCCTGCGTCGGGGCTCGGTGCGGCGCTGGACGCGCTGTTCGCGCACGCGTGGCTCGTGTGCTGCGCGCGCGGCACGGCCGACGAGCTGCGCGAGCAGGACGCGCTGCTTGCCCGTCCCGACGTGGCGGTGTGGGTCCGGCAGGGCAAGATCCGCCTCTTGCCTCCTCTGCAGGGGTACGAGGACGTCAGTTCCACGGCTGTGCGGCGGGCCGTGGCGCGCCGAAGTGGGCTGGACGGGTTATGTACGACAGAGGTAGAGGCGTATATAGAGGCCCAGGGGCTGTACCGCGAGTAGGTAGAAGTAGAGTCATGGGCACGAAGCGATGCAGAGGGAGAGCAGGATAGAGTAGATGCTAAGAAACATGCAAAATGCCAAAAGAAAATGGGATGCCAAAGAGTTGCCAAAAGGGTTTGCCAAACGATGAGTGGAGGGGGAAGTGGTGATGGGTGGTGGGTTGGTGGGTCGTTTACTGGTCGTACTCTGCCATGCCGGTGTAGCTGCGCGGCCGAGGGGGCGCGTACTGGCCGCGGCTGTTTCCTTCATATGCCGCATGCTTGGTATACTTGAGCGTCTTGAGGGCCTCGACGTCGTCGGGCTTGAACATGGGTGCCGGGGAAGACATGCGTGCTTGGCGGAACTGGAACTTGGAGTGGGGCACTCGCTTGCGCGGGAAAAAGTACCGCCTCACACCGTCAAACGTCTCTCCACGCGCTTTGCGGATCAGGTCGGGCGGGACATCGATCCCGGCATCCCTCATGTCGTTGATGAGGATGCGCATGGCGCGCGCGTCGGGGGCCGCGGGCGGGCCGTCCAAGTCCAGCTCCCAGCCACGGAAAAAGCACGCAACGGCCGCTGAGAAAAAGTCCTCGTTGGGCTGAAAGGCCGCAGACGTGTTTGGCAGGCTGGCAGTCTGGCGCCACATGACGCGGGCACGCTTGTACACCTCCCAACCCATGACGTGTGCTGCTGCACTGTTGTCCGCTGGGTGAAAACTGATGTACGACGGCAGCCTCCAGCCAGGGATTCGCGGGCCCGGGTGACAGGCTTCAATCGCGAGGATCGAGAGCATCGACGTGTAAAAGTCGGTGGGGAAGAACCGGTCCAACGGGTTGGTCGGTTCGTCCTTGTCGGCTTCAGCAGCGGCGAGTTCGTCATCTGCGTCGACGCGTCCTCGGCTCCGCGCGAGGTTTTCTGTCCTGGCTTTGGTGAAGTCGTCTTTGCGGTGCCACGTTGCCAGGTCGTAGACACGCTGCGCAAAGGTAACGTTCTCGCACCGGAGCATGGCCTGCAGGATGATGGTGTATACCTCGGGCGACAGGTCCGTTGAACGGATACGTCCCGACGCTCCAATCTGGGCGCCAGTGAGGTTTGCAATGCGCCGAATCTCCTCGTTTGACGTCCTCTTGCCGACTCGCAAAAAGGGCAGGAGAATGGTGACAACGTGTCGCAGCTGGCCATAGTGTCCGCCATTCATCAGGTCGACGAGTAGGGCGGTGACCGATTTCTCATTGGGAGTCACATCAGGGAGCCTGGCCAATGCGCGGCGGAACGTAGAGTCGGACACTTCGTAGGCCATCTCCTCGGGCGAACCGGGGCCAGGGAGAGAGCGTCCAGGCTGCGTGTAGATGACCGTTTCGACCATGGCCTCGCTGGTTTTAGCAGCAGCAGCGGCGGGTGGTTGTGGCGTCTTGGTGGGGTTTCCGATCAGAGTTCCACCGAACATTTTATCCTGGACCGCCTGCGCGAGCTCTGGGTCAGATTTACGAGCAGCAAACAGGATCCTGTTGAGGACCTCGGGTGACTTCCAGTGGAACATGTCGACCATGTACTCGAACAGACGCGTCAGGATGCGAGGCTGCCTGATCTGGACCAACGCATACTGGACGAGCACCATGCACGACTGCCAGCCAAGAGCCTGCAGGGCGTACTGGGCCGCACCAGTGGGCGGAGGGAGGGCTTCGTCCTGGTCAAACTTGGTCTCGAGGGCGGCCGCTGCGCGAAAGTTGGGCGGCGAGAACATGAGCGACACTAGGGCATTGTGCACCTGGTTGCTGGCAGCGTACGCCCATGCGTCCTTTTGGGGCAGCTGCACCATGCGCTCCGGGTACACTGCGGGGTGGGTGGACGACGACGAAAAACGCTTGAGGAGGGTAGGGATGGAGGGGATGGGGAGTGTGCGGGACATGATCGTGTTGGCCAGTGTAGCCAGAGCGCGCATCGACGTCGCGTACTCTAGAGGGGTGCATTCTCGTGCCTCGAGGCAGAGCGACTTGAGAATGGGCTCGAGAAGATGGCGAGACGGCGCAGGCACCTGGCTCGGTGGCGAGGTGGGGATGGGCATCGGGAATCCACGCGGGCGTTGGTCTGGGGCATGGCCTCTTGGGTGCCAGAGATCGAGCCGTTCGTGCAGCGAGAGAGCCTCCCCAGGCAAGCGCCATGTCCGCACGCCGCTGAACCAAATGCCAAGTAGGCTCGACCGCGAGGTATCGTTGGCGGCGGCATCCTTTGGCGGTGGCCAGGACACTGGCACTCCCAGCTTGCCATGGACGCCCGCCTTGTGGTTTCCGTAGAAATCCTCCAGCTTGGCGCCCTCTGCCAGTCGTCCCTCCATGATCCACTCCTCGACGAGCTCGACAAAGACGTCAGCAGCAATATCGGGCCGGACAGCCCCGAGAGCCTCCTGGATGAGAATGTGATAAATGATGCTTGGGCGTGGGTGGTGAATTGCTTGCAGTTGACGAACGACTGCGTGCAAGTCGTTTAGAGGTTTGGGAACGGGCGGTGGTTGTTGCTCTTCGAGTGTGGGTTGCTCGAGGGGCAGATGCTTTGGGATTGGGGTGAACGTTCGTCGGGGTGCGTATCGCCTCTCTGGTGGGCGCGCTCCGACGACAGTAGCAAGTGTCTGGCTGCGAAAGCGTGGTGGCCTGTCATAAGACAGGTCGGCCAGCAGTGCCAAGAGCACAGTGGTCGCCAGATCGACCTTGCCCTTGCGCACAAGATCGTTCAAGATGGTATGCTGTTCCAGTGCAGTCGGCTGCAAGAGCACCTGTTGCAGACCGGGCTCAGTCTCTAGCAAGGTCTCTTCCAAGTCCAGCCTGTCCTTGACATGTTTGAAGTTGCTGTTCCGGAGAGCTCTTCGGAGCAGGCTGATACGCTGTTGCCAGTCGCGTGGCCGCAACTCGCGTCGCCGACGGATGCCATCTTCGGAAGCTCGTGTGGGTGGAGGACGCGCCAGAGGTGGGCTGTCGGGGTGCGCGTCGGAAATGACAGATGTCCTGCGGAGGCCGATACCATGTTGGTGGGTATACCTGGACGACGAGGAGGATGGCGGTCGGGTAGACGAGGAGGGTGCGTCGTCTTGTGGTTCCTCCGGCTGTGATGGTTGTGGTGGTGGTGTATGCTGTGGTAAGGCCGAGTACCTCCGCAATGGCGGGGCGGTGATACGCCAATGTATGCGTGTGAGCATGGCCGTGGTGATGGTGGTTGTGCTTGTGTGTGTCTAGAGCATGTTTTGTTTGGGTATATAGTATGAGAGAGAAACGACGCGCTGCACAAGATGGTCTCTCGATGGTCGCTCGTTTCCCTGCCCGCCCGGAGAGAACAAAGAGCGAAGCTCTCGCTCAAAAGTCAAAAGGCCCAGTCCGAAAACAGCCTCGTGTAAGTCACGTGGTGGTCGCGTGGGTGCAAGGTGCTTGTCACCTGACAGTCACGTGATTTAGACACCACGTGGCTGTGAACCTGACAACGGATGACATACTTTTACTGGGTGGTCAGGCTGACATTCCCCCCCCCCCAACCGCTGCGGCTGCGGGCTGACTCGGACGTTGCTCTTTCGCCATCGCTGCTCTGCTCTCACACCGCTTCATCCCATCTACCCATTCTACCACCCACTCCCCCACAACCCCCATCCCCCTCACCACCTCCTCCTCTCCCTCCTCACCACGTCTGTGACGGTCCCCCCCCCCCCCCCATCCTCCCCTCCCCTTATACCAATTACCATACCCCCATCGGTACCCTGGTACCCACCCCTGCCCCCCCAAACGCCCCTTGCCCTTGTTTCTACCACATTCGGCACATCACACCGCATCACCACCCAATTCAATTCCACCAACACACGCACCCGTTCACTAAACACCATCACCGTCCAACCAACAACCCCACCACCCCCGCCAACTCGTACGCACGGTATATGATACCCCCATCAGCTCACACCCAGCAATGAGTACCCGCACCATCGCACCACGACACACCCCAGTCCACCGTCACTCCCCGGCACCATCCATCCCGCCACCCAACCTCATCGCCGCATCCCCTCGTTCTAGCACCCCCACTCGCGTCCACGCTCCGCGCACACGTCAGGCCCCCATGTCTCCCGCACCCGCACCCGCAGACTCAGAGCCACGGTCCAACACGTCCACCCCATTGGGCCGTAAGCGCAACCATGGACGCAAGCGCGGCGACTCGCGCAAGCCCCAGACCCCGCGCGACGAAACTCCCGTAGGCTCTGAAGTCGACACCCCCGCCGGCGACACTGAGGAGGACTCGGAGGAGCTCTTCCAGCTCCTCGGTGTTGACGGCAGCGCCGAGCCCGTGTCCCAGCACTACGAAAAGGGCCTGCTCCGTCTCTCCAAGGAGGGCATGGACGCTGCTACCAACAAGAACAAGAAGGTGCGCGCCCGCTCAAAGAACAAGTCTCGCACCGACACTCCCGTCGATCACAACGAGAGCTCGGACCCCGAGCAGACAAGGAAGGCTGGCGCTGGGCCCAACACGCCCAACACCAAGCCGCGCCGCACTCGCGGTGGCAAGAAGGCCGACGTGGGCCCCCTCGACTCGTCGCCCGATGCCATGGACGTGTCTGCGCTTAGCCGTTCGCTGCCCGCGAGTTTCTTTGCGGAGAACAAGCCGAAGAAGGACGATCAGTCCTCCGTTTGGGAAATGCCGACCGACAGCCCTGTTGGTGCTCAGGCCCTCAACTGGCAGCAGCAGCTGCAAAACGAGGACACTCCGTCCAAGCGCTCCAACCGCTCGAACAATAATCAGTCGGAAGGTCGCCGCCGTGGTGGCAAGCAGGGCGCTGCTGCAGCCCCTCCTCCCCGCCCGACGCACGATCGCCGCCAGTCGCTCGACCATGTGCCGGTCTCCAACCTCACCAAGATGATGGCCGCGGCCGTTACTCCTGCGTCCGCTCCTGCGGCGCACGCACCCGTGTCCGCTTTCGATCAGTACATCCCGTTCCACACGGGCTTCAATGTGCACCGCGCGCCTCAGACGCCCGTGCGTACTGCCGCGTCGCGCGGCTCGCCGGCCCCCGCTGGTCTCCCCGGTGTCATCTCGCTGCCCATTGTGGGCGATTTCCCCCGCCTCAACAAGGCCGGTGGTATGCCCCTCGGTGGCCCCAAGTACGCTGGCCCGACGTTCCACAACTCGCCAGCCTCGGGTTCTCTCCCGAAGCCCGATCTCGACGACTTTTAAAGACACCCCTCTCCTTCATCCAATCGACCCTGATCACCCCCACACTCACTCATCCACACCCCAACAACAACAACACCTGCAAAAGACTGTATCTCGGCCCCTCACCAACCTCGACTGTACGAACCCTGTTGTTTTGTTTTGTATTGCCGCTTCTCGAACTGCACCACACGACAAAGAAGGGCCAAATATTGCCCGCCGCATTCACACGCACCCCAAAACCCCCAACACACACCAAGCCTCCGATGTTGTCTCCACCCCGCCCTCACCTGACGATCTTCCACCTGCACGACATTTGCCATTTTTACAATATCGCCGCGCCCGACCACCAATGGGTGTCGCGCCACCACCTACTGTTTTTTTGTCATTGTGGAGAGATAAAGAGCAAAGAGAGGAGGGGAGGAGGCGACACCAGAATGAGGGGAGTGAGGGAGTTTGGACGACGAGGAGGAGGATCTAAAGAACGAAGTATATCGAGACACCAACACACACACACAAGTACCACAACAACCGCAACCCGACTGAGAAACCTATAGAATCTCAATCTTGGAAATCAACCCCAAACAACAACAGCAACATCAACCCCAAACAAGCCAACGAGGGACCCTGTCCCCCGGATCCCCCCACCACACGAGGAGAAGCGAAGGAGGATGTACAGCTATGCCTGTATGCCCTTCTGTAGCCGTAGTTGAAGTAGTTTTAAACCCCCGTAACCCCGGCCGCCGTCAACCGGCTCCGGCGGAGAGGAGATGCCATACCATTTCTTCGACCGTTGCTGCAGTATTCAACTCGTCGTGCATCTAGGTTACATCTATACAACTAATCCACAGAGGAGCCGCTCACGCGAGCAGTTCGACGTGGTAGAGCGTCACGCGGCCGTGGTGGTCCGAGCTGGCGGCCAGCTCGAGCCTGAGCTCGACGACATTGTCGACGGAAACACTGCCACCGAGTCAGCTGGAGCATCCCATACACACCACTCACTCAAACACCTGCCGCCGGCTGACGTCCTCGGGGTAGACCTTGCCGAGGTCCACCTCGCGCCCGCCGTCCTCTCCGCCGGGGACGACGCCCTCGAGCGTGACGGTGCTGGCCACGAACCCGCCCTGGAACGTCAGGCCGAGCTTGGTGGCGGACACGGGCTGCGGGAACCGCAGGGTGATGGTCGCGGGCGTCGCGGGGGCCGTCCATGCGCTCTCGTCGTCGAGGAGGAGGGCGCGGCGCGAGGTGCCGGGAGCGGTGGCCGAGACGCTGTGGAGAGGTGAGCAGGAGAAGAGGTGATGGGCCACTTACGCTACTTTTGTTCCTGCTGGAATTGCTGACATGGGGACAGAGAGAGGTGTTGCAGGTGGCAGAGAGCGCGCGAGAGAGGGTGTCGTACATGCATGTTACATCTGACCTCGACATGCGACATCTCGATCGCAGACCACGTGACCTTTTGCTGCCTTTGTCTCCCACGGTCGCCGCCCAACTCGTCCACGGACGAATCCTCCGCCAGTCCCGAATGGACTTTTCTAAACGTCGTTTGCTCAACACCTCCATCCACCCCCCCCTCGCCCCGCACACCATGTCCCTCTCCGCCCTCCGCGCGTCGTCGTCGCGCCTCCCCGCCGCCGCCGGAATCCGCAGCGCCCGCACCCTCTTCACCCACCAGCCCGCCAACGGCGCCGCGGCCCCGCGCCACGCCGCGCCCGGCGCCGTCGGCGGTGTCGACCTGCGCGTCCTCCAGGGCGTGCCGACCTTTGTGGGCGCCGAGCAGATGGCCCGCGTCAACGAGTGGCAGTCGGGCCTCTGGGCCAGGTTGCAAGACGAGGTCAGGAGTAAGTGTGCCGTGCTGTGCCAAACCTGGAGCATCAGCGTCGCTTGTTTTGTTGGCTGGACCTCTCGGGACAAGTCGTGCTGACGGTGTGTTTTCTTTCTTTACCTCGTGCATCTGATCGTACCGTGGTTGCTCGTGTCTTGTCCGTCTTGGTTCTCCCCCACCTCCATCTACATCACCCTCACCCTCACGACGTTCTCCAGACAACCCCCGCCTCGCGCCCATCCGCCTCAAGTGGGACAACGACAAGCTCGACATGACCGACCTCCTCACCTTTACCGCCCGCGAGCCGGCGTGCGCCCTGGCGTTCAACTACGCCAGCCTCCTGCTCAACAACTCGTACTACCTCGAGTCTATTGTGCGTTGGCGGTTTGCGTTGTTGCTCGCTGTCCACCCTGGTGCTCTTTTGTGGCAGATGGTTGCGCGTCGTCGGAAAAGAACAATCAAAGACTGTCCAAAACAGGCCCAGGGGACATATGGAGCAGCACCGCGCCGAGGCTCACACGTTTGCCTTTACTGACCACATAAACACAGAACGCGTCCACGCCCCAGGCTATCCCCGAGAACTTTACGCAGCTCGAGGACCGCGTCGCAGCTTACGCGGACGGTATTGTCGGCAGCGGCTGGCTCTGGGTGAGTAGTGTGGCACGTGGGGTTGTGGGTTCGCGCACATGTGCTTTGTGGCCACAGAGCGTGCGCTGCAGGTATATAGTGGCCGTAGCCCGGTACCACCCCTGGTATCGAGCTTGGGAGGACGGGTGCGCTGTCGCCTGGTAAAATGGTACGGGCACAGCGCGTAAAGTCCACCAAGTCTCCCCACGCCCACTGCTCCCACCTCTTCGCTCGCCCCCCGCTAACACCCACAGATCGTCAAGTCGGGCGACAGCGCGCAGGACGTCGACGTCGTGCCCACCTTTGGCGCCGGCACCCTCCTCGTGACCAGGCGCCAGCAGCGCGGCCGCGAGTCCCTGCAGGCCGTGTACGGCACGCCCGCCACGTCGGGCGAAGACGCCGGCGCGATCCAGCACGACACCCAGCCCGCCGCTGCCGCCCCCGCCGCCGACGAGGCGCCCGAGGAGGACGCCGCCCCGACCACTCGTTACCCCGAGCAGCCGCCGCGTTTCGGTGCCAACCCCAACGCCCCCAGCGAGGTCGTCCCGCTGGCTGTCCTCTCGCTGTTCGAGCACGCGTACCTCGGCGACAAGTACGGCGTGGCCTCGCGCAAGCAGTACGCCCTCGACTGGTTCAAGGCGCTCAACTGGGACAAGGTCCAGGCGCGTGCCGAGAGGTTTGGCGCGTTCTAAAGCGGTCCGCACCTGGGACTTTGGGGAGGCTTTAGGCTTTATAAAGCCTTTCTTGTTTGGTGTTCTAAAATAGCGGGGCGTTAGAGCAAACGGCAGCGAGCAGCGAGCAGCACTACTCTAGACGTGGACGGTGGTGACGGACGGAGAGAGGGATCTATGCATTGCATTCGTAGGACAAAGGGAGAAGTGAACAAACAGCCATGTGTGGCGCCACAAACGTGCGCGCGAGTCGTCTGGAATGAAAAGATGCATATGCAAAGCCGTACACACTCTGCCCCCCCCCCGGCGTAACACGACACGACACTGTAGGTCCCCACGCCTACGCCTCAGCCGAGTGCAGCTGGAGCGCCTCGATGAACGCCTTGAGGTCCTGCTCTGCGACCTCGACGACGGACGTGTCAAACATGTCGTGCTTGTACGTGGCGCCCGACTCTTCCGCCGCTTGCTGGAACGCGAGGCCGAATTTACTGTGTCCCCGTGTCAGCCAGCTGCTACCTGTGCTCTATACCTCGAGGTCCCCGTAGCTGGACACACTTGACACTTACTTTTTGCGCACGTCGCCATACTCCTTGGCAGCCGTGACGCCGACGACGAGGAACGTGCCCCTGTCCTCGTTCAGACACGCGACGACGAACGGGTTCGCAGCGGCTTTTTTGCCCTGCTTGACGTCGCTCTTGTTCCACGCGTGGCGGGTCGCGTCCACGAGCCACAGGGCCAGGCGCGACAGCGGCGCCGGGTGGCAGAAAACGCGCAGGTCGGGGCCCTCGCGCACGGCGGCGAACCGGAACGTCCGTAGTGGGCGGATGGCGGTCTTGTCGAGGATCGCCGAGCCCTGCCGGATGATGGCGCGGTGGAGCGACTTGGCGAGCTGCAGCGACTTGCCCAGGAGGACAATGCTGGTATACTGTCAGTTTTCTGGTCATACGACTGCCAAAACTCACTCGTCGCACGCGTCGTAGGACGTCCAGAAGTTTTGAACGTGCCAGTTGTGGATCTTTGGCGCGGCCCTGTCCTGCTCGAGCGTCTCGAGCTCCTCGGCGGCGGGGACGTCGCCGTTACCGTTGGCGTCAAGGCTCCAGGTACGCATACCGCCAAACCACTCGCCACCGCCCTTGCCGCCGTCGACCTCGATCTCCATACGGATGCCCTTGGCAGCTTCCAAGAGCGCCTCGAGGCCCTCGACGGCGTCGGCGGCGGACAGGAGGGCCATTTGGAAGCCAAACGCACGGCCAAACGACGGGTAAACGAGCTCGACAAGGCCGTATTCTGGCGCAATGGATTCCAGCTTGCCTGGCAGGTCGCGCTTGAGGCTGCGGTCCATGTGCGCGTAGGCCTGCTGGCATTGCTGAAGAGAGAACCTTTACTGTCAGCTAGTTCGTCAACTGTAGAGCTCACCCCATCTTCGCCAACAGGCCCTGGAGCTGCTTGCGTCCCTTTTCTTTCCAGATCTTTAGGCGCGAAGCGATATAGTTGGAATGCAGCATGGCGTCGTACAGGTTCCAGTGGCGGACGAGGGCAAACCGCAGCTCGTCGGTAGGCGCAATGCTCCGGTTGTCGGCATCGGGCACGCCAGCTGGCATTGGCGGGTTGAGACGGGCGACCTCGTCGCCGAGCAGCTCGTGGTGCTCCTCGTACTTGTCGCGGTCGATCTGGGCCGCGACGTACTGGTATGTCACGGCCAAGATGGCAAGCCACAACAGGTCATTGTCTGCGCGTTCCAGCACAGTGGCGAGGAGGTAGACGGTGAAGCCTACACTGGCGCCATAGTGCGTTCCGGCATGGTAGTACTTGTTGACACGCTCAATGTGGGCGTTCTTTACTGCTCGTGGCAGTTTACGCGGCTGTTGTCAGTTGGAATTCCGAGACTCGTCCAACTCACCCTGTCATCGTCATCGTCTCTCCGCTTCTTCTTGGGACCGGCAGACCCAGTTCGTTTCCTCTTGCCTATCCTGCCCTCGCCGACGTGGTTCTCCTCGTCGCTGTCTCCTTCTTCTTCCTCGTCATCGTCCTCGTCGTCCTCGTCCTCTTCCTCACTGTCCTCGTCATCGTCATCAGAGTCGTCAGAATCGGAGGGCGCGTACTGGGTGGTCAGCTCGGTTGTGTTGCAGGTGATGAGCTCACCTCCAGAGCCTCCCAGCTCTTCTTGACACCCTCGAGCCTTCCCTCGTCGCCGTCACCCCACACCCACAGCCTTCCCTGCCCCGTCCCGTCCTCGCCGTCGACATCGACGTCGACGCCAAACAGGTTGTCCAGGTTCCACGGGCGGTGCGCATCGATAATGTGCAGGTGGCAGGTGGGCGGGAGGTCAAAGTACTCGGAGAGGTTGAGCAGCGAGCCGAGCGAAAGGAGAATGAGGGTGTGCAGCTGGGGTTGCGGTGTGAGCTTTCCGTCACCTCTGAGTCAGCTCACCTCTTCTGATGCGACTACTTCGTCGCGCTTGGCCTCGAGTTCCGAGTATCCGCCTATTGGGACGACGCGGTAGGGCACGTCGTCTTGCCTGAACAGCGAGGCGAGGATACGCGATGCGAGCAGACCGTCCTGTCATGTCAGCTAGAGGGCCAGCAGCATTCTGCTCAGCGGACGTACCACGTCAACGCCGACAAAGATGACTACACCGCCGGATCCCGAACCACCCTTGCGCCGCACGCGCGACACGATTGACTGATACCCATCGACATAGGTAAGTTGGGACGGGCGGAGGTCCGGGGCTGGCGGCTGGAGAAGGGGCATCGCGCACGCGAGGAGCGCGGTAATGTGCTGGTGGACTGGAGAGGTTGGAGGATGTGAGGTCTGGGGAGGGGGAGATGAGAGGAGAGACCAGGTGCAGTGGGATGTATGGTGCGATGTGACTGTAAAAGCGAAGAGGAAGAGCCGGGTGGGCGGCCAGAAGGGATGTGATGATGTTGTTGTTCATCTCTCCTCACCGCTCTCTCTCGCTCCCTCACTCTCTACGCGTCGTCGCGTCCTAAACATCCGGATCCAAATGACTTTGTCTGACGCGACCCACGTGGTATTACATAAGCAGTACAATTGGCCTGCCGGTGGTCGGCACCGTGTATGTGTGTGTGCAACGACGTCACTGCCTGCATGCCGGGGTATGCACGGTGGGTGCCAAGAATGAGCCCCTTTCGTCGTCCAAATCGGCACCCAAGCAGACACTAGACAGCAACCAAAGCCTCGTGTGCTTGGCATGTCACGGGGGACCCTTCGCCCGGTCTGCGCAGCGCAGCAAAGCACACGCGTGCATATGCACACACAGAATATAGCCGGCTGCGGACGGACGGACGCAGGTGCAGGAGGCATATGTTCAAGAGCAACCCGGGGGCCGTGAAATGCACCATGACGATACGATCGACGGTGCATCATCATCATTTGGTGTCTTGCAACAAATACACCCTCTCTCACTCACACATTCCCATCCTCCCACCCATCCATCCACATCCACATCCACATCCTCCTCCTACATCACCGCATCCATCTGCTCCTGGCCCTTACTCCTGCTGCTTCCTGTCCCCCACCCTCCCGCTCTCCACAATGGGCGCTGAAGAAACCTCCTCCACCGCCAGCAAACATGGCCTCCGCGACAAGATCCGCGAAAAGGTAGACCACCTCCAGTCGGACATCTCCCGCCTCGGCGTCGCCGTCAGCACCACCTGGAACCCCAACCACCGCCACGACGACCCGTGGGAGAAGGAGGTCGACGACAAGCTCCTCGCCATCCGTGATGGCCACCGCTTCAGGTCGTTTGCCCCAGAGCGCACCGACAACGTCGTCAAGTGGCACATTGACGGCCACGGTAAGTTGGGCGGAACGGGTCGCGAAAGAGAGAGACAGACAGACACAATGGATGGGAATTGACATTCACCAGACTACTTCTGGGCGCTGTCCGAGCTCATTGACCAGGCCAAGGAGGCGAGTTGAGCCAATCCGTCGTGGGGAGAACGCAGCTGACCTAGTCGCAGAGCATCATGATCCTCGACTGGTGGCTGTCGCCCGAGCTCCAGCTGCGCCGTCCGGGTGCCTACTACCCCGAGTGGCGTCTGGACCGTCTCCTCAAGCGCAAGGCCGAGGAGGGCGTCCGCATCTACATCCAGGTCTACAAAGAGGTGAGCATTGGCAACGAAGACATCGCCTCTATGCCGCTTGCGACGGCCGTCTCCTTCCCTCCGCGGGCATCGCCACTGACACCCCGTGCACAGGTCACCGCGTCCATGTCTCTGGGCTCGAAACACACAAAGGTACGTCTGGCCGTGTGGCCGTGTGCCTGCCTACCTGCGACGTCACTGACAAGCAAAACAGCACGCCCTCGAGGACCTCCACGAAAACATCGCGGTCATGCGTCACCCCGACCACTCTGGAGGTTAGCTTACTGTTGGGGATCCTAGCTGACTGTTCTAGGCGAGCTCGTGTACTACTTTTCCCACCACGAGAAGCTCTGTGTCGTTGACAACAAGATGGCCGCCATGGGTGGTCTCGATGCCTGCTTCGGTCGCTGGGACACTCGTGACCACCCCCTGGCTGACGTCCACCCGACCGAGTTCCAGAAGGCCCTCTTCCCCGGCCAAGGTGAGCTACATGGTATCGAGATCAGCTCTAACCGGTACCAGACTACAACAACTCGCGTATCATGGACTTCCAGAACGTCGAAAAGTACGCCTCGAACGAGCTGTGCATCCAGGAGGCGACCCGTATGCGTAAGTTGGGTGCTTCTCTTCAGCTCTAACACCCAGCCTGGCACGACACCTCGCTCACCATTGTCGGCCCCGTGGTTGTGGACCTTGTTCAGCACTTCTGCGAGCGTTGGAACTTTGTGCGTTGCACTAGCCGAGGTCATGCTAACGCCACAGGTCAAGGACCTCAAGTACAAGCACGACCACCGCATGGAGTACCTCTCGCTTCCTGACCGTGAGCTAATTCATGCATTGTCCCAGCTAACATCCAGCGTGGCACGACGTCCACTCGGAGCAGGAGGCCGCCAAGAAGGAGAAGCAGGCTTTGTTCCGCGCCGAGCACCCCCACCTTTCCGAGTGGAAGGACGTGAGTTTCCGGTATTTCTTCGGTCCTAACTCTCCAGCGCGGTCGCCGTATGACCCACCCTTACCACTGGCCACCCTCCGAGGAGCCGCGTGCGCAGGAGCCCGTCGCCTGTGGCTCGTGCCGTGTCCAGGTTGTCCGTTCGGCTGCCGACTGGAGCCACGGCTGTCTCACTGAGAACAGTATCCAGCGTGAGTGGCAGCGGGTTTGAGAAGGACTGCATACTGACCCGCCCCAGAGGCATACATCGAGCTCATCCGCGAGGCCAACCACTGCATCTACATTGAGAACCAGTTCTGTGAGTACAGCCAAGACAGTTATTGTTGCCATGAGCTGACCCCGCAGTGTAAGTATTGGGGATGTCTCCCACCTTTCTCTCTAACCACTCAGCGTCACCACTACCAAGGAGGGTGGTCCTATCAAGAACCTCATCGGTGAGCTAGGAGTTTACCGCACCAGCTAACAACCCAGGTGCTGCCCTTGTCGAGCGTGTCCTCTCCGCCGCCAAGGACCGCCGCAAGTTTAAGATCTACGTCCTCATCCCCGAGGTTCCGTGAGTGGCATCGTGCTGTAACATTACTGACCTGCACAGTGCCTTCGTGAGTTATTCAGGCACTTCCGCACTAACTCTCAGCCCGGCGACATCCAGGCTAGCTCTGGCCTCAAGGCTATCATGGAGGCACAGTACCGCTCCATCAACCGTGGCGGCAACTCGATCTTTGACAAGATTCGCGAGGCCGGCCACGACCCGAACGAGTACATCTCCTTCTGGAACCTGCGCAGCTACGACCGTATCAACGCTCCCCAGGGCGCCATCAAGAAGATGGAGGCCGCGTCGGGTGTCAGCTTCCACGAGGCCCAGGTTGCGCTTGCGCGTCTCTATGTCGGCGAGCCTGGCGGCGACAGCGCGGACGAGGACGAGGTCGTCTACATTGAGAAGCCCCACGACCAGACCACGGCCGGCGACGCTACCAACCAGAAGAAGAAGACTGCCGAAGACTCTGTCAAGCTCCCCAGGACTATCGGGGATGCCCAGGAGATTATCGACAAGTTTACCCAGGCCGCTGTGCGCGACGACTCTGACATGTGGGTGTTTAAGAATCCCACGAATGATGCTGACCCACCAGTCCCGACAACATTTGCCAGAACGCCATGGAGAGCGGCCAGTCGAGCGCTGACGCCCCATGGGCCGGCACCGAAGAGGAGGAGCGTAACTGCATTGTGACCGAGGTAAGCTTCGGCATGTAGATCCAAGCTAACGTCAGCTCCTGTACATCCACAGCAAGCTCATGATTGTGGATGACCGCCGTGTCATTGTCGGCAGTGCCAACCTGAACGACCGCAGCCAGAACGGCCACCACGACTCTGAGATTGCCGTCATCATTGGTGAGCGCTAACATGAGCGGGTTCAGCTAACAGCCACAGAGGACACGGAGATGGTCGAGTCGACCATGAACGGCCGCAAGTACATGGCCTCCAAGGTCGCCACCTCGTGGCGCCGCTCCCTCATGCGCGAGCACCTCGGCCTGAGCATCCCGCAGGGCCCCATTGGCCGCAACAACCAGCCCACAAACTGGATGCGCGCCGCGCCCGTGTTGGCCGAGTACGACTATGGCTCGCCCGACGACCTGCTCGTCGCCGACCCGCTCACGCAGGACTTTACGCGCCTGTGGAACGAGACGGCGCACACCAACCGCGTCATCTTTGACCGCATCTTCCGCACCGTCCCCAACGACACGGTGCGCAACTGGAAGAGCTACCAGGAGTTTATCGGGCGCAACGCCGGGGTCAAGGTCGGCCACGTCATGAACAATGACATGTCGCTCGCCGAGATCAAGCGCGAGCTCGCAAAGATCAAGGGCCACGTCGTGGACATGCCGATCAACTTCCTCATTGACGAAAAGTGGCTCACAGAGGGCGACTTTTTGAGCGTCAACCCCATCACACTCGCCCTCTACATCTAGATGGATCACGGCGCGCGGCGCGCACGGCGTGTGCGGTGTGTGTCGGGGCGACAAGAGAGGAAGGACAGTTGGTGGACGAGGACACTGGGTGTAAGAGTGAGAGCGAGAGAGAGAGAGAGAGAGCGAAAGAGAGATATCTGTCGTAGCCCCCCGTTCAGTTATAACCCCCCCCCCTTCTCCCCATGCTTGCTCGACAATGCACAGGGGACAAGGACACGCGAATAGGGCAGTACTTCATACAAGATGTACGGGACGCTAAAAAACACCAGAAAAAAAATGGAGGGGGCAGAGCAAAAAGCAAAAGAAGCAGAGACGCAAGAGAAAAGCAAGAAGAGGAGAGTGTCCTGGCGAAAGGTGTACTAAGTGTGTAAAGCGGGAGGTAGCACGGGTAAAAGGGTAGGTAGGAAAAGGGGGCGACAAATAGAGATAAAAGGGTAGTAGTCGTTCGTGGGTGGGAGCGTCGAGGCGGGACGTGGGGGGAGGCGTGAAGCAGGCATAAGGGGGCTCGTCAAGGCGGCGCTCCACGAGCACGAGTCATGGCTCTCGCACTCGGGGCTCACGGACGATGGGGGCTCGCGCTGTCGACACTGTCCCGCTGGCCCTCGACGCCCGGGACGGGCTTGCGGCGGACGTTGCGCAGGCTCGTGGGCGAGTTGGGCAGGCTGGCGCGGTGGGTGTCGTTGGGCGTGAGCGAGCCGGGGGACGGGGTCGCGGCGCTTGTGGCCGTGGTCGTGGCCGTGGGTGCCTGCGCGGGCGCCATGGAGGCCAAGGTGGACGCCGACGCGGACGAGGGCATGCCCATGCCCATGCCCAGGTCAGCGGCGGAGACCTGGTGGTGCTTGACGGACGTGGGCAGCGGGGCCGAGATGTGCTGGATCGTCAGGCGCTTGTCGCCGCCGGCACCGCTGGGTGCGGTACCAGCAGCAGCGGCGGCGGCGGCGGCAGCGGCGGCGTTCTCGTCCCGGCGCTTGCTGCCAAAGCTGAAGAACCGCGACGTGAACCCGGGCCCGTGGCCGTGCTTGTCGGTGTTGCCGCCTGGAGCGCCAGACGTCGATCCCCGCGCGCCGGCGGGGATGGGAGCAGCAGACACGCTGGTGCCCGTTTGCATGGGCACAATCTCCTCGATGGCGCCAATCTCGCTCAGGATGGTCGGCGGGGAGCGGTACGATGTCGGGAGGCCTGGAAGGATCCCAATGGGCTCGTCGGCCGACTGGCTGCTGCTCTCGCGGCTGTGCGGGTTGGGTCCATGTCCGGAACCGGGGAGGGGCACGCCGTCGCGGCTGTTGGCGACGACGTACGCGTGTGCGCGCTCCTTGGGGCGGAGCACCTTGGCGGAGATACGGCGCGCGCGGCTCGAGGGCGCGCGCGATGGCAGGCCGGGCAGGCTGGACAGAACAGGGACCGGGGGCAGGACCGGCGAGGGCGAGTTCTTGATCGCGTCCACGAGCTCGGCGGGCAGGACATGTGAGGGCAGGTCCGGGGTCGTGAGGTCGGGAGTCGGAGGACGCGCAGGACGCCTGGGGGCGACCGACTTGGGGCGCTCGGCAGCGGCTCCGCCAGCAGCGTTGGCACGCTCCTCGCGCACGATACGGTCCCGCTCGGCGCGTTCACGGCGAGCTTCACGCATCTCACGCTCGCGCTCGGCAGTGAGCGACCGCGAGGCCGACTCGGATGCCTGGGCACGCGCAAAGATGCCATTCTCACCCTTGCCTGCGGGTGGGCTGACCACAACATCGGGGGACACGGCACCCTTGTTGAAATACTCTTGCAGGCCGGGCGAATCGGGCGACTGGATGGACGAAAAGGGCACAGCAGGCCAGGCGGCACGGTCGGGCGAGGTGGGGTTGTCGGCTGAAGTCGACCCATGGGTGCGGGTGGTAGACTCGGTGCCGTTCCTCGACAGCTGCGCACCGTCGGGCTGCAGGTAAGGGAGGCGGCTTGATCCCCGCTGGGGCAACTCTTTGAGGTTGATCGGTGTGGGCGACTTTCCGTCCTTGCCTGGGGACGTTGGCGATCGTCCATTATAGCGAATCTCGCGCGGAGACAGGTCGCGCATCATCTTCTCAAGAGTGTTGAGCTGGTCGGCCATGACGATACCGCTTGCGCGGTGGTCCATGTTGCCGCCGCCAGAGCTGAGCGGGGAGGCTGGGGACAGCAAACCTCCAGACGTCGAGTGGCTGAGGGTGATGGGGGACGCGAGATCGCGAAGGGGGAGGAGTTGGGGAGGTTTGGGGAAGCGGCTGGCAGCCACGTCAATCTCGAGGTCGACGGCCCTGTCGTTGCTAGGCTCAACGATGGAAGAACGGATCATATCATTATCCAGAGCAAACTGGGTGATCTGGGCCGACTCTGCCAATTGCCGTTGAGCCTCTTGCTCGTCGCGTTCTGCCGCCGCCTCGGCCTCTCGTGCAGCCTCTTCAGCCTCTCGTGCAGCCTCTTCAGCCTCTCGCGCAGCCTCTTCTTGCTCGGCGACCAGGCGCGCAGCGTCGCGGGCAGCTTCTTCTTGCTCGGCCTTGAGCCGCAGGGCCTCACGCTGGGCGGCGGCCTCGCGTTCGGCAGCTTTACGCTCTGCACGTTCGCGCTCCTCTTCCATTTGACGCATAAACTTTGGTCGTGGGTCGTTCAAGCGCTCCACGAGCGTCAGCTCGCGGACAGCCAGCACCTCGACGCCAGCGCCATAACGCCGTGCTGGACCGCCCGAGCGCATCCAGTCGTCGAGCCAGTGAGCCTGTTGGGGGTCAATGTCAAACTCGACGGTCCCAAACACGGGCAGCGACGAGGACAGTGCGCCCAGCGACACGGGTGTGCGTGGTGAAAACGACGACGCAGAACTGGATTGCAACGACGACGAGCGCGACGGGCCCTCGTCATCATGTTCTGCTGAGCTCAGCGACTTGTTGGCTGTATGTTGTGGCAGCTGGCGAGTCGCGGTGCTCGTGGACATCATGCCGCCAAACGTTGTCCGTGGATGTTTGCGTGGGGTTGAAGAAGGGGTCGAGGTGGGTGATTCGGATGGGTCGCGCTGCGATGCCGACGTAGTCGACGCAGCATGCGCAAACAGCGTAGTCCAGGTTGCCGGGGTGATTTGCGGTCCAGGCTCATCGTCGGCGCTGCTGATACTGCCGCGACCGCCATCTGTCCCCAGATAGACGTTGACGCCTTGTGTTGACGGCAGGCCGAATTCTCGTGCGATGGCAACCAACATGGCGCCAAGCGTGGGCTGGAGCGGGACGAGGCGTCCACGGCGCCACCGGCGCGCGCGTTCGCGCTCCGACGCTGCATCTGCCCCGGGGACAGGTGCTAACAAGGAGACGGGGGGGATGACAGCGACAACGTGGCCTGGCACAGTGGATGCGCCGGTGCCGACTGCGCCAGTGACGGAAATTACGGGTGAAGAAGAGCGCGACAAGTCCTTTCGATTTGCGTCGGAGATGGCAGGCACGTGGATGCCAAAGCTCGATGCGATCCTGGCCAGCTGGGCTGGCGAGAGAGGTGCTTTCGGGGAAGGGTAGTCGCGCTGGCGCTCCTTTCCTTTAAGTGACAATGCACGGGATGGAGTGGACGCGCCGGCGCCAGGCGAGTCGAGGTCGTCGGTACTTGCTCGAGGAAGGCCATAGCCTCCCAACGGCGACGCGCCTGGAAACGACAAGGGCGGCAGGGCCCCCGGGAGCGTTGTTGCGACGAGTGGTGGGGAGCCAAAGGGGGATGCAGGCTGAGATGACCTAGGCTGCGCGTAGGAGAGACGCGGACGCGCCGACGACGGCGGTGAGCCTCCAAAACGCGCAAAGGACGGCGGTGGGGGCCACGCGACGAGGGCGTTTGTGATGACGGGGGCGTTGGACCCGTTCATCGCGGCGACGGCGGTGGGGGCGGTGGTCGATTAACACAGAGGGTGGAAGCTGCTCCTGCCGCGACGGCGGCGGCGGCAGGGGGAGGACTGCTATGCGGGGGTGGGGGGAGATGCGTGGTAAATGAGGAGGGATGAGAAAGATGATGGATGTTCGGGATCGAAGGGGTTCAAAGGTGCCGCCGAGGAGTCATTATGGGCGGCGCGCCGAGGTTGGGGGCCAGGGTGGGGGATGCGCCGTCTCGGACACAGTGTGCGCACACACGCAGGGGGGGTGTGACGGCGGAGCGCGGGTCGTTGCTAGGGACCGCTGGGTGGGGTCCGCGAGGTTAAAAGTGGGATCTGGCCGTTGGTGTACGAGAGGGAGACGGCGAGACGGAGACGACGGACGACGAGGAAGTGGATGATGATGGGGAGAGAGAAAAGGATGCACGGGCGCCGACAACAGGTGAGAGGGAAGGATCGAAGGAGACGCTACCAGGGCAAAAACGACGCGCGCGCGACCCGATGGCGTTGGGCCGGGCAAAATGAGGGGGAATGTTTGGGCAAAACGTTCTTCTTGCAAAGTGCGTTGCAGCGAGTGCACACGTCTCACTCTGGTACTCTGGGGCATCGCTCGCGTGTGCCGTCTCTGGACGTGGAACGCTTTGCTACCAGAGCTTCCCGTCATTACGGCGTCGTTTTGTGTCTCGACTGTGGTTACTGTGAGCGTCTCTCGCCAGCCCAAGAGGCATACCGTAATTTGGCCCCTGTTGCTTCACAGTGTGGTCCCCCCCATGGCTCTGCCCAACGTCCCCCCCGGTCGCCAACATTGCAAGTGTGCGCGGAAGCAGAGGACGCGTACTGCTGCATGCATGCATGGCCAAAGAGATATCCAGAGTACCAGATAGAGATCGAGGACAAAACGTGTGCGTGATGCACCCACAAGAAGGAACGACGCTTTGGCCACTCGGCAGGGAAACAGTCAGTGCGCACGAGCCGTCAACCTCTCTCTCCAACCATTACATCACATTTACCCGGGCGACTTTCATTATTCACAGTCCATCTACTCTCTCTCTCTCTCTCTCCATCACTCTTCTCTTACCACCCTTACACACATCTCCTCCACCACCATGCACGTACCGCGCTTCGCTCGCGTGTTCGTCCTCGCACTCACACTCGTCACCGTCCCCTCCCTCTACTTCTTCTATCCGGGCCCCGCAAACCCCGACCACATCCAAAGCTCCCTCGACAAGGGCGGCATCGACTCGGACCACATTCGCGAGCCCGTCGTCCCCCACCTGGCGTACCCGGACCACAACAACCAGAACGCCCAGGACGGCCATGACCACCAGCAGAACCACCAGCAGGTCCAGCAGGGCAACGGCCGTCCAGTGTTCGAGGACGAGGCCGCTCGCGATGACGAAGAGATCGAAAGCGGAGCCAACGATGACCATGTCGATGTCGATGATGCCGAGGACGACGACTATGCCGATGTGGCCGGCCCCGCTGCAGTGACGGAGACTCTGGCAGACAACGCTATCGGAAAAGTCATCATGCCAAAGCTGGGCAACGCAACTGCCAAGTGAGTTGGTGGCGAGCGCAGCGCCTGGGTGTAAAATGAACTGTTGTTGCACACCCAGATCTCAACCGCTGACACTCCAGGGCCGAACTTGGACGCGCGACGTGGAGGTTCTTGCATACCATGACTCTTCGTTTCCCCGATGTGAGTGCAAGATGTGGTGTGAAGGAGCTCGGAGGTGTGCTATCGCGGGCTGCTCCGGATCCCCTGGTGCACTCGGTGTCCATCGGGAGTGGTGGTGGCATTGTGCTTTGGCCACTGTACGCACATCCCCAAAGTGTGCACACCTGCGGATCTCTGGCTGGGCGTCTCGTTTACCATGTCGCCTGGCCGGGCCGCATGGGTATCACCAACGGGCTCCACTCAAACCTTGCGTTGAACCTTCATTACCTTCATACCCCGACCATACCCGCTGACACGCCATGTCCAGAAACCCACCCCAGACGAGCGCGAGACCCTCCGTTCATTCTTCTACCTCTTCTCCCAGCTGTACCCTTGCGGCGAGTGTGCCGCGCACTTTCAAAAGATGCTGGAGAAATACCCCCCGCAGACGTCGTCGCGCAAGACGGCGTCCCTCTGGCTGTGCTCCTTGCACAACATTGTCAATGCGCGCCTGGAAAAGCCCGAGTTTGACTGCCTGACGCTCGACTCGACGTATGACTGTGGCTGCGGTAACGAGACGAGCTCGGCGCTGCCCGAGGCAACGGGCAGCCCATGATCAGGCCTGCGCTGGTTGGTATGGATACCGGCTTACGGATCCGCTACTACGTCTCAACCTGCGGGCGTACCAGGACGTACGGGACGTTCTGATCGCCTTACTCGGTATGATCGGGCACTCTTCAGAAATCACATATACACACATCACCATCTAGACGCCGCGAACTTCACTCCACGTTCTCACTTCACTTCGGCTCCTTGGACACGTCGCGCCAATTCGACCACCATTGGCTGGTGCTGGCCGCCAGTTGTAGCACTGCATGTATCATCATTCCGACCAGGGCGTGCGTGACTGGGTGCGTGCAGACCAAGCGCGTGTCGGAGCCAAGAGCAGAACAACAAGGGGGGGGAGGGGAGCGTGCCAGCTTGTTGGCCATGAGCCATGACCATGCCATGCCTGGTTCACTCGCTGCTTCTAACCAGCGACGGTCTATTTCTATTTCGTCTCTCAGCTGCATCTCATCGTCTCTACAAAGCGGCCATCTCACTGCGATCACTGCCCTTCAACCACCACACACACTCTCTCTCTCTCTAAGCCTCGATAGCAGGGACCGCGGCACCGGCGGCAATCTCCTCCTTGCTCAGAATCTCCTTGCCGGTCTTGGCAATCTTCTCGGTGATGGTGTCAAAGGGCGGGAGCGAGGGGCCGTACACGACCACGCGCTGGGTGGGGAGGGAGACGGTGTAGCCGTTGGCTGTGGGTTAGCTGGGAGAGAATGCGAGGGAGGTGGAGGGGGGGGGGGGGGGGGCGAGCGGGAGGGAGGGACGGAGAGAGGAGAGGTAGAGGCGGTCATGGACAGTACGCGCGCACGCCGCTGGTACCGGGAGACTCGAGCGGCAGCCCAGCTCAATCTCACAACGCAGCCAGCCAGCTCCGGTGGATGGACAATCCACGCGTACCGGCCTCCTCGTCTCATCTGCCGTTGCCACGGACGGAACCGCCGTGGCCATGACCAAGCAGTACACCAGCGCAGATAGGAGGCGACACTCACGCGCCTCGATGTTCTTCTTGAGCACACGCTCAATGGCGCCCGAGCAGCCCGAGCAGGTCATCTTGACGGTGTAGTTGTATGCGGGGCCGGTGGACTGCGAGGCATGTCAGCGCTGCTATGCGTGGGTTCGCAGCGAGCCAGACGCAACGATGGGTGTGTATGCCGGTGCTGCGTGGTGGTGATACAGCAAACGACCGCAGATGCGCCGCACATGCTGGCAGTGACACACCGTAGCGGCGTGCTCGCCAGCGCTTGCACTGCGTATGGGATACTCACAGCCATGGTTGCTGGTACAGACGACGGGGGAGTGGTGTGGAGAGGGAAAGGGAGACGCAGAAGAGGAAAATGTACAGAGGTTGACAAAGCAATCGACGTCGTTGTTGATGGTCGCGCCATCGCCCAGCCAGCCAGCCAGCGCACCAGTCGGCCGAGCGTGCCTCCACCGCACGGTAACGCTCGGATGGCCCTGGACGAGCGATATTGGCGCAGGCAGGCGCGGCATTTGTTGTCCTCTGCTAAAACAGAAATCCTACCCGACAGTTACTGCATATGCCCAAATGGCCCATGGGACGCGCAAAGCTCGCAAAACGTCTCACACCTCGTGGCCTCGTGGGCAGGTGTTTGCCCGCAGACGCTGCTAACCACACAAGTCGTGAAATATCTACATACAATCATGCTAAACGACGAGGTGTGTCTACGAAAACGGTGTCTAGTGGGGCTGGCCACCACCGCCACCCAGTGGCGACTGGGGCGGGTGACCAAGATCTGTATCCTTCTAGTTCTATATATTCTGCTCCTTCTTCCAGCCTCTACAGCTCTAGCCGCGCACGAGCATGCCGACGGCACACTCGGCCATGAGGTGCTCCATGTTGACCCAGGAGTGGGTGAGCACTGGGACGTGTGTCAGCTTCATTGACATACGGAACTGGCAAGCTGGCCTGTCGTGCTGCTGGTGTCTCGCGGCAGCGGGGCCATGGGCTTGAGATCGAAATGGGGGTGCAAGATCTCGGCCACGGCGGCCCCGTTGGAAAAGACACGCGCGAGCACGCAGACCCTCGACAATGGCTCTACTCACTGAACAGCTTGGTGCCGTCGCGTCCGGCGACGCGCATGAGCTCCTCCTCGCCGCCGGGATGGAAACGGAGGTACGGCGTCAGGTTGTACACGATCCCATTGAAGACGGACCATGCGTCGTCGGGGGTCTTGTGCTGGAAAAGGTGTCAGCGAGAGATCCTAGACGGTCGGTTGGGGCCACGGGGCACTGTTCCGTTCTGTCGCCGCTGGACTGGCTGTTGTCTCCCTGTGCCAGCAAGCAATTGGCACACAGGAAGAACAAGCACCTCTAGCCCCCATAAGAAGCACTCACCTTCTGCAGCTCTGCCATGGTCACACGCAGCGGCACCATGCTCCCCGTCCCGCGCAGGTCGGCGCCGCTCTTGGCCAACCGCGCCCAGTCGAGGGCACTGCACCCGGGGCCCAGGGCGACCTTGCCGCGCTTCTTCTTCTCCTTGGTCAACACCTGCTTCACGTCGGCCGCGGGTGTCTGCGCTGGCGCCAGCGATGATGGCGACGACGACGACGACGAAATCGACACGGTGGGAGGGGGCATGCCGCCGCCGGGCTTGATGCCGAACGCGGGCTTGGTCGTCGTGCTCGGTGGCGGCGCCATGTCGCCCAGCGGCACCGCGTCGGGCAGGATGGCAATGTTCAAGTCGGACGGCGGAGTCGCGTCCCGGTCTGAACGGGTCGGCGAGGGGGGAGCGAGGGCGAATGCCGGCGGCGGGGGAGGCGCCATGGCTGTTGTGATGGGTGCGGCGGAACGCTGGTACGAGTCCGGCAGCGGGAACGGCGGGGGCACGTCGAGGTCCTCCTCCTCGTCTTCCTCGACACCAACGGAGACGTCGGGCTTGCGACTGCCGTTACCGTTCGCAGTGGCCTTGTCGTCGCCGTTCGACTCGGCGGCGACTGGGGGCTCGGGCTTGGCCCAGAGGGAAGGGAGGGATGGGAGCAGCTGGGTGGGCTGTCAGCTTCGAACCACAGCGGGTGGCAAGCTAGCACGCTAGCACGTACCCAGGACATGACGGACGACGGCTTCTGGAGACTCTACACACACTGGTGGCCTGTTAGATGGACAATGTATGCTGACAAACGACGAGGCGCGCGTTTCCAGACAATCACAATGCGCGACTCGCGACTTGGCAGAGCAGGTGCGGGAGCAAATTATTCATCTCGCCGGGTTTGATGTCGGACATCGCCGCTGTCAACAAATCCACCCGCAGACGGGTCGTCATGTCCAGCCGTGGACTATGGCTAGATTGGGTGGGCTACGAGTGGTTGGCACTAGGTGGCACAATATGTGACGCAGAATACGGCACCGTAATGTCTCGTGTCCTAGGGGTGCTCCAAGGCTACGGGAGAGGGAGGTCTAGTTGTCACTTCCGACTCCCTCAAGCCTCACCCGGAAAGAACACCTTCATGGTATTCTCCCACGCCGCCTTGGCGACCTCCTCGACGGGTAACCCACGGATACTGGCCACAATATGCGCAATGGTGACCACCTCGGCAGGCTCGTTGCGACCCTTGACGCCCTTGCCCTCGACAAACTTCTCGGGCTTGACCTTGTCCACCACAACCACACCCTTAGGCAAGTGGGCGTGGCTGGCGTGTGTCGAGGTCACGGAGCACCATGGAGCGTCCGTCTCGAGCATGATACGGTCAAGGGGGATGGCCTTGGCGACGACAAGGTTCTCGGCAGTTTTGAGCGAACACCCATTGACACCAATGTACAGGCCCAGCTTGAGCAGCTGCTCCATCTCGGGCACAGTGCCCGTGAACGAGTGCACGACGCCTCCGGGCCAGTCGCCGCCAAAACCGACCTCGCCGAGGATGCGGACCAGGTCAGCGTGCGCCTCGGGGTGGCGGTCGTGCAGGAAGAGGGGGAGGTTGAACTTTTTGGACAAGAGCAACAGGCGCGGAAGGTGCTTGAGCTGCGTCTCGCGAGGGGCAAACCGCAGGCGGTCATAGTCTGGCGGGTTAGCGACGAACCAGACACGAGACCCACCAAGGCCAACCTCTCCGATGGATACTATGCGCTTGGATCCCGCGTCGCTACGGTCTGCGGCAATGAACGCCTCAAGGTCGCGGAAATATGCCTCCTCGCCGCCGTCGTACTTTTCAATCTCCGTGGTCGAGGTAGGGTGGCATCCGGCAGTCGACTGGAGGTCTGTGGTATGAGCTACGGCAAAAAAGATTTAGCTCACTGTACTCCTTGGCGAGCTCGAGTACGAGCTTGGACTCGTGGAGGTTGGTGCCAGTCAGGATCTGGCGGGTGACGCCGGCCTTGTTCGCCCGGTTGACAACGGCGGCAAGGTCGTCCGGGTGGCGAGTCTTGCCGTGGTAACTGCCCCTGAACATGGGGTCGCCAAGGTTGACAGCAATGTCTGTAGCGTTAGCTGGGAACAATGCAAAATCGGCAGCTCGACGCACCGACAAACTGCATGGTGGATCGTGAAGCCAGGCGGCGGCAGAGGGTTGGTGTTGAGAACAGGGTGGCGATGGAAGGATTGATCTATATGTTTCTAGTGAGGCGTATCCTGCTTTATGACGTTCTGTCCTGCAGACTGTGCGGAAGAGTATGCTGTTTCGGTACCGAGAAAGAGGGAGACAAGAAGTCGGGAAGCGTCAACAACAACCGACTCGAGGACGCTGCTCGATCGTGAAGCACCTCCACTGTGCAGAAGTGCCACAGTCGGATATTTCCGCCACGTGACTTGGATCGGCGTTCCCTCCGCCCAGTGCCGCCACCAGAGGACTCTTGAATGCATCCAACAACAGTCGGAACGGTCCACCATATACACACACCCCAGCCAGCGCGGGGGGACGACATCTTCCTACACCATGGCAGAGACATCCCTCATCGCCGACCTCGCGTCGCGCTTCCCCCTCAACGTCCCCATTCCCACGCCGGCAACACATCCACAGCTCATCAAAACCGGCGACCTCGCAGTCGAAGAGGACCTCTTGCACAACCCGGACAACCTCCGCGCATGGCTTCAACACATTGCCCATATCAAGGAGAGGATAGGCAAGACTCTTCCTCCCAAGAACCACAACCCGTCTCCCGAGGAGCAAGTCCTGGGCCCTCTGGCCAGCCAGGCGGCGCGTGATGGCCTGCAAGAGCTTGTGATGGTGTACGAGCGCGCGCTCGGCGTCTTCCCCTCCAGCTACAAGCTGTGGAAGTCGTATTTCCTCATGCGCCAGTCGCACGTCCTTGGAGACCTTACCGAGGATGCAAAGAAGGCGCGTGTCCACCAGGGCAAGCGCGGCGCAGCGTACAAGACCAACGTCAAGGAGATTCTCGACGACGCCGAGTACGTCAACGAGTGGGAGGGCGGCCTCGACGGTGTGGTCGGCTATGCCGAGTGGTGTGCCCTCTTCGCCACGGGAGAGCGCATGCTCGGATGGCTCGCACACCTGCCCGTCCCGTGGCTCCTCCACCTCTCCATGATCCTGCACCCAAAGTGCCCCCCGACTTTCCGCCGCACCTACGCCCGCAGGACGTTTGACCGCGCACTCCGCGCCCTGCCTCCCAGTCTGCACGGCCGCATCTGGGGTCTGTACCTTCGTTGGGCCGAGATGATCGGCGGCGAGGCCGGCGAGCGCGTGTGGCGGAGATACCTCAAGATCGACTCGTCCCTCACCGAGCGTCACATCACCTACCTCCTCGAGTCGGAGCCTCCCCAGCCCCTGGCCGCTGCCAAGTACCTTTTGTCCATCGCACGGAGAGCCCAGCAGAACATCTACAACTCGCTCGAGGGCAAGTCGCCATACCAGCTGTTTGTCGATTTCCTCGAGCTTGTGGAAAAGTATGCCGACGACGTGGGTATGGATGAGGAGGAGACGCTCGAGCTCCACGCTACGAGGGAAGCTGTCGAGGGCGCTGTTTCGGGTGGTGGTGATGCCGAGGGCGCGGCCAACGGAGACGCCGAGCAGCCCGCGAGCATCGAGGGACGGTTGATGCGTATCGCTGGCCCACCCGTGCCCACCTCCGCTGCTGGCACGCTCCACAAGCCACCAGCAGGGTTTGGCGGCGGAAGCAGCTCTGTCGCACAACTGGCGTACGACGAGGACTCGGACCCAACAAGCAAACGACCCCTCGACGTCGAGGGTATTGTGGAGCGCGACGGCTTGGAGGTGTACAAGGACCAGGCCGGCCGCTTGTGGACTGGTCTTGCGACCTACTGGATCAAGCGCGGCGAGCTCGACCGTGCGACCGCTACCTTTGAGCGCGGTCTCGCTGCCGTTGTCACCATTCGCGATTTCACCCAGATCTTTGACGCCTACGCCGAGTTTTCCGAGACCATGGTGTCGACCCTCATGGACGCCCTCGCCGACGAGGACAATCTCGAAGACGAGGACTTTGACGTCGAGGAGACGGAGCAGGAGCTCGACGAGCGCATGCAGGCGTTTGAAAAGCTCATGGACCGACGACCATTCCTCGTCAACGACGTGCTCCTGCGGCGTAACCCCAACGAGGTTGTCGAGTGGGAGAAGCGCGTCGCCCTCCACGCCGACGACGACGAGGCCGTTGTCGCCACGTACCTCCGCGCCATTGACACCATCAACCCGCGCAAGGCCACAGGCCCCCTGTACCCGCTCTACGTCAACTTTGCCAAGTTTTACGAAGAGGGTGGTAGCGTCGACGCCGAGACTGGCGAGCCCCGCAGCGAGCCCGATATCGAGGAGGCACGCAAGATTTTCGACAAGGCCACAAAGGTGCCGTTCAAGTCGGTGGACGAGCTCGCCGAGGTGTGGTGCGAGTGGGCCGAGATGGAGCTGAGCAATGAGTGAGTTGGAATCCCGGGACACAACAGCTGACGCCGCCAGAAACTATGACGAAGCTGCGCGCTTGCTGCTGCGTGCGACGACTGTGCCCAAAAACACCAAGATCGACTATTACAACGACAGCCTGTCTCCGCAGACGCGTCTGTTCAAGTCGCTCAAGCTGTGGTCGTTCTATTCGGACCTGGAAGAGTCGATTGGTTCTGTCGACTCGACCAAGGCTGTCTACGACAAGATCATGGAGCTCAAGATTGCCAACGCCCAGACCATTGTCAACTATGCCCAGTTCCTCGAGGAGAACAAGTACTTTGAGGAGAGCTTCAAGGTGTACGAGCGCGGTATCGAGCTGTTCCACTTCCCCATCGCTTTCGAGATTTGGAACATTTACCTGTCCAAGTTTGTCAAGCGTTACGGCGGCAAGAAGCTCGAACGCACTCGCGACCTGTTCGAGCAGGCCCTCGAAAACTGCCCCGACAAGTTCTGCAAGCCTCTCTACCTCATGTACGCCAAGCTCGAGGAGGAGCACGGTCTTGCCAAGCGCGCCATGGGCATTTACGACCGCGCCGCCTCGACCGTCCAGGACTCGGACAAGTTTGAAATGTTCACCATCTACATTGCCAAGGCTACGGCCAACTTTGGTCTCCCTGCCACGCGCCCCATCTACGAGCGTGCCATTGAGCAACTGTCCGACCGCCAGACGGCCGTCATGTGCCGCCGCTTCGCCCAGATGGAGCGCAAGCTCGGCGAGATTGACCGCGCTCGTGCCATTTACGCGCACGCCTCGCAGTTCTGCGACCCGCGCATCATGCCCGAGTTCTGGTCCGAATGGAACGAATTCGAGGTCGACACCGGTTCAGAGGACACCTTCCGCGAGATGCTCCGCATCAAGCGCAGCATTGTGGCCAGCTACTCGACCGAGGCGGCGTTCATCAACGCCCAAAAGGCCGCCGCTGCCGCCGGCACCAATGCCGACAAGCCGACGGACATTGCTGCCGCCGAGGCCAAGGAGGCCGCAGACCCCATGGCGGCGATGGAGCGCGAGATGGGCGGCAGTGGTCGCGGCACTGGCGGCGGCGCGCCTGCGTTTGTTGCCTCGACACTCAAGCCCCAGACGCAGCACGAGGAGATGGGCAATGGTGTCGCCGAGGCGGCCAACCCCGACGCGATCGAGATTGGAGACGATGAGTTTTAGGCATCAGACAGACGATATGGGTATGCATGAGGGCAGCATGAGATGTATCTGGAGATGAGAGTCAAGTTGCAAAACATTGTACATTGTACAAGCATCTCGCAAGGCATACGTATTCACCACTTCGCACCCGGCCACCTGGACATCGCGTCGTTGCCGTTTCGCCACGCGGATATCTCCCCGTGTTTCAGACAGCCATTTTGGTTCCGAGGTTGACGCGCTGGACGTCAAGATGAACTGACGTGGAGGTGGGTTAAATGTTGTCGTTGTGACTCACTCCTAGACACACGTCTCCCCCCCGACAATGAAGCTCCAGAAGCTGCTCGTCGGCGCCGTGGCGCTTCTTACACCCATGGTCGCCGCGTCCGACGCTGGCGCCGAGACTGCTGAGACCTTCCGGTACGAGGTGAGCATCCATCGACAGGCCGACCGACGTGCCTGCTTTCTATAGACGCAGCTCCGCAGCGCCGATTGTGTGTGGGCGCTGACACCCGTTGCCAGAGCGACATTTCGCGTCTGCGCACGCTTGTGATCCACTCGCTCTACTCGCACAAGGACGTGTTCCTGCGTGAACTCCTGTCCAACGCCAACGACGCGCTGGAGAAGCTCCGCCTCACGTCGCTCACTGAGCGTGGCGTCATGTCCGCCGGCGAGCCCAATGTGACCATTTCAGTTGACCTGGACGAAGGCGGCGAGACGGGCAAGATTATCATTCGCGATACAGGTATCGGCATGAACAAGACCGAGCTTGCCCGCAACCTCGGCACGATTGCGCGCTCGGGCACCAACGAGTTCCTGCGCAAGGCCGAGGAAGGCGGCGGCGCTGATGGCAACCTCATCGGCCAGTTTGGTCTTGGCTTCTACTCTTGGTGAGCTGGAAGTTGGCACGTCACATGCAGAACAGCTGGCTGACCGGATCAGTTTCCTGGTCTCCCCTACTGCGCACGTCTCTTCGCTCCCTCCCGCGACCGAGGCGAACCCCAACCCCGAGCAGTACACGTTCATCTCCTCGGCTTCCGGCGACACCTTTGAGGTCGTGCGTGACCCGCGTGGCAACACCCTGGGCCGCGGTACCGAGATCATCCTCAACATTGACAAGGACAACATGGAGTTTTTGAGCACGTCCAACCTCAAGGCCCTCATTGACAAGCACTCTACGTTCTCGACCACGTTCCCAATCTACATCCGCGAGCGCAAGCAGGTTGACAACCCGGACCGTGAGCCCGAGGACGAGCTCGAGTACGAGCACGTCTGGACCCACGTCAACGACAAGGCCCCCATCTGGATGCGCGAGCCGACCGAGGTTCCCGACGAAGACTATGTCGACTTTTACCGCGCCGTCTCAAAGGACGCCACGGCCGACCCCCTGGGCTGGTCCCACTTCAAGGGCGACACTGCCTCGGGCGTGTCGTACCGTGCCCTCATGTACATTCCCGCCTCGCTCCCCAAGGACTTCTGGAACAGTATCCAGAGCGGCGCCAACAATGTCCGTCTCATGGTCAAGCGCGTGTTCATCACCGACGACCTCGGTGTCGAGTACATGCCCCGCTGGCTCAGCTTCCTCAAGGTGACCGTCGACGCTGATGACCTCCCGTGAGTTAGCACCCTTTCCTCCCGGCTTAACTGACACACATCCCAGTCTCAACGTTTCCCGCGAGACACTGCAGAACCACCGTTTCCTCAAGCAGCTGCAAAAGATTCTCATCCGCAAGGCCATTGACCTCTTCACCCGCCTCGCCGAGAACAAGCCCGACGAGTACAGGGAGGTTGCCAAGCTCTATGGCAATGCCCTGCGTATTGGCATGATGGAGAGCGACAAGTTCAAGGTCAAGCTTGCCAACCTCTTGCGCTTCGAGTCGACCCGTACCAACTATACCTCGCTCGCCGAGTATGTCGAGAACCGCAAGGAGGGCCAGAAGCAGATCTACTTTATGGCCGGTGTCGGCGAGAAGACTGAGGACCTCGCCCGCTCGCCCTTTGTCGAGAAGCTCAAGGCCCGTGGCTACGAGATTCTTCTCCTCAACCTGCCTAGCGACGAGCCCATGATGGGCGCTCTCAACAACTATATGGGCATGAAGGTCCAGGACGTTGCCAAGAAGGGACTCCTTTACGGCGACGAGGAGGAGGACGCCGCCGAGCAGCGCGAGCTTGCCCAGCAGAATATTGCCTTTAAGCCCCTCATCCAGTGGCTCGAGCGCGTCTTTAAGGGCCAGGTCATGGATGTCATCCTCACCAACCGTCTCGTTACTTCCCCCTGCACCATCGTCGTCGAGCACCACGGGTGGTCTGCCAACATGGCCCGTATCATGGCGTCGCACGCTGGCGCTGAAAACGACCCCATGTACGAGATCCTCAAGAACATGCCCCGCGTCCTCGAGATCAACCCCAAGTCCCCGCTCATTGAGGGTCTCCTCGCCCGCGTCCTCGACTTCCCCGAGGGCGAGACCGACATGTCCGCCGACGAGGCCGAGCTCGTCGAGTCTGCCCGCGTGCTCTTTGACACGGCGCTCATCCGCTCTGGTTTCTCTGTCGCCGACCCCGTGTCGTACTTTGAGCGCGTCGAGGCGCTGCTCAGGTACAACATTGGCGTGTCTCTCTCGGCAAGGGTCGACGAGCACGTCCGTCCCGCCCCGCCTACGGCCAAGGAGCTGCCCGAGGAGGACGAGGAGGACGAGAACCCTTACGGCCAGCAGCAGGACCAGCAGGCGCAGGACCCCCTCGCCGGCATGGACTTCCAGGGACTCAAGGACATGGGTCTCGAGGTTGAGGCCCAGTTTGAGGACCAGGGAGACGACGAGTGGATGGACTTTGCCAAGTTCAAGCAAGAGTTTGACGGCGGCCATGACGAGCTCTAATGACGGAGACTCGTGTCCAAAAGTCAAGTAGTAACCACCACCATATCCATATGCATGAGCTTCTTGCAGTCTACGAACGTGCATGGCGATGGAGTCCGATGTGTCGGTTCCGCTATCGGTTGCGACACGGCCGAATCGGCAATCTCCGTCGCAGCTGGCTTTAGCAAAACCAAGAAGACCAGAAATCAAAGCTAAATCTCGGAAATAGAACACCGCGCCCGCCACCGTGCGCGTCATTGTCCGCAGATGGCGCGACGGTCGCTAACATAAATAATCGGCATAGCCGGGGGGCCAACTCTGTTGCTTCTTCATCCATCCACCCTCCATCACCGTCTTCTCTTTCCACCCACCACCCAATACATACTAGCAACTATGGCTTCTGCTGCCGAGACTGCCGCGTACGCCGCCGCCGAGGCTGAGCGCGCCGCCGCTACCGTTCCGGAGGTCACCACGGATGCAGCTCCTCCGGTCTCTGCCGACCCAGCAGCTCCCGCAGCCGCCGATATCGCCCCCCTTCCCACGGCCCAAGACCCCACCCGCGTGCGCCTGCACCACCTCAACAACTCGCGCTCCGAGCGTATCGTCTGGCTCCTCGAGGAGCTCGGCGTCGAGTATGACGTCACGGTCCATTACCGTTCCAAGATTGGATTCGCGCCCGAGTCTCTCAAGGCGATTAACCCTCTCGGCAAGGTGAGTCGCGCGTGTCAGCGTCCTGCGGCTATAGCTACGATATTGTTCTTGAAGCTAGTTGCCGCATGAGCTGACGACGTGATCCTTCCACACACGCCCACACCTTGCTCACACCTATAGGCGCCAGCAATCGAGCTCGGCGGAAAGGTCTACACCGAGTCGGGCGCGATCGTCCACCTCCTCCTCTCGACCTTCAAGACGCCTGCCGCGCTCGAGGCCGGCCCCGCGTCGGGCCAGGACTCGGTGCACTGGTCGCATTTCGCCGAGGGAAGCCTCATGCTCTTCCTCCAGCCAATGGTCACGATTTCGCGCGGCGGCGAGGTGTTCGCGTCCCGCGGCATCGCGGGCATGCTGTTTGGCGGCATTGTCGGCAAGTTTGTCGCGTGGTACACGGGCATGGCGGCCGACAACGTCAAGAACATGCTGCAAGAGGTCGAGGGGTTCTTGGCCGCCCATGAGAACTTTACCGGCGGAGAACAGCTGGGCGAGGGCGACGTGAGTGTGGCGCGAAGCAAACGGCAACGGCGGTGTGTGCGGTCGCTGACGGGCACAGTTCATGATGGCCTACCCGCTCAACGCGGTGCTCAGGCGCGGCGCCCCCGCCGGAATGTATCTCGGCGACAAGACCAAGGCCTGGGTCGAGCGCGTCAGTGCCCGTCCAGGATATGTGGCGGCTGAGAAGAGGATCAAGGACGAAGAGGAGAAGCAGCGGCCCGCCGAGACCGCAGAGTAGGTGGCCGAAATGTTCTGTATGGTATCTGTAGTGGTACTACTGGGTCGTATGCCACGCCCCGGTCGTGACTGTTTTATGACGATACAAGGACGCAAGTGGCCGACGCCTGCCACCTGGATCTGAGCCTGATCCGATTCATCAGTGGCCAGTGGCGCCCTGGCTCGTATTCAACACGACGTCTGTGGCGTCGATCTCCTTGGTGTGTCTTTGCTCCCACTGCCACTGAGCACGCGAACAGCCAGGCTTGACGCGCTGGACGGGCATGCAGCATACACGGTGTACTGCCAGCCTCTTCAGCCTGTCTAGGACTCACAAATCTCTCCCTGCCGCCATAGACCGCCACATGATGAACAAATGCAGCCCAGCACGCCCCCGTTTTCAGTCCCGCTCGGGGAGCTGGTCCCACCTTACTTTGCCTCTCGCTCCCGTCCCTCGCTCCCTCCCTCGATGCGCTGCAGGCCGTCAAGGAAAGGCGAGAAACACACTACGAGAGCAGGCTCGTGCGTTTTTGCTCTTCAATGCGTTTCTCGAATGGGTAGAGAAACATACTCGCACGGTGGTTTGCGCGCGGTGGCGTTCGTTATGTGTTTCTCGACCCAGGTCGGGTTCCCGTACCCCCCACGCCTTGCACACTCAGCCCCTGCCCACGCGGGCCCAGCCATGCGAGTTCATTGACACTTCTGCACTTCTGTATGCATACCCTCATGCAATCAAATTCACGTGCTACAACACGCAGTCGTTACGGCCTCCCCAACACAGTGTACAAGTCTTCAACGGCTCGGGGGTAGGCATTACAGCTTTGCGTCGGCGGCTGTCGGGAACAGGGTCTGCAGCGACGCCTTGGTGGTGGGCAGCTCGGCCTTGATGAGTTTCTGGAACTCCTTAAACTTGTCGTTGCTCGCGTCGCCCATGAGCTGGAAGAGGACGCTCTCGGAGGAACCCACGTCAACGCCGGCAGCGCGCATGCGGTTCAGGCTGAGCCCAATCTCCTCCTTGTTGCAGCTGCTCACGCCATCGGCGATGACGATGGGCGGGTTGCCCTTGCCGTAGCGGGCTTCGAGCGCGCTCTGGTACACGCACACGTGCGACTCGATGCCGACAAGGATCACGTTGTCGGTACCCTCTGGGTCGACCGGGTTCTCGGCGTCGAACATGGCGCCGTAGCGACCGCCGAGCACCCTGCACACCTCTGGGGTCATGACGGAGAACTGAAAAGGTCAGCGAAAGAACTTGGATGATGTCCATTGGCTGTATTGGTGTCAAGAGCCAACATAGCAGCGTTGAAGGATGAATAGCTGGCAAGACGTAGGAGGGGAATACACGGGGAGTCTGGCTCGGTGCAGGGGACCCGGTGCGCGGGGATAACGACCTTTAGGCCACGTACGCATGCGCATTCCTGTCTCCTCGCACCACATCGCCTCCACTAAATTCATAGCGCGTGCTCACCTTGGTCTTTGCAAAGGTGCCGAGGTTGAGGTGCTTAGGAAGCGCGCCAATGCCAAGCTCCGGGATCGTGGCTCCGAGTGCTGGGACAAGGAGTCAGTGACCAGTATACGGGGCCAGGTTCAGGCAGAGTGTCGATGTGGTCCGAGCAGACTAGCATAACATACTCACCGCGGGGGTTCTGCTCCGTGGTGAGAACGCGCATCTGAAGGTTAGCGAAGCTCTCAATGGGACTGGGACTGGAGACTCCGACTCGGGGACTTGGCCAACAGTGGGAGGCGTTGTGGGCGTCTCCGTACCCCTAGGCAATGGTACATACGTCAAGAATCTAAGTAAGGGTCAGCGAGTTCTCTTCAACGAGTTATAGAGAGTGGGGACTCACGCCAGCAGCCAGGACCATACGCCTGACAGTCGCGGCCATGGCGTCAAAGTTGTGAATCGCGCCGCCTGGTGTGAGTAAGTAACACGGAAATAAAAGGCACTTACGGAAACGCTCCTGGACATCCACAACGACTAGGACTGTACGACGAGGGTTGAGAGCCATGTTGAAGATGCGTATGAGTTGGGGGAAGACGTGTAAGTGCTTTGGGACAAGGAAATTGAAAAGACATGAACGATAGATGTGGGCGACGATCAACCCCGGCCGGCAACTGGGGTTCGGGTGGGGCCGCCAGGTGGAGGTCCGGACACACCCTGGTTATGGGGCGCGTGCGGTCGACAGAGTTGAGCCTGATCTTCCGCGAGGTGTTTGTTTCCACCTCTCTTACCAGGGACAACTGAAAGCCTCCAGTGCCAACAACAACCAATGCAGCACAGCAGTAACGGTGGGGAACTAGATGCATAACGCTCAACCCATCCTAAAAAAAGTGGCAGTAACAGCCAGAGAGAGCAAAACGAAGTATATGAAGGTGAAGAAGGTTGCGCTTCGAGAAGACGCTCAAAGGAGTCGCTTACGAGCGCTCGCCACGGAGGCGGCGGGCGAGCTGGAGGTCCTTGGGCTGGATGGTGACACGCTTGGCGTGGATAGCGGCAAGGTTGGTGTCCTCGAACTGGGGTATGTCAGTTGTGTTCGGCAGAAGCAAGTGGTGAAGGCAACTCACGAGAGAGACGAGGTAAGCCTCCGAGGCCTCCTGGAGAGCGAGGACAGCCGACGACTGGAAGCGGAGGTCGGTCTTGAAGTCCTGGGCAATCTCACGAACGAGACGCTGGAAGGGGAGCTTGCGGATGAGGAGCTCGGTCGACCTTGTATTGTCAGCACAGTTCCAAAAGACCAACTGTGGCACCGATGTGGCGGTCTGTGACAGGACATCGGGGCCGAGGAACACCCAAATGGCCAGGGGCCGCCGGGTGGCAAAAAAGCACTCACTTCTGGTAGCGACGAATCTCACGGAGAGCGACGGTACCGGGACGGTAACGGTGGGGCTTCTTGACACCGCCGGTGGAGGGAGCCGACTTGCGAGCGGCCTTGGTGGCGAGCTGCTTGCGGGGGGCCTTGCCACCGGTGGACTTGCGAGCGGTCTGCTTGGTACGAGCCATTGTTATTGGTTGGGTTGGTTGGTAGAGGGTGTGGGTTGTAGTGGGGAGAAGTGGAGTGGAGAGAGAGAGGAGTGGCGAAAGAGCTTGTTGGATGGGGAATAAGAGGACGACGAGGGCAGTGTTTATATATTCCTGGAGAACACTTTGGCGCACCGTCATGTTTGCGTGGACAGCGAATTTTGCTCCCGCCAACACCCAAACAAGGATCAAGGGCCGTGATCAAAACACGGCCAGATCACAAAAGCGCAAGCCAAGATCGTGCTGCCAGTCACGTGATTAAAGTGCCTTGTGTGCTTGTAATGATCCAACACACGTCAATAATCCTTATCACACACCGGTCATTCAGAATCCCTTGTCTCATCTGTTGCTTTGTCCATTGTCTGCCGTCGCCCAACCACTCCTCCTCGCCACGTCCTCCTCCTCCTGCATATCATACGCGCGAACACGCGTGCGGCACAGTGCAAGCTTTTGTGCCAACACACGGCACTGTTGTTCGCCAGCCTGCGACGGTCTGGTCACAGCAATCTATGCCAGGGAGCTTGACAGACGTCGATCTGGCAAATCGCTGGTGTTGTTGCACGCGCCGTATACTGCCCTGCTCTCATCCTTGCATCGTTGATAGCTCCTTCCCCGTGACGTCCGTGACCCTCATCTGCATGCATGTTTTGTGGTTGTGCCCGTTCTGTTCGCTACGTCGCTGCTCATGGGATCATGGTTGCGTTGAGCCCCCAGCGCGGAAGCAAGGTGCCACACTGAGTTTTCTCCGAATCTGCGCCCGCTCTGGCTGGCTCGCTGGGTGGTGCGTCCGCTGCGCCTGGGTGGTCGCTGTGGGTGGTGAGGTAGCCAGTGCCATTGAGCTCATCGGTCACCTACTGGTCCCAGTCATCCCCATCGCCCACCATGACCCCTCCCCCCGCTACCGCCTTCACCGCCGCTCACCGGTAAGCATGCATCTCAGCTCTGCCCGCCCGTTGCCCGTTCTGACGCAGCCTCTCTCGTTCCCGCTACTCGATCCCGTCGATTCGTCGCTCCTCCGTGTCCACAACCTCCGACCGACATATCACGAACCACACATCCCTCAACGCATGACACGCACCTCTTCTGGCCTCTTGCCTTACTCTGGTGTCTTCTGCGTACCCACTACGCTATCGCACATGGCCAACCTGCCCTCGTTGCCCGCCCCGCCCCGCGCCGTGTTGCACTCCCCTCCCCCATTCGACCTTCCCCCGATACGACCATTACACCTCCAGCTTCTATGTCAAGTCGCTGTACAAGCGCTACCTCACCAACTCGCTGAACTGGGTCATCAGGCGAGACACCTGGCGCCAGCGCGCCATTGAGATCCGCGCCGAGTTCGAGCGCAACAGGTGCGTTGGGACCGGACGAGGAGGAAGCAGTGGAGAGTTGGGCGCTGTCGGCATGCTGCCTGCCAAGTGGCGTGCAGTGCCATGGATCGAGGAGGATCGCATGATCATACGACAGTTGGGGATGGTGGGGAACGGCTGGCGTTATTTCTGTCACCTTCAGCCGTTGTACCCCGTTCGCCGTCTCGTCGTCCAACAGCATCGATCCTCCATATGGACGTCCACTAACATACCCAGGAACGTCAACGACCCCCGTGCTCTTGCCATTATCTTTGAGCAGGCCGAGGCCAAGCTCGAGAGGGAGGCCCACCCCGACCCCTACAGGCGTGAGTCTTCCGCCGTTTATGGCTTGCCGGAAGGCAGGGATACACTTGGACTGACACTCCCCAGCACCCATGTTCCCCGACGGCACGAAGTGGTGTGTACTAATGCTACCTGCTACACTTGAGAGTACTCTGCTGACCACATGTTACTTGTTCACTTCAACAGGGAGCGCAACATTCCCGTGAGTAGCTTGGTGGATATCGTCGCAGCGCGGCCACCCCACCACGCCCCACCTGAGGACTTCACTGACTCTGCAGCCCCGTATGTTCGGCGAGGAGGCCCACCACTAGAAAAAGCATGTTCTGTACCATCAAAGGGGATGCATTGCGTAGCGGAGAGCATGGCGCTGGAGTGGATAGTGGGGGAGCTGCAGCACAGAGCGCTGGTGGCATGAAGCCTGGGTGTGAGAGCGGGAGTAAACGGAAGGGCCCCGCATTCCAACGACGACAATGATCGTCATGGGCACCAACTATACACGGCGTCGAGAGCATACGTTCACTTCTCTCGTCACCACAAACCACACCACGCATGTCAGAGCCCTCACTGACCATCCCCTTCCTGCCAGACGTCCATGTCGGGGGGGATCTCCCCACCAACACGGTGCGGGTGGCGGCGTGGACCGCGACAACGCCATCCGGCCCGTCGCGAAGGCTCGCTCTCGCCGGCTCCGATAACACGGTGTGGATCTGCACGTCGTCCATGGTGCCAGCAACGCACTTGGTACCTCCAGACCTCAACTTGCCAGACGGGGGGTTCCGCTTGCCGCCTCTTGCTGGGAAGCACCCCGCACGGCCCCGTGCGGCGTCAACGGCCTCGTCCATCTTGTCGTCGTCATCTCGCCTCAAGGCGTTCTCGCCCACTGCATCCGCCACCGCGGCACTCGCTCCCTCGGCATCTATATCAACAGTCGCGGCTTCTCCTGCCCCGTCCAGCTCCCACCAGACGCGTTTGTCGATTTCGGACAAGACTGATCTGCTAGAAAACCTCCTCAGACAGCAGGACACGGACGAACGCAGCGGTCTCGGCCTGGGACTCGCTGGCCTCACTCGCCGCAGCCTCAATATCCAAAGCAAAGACGAGATAGAAATGCCAGTCCCGACACATGGTGCTGCGGGAGTGGTGGAGTTTCCTCCTCCAGTGTCCCCTTCGTCAGGAGGCTCGGGACACGCAACACCGACAACTGGGGGTGGACGTGAACGCACCCGCTCGCGCCTGTCGGGTTTCTGGTCACGCGCAGAACCCGAAACGGACGCTCTGGCCAAGTTGGACGCGGACGAGATGGAGATTGAGGACCAGATGAAGCATGAGGAAAGAGAAGATGCCAAGGAGGCTGGGGACTTTGAGGCTGTCAAGAAGGCCCACCAGGCCGTTAATACCGCGCCAGCTACACCCAAGACGGTCAACTCTGCGCCCTTCTCCGAACCGCGCACCCCACCGCCGACTGGAAACGATATGAACCCCGTCCGCATTGTGCTTCCCGAGCCTGGCCGCGGTTCCATTGTCGACCTCGCACTGCTCGAAGAGATCGGCGAGCTCGTCGTCCTCCGTGACGTTGGCCTGCTCGATGTACTCAACCTCGAGACGCTCCAGCTCACGACGCACGTGAGCCTCGACCATGTCGTCGCTCCCGGAACGGCGCGGACACCACTTCTTGCCCACTCGTGGCTGTGGAGGAGAGTCCACCTTGCAGCAAGAGAAGAGGTAAGGGATAGGAGACGACACATGTGCTGATCCCGCAGGGAGCGCTCATTGTGGCCAACGGAGAACCGTGGCCGTGCCCAGGCCCAAGTCCCAATGGCGAAGTCACCCGCGTCGCCATGCTGAGTCTCCCAAGACATGAGTGTGTCGCTACGCTGGAACTGCCAGGTATTGGTGATGTCGGCGTGGCGTCCGCCGGAGAAGGTGGGTTCGATGCTCGTGCCTGCGCTAACCCAGCAGCGAGCTATCTGCTGCACGCGACCACTACCTCACTCATGTCCTATCCTATCGTCTTCCCGGGCTCGAACCCCCCGTCCCGCTCCGCCACCCCTGGACCAGGCTCAGCAAACTCGTCATCGCCTACTTCTCCGCTTCTCGGCCCAGGTGGCCCCCCTGGTACGAGGCGAACCGGAGCACTTGCTAGTGTCCGTGCCGTTTCTGCTGCCGCCGCGGCCAAGGGAGGTGATTCGGGTCTCGCCAAGTTTATTGCCTCGAGACGCATCCCCTCCCGCAAGGCTTCTCAGCCCGCTCCGGAAGCAGTCGGGAAGCCGGGCGTCGAGGAAGGTACAGAGGTGCAGCGCGACGGCGGCGGCCACTGGTTTAGCGTTCGGCTGCACGACAATGGCCAGGGCGTCGGTCTCGCAGACAACCATGTCGAGGCATTCGAGTTTGACGGTAAAACACTCTCCGTTCGCGGCTCGATCAACCTCGAGGACAAGGTCAAAGACGTGGTCTTCACCTCTGGCTGGCACGACGTGTGTATTGTGACAGACAAGGCGGCGGCCCTCTTTGCGCGCGACGGTCCGATCAAGCCCACGTCAACCTGGTCGCTGCGCAAGTCGTACCCCGCCCACGCTACTTGTGTGAATGGCGGTATACTTTACGAGGTGGAGCAGTTTGCAGCCGCGACGGTCGACCTCGGCACCTTTGAACGCCGTATCGAGGCTACCCTCTGCACACCTGTTGCCGGTGACCACATCTGCCCACACGGTGCCAACACTGTGTTTGCGGCCGACGGGAGTGGCAATGTCCGCAAACAGTCCCTCTCCGACTACCTCCAGGATATTCCTGTGCATAGCGACGTGGTCACCGCCGACCGCCTCGAGTCGGGCGTCACCTACTCGACTGTCGTGGCATCGGACCTGGCTGCCAGCGGTCGTTTCCTTGTCGCCGGCGACGAAGACGGCTCGGTGCGGATCTGGGATGCGGGCTCCATGCGCCTCTGCGGATCATGGACGCTCTTCGACGCTGCTGTCCGCTCCGCGACCTATATCGACAAGGAGGCAGCGGGGAGCTTGCGCGATACGCTCCTGTGTACCTCTGTGCGCGGGTCCATCTCGTTGGTCTCCCTGCGGGACATGGACGAGCTCTTCCTCATCCCTGCCGCACGTGCCCCGCTCACCCGTATCTTTGTGGGCGGCCACAACATTCTCATCGCGTACGAAAACGCAAAGGCCAGGGTATGGAATGTGGAGACGCGCGAGTTTAGGAGGAGCACCGGCCTCGACGCGGCAGACGACATGCTCCAGCTTGGTGAATGGGCCGAGGTGCGGTTCCAGGAGCCGCCCAAGTTTGACTCCCCCGTGACCAAGGTTGTTGGCCCCACTCCAGAGAATTCGGATCTCGGTCGTCTCCTCCAACTCGACCTCCGTCAGCTCGGACGCTGGCTCCACACTGATCTGAACGACAGCCCCTTGCCTACATTGCGCGGCCTGCTATCTGTCTTCCTCACGTTTGGTATCAATGACGCCATTGACGAGGTCTGTACCGTCAACCTCGGCATCAAGCCACCCGCTGCTCCATCTGCCATCGGCCTCGAAGGACCATGCGGCACGGCCACGGTCGCATACTCGTCTCCCGCAACGGCGTGGCGCGTCTCCCCGACAGCCACGGGTCTGAGACAGCTGGCCATTGTCTCCCTTCTCCGGCCCTTCCTCGATTCGCCAGACCACGAGAGCTGGGCCGCGGACGTGATCGCGTTCTACACGGCCTGCCTGCCCGGGGACGCCCTTGAGGCTGATTTGGAGCTGTTTGCCGCATTCTACCTCGACTCGGCGTCGGATGTGCACCAGGCCGCGCGCATGCTCTTTGGTGCGCGCTTAAGCCGTATGCCCAATGAGGATATCGAGGCGCTTGTCGCGGCTCAGCAGGGGCTCTGTAAGTGGCAGCTAATTTCATTTCTACGGCACAGCTGACAGATACAGTGCCAAGTGTTGTCGCCCCCGAACAGAGGATGAGTGAGGCATCTGCCCGTGCGTTGACGATGGTGGGCGGTATGGCCCTCCACCGCTTCGCGTGCATGAACCCAAGGTACGCAGCTGTTGCATTCTCTACGTAGCTGACTCCAGTGCGCTCAAGGCCGTCGCCGAGTCGCTCGCAATGTACCTCAACGACCCAAAGTGCACCCACGTCAACCTCGCGATCGAACTCACGTCCAAGAGTTTCCAGACATGGCAGTCGTACGTCGACCCAATGGACATGCTGCGCCGCCTTTTCTATCTGGCCACACACAAGGATGCGTCGGGCGCCAACGTTGCCGCGCAGGCTCGCCTGGCCGTCTTGCACGTCGCCTCCTCGAACGCGCCACTGTTCATGTCCACTCTCTCCATGGACATTCTCGACGCCAAGACGGTCCAGGGCCGTACCTCCATCATGACGCTGTGCGTGTTCATGGCGCGCAAGAGACCGGCATTGCTTGAGAATGGCCTGCCGCGGATCTGCGAGGCGGTCGTCAAGAGCCTGGACCCGAACGTCGGCAAGATGCGCGACGACGTGTGGGAGGCGGCGACGGTGATTCTCAACGAACTCGTGCAAGCGTGAGTCTGTCTCTGTATTCTATTGTCTAGACGATGCTGATCACTGTTACAGCTTTACGACAATCGATTTCCACCCGGGCACACAAAAGCTCGTGGTGGGCACGCACGAGGGCGCAGTGATCATGTACGAGCTCAAGACCGCGTCGAGGCTGTACGTCATTGAGCCGCACCACGGCGCAGTGTCTGCCGTGGCGTTCTCGCCCGACGGTCGCCGTCTCGTAACTGTGTCAATGGACGAAGGGGAGGTTACAGTCTGGAAGGTCGGATCGTCGCTCACCGGCTTCTTCAATGTTGGCGGGCCGCCAAGGCAAGGCAGTGAGCGGGGAGCGCCGTATAAGCGTATTCCGTTTGTGCGGCCGCATCGAGGTGAGTTGGGTCGATCTCAAGACCGGCAACTGGTGGAACACCCATCGGTCGAGCTGCGCCGGTTGCCTTCACGAGAGCTTGTACTGACTGCACAGATGCCAACGAGGACACTGGCGCGCTCAGCGGCGCACTGATCCAGTGGCGAGGCAACCGTCAAGCCTTGGTGACAATCCATGAGACGGCTCTCAACTTTGAGACAACGTAGACGAAGAACGACACAGACAGCAACAGGCACACACAAGCCGCGCCGCAGCACCCTGTCGTGTACGCCCCGACAAGCCATGTTTAAGACTCAGTTATTTTCAGTAATCACGGATCTGCAATCCTCCAACTTTCTCATCCCCCTATCTTCGCACATGTGCACGCTCATCGGCGTCCACCGCTCCCCGTGTGCCTCCTGTGCTCACTCAATACTGATTTTGGGTGGTGCACACATGGCTGCGCAGCAATATCACACCACATAAGCGAACGCCTACCCTTCTGTGACAATGTGGTCAAGGTGCAGTGATGCCAAAACCACTCCCTCGCCACCCCGACTCCGGTTTCTGCCCACTCACGCTCATTCACGATGTGGTCTCCCGCGCTGGTCGCGTTCTTCTCTCTCTTATCGGTCTTCTTCCTCCTCACATCTTCAGTCGCCCACCCCTTGACAAACCACCCCGCGCGGCTGGCCCGCCACCACGACTTACGCAAAGTCCGCTCCAACGCCCATGCCACTTTATCACAACCCCGACGTGGCCGCACAGGGAAGTGTGCGTCCACGACAGCCGTTACCTCAAGCATCCCTTCGCTCCTGGTATATGCCAAAGCTCCATTGCCTACGACGGCTACCGATGATGCGACGACCGCGGTCAAGCGTAGAGGTACTAAAACGATGTTTGGCGCGTCATCGAGCACAGAGACGGCAGAACGTGCCTCGGGCAAGGGCTCTGGCAGCACCTCGTCCAGTACCGCTTTGGGTTCCGGCAACGGCACGTCGTCAAGCTCGGCCGCCTCAAGCAACTCATCTTCCTCGTCTTCCACGAACCGTGGCAGCTCTGGCTCCTTCTCGGCTCCACACTATGTGATTTACGCCAATATTGAGTTTCCCGGCCAAACCATGCCGACTGTGGCGGATCTCGGCCACTTTAACCGCCTCATACTCGCGTTCTACCAGGCCAACGGGTACAGCGACTCGACCAACGTTGCCAACTGGGTTGGCATGTCTGCTGCGGACCGACAGGCCGTGTTGGACACATACCATGCTTCGGGTATTGCGCTCATGCTCTCGGTGTTTGGCGGCGAGGACACGCCCACGACTAGCGCGGTCGACGCCGCCTCGTTTGCAAGCACGATCGCCGCCTTTGTCAAACAGTACAGGTTTGACGGGGTCGATATCGACTATGAGGACTTTGACGCCATGTCAGCTGGCACGGCGGCCGAGTGGATCGAGATTTTCCACACTTCCCTCCGCTCGGGTCTTGGCGACGCGTACCTCATCTCGCATGCACCGATCGCGCCGTGGTTTGACACCTCGCAGTCTCCGGACGGCGGGTACGCTTCCGTCTGGAAAAGCGTCGGCACCACACTCGATTGGTTCAACGTCCAGTTTTACAACCAGGGCGCGAGCGCGTACTGCGACTGTACGTCGTTGCTCACCGACTCGATGTCGACGAGCTACCGGGGCACATCCATCAACCAGCTTAACGCGGGTCTGGGCATTCCGTTCACCAAGCTTGCCATTGGAAAGCCGGCGGTCTCGAAGGATGCAGATAATGGATACATGTCGCCCGCGTCGCTTGCGACCTGCTACTCTGACGTCGATCAAACCGTCGGCGTCATGTTCTGGGAATACACGTCTGCTGCTGTGAGTTGGAGATGCCCCTACACATGGCAATCAGCTGACAAACAGGATTCGGGTGGCGCGTTCGAGCTGATCTCGACAGTCCTGGGTGGTTCGAGCAGTGGATCGACCTCTGACAATGGTACAACCTCGAGCACAGGATTGACTGGCCAAGGATTAGGCGACACCGCTGGGTCACCCATGACTGCCACATACGCCATTGCCGACTCCGAGGCAACAGCAACCAATGGAGGCGAGGCGAGTGATGGCGACAATTACGAGTCTGACACTGGGCCGTCAACCACGCCGACCAATGACCAAGGTGGAGCATAGAGTCGGAGACTGCTACGGCCACGGTTGCGTGGAAGCGCGGCTGGACGACGGTGTTGTGCTGGTCACATATGCGAGACGCTGCCGGACAGTGGACAGTGTTCCATTCTGAATCCTTTGCAATCAGCACAATGGCGGCTGTATGCACTCGCCATGCCAACACGTACTGATCTGTTACATGATACACTGAAACTTGATGGCCGCAGGACATGGATGTGCATCCATCAATGTAACCCCTGGAGTCTCGGTGTGGCGACATCTGTGTGGCATGTGTGGAAGCTGCCTGATCGTCGTCAAGACGAAACACTAGCACTATTGTGTCGGTCCTTGATACCCCCGAGTGTAGAGACCACCACTGCCTCCTCGAGTTTACATATAAAGACTACAGGGGCCCTTCACGCAGATCTACTCCTTTCTCATCCCATACCCCCTCCCCTTATTTTGCCACCAATGTCTCCACACCGCCCTACAATGGCTCTTCTGGCGCTGGTCGCCAGCCTCACCCTCGTTTCCGCCTTGCCTTACAATGTCTACCGCTACCCATCTCCATCTCCGTCTCCTACCGCTGTCCCCTCCGCCCGCAACCAGTATGAGCCCCATTCGCACCTTCAGAAGCGCAACAACGAGACCACCCAGTGCGGCTGTACTCCCGGCGAGTACCGCTGTGTCGGTGCTTGGATTCAGCAGTGTGGCCAATCCGGCGGAGTTTGGATCAGTCGACAGGACTGTGGTCTGCAGAACGAGGGTCAAAAGCTGTTCATGTGCGACCCGTGAGTTTGACCACCATCCATCTCTTTACGTCTGCTAATGCATTAAAAGGGACGACAATTCTGAATGCGTCCTCGCTGGTGCCCACAACTACCCAGGCTTCTCGCAGGATGCTTCGGGATTCTACCTCCCACTGTCGACTACGCCTCCCGCTGCTCAAGCCGCCTCGACGGGTGCAGCGTGCAGCCCAAGCAGCCTGGTCTCGGCCAGCACGAGCGAGGTCGAGTCCACTGCTACAGCAACTAGCGTCGATAACACTTTCACGGCCACCACACTTGTCAACCTTGGTCCTGCCAGCGTCCCAACCAGCACTGTATGGTCTTCCGACGACACGTCAGACATCGAGAGTGCCACCAACGAGTCGAGCAGCAGTTCCACTCCAACCACAACCGAGTCTGCCGACCTCCTCACGGACAGTACGACGACTCGAGGCATTATTACCGTGCAAGCAGCTGTCCAACCGACAAGGGCCTCCGCCTCAGCAGCCAGCCAGACTGATGTATTGGAGACCTGGGGAGAGTGTGGAGCAGCTTTCACTCAGCCTTCGTCTGCGGAGCCTGACAAGACGACGAGTGACGTGTCCTTCGGTGCGGCCTCCTTGAACTTCGCTGTGTCTCCCCCATCCTCCACACAATCTTCTGGCAGTACCACGGTCTCAAGCTCGGTGGCTGAAGCTACCTCAACCCCCATGTCGTCAGAGGATGACGAAGAAGATTGGTGTGAGGACGACAAAGACTGGTGTGACGATGAGGACGAGGCCACTTCATCCCCTTACTCGAACGCCGCCCCCACTGCAACTGGAAACGAGAGCAGCGCCACTCCTACCTCCACCCAGGTCTCTGCGACTTCCTCGCTCGCCACCGACACCGCAGCTGTGTCAACACCTTCTTCGCCCGTAGCGCTCTCGTACCTCAACACGACATCCCCCAACGTCGGCTCCCTCCTTGCAACGTCCGGATTCAGTGCCCCGCACTATGTGATTTACGCGTTTAGCACATTCCCCAACAACACGCTTCCCACCGTGGCAGAGCTCGGCCAGTACAACCGCGTCGTCCTCGGCTTTTATGGAGGCAAGAATGGAACGGACCACGTGAGTTCACACACCACTGAATATGTAACTGACGACAGAACATTCGCATGTGGACCAACCTCACGCCAAGTGAACGCACCTCGATCCTCGACAGTTACCACTCTGCGGGCATTGCCCTCATGGTTTCCGTCTTTGGCGACACTGTCACACCTACAACGTCCAAGTGGGACCCCATTACCACGGCACAGGATATTGCCAACTTCACCAAGACCTGGGGCTTTGACGGCGTTGACGTCGACTATGAGGACTTTGACGCGTTTAACGCGGGCACGTCAAGCGCATGGCTGAGACGTGAGTTTCGTTGATGCTCCCGAAACTGACATGGCAGCTTTCCAGGCGACTCTCCGGTACGAGCTCGGTGATTCTTATCTCATCTCGCACGCTCCTCTCGGACCTTGGTTTGACGACCAGTCCTACTCTGACGGCGCCTACTACACTGTAAACAAGGAAGTCGGCTCAACGATTGACTGGTACAACGTGCAGTACTACAACCAGCACGACGCATACAATGACTGCGGGAGCCTGATCCACAACTCGAGCAGCACCCAGTGGCCTGCCACGTCGATCCTCGAGCTCAACTCCACTCGCGGTGTCGACCTCTCCAAGCTTGTCCTGGGCAAGCCGATCGAGGCGTCCGAGGTCGTCAGTGGCGGCTTTATGAACATGAGCGACCTGGCCACCTGCGTTGCAGAGGGCAAGAAGGCGGGATGGAGTGGCTCCCTCATGTTCTGGGAGTGGGAGACTGACCTGGTGAGTGGAGCTACTCTGAGACTGAGCCAGTCGTTCGAGTCGCTGACTGGCTTCAGAACCCCGCCGACATGCTCGCCACGGCCTTGTCCGGGTAAACTCCGGGACCACCATGTGGTACACACTGTGACGCCGCGGCGCCTGAAGCGGTGGCCAGCAATGCAACCTTGCTTGCCGCGCATACGATTCCCCCATAGATATAATAACAGTCTCTACTACGCCCTTGATGCACTTCTGAGCACAGCCGTGCCCTTGGCAGTGAATTGGTCATGTTGTGAACAGCGTTTCTTTCCATGGGACCCATCCGGCAGGTCGACGGGTGAGCCGACAAGCACCAGCGACAGAGCCACATGCGGCGCCAGGCACGCCACACATACACTCGATCGGCCACGTCCTCTCCGCACCCAAAGAAGTCGCGCGGGGGAACACCCAACCATCATATCCCTCCATCGCGTTGTCAACAAACCCACCTTCCATCTCATCCCACCACCCCCGCCCCCGCGATGCCACCCCCTACCGCCTCCCAAAAGCCCACCGCCGCCAAGGGTAACGGCACCAACGGTGCTGCCCCCAAGGCTGCCGCTGCGGCCACCGCCGACGAGCACACCGGAAAGCCCGACCAGGCAAAGTACAACGCGGACCAGGACGCCCTCAACAAGGAGATCGCTGCCGTCAAGGCCAAGCTCGTGAGTCGCCTGGAAATGCCTAGGAGGAGCGTTGTGGCATCTGTTGCCTTCCCTTGCCACTGCAGCAGCAGTCGCCAGCCGAGGAAAAAGGCAACTGCTACCTGTCGGCGTGGAACATTACGGAACAAGCCGCAAGCACTACTGACACCGCATCGCAGGACGCTGTGCGCTCGCGCATCTCGCTCTCGCAGGCCCCTGCCGGTGGCGACCGCCGTTCGCAGCTCAAGTCTGAGATGGACGCTCTCCGTGGCGAGCAGGGCAAGTTCAAGGCCGACCGCGGCAAGCTCTTCGACGAGCTCAGGAAACTCCAGGAGTCGGTGAGCAAGAAGATCAAGGACCAGCAGGCCCAGCGCGGCAAGTCGGGCTTCAAGAACGTCGGCGAGATTGAGGACCGTATTCAGTGAGTTTGGAGCTATAGCATAAACAGAGTATACAGCTCGCTGACCCCACACCCAGGCAGCTCGAGAAGTCGGTCGAGTCGGGTATCATGAAGCTCGTCGACGAGAAGCGCGCTCTGCAGGAGATCACCACCCTCAAGCGCTCGAGGAAGGCGCTAGAGTCGTCCGCTTCGTCAGACGACGCGATTGCCGCCGACAAGGCCCGCATCGAGGAGGTCCGCGCCAAGCTCGACGACCCCGAGGCCAAGAAGGTCAGCGACCAGTTTGACACTCTCAAGAAGGAGATGGACGAGCTGCGTGCCGAGGGCGACAAGGCGTACCAGGAGCGCAACAAGCTCTACGACGAGCGCACCGCCCACTCGACCAAGATGGACGAGCTGTACAACGCCAAGCGCGAGCTTGCCCAGAAGTTCCACGACGAGAAGGACAAGTACCACGCCAAGGTCCAGGCCATCCGTCAGGCACGCAACGACCGCTACAAGGCCGAGAAGGCCAAGGAGGACGCCGAGCGCCGCGAGGAGGAGATCACCCGTCTGCGCGAGGAGGCTCGCATGCCTGCGTACGCTGCCGAGATTGAGGACAGCCGTATCCTCATCAACTACTTTGCCGGCAAGTACGGTGTCGGCGAGGTCCCCGAGACCAGCGCCGGCGGCAAGACTGAGGCTCCTGTCCTCGAGGGTGTCAAGCAGCTCGAGATCCGTCAGGTCGACACCGAGTTCAAGGGTATGCAGCTCAAGAAGAAGGAGGTCGAGCTCGACGGCTTCTTCGGCGGCAGCAGCAAGGGCAAGAAGAAGGGCGGCAAGAAGGGTGGTGCGTCGGCCAACGCCTCGGGTGCCGCTACCCCCGCTCCCGCTGCTGCGTCGACCTCGGACGCCGCTGTCCAGCTCCCCATGAACCTGCTGTCTGCTCTCCTCTCGTTCGGCATCTCCCCCCCTGCTGGCAAGGACGACGTCGCCCGCACCGTTTCGGACCTCGAGACCAAGAAGGCTTGGTTCGAGGCCAACTCGGAGTCCAAGACCAAGTCGGAGATTGAGCGCGTGGAGAAGGTCGTCGCCAAGCTGCAGAAGAAGAACGCCGACGGCGCTGAGGGTGCCGAGGACGAGGAGGGTGAGTCGCGTGTGCTCTGAACGGGCGTTCCGGACCCAGGGACGAAACATCCAGTTACTGACTCGCTTTCCGCAGCCACCGAGCCCAAGGAGGAGGAGGAGGCCGCTGCTCCCGCTGCTGAGGAGGCCAAGGTTGAGGCCTAAGATTTGTTTCGTCCGGGCCATACTCCGTGCTGTCATACTATCATAGCCATCTGTCCAATGTATGGCTGTTGTGGGCTTTTTTTTCTGCTTGGGCCGCCGCTGCTGCTGCTGCTGCTGCTGCGCGCCGTTTCGGTGGAGGGGTGGGGGGCGAACCGACGAAAGCGGAGGCAGTCATATTGGCTGCAGATAAGGCGATCCCCCCACTAGGATACCCGGATGCCCCGGGGTTGGTGAGTTGCTGCACAAAAAAAAGAAACATTTTCAGAGTGCCGTGGGGTGTTTGTACAGAGATGGACCGTGTCTGTCATTCTACGAGGCAACAGATGCATCGTGCGTCGCTCACAGGAGGTCCCCCCAGCGTGGTGCGGCAGACGACGACACGTGCTTGCGAGTGGAATGTTTGGGTTTGGTGCCAATGCCGCGGGAGTGTCCGCGGGGCCCATTTCTGTTGATGTCCGATTGCCTCGGCCGGCTGTCACCCACAGCGTCGGTGCTGCCAACGAGTGCCGCGTCTCTCTTCTTCTCCATCTCTCATCCCCATCCCTCGCATCTCACAATGTCTACAAACTCACCACCACAGCCACCGCCCCGCTCCCTCTCAGCCGGCGACCACCCCCACCAGCAGAGTCACCACAACGGTAACGTCCAGGCTCTTCACTCTCACTCCCACTCCCACTTCCCTTCCCGCCCTTCCCCTCTTGGACCCGCGTCCATCACCTCTGCACCCACTCCTACTGCCCGCCGCCCCAGCAACTCGTCGTCTACCGACATGTCTGCCGTCGGCTCTGCTCTTGGAAATGTTTCTCGCCGGGGAAAGACGCTGGGGCGCGCCCAGCAACTTCGTGCCAATGCCGATGGTGTCGTCAAGCGCCGCTCTGGAGGTGTTCTTGGTCGAGGGTAAGCTGTTCTCGGCTCGTTGAAGATTGTAGCTGACAGTGTTCAGATTCATTCTCAAGACTGGTGTGTAGCAGTCAACATCCCTTGCCTGTCAACTAACAACAGACCACTACCCGACCGGTCGCGCTCTCGACCTCGACCTCAATGTCCAGGGTGCTCCCAACTTCCGTGCTCCTGACGAGGAAGGTCTGAACGTCTACGGCGTCGCACAGCCAACCGTTCCAGGCCTCAAGTCGATCCTGACCATCCTCGCTTGCCAGCCTCACAAGCCCGAGCCTGCCGGAGATAACGCCCTGGTCATGCGTCGCCGCCCGTCCACGACGCCGCTGGAGTCGAGCCAGTGTATCTGGTTCAGTACCCGTGAGGAGACCCTTGGTGAGTACGAGATTGCGAGGGGGCTTGGTGGTCGTGTGACTCTATCGCTGACATTTTCACAGTCTACATGTGGGTTGTCCGCACTGACTCAGTTACTCACGCCACAGCGCCTCCCGTCCATATGTGCTGCGCGACGCTTCTGCTCCCCTTCAAACCCTCCACCTCTCAGACCGTGCCTCCAACTTGGAGGATATCGAGCGCCGTCTCAAGCTCGATATCCTCGAGGAGGCTAGCCGCTACGGAGGCCTGATCCTTTGCCACGACGAGGTGCAGGGCGGTGAAATCGTCCCTACGTGGGTGTCCGTCGATGAGAGCATCATTCGTACCCCGAAGGAGGTCTATGATGAGCTCCGCAAGGAAGGTTGGAGGGTCGACTATAACCGTATCCCTGTTGGACCGGACAGGCCTATCGAGGTGAGCTTTGAAGTACGGTCATACGGACCCAAAGCTGACAGCCAAGGACAACTACCTCGATGCTTACGTCTCGGGGCTCAAGGACACTGACCCGCTCACCACCTCGCTCGTGTTCAACTGTGGCATGGGTGTTGTCCGAAGTAGGTAACTGCACCTAGCGATTACTAACCTGTACAGCCACCTTTGCCATGGTTGCCGCTCTGCTGGTTCGCAGGGCACAGTACCTGGAGCGTGGCCTTGAGGACCCGTTCCCGGCAGCTGGTTCGGGCTTTGCCACTGTAGGTCTGGGCCTGGCGTTGGCAAACATCTGCTAACCTACAAGCCTATCCCCGGAGCTTCCGCTGCTCCCGCGTCGCAGGCTGTCCAGTTCCTTCAGCAGGCGACTCAGCAGCAGACCTTGAACAAGAGTTTGTTGAAGGTCACGAGCATGCTCGACAAGAGTGAGCTGAGGTTCCCCGTTCCTTGTAGCTAACATCCAGGTCTTCCTTCGCGTCGCTCCACCGCGGCCATCGACCTCCTCTCGTCCCACCCCAACCTCCTCGAGTCTTTGCGCCGTGCGCACATGGGTAACTACCAGATCGTCCTCTCGCTTCTGTCCAGCCTCGACCACGGCCGCGAGATCAAGGCCCTCGTCGACCAGATCATTGACGACTGTGACGCTGTCGTCAACCTCCGCGAAAACGTCATCGAGAACCGAATCAAGTACAGCGTTGCGTCGCGCGATGACAAGCAGAGCCAGGGGTACCTCGACCGTGCCGTCCGCTCTGTGAGTTAACAGGATCATGGTGTAAACTAACAATCAGCTTGAGCAGTACTTTGACTTGATCGTCTTCGCTGCCTACGTAGAGCACCCCCAGGGCATGAGCTCGGGAGCCAAGTTCTCTTCGTGGCTCAAGGCCCGTCCCGAGATTTGGAAGTGAGTTAGGGCATTCATGATATGGGTTAACTCTTCAGCCAAATCAAGATCCTCCGTCGCCGATGGGGCGACCGCTTGTTCGCTTTTGCTCCTGCCAATGACCTCAGTGTCATTTCCAGGTCGCTTGACCTCGGTGACCGCCGTGACCTCCGCAAGGGCCAGTCTGATCTCGAGGGAGGCAAGGTTCTCGGTGACGAGTGGGCTGAGCATGTCGTCAAGAACCGCAGTGGCATTATGCTCCGTGCATCGTGGGTTTGCGATGCCAACTTACCTGCTAACCCATTAGAACTCTTCTCAAGCGCGACCTGTGGGTGGCCGACTCGGCAGCCTCGACCGACGGCGTCCGCGGCGCCATCGGTTTCCGCCAGGTCTTCAACACTTCTATCTACGCCACTGGTCAGCCGACGCAGGAGGCTATCACGGCCATCTTGGACATTGTCAAGGAGCGCTCGCCTGCGGTTACCAAGGTGGTCTGGGTCTGCCTGCGTGAGGAGCCGCTGGTCATGATCAACGGTGGGTGCAGGTACTACAACTCATGCTAACCCAGCCAGGTGCCCCCTACTGTCTTCGTCGTGACACCACGGCCCTGCGTAACATGCGCGACTACTCCGGTGTCTCGTCTGCCCGTCTTGAGGTTCTCGAGGAACGCCTCAAGAGCGACGTTGTCAACGAGCTGGTTGCCTTCCAAGGCAGTGTTCTCCTTCACACCGAAGCTGCCGATGGCCAGGTTGTGCCCCTCTGGGAGAAGGTCAACAAGCACGACGTCGAGTCGATTCGCGACGTCATGGACGATGTTGCCGCCCATGCCACCGAGGTGGACCTGCAGTTCCAGCGTGTCCCCATCACCTCGGAGTCTTCGCCTGACGTAGGTTCCTCACGCACGTGGACCCCATCTCTAACCTGCCACAGTTCCACGATATCACTCAGCTTTTGGACCTTTGCATGTCCATCGACTTGGACAAGACCGCCATCATCCTCAACGACCAGCTTGGTCGCGGACGTAGCTCCAACACTGCCGTCATTGTTCTCCTCATCCAGCGCTGGCTCAAGCAGAACCGGGCTGGTCGCACCGGAAACGCCCATCCTCCGACTACGCCGCGTCGTCGCGACATGTCTCGCCGTCGTCTTCCTGGCTTGGGCCAGTCCAAGATCAGCTGGCAGATTATTAACAGCGCACTGCGTGTCATTCGTAACGGTCTCGAGGTCAAGCGTGTTGTCGACGAGGCTATTGACAGCACATCGGCTGCCTTCAACCTCCGTGACGCTATTGAGGACTTCCGTGACCAAGCGCAGGAGGCCAAGACTCCCGAAGAGAGGCAGAGCGCAATTGAGAAGGGTAAGTTGACGTATGAGACCTTAAACTGACAAACAGGCATGCACCACCTCATGCGCTACTTCCACCTTTTGGTCTTCCAGGCATACCTGGACGACACTGTTCCTGACGACGAGACGGCCTTCTCGTTTGAGTCGTTTGTCAAGCACCGCCCCGTGTTCAAGACTCTCGAACAGGAGCTCCGCTCTGGCGGCGTTTCGAGCTTGATGCCCATTGAGCGCGCGGACCCGGCCACCGGCATGGCGGTGAGTCTATTAACACAAACATCGCTGACGCGCTCCAGCTCGAAGACGAAGAGGCCCAGGTTGTCGCCAGCCGTACTGGAGCTATTCTCTCAGCCCAGACGATTCTCAAGTCGGACTACTTTGTTGGTCTGCAGAAGCAGAGTCTGCCAGAGTATGTGGTTGTGGTTATGTACAGGGAAGATACTCGCTAACCACTCTCAGACGCGTCGACGGTGCTGCCAACTACCGCCAAGCTCCTCTTGTGCTCGAGAATATCCCCCTGGACAGCCACGATCAGGATGCCAAGGAGAGCTGGGTGTACGGTACTGGTATGCCGAGCGCCGAGGGTTTGCGTAACGCCCTCACCAAGATGGGCTGCGCGCCTGGTGGCGACAGGAAGGTCCTTTGGACTTCGCTCCGCGAGGTGAGCTAACGTAGGGAGCCCAAACTGACAGCTTTACAGGAACCCGTGCTCTACGTCAACTCGCGCCCGCACGTCCTGCGACTTATTGACAGGCCTATTGTCAACATTGAGTGCGTTGGCGACCAGGTGCAAGCTGACTCTCCAGAACTACCGGTGTGACTGCGGCTGTTGTCGAGCGCATGGAGTCGCAGCTCAAGGAGGAAGTTCTCAAGGAGATCCGCCTCATGGGCGGTAAGATGCTCCTCCACGACGAGGTGGAGACCAAGCCCGGCGTCTATGACATTATCCCTATTTGGGAGGAGGTGTCCGAAAACGACGTCATGACCCCCAAGGAGCTGTACCAGCAGGTCATGCGCGAGGACTACCACGTCGACTACTTCCGCGTCGCTATTGTGAGCTAAATGTCGCCCCTAGTGACGGTAAAGCTGACACCACAGACCGATGAACAGGCCCCTCTGCCGGCCACGATGCAGACTCTCGTCCAGCGTGTGGTCAAGGGTTTGAAGGAAGGCACAGACTTTGTGTAGGTGACGTTTGATTGCCAGCGCTAACCTGCCAGCTTCAACTGCCAGATGGGCCGTGGCCGTACCACGACCGGCATGAGTGTCGCCTCCTTGATCGCCACTATTGTCAAGGGCGACATGACCAAGGAGGGCATCGCGGACGAGGAGGATGACGGCATTGAGGATGATGGAGACGTGCAAGACTCGTCGCAGTTCCTCAATGGTGAGCTTGACATTTGAGGCTAATGGTAGCTGACAATCAGGCGAATACAAGACCATTCTCCAGCTCGTCACGGTCCTCAGCCACGGCAAGCAGGCGAAGCGTCTCACCGACAAGATTATGAACCAGATGGAGGGTGTGCAAAACTTGCGCAAGGCCGTTTACGAGTGGGTTACGTCGAGACTATACCAGCTAACCCTGCCCAGCTTCAAACTCAAGGCCGAAGCCGCGGAGCCTGGATCGCAAAAGCACAAGACGCTCATGCACCAAGGTGTCAACTATCTCTACAGATGTAGGTCGTCGGTTTCCACTGCGCCATTGCTGACCCACACAGATGGTATGGTGATTGTGCTTGCCAACTTCCTCCTCGAGACCAAGGAGCAGGGCACGCCGATCGACGAGGCCGACTTCACTCGCTGGATTTTCCAGCACCGCGAGATCCGCAATGTGCTGAGCCGCAAGACTTTGGACTGAGTGAGAGGGGGAACAAGAAGAGGACGACAGGACGAAGAGGAGGGGATCCCAGCACGCCCCGCACTCACATATATATATCGCAAATTCCACACATATCTCAAGTGCTACTCATACCGCGACCTCTGGATGCTACTCATACATTGCTCTGTACTGTACTGTACACGCGGTAGATATCCATGTGCCCATGTGTGTTGGACCAGTGTATAACACGCAGGCCTCAACTTCACACTACACTGCAGTCAGCAACCCCCCCCCCCCCCCCCCCCCCCCCCAGGTTTACTGCTCCTTCTCCTTCTCCTTGGACCAGCGCATCCAGCTCGAGCTCGAATGGCGAGCGTGCGGAACAAGACCCTCGGCCCCGTCTGCCTCGGAAGGGTGGATCTCGGCAAAGCCGGACGCGGCGAGCGAGTTGGAGCCGCCAGAGAGCGAACCGTCCGACGAAGTGCGCGACGACGTGCGCATTCGGGCCTCGGTACGGCTCGTGACCGTCAACCCCGACTCGTCAGTGGCGTACGAGAAAGTGCGCGAGCTGCTGGAGGAGGACACGCCGATAGCGCCCGAGGGGACAGAGGGCATGGGAGGGAGGTCAAAGCCACGGGCGGTAGCGGTCGACGAGGACAGCGACGAAGTGCCGGGCGTGACGGGGAAGGGCGAGGTGGACGAGCTCGAGACGGAACGCGAGCCTGGTGCAGATCCCGGGTTACCCGCGTTGTTGAACGAGTTTCCGGCCGCATACACTGCGCCGAGGGCCGAGGGCATGTATCGCGTCGCGAGGTTGGAGACGAGGCCGAATGCCTGCTGGGCGTACGCCGGGGTGCCAGGGGCACCAGGGGCACCAGGGGCACCACCTACACCAGCACCAGCACCGGACTGGAAGCCAGCGCCGGGACGACCGGCTCCGATGCCAGGATAAGCCGGGGGCTGCGGGAGACCGGCGGCGTTGGACAGCTGCGATGCCTGTTCCTGCGAGAGCTGTGGGCCGTCAGCACGAGCTCAAGTCCATGAAGGTAGTCGGCGACGATGGCGTCTGGGGGACAGAGTTGCCGTCGTCGACCCCGAACACTGGGATGAACGTACCCCGAGAGCACGCCTGGCCTGGTCCCAGATCCACCACAGGCCACCGCGGGCACCGTTGGTGGCTCGGCCAGAGAGGCTGCCGAGGAAGGCATCGATCTCGCCCTCGTTCTCAGCGAAGAGGGGCGCAAGACCGTTGCAGTACAGGTAGGGACCGAGCCTGTTTCCAGGCTGCGCGAGGTAGAGGAAGACGAGCGTCTTGCAGATGGTGTAGAATGGGATCCTGCGGGGTCAGTGTTGGTCGTAGCGGAGGGTGCAGATTAGATGGAAGTGGGCTGCACGCGGACGTCATCCGGCAGTCACCGCGGTAAATGGAAGGCGGGCTTGCACAATAACACTGGCTGTACACCTCTCACACCACGCCCACCGGCTATCACCATGGCCATAACTGGCGCTTGGTATGCGCTGGAGGACACGTCTTCGCTTAGGTGGCCGGGTGGCAAACGGAAAGGGGGACTCCGGGAGCGAAACTTACCATTCCAAGAACCAGCCTATGACACCCTCGGCGGTGGTCCACGCGCCGATGAGAGCCCAGTACATGAGCCAGCGCTCCAGCTCGACCGGCTGGGCGGGACGCTGGGAGAGCGCCTTATAGCTCGCGTACGCCGGATAGAGGAACGCGCCGGTGACGCTGCGTTGTTAACTGGGGCCAGAGGGGAGTGGAACAGAAAGTGTGCTATCAGCCCCGCGGCTTGTGCCTCCGGACTTGCGCTGCCAGGTCCCCACCCAGCATGCAGTGCGCAGATGCCCCTTGCCATGCAGTGCGGGGTTGTTGTGACTCACTTGAATAAGCGCGTGGGGAGGAGCATGGTGGACAGAGAGTGACGATGTCGCACGCGTCGTGAAGTGGGTGAAGGAGAGAGCGACGACTGCGTCAGTGTGCGTCCCTTAAGGTTGATATGGTGGCAATCAATCTCTGATCGGAATCGGGTATCATCAGTCAGAACGGGAGACAGCGGTTCCGCACACACATCGCTCCCGTTTCGTCCTTTTATCAATGTATCACCCCCAGCAAGTAACGGCTAGTCATACAAGCTGCTGCTCCCAAAGCGTCTTCATCGTCTTCGAACTGTCTAAATGCCCAACGTGAGACATGCTCGCACTCTTGACTAGCGGCGGTGCAGCGGCATCCTCCCTGAGCCGAGCTTGCTGCTCGGGCCAACGTCGCCTCCTGTGGAGGGCACGGCATTGGCATTGACCCTCTAGTTTTTCGAGGTCCCCCAGCACCCCCCTCCGCCCCTAACTAGCTGTGTACTGGACGGCTTGGTCGCTATCAATCACGCCGTCGACGACGAGGCCGACGAGGACTGGCAAGGAGAGCTGGGAGCCATGACGGTGGTGGCGTTATTTCAAGCTGGCGCCTCTCGGCATCGCGGCATCCTGTCGCTGATAAATTGGCGGCACCTGGGTGCTACGGAAGGCAGGCTCACAACCTTACGGGGAAGACAACCGTTCTGCCAGATACAATACACACAGTCCAAGAGGCCAGTAGGGCCCAGAGGCTGCGAGTTTAGAATGTACAGAGCGTACGGGGACCGAGGATTCGGACACGAGGCCTCCCCTGTTTGCGATTTGTTATTCACGGGTGTCGAGTGTTAATATATTCGTCACGGTCCGTTTCCTATTAGGCCAGTCCCTCACTATTACGACCACATAGATATCTCTCGTTGTGCAGAGTTCATCCCCAGATCCTGCCTTTACCACATCCTTGCTGCATATATCTGCATCATCGTCGACTGAGCAGCTGTCGCTCGAATACCCTCCTGAGGATATCAAGATCGCCACCTTATAAATAGTGTGGTGTGAGCGTAGGTCGGCTTTGTGGCACAACGGCTCGATGGCATGGTGCGGCTCGCTGACTCAGACGTTGAGGACGCGCGCCACATTGCAAGCATTGGTGTATTGGGGTTAGAAACAGGCAGACCAGGATACACATACCTGTGCTATTGCTCGAGCTGAGCGCGACGCATGTCCGCCTGTAGCATAGGGATGAGGTTGACGGCGCCGACAATCTCATTCACCTTGCCGTCGTAGATGCCTTGCGACCATTCTGGCGCGTCGAAAGGCTTAGACAGTTGTTGGATGGGTAGTACAGGGGTTGAGGGAGCCTTGGACCTGGTGAAATGGGCTGGCCAAGGGTCGGTCACCATGCTGTTGGGCAAAAACGATGATAATTGAATGAGCGAGTTGGACCACGATGTACGTGTAGTGGCTCGAAGGTGAGTCGCGAGGTTAGTGTGTCGGCGGTCCACACCGGCCAGATCGCTGCTGTCACCGCAAGATAGGATACGCATGAGACTATCCTCACCGACGGTTTTAACAGCATTTCTCTGCTGCAGAGCCAGTTGCATCTAGCACACGCACGTAAGGAAGAAGACTGCCATATAAACACGGGCTGAAAGCCAGCGGTAAAGCAGTTGGTTCTTCCGTGGTCTCTATAAGCAGCTCACAAGAGATTCTCTGAGCCATGCCATTAAAAGCTGTGGTGCACTGCTACCTCGCAATATCATGCAAGACTCGACGTAATCAGTTTGAGTCTGTTGGTTTGACCATCCCAGTTAATTCACACTACCTTGCCATTCCTTGGTAGAGTCGATGTGACAAATGATTGCCTACCGGTTATCCACCCAGCTCATTCACACTATCGTGCAATATCGTGCCAGCGCGGACTTGCCAGGTGATAGTCTGTGTGTTTGCCGTTGGTTTGAAAATGCACACTACCAGGTGGATCTCTGACCACAGTTGACGAGACCGACAGTGTTGCCTCCGATACTTCACACGCTGCCTTGCCAAAACTATGTAAGAATCGACGTGGCCAACGATCTCAATGCGTTTCTCCAACGCACAAGCAGTGCCAGTCGCCACTCTATTAAATATGGAGACCCTGTTATTCGTGTGCGTCGCCTCAGTTCCCTGTGGCCTGTGGCGGGTTGCTCCGAGCGGCCAACTGCTAAACCCTCCGATCTCTGAGTAGGTAATGCATACATGGTCTAACGCCTGTGTTCATTGAATGCACGACGTGCGGGCTGCGTGATTTTCTTCGTACGGCCTTTGGCAAGCATAACGCCAAGCATGACCGACGTCGCGGCGCAGAGAGAGAACCTGGAGCGTCAGTGGCAGAAGCAGAGTGAAGTCGGTCAAGCTCGCCAACAAAGCAACGCTCGACAACGTGTTGCACTTGCGGGGCCTGACTAGTACTCACCAGGTGATGGCATAGGTCATGTGCTGGTTGCGCAGCTCGATCTCCCTCAAGCGACCAACGGGCTCGCCCTGCTTCATGAGGATCGAAGCGAGGACATCTCCTTCTGAAAGCGTCAGCTGTCGACCTGCGTCCGCTTTACTCACGGTCAATCGCATCAATGAGAACGGGCTGGAAGTTGCGGGATTCACCACCAGCGTCCTCAGCCATGGCAGGAATGTCCTTCCAGTACCAGCGGTTCTCATTGGGCTTGTTGTCGGGTGTGAATGTCGACTTGGCGTTGGGGTCCGCCTTGGTCACGAGGCCCTCAATGACAACCTCCTCCGAGGGCTCGCCGTTGGGACCGAGACCTGGAACAGGACGGGCACCGGTACGGACCTCGTCACCCACAGCAGTCTTGATGAAGCCGCGGTTGAGCAGAATCGTAGTGCCGCCGCTCTCGGAACGGTCAAACGGAAGGATGAGATGGTAGCCGGGGACGCCCTCACGGGTTTGAGGGCCCTGGAGAAGGGCGGGGCCAGTGAACCGACCACGGAGGAGGACACGACGGAAGGCAAAGTCGGGCAGAGCGGAGAGGCTTGCGTGGGTCAGTTGCGGCGGCCACATGTATACAAGTGCGTTCCAACTCACTTGATCTGAGCGGGGAGGACCATGGGGTCCTTGGCGAGGTTGCGATCCACCTCCTCGATGAGAGCGACCTTCCACTTGAGACGCTGTATCTGCCACACGCCGAGGTATCCTGTCAGGATAGGCGCACAGATGAGAATGAGGGTGATGGGGCGGAAGAGTGTCGACACGATACCACCGCCGACGACGTCCGAAGAGTGGTGTGACGCATTACGGCTCGGTCCGGCGCCGGCGTTGGCGCCAAAGCGCGAGGCAAAGCCGCTGCTAGCCAAGGGCCGCTTTGGCAGTGTTGAGCGGAGCGCTGAGAAGAATGCGAATGGTCTGGACATGTCCAGGAGTTGGGTAGATGACCAGTTTGCATCATCGGGACGCGCACTAACGACGTCCAGATGACTGGACTGTTCGGAATATTTGATTCCGGGCGGCGGTTTGCCCGGCTCTGTTGAGGGCTGTGATTTCCTCTGTTCCACCTTCTCATTCAACACCCACACCTCGCTCATACCCAGGAGCTCCCTTGGGGCCGCGCGACAGCGACATGACTGACGCGATGGCCCCAATGCCACGTACACCACCGCGACACAGGGACGCGTCCTACACCACCACTTCCAAGCTCCGCTCGGTACCGTACGCGTCAACATCCGCCGATCCCGCGGCAGACCTTCCTCCCCTCTCAAGCCTCCAAGCATGGGTGCACCGCCCACAGGCTGTAGCCAAGTGCTTTGTGAGCGACGTGTTCAATCTCTGCGCTCTTGAAGCAGATGATGGCGTGGTGAAGCGCACGGCCCGGGGTGAGTGGACTGGTTCACAGAGCCGCAAGGTGGAGGGCCATTTGTTTACATTGTTCCCTGAAAGTTGGTAACTGAGCTGACAGCCTGTCTCCAGACGTCTTCCTCCTCAACCATTTCCCATGCAAGGTTATCGAGGTTTATGGATGGGTCGCAGGTGTCGATCACAAGGACGCATTCACGACAGTCACTCGTAAGCTGGCCTTAGCCCATAACGGCCAAAGCTAACCTTGAAGTGGACGATGGCGACGGAATAGCCGTCCTGCAGGTTACTGTCCGTCTCGCTCAAAGCGAAGCGGCCGCTCCAAAACAGCAAAACCCGACCGCATCTCATGCAGGGGGAACCTTCCGCTCTCGCCGTGAACGCAATGCTGCACTCAAGGCGACTGGTACAGCTCTTCCTCCTAAACCGCTTGAGAAGATGTATATTCGCCCTGACATTCGCGTTGGTGACACTGTTAGAGTTGTGGGCCGCGTGGACGAGTGGGGGCGGCAAAAGCCCGGCAGACCAACAGAATGGGTGCGACAGGTCATTGTCGATGAAGCGTCGGGCTCTGGCCTTATCAGTGAGTCAACAACATGTGTTCTGCAACTGACTGCAGGCGTCGTCGATCCTGATGACCACTTTTACCATCTCGCACATGTCACCGAGCTGCACGACACTCTGTACTCGCGCCCCTTCAACATGCCTGCTCCCTCGTCGTCCCGCACGTCTCCCGCAAAGTCCTCCCCAGCAAAGTCGATAATGTCAAGCATCGCGTCTTCCGACTGGGGAGAGGATGACGACGATGATGCCTTTGGACCCGACTTGGTCGACCCTGCCAAGCTTAGCTCCAAACTCCTCACCGAGAGCACGTTCAAGCGGTACATGATGGACCACATGACGCAGGAGACGACAAGAATGGTCAAGGCAGCGACGCGAGGGATGAGCCTGTTTGCACCCATCCCGGCACTGCAGGTTCTGTTCCCCGAGTATGGGGCGCACACTGCCAAACGGCTCGACATGGATGTTAGCAAGACGTCTCAGCTCCCCAATACACGCGACAGCGATGTCTTCTCGTCATACCCGACGGCGTCTCGTGAGACTCAAGTGACTCAAGTGACTCAAGTGACTCAAGTTACTCCACGCCCAACATTTCGTTCCAAGGCCGAGCGGGAGGCCGCACGCCAGCAGGAAGCTAAACCCACACATATTCCTTCTCCCGATAAGGACAAGACCCCTATGGCTGCTACCTTCAAGTCTCGTGTGGACCGCGACCGCGATAGCTCCAGCGTGGCCCTCGTCGCTGAACCAGCCCTACATCCATTCACGGTACCCTCCCTCCTCGCTGTCGCTCTATTGCGCGATCTTGCTGAGCGCGTTGTCGACAATCGAGCTCGAGTAGAGGAGAAGGAGCGCCGCAAACGCGTCAAGCTCGGAAAGACCACTACCTTGGACCACCAGCTTGTGGCCAGACGCAAAGCCCGTGGCCTAAAGGAGGGCACGTACCAGCTCTCCTCGTCTGAACGCGAGTCCAAGATGAGAACGCTCACCGAGTGGGCTATCCGCGATGCCCACATCGAGGGCGGTGTCGTGCAGGTGTCCACCGCTGTGACGCCTGCTGGATACCTGCCACTGCCTGCCGCCTTGCTCGCACCTCTTCTCGTCCCCGTGGTCTCAGCTGCGCGTGAACGCGCTCATGGTACATTCCGGTCGCGCCTCGAGCGTTCTCAGGCAAAAGAAGCAGCGTCTACCGGGCGCTCTTCAAACCTCCCCCTCAATTCGCTTACCATCGCGGCCCGGCTAAAAGCGTGGGATGGTCGGTGGGAGCGAGTGGGCCAGTGGGCTGTAGAGGAGGCGCTCGAGTGGGGAGAGGCCCAAGGTATCCTTGAGCTGGAGCGTTAGGCGACCTATCGAGCTGGATCATCGGTGCAACGAGGTCGACTGTCACTGCCATCTGGCCCAGTCTAGCTTCGCCACGCCAAGCCCACGCTGCTGCTGGTAGGCTGGCTGGATTGTGCGCGCTCTTACCTGTGGCGCCGTTTGTGGCGCCGCGTCGATCCTTCCAGACCCGAGAGGTCATCGCACCTGAGATGGCGGCCTCGCAGCATCGCGTCATGGTTTCGGCGATCAGCGACGGCCGATGGCGGTCCGACAGCGGGATGTTGTTCGGCGTGCCGGTGAATGTGTGTGGCCGTGGGGCGAAGGGAGCATGGGGCGGAGCACGTCGCTCCGCTTCACCTTCCCATCACCTCAGAGGTCGTGTAGAGTGGCTAGCCACCTCCTCCTCGCTATCTGCACTGTGTAGATTTATTTCCATGTACACATGTAGCTGCATATAGACCGTTGGTTCCGGTTTACAGACTTTATCCGGCGACGGATTGTGTTACAGGAATTAGGATAACTGTGGCGCGGAGGGCCGCGACTCCTCCCCTGCCCCTTTTTTCTCGGCCTCCTCCGAACGTCAACAATGACCTGGACATGGCGATGTCGGTGGGCCTCACCGAACACGCAAAACGAAACTCCACGTCTCCGGGCGCGTGCGTCGCTTGACCGCTTGCGGCAAGAGGTCAAGAGCGAGACGGCCTCGTGAGGTCTCGTGAGGTCTCGTGAGACTGGCGTCCGGCAAACTGTCACATGGCCACAAACACTATGCGTGAGAATTCCGCAACAGCTATCTTCGATATCGTCGATAATACGAAAAAGCACCACTTTGTGGCGCTGCATTCATACGCGGTGCGGGTGGCGGCGAGGAGACCCAGATCTCGATTGCCACCCCCCCCCCCCCCCCCCCCCCCCCCCCCGCAACCGAGCAATGGGCCCAGCCCGCATCTGGCCAGATTTGCCATTTATCTTTGGGTTTACAACACGGCGTTGGTCGGGTCGGGCGGAACTCGAATATGCAGCGTCGTAATCGCAGCAAAACGGTTTTTCGTGCCATGCCGGCGGCTCTTGGCATAGCCGTTTGCGCGATAGGAGGTGGTAGCAGATTCAGCCCACACTGGGTTTATGAGCGCATGGAGTGTGTATGTGTGATGTAGAGCACCTGTGGGTCAGTCTGTGGATCTGTGGAGGTCGCAATGGCGAGACATGGACGGCAGAGAGTTGGACGCAAAAGGAGATAGCATTACGGCTCTACTGTAGCTCTCGCCCCAGTCTGGATAATGGTCTCAATTGCGCCTGTGACTGCTGCTTCTTTCCCCTTCTGTCCTCGTCATGCTAGTGGTCGTTACTGGTGTGGTTGGTGTGGTCGATGTGGCTGTTGCTATGGTTTGTCGGTGCTGGTGGTATGGAACTGGTGGTTGCGTGGAAGGCTAGAGAGCGGCGCGAGGTTGGTGTAGTGGGAAGCGGCGGGGCTCTTGGTGGACCCACGAGACCGTGGCGCAGGAGCGGTGGTCCTGTGGCGGCGCGCTTCCTCCTGGGGGCTCGTGAGGCTCGATGTCGGCACGCCTGCGTGCGGGGGGTTTGGGCTCGTGCGCGAGAGGACGCGTACAAGTTTGCCAACGGGGGATGCTGGTGCCGAGCGGCGCTTTGGCTGCGGCTCGACGTCGCCAAAGTGGTCGTCGTCGTCGTACTCGAGTGCACGCTTCAATTCGGGATTGGATGCGGGTGTCGCCGGCGGCGGAGAGTCTTCTGTCGCGGCGGTCGGGATGGATGGCAGTTGAACGCGCGCGTCGGCTGCGGCGTCCTCATACCATTTAGCTGGCGATGTCGGCGGGTAAGTTCCCGAGCTCTTTGCTGCGGAGACCGACGTAGGTGCTGACGAAGCTGGCTCCCTGGTGTGATTCGGGGCAGCCAGCTGAGTGTGGTGGTGGGTGGGATCACCGCGATCTCCTCGAGCGGCGGCGACGTCTTACATCAGCTACCGGTGATCGCCCTCAAAGGTCCCGAAACTCACCATTAGCCCATTCGCTGCATGTCTTGACGCGTACCGGCGGGTTGATGGAGGTTGATGCACCAGCTATCGCCGACAACAGTGTTGATTGCGAGGCGCGTGGCTGTTGTGGAGGCGGCGGTGGTGGTGGAATAATCGGGAAGAGGGATACAGCAGGCTTGCGGGGCTGCGGGGTGACACCGCGAAGGCCTTCACCATGAGCACAGGAGCACGACGTGAACGCGCTGCCGCTACCGGTCATGTCTCCGGTAAGTGGCGTGGTGAAGAGGGGGAACATGCGCTGATGGGGAGAGGGCTGTTGATGGCGGGGCGATAAAAAACGACAGCGCCCCGGGCTGCCAAGCTTGGACCGGACAGTTCCGTGTAGTGTTTGGAGGCCACTCGGGCGGCAAAAAAGCGGGGAAGCGGGGTTGTGGTTGTCGCTGTGCTGTGCCAACGAGTTGCTGATGTTGCCAAGGGGCCTGCTTGCTAGGAGAGATGGATCGATAGAGTGGATGAGAGGTTGGGATGGGTCGACTGAGAGAAAGAGACGTCGAGATGGAATGGAAGTGGCGAGGGAAAGAACGGGGTTGGGCCGTGGAGGGGAAACGGCTACCTCTTCATGGCCGGATCAATAATATCGTCGCCCCCGCCCAGCCCGTCCGACACTCGGTCGTCGTTCTGCTCGGTTTGCCAAATGACGCCAGCTTTGCCACGGAGGCCCCGGAGACGGACAAGTCCGACACCACAGGCTCAATTGTCCTGCTTCACACCCCTTTTGCTATTCTCAAATAATTGCCTGTTTGCGCCATCAAAAAGCAGCTGATAAGCCGTTAAGCCTTTCTTGCCTTCCACGTGAGCAGAGAGACCGCGCCGCCGGCATCCGGACGCGGACGCAACATCCCTCTCGGCGAACGCCGATCCGCCACAGTCGGGACAGAACGCGCCGTGTCTACCCGGGTCTAATGTATTTGGCATTCGAATCGGAATGATTTAGAAACCGCCCGCTGTTTGTATTTCTTGGTTTATTTGTAATGTTCAGTTAGGCGCGCCAAGTGACATGTGTGCCTGTTGTTGTCGATCTCGATGGTTGGGTCGTTGAACGGAGGTTGGCCGGTGCCCGCTCGCGCGACTGGAAACGACGCGGTCGAGTGACGTACTTGCTGTGCCAGCGGCCACGTCTTTGACTTTGGATTGTTCGCCACCCTCTCACCCGCAATGGACTATACAAACTTGCGCGATACTTTCAAGCAGGCGTCTTGGACAGCCAAACAGGAAGAGGTGCGTTGTTGGTCTTCTTCAGTGGCGCCATGTGCTACCTACCACACAAGGACGGTTTGGGTCTCGTGACGTTGAGGAAGACTTGGAAGACGCCCGCGGCCCGGCGCGGACGTTGGTCGGCCACATCCTAAGCAAAACGAGTTCGGGCTTGGCCGTTGTCATGTGGTGCAGTCCACATAGGCGTCACCTGCCACTCTTCAGCTGTTGACCGCAATCACGTCGCGTAGCTGACACAAACAGGTCATCCTCGAGCCGTTCACGTACCTGTGCTCGGTCCCGGGCAAGGAGGTCCGGTCGCACCTCATTGACGCATTCAATGCCTGGCTCAACGTTCCCGAGGAGGACCTTGATGTGATCCGCAACATTGTGCGCATGCTACACAATGCCAGCTTGCTGTGAGTTGGAAGTTCGTTCTAGGAACATGTTCTCCGTCCAACTCGAGGAAGCGACGCGCGGAGGAAAGCAAGGCAGCTCTGAGCTGCCAATCTGTCCTCTGACTCACTCCCACGCTGATCAGGGCTAATACTGCAACAGCATGGATGATGTCGAGGACAATTCGGACCTCCGCCGCGGTGTGCCTGTCGCGCACCAGGTGTACGGTGTGCCCCAGACCATCAACACGGCCAACTACGTCTACTTCCTCGCCTTTGACGAGCTCCTCAAGCTCCGTCCCTTGGATGGCAAGGGAAAGGGCAAGGCTGGAGACATGGTGGCGATGGTGAATGGTGAGCTTTGTCTCGCTCGGTTTGGTCGTCAGCTCACAAACAGACGAACTGCTCAACCTCCATCGCGGACAGGGTATGGACCTCTACTGGCGTGACAGCCTCACCTGCCCCACGGAGGAGGAGTATGTCCAGATGACGATGGGCAGTGAGTTGGTTGTATTGGAGCGCTGGGCTAACTCCCAGAAACCGGTGGTCTGTTCCGCATCGCTGTCAAGCTCATGATGACCAAGTCTGAGTCTACGGTGTGAGTGTTGAGACGCGACGCCCGGAGCACTACTGACATGGCAGCGACTATGTGCCCCTCGCCAACCTCATTTCCATCTACTTCCAAATACGCGACGACTACATGAACCTCCAGTCTGGCGAGGTAAGCTACGCCAGGCGTATCGTATCTTCTTAGCTGACGACCAGTACGAGGACAACAAGGGCTTCTGTGAGGACCTCACCGAGGGCAAGTTTAGCTTTCCCGTCGTGCACGGTGTGAGGGCAGACACGTCCAACCGCCAGATTCTCAGTGAGTGAATGCTACTTGCAGATAAGAACAGATGAGCGGTTATCTGACCACCATCACAGATGTCCTCCAGAAGCGCACCACGTCGTTTGCCCTCAAGAAGCATATTGTCGAGTACCTCGCCAACCACACAAAGTCATTCGAGTACACGCGCGGTGTCATGGACACGCTCTATGCCCAGATCGAGGACGAGATCAAGGAGTTGGGCGGTAACAAGCCCCTCGAGGCTATCGTTGCCCGCCTCAAGGTTGTAGAGGAGAAGAAGTAGGGCTCATAGGCGGTGGGTGCTGGTCTACAGAGTGTAAATAATATTGTACAACTAGAGCACGGATGCACATGTCCACATTTCTCCAAGTGGCCGTCTGATGGGTTAGATCCAACCGGAAAGCGGACCCACCGTCAGGCCACATGAGCATCGTGGAGGTGGCCATTGCGTTCTTAACGGGCGACGTTGGTCTCTTCTGTCGCGAGCACAGTCTAAAAGCCGCGCGGCACTTGGGGCATATCTGCGAGTTGAGCAGCTATATGATATCGCAACTCACCCTTGGAGACCTCCTTGGCCCTCGCGGTCTGTTCACGCCTCCTCAGCTCGGCACGGCGGTTCTCAAAGAACGTCCTGTGAAGAGTGTACTTTTTGTGCGTCTGTGCGGGCACGGAGGGGATGCCAGTGGTGGTGGGCGAACCGGGAGACGCCGGGGCCGGGGATGACGGCTTGCTGTCCTTCTTCTCCTCGGTGTCGCCCATGGCCAAGCTGGAGATACTGCTCGACACGCTCGAGATGAGCCCTCCCACCAGCCCCTTCTTCTCCTCTGGCTTCTTGTCCTTGTCCTCGTCCTTGTTCTTCTCGGCCTCGTCCTTGAGGGCTGTACGGCGGGTCTCGCGGGCAGAGTAGTCGGCGATCACTTTGCGGATGTCGTCGGCACTCGGTCCAGTGGGGGCAATGAGGGTTGCGCTGGGGTCAGTGGGTGTCTGCTGCCGTTCAAACTCACAATCCTCTGTATGTTGGCCGCCCAGTTTGAAGAAGGAAGATGAGAAGGGAAGCCCACACAGGGACACACAGAGGGATAGAGTCAGCACCGTGGTGTCTTGCACTTGCCAATACCTGCTAGCATTGATATGGCAGGATTGTAGCAGCTCGTCCTGTACGCACGGGTCACTGAGATGGCTGTCACAGGTGTACACAAAGTCCTCGGACTTGAGAGTCGCGAGCACAGTCTGGGTTGGGCGGCGACAGACGTAGCAGGGCCTGGCGGTGCCGACTTTCTGTGTCCGTTAGCACGAGTGCAAAAAAAATGGGCGCCATTATGGCTGAGCTAGCTGTGCATTGGTATCTGCGTGGTATCGCGAGGCGAGGTTCGAGGCAAGGCCAGCCTTCGGGACCCAACACCACCAGCCAGGAGAACAATGTAGCCCACCTAGCGTGCATGCCCTCGAGCTGCATGCTCCTCCGAACCACCGTGGACAACACCTACCCGCTCGTAATAGACGTTCTGAAGTGTTGTCGACATGGCGTCTGAGGTACCAGTGGTGGGGTGGTGAGTGTACGAGTGTGTATCCGAAAGAGAGGAACAACAATCCGGGACCGCCGTCGTCATATTCGGTTTCAATGGCTCGCTCGGTCCGGCGTCTCCAGTTTCCTCCTCCGGCCTCCAAACCACACAACCCTCCCTCCACCGACCACTCATTAATCCACCGTCCTTCAACACCGCACGGCGACGCGGCTGGCCTCATCAACTGAGGCCCATCTACAGCCCCGTATCCCCGCGATTGTGACTGGGCATTGCATTGCATTGCTCTCTCCTCTCGCCTCGCCGCCAGTACGCTCGCACCTTCAAAGCAGCAGCGTGAATCACAAAGACGCTTCCTCCCAGTTGTCCGGCAGCACGCATTCCCTCCCACCCCTCTCCAACTATACCTCGGCATTGTCTAATACCACGAACGGATATCCTGCACCACCATGTCCAAGACACCCGCACCTAGGCTCAAGCTCGTCGTCCGCCGTCTGCCGCCGACGCTCCCGGCCGACGTGTTCTGGAACGTCGTCGCGCCCTATGTTGACGGCAAGAGTAATTGGCGGCGATACGTCCCCGGCCGCGTGGGGGATAAGTGAGTGTGACGAAGCGTCTAGGATTAGACGAGCGGGCTCTGGGGAGACACAGGCCATGTCCAGGACTGGGCTTTGCTTAGGAAGGCAGGAGCTGTTGGCTGCTCTCCAAGGTATCTGCTTTCGTCTTCCTGTGACCGTCGTCCTTACCCGACCCATCGTTCTTGTACAGTCACACCAACTGACACACAGCTACGGCGCCCACCCGATCCATTCCCGCGCCTATGTGCTCATGACGGACATGGACGCCCTCGTTGCCTTCCACACTGGCTTTGACGGGCATGTTTTCCGCAACAAGGCTGGTGAGCTACTCCGGCTTAGTTTCTCAGCTCACTCCCAGGCGTCGAGTACCAGTCCGTGGTCGAGTATGCGCCCTTGGAAAAGACGCCGTACAAGTCCAAGGTCAAGAACGACCAACGCCAGGGGACCATTGATGACGGTGAGCTTGCTCATTCCCCGCCGTAGCTGACAAGCAGACCCGGACTACGTCTCCTTCCTCGCGAGCCTGCAAGTGACCGAACCCAAGCCTGTCCTCGAAACAAGCAGTCAGTTACGGCTGTCCAGAATGGTTGGTTCCAAAGCTGACAATGTCCCAGACCCCGCACCTCAGCCAACGTCCACACCGCTCTTGGATGCACTGCGCGAGCAAGCGAGCAAGTCCAAGGCCAAAAAGGACAAGAAGCACAAGGACAAGGACAAGGAAAAGGAAAAGGACAAGCACAAGGACAAGGACGGCGACAACAAGAAGGAAAAGGGCAGTGGCAAAAAGGACAAAAAGGACAAGGACAAGGGCGACGGCGGCAAGGCGGCGGCCCTCGCTGCCATTTCCGATGCCGCTTCAAAGCGCGCACCCAAGGACCAGGGTGGCGGGCTTGTCATGGTCGCCGGTAAAGGCCGCGAGGTCTATGTCGCGTCTGCAGACGACGTTGCTGCCGCCTCGGCCAGTCGCGAGACGAGCAGGGACGGCAAGCACGGCGGCAAGGGCGACAAGGGCGACAAGGGCGACAAGGACAAGGACGGTGACGGCGAGAAGAAACGTACCCGCCAGCACAGGAAGAAGAAGGACAAGAACGACAAGCACGACGACGGTGGCAAGGAGCCCTCGGCTGGCGCCAAAGACGGTGGCGGTGGCGGCAAGGACAAGGACAAGGCGGACAAGGCCGGCAAGGGCCAGCAACAAAAGGGCAGCAAGGGCGGGGCCGACAACGAGTCCAAGGCCGGCCCGTCAAGTGCGCCGGCGGACGAGGCCAATGCCGACAGCAAGCGCGGTGGCGGCGGGGGCCGTGGGCGTGGGCGTGGCCGCGGCAACAAGGGCGGCGACAAGGCCGACGGTGCGGACGGCAGTGGCAAGGCCGCAGCTGGAGGCGGTTCTGGCGGCGGAAGCGGGGGCCGTAGTCGCGGTCGCGGGACCGCGCCGACCGCGAGCGAGGCGCGTATCGACATGTAGTCGACCGACAACGTATACTCGGGCGTGGGCGCAAACCAAAACCCCCAAGCGTCGAGTACCCGCGAGAGCTTCCCACGCTGGCTATGGCGAGCCACCCACACGACCACGCAACCCTCGAGCCTCGAGTGCGCGCGCGGACACCTCCCGTTCAACACCGACAACACGGCCCCCCCACCTCCGCACGCAACACTCGCACAGCCCACTTCCCCTCATCCCTGGCGACTGTCGTCAGCAGTACCGAGCGAGAGCGAGCGGTAGTTGTTTCAGGGGAGGCGCGAGGCACTTTTACAGCCCCCACACATAGACCGCTAGTTGTTGATAGTGGATGTTAATGAGCTGGGCGCGTCGGTGTGCCCCGATGCAGTCACTTGGCAAACAGTAAACAGTGCAGCACACCAGTCGCGACCGAGCGCAGTCACACCATCAGACGCGTCTGGCACTTTGTGCAGGCTGAAGCCGAGGCAAACAAAAAAAAAAAAAGGAAAAAACACGGCGTGAGAACGAATGACACCAAAACAATTCTAGGTGCAGAGGAGCCCATCAAGTCTCGGCCCGCGCAGTTGGCGTCAACGCGCGTGCTTTGAAAAATCCGGACGGCACGCGTCGTCTATTTGGACGCGGACGACGCGACCGCGCCGGGTGGTCGACCCATGCACACCCCAAGATTTTTGAGACGCAGTGCGCGGTGCTGGCTGACTGCTGCATGGCTATGCTGTACGCGCAGTGTTCGCGCACGGTGCAGAGGAGAAACGAGAAACGCACATGAGAGAGCATGGGGGGGGTTCACGCATGCGCGCATCGATCGCACAAAGCACCGCTATGCGCACGCCGTACCCTAGAGGCCTGGAGGCCTGGAGCCCATCCCTGCGGCGCAGGTGTCCGATGTCTGTGCGAGAGGCTAGAGCGCGGGGTTGCTTTCAAGGGAGGAGGGGGAGAATGCAGCGTTGCGTATGTACATCATAGTCCGGTGGGGTGGGTTCATCTACTAGGGAAGAAGAAAGGGTGGGTGGATAGAGAAAGAGTGTGTCCGTTGGGGGAAGGAAGGAGGAAGCACGGTGGTACTGTCTATGTTATCCAGGAGGTGTCTCAACAGCTCAGACAAGCTGCTTAGAGGACGTAGGCGGCGATGGCGCCGGCGACAAGGGCGAGCGAGGGGGCGACCTTGATGGCACCCGACTTGGCAGTGGAGCTCGAGCTGGCAGCGGCCTGCGGGAGGGGTCAGCTTATGGAACACGAGGAGAGTTGTCAACGTACAGAGTCGGTAGACGACGAGTTGGAGCTGGTGCCGGAGGCAACGACCGAGGTGGTGGCAGCCGAGGTGCCGCTGGCGGTGGTCGACGCACCAGTGGAGGTCGAGGCGCCGCTGGAGGTCGACGAACCGCTGGTGGACGACGACGAGGCAGTGGCGGAGCCAGCCTCAATGGTGAAGTAGTCCGACTGGGCAAGGATGGCCGAGGTGGTCGAGTTGAGGAAGTTGATGCGGTAGTTCTCGCCCTCGAGGTCCGACGAGGGGGTGTACGAGTACGAGCCGGCCGAGGTCTCGACGTCGTCGGTGATGGTGGTGGTCGAGATGCTCGAGGTGGAAGGAGTCTGGAGGACAATCTCAAACGACGAGGGGTCGGTCGAGACGGACGACCAGGTGATGTCGATGGCGACGCCAGCAGTGACCGTGGTCTCGTTGGTGGGCGAGGTGATCGAGATGGCCTGGGCGGCGGTGGCGAGGAGGAGGGCGGCGGTAGCGTAGAGCATTGTGAGTGAGTGTGGGTGGGTGGGGTGTTTGTGTTTGGTTGTGAAGAGAGTGTGATGAAGATGAAGAAGAAGAAGGAAAGACAAAAGTCAAGTCGCGAGATAGCTGCAGGCGATGCACTCCAGTTCGGTAAGCAACCCCGTCCAGAGCTCTCCAGGACCCCAAAAGGGACCTTCTTGGGACTCCTCAAATGGCCGGCGCCAAGCCCCCCGTTGCGTTTGCGTTGCTTCAGGTGCCGGCGGCGGGCTATGCAGGCAGAGAAAAACAATACACGCGCACTTTGGCGGCAGCTGCAGGCACTGCTCGACGGCCCATGTGTGGTTTCTCGTGTATAGTCTGATTCAATCAAGGAAATCCCACAGCAAAACAAGTCACCTTCCGAGGCACACCACCAAAAACCCCTGGGCGGACCCCGTTCGCGTTCTCGTGTAAACTCTCGCAAAGCACGTCGACGTGAGCACACTTGCATTGCTTTCGGCCCGAACGCTGCTGCATTGCTTTGCAGGACACAAGGTCTCAAAAGACCGCCTGCAAGCGAGATACGGGACATTACGAGATCCAGAGAGCAACTGAGACCTGGTCGTTTGAGGAAGGGTCCCCTCGTGTAGGGAAACCTCTCAGGTGGTCCATCTCTCATCCCTGGAGGCGATACAACATCATCGCGTGCATGCTCACCGCAGAGGAAGGAATTCAAGGAGCGCAATCATACTCAGAGATCAGAGAGCATGCTCAAACCCACACAATGCCAGAGCTTTGTCTTTGGCTACGCCTCTGCCACATCACCGCCGGCCCCCGGTCGCTGTCAGGCCCTGCGCAGCGCACGGCGAGGGAGACGCAAGTTACGGGCTTGTACAGCTGTAAGGACCGACGTCCGAGGGCCGCCAGCCAGGGATCATGCTACTGCACCGCAAAGATAGCAGCAGTATGCAGTGTCTACGTTGTCCTTGAACCGTATCGGATCAGGTTGCCATCGGGATCCACATGTCCCCCCTCGCGCATGTTGTATGTCGTGTTCACCGGCTCGACATTACGTCCTGCTGTGGCTCTCCATTCGGCAGCAAGGGCGTCCGCATCGCTGACATGCACAAAGCAGCAGCCTGCTGTCGTGGCTGGGTCGTGCTCGGGGTTGAGCGCAATGTGAATGACAATGCCGTCGCGCTCGGCAAAGCCGTACTCGACCTGGCCAGGGAGAGTGGACGGGTCCGAGTGGCACGAGGTCGTGAAGCCGAGTGTCCTGTAGTGGTCCAGAAGAGCGGCGACGTCGAGCGTGGAGAAGACGGGGCAGATGGACTTGAGGGCTGCGGGCATCGTGACTGCGTGGAAGATTGTGCGCGCAGTTCGCAGTGCATGACGCCGAGATACGCGGCGACAGCTGTCCGCCGTGAACGCGTCCCTCGCCCCCGTGGTGCGCGTCCGAGTGGACGGTCCCACTGCGCTGGAATGCACCAACCTGGGCGACAGCCACGGTGGCAACGTGTTTGGCCCACCCACTTTAAACACCGAGCACCCCGTGTCCACACCCAAAGGTCTTTGCTGCTGTGTGTTCATCTGCACACTCACTCCATCTGCGATACCAACTCACCACCACACCCACAACAAAATATCCACACCCACCTCTACCCACCCGTCCCCCCCTTTACGGACTTTCGACCTCCCCCGTGTCTTCCACCCCCTCGGGACCGTGATCCCCCCCGCAAGCATCTCGTGACCACCATGGTTGCACTCCGATACCTCGTCGCCTGTGTTGGCGCCATGTTCGTCCCCGTTGCCTCTGGTGCGTATCACGCCGCCTGAGGAGGCGTAGCTGTGGGCTTGTGAGGCATATGGAGAGTTGGTCTGGCGCTTGGCGATGTCGTGGGGCACACGACACAGCTGTCGCTGGCCTCCCGCTCTGTCCACACCGGTTCATTCACTCGCTGCTGCTACCACCTCGGCTTCCGCCTGCCCCCCAACTAACACACCTCCCAGCGTCATCAACAACAAGTTACTGGCCAATCCTGACCCCGTCGTCTTCTGAACCATGGGTGCTGGGCCAGAAGAACTTGCTCGCGTGGCGGTGCGCGTCCGACACGGGCGTGGACGCGTTCGACATTGAGCTCGTCAACTACGACCTGTCCATCATGACCGGCTCCATCCCCATCGCGTACCGCGTGCCCAACACGCGCCTCACGACCGGATACAAGAACTATGGCGGCGAGATCGAGGTCGACCTCGACGGCACCGTGCCCACCGGCGACGGGTTCGTGCTGGCCTTTGTGGAAAAAGTCCACGGCCAGGTATACACCACGTCGGAAATGTTCTCCATCGTCGCTACCGCTCCAGACAACTACACGGCCAACCCGGACGACCTGCCCGACGCGACCGTCACGGCCACGCTCACGCAGACGCCCAACCCCACCATGGAGTGGGCCATCACCCTCACGGGCGCCCTGGCAGTCACCAGTACCTAGACACGACATATTTTATACCCCCACACCCCCACCCCCACCCACCCCGCCGCACAGGGCTCGGACGAGAACGATGACGACCCCAGTTGGGTATGTGACATGCATGGACACTGTATTAGTGAGACACAGAGAAGGGGAAAGCAGTGACTGTGAGCTCGGTGCGGTGCGTGGGTGGTGCGCAGCGACATGGCAAGGGCGTGTCAGCACAGCTGGCTATATTGGGTGTGCGCGTTTGCTGCGCGAATATGTGGGTGGCGGGGATGGCCCCATTTCTGCCATTGTCGCGGTGTTGATGTTCGAGACGTGTGGACAGACGCCACTGTGTGTGTACCTACGCGTCTTCCCGAAGGGTCGGTCACGCTGGAAGCCTCAGAAGTGTGCAAGTGCAAACTAGCGTGCAAGGTATACGTCGTGGCAGTCTATGCTAAAATCGTTCTGGCACAACGCGTATGTGTATTGTCAACCATTTCCTCCCCTCCCCCCCTCCTCCGCCTCATCATTCTACTGCTACTGCTCGTCCTCCTGCGCCGCGCCCAGCCGCTCCTCGGCGCGATGCACGAGGCGCATCCACCCGTTCTGGAACGCATTCTCAAACGCCGCCTCGCTAAACTTGTCCGCAGCGAGGGCGCGCGCGGCCTTGCGCATCGCCAGCTGCTGCGCGGGGGGCAGAGACAGGGCCTCGTGGATGGCCACGGCGAACGACTCGGCGTCGGTCGCGTGGAAGCCCGTCTTCTGGTTCTTCCAGGGCACGACAATGTCCATGAGCGGGCCGGCCGAGGCGTGGACAATGGGGATGAGACCGGCAGCCTGCGGGGTCAGTTACACAGAATGAACGACCTCGAAACTGACCATAAACTCGACGACGTTGATGCCAAAGTGCTCGTCCTGCATGGTGTTGAGGCCGATCGACGCCTGGCCCAGCTTGGACACAATGGTGGGGTACGGCTCGTTGACGAGGAAGGTGGTGTTGTCCTGATGGGTTAGCTACAGCCAAGATGTTGGCAACCCACCTCGACGTTGAGCTCCACGGCCAGCTTTCTCAACTCGTCCAGACGCGCCTCGTCGCTTGGTCCACGCGACCCGCCCATGAGCGTGAGCTGCACACGGGCCGGACCAGTCTTGTACTCGGGGTGCGCCTTGAACAGGATGGCGAGCGCGTGAATCTGCTTTGCGTGGTCCTTTTCAGGGCGGAACTGGGCGAGACTGACGAGCTCGCGCGCGCGGTGCTCGAGGTTGCCAAGCTTGGTGAGCTCGGTCGTGTCGCAGGGCGGGTAGACGACCTCGCACCGCGCCCGGTCGTCGGGAGTCGACTCGCCGCGCTTCTCGTTTACCCGCTGCGTCTCGTCGTCCATGAGCAGGAGCGACGCGAGAGTCGACGACCGGCCCTTGGTGAGCAACGACTGGATGTGCGCCTGCGTCCAGCTCGAGTTGGTCATGATGTGCTCGGAGAACAGGAGGGCGGTGGCGTAGACCGTGGTGAAGATCCGGTAGTACACGAGCTTGGCCCAGGTCTTGGATGCCGAGTTGGCAACACCGCCATTCTCGACGCCCGCGCTGCGCTCGCGCACGCGCTTGACCATGTCGGCAGAGACGGTCGGGTAGTGCGTGTACGAGCCGATGGCGGTCTCACTGCCGGTCACGAGGCGGACAAAGGGGAGGACAAAGGCGTAGCCCATAGAGTCTGTTGTCAGCTGCGACGCTGCGTTTATGGCAGCTCACCAATGAAAATGTCTCCCCAGATGCCATCCTTGCCGCACAGGCCCTGCCATGCGAGGACAAGGCTGCCAAAGGACTGGCCAAGGAGCGTGAAGCGGCGCCAGTAACCGTCCGAGATGAGGTGGCGGGACGGGAGGGGAACAAACTCGAGCGTCTTGGGCGAGAGCTCGATCGAGAAGCGGTCCTGGGAGTTAGCTCGTGGAAGGAGAGAGTCAACTCACCATGACCTTGCCCAGAATCTCTTCCTTGGAGGCGGTCGGGTAGTCGCCAGAGTAGACCAGGACCACGACGTCGGGGTCTTCGCGCTGGAGCCACTGAATGGCAGTCCAGAGAACGCGCTCACCGCCCCCACCAGCGTTGCTTCTCGTTAGCTTTTCACTTTGTGTATCTAAGCTCACCAGTACGGGTGCCAGAACCCGACAATGATACGGCGACGGGCCATGAACGGCGCCTCCTTGGCGGTACCGGCAATGACTGTCGACTCCTTGATCCCCAGACGCCCGAGGAAGGCCTCGCGGCGCTTCCTGTTACGCTTACGAACATGGGTGAACGCAAACGCCACACCCGCCACGCCGAGGAGGCCAACGATGGGCACGAGGCTTCCGATGAGGAGCCAGTTGACGCCGAGGTAGCGCGCGAGACCGACGGCAAACGCTGCGGCCACCAGGGAGCCCTTGAGGATCACTTCGCCCGTCGAGCCGTTGATGAGCATAAAGACTGCGGCGGTGACGGCCACCCAGATGACGTCGAGCGAGACGCTGCCCTGTGCCGGGTGCGAGATGATGGTGGTGTACAGGTGCTGGAAGAGCGAGGCGTTGCGCGGGATGGAGCTGAGCACCTGAGACGTGGTTGAGACGTGCACGAACACGCTCGCAACAGCGAGGATGACAAAGAGGGCGCGGAACTTCATGCCCGCAAACGCGTTGCCTTCAACTGCCACGCCTGAAGACGACGACGGCGCGGTAGTGGCCGCTCCAAACGCCTTGACGGGCACGAAGAAGAGCGGGACGATGACGGCGCCGTGGATGAGGCCCAGGACGGGCATGAATGTCGGCGTGTGCGCGTACGACGGAAGAGCGTAGATGGCGTACATGGCCGCGAGGAGGAGGGTCCACAGCAAAAAGGGGGCCTTGGGCTGTACGGGCCTGGGCTCGTGCATGTACACTGCAGTGAGGAAGAGGGCGATGGCGACCGAGATGGCGACCAGCTGGCCCAGGAGCATGTACGCCCACGGGTAGCGGATACCGTGTCGAATGGCTGTGGGAGTCAGCAGTTGTCAATGGCTCCAACGACATCAACTGCCAGGCTCTACTCACAGCCATACCAGATACCGGCGGCGAAGAAGACGGCCGACGTGCAGATCCAGCTGCTCCACCACCAGTTGCCCGTGCCGACACAGACTGCGCGCCACGCCTGCTCAAACAAGGACGTGTTCTTGAGCCACGCGCCCATGAGCGCACCGGGGTGTGTTTGGCGGTAGGCCATGTACGACCACTGGAGGGTGTGTCAGTGGGACATTGTTGTGAGCGGCAACGCGGTGATCGACGCGGCGAACGAGCAGACACCGCCTGCAGGGGTAACGCTCACCTTCATAAACTGGAACATGACTGCACCGTTCAGCACTGCTCCATCACTAACCTAAACACTTACAGTACCATGTACAGAGGAGGGCACCAAAGGCCACACGAAGGAAGACAAACGGCCTTCCCTGCACGACCGCATCGGCTGGCTTCTGGGCGGCAATGCTGCTCGTCACCAGCACAAAGCACGCGGCGATGAGGGCAAAGTAGCCCCCAAACACGAGGTAGGCGAAGAATACGCCCGGGTCCATGGTGTCGGTTTGTCAAAGCTCGGCCGGGAGGCCAAGTGAGGTGGAGACGATGAAGGTGAAGCTGGGGGGGTTGTTGAATCGCTTGAATCGCTATCTTTTGCTGGTCATGGCCAGACTGCTGAGGTGGAGGTACGCGCGTACGCGTGTACCCGGCACGTGGGATTTGATTCCGCCGGCCGCCCAAGTGTTCATTTCTTTGCTCCGCCAGTCTCTGATCTCTGACAGCTCTGACGTCGTGTGGGACTTCATATGGGTGGGAGTGACAGACGGCCCACAACAACGCTTAGCCTTTCCGACTCGGAACTCGCTGTAGATCTCCCCGTATGCACGACGTCTGTTACTCCTCGTCCTCGCGCTCCGTCGGTGGTGCCAGCAGGCAGGTGCTCGTTCGTCACCTGCACAAAGGCCAAGGCCAGGCACACCGCACTTCGACGCCGCTCCCAACGCCGCTTGGCCGCTTGGGACTCCCCGAGCAGCTCCGTCTGCCGTCCGCCATCCTCCATCGTCAACTCCAACAGGCTCATCTCCGCCTCCTAACCCCTTCCCCAGTACAACACTGCTGTAGGCAGTGCGAAGGTGCGCCGTTGGCGTCGGCGATCCAAATCGACGTCCGTGTGGACGGCACGTTCGTTCCTAGTTCTACCGTAGTTGGGTGGGTGGGTCCCAGCCCACTCGCGTTCAACGGAATTGTCAGTTCACAGACCACAGAACCACCACGGAACCACAGCTCGTCCACTGCGCGCGTTGAGGTCAAAAGTATATTGTGTTGGTTTCCATGCAGCCACGACGTGACATTTCCATCTAGACTCCCTTTAAATTCCTTTTCTTAAAGGTTGTAGAGCTGCTCCTTGGTCTGGATGCCTGTAGACATGTGTTAGCCGAGATGTCTTGTGGCATTCCGCCGAGCGGGGGTTGGCCGTTGACACCGTCTGGGCACAGAGACTCTCTCTTCTCGCATGCGCTGCGACAGGTATCTCAACCCGGCATGCCCTTGTGTGCGACTCACCAAGCTCCTCAATGACGGGCTTGAGCTCAGTGAGGTAAGCCTCATACTGGCCCTTGTTCTCGACCTTCTCCTTGACACCCTCAAGGATGCGGACGGCGGTGGCGTAGTCGTTGACCTTGCGGGATGCGCGGAGGGCAGCCTCGACGACGTCGGTCGAGGGGACGAGGTCGTAGGCGAAGCAGTTGTTGAGGCCGCGCTGGAGCTCGAAGAGGTCACCGACCTGCGAGAAGAAGGCCTGGTAGCGCTCGTTGAACTGCTCGTACGACTCCTCGGCCTGGTGCGACGAGTAGCGGGCGGCTGGGGGTTAGCGGAGAGCACAAGAATGGCGGGAGGGGAAGGGGGAGGAGGTGCGGCAGAGGCAGCGGCGGGCCATGGGCCGTGTGGTATCGTATATGTGGTCTTGGGGTCGGAGAGCCAAGGTTGTGTTGGCAGACCACAAGTTCGGGACTACACGGCTGCTGGCCCGCCCGCTCGCACGGCGAGCTCACCAGTGAACGCGGCGGGGCGGACGGCGGCGGCGAGCGCGGGGCGGGCGGTGGCGCGGAGGGCGACGCGGGCGAGGGAGAGGACCATTTTGGGGGAGTGGAGATGGATGGGGGGGTTGGGGGGGATGAGTGGTGAGTAGAGGTGACGGAGAAGACGAGGACGACTCGCTGGTAGCGCGGGTCCATCCGGGAGGCAGAGCGCTCACCCACGAGCCAGATTGAGCGACCTGCGATTCGCTGCACAACTCGAGCACAAAAGCGAAAAAATGCATCCGGAAAATACCAAGTCTAATGGACATTACAAAAGAGCCACGTGGTGGTTGTAATAGGATTTAGAAGTGATTACCTTTTTTTTCCCCTCAAAAGGGTTGGCGCCGAGTGGCTGTGGGCCGTTGGCTGGTGGCTGCTCGAACTGTTGCTCTCATGTTCATTGTGCCGGTTAGCCCAACAGCATCGAGCAAACGCGATTCCAGAACCATACGTCACATTCTCGACGAGAGCGGCCCTCGCTCGCTCCAAGGATAACAAGCACACATGCACATTGCACAATGTACACCAACACCATGGCCTCAGGACCTGCCATGACATAGGGCCACCCCCATTGCTCCGGCGGCTGTCACTGACGCTGGTGTGGATGTGGAGGAACAATAGGTTTCAACACAAAATGGCCGCCACGCACAAAGGCACCCGCAAAACACCACACCCAGCCAACAGTCCGGGCGGCAGGTCAGCCACGCCTCGCAGCAGTGCCGTTTGCCATTGCCGGCCTTGCCGTTGGCCGTTGATCTTGGCCTTTTGGACAGCGACGTGCGCCATAAACCAGCGAGCGATCCAGCGAGCGAGGGCACACGGGCATTCAAGAGCCCGAATGTCCTGTGGCCACAGCTGCCACGAGCCAGGAGTACAGGAGTACAGGCGTGCAGCAGTGTGCGCAGCGATAACAGGTATGTGAGGGGCCATAGGTTGACTTGGTACAGCCCCCCGAGGAGGGAATGAGTGCCCCCGGCGCGGGTGGGACCGGATCGACAATGGGCATTGCATGTCAGCAAGGGGCGAAAGGTGAAGGGTGAAGTAGGGGGTGGAGAAGGGTGGAGGGTGCGACGGACAGAGCTTAGGAGCTTAAGAGTGACGGGGGTGGCGAACCGCAGGGTCGACACGAGGGTACGAGGGTCGATGGCTCGGAGCTCGGAGGCACTTGGCACTGGGTGCTGGAACTGGAACTGAAACTGAAACTGGCGGCGTGAGGCAGAGCCACAAGGCTCACAAGGCCAAACTTGGATGAGCTGGATGAGATTGCCGTGTATCGTTGTACTGGTTGGTAACCGTGGCCTGTGCACCTGCCGAATGAGAACCCTGCAAAAGACTACGATGGGCCAGAGCGGAATGTGTATTTGAGGCGGCGATACGTTTGGGGCTAGCGTGTCCGACCGACATTGCACAACGGGGCAGACGCACGCGACGATGGCGGACAACCGCACGCACACGCACACGCACACGCACACGAACACCGCCAATGGGAGTTCCAGTTTCGTCTACAATGATGCCATGATATCTTGACGCATGCCATGTTACTCTCGGCGAGAATGCCGACGTGTGTTTGGTCTCTGCCCCACCATTCCAAAACTGCTATCGCGAGCGTGGGCCATTTTGGCGGGGGACCTGGATTGGCGGGTCGGCAATTCGCCACGATATACGATCGAGCACGATCGCCACACTCTACTCTGGGCGCGCGCTTTCCCAAGAGCCCAACACGCTAGCGACCGTGGTATGCCAGACTCAGGATACCAACGATGGTAGCCGAACAAGCAAGAGATCAGACAATCGGCGCACGCTCTGCATGCTTCCGCACGTCCAGCACACCCCCAAACCGCCCCCACAGGCCCACAGCCCAACAGCCCAAAACAGGCCACAAGTAGTTGCCAGTCGGTGTTTATCTCTACATGAGGCAAGCCAGCGTACCAGCGTGCGTACGCTTCCATGCGAATGTGCGGGACCCTTACAGCCTTTTACGGCCACGGTCTTTGGGGCCTTGCGGAACGGCCACGCTTTCGCCGACAGCCGACAGGACCCCGGTTGCTCCATTCGGCATGGAAGCCTCGGGAACGTCGACGCCGCGCCACCCTCGATTGGCGAGATGGAGGCCCTCTTGGATTCTAGATCGTTTTTTTTTTGGGTGGGTGGGGTGTGCGTGGGTGCTGTTTTCGGTATTTTGAATAGCTCGTTGTGAGGGGTGTATGTAGTGGTGCGTGGGTGGCTGTTGGTGCCGAGGGTCGCACTGCTGCGCTGCCACGGCGAGATGGCCTGCAGCTCCCGTCCGTCCACACTCACACACAAAGTGATAAGAGGTAGGAGTGTCCGCGGCTGAACGATCCCCAGACCTGTGTCCGTAGCCTTGTTGCCGGCCTGTTGCCTTGTTGTCACCCACAGCCATCACGCGCACTGTGGACGCGTGTCCAGTGCCGTGATCCAGACTCGCACAAGCAACGCCGATTTCAAAGGACCAACATACACGCCCACACCCACGGCCACGCCCAGCGCCGGTGTAAGCGCCACGAGCCACTGGCCGTGCCGCGCGCGTGCTTGAGTGAGGTGGTGTGTGAGGGTGCAGATCAGCAGGTACAACGGCGATGGCATACACATGGACATGGGCATATGACGATGACGATGGCGATGGCGATGGCGATGGACATGGATGGGCATTTCAGACAAATGCGTGCATTCACGCGGCGATTGTCGTTTCGCACAGGACCGTGTTGCCTCCCATCCATTGACATCTTCTTTTCCTTGGCCCTCGCCACCGCCAAGGCTTTTTTGGTGCGTTTGCGTGGTGGTGGTGGTGGTGGTGGGCAAGCGGCAGTGAGCAATACCCTGCCTGCGATAGAGGCGCCTCTTGGCGCGCCGCCCGGTGCGTTCGGATCAGTCACTCGGTCACTCGGTCACGCGGCACGCGGCACCCACCGAGGTGGCGAGGGCTCTAGAGGTGCGTCAGTACAGAGCCCGTCCTGCTTGCGTTGCTGCTGGTGGTCATATCGTTTGCCGGATCAGTGGAAGGAAGATTGTCTGTGCGAGAGAAAGTTGTGAATGCTGGCAGCAATGGCGTGGACACCATGCTCGCCTGTCCGTCCACGCCGATTCGTTCGAAGAGTAGCCGCCAGGCTCACCGCCCGACGATGCATAGAGTATGCTGTAAGTTTGCCCAGGTCCCAGAAGTCTAGATTCACACAAGTCTCGCGCGCAGATAAGCCGAAAGAGGAGAGAGAGAGAGAGAGAGAGAGAGAGAGAGAGAGAGAGAGAGAGAGAGAGAGAGAGAGAAGAGAGAGGGAAGGAGAGAGTGTCGTGAGGAGTGCGGGTATCGCAGTCGTTTTGGTAGTAGTCGTTGTCGACAGCCAGTAGTTGTTGGTTGACTCATAGTGTGTGCACGCCATCCCGTATGCGCGCGCCGGCAGAGTTCGGCCGACATAAAAAAGAGGGGGGAGGAGGAGGAGGAGGAGGTTGGTAGGTCGGTTGCGAGAGTGTGTTTACAACACGACACACTTCTTGTGCTTCTTCTGCTTGGGTGAGGGCGCGCCAGACGCTGTCGGTGCGGCCTCGGGACCACGCTTGGCAATCTTGATCTGGCGGACGAGCGCCTTGAATGCCGGCTCGACGTTCTGGTTAAGCCTGGCCGAGGTCTCGAAGAACTCGCATCCGAGCTGCTGGGCGAGCGCGCGTCCTTCCTCTGTAGACACCTCGCGGTCGTTGAACTGGTCGCGCTTGTTGCCGACAATCACAATGGGTGTGCGTGCACGAACCGCACTAGGCGGGGCACGGGCGGCTGGTGAACGGCCGTAGGGGTCGGAAGCTGCGTGCGTCGCCTCCTCCTTGACCAGCATGACACGTTCGACAATCTTCTCCACGCGGTCGAACGTTGACCGGGATGCAATCGAGTAGACGACAATGAAGCCCTCACCATCGCTGCGATGCTGTCAGCGGACTGGTCTCCCACTGGAGAGAGGGAGGGAGGGAAAACGCGTATCAACTTACCGGATCCACTGATCCCGGAGAGCCGTGTACTCCTCTGCAGATAGGTGTCAGCATTGACGGCAGTAGCGCGGGCGCCCAAGTGCTGACGCATGAGGTGCAGTGCACACCATGACACGACGCCACCCGCACCGCGCGGTGCGGCAAAGCAACTGTTACGTACCTTGTCCGGCCGTGTCGAGGACCTCGAGCAAGCAGGGCTGTTCGTCGACCACCCACTGCTTGCGATAACAGTCCTCGATGGTAGGGTCGTAGGTCTCGACAAACGAGGACATGGTGAACTACACGCGAGGTCAGCACAGGCCACCGGTGATCAATGGTTGCCGGGGGTGGTGGTGATGGTGAACTTGGTTCTAGGAGACGCACCTGGACTGTGAGTGCTGTCTTACCAACACCACCGTCGCCGAGGACGGTGATCTTGAAGACCATGCGCGATGCCGACTGGAGTCTGTCAGCGGGATGCTCTGCGGGCACGAGAGAGGGAGGGGGGGGGGGACCCACCATGTTGAGATGCGCGGGGGCAGGCGGCGGGAGCAGGGGGGTGTTGGATGGGGGTTGGTGCGTTGGGTGGAAGGCGGCGACGATGTGCCGAGTGGCGTCCCAGTGGGAGGGGTGAGGGGGGGAGGTGGTTGGTGTGAGGGAGGATGGGTGAGTGATGGGTGGTGGGTGAGCCGGGTGTGAGGCGGAGAGAGGGGGGGGAGGGTGATGGGGGACGGGGGAGGGGAGGGTGTGGATGTCGGGAGGGATGCCCGCTGGGTGGTGGTGGTTGTGGTGGATGTGGTGGTGTGGATGTGGTGTCGCGGTGGACCGAGTGAATGGGGGGGATATGCAGGACGTGTGTGTGATGGTTTGGATGGCAAAGAACGGGGATTAATGCGCGCACAGTGATCGCAATGACGGGGGGTGTGACGGTGGTGGTGGCCGCGGGTGGGTTCCCTTGCTATTACACTCACACACACACTGCTCCCGCCTTAACAGTCCAGTGTCGCCAGGCCTTCTCTCTGCATTCCCTTTTCCCCTTCTGCTTCTGCCTGCATTGCCATATGCACACACACATACATGCATGCATATGCCTCCATCCACACATTTCCATCCTGTGTGTCCACGCACGCACGCGCGTGCGCACTGCCAGCGTGTGCGCTTTGATCGCTCGCTCGCTCTCTTTCGTTCCCGTGTGCCAGAGCCCCCACCCCCGTTGCCGCCCTTTTGGGTGAAAAAAAGCCCCTTCTCCCCAACCTGTCAGGGGCCACACCTCCATCCCATATGCCATCCCATCCACGCACACCCACCTCACCGCCGCCGCCGGCTCCCCACCTTTGCCGTCGCTAACATCCTGTACCCCCTCTCCCCTCGCTCTCCCTCGTCTCCTTACGGCAAGTCTTCATCCCTCTCACACAGGCAATCGCGTCGGCCGTCGTCAGGCAACAAAAGAGAGCACAAAAATCCGCGTCGTCCTGGCCTTCCTGTGGCTCGCCTCCTTATGCACACATGCACACAGTGCCCAGCAACTTACATCCCACTGCAAGCAGCAGCAGCAGCAGTGGTGGTCCACACGGAAGCGTGCGTCACCCCCCCTTCTTCTGTTGTTGCCCAAACAAGAAGAAGGAAGCTTTTGCCCAGCACGCCAGAACTCGCGCTCTCGGCGTCTCTCTCTCGCTCTCGCTCTCGCGCTCTTCTTACTCCCTCGAGTGTCGGCGTCAAAAAAACGCCCACAGCCGGCTGTTCCGCATCGTTACGGGGTTCTTCCCCCACGGGGGGTGAGAGAATGGGGGAGACGCGGCGACCACATACCACATGCAACACCACAACGTGCCAGTCCCTCCAGAGCGCCCGTGCCACATGCTTTGCATTCCTGCTGCGGTACGGCATGTACAAATCAGGTCGCGCCCAGCGACTAGGCGCTACTGGCGGTCTGTGCCACCAGAGCAAAAGTGTTAGAAGTTAGGGGGTGGGGGGAATGAAGGGGACACTGAGAGAGAGGGAAGAGCGGTATGGTGAGGCAGTTCCATCAGGTCGTCGATTCTTGGTGTCCGTGCTGTCCTGTTGTCGGGTAAAAGTCGGCCGTCGCACCCACCGCGTGCTGGCCGCTGCTGGCAAACTCGAACTGCGCACTTGCCGAGTTACATACCACACTTGCAGGATAACGACCGCTGCCGCGCGTGCGTGGGAGGGTCTTGGCCAAGATAACACCGGCCAAAACATGCCGTGGGGTCTCTGTTCAGGTCGCCGCGCTCCTTCCTAAGTGTGTAGTCTGTCTTTGGGCAGTGTGCCTTGCACTCGCAATCGCTGGCCGCTGATCGGATCGCAAACTATGGAGACATCAAACGCGAAAGAGGACCCGGACGGTGGTGGGGGGGGGGTCAGTCACCTCTCGCCACCTCTCGCACCCGCCCGACGCGGATGGGCCGGCGCGCAGGCACAGGCAAAGACTCAACACCGCGTTCCGACACAGCGGCACCCCGGGCACCTGGCCCACCTGCAGCCACCTGGCCACCTCGGAACACGGTGTGTCTCTGTGCCGCAAGATGCGCCATGCGCGCGCGCTCAGGTGAGCATAAAAAAAAATACAATCGAGAAGAACCCTGGCCCCCGCGTTTTCCATCACGCCGACCTCTGGGCCTCTAGCTCTAGGCCTCTAGACGCCGCCGCCGCCCGTGACGTTGATCTGGGTGTGGCATGTGGATGTGGCCGCATGTTGCCGTGCACGACTGGGGTCTGGGCCAAGCTCAGCACGGCAGTGGCAGCGGCAGTCTTTGTTCCTGCCGTTTCAGACAGCCAGCGAGCCATGGCCAGCCAACTGTCCCACAAATGCCAACATGCCAACAAAAGGACACACACGCTCATGGAGACTCCTCTGACGTTAAACTCCCGAACACACGTTCCCCACCTCTCTCCACTTGCGAGTCGAGTGCATAACCCGGGGGAGAGGGGGTCGTCGTGCGTGCCTGAGTCTTGGGGTGTGTGGCCGAGGCTTACGTGAACACGCACGCTTTGTCTGATCGTCTGACGAACACCCACAAGTCGTGCATCGGCACACAGCAGAGCGGTGAGCGGCGAGCGGCGAGCGGCGAGCGGGGGGCACGGTTGGTCGGGCACCAAGGGCCCGTGAGGCGCAGCCACCAACTGGTGGCCGCTGGCCATCAAGCCAGCCGGCCAGCCAGCCGTGCCGACGGGGGCCGCCGGCCCGGTGTAACTGGGAACTTCAACAACCGGCAAAGCAAGAGGTCAAAAGAGTCGCGCGAGTGTAAGACGTGTAGGATACATTGGGTGGGGTAATTACCGGGTCTAAAAGTTGGGCACTACTCACAGCGGGATACCGCTGTGAGCCATGTCAACCTAATTAGAGCCTAGTTCTTTGGCCCCGATCACCCGGACAGGTATACCGTTCGGGATCTCTTCTCTGCGAGAACGCAGTGGAGCAAGAAGCAGAAAGAGCATCACTACTCCTGTTCACTGGCCAGTGGATATCTGGTCTGCGGCACGGGTGCCACGAAGTGGTGCCAAGAGCGTTACATAATGCCCACCGGATCGTAGTCGGAAAATTTAGTCACGTGACAATTGACCGTCTCAGAACCGTGTTGACGGAATCAAACTTCCATGACCGTTGCCTCCACCGTTTTATTATTCCCGCCCCCCGTTTATAATTTCGCGTCCCCACGGGGTAAAGAATTCTTTTGGGCCACACCCGGGAACTGTTGACGTATTTGGCTGTGGGTCGTTCCTCTCACACATCCCAAACAACCACCATGGACCACGACTCGGACACGGAGATCGAGCTCGCCATCGACCCGGCGCACGAGATTGCGCAGGCGCAGGTCGCTGCCGCCGCCGCCGCCGCTCCTCCCCCGGCCACTACACCGCTCTCGGCCGCCGCCGCCGCGTCGGCCGCCATGCCGCCACCACCCACCCCGACCGCAACCTCCACTTTTGCGGCGCCGCCCGTCCCCGAGGTGGTGTCTGACCTGGCGCTCATCCAGCAGATGGTCGACGCCGGCGAGGTCGTGGGCGCGCTCCCGCCGCTGGCCATGACTGCTGCTGAGAAGCGGCGCGAGGTCGAGGCGAGCCTCGCGGCCAAGAAGCAGGCGCGCGCGATGGACGTGGACGCCGCCGACTCGGACTCCAGCTCGGAGTTTGAGTCGTCCTCCGACGACGACGACAGCGACGACGGAGACCGCGTCCCCGATAAACCCATGACGGCGGAGGAGCACGCCGAGATGAAGTCGGAGCTGGACCGGTTCATGGGCACGGCGGCCGCCGGCGCCGGAAGCGACGACGACAGCGACTCGGACTCTGGATCCGACCTCGACGACCTGTTTGCGCGCACGGGCATGGAGTTTATGGACGACAGCGAGGACGAGGGCGAAGGCGAGGGAGGTGCGGGCGGCGGCGTGATCATGAGTGTGCACGAGCAGCCCCTGCCGCCCGTCGCGCAGCCGCCTGTCAATGCGCTCCCCGAGGACGTGCAGCTCATCATTGCCGGCGACGTCGTGAGCTGGATGAAGGAGAAGGCCGTGGAGACGTGGCTGGCCAAGAAGGCCGAGAAGGACAAGGAGGCCACGAGCGAGGCCGCCGCCACGCCCGACGGCGAGGTCGCCACTCCTGCCGCGCCAACCACTACGATCCCCAAGTTTTCATCGGCGGGCACCATTGTCATCCGCGCGATGCAGGCTCCCGGCGAGGGCTGGCTCGAGGAGGGCTCGGTCCTCTGCCTGTCTGACCGGCGTATCCTCGGCACCGTGTGCGAGACGTTTGGCCCGCTCACCTCGCCCTTTTACTCGCTCCGTCTCCCTCCCCCGCCATACCCGTACCCTTCCGCCAGCGACCTCGCCACCGGCACCAAGATCTACTACCCGGCTGCCGCCACGTACCGCAAGTTTGTGGACATGCATGCCGTGCGGGACCCGCGGTTCGCGTCCGACGCCTCGAACGTGTTTGACGAAGAGGTCGGCGACGACGAGGTCGAGTGGAGCGACGACGAGGCCGAGGCCGCGTCCAAGCGCAAGCGCAAGCAGAAGAAGCGTGGTGGCAGCCGCGCACCGTCCCTGGCGCCGTCCTCGGGCCACCCGGGGGCCGCGCACCCGCTCCCTGCCCGCCCGCACTTTGACTATGCTGGCGACGACGACATGGCCTCGCTGCACGGCGGCGACGACGACGACAGGTGGGACGGTATGAGCGACGCCGGGAGCACAATGTCCACGGCGTCGCACCGCGCGCTGGTCAGCTACGACGACATGTCCGGGCCCGGAACGGGCGCCGGCGCCGGCGCAGGCGGCGGTGCAGGCGGTGACCGCCGCATCGCAGGCCGCGGAGGACGGGGCGGCGCTGCTCGGGATAACGCCCGCGGCGGCGGCCGCGGTCGCGGACAAGGACGCACGCCCGGTCCTGGGCGTAACGCAAACGCAAACTCGAACGCAAACTCGCCACACCCGCTCCCGCAGCGCCCGGGCGCGGCGTGGGCCGGCAACCAGGCCAGTGCCGCGGGCGTGCACGCGCAGGGCAACGAGTACCAGGCATACGAGCCGGCCGGGTACAGCCCGCAGCAGCCGCAGCTGGGCATGAACGCGAACATGGGCGGCATGAACATGGGCAACATGGGCAACATGAACATGGGCATGGGCATGGGCATGCCGCTCATGATGGGCATGCCGATGGGGATGCCCATGGGCATGGGCTATGGCTTCCAGCAACAGCAACAGCACCAGCACCAGCAACCGCCACAGCAGCACCAGCAGCAGCAAGACCAGGGCAACGCGCCGGCGATCAACCCCCGCTTCGCCGCCGCGGCGCAGTACCAGATGATGCAGCAGATGCAGCAGGCCCAGGCGGGCGGATACTGGAACCAGAACCAGAACCAGAACCAGGGTGGTCCCGGTGGTCCCGGTGGTGCTGGTGGCCAGGAGTATAGCGAGTAGCGAGTAGGAGTAGTATAGAGAGCCCGGCGGGCCGATGTATTCATATGTTCTTTTTCCTGTTCTTTTTTTCTTTTGTTTTCTTCACGTGTCATTTTTATTTTTTTCTAGTCCCCGCAACGACTCTCAAGCACTCTCCCTATAAGCCACACCGTGGCAGGGGGCCTGGCTAGTTCTGAGAGGTGAATATAACGCAGAGCGCACCTCGACTGGATTGACAGCGTCTTGACATTCACCGTCGTTTGGGAATATAAATGTACAAATGATGCCCGTTCCTTTACTGGCCCATTTTCCCCGTCGCCTCGTTCCGTCATGCAGCCCAAGGCCACCAGCTCTCCCGCCCGTCATGGTCTGATACTTTCACTGTCGCGGGACAAATGCCAGCGTCCTGGACTGACGCAATGTACAAGCTTGGTCAGTCGCCCGCGCCTCGTGCTCGAGAGCGCACACATCCGCATCCCCGATTCCTTACCTCCTTGCCTCCTTTCCTCCCTCCCCGCCCACGTCGCACAACCTCCATGCAACCCCAGTTCTGCGAAAATTCCTAATGCATATAAAGAACACCTTGGCGCATTTGTGACGCCTTTTGATACAGACCGGTTTTGTGCGCGCGCGGGGGAGCGTAGGGGTCGGGTGGGGGGGGGGTATGGGTGTGGGTGTGGGACAATAAAATAAAACCGATGCGTTTCTCGGTGTCACAAATTCTCGATTCTCTTCCTCTCTCTCTCTGTCTTTCGTATTCTCTGCTTTGCTTTGCTTTGCTTGGCGGGCTTGCGATGTCGCGTATTTCTCGCTCTTCTTGAGACAGTCCTTGGCAATAGGGGTGGGTGTAGGTGCTATGTGGGTGGATACAAGTGGTGGTGGTGGTGGAAGTGTGTGTGATGTGGCGTGATGAAGTGGTGAAGTGAAGTGAAAGCAGGGAGCAGTTCTTGCAGTGTGCACGTATATTTCGTATTCTCGAGCGAGTCTATAGGGGGGCCGCTCCCGCGCCTGGCGGGAGGGGTTGGGGGGTGGATTATGGCGGAGGATGGGTTCACGCGGTGGTGAGGGGCACGCCGCTTGTGCCAGTGTTGGCGTCGCACGGCAGCGGGAAGGCGTTGGACGCCGGGGAGCGGGTGGGCGGGGACGCGCGCGGGGTGGCTCCCGAGCCCGTCGAGCTGGCCGACTGGCCCAGGGGGTAGCCGCCGTCTGCGCCATCGTGCGCGAGCTGCGTCGGCGTAGCGGTGGCGTGGGCACCAAAGTAGCCGTAGTAAGGCGACGAGTAGCCCGAGTTGGAGATGTAGTTGGGGCGGGTGTAGGCACTCACCCCCTCGAGCGGAGTGGTTACCGAGGGGGGAGACTTGAAGAAGCAAAACTTGTCCAAAAACTCCTGGTACGTGGCTGCGTTGAGGGTGCGGCCTCGGGCCTCGTCGAGGCTGTCGTTCTCGGCAGGCGAGCCCGAGATCAAGGTGTTGACGGGGGACGAGTCGCCGGTGGACATGGACATGGAGGGAGACATGGGACCGGGGAGGACGGCGCTCGGGGTGGGAGGGGACGAGAGGTTGCTGCTTGGCGGTGTCATGAGTCCGTTGCTGGCGTCTTGGTTGATGAGCGCACGAAGGTCGCCCGTGCTGCGGTTAAGCGTCACAGGCCTGTCGGTCTCGTCCTCACTGCCACTCGAGCTCGACGTGTTGGTGATCGAGACCGGGCTGTCCACCATCGACGCCATGTCGGCCTTTTCGGGCGCACGCGTCTCGGGGGAACGGGCACGCGCGGCACGCGGCGTCGAGTCGCCGCCGACAGACTCGTCATTGTCACTGGCCGACTGCTTGTCGTTTTGCTGCTGCCACGCCTCGCCCGACTTGCCAGCCCACGAGTGGCTGCGCTCGTGCGGCGACCATGTTGTCGCGGGGTGGCCGTGGATGAGGTCCATGGCCGGCGCCGCGACCGGCACGGCGCCGGAACCGGAACCGGAACCGGAACCGCCGGGTGTAGCGGTAGCGCGGACTGGAGCCAAGGATAGAACAAGCGGAGGCAGCTGGGGAAGGTGCATGCGCTTCGGCGGCGACTGCGGCGGCGACGGCGCGCAATACTTCTTCAGGCGGAGATGCGTGTGTACGTCCGGTGGTGCTGGGGGCTTGAACGACACGGGTGGCGGAGGGCTGAGCTGCGGAGAGTCTGAGCGCTCGACCACCTTGTCGGCGGCGGTGCGTGGGAAGATCCAGTTGCGCGGACTCTTGGCGTGGCTCGGCGATGTGCGAGGGAGGAGGCGCAAGTGTGGGTGGGGGTGCTCTGGGAGGGGCGAGTCGCAGCGCGGCGACTGAAACAGCGACGGGCCGTGAGCGGGTACCGGCGCTGCCACTGGTGGGCGAACGACGATGGCGCGCTTGAAGCTGACGCTGTAGTTTTTGCCCTCGTTCGAGTCCCACCACTCGTGGCCGTCGACGGAAAACCGCACACAGAGGTGCAGGGAACGCTCCTCAATCTTGCGCTTGTAGTCCTCGAGGCGGACCGAAAAGCTGAATCGATCCCATCCCTCGTCACCGGTGGTGCCTGCCGGAATGTGGCACACATGCTGCGCCGACACTTCTGACACAGTCCTGTTTTCACGTGGTCAGCAACACTGTCTCCCTTGTTCAACAAATCTGTCCCATGACGTCGGTGAGTCACTCACTGCCAGCCATCGAGCGTAAACCGCACGGCAACCCATTTGTCAAAGGCCATGTTGCGGGCAAGCACGGTGCCGCGCATCATGAGTGGGGTGCCGTTTTGCATCTCGAGACGCTCCAGGACGACATACTCGTTCTTGAGCAGGCCCTCGGTGCCAGGCCCAAAGTCGAGGCGGACACGAGGGACGGTGGTGTGGGTTTCGATCTGAATCTGTGGGTTCTTGTCGTCGCCACCGGAACGCGAAGCTGCACCGCTGCGGCGGGTGCGGAAGTGGACATAGTCGGACAGATCCGTATCGCTCTGATCTTCGCCGTCGGCCAGTCCGTCGCCGTTCTCGGCCGCCTTGGAGACGGCGGTGACCTTTTGGCCGCGGAGGAAGACGACGACCGACTCGAGGCCCAAGTCGTCAAAACGCACACTCTTGGTGCGCTCGCGCAAGTTGTGTGACGACCGTGTGTGGGCGGGGCTTGAATCCGACGAGGCCTCCCCGCGCCCCAAGTCGGGCGTCGACATGGAACGCTGCTTGAGGGACGACTTGACGACCTCCCCAGACTTTTTGCGCACCATCTGGTGGTGGGGTCGCGGGGAGGCGGGAGCCGTGTCGTTGGACGAAGCCGAAATGTTGGACGAGTTGGACAGCGCCCGCTGGCGCGTCTGGCGTTGCCGCTGCAAGAGGGAGATCTTGGGGGGCGAGTGGCCAGAGTGTGATGCCGCCGTCGTCAATGGGAGTGGGATGTGGTTGTCCTCGGGTGTGGTGAGGATGGCACTCGAGTCCGAGGAGCTGTTGGCACCAGCCGAACGAGGCGACTGGTGGTGGTGGTGGTGGTGAGGCAGCTTGAGGCCCAGGGCTCCGACGGGTTGCGACGGCTGCGGGGATGGGCGCCGCAAGCTTTCCACTGCACGCATCGCTGCAAGGGCACCAGTCACGACTGGTCCCACATGCCGGGGAGTGAATGTAATGGGGTTCTTGCGAGGGCTGCTGCTGGTTGACGCAGAGCGTCGGGGAATGCCAGGCATGGGACCTGTCGACGAGGTAATGAACGGGCTGCCGTCGTGAGTGGCGCCCGCGGGGCCCATGACCAAGGGCCGTGGCGACTTGAGAGTGTCGCTAGGACTGGGTGATGTTGGTTCGGCGTACGGCATTGTGTTGGGAGGGGGTGCCGATCAATCTGGCTTTGGGTCAGTGCTCTTTTTCAGCAGACGGTAGCGAGTGAGCGAGAGGGAGAGAGAGAGAGGAGCGAAGTGGTGTGGGATAGTTTAGAAGGCTGTGTGAGGAGAGCGAGGCCCCGTGGGACCAGGCTGTGGATTGTGGGCAGCTGAGAATAGATAGAGAGAGAGCTGTGGAGCCCAACACGCTGTTCAAACGCCAACCGATGGGGGGGATGGTTTGTCGGGGAAAGCCCATCGTCCCTCGGCCCAGAGTGGCGAGGGGCAGCCAAACAAGCAACCGCGCACGCCATGCGCGGTGCAAGTGGGCCCACTCTTGGGAGTGTACTCCGAGGCGGAGCACGGGGTGAGGGAGGGAGGGGTGCAAGTGGCGTGGGAAGAGAACACGGCAAGCCACAGCGCAGGAACTTACTATAGGGCCGGGAGAGAGATAAGGATGTGGAGTTTGAGGAGTACGAGCGTGGCTTGCAAGCCGACTCGATGAAGAAGAGAGAGAGTGAGTTGAAGACAAGGTCGAGCCGAGGGGGTGTCTGCTACCCTTTGTCTGGGAAGCGGATACGATGCTCGTGCTCTGTGTAGTGTTGTGCGTCGATGTCGGCCGACAGGGGAGGGAGGGAGGGGGCGGCGCCGACAAACAGAGGCAAGGGAGGGAGTGGATGCGGTCCAGGCGCACGCGCGGCGGGGTGATGGGAAAGACGAGCGGTGGCGGGAAAGAACAAGGTGCAAACAGGTGAGGAGCGGGGGACGATGCGGTCAGCTCAATACGTTGCGACTAGGGAAGCGGGGGGTGCTGTATGTAGACGACGACATGGTGGATAATGGATGGATAGGAAGGATGGTGTGTGAATGAATGTGAATGAGGGAATGTGGGGATGGTGGGGGGGGCGGGCTCATACGTATGGTGTGGGGGACACAAAATTCGGCCCATCGCACACACACAGAGGTTGTGGGTCCATTGCCCCGCGCACATATGCGTACAAAGGGCGGGGCGGGGCAACGCGGCACAGCGGTGTGCCGTTCGCGGACGGCTCCTCTCCCTCCCGTGTGTGAGGTGGGTAGGCCCCCCGAGAGACGTTGCCGCCCACATGTGTCTTGCCTCTGCTTTTGCAATTGCACTCTCCTATTGTCCGGGACACACGAAGGTACAACCACGGAATGCCGTACTCACCAGCAGATGGGTGCTGAACAACGTGCAAAGTACGCTAACGGCTGTTGCTTCGCAATGCAACAAGTGGTGTGTATTACTTGGCGGCCTTTGCCCCAAGCAGCAGATAGACTGGAGTCACGGCACGCGTGCACTGGGGGTGACGACGCTGCTGTGATCGCTGATAAACCGGTGAGAAATCATCCTTTTCTCTGCCAATTCACGACGAGAAACGTTTCCACCCAAATTCGCCGTCCCACTCTGGTACTCTGGCACACTTGTACACGCTGCCGCCGGCGACGTGTGCTAGCGGCCTAGCGGGGCCTGTAAAGGCCGCGGCGGCGGGGCCGGCAGAACATGCAGGACACATAGTGCAGGACATGCACGGCGATGGCGACCGGGGGGGAGAGGACGAGGGGACGCGACGCTCGGCCCTGGGCCTGCATGATGTCACTCACCTAATTGCAACCGAGCGACTCCGGGAGCGGCCGTCCGTGAAAAGGACGCGTTCGTTTTCCGTCCCGAGTAACGACGACGACGCAGTGGACGCGGTCAGAAAACGTGTGCACGTCGATAGATCGGTGGGTGTGTCGGTCGAAGAAGATCAGGCCGAAACGTTGGCACCTGCAATGACCTTTTGGCACAGAAGGGTGGTGCCAGTTGGTGCAAGTGGGGGAGGGAGGGATGGAGAGAGGTGGAGGCGGGGGGTTGGGTGTGTAGATAAAGGGGGCGGTGTGGGGCAGCGAGTAGATAGACGTGAACACGATGTGCTGTAGTCTGCGAGGGAAGCGGGGAGGGGGGAGACGGTGGTGCGTCGACAAGAGTGGAAGATCAGAACCACTGCGTGTGTGTGTTCTGGGTTCTTTTTTTCTTTTCGGGTTGTGTAGTGGTCGAGACAGTGTATGCAGTAGATGGTAGAGTTGTGGGTGTCTCTTGTGTGTGCGTCTCTCTCTGCCCTTGTCTTTCTTGTTCCAGCTGTGCCGCGCTGTCTGCTGTCTGCTCTGCTAATGTGTGAGACCTGGTGCACTCTCTTTCTGTCTCTCTCGCTCTGTGCTGCTGCCGCTGTGATATGATGGAGATGGGAGATGGGGGGCTTGGAGAGAGAGAGACACCCAGGGTCGGCAGATACCGGCGCCGATTGAGGCACTGCGGGTGGTACAGCCAAGGGAAGGCGTTTTTTTTTGGCTCCTCTCTTACTCTCTCGGGTGGTGGCGTGGTGGTGGCCGTGAAGCCATGCCCAGGCGATCGTCAAATGCCCTGCGGTGCACAGAGAGAACAATGGTGTCACACACACCCAAACACCCCCCGTCCAAAGCCCACACACCGGCCGCCGTTCGCTCCTGCCCGGCAATGCGCTATGCATGTGTGTGCGTGCGCATCTCCTCGTCTCTCTATCCCAGGCCGTCGTTCACTCGCCACACAAAACTCACTAGCTGCTAGGTACAGGCGCAAGCGCAACAGGCCAACAGGCGTCGGAAAACAGATCGGTGTTGCAACCACCACTGGGGGAGGCCACTGATACACTGGCCACAGGTACAGGCCGGACCCAGGGTCTCTTTTTTTCAGGCCGTGGGATCTTCTTGTGTTTCGAGACCGTGGGATGGTTCTGTGCAAGAACAATGCTTCGGCCAGGATCCAGGAAGAGGTCGTTGGGTCGTTTGGGCGGGGGGGGGGGGGGACAGTGGGTGTGAGTGTGTGACCGTTTTGCAAGTGGGCAAGTGGTCGTCGGTATGGAAGGAAGGACGCAAAGGCCCGTCTGACGGGTTGTTCGCTGGCTGGCGTGGTTCGAAGAGAGAACGGCGGCGGCTGCAGCAACCAGATGGGTTCTCGGCGCCGCGAGAAGGGGAAACGGGTGTGGTCGGGTCTGTCGGAGGAGGGACAAAGTGTGCTGCTACGTATGCCCGATGCGCCACCTGTGTGGGGTCGGAGAACGAGAGTAGTAGTATTGGAGTAGTATATGGAGAGAAGAAGCAGTAGCGTGTACACGCGCGCGCGCGTGTGATGATGATGGATGGACTGGGAATATGAGTTGAATGCCACCCCCACACACAGCCAGAACAGCCCAACTGCCAGTGCCGCAGCTTCACCCTGATGCATTACAGCATATGCCTAGTGCAGTGCCGCACGCGGAAGAGCGACACATTGGCCATTGGGGGCAGGAGAGAGAGTACGACACGGCAAGGCCGCCGCCGCCTCACTCGGGACGACGACGACACAGGATCCAACATTGTGTGCGCTGTGGGAGTAGGGAAGACACAGGGAGCACAGGCCATGCAGGCCATGCAGGCCAGCAGGCCAGCAGGCCCCCCATTCAAACGCGCGTGCACGCAGCGTCATGGCATCATATCCCTTTTTGCGATTTCTACGCGTGTTCCCACGCCATCCCGCCTGCCCAAGCCACCACCGCGGGCCCCCCCTCTCTTCCCTTGAGTGCACAGGGAGAGGACCTTTTGCCAAGGCCCAAGACATTGAATGTATCACCCTCTCTGCCCAATTCCAGCCCAAATTATACTCTCACACCCACACACATCGCTGGCCGCTGCCGCACAACTTGGAGATCCCGTACTTATCCTGTTGCCCCACAACTTTTTAGCATGCCATGAGAAACGAGGCAAAAAAAGAGACGCGTTACACGCTCACATTCCAGACAAACCCACCCACGACGCGTCGTGCGTCGGCCGGCCTGAAAGCTTGTTCCCCCTGCCTCAACCCCCCAGGCTCCCAGCGGAAACACGGGGCCGAGATGGGGTCCCACAGGCCACTGCGCACTGTAGCCGCTGTGATGGCCATGCGTGGCAGTGCATGAGAGTCGCCAACAGGCCACAGGCCCGCAGGCCCCGCAGGCCCGGGAGGGGTCTGGGCACGGCGTATACGGAGGCGTCTGTGGCCTGTGAGATGATGAGAGCCACAGCGGCCCAGCGGCCAGCGGCCATGGCATGCCTGGCACGCACGCCGCGCATGGCGGAGCGTCACATGCCCATGTGCCCATACGCCCATACCGGGAACGCGTGTGTGAGCGTTGTGTGAGTGCGCAGAATGCGTGCAAGAGGCTGTGTCTCTGGCCCTCTGGAGCTACCCAGCGCCACCGTCCCTCCTGTTCGTGTTCGTCGCGCTGTTCTCCGCTGCGCACCGGACCGCCCACAGCGCCGGGCGCCAACACGCCAGAACGCCAGAGCATCAGAGCAGCCAGAAACGAACAAACTCTATGGACGATGGGGGATCTGTGTGTGGTGTAAGACGCGTCCTTGGTGCAGCGTGCCCCCGCTGTGGAACCCCTTAGGCCCCGTATATTGCAGATGCCGTTAACACGCAGAAGCGAAGACCCGCTTGCCCGAACCCCGCGGCATCACCAAATATAACCTGGAGGCCTAGCGGCCAGTGATCCAGTGAGAGCTAGTGAGGCACTCGGCGTACCCCGTGTCCCCAGCCAACCCAATCTGCAACAACCCCACACAAAGTGGTCAAGTGATCGCCCGGGGTCTAAAAAGTTACCACTGGAATCGCCAGTAGCTCAGTAGCTCAGTGGACTGTAGCTGTGTGCAGAGTAGAAAACATGGATGGACGCGTGTCAGTTCAAATGGTACAAGCCCGGGGCATATACCATGACATCCTGCCACAGCTAGCCAGCTGGCTCCCCCTGGCCCTTGGCACGGATCACACGTGTGCCGGTGCCATGGTGCACAGTTGCTGTGCCGCTCCGACGCAAAGACACCTGCCACAGCCCAGCTGACGCACGGTCGACGTGGCCCGGCCACTGTCACCCGGCGACCCTCTGACGTCAGCAACTCATATTGCGCAAGTGGCTGGCCGTGGTCCAAAAACGGACATCGACGACGTCTCGAGCGAGGTTGTTTTTTTGGTGGCAGTCGTGTCATTACATGACGGTATGGCGCTATCGATCGCTGGGATGGCCATTCGGCGGCGCTGCTGCGTGTCATTCCAGCTGTGGCCAGCTGACCACAAACCCACCTGGCCACCTGCCAGCTAAACGGCTAACGGCCATTACGCTCGCGGTGCCCCATCCACTCTTAACCAAGTTTGCGGAATGGATGCCGTGTGCTTCGGACCGACGTCAATTGTCAAACGTCAAACGTGCGTGCACAAGAGTGGCACCCACGGCCACTACGACTACACGTCCACACCTCTGTCGTTGTCTCTCACCACATAATCCCACACCGCATCCATGCTCCCACTTCGCCATCTCCACCACCCAGCCGAGCACGGCCAGCACATGCAGCACATCCATGACACCCCCTCGTGGCGCTGGCACCTGCACCGGCTGCACCTGGCTCCTGGGCACACGCATGAAGGACCTTGGCCCAGCCGTGGCGTGGCGTCCGGCCCAGGCGTGCAGGCGTGCAGGCGTCCGGGGCATTGGGCAGCCATCGCGCCGCCATGCGCGCGCCACACAGGCGCCGCCGCGCCTCTGTCGGTGACTGAGCATGACTGAGCCCCCAAACCAAACCCAGAAGAAAAAATCCAGAAACACGGTGGTGCTGCACCCCTTCGGGAGGCGGGTGGAGGCGGGGAGGCGGGGTGTGCACACGCAGGTCGCAGGACTGCGAATATGCGAATAGGTCATGGCCGTGGCTGCCACGAATCGAGAATCGCCCAATAGGCCCACGTGGGCGGCGTGTAGGATTCGCGTATGCGCGTATGCATGCAGTGGTATTCCGGGCTTGTGCACCTCGTGCATACGACAGCGCGGCCCGGGCGTACGTGGACGCCTCGATACTTCCACCACTCTGCTGGGCTTTTCTCTCTTTACTTTTTCTTTCTCTTTTTTTGGGCGTAGAGTACAGTATTTCTGTTCGCGAGAGATCAGGCAAAGCCAGCGCTTTCCGAGCTTGCCACCGAGCTCTCCCACCTCCCACACAATGTTAGCTCGACGGGGGTTAGCTCGGAGCCAGAGACGAGCCAGGAGAGGCCCGAAGGCGCCACAAGCGTGAAGCGAGGTACAGCCTGTATTTGGACTGGGATCGCGGAATGGAAAGAGACGGAGGGGGCGGGCGGGGTCCCACCATTGTCACCATTGTCACTTTTTCGTAACGACGCGTGTTTGTTGTCTCAACGAGCAAAAGGAGGCAAAAAAGGAGGCAAAATGCGCATGGTTGTGGCGAGTGTCTTGGGGGGGTCCCAGGAGAGTAAGGTTTCGTGCCAAGACGAACGGCGGGGTCCAGGACGAGGAATGCTGGAGGCTGGCGGGCGGGGGGGGGGGAGGGAGGACGCAGAAAGGAGAGGGGGGAGTGGGTGGCGTTTGGCGCTCGGAATGTCAATGGGTGTACTGTACTGTATCGGGCTGGAATGCAAAGGAACACACACCCAAGATGAGGCAGATCATTACAAATGCCTTGTCATGACTGTGCACGGTAGAGTCCTCGTAGGTGGTAAGCGGAACAGGCCAAACGTAGTCCGCCATCGAGGTACGCCATGGTTAATGATCAACCGGTGATCAGTTTCCGAAAGAAAAGAAAAGAAAAGACAAAAATAAGAGAGCAACGAGGCCACTGCTGAGGGCGTACCTCGAGCCATACGCCACGGTCCGGGGTTCTGTCTACGCATGTCTCCACTGTCCTGATCGTTTTAGCAGGACGAGGGGGGTTACAGAACAATAGAATCAGGCAGGAGATAAGAATTGGGGTGGCACATGTGGACGGGAGGCGCGTGACACTACTGCGTACTGTACATTGGCAAAGGAATGTCACTGCCGGCCGCCGTTAGTCTACGTCGCAAAGGCCATTGTTCTGCACCTATCATATAAGCGAGTATTCTCCTATCCGATCGCCGGCTACACACCTGTAAGGGGGGCCGAGTGACACACCACGGCTTATAAATCCAACCACAGTGGACGAGTGACTGGTGGCTACGTGAACGAATGATGACATAATGATCTGCCAAGGCATGACATACCACGACGCGTTTGTGGCTACTGAGCACTACCTTGTACCACTTGCTCGGTCTGTTCATACTCTGAAACCTGCCTATACCGGTCCCTCACCACACCCACCACCTCGTCGTCCGTGACGATGTGCCTCGCGAACAGATCCAGCAGGCTCCCCAGCTTTTCCACCTCGGAAAAGTACACCTCGTGGTCGGTCGTGTACACTGCCGGGTTTTCCGGGTTGGGGTCTTGACAGAGCACAAAGTAATTGTTGGGCCATCCTTCAGAATGTCCGATAAACACGAGCGTGAGTGGAGGATGATGTGGCGGATAGGCGTCCTGCCCAGCCACAGCCGCAGCGCGCCGGAGCGCAGCGTCGTCAATCGTCCCGTCCCACTCGTCAAAGTCGGGTGTGCCGGGCGAAAAGGGCGTGAACGGCGCCGGGGAAACGTCCCATTCGAGTACTGGGTATTTCACCATACTGGCAGCTGCTCGCGAGCCGTGCGTGTCTGCCGCCTGGACCATGGCGGTGACGACGTCAACGTCGACCACGTCGATAAAGCCCTCCAGTACGAGTGCTGGGGCAGCAGTGAAGTCTACAGCCTGCAGTCGGTCGTGGACTGATCCTGTCGATGGCGAAACGGTCCCGCCCAGCGCGCGTATCCGCACTTCTGTCTCGGGCGTAAAGGTCATGCTGTTGTTATTGTTGTTATCCATTCACTTTGTTGACATCTTGGTTCACCTCCACAGGGCGGGAACGAGGTTGGGTTCCGCTTACGGGTAGGCCAGTGCGCTCCGAAATGCCACCTCATTAGCACGCACTCGTGTCCAAGGACGTCGTTAGTGGCACCCATCTCGTGTAGTGCATCCACATCCCAGCTTGACGCTCTCGCCTAGGTCGCCTGTCACACTGAAAGGAGCAACAACATAACCCAGATTTCAGAATGGAAGAAAGAGCGTCCCGTAGCCTCGTGTCTGCAGCACGGTCCGCGTCCCCCGGTCTAGCAGCGGCGGCTTGGTCTGAGACAATGTCTGCAATGGACCGCAGGACCGCAGGACTTGCTGGCTGTCCTTGTCCTTGTCCGTCCTCTGCCCCTTCTGTGCGCCGTGTTATGCTCTTACACAGCGGCGGAGACCTTTCGTTGGAATCTCCAGCCGTGGGACCGTTGGCCGTGGCCACAGCGCAGTCGCCGCCCCCGGAATGGGGCGCGCGGGGAGAGATCTACCACGGTGTATCCTCCGACTGCGCGATTCCGATTCCGATGTGAGACACCTGGTGTATGTCTCATGTCTGGAAGCAGAAAACAGAGTGGAAATGTGGGGGGGATGGATGGAAGGCAGCCGTTTCGTGGCAACACGAGTTCTCACGCACGGCCTGTCCGGGGAAACAGTGGTGCAGTGGCTGCGCCGAGGTGGCTGTTCTGGCTGAGTTATCCGCCATTTGGATCGATCTGGACGAATATGGACAAACCGTTCGTTCTTGGCGCTGCGCGCATCATGTGACCCACCCGTGTTGCTTTCTAAACTGGAACAACGCAGAACAGAGGAACGAGGGCGTTTGTTATTCGTGTTCGAATTTGTAGGTCGTTGGGCACCACACTCATATGGCCCATGTCCCCTTCGGGCGACTCACAGAGGTCCAATGGCGGGCTATTCTGAGGATTCTGGATTCTTGCTGCAAGGCACTCTTCTTGTCTAGACCAGGCGGCATGCGTCAAACTTGATCAGTTCCAGCGTCTCGTATTGCTTCCTTCCCAACTTGTTTACAAGTGCGTCAGGGAGCCAAAGATACGATACTTCTGTCGCACTAGTTCGGGCCGTTGGTAGCCATCAACACCACCACCCGCCCCTGCTGCCACCGCCTCGATATACCATGTCCATGTAGTGCCGTGCATAATTGTACAGTGTGAGTCTATCCGTTGATCTTCTTCGAACGGCCCTGGCGCTGCATGTTAGCTTGACAACAAGTTCCCGAAAGCTCACCTTCTTGAGACGCTGGAGCCTCTTGGCCGACATCTTGGCCGCGCGCTCCTCCATGCGCTGCTTCTCGGCCTGGCGCTCGCGACGCTCGCGGATGAGGGTCACTTTCCTGTTTATAGTGTCAGCTTGGCTAAACGCTGCAATAAAGCTGTGACGGTCGCGTGCGCTTGCCAATGCAAATCACCGCACGGGCGGGTCTGCACGAAGCCGTAGCCCGCCCGCATCCAAACACCCAACGCACCTGTCCTTGGCCTCCTGCTCGCTCTCCTTCATCTCCTGCTCAACGGCCAGCAAAGCCTTGTGCGCCTTGCTCTTCTCCATGCGCTTCTCAAAGGGTGTCTTGAGCTCGGAAGAAATGTAGCTGCGGCGGGTGGCGACCTTGTCCGACTTCCAGGCCTTGCCGTGCAGACGGCCCTGCTTCGAGGCGCGGAGCTCGAGGACGACGGGCTCGCGGGGGTCCGTCGAGGACGATGGTGCTGACTGTGCCTCCATTGTTGTTGTTGAGTGGAGATGGATGGAGGACGAGCAACCTCGATGCGTGTGTATTTGGGTGGCAAGTGGTCGTCAACCGGGGCAAATCTTTGGCGCCTGAAACGGAGATGCATCTCCGCGTTATTTTGAAAAAGCGTACGGGGTGTGTGCCTGAGGCGCGTCGCAGGGGTGTGGATCACGTGACCTCTCCTGCCCATACAGTACGCTTGCAGGGTGGTGGGTGCGAGCGCGACGCCACGGCAATGTACAGCGACCAGCCATCAGCTCGCGACCCCCATCTGTCTCTTGTCCATCATCCACCCCTCGTCTCTTTTCTTCTCTTCCACAACACCCCCCCCCATCTACACCACTGCCCGTCTCTTGTAGGGCAGCGTCACTTGTCTTGCCTCCTCCTCCCCCTCCCCCCGCCTCGTGTCTTGTCCCCGCACACCCATCTTTAATCACCATGGACTCTATCCAGGCCACTCCTCGCAAGAGGCCTCGCGCTGACCCGGACACTCCGCAGTCGCGCAAGCGCAAACATCATCACAACTCAGAGTGAGTTGTCACTGTCATCTATAGCGTGGGTATGTGTAACTGACAAGCCTGCAGAACTCCCACCCCCAACCCCCCACTCGCGCCGTTCCCCACCCCACCCCGTTCACGCCGGCGACTCAACTTTGCGTCAGAGCCGGTCGAGGAACTGGACTTGTCAAACGAGACGACTCCCAAAGCTGGCCCATCACGCAAGCGTCTGCCACCACACCTGCAGACTCTCTTGACACTGCACCACGCGTTCAACATCACACTCTCGCTGCACATCGCTCAGCACCCTCCCGTCCTCCCTCCTCACTCGTCGCGCGCGACTCGCGTTCAGGTGCCCAACCTCACCAACCTCGTGGCCATCAGGGACGCGGTCGAGCGCTCGTCGGGTCGCCGGTTCGGGCAGCAGGAGCTGGCACGCCTCGCGTGGCTTTGGACATGGGATGGCGAGGCGCTCCCTGCCGACGACAAGGAGCAGGACAACCCTTTCCTCGTCTCGAGCTCTAAGCCCTCGGAACCCTTGACCCAGGTGTCCGGTCTGTCATACCTCATCACTACCACACGCACGCTGTGTCCCAAGACTGGCAGGCGGGTGCACACCCATGGTCTCGGTATCGACCTCGAGATCCACGCCGGCGAGACCCACCAGCTGCTTATGGGCGGTGTGGGCGGTGGATTGGGGAACATGGGCCAAGGAGGCGGCATGCGCGTGATCGGGCGCTGGAACGCCGGTGGTGACCTGCGACACGACGCCGTTCGCCATCGTCTCGAGCGCTGGGTCGAACTGCACGGCGGCATGCCCGAGCCTGTAGTGCATCTCGACACGGAGCTCTCGTTGTTGCCCACACCAGCAACGCACGACACTACTCGTTCAGAGATCCCGCCCATCCCCCTCCTCCCCCTCCCTGTCCTCCCATCTGCAACCGCCCCTGCCGCCAGCCTCTTCGCGGCTGTGTCCACCCCTCTGCCTCCCAAAAAGGTGCTTGGTGCCGGCCTGGCCGACCCCTTTGAGATCCCCGACACCCCAAAGCCTGCTGCCACCAAGGGCACCGGGACTGTCGAGGAGCGTCGCAGGGCGCTGTACGAGAGGATTAAGGCGCGTTCCGACTCCAAGAAGGCCGCCACGACGACTCTCCACGACGCCATCTCGGGCAACAGCACCATCATCCGTCGCTCTGCCGCCGAGCAGCAGGAAGAGCTCAAGCGCCGCAGCACCCTTTCCCGCTTGGAAGGCATTGCGGAGGGCGTGTGGATGATGTTCTCTGCTCCCTCGCCCGGTACGCACTCGCTCCCCACCGCCCCTCGCCCTCGCCGCAAGGCCATCCCTCTGTCGGAGATTGCCGAGATGCTCGTCAAGAGCTCCAAGACGCCCGTCTCGTATGCCGAGGTCAAGACGTCGCTGCACATGCTCATCGAGCTGTGCCCCTTCTTCCTCCAGTCCAAGATTGTCGCCAAGATCGAGTGGCTCGAGATGCCGGTCACCGCGCTCCCAGCCCCCCCGTCACCAGGACAGGGCGCCGACCGTGTCGCTGCCATCGAGGCCCAGCTCGCTTCGACCATGGCATCGCCGCCCCGCGTTCGTCCCGGTATGGCTCTCGCGGGACCTGCCAGCCCTGGCCGCGTGAGGCGCCACGCCGGCCTCCGCGAGGTGCGTGAGCGTATTCGCCGCGAGCTCGGCGAGTAGATTAGATATAAAGAGAAGTGAAGTGAAGGCCATTGCGGGCCATTAGAAGAGAACGGTAGTGATAGAAGTCAAGATTGTCGTTGTCGTTGTCGTTGTTTCAGTAGATTGTATACTAGCAAGACAGTCATAGTCGTCGTTAGACGACGGACATACATAGACCATGCATGGTACTGCTGTATTACGGACGTGGTCTCGCCGTACATCACGTGGCGGATTGTCAGCACACAAGCGAGTTTTTCTTTGGACGACAAACCAGTATCCAGCCGTCTGTGCGTTCGTCTCGTCTCATGAAATCTACATGCGACTCTACATGCAGCGTCTAAGATACAAATCTCGATATCCCGCTCCTCCTCTCTCACACGTATGCGTAAAAGCCTACCCCAAACAAAACTCTCACAAGTAACCCCCCGCCTAGTAATCGTCATCGGCCTCACTACTCTCGTCGCCAGGGTGCTCCGGCATCGCGCTCCCCTGCCGACTAACCTGTCCACTGACACCGGGACCATTGTTCATGCCTGGCAAAGTCTTGCCGCCACGCGTACCCGTATTGGCCGTACCCGCACTGGTCCCCGAGGCTCCAGACCCCACCCCGGATCCCGCCGAGCCGACACTTCCAGCCCTCGCAGACGATGCGACGCTGCTTTCGCGCGCTGCTGAGGCAGCTGCCGCGGCCGAGGCCGAGGCGCGGAACGACGGCGCCGGCGAGGCAGTCTTGCCGGGCTTGCTGTCGGGCGAGTACGGCGAGGCAGAGTGGGCCTTGATGGGTGGTCGACCCAGGCGGGACGGGGGGTGCGGTTTCGAGGCCGGCGGGGCACTGCCCGAGTGTGCCATGTGTTTCTTCTTGAACACTTTGGTGGGCGAGGCGGCGCGCTTGGCCAACGAACCGTTCAGTTCTGCAGTGGTTAGGAGGAAACAAAAACAGAGTTGCGGCAAGCGTGGCAACTCACTCTTCCGTTTGCCGCTGTTGCTGTCAGCATCGCTGTCAATGTCGCTCGCGAGGTATGGGGACGGGCTGGCGCGGTCGTTGGCGCCCAGACGGGCCTTTGCAGCTGCCATGCGCGACGCTCCACGACGCGTGCTCCCCGAGTATCCTAGGCATGAGGCGAGATGCGGGGCATAGCGCGACGATGTAATCTGGTGATGGGTGTCAGCTTTTTCACGGAGAGTGCGGTAGCTGACGTGCGGGCCCGGACGAGGCGCGGCCAGAAAGCTGAGTCAATAGAGCAAACTGCTCTCGCTGCCACTGCACTCGAGCACGACTCACACTGCGTCCACAGACAAGGCAGTCGAAGAAGGCGTTGCCGCTGGCGTCGACGCGGCCGCTGCCAGATCCAATGCCCGTACCGCCTCCGGTCCCCTTCTCAGGCCCAACAGTGTACCCATTTGGCCGGGTAGATGGGACCTTGATCGGCGACGCTTCACGCGACGCCGCTGCAGACGATTGGCCCGATGCAATGGGGTTGATGGGGACGTGAGCACGGCATCTGCAGAGGAATTGTCAGTTCAGAGCTGGCTAACCGAGCCGGAAGGATGACTTGCACCACTTTGGTGCTGCAATAGTTCTCGCCTACCCCGCCCAGCCTCCGGTCCGAAGGGAGAGGGAAGAAGCGAAGAGGGGGTGGCAACCCATCACCAGAAAAAAACATGGAGCAAAACGACATACCTTGTACCACACGTCGCGCAGACGACCTGGCCACGCTTGATCTCGCGGTGCGCCTCAATGGTGGTGCTCAGCACGCTGTCGGCAAGCAGGTCGTTGTATATGGCCTCGGCCTATTTGTGTCAGCAATGTCGATCAGCATCAGCTCACCATTGCGCGAATATCAGCGGCGGACATTGCTGCTTGAGGAGGGAGGTGAGGGCCGTCGAGCACGGGTAGGTGGAGTGAGGATGAGCTCGCCGAGGATGCTGGGGGATGGCCAGACCGCCGTGTCGGCTATCGATGTCGGCGTACTGGATGCGTGCCAACGCCGGGAACGGCAACACTCGGCGCGGCGGCGGGCAGCGGCGACGCCAACAGCGAGCATTCAGCGGACAGATTGCGTCGGGCCACGTGGCTTTATTTATTTCCTCCCCTTCCAAAATTTCTGTTGTGCGTCGCTGCCGCTGCCAGTGACATCTTGTGCACCGACGAGCGACAACGACTCCCTAAACACCTTATACACAACCCAAAAAGGCCCACCACCATGGCGCCACCAAGCAAGAAGCGCTCCCAGCCGGGAGGCGACTCGCCCAGCGCTAAGAAGCCCCGTACCGAATGGGAGGCCCCCCGTCCCACCCCGGCGTTCAAGTCGAGCCTTTTGATCGAGGAGGTCGACTTTCCTCGTGGCGGCGGCAGCGCGCTCACCGGGCTCGAGATGAAGCAGGCCCGTGCCGAGGGTATGCGTGAGGCCGAGGCTGAGATGGGCGGTTCCAAGAAGAAGGTCCGCCAGATCTCGGAGCGTCACGCCAAGCGCATGAAGAAGGCTACCGGCGGCAAGGACGCCGCGGCCCGCGCCGAGCGCGACAAGGACACTATCCGTGTCGAGGAGCTGAGCTACAAGCGTCTCACTCCTGGCACCATGGTCCTTGCCCGTGTCCACACTGTTCTCCCCCTCCACATTGTCGTCTCGCTCCCCAACAACCTCCTCGGTCACGTCCCCATTACCGAGGTGTCGGGCGCTCTCACCGCTGCCCTCAACGCCGACATGGAGGCCATGAGCGAGGATGAGAACGAGGACGACGAGGAGGACGAGGAGAAGGAGGGTGCCCCCGAGCTTCCCGACATCTTCACTCCTGGCCAGTACATCCCCGCCAAAGTCATCAACAACTTCCCCACCGCCTCGCAGGCGTTCATTGCCCAGTACCCCATTTCCGAGACCACTCGCCTCGCGGCCCGTGTCGAGCTCACCTTGGTCCCCGAGAAGATCAACTCGGAGGTCGCCAAGGCCGACCTCGCTGCCGGCTTCCGCATCACCGGCGAGGTCCTCTCGCTGGAGGACAAGGGCTACCGCGTTGGCCTCGGCCTCGACGCCGATGCCGGCCTCGCTGGTGTCGAGGGCTTCGTCTCCCTCGAGGAGGTTGAGAAGAACGTCCCGGCCCAGAAGCTCGTTCCCGGCCAGCTCATTGCTACTGTCGTCAAGGAGCTCAAGGCTGGTGGCCGTGTCGTCCACCTCTCGCTCGACCAGCAGACCCTCATCCACTCGGCCCTCACCGAGGTCTCGACTATTGGTTCGCTCCTCCCCGGCTCGCTCGTGTCGACCTTGATCACCGCCATTGTCCCCTCGGGTCTCAACGTCAAGATTTGCGGTTTCTTTGACGGTACCATTGAGCTCGCTCACCTCGGTATCGGCGAGGACGACATTGAGGACCGCTTCAAGCTCGGCAAGAAGATCAAGGCCCGTATCCTCTTCGACACCGTCGCTTCTGGCTCGGAGCGCCGTTTTGCCCTCTCGGTCCTCCCTCACATCTTCAACCTTACCTCCCCCCTTACTGGTTACGAGCAGATCCCCCTCGAGAAGGCCATTCCTATCGGCACCACTCTTCAGTCGGTCAAGGTCATCCGCGTCATGCCCGACTGGGGTGTCGTGTGCCGCACCTCGGACGGCATCGACGGCTTTACCCACATTTCGCACCTGTCCAACGAGCGCATTGCTTCGCTTTCGTTCGCCACCACCCAGTTCAAGGTTGGCACTTACCACCGCGCTCGCGTGATTGGCCACTCGCCCCTGGACGGTGTTCTCCTCCTTTCGTTTGAGCAGAAGGTTCTCGACCAGGTCTTCATGTCGGTCAGCGAGCTGAATGTTGGCCGGGGCCTCAAGGGCACTGTCCGCAAGCTCACCGACAAGGGTCTCTTTGTCGACATCCAGGGTTCGGTCGATGGTGTCGTCTGGCCCCTCCACTACGCCGACATTCGCCTCAAGCACCCCGAGAAGCGCTTCAAGGTTGGCTCCACGGTCAGGACCCGTGTCTTTGCCATTGACAGGGCCCGTAACCGTGTTGTCCTTACTCTCAAGAAGAGTCTCGTCGAGAGCCAGCACGATATGCCTGTGGGGCTTGAATGGATGCACCCCGGCCAGATTGCCGCTGCTGTTGTCTCCAAGATCCTCGACAAGGGCTGTATTGTTGACCTCTTTGGCGGTCTCCGCGCCTTTGTGCCCCTGTCCGAGGCCAGCCAGAACTTTGTCACCAACCTCGCCGACATTTTCTTCGTTGGCAAGCCCGTCAACGTTCGCATTACCGAGATCGACATGGTCAACAACAAGCTCGTCGGCTCGATCCGCCAGGCCCTCCCCAGCGCCATTGCTGCTGAGAAGCTCGAGCTCGGTGCCGATGTCCACGGCATTGTTGCCCAGATCCACGCCGAGCAGGTCGTCGTCACCCTCGTCCCTTCGCAGGTCACTGCCCTCCTTTCGCTTGCCAACCTTTCCAACCACCGCGGTATGGGTATTGCCGAGCTCCGCGCCAGCATCAAGACTGGTGAGAAGCTCGATGACCTCATGGTCGTCTCCAAGAATGCCATTTCAGGTCTCATCATTCTCGCCAACAAGCGCAAGACCCCCACTGGTATCTCGGGCCCTACGCGTAACATTGGCGAGATTGCCGCGGGCGATGTCGTCCCCGGCCGTATCATCGCGGTCACACCGCAGGGTGCCATGGTCAAGCTCGGTGGCAAGGAGCGCGGTCGCGTCCACCCGGCCGACTCGTCCGACGACCTTGCCCTCGCTGCTGGCGACGGCTGCCTCCGCGTTGACGAGAACGTCCTCTGCTACGTCCTCAAGATCGACGGCAAGAACATTGACCTGAGCACCCGCAGGTCGCGCGTCCAGCCCGAGGCCGGTTCCGCTGTTGTCGACACCGAGGTCACCGACATCTCGGAGCTCAAGGCCGGCCAGACCATCCGCGGTCTCGTCCGCTCTGTGGCTGACAACGGTCTCTTTGTCTCGCTGTCCCGCAACGTCGTCGCCCGCGTCATGATCAAGGAGCTCTTCGACGACTTTGTCAAGGACTGGAAGTCGCGCTTCCAGGTCAACCAGCTCGTCTCGGGCAAGATCGTCTCCACCGACAAGGGTCGTGTTGAGATGACCCTCCGCACCAAGACCCGCGCCAACGACAAGAAGACCACCAAGCTCACCCTTGCCGACTTTACCGAGGGCCAGAAGATTACGGCCACCGTCAAGCGCGTTGAGACTTTCGGTCTCTTCCTCCGTCCCGAAAACTCCAACCTCTCGGGTCTCTGCCACCGCTCTGAGATCTCCGACGACAAGAAGGCCGACGTTGCCCAGGCCCTCAACGGTTTCCGTGAGGGCGACACCGTCAAGGCCGTTGTTCTGTCCATCGACACTGAGAAGAACAAGATCAACTTTAGCATCAAGGCTAGCCACTTTGGCGAGGACTTTGGAGATGCCCAGGACGATGACGATGATGAGGAGGATGAGGACGAGGACGAGGACGTCAAGGAGGACATGGACATGGACGAGGTTGCCGATGACGACGAGGACGAGGATGAGGATGACGACGAGGACGAGGGTAGCGACGACGAGGAGCTCCAGCTCCTTGGCTCGGATGACGAGCCTATGGAGGAGTCCGATGACGATGACGAGGAGCCTGCTCCCGCTAGCAGCTCCAAGGCCTCGAAGAAGACTGCTGCCGCCGCCTCTGCTGCCCTCTCGCTCGCTGGTGGCTTCGACTGGAGCGGTGGTGCCGCTGGCAAGGACGAGGACGAGTCCGACTCGGACTCTGACTCGGACGAGCCCGTCAAGCCCACCTCCAAGGCCGCCGGCAAGAAGAAGGCCGTCGACCTCGCCGCCACCGCCGCCGGTGAGGGTGCCCCCGAGTCCGCTTCCGACTTTGAGCGTGCGCTCCTTGCCTCGCCCAACTCGTCCTTCCTGTGGATCCAGTACATGTCGTTCCAGCTCCAGCTCCACGAGGTCGACAAGGGCCGCGCCATCGGCAGGCAAGCACTCGAGCGCATCAACTTCCGCGAGGAGGAGGAGAAGCTCAACGTGTGGATGGCCCTCATCAACCTCGAGCTTGGTTTCGGTACCGCCGAGAGCGCCGACAAGGTCTTCAAGGAGGCTGTCCAGTACAACGACGCTCGCACCGTGTACGCCCGCTACATTGACGCCCTCGTCATGACCGGCAAGGACGCCGAGGACACGCTCAAGAAGATGCTCAAGAAGTTTAGCGCCTTCCCCGACACTTGGGCAAAGTTTGTCGACTACTACCTCAAGAAGGGCGACGTCGAGGCTGCCCGTGCCCTCTTGCCTCGTGCCCTCCAGTCGCTCGACAAGAGCAAGCACGTCGAGATGACCGAGAAGATGGCCGTCCTCGAGTTCAAGCACGGCGATGCCGAGCGCGGCAAGACTCTCTTTGAGGGTATCCTCTCAAGGTATCCCAAGCGTCTTGACGTGTGGAACGTGTACATTGACCAGGTCGCCAAGGCTGGCGACATTGGCGGTGTCCGCGGACTGGTGGAGCGCGCTCTTGCGCAGAAGTTGACCGCTAAGAAGGCCAAGTGAGTACCAATGTTGCATAGGAGAACTCGGGGCGGTCGATGTCGCTCTGATAGCACCCACCCACTGTTCTCCATTTGTTCTTCTGTTTAGCAGCATGCTGACAATCCCAGGTTCCTGTTCAAGAAGTGGCTGAGCCTCGAGGCGCGTATTGGAGACGCCGCTGGCGCGGACAAGGCCAAGACCGTTGCGCGTGAATGGGTGATGGCCAACACTAAGCAGGAGGAGGAGAGCGAGGAGGAGAGCGACTAGACATCCAATCCACTTCCCGGTTATGCATATTCTCATTGACTCATACAAAGAAGTGAACGCAAGGGAGGAAGCTTGGGGCATCACTAGGGTGGGGGCTAAAAGGACATTGACGCGCCGAATGCGGAGACCCCGCACTGCCACGCGTTCTGCGTCGTCGCGCGATGACCTGCACATCCATCTTGCCACACGTCGTCCACTCTTTGCGTTACTCCCCATCTTCACATGCCCCTGCTCGAACCGCTGTTCCACGAGCTCGCGCTCGAGCTCGTCGTCCCTCCTTCAGGAGCGTTCCCGGCCCCTCCGCGAGGCGGCGCGGCGGCGCGCAAGTGGTGGGAGGACATCTGTTCTGCTCCGACAAGAGACACGGCTTTCTTGGGTACGTATTGTTGTTCCTGCCAGTTTCAGAAGTGCAGGAGTTGTGCTGCAGAGGCAACGATCAAGCTGTGTGCTTGAACTTTACGCGCGCAAGTCGCCTTCGCTACATGTTTCCTGCCACGCATTAGCACAGCCGAGCATATTAGCTGACACCACACAGACGAGAAGCTAAGCTATGCGGTCGCCCTGCACCTGCCCGAATCTGCCTTGCCCTCTACAACTCCAGACAGCCCACCTGCTGAACTCGCCCTCCTCTCTCGCCAGCTCCAGATTACCGCCACGGCGTCGTTCCTGCCTCCTCACCACTCCAACCTCCCTCCCAGTCCGACCAAGGGTCTCGGTGCCAGCGGTACGCCCGTAAACAGGCGAGCATCATACTTCCCAGAGACGTCTCCTGGCGGTCCTGGTCCCGTGGGTAATGGCGGACCGCCCCCTCCACAGGTTCACATTACGCAGGCGCCAGGAGGCTCGCCGCACCAGGGGCATGGCAATGTTGGGCCACACGCCGATGGTGCGCCGCTTCACACTCCCAACCCGTTCCCGGCCATGACGCCTGGCGCAGAAGCGTTCGCCGGTGTCGAGGGCGTGACAGTGTGGGAGGGCGCGGTGGAGACGCCGGATGCCGACGGGGCTGTGCTTGTCAAGACAGATGAGGGATGGACGGCTGTTTGGAGGGGCGAGCTGCCTGTTGGTGAGTAGCTGTTGTCGACGACGATCTGTCTTTCAGCCGCTAACATTGCAGTCTACGTCCGCACGTCTATCCAAAACCCCGTGTTGGCCCTCACTGCCTTTGTGACACTGCGTGAAGGTGGCCGCCGCCGGTCGGCTACCGTTGGGGTTACCGATGCGGCCTCGATCGTCAGCACCAGCACTCTGATAACGGACTCGACCGACCCCGAGGAGCCGACCAAGCTCGACCTCGCGGCCATGGAGGAGATTGACCTGCTGGGCGGCCTCGTGTCTGACCCTATGCCCGCGAGCCGTCTCCCACCAAGCCTGCGTGACGACTTGAGTGTCCGCCGGCCCCAATCGCCTAGCATCGCAAACTCTCCATCGTTCTCGCCCGGCAGTGTCCGCCCAATGCCGTCGTCGAGCACGACGTTGCGCAAGTCGTATAGGCGAGTGCTCAGTCTCTCGCCTGGCCTCCGCGTGCGCATGCGTACCCTCTTCCTCCCACAACTCCTTCCTCCCAACGCTGCTACGGATGAGAGTGAGGACGCCGAGCGTCGCATCGTCTTGTCTGTGGAAATCGAGAATGGAGCCGACCAACACGAGCACGGGTTTGAGATTGTTGGCGTCACTGTTGATGTGGGAGGCAAGGGTTCCAAGGCCGTTGCGTCCCTCATTTGCCAGCCTGGACAAGTGCTCAACGGCGACGTCAACACGTTCCCTCTTCGTCTCTCCAGCATGGAGCAGTACAACCTCCTGTACGCTGTCGACATTGCCAACACCCCCGGCGCCAAGGGCGACGACCACCGTCCCGTCTCTATCGTTCTCTGGGGCCGCCCCTTCCGCCCTGCCCCGGCTGACGCCGACCTTGCGTTCCCCACTGCCGCTTTCCAGAGCCGCTGGAACTGCGCTCTTGATCTGGCGCCATACTATGCTTCGTTGCCACCTGCACCTCCCGCGCCACCCGCTCACGCGCCCTCGGCACGACACACGATGCACCGCCTCAGTAAGCCCAACCCGCCAATCCCAAACGCCATTGCCGGCGACAAAAAGTACTCTCTCGCAGCCCTTTTGGCAGACAAGCCCACGCCAGGCCCAGAAAGGTCGAGGCTGGTCTCCCGACCGATGATGCCCTCGTCAGCCATGAACCGCGTCGTCTCGGCCCGTGCCCAGAATATCCCCCAGGCAGTGGGCGATGGACATGGCCTGCTCGTTTCCGTCAAGCTCCTCCCGCCCGACTTGGCCGACGACGTTATTCGTCCCTTGGACACGTTTTCGGTCGAGGTGTTTGTGCATAACAGGACGGACAGTGTGCGCCGCTTCAGGCTGGCTATCCCGCCCCGCGATGCACTGGACGCGCGTATCCGCGATGCCTGGGCGAGGAGGAGGAGAAGGAGGGCCGATGAGCCGACGTACGGTGCCGACGACCCAGGTGAGTTCAGCTGTCATTTTCCACGACTAAGGGCAAGCTGACATTTCCCCAGTCGTCTCTGTCCTGCTTGCGCAGCACGAGGCTGCAGCCCCCGCCCTCATTGCGCTCGAGACAGATGTCCGTTGTGGGCCACTCTTACCAGGTGCCTCCCTGGCGGCGCGCGTGCGTTTCCTGGCCCTCCGTGAAGGTGTGCACCGTATCGAGCGCATGCGCCTCACAGGCGTCGGCGAGGACTTTGACTTTGTGATCACGCCGGTCATGGACATTGTCGTGGAAGCTTAGTAGACACAATAGTTATTATAGGCAGTGGGCCGGGGGATGTTACATGTCTTGCACTTGTGCATCGAAAGAGAAGATTGTAGTCTACGTGAAAAGTGTGCGTGCGTGCGTGCGGTGGCAGGGCTGGCTATTAAGCGACAGAGATGGCGGTGAGCAGATGGTGTCGCAGTACCCGTCGAGTTTTGGCGTACACGCTGTTTAAGGCTTGGCGCGGCCCATGTAACGGGGTACAGGGAGCATTCACGGACAGTGTAGCGGCCAAGGAACCAGGCAAGGAGACGCTCAACACCAAGACCGTAACCACCGTGCTCGGTGGTACCGTACTTGCGCTGGTCGGTGAACCAGTAGTACGGCTCGTGGGGGATACCCTCGCGCTTGTAGCCGGCCATGAGCTCGTCAAAGTCGGAAATACGCATGGAACCACCGACAACCTCGCCGACACCGGGGACAAGAACGTCGACCGACTCGGTGAACTCCTCGTCGCCGGGGATAGCCTTCATGTAGAAGGATTTGAGGGACTTGGGGAAGTTGATGAGCATGATGGGGCGGTTGATCTGGTCGGTCATCTTGCGCTCGGCGGCCTCGGCAATGTCGTCACCGACAACGTGGTCGGTGCCGTCCTCCTTGGTGATGCCGTGCTCGTTGAGGTACTTGATGGCATCGCGGTAGTCGAGGCGCATGAAGGGGCGCGTGGGGGCGACAAACTCGGGGTTGAGCTGCTTGACAATCTCCGAGGCAATGGGGTCGGCCATGAGGGTCTCGACAACGTCGCAAATCAAGTTCTCGAGGTGGTCGAGGAGGTCCTTGAACTTGATGAACACGAGCTCGGCCTCGAGGTGGGTGTACTCGGAAAGGTGGCGACGGGTGAGCGACTTCTCGGCACGGAACGACTCCTGGATGCAGTAGACGTCGCCGAGCGAGGGGAGGACAGTCTCGAGGTAGAGCTGCGACGACTGGGTGAGGTAGGCGGGTGAACCGTAGTAGTCGAACGAGAAGAGAGTCGAGCCACCCTCAACCGAGGTCTGGACCATGCAAGGAGGAGTAACCTCGGTGGTGCGGTTCTGGTAGAACCACTCGCGGAACTGGCGGAGGAGGAGGGCACGGAAGCGCATGACCGCGGTGGCAGTCTCACCACGGAGCTCGAGGTGGCGGAGGTCGGCACGCATCGAAAAGTCCATGTCGGGGTGGATACGGCCCTCAAAGGCGTCCTCACCGGCGGGGGCACGGCCGATGATCTTCCACCAGTCGACAACAATCTCGAGGCCCTGGGGAGCCGACTGGCCCTCCTTGACCTTGGTAACCAGACCAGTAACCTCAATGGTGGACTCGACGGTCAGGTCAAGAGCGTCAAGGGTGCGAATGCAGTCGCCCGAGAGGACGAGCTGGGCAAGGGGGCCCGAACCGTCACGGAGGATGACGAAGAAGTTGGTCTTCTGCTGACGGAGACGGTGGACCCATCCCTGGAGACGGACACGCTCGCCAACCTGCTCAGGGAGCTGGTAGAGCTTGAGCTGGGAAACGTCAGTGCCGGTCACGGGATCCCATACAACAAGAGGCGACAGACACTCACCGACTTGGCCTCAGGCTTGCTGGCATCCTCGACGAGGACAACCTCAGCGGCCTCGGCGCGAAGCTTGGCCTGACGAGCCTCGTTCTCGGCGCGCTCGCGCTCGAGGCGCTCACCGTCAGCGGCGAGCTTGGCAGCCTTCTTGCGCTGAGCGTCGACACCCTTGGCGAGCTTCTTGCGGGCAGCGCCGGAGAGCTCGGCCCAGGTGGCGGGCTCGTCACCCTCCTGCTTGCGAGTAAGGACGTTGACAACGGAGAGGGGGTCCTTGTCGGTGGCAGCGGCGGTGGGGACGACCGAGAGGTAGGCAGCAACGGCAGTGGCAAAGGGAGCAGTCTCAGTGCCCTTGCCGGTGTCGTCGGAGCCGGTCTTCTCGTCGATGTAGAGAGTGGGGAGAGCTGAACGGTGAGCCATCAATCCGAATAGGCCGTGCCACCTGACACTTTGGGCGGAGCAGAGCAGAATACTTACCGACGGCGAGCTTCTCCTGGGTGGCGGCCGCGAGGGCGGCGTCGGCGGACATGGTGGATGTGGTGTGAGTGATGGGGAGGAGCAGAGGAGCTCGACTGTCCACTCTAGATAAGGTGTGAAGTGATCACTGCTTGACTTTTCGAGTCGTTGGAACAATGCTACACCCGCGCGAGGCCTCGCCCACAGCCCACACACCACACGGACCATGCCCGAAATCAATTTCTGACACGTCAATGTCGCAGCCACTTTTTGATAAGGAAAGTATTTATTACGTAATCAATTGTATGGCTTGCGGGGCCTCAACATTTGTTTTGCTCGTATTGACCAAAGGTGATGACGCGCGCCCGCCCGGCCGCCGAATTTGTAACACGGTCGTCGTGTCCTCCTTTAGCCGGTCTCGACGAGGGACACAGATCTATTGCAACAACTTGTCTGTGTCTCTCCAACTCTCTCCACCATGGCCCCAGGCTACTCTACAGCTAGCCTTGCGGTCGCGACAGGCCCTACAGTCGTTTCCACATTCTTATCCCACTTTGCAACATGGCCCCAACGACACAAGCGGTCACGCCACGCCCAGAGTTCGAACGAGTCGCCGGTGTCCCTCGACACATTGCCCGGGAACCAGCTACGGTACGAGGAAGGCCTGCGCGTTCTACGCCGCTTCCTAGAATTCGCCAGTACCCACCCCGTTGAAGAGGTGCAGGGGTACACAGCGCAACCGTTGCCCATTCCGCGTGAGTTCGCGAGCTGTCATGTGTGATCGTTGCCTGGTTCTGACAACGTCGGCTTAGTTTGGATCAGGCGGGATATCGTTACAATCCCGAGGGTGTCATTGAAAAGGCCGCCGAGATTCTTGTGGAGCACCTGAAGAGCTACGGCAAGGAGTTTGGCGGCATCAAGCTCGTCGGAGGTGAGAAGTGGTGGCGCGTGCGAGGACGTGAGCTCGAGGCTGAGTGGATCGAGGTAAGGCACACGGCGCTTTAGTTCTGGTGACTAACGTGTCTCAGATGGCCAAAGACTTCAAGACTCGCCAAACGCGCTCGATTACAGACAGCTCCGACAAGGTTCGCTCATGGCGACACCTTCCATCGTTGCGGCGAGCTCCTCGGGGTATTCGTGATGGAGCTGGCGGCGAGGTGCAGGAAGATCGGGTTATTCTCTACGTCCATGGTATGTTTACCGATCGGTGTGACGCAGCTGCCCACACACAATGCTCATTTTGGCAGGCGGGGCGTTCTTCTTTTCATCTCTCGATTTACATCGATACCAGATCCAACGACACGCACGCAAGGCAGGCGCCCGGGCGTTTGTCCCCAACTACCGTCTGTCACCACAGTACCCGTTCCCTTGCGGACTGTTGGACTGTCTTGCGGCCTATCTCTACCTTATCGACCCTCCTACAGGCGTCGACGCGATCCTACCCTCCAACATCATTCTTATGGGTGACTCGGCTGGCGGAGGCATGTCGCTTTCGCTGCTGGTTCTGATCCGCGAAATGGGTCTCCCCATGCCTGCGGCCGCGAGTCTCATGTCCCCTTGGGTCGACCTCACGCACTCCATGCCGAGCATCATGAAGTGGGATGGCGGCGACTATATCCCCAGCGTCGGATTCCACTACAGGCCTAGCCCTGCGTGGCCCCCACCACCTGGCGACTCGATCACGGTGGAGATAGACGGCAAGCAGAAGGTTCTGGATGAGCAGATCCAGCTGTATTGTCCCAACACGCTCCTCACACACCCGCTCGTCTCGACCATCAACAACGGTTCGCTTGGCGGCCTGTGTCCACTGTACATTACGGGCGGAAGTGCCGAGCTACTCCGCGACGAGGTCACATACATTGCCCACAAAGCTGCCAACCCTCAACAGTACCCACCGTCGCCCGTCACGTTGGAAGAGTACCCCGAACAAGCCGCTTTGGTGGACAAGTACCCCCCCACACGGGTCCATCTCCAGATCTTTGAGGGTGCGTGCCACGTCGCAACCACTCTCGCATGGACACGCAGCGCCAAGCACATCTTCCGAGGAACAGCCAACTTCAACATCTGGGCATTCAAGGCAGCTGCCAAGGGTGCAGAGATGAAAGCAGCAGCGGAGGCCAGACCAACGAAGCGTAGGGGGACGGCGCCAGACACCCTCCGCGTTAAGCCGCTCAAGGGGTGCAAATCGGCTCCAGGCAGTGCGCCAATGTCACCACTTTCACCCACGGCCGCTACCGGTGCAGCTAGCGCGCCAATGTCACCGATGCTCCTGCCCCTGGGAGACAGTGCAATGTCTAGCCGCAACCCCTCTGTCCCCGACTTGACGGAGCCGGCCATCAACTCGACCGCCGCGTCCATGGTCAACGAGTCGCCCGCGACAGGCTCGGACGCCGACTACACGTCAGAATCGTCAGAGTCGTCGGAGGCCGAGTTCAGTCACGCCCCTCTGGACATCATCAAGGTACGTGGTGTCGAGCCCCAGTTTCGCGGCCGTACCATTGTTGCCGAACGCGTTTCCACCCACGGCAGGATATCCGCCTTTGAGCCCGACTCGCAAGTCCCTTCCCTCGACCCGTCGTTGCGTAACAAGATCGGCCGTGTGGGCGGCAACGGTCCGATCGGGACATGGCTTGTAAGGCGCCACGAGTGGGATACCAAGTACCACGCTCCCCTGCAACACTGGCGCGACAGTCACATCGAGGACCGGGCGTACGCTGAGCGCGTGGGTTTCCTCACCCGCGACCTGCAGGGCGAGAAGCCTCCTCTCTCAGCCATGGTGGGCATCGCGGACCGCGAGATGGCCCGAACCGTCGCAATGACAGTGGACGAACCGGTGGCCAAGACCAGCACCGTGCTCGTGTTCTGGACCAAGCTGAACGAGGCGGCGGATGCTGATGCTGTCGACCGCGAGAAGGACCACCACCACCACCACCACAAGGACAAGACGCCCGGCCACGGCCACGGTCACCGAAGGAGGTCGAGCGCGTCCAAGCAGGACAAGGATAAGCCATCCAAGTCGTGGGGTGACCTGCGTAGATCTAGCGTGAAAGATGGCGATGACAAGGACGGCAAGGCCGCCACCACCAGGGAAGGAAGGCGGATGAGCTGGGATTTCCGTCGTCTCTCCCTTCGCGGACACAAGAGGAGCACCAGTGATGCGGTCACGTCTGGCTTGTCGGACAAGGATGGACAGAGCAGCCCCCAAGAGCCACTGTCACCGACCAAGGCGGCCACGCCAAACAAGGCCCCCGACCTCGCCCCGATAACCACTTCCAAGCCGTCGGCTCTCCGGGCATCTGGTAGTACGACACCGGTTCCGACGTCACCGCTGCCCACGTCGCCGCTGGCCACTTCCCCGGTTATCAATGTGTCTGACGCTACAATCCCCACACCGCTCGCGCTCGCGGTCCCCACTCCACCCGACACCCAGCCAGCCGCTGAAGAGGTCGTCGGACAATAGAATACGCCCCGGACATTATAGATGTACACGCCTTTCCTTATGCACCGGCCAAGGGCCGCCCCTATGTTCACTTCCTCGCCCACACCCTTAGACGTCTGCCAAGGGCACGGCGTGTGCCTCGTATTCCAACCACTAACCAAGCAACGAACCGCCAAAGCCAACTGTGCAACTCTACTGCGCGTCTATCTCAAGAATTCGAAATAGCTAGCGTGGATGGATGGTTCTCTATGGTCGACCTCTAACCGATGTTACGGGGATACAGTACAGATGGGTACGCTGTAGATATGCGTTGCGCGCAGCAAACTTGATATCGCCCCTCCCCCCCCCCGGGACACTTGTCCTCGTCCCTCTTCCCTCTATCATCGTGGTCGGATCTGCAAATGATGGCGGATGGCTTAAATGCTGAGTGCAGTCAGTTTCTGTGTCTTTACCCCCAAGGGTCGAGGGTGGCCTGTAGTATCGACCGTTGACTCAGGACTCACCTCATGAGCGAAATGATGCGGAACTCCTTCTTGCCTCCCGGGTCAGCAGTCTGGTCACGGAGCACACAGTGCAGCGTGTGCTCTCCCGGTGCAACTCTGTCCCAGGTGGTGGTACGGCCGATATTGTACGGCTCGTTCCAGTATCCCTCAATGTACTTTGTTGTCGAGTCTTCCGTATCGTCGATCCAGCACCGAATGTTGCCGAGGCCAAACTCGCGGGAACGGAGATACTGGAGGATGACGTTGCCTTGAGTGGTGGTGAAGGGGAACGAAATCTTGGAACCGGGCTCGTCGGCGATCCAGTACTTCTTCTCGGGAGACGACGACCATTCGCGCCACCCATGGTTGTCCTTGGGCAACAGCGGGAACGTGTCCGAGTTTGTCGTGCGGCAGAAGGGCTTGAGGATGGGCTCGACTTTACCGGGTGTAAACTTGCCAAAGACACGCTGCGGGGGCACCTCGCCAATCGTGTACTTTGTCTTGGCGTCGGCCTTCTCCAGCGCGTCCATCTCGCACAGCTGCGACTCGATGTACGCCATCATGACGTCGCCCGAGAACGCATGCAGCGTGGGGCCAAAGTGGCGCAGGTCGATACCGCTGGGGAAGGCTTTGTCGTTGGTGAACCACTTGGGCAGGATCGTGTGGTCGTCCCAAACGGACTGAAGCAGGGCCACACGCGAGTCGACGACGGGAACATCATAGAACTGCGCCACGCCGTAGTTCTGAATTGGCGTTAGCTTGGATTGCTGGTGTGACGAATGCGGCGCAAACCTACCAGGTCACCTGCCATCGCAATGTTGTCGAACATGAGCGCAAACGTGCTGGATTAGTTAGCCAGGGAAGGTTGGGAACGTAGCAGTCAGACTCACTTGTAAATAAGCACAGCAGGCTCATTCTCGCGCTGGAGAAGCGAGCGGATCAGGAGCTCAAACGCCTCAACACTGGGCTTGGCACTGGATGTTAGATTAGCGTGACTAAACATGATCTCACGGAGGGCTGTTGATTCCTGCGACCTGGTCAGCGACATGTCACACAAACTCAAACATGGACAAGACGTACCAACTTCGACCACGATCAGGTCGGCGTCTTCCGGGATGTGGAGGTGTGCACACATACAAAAGTACTCGGCGCCTGCAGAGATGTGGTGTTAGCCATGCGCTTAGACTGTTTCGCCTGCACGCTATGTGTAAAAGCAATGTCGGCTGCAAATACAATAGCCGCCATTCCCGTCTCCACCTTCCGACTACCGAGGGTGTGCTCTACCACATTGCGCTCACCTTGTGCTGGCTGACCGCCGTTGATAAATTCGCTCTTTGTGGGCTTGAAGGTGTCCTGGAGGTGCTTGTACAGGATGGCGTGCATGTTGCCTGGGCCGTACTTGTGGTCGTCCTCCTTGAGGCCGTGACCGCTGGAGACCGAGCCGCCAACAACGGCCATCTTAAAGTCCTTGCCGTTACGCATCTTGTCGAGCACGCGGCGCAGGCGTTTGTTGCTGCCTATGCGGTGTCAGCTGTTTGGAACGGTCACGGTAGGGCGCGATCATCGCGCAGGTGCGTACCAGGATAGGTGACGGAACGACGGACCTCCTCCTCTCTGTGTAGGCGTGGTCAGTTCGCGCTCACAGTCTTACAACCACGACCCGACTCACCCGTACTGCTCGCACAACTTCTTGCCGACGGGGCCCTCGCACATGCCGCACTTGTCCTGCTTGACGTTGACATACTCCTTGACAATCTTCTCGACCTCGACGATCACCTTTTCGGGTGCAGGTTTTATGGGCTTGGGGCAGAGTTCCGATGCGAGACCCTTGTCCGACTTGAGCAAAGCACGGAACTGGTCATGGTCATGGATGGACGACGACTCGACAACATGCGTCTGGTCTGCAAAGGACGCGTCCTTGTGCTTGCCGGCATAGACGCTGAGGACAAAGACGATTAGGGCGATGTTGGCCACAAGAGACAGCCGGAACCATGTCCTGCGCCTCTCGGCAGTGTTCATCATCGCCAGGCGGAACCGCGGAGCAGATAACGAGGAGGAGGAAAGAGCGCGCGGAGGGATCTGCTTGCTGTCCGGCGAAGTCGGGACGTGATCTTTGGGCGCGCGGCGTAAAAGGCCTGATGTCCATCAGCTTCACAGACCAGCGATACCACTCAGTTGGAAATGGCAAGTCTGGTACTCACAATCACACAACGGGCTATCTGGACATACGGCCGGGGCCGCGTGTGGGGTCAAGTAATCGTACAAGAAGAGGAATCGAAAGTTGCAGCAGAGAGGGCCAAAGATACTACGTGACGGGCGTGAAGCGCGTGAAACATCCCGCGTGGCCGTGGTCCTGATCTTACAGGGTAACTGTTAGGGTTGACGGGACGTTGGGTCTGCACCCGAGAGCTGCATGCCTGAGTGCTTCGCTCGGCCTGGCGTTGACCTGCCTCAACTCTCTGCTGTACGATCTGCGCGCGAACGCCCAAGTGCACGGTGCTACACGGCGTTTGCCCGTCCAAACAAAGCGGCAGTCAAAAAAGTAGACGGCAGTTTGTTGCACGCTCCAGGGATCATTGCGGGATCGGCAACCAGTCATGGCAAAAGGGTACACGTAAACCCTTCAACGCCCGTCGGCTCAACCACAACGGCCTCTCTCCACATTGGTGAGTAACATTGACACTCCAGCTTGTGACTCTTTATCCAGCTTGTCCATGGATGACAACTGACACGTCGTTGACAACCAAAGGCTCCGCAGGGGGGACGCGTTCAAAATGGGGCCTGACGAGACGCGTGTTGGCGCATGACACGCGTGGACCGTTTATCAGACTGTCTCCAGGTCCCAAACGTCGAATTTACAAACGAGCGGCGGCGACAAGGCGGCACGCCTGCTCTTAACGTAATGCGTCGCCTCGTATTCACCAGAGTCTCAATTGACTCTTGCAAATGCCACCGTTGAATGTCAAAACCCAACTCAAAATGCTGAAAAGCCGTGGCGTTATTGTCATTGTCTTGAGCACCGCTGATTGTTCACCAAGCTGGGACATTTGTGGCACAGTCCATATAGACAACCTGTCCAAGACCAAGGCAAAGGTCGGGTTGCAGGTTGGTGCATTGTGTGCTTGGTTACACACTTTAGAGCTCCACCTTGCGGTTCTTGATGCCGAGGAGCTCGACGTCAAAGGTGAGGGTGGCCTCGGCGGGGATGACCGGCGGGTGGCCGCGCTTGCCTGTCCAGAGTCAGCTACCCAGTCTCAGTGTCTGCTTGCCACTAGTCTGCAGCAAATCTACAAGTGTCACGAGATCACGACACCGTACACCTTGCAGTAGTTTGCAATGGAATTGAACCTTCCGACGCGGAATGTGTGGACTGCATCCGACACCTTTCCAATGCGCCAATGCCCACCACCAATAATGTATCGGCTCCTCTTTGAAACTCACCGTAGCCCATGTCAGCGGGGATGGTCAAGACACGCTTCTCGCCGATGCACATGTCAAGGAGGCCCTGGTCCCAGCCCTTGATCACCTGGCCGGCACCGACTGCGAGTTGTCAGTCACAAGGCAAACGAGGACACATCGTCGAGGTCTATCGATCGTGGGGACATGACACAGTGGGCAAACGGGGTCGACCGATGACCATGACACCATCACACAATGGCATGGGCAGATGTTGAGGTAGACCCGAGAGGGCGTGGGTGTATTACTCACGAGTGAACTCGAAGGGACGGTTGCGGTCACGCGACGAGTCAAACTTGGATCCGTCATCAAGAGTGCCAGTGTAGCTGCGTTTGTTAGCACTGTCCCGGAGAAACCAAGTGGAACAACGTCGTGGGGGGCGAGAGAGACCACGATGGAAACAGGGAACGAGGATCTCATTATTGCTTTCGGGGCAATCGACATGCCCAAGTCACAAGGCACAGGTTATCGGAATCCATGGGCCATTTCGGTCCACTGTCCAGGTAACTGGAATTGCAGATCGCTCGGCCGTGACGATGTGGGCCAGCGGGCGATCCCCATGTGGCGCAGCAGATCGCCGGTTACTGACGGTGGAACACAGCCTTCAGCGGCGACGACCGCCATAACATCGAGCTGCCCACGACCTCGCCCACGACCTCGCCAACAGACCAGAAGAGGGTACTGGCCCACTCGGCGGTCGTCGTATCCGAGCCCCGAAACGCGGATTCCGTCCAGCGGTGCTTGTTCACAGTGCTACTCCTTCACCCATACTGTCCACAAGGCAGCTGAATTGAAGGTTTAGGCGAATGGAAGGCGGCCATCGCTAGCGGGATCGGCGGTCGATCTCGCTCCGCGACAACGGCAAGTCCAGCAAGACGTAGCTTGATTTACTACGGTATACGGCGTCTGCGAATTCATAGGGACTTTGGGGGACGGTAGGAAGGTCACAGGATCACAGGCAAGGTGATGGGTAAAGGGAGGAGGCAGGACGCAGGCAGAAGGCAGGAGACAGGACCGAGGAACGAGGACGGGTTCTGTGAAGACGCGACTCACTGCATGCTCATCTTGTCGCCCTTGCGCGACTTGAGGCCGCACGAGTCGGGCTTGTAGGTGACATCGATCTTGAGGTCGTTGGCGGCCACAAGCACCGCGAGGGCGAGGGCGAGGAGGGTGAAGATGGGACGGAGCATGGTGCTTGAGAAACGAAGAGAAAGAGCAAAGACACAAGCAACCAGCAATGAACACCAGGGAACACACGCGCGTCATCGGCTCGCGTGGCAGAGGCCGTGGCAGAACGCGGGGCGTGGCACAGCTCGCTGGAAATGCTTCCGCTCCACCACCCTCACTGACTGCCGCCGGCGGGTTGACGAAAGGCGTGGCCAGGATATCGTCTCGTCTGCGCTCTGGCCGATATATGACTGCAAACACCACAAAGCATCCCCTTTTTTTTCGCAAACGTGTTGGGAATAAAATCGTATAAAGCGCGGCGGTGGGGCTGGCACCGGACAAAATGTGGCATACTTGCGCCGATCCGTGCGTGTGATGAGTGAACAGCCGAGGCAACCTTTTACCTTTGGTTTTTCTTGCGGTTCAGCTTTCATCCCCCACCCGAGTTACAAGCCGTGGCCTGGAACCGAGTACCAACCCACACCCCGCCTTTTCGTGATCCATGCTTTATTGCCAGTATGGTTGGCAGAGGCCACGTGGATTTGTTTAACACTAGCTTCGGAGCTCACCCCAAGAGGGCCAGATCTCCTTGGGCGATCTGTGCCGAGCGTCGAGCGGCCAAGACCTTGACAAGGGTCCTCCCCTTGACCGGGGATCTCTTGGGAGTCTGTCCGAGTGAGGCTAACGCTGTCCGCCTGAGACGCGGCGCATAGTGCTCCTTCCTCTTCCCCGCCCCGTTCACATCTGCCGTCACTCGTTCTGACAGCGGGCCACTGGTCTTGAGACGTTTGCGGGAACTTGTCCGCCGCTTTCCAGCAGCTTGTTTGTCTTTCCATATTTTCCGGTGCTTAAACCTGCAAGACGCTCCTGAGAGCTCCTGTCATTGCCGATCCGGGGCATGTGATCTGGCTGATGTAAAGAGTACCAAAGAACAGTGCCGACAGCCACACACGGTCTTCATATTCCTTCTGTGTCTGTGGGCCCTGTGGGCTGTCCCAATTTGTTATCCCCCCCGATTTCAGCAGGGCTTGGCGGACAGGACCGTTTTCCGCAATGGGAACGTGCACCCCCCATGCCACATGTGTACACATGTCTTGTAAAATGGACATTCATGTGAGCGGTTGCCTTGGCCCACGGCGCCTGCGAGCGACATGCCTGGAGGATCTCTCTGCTGCGCAAAAGCCGGGAAGGATGGGGGTGCGCGGCCGAGAGGGCGTTGGAGTCGAGTCCCCGTCGCGCGGAAAGTGAGTCAGGTGGACGGACCCGTTTGTCATGGTGTGTCTTTTGGTGTCGTTTTAGCGCCGCCGACAATTGTTGCACCACCTGCATGTATGTCCAGAGGACCACGAGGAGGACATTGGTAGGGACGAAGAGGACAAGGGAGAGGGTCTCGCCAGATGCGGGCAAAAGGGGAGGAGGAGCGGAGGGGTTGGGGTAAAGGGTGTGTGTGGTGGGAAGTTGTGCCACACTGTCGGCCTGGCAGGCAGGGCGGCGGCGGCGGCGGGGTGTGTGATCTCTCTCTGTTGCGAGCTAGCGTCATCGCTTGCGTCCAGTCGCAGTGGTCGTGTCCCCGGACGACCCAAGCCGCCTTGACAGCGTAACACTGCCTGGACCCCCGCCAGAGCGTGATCGCATGCATGCATGGGAGAGACACACATACACGTCGCACGTCCTCTCAAGTGTACCGGGTACGTTGCATCCATGCATGCCGAGGTGGTGTCGCCAGGTGGTGTCCCAGGATGCGGCTGCAGATGCCCCCCCGCGCGCGCGCGTGTGCGCTGTTACCTGCTGCCCTTGCTCTCTCTCCCCTTGCTCGCTGCCGTCCTGTTGTCGTGTCGCTACACAGCGGCCGGGGGTCTCTCTGTACCTCTGTCTTCCCTCTCCGTTAACCGTGCATCCTTCTTTTCATCATCCTTTCATCCGTTTCTTTCCCCACCACACTCCTTGCCATAGCACATTCCCTCTACACCACTCTCCCAAACATGCTGGGCCGCCCCTTCGGCGACGAGCCGTTAAAGAAAATCCCCATTCGGAGGCCCCGCAAAGCGTGAGTTGTTGCCGCTCGGACGCACACACCCACACAACACGTCCACACGCCCAACATGCTCCCACACGGCTCTTGCATCGCTCGCCGCCAACACCCGCTAACGCGCATATAGCTGTACAACCTGCCGCGGCCTCAAGGTGAGTGATCGCCTCGGCTCTGTGAGCCGTTGTACAACCGTTGACAATGGCAGACGCGCTGTCTCCCGGACAGCGAGCATTCCGACCCCCAGGCGCGGTGCAGCCGTTGCGCCCGTCTTGGCCTCACTTGTGTATACTCTCGTGCTCGTCGTAGGTAAGTCCTCTCTCTCTCTGTCTTTCTTCCCATCAGACCAAGGGCTTATCCATCTTCTTCTCCAGACCCCAGAGCGCATCCCCTTCCAGCCCCAAGACTGCGTTCCGAAGCCACCCCACCGGCCACCTTAACGGCGGCGTCCACATCAACAACAACCCTGCCTCTATGCGCTGGGACATGCGCAACAACGCCCAAGCCGGTCCATCCAGTAGCATTCGTCTCGTCCAACCCATGAACGGCATCATAAATCAGTGGACCGCCGTGCAAGCCGACAGTCACCATGGTACTGCCTTCCGTTCGTCTCCCACTGGGCCCTATGCGCCAAGCACCACTGGCAGCCTGGACACAATTACCTCGCCCACTCTCAACAGTAACATGATGGCTTCCTCACAGCCGGGGAAAAGGGCCGGCGGTGCCGTCTTCACCGACTTTCTTGAGCCCCATCTCGATGCTGACGTCTCGCGCTCGCCAAGTCCACACCTGGCCCCCACCCGCAACTCAATCTACACTGACCCTGTGGACTCTGGACAACTGTCAGAGCCCGAGGCCCGTTATCTCTTTGACCAGTGAGTTTGCTCCGCACTTCCACGTTGACAATAGATTTTTCATGCGGGTGAACGCGAGCTCTGGACTGTTTGACACGGTGTATCACACGTACGACCGTGTCCGCACCTCTCCCATTCTCTTCACTGCCATTCTCGCCGCCTCGAGCCGCTTTTTCCGCCTCGACCTTGTGGAGAGTATGCACACGCTGGCTGACACCCTTATCATGGGTGCTGTTTTGGCCGGTGAGCACGACCTGCAGCTGGCCCAGGCGATTCTCGTCCTCGTCTACTGGAAGCGCAATCCAGATGACCGAACCGCCTACGTCAAAATCGGCCTCGCCTGTCGTATCCTCGTTCAACTTCGCATCTCGCTGCCGACCGGACACCTTCAACCTGCCATGTCCGAGGAGCAGGAACGCTGTCAGGTCGATGCGGAGCGCACCATGTTCAGTAAGTCTAGAGGGTTGCGTGGTTGCGGCGACACAGAAACATAAATGCTGACCAACCCAGACGCGTTTTGTAGGTCGGATTGAACGTGGTCTGGAGCCGGCGCTTACTTGCAGCCATGGATATGTGGTACTCGCTCATCCTTCAATTACCTCCTAACACCTCCTGCTCGCTTCCGAACATGAACGCCATTTTAGCGTGGGCCGACAACCACCGTCACCTCGATGTGCCAGGTGATTATTTCAAGGCCTTTGTCTCTGGGTGAGCACACCGAAACCGTCCCCCGGTTCCTAGGAATTGGAAATTGTCTGACCATTGGCAGTCTCTGGGACATTCAGAAGGATGTGACCGACCAGCCTTTTGTGTTCGACGCTCGCATAAACGACTTTAACTCTTGGCCGCACGAACAACAGGAAAAGCGCCTCGCCGATCACATGAACGCTTGGATGAACAACCCCAGCCTTCGCGGCTCCTTCCGCCACCAAGCTCAGCTCATCAGCCAGGTCGTTGCTCTCAAGGTCCGCGTCACCTTGGTGCTCCAAGGTGCCGACAGAACAATCCCCGTTTCCACACTGGTGTCCCAGGCTGAAGACATTGGCGCACTGATCACGGGTCTCGCAGCCGCTGGCGAGTTCTTGTATTGGTACGACCTGATTTACTGGATGATCCCAATGCCTGGTATTATGCTCCACAAAGTAGGTGTTTCTTTGATGGCATCGCTGACCTGTCAGGTTCGCGGCCACCTCAGCGTCGAGGACCATGCCCGTGTCCTTGCCTTCTGCTCCGACCAGCGTGACAACTTTGAGCGCCTTGGCAACGCCCAGCCTGACACCACATTCATGTACATTGGACGCTTCTACGGCCGCCTCTGCAAGGCGTTCAGTCGACTCCAGAAGGGTGGCGATGACCCTCAAGTTGTGGCAGTAAGTATTTGGCTCTTGATACGGAAGAGAAGACGCCAGAGCTGATTATCAAGGCCATCAACCACCTCATGAACGGTGTCCCGCACTGGTCCCCTCTCGTCAACGTCATGGGCGACCAGGGCGACCTTTCTAATACCGAATGGGCCTGGTTATCAATGAACCATCCCCAACCGAATACCTGGGACCAGCAGTAGACGTATCCCGAATTTCAGCCCTGTTCAATCCTGTTTCCTTTTCTTTTTTTTTGTGTTTGTTTTTTTTAATTGGCCTGTTGGAAGAAAACTTGACCCCAATACCCGACCCAAAAAGAAACCCTCCCCTCCCCTTCTATGGATGTGCATAAACGCACATGGACGCTTCTCCCCGGCCCAGCCCGCCTGGCCCCACCCGGGACGGTCTGGCGAGACGGCAGAGCAATCAACCGCGACAATAGACTCGAGTAACAAAGCTGTAGCTCGTAGTAGCACAAACATCCTCTGATGTATCCTGTTTTCCGAAATGTTTCTTCCCATCCACAAAGCAGACACGTACATCCACCAAGGCCTGTCGCTCCCGGCGGAGCACCCTGCGTCAAAAACAAGTGGTCACAGTGCCACCTTGCCTCATGCCACATACCGCGGCCGTGCCTCCAAGCGGTATGTCTGGGGACGTTGGGAAGGCCGAGGGCGAGATATACACAAAAGTCGATTTACGCCGGGCCGCGCTGGTCCAATTCAGGCGGCCATGCGTGGGGGGAAACAACCGTGTAGAGGCCTTGCGCGCGCGCGCGCGCCACTGTTCCGGCCTCTGACAACGTGAGGGGGCCTGTAGGTACACCCCCAAGCGCGATCTGCGGAATGCTGTTCATTCACCGTGAGGCCTTTTTCTCGCTGCGGATCGTGATCGACCGATCGATCACACGGCCAACAACGCTGTCCACATGGTCCCACACCCAAAGCGCTGCGTGCTGCGTGATGCGTGATGCCGGTGGCATATAGGTGGCGGTATCCTGTTAGCCGCTTTGCACACTACCATACTCGTGTGGCGGCCCAACCCTGGCCCTTGGCGTGGCCTGCGCCAGACACTCACTTTGCCACGGCAAAAAGCGTGTCCGCTCAGGACACGACAAAAGCCGGTCAGTGGCCCAGAGGTCAGAGCGAAGAGAAGAGATCTGGCCACATCAGGCAGTGCCATCCAGTTCGGTCCCCATGCCAAGCCGCGAACCACATGTGTTCACCTCTGTTCTCACATGTTCACATGCCCATGGCAAGATTCACCAAACAACGAACCCTTGGCGCCACATCTCTCTGATCTCTCACTGGTCACGCAAACAGCCACGCGTTCGCCCGCGCCCCCAAGACTTCACCTCGTCCGTCGTCCGTCGCGAGGCCCCATTGCTCCCATTTGCAAACCAAAGCATGCTCATGAAGAATTCTGTATCATAAATTCCAGACCTAACAGCGGACTACGTGCTCGTAGCTCGTCAAACACTGCACACCACTCGCGCCCCCATGGAATTGTAAATTTCTTTAATTTCTTTCGTTGTCCGCCGTCGTCCCCGACTCGCCGTTGAAGCGAATCCGGGAGGCGCGCAGGCGTTCGTGCCCCGGTCTTACTATCCGGCGGCCTCGAAACGCGCGCGCGCACGCGCACGCGCGCAAAAACGAAACAAAAACAAAAACAAACGAACAAGAATATCCCAAGGGAACACACACGGTGTGCGCCTCCTCCCTTCCCCCCCTCTCGTCCTCACCCCCGTCGAGGTGGGTCTGCGGAGCTCGCGTCGTCGTTGAGCGCGCGCGCTTTTTCTTCGCCCCGCGTATTTTTTACTGTTTTCCTACTCGTCCTCTGTCCTCTCTAAGAGATGCACTCGGGCTTTCCCCCTCCTCCTCCTCCTCCGCCGCTGCCGCCGCCGCCGACGTCGCTCGCGTCCACTGTCCCCATCACCACCGTCCTCACCCGCACTAAGCGATACGCTTAGTGGTGGAAGAGACGGAGGTTGGTGTGGGCGTACACGATGCCGTACTCGTTGGCGACCTTGACGCACTCTGCGTCCATGATCGAGCCCGAGGGGGCGGCAATGTACTGGACACCGGAACGGCGGGCGCGGTGGACGTTGTCCGGGAAGGGGAAGAAGGCGTCCGAGGACACCGAGACGCCCTTGAACTCGGCCATGTGGGCGGCCTTCTCCTCGGCCGAGAGGGGCGCGGGGACGGTCTCAAAGAGCGACTCCCACTGGGCGCGCTCCGAGGGGGACGCGACAAAGGCCTCGCCAGTGACGAAGAGGTCGATGGCGTTGGACTTGTCGGCGCGCTTGGTGCCCTTCTTGAAGGGGAGGGCGAGGACGCGCGGGTGGTGGCGGAGCCACCAGTTGTCGGCCTTGTCGCCGGCAAGACGGGTGCAGTGGATACGCGACTGCTGGCCGGCACCGAGGCCGATGACGGCACCGTTGAGGGTGTAGCAGACCGAGTTGGACTGGGTGTACTTGAGGGCAAGGGTGGCGACGAGCAGGTCGGTGACGGCGTTGGCGGGCAGGTCCTTGTTCTCAGTGACGAGGTTGGTGAAGAGCGAGTTGTCAATCTTGATGTCGTTGCGGCGCTGCTGGAGCGAGATACCGTAGACCTGGCGGGTCTCGATCGAGGGGGGAACGTAGGTGGGGTCCATCTCGAGGACGCAGTACTTGCCGCCCTTCTTCTTCTGGAGGATCTCGAGGGCAGCGGGCTCGTAGCCGGGGGCGATCACACCGTCAGAAACCTCACGCGAGATAATCTTGGCGGTGGAGACGTCACACACGTGCGAAAGAGCGAGGAAGTCGCCAAACGACGACATGCGGTCGGCACCACGGGCACGAGCGTAGGCGCAGGCAAGGGGCGAGAGGGTGAGGTCGTCAACGCCAAAGACCTTGGCCTCGACCTCGGAGAGGGGGACACCGACGGCGGCACCGGCGGGCGAAACGTGCTTGAACGAAGCGGCAGCGGGGAGGTCGAGGGCCTCGGCGAGCTCCTTGACAAGAGCCCACGAGTTGAGGGCGTCGAGGAGGTTGATGTAGCCGGGCGAGCCAGAGAGGGCTGCGCAAGACGTCAGCAACCAAAAGGTTCGTGTGCGGGGTATCAGGTATTTATGGCAGGGTTATTACCCCAGGGGTGTGCAAGTCCTGTCCCCCCATAGGGTTCGTTCGGCCAATTCAAGAAAGTTCTTTGCGACTCGACTCACTCTTGATGGGCATCTGGCCCTCCTCAACAAAGGCCTGAGCAGGCTTCTGGTGAGGGTTGGCGCCGTAGCGGAGGGGAACACGCTGGTACGAAACGCCGGCGGCAGCGATGAGGTCCTTGGCCGAGTCGGTCGACGAGTACTCCTTGCGGAAGTAGTCGGAAATGGCCGAGTCGTACGAAGCAGTGGCCTCAAAGGCCTTGAGGGCGAGACCGCGGCGGGTGGCAGACGAGACCTCACCGCTGGCCTTCCACTCGGCAATGACGGCGTCGTAGTCCGAGGGCGAGCAGACAATCGAGGTGCGCTCGTGGTTCTTGGCACCGGCACGGAGGAGGGTGACACCACCAATGTCAATCTCCTCGACGGCGGCCGCGATGGTGTTGTCGGGCTTCTGGGTCTGGAGGACGAAGGGGTAGAGGTTGCAGACAACAAGGGTGATCTGGTTGATACCGTTCTCAGCGAGGTCCGCGAGGTCCGAGGGGATCGAACGCGAAAGGATACCACCGTGGACAGCGGGGTGGAGAGTCTTCACACGGCCGCCGAGCATCTCGGGGGCGTTGGTGATGGACGACACGTCCCTAGATGACAAGTCAGCTGTTGTGCTTCTGGGGACGGAAAACACCACAGCCAAACGTACTCGATCTCAATGCCATTGTCACGGATGAGGCGGGCAGTACCACCCGAGCCAAGGAGACGGAAACCGAGCTCCTTGAGCGACTTGGCGAACGGCAGGAGGCCAGTCTTGTCGTAGACCGAGAGAAGAGCTAGGGGGGAAGAGTTAGCAGCTGTTGCCAACGCCAGGGCAGGCTGCACTCGAGCTGTGCTTGCCAAAGAGGGCTCACCGATGGGGGCAGACATGGTGTCGGGGGGGTGGGTGGGGTTGTTGAAAGTTCAACAAAATCGCATCTGGGTCCGATATTGAGGTCTGAGCCGATCCGCCCGTACTGCCTGGCATCGAGCTCGTCATTCCAGAAATCCCAGAAAAAGTCAGGGCTGTTTTATGACGTGTTATTAATTCCCTCAGCCAAACGGATGGCCCCGCAGTGATACGGGGACATTCGCGATCTGTGTTTGGCTGGCGAGACTCTCGAGTTCGTGATAAGTGACGTCATTGGTAGCCACAACCCTGTTCGCCCGTTAATTGTTGAGTCGTTGCTGCTTTGCTCTGTAGACCCTGTCACTCACCTCGCGCGGCACGTTGAATCTGATCACAACTCTGCTCTGTGTCTAACGGCCCAAAAGACTGTGTTGCAGCAGTAGCGACAGCGGCTGGTCACTCTTGTTTTGGCAAATGCCGTTATCACGAGCCTGCAGGGGTATGTGTGGGGAGCAGACGCCGAAAGTCGGTCAGCGCCCATTTCACAGCCGGCTCGCCACCCATAACAACGTAACATTGAACACTTGCTCACTGCTCAAGACCCCTTCTCACTCATCCTCCATCCACACAAACACACTTCCCCACATCTACATACCATGTGCCACCGCACTACATGTCCAAATGACGGCAAGCCCACTTGGTGGGGCTGTGGCCACCACATCGAACAGGTGAGCCCTGGAAACGTCCCAATAGGCCCGTCCTGAGTGGAAAACATGGACTCAGAGCAGCCACTCATGATGACTCTCGACTTGCGTGGTGTCATCGGTGGTCTGCCTTTGCTCCTATTATCTTCATGTGACGAAGCCAGAGACGCTGCAGTGCATCAACAACGTACTGATACCCACACCCTCAAGGCCTTGGCCGGCGTTCCCGAGGAAGAGCGATGCCAGTGCGAACACGTGGCCATCCCCGGTGTCAAGGTGCTGTACAAGGTCAAGGCAAACGACGAGGCTGCAGCTCAGCAGTGGTGGCCCAAGCGATGGCTTGGGTGGTGAGAAGCGTTTGACTTTTGGTGTGGTCCACGCCGCCTAAACATGTGGAGGTAGGGCGCCCGATACGCCGGCGGAGTCCGGTCTCGGTCGTCCTAAAGGGGCAGACGCTGTAATATGAGCGCAAGGCTGGGCGAGGAGTGCAGAGTGCGGACTGAGATATGCATGTTCAAATGGTTATAGTCGGACCTCTTGACAGGACGCGTGTGTGGTTGTGCAGATTAACAGAGCACGGGATGTGAGACAAAGCACTTCAAAAGTTTGTATTCAAGAAGTGTTAATGACAGGGTCCCGTCTATGTGGTTGGTGATCGTCGCCGTCCCTGCTTTTACACGTAATGTTCCTATTTCGAATCTCGAGCATGTTTTGTGTTTTCGACCTTTTTGCATTGGTGTGTGGACAGTCAACGTCCGCCCTCTCCTTTGCACGCGGCCGTCAGCCACGCGTGTCATTCATTCATACGCGTACACGCGTACTGTGCACCCACATGGGTGTCTGGAAAAGAGACGCGCGTTGACGCGTGGTGTGTTGCAAAACAGCCTTCATTGAGCCCACATATTGAGTGCCACGGGCCACGGACCTTTTGGCGTACGGGCGTTTGTCTCTCAAAGTCTCCGCCAGTCGTCCCGCCATGTCCCCATATGGCCGTGCGTGCCAGAGACCAGACGGTGCGCACAATTCCCGTAGCCTGTGGCCTGTGGTCTCCCGCCTGGACGTCCTGGACGTCCAGACACTGCACTCGTTGTCGATCTGGCGCGGCCTGCCTTTGTTCGTCCATTCCAGGCCCTGAGAGAGAAGTATGGATGGATGCTGGCGCTGAATGAACTGAATAGAGCCGTTTGAGACACTCTGGGGTCCAAGGCGGTAGGGACAGAATGGCCTGGAGCGATGACCAGAGTCAGCTGCTCCAGCGAAACGACTGGCGCGACTGGCCTACCGGCACCAGTCGCAACGTCCGAGTAGGTGCAGAACGGTCTAAAGCGAGCCGATTGCTGATGCATTCCTGTGGCCTGTGGGAGGTGCACACACCCCCTAGTGTGCGCTCCCCCCCTTGGTCCCATCCACAACCACACACACGCAATGGTTGTCTGGGTGGAATCCAGTACGAGGACCATGCATGCAGCCACAAAGGGAAAGGCGAGGCATTGAGTGTTCTGAACAAGTGTCCAGAACTGCACGACCTGTACGCGCAGTCTCGTTGCTCAATTGACATTGAAAAAGGACCTGGGCTGGCTGGCTGTGTTGGCGGCTGCGTGGCGTATTACGACGGTACGACGGACGGCGCGGGAACGTGGGAGAGACGACAAAAGGCAAAGGGTTCTCTCATGCTTTTGAACCCGCCGCCCTCTGCTCCACTGCCCCCACCGGCCAAGGCCACAGGCGGGGGCCTGGGCGGGCTGGACCTGGGAATGATGGCAGCGGGAAGGGAACACTACGGCATGCGCGCAAAGTGGCTGTGGGAGTCGAGTCTGTGTGGTGGGTGGTGGTGGGATGGTGTGTGTGGTGTGTGTGGTGTGTGTGCTGGGTGTTGCGGTGGGGGGCGACTTGGCAAGCCGCGGCTGTGTGAGAGACAGTGGGATGAGTGTGCCCCCCCCCGTCTCCCCCCTTGTTGCACGCGTCTTGCTCTCTTTCACCCACTCTCCGATGCTGCTCAACCTCAGTCACAAACGCTCAACCATGCCTCGCCCGATACAGCTCGTCACAGCCGTACTGGGCGCCTGCGGTCTCATCCTCTTTTTTGGCGCCGCCCACTCAGAGGTCAACCCCACCTTTACAGACGCCGACAACAACAGCTCCGGCGATCGCACCCACGACCTCAGACACAACGCAGTCGTGCCACCACCCGGCTCTCAAAAGACCCTCGGCTGGCTCCCGTCCAACTGGTACGGCAACAACGAGCAGCAAAAGGTGGTCCAGCACGTAACCGACAATGTGGCAGCGGACGACGACCTCTACATGTCGTTCCACAACGGCGTGCCCCAGACCACCCTCACGTCTGGTATCGCCGGTTTCAGTGAGTTTCCCACCCATAGTCCACCAGATACGCGTCTTCCCCCATTCATATACGCGTCTTCCCCCGTACATACGCGTCTTCCCTCCACCACGCTCACGCACCCACTCTACAGACTTCTTCACCAACCTCTATCTCTTCAACGGCACCTTCTACTTTGTCACCGACGATGCCGAGGCCGCCGGCTTCCCCGCCCAAGGTCCTGGCTACATCATGAGCGACGTCTCCGGCGCCACCAAGGAGACGGCCGGCCCCGATCGTTGGCAGGTCATCACCCCCGCCGAGGCCAAGCAGGTTCTGGGACGGATGGCAATCCGCCGCCACGGTGTTTCGGTACGTCTAGTAGCTGGCAGCATCTGGCATTTCACTGCACACACCCCCTTCTGACCAACGGTGCAGCACTACTTTAACGACCGTGACGGCGGTGGCTCACAGGCCTTCCTTGCTCACTACTACCACTGTACGTAACTCCCTAGCGTGCTGAAATCAAAAAGCTGACGTGTATACAGTCAGTGCGTGTCAATGATCACAGCGTGGACGAGTTTGCGCATAGCTGACACAGTCACTTTCCTGTCCTTTTTGCCTTCTTTTCTGCCACTATCGCGTTGGACATTGCAGTTGGTGGGTTGTCCCTGATATTGCGCAGTCGCTGACGTCTAGGCGAGATGTTCATCGGTCTCTGGCGCCTGTCGGCATCGGCTGGCAGCTACGAGCTGCCCGCACGCCTCGTATTCCTTAGCGAAGGCGCCGAATGGGTGAGTACAAGTGTGACACGCTTCACAGGTCACTGCACATGTCACTGACATGGTCCAGCGCGACAGGGCCCGTACGTTTTGAGATGATGAGGCAGGGCGGGGTTGTTTTTTGTTTTTTTTTGGAGCTCACCATGCCACAGGCATCACCCCTTGGTTCCAGCGCACCATCATGGCCGAAACTGTGATTGAGGAGCATCCAGACTGGGAGGACCGCAAGCTGAGCGGCGTCACCTTCGTGTATGACAAGATTGGCATTGCAGACGTGAGTGCCACTTCTTTCTCAAACGCAATAACTCGACCCTGACCACCACCCTTCAGCGATGGGCGGCCCACAGGCACGGCACCCTCGAGGTCAAGCACTGGAACAAGGCTATTGGCGACCTTCCCCAGCTCCGTGTCCCTCTCAACTGGATGGACCCCCTCCGCGACCGTGTCGTGCAGGTCTCCGAGGTGTCCGGATGTACGGCTAAGCGGGCCCAACCCACTGTCCCCGTTGTCACTTATATTGACCGGTACGTCGTCGTGTCTTTTTCCGGAACCTTTAAACCTCGCTTCGTCTCCGCTGACACGCTCACAGCCAGAAGACTGCTCGCCGCCTTCTGCCCGACTGTCACGAGGACCTGGTCAAGTCGCTCCAAGCTCTCCACGACAACGGGGACATTGAGTTTGTTCACGCGCAGATGGAGTTTATCGAACGCACCGAACAGTTCTGTCTCGCCGCTCGCACAGACGTAAGTAGCGTCCGTCCGTCGGCTTTGCGGGTACCCAGCTAACCACCTTCCCAGATCATGGTCGGTGTCCACGGAAACGGTCTCAGCCACCAGCTGTGGATGAAGCCTGGCAGCGGTGTGCTTGAGGTGAGTCTTTTACCCACTTGCAGTCCCAGGCAACGTACTGACGCGTCTAGATCATGATGCCGGACTCGTTTTTGCGCGACTACAGCATCCTCGCCGAGTTAATGAGCCACGAGTACTATGCCGTCCACAACGACACGTATCTCCCTCGTGACAAGTGGCGTCGCCCCGATGGATGGGGTATCGGCGCGAATGACGACTTCCACAGCTCCAAGATCCCGGTAAGTACAGCCAGCTTGTGATCGTAGATTTGTCTAAGCAGCCCTCGGCTGACACTGTGCAGGCAAACGGCCCATGGATCGCCAACCTCGTCAAAGACATGGCCGCTCGCCGTCGCTACGGCCCCACTCCTGTGCAGTGGTAGAGTGAGACACCCTCACAGGTATATGGTTCATTTTCCCTTCTTCATCGTTTTGTCATTTCCTGGAATTTCATTTCCTCCTACCCCCTCCCCCTCTCCCCTCCTCCTTCCCCCTCCCCCCAGTAGCAACATGTACAGACGCAGCGATAGAGTCTTTTTGTGAATATGTGCGGCAGCGGCCCACCGGAATGGTATACACATGCGGCCACTGACGCGTACACCGCACAGAGCGCACAGACGCCTCGGGGAGTTTGTGACGTGGCTGTGTTTCCAGTTTGGCAGCCGACTTTGATCCGCTGCGAAGGGTCGCAAGGTGGAGATAGCAAGTCAATTGTTGTTTCAACGTGTGCCCCCCCCCATGCTGATAATGGTTTGATAGATTGCCTGCAGATAAGCGCAACGGACGATCTGCAGACCCTAACCTCTGGATTCAAACATTCCACGCATCAACTCTTTAAACATCGTTCTCCCGGACATTGTCCAGTTCCACCGACGGACCATTCCAAAAGGCCAAAAGCCTATTGCACAAAAAGGGCCTTCGGATCGCAGTGGAGCCGCCTCCACAAAAAGGAAAAACCACAAAGGTTGCACGCACGGCCCGCTCTACCACGCCCACCGACCCGGTTCACCTGACAGACACCTGCCGGCAACCCAACCGGACTCGTGCTTGACCGACGGACTGCCGGCTTCCGTCGCCATCGCCGTCCCGAGTGCAGAGACAGAGGACAAGAGGGGAAACCGCAAGCTCGTCACTCGTCATCGGGCGCTTTGCCGCCGCTACCTCGCCTCGCCAAGCCTCTCATGACCGAGGATATGCATGCGTACAGCACCACTTGTGCCTTTCATCTATCCACTTTGAGGCACACTGGGTGGGGCGGCACGGCGGGCAAGGTGGGCACTCGGCAAACCGTTGAGAAACACCAGCAGCCTTTGAAAATGCACACCATACTGCATGTGACAAGGTTAACAAGGTTTCAGGTCATGCGGGCTGTATGCCTACCCGTGTTTGGCGAGCGTGGCGAGCGTCAACGACGTCATTTTTACGCGTGCAACCACCCAAACCAACAAGCAGGCCCCTTGCGCTTGCGCTCTCGTTGGACAGTTTCCGGGTCGGTGGCGGGCTTGGCGTTTCTTGGCACCAGTGTGCCCATCGAGCACAAGCACGCATGCCTCTGGGTCTACCGCTCGGGTGCTCTGGAGCTCTGGAGCTCTGGTGCTCCAGAGAGGAGCGGCTCTGGGGTCATCTTGGGGTCACATCAGGAAAAGGGGGCACTCTGCCAGCGTCAGAAGGGCCCGGAAGACGAGACCTGACGAGACGAGACGAGCAGGAGGCGTTTGGGACAAAGCCAGGTCTCGCTCAGCCATGCAGCCACCTTCTTGAATCGTGAATCACACATCACTTTTTTCTTGTTTTTGTCCAACTCTTTTTCAATCACACCTCTTGTTGTGTTGGTTTGTCGACAAAACATGCTGGGCTTTTTCAACAAGAACAAGGGCCAGGAGCCCGAGGTCGACGACAACGTCAACGGGCGCGACGGCGACGTCAACTCGGTCTCGAGCCGCCGCAAGAAGCTCGGAAGCACCGCAACGTGAGTACCGATGAGATGAGATGAGGATCCTCGGCGGAGGATTATGATGAGCGATGAGAAGTGGATGGGTGGATGGGATGGGCGTCAGCCCGAGCAGCTTTGCTTTTCCGTTGCGTACGCTCTAACGAGCAGCCAGTCTGAAAACCCCGCATTGCTAGGCAAGCGCTACAGGTCCCATACGTGTAGTGTGCTGACTTGTTCCCAGCATCTTTGCAGCTGTGAGCACCGCTTCGCTCGCCACCACCACCACTACCGCGAATACCGCCGCCCTCTAGCGTCCGCCCTCTAGCGTCTCTCTCTGCTGAGCGCTAGAACAACCGGGGCCGTGTGGGGTCGGTACTCGTCTGGGCTGTGGGCTGACGGTATGCAGGGAGCTGCGCTCTTCTCAGACGGATACGCCAATGCAGTCGTGTCACCCGTCAGCACGATCCTCGCCATCCTGTACCCGGACTGGATGAACTCGGACCTGAGCCAGAACAGGTCGTTGGTCGGCGCGATGGGCTTTGCCGGCAGTGAGTGCTTTTTATGACGTTTCAGGTGATCGGCGGAACCAAATATAGCCGAACTAGGCCGGTACCGTACGGCCATCTCCCAAGTGGACAAGTGGCAAGTGGCATCTTTACTGACACAGTATACCACAGTGGTTGTCGGAATGATTACGTTTGGCTTTGTCTCTGACAAGCTGGGTCGCAAGCCCGGCATGTTCCTCACCACTGTACGTTACAAGGTAATAGGCAGTGTACTAATCGCTTCCCTCTAGGCCATCATCTTCGTCTTTATGATCCTCATGGCATGCTCTGCCGGCCCCACCCCGCAGGTCCTGATCAACTGCCTCATTGCGTTCCGTTTCTTCGTCGGTGAGTCGAGCACACCACACCCCCATGGCATTGCTGACAAGTGTCCCAGGTATCGGTATTGGCGGAGAGTACCCATGTGGATCGACGGCCGCTGCTGAGTCGACTGAGAACAGTGGCGTCAAGAAGAACCACCAGCAGCGTCTGTTCGTGTGGGCGACCCACTTTATGATTGACCTGGGATTCCGTGAGTTACGAGATGCCCCGCAATGTGCTGCAGTAGCTGACGAAACACAGCCATGGCATGGTGAGTCGGGTTTCATACCTTTGCTTGCTCTGCCACATTATTGCGTCTGACACTTTACCCCAGGTTTGTCGCCCTTGTGCTGCTGTGGATCTTTGGCATGGACCACCTCCGTGCCGTCTGGCGCGGAGCCCTCCTGTTCGGTGCCATCCCGCCCCTGCTCCTCATCTTTGCGCGCATGTTCATGGACGAGCCCGAGGCGTACAAGAAGAACGCGATGAAGCACGTCAAGATTCCGTACAGGCTCATCATCAAGCGCTATTGGAGGAAGCTTGCCGCCGTGTCGTTTTGCTGGTTCATCTACGACTGGATCACCTACCCCTTTGGCATGTACGCCAGCGACATTACCAGTGGAGCTATTGGAGACAACCCCACTCTGTACCAGACCTTGGCCTGGTCGTGTCTCATCAACTTCTTCTACTGCCCCGGAGCGTTCGTCGGCGCATACTTCTCCGACTGGCTCGGCCCCAAGCGCTGCTTCATCTTTGGACTGGTCATGCAGGCCATCTTTGGCTTTTCTCTGTCAGGAGGTTACAGCTACTTTAAGCAGCAGTGAGTAGCCGGCCCTTGTGGCGTTTGGGAACTGCTGACATTCTCCCCCAGCACGGCCGGCTTTGCCATCTTCTACGGTATCTGTGAGTTGTAGCTGGAGGGAATCGTTTGCTGCGGTGGTGGCAGCTGACAACCGAACAGTCCTTTCATTCGGAGAGATTGGCCCCGGCAACAACATCGGTCTCTTCGCCGCCAAGGCCATTGGCCCCACTGCCGTCCGTGCCCAGCTCTACTCCTTTGCTGCTGCGAGCGGCAAGGTCGGTGCCTTTGTCGGAACGTGAGTTTACTGCTTCATAAACTCCAGCTGAACGAACCAAGCTACACCTTCCCGTACATCATCGCCCACTTCCCCGACGGTTCGCAGCTCCGGTCGACTGGCATCTTTTACATCGGTTCTGGCCTGGCGCTCCTCTCCGCCACGGTGTGCTTCTTCTTCTTCCCCGCTATCAAGGCCGACGCGATGGTCGACGAGGACCGCGAGTTCCGCGAGTTCCTCGTCGCGCACGGCATCGACATTTCCCACATGGGCATGGTCGATGACCCCAGCGGCGAGTCGGCCGCCGAGATCGCCAAGGCCGACGAGAAGCCGTACAAGGAAACCGCTGCTGTCGTCGAGGTCAACGACCCCTCGAAGAATTAAAACCGCGCCTGCGGCAGCGGGAAATCTAACCCCCACAGCCAATTTGTATACATTAGTCGGCCTTTGAATAAAAACCTCCTTTTCGTTATGGTGTTGGCGCCGTTCAAGAGCTTTTTCAACAGTGCGCTTGATATGCGAGTTTCATCACTTGTAAATGTATACATACACGGAATACATGCAGCGCGTAGTGCTTAATCAGTGATCAGTGATGGACTCCAAAACTCGAGGCATGGCTGATGGTTTGAGGTTTGTAACGTTGTAACACGGAATCTGAGACTGGCGGGGCAAAGGCGCCGGTCAATGCGAAGAGATGCACAAGGTGTGCGTGGCAAGAAGCATCACCGCCATCAAAACCCAGACGCAGAGAGTCCCCCAGAACCGACTTCTCCCAACTGCAATCATCTCCCACCATATCCAGCAACCAGCATGGCAGCAATGGACATCGACATGCCCATGGCATCACCTACCAGTCCGGCCCCGTACCCCACCATAGCACCGGAGGACACTCGCACCTACCTCCGCAAGCGCAAGGCGTCACCAACCGTCGACGTGCGCAGAGTATACCAGCAAACAGACCTGCATCTCCCGCCACCCTTGATGGTCCCCCGGTCGCCGTACGCGCTGCCAACGGACCTGGAGGAGCGGTGGCACCGCCTCCCGCACCTGTCCGGTCCTCCACACACAGCACGGGCCAAAGAACTTCCTACGGACGGAGAGCTTCGCTACGACGCCGAGCAGATCACCGTAGAGGGCCTGCTGCACGGCGACTACTCGGTCCCACGGTACATTCGCCTCCGGCAGGGCTCCATGCTGGCCGAGGTCGACCGGTGGCTGGCGGACAACGGCGCTCGCCTGCGCGACGAGGCCGTCACGTGGGCGGCCGCGTTCCACTCCAAGCAGCAACACTGGCTGCAGGCGTATGGGACGACCATTCCCGACCACGACGACGAGGGGTATGCCTACCGAGGGCCGCTGGACTGGAGTGATCCCCACATGGCGAGGGAGAGGGCAGTGCACGCCGCGGACGTGGCCGTCGAACTGGGGTTCAAGTATCCGACTGAAGATGGAAAGCCCGCAAGGCCGTGTCTTGGGTACAGCAAGTATGTGTCGACTGGAGGGGTGATGAGGCCGTGTCATTCCGGAATGACTGGGGACCTGCCCTGCCAGCCTTGGGGGTTTAACCCGGCCTTGTGCTTCTACTGCTGCAGATTGCTGGAGGCGGGAGGTCAAATGTCGGAAGGAGGTGGTGTGAGCGCGATGGCTGTGATGGCATCAAACACCGTCATATGAGAAGTGCCAGAACAGTTTAACGTATAGCCCCGCATCGTCTATACTCTCTACCCTTTACGCTCCATGTGGATGTACATTTTGTCCTTGCCCTCGGGCAACGCGGGCACGGAGGACAATACCCCGTACCCCATCTGATGGCCGTCGGCGGGGTGGACAACCTCCACCGGCCTCGCCACCGGGCACGCGGACGTAAACCCGTAATTATATCCATTGTGTGTCCTCTGTTTCATCCTCTTCCACTTGTTACCATCCACTACACCACCACCAGCACCCAACCCGCACCATGACCACCCCCATCAACGTCACCCTCGTCGGCGCCACGGGCCTCACCGGCAAGGTCTCCCTCGCCTCGCTCCTCGCCTCCCCCACGGCTGTTGCGCTTACGACCATCACCCGCCGCGCCGCCCCGGGTACTCCTGCCGCTGGCAACACTTACAGCAACCGCGTCCTCGAGGACGTGGGTGCGGCCGCCACTGCCGCCGAGCCCATTGTCGCCCCCGGCGGCACGTACGTCTCGTGTCTCGGCACGACGCTCGCCACCGTCGGCGGCGACGTCAAGAAGCAGGAGGCGATTGACCTTACCATGAACACGGAGCTCGCTACGCGTGCCAAGAAGGACGGCGCCGAGACGGTGAGTTGTGTCCGGGGCATGGGAAACCATGTTTTGATGTCACACAACAACGGTCGCTGACGCTGGTCCTTCTCTCTCACACTCACACATAACGTCTTTGTTCCATTCCTCCTCGTGCCGGTGGATCCTCCTCCTGCCTATGACGCACGGACCGTTTGTGTCCTATCCAGATGATCCTCGTCTCGACCGCCGGCGCCAACGCCTCGAGCTGGTTTGCCTACCCGCGCATGAAGGGCCAGCTGGAGGACAACGTCAAGGCTTTGGGCTTTGAGCGCACCATCATCCTCCGCCCCGGTGCGCTCCTGCACGACAACGAGCGCGCCGACGCGCGCATGGCCGAGTCGGTCATGATCAAGGTCATCAAGGGCATGCGTGCCGTCGGCGTGCCCACAACATCGCTTGGCGTCGACTACACCGAGTGAGTAGAGTCTGCTGCTGACGCCAGGGCGAACACCAGCTGACTAGACCGCAGTGTTGGCCAGGCTATCGCCCAGCTCGCGCAGAACCCCCCAGACGGCTTCACGACCGTCTACGACGCCGAGATTGTCAAGCTCGCTGCCGAGTTCCGCGCGTCGCAGAAGTAGAGTCCTACCGCTACCCTTCCTTTCCTTGTCTCCTGTCCCTTTCTAGTTGCTACGTGGCATGCATGTTCTATATACGTAAATCGTTTCTTTGCTCTTACTATGCGTTTTTGTTTTGGTCATGGGCCAGCCTCTAGTCCACACGGATGGAGGCATACAAACGGCGGATGGCAAAGTAGCTGGCGACGTAGCCAATCGCACCGCCAACGAGGAAGTCCAGAATGGCAAAGAGGAAGCTGCGCCGTTTGTTAGCAGGTAAAACAGGAGCCCGAGTCGCGGGGTCCATCCACTTACAGGTATCCAAAGTAGAGAACAGTCGACGTGACGCCGGTGAACTGGAGGCGGGAGGCATAGTACCAGATGCCATACACAAAGACCCAGAATGCCGAACCGCCGCCGACGAGGAATGCACGCCAGTGCCAGCGGTACTCTTCTGAGCAGAGGATAAAGTAGACGAAGAGGACAGTGACGGTCGCCGTGGTGAGGACAACGACAGCAAACGTGAGGAAGAGGAAGCCGAATGCGTAGTATGCGCGGTTGCCGAACAGGGACGAAAGAACAAAGTAGAGCTCGACAAAGGCTGCGCCGAACGGCAGAATACCGCCGAGAATGGCAGCGGCGACGGGCTTGAGGTACCACTGAACTGGGGGGATCTGGCGGGGAATCTGGTTGACACGGACGGGCTGCGAGAAGCCGCCGTGCTTCATGCCGTAAAAGTATCCGCCCACAGAGAGGGGGACCGACATGAGGAACCAGAGGAGAAGGATGGCGAGGATGGTGCCAAAGGGAACGGCTCCCGAGGCCGAGGCGGTGACGAGGAAGAGGTTGAGGAGACCCACAATCGAAAACACAATGGTGGGGAAGCAGACAGCCGTGAGGACGATGTTGGGCTTCCAGTCCTCGCCTCCGAGCGACGCAAAGACGCGAGCTGACACGTAGCCGCCAGCGCAGGCAAAGAGGGTCCAGCAGATGAGGAGGACGGTCGTGAGGGAGCCACGGCTTGAGGGCGAGAGGAATCCAAACAGGGCGAAAATAAGGGTCACAATGCACATGCAGATGAGGTGGGCACCGGTACCGGTCGCGACAGAGAGGAGCATGGGGCGCTCCGGCGAACGGAACACTTCGCCGTGGACGAGCTTCCATCCATAGTCCTCCTGGACGTCTTCGGCAAGGTCGATGGCGTTGTAGCGGTGGATGTCCTTGGAGACGGTGCGGATGAGCACCATGGACACCATGAAGAGAAGGAATCCAACGATCACAAGCGAGTTGATGAGCGAGAACCAGTGGATCCTGGGGTCAAAGACGTGGAGGTAGTGGTCCCAACGCAGACCCCAGGGGACCTCGCTCTCGATGAAGAATACCGAGTAGGTGTACCAGAACTGCGTGTCCTCGGTTTCGGAAAGGTAGAGGTGCTTGTCACGGACATAGCAGTTGGGAGTGTTGTCGCCTTCAACAGCGCTGTCGATCGACTTGGGGTAGACCATGACACCAACAACACGCGACTGCTGGTCGTTACGTTTGTGGTATTGGATCCAAATGTCATAGTGGTTGTTGAGCATGGGGTGGTCGACGTCGGACGCGTCACCGAGGCTGAATCCAGACGCGTCGAGGAAGGTCTCGCCCGACTTGGAGTCGACCTTCATCTCCGAGGAAGGGAGGCCGTCAATGATAAAGTTGAGGCCATAGTCTTCACGGATCAGGTTGTTGATAAACTTGGCGTCGACGGCAGGCACTGTGCTGCGGCAGACGGTCACACAGCTCTCATTCTTGAGCATGTGCGCCTCAAAGGGGGACGAAAGGATGCGGTCGCCAAACACGATGGAGCCGAGCGATTCAGCCTGCTTGACAGGGCCACCGTCAGGCTGGCAAAAGTGGAGGCGGTCGTCATAATAGTCATGCGAGATCAGGGATCTTAAAGTCGCGTTCAACATTGGCGTGAGGGTGTTGACATAGACGTCGACGTTGTCGTTGTAGCTGTAGTCGTGTGGCGCACTGCCTGGAAGGTAGAATGCATGTGCTGGCGCGGCGAGGAGCGTGACGACCGCGGCCGCCGACGCTAGCGGCGAGAGGTTGAACGACGCGGGCAGACGCATCGATGCCGTCGAAGCAGTGGGTAGGAGGAGGAGACGAAGAAGTAAAAGGAGGAGGAGGAGAAGAAAACAAGGACGTGTAGTGTGGAAACGGGGCAAGTGAGAGAGACGCTGCAATGTCACACACCAGCGCGGTCTCCAGTGGGTGGTTGGTGTGTGTCGTTGGGCGCGACTTGGCGGTGCGTGGCGTGGAGGCACGGAAGGTATAGCGTGGGGTGGATGATCATTCGTTACGTAATGACACAGATATAGGCGCATGATGGATGTTTGCAGGCGTGTCATTCCAACGTGCATGCCTTTGTAAAATAGGCATGTGTTCGTCGCCATCTTCCGTGTCGGTGTCATCCGGTCTCGGGCGGCTCTGCGACGACTGACAAAGCCGGAGTGTCCCTAGTCCCTTCTCCCTCGCGGGCATCGCGGGACTGCTGACAACACCAGGAAAAGTTCGACATTTGTCGACTCCGACGGCACCGTTCCTATATATCTCACTCACATCTCTCTCTCCCTCCTGCCATCTGTGAACAGTCCCACACCTGCCTCTACCATCTCAGCTACACCCAGCTTTATCTGCACCGTCAGGTCACCCATACCGACCTCTCACCCTGGCCCACCCCCCTCCTCCCCCGGCCCCTCAGTACCACCCCTTCGGCCTTGCCTGAACCGACCAACCAAGGGCCGCCCAACCCCGCATCTCGCCAGCACGCGTGCTCGGCGCTCTCCGCATCACATTGCACCCCTCCATCTCTTAATCTCGCATTCTATCGCATTCTCTCCCCCATCACTCTTTAATTAACAATGTCGCTCCCTACGCTCGTCGCCAACCCACCCACCGAGGTGCCTTCGCCCTTCAAGTTCGACTCTGTCCCCGAGGCCGTCGCTGCGATCAAGAATGGCGAGTTTGTCGTCGTCATGGACGACGAGAACCGCGAGAACGAGGGAGACGTTATTTGCTCCGGCAGCTCGTTGACCGCCGAGGGTATGGCGTGGTTTGTCAAGTGGACTAGGTGGGTACCATATGGAGCTGCAGAGAGCCATGTTTTTGCTGCGCCGAGACACAGGCGGAGAGTTGTTCCGGCCAGCTCTTCGACCGACATGGTCATGGCCTATACGGTTCTCTCTTTATCACAAGCCCCCCATATGCTGACGCTCGCCCAGCGGCTACATCTGCATGTCACTGCCTCCCGCACGTCTCGAGGAGCTCCGCCTGCCGCCCCTGCTCACGGCTGCCGGCAGCAGCGAGGACCCCAAGGGTACCGCCTACCACCTGACACTCGACGCCAACGGCAAGAAGCACCCCGTGTCCACCGGCATCAGCGCGCACGACCGCGCCTACGTCGCAAACCTCGTTGCCGGCGGTGCCAGTGCCGACGAGTTTACCCGCCCAGGACACATGGTGCCCCTCAGGTATACCACTGGCGGCACGCGCGAGCGTGTTGGCCACACCGAGGCCGCTGTTGGTGAGTACAAGAGTCAGCTGGACTGTCGCTTGTAGTGTTTCCGTTGCTCTCCGTGTGCTAACCGCCAGACCTCTGCTACCTCGCCGGCGTCCCTCCCGTCGGCATGCTCTGTGAGCTCGTCAACCCCGACGAGCCAGTGGGCATGGCCCACCGCGACGACTGCTGGCGCTTTGCCCGCGCCTGGGGACTCAAGGTCATCTCCATCGAGGACCTGCAGGCGTACCTCAACACTCCCGCCGGTGACGCCGTTCCCCGAAAGTAAGCCGTCCACACGCCCCGGCGGCTACTTTGGAAAGCGAGCGAACGACCGCGAGCGCGAACATTAGCACCGGACGAGGGGTTTTGGGACGTAGGCAGATGAAACGGCATCCGGCACCGGCGCGCAGTGTGCAGCGTTGCGAAGCGTTGGTCTACCCTCAGGATCGGTGGGTAGACCAACACCGGAAGCGAACGCCGAGATGGTCGAGTCGAATCGAAGGAGATGCAGATGACAGAAAGAGGGAGAGAAAGAGAGGTCCACCCCGGAGTCGCCGGGGCCGAGATGACGATGAGACGGGAGATGGGAGAGATCGGAATTGTAGAACCAGGCTACTGCATCACATGAACCGCATTGCTCACAGAAAACCAAAAAACGAACACTCGTACCATAGTGCATTCGCGCCTCGGGGCCATGCTCTTGCTCGTGCTCTTACTCATCACCTTGCCATGCATGCGCTCCAGCAGCAGCAGCCAGCATGCCCGGCGCCGGCACACCGGAGCATGCCAGAGGAGCGTTCCGGCAATGGTCATAGCCTGTGGGTGGATCCACCAGTTTCGATATTTCCATTATCACCTCGGGATGTGCGGGCTCTCGGGTCCTTCGGTATTCGGTCGACGGGGCGGTTGATTAGCGAGACGCCCACAAACACACATGCTTGGACAGATGGGCGGCGGCTTTCGCCGACTGTGGGCTTGGGACAATGCCCGACCGTGAGGCGCAAACGCTTGCTCCGCGGGCGTAGACCTGGCGCTGGTTGGACGTATAGACACATGCATAAGGGGGTCTCTCTACAAACAAACGGCTCTACATGGGCATGCAAGAATACAAGGGGGAGGAGGGTAGGTGCTGGCAACAAGAGTCGAGCCAGACTCCAAGGCAGCAGACATGGTTCGGGAGGGAGACACTTAGAGCTTGAAGAGGAAACCGAGCTGTGGTGGTCAGCAACAGCCACGAGGAAGAACCACTCACGTCCTCGACCGTGAGCTTGCCAAGAGCCGCATCGGGGTCACGGCTGAGCGCGGCGTCGGTCATGGCGAGCTTTTTGGCCTGGAGCTGAACAATCTGGTCCTCGATAGAGTCCTCCACAACAAGCTTGACCACGCGGACGGGGCGTTTCTGGCCGAGACGGTGGATACGGTCCATGGCCTGGTACTCGACCGAGGGGTTCCACCAAGAGTCCATCATGAAGACGGTGGACGCTTCCGTGAGGTTCTGTGACTTGTCAGTCTGGTTGTAAGAGGGGTAACGTACGAGGGCAACACCGCCGGCCTTGAGCGAGATGAGGAATACGGTGACGGTGGGGTTGTTCACTGCAATGTCAGCTGAGGATGTCACACCGATCAGCCGTGCCACTTACTGAAGTGCTGAATGGTCGCGTTGCGCTGCTGGGGGGTCATGCCACCTTCAAGACGGCAGATCTGAGAGTTAGCTCCCCTCGTCTGGCAAACTCACGTTGAAGCCAGCACGCTGCAGACGGAAAGCGATCAGGTCGAGGAAGGAGACAAACTGCGAGAAGACGAGCGACTTGGTCGTGCGGTCCTTGCGGCGCAGCTTCTCGAGCTCCTCCACCAGCGCCTCGAGCTTGGACGACGAGCGCCAGTTCTGTTGGGTTAGAAAGTCACCACTGCTTGGGTACCCACGTTGAGATCAAGGCGCGACAGGATACCTTGACGGGCCTTCTTGGGGCTGTCGTCAATCTCCACGGCCTCCTGCTCGAGGTCGATGGAGATTTCAATGTGGCACACGGGGCACTCGGGCTGATGGGTTAGCCGCGACCAACTTCAGATACCCACCGGGTGACCACGGTTCTGCGTGACCTCGAGGTACTGCCTGACACATTCGCGGTCGAACACGTGTTTGCAGGCCGACACGATGGCATCTTCAGCCTGCGAGAGTTAGACCTGACATCAATGCGAAACTCACAGTGTCGTTGCAGATGCGGCACACGGTACCCTCCGAAACCTGCAGACCGAGGCTGCTGGTCTTGGAGCGAAGGACCAGATCAGGGTGGCAGGCCATCTGACGCACTGAGATGTCAGCTTGGAAAAGTTGACGGAAGCTACACGTACTACGAGTGATGAGCGAGAAGACGTTGGAGTAGTCTGTGGTGGGTCAGCGCGCACAGCTTCAAATAACCCACTATTGAGAATCGTGCCCTGCGTAACGTATGTGTCGAACTGGCGACGGGCCGTCGTGAAGAGGGAGAGGTAGAGCTCTTTCTCAGGCGGCGAAAAGTAGTCGCGGCGAACAACAATGGTGCGAGGAGGGAGACCAAGGTCATCGGCACGCTCAAGCTTGGTACGGCTGGCGGGTCAGTCTTCGTTTTACTTGGGCCAAACCCACCGAAGCATCATGCGGTCGAGGAGAATCTTGAGCTTTTTGAACGCCGTCTTGCCGGGGCCACCTGCTTCAATACCGTAGCGGGCGATGGGGGTGAGAATCTGAGGGTTAGCCTGCTCGCTTGGTAAAGCTAACCCACCTCCGAGTTCCAAAGAGACACATGGTTCATGGGCGAGTGACCGCAGTCGTCACACGAGCGCTTATCCTTGAACTGAAGATGTTAGTTGAGTCCCAACCATCGGACGAAAACTAACCTGCCAGTGAAGTGACTTGCAGTCGCACTTCTTGCAGAAGTAGTAACTGTTCATGTCAGTTACAGGTTCGAGGGTACGTCCGATAACTCACCTGAAGGGGTCGGCGCCAAGGAAGCGAACGAGCGAGTACAGCTCGCCGACGCGGTTCTGGAGCGGCGTGCCAGAGAGACACCAGCGGTACTTGGCCTTGAGCGCAAAGGCGGCCTTGGCGGCATTGGTCGAGCGTTCCTTGATGTTGTGCGCCTCGTCAAGCACGACACTGAGGGTTAGAACAAGCAGCGGCCATCGAACCCACCGGTACCATTCGAAGGCGTGCATGGGGCTCTTCTCCGTGACGATGAGGTTGCCCTTCTTGAAGCCGTTCTGTTGACGGCGGAACGAGGCCTCTAGCGTGCCGTATGAAACAAGAACCTGATGGTGAGTTTGTGTTATCGCGATAGTGCAGGGATAACTCACAACATCAAACTTCTTGAGCTGCTCAGCCTTCATACGGCCCGAGCCGTGCCAGAGGCAGACCGAGAAGCCCTCAGCATGGGTCTCGATCTCGTTCTTCCACTGCATGAGAGCGACGACGGGCGCGACAACGAGGGAAGGCTTGTGACGAGGTTCTGAGAGGAGAAGCGCAATAGTCTGGATGCTGGAGCGTCAGCTTCGGCCTGTCTCTCTTAGCTTACGTTTTGCCCATACCCATCTCATCCGCGAGCATACCACCCTTCCAGGGGCCTTCCTCCTGCTTCTTCATCCAGAAAAGACTCTCCTTCTGGAAGGGGAGGAGAGTGAGCTTGAGGCTAGGGTGGGCCTCCATGGGAACGGGCTTGACGCGTTCCACATTGGCCTCGAGGTCGCCCCACGCGTCCACGAGCTCTGGGTGGTGCTGCAGGGTTAGCCTGATGCAGATGACGGGCAAACCCACGAGCTGGAGGCGAATCTGGTTCTTCTCGCCTTGCGTGAGCTTGCGATCGAGCTGCTTCTTGAGTTCGTTCTCCTTCCGCTTGATAAAGCTCTTCTCTTCCTTGAGACGGTGAGCCTCTTCCTTCAGCGCTTTGCGCTGCTGCTTTGACACGCCACGCCAGGCCTCGGGCATCTCGTCAGCCTCGCCACCGTCGAGGCGCTGGCCCTTGGCGGCGGCCTTCTTCTTGCCCTTGGCCTTGGCCTTGCCCTTCTGCTTGGAGGAGAGTGGTGGGGTATCCGAGTCCGAGTCCGATCCATCCGACTCCTCGGCGTCGCTGAGGTCCGAGAAGTCGGAGGGAGACAGGGAGTAGTCATCCTCCGAACCGCCGATACGGTCAGCAAACGGGGTGGACGAGCCCGAGGTGAGAGGGCTGGCAAACCCAGAGCCATCGGGCGATTCGAGAGTGGGGTCGCGGGTGCCACGGGCGCGAACTGAGGGGTCAGCTATACCTTAAAAACGGCACAGCTTACGTTCAGCAGCGCGGGCCAGGGCTGCACGGTGGGGGGTGTTGCTCTTGTGGGTCTTTCCACCCAGGGTGTGGGCAGTGACCTTCTTGCCTTTACCACGACGACTGGACGAAGACGAGGCGGGCGATGGCGTAGAGACGTCGGCCTTGGAACGCTCCACCGCGGCGCGGACCTGGTCCTCTTCGTCGTCGCTGTTCATGGCAAAGTCGTCCTCCTCGTCATCTAACTCGAACTCGTCCGACGAGTCGTCAACAACGACCGCCTTCTTCTTGCCCTTGCCCTTTCCGTTGGCCTTGGCGGAGGGAGCCTTGCCGTTGGCACGGCCGCGAGAGTTGCGACGAGGCATGTCGTCTTCGGTCTCGTCGCTGTCGCTGAGCTCGAGAACATAGTTGGGCTTGGCAGCAGCCGCACTGCGCGTGGGACGCGGACGCTCGTAGACGTCAACCTCGGTCGCGTCCGAGTCGTACTCGTCAACGCTGGGCTTGTCATCCGTGAGGTCGATGAGCTCGGTCTGGGTGGTAGGCTTAGGCTTGGAGCTCGACGACGACGCGAGCGTGAGGTTGTCGGCACTGTTGGTCTTCTCTGTGCCGAGCTTGGAACGGCGCGGGGCGGGGAGAGAGACCTCAAGGACCTGGCGCTTACGCGGCACGGGCTCGGGCGATAGCGACGAGTCCATCACTGGAACGGGGGGAGTGTGAGCTTGGGATAAAGGCACGCGGCGGTTGCGCAGTTGCTTCAGAAGGAGACTCACCCTTGCGCTTGCTGCGCGTAGAGGGAGTTGGGGCGTCATCAGTGGTCATACTGTTGGGTGTGACTGGGATGTGGTCCTTGATGTCTGGGCTGGTGGAGGTGGAGTTGGGGTTGGATGTGTCGCGGGAGGAAGGGGTTGGGAATGGGTTGTTCTTTGAGCGCGTTGAGCGTCGTGGTGTGCTCATTGCAGGAAGGGAGGGGATGTGTAGTGAGAGGAGTGGAAGAGGGAAGGCGGAAGACGGATTGTTGGAGCCTGGGGCGCGGGTGTGGGTGGGTTGAGGGTGGTTGACTGGACTGGGCGCGTCTCGAACCGATCGGCGGACGTTGCCGTTTCAGGGTCCCCTCACTCAAAATCTCTGCTGCAACATTGCGTCCGTCCTTATCAGTGCCCCCGCATTCAACACCCCCCAGAGGCCATGGTTTGCAGCAACAAAAAAAGAGTACATGGGGTGGTACAGGTGTAGTATGTCCTTCACATGCAGTGTCCATTCGGTAAACATTCGCGTGAATCAGTAGTATCTGTTCATTAGCAAAAGAAACAGGTGTTGGGGGTCGCTGCTCACTCAATCTCAAGCTATTTCCGTCAGCACACAACCGCAGTCGTCGGCGCAGGCTCACATATTGGAGTGCCACAGTACGCGGGGACAGCACATTGAGACCCGCCGGGTTAAACGTCGCTTCGTTGGCCTGCTTGATGACCTCCTCGGCACGGCGGAGTTCCTGCTATTGTCAGTCTTTCGGTGCCACTACGTCCGGGCAAGAAGGAACAGAAGGGGGAGGAGGGTCTCCAGAACGCCTCCCTTCGCCCCTATATGCGGGGCCAGCGGTCACTAACAGTTTCGAAATGGCTCTTCCGCCATAACAAACTCGTCCACCAAGTCAACACCGCGACCACATTGTCAACGACGGCTCCCTTGGTCGAGTATGCTTCCCGCAGGTGCAAGTTGACGGCCTCGATGAAAAAGTTGAACGCCGTCGCCCCGACGCGTCCCTCCAGTTCCAGCGGAAGCTGCGGGGAGAACCTAAAAGGAATCCGTCAGTGTGTCAGTCCTTTTTTTCGGGGCAGTCGGGGCTTCGTTGGATACCCACTGCGCAACGTCCTTCAAGTGCCAGACCCGCTGCACGCGCACAATCTCCTTTGGGAGGTCACGCCCGATAATGCCTGTACGCGGCTGGCCAAAGTACGTGTCGGTGACACCTGGTTGGGGCACGGACGACCTGGGTGTCCTGTTGGCACAGCCATCAGCCCATTTGTTCGCTCCACGCACCACACCACGCGGGGGCGTACCCACCCTTTGCCTCCTCGCCAGCCGGCGAGGTCTCCCTGGACTTTTTCTTCCCATCGACTGAGCTTGCGGGGAGGGATGGGTTTGGACCGGCGAATCTCCTCCTTGGTGGTCATCTGCAAGTCGGCGGGGAGCTTGACGTGGATACCGCGGCGGACCGAGTACGACGGGGCGGGTGGGGCTGACGGCGGGCGCTTGCGGCTCGGCACACTGGTAGCTGTCGACGCGACAGACGCGGCGCGCGCACTGGAGGAGTCCCCATGATGAGGTGTGCCCAGAGGATAGTAGTAGGACGTCTTGCTGTTCCTGCTGCCATGGAGACTGCTGACAGGCGAAGGCGTTGCCTGAATGGCTGGCCTCAAGAACGGGTGGGATGACGGCGGGGACACCAGTCCGGGCGAAGACGGAGAGTTGGCGGTTTGCAGGTGCTGCACATGTGGTGCCCGCTTTTGTGGCGAGCTCGAGAAACGGTGCGTGACTGCTGCCATTGTTGAATACTGCTCTGGTAGGTGTGCTAGACCTGGGAAAGACAAACGTGAAGAGCACAAGTCAGTACTCTTGTTCAGTCGCGCAGTGCTCCGCCTGCGGCTTCCCCTTGCTCGACAACGAGTACGGCCATGGCCTAGGGGCGGTCACGTTTGCAGCAGCGGAAGCGGGTCAGTGTGTTCTGTACCGCTCGCAGACTGCCCCCGGTGGGAGTAAAGGTACGACGACGACCACACGGACGACAAGGGGTGAGAGAACGGAACACCAAGACGAGCCCGCTGTCAGAGAGCACGGGGGTAAGGCACGGGCCAGGCTGGGAGCGGGACGTCACTCTCCAATGTGTCTGAACATTTGACTGGTGCCATGGTGGTCTCCAAAGCGTGCGTGATGAGACCCATGTTCTTGAGACGCAGCAGGGTCAAGAACGACGATGGACGTCAAGAGGTCGAGGAAACGGACTGAGTTTGGCCGGTTCTGTTGTTTCATTTTCATCGACATCGGGTCGTGCCGACGGGCTCCCGTCTGTACGCGTACCGTCTGTACCTCCACGCCCCCCAGCTTCATCATGCGCTATGCCCGCCGTTGCGACCCGGGATGACCGCGTGGAATGCTTGTGAGCGGTTTTCCGGACCCTTGTTCGCCTCCGTGGATGGAGACTGTCTGTGGTAATCGTAGACTCGGAGCTCGGAATAGGCCTTGGACACGAGGAACAAAGGACGCGCTGTGCAGGCAGCCCAGTGGACGATGACGACGTAGATGGAATTGGGAACACATGAACGCCCGCCCAGTACCTTTAGAAGCCGTACTGGTCATTAACGCACCGCGCACCACTGCATGACCGACCTCTGGCTGGTCACTCCTGGGGGTCCACGCCCAGAGCCGCCGTCATGCCACAGCACCTGGCACCAGCCATACTTCACGCCCACTTGTGGCGCGTGTGGTGTGTGACGACCATACCCTTCGCAAGACGCGACACGGTAGTAGTCTGTAGTCCCAAACTCTCTCCCTCAAATACCATCTGGCCTGTTCGTTGGCGCCGATACACTGCTGTCATCCCGCGATATGCAACCTGTTGCCGACGGAAGCTAACCGCCGCTACGTGAACAGCCTCCAGACGCTCTTGGCGACAGGTATGTATTTGGTGTAGGTAGGTGCATGGCATGTCCTCCGTATCAAGGTCTTTATGAAGATTTCCAGTGGCCAGTGGGTGTGTTGGCCCCGTCGGTGTACGGGGGCGTTGGCCGAGAAACCAACAACGCCGTGCAGCGCTTCTTGAGGAGCGTCTCGGGACTATGCAGTGACTCCCACGGTGGCATCCACACCTCCACCACCACTGAACCGCTCCCTTGCAAGGGCCCATCCATGTCTTGTGCACTTTCCGACCCAGTCTGCTCTGTTCTTTCTTACACAGCGGTCAGGGGTAACCTCCTGGACGCATACCTCCCACCAATACATTGCGATAACCCCAGACGCACACGCAACGCGGTTTACTTGCTTCCCATTCCCTAGTCCCTTCGCCCATCCATCTCCCTACACGTCGTGCTTGTACTGCACAAAGTCGGTGAGGTTGGCCACTTTGGTATAAAGCAGCTGAGCGCGGTGGTTGAAGCGCTGCGTGTGCCAGTACACGCTCGTTATTCCTTCCTGCTTACACCAGTCGTAGACGTGGTTGATGAGGGACCGGCCCACGCCGCCGTTTCGCACGTCCTCGCTCACGTACAGGTCGTGGAGGTAGACAATGTCCTCGACGGTGGCGGTGTAAAAGTGCGGAAGCCAGGTGACAAAGCCGACGATGTTGGCGCCCGGGGCCAGGTCGCTGTCAACGGCGACGGCGCCGTACAGCCGCGTTTGGGGGTCGAGCATGCGCTCCCAGGTCTTGTCGGTGATGGCCGCGGCGACGGTGCGCTTGTAGAAGACGTTGTACTTTTCCCACAGGACGAGGAACTGGCTCTTGTCCTCGGCGGCCATGGGGCGGATGGAGATGGCCATGTTGGCGACGTGGTGGGCGAGATGGGATGAGAGAGAGAGGAAGACAGAATGGGAGAGAGGGGGTCTAGATGAGCTGACTGTATCGCGTTGCGGGATGCCCACAAAGGTGTGCGTCATGTGGAGGCCACAAATAGTGTTTATCCGTCGCCTATCAAGGAGCAACACACTCTCCCCAGGTTTACCCTTGTTATCCTCCGCTTCATCGCTTACAGCCGCCATGGGCGCTTTAAACGAGGAACTCTGGGCCCAGGCTGCGCCAGAACGCACTGCTATATCAGTAGAGAGCGCGGGAGGCCATGCATACGAGCCTGCATACACCAACGGCTGCCAATTCAGTTGTGGGCTGTTGCTGTAGCGGATTATCCAATTACCCCGGGATTGTCCATCCCTCCACTTTTGACGCTTATCCTGATGTTGCTTTTCTTGCATGCCCCCGCAGGCCCGGGTCGTGTTGATGGGCTGCAAGTCGGGCCCTCTGACCGGCCAAGTCTCCTGTTTAAAGCGCAACCTTTCACTTATACCATCCTTGTAGCCCTATAGCTCACATCGGCACACTTGTTTGATACCAGTAGAGTATGAGGGGTGGGGGCCAGGGGTTGTCGGATCGACGGGGGATCGACGGTGCCTCGACCAGTGTTGTGATCGTGGGACTGCCAAGGAGCCAAGCGATCAAGCAATCTCCCGAGCCTTCATCACTGCACGCCGCAATTTGATAGTCAATTAACAGCGACGATCAATCACAACACCCGGGACGACTCGACGGCCGTTGCGACGTCTACCCATACCGCTGACCATGGTCGGCTTGCTTGCTTAACCTCCCCCTGCCCTTGATGGTCGGAAACGGAACGGCTTCGGTACGCGGGTCACCTCATCGCAGTACGGTTTGAGCAAGATGGTTGGAGGTTGGTGACGTCTTAGGATGAGACAGGTAAAGCAAATACTACACACACAGGAGACAGTTTGTGTGCGTTGCTGTCGAGTGAGGGAGCGATAGGCTGTGGCATGTTCTATCTGTACCACAGAAGTCATGAAGCGCCACAATGGGGATTTGCTGGAATCCATTCCTTCGTTGACGTCCACTCAATATTTGACACGGCAAGCTGCCAGATGCCATGTGCGGAGCGACCACTGGCTCTCACTCCTCACTCTTGTACACTTCTTCCAAACTCGGAGCCTATGTATGAGCACCAAACCACCTCAGTGGTCCCCCTCGTCAATTCGCTAAAACACGTTTTGGTGGCTCTCGTCGTCCATGCCGCCACGCCCCCGTCCGCCCTCCGCGGGTTCCGCGGCATGCGGCGCGCCTGAGACATCGTCTGTGTTCTGGCCGTTCTGGCCTCTGCTTTGTGCGTGATCGCGTGATCCACATGGGCACGTGGCTGTACACAGTAACACACAGAACAAAACAAAAACAAAAACAAAAAGGAAGAGGCAAAAAGCAAAAAAGCACAGTAACACACACACCGCAAAATGGAGATATGGAGATCAAAGACCGTTCCGTCGGCACCGCGGCACCGCGGTGGCTCTCGTCAGCCTGCCGCCAGCGTTGGGGGAAGCAAAGGCCCCGCAACCCAGCGCGCACAATGTGCCCAGCGGGGTGCGGGGTAACGGCACCGGGCAGGTACAGCATGCACATCAAGGTGACGGACAAAGCAGGGTACCAACGTCGCCAGGTGCCGCACAGGTCATGGTCGCCGGTCTCGCTGCTGGTCTCGACCGCGTTCGATTCGCTCCACACTGCAAATGACAGACCGGGATCCGGTACCTTGCACCGCCGGAATCGTGCCGGAGCGTGTTATGCGTTATGATGGGGTGCGCTTAGTTGCGAGGTTGGGCAGGTCGAGTGGAGCTGCTGCTGTCGAGCAATGGCCGTTGTGCTGGGGGATGAGGGAGTCGTGTTGCGTTGCGGTACGTTGCGGTCCCGGATATTCCCATTTCCAGCACCACCAGTTTTTTCGTCACTCACGTTGCACGTTGCCTTGCGAGAAAGTTAAAGCGGGGGGTCGTCATGTTGTGCGGATAATCGTATTTCCGTTCGCCCCAAGCCCGCGTCGTCGTCCGTCAGTTACCGGTGCATTTCTGGGTTTCCCGAGTGTATTAGAGGCCTGGGCACGTCGTTTAATGTGCGTGCAAATGGCCAACAGTCGGCACATGCTGGCCACTGGGGAACCAGTGGCCCTGCCGGCTCTGCGGCCTGCGTGGCCTGTGGCTCATGGCTCGTGCTCGTGGCTCATGGCTCCCATCTCGTGGACCCCCGCGCCTCCGCCTCCAGCCTCAACTCTTCCCCCCTCAAAGCCCATAAACGCCTCTCTCAAGAACGAGACAATACCCGAAAACCTAATTCCAACCTCGCGGGGGAATGCCTGGCGCCGACGCTGGCGCTGACCGTCTCTCCCTCTCCGGCATTTATCCCGGGTTTCCCCCGCGTACTGCCAGTACTGCAGTGTTCAGTGACAGTGTGCTTCCGACCCGACTGGCGCGAGGCGAAATCCTGCCAAGCCCGCCACATTTCCACCACCCACCAGCGTCGCGCCCTTCGGCCTACGCTCGCGCAGGTCAGGCTGACATGGCCAAGACAGCCCACGACGGCCTACAACCCCTACAACCCCTACACCCCCTAACAGCCCTTTGGCCCAAGACACCCCCCGTGGGCTTGCGACTTGCCAGATATAGACGGGGCGCGCGGGGCACAGAGCGCAGTGGCGGTCGCCGCTGAGGGCAGGGAGAGGGAGAGGCCGTAGCGTTGTGCCAGCCGCCCAACCCGGCGGCCAGCGGCGCTAGCCCGCGCGCTGTGATCGCTGGATCGCTGCATGTGGTGTGCCGCTGGCACTGGCGCTGGCGCGCTGGGACAGGCCCTCATGGCCTACTGGCCTAATGGCCCGTCCGTCCGGCGGGGCTCTCGGCCCGGGCCGGGCATGCTCGCCGACAGATATGCGCAAACGTGTACAAAGTGCCACCAGTTGCCACCGGTGTATGTGTATGCGTGATGAAAAAGAACATGACATGCAACACCCGATGGAGGCTATCAAATACTACAATTGTGTTGGGGGGCCCTGCAATGAAAGAGAAAGAGAGAGAGAGGAAAAAGGGAGGGGGTAGAGGGGGGGGGAGCAATGTGTCAAGGTAGAGATCCCAATGACGCGAAATGGGGGCGTGCGCGTGGCACGATCGGCAGCTCGGCAGAGATCAATCAAGACATCAGATCGCCGTCGGTTTCGGTCTCTGGTTTCGCCATTTTACGGCTCACGGCTCGTACCGCGGCAAGAACCGGTGTCCGCTGACGCTGAGGCTGGTGCTGTCTGCGTCGTGGTGCGGGTGGTCTGGGCCCGGTACACTGTGATGCAGGGACACCGCGTCGAGGTCGTGGTCGAGGTCGTGGTCGGCGGTGCCGTGGTCTGCGGCGTGATGCTCGGGATCATGGCCCTGGCCGTCATCGTCGGGCGCGAATGCTGGGGCGGAGGGCACAACCTCGTCGTGCCCGTGCGGCGGCGGCGCCGAGGGCAGCGGTGGGGCGGAAGGTGTGCGGTCGGCGGCGTCGTCGTCGTGGCCGTGCAATGGGGGCGCCGAGGGAACAGACAGCTGGTCATGGCCCGGAGGCGCAGACGGTAGAGGCGACAACGGCGTCATGCCTACACCACCACCACCACCACCACCACCACCGACAGGGCTGCTCGGAGCACTGCTAAAGGTGTACAGGCTTCGCTGCTTGCCCCGCACTGGCGGTGCCGGGATCCCCGTAATGACACGTAGCGACGCGGGAGACTGGGCAGGATGGCTTGGGCCAGCGTCTGCCTCGCCGTCGACGTCGTCTTCGGGCGGGAACACCTCAAAGCCACCAGCATCGACGTGAAAGCTGGGCGCCGACGGACCTCCACTTTCGTCACCGTCACCACCACCACCACCGCCGCCGCCAAAGTCCGCATTGTCCGTCCGCACAACTGGCGGAGCAGATGCTCCCAGCCGTAATCGCTCCAGCTCGCGCTTGTCGTCTGTGGCAATGTGCCGTCGCTCGCGCTCCTGTTCTTCCTCTGGAGGCACGATAATCGGCGACTTTGCGTCTGCACGGTGGGCGATGGCCTGTGCGACCTCTGCATCCTCGGTGGCCGGGGCAGGGTAGAAGCCTGCCGCAGCGACCTTCTCCGGGGAGAGAGCAGATGCGAGAGCCGCAGAAGAGGCAGACGAAGCACCGGCGGCGGCATTGGAACCTGGCGGAACGGAAGGTCCTGCTTGCATGCTGCGAACGGATGCTGGTCGATACGCTGGCGGCATGTGCGGCATGGCAGTCGACGGTCCGCCGGACGCTGCTGTGGGCGATGACGCCGACGCAGCCGGAGGACTCGAGGCTGACGAAGACGTGAGCGACAATGGCGCATCCGACGCCGACGTTGTTTGCGCCAACGTGTCCGATGCACCAGTGTGGTTGTCGCTTCCAGTTGCACTTTCCTCTGTGGACGGTAGAATGCGCGGCGACTGATCACGGGGTGGAGAGTGGTCGTGGGAGTCGACTGACGAAACGGTGGTCGCCAACGAGGCGTCCGAGCGGGTCATGATGGACGAGGTAAGGGAGCTGCGACGACGGAGCAAGTTTGCAGAGGTGTAGGCGCCGCCGTTGGGGGAAGAGTGTTCCTTCAAATCGTCGTTGCCACCGTGCTGGGCTGTCCTGCGTCTCCGCACACCTTTACGCCAAACACGCACTTTGGTGCGCACAATCGTCGTGTTGCCGCCATGGGGCACACTCTTGCTCGTCTTACCCGAGCGGCGTTTGGCCTGGTGCATGCGCTCAATCTCGGCGAGACGCTCGCGGAACAAGCGCTCAGTCTCCTCGTTTGCGTTGCGCATGTCATCCTCGGTGATACCGGCCGCGGCGAGTGCTTTGCGACGAACCCGTGCGTCGTGGCGCTTTTGTCTGCGCAAAGTCTTGCGGCGTTGGATGGTGATGAAAATGATGCCCGCCACGATAATGACGGCAAGAAGAACGGCAGAGGCTGCAATGAGTGGTGTCTTGTACAGCGAGCCGCGTTTGGAAGTGTTGCCCCAGCCGGTAGGGAGAATGGAGGCCACAGCATACGACGCGATGGGTATTGTAATGCTCGCTGAAGTGTCGCCTGTTTCGTCAGAGGCCTGGAGGTTTGTCAGCCACAAAAGGGGAAAACGGAATAGACAGAATGCCACTGTCAAAACTCACTGCTTCTCGGCCATACAAGGACCACGCGCGGTCGACTTTGTACCAATAGCCGTCGGAGGACTGGCTGAGGTAATAGGGCAGGACAGTTTCTGGAAGTGTGATGGCAGGAACTGAAGGAAGAGTGGATGGTGCAACGTATTCGGGCTCGGCGTGTAACCGTCGAGGATCAAGCGTGGGGGCTGGATCGGGGATGGGTGTTGTTGTTGGTGTTGTTATTGAAAACCCGGTGGGTGCTGGCAGTTCAGACAGTGCCGTGTCTCCTGGTTCAGCTCTTGTCACTGGTACCGGACCAGCTGATGCGAGTGGGACGAGTGGGAGAGACAGTGCGAGGGCGGCGGTGAATGCGCCGAATGGCGACAGGCGTCGTCGACGGTTGGGACGCGATACGCTGCTGCTGCCGCGGTCGATGGTGCTGCTGCCGCTCGACGACGACGACGACGACGACGACGACGACAATCTCCGTCGTCGTTGGCTGCTGCCCGGGACAGGTCCGCAAACATCTTGTTCTGACACGGCGTCTACTGCCGGCGCAGCACAAGATGACGGGCCTGCCTCGATGCCATCCTCGCAGAAGTCTGTGATGGGTCCACCAATGTCCCACCGCCAGGGACTGGGCGGCGGGGGGCTGGCTGAAGCGAGTTTCCACCGCTTCATCGCATGTGGTTCGAGGCCGTTTTGCGAGGCGGGCGGGCGGTGAGCCACGCACCGCGGGCCTGCTATATACAGCGACGAGTGAGTGGAGCGCGCTGATGTGTGTCCTGCTGTTGGCCACCTGGTATTTTTAGCCAGGTAGCCGGGTGGTCGTATCGCCTGCGGCGGAAGGGCGTTGCGGCGAAGGACAAATACGGGGCGCGTGCGGCGGCGGCGGCGGCGCTGAGCGAGAAGGACGCTGCGGCGGAGGCGACTCGAGGGGAGGGGTCGAGTGAACAGGCTCAATGGGATGAAGATGAAGATGAGGACGGAAGGTGGGTCGTGGACGTCTGAGGGATACACAGACGGGGACGAACAAAATGCGGCTTAGCGATGAGGAGGAAAGGAGGGGGGGGGAGGATGCGCGCGTGTCGTAAAAGGGGGGGGGGAGGCTGGGCGTGGGTGGGCGTGGATAGCGCGTGCGAGGCGGAGTGGGGTGGATAGCCGACGTGTGTGTGGTGGGAGGTGGTGGGAGAGGACGAGCGAAAGAGAAATGTGAGGAGATGGTGGAAGGAATGGAGAGGCCAGGTTTGTAGAGAGAGAGAGGAGTAATGGGTATGAGAGGAGATGTGGGTGCTGCAAGGCGATGTTCCGTATGGGCTCTGCGGTGTGTGGGCCGTGTGGGTGGGTATACGCTGGGAGACAGGGGGGGGAGAGAGCAGGGAGCGGGCGGGCGGGGCAAGGACGGCGGGGGGGTTCGAACGAAGAGCTCCCGCGTTTTGGGCCCAGGGTGGGTGGGTGTGTGTGTGGGCAGGCTGTCTGAGCACCCGCCAAATTTGATCCCGTCGGAGAGATCCAGCGAGGGAGAGGGAGCGTCCCAACGGCGCCCGGACAATAGCCGCACACACCCTTTCTCTGGATCTCTGGCCTCTGGCCGCCCCCCCCCCCGGGTTCCAGCCGAACACACACACACACACCGTACACACGCCGGACACACACACACCCCCGTCGTCTGTCGGCAGGATGGCCGTCGTCTGGCACCCACCTCCGCCCCTGCGCCCGTGTATTTTTAGCTGGACCCAAGCGCTGGGCCGTGACACCCCCTCTCAGGTCCCCCCCTCTTCCCCCCTCTCCATGTCCGGCAGCTCCGCCGAACGGACACTCTGGCGGCTGCTCTCATGTGTGTTTGCATCTGCATCACACGCGTCCACCCAGGGAGAGGAGATATATAAAAAAACTACGCACATACCCCCCATTGCTGTTCATACGGCAGCACAGAATATAGACCTCTATCCATACCCCCATTGCACAGTCCTCTCCTAATTCTCATTCATTCCTCATGCCCCTTTTCTGCGCTTCGCAGTCGGCCACAGCTGCGCGCTTATATTCTTCGGAGCCGATGAAAAAACCGGCCTGTGGATACTCTTTTTTGCATACAGACCAAGATACATACAGCTTTTTTGCATGTATTTATTTTAATGTTAACCTCCCTTTGCTTCTTTCTATCGTGAGCACAGCCGATGACGTGTGCACACCACGCCGCATCACCAGTGTGCTTGCATTGCATGTGAGCGGCGGGGGCTGCAAAAAAGGCCGGAACAGGCACAGAACCCAGCCCAGGTGGTGGTAACGCCAACAGGTCCCCCACTGGCCACTGGGCCACTTACACCCACGCCAACAGGCCCAACCAGGCCCAACCGGGCACTCAACGCCCCCGCGCACGCCAGCGCTAGCCCCCCGCCCAGTTCGCCCAGTTGAAAAGAAATCTATAAACAACTGCATTTTTGGAGCACGATGCCGGCTAAGGGCGACCCAAATTGGCTTGGCTCAATATCATCAATGCCATTAATACACTCGAGCTCGCTCCGCCCGCTTAGACCGGCGGTGACTGTGGTGGTCGCTCCGGTGGTTGCCCCGGCGGGTCCCCGACGGTCGTCGCCATGTCGTAGCCGAGCGCGCAGCGAATGAGTCATGAGTCAAGAGAGTATTTTTTAAAAAATGAACAACGGGTGTGTGCCGTTGCCTGCGGCGCTCCGGGGCGTGGCTAACGCAAAGAGTGTGAACATACTTGGGGCCGCCGAGGGGCGTGGCCCTCGAGCGCTGGCCAACTCGTCACAGCCTCTTTCAGAACCTCTTTCAGAAATACCATACCCAACATTCCTACCTAGAGACGAGACGTCGTGGAGCTCCCTGCCGAGAGCCCACAGATCCACGGGTCGAACAGAGCGAGCGAAAGGTATCCGTGTATGGAATGACGGACGGGGGGACTGGCGAGGAAGCGCGTTGGGTGTGGGCTCCACAGAACGTCCTGCCCCCCCGTGGGGAATGGTCGGACAGAAAGTGTGCGTGAAGTGAAGCAAGACGGACAACCTTATAGTCTGGAGGCAAACACAAAAGATGTCTCGGTAGCAATGACAGTTTGGGTACATGGGTGTATATGGCAGTCACATGTTGTCCGCTTGTCCGTCATTCCTCGCTGATCGTTTTAGCGCCCCCGTTTCGCTTCCATCTGGCCACCTGGATCGCTTGCGACGCGATCGGCCATGCCACAGTCCGGCTGTCTTCCCTCGGATGCGTCTTCCCTCTCGACCGTCATTGCTTCGTCTTGTCTTCCTCGTCTTCCTCGTCTTCCCCGTAGCCCATTCATGGCTTGTGTCTCTGATCTCTGACCCACTGACCTCACTCCATTCCACGCTCCTCCCTCTGCACACACGCACACGCACTACATTTCTCACAGTTTGACGATGACATCCAGCAAAACGCTAAAACGCATCCACCTCTACCACCACCTTCTTCAAGCTCCGCTGCTGTTCTTTTCTGCTTGCACTCAATCCCTCTTTCCCCCCTCCTTAGGCCTTAGGGCTTGGCCGCGTCCCAGACGTGCACCATAAACTTGCGGTACACCTGGCCCTTTCCAGCGTCGGCAATCTCCTGCACCTCGGCGTCGGTGAGTGGGGGCGCGGTAAAGGCCGCCAGCTGCTCCTTGCGACGCTCCTCGGTGCGCGAGGTGCTACAGTCCATGTCAGCTACACACACCACACACACCACCTCTTGCTCTCCACTCACGTGACGACGGTACCACCGCCAAACTGGCTCGCCCACTTGAGGAGGACCTGGGGCACGGTGAGGCCGTGTGCGGTTGCGATCCGCTCGGCGACCGCGTCGACGGGTCCGCCGCTGGAGCGGAACACGGGGGCGAGCGGGCCAAACGTCTGGATCTTGATGTTGTGCTCCTTCATCAGCTTGGTCAGGCGCTGCACGTTGGGCGCGTGGTACAGGTATGGGTGGAACTCGATCTGGTTGACGGCCGGGACGACGGTCGGGTTGGACGCGAGCACCTCCTGCAGGTCCTCCTCACGGAAGTTGGACACGCCCACGGCCTTGGCCAGGCCGTCGGCCTTGATCTTCTCCATCACCTTCCACTGGTCCGCGAGCGACACCTTGTCGTTGAGCAAGGGGCTGTGGATGAGGTCTGTGGGGTGAGTACGGCGTAGCTGGTAGGTACCTGGTGGTCGTGGATCGACTTACACATGTCAACGTAGTCGACACCGAGCTTGTCCGTTAGTTGCTGGTATCAACATACACCGCTACTCACCTCCTGGAGCATCGTCTCGAGGACGGTACGCGCCTCGTCCACGGCACCAGTGGTCGCCTTGCCCCCTGTTCACACATCAGCCCCACTCGCGCGCTCTTTTTACATTGTGCCACTCCAACTCACACTTGGACAGGAGGTACACGTCCTCGCGCTTGCCCTTCCACTCCTTGAGGGCCGCACCCACACTGGCCGTGTTGGCGTAGACCTCGGCAGTGTCGAGCGAGTCGTACCCATCCGCCAGGGCAGCGAGGACGAGGTCCTTGCTGTCCTTGCCAAACAGCGCCGTGCCGGTGCCTAAAGGGGTAGGTGGTCAGCACTATATACTTTCGCCTGTTGAGAAATAGCCATGCCAAGACCCGAAAACGAGCGGGTTTCCGAGATCTACGCGCGAGCATTCAAGCAGACGGCACAGCAACACCTACCAAAGGCAATGACGGGGATGGTGGTACCGTCGTTGAGGTTGATCCTGGGAACGGCCATGATGCTACGAGGTCTCAGGGCGTGCAAGTGACGAGTGAATGAGCGAATGGCGGGGAGAGATGTAGGGGGAGAGTGAGGAAGAGTGTGGAGGAGTGACATGACTTATCTAGTAGAATACATTACATAGGGCGACCATGGTCACACGGGATCCCGGGACATGGCAACGACCGGAACCAACGGCGTGCTGAATGCCCACATCGGTCCGGAGTGATGACATGGGTGACCAAGACGATGGGCCAAGAGGCCGCATGTCCGTGATCCGCGACCAACCGGTGCCGGTGCCTGCGGCCAAGTGGCGCAAGTGGAGGCCGTGGGCAGCGCTCAACACCGCTGCAAAGGCGCAAAGGTGTGTTCAGGCGACGGTTCTGGTGAACGGGAAAACCGAAACTGATCACTGAAATCGCCGGCGGTCGGGAGGGCGTGCACGCACACTCGCGCATGATCTCATCGCACTCAAGCGCGCCGTGTCCACCTCCAAAACATATCCACAGCGTCAACCTCCACCATGTCCCTTCGAGCAGGCCTCCCGCTCCGCCGTGCACCGCTGCGTGCACTTGGGGCTAGCACCAGCCTCCCGCGCGTCCCCGTTCCCTCTTCGCTCGCTGTGCGCGCTCGCTTGACATCCAGCCCAACCACCACACCCTCCTCCCTCGCCAACGTCCGCTTTGCGTCTTCTTCTTCGTCGTCGTCCTCAGCCGGCGCCGGCGCCGGTGCGGCCGAGCAGCCCCCCATTCCACCCAAGGCTGGCAAGCCGGGTCTGGCTTATCGCGGTGTCAAGATCTCGCATCTTTTCGGTGGGATCGTGTCCCTCGGCCTGCTCATCACCATCTATGGCCTGTACGTACGCTGCGCTTGCGCTCCCCGTGTCACCTGTTTCTCACACCGACCGCAGCCTTGAATGGTACTTTTCGCTGCAGATCTGGCCCGAGCCCATAAAGACGCCGCTGAAGAAGGCGCTCAAGGCGCGCGGGCAGGGCGACTATGACCGCGCCGACGAGTTCTTCCGTGAAGCCGTGACGGCGGCCCAGTCGGTGCCCCCGTCGGCGCTCGACCCGGACCCGTTGCGCAAGCTGTCGGGCATCTACATTACGTGGGCGACGATGCTGGAGGGTAACGGCCAGCCGGTGCGCGCGTTCGTCGCGTACCGCGACGCGCTCGGCCTGTTTGGGCCGTCGCCGCTGGCCAAGGACCGCGCCCCGGCCAACGGGTGGGCCGAGGGCCACGTCCTCGACGACGAGGACCACCTGCGCGCCATTGGCCTGGCGCAGAAACTGGGGCAGATCGCCGTGCGCATGGGCTCGTTCCCCATCCCCCCGCCGTTCCCGCACGCGGCGACGGACAAGCTCAAGAGCTGGGACGGCGCCGGCGAGGCGTACCTGTCCGGAGCGCTCGGTGCCATGCTCCGCCTGGGTCTGGCGGGCCGCGCGCCGCCCACGCCCGAGTCGGGTCCCGTCGTCATTGGCCGCGACGTCAACCTCCCCGAGAAAGAGGGCGACACGGAGGGCCGCGTCAACCGCCGCGGACTCGGCATGACCATGGAGGCCCTCGCAGAGGTGTATGCCCGCCAGGGCCAGTATGCGCTTGCGGGCCAGCTCCTGATCCAGGCCATCAGCACGCTCGTTCCCCCGCAGGACAAGAACCCCAGCGTGGCAGATAGGTGCCAGGCGGCCATGGTGAGTCGGCGGAGCTGACCGGTCCGTACCACACACCCATCGCGCTAACACCTTGTTTCCCCAGCTCATGACCACCGTGTCCTCGCACGCCCTGGAGCCACGCACCCCGCAGGCCGTGCGCGCCTCGCGCTCGTGGTCCCTCCAGTCCCTGCAGTTCATCGACAGCGCCGCCGAGGCTGCCGGGTGGAAGGACGGCTCGGCGCCAGGCGACACCGCCGCGGCAGTGTGTGCCCAGGCGCGCTCGGTGGCAAACTACAACCTCGGCATGCTCGACGAGATGGACGGGAACAAAAAGGACGCGGCGAGGCGGTTCGCCGAGGCCCTCGCGGTCGCGCGCGAGAGCGGGTTCAGCGAGGGGAGGCGCGAGGCCGGCGAGGCGTTGAAGCGCGTCAGGGCGGCGTTGGCCGCTGAGAAGAAGTAAAAAAAGAAGAGTAAAAAGAGCGTAGCGATAGATGTCAACCCCCACTGCTCCCATTTACTTTACTCTGCTCTGCTGTTTCGTGTCGCGCAACGGGGGCTGACCATCCGTGGCATTTGCGATCTATATTAACCAAGAAGCGAGCGAGTCTTATACAAAGGAATGCAGAATGCCACATTTGTCGTACAAAATGGGAGAGGAAGAGTGTGCGCTACACTCTCTACCTACGTGCGCTCGAGGAACCCAACGTCAAACGAGCCCATCGTCCTGCGCGTGGCAGGGTACAGCGCCGACGAGGCGCGCAGCACGGCAATGAGGCTGACACACGCGTCGCGCGAGTACCGCAGGTGCTCGACCTGTCCGCGCGGGCCAAAGCCGGGCAGGTGCTCAAACTCGGCGTCGGCAGAGTACGGCTCGAGGACCTTGAACATGATCTTGGAGGCGCGCAGCGAGTACGTGTCCGGGAGCGAGGTGGAGATGGATGGACGCGGGTGGCGAGAACACGCCTCGTCTCCCTCGCCCTCGCCCTCCAGCGGACTGAGTGGGGGCGGCAGCTGGGCAGGCGGCGAGTTGGGGTTGCGCTGGTACGCGATGCTGACGGACGGGTTGAAGACCCACATGGCAAGGCGGCGGTCGCCCGTCTGCTCGTCGCAAATGATGAAGCGGTGGGACGCGTGTGCCTGTGCCAGCTCGAGCATGTCTGACACGACAAACGTCGAGACGGGGAAGCGGACGGGCTCGACGTCATCCGCACCGGTGCCGCGCAGCAAGGCGATGGACCACTTGGAGAAGCGGACGGTTCCGGCACCAGGCTGCCCGTCCTCTGGACGAACTTTGCCGAGAACTTCTCCACAGGGGCAGGTGACGATACGCCACTGGTCGGGCTGAAGAGGGGGTTAGCTCAAGCCATAAAGTGAGTGATGGGGTTTGGAACTGTCGCTTTCGGATGTAGCCCTCGTCCCGTTACTCTGGGGACGAGGAATTGTTTCCGAGCGCCGCGGGACTGCGACATGTTTGTTGTAGGGCCCTTGTATCGACCATAGGATCTCTCCTGTCCGACCCCAGCCGAAGAGTGAAACTTGCAAGAGCTTCACTCAGCGGCCAGAGTGCGGACCGCCAGTTGGAGTCATGGCGACGGCCTTCTTTGTAGCCCGGGGTGGGGGGGGGAGGTGGGGAGGGGGGGGGGAGGAGATGTTACTCACTTCATTGGACAATTCCGGGACCAGGTGCTGGTCGCAAATGTGACTGCCAGAAACCAGCAGGTAACTGCCGCCGACAAGGACCGTGTCCTGTGAAGGCCAGAATCCATCCTTGGTATGCTTGGCGAGCTGGGCCGTAAAGGCCGGGTCGGCATGGCACATCCACACCTCGAGCATCTCTGCCCAGTGCTCCGACGGCAGGTCCTTGTACTGGACGTTGATCGGGAACTGCGCAACAACGCGATCACACGCTGTGCAGCACAGGCTGCGCGGGGCAATGTCGCGCAGACTGGGGGCCGAGAGCGCGTGCGTGAGCGACGAGTTGAGCGACAGGGTGGAGGTCGCGGTGGGGATGGCAGCGAGCTTGGCCTCGTAGTAGTCGGCGATGGGGGCGACAGACACAGTCTGGCCCATCTTGACTGCAGTGGGGAGAGAGATCAAGACGCGGAGCGTGGGGTCGTCCTTGCTAACGAGGATGGCATCGGTGGGCGACATGACCTCGAGTTGCAGGTCCACGGTCGACGTCGCGTCCAGACCCAGGATCAGGACCTGGACGGCCCGCAGATTCTCTTGGTGCTCGGTCACATAGCTGAGGTTGGCCGCATCAATCTCAAACGAGGGTGGCGGCGGGGGAGTGGGAAGGGGTTTGATGCTAGCCTTGCTAATCTTGCGACCAAGGTGGAGTGTAGGTGGAAGAACAGTCTGTACGAGCTTTTTGAAGCTGTTGGAAGTTGAAAGCTGTGGACTGGATTGATTGAAACGCGTGGAACTCATAATCGAGGAAATAGAGTTCCGCCGGGAATTAGCCGGCGGAATAGGAAAGTCCTCAGGGAATATAAACCCGCCAGGTGTCCGCGGGGTGCGGGGCGAACGCGACGCACGAGACGCTCGCGACGTGACTGATCCACCGCCGCCGAGCCGCAAGCTGGTCACAGACTCGTTGTTTTGCATGCGGGAAGCCCACAGGCCGTCTGCGACAGTCTCCGTGATGATGGGTGGGCTGGGCATGGGCTCACTCGTGAAAAGAGTGGCGAAGTCGACCATGTCCGCCTCATCGTCAAACGTCGTGGTCACAAGAGGCAGCGGTGGACGGACAAACTCTTGGTTGCTCATACGGCCAGCTCCAGCCGCCTTTGAGAGAGCGCTGTACAGGTCCTTCTCAGAGGCTTGGAATGACAAGGACCTCGGAAGTGAACTCGGCGAGCCGGTAGCCGATTTAGGTGACCTCTTTAAAATGGACACTGGCTGCGTCGTGTCCTCCATAATACCGTACAGAGGGGTCACGGGAAGTGACCTCTGTGAAGCACCGCCAGAGGACGAAGACGACAGGTTCACCTCGTCAAACATGCCCAGCAAGGGGCTGCGGCTTTCACCCGAGTTGGAGAGTCGACGCAGAGACGAGCTCCTTGGGGGTGGAGAGCTGGTTGGAACGCTCACTTTCAGGGGAGACGGCTCAACGCTCCGCACCGCCAATTTTGGACTGTGGAAGCTGCCGTCATGACTCAGAGTCGGGCTGCTGGGCATGGAGACGCTTCCGTTGGCAGCGGGAGGTAGTTCCCGGCTGAGAAAGTCGTTTCTCGACGAACTCGGGCTGAGAGATCGAGCCCGGTCGGACTCGCTGTCACGGAGGGGACTGCGCGATCGCGTGTCAATGGCCGCATCGTCGTCAAAGACATGTTTGTGACGGCTCCTCCTCCCATCGAGCATCTGCTCGAGGGTAATCGGAAAGTCTTGCCCCGTGAGGCGAGACGCCTTTGAGCGGTCGACCACGTCGTCTACGAACGACTGGCGCCCCTTGGATCCTCCTGCTTTGGGAGCTTTGATCGAAAGCGGGCAGTCTTGCCCCGTCAGCCGGCTGGCCTCTGAACGATCAATGACACCGTCAATGAAGGATTGGCGCTGAACCATTAGCTCATGAACTTTGCCCCTGTTGCCCTCACCTGCTCTACCATTGTCCGCAATGGCCTCTCCTGGTCACCCATACGCGAATTCGAAGACTGCTCCACAATGCGAATGAGCATGTCAGCCTCTAGGGCACGTCGCTCCGGCGTGTCGTCCATGTAAAGGTCGTCATCAAGGTTGATCTCGCGCGCCGGCTGCTTCTCTTTCTGACGGTCGCTCATCTCGATGCGCTGACCGTCCAGAATGATGGAGCGGGACGAATTGACACGGTCCATCTTGTCCCACAGGTCCTCGAGCTCCAGCATGCGTTCACGCTCATTCTGGGGTTGGCTCAGGTGTGAGGTGGAATCGAGCCGCCGCCGGCGGCTTGGTCCCGCCCGCAGTTCAACCCGCTGGTTTTGGAGCTGTGGCGCAATGGCTTGAAGCCGTTCGATGGCGTGGGTAACCGTGTCAAGGTCGTTGAGAATGCCCGTCATCATCCCGTGCATCATGGGCGAAATGTCCTTGCCGTCCTCGGCTAGGCGACTTTTGGCATCGTCAGACGTCTTGGACTTGGCGCCCGTATCGTTGGACTCGGAAACGACCATCTCGTCGTGCTCGTGGTCCGTGTATGCGGGCAGAGACTGCAGAGACTGACAGTCTGAAGCAAGCGAGTTCACACTCTGGCGGTAAGCTGGTGGCGACACTGCCAAAGTCTGCTGGCTTTGCCGGTCCCGCTCAGTCCTTTCTCGCACAAGCTGCACGACGTTGTCGATGAGGGACTGAACTCGCGCCCACGTAAGCTCTTCGTGGACGGTCCGGCGAGCTTCTTGGGGGCTGCGAGGTTGAGAGCGCAACGCTGCAGTGTTGGTAGAGGAGGAAAGAACGTGATCAAGGCGGAAGAATGGAGAGGTCTCCCTGTCGAATGGAGCAATTGGAGCCGACTTGGTCGAGGAAGTGTGGTATGCCTCGAGATCGTAGGAGGCCTCCAGGAGGTCACTCACGGCGGCAGCAAGCGGTCGGTCCTGCTCGCTGAGTTGGGCGCCGGCGTTGTGGGGGAGAAGGATGGCAAGAGTCTCTGCGCAGGCTCGTTGGATTCCGACTAGGTTGAAGTCGCCCATGTCCTCGGCCTGGTCGAGTAAGCAAAAAGGAAACACAGCACACGAAAAAGGCCAAGGAAGAGGCCTAGGTGGGAGAGGTGTGGGGACGAGCACTCACATCATGGAGACATATTGTTGCCTGGTCTGAGTGATCGGCCTCTGCCTCCAACTCGGCATCCTCTTCATTGACGCCTTGTTCTTCATCTTGACGTTCATGTCGCAGGTAATCAAGTGGGAACGGTGCTGGAGGCGGCGGGAGTACGGGGATGGCATCGAGCTCGTGGTATGCGGGTGCGATGGACGCAGTCTCAGACGCGGGAGTCGAGGGCCTGACTGCCTCCATCTCCATTTCGGAAGCGCGGAACGAACGACGGGAGAGGTGCGGGGGGGAGAAGAGATGTTGACAACTTTGCAGACGAGGTCCAGGATTTGTGTGTGTACAAGACAACGGGACTGGAAGGTGCCCGCCTGCTCGGGTCAGAAGGATACGGCGGTACGGCGGCGGCGCGCACGGGCGCGCAGTGCGGGAGGACGAGGGAATACGTCGAGGGAACGGCGCAACACGGGCCTGATGCGCCGAAACCCCACCTCTGCGGTCGAGGGAAAGCAGATGCGAGTTGGTGGGTGTAGCGACGACGGAGGCAGAAAAGTGTGTAATGTGTGTGTATATGTATGATGGTGAGGACGTGTGTTGATGGTGTGTAGAGGATGCAGACTTCAATAAGAGTTGTGATCGCATCACAATAACGGGCACACAGGGAAGGCACCGCGCGGTATCGGCGGCGGCGGCGGCGGCAAAGGGGCCCGCCAGTGGGCCAGGGCGGACGCATGGCCGGCTGCTGGTGAGGCGTGGCGGACCCCGTCTGACAACGGGGTCCAACGGTCCGGTGCTGCGTCGCCTCTGCACGGGCGGCTTGGGCAGCAAGCACAGATCACCAGCAAAGAGGGTCGTGCGCGCGCTGGTATGCGTGCACGTTTTGAGGCACACAAGCGCGTTACAGTGACTAGTACCTGGTGCCAGATCATCGTCAACATGGACGAAGACTAACGGATTTGCTTGGCGACACAAACGACACATACCACCCAGCATTTGTGGACAATGAGAACAGGCCCCTCCCTCTCTCTTTGAAACCGATGGTTGCGTAACCCGCAAGCCATGCAAGCCACACATCGGGCGGCGTGGTTTCGGCAAAAGCATAGAGCAACATCTACATCTCTTCAGACGTTTCCTTTCCCGTCTCCGCACGGTTCCAACAAGACTTTGACATCAGCCTGCTTACGCGCTCGTCACTCGGACGGTTCAAGTCCAGGTGACCGAAGCCGGCGAGTCAGAGGCCATGTTAATGCTTGTCCATGCATCCATGTATGGCGCGTTGAACGTAATTGAAGGAACCCGCATTCAACTGCGGTTCCGCGGCAAGAGACGCGCTGCCTTCCTCCGCAGCTCTCCCCGCCAAAAAAGCCTTCAATAAAGATGTTGCCTCAAACACACTTCCTCATTTCTCAGTCACGTTTGATGCTACAGATATGGGAACAAGACCATTGGATAGCCCTAATATAAATACACGACCTGATGGACTGTATGCATTCAGAGGAGGAACGCAGCATGCTCCTGCAACCAAGGAGCACTCGACGCCACGACTACCGTACTACCGAACCACACTGGTGCGTGCTTACTAGCCCCTGCGACGCATAGGCCCTGCAACTCATGGCCCCTGTCAACTCATGGAATCATGGTGCCCCTCGCTACTCTTCCCCTCGGTCCGTTCAACTGAGATAACATCTTTCATTCCTTTCATTCCTGACCCATCGTACACTACTGCGACACCACCCTGCCCACAAGACTAGGGCATAGCTCCAAAGCGTTTTGAGTGCGCCACTCCTACGGAATGGACTTGAACACCACACTAAACTCAGTGTGCTTGGGCAGCAGCTGGTGCTGGGGGAGAACACCAGGGCCGCACGCCAGCGTTCCAACGCCGTTGTGACCCACATCGAGGTCAAGCCAAACGTTTGGTCCTGGGACAAGGTCGATCGTGTGACGCGCAGCATAGAGCTGCTCGGTGGTCCACCTGCGAGCAGTGAGGGCAAACACGCCGCCCTCGCCACGCACACTCAGTCCAGAGCCGTCCGAGCCAGTGACGTGGGCCCAGCGGACGTCCATCCTAGATCCGTTCTCTTGCGGGAACACGTACGGCGTCTGCATGTCGTCGATGCTCAGCGCATACTTGCCGACCTTGGCAGCACGACACGTGTCCGGGTACGCCTCGCCGGGGCCCGCGCCGTACCATTCGACATTGGCCAGGGACTTGGGAAGACCCAAAGTGACGCCGAGGCGGGGGAGCACGAGGCCGGACCAGTCGCCCTCGGGGTCCACAGTCAGGTCGAGGCGGAGACCGTGGGGACCAGCGGTCCAGCGGTAGGTCGTGGCGAGGGTGCGGTCGTGTGAAGCGGCGGCAACCCGCGTAGAGACCACGACGGCGTCTTCCGTGACCTCCACGGCCTCGGGTTCGTGGTGCAGGCGGTTGAAGCCCTCACGGCGCCACGCTCCGCCGGGGGTCAGGTCCACAAAGCGCTCGTCGTAGCGCCAGTCATTGTCCGTCTCGGCGCGGTACACCTGGAGCTGAGCACCATCAGTGACGGCAAGGTCGCCGATGGACAGGAGCGTGCCGTTGGGGGAGAAGGTGGCGGGGCCGAGGGTGATCTTGTCCTCGGTGACGATGGGGGACGTACCAGTCGAGGTGGCGGAGACTGCGACTGCCTTAGCAGCGGCAAACTGGCCCCAGGCAACCTCGTGACCGGCGTCGGCCCAGAGGGTCGGCTTGGCGAGAGTGGCAGAGACGACCCAGAACGACTCCTCACTCGCGTCCGCGGCAGGCTGAGCAGACGGCACCGGGACAGTAACGGTCTCGCCAGCGGCCACGTGCGGTACCTCGAGCTTGCCCTCCGCGACGACCTTGCCGCCAGTCTCGAGACGCCAGGTGAAGGAGTAAGCCGACAGGTCGGCAAAGTCGTTGCGGTTGCGAATGGTAATCTTACCCTCCGCCTCGCTGGTGATCACCACGGGCTCGATGACCTTGGCGTACTCGATCAGACCGGGGCTAGGCTTGCGGTCCGGGAAGACGAGACCGTCACAGCAAAAGTTGGCATCGTGGATCTCCTCGCCGAAATCGCCACCATATGCGTAGTATGTCTGGCCGTTTTCGCGTTTGGGCATGCCGTGGTCAATCCATTCCCACACAAAGCCGCCTTGGGTACGAGGGTGCTTTTCAAAGAGCTCCATGTACTCGGTGAGACCGCCGGGACCGTTGCCCATGGCATGAGCATACTCGCAGAGGAAGTACGGAGCATCACGGTGGCGTTGCGAAACCTTGAGGTCGGCTCTGTCGGTCTCGATGTCCTTGCCGATCGCCTCCACGGCCTGGTGGTCGAGGTACATCTCCGAGTAGATGTCGACGTACTTTGTCTCGAGGTCGCGCTCGTAATGGATAGGGCGCGAGGTGTCGCGGTCACGGATCCACTGGGTCATGGCACCAATGTTACAGCCCATGCCGGCCTCATTGCCCAGACTCCAGATGACAATCGACGGGTGATTCTTGTCACGTTCCACCATACGCTCGGTACGGTTCACCAGCGCGGCCTCCCAGTCCGGGTCGTCGATAGGGTTGTTGTTCCACTTGGGGGTGCAGAGCTCAAACCCGTGGCTTTCCATGTCGCCCTCGTCGACAACCCACAGTCCGTACAGGTCGCACAGGTCCAAGAAATGGGGGTGCGGCGGGTAATGGGACGTGCGGACGGCGTTGATGTTGTGACGCTTCATGAGGAGCACATCGGCGAGCATTGTCTCGTTATCCAGAGCACGTCCGTGGTCTGGGTGGAATTCGTGACGGTTGACACCGCGGAACAGGACACGGCGGCCGTTGACCTTGATCACCTTGTCCTCGATGACAACAGTGCGGAATCCAATCTTGAGGGGAACGCGTTCGCCAGAGGTAACCAGCTCACCCTCGTAGAGACGTGGCACCTCGGCGCTCCATGGCTCAACTGGAAGGGTGATGCTCTCACCAGTGGCCATGTCAATACCCAGCTCGGGGACGAGCACGCGACCAGCGGGGTCGCAGTCCACCTTGAGGGTGCCCGCGCCGCTGACGTGGTCATATGACTGGTGGACAAAGTGATCCTTGACTGAGCCGACGGGGCGGTGGATGACAGTCACGTCACGGAAAATGCCCGGAAGCCACCACTGGTCTTGGTCCTCAATGTAGGTCGCCGCCGACCACTGGTGGACACGCACAGCAAGGACGTTGTGCGGGGCCAGGGTCTTGGTAATGTCGAATTCGACAGGCAGGCGCGAACCTGACGACGTGCCTAGCAGCACACCGTTCAGCCAGACCTTACACCACGACTCGACGCCGTCAAACCGAAGGACAGTCTTAAAGAGTCAGCAACTAGCCATCTCCTGCAGTAGAGAGACTCACGGAGCCCTCCTTGGACCACGACCCAAGGTCAAATTCGTAGCGGTAGTCACCGGTGGGGTTCTCCGCCGGGACGTAAGGCGCGTCAACAGGGAATGGAAACTTGATGTTCTGGTAAGCCGGCAGGCCATACTTGCCGTCTTGGAGATTCCAGTGCGAGGGCACGGGGATCTTGTCCCATGACTTGTCGTCAAAGGTCGACGCAGCAAACGCGTCCGAGACGGCAGCAGTGGCACTGAGCCTGAACTTCCAGTTGTCGTTGAGCAAGACGCGAACAGCGTCTGACTCCTGCCATGCTCGTGGCGGCAGCGCTCCTGTCCACGGTTGAAGAGTCTCGTGCTCGAGGGGCTGACGGCGAGGCATGTCGTGTGATGATACTGGGGGAAAGAGAAGTTGGAAGCTGCCTTGTCATTAACGTTCGTGCCCCGCCTCCGGAACGGGGCCGGGATGTACCCCGGATGCGGCGAGACCCGCTGACGCCAACGATAAGTCTAAATCGGCGTGGTGGCCGGTGTGCCGCGCTCGGCACGACCGGACGCGAGCTGTGGAGAGTGGGCTGCGGAGTACGTACATCCGGGTCCCTAGCCCCATGGGCGATGACTACTTGGCACTACTATGTGGTACCATGTGCTGGCGAACGGGAATGCGAGGAGCGACAGAATGTCAACGAACGGGAATTTTCTGAGAGCGAACGGGAATTTCTGATGGAGCACGCTTTATAGATGTGTCAATCGCGTGTCCCAGCAAACTTTGCGAGGCACCATGCGGCGCCTATGCCGGACTGTGTGCCACTAACAACACGGGTTCACCTTTAGTGCAACCCTCAGTACCTCAGCCAGCGCGTGTATGTGCATGGCCGGAACATGGACAATCACGGAACAACTCGTTCGCGGCCCAGGCGCCGCCATGCTAAGGACATGTTTGCAATGTCTTAGACGTTGGAGCGCCTCCCCGCCCCCGCGGGACCCGGTGGAGACAGGGAGCGAGCCAGCGAGCCCCTCGACAATCTATCTAATCTCCTGGCTAAGCAAACAGACGAGACTAAGGGATTGCCAACGTCGTCGCCAAGTCCGCCCGCTGACATGCCGGTACACAAATCAAGCTCCAGGCTACCTACTCTTCCGAGACTCTGTTGGTACAAACATAAAAGGCGGTCGTGAATCCATCTCTCTTTCCCTGTCAACGCCCAACACAACGCAACATGTCCACCTACGACAAGCCCATCGAGGGTGCCGACGCCTTCGTCGAGAACCACCAAGACGAGAAGTCCGACCGCCATTATGTCGAACCTAAGAACAAGAAGATGAACGTAAGTCTCATTGCGTAACAACATGGTGTTGACAGTTAGACGGAGCTTGCCATTGCCCTCGAGAACACCCACTACAACAAGTGGTCCAAGGACAGCATGATTCTCTACCGTGAGTCTCGCCAGCTCTCGTCCTCAAGAGACTGTTGATTCTACGTCAAGTGTGCTGACTCAAAATTCAGTTGGTGTTTTCGTGGCCTTCTGCTCGTCATACGCCTCGGGATACGATGGTTCGCTCATGACCGCTCTCATTGCCGTGAGTCAGTGCCACTTGGAATTTGACTGACCTGTCAGATGAAGCCCTTCCAGGAGAAGTTCCACCCCGGCACCGGTGGCACGCACGGTAACGGTGGTAAGGTTGGAGCCATTATGGCTACTTTCAACGCCGGATCCTGCATTGGTGCCCCCGTCAACACCTACGTTATGGACCGCTTCGGTCGTCGTCCCGCACAGGCCGCCGGCGCCCTGCTTATCGTTCTTGGCACCATTCTCACCACCACCTCGCACCACCTTGCCCAGTTCATCGTGGGCCGCTTCTTCCTTGGTATGGGCTCTGCCTTTGCCCAGTCTGCCCCGGCCTACTCGATGGAGATTGCCCGTCCTCAGTGGCGTGGTCGTTGCGCGGCTATTTACAACTGCGGCTGGTACGCCGGTGCCATCCCGGCTGCTGCCATCACCTGTGAGTCACGTTGCGATATGCCGTTCATTCACAAACTGACATTCAAAAAGTCGGAACCAACTACATGAAGACCGACTTGGCCTGGCAGCTGCCCCTCATCTTCCAGTGCTTTACTTCAGTCATTATCTGCGCCTTCATCTTTGTCATCCCCGAAAGCCCCCGTTTCCTCATGTCGAGGGGACGCGAGGAGGAGGCGCACGCCTTCCTCACCCGCTTCCACGGTGGCGGCGACCCGAACGCTCCCATTGTCAAGCTCGAGCTCGAGGAGATGCGCAACAGCTACCAGGAGAACAAGATGGAGGCTTGGTATGACTACAGCCCTCTTGTAGCCACCCACTCTGGTCGCTGGAGGCTTCTTCAGGTAAGCTGAAGCTCGGTCAACAGTATCAGCTAACATTCTTAGGTTATTCTCATGGGTATCTTTGGCCAGTTCTCCGGCAACGGTCTCGCATACTACATCACCATTGTCTTTGGGCAGCTCGGTATCACGTCGGTCGAGTCGCAGCTCGGTTACAACATCCTCTACTCGTGTGTCTGTGCCATCGGTGCCATCACCGGTGCGTCCCTCACCGACACCATGGGTCGCCGCAAGGTCCTCGTCGTTGGTCCTGCCGTCATGTCTGGCCTCCTGTCCATCTACATTGGCCTCAACTCTATCATCGCCAAGCACGTGCAACCCGACGGTTCTACCGACCTTTCTCCGAGCCTCGCTCAGGGCGCACTCGCGATCTACATGCTTTTCGGTGCCACCATCGCTTTCGTCTACACACCTCTCCAGTCGGTTCTCCCCGTCGAAGCGCTCTCAAACAACATGCGTGCAAAGGGCCTGACGGTCTACACCTTTACCATGACGGCCATGGGGTTCATTAATATGTTCTTGGGACCCGTGGCCTTGTTCAGCATTGGGTACAAGTACATCATCGTGTTCGCCGTGATCGACGCCCTCGAGTCGGTGATTTGGTACTTCTGCTGCGTCGAGTCCTGCGGCCGTACCCTCGAGGAGATGGACTACATCTACGACCAGCCGAACCCCCCCAACGCGTCCAAGAAGCACTACTAGGTTGGTTGGGATTGTAGGGTACCAAGAGCGACCGAATCATCAACAGGAGGATGAACATGGAGGAGGGACGTGGTGGACGAGGACATGCCTTTTGTCCTAAGAAATCAGGTATTCGTCGGGAAATGTAATCGGAAATGTATTCTGTTAATTTATACGAGCATCGAGCATCTTTGGTTGCCATGCAGGCATGCATGGAGCGTGACGGACGGTCTTACAGCTTTAAAAAATATTGAAATTCCGACACAAATCGATTGGGTGAGTGTGGCGGGTGGAGCGCGGAGGCGCGGAATCAATTTCCACTCACTGGTGGCCATACCGTTCGTTGCCTTTGGCCTTTGGCCCATGCTGGGGCGCAGTGCATAGTACGCGCAGTATACGCGCGCGCCGAAGACAGCGCGAGGCCGCCGAGCTCATGCGTTTATGTGATTGTTATCCATCCACGACCATCCACTAATCTGCTGCACTGCCAAACGTTCCTCCTTTCCCCCTCCCGTTTATTCAACATCCACGTCAGTGGCATCCCGCCTCTTGGCCGGCGAACACCGGCTGTGGGAGCCCTCACAGCCGCCCTCATCTCCTCCGAACACCCCTCCCCGTCTGGGCTTTGCCTCATCTTCAACCGAGCCTTCTGTATCGCCTGTTCTCGGCTCAGTGCCAATTTCTCCCCGACTCTGCGCACTCCTCATGCCCGATTCAAGCATGAACCCCTTTGAGGGATCGCCCTTGGAGCTGATCCAAGGTGCATAATTCATCGCACCTCTCGTCGACTCGACGCCGAGGAACCAAAAACCAGCGCTGTTCTCCAACGCTCAATACCTCCAGACGACGTTCACCGTCCTTGGTTTACTGGTGCGGCTGCTGGCATGGCCATCAACAAGCGCAGTAACCAGTGCCGAGCGCTTGTCAAGTTTGTCGACCAGAAGCTGCGTCCAGCATATAGCAACTGGACCAACAACGGCGTCCCAATTCCCCTCGGTACCAAGGGCAAAAAGGACTGCGTCAGCCTGTGGAATGGCATCGTGAGTGACAACACCAGCACCCGCCCGCTAACAAACAACAGTGGCAACAGGTGGAACTCGGCATCATAAACCATCTTGCCATGAACCCCGAGTTGGTCAACGGCCCCCCCATTCCCATGGCCACCGAGCTCAGCAAGCTCGTTCACGTGATCGGCGGCGTGCAGTTCACATACACGTTCACCTCCGCCATCACCCACCTTCCGCGCTGGAAGAATGTCCGTACCTTTTGAATACCACGAGGTCCTATAACAACGCTGACCTGACACAGACGCTGCTGGCGCGCGGCGTGTTTGTGCCACTGGACTCGGGCATTCACGGGTTCGATTTTTGGGCGTCTCCACTCGCGACCCCAACGTCACGGACTACAATGCCGAGTCGCAATACAGCCTGGTGCTCCCCAATGCCCAGAGACTGTGCGTGACGGCCATTCTCAGTGGCCTCGAGATCGTCTCCGCCCCCTTCGCCTCCTGTGTGGCCCTCGCATCGGGTGTGGTGTTGTCGCGTACAACCGCCACCATGATGGCCCGTGTCTTGATACAACCGCCACCATGATGGCCAGTGTCTTGACTGCCGCACAAGAGCAGATCAACAGCGGCGCAGAGCTCCAGACCCTGCACGACCTCGTCCACATGCTCCCCGACAATTTCGAAGCATCTGGCGACACCGGTAAGGGCAGCAAAGGAAAGGGCAATGGCGGTTGCAAAGACAAGAAGAACCAAAAAGGGGTCACCAAGTGGCTACAGGCGTGGGAGAAGGATCTTGTGAGTTTCGCTCCGTCCTACAAGGCTAACGCAAGACTCCTATCCCACAAGAACTTCCTGCCAAGGTGGAAGCCGTTACCGGCAATGCGCTCTTCTCGCGTCTTGAGGACATGGGCCCCACCAACCTTACCAACATGGTGCTCCTGGCCAAGGGGCTACGAGTTACCCACCTTGAGACCATGTGTGAGGAAGAGAAGGCCATATTCGTCACCAGCCTGCAGGTCGACCTGAACACTTGGCGTGGACGCATACACAAAGATGGTTGCGTCGTGAGTAATCAACATTCGAGACTTGTCTGACATTGTCAGCGCCAAGGTTGTCACTTCGAGACCACGGAGCTGCTGGCTGAAGATGCCCTTCCTTCTCCGTGGTCAGAGCACGGTGGCAAGGTCATGTGCTTTGCGCACTTTCAGGAGGCGGTAATCGCCAAAAAGTACGTCCCTCTCTTCGCAACCATGTTATTGACAACTAGCCTCGTCCCCGATTTCAGCTGGTACCTCCATGTGCTCACCACGTCTCCAACAGCCCTTGGTACAGGTGCCACCTTGGAGAACCTCGGAGGTACATTCTTGCGTTGCTGGGGCCCCTTCTGTTCCAACGAGCACCGGCAATGTACCGCCTCCAAGGCGTCCGGCAGTCTGACGGGTAAGTCTGAATCTGGCTGGCTGACCCCTTGCATTTGAGCTCCGCTAAATCCCAGTACATTCTTTGTCTCGTGCAGAATATGTACAGCCGGAATCAACAAGCACATCCAGGTGCAGGTGGCCAAGATTCAAGCCTTGGCTACGGCGCGCCGTGTACTTGTCACCGAACTGCCAGCCGAGGAAAGGGTAGGTTTGCCCTTGGCACCTGTGCTGACATACTTAGCACATCTTCACTGCGGATAAATCGGATGCGTTGGTGCAGGCTCCCTGTGGCGACCGCCACGTTGGCCAATTCGGCTGCCGCCGTTTCGTTGGGTGGGTTGACCTCGATGCTCTCGGCTACCATGTTAGGTTCTCCGCTGACAATGAAGCACGCACGACAAGTCAACCATGTTCGTCGTCCATAACAGGACTGGCCAGCCAATTTGCTCACCGTGCGCCTCCTACCTTCCCGGCGCGATCCGTACAATGGACGCGTTCGTTGGGAAAACTCAAAACAAAGAACGCGCGGCAATTGTCAACGCGTTGGTCACGGTGAGTAATCTACCATTCTTGATGACTCCGCTGACACCCAAAAGGCTGTCAAGAGCATCCGCACAGACGCATAACAAGTTCTGGGACAGTAGGAGATCAGGTATTCGTCGAGAAACTTGGAATACGGGAATGGATCCTGTTGAACTTACACGGACGTTTGATCAAAATGCATGTATGCCTGCTGTGTGAGGACGGTTACAGTCGTCACGGTCGCAAGGGCGGCTCACCAAGCGAAGGTGAAGCTCGTTCGTTAACTAGGACTTCGAGCTCCACCAACGTCTGCTCGTCATGGGGGCCCGTCTCCCAACCATCAACGGCGGTAAAACCAGCACCTCGCCGTCACAAATCTCCGCCAACTCATCAGACCTCCTGGGCATGTCGGAGACCAAAAGGAACAACCTTCAGATGCTCAAGAGCACCTGTGCGTACACCGTAAGGGAGTCGAACCCCTGCCGCGTCGAGCTTGCACATGGCAACGACGCATGATACCGTTTCACCAACGGTGTTGTGATGGTGAGGAAAGGCCCATAATCGGCGCGCGCGGAGGTCACTTCAAGGACCTGTTTGACGGCGTCCACAAGGGTTACCTGGTTCATTTTGATATATCTGGCATGGCTGGATGCTTGGGTGTCTTTAGGAAGTGAAAGCAGGTATGCATGTGCTTGCTGCGGCCTGCTGGACCATTTTGACGATTTTCTTGAGCTTTTCGGAGCAACATGAAAGACGTCCTTGATAGCCGCCTCGTGGAGCTTCTTATGGCCAAGGAAACCCTGGGCCGAGGCCACCTCCTCTTCCGGCCTAGTTGCTGCCACCGACGATTCCCGATGATGGGATCGATATAAGAACTTGTTCAGTTGCATGTGTTGTGCTTCCTATGAACGCCATGACTCTCCCGGCTACCAGCTTGCAGTTTGCTGCTGGTGACTTTGGAACAACATCCGACGGCGCAGACACTACACAGCTTCGCGTCCCTCCGCCAAGCCCCCCCACCTCTCCTGTATTGCCTCTGTAAGCCAGATTGGTCTTATCTGAGACCTTCTGTCGGACTACACTACTTTTGGAGCTATACCCGGTGCCTGTCCGTAACTTGCCCGCCGCGGGATTTTACGCAGCTGAGCGACTTTCTGAAAGTTCCATGGATCACAGCACCGCACTCACGTGTCAGAGATCTGGTGTTGCCATATGGTCGTCAGATGTTTTGAGGTCGATGACTAATGCACAGTACTCGACGGACACTTCTGGCCACTGCCGCAATGCCATGTGCTGAACAGATCTGGCGATCGAGCATGACATTTGTGCACCGCATCAAGCGGCCTGGCCGCCTTCCAGACCAATTGACCAAAAAGTCGTGCACCACATGACCAGATCTCACACTGCACTCTACAAATTCCACGGCCAAAGGGCTTGGCACCGTGGTGGGTGACATAAATATACCGAATCGTGCCATATTCGTCTGACAAATACATAGTTCAAGACACTGTCGGGTGTCAGGAGCAATGTGGGTGGTGGGGTGGTGCGGCGGGGATCTGGTCCCCACATGCATCGCCACACCGCGTTGATCTCACCCAAGTTCCGCAGCACACGGCCATTTTGATGTTCGGGGACGTGGTCACTGTCCATGGATGCTGGCCAACCAAACTCCTAGCAAGCCGTATATATCTGTTCTGCGCCTGGCGAAGCGATTCTCATTCACCGCCACCCATGATGCTCATCACGCCTCTCTTGTTCAGCATACTTTCCTTCGTTGCGGCTGCGCAGCGGACTGGCGAAACGGTCTGCAACAGCGTGAGTTTCAGTTGACACACACACGACACTCACACCATAAGGACCAGAACCTTTGCGTCCTAGCCGTGCCAGGTGAGTGGCCGGCCCCCTTTTCCTGAATCCCAGTTTGACGCTCAGACACTCCGACCCCTGTTCCCAACGTCCCAGGATCCAACCTTGCTGCACGGTATCAATATGGGCCTGGGTATGGATACCCGAGCACTACCCAGTCGTCCCTACCCGGATACACCACAGCACCTCAACCTGGATACACTCAGCCGTCGACCGAGGACTCGGACGCTCGTCGGCCCATCAGCAACCTGTTGTTGGCTCACATTGTATGCGGCTGTCTCGCGACTCTGCTGTTTATCCCCCTCGGCATCTTGGGGCCCCGTGTTGCACGCACTTTTACTACCAGCCGACTGTGGTTCCCGGCGCACGCATCTGTGCAGGGTCTCATCAGTACCTCCCTGGTCGTTGCTACCTATAGCTGTGCCCGTGTGCTCACGCAGCAACAGGATACCAGCAATCTGGACTCGCCCCATAGGGTAGGGTAGCATGTCATTGTACTGCAGCTCACCTCCGCAGCGCATGGGCGTGGCGATTTTGACACTCGTCCTGTTCCAAGCTTGCCTCGGTGCGATTGTCCACTGGGTGAAGCTGCCTCGCAGGGACGACAGTGGACGCTCGTTCAAGCACTACTTCCACATTTTCTTGGGACTGGTCATTGCTATTCTGGGTTTCTCCCAACCGGCAACAGGCATGTGGCAGGAAATGCCCAGGTGGTACTATCCCACCCCTGGATGGAACTGGCGCGCAGGGTGGATCGTCGTCGTCTGCGTAAGCCATCCCTCGTGTTGCGTGGCGCTGACGGCAGGTATGGGTCATTGCCTATGTTTCCATCTCGATTGTCTCTTTAGTGCGTCGCGCGCACCGGCGTGGAAATCCCACCGCCAGCCCGGATAGCCACCAGGCCAAGCTTAGGCCAACGACCCCACCAGACCCTGCTGAATGACCCCGAAAGAGCCCCATTGGCTCATTGTAAGACCAGCGGCGACATTCTGTAAAGTAGTCGAACGTTTTTTGAGTTAAGGGCCAGGAACCCAATAATGAATACCGAGATCGGTTACTGTCGAGAGCCGGAAAAAATATCTGTGACACGAGGTCCGCGTTTCTAACCCTATACAACACCCCTTCCCAAGTCGCTACCCTGCCCACATGCTGTACATTCCCTTGTGGTGCCCGTCGGCCTCAAGACTTTGTAAGCGTGGAGGCGGCGACGACACGGATTTTGATGGCCGGGACGGGTGCGAAGGGCGTGTCGGATAATGGGTGCCCGGCCGCGCCGGCCGATCGGATTCGGCGCTGGCCGACTACGCAACAGTTTGGCGCAGATGACGCTTGGCACAATTCAGTCCTTCTTATTGTCGACGCTCTTTCCATCCATCTCCTTTTCCCCCACCCGACTCTTCACCATGACCACCTCCAACGCCATTATCCTCGCCAACCCCCCGGTTACCACCATCCAGCCTGACACGTTCAAGCTCGAGTCGGGCCGCGAGCTCGCTGCTCTTGCCGATGGCGAGATCCTCATCCGCATGGAGTACTTCTCCAACGACCCAGCTCAGCGTGGATGGATCCAGGCCAACTCGGACGCGGCGCGTGCTTACGTCAAGCCCGTGAGGCAGGGCGACATTGTCCGTGCCATGGGTATCGCTGTCGTGCTTGACTCCAAGTCCACCAAGTGGAAGACTGGGGACAAGGTCGTCGGCATGTTCGGTTGGTTCGACGTCGGTGTTGTCAACGAGGCTGCCGTCACCTCGGCCGCCATGTAAGTCACCAAGCATACAGGACAATGTCTAACACCACAGCGAGCTCCCTGGCATGCCCACTGCCACGCTCAGTGTCCTCGGAATGGTCTCGGTCACCGCTTACCAGGGTATCTTTGAGATCCTCAAGGTCGAGAAGGAGCACGTCGTGGTCATCAGCGGTGCCGCAGGGTGAGTAGACACGAGTACAGGACCACTGAGCTAACGACAGTGCCGTCGGCTCTCTTGCCATCCAGCTTGCCAAGCACGTTATCGGCGCCAAGCGTGTCATCGGTATCGCCGGTGGTCCCGAGAAGTGCGCTTGGGTTGTCAACCACCTTGGCGCCGACGCCTGTATCGACTACAAGGCTGGCAACCTCGAGGCTGACCTCAAGGAGGCGCTCAAGGGCGACTTCTGCGACCGCTACTTTGACAACGTCGGTGGCGACGTCTTAAACACCATGTTCCGCAACGTCACCCGCCACGGCAAGATTGGTGTCTGCGGTGCCATCTCGGTGTACAATGGCGCCAAGGCCGACCTGAGCAGCTTCACCCAGGTCATCTCGAACAGGATCCAGATTGAAGGTGAGGATACGACAAACGAGTCAGCACAGTACTTACTCTAGGCTTCATTGTCCTCGACATGGTCCCCAAGTGGGCGCAGGCTGTTCAGGACCTTGCCAAGTGGATCCAGGAGGGCAAGATCAAGACCGACGAGGCCGAGCAGGTCGTGGACGCTCAGCTCAAGGACGTTCCCGAGGTGTGGCAGCGTCTCTTCCGCGGCGAGAACCGTGGTAAGCTCATTACCAAGCTCGTCGAGTAGAGCGTCCCCGGCTAGGAGTGGATTTGGCCTTTCAAGTGTGTCTGTCTCATGATGTATTGCATTCGACTACTGGGTGATGCGCGGCATGAGTGTGTACTGTAAACAGATCCACTGCAGCACACGGAAGCAATTATACGTCCGTTTGATCACCTTTGTCCGCTGATATATCTGGTCGTCCCCTTCGCTACCTTGCACGATGCAGCTTCCTCTGACGTCGGCGAGTCCTCTGGGGGAGAGATGTGTATTCCAATCACTCAGACCGAACCCGCGCAACCCGTTTCCAACTCTTTCCGCCAAGCCCGACGGGGATCGCGCACACGAGGTGGCAGTTGACGTAACCGGCGCCCCGGTGGTCATCGGACGCCGTTTCGAGTTGGAGCCACAACCTCGCAACGAGGTCCATGCCACGTCTGGCACACTGGTTCAGAGGATCAGAGTACAGAGTCCAATCTTGTCGACAGGGGAGTCAGCTCATTCCAAGCCAACCGTCGTCTGGAAGAGAAAAACCGCTACGCGGCACCAAAAGTGAGACCTTTCGCGAAACAAGCTCGGGATCCAGGGACAGCGCCCCCAGTTGCGACATTTTGATCCCGCCTCCACCAAAACCTCGTGCCCACACACAGGGTAAAATAAGCATAACCTATATTTGACTCCAACCCTCCTCCTCAAAACAACAACAACAACAACAACAACAGTACCCCACCATGTCCCTCGACAAACCCTTCGGCATTTTCAGCCCGCACCTCAACGGCGTCGTAGGTGATTGCTTTATTTACATACGCTGAGGCGTTTTTTAGAACATGCTGGGCCCCGGTGGAAACCCGAACGTCGCCTACCATCACGACCGCTACCACCCCACCCCCGCCATGTTTGCTGGCTACGTGTGCCGCCAGGTCCAAGACGGTTTTGGAACGACCATGTTCGAGATCATCAGCGGCGTCAACGCAGAGACCCTTCCACCCAAGTATGATTGGGAGTTGATCAGCATCGACGACGACGAGATGGCGCGCATTTGTGGTCTCGAGCGGAACGTGGTATGTTCAGCGCTCCTGACATTCCTTGCGGTCCCTGACACACACAGTTTTGGGTCGCGTACAACTGGAAGCTCGACAGCTTCCGCTCACGGGCCCTCCACTGGGTCTGGTTCAACGGCAATGTCTGGCACGGCATTGTCCCCAGCGATGGCATGCTCGAGGAGGCTCACCGGTACGCTCACAGGGAGCTCATGCGTCACCACGGCCAGCCCGCCCACGACATCAGGCTCGGCGACGACGGCGCCTGGATTGTTGAGCGTGACGAAAAAGACATTGACGAGGACGACCACACCGCCTGCGACGCCGACCTTGGAATCCCACCTGAAGAGGTGGATTTCATGATGGTGTACGAGGCGATGCTTGCCGCCGATGCCGCCCAAGCCGCTGCTGCCACCGCAGATGCCGATGCCGATGCCGATGCCGATGCCGCTGTCGCCGCCGCCGCCGCCGTCGTCGTCTCCGAGGATGCAGAAACGGGGGAGTCGGTTGACGCCATCCAAGAAGGCGAAGAGGCCGTGGTCGACTGTGACGCCGAGATCCTGCGCCTGTAGCGCCAGCTTGTCGACATGGAGCGGGCCAAGGGCGCCCACGGTGTGCCCACTGCGCAGCAACAGGCTGAGCGTGACCTTGGCACATGACAGCTTGCTCGACACCAGGGGGGATTGGCAAAGAAGCACGGTAGCGCACTGTAGTATAAAGCATATGTAGCTTTTGTGACAGCCGACGTGACGCCATGGGCCGCGGACTCCTCGTGTGGATCGGTACACCGTTTCAGTGTGTTCCCGCTCGAGGCCCATGCCACAAGAACACACACATCCACAGTGTTGTCCTAAACACCGCCTTTGTGCTCTGTCCTTTTCTCTCCATCTCCATCTCTCTCGACTCCTCTATCTTTCTCTACGTGAGTAACACTCGCACCCATCAACGTGCTCCCTGCGATACACCGTACTCTCACACGCGATACAATCTTCCCTCCTTCCTCATACTCTATCCGTCTGGGGAGATTGTCTGACGCGTGTAGCCACAACCATGGGCATCCTCGCCACCAACCAACAACCTCTGCCTACCGCTTCAGCGATGGCCACCACATCAACATCCCTCCCACCTCGCGACCGCGACGGTTACGCCCTCCTCGGCGGCCTCCCTGTGTGAGTAAACACTCTTGCAATGGGTGGCGAAGTTGTGGGATCGGCCGACGGATCCACAATATCGTTCTCCGATCCACTCACTGACACACTCAAGCAGCGCCTCTAACAGGTTGACCGTTCGCCAGCGCTGTGGTGAGTGCGGCCTTGGTCGCAACCTCTACGCTTCTGCCTTGTCGCACACATACACCCAGTGCACGAGGCAGACGCTCGCGACGGTCGACTCGGCGATCGTTCCCACGCCTCGTCTGGTGACCTGGGTCAAGGGCGTCAACCGCGCGCCCGGTCACTTTGCCCTCGTCGCCAACGTGGTGGTCGACAATGGCGGTGGTGCCAGCACAACCTACGTCGCTGGCACGCGTTTCTGCACTCGTGGGTTTGCTTTTACCGTTGCGCAGGAGCTGACAAGCAGGATGGGTCTCTGCCGAGGCCGGATCCATCAGTGGAGACACGTGCGGCCGCAACGCGTGCACAGACCTGCACCGTTGCACGTTGTGCTTGCGCACACACCCGCCAGGTGTGTGCGACAAGTACGCGTATGTTGACTCCGCCGACACCGGTCGCCGCGCCGCTTTGGGTGTGAAGGCTGGTGGCGGCGGCGCCCCCGTCGGCGCAATGCTCGCCATGTCCTCGACCGACAACGCGCAGTGCGTCCCGGACGCCAGCTACAATGGCCGCCCGCCGCCCCCTCGATATGCCGAGGTCAACCTTCCGTGCCCCGTCGAGGTCCTTTTCGCCAAGCCCATCGACGGGCACGCCACCCGCGTCGAGTTTGACCATGTCCCCACTCGCCAACGAGTGGCCGACATGGGCAACTGCGTGCCCCTGCTCCCGGGCTACGCCTCGTGCTTCCACGAGGACCACTTCCACCAGGTTCTCGGAGACACGGAGGCGTACACCCGCTTCCTCGCCCTGCTGGACCCCGCCAACGTCATTGCCCACACGCCTGAGCATGATGCCGCGGTCCAGCAGCGCGACACCAAGATCCTCGACACCCTCGTCGAGATGGCCCAGTCGGGCAAGTACTCCGACAAGCCAAATCTCCCCGCCTTTTTCAGGCGCCACTTCCAGGCCACTTCCAGGCCACTTCCAGGCCACTTCCAGGCCACCCCTCCCGCGCGAGGGTAGTGACATTCTTTCACTACCCCTCGCGCTCCAACACCTCGGACGCCGTCACGCACCAGCGCCACGCCACCCAAGTGGCGATCAGGGCCGGCCTGCGTTCCGAGCGCGAAAGCGGGCTTCCGTCCGCTTTCTACAACTACTTCCCCGAGCAGGTGCTCTCGCCCGACCAGTTTGCCGCCGAGGCCGCAACTGGCGCCGACATGGGCGAGGAGATCCTGTTCGCGGAGCTCGGCAAGGGCCACAAGGCGCTCGACGACTTCCACATGTCCGAGCTCCTTGGCCGCGTCAAGACGCCCGGCCTCTTCCAAATGGTCGTGGCGTACGGCGACGAGCCCAGGCGCGTGGTGAAGAAGACGGCCGACCTCGCCGAGCTTGACGACGACCTCGTCGTTGTCAAGTTCAAGATCTCCCTCCGCGAGGCCGAGCCGTTCGAAATGGGCCTCTTCTGCCCCGCCACCCTCGTGCTGAAGCACGCCCATGCGCACGCCACCCTCGCGAGGGAGGGCTGCACCGTGCGCTGCCTCAACCCAGCGCAAGCTGGTCGCGCGCCATTGCCGGCGGCCTTTGTCGACGAGACGAGCAAACACATCAGCTCGACTCGCGACAACATCATCCGCCGATTCCGCGACTACGCCCACCTCGGCCAGCATGACCCCTTCCACCAAAAGGTCATGCCCGAGGGCTACGGCATCGTCACCGCCAATTTCTTCTTGGTGTACAACCCTGCCCAACAGGGTTGCATCATGATGACCTCGGTGCCACACCCGACGACCCTCCGACTGTCGACGGGTGCCCGTACGGGCCTCACGAACATGAGCTCCGCCCAGCTCATGGACCATGTTCACGCGTTGGCCTTCCGGGTCCTCACGGGTGCCCCTGCCTGTCCTCCAACGTGGCTTTGCACCACCGAGGAGTACAACCGCAGGGAAGCTGCCAAGGTCGGCGGCAGCGACGTCTGGCGCGCGCGCGTCCTCGACACCACCGGCATGACCGAGGTCCCGCCCAACTTCGTCCCGGCAGGTGTCAAGGAGCTCCCCAAGAGCCTCGTTGTCTACGGTGTGACGCCCGGCACGCCTCGCTCGCTCGACCACGCCCCCACGTACCTCGAGCGGGTCGAGTTTGTGCTCAACGAGCGCGCCAGGCGCAACAACAGGACCCCCATCACACCTGTTGCGCCGGCCACCCTCACGACCGCCAACGCCACCGCCGGACTCTCCACCTCGTCGTCGTCGTCGGCACCGTCGTCGGCACGGGCCGACAAGCACCTGGCCGCCAACTCGGCAAAGTCCAACTTCTACAAGGCCGGACCGACGTACCAGTCGGTCTGCGCCTGTGGCTTTGTCAACACGGCGGATACATGGTCGACCAGCGACGACCGCAGGCCGCTTATCCGCCGTGTCGAGCACTGCATCTGGCCGGACCACCCCGCAGGCCAAACCAAGTCCTGCCTGGCGAACATCCCGCTCGACCCCGCGCTCCGCGCCAAGGCGGTGTTCATGGACAACAACACCAAAATACAGGTTGTTCCATACACCGACAGGGCGTGGGTCATCAAGACTGTCGACATTGCCATGGTCCAGGCGGACACGTCGCAGCACATTGGCGCATAAAGGATACGCACGCGTACGATATCGCCCAGCAACACCACGCTCGATGCCCGCTCCCTTACCCTCGTCCACTATGGCCTCTGTCGCTCCCATCCGAGTCTCCACACACATCATGTACACACAACATCGTTGCCATCATCCTCACCTGACACACGAGTCGTCCAACAGCGCCCACCTACCAAACAGCTGCCCCCAGCTGCTTAACCGTATGCGTGGTGTGGCGCACACCCCACACCCAACCCTCGAGGCCGTTGTCTGGACGCCTACAAAAGTCACAACTGTGCTACGACTCCTGCCCGGCCTGCTGCCGACCTTCTCCCGTGTGTCCCGGTGCCCCACCCCAGTCAGAAGACTGTAGCCCAAACGGCCACGTGCTCCCTAGACTCTGCAATACACACAGCCGCGTTTATGCACAAACATCCATGACCCGTGCCGCATGACAGACGCGTGTATGTAACCCGTAAAAACCGTCTCTGGCCCAGTGTCCAACTTGCCTGGAAGTGTCAGCCGAGCAGCTGCCATCAGAGATATATGTCCACTCACGTCAATCGATGTTGCGGTTTACCGCCACTTGCGCTGACCCCTCCCGCCGCGTTTGCTACGACTCGGGCGTGGCAAACCTCACGCCTTTGCCTCGTTGATCTCATCGATCATGGGTGTTGACACTCAGAACTCGCCGTTGACGGCGCTGTGCGGCGTGGTAGTGTCGTCGTCGCTGGAACAGGAAGCTTAGAGGTCCTGGCAGAAGTCAAACGCGTTCCCAAACGGCTGGTCAAGGTGGTCAACCGGCTCATCCTGCCAGTCGACCGCAAGCGCAAGACGGTCTTGGCCGTCGATACTTGGTCGGAGCGCCCGCGGAAGCTTCATGGTCATCCTCTGGCGATACCACGGCGCAAAGTGAATCATGGCAAGCATGATACGGACGTCGTTGGTCTTGTTGGGCATGCCGGCGTGCCACAAGCGCAGGTCGCGGATGACAATGGAGCCTGGGTGGGTTAATCTAGGTCATTTCCATGTCACCCACCTTTCTTGACAGTAGGCTGGATCGGCGGAGAGACGACTCGGCGTTTCTCGAGTAGATCAAGCTTGATACGTCCAGAAGCTCGCTCGCCATGGGCACCATCCTGGGCTGATACATTGTTGTTTTGGGTTCCGAGCCACACCTCTGGCGATGACATCAGCACCCATCGTCCACATACCCCCTAGTGCCACTCACGGGTCGAGCCGTTCTCGGGGTGCATATCAATCAGACCCACGTTGACCACTGCAGCAAACGGAATCTCCAGGTTCTGGTTAGCAGCGAAAACGTCGGGCACCTTGGGAGTGGCACTCACACTGGGGTGGTCAAAATCCGCGTCCGAGTGGACCGGCTGCCCCACCTCAGCCTTGACAGCCGCATTGGACGAGATGAACGACATGGTCGGCTTTTCACCTAAATAGGCGTTGGTGATCTGCGTCGCGATGGGGTTAACAAAATAGAAGGAGAGAAGACATCCGGGTCGTTGGGTGGGCTCTGCTGTAGGTTTCCGAGGTTGTAGTTGAACGGGCCGTCGTCGCCACGCGCCACGAGTGTGCGCGTGTCCTCCACCATTCGGGCGTTGAGGCGGTCAATGGCGGTGGTGTCGACTACACCCTGGACGACGACAAGACCGTCGGCGTGCATTGCTTCGAGAATGGTTTGCATCGACCTCTGACTCAGGCGGCAGTTGGCCACCTCTTGATCGCTGGGAGTGAGAACCACCGGGTGGCTCTTGGCTTCAGAGGCGAAGAGTCGAATTGGCTGGGCAGTGCGGGTCATGATGGTACGACCGAGGGTGAGGGTCAAGGATCGGACTTGTGAAAGCATTGAGTGTGTACGTGAGTCATATCCTGAGAGGAGCGATGTGGTCTTAAGTACTGCAAAGTAGGTGCTCGTGCACCTTCTTCACGATGGGGCCGATAACCACGGCAACTCGACCTGTTAAACCGGGAGGACCTGCTAAACCGGGAGAACACGCTAAGCCGGGTGAATAGAATATAAGGGGATCACCCGGCTGCGGTGGTCGCAACCCGTTGCTCTCCCTGGCTCGTGTGATGCAATCTTCACCAATCACCTCATCGCCCTACTGTGCCAATGTTCGGCGCAAAGAGGAAGCGCATATCAGTATTATCAGCTATAGCAGGTGCTGTGCTGACTTGATTAGCGGGCGTGCGATAGGTGTCACAAGCTGGGTCGCAAGGTGAGGCCAAAAAGAGGAAGCGGCGTCGCTGACTTCACATCAGTGCGCTCAGGCGAAAGGCGGTGTCTGTCAACCGTGTGTCGACCACGGTGATGAGTGTACCTACAACCGACCACAAGGGAAGAGAGGGGTGAGCTTTTGAACGTATGTACGCACCATCTCATTCGCAGGTCCGTCCAAAGGGTGAAGGGAAGGCTCACAGACATGCCTCGCTGCCCCTCACCAACATCCCTTCCTCCCTCACGCTTGAGAGCGTGATCGAGCTCGTGGAGGTGTACCGCGTAGCAGTGTACCCAGTGTGGGTATAACATATGGTCTTTATGCTGACTCATGTCAGCTACTGCTTCTTCTCGTGGCCCCACCTCACAGCCGACATCAAGGCGCGACGACACGAAACGGATCCTGCGTTCCAGGCGACCGTCTTGGCCATGTGCGCCATTGTCGCAGCTCGGATCCGCGATGGCGCCTGCAACCAGCTCCTCGTTCTGTCAGGCAACCTGAATCCCGACGCAGAAGAACTGCAGCGAGCAGCAAACGCGGCTGCACCAGCCTTACCGTTGAACAGACCTCCCGCGTTTGACGACTTGCGAGCGGCCGCGCTTCTTACTGTTCTCGCAATGCAGAACGGTGGACTTGAAGAGATCCATACGACGCTGGGGCGATACATCACACTATCAGCTCTCTTGGACTTTCACGACGAGCGCAAGTGGCCTGCAGACCTTGCAGAGTGGCAGCTAAACGAGCGGCGAGCATTGGTGCGCGGTTTCGTCGCCACCTCTTTGCTGACCCACCCAGTACTGGTCGACCTACACACAAGACGTCTTTGTGGCTTCAGTGTGGGGAGGTGTAGTCCGTCACCGCGACTCGCACAGCTTTGTCGAGTACCCAGACTGGCACCTCGACTCTGGCGTGAGTCCTCGGCCTTCTGGGTCTACTGAACTTTCTTGGACCGAAGGATGGAACGTGGTCACCGACTTTTACCGGACAATGGACAGGATCATGGACGCAGCCGCAGCAGACGTGCGGTGGAACATGCGCAGGCGACCCCCAGACCTTCCCATCCCGTTCTCCCCGCCAGGGCCGTTGCAAGTGCCGGCAGCGTGGACGGCCGTGGGTGACATGTACGGTTCGCTACCGTCCATCTTCAAGCACGCTGCGCCACTCACGGGCAACTTGGGTCGGGACATGTACAGCTTTCAGGCGGCCAACCTGAATGTTACTCTACAGGTGGGTAACGGTGGCCCCGCTTTCTGACTCGCTCACCCACACAGGCTGTCAAAATGTCCATTGCCTGCTCTCACCCGATGAGTATGGCGGAACGTTGCGCGGTGGCTAGTGAGCTACTGGACTCTCTTGCCCAGATCCCGACGGCCTACATGCTGGCCATTAGCGCTCCATTTGTGAGTTTTTCAGTCCCTCATGCACAACTGACAACCAGCTTCACCAACTCGGCGGGGTCGCAAGTCTGCTGGGAAGCGTGGTACAGGGCCCTCTCACAGTCTCCTCGTACCTCCACGTTCGGCAGATCCTGTGAGCCAGGTTATCATTCTAAGCTTACTCCAACAGTCTCGCCTTTGGTAACCTCCTCGCGGGACTAGAGACCTCCCTCACGGCGCCGTCCATCATCAGCAAGCGCCTGTTCGACCACGTCGCTCGTATCGACGCATTCATGCAGAACGCAGCAGGCATCTCCGCTCTGCCGGATGACGACTTGCACACTGGAGGGGGTACCGCGACGGGCCTACAGTCTACTCCCGGTGACGCGTCGCTGCCTTCTGGTCTCTGCACGCCCGTGTTACTGCTGGACGGAGTGGACACGGCGGACGACACTCAGCCACCGGAAATCAGTGGTGAAGTCGCCGACATGGTGTTTACTTTGCCAGACGATATCCTGCAGTTCTGGCCGTTTGAAGACGACCAGCCGTTGGTGCTGGATAGCTTCTTCCGCGCACAGTGAGCTGGGGTGCACTTTGCAGACGGCATACATGTACATACATCTCGTTGTTTATGGACCTTTTGCTCTCATTGCACAGTCTCGAGGAGCCACTGCTCGTGATCCAACTGGGCGGTATATTCGTCCTCAGTGAGGAAGGTGACGTTGGCAGCCGCGAGCTGGAACTGCTCCTCGGTCCAGGTTGACTGCTCCTCCTCCATTTGCCAGTACTCGATCCGGTCCATCATCTTCGCAGAGAGCTCTGTTACGCTCGGCTCCGATGTAAAACCGAGGAGGGAAGGGTCGAGCTGGGCGAGGCCCACGATGGTCACTGGTCGTTCGAGGAGTTCGGTACCGAGCTCTATCAGGATGCCTTCAACGACTTCGCTCATCTCAGGGGGCTCGGCTTGCGACGGTGGTGACTCGGTCGCGGTCTTGGCGCCTGGATCCACGTTGCTGAAGACGACGACAAGCTTGGGCCGTTTCTCGGGTAGCGCGGTGTTGATATAGGACAAGGACGCCACGTAGGAGTCTGCATCATCGATACCCAGAGGGATGTTGACGACAAACTTCATGTAGTCTAGGTTGCCGTCAAAGGGCAGTTTGTGGATGTCAAGGTCCTCGGGTTCCGCAAACAAGATGCAGTTCTTGGGCCGGAGCACACATTTGGTCGATGAGGCCACTGCAAACCGGCGGAGCCGCACAGTCTCCACATTTGACAGTGCAGAGAGGAGCGTCTCTGGCCAGGCATCGAATCGGCCCCAAAAGTCTACGACACGGGCATTGGACAGGATCTGGCGTAGTCGCGCTTCGTTGGCTGCCCACTCGGAAGCCTGCAAGCCCTCCTCGACTTTGTTGGGGTACGGACGCATACGGAAGCCGGGAACAGGCGCATCGTCGGGCCCTCTAATGGTGAGAAAATCAGGCTTTTCCCAGCTGAGACGACACCGGATGACGACGTGGTGTGCCAGGATGCCGTCGACGCGGTCGCAGACGCTCTTGCAGGTCAGGCGGAGGGGGAGAAGGTCTGGGGGTGCAGCGTATGCGATGATGGCGTCAAAGATGTGCGGATACGCGTCATGGTCGAGGGTGATGCCGACCATCGTGTCGATAAGGGTTCTGCTATAAGATATCAAGATGTGGATGGTTGAGAAGTGGAGAACGTGAAATGGAGAGAAAGAACATGGACCTGTTCCGCGAACGTCCCGCGCGTCGCGTCGCCGCGTCGCCGGTGGAGGTCGGACGGCAGCAGGTTGTTTGATCCGTCTAGCGGTCTGTCAGGCGGTTACTTTCTTGGTCATTGCTTCAATGCTCAGCATGTAAGTATCCTCGTAAGGCTCAACCACTGGGGAGCGTTCTGAGACCCGTGCAGCTCACCTCGACCTGCTTGCTGGCCGCTGGCCGCTGGTGGTTACGCCAAACAGACGCCTTGGATTGTTTGGTTCCGAGCTGGGAACAAGTGGCAAGAACCAGATCGTGTTGCCGTTGAATATTGGCGGCGTGTGGGCGTGTGCATGTGTCAGCCAGCGTTCCTCTATTCCTCTGCCACACCGCCGCTGCAGATGAGGCATTAAAGCCCCCAGCGTGCGCGCGGTGCAGACGCGTCGTAAGAGGCAGCAGATCTCTCACCGCAACCGCACCGTTGTCGCCATCACCGCCGCGCGCATGCAGGCGGCCCAAGCTTTCGCCACTAAACAGTGGAGAGAATGATGGGGAAGCACAAAGATGGTAAACCCATGCATCCTTTTCTCTTTCGCACCATCCTCCTTAAGCATCATCCATCCACCACCTCCCTCCTTCGCCCCTCGTTCCCACCACCTACAGGCCCATCCACCGTTCCGCCGTTCCGTGTCCACACACACGAGACACACACCCAGTCGCTTCTCCCCTCGCCGCCCTTTTCACAGAGAACACGGCCGGTAGCTCCGGACTCTGCACACCTGGCGGTCGCATAGACAGCGGCGCCCTCGTATACACAGCAGCCTGCGGGATGGAGACAGCGTCTGCCGTATAAACACGCGCACTGCTACTTCCCCCCACCAGACAACGCTTCTCGCTCCTCACGTCACACACCCGCGCCGGTCGTATTTCACCGTCACCTTTCGCTTCCACCCTCTCCAGTGCCAACGAGACTACGAGACTACGGTCATGCCCACGCAGCCTCTGACCCAGAGCGTCTCAGAGATGTCTCACAGCGCAGCCCTCAAGCTTGCCACTACGACGGCGTCGGACACGACCGCCTCGGACGTGGTCAACGGCCAAGCCCACGTGTGTCACCATCTGCCTTCCTGTGGTACCAACCACGACTCTACTCGCAACTCCTCCAAACTGGCGAACGCTGAGGTATTCGAACAAGACGGCCCGCAGGACGACTCCGCGGTCGAGGAACTCGTGCCGGACGAGCGCACCGGCCACCAAATCGAGGCGCCAGCCTGCGCTTGCGGTGTTACCGCAGCCGGTCCAGCCTCGGCCATCAAGATCCCCGCTCACGCTTCCAACAGTTGTGACATGCAAGCCCCCAAACCCAAGTCTGCGTCGTACCCAACCATGGCCATGCTGGGCAACTCGCCTCCTCTGCCTCTGCAGTTGTCCAACCTCCTCGCGACCTCGCCCACTGTCGCCACCGGCTCGCTCTACATGCCGCCCAAGACCCCGCCACCTCACTCAGTGTCCGCTCCTCCCGGCTCGGCCCCCTCATCCCTGTTCCCCGGCTTCCCTAACGCGTTGTTCCCCACGACGCCCGAGTCGACTGTCCGTCCCCCTCGCACGCGTTCAGTCAGCGGCACGCTCAAGCTCCCTGGCACGCCCGGACGGTGGAACTGTCCCCCATCGCCTTCGTCGCCACTCGCAGGCCCCATGGGACAGACGGCCTACTTTGACGAGCCGGAGATCTCCTCCATCGACGTGGACATGTCTGACTCGTCGCGCATCGATCCCTTCAAGCTCAACCTCTTGCCGATGCACACCCCGCCGCCGGGACCAGGCCAGCGTCGTCCCTCCACCCCACGCACGCCCAGCCTCCGCTCCGATTCGGGTTCGGGTCTGGGTGAGAGCTGGGAATCTCCCGTCCTCGGTCCCCATGGCGGCAGTCCCACTGTCGCCGAGACTGGTCTGCGTCTCGTCCCCTGTGCAGACTCGCCAGCCACGGGCCAGCTGGAGCGCAAGGAAAACCACAACCCCCCTGCCAAGATTATTCGTCTCGACTCCTTTGGCGGACTCGGCCTCGAGCGTAAGCCCAGCGGCCGCTCATGAATGACCCCCCAACCCAACCACGCCCTCCCAAAACCTCGAACTGTTCTGTTGTCACTCCAGGTCATGCTCATGCCCCCTCTACACTCCCCCCACTCTGTATATTCTGTGTTACCATGCATGTACCTACCCGTCTGTACCCCACTGCTCCGTTACTGCGAGGCCATTCAGAACCCCAAATTTCAGCTTTACCAGTCTAGGCGTTGCTTCTCAGTGGCGCCAAAGAAGAGTAGGGTTTTGTCATCCAAGGTCCTGCCTACTTTATAGCTCCCGCTTACCCTCCTCCCACACCTTCTTGACGCGCGGGAACCGCAGACTGAGGACGCCTTCCTCGCGGTCGGTACTCTCAGACTCTCCAAAGTACTCGACAGTGATCTGCTTGCCAATCTGCAGTTCTCGTCAGCATTCTAGAACCGATGGGGCGTTGTCGTGGGTTTGTCCACGAGTGCGGCACGCGTATGCCATGCACGCTGCCTGACAACCACCCGTCACCGATCTCGGGAACTGCTTCTGAGCCCACAGACAAGTCTGGACCAACCAGGCCAGACGTTTAGCTTCACGCCACATGTTCCTCGGTTTGGCACCGACGCCACCGCGGCGGCGGCATGGTCCGACGTCTGCTCCTGGACAAACTACACTCACAATAGCACTGGGGTCTTTGGCGTACCGCAGCCTCTGGTCGGCAGAGAACCCGCTGCCGACACTGACGCGGTGTCCTCCATGCTCGATGTAGACGTTTGCACATGCGAGGTGCTCGCCATAGACTCCGCCCACGGACAGGCGCATCTTGGACGTCTCCATGTCTACCACTGTGTACTCGGCGTCGAGCCACTGCTTAAACTTGTACACGTCCGTACTGCGCTTGCCGTTGTACGGTTTGTCGGCACGAATGACGAGGCCCTCCCACCCCTCATTGGCCGCACGCTCGACCATGCCGTCCAGTTGGGCACGCGAGGTAATCGCCTCCTGTGCGACGGCGCGGACGAGGGACTGGTGGTCGCTGTCGGTGGACAGAAAGTCGGAAAAGCGCTGGATGTCCGGTATCCTCTGGCCAAACGTCTTGGCAAGTCCCGGTCCGTTGACTGGTCCGTGGGAGGCAAACTCGCACCACGGCAAGATGTCGAGGAGGAAGTATCGTGGTCGTTCAACGGGCTGGTTCTTGCGCATGACAGCCGAGACGGTGGCGGGAAAGTCCTCGACCAGTCCGTCGTTCTTCCACAGCGAGCCTCCTACTGAACCGTCGTCGTGATCCATGGAAACGCCTTCAGCCTCGGCCTTGGTCATCTCACGCATGACGCACACCTCGCCGTCGAAGACGAGACGCTTGACCGTGTCCTCGCCCAACTTGTCCACCGTGACGGGATCACGTGCCAGCCACTCGCGAAGTTGCGGGAAGTGGCTCACAGTCTCGGCCAAGTGGTCCTCGAGACGCGCCAAGGATGTGAATGGTTTGCCATGTCGAGAGACGGGCTGGACACTGACAACGTACGGCTCGCCATCGTATGGTGGGAGACCAATGTCGACCATCATGAGACACCGGACACCGTCCAGCTTGCGAGAGGCGTACCACTTGGACACCTTGCTCTTGGCGGTGAAGAGCTTTTCAAAAGGCGGGGAGATGGGTTTACCAAGCGCACATGAGAAGCTGTCCAGTTGGATCTCGCGGGGTGGGCTGGTGACGACCTTGTCAGTGTCCTTTGCTACCGTTTCCTCTGTCACTTTCGCCTTGCTGCCTTTGCCCTTGGTGCTTTTGGCAGGCGGTGGCAGCTCGGCTGCTGTTGGCTCGGCCCAAGCTACCGTTTTCAGCGTGTTGGCGCCAAACCCAGCGACGAGGTTACGGTTCAACAAGCGACAAAAAGTGTCAAACTCGGCCTCCTCAAGTGCTTCTGGGCCGGTGAGAACAGAGTGGTGCACCAGAAAGCCAGCCACGACGTTTTTGGCCTCGTTGCCTGTTCGCGCTCGGGTTGCCAGCAGATCGAACAGGTCGATGAGTGTGGCAGGGAGGGTGTCCTCGGGGGGCAGGTCAATGGTTCCCAAATGGATATGCTTGATCAGACCGTCTGGAGTCAGATGCAGCTTGAGATGCGGTTGGTAGATGCTGGTTGTCAGCTGCGTCCTGGACGGTGAAGCTCACTACTCCAATATGTCTCGAATGTCAGAGTACTCTCCAATCAACGCCGTCTTTGCAGCCTTTGAGTTAACCGACCCAACTCGGTTCTGGAGGTCCGCTACGCGATCCAGCTGCGTGCGGACAGTCGAGGGCGGCGGTGATGGAGGTGCGGAACCTGCGGCTTTCCGCGACATTGAGCGAGTGCATCGAATTGATCGGTCCGAAGCGACCATCATGCTGCCAGCAGCCAACAGCAGAGGTCTTGGCGCTGAAATGACCATTCTTGTCATGGATGCTCCTTGGAGGCGTGTTGGGATAAACATTGTGGATGGATATAAAGTGGTGGAAGTGGGGGTGGTGATGTGAAGGTGACGGACGGTGTTGAGTTCGCTGGTGCGAATGACGCACTTTGAGTGGCGAAATGCGGGGCCCAAAATGCCAACTCTAATGGCATTAAATACAATGGAATTGAAGTTTGTAATTCCGCGATGTTCATACCGCCAAGTCCGCCTCCATCTACTGAATTGTCCACAGGTTGTTCGTGCTCTCACGCTGTTCGCCAGCACCCAGGAGCCTCAGACGCGCCAGACGCGCGCCAGTCGATGAGACAAGGCACGCAAGCTGCATGCAGCGATCCCAGCGACATTGACTAACCGAAACTGCCAAACGGCGAATTCGCGGCCAACCCCTCCGTCCACTGGTTTCATGGATGGTTTGTCTCGTTCCAGATACATGAGCGACGACGTGTTTTCTGTTCGCTTGCACGGGTCACGGCCCAAGCACAACCCTTCAAATCATGCCTCACCAGTGGCCAGTGATCCAGTGAGCACGCTCCCACTTGGCTGAGGCGATACGCATGACCGAGAAACGAGCTACGGGTCGGTTACCGCTGCGGACGATGTCTGTGCGGAAGGATATGGGGTGGACGGACGCCAGGGTGAGGTCACTGCTCGCTTGGGTTGTGCCAAGGCTTCCTGGAGGCCTGTAGCGCGTTTGGCACTGACCTTGTCAACTGGTCAACTTGAAGACGTCGAGTATATGAGCGAAGCGCGTCATGCATGCCGTATCCCGTGTCCCAGAGATGCTGCACAAGAGGCCCGAGAACAGGATGGACGCAGTCCCACAGCGGTACAGCGGTACAGTGGCCCAGAGGCCAGAGGCCAGCGGTACACTTGACAGGAGCGGGCAGGCACTTTGTATGGTGACGTCGTCTTCTAAAACAGGCCGGTTAATGCGGGGGGGCCGCGGTTTCAAACCGCCAAAAGCCATGACCACCCCTTCCTCATCGGCGTCGTGCGTGAATCTCTCTCTGCAGGCTGGGCCGTGCTCTCGTTGTATCGCCGACGCTCCAATCTTCCATCCATCACTCCTACTCCCATCCATCTCTAGCCACCACATTAATCAAGTGCAGGCCGTCGCACGTCGCCTTGTCACCTTCCCTCCCCCTCATTGACGTCGCGGAACATGGCCCACCAGTCCAGCAGCAGCGGCGCTGTGCGCCTCCTGCTGCGCGCACCTCCACACCTGCCTTTCATCCAAGGATGGCCAGGCATCACAGCCGCCGAGCGCCGTGCAGCTGCAACAGTCCAAGGAACCGTCGAGGTCCGCCTGGGACACCAGGCCGTGAAGGCAAAATGGGTGCGTGTCGAGGTCCGCAAACACGAGTCCGTCCCCGCTGGCTTGTTGCCCGGAAAGGCGTCTAGCCAGTCGACCTGGACGCACGTCGGCAAAGTCCACGTTCTGTGGAAGGCAGGCGAAGGCAAAGAGTACGACCAGCTCGGCACGGCCGACTTTCGTTTTGTCATCCCCTTACCGCAAGACCTGGCCCCGACGGTCGACTTGGGCAAGGGCTTGAGTGTGCGATACGAGCTCGTCGCCAGCGTGTGTTACAAGGGCAAAGGTGGTCTCTTCAAGAAGGACTCGAGCTCTATCGCAACCATCGGCGAGCCGCTCCGCATTGTAAAGCACGAGCTCGCATCTGCATGGCCTGCATACAATCAACCCGAGCAAAGACGAGTGACGTCGGCCGACAACACCGTTTCCTTCATCGTGGACCGTAGCAACAAGGCGTTTGGACCTAGCGACCGTGTCGTGGTTGGCGCAGTAGTCCAGTCAATGTCACCACAAGCACTGCGATTCAAAGGCTTTGACCTCGCGCTCCTAGAGGTGGTCACCGTCTTCCCACCCCCGGAGGTGCCAGGCAAGAAGAAGCCCAAGGTTCCACCACAGCCGACTATCAAGCGCACAGTGGTTGCAAGCAGTCGCGCCAACGTGGGAGGCATTCTCAGTCGTGGACAGGAAATAAGGGCCAACCTCGACCTTGTTGTCCCCACCGACCGACAACTCCTGACGGTCACACATGCCAAGGAATTTGCTGTGGCCTACGAACTGGCCATCGAGGCGCTGTTTGACGGTAGCCCTGGCAAGATATCGATGGGTGGATCCATGGGCGGATTCGACTGTACCATTGGTACGTTTAGCAAGTCGTCGGCACAGCAGGCCATCAGGTGAGCAAAACCAGTGTTACGTATCGTGTGCGTTTTTGTCTGACGCACGCCAAGGGATATTGGCTACGTTGAAGGACTTTGTCCTCGTCCGCCACCTGGTCAACAAGCGCAGCCTCCCATGGGCGTACCGGGTGCCCCGCCACCGATGGGTCACCAACAGAACCCGTCAATGTCTGGGCAAGGACAAGGACAGCTCTTCCCTCCCCGCCAGACCTCGAGCCCTAGCAACGGCCGCCTTGGCGTCACCCAGTCCGTTTATGGACGCCCCCTGTCAATGGTGCCCCAAGGCAGCCCACCCAGCAATGAGCCCGAGTTACCTTCCTTCACCCAGAACTCGCCGCCAAATGCGGGCTTCACTCCACGCGACCACAACCGCCGGTCGTCGTCCGGTACCACTGCGACCACCACAACCATCACCACTGACCATGGCCCCCCATTGTCAGATCGCAACGTCGCAACCTTGCCCAACAACTTCCGCGCCAGCGTCGGATTCCCTACCCCGTCACCCCATCTCAACGGCCAGCGCACCCCGGAGCCTGACAAGCGCACATCTGTGGACGACATTGCCGTTGATTCGCTCCGCGCCCGCGCTGTTCCAGGCCGCTCGGCCCAGTCAGATATCGGGCACAAGAGCACATTCTCGATGGCAACCAACACGACCTTTGGAGGCTGGCACCCATCCGTCTACGACCGTATCGTGGACGAAGAGGAGCCGTCCAGCCAACCGCCTAGCCCGACCGCCACTGCATCGAGCGCAACTGGCCCGACCATGTCGTCGGCCCGCCAGTCGCCGGTCCCCCCCAGGCAGCCCGCTTGGCCGGTCGTGCCCGCCACGAGTCAGCGTCTCACTGCCTCGGCCAGTAGCCATTCAGTCCGTGGTGACGAGCCGCCGGGATACGCCCCGCCCGCCCCGCTGGCACTCTCCACCGCCGGGCGCCCAGGCATGCTGATACCCATCAACCGAGACACACCTCCGCTCTCGGCCGTTGGTACAGGACCCTCGTTTAGTAGGGGCACACCACCAGTTGCAATGTCGCCTGTCACATCGTCGCCTTCGCGCTCCCAGCTTGGCCACGGTCCATATCCCTCTGCTACACAGGAGAAGGACATGGCGCGCCTCAAGTATGAAGAGGCTACGCGCCGTGTGGCTTCGAACGGCTCGGCTTCGAACGGACCGGATACGGCTCCTGCGGCCAGTGATATCGTCCATGGTGCGGGATACGTTGCGGCGGGAAGTGCAGCAGCTGTCGCAGCTGGGAGTGTGGCTGCCGTTGCTGCGGCCGCGCTGGGACGTTCTGCTTTCCGCGACAGCTATGTGTCCAATGGTAGCCACAACTCTGGCAACTCGGCCGGCGTGTCTACCACTGCGCCTGCTGCTGCTGCCCCCGTGCCCGCCTCCATTCCCAACGAGGACCCGATTCCGTACGATGACCTCTTCGGTGCCGCTGGCTCGTCTTCGGCCCCTGCTGCTGGCGCGTCATCTGGCGCTCCTCCACCTGCGTCCGAGCCGTTCAGGACGGCCGCGCAGGAGAAGGATGACATGCGGAAACGCTACGAGAACGCGCAGACTGCTGTGGCACGTACCGCTGGTGCTGAGACGCCTCCACCGGGCATCATGAGTCCCGTCATGACTGCCTCGCCCGGGAGGGCTGACTCGCCACCACCGGCCGCGTCTGGCAGCTCCAATAACAATTTCTCGCCCACGCGCTCGGCCAGTACCGTCCCCGCTGCGTACATGACCGCAGCACAGGAGAAGGACCTCATGCGCCGCCGGTTTGAGGAGGCGCAGAACGCTGTGGCACGGTCGCAAGATTCGCCCAGTGGGTCGCCAGAGATGTTGTCCGGTAGTCAGTTAGCCACGGCCCCGCCTGTTGGGCTTGGGATTGCTTCAGGCTCATCACCTGCCCCGCCGCCTGTGACGTCAACGCCGGCTCCGGCGCCTGCGGCATACATGTCCGCCGCAGAGGAAAAGGACCTCATGCGCCGCAGGTTTGAGGAGGCCCAGAACCGCGTCAACCGCGGCACCTCGCCCACTGGTGAGGGCAGTGCTTCTGCTGCCCCGGCTCCCATCCCCGTGTACATCGCCTCTACGCCCACGTCCCCTTCTACCGCCGCCACGAGCAGCAAACAGCAGTCTCCGGCCACGTACAAGAGCGCCGCCGAAGAAAAGGAGGAAATGAAGCTCCGCTACGAGCGAGCCACTATGGGTGTCGCTCGTGCCGCGGGCGAGTCCCCCTCCGGTCCTTCTGACATGGGAATGTCTCCTGCACCTGCGCCAATCGGACCCCTTGTGCCCGTCTCGAACGCTCCGGTTCCGACTGAAGCTCCGATCCCCTATGACGAACTGTTTGGCAGCGCCGGCGCTGCTGGTAGCTCATCTGCCGGCCCATCTGTTCCAGTGGCAGCAGCGTCGTCTCCTGCGCCCTACATGAGTGCAGCGGAGGAGAAGGACATGATGCGCCGCCGGTTTGAGGACGCACAGAACCGCGTCAACCGCGTTGCTAGCGGCCAGAGCCCCACGTCGTCCAACGTCTCACCTTCGTCGGCCACGGGTACTGTGGCATCTGCCCTGCGCCATCAGACTATTGGACCCCGCGACGAGGACCCGATCCCCTACGACCAAGCTGTTGGCCCCTCCTCGTCCGGCTCCTCGTCGCGACCGCCTGTCGCGGCACCTGTGGTGCCGGCGGCGTACAGGAGCGCTGCCGAGGAAAAGGAGGAGATGAGACTGCGGTACGAACGGGCCACGATGGGCGTGGCTCGTGCGACTGGTGCCACTTCCCCGCCTCCCTTTGCGTCGTCTTCCCCGGGGCTCATGCACTCGTCGCCCGACTCGTCGACGTATGGCCACAGTGCCATCAACCGCAGTGCTTCAGAGCGGGCCACCTCGCCACCACCACCACCCCCAGCCGACGCCGGGGGTAGTAGCCGCGCTCCGCCCTATGCGGCTGGTGGCGGCTACATGTCCGCCGAGGCTGAAAAGGACGCCATGCGTCGTCGCTACGAACGAGCCACCGGTGCAGTCGCCTCTCCCGCATCTGTGGATGGCCACCACCACAACCACCACGGCTTTGGCTCAGTTTCGGGCGTTCCGAAACCGATGCGGTCGGCCACGGCCAGCACTGCAAGTACGAATAATATCTCTCCGTCGTCATCGTCATCATCTCCTTTTGCTCCGCGTGACCCGCGTGGCGGCCCTCCGGCTGTGGTGGGGGCTGGTCATAAAGGCAAAGCACGCGCAATGACTGCGCTGGCTCCCTTGCCTGATGGCCCACCTCCGCCGCTTGCGCCACGGCCGCCGCGAGAATACATTGAGCGTATCTAGTGATGTAGTGTGGGGGTGTGTGTGTGTGTGTGCAGGGGGGGTAGCCATGCGATGGTGCAGAGAGTGGGTCTAATGACGCGTTTAATATTATGGATGCAGACGACTATGTTTTGTGCCTGTGAGAGCCAGCTCGAGCCAGCCCATGCATGCTGGCCAGCTGAATTAAGCCCCGATCGACAGACACACCACTGTACGAGCCCAGCCTCCCCCATACGCGCGCGGGTGATTGGGATATTTGCTTCCGTCTTCTCATCGTGCGCACCTGGCCGCCTGGCCCCCCCCCCCCCGCCTGCAGCCCTCCGTCGCCACGCCGCCCGCCCCCCCGTCTCTCCCTCTCACCCTCTCGGTCTGTCCCATCCACATTCTCTCTCCACAACCCGCATCTCTCTCTCTCAACACATGGCACACCTCTCCACGCTCGTCTGACACCTTCACCCACCACCTCCCCCTCCTCCTCCCCCTCCTCTCACGACAACCCATCTAGTCTTTGACGGCGGTGCACAGACGCCGCCGTCACCATACACCTCTCAAACCAACCAACCCCCCAACCTCACCCACCCCAAACCCAACCTCAACCCGACTCCCCCCCTTCCCCTTCCTCCTCCGCCGCAGCGACGACAAAACCCCCAAACCAACTCTCCAAACTTCCTTCCTCACTCCCTCTCCCGTCCACCTCGCTCTCTCCTACACCGTCCCCCTCCTCTCCATCTCCGCCAGTTTCCCACCCACGCATCTTTGCCGTGCGCGCGCCGTTTCCTAGCGTCGCCGCGCGATTCCCGTGACGATGCCACCACAGGGCCCACGATCGCGCCAGCCGCCGCCGCCTGGCGCACAGCGCGCACCCCCGCCGGGCCGTAGCGAGGTCTTTGAAAACATCTTTGGGCGACCAGCAGGAGGTCACCATCTAGGCCATGGTCCGCCAGGTGCTCCTGGAGGACCCGGCGGCGCTCGCCCTCAGTTTGGAGGGTACCCCGGTGCTAACGCGCCGCCGCCTGCGCCGGTGTACAACCCGGCGCAACCGGGCTATCCCCCTGCACTCGCACCGCAGCTGCCTCCAGCGGGGCCGAACCAGGGCTACTCGCAGCACGCTGGCCCCGGACCACGAGTATATGGGCAGCACGGCCTTGGCAGTAGTGGTGGGGGTAGTCTTGCTCCTGGTCCTCCTCCCGGAGCACATGGACATCAGCAAAGTTATCCTTCGGATGGGTTTGATTTCTCGCGGCCATCCGCAGGTAGCATGACGAACGGGTTCCCTCAACCTCAACCCCGGGGGTCCAGCTACGGGTCGGTGAGTACAATATAAGAGGAGCGTAGTGCTCCTCGCGACACCACTGTTCACCACATTGTTCTAACGCGACCGACGCAGGCGCCGCACCCTGACCCTCAACAGCGCCAGACACTCCCCAACCGTCGTGCGTCCCTCACGCCCTCGCTCGCGTCGTCCATGACGCAGCGGTCGCATCCCATCGAGTACACAAACTCACCTTCCGCAGCCTACAGTTCCAGTTCTGGTGTTCAACAGGCACCCCCACCACAAAACGGCGGTCTCCAACGGGCTCCGACCACTTCCTACAACGGCTTTGCCAGTCACCCGGCCGACCGACTGCCAACCCTCTCCTCATTGCAAGAGCATGCCTATGGCGGGACCGCTCCGTCGACGACCATGCCCACACCGCAGCCACGGTCCGTGTCTGCCACTGCTGTGCCGACGGCCGCGTCGGCCGCTGGCGCGCCCCAGCCGACGCAGACATCCATTCCCCCCAGATCGCGTTCCTTGCATCACGCAGCGGGACCATCCAAGATCCGAGTGTCCATCCCCCAGCCGTCCGTAAACCCCGGCGTGTCCCCAGCACAGCCATATCCTCCTTCTGCCTCGAGGACATCCTCAGGCTTCAGTGGTGACGGTATGGGAGGTCTGCCGACGACGCGCGAAGCAAGCCCGCCACCAGACTACCTTCGCGCCATGAACTCCATCACCTTGAACAGTGGACGCGGCACGCCAGGGCCACTGGACGACATTGCCGGCATTCCAGACAGGAGTAGCACCGATCTCGGCGCGTTACGCGGTCCATGGGAACCCTCAGGTAAGTGTAATGTGGTTGTGCCCCTCTCCCACAAAGGCCCCGTGCGGAAGGCACCTGTGGTGTTCAACTTCCCGCACATCGTGGAGAGAGGAGAGTATGTATATATCGGTGAGCTGACGCTGTGCTTCCAGTCCGTTCAAACCCAAACGAGCCGCCAACGAGGTCTGTGGACACCCGACACATGTCGTCGTCCAGCGCGTCATCGCAGCCACGCGGCCTGCATTCTCGCATGCCCTCGGATTCGTCCATCGCCAGCAGTATATACACCATTGGAGGCGCAAGGATGGCGTGAGTACTTTTTTCCCACCTTCTCTCTTTCATTACCCCCCACAGTGGACATGCTACTGACCAGACTCAGACCGCTCTCGCAGATTGGGGGCCCCGGCGCAGAGTCTCCCAACTCTCCGTCGACGCCGACGGGTTCTGAGAATGGCTACGGCTTCCACAGGCTGTCGGGCCGCAAGTCGATGGAGTCGACACACTCTCTGCCCCTCCCCACCTCGTTGCAGGACTCGCCTCTGCCACCCGGTGCGGCCAACTCGGTGTTTGACCACCGCGCGACATCGTTCTCGGGATCGGCCGCCAACCGACGTGAGATTATCAGCCAGGTCCGCTCGTCTGGCGGGTCGCAGCTCGACTCGAAGGGCTTGGGAATCTCGGTCAACAACGGCGGCGGCGGTGGTGGTCCCGGGTCACCGGTCACCCCCCAGCGATCCTTGGTCCGTCACCAGTCCCAGGCCCGCCAAGCCACTCTCCTCACCATGGCACCCGTCGTCCCCAGCTTGCTCTCGAGCGTCGCCGAGGCCTTCCGCCAGCTCATCCAGCCTGCCGAGTTGCACAAGGAAGGTCTGGCGTACAAGGACTCGTTCGATGGTCGCGCTGCCGTCTCGATCCTCGCCGACATTATCAAGACACCCGACCGCAACCTCGCGCTGCTCCTCGGTCGTGCGCTTGATGCCCAAAAGTTCTTCCACGACGTGACGTACGCCCACCGTCTGCGCGACACACCCAACGAGATTTACCAGTTCAAGGAACGGCTAGTCGCTCCATTCATGAACGAGACCGACTCGCCTTCCCCGGACCACCTGGGTCTCACTCGTCCATCATCGTCGAGCAGTGGTGTGGTGGCGCGCCGCAGTCCCGCTCGCCACCAAGCGCACGAGGGCGGCTCGGACTCGACTTCATCCTTCTTCCCCCAGCCCAAGGCACTCGGAACCCCAGTCGAGCTCGACGACGACTCGGACGACGACCTCCCGCAGGGTGTGTTTACGCTCCTTACGGAATGTTACTCTCCCACATGTACGCGCGAGCGACTGTGTTACTCGATCAACTGTCCTCGTCGACTCGAGCAGATGAAGAGGCTCAACATGAAGGCGCACCCGGGTCTGAACCGCAAGATTGAGGATGACGTCGCGCACGACGATGCCAAGGACACTGGCCGGCTCTGGAAGGACACGGTGTCGCAGGAGGTCTTTGAGAGCGTCGACGAAAAGGAGTGGAAGCGCCAAGAGGCTATCAACGAGGTCATTTACACGGAACGCGACTTTGTTCGCGACCTCGAGTACCTCCGCGATTCTTGGGTCAAGCCCCTCCGGTCGGCGGACGTCGTCCCGGCCACCAGGCGCGACGACTTTGTGCGACAAGTATTCTGGAACGTCCACGACGTCCTCACTGTCAACGTTGTCCTGGCGGAGCGGCTGTCCAAGCGCCAAAAACAGCAGCCTGTCGTCCAGAGTGTCGGTGACATTTTCCTCGAGTGTGTCCCGCACTTTGAGCCCTTTGTCGTCTATGGTGCGCACCAGCTGTTCGGCAAGTACGAGTTTGAAAAGGAAAAGGGCGCCAACCCGACCTTTCTCAAGTTTGTCGACGAGACGGAACGCAAGCCCGAATCGCGCAAGCTCGAGCTCAACGGTTACCTCACCAAGCCCACGACGCGTCTGGGTCGTTACCCTCTCTTGCTCGAGGCGGTCCTCAAGCACACACCAGATGACCACCCGGACAAGCAGGATTTGCCAGAGGTCATCAAGCTCATCCGCGGCTTCCTCGCAAAGGTCAACGAGGAGAGCGGCAAGTCGGAGAACATCTTCGAGCTCGCCCAGATTGAGCAGCAGCTCATGTTCCGCCCCCACGAGAACATTGACCTGCGCCTCCGCGACAAGAACCGTGAGCTCGTCCACAAGGGCCCGCTCAAGCGTCGTGGCGGCACCCAGGGAGAGAACGCCGACCTCTTCGCGTTCCTGTTTGACCACGCGTTCTTGCTTGTCAAGAGCAAGTGGGTCAACAAGGCCGAGCAGTACAAAGTGTACCGAAGGCCCATCCCCCTCGAGCTGCTCGTTCTCATCACCCCGGAGGATGTGTACAACTCGGCCAAAATGTCGGCATCGTCGCGCAAGCTCATCTCGAGGAGCAACACCAAGGGCCAGGTCCTCGCCCACGTCCCGCCCAAGCCCGAGAGCAAGCACGGTTTCTCCCTCACTGTTCACCACCTCGGCCGCAAGGGATACTCGCTCCAGCTCTGGGTCGACACGTACGTGAGCCGCAAAAAGTGGATCGAGAGCATCGAAAAGCAGCAGCAGACCATCCGTGACCGCAGCACCATCTTCATGTCCGAGACGATTACGGACAACTTTTTCCAGAACCTGCGCCGGATCAACTGCATCAGCCCTTACGACAATGGTAACCGCATGATCTACGGTACCGACGAAGGTGTCTACTTTTCCAACCTCCGTGACCCCAAGCTGCGCGAGCCCGTCAAGGTCATCAACCTTGTGGACGTCACCCAGGTGGACGTTGTCGAAGAGTACCAGCTCCTCATTGTCCTGCACGAGCGCTCGGTCACCACATTCCCGCTCGACTGCCTCGACCCCAACGACCCGAACGCGGCTCTCAAGCGCGGCAAGCGCATCTCGTCGCACACGAGCTTCTTCAAGTCGGGCGTTTGTCTCGGCCGTACCCTCGTCGCTGTCGTCAAGAGCTCTCCCCTGAGCAGTACCATCAAGGTCCTCGAGCCCGTCGACCAGAACATGCGCAACAAGAAGCCCCAGGGCGGCTTCATGAAGCGCCTGAATGGCGCGCAGGACACGCTCAAGGTCTTCAAGGAGTTTTACATTCCCCTCGAGAGTTTCTCCGTCTACTTCCTCAAGACCAAGCTCTGTGTTGGATGCCAAAAGGGATTCGAGATTGTCGACCTCGAGACACTCGACATGCAGTCTCTCCTGGACCCCTCGGATGCCAGCCTCGACTTTGTCCTCAAGCGCGACGGTGTACGCCCCATGGCCATTTACCGCATCGAGAGCGACTTTTTGTTGTGTTACGACGAGTTTGCATTCTACGTCAACAAGAACGGCTGGCGGTCGCGACCCAAGTGGGCGATTATCTGGGAGGGCAGCCCGACATCGTTTGCGCTGCAGTACCCTTACGTCATTGCGTTCGAGCCGTCGTTTATCGAGGTGCGCAACGTCGAGACGTCCCACCTGGTCCAGATCATCCCGGGCCACAACATCAACTGCCTGTTCGCCGACATGCCTCCGTCGACAGTGAACGCGCCACCCATGCCCCAGTCCAGGCAGCTCATGTACGGCGCGCCAGGCGCTCAGGGCAACATGTACCGCCCACCTCCTCAGCAACAGCAGCAGCAACAGCAACAGCAGCCTGGATACCCGCAAGGCGGCTTTGGTGGCTTCCCCCAGCCCAAGCCATATGGCCAACAGCAGCAGCAGCAAGTTCGCCCGCCGATGCCTGGAGGCTACGGGATGCCGCACCCCATGGCGCCCATCAGGAATTTCTCATTCCGCCCACAAGTCATCTTCACGTCCGACGATGGGCACGTCCAGTTCCTCAAGCTGCCGCCGCCCCAGGCCAAGAACCGGCGGTCGAGCGACTCGCGGTCCATCCACTCGACGACTGGGCGGTAGAGAACGCGCGAGTCTCTCTGTGTGTGTTTGTGTGTTTGTGTGTATGAGAAACAAGAAGAACACGACGAAGGAAGAGCGACCGCGAGAGAGAGAGAAAGAGAGAGAGTCTGGCCAACCCGCATCTAGCCATCTGTCCCCACCCGCCCTTTACCTAATATTCTCCCCCCTACCCCCCCACCCCCCAACCGCGTGGTTGTAGCAACACGTAGTCACTCGGAACGCACCGTAATGCATCCATGCTTACCCGAGAGTGGGACAAGACGACGCAAAAGAGACTTGCACGGCCATGTACGCAAGTGCTGAAGCGGGCCGTGGTGGTGCGACGTCCCTTCCGGCTATAGCGGCCCGCCGCCGCGAATCTCACCTCCACTTTGCCTTTATGACGTCCTCACTTTACCGTCTCCATTGGCGTCTTACATTTGGGTCTTTGGAGAGCGCTGCTTCACGACTGTTTCGTACTTTCGCACCCACCACATTATCCACCCCTCTTAGCACCCGCATCCTCCTGCTCCCATGCGTCACGGCCGACACAGTCTATTGCCTCTCCCTTCAACGCTTACGGGCCAGCGGGATACGGATTCCCGCCGGCACGCGTTCAGCGCCGATGCGTGGGCGCGGTTGGACCAGGTGCAGGAGTTGGGAGACGACGGCGAGGCGCATACTGGGTGCGTCTAGTTCTTGCTTCTCTCGTGGCCGTCTTGTTGAGAGACAGTGAGCTGACTCTTGGGGCCGTGTGTAGCTGCGTAAACGCACTGTCGTGGAGTGACGATGGCAACATTCTGTTGTCTGGGTCGGATGACAAGAGGTGAGTCAACCCCCAGCGGCCAGCGGCGACGGTTTTACCTTCCTTCCTTCCTTGACGTCCTCGACTTCCTTCCCTCCCTCCTCATCCATCTCTCCCTCGCTCCACGTTTCCTCTGTCCTCCACACTAAACCCGTCTTCCCAGGATCTGCATCTGGACACCGGACACCCGCCCCACCTCGGCCCTTCCAGACGTCCCGCTCCACGCCTCGCCTCACCCGTTGAAGCTCCGCGACACGATCGTGACGGGCCACCGGGCCAACATCTTCTCGGCTCGCTTCCTCCCACACACGAACACAATCGTCACTTGCGCGGGTGACTGGGAAGTGCGAGTGTTTGATCTCCAGCGCCTGACACAGGCGAGCGCGCACACTATCAGTGTGCGGGCGAGAGGCGCGCTGTGGGGCGTCGAGGGGCCTGGGTAAGTGGATGTGTAGCCAGCTTCATCGCTCTTGTGCTGTTAGCTGACGCTTTCAGTGTACGCGTCCTTCGCTGTCATACCGACAGGACTAAACGCATTGCGACCGAGGCAAGTCCCCACATCTTCCTCACGGTCAGCGAGGACGGCACCGTGCGGCAGCACGATCTCCGACGACCTCACCGCTGCACTCCTGAATGCCCCGACCCCATCTTCCGCGCACCGAAAGATGTCGACCTGTACTCTCTCTCCGTCTCGGCCCTTGCACCACACACGTTCGCCGTTGCGGGGCAGACGGACGTGGCGTACATTTGTGACCGCCGCAAACCCGAGCTCCAGACCCCCGGGTGGGGAGCACACACAAAGCGCGCTACGCAGGTGCACTGTGTCCGCCGGCTGGGGTTGAGCGAGGAGGAATGGACGACTGTGGCGCCCGTTAACAGGCGACACAGCGAACGACACATTACGTGTGTCAAGATCAGTCCCGATCACCCTGATGAGGTGGTGTGCGCATTCGCGATGCACTCGACCTCGATCTTCTCCCTCAACGACTCGCCGGTGGACCGTGGGATGGCTCTGGGACCGACCAGCATCGTGCCTCCGAACGGTCCCACCCGCACCCGTCTCAACCCCACTGCTGCACAAGCCCTCAACCCCAACCCCAACCCCGAGCCCACCTCGCCAAGCAGCCGTGCGCAAGGGTCAAGCCACACTCCACCGCACCAGCACGAGGCCGAGGCTGAGAGCGGCTCGAGCCCCCGATGGGCTCCCAAGAGACGACTCTCGGTACGCTCTTCGCACTCTGCGTCCAGTCGACCGGGGTCACGAGCACGGGTCAATGCCAGCGAAACTGCTGTGGCGTCTTCCTCTGGCAGCTCACCCATTGCGTCGAGCTCGCCGACGGGACTGGTCGCTGTGGAGGATGACGGTGAGGAGATGGCCGTCGAGGAGGACGAGGACGAGGACAGTGAGGATGATCGGCGGGAACTGCGCATGGAGGAAGACGGTAGGTGCCATTATCGATGTTCAAAGCAAAGCTGACCTACGCAGACGACTCTGACTCGGGAGAAGAGATCGACATTGAACAGTTCCTCCGCCGGGCCGCGGCCGACGAGGAGGAAGGCTTTGGCACCGGAAGTCTGGGCCTGCGGGCCGAGGACTTTGAAGTAGACGACGACGATGATGATGACGACTTTGGCGACGACGATGATGACGACGACGACGATGAGGATGAGGACCAAATATGGTCTGTTCCTCGGGGCGCCCGTTCCCAAGAGGGCCGCTTCAAGTCTGTCGATCTCATCCAGCCCCGCCGTTCATTCAAAGGAGCGCGCAACTCTGAAACTGTCAAGGACTGCAATTTCCTCGGCGTGGGCTCGGACAAGGTCGCGTCGGGCAGTGACGATGGCAACTTCTTCGTATGGGATAAGGAGACTGGCCGTCTGGAGGGCATCTGGGAAGGCGACCGTGACATTGTCAACGTCATGGAACAGCACCCCACCCTCCCACTCATCGCCGTCAGCGGTATCGACAACACGGTCAAAATGTTTGCGCCTACACCCAGCCGCACGGCTGACAACCCCTCGGCCACGTCTGGAGGCTTTACAATGTGCCGTACCGCCGAAGCGGACCAGATCATTGCACGTAATGCCAACCCGAGGCGACACAGCTTTGCGCCCATGGGCGAGCCGAACGCGCTTCAGTTCTTGAGCCAGATTCTCGCAGCGAGGAGGACAGCCAACCCGGCCATGACCGATCGCGCCAACTTGCTCGATTTCTTCAGAGCCGTCGCTGCGGACCCCGAGGAGGATCCGCCAGCCGGCGCCGGCGAGTGTCAGACACAGTGACACAATCAATCAATCAATGAAACAATATAGTCAAAACAAGCCAACAACACTGTCAACAACACAACCCACGAACATGAAAACATGTCTGTACTATAACCCTTGTTCATGTATCAAAGTCCTCCGTGTCTGTATTGTACAAGTATGTGCATCGAGTGCCCTACAAAGAACAATCATATTAAAGAGTTGGGGTACATTAGCGAATACGGCCACGGCTTTGGCCACGGGCATCGCGGTCGCTGTCGTCGACAGTCTTCTTGACGGTCTTTGGCTCCCAAATCTTCCAAAACTTGAGGTTTTCGTCACCAGCTCCGGTAGCCACCGTACAGCCGTCGGGGGACAGAGCCGATGCGAGAACACGGTTGTCGTGCGCGGGGACATCGTAGATCTTTTGCAAGGAAGGGTAGCTCCAAAGCGAAATGTTGTGGTCGGGGAAGCCGTGGGTGGAGAGCAGCTCCTTGGAGTGCGGGGACCAGATGAGCGAGGTGACTTGCGAGCCAGCGGCAAGGGACGAGGTGCGTGCGCCGGTCGTGGTAGACCAGAAGTGGATGTGCTGGTCCTGGCTACCACCACCGGTGGCAAGGAGGTTGGTCTGCCAAGGGCACCACGCAAGGGCCTGCGTAACTGTTAGCTGCTGTTATCCGATATTCCGTGATGACTTACCTTGACAGCAGCCGTGTGGTTGCGCTTGGTCCACTTGGGCACCACGCGAGTCTGCCCGTCGGCATTGAGGACCGACTGGCCAACACGAGAGTCCCAGCAGTTGACGACATTGTCGTTACCTCCACTGGCCAGCAGTTGACCGTCGGGACGCCACTTGAGACCACACACTTCGGCAGCGTGCCCGCGCAACTCCATAACCTTGTGCTGGGCGACACGGACGTCGTGGTGGAAGATTGAACCGTCACGGCATCCAGAGGACAGAATGTGGCCAAACCACGAGAGAGTGGGAACACGGGCGTTGTGGCCCGCCATCACACGCATCCGCTTGCTCTCCTCCACATCCCAAATCTCCACCTCACCATTCTCATTACCGACGGCAAGGTACGCCCCGTCGCTTGACCACGAGACGGAACAGACGGTCGAGGATTCCTCAGTTTCCTCGCCAAGGGCCATGACGTTACCCGTCTCCGCATCCCAGACGTAGGGAACAGACCCAAGACCAATAGCAACACGGTTCGAGCTGCTCCAGTCGACGAGGCTGAGGTAGTAGTCGTCCACAAACCCGGGGGCGTCGAGCACGCGCTCAGGCAGGTACGGCGGGGAACGCTTCTTGGTAGCGGCACCGGGTCCGGTGGTGGTCGTACCACGATTGGTCGACGCCGACGAGTGGAGAAGGTAGTTGCGCTGAGCGTCGAGGTGGGAGGTAGCATGAGATGCCGGTGGTGGAGCTGCACGGAACGAGAGGATGCGGCGGTTGGGCTGGGGCAGGCCCATGGAAGCGGAGAGGGCTGACGAGGTCGACTTGTCGGCAAACGACGTGTCGGTGGAAATGTCCTCGGCAGAGAGGGTGGTAGATGAGAGGGAGGAGTGGTGCAGAGAAGATGGGCGTGATGGCACGAAGCGGTCCAGCTGGCGGGAGGGTCAACATACTGTTAAGGGACACTTTTGCTGGAGAACTCACGTCTCGGCTACTCTTATTGTCCTTTGCCTTTTCGGGCATGGCAAACTCGCCGCTGTGGTCAACGACATTTAAGCGGGACATTCCCTCGCGGAGACCAGCGAGACTGTCATATTCGCCTGAGCGGAGCTTGGAGGGTGAGGCCGTCACGGTCTTTGTGACAAAGGGGTTGGAGCTGTGGTTTGTTTAGCTCCGCTTGGACCGACCGGCAAATGGTTATAACCTACACGTCCGCTGCACGAGCTGAGGGGCGATGGTCCGAGGTCATACTGGTTAATCTTGATACAGCTGCTGTTTGGTGTGCAGCTGTTGTTGTGTGTACCGCGATGGCCTGGAAGTGATGGAGAAGAGACAGTGATGACGATTGCACAAACGGAAGGCTGGACGAACAAAACAAGTCAGTCACGGATATCTGCTGAGCGGAAGCAATTTGTTTGGCGGATTTGATTCCGACGCGTTTGTGGAGGTGTCCGAAAAGTGAACGACACATACTGCCTTTTTGTTGTCTCTCTCACCCACACCACGCCATTGCCTTTGCACTTTCTAGTATCTGCATGCTCGGTCAGGTCGCTTTGTTGGGACGACCTGGACCTGGTCCAGCAACACGGCTGTTCCGGCAGCTCCAAACAGGAGTGTGCAAGCCAGTGACAGCTGCGGGATCTCCATTCCATTCCTCGGCAACCACGACCAAGCAAGGCAGACGCTTCCCGGCCCCAGTCGCAAAAACAAAGACGCGTTCACACAAAAAGGAAGCCTCGGAGAAGAGCACATGTGCAACAAGACCCTTGTCAAGCTCGGGCCCCGGAGCATCCAGCGCAGTCAAGCCCAAGCGGCTCACCACCTCTGAGCCCTTGCCGGGCCCAACTCCAAATGACAAGACACGACTCAAGAGCAAGCGCGTGTCGCCGCAACAAACCGGTAAAGCTCCACTACAGAGCAGTGACGTAAAGACATCTAGGCAGCAAAGCGTAAGTTGACCCTGCTCTGGACCGTTTTTTTGTTAACCGGCCCTAGTCATCAAGGCTGGATTCATATGATCCAGCTGTTGCCAACGTCACATTTCCAAAGGACATCCTGCCATATGTGCCTTTGCTTCCACCCCCACGATCACCCAAGATCGAGCGGCAGTATCTCCATGAGCTTCGAGTCTCTATCAGCATGGGCAAACCTATTCTCGAGGTTCTGGCTGTCTGGCATGTCCTTGTGGATCGCCAGGCCACCGATGTGGCCACGCCGGACGATTTTATGAGCATCTCCGATTATGTCGAGCACTTTCTCAAGGGTTCGCGACGGGAACTCGAGGATATTGTCTGTACCAGACCTGAAACGTTCGGCCTGCTTCGCAACATGGTTATCGAAGCCGCAGCTCACAATCATTGGAGAGGCTTGAACGAATTGCTCCTCAAGTTGATCCAATTCAACCGCCCGACAGACGTGCAACACATTTGGCTGTCGTGGAATAAGCGTATTCGACAGGTACAGGGACACAATCTCAAGGACTTGAACCATCTCAACCGCGCGACTCGTTTGCGCGCCCGCATATCCGGCCCAGGTGCCAAAGAGCTTACTCTTCCTTACATGGCAGCCCTCACCATGCTGGACCAATTCGGCCCCACACAAATGCCTGCTCTGCTTGGCGTGAGCTTCGTCGACGACAGACATTGGCGCGCAATGAAACCGCTATGGAAACACCTTCCCAGAGGCCAATTTAACTTGCGTCGCAAGATTCAGGTCAACATGGTCGATTTTATGACGGTCATTAAATGTCATCACTACTTGGCATTTGGCGCCTACCTGGCACACATGCTCGCAGTGCGCGACGTAGGTCGGATCCTCGAAACGTACGACAGTCTTTTGTCATTGTTGACTAGGCCCGCTCCACTGCTGGTTCTTGTGTCAACTTGGGTTTCGGCCTGGAAGGGCTCAAACCGTCTCGATTGCGCACCTGTTGGGGTTCAGATTTTCGGTAAGTAGGCTGTTTAATTGACGATGTGCTGACAAGCAGCACACTTTGCCAGTGTTTTTGCTTCTCTGCAACGTTCCGATCTCATTTGGAAGATGCTCCACGTCGACTTGCCGCTGTGTTTCCGGGTCTCTGGCGTAGAACAGCTCCAGCCCTACGTCCTGGCAGTGGCCATGGGGTCATTATCGGGAACGATCCACGCCGCAACCCCTAAGGAACGGGGGCGACTTCTTGCTCAAATCAACCACCTCTGGGATGATATCTGCCGCAGGGGAGGTCAACATGATGTCCAAACCATGAAGATCCGCATGGACGTCTTGATAAATATTGCGCCATACCAGCAAGTTAACGCGCACGAGTACTATGACAGCTGTCGCAAGGTACTTCAGGGCACTCGTGGGCTGCAATACATCGTCCCCTCATACTTCGGCTACCTCAGCGTCAACGATCCTGCAGGTACTATCGAATTCTTAAAGACAGACCCAGACCTTGCCGGCCTACGCGACCTAATGAGTTGGAGTCGGATTATCAAATCCATCATTAAGCTCAAGCGGCCGTACGAGCAGCGTAACATGCTGCTTCGCCTGGCAATGAAACGCATGCCGGCCGGCATGGTACCCGAGCCTAAAACGTTCGGCATGATGGTTGGTTTCTACCTCGATTCTGCCAACACACCGATAGAGAAATGGCTTCAAATTGTCCGTCAAGGGATATCTCCAACACACTTCAACCCCGAAAAGATCTGCATGTACATACTTCAAGGACTCCTCCCTCCTGGACGCAACGACATCCCGCCGGCTCGCTTGGAGCTGGCCTTGCATGTCCTGCGCCATGTCTTTCCCCGCACATCTCATGCCAATCCAGCCTATTATCAAAACAGCTGGACGTTGGTCATCAACTGCGTGGTGACAGCAACAAACCTCAACGGCAGCCAGCGGCACCAGCTCATCGCGGACGCAGTCGACAGCCTCCCGCAACTTTCAGCAAAGGCGCAACGACTCATTTATTTAAACATCATCAAAGGCTCCGTTCAGCGACCCGATCGCGAGGGTCTCGCGGAAGCTCTCTACTACTGGCCGATTTTCGCTTCAGGGGCGACGCAGCAAGGATTTGATGAAGCCCTTGGCTATCTGAGGAAGGCAGGTTTCAACAACACTGCCCAGGACTTGCTCAATCAGTGGGAGGAGAGCAAGGCCGATGTGGAGGGTGTGGATAAGCGTAGGCTGGAAGATGCGGAGGCAGTAGAGGAGGCTGCCGTGGAGGCGCAGGAGGAGGAGATGGCGGAGGAGAGCGGGGAGGATGGTGACTATGAGTTTAACGACTAGCATGCATTGGGCTGGGGCTACTGCCGAGTGGTATAGTAGTATACATCTGCCAAAAAAGAACCGTATGTGACTAAAGAGACGAAAGGATAAAACAGCCATCGGGTTTCTACTTGTTAAGCACCTTGAGCGCCGCCTTGAGGTTGGCGTCGACAGCTGCGCCAAATTCACCCTTAATACCGGCCTCGAGCGCAGCCTTGAGCCCAGAATCAACAGCGCTCTTAATCTCGTTCGACTTTTCAGGCTCGTAGAACCGGTTAACGAAACTGAGCAGGTTGAACGCAATCATGGCTCCACGGTCGGCGAGCTCGCGGTCTGGCGGGCCAGTGCCCGTGCTCCGTGCTCCAGGCGTGTCGGCGGGGGGACGCACGCCTCCAGGCTCGAAAAGGTCGGCGACGCGGTCCCACAGCTTCGTAGGGATCATGGCCCCCTTGGTGACAATCTTGAGCGCGATAAGGGCGCTGCATGCGCTCTCGCTCTGCGTGAGGACGGCGAGAGCCGTCGCAGCCGATTTCCGGGTGATGCTGTCGTCCGAGTCGGTGAGGAGCAGAAGCACACCAAGACGGCGACCAGCCTCGGGGTCGAGCGTGCCCGGCTCGCCCTTTGGCGTGTAAATGTCCTTCGCATCGGCCTCGCCAGGGAACTCAAACGACTTGCGCTCGCCGGACCAGTAGTACCAGCCGGCCTTGGAGTTGACGAGAACAGACACGACGCGGGTAGCGAGGCGCGAGACCTCCATGTTGGGGTTGAGGAGGTGACCCTCGATACGGTCCACGACCTTGAGCGTACGCGAGGAAGAGGCGGCGGTGGCGGCGGGGATGGCAATGGAGCCCTGTGTGATGGCCGAGCCGACGACGGGGTCTGTCAATCCCAAGCGCGAGAGCGTCAGGAGTGCGATGCCGACCTGGGTAGGGGTGCTCGCCGGATGAGCGAGAAGGAGGAAGATGGGTTGCAAGCCCGCAACTGCATTCTCGCGGTAGGGCTGGGGGAAGATGGTGGGGAGGGCGGCAGTCTGCACAATTTTGGCGTAAACCTCGCACGCGACGAGAAGGATCTTGGTATCCGGTGGGACGCGAGATGAGGATCCGGTGGACAGGAAGGTGTGAATGACGTTGGTGAGCGCTTTAAACCCGCCCTGCTCGATGAAGGCTGCGCGGTCCTCGGGCCCAGAAAGGACAGCCGAGAGGTTGGCAAGGGCCTCGCCGACACGCAGGTTGGATGAGCTCGAGAGGCGGAGAAGGAAGGGGACAATGTCGACACTGTACAGGTGCTTGACGGTTGCCTCGCCGCCGGTGCTGGCAATTTCCACGAGCTTTGCCAGGCAAAGAAGTCCGAGGTCGGGGGCGTCCGAGGCCAGACCAGTTTCCAAGTTGGCGAGGTCATCAGCGGTGACTGAATCGCCTTGGTTGGTGAAGAGGCGGCCGAGCAGCCCATCAAGGGGGCTTTCAAAGTTCATTGCTGGTGGATTTGTGGATCACAACAGAAGCTCTGTCGTTCGAGAAATATCCATGAGGTGAGTGATGTCATCAGGTGAATGACGTGGAGTTGGGGCTCGTCCCGTTGTCTATCACTTTGAAGCACTGTTTGAGGCGGCCTAGCCGGCCTAACCTGGCCTGCACGCCAAAAGGTGCGCGAGTCGTGTCAGTGCAGCTACGGGCCGTAGGCGAGTCAGTCACGATCAGAGTCGTCCATCAACCATTTACGACAGTGGCGAGTTTGATTCGTTTTCTGATGGCAACCGAATCCACGTTGATATCTCCCTACCTCCTCCCAAGGACGCCTCCCTGGTCTTAAACTTTGGTCCAAAAGGTGAGGGAAACTCGCAGGAACTTGCAAGAATTGAGAAGCATGCGAGTGTTGAAGTCTGAGGACGTAACCATGCTTCCTCTCGTGTTCGCAATGTCCGCCAGCCTCGACATCCGACTCTCCCACGACCCACACTGCCAGAGTCCTCCCTACAGTGTCCCAGGGGGGAAAAAGAACACCTAGAAGGTACTCTGCTTCTCCGCCAGGGAGTTGAACCCTGCTCTACCGCGATAAGTCGTAGTCCAAGAGGATCTTGACACTCTCTGTATGAGAGGCGGTTATACTAACCGATATACTAGCGAAGAGGCGATGCAGAGGGGCAAATAGGTGACGAGCAGAGCTGTCAGACCCGTGGAGACGCTGTGCATCGTGTTTGAGAAGTCTTGTGACGTTGAAGACGGTGGCAAGCACCTGCGCATCTTCTCCGTCCAAATGGGGTGTGTTGGCATCATGTCTTTGCCTATTTCAGCGTTGCAGTCGAGTGCTCGTGGTCCAAGGCCTCGGGCGGTCACCCCAGCTCGCTATTGAAAAGAGACATCGTTAATATCGACATTTGGGCACCTTCCACAGACTGAATGCAGTGCAGATATCGACGGCATCCGGCTTTCGCTCGAACGTCTACATGGTCCATCTAGCTATTGCACTGATCTCCCCCTTGTGGAGCTCTGGGTCACCCAGGTACTCCTCCTTGGTCTTGAACTCTATCTCCCGGCGCACCAACTGGTCGTCCGATAATGGGAACACCCCATCGGGATCCAAGACAAGGTTTCTCACGACGGCGTGCAGATCGTTGGGATCGTCCGTGCCATAGTGGGTGCGACACTGCTCAGCCCACCGAGAGACCCTGCTGTTACCCAGCTTGTCGGTGAGTGGCAGATCGAGTGTTTCGAGACCGTAGACCGTGACTAGAGGCTGGGTGCAGGATAAACGAGGACCGACGTCTTGCAGACTGGAGCTCGCTTCTTTCAAGATTTCCGCAATTGTGTCGACAAAGTTGAAGCTTGGGCGCCGGGATACCTTGGAGTTCTTGGGGGGAATGTCCTCCCACTCGTCGCAGAAGACAAGGCTAATCCGGATCGCGGTAGTAAACTGACCCCGCAAGCTATCTGCAAAGTGGCTGCGGGAGTCTGCCTGCGAGCACGTTAGAACGCAACATCACAAGAAACCAGCCTGCTCACATAGGTCCCCGCGTACACTGCCTCATCCGTGGGCAATACCACAACAACTTCCTCGACCGAGGAAGGAACGATCCACCTCCGAGGACCTGGTATAGGCAACCGTTCATCGCCAGTGTTGCGAAACACAAGTTTGCGAGGACGGAGATGGGTGAGGAGCCGACAGGGGTAATGGTCGCAATAGTGCCCGAGGAAGAGTGGAGTCTCGGGACCTTGTACGATACGCAGAACCTCAAGGTTGGGTGTCAACTTGGCCAGTTCCTGGCCGTATATCTCGCAATGTACACCCCGATGAGATCCAATTGAGAGAACACGTATGAAGGCGAAAGAATGTAGCCTCGGTGGACGAGGGATGGAAGGGGGGTTGGGGTTGGAATCCTCCGATTCGACCGACTTGCTGTCTCGTTCTTCTTTGGTCTTGTACTTTGCTCTCAAGTTGCGGATCGATTTGCCGAGACGGATCTTCTTGTAGGCTTTTCGACTCTCTTTGCCATTGCAAATGAGGAACTTGTGGAGCTGGACACCGGAGACCGTGAGAGTGGTGTAGAGAAGCCGACCAGCGAGTTCGTAAAACGGTACGTTGACCTGCATCAACTTGGCCAGAGCTGCAGGCTCGGCATACGACAGCATGCTATCGACCAAATGGTCAATGCTGAGAAAGAACTCGGCGGCCGTGAGCGTAGGTGGGTCTGTCATGCGAGGTCAGAAAAGTGAGACAGAGAGAGAAATGCGGAATGCTGCGAATAACGTGCCCCAAGCGTTGTTGTTATGCATTGGATTTGCGGACCGAGCCCAAGTTTAGATCTCTCCCGAGTCACATGTCATCGTCGGGGGCTGTCGGTCTCTCACCCGAGTGGCTTCGTGGCGTCCTCTGAGATTTCGATCTCCGTCAAGTTCTGCGGGCTGGTCTCCAGTCATCATTGATTACCCCACAGCTGAGCACTCCTCCCAAGCAGTCAGATCCAGACCGCCGTTGCGTAAGAGGTGAGTAGAAGGACGTCGAGGCAATTCGTTGGTGTCGTATATGTACATGGCTCCGCCACTGTCTGTCCTACTACATGTCCCCGCCGACGTCTCTCCTCTTTGTCTTGACTTCTACGCATACTTATGCACACTTCCAGCCTTGCTCCACCTTCCTCCACTTGGGGTCACAGGCCCAACACTAGCGCCCTAGAAATGGGTACCGCGGCGACCAGCAGACATGTGGCTGAGGATTGTGTATGCCTCCCTCAGCGCAGCAAGAGTCTGTCCGCTTCGGTGGACCGCCGAACGGATTGTGTTCAAGTTATCCGACAGAGTAGCTTGCAAGGGTCAGCCTCTATTCCACCACCGAAAGGGCCACAGATCACAGAGAAGGGACAAAAAGACCTACCCAGTTGGGAGCCAGGGTCTTGGTTGGCCAGGAAGGGACCTGCCAGTCTGGGCGCAGGACGCAACTGGTTATCTTGGGCGCCAGAGGGAGCTAAACGGTAGCGGTTGGCGCGCAGAGGAAGGTCGAGAACACCTTGCGGACGAGCCGAGTGTGGGTTGTGCTGGTGCCTTCCCCCCATGGGGCGCATACGGCCCTCCATGTCGGTCATGTCGCCGTCGATAACGTGGCGAATGTGTGGCTGCAGCATACTCTCGATCCCAGACATGGCCCTATCGTTGAGGTAACGGAGCCGCTCGACCACATTGTCTTGGTTTGGAACAGCAGAGCGACGGTCGTTGCGCCTGATGAGTCGACTGGGTTCAGGAATCTGGACGTTTTCTGGAGGATGGCGTTGGCAATTAGCTGGGGACGTTGGGGCTATTGACGTTACCCACCGATGGCCTCTATGTAGAGCTGCATCACGAAGAATTCGAGCTCTTTGGCATAGTACCATGCTTCGCCGCTGTGGCAAGCCTCGCGCGCGACGTTGAAGCAGAGGAGAAAGTGCGCAGGGTCGATTGGGAGAGGGACGCCACCGTATGCTGCGTGGAGTAGGGTGATCGCTGGGTGGTTGGCTGCGGCGGCCGAGTTCATGAGGTCGTCGGGGATGTCAATGCCGGACATGGTGAACGAGTAAACGTATGCCCGGCGGCGGAAGGGTGAGAAGAGCGACGGAGAAAGAGAATCACGACGAGTTACCAGACGACGACTGATGGCATATGGGGGGGCGCAGGACAAAAGGGGTGACTAACATCCGCGCTCACACGCGCCACGGAGCACACATACACAGTCCAGCTAGTCCAGTCCAGTCACCCAGTCGCGACCAGTCGCCTGGTCGCGAGCTCGCTGGTACACTGAGTGTGGTGCATGTCAACCATGCCATCTCTTGCATCGTTATTGCAGATCGATTTCCCCGGACGTATCTGGTTCAGTATCATGTTTCCTTGAACCACACGCCTCCGTCAAGCTTCACGATCATCCAAGTGCCAACGGGGTGGGATCATTCTTCGCCCCATGCCGGTCGATGACTGTAACTTGGGTGCGGCAAGTCTTCGGCACCCTCGAGCCTTCCAGCCACAGGCAACAGGTAGCAGCGCAGCCCATCTATGTATACCATCCGTAGCTTACAGGTTCGAAAGCTTGGGACAAGTACCCAAACTGCGAAGTGGCTCGTTCACACCGACTGGTGACACTTTCAACGCATTCCCACACGCCAATTGGCGACAAAATCCACATCAAAACGGCACTGATCACTAATGGCAAGTGGGTTCTCATGGCTTCAGCAACTACGACGAGCGATATGAGCGACATGGTCATGCATCTGGGCATGGTGCTCGTCGACCGACGCGTCGAAGGGCAGGGCATGTCGGCAAGTTCCTGCCGTCTGCCCTGTTCCCGGTTGGAGACCCCGCATTCCCCGCGTGGTGCAACACGGCGGTTGCCGATGACGAGCACGCTGTCCACCACCACGGATGGGATCACTCGCGCGTTCGTCTTTCCTCTTCTTTCTGTCCTTCTCTTCTCAACACTTCTCGCGCATCCTCTTCATTATGACCACCGACCTGAAGTCCCAGGAGCGCTACTATGCCGACCGCAAGGCCCCCATCTGCCCCCTCGTCATCCTTGAGCACTTCAACTCGCTCACGGACGCTGAGAAGCGCTACGCCCATCACATTTCGGTCGCGTCTTGGGTCGGCGCTCGCGTGATCCTTGAGCAGACTACCCCCACTGCCAGCGACCTGTTTGACCTGATCCGTGTCATCTTCTCGGCGTCCAAGGAAAAGCCCACCGAGCTCGCCAACCTCGACTCGCTCAAGGCCGCTGCAACCGACGACGACCTCACCGCAGTGATGGAGTACTGTGCCCAGACCCTCTCCAACCTTGCCAACTACAAGTCGTTTGGAGACATCAAGTTTATCCCCCGTATCCCTAAGGGTGCCTTCCGCGCTGTTGTGGCCGCTACACCACGCCATGCCGAGGCTCTCCCACTCTTCGACAAGCTCGCCGAGGAGATCTACTCCCTCACTCCCTCCCAGCGCACTCTCCTTGGCTACCCCGACGACGGCCACGTTACCAACTACTACACCGCGGACGTTACCAAGGATGACATCAAGGCGTCCCAGACCTGGTGTGAGTCGCGCGGCATGGACCCCCTCAACACTCGTCTCTTCAAGCGCACCGACGGAGTCTTTGAGCTCAAGGTGGCCTCGGCCAACATCACTGCCGCCCCTGAGCAATTCAAGATTGACGGTGGCCGTACTCTCGAACTCACCTACGGCGACTTTGCCCCCGAGATGAAGGGTATTGCCGACGAGCTCGAGCGCGCCATCCCTTATGCGGCCAACGAGCACCAGCGCAAGATGCTCGAGCACTATGTCGTCCACTTCCGCGGCGGCTCGATCGTAAGTCGCTACAGTGGACAACCTCTGATCAATGACAGGACGAGCACAAGGACAGCCAGCGCGAGTGGATCCGTGACGTCGGCCCCACTGTCGAGTCCAACATTGGCTTTGTTGAGACCTACCGCGACCCTGCCGGTACCCGTGCCGAGTTTGAGGGCTTTGTTGCCGTGGTCAACAAGGAGATGACCAAGAAGTTTGAACGTCTTGTCCAGAACGCACCCGAGTTTATCCCCAAGCTTCCCTGGGGCAAGGACTTTGAAAAGGACACTTTCCTCAAGCCCGACTTTACTTCGCTGGAGGTTCTGTCCTTCTCAACAGGTGGTGTCCCCGCGGGCATCAACATCCCCAATTAGTAACTTGACAAACTTGATCCACTCACTGTGAGCTGACGTGTAATCTAGCGACGATATCCGCCAGTCCTTTGGCTTTAAGAACGTCTCCCTTGGCAACGTTCTCAACGCCAAAGCTCCTGATGAGAAGATCACTTTCCTTTCGGAGGAAGACGCGGCGCTTTTCAAGCGTCTCCGCGGTCCTGCCTTTGAGGTTCAGGTCGGCATCCACGAGCTTCTGGGTCACGGCACTGGTAAGCTTCTTGTTGAGGAGCGCGACGGCTCGACCAACTTTGACAAGGAGCACCCGCCTACCAACCCTCTGACTGGCAAGCCCGTCGAGCACTGGTACGGCCCGGGTGAGACTTGGGGCTCGCGCTTCAAGTCGATCTCGTCTTCATACGAAGAGTGCCGCGCCGAGGCTGTCGCCATGTTCCTCTCGACCGACAAGGACATGCTCAAGATCTTTGGCCACACCGACAACTCGGACGAGGAGGGTACTGCCGACGACATTCTCTACACTGGGTGGCTGCAGATGTGCCGTGCTGGTCTTCTCGCGCTCGAATTCTACGACCCTGCCGCCAAGAAGTGGGGCCAGGCCCACATGCAGGCTCGCTATGCCATCACCCGCGTCCTTCTTGAGGCCGGCAAGGGTCTCGTGACCATCGCCCCTCACGGTGACGGCGACCTCCTGGTCACTCTTGACCGTAGCAAGATTCTTGACGTCGGCGTCCCGGCCATGGGCCAGTTCCTCACCGAGCTCCAGGTCTTCAAGGCCACCGGCGACGTTGACGGTGGCTCGGCCCTGTACTCGCGTGTCACTGCTGTTCCCGACGACTGGCTCGCGTACCGCGACATTGTCCTGAACAACCGCCAGCCCCGCAAGCTGCTCCTCCAGGCCAACACCTTCCTTGAGGGTGACAAGGTCGTCATCAAGGAGTACACTCCTGACCTGCCTGGTTTCATCCAGTCGTACCTCGAGCGCGCGATTTAGAAGGCAATCAATTGGTGCACTCCGACGGTGCCTCGGAAGGTGAATTCAGAAGGTTTCACATCATGCATTGTTGTGCTTTTTCTCTGTGGAATAGGATTCTCGATTTTGGATTTGATATTTCTAACCACGCGTTGGCCGAACTGATACCACGGTCCAATTCCATCGGTAACGATCTCCTTGTAATAGCTCGCCGCTAAGCGTGGTTTCAGACTCAAACTATGAAGCCTCCTGGAAGCTAGTTCAATTGAAAGCAGTCTGCACGACGTGGTGGGTGACAATGTGTGGCAATTGGGGTCTCCCCGAATGCTGTCATCGGCTTTGCGTCCACGCAAAAGACGGCAGACGCGGCGTCGGTCCGGGAAAGGTGGCGGCCAATGCAACATGTACATGGGAGGATTCTTGGCTGCGGTGTATCGTGGGGATGCCAGGGTGCAGACTCCGGCGGACAGCGGGAGCGTTGCCAAGTGCTACCAAGGCGCTCCGGTTCCCTCGGTGCCTCTCAGAAACCGTAGACCAACCGCCTGTGGCCTGTGGCCTGCCATCCTCTCTCTGTTGCTGCGAACTCTGAATGGTTGCTAGTGCCGAGATTAGACACGCACCAGGTCCGCCGCATGCATGGGTGTCAATGCTCAAATACTCCCAGACGATGAGCGAGACGCTCTTCCAGCTACGTGTTCTTGACTCCTCACCAATACACACACTCCATCGTTCTACGACAAAAGCCTCACGATGCCGATGCCACCACGACAAACGAGACGCTCGGCCATGCGGCTGCCACTTCCCCTCGCCTTGCTGGTCATCGCCACGCCGGCCTGTGCCCAGAGCCTCGATAAATGGGTCGAACCAAAGGTCTACTCGCCTGGTCTGATTGCAGGCATCGTTATCGCGTCTCTCGCAGCGCTCGGCGTGGCCATCGCGCTCATGTTCGGGTTCATCTGGTGCAACCGCCGTAGGCACAACATGCTACACCCCAACCGCCTGATTCAAGCCTTGTCGCGGAACAGCAACAAGCACGACACTGGGAGCAGTAGTGGTGACAGCTCTCTGGTTGAGAAGGGTAAAGGTGGCATGCCGACCATGGCGTCCACCGCGCCCATTGTCGTCAACTATCCCGTCGAACCAGAAAAGGCCCACGGTGGAGGGCCACGAGGGGCCACCGGCGGGCTGTGGGGTGAGAACCTGCACAGCTCGGGCAGCAGTGGTCAATTCGTAAGTGCAGGTCGATGCCTTGCCTGGATCTCTATGCTAACAGGTGCAGCTTATGCCACCGCCGATCAACTATGGTGGCAGGAGAACGGAGACAAGGGTCAAGCCCGAGCGACCGACCTCCTACGATGGTCGAGCGACGTATGCGGGTCGCGGCAAGTCGCAAAACTGGGTGGCTGACGACGATGCCATGCTGTACAATTAGAATAGAGACCACTGTAGACCTGCTCGAGATTTGATTGCGTTTTGTGACCTCAGTGGAGGGGGCTTATGTTCCGAGTTTCGCAGGTGGTGCATCACGACCTTGTCCTGGGTACTCCTGTCAGCCAGACGGCGCAGCCATGACCATGTCCGCACCATATTACCTGACTGCGGCGGTGTGTAGTCGAAACCAGTTGAGAGATAGAGACCCCGGCTGGCCACCGTTGTCATGGCGCCACGCAGCAATGATGAACCCTTCCAGGACCGTTGCTTCATAAAGTGTGGGAGTGAATCGGGGAAGGCGTGGTGGCTTCACAGCAGAATGCTGCAGTACCTGGGGCTGCGGTTACCTGTATCTACCAATAGGAAGTTTTGTGTGAGTTCCAGCAATGACATGACACGGTATCTATGGGCCTACGCAGCTGGAAGGCGGACGCCGCCGCTGAGAAGTTGAGGTGTGGCGTTTTGCCAGACGCGATGAGCGCGTTGGCGTCACTCACATCACAATACCGTTTCCAGCGCCCTAAATTGACGCACGTAGGGTACCAGTACTGCACGCTACTAGTTGAGCGATACTCGTCTGAGGATCACTGGACTCGAAGAGGCTCACTCGTCGGCGTCTCTGGTGACGGATTGATCACCAAGAAGACGCCGAGACGCCGATCTCACCCAGGAGTCAGTTGACCACTACATTGCAGTCGAGTCATAAGCACTGCCCCGCTGAGCACTGCAGTGGAGCTCGGGGACGGAGACTGACGAAGCAGTGCATTGGAGCGATGGATACATGTGCTGCCTGCGTTCGACATGCCGCCGAGGTCGGCATGCCGGCATTCGGAACCGTTATGCATGCCCAAGAAGCGTCGCGCTGGTCGGTTGGGAGTGGAGGGTGACCACTGCCACCCCGGATGTCTGCTGACCAGATTGGAACTGCACCTGCTGGTGCCGCCATGCATGAATTAATGGAGCGCCAGATCTGAGCGGCGTTATGGTGCGCATGTGATGACATGCAGTAGCCAGTGGCCGTGAAGCAGACTGGCGTTAACAAGCACTGGATGACACCTGGCCATGCAAGGCCTGCAAAATATCATCAGCTGTCTTGACCTTCCAACCTTTAGTGGGCGCCAGCGGGCTGCAGTCGTGCCGTCACGTCAAGTCCTGTGAACCACACCAGGTCAGACCCATCTTTTTCAGCTTTTTCTTCTTGCTCACCTTCTCCTTGCAGGTCTCACGCAATTCTCCCCCTTCCCTTCCTCAAGGCGTCCCTTTATTTGCTTCTTCAAACAGTTAACCAACCATGCAAATTGAATGTGACAACTGGGACAGTCGGGCGACACCCTTCCAAGGGCTTTAGGCGGGTTAAGATGACCGCCCGGTCAGATATCTTGATGCTGCCACTCTCTTGCCCACATTATTCCGCACCCAAAGTGGGCGTTTGTGGTATGTTTTTCACATCCCTCGCTTCACCTTGGCGATAACGTGTATAACGTCAAACCCAATGGAGAAAAGAAGGCAGGTGCGGTCATTATGGCCATCCACGGGTGAACGGGACGTCGCTAGAGACGTGCAAACTGCTCAGGACGTCACCACAACCAAGACCAAACATTCAGTAGCGAAGTCCGTAACCTGGTGGGTGCTAGGGGTGCGAGATCCGGAACCGACCGGTGCCGCCGTCCCTCCTGCGTCAGTGCAGTTCAGAGCGGCATCCTCGGAAGGGATAAGATCTTCCAGATCCTTGACAAGTGCGGCAAGAGTGTTATGCCGCCGAAGGCAGCGTGTTGATCAGGCGGGTCAAGTCACGGTTCAGGGACATGCTGCCACAACGGCTGTCAAAACCTGTAAAAATAAGTCACTAACGTAGGAAGGTGCACAGAGTTGCATTTCTTGTGAGACGAAGGGGTGGTTTGGGAATACAATGCACAAAATGCCACACCACATGCCCGACCCCTGTACGAGCAGCGGGCGGCAGACCGGGAGAAAGGGGGGGGGAAGGAAAGGGAGACAGAAACCAGGGCGATTGGGCGGATGAGCTGATTCTAGGTTGGGTCATCCGCAGCTGGCGGCAAGGACGCCACGTCACCGACGCTGGTACGACTCGTATGTGAGGACCTCGAATGGACGAACGATACGCTCAAACCCGCCGTAGCCGATGTTTGCAGCGTCTCCGTCGACCTGCACTTCTGCAGAGTTGGTTAGTTTGTGTTGGTATTGATGAAGAAATTGAAGCTCACTTCCAACATGCACGCCGTTCTCGACGTTTGCTTTGCCGATGAAAAGTGCGCGACCGTCACGCTCACGCCCACCCTCGACGGGTTGCCAGCCTGGGATGTTTGCCGACATGCCGTGCCCAAACGCGGCCCACTGTGTGGACGAGGGGTCGCCACAAAGAACCTCGAACGCGACCGAGTTTTCGGGTGGGCCGCAGGTCCCGCCGCCGTAGGACCATTCGCAGCGGCCTGCCAGGTGGTCTCCAGCCCTGTATGCGTCAGAACCATGGCAATCCTCCACACCTCTTTCGACTCACTTGCCGACATGCATACCTCGCTCGTGCCACACACGCGCAGCATAGAGCTGCTCGTCGTACTCGTATCCGATTGGAATAACATCGCGTGGAAGCGGAGCCGATCCTTCGACAAGGTGCCAACGCACGACTGGACGGAGAGCGCCTGTCGACTCGGTGCGGTCGTATGCGGCGGTTCGTGCACGAGCGGCTCGGAGCCAGGCGTCTCGCCCACTCGATTCGGTGAAGTCTCGCCACGCGGCGCGGCGCGTGCGTTCAACCTCGAGATCTTCGGCGTAGGAAAACACACCGACGCCGCCAACGCGCCATGTGCGCGCTCCCAGAAGCTCGTCTCGAAGGGCAGCCGGGTTGCGGGCCGCCTCGGCATCTTCGCGGAGCGCGTTCAGGCGCGCGCGGTCTGAAGACGACGCGACAGGCGCTGTTGATGGCCGCTCTGGCAACGAGTTATATTGCCCATAGGGAGGTTGGGAGCCTTGGTCGGCGCCGTACCCTGGACCATATACGACCGAGCTGCCCACTGGCGTCCACAGATGCAAACTGTAAGTGGGCTGAAGGGCCTGTGAGCAGGATGCCAACGGGCGTGAGCCTGACTTACCTCCCGCGCGAGCGCTCCGGACGTGTGCGGAGAGTCGCACCTCCACACGCTGCCTGCGTACCAGACGAGTGCACCGAGCGGGTAGAAGATGTTTGGTGACCAGAGCGGAGGTGATGGGAGTGCAGGCGCGCTGTATGGGCGCTGGCTGTAGGCGTCCATGGGTAGTGGGTGATGATGAGAATAGGTCAGGTTGCGAGTTGCCAAAGGCGGCGGAGTGGGATCCGATCGACGCGGAGACCCCGGACGCGAGCAGGCGTACTTGTAAGCCGAGATGTCAAAGTGGTCGGTTGGTGAAGGCGCCATGGCAAGCATGTTCAGCAACGTTTGGTAATTATGGGCAGTGGGTCGACGGGGATGCGTGCGGGCAATGCATGAAAGCTTTATGTTCAGCATTGACGGGACGGTCTTCCAACTCGACACTCCAAAACACTGCATCATCTCCTCGACATGAGCTGTTGGCAGGGTCCGAGATTTCAGGCGGGTTCTGGCTTTTCCACTTGCACACTCGCGTTTGCCAGACTTGGTATCTCTTTATCCACCACCTGACCACAGTTTGTTGCCGAACGGCGACAAGAGAGGCCCGAACATCGCGGGGCTGCCCACATGTTCGGAGGCTGAGGCAACAGAAGTTCTGAGCGGGTCAGAGGAGAACAAGCATTCCAACAGATTGTACAGTGTCTCGGGAGATGGGCGGCGAGGCGTCGCGATGATCTGATACCGAGTCGTGTCGTAAGTGCGACACACTTTCCGTCTCGGCGGGCTCCACCTGCACACCTGCATCTCTTGCGTCGCCTGCGAGCCATGCAGTTTCAAACCCAACGTAGTTCCATGATGCCGTCCTTGTTCGGCCGGACATGACACACGCCGCCAAGTCCTAAACAGGGTCCAGAGGCGGTGATTATATAACGTCATTACCACCGCCTTGTTTAATTATCGCCTCCCCATCATCATTCCTCCATCTCCCAACCATCGTCATTCCACAACAATGAGCTCCACAACAGCTGCCTGCATCCCCGAGGAGCTGCGTGAGGCCGCAGACGACCTCTCAAACTCGAGCGTGCCTACCGAAAACAGACAGTCAGCAGACACTGCCCCAGCCGCGACCGAGCAGGCTTCCACCGCGCCGCATGCTACCTCATCTGTGTTCTCTCGCGACCAGGATGCGCCAGTTCACGTTGTACCCATGCGCGTGATCCACCGCCCACTCCCCTCTGAGCTCGACGAGGCCAAGGTCCTCGCCTTCATGGACGAGATGCGGGTGCGTGCAGTTTGACTCCCTCCAGTCGGCCGAAGACCAAAATTGTGGCCAGATGGCTACTGGGCTGCTTAGTAACCTTTCCGCAGTCCCCCGCTGACAAACTCAGGCAGGTGACGTGTTTACCCCTATCGAGGTGATCAAGGTTCGCGCCCCGCTCAAGGCCAACCCTGCGGCGGGTGTACAGACATTCTACTTTGCAATGGGCGGCTGTCACCGGTGCGTTGCTGTGAAAGCTGGATTTTGACGGCATGCTGACGAGGTGACAGGTACGAGGCGACCAAGCGACTCAAGCTCGAGTCAATCCGGGCCCGTATCATCGAGGTGCCACCAGCATCTATGCGCGTGTACCTCGGTGCCGGTAGCCCGTTCTGAACGGGGCAGATACCGCCGAGTTGAGGCCCATGGGCCGACCCGTGTCGCGGCACTCGTATTTCTCCTCTGGTCGACAGTGGTTACAGTGGCACAGTGGTACAGTGGAGGAGGTTCCATAGAAATAATTCGCCGGGACCAAGGCGGCGGGACAGCTAGCCATGAGTCCTGTACCACTATGCAATAGACAAAATAGATAGTACACAGTGGTACAGTGGAGTGGGTACAGTGGCGGGATGGGCACCTACCTTGCCAGTGGCAGACGCTCTCAGAAATCAACACTGCCTTGCCAAAACGTTGCCACAGTCGACTTGCCGGCAGCTCTCTGCGTGCTTCTCCCAGCTGCAATGCTCTGATTCCCCCACAAACACACACTGCGGAACGCGGTTGCGACCACCACACGCCTTCAATGCGGAACCCCCATGTCCAACTTGCGACGCCCGCAGCTTGCCAAAGATTAGATAGGGTGTATCGTTCCCGCAAGCTGCTTTCCAGGAGCAGCACGCTCGAAATCAGTGAACATTGCGGATGTTTTGACACTACACAGGTCAGCTGAAACCACATGGGTCAAAAACGTCGGGCCAAAAATTCCTGCCGCCCTCGCTCCTCGCACCGCTGTCCCAACTTCGTCCTCTTCTCGTCATACACCAAAATCTCGCAAACGGGTTTAGTTTAGGGGGACCAAGTCATGCATATATGTAGGACATGCAGACTGGGAGAAGGTTGCAAAGTCGGGGTAGGACGATGCGCTTAGTCGAACAGACCGAAGCCCTGCGAAAATGTTAGCATTCTGCGTGCAGGAGACACCGTTCCGCGCAAAACTCACCATGTCGTCGTCGGACTCCTCCTTGGCCTCCTCCTTCTTCTCCTCAACGGGGGCGTCCTCAGCGGCACCGGCGGCGGCGGCGGCACCACCAGCGGCGGCAGCGGCGGGGGCACCACCACCACCAACGTTGGTGAGGAGGGCCTTGACGTCCTTGCCGTCGAGAGCCTTGGCGAGGAGGGTGGCCCAGATGGGCTCAACCTCAACCTTGGCGGCCGAAGTGAGGGCGGTGATCTTGTCACCGGTGATCTCAACACCCTCGTCGGCGAGGACTGAAAGTCAGCAATTATTCAAAAACTATCGTCCATCTCGCAGGCACGCATTGCCAGGCGAATTCGCAATCTAAACGCACTGAGAGCAGCGAGCGTGGCAGCGGACTCGGCGGACTGTGATTGTTAGCATCGTTGTCGCTATCAGAAGGACTTGGCAGGCTGTCGCGATGTTGCAAGAAGTTGGACGAGTTCGGGACGCAGTGAAACGGGGCGCAGATTGTTGCCACACACCGCCTCCCGACGCACGACGATCCCTCCGCACTTCCACGACCATTGACAAGTCTGTCAAAGCCTGCCCAAGCCCTGTCGAAGCGTGTCGACGCGCCAGTTCCAGCGGCGTACTCACCATTTTTACGTTAACCTGTTTAAGCTGGGAAGCGGGCTCAACGTTTGGATTGAAGAAAGTGTCGAGTTGTGGAAACGACCAAGTCGAGGGACCCAGCACACGCCCCAGGCGCGGGGGCATACTGCACTCCGGAAATTTGGCTCCCGTTGCGGTGATAACGCCGGTGGCATCGCATTTGGGATTAATGCTTAACAACTCGTAATAAATATATACAGAGGATGCATACGCCCTCGCTGGTGGAGGTCGTCCGCAAGGAGGACCACTTCGAATGCACTTTCAGTGAAGCCTTGCACTGTGTACTTGCAGAATCGCATCATGCTCTTTCCACGGGCACCGCGACCGCCACACGGTCGCTACGAGTAGACAGTTGTACCTGGGGCATGGGCAACGGCCGCCCCACACACACATGGACGCCCCACACGCAGGAGGTGGTGGTTGTGCCCCTTGAGCTGGTCGTCGGCTAGGCGCTGGTCGGTTGTCACACATCGCGTGAACGACCAATGTCGTTGACAGAACGGGGCAAGTAAATGCATATACAAGCTATGGATCTATGGTCTGGTGCTGCGGGGTGTTCCGCTCGCATTCAGTAATGTCAGCAGCGATATAGGGCTGAAGCGCTGACAGAGGCCCCGTCGTGAACGGAGGTGTCGTCAAAGCGCTGATCCCTCCCGTGGTATATCTCGTGTGGTCGTGTGGAGGCACCTTGGCCAGGTTTCCGTGGGCGAATGGCTGGATGCTTCAATGTCGGTCTAATCGTCGAGGACATCACCGCATGAGTCGCTGCCGAGCGTGCCGTTGGAACTGTCGACCTGGAGCTCGTCGACCTGGTGGCCAATGATGTTGTTGTCCCAGCAGTTGTTCGGCTCCTGCTCTTGCGCCTGCTCTTCCTTTCTCGGCCTAAGGAACCTCCGTAGACGCTGCTTGAACCGCGGGCTGGTTTGCCACGGACCGCTGAAACGATAGGCCGATGTGGTTGTGAGAAACGCGGTAGCCTTCAGGCATCGCCAGTCCAATCGCCGTGGGGGAGAGTGTGAGCCTTGATGCGCAGATCAGACGTAAGGGAGCGACAAGGACGGAGAACGACTCTTCCAGGCCGCATGCAGGCTGGGCCCCAGCTGCTGGGCACATATGGCACCACCGCAGGACCTTGCATTAAGAGCACTGAGGCACTAGCCGCTCATTTGTCACTGCTTGCGCTGCGTTTATTGAGGGCAATGGCTACGGTGCTCCAGTAGCATGCTAGACCTGCTGTGAAATCGATGGAGCGCCTGCGCCAGCTGCGCCCTCTCGAGACACGGGGCCAGACACGGCGAAACGGTTTGCTGTAGGCCGTCGGCTGGAAAGACGTCGACAGCTGTCTTGGGTGCGCCGCGGACGCCAGCGACGCTGTCTGTGGCGAACGTGCCAAAATAGTTCCCCAAGGCAAACATGCTTGATCTGGTTGACAACGTGTTCGTCCATGTTGGACAATATGTCCCGGTGAGGCGGAACGTCGAGTCCCGCAAGAAACGGACATGAAGGATGACCTGTCAAAGGGGTTGGCGATTGCTTCGTGGGAGGTTGGGGGCGCAAGGATTGGAGTCCCGTGCGATGAGAGTGACCACTGGCCACTGGCCACTGGAAAGGGATCGAGGGGACCACTGGGAGGGGTTCTGGTGACATCTAGAGCAGGGGTTGTGAGAACAGAACAGTATCGCCACAGGTACACGATAACGGCAATGATCAGTGAAGCACAGCAGCATGGGCATAAGGAGAAGCTGCTTGCAGCAAGAGCACTATGCGGACAGTGAGCGCTGCGGGGATGCTACGACCACCACCAAGCGACGGTCCACCTGGGCGCGTGCAATGACCGCCCCATTCGGGCAACAGTACAACCGTGCCCGGGCGCAGGCTGTCTGTCGCTTGGGACACGGCGTCTCTCTTCAAATCTCAGATCTCAGCGGCGAGCGGGGCATAGTGGGGGTTGTCTTCGCGTTGCCGAGGAGCTGAAATGTAAAACTGAAGTCACAGTCATAAGCAGATGGAGCAGAGAGGGGATGACAAGGCCATTGACGGACAATGCAAGAGTTGCATGACGTTACACGGCCAGCAGCCAGCACAGCCAGCAGGCAGAGCGCCGGCATGGCTCGTTCGGCAATATCCGCGCCACCGCCCCTACGCCCAGGGCGGGCGTCCACGGATGTTTAAATGCGCCCCCCATCTCATCGGCATTATAGATGTGGCAAGGGCGCAGATCCAAATTGGCACAGGAGAAGATTCCGCCGTGGGTGGGTCCAGCGGAGGGTCCCTTTGCGTCGTCTACACCTCGTCCTCCTTCGACCTCTAACCTTCAACACATCCCAAAATGGTTTCGACTACTGTTGCCAGTGCCGTCAACGTGCAGGTGCCCGAGACGCTTCTCAAGAAGCGTCGCTCGACTGAGGCCACTCGCGAGGCCAAGCTCGTCGCCGCCACCGAGGCCCGCAAGGTGAGCAGCGTCCTCCGACTTTCCGCATCGTTGGGCAACGATTTCTGCATGAGGAGTGAAGGGGGACGGGCAGCGAGCTCTCCCCCTTCAATGATGCAAAGGGCGACTCTGTCGCATCACACGGCTAGCTCGCAAGGCAATGCTGTCGTAAATTAACCATCTTTCGGGGCTGAACCAAAACCTCCTATTCGCAAACTTTTTGTCCACCCACAAAATTGGTCTTGTGAACGAACGCTAACAAACTACAGGCCCGCCAGGCCAAGCGCAAGGTCATCTTCAAGCGTGCCGACGAGTACGTCAAGGAGTACCTCGCCAAGGAGAAGGAGGAGATCCGCCTCAAGCGCGAGGCCCGCAAGACCGGCGACTACTACGTCGCTGCCCAGCCCAAGGTCTACTTCGTTGTTCGTCTTAAGGGTATCTCCAAGCTTGCCCCCAAGCCCAAGAAGATCCTCCAGCTCCTCCGCCTCCTCCAGATCAACAACGGTGTCTTCGTTCGCGTGACCAAGGCCACCGAGCAGATGCTCCGCCTCGTTGAGCCCTACATCGCCTACGGTGAGCCCAACCTCAAGGCCATCCGCGAGCTTGTCTACAAGCGCGGATACGCCAAGGTCAGCGGCCAGCGCATCCCCATCACCGACAACTCGATCATCGAGCAGCAGCTCGGCAAGTTCGGCATTGTCTGCATTGAGGACCTCGTTCACGAGATCGCCACCTGCGGCCCCAACTTCAAGCAGGTCACCTCCGGCCTCTGGCCCTTCAAGCTGTCGAACCCCACCGGCGGCTGGCGCCCCAGGAAGTTCACCGGCTACATCGAGGGCGGTGACACCGGCAACCGCGAGCAGCACATCTCCAAGCTCATCCACCAGATGGTTTAAGCGCTGCCTTTGAAACGCAGTGTGGTGGTTGAGAGGGACGAAGGGCTGGCGACCGGGGTTGGTCTCTTCGTATTCTGCATGTACCCATTCCCGACACGAGCGGCCGTAGGCCACGCCAGATGTAGAGATGGCTCCACGCTGGCTAGAACTTATTTTGCATATGTGTTCCGTGCAGCGCAGCAAGGAAGGATTTACTGAAACAGAAGCATTGGTGGTCGCGTGCATGTTCACCCCCGCAAGCTACGTCTATGAAACCTGGTGATCACTCAGTACGCTGGAGGCGCCGCGGAGCTGCCATCCGGTGCTGTTCCATGGTCGTGCGTCGCACTCTCGACAGCAGAGTCCACTGCTGTAGCCTCTCCGCTTGACTCCCATGGCTTGGGACGGGCACTCATAGTGCTCACACTCGGCGCTGCCTCGTTAATTCCGTCCGGGATGTCCTGGGTAGGGACTTCGCCTGCGCGTCCAGCCGCAATGAGGCGGACCACGTCGTTGAACGTCATCTCATCCGGTGCGCGTGCCAGATGCCCAGTGGGCGGCGTCGGAGGCGCAGCCGTCACGGAGATGGAGCCCTCGCTGTACGCTGGGGCCTCTGGCTCGGTGGGCAGCGCCGAGGTCGAGACCATAGGGCTTTTCATGGGCCGGCTCTCGGTCTCGTGTGTGCGGATCTTGAGGTAAGTCTCAAAGGGGACCGCAGAACCCTTCAGCCTGTCCAGATGTCAGCACTGTCCTCTCCGTGTCCCTTGTCCGCTGCTACACACCTGGTGTAGTAGAACCACTGCGCCCGAGCAATAATGTCGTCGATGTCCGCCGCCGTTGATTTCCGGCCACCCTTCAGCGCCTTGATCACTGCTGGCAGGCCGGTCTGCAGAGCGGAGCGTCAGCGTCGTTCCTTCACTCTTTCACAATGGTGGGGTGGTGTGGTGGGGTCGATGTTGAAGGCTTGGCGCAACACACCAACTAGTCGACCGCCAGGGCGCAGCACAGCAACACCACCCCACACGCCCCTTTGTCCCTTGTGCCCCTCCTGGGATGTGTTCTCCGGTGGCTCTTCGACTTCAACGTACCCGGAACGCATCGTCTCCGCTAAAGTTGTACGACTCAAAGCCAAGGACTAGCTCTTTGAGCGCGACTGGCGTGCCATCGCTGTCGACGGTCTCAGGAGCAGCTCCAGACGTCGTTCCAGGGGCAGCATCCGTTGGCGCTGTTGGCACTGGTACGGCCGCAGGAGCGACCGGTGCAGTGGAGCTCGCCGTAGGAGTGTCTGTAGGTGGTTGTTCTGTAGCCATTTGGGCGGATGGGTGTATGCGAAGAGAGTGGGCGATGGTTGCAAGTGTGCGTTGAACGTGTCGTCATGTGGTCGATCAACGCCGGACCCGTTGGAGTGTGGGGTTGTGGACGGGGGCAGGCTGGGGCCAGGCCCTGTATCCGGCTGTGCTGGCGCAGCAGCCGGGTGGCGGTTGGTATTCGGCGCCGTTCGTCGTTGCGAGGCGACTGGCTGTGGCTGACCTTCATGCACAGAATGCATCCTGGACCCAGAGGTACGGCGCCGTTGCATGACTGTGCTTTGAACAAGATGGATGTGTGCATGTGGCTCTGTTGGCACATTCAACTGGCTTGTGAATGGCAAAGTGTTGAGTGGCCGATGCCTCCGGCACCCAGCCCAGCCCGCCGAAACGACTAGCCGCGCTTCTTTTTGAGCGTTTTGCCACACTGTACGTTGAGATAAGGATTCGTGGCTCACAGTACTGTGGCACAGAGTTGTGGGATATGAGTCCTGCATCTTGTTGATTGTTTTGTCTTGTTTGTTGGCACAACTTTGATCTCCTGAGATTAAATGGTTTGCGTGATAAATATTTATTAGGCGACCAGTATTCATGTCACTGCAGATAAGACAGCGACTGGCCGGCAATGTAGTCCGCTGACGACCTCTGTATACGATACATTGAGACTGCACACCAAAGTGTCTTGCAAACTGGAGTCACCGAGTGAACAATCAAAACCCAACATTAACTGGCCGTCAGTGCAATTTTTATTTATTCTTCCATTCCACCTGCAACCTCGGTCTTGCTGCTGGGCGACTGTCAGCTCAACGTCGTTGCGCTGAGACCCTTGGTAACCTCCACGAGTGTCACCTCGAACGAGACTTTCCAGTCATAGCCACTAGTTGCTTACATACTGTGGCTGACGCAACCTGTTCAATTTTCGTTCACTGCGGTCAATTGTCAACGACACAGACGCCTCTTGCCACAGGATATCCGCTATATGCTGATAACCGCCATCGCAGTCCTTCGTGTCTTGCACACATCTTCTCAGCCATACCACTTGTTTCGGAGTCGCCACCGCTCGAGCAATGAAGCCTCCTTGGCAGCATGCATCGCCGACACAGACCGAAGCCGCTCTTTGCCCGGCCGGAGTCGAGGCTGGAGCCCCTTCAAGGGCCGGAAAAACGGACTCGCTCGCACTCTGACGAGCAGGATTTTACGCGTAAACAATTGGTCCGATAATTTCTGACCCCCCACTGCCAGGGCTCTGTTGGACTGGGTGCGCAGTACACTTGCGCTTGTTAGATCCACCTGCTCCTTTCGCCCTTCTCCATCACCACATTCCCCTCTGACGGACTGTACCCCGGCAGCCATGTCCGACACAACGGAGTTCGCCAACGAAAAGGCGACCCCACTGGGCGGCTTCGCCCCCGCCAAGGGCAGCGATGCTGCCTCGTTCTACGACCCGACCAAGGAGAGCCTCATGACGCGCATCGGTCTCACGAAGGAGAGCTTCAAGCGTGCCCCGGGAACGACACGCGGCATGGTGGCTCACGGCGATGTGCCCATCGAATACCTGGAGCACGACAACCCGGGCTACCAGCAGACCATGAAGCCCCGCCACCTCCAGATGATTGCTGTTGCTGGTACGATCGGCACGGGTCTGTTTGTCGGCTCGGGTAGCGCCCTGGCCACTGGCGGCCCTGCTGGTATCCTCATCGCCTGGGCGGTTGTCGGCGTCATGCTCATGAACGTCACCCAGGCCCTTGGTGAAATGTCTATCGTCTACCCCGTCTCTGGTGGTTTCTACACCCTCGCCTCGCGCATGCTCGACCCTGCCTTCGCCTTCAGCATGGGCTGGAACTACCTCATCCAGTGGGCCATCATCCTGCCTCTGGAGCTCACCGTCGCCAACACGACGGTGCAGTACTGGAACACGAGTCTGTCTCAAGCCGAATGGATCACCATCTTCTTCGTCGTCATCCTCATTGCCGTCCTTTTCGGCACCATCGGGTTCGCGGAAGAAGAGTTCTGGTCATCGCTGCTGCGTATCATCGTCGCGGTCATCTTCCTCATCATTGGCATCGTGTGCATCTGCGGCGGTGGACCCAAGTCTGGCGACTACAACCATTACATCGGAGGCTCGTTGTGGCAGTCTCCTGGAGCTTTCGCCAATGGCTTCAAGGGCGTGTGCAGCGTTTTCGTGACTGCCGCCTTCTCCTTCTCTGGCACTGAGCTCGTCGGCCTCGCGGCTGCTGAGACCCCCAACCCGCGCAAGACCATCCCGACTGCTGTCAAGCAGACCTTCTGGCGCGTGACCATGGTCTACATCGTGTGCCTCACCATTATCGGTCTGGCCATCCCCTACGACGACCCCCGTCTGTACAACGGCACTGGCGCGTCTGCGTCGCCCTTTGTCATTCTCATGGTCAAGGCCGGAATCCACGGCATCGACCACCTCGTCAACGTCACCATCCTCATTGCCGTGCTCTCCATCGGCCTGAGTGCCGTGTACGCCGGCAGCCGCATGCTCACCGCAATTGCCGAGACTGGTTACGCTCCCTCGTGCTTCACCTACATTGACAAGGCTGGTCGTCCTCTGTGGTCGCTTGTCGCCATTTGCGCCTTTGGTCCCATTGCCTACGTCAACTGCGCCGACGTCGGTGGTGCCGTGTTCGACTGGCTGCTTGCCCTTTCTGGACTGTCGACCCTCTTCACCTGGCTCAGCATCACTATCACCCACATTCGCTTCCGGCGCGCATGGAAGGTGCAGGGCCACAGCGTCGACGAGCTGCCCTACCGCGCCTTTGGTGGCGTGTACGGCTCGTACCTCGGCTCCTTCCTCATCGTGCTCGTCGTCATTGCCCAGTTCTACACCGCAGTCTGGCCCATTGGCGAGCAGCCCCACGGCGCCGAGGCCGCGTCGACCTTCTTCCAGACCTTCCTGTCCCTTCCCATCCTCATTGCCATGTGGATCCTCGGCTACCTCTGGAAGCGCACCCTTCCCAAGCGTGCAAAGGACATTGACCTTGACACTGGCCGCAAGTCTTGGCTCACCGCCGAAGAGGGCCGCGCGTACCGCGCCGAGCGTGCCGCCGCACCGCTCTACGTCAAGATCTACAGGTTCTTGTTCGCCTAGATTATCATAGAACATAGACTAAGGGACAATAAGCAATGTTGTATTGTACCCCTACGTACATAGGTCCATGCACCTCTTGCTTAATTGCTGTTGACGTTGGTGAGGTACACTCATGACTCGCGACTGGTGCCACTTGGCACGCCAAATGCCAAGGCAGTGTACTAGGCCTCCAAGCACCGCCACCTGCAGCCGCTTAGGCGGGGTGGGTGTTTTTGGCGGCGAAAACGCATTGTCGAGGAAAGGCGAATACACATACAGTCCGTTATGTGTTTCTCGATTTTGAGGGCTGACCTTTTGACCCGAGACCTGTGGAGCCTGGCAGCCGACAGCAGTCCGTTACGCAAATACAACATGCAGCCCCTACATCAGAAGAAGATGCTATATCATTGTTCTGGCAAAAGTCAACGCTGTGACAATGTTGTTGGCATGGGCGATGCACGCAGGCATGTCCGTCACACACAAGACCCAGTAGCTAGCCATCCTCGCACCCGTTACATGCTCTCATTATTACTGTGTACTGCACTCTCGCGTCACAAAACTACTTCTACAGTATGGCACACCCACACATATCCCCACCAGTGGGATCAAGATAACGCGCCATTACCAGTGGGGCATTACCAGTGGGGGAGGAAGGCGCCTACGGGGGCAAGCAAAAGACAGGGGACTCCAACAATGATGAGGGCGATCCAACCGCGAGCACGACGGATGCCGAATGGTGGCTCGTGGCGAGCGAGACGCCAGAACCCGGCCAGAATGTCGAGAGGGAGAACAAAGACGTTGAGAGGAACTGGCAACGGCGGGGAAGGTGGGGCAGCATCCGACGACGGTGGCAGGTAGCGCGCCACGGCGGCGGCAAGGGCACGGCGAGAAGCAAAACCGATAGCCGGTCCGTACTCTGCCTCCCACGTGCCGTCGTGGATGTCGTTGGAGGGGGCCATGGCGCGGAGGATGGAGAGGGCCGCTGAGAGGGCGAGGACGAGGACGAGGGTGACGAAGAGGGCGACACGGGTCTCGAAAGGTGCCACACCAACCTCGATTGGCCCACCGCCGCCGACGCTAGCGATCGAGTTGATCGACCCAGCACGCCACACGTCGCCGTTGAGAGCGTACGCAAACAGCGCCCAGAGACCGGCAGCGAGCGGAATCAAGAGGGCGGCCGCCTTGGCGCCACGTGCCAGGATGCCGGCCAGCATGATCGAGAGTGGCAGCAGGCGGTGAGGCAGGAGGAACGGGACCGACGGAGCCGAAGGGAGGACCACAGCCAGCGTGCAGCATGGGATCGCGAGTGTGCGGAGGAAGATGGCAAAGGATGGGAAGACAGGGAGTAGCACACCGGCGAGTTGAGCAGGGAGCATGAGCACCAGGTGCGTGGAGGAGCTAGGTCCGCGACGGCGGTGGGCCGCGTCCACCATGGACTGAGAATGTCAGTCAGGTTCATACGCTCAGGCGCTTGAAGCGGCAAAATCCACCCAGAAACTACTCACTCCGAGAAGCGATGCCCAGGCCCAGACACACCAGACTATGGTGGTCGCGCCACTCGTATCAGGTCGCACATCAATGTCGGGTACAAGCGCAGTCACGAACGTGAGGGCAATAAACACGAGGCTGGCCACTAGCTCAAGCACGTGTGCACGGCTGCGGCATGTTAGCGACCATTGCTAATGAACGACCGGCACACCCAAACAACGTCCACCGTGATACCTCTGCCGTCCGACGACGACGACGACCAGAGCACGCCAAGCCGGCCGACTGGAGAGAATCGGGTCTCACGGTGGCAGAGGATTTATCAGGGCATGGCTGCCGGAACTCACGCAGGGGTGACGGCTCGGTCCAGGAGCCCACGGAGGCTGCGGGCTGGTTCACGCCGGCTACGGCGAGACCGTGACCATGCACGAGGTAGAGATGCACGGATCAAGGGGTGTTCGAGAACGGGGTCGGGGGTGGTATGGTGAGCGAGGAGGGCGGCGACTGAAGGAGGTTAGTCATGTGTGGTGCGTCCCCTTCGGCGGCGGGGTGATGATGATGCCGTAGGTTTACGGCGGGAAGCGACGAGACGCCGCCGGCCATCAATGTTTGGGCGGCGACCCGTGCATTTCGGTCGTTCCACCTCGCAGCGGCGAGCTTGGAAACAACCAGCACAAGATGGCTCACACCGCACCGAATAAACTCACCTGTAGTGTTGCGCTCCTCCTTGATAGGGAGCGGGCGGGAGAGCTCGAGTACATCGTCGTCGTCGTCGTCCTTGCCCTCTGGGTCACCGGCGTTGCCGCCCGCATACTCGAGGGCGGCATCGAGGGCGGCCACAGCATGATCGCGGAGTGCGGCGCGGGTGCGCGCTGTCTCTGAAGCACGAAAAGCGGCCGCACGAGCAGACCCACGAGCGCGATCGTGCCGCTCCACAACGTGGAGAGCATACAAGGCCGACGCAAGTTCGTGGGTTAGATCAACGTTTGCACTGAGCGAGCGGCCGACGCCGCTGCGCAGGAGCGCGGCGGCGCGGTCTTCGAGAGGCTCGCACTGGGGCGGGTAGATGCTCGAGGCCACAAGAGGAGTGCGCTCGGATGGCGGCATGGTGGATGGAGCGGAGGAAAAGAGAATGCACAGAGACAATCAGTTCGGTGGTTTCAATCTAAAGAAAGCACCGCAGTGACGTCGCCAGCCCGGTGAGCGGAGCCAAGAGTCAAAACATTCATCGGTTCGAACACAACAGCCAGCCACCGCAATTACTAACCGCGCGCACTACTCGTCATCGGTACCGAGCATACCATCCACATCACTCTCCTCTTCCTCCTCCTCCTCCGTTTCCTCTTCCACAGTCTCGGGGCGTGGGGGTGCACGTCGGCGCACAGGTGTCGCCTCGCCTTCTGATGCGTCGCTCCGCTCGCTAGGCGCCACCGAGGAACCTCGCCGTGACGCTGGTGCCCGGCTGCTTCGGCGTCCAGGCTTCTCGGGTGATTCAACCATATCCTCACTATATGCGGCGTTAGCGGACCGACCACGCATCCGGCGACGCATCGCCATGCAACGACGTTCCCCATGCAGTGCACTCACACATCATCAATGAAGCCAAACAGTTCTTGCGTCTCCTCGTGTTCGGCGCCCTCGCCGCGGAACACCTCCTCGTCGTAGCCCTCGAGCTCGGGGTACCGCTTAACGAGGGATGCCTCGAAACGGGACAAGGCGTTGCGGGACATTGTGTCTGGCAATGGTCGCTTCTGCTTGACGGCGCCGATGAGCTGGAACGCTGCCTTGGTCTTCCAAGCGTCCGTCTCAAAGCTCTCGGGCAGGTTGAGCTTGCCAAGGAAACCAACAAGGGTCTTGCGCACCTCACCTAGGACGGCCGTCAGTACGCAAAACTAATCTGGTTAACAAACACTCACGTGATGACTCGGTGAGGAGACCCTTGACAAGTTCGATGGCGAGGTCCAGGTGGATGGCGTGGTCGGGCACGGCCCCGTCACGCTCGCTAAATCGTCAGCCACAGTTGCTATGAAGAGTACGTACACAGCCTTGTGAGGGTCAAGCCAGTCAACCATCATGAGACCCATCTGGGATAGAGGCAGGAGGTCGGTGGCATCCTCAAACTCTTCACGCAGCTGGGAGAGCATGGCAAACGTGTCACCGAAGATGTCAAGCATGCGGCGCTGGTTGAGTGGCGACGAGTAGCAGTAGACAGGGAGGAAGTATGTGAGGCACTGTCGAAGTGGCTGGTTATCGGCCGTCTCGGGCGAGAAGTAGAGGAGCACAAGTGACTGGAGCACAGTCTCGTCTTGGATCATGCCGGCCAGCATGAGCTTGGCAACGCCCTCACATGCTGCCGCCTGAACCTCTGGTGCGTCCTGGACGAGCATGTGGCGAACCAGTTCGACAACACGGTCCGCCGGCATTGTCTTGACAATGAGACTATCAATGTCGTGGATCATCAGCAAGTCAAAGATGACCTGGACGACCTTGACCTTGAGCTCGTCGTCGGCAGCGGTCAGCTGCTGGATGAAGAGGCCGAAACTGTTGGACGCCATCTTCTCGTCGATCATGCAACACAGGCCGAGGCAAACAAGGCCCTGGTCACGGAGGGCAGGTTCGTCCTTGTTACGGACTGCTGGGATGATGAGGTCGGGGAGAAGACCGTGGAAGACCGAGTTGTCCTGAAGGGGAGTGTTGACGCGCTCGAGGAGCGAGATACAGATGAGCAGGCAGCGCAGGTCGATGAGAGCAGCGCGCATGACCGCCTCGGGGTCGTTGGGGTCGACGCGCGACTCGCGGCGAGAAGGGCTGGAGGGACCGCCATACGTTGAGCGGCTGGGAGTGGGCGCCTCGGACAATTCAATCTCGCCATCGCCTTCACGAAGCTCGGTGACGACGTCGACAATAAGGCGGATCAGGTCACGCTCGCCGTTGGAAATCTTGCTCAGAACGTCGAGGCAGCGAGGAATGAGGGACTCGGGAAGGTTTGGTTGGGCAATCATTTCGCGCGAGAGCTGGAACATCTTACGACGGCCAATCTCGTCGGCATAGTCCAAGGTGATAGCGAGGCGAAGGAGCTCGCCAACAATAAACACCTGGTCCTGAACGTCCTCGTTACCCTCGACCGTCAAAGTAACCAGGTTGTTGTACTCGTCCTGGATCTTGAACGCGAGAGCCGTAACAACAGGCATGGTCTCCTCGAGGCGTACCTCGTCCTTGTTGGCAATGCAGTGCTCGGAGAACACGCGAGCGAGGAACGCCTTCTCTGGCGTAAGCTCGTTCCACCACTCGTCACCAAACTCGACGTGCTCAAACACCTCAGAGCGGGTAACGAAGATGGAGAGGAGAGCGTCCTCGGCCACCTCGGAAGAAACGACGTCGAATCGAGTAAGGAACTGAACGTTAGCTTTGACCTGCATACCGTTTCAAACGTACCTCGACAAGGTTACCCTCGGCTTGGTCGAGCCAGCCTCCGAGCATGGCGGCAGCGGCCTTGCGGACGCTGGGGTCACGGTCACCAAGACCGTTGCGGACAACCTCCTCGCGCTGTGCAATAGTGAGGACACGGGCATCGGGAAGACCAGCTGCGCTCAAGCTACCCTGGTAGACGGTGCGGCGGAGAATGGGGTCGACGTCGCGTGTACGAGCCAGGATGACAGCGAGAGTCGCCGGGGTGCGGGGAAGGTTGTACAGTGCAGCACGGCGGACCTCTCCGGCCGGGTCGTAGCGGAGGAGGTCGAGGAGAACCTCGGCGAGCGACTCTTGGCCCTCCTCCAGATCGTCCTCGTCCTCACCCGACTGGAGCTTGGCCAGACCGAGAGCGGCCTGGATGCGGACAGCCGACTCCTTGTCGCGGGCACGGGCGAGAAGGCTGCGGCGAAGAAGCACATACAGTTCGTCACTGATGTCAGCTCGCTGCGCGACCAGAGGTTAACTCACTCGATCTCGCCGAGACCATTGATGAGCGACACGGTCATGAGAGTGACGCGGAACCGCACGTTCTTGTCCTTGGCCTCCATGCCGGACAGGAGGTGACGGAGGAGCTTGGAAACGAAGCGCGACGACGTGCCATCGTCCTCATCTTCGGAAGCGGAATCTGATGTCAGCTCGTATTCCTTCTCTGCCTCCAACTCACCCTGTTCAGTAGTGTACGCGACGTAGCTGGCGACAAACTTGACGATGCGGTCGGCGACAGCGACACCTTTCTTGACTGGGAGGACGCGGTTGACCATGTCGATAAACAAGGCGTTGAACGCGCGTTCTCCAACAAGTTTGATTCCCTTGGGAGTCTCCTCCGTGACACCAGCACACTTGTCTTGGATCTTGCGCAGCTGGACAATGTTCTTGCGGTGGTTGGCCGTGGTGCCCTGCGCTTGATCAAAGATGGGCGGCAGGGCGGTCGGCAGCACGTCGCTCAAGTACGAGAGCGTCGCACGACGTTGTTGGCGAGGCGCCATGGTGGTAGGTAATGTATTGGAAGTGTTGTAGCGGTTGTAGGTTGGAGCAATGGAGCCAGAACGGTCAGTTGTCGATGAAGAGGGTTGTTGACATTGTTTGTCTCGACGTGACTGTCTTCCTGTGTGGCCATTTACAATGTGATTACAATAATCTTCAAATAAACGGAACCAAATGCGTCCCTGAAATTGTAGTCGATTTGTAATGCGCCGCCCACTTACATAATCAGTCACTCGCCGCCGTAAACAAAGCCGTCGCGTCTGTTTGTCTTTCTTTGTCAACCAACACATAACTCACCTATCAGCACATCCAACTCCGCCCAACCACCCGGCACCATGATGCAAGGACGGCAGAAACAGTCCAAGCAGGAGCTCTTAGGCTTTCCGATGATGACGACTCCCGAGGTGCTTGAATGCCTCGGCGCGCTGGGCATCAATGTTCACGCCGACGACCTCCAGAAGCCAACACCCCAGTCAACACAAGCCATCTGGGCCGCCCTTCTGGAAGCTCTCACCGGAACACCGGTCGAGATGTTTGAGGGTCCCAAGGCGACGCTCCTCGGGATGATGCAGTACAGGGTGAGCTATCATTCACGCTTCACAGGCTGACAGACAGGAACTGTACGGCGACTCACTCCAGTTCCTCATCCTTTACCGTCATTGGTGAGTTTGGTTACTGCCGCCCCTCAAGCTAACAACAGTCGTCAACTCGCTCTTCTATGTGGTCTCAAGTCTTTCACCACCACTGACTTGACGCGCCCCGACCCACACCGCCTGCGCACCGTCCTGAGCGGCGTCATGAACTTTGCCAAGTTCCGCGAAGACAAACAGGGCCTGCACTTGGCGCTCTCGCAGCGCGCACACGGCGAGATGGACCGTGCTGTCGACCTCAGGCGCAAGCTGGACAGGGTCGAGGCTGCTATCGGCGACATTGCGTGAGTTATCCTTTCCCTATACTCAGCTAACGACCGTAGGGCCAAGAACGCAGACGAGGCGCCCAAAATGGAGGCAGCAAGGGCACGAAACAATGCCCTCCATGCTGAGCTCCTCCAGATGCACTCGTCACATCGCGAGACTGCAGACACATACGAACGTCTGAAGCAGGAACGTGCGGGCTTATCACAGGACGTTGCCGACACTGCCCGCGAGCTCGGACAGGTTCAGCAGCAGATCCGTGAGGCAAAGTCCCGTCTCGTCCGCTCCCCCGAACGCCTCAAGCGCCACCTCTCCGAGATGAGCTCCATGGTCGCTTCTGAACGTGCTACCCACTCGGGATACGTGACCAAGGCACGCGAGCTCGCCAAGCGTCTTGAGGTGTACGACAGCCTCGAGGCTGACCTCCGCCGCCTCGTCGATCTGGAGCGCGAGATCGATTCCCAACGAGCAAAGAGCGAAGAGCTCACACGCAACCGTACAGCCCTGCGAGCGCGTGTGGAGCAGGGGAAGATTGAGCGTGAGGGACTAGAAGAGCGTATTAAGCAGCTCGAACGACAACAGAGGAACACCGAAGACAGGCTGGAGCGCCAGAAGAGGATCACCGAGGAGAGCCGCGCAGAGGCCAAGGCCAAGATCCAGGCTTTGAAAGACGAGTGAGTTGACGTTTTCACAGGATTGTGCTGACCCTGCAGCTACGTCGTGCGTTCAAAGGAACGCCAGGGACTCAACAAGGAGCGCGAGCGTATCCTTGCCGACCACAAGGCTGTCACTGCCGAGATGGACGCCTTTGTCGAGGAGAACGAGCACGAGCTCAACGAGCTGTTGGCTCAATACTGGACGCTGCGAAAGGAAGCTGGTAAGTGTTACAGCGATCAACTAGACCTCCACATTGAGCTTTCACTGACGACACGCAGAGGACTATATGAACACGATGTCGGTCAAGCTTGGCCTCGGGGTCTAGAGTGTAGTAATATATATTGTGTACAAATGATGCCACCCGCGTGCGTGCTGCTAGTGCTTAGTCCCACCCTCTGGTTACCCATGTTGCTATGTTCGGCTTCGTCCTCATCGTCACAATCGTATCCGCTCGTTCGTCACCCTCTAGTTGCCCGAGCTTAGCGAACGGAAGAACTCGTTGTACGCGTTCTCGATGTCGAATAGCATCTGGCGAGACTGCTCCTCTGTGATCTCGTCGGAAGCCTTCATGGCATTGAGGGTAATGAGCCTGAGAGACGTCAACCTGGGGACCGGGAAGGAGGACAGGGGAAAAGCCCCGAAGAGGAGGTGGACACATCGGGAGCACCACCTCATGACGCGCATTACGCACCAGTGAATGATCTTTGCGCGGCCCTCCCACTCGGCGCTTCCTTTGAACTTTGCGTAGCCAGACATGACCTCGGTGAGGAGAGGGTGCAGTTGGTCTTTGGCGCGGAGGTTGAGCTTGAGCGCGTCCATAAAGGTGATGAAGGCCTGTATGTTAGCAAGGATGCGATTGAAATTACGTCCCCCGCATGTACTGGGGATGGCTGCAGCAACACGGTGCTGTGACTTGCTCGCCGGCGGAGCAGACTTACCTGTGTTGCCTCGGCCACGTATTTGCCGCTCTCGCCACCACCACCTGCCTCGGCGCTGTGTTCAACCGTGGCGGGTACACCGACTTGTATGCGGTGCAGAGCTGCAGGGTGGTCCATCTGTCGAGAGTTAGTGCACCATCCGTCATCCAGGCTCATAACTCGGTGGCCCAGTAGTACAACTGAACACACCGCGTCACCCAACTCACCCGATACCGCTTCATGAACGTCTCCACGCCCCCAATCTCCTCGCCCACAACCTTCATGACACTTTTATACTGAGCCAAGAGGCGAGTACATGCCGGCTCGTATTCCTTTGAGCTGACAGAATCCCGCACATATGCACGCTCCAGGTACTCGAGGCTGACGACGATGCTGTAGAGCGTTGCGAGGTTTTCGGTGCGTTCGCGCTCGGCCGGGGTGGTGGGCAGGCGGACCTCCTCATCGAGGTTCATTGCGACAGGGTGTGTGTTAGGGTATGAGAGCTCGATGTGGGATATGAGGTGTGGGGAATAAGAAGACACAGGAGTCGATCAAGAGCCCAAGACGCCGACTGTCGATAACATGACGCGGCCTAATAAGAGGTTTACTCCCGTTAGTTGGTCCCGTCACGACACGTGGCGTTAATTATTAATCTATTAATCTTTCTTAATGGATTTCGTAATGTCCCCCAGCACATCCAACACCCATCACAGGTCGTCTGATCTGACCCAAGAATGGCACCTACACATACAGGTACACAGGGCGAGCGCTGTTCCGAAAGGAGGCCCCACGGTCCGACGTCTGTACACCCAGCACCCGGAGGGTCTTCAAACAAAGAGCAGAGGGCGGCTGGCACGGGAGGAGAGGCCCGGAGGGCGGAAAAGGAGGGATTCATGCGAGCTCATGTTACCATCTCGAGTCCAATGAGACAAAGACCATATGCACTCTGGCCGGGTGGTGCCCGCAGCGCTGAGCACGGTGGGTTCGGACCGGGAATGGGCAGCGACGTGCTGGGGATTCGGGTTGATAGACCCGGGCCACAGGGGCTCGGCGAGGGCCGTGAGGGGCACCTGTCGGCGTCAAATCCTGTTAATGCATGGCTCCGCAGCAGGGAGTGCCGTGGAGGTGCCAATCATGGTGCATGTTGACCAGTGGCCAGTGGCCAGTGGTGGGTGCGAGAATGAGACGGGCTAATGTGCGATAAGGGGGAAGAAGAGCGTCGGCTCGATGTCAAGGATCAAAGAGGACGGTTGATGCACAAGAGATACGAGATTATGCGGCAGGATCCGAAGATCCGAAACGCTGATCCAAAATGACGCGCCCTGTACGCGACGCAGCGGGAATCGTGTTGTCACTCACAATTGCAACCAACGACCACGCTTCTCTCTTTCTCTCTTTCTCTCTCTCTCGCCCAGTGTCTATCTTGATTGCTTCAGTCCCCCGGTCTCTTCCACCGGTATCCGACTGCTCTTCATCGCCGAAGGAGCCGACGTTGTCCCCACCGTTGTCCGGGACACGGTTGAACCGCCCATCTCTCCGTTCCCATTCCCTCTCCTTTTGTCTTCCTCGCCACCGGTGTGTCATTGCCATCACCGTGTCTGTGTCTAGGCTCCTTATCTACCAGCTATGAGTGACGGTGATGATGGTAAGTCTCCCCCCTCCCTCGACTTCATAATGCCGAGCGCTAACGGTGTAGCCGTCTCCCCAGCTGTCGACTTCAGCGCTGGCGTTGTCGCAGGTACGTGGATGTCTGGGCCGCATGTGCGCCTGCAGATGTCAGCTCTTGCGCCGTGATCTTATTCTGAGAGCTGGTCGAGGCTCCCTGCCCCCCACCGCTGTGGACTGCAGCTTCATACCCTCTTGCGCGCCGAGGCTAACCACCCAGGTGCCGTCGGCCTCGTGGTCGGCCAGCCGTTCGATGTCGTCAAGGTGCGGTACCAGACCCCTGCCTTCAACGGCAAATACACCTCCATCTTTGGAGCGTTCCGTGAGTACCACTGGTCTCTGTATTGGCTGGCATGGCGCTGATCAGCAGGGTCCATCGTGCAGCAGGAGGGCACAGTCGGCCTGTTCAAAGGCGTCACTTCACCCATGGTGAGTCACACGAGCACGATGAAGGGCAGGTGCTGACAACCAGGCTGGCATTGCTTTCGTGAGTCTATCGAGCTGCGATAAACTCTGTCCATCTGAATCTAACCCACTAGGTCAACGGTGTCGTCTTCTCTTCCTACTCGTTCTTCATCAACCTCCAACACCCAGGAAACGGTAGCAGTCCAACGCTTGGGCAGATCACCCTGGCTGGCACAGGAAGCGGCATGCTCGCAGCGTGAGTGCTTGAGAGAGGTCCCTTCCCCATGGCGGTGGACATCCTTTTGCACACCCATGCTGACTTCAGTTTCCTGACATGTCCCATCGAGCTCGTCAAGGTGTGTGTACCATCGAAAAACGGGGGTTGGCCGGGTTCATGCGGCAGTGGCGTTATCCGACCCCGTGGGGTTGTTGGGCGCCCACATATCCACGGAACAAGGCTCCGTGGAGGTGAAGCTCCACAGTGTCACTTCTACGCGCTTCGCCGACTGTTTGACCCACCCTTAGACCTCGTAACGAGCACGTGTTCTGCTACTGACTATGGCAGATCCGTCAGCAGTCCATGCCCATCCACATGAACCCCTCGACATGGTCCGTCACCAAGGACATTTTGAGGCAGGGCGGTATTCGCGGTATCTACCGCGGCTTTTCGGCCACATTGATACGCGAGCTCGCGTATGGGCCGTACTTTGGCGCGTGAGTTCTGAATTTGGCCCACGTGTAAAGAGCCCAAAGCCTTGTCTGCCACTCTGTCAATTCTGCCGCTCCTTCGTCACATTTGTCATCCTTCAATGTGGAGCCGACAAAGTCGGAGTGCTGCACCAACTCGGACAATGCTGCTGCCATGTGCCAAGTCTGTGCAGACGACTCTCTGCTGACATTCAGATACGAGGGCATGCTGAGGCTGTTCAAGTGGCGCCGAAGGCGTGACGGAGAGGACCTCCATGAGAAACCGCATCGCCACGACCTCATCCACGAGGCGGAGGCTGAGATGCACACGCTCAGCTGGCCAGAGCTGATGGCTGCTGGCGGTGTAGCAGGTGTTGTGGCGTGGATGGTAAGTTGGCATCGGATGGATGTCGGCTGGACATGGGGCATTGGTGGTAGGAACGTCCTCCTACTGGAGTAAAACCCCGCCTCAATGGTTCTAGACCGCCACTACACAATGGTTCTGATGTTCTGACACGCTTTCTCCAGGTCACCTTCCCGTTTGACGTTTTCAAGACTCGCATGCAGAGCTCCTCCACCTTGGAGGAAGGTAGTGGAACGCGCAAACCACCTGGTCTATGGCGCGTGGCGACCGAAAGCATTCGTCGAGAAGGCCCAGGCGTCATGGTTGCAGGCCTCTGGCCCACCGTCGTTCGGTGAGTAGTGTGGAACGTGAACTGCAGAGTCGCACTCGCGAGAGTGTGCACCAATCGGCAGTCGTCAGGTGGGCGACATATGGAGGGACAAGTGGAGGTATGGTTTGGTGCCATTCCAGTCTGCCCTTCCCGAGAGGATTCCACGTCCTTTTGGGGTAGCACTGGAATGAACCGAGACGACCATGTGCGACCATCCACCGTCCATTGTCCGCGTCCATGCCTTGAGACTACGACAAGCAAGTTACTAGCACCGGCAACTTCTGAGCTAACCTAATCTCTTCGTCGCTGGGTGTGGCAGTGCGATCCCCGTGAGTAAGGCACTGGAAATTGAACGGCTCCACTGCGTGACAGTGAATAAAGAACGTGATACTGACAATTAGGCCAACATGGTCATCTTCCTCACTTTCGAGCTCATCGTGGGCGCGTTGTCGTAATTAAGCTCTAGATCAAGTCGCCAGGGGAGCACCGACATGAGCAGCCGCAGGCGCGATCAGCCCTTCTGCTTTAGTCGGTATGGCTGCCGCTACCTATGTTTGACTCTTGCGTGAACGCGTGTGAGTCTTGCTCACCAAACCTGCCCATGAGCCACGCTCACTCGAAAGTGTGCACATGGCACATTCCCTACGCCGCGTCTCGTACGTGTACGTACCCCTTGCACCAAACCGTCCTGGATCCCCTCGGCCTTCGCACCACTAGCCGCCACATCAAACTACTCGACCTGACAACTTCCTGCCCAAAGTATCCAACGTCCCCAGTACCCTGCACGGAAGCATACCCACTGCATTCTGCTGTCAATGTTAAACAGTGCCCATCGTGTAAGCCTGCGCCTCGTTGCATAGACGCCAGTCCTGCAGTTGTTGTTTGAAATGGTTAAGAAACTGACAATTCTGCTTGAGAGTGTAACGCTACCACTAACTTTGACAGCTATGCGTGTGAGCTTCGTAATTTGTCGGCAGTCAAGGACGGACTCTCAATACTACACAGAAACCCCATTCCTAAATGCCGTCAGTGGGTGCCATGGCAGTGCCAGCAAGAGTGCGCAGCTTGCCATGACAACGAACACTCCCTAAATACAAACCCCGGTCCTTGGAGCTTTGGCATAGTGGGGCATACGACGTTGTCCATGCGGAAAAGGCTGTCATATCGTATACCGCCCAGATTGTTCCTGCGGTGGCTGGTAACTGACATCCCGTCCGAGCCTTAGCTTGTCTGACATCCAAACCTAAGCTCAAGCCTATAGATGCAGCGTAGGTGTTGCATACTTATATTAAACAGAGCAGTGGAGTGTCATGTAAGTGCTTGGACGCCGAGAGGAGAGATGTACACGCTTGCAGTGGCTGGAAAAGGCGCTGAAGTCTGATCCTTCCCGCTCGTCGCTCGTCGGGGCCGAGCATCCAAAGTTTGCCAACGAGATCCAAGGTGACGGTACGGCGCCGGCAGACAGACTTGGAGTGTGCGTTCACTCGGCTGGACCCGCTTGTTCGGAATACGGTACTGAAACCTTGGGCCACAATTGGGCCTACATACTTATTATGTGTGAACCGAAGTCTTAATTACTCTTTTGCCAGGGGTCTGTTACTCTGGTCACTGTCGACCTTGGTCTACGTTGGAAGTGGCCAGCACAGGAGGTGCTGTTCGGGTTCTGTGTGAGTGGGTTCGTGTGTTGCATGCGTTGGCCAGAACATCGCGTGGGATGAACGCGGATGAGCCGCGGAAGGTCGTGACGTTTAATTTCTTCTGGTCATGCCGCGTGGCGGCGGATAGGAAGATGCGAGGGGAAGCGACTGCGGTTTCTGCATTCCAGGTAGAACGACCCGCGCGTACTGCCCATATATGCAGCACTATGTTCTTGACTGGGAGGCTCGCTGTTCGGAATGAGCATCTCGGAGCGAGCAAAGTTGGCGCCGCGGAACAACGACTAGGTACCGATGTTCCCTGGCACCGAGCATGCGGGTCAGGAGTTTGGCTCAGGACAAGCCGGATCTGCGCGCTGTCACGTACATGCCCCTCACTCTGGCGACCCCCGCTCTCTGATCTCTGTGAGCTCCAACCTCACGACGGGGGTCGCCGCCACAGCGCCACACGGTCCACCGACACGTTGTTCAACGACGAATCGCCTGGAGAGGCCGGGGAGGGGCAACATGTGTGGCATCAGCGTGGCATGAGATGGTGGTGACGTCCGTTACGAACGCTCCAATGCCAACATCACAGACACCCGATCTCGTTTTCTCGATGATCTATGATGCGGCGGGGGTATCATATGTGTGTGGTGCTTGTGGAACATCCGAGGCCTGGTACCGTGGTACTGTACTGGGTAAAGGTGCTGCCACTGGCCGCCACTGACGGTGTTGGTGACGAGCATGGCTTGCAACTGATCGCCTGATCGCTGGCCCGACGCCATGACTGTTCTATCTTTTCGAGACCCCGGGTGTTGCATTTTGATCGGACCGGGTGCATCATCCCCCCTTTCCGTTGTGCTCACCAGCGATGCAAATTGTGCCATGCGAGATCGACGTGAGCATTTGCATTCCGTCTAATTGCCTCGCTTCCACCACAAGCTCCACACCTTAGTTGTCGCAATTTGGCTGGGGCAATTTGGGAAGCCAGAGTACGTGAGCGGGCTGGCCCACTTCCTCAAGGGCTCCCCTTCCGTGGACCAGGAAAATTACCCGGAACACAACAACTTTGCCTCGCTCTCGGATGAGCAAAGAGTACACAAGGCCAGACCTATAGGGGCCAGAAACTGCACACAAAGTAGACGAGACCGGGCAAAAGGAGAGACATGTCCACAGGTAATGCGAGCCCGCCGCGCAACCCGCCTTCCCGCTCCCCGCTGCCCTGGACCCGCTTCCGAGCGAGAGTTTGGGCTGGAATGCCTGGCGAAGAAGGTAGCCGCTGCCGTCACGTCGCGTGTTCAGAGCGTCAGCACAGTGCTGCCCGCCCGGTCTAGAGGTCCCTCGGAAGAGGCGTACTGGCCGGACCGCCTCTTGCTCCTTGACGACGTGCCGCATCGAGCTCCAGGGCGGCCGGTTCATCCGGGCTTGTCGGACACGCAGGGATGCCAGCAACCCGTGTTCCGCAAACGCTCTCAACGGGGCGAGCAGAGGAGCATAACTCTGTGTGGTGCAAAGCCCCGGTGGACGTCGTACTGCTCGTGCCCGGCTTAGGATGTGCGTCCCTGCTTGCCTGATGTGCCCTGCGTCGTGCGCGTTTAGCGGGCTGCAACATGGGCTGCCGTTTACGATCACACAGGTCGACGGGACAGGCTACGGGAAGAAACCCAGGCCAAGACGGCAAACGAAGAGTCTGACCACCCAGAGCAAGGAGACATGATAGAGGACAACCAGAAGCATCAAAAGGGCAACGTAACGTACGACGAGCAACACGGCAGCCATCTCCCACAACACTTTCTCTCCCAACCCATCTTCTCACACTCACTCTCACTTCCTCTTGCACTCTTCGACCTGTGGACCAGTTGAGATCGACTCTTGCTCAACGGGAGATCAAATAATACCCACTGTCGCCCCCCTGTTGTTCTTTTTGACCCCCCTCCCCACCACTGTCGAGTCGTCGCCATGCTTCTTCGCCTGCTTCCTGTCCCTTCCCCGAGTCAACCTTCTCCCCCTACGATCCTCTTCACCCTCCCCCTTCCTGCGTCGCCTTATACGTGAGTTCAACACACTCCCCCCATACCCCTCGAGTATAATTCTGACAGCTTAGCTCGCGCGCCCTCCCCTTGCCACCCAACCTTCTCGCTCACCGCAGCCTCTGCCTGCAGGAGGACATCGAATGTGCCAACGTCTTGTTGGGTGACAAGTCCAGCTGGATCAGTGGAGTAAGTGGCCGACCCAACATGCTAAATTTGTTATCAGTGCACTGACACCGCCTCCAGGTTGTTGACAATGTCACATTCTCTCTGCCTCACGCCACGATTATCGTGCATCTGGTTGACGGATCTACCGTCAGCCTGGATCTGACCGGCGACTGTGTGGCGCAGCTGCACCGCGTTGTCAATGAGGTCCAGCTCTCGTTCGCCGCCGCCGCCGCACCACTTCCTCCTCCCCCGCCAGCTGCGGCGCCGGCAGACACGCCGCGTTCGAGCATGTCATCTGATCGCTCCAACTCGTCCCTCTCGCTTCCCTCGTCGGCTGCCAACTCTCGCCGGACACCATCTTCACTGCTCTTGTCCCTGTTGTCACCACTGCTCCCAAACCCCGCCCTGGCCGTCCAAGCTCCTCCTCACGTCGCGGTTCACCAGCAGCCCGCGCGCGCACACCGCCGCCAGGCACGCTCGCTGCTCGTTGACGCGTACCGCCGCTACGTCCTTCCCCTCATCAAGGACCGCCTCCCATCTGCATACCTCCTCTGGTCTATCCAGAGCGAGACCGCTACCAAGATGGACGAGTTCACCCGCCTTCGTGACGAGATCTACTCGCTTCTCGAGCAGGCCGGCGTCGACCCCATGGCCGTTGACACCACCTCGCCACTCAAGCGTTACCGCTTTGCCTGCACCCAGTCGTCGATCGCCACCCTCTCGTGCGAGTCGGAGAGCTCCTCGCGTCGGTCCTCGTTAGAGTCAACCGAGTCCACCTCCCCCCAGACCTTCCTCCTCAGCATTCCCCCCGCTCACACCCTCCCCCTCAAGCAGCGCGTTGCATACAGCGCCCAGCTCACGCGTCTCACTCAGCTCGCCTCGCGGATCGGCAGTATCACGAAGCTTGCATCCCGCTACGAGCGCGAGGAGGGCAAACGCCGCTGGCTCGAGCAGCTCGACCTCTCTCGTGACGCTGACAAGGCCTGTCGCCGGGCCTTCTCCAACGGCCTCCTACCTCGTAGTGCCACGCTCAGCGCCGCTCCCCTCCGCCGCTCCTCTCTCCGCCAGAGCATCACCGCCGAGGACATTGAGCGCGAGGCTCGCTTCGCCGCTGCAACCGCCACAGCCGCCCTCGAGGACATTCTCGAGGCCGCGTCGGACGACGACGAGCCCGACCTCTCGGACAGCCGTTCGAGCGTATCTGCCTCCCCCGAGCCCCGCACACCTACCACGCAGCAAAGCCTCACTCTCTCGTTCGACGACGGCGACTGCCAGATGGACTCGGCACCGGCACTCATTCTTTCCCACTCTGACGACTCGCTGAGCGAGCGTGACCAGTGGGAGAGTGAGTCGGAGCCCGAGATTCGCCCCAAGAAGTGGAACTCGGGCAGAAATGGCAAGCAGCACATGGCTCCCATTAGGTCACTCCCCGCTTCCTCATGGCGCGTCGAGGCCTGTAACTAGACAACCAACACGGACACTGGGATCCCGCCGATCCCGCACCTTCCCTTATCTCGCTCCAGCAATCACTGTCTCTTCGACCCAAGCATCTATCTCTCCTGCCGTATTTTAAAACGGCTGCGCTCGCCGGACGAGTCGCACCGCACATACCTCAAGGACACTCAACCGCCTGCCTATTAGGGACGACGCCAGTCAAGACTCTCTTTCTCCGGACACTCTGGCACTCCCACTACTATCTCTGTTCCCCATCCCTTGGTTTTGCATCGCACGGACCTTGTCCTCCAAACCATTTATCACGACCAGACGTTGCTCGCTCGTTCACACTGCGGCAGCAGCGGCATGGCAACAGCTACGACAATTGCACGCAGCAGTATAGACACACCTACCTAGTTGTACATTGCTACAGATGAATCTCTGCTCCCGAAACCACCTTCTTACGAGCACTGTAAACGTTCCTTCAATGTTTGCCGCCAACGGACGCAAGCTGTGCGCTGCTCACCGTTTAGGCAGGCCAGCTGCAGCCAGCTGCCGGATGGTGTTGTTCACGTGAACTACATCTGCTACGCGTTTTGGACGTGATGTCAAGTCCGTGGCGCAGGGTCGGGAGGGACTGTGGCGTTGGTTGTCGCGTCGCGATCGACATACGCTGGTGGACCGTCACGCTGTGGAGCGCCGTCCACACCTGCACCCATGGTCTGGAGTCGGGGCGCGGCTGGAAGCACTGGCACTGTGGGCACAGGAAGTGACGGGTACAACGCCCCCGAAGAAGGGGGTTGTAGAGAATACTGGGCCATCTGATACTGCTGCTGCGGGTACAGTGGTTTAGGGAACGGTGGTTGGGGCTGTGCGTAGTCTTGCTGTGGAGCGAAGGGGCGCGGATAGGAAGGATGCGGCTGAGAGTGCTGCCATGTCTGTGGCGTTGTCGAGTGCACTGGCGCCCGTGCCGGCGATGGAGGCAGCAAGACGGGTTCCATAGCGCCAGGACGGAATGTCATCGGGCGGGGAGTAGGGGCAGTGGCAGCCGACGCTCGGTGGTTCAGCGGTTGTGCGGGCACAGAGGGGCCGACAACGCGTGGAACCGGCGGCACAACTGTTGGTGAGGCAATGGATGCCGACGTTGACGACGACACCTGGGCGGCCAAATTGGCCGAATCTATCAGACCTCTGTCCTCGGCCGGGGGCGATGAGGATGGCGTGAGCCGCGGGATCCGCAGCACAATCCGCTCAGTGGCAGCCTCAGATGATGTTGGCGGTGTTGAGTTACGGGGGGTCTCAATGGGTGTCGTAGGTGAGGGTGCGGACGGGGCCGGAGAAGGATACACGTCAAGCGTGTCGTCCTTGACGATCAGGTCTGGAATGGCAGGAACGGTAACGAACTCCACTTTTGAGATCACTTTGACCGCGGGTGGAAGTTCGGCTGGCAGCTCGGTTACGGCCTTGACAGACGCGCCTGCTGGCTTTGGCACCAGTTGGACTGGCACCTCACTAGCCGTCTCACTTGCTCCCTTGCGCAGTGGCGTCGGCGTCGGTGTCACATTTGGCTTGGCCCGTGGACGACGAGTGGTGCTCGATGGAGCTGACGAATCTTCTTCGGGAGTGGCCTGTCGACGCGTACGGAGAGTCATACGCGCCTGTGGTGTCGCATTGGTACTGGGCGCGGGCGTCTCGGGAGGCGCAGATCCCTCCATGTGGGCCAGCAATGCGTGCGTACGCGCAAGGTGAGGGTTGGATGCGAGCTCGGGGCCAAGTGCACAGAGCTTACCGCGCCTGCGTTTCTTTGCTGCCCGCTCGAGCAGGACGAGCTCATCAACTTCCCACCACGATGGAACACCTTCCTGACCAAGTAGTCCGATGGCGTGTCCCATGGCAGCGGACGTGAGAGCACGGTCGCCGTAGCCGCCCTCAAGGACCGAGACAACCTTACCCATTGTGTGCTTATCAGCAAAGGCTGCAAGATCGCGCGTGTACCGCGAGTAGAACGAGACAGGGACACGGCGGTCGTGGCGCTGCATGCCCTGGTGCTCATGCTCGCAGGCATCGAAACCAGCACTGGGCGTCAGCTTATGAGGCACTATGATAGCTCACCTGATGAACAGGATTGTCCTCTCCGGGTCGGCCTCGGTCTCCTTCATGAATACCAGCGCTCTCTCGAGCAAGGTAAGGTATTTCGGGTAGATTCTCTCGTAAAAGTCTTCCTCGGACGCGTAAGGTTGGAGATGAATGTTCTCACTGACGTCAGCTGTCACTGTTTTCAGTCTGAAACTCACATGTATTGGCCATGGGCGGCAAGGCTGACACTAGCGTCCTTGACAAGTTCAAGGTCTCCATCCTGGGTCTGAGCCCAGTCCCAAAACAATAACTCACCTCGCAGGGATAGCTGTAAATATCGTGCACGGACCCGTAGAACGCCTTCCAACCTCGCCTGGCACCCTTGGGCCCACGCATCTGGGGTGGCTTACCAGCTTTGACAGCGAGGTCTTCGGCATAGGACGCTGCATTGTGAGGCATAACGAGAGCTTGAGTGCCATTGCCGTGGTGCAGGTCAAAGTCAATAATGATGGCACGGTCAATGTCATGTTGGAGGTAGCCTATGAGGGTCAGCGGATATTGACGACGATGTACGCACCGTGCAGAGCGCCGACGACGACGTTGTTCACGTAGCAGAAGCTGTTGTCAGCTACCAATCGTGACACCGTCGACCTTACCCAGAAGGTGCGTCCTCACCGCAGTGATGGCCAGGGGGACGAATGGCGCAGAAAGCTTTGGTAAATTCTGGCAACGGCTTCGTACTGGACGGTGACCCGGGGGAGCTGTTGACAGGGGTACTTGGACGTGAGGGAGTGGTAGAACCGCAGACGCCGTCGACTGCCTGACACACAGTCTGGATCTTCACTCATTAATACGACTGTCTTCCTTCACTCTCACTCACAGATCCCTCAATGGCGACAATGCTTCCAGGGCCAAGGTAGAGGTCGCCAGGGTTGAGGCCCATGTCATCGGGGATCTCGCACCCAGTGTTCTTGATCGCCTCTACAGCGTTGCTGGCCCACTTGTACAGGTCGCGCAGATACGTGCTGCTGGGAATGGCCGCACCCCGCGTCATGGGGAGGTAAGGAAAGGGCGCTTCGACGGGTGGCGAGTGTGCCAGTTGAAGGGCCGGGTGGTGCATGAGGATCTGGCCAGGTGAGGAGGGCAGAGGAGGCGGCGAGATGATGTGGGCATGCAAAGGAGGGAGGAATGGCGACGACGATGCAATGGACAGTCCTGAGAGCATGGAAGCCAGGTCTTCCCCACCTGGGGAGGCAGGTGTTGCGCTATCCAAGGCACGTGCAAGAGCAGCCTCAGTTTCGAGGCGAGAGAGGGCTGCGGCGATACCAAGGAGGACGGCGCGAATACGCTCCGGCCGCTCAAAGATGTGCGACGAGTTGGGGTGGCGGATATACTTGTGCTGTAAGCATGCCGGCTGGATGCAGAGAGCCAGTGGCAAGACTGGCGCCATTGTTGTTGTTGCTCAGTGGCGCAGAAAGAAGGCGTGAGGAGGAGGGGCTGTAGGGCTACATGCGTCAGTTTGTGATGTACATGACTCTGCAGAGATGCTCGCCTGTGAGATATCCTTCTTCCAGAGGTCGTTGTCGCAGCGGCTGAGCGGGATGCTGGCGAGATGGCCGTGGTCGACGGCGGAGGGGTGGTGTTGAGGGAAAGACGTTGAAATGTTGACGTCCATTCAAGTGTCAACACGGACGGGCGCGGAAGCAATTCTCACCACCACCCACACGCACCTCACTGTTGTCGACACTGCCCTCACCAACAACCACAACAATAGCAAATACCAGCATCCACCTATCACACAGCGACCCATCCACTCTCCCATGTCGACGGACGAGTCAGCCCCCACCGTGGCCACTGCGGTGACGGCAGATGAAAGTGCACTCGCCGTCCCCGCCGCTCCGGGCACTTCTCCCGACAAGCGCGCTCGCAAACGGAAACTCGATGTGGATACGTCTTTGATCATTACGGAGGGCCGACGACGACGACGGTCGCCGAGCCCCGCGCATGATGTCAAGCCCGACCTTGATCCTCGTGATCCCGAGCGCGCAAAGACTCTAGGCTTGCAGCTGCTGGCCAGAATCATGGCCATGAAAGACTCAAAGTGCGTTGGCCGTGGCGTGCGCGTCATTGACGTTCGGAACTTTGAACTGGCGATGCGATGGTGAACATCTGGCTGACGGAACAGTGGTGATGAAATGGCCCAGCCCTTCCTCAAGCTGCCAAACAAGGTGGGCCATGGACAACAGTGAAAGACCGAGGAAAGAAGGCTGATCACCACTCCAGCGCCAGTTCCCAGACTACTACGAGACCATCAAGCATCCCCTGTCACTGGAACAGGTGCGCGACAAGCTGGATATTGCCAAATACAATCAACTGCGAGACGTCTGCAATGATCTAGGTCAAATTTGGAACAATGCCAAGCGCTGTGAGTTGGTCTCGCTGCAGCAGTGTGATAGGCCGCGTCTGCACCCCAAAGGACCGTCACTGATGGATAGACAACATGCGCGATTCGACATTATTCCAATGGGCCAAGAAGCTGCACAAGATAACTCGGACTTTTTACAACCACCATGTGTCGGGCAAGGAGGAATCCGAGAGCGAGGAAGAAGCGCCTGCACCACCACCACCGCGCCAACCAACGACTGCGGACGCGGACGCGGCCGACGACGTGGAGGACGAAGCCGACAACGCAACGGCAGGACCATCCACACCTGCCGAAGAGTCTGCAGCTACTCCAAAGGCCACGGGACGCAAGCGCGGAAGTTACATGAAGGACGGACCAACAGTGTACAAACTGATCAAGCCATGTATGAGGGCCATTAAGGAGGCCAAGGCGGAAGAGTGAGTACTGCGACCGGAAGGAAGCATAAGCTGACTCTCCAGTGGCTCGGATCGCGATGTGGCGGACATTTTCCTCACACTTCCTGACCGCAAGGAGTTTGCGGACTATTACAAGACGATAAAGGACCCAATCTCTCTGGATGAGATTGAGCATCGCATGGTCTCTAGACGATATGACTCGTCAGACCTGTTCTTTGCCGACGTCGAGCTCATGTGTGACAACGCCATGGCGTACAACGAAGACGAAAGCGAGGTGTGGAGCGACGCGCACCAGATCCGAGGTATTGTCGCCATGCACCGCGAGCTTGTCAAGGAGAGGCTCGCTCAGCCAAAGGGCCACGTACCACCCAAACCCAGAACTTCAACAACAATCACGCCTGCTCGACCCGCACCTCTCCCCAACAGTCAGGCGCAACCCGGCGTCATGCGGCCTCCTGAAATCCGTTCCACCTACACACAATCGTCTTACAACGCATACAGCACGCCTCCAAGCCACCACCCGCCACTGCCCAACCATTCACCTGCTGCTCCTACCGCACCGACACCAGCACCCTACCTGCCTCAACTTCCCCATGGCGTCGTGACCGAAGAGGTCGTGTCTTCTCTCGACCGCTACCCAGCCGTTGAACAACAAGCATGGGTTGCGTCCCTCCCACCTTTTGCGCAAAGCATCTACCGCCAGATGGCCGCTGTCAATGAGGCTCGCAAGCGCGGTGTTGCGCCACCAGCACCACCCCCAATGTCTCCCTCTAAAGACGTCCCTCTTTCACGGTCCCCGGCGATTAAACACATCGACTTGACTTACGGCCAGTCTTCGTCAACATCAACAGCACTGGCACTCTCGCTCGCCCCGACGCTGTCTGCCGAACCTTCCCCCGCTCGCCAGTCCATCAGGCTACAGAACCTCCGTGGCATCATGACCCACGCTGTATCGGTGTCGCAGGACACGGCCCAGCTCGAAGTAACGGCCTGGATGGACCACGCCGAGGCTGCTAGCCCTGGATCCTCCCAAAAGGACGCAGCCTCCCCCGATGTTATCCTCAAGGTAAACGGCGCGCCCGCGCCCCGCCCAACTGTCATCTACGGCACCGAGACTCACAAGGACCGCCCTACGGCTGTGCGCTGGACGGTCAATGTTCGGGGCCTCGAGACCAAAATTGAGGTCGTAGCAACAAGACCTGGCTGGCTGGCTGAAACGAGCGCGATTTTCGTCAACAAGCAGTTCTAGACGAGGCAAGGCAACGAGGGGGATGCGTGCTCCTCCCCGCTTCCATCATGTGATTAAGAGAGGAAGGGACAGAGATGACGACGGCAGAGTGGATCCACACATCGAGGACCCGCGATCCGGCGAGACGAGTGCAACACAGACACGCAGGGTAGATTGTGATAATAGGGAATTTAGGGCGCTTGTAAAGTTGCGCAGTATAGGTAGCATGCAACGTTACAACAAGGAAGGACAGGGGGTGACAGGTATCTCGAGGAGTAGAGGGTAGCGGGAGGAGGACGACTACGCCTTCATGCTGGAACGGCGGCTACGCGTAGGGCGAGCTGGCGACTCGTTCTTGGAGGGGGTACTGGGGACCTTGCTGTTGCCCTTGGGAGTCGACTTGACGTTGGGAGTAGCATTGGCGCTCGACCTGCCGCTACGGATGGGAATGACCACGCTGACACGGTTCCTGCTTTTGTTGTTGGGTTCAGGCGAGGCAGTCTCATCATCGGTTTTGACTGTGTTGCGGGTGGGCATGACAACGCTGAGGCGGTTCCTTTTCGACTTTTTCGGCTCGGGCTGGACTTCCTCCTCCTCCTCCTCCTCCTCTTCTTCGCTCTCAATGGCGTTGCGGGTGGGCATAACCACGCTCAGACGGTTCCTCTTGGACTGCTTTGGCGGCGGCTGAACCTCCTCTTCCTCGCTCTGCTCACCATTGGGCTCTCGAGCCTCCTGGTCCGCATCCTCACCCCTCTCCTCATCTTCCGCCACTTCCTCATCTTCCACCACTTCCTCCTCTTCCTCCTCCTCCTCCTCCTCCTCCTCCTCCTCATCGCCCCGGACAGGGAGAGGAGGCTGACCGGCCACGCGCTTGAACGCGTAACGGCACACCTTGAGACCCTTCGTGAGACCGGGGGCCATCCACGCGCGCTCAACGACGTACAGTCCATCGTAGCGATAGCCCTGGACAGGAGCGTAAGGAGAGTCGAGCTTGAAACCGCGAATCACGCGGACGGGCTTGTGGGTCTCGGCCGACTTCTTGAGCGCAGCATTGGTGGGGGTCTCGAAGCTCTGGTCAAATGTTTGGGGCGCGGTACGCAAGTTCTTGGGAGCGGTGGAGGTGCCTTTCAGGTCGCGGCCACCAGAGCCAGTGTAAGTGAAGGCTTCGCCGAGGTCGACACTGCCATGTTAGCAAAGGATTAGTTTGTGTATGACCAACTCACTCGTCGGGGTAGCCGCCAGAAAGTGCGACGCTCCAAGCTCCCTTTTCGTAATTGCCGCTGATGCCTGCGACAGGTGGCCCGTGGACGGCAGCTGTCGAGCAGTCCATGCGGGACTCCCACCATGTGCCCACCTTGACGCCAGGGATGTGTCCAAACTGCTTGCTGGTGCGCGTTAGTACTACACTACTGATTGCTACGCAAAGCGTCATCTCCGACGTACGGGTCCTGTGTGCGCACGCCAAGACGCTGGGCGAAGCGCTGAGGTTCAGACCCGCGACAGTACGCAGATGGCGTGTATGGCCTTTTGCCCTTGTCTTCGTCGTCACTGTCGGTGTTGTCGTCATAATCGCCATCCGACAGCGCGACATGTCGGACGGGCGCAATGGATTGGCGCGTGCTGCGACGACAAGGGGTGTTGTCCTCTTTGGACTTGTTGGGCTTGGCCCTCTTGGATCTACACCTGGACTCGGGTTCGGACTCGGACTCGCTGTCTTGGTTTTCACCCTTGTCGACGTACGCGTCGTCGGTGCTTTTCTTGAGCTTGTTCAAGTCCTTGGCCCTGGGACGAGCGAGCGTCTTGGGTTTGGGCGCGGCAGGCGGTGCGAGGCCGAGTGAGAGGAGGAGCGCTTCATTGTCCCTTTACTCATCAGCTCCAAGGCTTTACTCAGAGAGCACCACTGACACTCACTTGATATTCTGTAGACGTTGTTCTTCGTATGATAAGGACATTGTGGCCCGGAATGGATGTTGTTGACAAGAAACGCGTTCTGCGACAAAGATGGGCTTGCTCAGGAATTGAAGACAGGCACACGTCCCCCAAAGGGCAAAGGCCACAGGCCACGGGCCGTACGGGTGTGGGTTGTGTTTGCATGTGTTGGGCGAACATTGGCCGCACGGAAGCAAATCACCGCGACCGATGATGCACATGGTCGTCGTCGTTGTTTGTGGGCCCACTTTCGTATCCCCATTTCCCCAATTCCCCAACGTTCACGTCCTCATCCTCAAAACTTTACTCTCGCTTCGCATCCGGTCTCGGTCAGTCGCACGTCATGACGTTGCCATTGGTGGATGCCATAGCGGCCCTCAACACCCTCTCTCTCCCACACATCCCTTGCCTAGCACCACCACACGACCCGACCAATGTGACACCTGGCATCGATTCCAACGTTCCTACAGCCTTCACCCAATCGAACGACCTCATAACCAACCTACTCGTCGGGCCGCTCCAAGCTTATCTTTCCGACAGTTGTTCTCCAGAAATCTTTGGGGAGCGCGGGCGCGTTGGGAGTCACATCGAGCATGCTCGCGAGGCGATACAGTTTACACCGGTGGAGAGCGAGCTGCGGCTCACAGGTGTACTTGGCTTTGTCATTGGCGCTGTCAACGCCATCATCTGGGAGGATGTGCCCCGCAATGCGAACATTCGAGCTCGCAATATGGGATTCGTAGGCGTCGGCAATGCCGGCAAGCCCGACTTTGACCTGCGCAACCGTCTCCAGAGGCTTGTTGGAATCGAAATTAAGCCTCAGAATGTCGTCTCTCTTGAGGTTATGCTCAACATTTCCGCGATGTCTGCCGGGCACGTATTCTACAACCGCATTCGTCGCGTCGTCGAAATTCGCTCGGAAAGTCCCTTTCAACAACTTACCGATAATGGCAACGTGATGAAGGCGTTGACAGTCCTCCGCCAAGTGAGTCTTTGCCAGTCCAACACCTGACACGGTCAGGTCTGGAGCCAGTTCCCTCCGCAGCCCTACCAGCCTCCTCTACGCTTTGTTGTTCTCACGAACCATGAGGCTACACTCCTCTTCGCCCGCACCCCCACTTCCATTGTCTCCTCGGCGATGTTATATCGGGACGGCCGCAATACTGCCACCGACCCCTGCCAGAATCTCATCACGCTGCTCCTCGCCCTGGCTGTCCTTCCAGATGCAGACTACGCCATTGTTCCCGTCCGACCAAGCCCACGGCAGACACGGGCAAACGATCTTGCAAGGCACCTACCTGCTTCGCCTCCTGTTCAAGTCGGTCGGGTCACCCCCGTAGCCGGAGGTGCAGGCGTTCCGCCGGCTGGCGGGTCCTCGTCCGCTTCCGCGGGCCCAGCTATGTCAACAGCCTTGGCGTACTCGGATTCCACGCCTCCACCGCTGTCCGCCAGCGGCTCTCAATGGTCGTCACCGGAAGGGGTAGAGGTAGGTCAATTCTGTTGTGTTGTTTGATTGCTCTGACGTCCCTAGGCACACAGTCCTCGCTCTGCAACCGGACTAGTCCTAGCTAATGTACGTTTAGCCCTCCTTGACTACATTCTGTTCGGTGTGGACAGCTTCATGTTGAGTTTCGCTAACGGCAGGTCGGTACCGAACGCCTGTCGCTGGACGTCCGATGCCTCGACGTTGAGTCGAACCTAGATTTTTGCGGTGCCATTTACCCGAGCCACCTCAACCTCATCGTCTTCCGCGGCCCAGCATCGCCAACACTCTTCAACTCGGGAACCGCGCCCAAGTTGGACGTAACTGCTGTCACCCACCCTTTAATGCAACCTGAGCCAACAATGTCGGTTACTGAGCGGGTTGGACAAGGTGCCATTTGGAACGTCTTCAAGGTCTCCAACCCCGCCTCTGGGGGATCTCCTCAAGTCCTCAAGGTCACTGGAGTCCAGTCGAACACGGAACACAATTACACGCCTGATGATGTGCGACGATGTGTCGCTAACGAAATCATGATTTTAAAGAAGCTTGAGGATATCGATCACATTCCGCGTCTCGTAGAGGTGTGGGCCGGCGGTGACCCTCAAGGCTGTGAATACTGGGCTCTTCTGGTCGAGGACGCTGGTGACCCTCTGCTGTCCGTGGATGAGCTGACAGCGCGTCAAAAGTAAGCGCTGCACCGTTGTTTACTGTATTATTGACCGTCATTTGCAGGGATCAGATTGTGGAGACATATGACGCGATTCATCACCACGACATTCTCCACGGCGACATCAAGGACGAGCATTGGCACGTGCAACCCGATGGACGCGTGATGGTGATCGACTATACCCACGCACTCGACCTGAGTGGCGTCCCAGACTGCCCCGACAAGCGCTCTGCGTACACGAATGAGGCGGCCACGGTCCGCGGACTGCTTGGGATGCCACGCGGCGTGTAACTTTGCTCTTCCACCGCTTTGTACAGTTTACCATGTTTCTGTTTTATGTAGCTATGTAGGTGTAGGCACTCGTTGCATGTTACCTAGTTGTCTGTTAAGTTGCGTCTGGTGTACACGGAATTCAACACCATTTGCCACGTACCGCAGACCTCTGGCCCCCTGTTCGGGTCTTCCCTCAATGATCAATGACCTGCTCAAGACCCCTTTGGAAATAGTTTTACATCTCACTCGAGCATACCAACAGCCTCTTGATGGCACCAAAGGCAGAATGAACGACAAAGAAGCTCTCGACAGCCCCAATTCGCGGCTGCCCTGGAATGGGGTTTACTGCGGAGGGGTACAGGGGTGTACCGGATAAACTCAACTGAACGCTCGACGGTAAGGGGGGGGGACGAATACAGTCAACAGGCCAACATGTCTCGCCAACTATGAGGTCAGTCTATATTGACGCGCCTCTTGTACCACCCTCTTGCGCAACAACCGCATCAAGCCTATCGACAGCGAGCAACACAGGGAGCTCCTTATAACAGGTTGGAGTTCTCGGATAGCGTCCTCCGACTATCCCCTTTCCACCAACCTCGGCAGAAGGTTCCTTCCAGCTCGGTCGATTGCGCTCGCACGACCCGACCTGCTGCGTCGGCCATGACGCTCAGCACGGCGGCGGCGGCGCTGAACGCCCTCACGAACGACATCGAGTCGTACATGAACACTCTGCCGCCATGTGACCGCTACATGCCCCCCATAATTGACTGGCATCACCCAGCGGAGTACTGCCAGCAAGGTGTGCAGGGCCTCAGCAAGTACCTCTCGCAAGTGGCAAAGGAGAAGGCGATCGTGGACAATGTGAGTGATGAGTGATGGTGCACGAGCGAGGTCTGAGAGGGCGGGGTACGGTGACGACTGCTTGGCCCTTACGCCCCTTCCATGCTACTTTGACTGACTCGCAGCTCGTCGCATCAGCCAACCCGCCAGAGGACTACCCGACCAACCTCGTCTCTTTGCAAGGAGTATGGGAAGCGTTCCGCCGCGCTACTCCTCCCCTCATCGGTATCTGGCAGGTCATGGACCGTCGTCCCGGTCGAAGCGGTGGCGGCGATGGCGCGACCAAGGTTGACGTTGTGGCCCAAGGCGGTGACGAGTGGATCAAGGTCAACACGTCAGTGTCCATGGTGCTAATTCGAGTCGGTTAGCTAACGACTCCAGTGTGAAAGAGTCCCGTCTCTTGGTCGAGTTTCGCGAACACGACTCGTACATCAACTCGGACTATGACTCTGACTCATCCGGCGGGCCATCGATTCCTCCCCTCACCAACTCGTTACTCCAGCAGGCAGAGGCGCTGGTGAAGGCGGCAAAGGCACACTCACGGCTTTCGACCCTGCCTGCTCCGCGAGTCAAGTATGTCCTCACTCGCTTAGAGCGTTCAGGACACTCGGACCCGCGCATAGGTGCCACACTGGATGCTATGCGTGATTTGGGTATCGAAATCGAGTTTGCCAGCGAATGGGGACAGCCACACCCTCTTTCACAGTTGCCACCGGAGCCAGTGCCCGCCCACGACATTGTGCTCGACCTCTCAGTCCTCATCGCTCTCTGCTGTGACAGCACGCACCACCAGCTCCCCATCCACGATGACGAGGTTGAAACACGCTTCCGTGCGATGAACGTGGACGGCAGCTTAGCGAGCCACTCAGGCGCCTCACGCGACCTGCGCGACCAGCTGCGGTGCGAGATGCAGCGTCCCCTCATTCTTGAGCTTGATGAGCGCCTGTCAAAGGGCGGTGTCGCCCCCAGGTTCTGGGTGACGCGCGAGGTGTACGACCGCTTCCCCTCCCTTGTTGACGTTATTGGCGGAGTGGCGGAGCGGGCGCGAGCCAAGGCACTGTTCGACCCGACCGCTGGCGACTTCTGGTCGGGCAGTAGGTGGGAGGGCAAGGCCGGATGTCTGTCCAATATCCACGTCCGCGTACTGGAAGACGCCGATGAGGATGAGAGCGCGCCCAAGCTCCAAGACCCGGACACACCGTTCGATGAACTGGTCACGTACGTCACGACGTCCATGGTGGCCGCGACCGACGAGTCACCCGAGCCAACGCCGGCACCGACGCCATCCGTTACGCCCGTTCCCGTCCGCCCACCCAAGGCCGACAAGGTTCTCCGCCCACCCAAGCCCAAGCGTTCATCCGAGAGCCGCTCCCCGCTTCGGCCTGGTACAGTGTTCCCACCAGCTTCTCGTCTGCCAAGCGGACACACGCTGCGTACCCTGCTCGCCGGGCTGGAGCGCCACGCGACGGTACTCACAAACAACCGCGGTGCCGTCCTCAAGGTCATGCGCGAGGCCGGTGTGGCCGAGGGAATCCCTGCAGCCGACGGTGAGGGGGAGACCGCGCAGTGGGCAAGGATCTGGGTTGTGAACCCATCGAGTCTGGCGGAGTGGCGCCGCATCGAGGTCGAGGAGAACAATGAGCGTGTGAAGGAATTGACCAACGGGCATGGGCAGGCATAGATTACACACATTCAAGTCATGTAGCATACAGTAAAGAGAAGCCTTGTGCAATGGGATACATCAATGCTATAAGCGGGCTATCGCGTGGGGCCGCGGAAGTCGGGGGTTCTAATTCACTGAGGGAACGCTCCAGGCATGTCGCCAGCCTCGCCCTCGTCCTCATCTCCATATTCGACCATTTCGCCAAAGTCCTCGCCATTCTGCAACCTGCGGACGACCTCCTCCCACATTCGAACGAGATCACGCACCATGGCCGCACGCTGCTCCACGGGGATATCCTGCGGTGCGCGGCCACCAGCATACTCGCGGAACGTGTCTTGAAGGTGGGGTGGCCAGTCATCGGGCTCCTGCCCAATGAGGCCGCGCACCTCACCCAGGAAACGCTCGTACATCTGTCTCCGGACGTCGGCCGGGCCGCGGAAGCCAGCACCGCCCGTTGCGCGCGCGCGCACGCGCGCCACGGGGTTGAAGTAGGCTGCGTTGTAGGAGGTCACAGCCGTTGCTGGCGGGAGAGGGTCAAAGGCGTGGAAGGGGCGTGAAGTGATTTGGGGAGGGAGGAAGCCGACCCAGGAGGTTGACTCGGAGCAGAGGACGTGGCGGCAGATGTTGAGGGGGATGGGGAGGTCTCCGTCGCCGCCAAGGTCGCGTGGAGTTTGGGCAATAGCGTGCGCCTCGGCCCGGAGGGAGCGCGCAGAGCCTTCGTCCAACAGCGGCATAGCCTGGGCAATGGTCTTTTCCAGCCAGGCGAGAACGGAGGGTTCCTTCCACAGCGCTTCGTTACGCGCCACGTAGATGTGTGCGAGGAGGTGGAGGAGGATGGTGGGAGAGTCGGAGAAGCCAGCCTCGACCTGAAGCAAAGGGTTGGAGCGGGCGCCGTTGGGCACGGTGGCACCAACCTTGTCGGCGAGAAGGACAATGACCTCGGGGAAGGTCTTGATGGCATTGACGAGCGCGGCGGTGGACTTTTCGTGCTTCTTGTCCTTGGCTGAGTCCTCGTCGGCACGCAGAGCAAGGGCACGGTTGTAGCCCATACCAGGGTATCCATGCCACAGGGCTGCAGCGCGAGATGATTCCCGCATGTCCAGCATTTCGAGGAGCCAGTCGCCGTTGCCCGACTTGACAGCAAGGAAATCCAGCCAGAGGGCTGCGCCGTGCGGGTCACCCTCCGGGTCGAGCGCAAAGAGGAGCTTGGCAAAGTTGAATGCGGTAACCCAGCATCCACGGCGGCCAAGGTACGAGATGATGCGGTGAAGACCGGTGAACATGGGTCGGTTCTCGACATAGTCAAAGTCGAGGCGGCATGCTCCACTCGAGACATTGAATCCGGGAACGAGACAGCGGTCGAACGCGTACAGTGCACGCTCGGCAAAGTCGGACGCCGCACCAATGTCAGACTGAAGGCGGTAGACCTCGGACATTTGCAGCAACGTGTCGACATGCCACGGGTACACTTGCAGCAGTGCCATGAGCTCGTTGGGGTCGTGACTCCTCACGGCGCCAAGGAACTGACGCTCAATCTCACGCCACGCAGGCGAGTGCTCGAACGTAAACCACTTCTCTCCGAGATCCACCTGTTCCCACCCACGACGTTCGTATGCGTCAACAACATCCTCCTCGGACATTTCGTGCATGTTGAGGCCCGCAAGCGAGGTCGGTGGTGGGTATCCAGGCTTGGGCTTGGCGAGAGTGTAGCGCGCCTTGGAGATGGCAGCGCGACGGGCAGTGGGTGCCGCCGACGCGATCTGGGCAATGTCAGCTGGGATCCTGTTCCGGGTGGCAACAACTTACCACCTTGGATCCAAAGAACCGGCGAAGCTCCAAGTCGGCATCGAGGTTCTTGGGTTCAACAGAGAGAAGAGAGCGGAATGCGAATGCTGAGCGCTGCTCCGAGGTCGATGGGCCAGCCTCAGGCGCAGCCGAAGCAGCTGGCGAATCACCGTACTTGAGTTTGAGCTCGGCGAGGGCGCGGTCCACCTCGTCCAGGCCATCAAGTGGATCCTCGGCCGGCGCAGAACCTCCCTTGCCCTTCTTGCCCTTGCCCTTGGGCGTGGAGGATGCTGGCGAGGGAGTGTCCTCGGCAGCGAGCGCGGTGGCGGCAGTCTTCTTCTTCTTTGGCTTCTTCTTCTTGGACTTCTTCTTGGCAGCCACAGGAGTCTCGTCCTCCTCATCGTCCTCGTCCTCTTCATGTTCAGGCTCTTCATCTCCTTCAAGCTGGGTAACGTCAGCTGCCGCTACAGAAGCGTCCGGGCACAACGCTCACAGCAGCAAAGGGGTTGAATGCCTTGGGCGCGTCGACCGCCTCCTCTTCCTCCTCTTCCTCCTCCGATTCGTCCTGCATGGGAGTAACAGTCTTTTCCGCAGCACGCAGGGCCTCGAGCTCTTCCAGCTCGCGTAGCTGTCGCTTGTTCTTCAGCCTTTTCGACATGGCGTGTGTTGTGTGTAATGTTTTGGTCTTGAGACGCGACAAACCTCGGATGCGAACGTAACTGAGCGAGTCGAATCGTGGCGCACGGACACGCGGGGACCCACCTCCACCTGACAAGATGGAATGCGACAGGACAGGTGTGTTGTGCGTTGGGCGAGGGCAGTTGGGTAGATGCGAACACTGTGGTATTGTGAGTGGATTGTAGAATTGTAGAACTGTGGTACTGTGACTTGACTGGAAAGTATGTGGCTGCCATACACAGGTGCGCGTGGACCGGCGTCTGTCTGTCTGAGACCCGTGTCAGTGGTCCAGCGAAGCAGTCGGTGCTCTGGACACTGTTATTTTCACGGATTTTCATTCCAAGGTGGAACTTGTCTACGCTCGATACCAAGCATGGGACACTTGGAGTTGGCCAACATGTAGATCTGGATTGATGCCTCATGATGCATCATGAGCGGTGGACAGCGAGGCGTGTATGCGTATAGGCGTTGCGAGTGCTGCAATGCCGAGGTTGGCCAGGCACGACCAGCCCATTCATACCGTGGGAAAGCTGCGTCGAGTGCCACAATTTCTCAAAACGCCGAAAGGTTCCGTTGATGTGGCCAAACGGACCGCGAAATGCGGCCGCGGGGGGTGTGGGTCTGGCGGACGGCGGGGTGTGCCGTTTCTACTTGGTCGTCTGTCAGAGCGTACTCTTACCCGTCAAACATTCAAAAGTGAGCTCGCCATGGGGACCACCAGCTCGATACCAGCGACACGGCATGCGCATCGCGCACAACTTCCCGTCCTCGACCACCAGAGAAGTTGAGGAACCGCGTCCTTGGCTTGGAATGGGGTTGGAGAGATGTCGGAAGCTGGAGGGGGGCGGCTCAAGTGAAGAAGCGAGGGAGATGAGCCCCTCCCTCTGCCGAGGTTTTCGAGCTGGACACGTCCCGCAGACTGTGTAGAGCGTTGTGCTGACCCTCCAAGTGGCTGAGATCGAGCGTGCCTACCGCAAGCAGCACCTTTTCCAGAACGCCAAGTCGAAGGGTGCGTCGCTTGTGGAGAGATTTGGAAGTAGAATTGTGTGCTGACGCTTCGCTTTCTCGTGTGCTATCGACATTCTCTTCACCTCGCGTTCTTTCTCTCCCCTCTCCGCCCGCCAAAATCTCTTGCTCGTCTCGCCTCCTGCTGCTCTTGCCGCTGTTCTTCATTTGGCTCGAATTCGTGGTTTTGTCCGGCTCCAAACTTTTTCGACATTCAATGACCTGCCCCTCCGTTGACCTATCTTCAATCTGTTCTTTGCGTTCCTCGAACAGGCGGCAAGAAGATTGCCACCAAGACTAAGCGCTGGTACAAGGACGTCGGTCTTGGCTTCAAGACCCCTGCCGGTGAGTGGCAGAGCGGGCATTGGGAGCAGGCGTAGACTGGAGCTGGGCCAGCTGGACAGTGGACAGTGCCTTCAGAAGCACTGTCGCTCTCCTACAGTCCTCTCTTCTCTGCCAATCAGCTCGATTAGACGAACCACGGAATGTCCTAACACTTTTGCAGAGGCTATCAACGGCACCTACATCGACAAGAAGTGCCCCTTCACCGGCGATGTCTCGATCCGTGGCCGCATCCTCACCGGTGTCGTCCACTCGACCAAGATGACCAACACCATCATCATTCGTCGCGAGTACCTCCACTTCATCCCCAAGTACCGCCGTTACGAGAAGCGCCACAAGAACCTCGCCGCCCACCTTTCGCCCGCTTTCCGTGTCGAGGTCGGTGACCAGGTTACCGTCGGACAGTGCCGCCCCCTTTCGAAGACTGTCCGCTTCAACGTCCTCCGCGTGGCCAAGAACAAGGCCGCCAAGGGCTTCTCCAAGTTCTAAGTCAATACTAGACTAGGGACTTGTGGGTGTAGGATGCATCGGCATTATGACGATAGCAGCCAGACGGCGAGCGCTCCGGCGTGAGCAAGTGGTGCCGGATTCGTGTTCTCTTCAGATACTTGAGCATGCCCGGTGTCTCTGTATGATCTTTCCTTGTGCCGCGTCGCTGTTGCCGCTGCTTGTTGGGGTTGTTACTGATGTTGTTGGTGACTGGCGCACTTCAGATATATATGGTTGGCACAGCGTACTGGGGCAGTGGAAACTGGTACACGCATTTCCCTCCACACACAGTTGTGGGCTTGACCCACTTCTACACTTTACTTCATCCATTGACCTCAGCAATGACCAGGGCCGTGACATACATCTCTTCCATCCAGGCCGTGTACCGTCGGTACGGTGCTGAACTGGCTCTCAATGCCGGCGCGTCCCCGGCCTCCATCTCCTCGATGGCCAGCGCCCTGTCCGACAACGACACCCATTTCGACCTAGATCCAACACTCGCTGCAATGTGGTCTATCACGGACGGCTCCCGGCCATACCACCCAATCTTTGCCCGCCCGGGGTTTCTTACCGGTTACGACCTTCTGTCGGTATCACAGGCGGTAAATGCACGAGAGACTCAGCGGAGTGTTGCACCTCAGTATGACGGCTACGAGGAAGAACGACCGCGGGATACCCGCATACGCCCGGGTTGGTTTCAGCCTGGCTGGCTGCCGTTTGGCTCGTTTGGGGGCGGCTCGATGTTGCTCATCCTGGACTTGAGCCCGTCCGAGGAGGGGATGCGTGGACAGGTCATCACCTACACCCACGATCCGGATCAGATTGACTATGTCGCCAGTGGCTTTAGCGAGTTTTTAAGTATGTCACGACAGGCGTTTGAGGAGGAGGCGGAGGAGCTGCTGGAAGGGGTGCTGGATGAGCTGGACACGTAGAGTTGCATGCAGTGTGCTTTCTGTCGAGACAAGGGCCGAACCCTACTCCTGGTGCTGCTTCGTCTCCGTGATATTCACCGTCTGGTTACCGATCGTTGCGAAGGGATGAAGAGCGGATGCTCAACGCATCGTTCATGCCGTCAGGTCAGTCGCTGATGTAGTGGCGTGCCTGTCACGTGACCCAGCCATGACACGCATCGAGGCGTCAATGTCAATCGACATCCACCATTGTCCTCGAGCTTCTTCCCAACCCACACGCGTTCCCAAACATCACCACCATGCCGCCCCGCGCCGGACGCAAGCCCACTCTCGAGGCTCTCCTGCCACCTATCCTCGCCCTTCTGGAGGAGACCCCGCCCAACGCATACAGCGCTCACCAAAAGGCGCTGACGACTACGGCGCGTCTTGTCCACTCTGGCCACGGTGCCCTGGCGATTGAGATCCTGGCGGCCTCGTCGCGCGAGATGCTCAAGATTGGCGAAGTGGCAAGTGGTGTCGAGCTCGGCTTCCGCATGCTGGAGATTATGGGCGAGACCAAGGTCGAGGTTGATGACAAGTCGAGGGGTGAGTCTGGTCCTCGCAGCTGAGAGTGCCATGCCGCACAACGCCAAGGATGCTGTGCGCCTGTGTCATTGCCAGCACAGTGTATCCAGCACAGTTGACTAACTCTCACAGCTACCGTCACGCAGCTGCTCGCGCTTACCCCTCCTGCTGGACCCTGGCGCAAGAAGCTCGCCGATGCCGCTGTCAAGTGGTCGGCTCAGGAGTGTCCTACTGGCGACCCCTCGCTGCAACAGTACCTCGGCGAGCTGTACTACAAGGGTGAGCACAGGTTGCCGCTGTATGTCTGTCGATGTTCTGACTTGCCCCTCAGACAACCTCTTTGTCCCCGCCGAGACTCACCTCCTCGCCTCTGGCAAGCGTGACGCTGCGTCCCTGCTCGCCGAGCTCATGTTCGAGTGGTCCCACAAGGGCGCTGACCCCGTCGGCGGCTACGCTGCTCGCGGTGTCCTTCCCTTCCTTGCGCAGGCCCCTCCCAACGTTCTCGCCGCGACCACTTTTATCACCCGCTTCTTGTCTCTCCTCGCCCAGCCCTCATCCCCGGCTTCCTCCATCTTCATCGGTTCCGCTCCTGGGCCGACTGACAAGGACCCGCAGGTCCAGCTCACGACCAACCCGACCGTCAACTTCCTTCAGTTGGCGATCCTGACCGTTATGCGCGCCCCAGCACCTGGAGCAAGCGCTGTCCAGGCCCGCGGAACCGACGGTGGCGTCGCCCGCGATTGGCAGCAGCTCGTGGCTCGTTACCGCCGTATCGCGGGCACCGACGGTGTGCTGGCTAGCAAAGATGTTGTCGAGGTGAGTAATGGATGCAGCTGTATTCTTGGTGCCCCCGACTATCGCTGACAATACCAGGCTATCGACCACATCTCGGTTGCGGTCTTCCTCATCCCTCAGCGTGGCGGCGGCAATGACATGCTTCAGAACCTCATGGGATCTCTGTTTGGCGGCGGCGGCGGCGGCATGCCTGCTCTTGGCGCTAGGTAGTGTGTGAGTGTGCCAGCAGTCATTTAACGTATAGGATAGCAAGGTAGGGATCGATATATCACATGCATGGGTATGAGCAGTAACGTGGCGACTAGTCCCACTCGCTGATCTCACCGTTGCCCTTGGAGAGGCTGCCGAGGTATTCCTCAATGGTCTTGAACTGGACCTGACACGATCCAAGGATACGCATGCCCTGCGCAGAACCGTCGGGCGCCTGCTTGAACATGGTAATGACTTCAAGTTGACCTCCGACTTGCTGGCGGACAATGCTGTGGAGGTCGTCCGGGTCCTTGTTGGGGTAGGCTTTGCGGAACTTTGCGGCAATTGGCGACTCCAAAGTTGTGGGCGGCTTCTTGAGGTCGACAGGGCTGTTGGGGCCATCACTGCGCTGGTAAGCCAAGGTGGTGTCACACAGCTTGACGGTTTCGAGGCCATAGATGGTGACGAGGGGCTTGGCACAGGCTCCGGGACCGTAGCAGGCCGACTTAAGGACGTTGGCGACGACGTCGAGGAACATGGGCTCGTCCTTGTCGATGGCATTGATGTCGCCTAACTGGTTCACAGCAGGGATACTGTTATCCCAGTCGGGCCAAAAGACCACCTTGATGTTGCGGGCAGTACCAAACTGGCCAACCAGGCTGTGGGCGAGCTCATGGGGTCCCGTACCCTGGTAACCGGTCAGCCCAGTCACTCAAGCGGTCCCCTTTCAGACTAACGTCCCTGCCGCTGTAGCGCTGAAGGTAGACGGGAAGGACGACGACGACATCCTTGGTAGCCTTGTCAAGGTCCCAGGCCGCAGGAATAGGAAGTTTGTTGCAGAAGCAGTTGCGAAAAACGAGCTTGTGGGTACGACGGAAACACAAGTGGAACGGGCACAACCTGCGCTCGCAGAACTGGAAGCACGGGGCAGACGAGTGGGGGGTCTGGACGAAACGGAAAACCTGGACATTGGTCGCGTATGTCTTGAGCACCTCGGCATACGATTCACACGCTGAACTCATGTGAGAGCCGATACTGATGACGCGCATGTGGGACAGGAGTTCGCGCTTGGTCTTGCGCGGGGAAGTCGTTGGCTGGTCATCATCGGTCCAGTCCGAGTCACTGTTGGCCGTTTTGGCCTTGGCCTTGTTGTTCTGTGGGTCTTGCGTGTACCGCGCTTGTGTGTCTTGCGCGACTTTGTGTCAATCACCTGGTACATGAACTGGTCCACATTGTCCTCCCAGATAGTGACGATCGTGTAGAGGGGCTTGGACACGCGGTCGTAAAGGCTGCGAGAGACACGAATGAGCTTGGCGAGGGTGTGGCGGTCGGCCGCGGCGACCAACTTGTCGACCAGGTGGTCGATGCTGAAGAAAAGCTCCCCCGGGGGTGTCATTGTGCAATGCACGATCAAGTGGGTAGAAGGAGGAATGGAAGGAGGTGGTTGCAGTTGACGTGTCGTCCTTTCTTGGGCGCAGTGGTCAGTGAGGTCATGTGTGTCACGATGGCACACTCGTGACAGCGGCGCCGTGCATGCGTGGGCAACGCCCTCGCATGAGTGATATGATATATAACACCGCCGCGAACGTCTCTTTCCTCATCTCTCACCCCTCTCACTTCTCACCGCCTGTGCACGTCATGGCTACCCCTGCACCCTCCCCCGCCCAAGCGTTTGTTGATACGGACCGCCTGATGGAAGCCATGGTCGCGGCCGCTGGAACCCCCACGCTCGCCACCCTTATGACTGTCAACCATCGGTTCTACGACCTTGCCGCCAAGCCACTGTACACGGCTGTGTCTCTCGATAGTCACAACTTTGACAAGTTTATGTACGAGGGAGTGGACCGTGAGGAGCCCAACAAGAAAGTGAAACCCAACGTCGGGGTCGGCGAGCATCACAAAGGCAAGGGGCGCAAGAGCAAGGCCAACAGTAGCAAGCAGACCCAGCAACGTACCGCAAAGTCAACTCTGTTGTCCCATCATCTGAAGGCCGTGACTATTGGCTCCCATCGTGATGGGCCGACATCCTGCCATGAAATTGCCGAGTACCTGGCCGAGCGCACGCAACACCATCTTGAGCTTCTCATTGTGCAAGGCCCGCCCGACTACTTTTGCAAACAGACGTCGTGCCCGTTTATCGAGCGTCTCAAACCTAGCAAGATTGTTATTCGCAAGGGCGCATACCTTTCCCTTCCTAGCCCTCTTGATTGGCAAAACCAGCAGAGTGATCAAGAGGACGTACTTTTCCTTCCCACTCAAAACCCGGACGGCATGGGTTTCAACGTGAGTATGGACTACACCGCTCCCATAATTATGTATGGCTCTGACGAGTTACAGACTGACTCACGAGAGCCCCTCATGAGAGGTATGTTTCTCCACTTTGTCAACAACCATCAACTCAAGATCGTGTTCTGGCGCGAACGGTATGGCCCCAGCCCCGACCCAAGCTACAACTCTACCCTTTTCGTCAATGACCTACTCAGCCTCCTGCAAGTTGGTTGGAAGAAACGTCGCTTCTCCGAAAACCCACCGCTTTGAGTTTTATGGCCTTGAAAGGCTCCGTTTTGATGGCCTTAGTCAACTCGCTCTCCACAACAAATTCAACGGGGACTACGGTATTGTGAAAGACATCATTGCGGAAGACTTCCCGAGAAGCAAGGTCGAGGTTAAACCCATTGAGGAATACATGGCGGACCCGAAGCAGTACGAGGTATAGCTTTACGTTGCAAGGTGTAGATATCGTTCCTGTAGTCCATGAATCTTCCTTGCGCTCGATTTGCTTCACAGGCAGCTGGTTCGTCGAGCTGGCAGTGCCACAACGTTGGACAGAGGGTTTGATCCCGCGAGGCGTCTGATTTTCTGGGAGGCCCAGTCGCACTCCACGCGCGTATAGCTCAGCCAGCACCAAAAGCAGAGCGACCACATGGGCAGTATCAGAAACAGCAGACTGAGATTGTGGTTTTGGACTCATGTAGCTTGCAATGTGAAACCATGCATCCATGCAGTCTATCAATGCACTACTCAACGCCATACAACGTTTCCCTCTCGCCATCTCACCCGTTTACCAGCGCACCTGCTCGTGCGTCAGTCCACCTTGGGAGAGGACATCACCCTCGACGCGGTTGAACTTGGTTCGAACCGCGTCGTACCTGTCTCCACTCTCCGGCAAGGTGGCAGCAATGACCGCGTCGGCCAGCGCGTCCGCAGCACGAGTACGCGCAGGAAGGACCGGGACAGGCTCCTCGCCCGCACTTGCACCAGTAGCAGGGACGGTAGGCGCCAGAGTCGGGCTAGCCGGCGGGGTGGGCAGTCCAGACCAGTAGATCGCCTCGACCTTATCGACCCACTCCTTGGTGCTCCAGCGCATACCCTCGTCGGCACCACTGAGTCCCGAGTTTGTTGGGAGAGGAGCCGGGGCGACGCCGTCGTCGGGCAGGGGGCGGGGGTACCCCTCGGCGTCGACTGGACCATCGGGCTTGGCCTCCTTGGAGCCAGCGGTTGCGGGCTTCATCTGTCCACCACCATTGACACAGCCACCAGGACAGGCCATGACCTCGACAAAGTCGAGCTTCTTCTCGTCCCGCGCTGCGAGGAGCGCAGCAGTGGCCAGGTCGGCTCCGGCGTCGACTGGCGGGGTGCCGGGAGTGCCCGGTGTGGACGGGGTAGCGATCTCGCCGGCACCGGTACGGGCCTTGCGTCGGCGTGCGGCAACGGCGGCCGACAGCTTGCCAGCACCGGCACCACGAGGTCCACCTTTGCCGAGCCCACTCTCACGGCCGACCTTGCGGACCATGTTCTGCAGGTTGCGGAAGCCGTACACGCGTGATCCCTTGAAGAGGACGTTGCCGTCCACATCCTCGAGGAGGTACTCGACATTATCAGTCGAGCCACGAATCTGGCGCGAGATGACGCGTGTGGGCTTGGGGTGGGAGGCAGCAAGCGATGTCAGGAGGGTCGCGAGATAGGAGCCCGAAGACGAGCCGGGGTGCTGGAGCAACTCGGGGAAAGGAACTGCCGCGTTCGAGTCGATGGCCGCCAGTGTCGAGACAGGGGCCTCCTCGGCATCGACGGGCACAATGGGGTTGAAACCCATCTCAGCCAGCAGGAGATCCAGCTCCCCTGTGGTGAGGACACAGTCGGTGTCACGCGTCTTGTAGACATCCGAGTAGAAGTCCTGGCGCGAGGCCTCCAGCTTCTTATCGTAACAAGGCATGGCGGTGACGTGGTACACCTCGGCGGCATTGCGGCCATTCTGAGCCGCCCAGAACTTCTTGACGAGCGCACCCATCACACCCTGTGACGAGCGAGCAGCAGACAGGAGAGGGAGGAGGTCGCCCTGGGCCTTTTCGGCGTAGCATACCCAGCCGGGGCAAGCGGAGGCGAGGACGGGCAGCGACTTGGGCGAGGCGCGGCGCTCCTCAAACTCGCGTACTGTCTCGCGCAGGGAGACGTGGCGCGCAAACGTCGTGTCCCACACCTGCCATCCTCCACGTGCCGGGTCGGCGAGGAACGAACGTATCCGCCTCAAAAGGGTGAGGAGGGGAATCGGCTCGGTGCCGTGAGCTGCAGCATACGATGCCGACAGCGATGCGAGGGTTTGGGGAGCGATGGACAGAACGGGTGCACGCGCAAAGTCACCCGCCTTGATAAAGTCGAGAACCTCGTTGTGGCTCTGCATGGTGATGAGGAGTGACTCGGTGGAGGTAATGCAGCCACTGGACGTTAGCTGACAAAGCAAAAGATATTGGCTCACCTGCACGCCAAACAGTCGTTGAGGCTGATTTCCGCCTTCTTCAGCTGCTGCCTCCCTGCCACCTCAATATTGGTGGATGGGCCAGCCGCGGCGGTGGGGTATGTTGAGACCTCGTAGTAGTTGTTGTTGGAGTCGATGACAATCTCCGTCTGACAGGCGTGAGCGCGAGAGGGCGTGATGGAAGAGCGCGCGCTGTAACTCACGTCTGCATTCTCGCCAGTCTCCTGGCCTGCAGGCTTGTTCGATGTCCTGACTGGGATGATACATGCCTGCGACGGGGTGAGAAAGTCGTCGAGGTCCGTTATGGTCTGCTCCAGTTAGTAACCGGCGGCAAAGTGGGCGGAGAGGGGGAGCTTGGGTTGGGTGACTCACAAGGGCGCCAGCGAACGTCATGGCGATGGAGAGCAAAAGGTAGAGTCCAATATGAAAACTGGAGTATCACAGTGCTGTCCTTTTGGGGGTGGAAGAGTCAGCCGGGGGGGGTGGACGCTTGTCGCGTTTGTGGTGTGTAAGGCCAGCGGTTTGAGTCGGCCGAGATGTTACTGGATCTGACATTTACACCACAGTCGCCACTCAGCAACGGGAGAAAGCGGGAGCAAATCCGGATAAGCTCGACTCTCCCACGCCCGCCCCCACAGACAGACGCAAACATTCCGGACGCGGCATCAAATTTAAGTCCCGCCCTCCCGGTTCCCACCCCGCCGCCGCCCTCATCACCATCCCCCCCGTTAACGATAGCGACCTGTCTTGATCCTCCCCCCCGTTAACGATAACAACCGCCCCCCCCCCCCTTTCCCCAAGATGGCCGAACTCAACCTCGCCGGCGTGTCCCACGTCGACGACTCCCTCATCGATCCGCAGCTGGCTGCCCAGGCAGCTCAATTCTTCAACCCCACTGGCGAAGAACACAAATTTGACGACGAACTGGCCGCAGCTGCAGTCGCCGCCGCCGCCGCCCACCACCACCAACAACACGGCGACGGCACACTCGGCGCATCCCTCGTCCAGGGCCTTCAGAATGTCGGCGTCAATGTTGGCATGGCCGGCTTGGGCAGTGTCGGCGGTGTCGGCGTGGATGTCGCCCCTCCTGCTCCCCTCACTGGCCCCACTGTGAACACGGACACTACTCCCACCGATGGCGGCACCGACCAGCAGATTGACAGCAACGAATCGGCGGGCGGTGCGATGGGCGTCGCCTCGGCCCATATTGCGCCATTTTCCCGCCCACAGCGCGACGACAGCACCCCCCACCCAGAGAACATGGCATTTGCGAACCGCGCCGAGTTTGAGGTTTGGTTCGAAGGCGAGAGCAGCTGGTGCCACTTTGTGCAGCGCCGCACAACGACTCCCGAGAAGCGCGCCGAGGAGCGTCTCCGTGCGCGCATCAAGGCCCACGAGCGCATGCTCCAGTCCATGTCGGCCGAAGAGATTGCCTCGGCCCCTCCTCTGAAACGTCGTCGCCGCAACCGTACCAGTACGATCAAGGAGAAGGTGACCTTCACCTGTCACCACGCTGGTCGCTACGAGGCCAAGCACTCGACCACCCTCCCACCCGAGAAGCTGCGCATGAACACCAAGAAGAGTGTCAAGTGCGACTGCCCCGCTCGCATTGTCCTCACCGAGATGGAAGAGGGCGAGTGCAAGGTGTCATACTTTTGGCGTCACGAGGGCCACGACGCATACGCCGACGACGAGCTCGAGTCTGGTCGTCTCCCCAAGGTCATTGACGAGTGGCTGGTCGCCCAGATCCAGGCCGGAAAGGACACGGACGAGATCCGCCGCTCGCTCATGATGACCGATGAGGAAAAGACCACGTACCTGCGTGAGATTGCAGAGGACCCCTCGCGCATCGACCCCGAGAAACCCCCCGCGCTCGCTCTCACGCTGCGCATCAAGTATCCCGACATCTACAACCGCTACCGCAAACTCAAGGGCCCCATCAAGGAATTCAAGCCCCCCAAGAACCCGCGCTCGCGCAAGCGCGCGCTGGGCGAGGACGACGTCAAGACGGACGCGGCCGGGCCCGGGCCCTCGTCTGTCATCGACAAGTCGGCCGCCGACGCAGCCACCATGGCTGCCGTCCAGGCCTACCCGCCTGTCGATGTCAACATCGACCACAGCCTCGACCACACGTCCGTGGACCACACGTCCGTGGACCACACGTCCGTGGACCACACGCAGTCTCTGGACGCGCACACCCATGTGCAGGCCCACGTGCAGCAGGAGCACGCCCATGTCCACACGCACCCTCACGTCGTGGACGGCGGCTTTGCCCTCGGCGACGCCATTGACAGCAACATGGCCGGCGAGTTTTTGGGTCACGAGCTCGGCACGCAGGAAGGTCTTGCGCGCGTCCTACTCGCCCTCCCGCGCGCGGGACATGGCGAGGGCACAGACGCCGACGAACTCAACGCGGCGGTCCTGCGCATGGCCAACGAGTCGAGCGACATCAAGGACCGCGATCAGTGGTCCGGCCTTGCAGGTGTCTGAGGGTTGAGGAAGGCGGAACAAATTGACAAGAAGTGTGTAACATAATTTCGACAAGCGACCACGCAAACAGCAAAGAGCAGCGAGGACAGAGACCCGCAACCCAAACCACCGAGCGAGACCCATGATTGATTCCTGTACATTTTTTGGTGTATGTATATAACCGCCGTGAAGGCTCTACCATGAACAAACCCCTTGTGCTTCTTCTCACGTTCTCACTTGGCACCAATCTCGTACCCCTTGAACTCGCCCTGCACGCGCCTGTAGTGCTCCATCTCGTCCGCCGAGACGGAGGGAATGAGGCGCGTGAGCGCGCCGCTAAAGTCTTCCTCGTTGACCACCACGGCCGTCTCGGCGTCACTCGCCATGGCGGACAGGTAGTACTGCGCGGTAAGAGGCGATGGGTAGGCGCGCGGCAGGGGCGCAGCGTCCAGTTCGGCGACCTTGGCGTCCACCTCGGATGCTACGCGGGACATGGCCGCGAGCATGGCATCGGCACACAGGGCATACAAGTCTGCACCGGTATAGGTGAAGGGCAGGCGCTGCGACAAGGTGTCGAGCGAGAGGGCCGGGTCGAGTGCAAACTTTCGCGTAAGCGCGGCCAGGACGTCGCGCTGTGCGGCGTGTGTCTCGGGAACGGAGAGGTAGAGCATGCGGTCGAAACGGCCCGGACGGAGGAGGGCGGGGTCGAGCAAGTCGGGACGGTTGGTGGCTGCCATGACGATGACCTGACCACGGCCCGTCGACATGCCGTCCAGCTCGGCGAGCAGTTGCGAGACGATGCGGTCCATCACGCCACCGGAATCGCCCTGGTTACCACGCTTGGGAGCCACCGAGTCGAGCTCGTCCATGAAGATGACGCAGGGCGAGGCGTCGCGAGCCTTTTCAAACACGCGACGGACGTTGGCTTCCGATTCACCAATGTACATGTTGAGCAGCTCGGGACCCTTGACAGAAAGGAAGTTGGCAGCGCAGGACGTAGCCACGGCCTTGGCGAGAAGCGTCTTTCCGGTACCGGGAGGGCCGTACAGGAGGATACCAGAGCGCTTCTTCATGCCCTCGCCGAACAGCTCGGGGTGCTCCAGTGGGAGCTGGACCGTGTCGAGGATATCCGCCTTGACGGCCGCGAGACCACCGACGTCGTCCCATGACACGTTGGGAATCTTGGGCGCGCCAATGGAGTCGGCGTACGCTGAACGCGCGTCGCCCAGCGCAGCGGTCAGGTCCGCCGCCGTGAGCGAGATACCGGCGAGGAGCGCGTCCGGGGCCGAGGGGGCATCGGCACACGCGCGAGCGAGGGCCATGTCCCGCGCACGCTCAATGAGAGACGACAGGTCCCCGGCGTTGAGGGCGGCGGCCTGCGCGGCAACATGCGAGACCTGCACGTCGGGGGCGAGTGGGGTGTCTGCCAGCGCTGTGGCCAGGATAACCTCGCGCTCAGTAGCGTTCGGCGCAGGCAGGGCGATCTCGTGCTTGAAGCACGCCAGCATGTCCCGCGGAACAGTGTCGGACGCGCTGGTCGTGCCAATGAGGGCGACAGGCTGGCCCGTCTCAGCTCCGGCAGCGCGGCATTCGGCGAGAATGTCCTCGATAACTTTGACAATGGGCGGGGGGCGAGTAGGGGGAGCCGCGCCACCTCCAGAGGGAGGCGAAAAGGCCTCGAGATGGGAAAGGAGGAGAATGGCCGGCGCACAGTTGCGTGCCTTGTCGAGGCGTGCCCTCAGAGTTCCCTCTGTAACCTGCGGCGTGTCGCCGATAATGTCGTAGCAGGGGACCTCGACGACGCTGAGGCCAAGCTCGTCGGCAAGGGCCTTGACGAGCGCACGCTTGCCGGCACCACGGGCTCCCTTGACCAGCACACTGAGGGGGAAAAGACGGGCCAGGGCGAGAGGCGAAAATGACGAACGGATAAGATCACGCAAGGTGGACGCGGCGGGAGCGCAGAAGGGAGGAGGGGGAGGAGCGAGGTTGTGCCACGTCTGGTCGCCTGCGCGGCCAGCGACGCGCGCGCGCTCGACACCAGCGAGGACGAGGCTCGTCTCGCCGCCAATGCCGGCATCGACCCAGCATCCGAGCTCGCCCGCACGCGCCTTGGACGCGAGAGAGGAGCTAAAGTCGTCCTCGGGAGGGACGAGAGGCTCAAACTGGAGCGCGGTGACGGCAAAGTATGCCACGGCCGAGGGTTTGGAAGTGGATGGAGCGTCGTCGCCGTCATCGGAAGCGTTTCCGTCGTCCTCTGACACGTCTTCGTCCTCGGCAACTGGCTTGCCAACCCACACGGGGACGGAGATAATGTCACCACGGCGGACAAGACGCTGGCGGCGCTCTCCTTCCGAGTCAGTGGCGGCAAAGTGGCTCTTGAGGCCACGCAGCCACGCCCGCTCGTACCGCTTATCGACACCCTCAGCGGTCGCGACGCGGGACAGCGTCATGCTGGCGGCGATAGGGAGGGTGGGCTGACGTGCGCCGAAGGGGGTTGGCGTGACGAAAACCTCGGGGCGGGGCACGGGCACGGGGAAGAGCGCGCGGTGGACCGAGGGGGGAACGAGGAGGGCGTTGGGTGGCAGTTCTGATGCTTCCTCGTCGAGCTGTTCCCATGCAACGACGCGGGCGAGGCGAGTGCGTCCCAGCGAACCATCTTCGAACGCTTTGATAGTCACCCAGTCGCCCTCAAAGACACCTGCGCGGCCGAGAGCCCATACACCCGCGTAGCAGACGTCATCGTCGTACTCGACACCAGGCAGGTCGGGGCCCTTGCCAGACGCGGGAACAACGACGAAGCGCATACCGCTTTCCTCGGAAGGCGAGTCGAGGGGCTGGAGAATGTCGTCGGGCGCAGCCACTGGAGATGGCGGACGCGGGACACCAGCGTGTCCGGGGCGCGGGGTCAGAGAACCAGAGTTGGTGAGGGGCGACATTTCAGAAGAGCATGTGTCGGACGAGTGGTCGGGCCCAGGAGGAAGGTCGGTGTCGTCTGCGAGGTGGCCAAGGGAGCGAGCAAGCGACGAGGCGAGGAACGCGTCTGGGTCAAACTCCTCGACGAGCGAGCGGTGTGAGGGAGCAATACTCCCTCCGTCACCATTCACATTGTCGTCTTCACCGTGCGCGGAACGCTCGGCGACGATCACGCGGGTGTCCGGTGTGACCAGGCCCTGCAGCACAGGCTCACACATGAGGACACGGAATGCACGGCCGTGTCCCAAGCTCACATGCCTTCCCTCGCGGAGGAACGCGCCAGCGCGATCTCCTTCGTCGGCAAAGTGGACGGTACCGTTCGCATCCTCGTTCCACAGCTGACCGTTGGGGAGCTGCGGGGCCTCGGGGAAAAACGAGGCCAGGTCGTCGGCAACAATCTCGGCAGCTCCAACAGGCTGCACCACCACAAGAGAGAGGGGGACCGGTTCGTGGGCGTGCACACTCACCTCGGCCGGGGTGGGGACGTACGCCGGCAGGAGGTGAGCTGGGACATGGAGGCGGGGACGTGGGGAAGGGGATGATGATGTGCTCGGCTGTAGGTGTTAACGATAAAGCTCGTTCCCGTATAGTAACAGTACACACCTCGGCAGTAGCAGGGGTGACCCAGAGGACGAGCTTGCGAGCTGTGCGTTGAGCCGAAGGTGGGAGACGGCGTTCTTGAGCCCACTCGACGGCGACGGCGATACGCGACGGGGTTGCCGCGTCGGTCTTGGGCCGACGCTGGAGAGCGGCCCAGAGGTCGGAGGAAGCTTCAGCAGTGTCGCCGCCGGATGGGAGAGCATGTACGTCTGCGCGCACGGGGCTTGGGCGCCCAAAGGGGCGAGGAGCAGGCATTGGGTGTTGAGAAGATGGTGGAAGAGAACGAGAAGGATGGGGCAAGTGCATCTAGAAAGATGGGACCTGGTGTACCCTCCGTCGGCTACCGCCCGAGCCGCGAGCCGGTGCCGTGCCAGCCGGCCATGTCCACCCCGACGACCACAGCCCACATTTGATCCCGCTGGCCCCCCGGACACCACCGTGGGCAATGTCCGTTGGAGAACGCGACCAAAAGTCATGACGTCTGTTTCGCAGCCCTCACATCCATCTCCATTTCGACGACCTCCTTCACCACCCGCCATGCTCGCTCGCAGAGTGGCCCTCAACCCCGCCGCCAGGCGTGCGTTTGTTGCACCATGCGCCCCCCGTGCTAGGATGTACACGTCCACGCCTCCACCCTCCCTTGTCTCCGTCCTTCCCTTCAAGCACACCCCGGAGGAAGCTCGGGGCCGCCTTATGCAGATCGGCCTCGCCGCCACTGGTGAGAAGACAGAAAAAACAAAACAAAGGACTTTTGTTGTTTTATTAAAAAAGGCTGACGTCGACAAGCAAGCCCAATGAACATTCTGTTGTCCCTCGGCATGCGTCTCTTCGGCGCCGACATCGAGCCCATCGGTCGCGAGCTTGGACTGGCCTCGAACTTGAAGCTCACAGAGATGAAGGCCGCCTACTATCCTGTCTGGGTCATGGACTTGCTTGTGCAAGGCAAGGTGACGCCGACACAAGGTGGAAAGGCAATGGACGCTTCCCTTGCGCTGCGTGGGGCCCATATCCCAGGTGCGTCACAGCTCGTCGCCACACGCTCGGTGTCTGACCTTTATCCTTAGGAAACGCGTTCGCGCCCTTGTCCTACATTTCATTCCAGGTTGCAAAAGTGCCCAAGAACGAACTCAAAGAGTACAACCCACGGGAGGACCTGAATCAGTTTGGTTCTGGGTACGAGATTATCGAAGTGCCATTCAACGTATCGCCATTTGGAGTGCTTGACAGTGCGCGCCGCAAGGTTGGACACAATTGCCATGTCAACGACATGCGGATCGACGAGCGTGACTGGAAGACCAACCTTGCGGCTGCCTACCCCGTCATGGTGCCCATCTATGTGGCCGAGTTTGAGTTCACTCCCGATTCCAGCGATGAGTCGTCGTATTCCTACAGGGTCGTCATGCACGCCGGCGAGGAACAGGTGAGAGTTGACCCAGTATGGACAGCATTACTGACAGGTGATTCAGCTGTCCGAATGCTCAATCAACTGCCAGGTTCCCCCCAAGGAGATGGTTGGCGAGCAGGGCGAGTCCAGGTACTGGCTATGGACCGTTCCGTTTGTGGATACCACTTCGTTCGTGCTCCCCAAGGCGCCCTTCACGGGGAGTGGCTTCCGCAAGACAGAGCCGACTAGCAAAGTGGTGAATGACGCCATCATTCAATGGATGGCACCGATGACCGATGGCGACTCTGTGCCACCATCGCCTACACTCTCCGTGGCCAACAATGTCGAGCTCAACTGGTTTGACGCCCGCATCCAGCGGTGGATGGGCGAGGAGGCCCAGCAGAACCAGGCATTCTTGGACAGTGCGGACTCTGTGGCTCGGTTCGCCCAGACAATGGCCAGTTTCCAAGAAATGGGCCTGCCTGATGGTGTGGACCCCGTGGCCACTGTTGTGAGGTTTGGCAAGCGCGAGGCTGGCCACAAGATGGTTGAGCGGACCCCTCGGAGTAAGATGATGCACGAGATGGAGACGAGCCTCAACGAGGCGATGGAGGAAATGGAGACGCTCAAGCCACAATGGCTGATCGAGTATGAGATCGACCAGGAGACGGCTGCCGCCCAGCAGAAGAAGAAGAACAACAACAAGGACAGCAAGTAGACTCTAGCACCAGCCATATGCATCTCCCACCATTCTGCATGTCAACAGAGCTCACCAGCAGTATGGCAATCGCCACACTCCATCGATGACGTCTGGTCTCGGGACTCTGGCAGCAACGACTGAGCGGCGTTATGAGCGGGATTAAGTGGCTGTGGCGGCACCGGGGGGGGGGGGCGGGTGGACCTTGTTGTTGCGTTCCCTGCCTTTTCAGCCCTGTGTACCTGTTGTGGGTCGCTGCGAGCACCGCACACGGGATCAAAAATGTATTGCACGCTGTACGACGTGCGTTTTGCCGGATTTTGCTGCTTTTGCTGGGCGGCGGGCGTGGGCGGGGCGGGCGATGCACCGCGCACAACAGGCATGGCCGCCAAAGGGCCCAAGAGATGCAAGAGAGAGGGGGTGGCCAGCCAAGCCACCCCTGTTTCCACCCATCTCCTGACCACACACGGCACCTGGCAGGCAGCGCAACGCAGCCAGCACCACCTGAGAGCACCACCTGGCGCCACCTGTGCACCCACACCACCACCACCCATTCCACATCTTGCACTCTCACAAACCTCTACACAATCCATCTCCCATCTCCCCCATCCTCCCCCTCTCGCCTCCTCTCATCCCCTCTCCCTAGACGCTCAACACACACCCACACACACACATTTCGCGCAGCATACCCAGCCAGCGCCAGGCCCCCCATCCCCCCCGTCTCTAAAACCACACCGCCCCTCGCGCGTTCCCGCCACCTCGTCGCCGTGCACACAGCGCACACTTGGCACTGCAGTACCGCATAACACATCCACACACCACACCAGCACCCCCACGCGACTGGATCTATTCTTCGCGATCCTTCGCCGTTGTCTCTCTCCACATCCGTCTCTTCCTTCACCTCTCCCCACCCACATCACCATGCGCTCCGCAGTCGCCCTCGCCGCTGTCGTCCTTGCGCTCGGCGCCAACGCTCAGGACCTCTCCGAGGCTAACAATGTCACGTCCCTCCTGGGGACGTGGTCGTCTGGCAGCGGTTCCGTCTCCACCGGTGGTGTAAGTCTATCCCCCCACGTCCATTCATGGCAGTCGCCGGCAGGTGGCCGCCACGCGCGCACGCGCGGGCATGTAAACATCTGCATGCGCGCGCAGTTATGCGCAGTGTCCAAAACTTGGGATTCCACAACGGCAGCGTAGCTGACCCTCACAGTCGTTCTGCACTCCCGCAGACATGACCTTCACTTACCCGAACAATACCGGTATCTCGTACTCGTTGTGAGTGACCTTCATGTCTCTGCACCTCGCGTCACAGACATGACTGACGATCCAGCACCGATGACGGCTTCTTTGAGGAGGCCCAGTACCGCTACACAGCCAACGGCACCAACCCCAGCTGTATCCTTGGCATGGTCCTCTGGCAGCACGGCACCTACGTGCTCAACACCGACGGATCCATGACCCTCAACCCGTTCTCTTCGGACGGCCGTATCCAAGTGCAGGATCCATGTGCCGCCACCACTAACGTCGTCACCTACTATGACCAAGTGGTACGTATTCGTCTCGTTGTGTGCGCCCCCGTTTACGCAACTTCTGACGCGCCTTTAGACTACATTCTCTGACTGGGGAATCGTCATCGACGGTGCCACTGCCAACTACGCCCTCAAGCTGAACCGTTTTGACGGCGCCAAGCTTGCTCCTGTGAGTAGCCAACTTGAGTGGCGTGGCGTAACAATTGCTGATGACGTCCTTTTCAGATGTACCTCATCGCCCGTCCCCCCAACATGCTGCCCACCCACACCCTCACCGGTACCAACAGCACTGGGCAGACCTCATCACGAAAGCGCTCCGTCCGTGCCGAGCTCCCCCACGTCAAGAAGCGTTCCTCGGCGTCGGTCTCGGCCAGCACTGGTATCCTCAGTGTTGCCGGCTCGGCTCTCGCCGTCGCCGTGCTTGGCCTCTCCATCTTCTAAATTGAGCTGTAGCGGGCTGCAGGAGCGGCGGAGGCCCTAGAGCATGCGCCGGACTCGCGGGAATGTCGACCAATCCCACCCTCAACACCCACGACCCGAACGACCAAACATCCACCCATCTCCCCCCACTTTTTGACCACCCTTTGCTTACTTTGCTTTTCATGCAAAGAAGCAGAACAATGGTGGTCTGGACATTTTGATACACTACCTTTTTTTTATCACGGCCTCTCGACGGCGGCCGTGTACATACATTTTTGTCGCGGCGCAAGCAAGTATACCCTCTCCCCGTGCCCCCTGTACGTCTGGATGCATATGGCACTTTACATCAAACGGCGCAGCAAGTTGGTGACGAGTCGCAAAGGGCGGTTGTGTGAGATGCCTCGAGGCGGGCCGCTTGTTCGTGTTGACGTGAGGGCATATGTGTAGCTGGATCTGTTGGACGAGCCGGGGCGTGCAAAGACCGGAGGCCCGGAGGGCCCACTGGATGCATCGTCAGGTGTCCACGCAGCATGTGCATGTGGGCGAGAGGATCACACGGATTTGCTTGAGCCACAGGCGGCAGGTAGATGGGAAGCAAGCACCCATTCTGTGACGGCCACAGCTGGGATGACGGGGACGTGAGAACCGAGTATGAATGCCCGCACCGGATACCAAAATCAATTGATCGAACCGTAGTGTGTTTCTGGACCAGTGAAGAAACCCATAAGGGGCGGCAGATGACCAGGCATTTCGTGACCACTTTGCTTGCGCGTCTTCTTGTGAGAGCCGATAACCAAGTATCGCAGTGGGGAGGTAGGTCCCTAACTCTTGTAGTGTGTTTCTCCAGCAGCCACATACCGTCTCCGCATAGATCCATGGAGGGCTAACCCACAAGCCACAAAGCTGCTTCAGACATTAGAATGTAAGCATCGCCTGTTAACCGCATGCATGTACAATGTATAGATACACAGGTACACAGAACTTGTACAGAACTTGCACAGAGCTCGCACAGCAATGTGGATGGGAGAGGCAACAGAGTTGGAGATGCCACTAACCGTGTGGAACGGGAGCAAACCCACGTGATACTGACGGGGCTCGAGGTTTGTTGTTTCTTTCATGACAGACCTCTACCATCCTCTCGCCCTCTACAACTCTCTCATTCCGTTGGCGGACAGCCGCACAGCATCCATCCGCCCAAGAAACTTTACCATTATCCACAAACCAGACCGCCATGGCCACGCCCTTGCGCCGTAGCGCTCGCGCGCGTCCACAGAGCACACAGAAGACCTCTCGCCAGCCAACGCCCGACTCTGACGAGTCTGAAATCCGTGTCCCAGACGACTCTGACTCTGAGGATGAGTATGTCGACGATGGCGCCGAAGCCGAGGTCGAAGAAGACGAGGGGATGGAGGTGGATGAGCCGGAACCCGAACCCGAGTCTGAGGATGACGAAGAGGAAGAGGATTGGGCCGACGAGGAGAAACCCAAGCGCGGAAAGGGCAGCAACGTGACTCCTCGTACACCCAAGACACCCAAGACGCAGCGTACACCCCGCGGCGTCCGTCGTGCCAACCTCACTCCTCGAACCGATGCTGGACGACGAAGCACGGCTACTGCCTTGTCCAACTCGACTCTCAACGCCTACCCGCCCGCGTACCGTGACTTGCTGCTCCAGAGCGCCAACAGCCTCACGCGCAAGGACGGTGGCGAGCGCCCACCACCGCCGACACTCAAAGCACCCATCTTCCCCCTCGGCGTGGTCACCCCCTTCAGTACGCATCTCGCCAGCATGCCCCGTAGGGAGCAAGTGGCCACTTTCAAGATCACGCCCGACGACAGCCCGCACAAGGAATCCCGTCGTGATAGGATGCGCGAGAAGGCCAAGCGCGTCGCTGTCATCCCTCCTTGGCAGGCATGGGAGGGCGAGGGTTGGTGGCCTGAGATGTGTGCTGGGGAGGCCGGCGAGGGCAAGGGAAAGGGCAAGGCCAGCTCGGTGGCCGGACCCGTCGAGGGATGGCAGTGGCGCTCCGATGTCCGTCTCGGTCTCGACGGTGTGGGACGCGACGCGGCCAAGAACGTCATTCCCGCCAGGTACGTGATAGTCATCGCGCGAGAGTTCAACAAGGCTAATGGTAAGCGAGGGACGCAAATATGTCCCGTCCGCGGGCCCTGTTCATCTCAACATTGCCTCGCTCAAGTCAGAGAAGACTGTCGAGCTCAAGCAGTTTGACACTACCCCCATTGGTGAGCTTGTCGCTGTGCATGCTGTACCAGCTAACAGGCAGACGCGTTCATTTCGACCGGTTTCATCGTCGCCGCTGGCGCACCAGTCTGGGGTCTCGACTGGTGTCCATACCCCGACCGCCTGGCTATAGAGCACGGTGGAGAGCAGTATGTCGCTCTGAGTACGATTCCTGAGGACATTCAGCCGGCGATCGGTGCTCGCTGCTCCCCAGATGCTCCGGGTTCGATCCAGATCTGGTCTGTTCTGGGCCCCGAGGCGGGCGCCTCGTCACGACCCGAGGGCAACACCGCATGCGAGATTGTGCTCTGCCTCTCGGGTGGCCCCGCGCTAGACATTCGTTGGATGCCCCTTGGCGCCTGGGACGAGATTGGCGGCGACGGTGTCCCCAAGATTGGTATCCTCGCCGCTGTTCAGCTTGATGGCAGCCTCGCGTTCTATGCCGTACCCCACCCTCGCGTCCTGCGTGACAAGGTTACCGAACCCGGCCCAACATACCTGCGTGCTGAGCCTCTTCTCAAGCTGAGCATTGCGGACGCCGCTTGCACCTGCATCCAGTGGCTCTCTGGCCACCGCATTGTCACTGGTCTTGCCAATGGTTAGTTACCGAGGTCACCACAAAGCTATCGTTGAGCTAACGCCTCAGGCCACATCGTCGTGTGGGATATTGTCGATGCGCTCATCTCTCCGCCATCCGAGCCCCCGCTACCATCCATCTACGCCACGGTTGCACTCTCAGCTATCCGTTCTCTCTCGACCGGACGCTGCCCGCCGACCGACGCCGATGGCGACCTCGATTACTCTGGCGAGGCACTATACGTTGCCTTTGGTGCAATGGACGGCACCACCGGTGTGCTCGACATGCGCGACCCCAGCAATGTGGTTGAACTGAACCGCTCGCGACGTGAGTATTCTGTGCTCTGTGTCTGGACAGAATCCATGCTGACTTGCAGTGCCCTGTATGGCCACCGCGTGGTCGCACCATGTCGGCGTCCCGCTGTATGCTGATGTCGACTACATGGTCATCATGGCCCAGACGCGCGCCAACCTCGGTCCTGCGACCTATTATCTCACCCCACACCGTGGTCCAGTATGGGTGAGTTCCCACCACACCCAGCATACACGCTAACTTGTGCAGGAAATCAGCACATCAGACTACCACACCATGGTCGCCTCAGCGGCCAGCGACGGCTCGGTCCTTGTGTCAAACTGCGGCACAGGCTTCTACCGTCGCAAGCAAGGCGTGAGTCGCAGGATGACCAACCTCCAAAGCGTCTCATCCACTGACAACCACTCCAGGGCATGCTCTTCCAACGCCTGTACGAGCTCGACTATGACGAGCACACACACCAGTACAGGATGACGGACAACTATCGCGCCGAAGCCTCTGGTCTGGAGGAAGCCACCTCCAAAGCCACGCACAAGAACTCGCGCACAAAGGGAAACCGCGCCGAGGCCATGGCCCCGACCACAGGGGACGCGGCAGTGGTCAAGTCTGGTGCTTGGAGTAAGCGGGTGGCGGCACACCGCGTCGCGTGGCAGAGTGGAGCGGGCATGGCGCGTGCAGGCTGGATCGCGAGCGGTGGTTGGTCGGGTATTGTGCGCGTCGAGCAGCTGGTGGGCAAGTGGCTGCCACAGCCCAAGTAGGCGGAGTAAGGGAAGGGATTGTGTGCGATACGGTTTGGGAGGGAAGCAGCTTTGGCAACAGAGCATGGAATGCAATGTACATACATAGTCTTGATACGAAACACCTGTGGCTGTCAACTACGCAAGGGTACCACGGCCGCGGCCGTGTGCAGATGACTTTCTGCTGCTAGGTGGCATCTTGACAACCACGTCCTTGTGTTCCCAATACAACCTCTCGGCATAACATATTCTCATAATTTTTCGAGCGTGCTTCCCTCTATGTGCTGCATTTCTCCTCCTCCGACGGGGTCCTTTATCTGGACCCAGCAACTGCAACTACAGCTACACGTTAGAATGAAACGATCTACTCCCACAGACGACGGTCGAGACTGGACAGAGAACGTAAGGGGACGCAAAATGCGAATGGCAATTAATTGGGTATTTATTTTGGTGGCAGTTGCAACAGTTAATACTAAAATCTGAATGCATAGCACCCCCCAGCTTCAGGGCATGGAAGTCCAGCTCCCCACTCGCCTCTTCACCTATAGATGGTAGAGTTATGTATCAAGCTCCTCAGTATGGTGTAACATCACACAGCCGCTGATATGAGATACTGTGGCCATCTGGGACACCTCCGTGCATTTTTTGACAATAAAACAGACCCTATACATACGTATGCGAGGAGTACCATGCCGGAAGTCCTGGACCGAGAGTGGGTGTTTACCAGTCCACTGCTGGGACGTACTGTACGTACAGATTCTTTTCTCGAATAAAGCACTAAAGGCGGCTCCCGGTTTCCACAGAAAATCCGCGTGTCCTCAATACCGGCATGAAACATCGACAAGGCCCACCCTCGACGGCCCCCCGAGCATCATTACACGAGGTGTACTGGCCGACACAGTGAAGACCCAGAAGCCAAGAGCGTGCGCCACGTGCGGGCAGGCGCAGACACTACGTTGAGTACAGCCAAACCAGTCGCCACACTGGCGAGATTACCGACGCGACAGACGCGACGCGACGGATGCACGCACGACTCTACTGCGCGACCCTCAGGGTGCCGTTTGGCGCGGCCAACCGCGCGAGAACTTTTGAGCGGTTACCGCGACAAGGTCGCGGACCACAGGAACGCATGTAGAGACAGGGGTCTGACGTTGTACATGATCTCTCGAGTCGAGCGGAGGAAGACACGGTGCGGGTGGACAACGGCCTTCCAGAGTGAAGCTGCTACAGTTGGTGGCTAGCGAGGGGACCACCTCACTCTGCAGTAACCCCGACAACGACCATGAAGGAGAGCCGTCGACAGAAGGGGCCCGCAGCGGCGGCGATCCCCCCCCCCCCCCCCCCCCCCCCCCGGGCCTCCCAACTCATCACAGCTGACCTGGTCTCCACGAGGTCCTCGCTGCTCAAGACGCTGGAAGCCCAGGCTTTAGGGAGGGTCTGCAGCCTTCCAGGGAGGCTGAAAATGTCAGGTGTCCGACCGTAACGGTGTTGGAAGTAGCTGGGCTCGGAACTCGTGGAACTCGCGAGTGCCCGGGGATGCGGTGCACTGAGAAGGACAAGCGGGCAACACTCGACGTATCGACCCAGACGCTCCAGACTGACCAAGCGTCCGTTCTCCTTCCCCCCCCGTGGCACACAATGTCTATCAGCAGAGGCTCGGACGCCAACAAGGCGAGGTTGACTGGTTGCGACGTCTCAATGCCGCACAGTTGGAGGGCGGAATTCATGGGCCGACAAGGGGCAGCAGTAGCCGTCTGGGAACGAAGGTGGGGAAGATCGACAGATGAGAGAAGGTGGGGAGGATCGACGGCGGATGGGAGGATTCGTAGTCATTGCTGCTGTGCCGGACAGCTGCACTGCTGGTCCGATAAGGAGACGCGTATACGCAACGAGTGTGGCCCGTGTATCCGCCGGCAAGTCGCGGCAAGTTGTTTGCTGCAACGCGAATGACATGTTGACCGACCGGCAAGTCGCGGCAAGTCACACCGCCGGCGAGGCTCGCCGTACTGTGCTGAGAACTCTACCTCCTTCAGCAGCCGCAATGCTTGGCCCCGGTGTTTCAATGCGCTCGCCAGTTGGCCAGTTGGCCGCAAACCCGTAGTTTCCTGCTGCCAAGGCGCGGCCTCCACAAATCCATGCAGCAACATGACGCGAGAATCGCTGCACGGCCGCGGGAGATTGCGCAGCGGTGTGCTGCTAATCGGTAGAGTGCACCGACCGGAAGGTGATCCGAAGGTCTTGTCGACGTCGACGGGTGCGGTTGCCGACTGTAGCCGCCGCCGGCCACCGCCCCGATGCAGCAACCTCCGCCTGCACCCGTCGTACCCGCCCCGAAAGACCGGCGCTGTCGAGGGTTCGAAATGGACATGTGCCAGGCAACGGCCAGGGTAACGGGCCACGCAGGGCCACATGGGCGGCAATCGACCCTTTGATTTCACGGCCTACATCGGCGTATCGGTTTTTTGCGAGGCAACCTTCGTCTCCAGGCTCATGGCTATTGGATCACACGGCCGGAAGAGCTCGCAGTGCGCTGTCCCCAGGGCCCCGTACAACGTCGTTCGCCACAGAAGAGGACCCCCTTGGCCAAACTGGGGATATCTGGGGCAACCTACGGGGGAAACTGCGCACACCGTGGGTGACGGGGCCGGGGTTGAGGGGAGCCAGAGTACGGTACGTCGGACCGGAAGGTCACAATGTTGATGATTAAAAGACATCGCTCTCAACGCTGAGGGCTCCACAGTTCTCCACTAGACTCTCCAACTCCTCATCTGAGGCCCCAGATCACACACCTTTGACTGGCTCAAGACACCTAGCCCGCTGGCTCTCCGACAAAGTTAGAACTTTTCATCTCACTCTCATCCCACCCCATTCGACTCGACTCGACTCGCACAGCAATGTCGACACCATACGAGAAGGACATCCCGGCCCATGCCGAGGACATTGACACTGAGAAGGGCTCCGTCGCCAACATGAAGCCCCGCACCGGTGACATGGCCCTTGCCCTCGTTGGCAACGAACGCATCGACCTCACCCAGGAGGACGTGAGTGCTTTATCATGTGGGGTGTGGGGTGGTGATCAGTGACGTCTGGTCACTTCACTCCTACCCACTTGTCATCCTGGTCACAAGCTGACATGCATCTAGAACGACCGCATTCGTCGCAAGACCGACAAGTACATCCTGTCGATGCTCATTTGGGTCTACTTTTTGCAGATTCTCGACAAGTCGGTCCTCGGTGTCGGCAATGTCTGGGGCCTGAGCACCGACACCCACCTCGTTGGCACTCAATACAACAGTGTCAGCATCATCTCCGCCGCTGCCCAGCTCTGCTGGATGCCCATGAGCAGTTACCTCATTGTTCGCGTTCCATCTCGCCACCTCATGGCTATCCTCTGTTTCGGTTGGGGTGCCGCCCAGGCATGCATGGCCGCCTGCACCAACTTTAGCGGCCTCATGGCCTGCCGCTTCTTCCTGGGACTTTTCGAGGCCGGCTGCCTTCCCCTCTTCTCCATCCTCACCGCCCAGTGGTACCGTCGCTCGGAGCAGCCTGTTCGTGTCGCGGCCTGGTACTCGACCAACGGTCTCGCCACCATCGCCGCCGCCTTCCTCTCGTGGGCCCTGGGTCACATTAAGAGCGACCACATCCACGCGTGGCAGATCATCTTCATGGTCGTTGGCTGCATTACCTGCATCTCTGCCCCCATTGTGTGGTGGATCATCGACTCGGACATTCCCACCGCCCGCTTCCTGGACGAGCACGAGAAGGCCCAGGCCGTCGAGCGTCTTCGCGCCAACCAGACCGGTACCGGAAGCCACGAGTTCAAGTGGCAGCAGGTTTACGAGGTCTTCTACGACCCCAAGTCGTACCTCTGGGTCGCCATGTCGCTCCTCCTCAACGTCGGCGCCAGTGTCTCCAACGCTCTTGGCCCCACTCTCATCAAGGGAATGGGCTTTGACACCTACGTCACCACTCTCCTCAACATGCCCTTTGGTGTCCTCCAGTTCATCTGCATTCTTGCCGCTTCGTACGCCGCCCAGGCATGGCGCATCAAGTCGGGCGTCCTCGCCATCTTCGTCGTTCCCGTCGTTGTCGGTCTCGCCCTCCTCTACTCGGAGGGTCTCAAGGGTGACGCCTACAAGCAGGGCCCCGCTCTCGCTGGCTACTACCTGCTCTCGTTCCTCTTCGGCTGCAACCCTCTCATTGTCTCGTGGATGATTAGTTGCACCGCTGGTCAGACCAAGAAGTCGGTCATCATGTCCCTCTACAACGCTGGCTCGAGCGCCGGCAACATTATCGGCCCCATGCTCTTCCCCTCGTCCCAGAGCCCCCACTACGTTCCCGGTATCCGCACAGTCCTTGCCATCTTCTGTGCCCTCCTTGCCGTCGTCGGTATCCAGGTTGTTGTCCTCCACGCTCTCAACAAGGTTCGCCAGAACCAGCGTGTCAAGAACGGCAAGCCCAGGTTCATCAAGGACACCTCGATGGAGAGCAAGTATGTTGCCTTTGGCGAGGGCAACGAGGACACTACCGATGCTGCTCCTACCGCTGAGGGCGAGGCGCCCGTCGCCCGCGTCATGCTTGGCCAGAACGCCCTGCTCGACCTTACCGACTACGAGAACGACGAGATGATCTACACCTACTAGAAACGCACTTGCATAGGAACAAAGTCTGTATTGTAACATTTATCATGAATTGTTTTGCTTCACACGTCTCTCGATCTCTCGGGCCATGGCTTCCTTTTCGCAGATAATCATGCACATGCCTCTGTGGCTCTGGAGTACGTACGACTCGCCCCGACTGAGTCGTGGATTACGACTGTAAAGTCGAGTCCTGTACAAAAGATGAAACCTGCAAAGATTACGACTTGCAGCATGCAGCAACCGAGACGAGTAAACCAAAAGGCACTAGTGCACACTAGTGGCAGTCGGCTGTCGAAAATGACGGGTCAGAATAGCCGTGTGTGGCGGATGATCACTACACCTCTACAACACTCACTCCACTCTTTTTCTGCTCAACACTGTCCATACATCTTCCGTCGTCCTGTCTTCACTTGAGCAGACAAGCAAAAGGAAAGGTCTCACTGGGAATCGAACCCAGATTACAAGAACAACTCTCAGGTCAGAATCTTATGTACTAACCGTTATACGATGAAACCCGTTATACAGATTACAAATTTGGAATGGCCGTCAACTGTTTGCCCTTCTCCCTCTTCATGCATTCCTGTTCTCGCCTCTACACGTGCTCGTGGGATTGACCAAGACCCTTGGCATCAACGTCCACTGGTCAGGGACTGGGAATGTGGTGTTCCACGAGCACCACGTGGGACTCTTGCTGCCAATGTGGCGGGCCATACGAGTCCTCCTAAGCGCCCATATGCTTAATGCCACCAACCGCCAGCCGCCGGCTGCATGCCCTCCGTGCCGAGGTCGGTGAGCCCGGCGAGGTCGGCGAAGCGCTGTACCTGTTGTATAGGGGAGGCACAAGACAGTAGTGTGGCATATTCGTTCTATGCCGGACGATTCAGCGAGGCCTACGTAGGTTAACAGTTGCCCCCGGGGAATTGGATCTCATAGTTGGCCCGAATGCCCGTAATAGCATGCATAACCAATGCCACCGTCCATTGCCGTCCCAGCCTTGTCTCTGGAGCGTCTGTAGCCGCTGTGACCAGCTAGCGCCGGACCCTCCATGGATCCATGGACCCGCGCGAAGTGGTGAAATGGACATATGAGCGGCAACTGGTCGTTTTCCAGATATGGCACCGACTGACGGTTACCCGTTTCTCCGTCTATCCATCTCTGGATCTTCTGGATCAATGGGATCTGCGAGAGTCCGGCAGATTGTCCGGTAAACATGGCCAGGTGAGCGCGTAGAGCTCGCTACGCGTAAAGGAAATATCATGGAAGGTCGTTTCTGTAGCGGTCGGCCGTCACCGGGACGATCATCAACAACGTCGGGTCTCTGCCCGGAAAATCGTCGCCAACCGGTCCATCTTCGGCACTCTGGGACTGTACATGCCCTTGTCACATAGCAGACCCCGCACAGTACTGCGAGAAACGATATGCAACCGGCCCACTCGGCGGTCGTTTTCGGTGTCAGTCCGGGCCGATAATTTAGCAGGTTGGCAACTGGCAGCTGCTGGGTGCAGCAGTCAACGGACCGCCCCCCGTTATGCACTCGGCGCGTTCGGCGTCGGCCCGTCGTTACGTCCATGCCAGCGACGATTGCGCCGCAAACGGCGGCCGCAACGGACATTGCGGACCTCGTGAACGGCTGAACTGTGGCAGACCGCTGACAGCCGGCCGCACTCCGCAGCGAAATTGGCTGTTGCCTCGGAAAATCGTCTTGTAAACTACGGCACCGGCCATATAATGCGGACGGCGTGATAGGCTGTAATCCACCGACCCGCGGACCATTGGCGCTCGCTTGCGCAGGTTTGAACAGTTGCAATGCTCCGCGGCGCGCCGAACACCCAGGACCGGCATGATGTGCAAGGCATGATTGACAAATCGGACCGACAGCGCATATTCATGAGGGTTAATTGGGATTTATGGATCTTTGCCGGAAGTAAGGCGAGGGAATAGGAGTCCCGATAGCATCGGAGAGAGCAGCTGGCTCCCTACATGCAATCCCCATGCTGCGTCCCATGGGTCACGTCGGTCCGGCAGTCACGCTCCACGGCGTGTTGACCGCGGCGTGGCGGGGTTCGCTGTTTCCTCGGATGCAAGAACGGAAAAGTCTGGTCCGGGACTCTCACATTGCCCCGTGGCAATCGCACATATCGTTTCGTTCGGTACTCGCTGTTTCGCCGGTACTCGCTGTTTCCTCGGTACTCGCTGTTTCCTCGGTACTCGCTGTTTCCTCGGTCCTACGTCGTGGTCCCGAACAGTCAAACGGCGCAGAATCGGGCCGGAACTGTGCATAGCTCCAGGTCATAGCCCAAGATACTTCCCAACGGCCGTTGGGATGTTCGGTCCCGCTACCGAACTGCCGGACGCTGTTAAACGGCGACCACCGACGTGCCGGTCGGTTGAATGCCAGAATCTCGGTACCACGCCGAGTCTGGTGCAGTTCTCGCATGTATTTCGGTCCGCGCAGCAGCTCTGGGATATCGACAATGTCATAGCTCGGTCTATACGCGGCCCGGTGACGACAATGTGCGATGCCATGTTGCTCCTGACCTATCGGTCCGGGACTGCAATAACAGCGACGTCCGCACAGGTTACCGCTCCTTGCTGGCGCACATGGACAGTGGAACTGTAGTCTGGGCCCGTTACCGCACCGAGGGGCCGATACTTGTGGTAGAATCCACCCGGCCGCATGTGATAATCCACAATATCCGTGGAAACGACGGATGTTGATTGAAGGCGTAGATCTGCCACAGTGGCACACATTTCCGTAGCACATGCCTCCATGGACGACCGTAACTTGGCACTGTCGACTTTCCGCGTACTCCGCGTCCGCGCGTCGACGACCGACATCACACCGAGAACACGCGTGCTCGGACCATCACACCCACGACCGACGTCGCCGTCCCTACGTCTCGCCCTGCCATGGGACAGACCGAACTCATGAGCGGGGGCCAGAGTCCGCTCATCGTCGGGATGGCCAGTACGATGACGGCGTAGCAGGGACGTACCTGGCGTGTATGCAGCTGTAGAGCATCGAGGTCAGAAATGCGTAGCCAGCGGTTCATGCACCTTGCATTGTGGGCTGCGCTACAGTGCACGCAGTTGTATTTGTTTTGTGTGGCAGCTTCTGTGCAAGGTGAAGTGCGCTGCCATAACTCCTTGAAGGATCCCATGGTCAAGTCCCGTTCACGAAAGCACTCACATTCAAAGTGAACACATACCCTCTGGTGATTATTAGAGATTTTCAGTGATTTGTTAAGCTGGGCACCGCCACAGCTGGACGCCACCACTGGCTTGACCCATTTTTCGCGGCGAGGATTTTCCGGCTATCCGCCGCGCCAGCCCGTGTGTGCATGATCGTCAGGCAAAATCAGTCGCCCTATGTTCGTCTCGCAAGGTCTACCCAACCGCGCCCGTCATAGTCCGCGCGTCGTGGTGCCGCGGCCGTCCGGATCGTGCAGTAGACGTCAGCCCTGTGAATGAAGAATGGACCAGGAAAGCAGCCGCGGCCGTCCGGACCATGGAGGAGACGTAAGCCTTGCGCGTATGAACAAGGAAATCAGCCTCGCCGCAAGCACGCGCCGCACCTATCACAACGTCAACCTCGCTCTCTGTCCTAAGCTACGGAGCGCGGCTACAGTCGTATCGTGGGCACGCTGACTCTCCGGATCATGCATGGCACTCGTAATCACACACAGCCGGGAAAGGTGGCACGTCAATCCGGGCGCCAACTGCCACGCTACATGTTGTGCTTCCCGACGTTGGAGCACATGTTCCGGGTGCGAGCGAGCTGCAAGGACAATGTGGCATTGTGTCAGTGGAACATGTGCGTCCTATAGAGCAATGTGGTGCCTGCGATGGACTGGAATGGTCTGGAATATGTCCACACACACACGCATGGGCCTTCGGTGATTATCATGTGGCCTACGGCTCACACCAGCGTGGTACGCGTCTGATTTCTTGGGCGAACACACGACTGCTGCGGTGGGTGGCATGCTGCCTACCGCGCTGCAGCGCGGTTCCAGCCTTGGCCAGCCGGTCAACATGACATATCAGATACGAGCCGCAGAAGGTGCCTCATGATTCCATGTGCAAGCCACATGGACACATGCCTCTGTCGGAGATTCCGCGTGCAGACGTACAGACAGCGCATGTGATTTCCACGTACTCGCATGTATTTCCTATCACAAGCGTGCGGGCCAGCCACGGAACATGTGCTCGTCTTGCTCCCAAAGCGCCACCACACGCGCAGCGACCTGCTTGCCCCACTGTTCGCCGTCTTTACCGCGCGTCTACTGTGCTCCACCACATGCCTTTCCATCTGCTTGCCCCACTGGTTGCCGTCTTTACCGCGCGTCTACTGTGCTCAACCACATGCCCTCCCATACGCGCGCATGTGAAGGTTGCTCTGCCAAGCGGCAGCCTTGTCCAGTGGCGAGCTGGTGGCCCACTTGTCAGTCAGGTACCATGTGCATCCGGCGGCTCGGCAGGTCAACATTCGCCCTTGGCCATGCGTTTGCTGTCGAGTTGGCAACTGTTCGCCAGCTCTTAGCGCGTGGTTCCGTGTACTCCGGGCAGCCCATACGACGCGAGAGGCGACACAAGCGACGTCCATGCGGTTGACGCATGGCGCCTAAGCGGATGTTGGGTATCCGCTTCGTCTGCGCGTGGGTCGCTTGCTGTGGAATCCACCGTTCAGGCAGCTGTCACCCTCAGGGCCGCACAAAACCCGCACTGCCATGAGGGAATGTTGCTTTGGTTGCTCCCAGCACGGTGTACGCGCTCGCTTGGCTCGTGGACCAGCGTGCAGCCCACCACTCTAGAGACTGTTCGCTTGTGTTAGTCTGCACTTGGCGCGGAGCACGCGCACTGATCGCCGGAATGTTCGGCAACTAGTTGCAATGTTCTGCAGCACACGGTGTGTCTCCAGACCATGTGATTGTATTGTCCCCAATATCCCCAATGTACTGTAGTGCACTCTCCTTCGCGCGGAGTGACGTATGCATGAGAGCCATGTTGATCCGGCGCATGTTGCTCCCAACCTCCTGCACAGCAGAGAAACCACACGCGTCCGGGTGGACGTGGGTTTGCCGTGATCCCGTGAGGTTCCATGGCTCCGTGGCTCCGTGATCCATGGTTGGGGCGGGCCGAAAATCAGACGCGTCGGCGAGGTCCGCTAGGAGCTAAAATTTTGGAAAACATGCTTTTGTCCGGTGTTGGCGGTGCCACAATCATCCGCATCTGCAACATCCACGGTTACATGACCCGCAGAGGCTGATCTCACAGCTCCGTTCCACCTCCAGCTCCGTTCCGGAATGGAACATGTTGATCCTCCTAGTTTATGCATGATCATGCGTACCGACGTTAAGCCCAGATACACGAGACAGGCGAGGTCCGCTCGGTTCAGCGGTTCTCGTTTGTGCGGTACCGTCGTGCGGCGAGCTCCGCACGGCGGTCCTAGACGCTGTAGATGCTCAATACCGGCCGGGATGTACGGATCCACCGTCTCAGCGGTTGTTTTCCGCGGCAAGGAGCCGCTCTTGCCGCGGTCAAGACCCGCAACTGATGTCAAGCACCGACACCGATGTGATCGGAGGTGGACGTTTGGCGCGCCAGCGGAGAAACGTCGCTTCAAGCGCCTGGGTCCTTTGGCGACGGAACTTTGTGAACAGTCGTGGGTGTAGTCGGGTTGGGTATACCCTCGGAATCGTTATTGGCCAGCCGTACCTCGTATTGGGCAGAACGCGTGGATTTCAACGAGCGTATTGGCTATTTCGTCGCCTGGGTCGCCTCCAAATTGTCCTTCCCTTTCTTTTACCCTTCGTTTAACCCCTCTGTTGCCATTATTGAGACCATGTATTGCCGTTGCGGCTGTTGCCTAAACGTTATGCCCGGCATAATTTGACCGCGGCCGCTTTCGCCCCCTCCTATTGCCTATACCGACTTCCAGTCCTGACGGGTACACCGCCGGACTTACAATCCACCGGTCCGCCGACCGCACCGCGGCGACCATTCCGGGATGGAATCTGGAAAGACGCGGGCATGTGTCCGCGGTGAGCCCGTATGCCGCCGGCATTGACCCGATCAAAGTCCCACTTCTGGCCGGGACGGAGGGAACAGGAGGACCTGCAGCACATTCCGGACCGTAGCCGGCGGCAGCAGAGCTTGTGCAATTGCAGTTGACTGGGTGTTGCGGGACAACGGATAAAAGCCGGTTGCATATCGTTTGGGACTACGGCACATGTCGGTCCGTAGCCGCCGGCATTGGCGACCATCCGTTATTCCCCCTCTACTGCCCTGGCGCGTGAAGCGGTTCGCGGCCCGTTGTTCTACCGTTCCAGCACTGGTGCTGGGTTGATTTGACCAGGAAAAGCGGCAGTGTGCGGCAATGGCATACGCAGATACACGTGAACACCCTACTAACCACCGCTAACCGCCATTGCGATGAGAGGAGGAGCGCCGTCCACCGTCCATAGCCGCACAGTCTGCCCTGCAATCTCCCGGCGAGGAGCGCTCCCCTCGCCGCTGGACCGAGGGCGACCCACGTCGACCGCGTGTAGCGGCCGTCTATTCGTCCAAAACGCCGAGGCCGGTCCGGGTGCTCGAGGCAGCACCGACGACCGCTCCGAGCGCGCCGATCCCTCCGAGCTGGACCGAACTTGTGCCGCGGTACATCCGTCGCGCACGGCGGCCTCGCCGTAATCACGCCGACCGGGAAGACTCCGGAAAACCGAGGGAGCATCCTCGCACCCGTCCGGCGGCGTAGCGGTGTAGCTGCACTGGAGCTACGAATACAGTCGGCCCGTCGGAGGGCCATCGCCCCGACAGCGCGACAGACCCGCTCGCTACGCGCTAGTACCGGCGAGTTCGGGGCTGCAGGTTGCCCATTGTCGACACTTGCCGCCGGCTAGCGTCCCGTGAGCGATGGCAACTCGCCGACACGCTCGCACCTCCCGGTGAGATTGTCCGAAGATACGCGACTATCTTGGACATGTGGGACATGTGGACAGTCTTGTTCCCTGGAAGATTTGTGAGTTGGAGGGGAAGAAGGAATGTGACGAGGTGTTTGTTCGGGTACCCGAACTGTCTCAGTAGAGTGTTCAAGTTCTTGCCCCGTGGCGTTGTGTGTCAAAAAGTGTTTGTACATCCATCTACTGCTGTAGCCATGGTTTAACGACGCTCTTCCATGCTTATGCTCCACAATCCCCTACAACCTCCGCCTTGCTTCTCTCTCGTCTTCTCTGTGATGTCTACTTAATAATACTCGGTCTCCATGACACACGCCCATGGGGAGAGTTTGAGGTGCCAGCGCCTGCGCCGTTGTTGTTGTTGGTGTCGCCGTTGACTCGACATGCGTGTTCGCTTCCGGGCCGCCTTGGCTTTTTGCTTGGACTTGGAATTGCGGGAAAATGTTGTTGTTGATCTTGCAGTGGGATGTGTATGTGTACGCTTGGGCGTGGCGTGTTGCGTACCGTCGCTTTTGCGCGACCGCCAGGGCCACCACCAGAAGAGGCGAGACCAGCTCGAGCCAGATGATTGAGTTCGAGTGCGAGTGCGGGAGGGAAGGGGACGGGGACGAGGAGGGGGACGAGGTGGAGGTGGAGGTGGAGAAGAATGTTGGTACTGGTGGCGATGACGCAACGACCAGCGGAAACGTCGAAGCCTACCAAACCAGCGTGGCCAGTGCCAACGCAAGCGAAGTGGACGGCGCGAGGCAACTACTTGCTGACCTTCTTGCTGGTGCTCTTCCCGAGGGTCTTGGACGACTCCTTGGCCTTGAAGGACGAATGCTTGTCCTTTGAGCTCTTGGACTTTGATTGCTTGTCCTTGGAGTCTTTGGCCTTGGAGGAGCGGTCCTTGCTGCTCTTGGACGCGGTCGCCGATGCCTTGGACTTGCTGCCGCCCGTGCTGTCCCGGTTGTCCGCCTTGCTTTTGGAGCTTGCGTTCCCAAGGGCGGGTTTGCGGCTCGCGGCGGCGTCTACCGTCTTTGAGGAGGGGTTTCGCTTCTTGTCGGCGGGAATGCTTCGCTCAGGCACAAGCGACGTACGAGATGGAGTAGACTCATGCCTCGTGAGCTGAGAATGGGACCTCATGCGCTCGTTCTCCTTCTCGGCTGCGCGACGCGACGAGTCGCCCAAGGAGACCACGGGGTAGCCGACAGGCTGTGGCGGCTTCTTAAAGCTGAACATGGTGCGGTGTTGGTCGGGCGGCATCGCAGCAGCTGTGACAGGCATCGGGTGGCTCTGCGTCTCGTGGAGCCAATGGTTACTGTTGTCGGGTGCCGACGAGCTCGCAAGTGCTGGGGTGGACTTGTTGTTGCTGTGGCCAAATGGCCACATCTTGTTCTTCCACTTGCCGTTGGCTGCATGCTCCGATGTTGTGGACGAAGAAGGCTCACGAGCCGGTGCTTGTGCTTGTGGCGGGGGCGGAGGAGGCGGAGGAGGGTGGTACTGCCAACTGTGTTGACCAGGCACACCGCTGGGGAAGGCCAACTGAGGGTGCACTACTGGCCCCATAAATGCCGGTCGCTGTTCAGGTAAATGGGCGTACCTCATCTGTCCCGGTACTACAGAAACACCAGTGGCCTGGGGTAGAAGCGGTGCGGGGGTTATCATACCGTCCGAAACAGGGAAGAGGCGAGGTCGCACCCGCGGCGAGTCGAGGTCGGCTCCAGTGTCGTAGGCATGGTCAGCCTCGCTCAGCACTTTGCCATGCCGAGGAGGCTCGGGATGCTGCTGCTGCTCTCCACGCAGGAGGTTGGAGCGGTATGATGTCGTCGCGTCGTTTGGTACACTCGAGCTGAACGTGCTGCGGTGGTGTGGGATGACGTTGGCCATGGTCCGTGGCAAGCTACCGAGAGAGCTGGCACTGCCGTTGACCGAGTGGCCTGGGCTGAGCTCGGTGATCTTGGCGCCACCAGGCTGTGCATCGGCGTTGTTCTGCTCTGGCGGCAGGACGTTGACAATGACCTGCAGCTTGGCCCCTTGGGGCAGCTGGGCGATCGTGCAGTCGACGCCGTTGCCATTCGACGCCAGCATGTCTGGTGACCGGCTGGCTGGCTGGAGGTGCACCAGGGGGGCACCTCGTTTGTCAACTAGTGACTGAGAGAAGCCATATGGAGTAGAGCCATTGGGTGGTGGCGACATGGGGACGCCGCGGACAGTCTCAATCCTATCAAACTGTGGGGAGGTGGGGGACCTGTCGAAGTTGGGGCTATGGACTCTGGAGCGCGACATTTCAAGAGGTACCACCGGTGGGGACTGTTGCTTGTAATGGGGAGGGAAGGGGAACCCGTCGATTGGGTCGTGCAGAGTGGTGCCAGTCTCGGAGGCGTCGGATGGGGTCAATGACTCTCCCAGTACTTCACGGTCACGGCCAGATACGAATGCAGTGTCTGCAACCTGTGTGAGAAGAGGGGTAGCCCCATTTAACGCTCCTCGAGAAGAAGTACGCCTCATGAGTCGGATGGGGTCCATTTGGACGGCTGGGATTCGAGCTTGGGCCGGTGCCTCGGAGGCGGTGTGTGCGAAGGCCGACGGAGGTGGCGGCGGTGGGGACAGAACCCTCTTTGCGACAGCAACAAGATCCGCATCGGAGGCTGAACGTGGTACGAAGCTGGCCCGATCTCGAACAGAACCACCAACCGTAGCTGAGAGGTCTGGGGACAGAACCCTCCTCCTGTCTCTGTCTGGGCGTGGAGGAGGAGGCGCTGCGGCTGTTGTCACCTTTCCAGCTGAAGCAGTTTGCAATGTAGCACCGGTGGCAACTGTGGGAGGATGAACAGGGCCATGGTTCTGTCCAGTATTAGTGCGCCTGAACGCCTCGTTAGTGACGAGAAGCGTGGCGTCGTCGGGACCACGCGTGAATGCCGCTCGAGAAGATCGTCGTGGTGGTGCAGGGGACACGACTGCGGCCTGGCGGTCGACCCGGTCGACGATTCTCGTGGGCACGTTGTCTTCGCGGCGGTGGTGGACGGTCGAGGCACTGCGAGACAGGACGGTGGGGGCGAGTGGGGCCACATTGACTGGATGCTGAGACAAACTGGCTGATCGAGCGCGGTTCTCGGGTTTCGGCTTGCGAACCTCGACGACTACGTCGGTGGCCTCAGGGGTAGGCAGGTGGCCGGGGTGGCCATGTGTGCCATGCCTCAGGCTCACATTGCTACGCGCACGGTTAAGGAATGAGCCAACAAGTCCCCTGTTCGGCGACGGCGTTCGGGGGGGAGGTGCAGCTCTGTTGACACCACTCGCTGCTGCAGGCTTGTCGACCTCTGAGATAATGTCGAGGGGAAAGTCGAGTGCCGAGTTGAGGTAAGCCTCACGCTGTGCACGCGCCGAATGGGCGGCGGCGGATGCCTGTGGCGCATGGTTCGCACCCGTACTCGCCGAGCGCGACAGGTGCTCTATGCGGGGAAGTTCAAACTCTGAGCTGAGGTGTGCAGGCTCCACTGGGGTGGCGGCGAGGTACGCGTTGGGAGGCGGCTGGCGGACAGGGCGGAACGACTGCGGAGGAGGCGGCGCTGTCAGACCTGGCTGTGGAGGCAGTGGCCCACTTGGGGGCGGCAGCATCGGTGGTCGAGGACCGTCCGCTGTGAGCGTGGACCGCCGTTGCGATGGTCGGTCCGGGATGGGGGATGGTGTGGTCCGTCGACGAGGTGTCGTCATCCTCTCAGCCCTCGCGGCAGCGGCAACCTCGGGCAGGTCGACATGTGTCCATGCCTGCGACACGGCGCCGACACTGATACCGGCTGGACTTTTGGATATCCGACGCGGTGCAAGGTCGACGTTGTGTGTCCACGCATTCACGCGGTCGTTCTTTTGGTGAAACGCGTTAATAGACGAGGGCGAAGGCGAGTAGGCGGTGTACGAGACCTCTGTCGCAGGCGGCATGGCATTACGAGAAGGAGGTCTGGCCATGGCGGCAGGGAGCCGTCAAGGCTGCCTAGCGTGCACGACGTGGGTGCAGGCGCGGGCGATGGCGATGGAGAAGGTGTGGATGATGGAGAGGATGCGGGATGTGTGTTTGAGGACGATTGCAGTGCGCGTGAGTGCGTGATGCGTGAGCTTGTCCAGAGGCGTCCAGTGCGGCCGGTGCCAGCCCACAGCACCGGGCGCGCGCAAGAGGCGTATGCGCGAGCGCCGCAGGCCATTATGGGGGGTGGGGGGGTGCTCTGGATGCTCGTGCACAGACGGTGCCCATGGTGGGTACGGTGGTTCATTCCGGCACGCGCTAGGTGCGTGGCGACTGGAGCCCATTCTGGCCTCTGGCCATTCTGTGATCAAGAGGCGCGTCTGCGTACGGCAATACACGTCCACCTACTCGCTCGCTCGCTCACTCGCTCGCCACCACCAGCAGGCCAGCAGCCAACGAGGTCCTGATATGCACCTGTTTGTTTTGTGTTTTGCTACCAGAAATGGAATCTTATGCCAGCCCCCCGTGTGTGTGATTGTCATTCCGGGGTGGTGGCTCTGCATTTGCTGCGTGCCCCCCTCGCCGCACGGTCCTCCTGTCGTCGACACTCTGCTGGTGTAGGAGGCTCGAGCGCCTAAAACAAACGTGACCACAGCGCGCGAGTGGGCGGAGGCGCGGAGAGTGGGTGTGCGTTTTGCACTTTTGGGTGGCGTAGTTTTGTGGCAGCACCCCTTTTTCTCTCTCCCTCCCTCCAACCCGAAACATATGCCCGGGGTGCATATGGTGCATTGGAGCAGCCAACATGTGCTTGGCAACGCACATGAGGTCCCAGGTCTGTCTCGTTCTAGATCTTCTGTAATCTCTATCGAGTCCACACCCAGCTCGCGGCACACCCTCCCCACACTCGTACAATCGTCCGGGCTCCAGAGTCGAGGCCCTGTCCGACGCCAGCAGGCACCAAGCGCCCACGGTCCACCGTGTCACCCACTCCCAAGTTGCCGTGCTCGTTCCAGCCTCCAGTGTAGAGTGTCTTGCCACCATCGGCCACAACAAGCACATGCTCGCTGCCGGCAACGAGGGCTGATGTAACAGCGTCATGGTCAGGGAGGAGGACGGGACCGCGGGCAGCAGCGTTATTGTCGTGGTCGTCGGCCCGGCTCGCGCCCGAATTGGCGTCCGCTGGCGTATGGCGCAGCAGCTGGCCGTGGGTGTTGCCCCCCTGGGACCATATTGCGTCGCCAGTGAGCAAGTAGCTGCCACCCCATGTCGCACCGATGCAGCGTACATGGGTGATCATGCTGGGGAGTGAGGAGGGGGAGGACAGGGAGGAAGAGGAGGACGTGAGGCCAGTGATCTGGCCTTTTGCATCGCTGCCCCACGCGAGAACGGTGCCGTTTGCGCACAGTGCAATGGAATGAGCAGCGCCGAGCGCGAGGTCGATAACGTGTGTTCCGCTAGGGATGGCGAGGTTGATGGGCGTCGGCGGGAGTGTCGTCGGTGTCGCGACAGCCTTGCCTTTACCCTTGGTCCCTCTCGTCGGCGGAGGCAAGGGCACGGCGCTGAGCTCGCCGCGCCGCGCGGCGCCCCACCCAACCACGCGCTGCGTGCGGTTGTCACCATGTCCGTGGCTGACCACGGCCACGACATGTCGCTGTCCACCGTGGAGATGTTCGACCCATTCGCCGTCCTGCAGCGCGGCGTCGACTCGCATGACGGCAGGCTTGGACGGGGCCACGCCGATCTCGCCAAAGTCGTTTGAGCCCCCAGCGACGACCACCTGCTCTGGAAACGGGCCAGTAGCGTGGTGTCCTTGTCTTTCATACACGACAAAGCTCGTGGTCCAGGTCGCAGCCACCTTGACCGGCTCCCATGTATCGTCGAGGCCAGCGTCGCGAGCGAGGGAGAAGGGACGAAAGGAGGTAGCTACCGTTGGCGAGTCTGTAAGCGCACAGCGCAGGCCCAGCTGGCCGTGGGTGTTCGTTCCAGCACCCAGGAGGACGTTGCGTGGTGTGGCTGCTGGATCCTGAGACCGGAGACGGATGAGGAGGAGCGCATGCGACGCGGCCGAGACGAGGTCGACAATCTCACAGTCCTCGCTCACAGCCCAGGTTGGGCACGATGGGTCAAACACGCACGGCGTGAACGACGAGACGTCCTCGTCGTGGCCTATTGCGAGCTGGCCGGACCCGTTCGAGCCGCAGGCGACGAGTGGCATGGATGGGACTGGAAGGAGAAATCAAGAGATCGAGTTGTTTGGTGGTGCGAAACAGGGGGGAAGGTTGAGTAATGTTCTGACGTCAACATCTCGGCAAATTGAATTTAGTCAGTTGACGATTTCTTGGAATCGATTCCCTTTCTCCGCGAGATTTCAGTTTTCATTGCGCTGCTGGGGTCCACCATTTGTCCGTCCTATTAACGTCTCTCTCTCTCTCTCCTCTCTCTCACACACACACACAACCGCAAATATATCATCACATCTACAAGTCTCTAGCACCTAGCACACCGATGCAACGTCAATGCTCTTGGCACCCTCGGCACGGACAGCAACACCCTTCTCAGTGACGACAGCGCTGATGAGCTCGGCGGGGGTAACGTCAAACGAAGGGTTGTAGACCTGGTTCCAGGGCTCGGGGCCGGCACCGACACCCTCGGGGGAGATACGGACGACCGACATGCCGCCAGTCTCGACGTTGCGGCCGCGGACGAGGGTAGCCTCGACGGGCGGGCGCTGCTCAATGTGGATCTCGGCGCCGGTCTCGAGCGAGAGGTCGACGGTGGTGACGGGAGCAGCGACAATGAAGGGGACACCATGGCGCTGGGCGAGGACAGCCGCCTGGTAGGTACCAATCTTGTTGGCCGTGTCGCCGTTCTTGACGATACGGTCAGCACCGACAATGACACCGTCAATGTCGTTGTGCTGCATGAGCGAGCCGAGCATGGTGTCGCAGATCATGCAAGCGGGGATGCGGAGGGTGGTGAGCTCGAGCGAGGTGAGACGCGAGCCCTGGTGGTAAGGGGTGGTCTGGGCGTAGTAGGCAGTGTCGAGCTGGTCAGCCTCAAAGAGGGCAGTGATCACACCGATGGCGGTTCCGTAGCCAGAGGTAGCGAGCGAACCAGTGTTGCAGACGGTGATGACCTTGAGGGCCTTCTTGCCGTCCTTTCCACCACGCTGCTTCCAGAGCCACTCGGCACCGAGACGACCCATGGTGCGGTTACGCTCCATGTCCTCCTCGTGGACGGCAAAGCACATGGCCTTGAGAGTCTCGACGAGGTCCGTGGCGGCAGCGGCGTCACCGGCACCGCCCTCCTTCTTGAGGACGGCACGGATGCGGTTCATGGCCTCAGAGAGGTTGACGGCAGTGGGGCGCGACGACTGGAGGTAGTCGAGGATGGGCGAGACGTGAGCCGCCACCTCGGCGGGGGAAGCGAACGTGGGAGCGTTGGCTGATGAGAGGTGCGAGCGGATCGAGAGAGCAGCAAGCGAAGCAATGGCGGGGGCACCGCGGATCTACGCCAGGTCAATTTCATGTCATTGCTGAGAGCTTACCTTCATCGACTTGATGGCGTCAAAGGCCTCCTCGGGGGTCGACACCTTGTCCCACTTGACAGTGTGGCTGACGGATGAGCGACTAAACGGCAGAAGTTTGCTCGACATACGGCAGGAGGAGCTGGTCGACAATCTCGACATCACCCTGTGCGGTGATACGGATGGAAGTCATCATATCGGGAAGCTGCTTGGAGCCGGAGGGAGCCTGGGACGCCATGGTGTCTGTTGTTGTGAGTCTGTTGATGAACTTGGGATCGAACGTTTATGAACGCGCCGCTTCTTGCGTTGCGTGCTTGAAATTGGAGGTGGAGGTGCTGGAACGGAAGCAAAACGTCAAGTTGATTCACCTAATTAGATTTGAATTGATTAGGAAATGTCTTTCTAGTATCACTTAGGATCCACCAGCCGCCCACTCGCGTTCTTTTGACCGAGCATTCAGCCCGAATGTCGTATCCAACATTCGTCAACCAACATCTTCCCCATCTCAACACGCCCAGCAGACGCGTTCAGTCTGCCCTATCCCTACCCGCCAGTCAAGCTGAACAGGCTGCCCATCAGTCTCTGCCGTGGCTACCGCCGCTAGACAACGACCGTCAGCGCGCCATGGCAGATTCACAGTACTACATGCCGCCGTCGCACCGTCGTCACGACAATGGCTCGGAACGCGCGGGCGACCGGGGAAGCGGCAACAACGCTTCAGTAGCTCACCTTGGCGTCAAGCGCGAATCAACATGGCGTCCTGGTGCGTCTACGAGCTCGGGTTCGACCAGCCAGCCAAACGCGGCGTCGGTGCCGTCGTCGTCCTCGCGCCCAGCCAACGCGTGGGCTAGCCGCGACTCGCCGCGCAGCTCGTCCCCGGGTCCCAGCCACGGAGCGTACCGTGCCCGCACCGACGCATACTACGAGCCCCCAGATGTCTCGACCTCGACTGGATATCGTACAGATGACCGCGACAGGGACAGAGGGAATGGACGCCGCGCCGACAGCCGTGACCGTGACAGAGATCGTGAACGTGAGAGAGATCGTGACCGAGACTCTCGAGATGTCCGGGATAGAGACACCGAGCGAGACAACAACCGTGGCGGCCGTGATGCTTGGAAAAAGAGGGAGACGAGAGACGACGACCGAGGAAGCTGGGACGACTACCGCCAGCGCATGGCCAACAAGCGCCGCGCCGCCAGCCCTGACCGCGACGACGACAGGGACCGTGGGCGTGATCGTGGAGGATGGGCGGCGCGCCGCAAAGACAAGGACGACGACGACAGGCGCTGGGGCCAGAGGGCCGACGACCGGGACCGCGGTGACCGTGATCGCAACGACCGCGAACAAGGCTGGGGGCGTCGCGCCGCCGTTGGCGGCCGCGCAGCTTCCCCGGACGACCGGGATCAACGAAGGGACCGCTCGCGCTCGCGCGACCGTTCTCCTCCACCGAGGCGTGCGCGTCGCTCGAGCCTGAGTGACTCGGATTCTGACAAAGAACGTGATAAGAGGTAGGTAGCGCCCGATGAGCGTGCTGACACTGGGTAGACGTTCACCGCCTCGCTGGCGCTCGCCATCGCCCGAACCCGTCAAGCGACGTGCACCTCCCTCGCCTCGTTTGCCTGACGCAAAACGTGCACGTGACTATTCTCCACCCCCGCCTCGCCGAGGGCGGTCGCCGAGCCGCTCGAGCTCGCGTTCGCGCTCGCCCACCCCTCCTCGCCGCGCCGCCCGCGGGAGTTCTCGTGAGAGGGAGAGGGCCCGCTCACCCGACTCGCCACCACGCTCCTATGACTCGCGTGCTGGTGCTGGAGCCGGGAGGTGGCAAGACAGGGAGCGTGACCGGTCGCCAGACCGGGCACCAGAAAGGACCGCAGAGAGGGCTCCCGAGCGGCAACACGAGCGGCCCGTGGAGAGGGATCGACTGGACCGCGACCGCGAGAGAGACCACTGGCAGCAACCTGCGCCGCGTGGTCCTCGTGACGACAATCGCTTCGGCAACCGCCAGCAGTTTGCGCCAAGCAACCGTCAGCCATTCTCACAGCAAGCTGAGCGCCAACCATTCTCACAGGAGCGTCAACCTTCATTACAAGATCGACAGTCGTCCTCGCAGGACAGACAGCCGTTGTCACAGGGCCGCCAGCCTTTGTCGCAGGACCGCCAGCCGTTGTCACAGGACCGCCCGCCTTTGTCGCAGGATCGCCAACCGTTCTCACAGGGGGAGCGCCAGCATTTCTCCTCGCAGACAGAACGCCATCACTTCTCCTCGCAGGGTGATAGGCAATCTTTAGCGTTACCGCCCAACCGGTTTGCACAAGTCTCACCCAGCCGCTTCTCGGATGTGCCTCCCAACCGCTTCACTCAGGTGTCAGAGGCCCCTGTCAAAATGCGCCAGTGGGGTCGGCAAGCCAGTGCCAGTCGCTCGCCCTCGCCACCACCTGCGCGTCGGTCGCCCATTCCTCCACCGAGGGAACGGTCGCCTCAGCCTGCGAGGCAGCCCGACGCGGGGTCAGGATGGCGTCGTGTTGAGCCGCGTGACCCACCTCCGCCTGCTGGTTTTAGACGCGCTCCACCAACGGGTCCCCGTGGTGGTACTGGAGCCCCTGGAGCCCCGCCACCGACAGGCCCATCCAACGGGCACTCCACACCGGTGCGTACCCCACTCAGCGGCGGCGTGAGTCCTAGCAAGCGGTCCCCGTGGCAGCAGCAGCAGCAGCAGCCAAACCAGCAACGCCGTGCGTCATTCGGCCGGACGTTTGAGGACGTGCCGCCACTCAACAGGCGCCCGATTAACGGTTCACCTCCGCGTCGCAAGTCGCCTGAGCCAGAGTCGGACGTTCCTGAGATCGAGATGGAGGACGAGGATTCGGCGCCACCGTCGATGCCTGCGTCTAGGCCACACTCTCCCAAGAGGTCAGACCCTTCCCAGGAGCGTGCAGCGATGTATCTGGACCGCCTGGCCGACAAAGAGCGCCAGTACGACCAACACTTGAGTACCATTTCACCCTACGTCACCGCGGCCTTTGCACAGTGGTATACGCAAAACGCTACACCTGCCTTGCCTGAGTTCCTGGTCCACTACTTTAGCCGCCAGCCAAGCAATATCGAGCTCGAACAAGTTCATCAGTTACTTCAGCGGCGCACGCAGCTTGCGCGCGACCAACAAGAGCTCCGCCACTTGCATGAGCAAGCCTTGCGGATCGAGGCAAGCGTTCCTACCATCGCGGCCCCCCTTACCGCCTTGACAGGCCCGTCTCCCGCTGGGACCCCGTCCTCCGACTCTACGTCGCGTCCGCCCCGCTCCTCACGCAATGTCACTGGCGAGGCCTACGAACGCCTCTCTCAAGTCGGTGAGGGCACGTATGGCAAGGTGTACAAGGCACGCAACGTTGGGGACGGCAGCCTCGTGGCTCTCAAGCGAATCCGCATGGAGCAGGAAAAGGACGGATTCCCTGTCACGTCTATGCGCGAGATCAAGCTCCTTCAAGCCTTGCACCATCCCAACGTTGTCCGTCTCCGCGAGATGATGGTCTCGAAGGGATCCGTGTACATGGTGCTCGAGTATATGAACCACGACCTCACTGGTATCCTCTCACACCCCGAGGTGTCACTCTCTGCGGCCAACATCAAGTCGCTCAACCACCAAATGCTCTCTGGTCTTGGGTACCTGCACCGCCGCGGTATCTTGCACCGTGACATGAAGGGTTCCAACATTTTGCTCAACGGCGCTGGCGAGCTCAAGCTGGCCGACTTTGGCCTCGCGCGATGGTACCACAAGCACAAGCGGGACGACTACACGAACCGCGTCATCACCCTGTGGTACCGCTCGCCCGAGCTGCTCATGGGCGAGACGTGCTATGGCCCCGAGGTGGACACGTGGTCTGCAGGCTGCATCATGCTCGAAATCTTCACTACCAAGCCCGTGTTCCAGGGCAGTGACGAGATCAACCAGCTGGAGGTTATTTATTCCATTCTTGGCACGCCCAGCGCGTCGCAATGGCCTGGCATGACCGAGTTGCCGTGGTACGAGCTTGTGCGACCCAAGGAAGCCATGGCCTCCCGCTTCCGTGCGAGCTTTGCCAAGTGGCTCTCGCCTGGAGCCATCGCTGTCATCGAGGGTCTGCTCGCGTTTGACCCGTCCCAGCGACTCTTGGCTGATGACGCCCTCGCCATGCCGTACTTCACCGCCGAGGAGCCCGCCATGGAGCGGCCCACGCAGCTGGCCGAATGTGGCGAACACCACGAGATGAGCGTCAAGCTTGAGCGCCACCGTCGGCGTGAGAAGCAGTAGGAGATTGGGAGAGGTGTTTAGTGTTAGTGCCCCGTAGTAGTCAAAAGTGTGAGAGGAAATGCACCGGAGCACTCCTGCTCACATGGGATCTACTGTGATGTTTCTATGCTGTGTCGCTGCTGTTCTTCCCTGTATGTACCGTACCGCCTACACCGTCCTCCTCCCGCCACGTCCTATGAGCTTGGCTCCATGCTCGGGCGTGAGGCCCGTCAGTCCCAGGCCGGGAATGAGAATCTTGAGGTTACGGTTGAAGCTGCTGATATTGGTTCTCAAGCGCTCCTGCAGGAGGTGTTAGACGAACGGGTCCCGGCCCCTCGGCGCAAGTGGTGATCAGTCCACTGTGCTCACCAGATCTGTCTCGTACCGCAGCCGCTCAATGTCCCCTCTCAGCCAGTCGAGGGTCTCACGCCGGGTTGCAGAGTCGGGCAGAGCTGGAAGGAGGGAAGGAACGTCAGCTCGTATATCAATAGCAGTGTTGACTTTCCGACTCACGCCTTGTAGCGCGCACTGCTGCGCGGTAGGCCTTGATGATCTCTGCCTGGAGAATAAAGTGTTGGAGGCTCAGTCTGGGGCCGTTTCTGAGTGCGCTCATCGCATGCTATAAGTGGAGAACAATAACGTTCTGCGGAATTCAGTGGCCAGAAGAGTAAGGAAGTGGAGGCTGTCGCACAACGGAATCAGGTGCGTTCCAAAACCACGTGGAAGCCATGCGATGGCCATTAACGGGAGTATTTCAACACACGTCTCTGCGGATCAACGCGACGGTGCACGCACACCGCACACCGGTTGCCAGCGCGCCAGCGCCAGCACGGCACATTACAACGGCCGGGTCAGAAGAAGCATATTCCCTCATCTCTCCATCTTCACCGTCTTCCACGTCGCCACCATGCTCCCCCTCACCGCGATCGCCCTCGCGCTCGCGGCACTGAGCCCCGCAGTGGCCGCAGCTGGCGCCCCCGCGGCGTCCGTCGATTCCATGGTCGAAAAGGTGAGCTATAAATCGAAGTTGCCAGTCGCTGTAGCTGACGCCATGTCCAGCGCGTGCCGTTGAGGACACACTCGATCGCGCCGCCGTATGTCGACACCGACCTGCAGAACCGTTGGTGAGTGGCATGTGAAATGGGCGTAGGTATGCGCAACTACCAAAGAGCTGGCAGCTCGTGTGCAGTTGTCGTCACTCCGCGTCGCGTCGCGTCCTGTCCAGTCATGAGATGTCATGTTGGCACGCAGCTGGTCCACTGCGTTTATGCAACCCAGCTGCCCATTTCGCTGAATGAAACCTATCAAATTGGATAACAGCTGACAGCGTACAGGTGGGACTTTGGCGGAGACGCCATCATTGTGCGTTTACCAACATGGCCAACGGGCTGGATATGAAACGAAGCGAGTGTGGCTAACTGTCAGAACACCAACAAGCACATCCGTTTGACGCAGGACCGTCAGTCCGAGGCGGGTTGGCTCTGGAGCCGTATGCCCCTCGGTGTTACCAACTGGCAGATTGACTTTGAGTTCAAGGTGGGTGTTGTTGTTGCAGAACACACGCCCGCGCATCTTGCCAGGTAATCCGTCCACCACTCTACCTGGCACGCGCGTAGTGCAGCTCGCTCTGCCGGTTATGGCCTCTGCTCAGACCTTGGCTGACAATCTCTCCAGGTTGACGGCAAGGCCCAGTCCATGTACGGTGACGGCTTTGCCTTCTGGGTCACCAAGGACCGCGCCGTCGCTGGCCCCGTGTTTGGCAGCCAGGGTGAGTTAGCCAAGATCTAGGTGCCCCAAGCTAATGTCAGATTACTTCAACGGTCTCGGCATCTTCTTTGACACGTAAGTGTCTTGTTTGAGCTAGTGCTTGACTACAACGAGACCGCGGAGTGGTCGTGGCAATGCTCGTGTGACCGGCGCTGCTGCGGCTGTGCGCTGGGCTGGGCTTGGTATCCCACAGGCCGCTGGTTAAACTCCACCTTTCTGTTCAGCACAGCACACGGCTACCGATCTCGCTGGGAACACCCACACGTCCTTCATCCGGGGCACCATGACTCACCGCTGACGCCACAGCTATTCCAACTCTCGCCACTCTTACACCTTCCCCCGCATCACTGCGATGATGGGCGACGGCAAGACTCAGTACGACCTTGCTGGCGACAACGCAAAGACCGAGGTTGGAGCGTGCTCGGTATGTTTACAATGCACGCGGGCTGTTGAGAACCCACTGACAGTCATGCAGGAGAACTTCCGCCGCCGCGACGTCGCCACCAAGGCTCGCATCACTTACGTGAAGAACCACGGTCTCCAGCTCCAGCTCCACCACAAGGAGTGGGACCAGTGGATGACTTGCTTTGAGATTAATGTCAACCTCCCGGACAGCCCCTACGTTGGCTTCTCGGCCGCCACTGGTGACGTCTCGGACAACCACGACATTATCTCTGTCCAGACTTTCTCTGCCACTCTGTACCCCCAGTACCGTGCGACCGCCCACCAGGCCGGTCAGGTCCCCCTCGGCATCCCGGATGACAAGAGGGCCGGTCCCCGCGGCCAGGCTGCTCGTGACAACGCTCGCAAGCGCCAGGACGGCAGCAGCAGCGGCGGCGGTATTGTCGGCTGGTTCCTCTTCCTCCTCAAGGTGAGTGGAGTGTGCCTGCCTATAATGTCGATGGGCTTTATGGTATCCCGGCTGGCAAGGAAACCAGAGATCATCAGAGATGTGCGGACTTTCGAGATGGAGATAGCGGTCATACGCGCACCACACCCGCACTACGAGACTCCATGACGTGCCGGTGGAAGAAAATAGAAACATGACGCTGACGTTATTCACAGGCTATTGGTGTTCTGGCATTCATCGCCTTTGGTGTTGCTGCATACGTGAGTCTCCGTTGTGGCGTCGTGTTCGGATTGCACTTGCAATAAGCGAGCAATGCACGCCACGCCCCAGGGAATGCGGGAGTGACAGTGGGCTGACGCTTTCCTGCAGCGAACGTGGGCCGCCCAGCAGCGTGCTCGCCCGGCATACTACTAAGTGCTAGAAGTATGCGGAGCGCGAAAGGAATATGAGCAGAAAAGCGAGAAAGGAGAGAGGAAAGGAGCCAAGGAGAGGTAGACCGTCCCTCTTGAAAGACGAATGACGACGGCGGAGGGCTGTTAGGGAGACAGCAGTTCTGTGCTGGCTAGCCCCAATCGGTCCCGCCCACGCCCACGAACAGGTCTCGCCGCGAAAAAGTCGCGTGCGGTTGACCGTTTCATGTATGCACCATCGTACCAGTACTAAAGTGAGACCGAGGACTTGGTCAGATCTGGGACTTCGGTGTTTGGAGGTTGTTTGGCACTGGCTCAGCCCTCAGACGTTTTGGGGTGCAGACGGCAAAGTCTCGACGATGACGATGGTCAGGAGAGTGAAGAACCGCCAACAGCCGTTCGACCACGCGTGAACGCCCTCAGCCAGATGTCAGGATGTGGTCGCAAACAGGAGCACATTCTGATCTGGCAGGCGTCACTCACCTCCGAGATCCCCAGCATAGGTATGTACGTAAACGCTCGCGCTCTTTGTTCGGTTCTAATGTGGCAAGGGCAGCGGTCACGCTCATGAGGCTGTCGGAAGGTACCTCCTAACATGGTAGTACCCATCCGCCACAGCTCCGTGCGCTGTGCAGTGCACGTAGTGTAGCCATGCTGTCGGATGATGTGGAGATCTGTGGCCGGATGTGCTCATGCGTCCCTGGCGTTCCCGTCAGATTGGATTCGTGTGTGCGTTTTTGGTATCCTGAATGTGTACCGTCGATGCTCGGCGTGTGCTACCGATGAAGGCTTTCGGCGGCAGGACCTGCCCTGCGCTTGAGGGCGATTCCGCGTCTCTGGATCTCTGGGCCAACCCAGTAAAAGGGAGTAACGTGCTCTCCAGAACTCAAGGGGCCCGTCAGCAAGCGAAAGTGGACGCAGCACTTTGGGTGCTGTCGGGAGCGCAAGCACCCTGGGTCTGTTTAACGGCATCCACAGTGTGGCATTGAGCACTCTCCGGGAAGCATGTTAAGGGTTCATTATGTAGGTCATTAGCCCATCAGATGTTCCATACGAGAATCTGGGCAGCCCCCCACGACGCCCCGGAACGATCGTCAAGCTGTATTATCGGTGTGGTCGTGTGAGGGTGGAAAATCCGGCCTCTGGCCTCTGGGGGTCTGGGGGTCCGGGGTTTCTCAGCACCGAGGGGTGCGGATGTTGGGTAAGGCATGTTTGACTACTCCGCTCCCTTTGATTTGTTGACTGCATGACTGTTCGCTTCGGCTCGGTCTGGCACATTACCTAGACAGGTGCGAAGGCTTGCGGATACCAGTCGCCGATGTTGCCTGGAGGACAGCCGCCTCACGAGCTGATACCGTACGCCTCATCCACGTCCCACATCACCATCCCCGGATAGTGAGCTCGGCGATAGGTCGCTCAATAGTGTATCAGATGAACCCGTAGTGTGCGGCGTCTGCCTTAGTGCAAGTTTCATGCGTTCGAATACATAGATCCCCAACACATCCGGATATGAGTTCTCCTTAGTCGCTGATTCCTATGCCGACCAGCCGGTTGTGTGTTCCTGGAATTCCTGGGCAGCTGCGGCATATGCCTGGCAGTAGAGGCCTGGACGTCAATTTATCGACAGTTAAGTGAGGCCGCAGTCGCGACAGTGGTACAGTGGTGACGTTGTGGCCTTGTGGACAACGGGACGCGAGCGGTTTAACAATGTTTTTCCGCGGCTGATGTGACGTTTCGCAGGATCGGTGAACGTACCGAGAACAGCGTAGCGTCCAACGTGGGCTGCATGGCATCACATAGCACACCCCGCGTGTGCGTAGGTAGATACCTGACGCGCCCACACGCATACCCCCCAAAGAGCCAAGCTCACTGTGCTAAATCCAGCAGCCCGAGACAAGCGAACATCTTCCCGTCCTCCCACCACAGACCCTGGGTCCTGGACTCTGGGTCGATACCGGTTCGAACGGAAACGTCTTCGACCCATCAAGAGAAGCATGCCAGGGCCATGTTCCTCTGAACCTCAGGTCCACTGCGATCGCCAGGCCCAGAATGTCCACGTTCCCCGGGCATGCATCGTACAGGGTGGCGGCAAGTCCCACCGGGATTGACAACCATGTTCACGCGCCGAAAGGCCAGAAACGCCACTTTTCCTTCCCGGGACGTTCGGGTCGGCTGAGGCTCCGCGCCCCGAGCAGCTCCGCATCCACGCGACACGCAACCTTTCTCCATTGCTCTCCTCCTCTTCCACTGACTTTGGCCAACTGTTTACCCCTCGCCGTCTATCCGAGACAGGCGTCAGCTTTTCCTGCGCGCCATGCAAGCATCCGCGGTACACGTCGCGCTATGGCTAATGACTACGGGATGTTCCCGGCCGAACTGCGCCGGGGTCCTCGTTTACTGCTCAAACACCCAAGTAAACGCTGGCTGACTCGTGCGCGACGAGGAATCCGCGCCTGGTTTACACTTTGGCGTACTCACGGATGCCCACTGACCCCAGTTGCCAGGGGGCCAACGTTAAGGGCATCAACAACCGGTCCCAAAGTTGTCTTGCTCGGCCACTTCGCGTCTGCTGCCTTGGTCGATCAAAGGGTCCAGGTAACTTGTCACTACGGGACAGTTGTGTGTGGCATGTCTGGACCGCTCTGTCGGTTTCCCGGGACTGTGGCGTTTTGCCTGTCTCTTCAGTCTGTGCGGTCCCCACTCATCGCGACAGTATATAGACTGCCACTGACAGCTGACCATACTTTTTGCCCCTCATCCTCAACTTGTGCCGTTGACCAGGTTCACCCTTCCTCTTCCACCCAACGCCTTCTGATTGCCGGCACCACTCTCTTTACCCTTTCCTTGTTTATTCTTCCTCCTCTCAACCTCTCTCACGGGCGACCCACCACCACCACAACAACAACAACCTTCCCTGCCTCATCGCACACCTTGTCACCCATTGTCTACACTTCACTTCACTTCACTTCATCTTCCCCAAAATGAAGTTTGCGAACTTTGGCCTGGCGCTACTTGCGCTTCCGGCCCTGTTCGCCAATGCCATGGCCCTTCCCGAGGCTCAGCCCGAGACCGCTTCTGAGCTGGACGACCGCACCTTTACCTGTTCATCAACCACGCGTGCCTCGTGCTATATCATGGGCTACGGCATGACCAGCTCGTGTCTCTGCGACGTCATGTCCTACACGGCCAAGCCTTCGCAGCCCTGCGGCAGTGGCACCTATGCCTCCTGCACGTCAATCTCCTCGCTTGTCAAGTGCTGGGACCAGGGTTACGCTGTTGACAACAACTGCAACTGCGTCGTTCCTGCTACTTCGACTTCGGTCAAGACTACATCAACTTCGTCTACCAAGGTCTCAACTACGTCCGCTGCTCAGACCACTGCTGCCGGAACCTGCAACGACTGGCTTGCCATTTCTATCTGTCTCCTGGAGGGAAAGACTACCGACGGCAAGTGCAACTGCGTCTCGGGCACCGCAACCGTCCCCGGTGGATCGTCGAGCTGCTCCGACGCCACTGCCATGTCAAACTGCTTCAAGCAAGGCTACGGGTGCAACGCCAAGTGCGTTTGTACTCCTGTGACGACGACCTCGACGTCCGCAAAGACGACAAGCACTACCTCGACCACCTCTGTCAAGACCACCAGCACAACGACTCCCTGTACTACCTCAACCACCTCCGTCAAGACCACCAGCAGTTCAGTCAAGACCATCAGCACAAGCACACCCTGCACAACCTCAACCACGTCGGCCAAGACCACAAGCACCTCCGTCAAGACCACCAGTACCACAACACCCTGCACAACCTCAACCACGTCCGTCAAGACCACCAGCACCTCCATCAAGACTACCAGCACGTCGGTCAAGGCCACCAGCACATCCTCGTCTGCCGCCGCCACGTCTACCGCGGCCGGAACCTGCAAGGACTGGCTGAGCATCGCCGTCTGCGCCATTGAGGGCAAGACCACAAACGGACAGTGCCAATGTGTTAGCGGTACCCCCACAGTTCCCGGCGGGTCATCGTCCTGCGGCGACGCCACGGCGATGAGCAACTGCTTCAAGCAGGGCTACGGCTGCAACGCCAAGTGTGTCTGCACACCGGCAACGACGTCTTCCACTGTTGCATCCTCGACCAAGGCTTCGTCCACTACGAGCCCACCAGCTGCCACGACGACCCCATCTGGTGTCTGCAAGGACTGGCTTGCAATCTCCATCTGTCTCCTTGAGGGCAAGACGACCAACGGACAGTGCCAATGCGTGAGCGGCACTCCTACAGTCCCCGGCGGCTCGTCGTCGTGTACCGACTCTACCGCTATGAGCAACTGCTTCAAGCAGGGCTATGGGTGCAACGCCAAGTGCGTGTGCACACCTGTCTCGACCACGAGCAGCACGGCCACCACCACCTCGCAGAGCTCCACACCCACCGCCGTCGGATCCTGCAAGAACGCGGCGGCGATTTCGGCCTGCGCTCTGCGCGGCCTCGGCGTCAACTCGGATTGCTCTTGCAACAAGTGCAACTGTGACGCTCAGTGGTCCTGCGTCAAGAAGGGCGGAATCCTCGACTCGTCGTGCAACTGCATCCTCCCTTCGGGCAGCCGCCGTCGCCGTGACGCCACATACGTCAACCACCTCTGCGCCAAGGGTATGACTGCTTGCCGTCTCGACTCGAGCGAGAGCGGCTGGAACGGCCAGTTTGAGTGCCTCGACGTCACGACCCAGCTTGAGTCGTGCGGTGGATGTGTGGGCGAGGGCCAGGGCCAGGACTGCTCGGCCATTGACGGTGTCGCCGACGTGGCGTGCATTGCTTCCCGCTGCGTCGTCTCAGCTTGCCAGACCGGCTGGACTCTTGTCAACGGCACCACCTGCGAGCCCTCGAACGCGGCTCGTTTCCAGCAAGTGCTCGGCTCGCTATGGGAGCTGTAAGGTGGCAGATTGTGCTGCTCCGGGTCCCGCACTTTGTGTGGTAGGCTTTACTGGCCGCGACCTGGACATGCTGGCCACACCCAGAGACGAGTAAGGGCATCCGCGAAGTGGGAGGGTGCGGCAACCCCGTAGATTTTTGCCATCACATGCCCCTCCCCACGCCACGTCCGCCACACTCGCGTCAGCAGACACCACATTCCTCCTAGATTCGCCCCTCCCAAACATTCACGCGGCAGTCTCGATTTCTTATCTTGGACATTATACTGGCCCTCGGCCGCCGACACGAACCCCACCCATCTTCATCCTTTGTTATAATTTGCCGACAAGACAGTGCTAGCATTTTGACGACATGCCATGCCCATTAGACGCCCCCCCCCATAGTTTACCTGTACTTCCCTACACCCGATCTCCACACACATCGTTATTTGTGTCTGTCCTCGTGCAGCTATGAATCATCTCTATCTCTACTTCTGCACATGCAACCTGTGGATGCTCACCCACTTACCTTCGTTCGTGAGGTGGCATTTGAATTTTTCTGGTATTTTTCACATTTGTATGAATTTCGCCCTTTCGACCGCGTTTGCTGATCCTGTGCTCCCATCCAAGACTCCACTTACACCAAAGAACACTAACAGCCATGTGGCGAACGGTGGACATGGTCGAGGCGGTGAAGGGCGGAAAAAACGTGACGTATCATCTGGCCCCACTGGGCGGGAAGGCCAGCATCATTTCGCCATTTGGAGTGTGCTCCCCGCCGTCCCCGTAATGAGTGCATCACGGTGGGGCGCGATCGACTCGGGAGGCGTATCCTGCCGGGTCTTATCAGTCGTCATGGCCGTCATGAGATAGTCAGGGATTGAGTGGGGTGAGCCCCGTGTGAGGTGATCCCGTTCACTACAGCCAGCTGTGCTGTGATCGCTGTGGCCAACCCATGTTCCTCGTACTCAGCGTTTCATCATTTGCACGTGACAACTAGATGCAGATGCATGACACTGACACTCTATACAACGGCATGACAACTCCCTCTCTCCAGCTCGCTTCGCTGCGGTACAACTCACTCTCTATCGGGTCCCAAACGGCGTCCTTGCCCATCCAACAGCCCCAGCCTTGGCCCCCACAGCGCGCAGCCCATCCTTGGCTTGCTCGAGGTATCCCATCGCTGACGTGCCCGCGTCTGAGATTGCAGCTGTCATGGGCGACGCCGAGCGGGGTGCACCCAGGCCACTTGTCCCAGCCACGCTGGAACTGCTCGAGCGGGCGGGGAAGGCGCGTGGGTCTGTAGGTAGCTGGTACGGCGTTCCGCGAGGTGAAGGTGTAATGGTCGCGGAGGAGTGGTTGGGGGGTAGACCGACATTTGGGCCGGAGGGCGGGGAGGAGGGCGCAAAGAGGTCTGCCGGGGGTGGTGGGGAGATGAGGATCTGGGCAGTCAGTGCGTCGGTGAGAGGAGGGGGGTGCGGGGGGATGACATACCTGGTGTGAGAGGTTGGTCTGGTCCTGGACACGGTCAGCTATTGCCATTGTGGAATAGTTAATGTAGGGTTCGTACGGTACATACCGAGGTGCCAACGAGTGGAGGGACATTGCCTTTGCGCTCGTTACAGAACGACAAGAGCTGGAGTAGCGCATGTGGTAGCGGGTTGGTGGTTGCCCGCGTCACAAATGTGAGGGTGATGAGATGCTCCTCCCATGGTACGAGCGCCTGTCTGTCAGCTTTATGTATTTACCTGAAAGGCAAGCCAACCTCTGTGACGGCAAACCAGCCCTTTCGATTCTTGCGTTGTAGGAAGACGACAGCGATCTGGTCGTGTGAGCACAGAATGAGATGGAGCCGATAGATCATCAACGACGCTCGCTGCTTACCTCTCCAGAGTCGGCCCCGGCATCCACAAACGTCTGCTGGAACTCGTCCACTTTGGTATTGATATCGCGCTCTAACGCACGCATGTCCCGACCACTGGCGACCGCGACATGCGTCTCGAGGATATCAACCGTCTCGGGATCGACATTATCCAAAGTGCGATGGAAGTAGATTGCGTGAAGGAGAGCGCGGAGGACGGTCGCTGCGTGCCGCCGCTCGATACGCTAGTACTGTCAGTAACGAGTAGATGTGGGACAGGACGTACGAGCTTGAGGTGGTTGAGCGTGTCCATGTTATGGCTTGTTCATGGTCAGGTAGAGGAGACGTCGATGTTGTGCATCATCGTATTGCGCACGGGTAATGGCGGCACCAGTTGGGTGGCGGGAAAGCCACCGTGGGAAACTTGCTTGTCGCGACCAACGAGATCACCCCAAATGGTAGCGTGTACGACATCGAGAGCGATGAAGGTCAGACAAGACGGCATGACAGGAGCGCGTCACTGGTCTTGGTCCATGTATGCATCTGTACCTCCCCAACAGCTTTCTGATGGGCAACACACCTGACGTCCCTTTGACGTCACCAACCCCCCTCCAACAGAGCATGAACAAGTCACGGTTTTGCATACGGCGCCAGTACATGGCCGTCATATCAGATTTAGATAAAGTTACACGCAAGACGGCTATGGCCACTCTCGTCTATCAAAAACGTACATCCCCTCTTCCCCACTCCACCACGTTACCCAAATGTCATATTTTTGTTGGCCGTTTTATGGCCTAATCGCGCTCCACTTCGTTCATGGCCGATACCAGACGCGACATGGCCTGGAACATGAGGCCCGCACGCTGAGTCTCGGCACTTGAAGGAGGCGGCTGGCCACCGGACTCGGCGGCAAGCTGCGCGTTTTGTTGGATGACCTCTTGCGCCTTGCGCTCGAACGCGTTGAAAATCTCACGGACACTTGCGCGCCACGAGTCCCATACGACACCGACAATGTGCGATTCGATCGCCTCCGAAATCCCAGTGCCAGAGAGGCGGGCACCGTGGACGGTGATCTGGGCCGAAGGCTGGCCGGCAGCGTTGGGAGGCGGTGGCGGGCAGGGAAAAGTGAGTATTGTGGTCGTGCGAGACAACAATGCGAGCTGTGGCAGCGTCTGTTGTGGTGAGGCCGAGCAGTGGGTGCACTGGGTGACCGAGTGGAATAGGCGGAGGGAACGCGCCAGAGGAGGGAAGATGTACATGTTGAGCGGTGTGTTGGATCCAGGCTTGGGCTCCAAGGGGTGCTGAGTGAGAAGAGCAAGAACCCGAGGAACAAGGGCAACGTGTGCACACGGAGCCTGGTAGGTTGAACCGCCAAGGCTGCCGAGGTTCAGGTCGCTACCATCGGGGTTCTGAGTACCGTCCTCGACGGGCATGGCGTGAGACAGGTCGAGCAGGGCGAGATGGGGGTCAAGCCCCTGCTGGTCCATACCGTCCATGCCGTGGTCGGCGGTGGGGTCCTGCCCGTCGGGGGGACCTTCAACTGGGGCAGTGCCGCTTGATTCGTTGAGCGAGAAAATGGCATCACGAAGGGCCGACGTGGTGTGTTGGTCCATCTCAGAAGAGTAGTTTCCATCGCCAGTGTCGGGAAAGTCGCCAGTGCCAAAGGGACCACTGTTGTTGCCCTGGCTTGAGTTGTATGGCAAGTTGTGGACAAACGTCGCCAGCGGCAGGTCGGCGAGGTAGCCGTCAATAGCAATAGCCTCGAGCTGCTAGGTGAGCAAGGTGCAACGTCTCAAAAGAACCCACCATCTGGTCATCGCTCATTGTCAACATCTGGTCGTCATCGTCCTCCTCGGCAAGACCAAGGTCCATAGCCATGCCCATGGCCATACGCATGTCCATCGTGTCGGTCCCGAGTCCGCCGATGCTATCCCGTTGCAGCTTGCGCTTCTTGCCGGCCAGACCCGACATGGACGACAGGTGCGAGCGCTGCTCCAAAGCGTTGGCGAGCTTCTGGTCCTTGGGGACTGTCCTCCGGCGCTGACGAGGGGCATAGATGCACTGCCAGCCCCCTTGGGCACAACGCGTGCAGGATGGACGGTCACCTGAACATTTCTGATATCGTCAGCCAACAATGAAAAATGTGGGTTGGCAGGGGGGACACCACTTACCTGCTTGGCAGCATGGCATAGGTCGCACGCTGAAGGTCGAGTCAGCATCCATCCATCCATGCACGAGGTGCCACTTACCTTTACGGATGCTAGGCGGGCGTCCAAACGAGGCGCGAGGCGGAGTGTCAACATGTGGGCTGCCCATGCCTAAACTGAGGTCGAGGTCGGTGTCCTGAGCGTGAAGGCCCACATCGTCCGGGCCTTCCACGGGGATCTCGAGGGCGTGGACATCCACGACATCCTGGTGGTGGTGGTGGTGGTGGTGCTCGGTGCCATCATCCTTGTGGGTGTGACTGAAGTCGGGTTGCTGAAGGTTGTGGTGGAAATGGTGTTGCTGGTGGGGAGCAGGCTGAAGGTCGGCGAGCCCGAGCTGGGCCGCGGCGGCGGCGGCCGCGGTAGCGAGGGCAACGTCCTGCTCGGCCTGTTGTGCGAGGTCGTCCATGCTCTGGTGGGCGCAACTGCTATCAGCGGGGAAGATAACCACGCGGCGGTGGAGGTGGATGGGGGATCGAGGTAACGCCGAGAATGGAGAGAACGAGGCGGATGGTGGTGAAGGAAGCGGCGTTTCACGGCGTGTTGTGGGAGGCAGCGGTCTCAATGTCTTGCCAGAGGGGGAGGGGCCTTGGCCTCACTGGCCCACTGCCAACAACCACACGGCAGATCCATACGCCCAAAAAGACTCACCTTGTTGGCAGGGTTGCTGGGAGAAGCGGGAACGTGGATGGAACGGGATGGATGCCGGGGGAGATTTGTATGTGAACGTTGTGCAGAACAGTGGTGATAGCGAGCAAACTGGTTTTCTCGTCCTGGTCCTCGCTCGGGTGGCGACGGGTCGCTCCCCCAGGCTCTGCTCTCGCTGGCCGTGGCGTGCGCAAGCGGTTGTTTGGGGGGGCCAGTGGAAAAAAACACACGGGATCAAAATCTTCCATTCAATACAAACATCACGTGACCCCGGCCTGTGCCGCCAGATTCTGCCAGACGTCATCGTTAGTCAGCATGCGTGGGAGAGTATCTGGCCACCCACAGATATGGTCAGTTGTGATTTCAACAGACGAAGACAGCCGATCATTGCATGACTCACCAACACTCTCTCTCATCTACTCATCTACCTACCATGTCTGCTCCTGAAGCATCTACATCCACCGCAAAGCCCGTCGTCATGTTCAAAAAGGGCCCCCGTTCACGGCCAAACCAGTCCCGCAAGCGCTCAGCCACCCCACCCGTCGACGACGAAGGGAGCGCTGCCGCCGAGGAAGCAACCGCAATCGTCCGCCCAAACAAGAAGTCGATCGCCAACCCGCTCGTCCAAGGCTCCAAGAGGCGACGGGGTGAGAACGAGGGCAGCGGCGCGGGTGGTGGACTCGACGAGTTTGACTACAAGGCCGACGAGGGCGCAATGTCGCGTGCCGACGACTTTGCGACCCGTGATGCCAACTGGGACCTCCAAGGGGTCGAGAAGAAGGACGAGCACAAGCGAATCAAGATTGACGAGGACGGTAACATTGATGATGGCATGTACCATGGTCAAGCCGGCTACCTCAAGACCCTCAACACTCGTGGTGGTTCGCAGAGCGATGCCAAGATGAAGACGGGTCCCATCCGCGCCACCGCCAACATTCGCACCATCACCCTCGTCGACTACCAACCCGACGTGTGTAAGCCATACAAGGACACTGGTTTCTGTGGCTATGGCGACTCGTGCAAGTTTATGCACGACCGTGGCGACTATCTCGCTGGCTGGCAACTCGACCAGCTGGACCCCAACGACGACCAGGTCAAAGAGGTGGAAGAGGAGGAGGAGATGCTCCCCTTTGCCTGCCTCATCTGCAAGAAGGAGTTTAACGAGCCTGTCGTCACAAAGTGCGGTCACTACTTTTGCATGAAGTGCGCCGTCGACCGCTTCATCAAGTCGCCAAAGTGCTACGCCTGCGGTGCCGCTACCAACGGTATCTTCAACAAGGCCGAAAAGCTCCTTGCCAAGCTCGAGGCCAAGCAGAAGCGCCGCATGGAAGAAAAGGGTCTCGTCGAGGTCAGCGATGACGAGGGTATCGAGATTGGTGGAGGAGGTGACAGCGACGACGAAGGCGAGGATGCCGCCAGCGATGCTGGCGATGACCAGGACGACAGCCGCCACGAGGGCTGGCAGGTGCCAGAATAGGCGACCTGCTCTCCACCCCGTCTGCATACCCTCCACCGAGTTTAGTAGCATTGTTGTAGTACCATCACATTATGATATCAGGATAGAAGGCATTGCTTAAGAGCAGTTGCGGCAGTCATGGCACAGAGGTACATTCCAGACAGCTAGTTACATTTGTATTTCAGGTCTGAGGCTGTCTTCGAGGCCGCACAGTTTTGAACATTACTCACCCTCACCCTTCACTGCAACAGGAATTCCGGACCTATCCTCGAGATCCGCCCCGTTCTCCCTCTGCGTCTCCGCCGTCTGCGTCTCGTCCGGCGGGAAGAGGACTGGCATCTTGTCGTGGCAAAAGGTAACGGCAAACACCACACCCGACGCGGCGATCACGGCACTGGTGAAGAAGAACGAGTTGCGCGAACCCGTCCAGTCGGTCAAGGTGCCACTCGGATTGGACTTGAGAAACCCGGCTTGGGCGGCGTTGCCGACCGCAGCGCCAATTTGGAACAGGACTTGGACAAAGCTTCCTGCCACGCCGGCGAATTCAGTGGGGAAGGTTTGGATGAGGTTGGTGCTGAGTCAACTTGTTAGTTCACGCGAGAGTTTGCTGGTTGACAGAACTCACTTGATGACGACGAAGATGATCATGGCGCCAACGGTGCCCACAATCTCGCTCGGGAAGATATCTGGCTGTCAGGAGAAGGCACCCATGACAGAATGTTCAAATACTCACAGCGCCAATAGTCCTTGCCGTGTCCGCCACCCGAATATGCCAACAGGATGCCGCTGCCAAAGCACAGAGCTGAGGCGAGGGGGATGGTGTACCTCGGTTTCTGGAAGAGAACAGGGAACGGCTGTGAGAGCGCACCAACCAGGCAGGCAGTGATGCCCATGGGCAGGATCTTGACGCCCGTAATGATGGGCGAGTTGTGCAGGACTTGCTGGAAGTAGGTGGCCATGCGGAGCTGGTAAGGAGCGTACCCTGGGCTGGTTAGCTCGACAGCATCTGCTAGCTCGACAGTTCAACATCGATAGGTGGCGACCTACACAGGAAGATGGTAAGGGCAGCGAGAACGAGTGGTCCAATGTTGGGAAACCTCCACAAGTCATGCGGCAAGAGAGAGAACCCGATGGGTAGCTTGCTCTCCCAAAGGAAGAAGAATGGGAGGATGCACAGCGATAAGGTGAGGGGCGCGATGAACAGCGCGTTGCTCCAGCCAGCAGTCTCGACTTGGGTCCATGCCAACATGAAGAAGACGAGAGTGGCGAGAAGTAGGTCCGATCCGAGGATGTCCATGCGCTTCCACCTGTCCACTCCTCGCATACGCCGTACGACAGGAGTGACGCGCGGGAGAATCCAGAGGGTTAGGAATGACAGCGGAATGACGAGGATCGCCACGCTGCGGACATGAGTTCTCGCCTCTTGTGTTGCCGAGGACTCACAAACGGAAATACCATCGCCACGAAACTGCGAGGAAACCACCGGCGATTACGAATGCCACAGTGTTGGCAAGTGCAGCGGACAGGCTAAAGAGGGCGAGTTTCTTGGACTGCTCGGTGCGGTCGGGGTACATCTGAACTGGAAACAAGAGTCAAAAACGAAAACCGGCGAGAATATGCTTCAAACTTACCAATCATGTTGACCGAGGAAGGGACGGTAAAGACGGAAAAGAGCGCAGACAGTCCTCTGAGGACGAGAAACGCATACTTGTTACTCATGAACGATAGGACAAGGTTCAGGATTCCATTACCGAGGAAGCCAACGCTGTACACCATTGACGGCGAGTAGAGGTCTGCCACTCTTCCAGCGAAGAGCAGACAGGAGGCGAATGGGAGTGAATAGCTGTACACGGTCCAGATGGAGTTGGCGACATTCAGTTCTAGCTGTTCAGCAATGGGGGCAGTCATAATGAATGCAGCAGAGGTGCCGGCAACGTCAATGAAGACCGCGAGACACTGAAGCGTTAGGTTGGCATAACTCGTTATAACTCGTCAAAGCGAAGGATGGTGTTGGCTCACAAAGATGAAGAGGAGAAACGTCTTCTGTCCACTGGGGAGAGGAGCGAGGACATTGACCTCGCTTTCTTCGATCTCCATCTCGAGGACGATGGTGGGTTTGGCATCGGTGGTCGTGTCGGCCTTGCCCTCCTGATTGTCATTGTCGCTCTTGACATTGGGGTCAGGAGAGGGCTGTGGAGTCGTATCCTCGCACATTGCGGCGCTGATACTGTTGACAGGTTCACCAAGGTCGACCGTGCTGGACGAGTCGTTATTGTGGAGAGTCATAGGTGGCACTGTCATGTGGATATGGCGTGTTGGTGCTGGGCTTTGAGGTTGGTGGCTCGCCGAGGAGGCTGGGTTTCTCATGCCACTAACTCATCACCTTTCTTTTATCAAGAGCATACAGCAACATGTATCGACGTGGCTGGACGTACTTGTTGACGTGGCATGTCGCTGGCGGAACCGTACAAGAATTCATGCAATGGCGGGCGCAAGAGTCAGCAGCGTCAGAGGGGCATGCTTGCTCATCCTGCGTCATAGTGATGTCTGGTTCTCAACATCTGCGGCTTGGCTGTTGCATGCGGTACCAGTCGGTGCCGAGTGTAGGGCAGGGTAAGGACCGCCAAGTCGATCAACTGACCATATGGGCGAACGTCTCCGAGATTCGACTGTCCGTTTCCCGGTTCGCTCAGATTGCGGACGTGGCACCACGCTTGCTGCCACGTCGACCTGCGGATTGTTGTCACCCCAGTGTACTGATCAGTGGAGAGGCTACTTCTTATCGGACCAGTCACTGTCGAGTGTTCTGGGCCCCGCGCAGAGTACAGACATGCAACAGGCCCGGGTTGCCCCTGTGTCGCGCTGGCGTTACGGCGATTTCACACTGAGCCAACTTCACAATTGGTACATACATATGTTCACTGCCCCTTTGAGCACGCTCTATGGCCTCTCACCATGCATAACACTCCAGAGTTGCTTCACCGCAGGTTCGTCGAGGGTGAACGAGTTCTCAACGGCCAGCGCCTCGGCAATGTGGGTCGGCGACGTCGAGCCGCAGAGCGGGGTGATGTTCCACCTATGGTCTGTCAGCGAGATTCGCTCTGTTCATCGTAGCCAGTACGTACAGCTGACACAGCCGATACACGGTCTGCTCCGGAGTGATACCATTGCTGGTCGCCAGCGCCTCTACGAGCGGCGACTGCAAGAGAGCGGGCGACCCAGTGAGCGTCCAAAAGCTCTGATACCTGATTCCGTGCTTCTGACAGAGATCATACACGGCCCCATCCCACCCATTGTCCTGATACCACCTATTCTGCACTACCGAGACTGGGACCGTGGCCTGTCCAATGAGCCATGCCAGCTCGTCCGCGTCATAGATGTTGGACACCCCAATGGCCCCGACTGTTCCCTTTGTGACAAAGTCCTCCAGGACGCGGTACGCTGCGAGGGTCGCTTCGCGCGTGCGCAGGGGCGAGTGCAGGACCACCGAGTCGATGCGAGTCACTCCGAGGTTGGTGAGTGACCGAGCGATGGATTGTTTAACCTGCTCCGGGATGGGAAGTTTGGGGTCGTACGGCAAGGGCTGGCGGCGATCCTGGCCGTCGATGGATGTGAACCTGGCCGTCAGCTCGTTTCCTTCGTCAATGAGCCGTACTTGGTCTGCAACCACAACTCGTCGCGGGTCACAAGACCTTCCTTTATCGCACGCAGCACACCCTCGCCAACAAGGTCCTCGCGGTAGTGCTGGCTGTCAGCTTCAGAACAACAGGACGAGCTGACCTTGGGCTGACACGCAGTGTCTACACCCCGGAATCCAGCCTTGAGCGCCGTATAGACGAGGTCCGCGGTGCGGTCCTTCTTCCTGTACGTTAGCGGGCGGCCTCTTAAACTGGCGCAGCACATCCGTACATACCAGGCTGTTCCGTAGACGATTTTGGGCATCAACATGTCGGGCATGGTCCATGGTCAAGTATGCAGAGCACAGGCAAGCTTCTGACGTAGGTGGTGTCTCGCCGTCCTCCATCTGACTCCGTCGCTCCTCGGAACCAAACAAGGCCACAGCACTCTGCGTTGTGGCGACATGGCCACTCTGATCCTCTGACCCCACTGACCCCTCTCGCGCAGCCCATCTTCAGAAACGGTGTACATTCAATGTTCTTCTATGGCTATGGTTACACCATGTGATCTATATGCAGCAAGTGAAACGGGATGTATGGAATTGCGATGAATGCCGGGGCTTTTGGCTTGTTCCTCTGTCTATGGGAACTCCTTTTTAGGCCTTGACAGGCTTGCGAGGCACAAGTGCCCACACGAGCAGCGAGAAGCCCAAGAGGGCAACCATAAGAGGCTGCAAGACCCAGACACCGGTGTGCTGCGAAATAGCGCCAGTGATGAATGGAAGCATGGCTGAGCCAACCTGGCCCAGACTGGCGACCAGGCCAATGGCACCGCCCTGCAGCTCCTGCGGGATGATGGCGACAATCACCATCATGACGATAGGGTACATGGGACCCAGGGCGACACCGACAAATGCGTACGCGACAGCATCACCGATGAAGCTCCTAACTGTCCACACGACGACCTCGAGCGCGATGGCGACGGCGGTGTAGACCCAAACGGCGTTCCACTGCCCCAGCATGCTCGTGACGGGGATGAGAATAACGCCTGGAGTTGTGGGTCAGCTTTGTAGTGCAATTAACAGCTCTAGACTTACGGCCCAAGGTAAGACCACCAAAGTATCCCGACGAGACGTAACCGGACGAGTCGTTGCCGCCGCGCTCGTCGATGAGGAACGAAGTCGCCCAGCCGCCGATCGTGACCTCCACACCAACGTAGATGAGGATGTAGACGGAGAGGAAGTACATGGTGGGCGAGCGAAGGAGACGCTTCATCTTGCTGCCTGAACCGGAGGCACCCTTGGCATTCCTGGGTGACGGAGGAGGAGACTGGGCCTCAACTTGCGACGCATCGGTATCGTGTGTCGCCTCAGGTGTAAGTTCGACAGCGTTCTCGCCTTCGATAACCTCTGGCTCGCGAGGGCCAAGAATCTGGTCATCGGTGCGGAAACGGAACACGCTAATGAGCATGATGGCCGTCAGGGCGCCGAGACCGAGCGAAACAGCATAGTAGTAGTAGACCTCCTTCTGGACGTGCTTGACGAACTGGGTCGAGACGAGGGGCGACATTGTTGCGCCAAGGCCGTACACGGCGTGCATGAGGAACATGAGCGTGTTGGCGTGGGGCATGCGGGAGACGAGCGAGTTGACCTGCGCATCCTGGAGTCCAAGGCCGAATCCGACCAGCACGAATGCAAAGCAGAAGAGCTCGTATGGGCCGCCCCAGCACATGAAAATGTAGCCCGACATCTGAGAGATGGCGCCAAGGGGAGCAACTGGAGGTGCGTGAGAACTGAAATGGGTGGATGAAGCAAGGGACCTACCAATACCGAAGCCAAATCGATCAGTAAGCCACACGTTGGTGACGCCGGACAAGAAGAAGCCAAGAGCGTTGAAGATCCAGATAATGGAGACTGGGAGGAGTCAGAGCTTGTTCCAATTGTTCCATCTTGAGTCATCTTGAGCACTTACTGATCAGATAATCAACCTATTTGCCGTCAGCATGCAGATCTCGGTGTATTGCCGACTCGCCACTCACGTTGTAGTACTCCTGCAGACTGGGGAGGAGGGGGCCTTGACTGCCGTCGTTCCAGCCTGCGAGGAACATGACGAGGAAAAGAGTACCGCTTGCAATGTTAGTACGTTTACACCTCTGGTACTCTGCAAACTCACACCATAGCGTTGTAGTGCATCTTGCCGGGACGCGGCATCTCATTGCCCAGGCGAGCAAAGACATAATGGTGACGAGGAGGCTCGTCGTTCACCATCATTGCGATACCTGCTGACGCAGTGGCCTCAATGCAGCCTTCAGGTGCATACACGGCCGAGACGCGAGACGTAAGGCGCTCGAGTGGGCTCATCGACTCGCTGGTGGGCTCGTTTTTTGAGATGTCGGTCTTTTCCGACACCGCCACTGGTGTGGTGATAGCGGCCTTCTCGCTCATCTTGAACTCTGGAAATTCGGGGGGTCGGGGGAGGGGGGCGTTCGTGTCGATAGGGTGGCAAATGTGTAGACGTGGGAAACGCTTGGAAGATAACTGCTGTTGTCACGAGCGAGTTGTTGCTCTTAAGAAGTCTTCTGCTTCTCAGCTGGGCTCCACGTCTAACGGCTGGATATGTCAGCAACGACAAGGAAACCTTCCGGCCCATGTTGCGTTTCCTTCGCACCATTAACATACGTTGCAGGCGAGGGCTACGGGGCCATGGGAGCGGCGGTCCAGTTACCTACAAGGTGAGAAGAGTAATGCCGACCGTTTCGAGTTGTACGCGCTGGGTTGACACGGGTCGCTGCTCGGTGGCCGCCGAGATTTACCGGTCCACGCCAAGGCATCGGCGAGTTTTTCCCGCCGCCGCCTGTAAATTGCTGCAAAACGGCGAAGTTGGGCCGGGTCACCAGGGCGTCTGGGGCCCTGTCAGGTGCAGTTACCAGTGGACAGGCGGGTCCCCCGTGCGGTTGGGCACCGACGACGGTCTTGGCAGTAGGGGGGAGACGCCGAGAGGTCCCAGGGTGGCCTCAAAAAGTGCGATGTAACTCGGATAAATATCGGCGGCTTGACAGTGCGGAACGCGATTTTGCGGGGGGCGGATTAAAACATTTAAACAGAGTGCGAATTGTTCTTGTGATCCTCCTCCGTTGCGACTCACTGCGCACTTGTGGAGCACCTTGTTGCGAGGACACATGTCACACCCCGCACAACCTTCCGGTGCGGTTACGTCATGAAGTCCTATATGCAGCACGCTTGGCATAACATCTGACTAAACCTCCCGCTGATCCACTGATCGCCGACAGTCTGGAAGCTTCCCCGGTCACATGTGATCATGTGAGACAGGACACAGGGTGGCTACAGTAGAGGGTGTCGAGGCACACAGCCTCTCACAATGTCCGTGTCTACTGCAGCCACCACGCACATTGTTGCACGGATCACATATCGCATCGCCATTCCGTCAAAGTCTTACAAAAGTAACTGTTCACCCCTTCTTGATCTTTCCTTGTTTCCTTTCTCACTTAAACAATCATCCTCCGGGCATACGTATCGTGGCAACCAGTGCTCAACTAGTTGAGGTTGCCCGGAGCCGGGCCAAAGTATCCAATGTCGGGAATCTTGAACGGCGCGCAGTCTGCGTTGTTCCAGCCACCGATGCAACCAGGCTGGGCATCGGGGTTGCCCCACCAAGTGGGGAAGGCGATGTTGGGGAAAACGAGCGCCCAGAAGACGAGGAGCGCATTGATGGAAATCGCTCCGCCAAGGGCTGCGAGGGTAACGTAGTTGTATCGAGTCCAGAACTCGAGGTAGTTGCGCTTGAGGTAGTTCCACGAGAACAGGTTGATGAAGATACCGGGGATGTACGCGCCCCAGTGTCCGCCCCAAGCGAACGAAAGAATGAGGAGAAGTGGGTGGCACGACTGGAGGATCTCGCTCTTCTTGAACTTCTTCTTGAGGAGGAAGATGACTGTGGCGTTGTTAGAACAATGTCCGTATCTTTGCACATACTGATGGGGATAGCGACACCGAGCGGGAAGCCAATGAGCAGAATCGAGTACTTGGATCCGGGGCCGAACATGCGCTTGGCACCCAGGGTACCCCAGAACACGCTGGTGAGGTCAGCATCGTGGACGCAAGTGAAGAACCCACAAGTTGGAGAAGTCGCCCTGGATTCCAGGACAGATGAGCCTGAATGGAGCGTCGGGTGTACACACTCCCGGGAGGTCCATGAGCCAGTTCCACTGGCCCACAGTGACCATGGTGCCGATGAGGCCACCCCACATCTGGACCCAGAACATGTCGCGAGGTGGGATCTTGACGTAATGCGAGAGCTTGAGGTCGTTGGAGTAGATCAACGCGTGGTAGGCCGGCTCTGAACCAAACATGCGGAAGAACTGGACCGTCCTGTTCTAGTCAGTAAAAGGTACAGTATATCGTCACCGGGCGCTGTTAAATACGAACATGGTGTCTCCGCCAGCTGCTGCGCCGCCGATTATTTCGGCTATTGTGTTGAGAGAGGGCTCGATGCCCGACACAGCCGTCACGATGCCAATAGGAATAACGAAGATGATGGTCATTGCGGGAGCCATGAGGACGACCGCAGGGTTTACGTCGGTGTAAACGCCCAGACAGACCATGCTGAGAATCATGAACACGACGGCGACGATAGTAAACCACCACTCGGGGACCTCGGGGTACGCCTGCATGAGACGGTAGTGAATGTCGTCACCAAAGTGGACATCGTCCTCCTCGCCCACGTCTTGGCCACGGATCCTGCAGACGAAGCGTTTGAAGTCCTTCCACAGGCTACCCCAGCCCATCTTGAGCTCGTGGCGGTTGTAGAGGAGTGTGTGAGTGAGGGCTGGAGGTTAGTCAGGCACCGTCGCTGCGAGGGTATATGTATAGTAGAACTCACTACCAGTGGTGTAGGCAAAGCTTCCGATAAAGGAAACGATGCGGGTAGCGCTCATGTACGGCTCAGAGTACTCTGCCCTGGTGTCAGCGGGGGTTTTTTGACGTGATTTTCGGATATTTTTATTTTATTTATTTTGTGTTGGCGTCTAGGGTAATCCCTTCTCCAAGGTAGCTGGGCGTCGAAACGCCAACTCGACGGGGATAACATGGTAACCCTCGGTCTGGGACAGACTTACGTTGGTACTTCTCCTCGATGATCCTGCCCATCGAGTCGGTGACACTGGTGACCTTGTAGCTGTTGCCCTTGTTGTCGAAGGTGCTGGGAGAGGCGATCATGAGGTATCCGGTGTTCCAAGCGTTACGATAATAGAAGATGATGGAAAGAAGGAGCGCAACTGTGAGGCCAGCCAGGAAGTTGTAGTGGACAAACATGGGGTAGTAGCCTCCTGGGTTGGCAAGGTAGTTGTAGTCGAACGTGGGGAAGGGGTTGAAGCCCAAGCCGACACCAAAGTTGAGGGAAGTGATCGCCACAAGCTTGCCGTTGGTAGGCTTGATCCAGGACATCCAGTCGAAGATGGTGAGGTTGGGGAACATGTAGCCCGGGAAGAAGTAATAGACGAAATAGGCGATAAAAACGACCCAGAAGCACTTGTACATGCTCGCCTTCCAGCGGGTGCCAAACGGACCGGGGATGTAGGACGATTTGCTGCCGTGGTCGTGGAGGGCGTTGTTGAGCGCAATGGTGGACAGCGAGAATGGCCAGACACAGTACGATGGGTAGACGAGGAAGCGACGGGTGAGGCCAGCAAATCCAAAACCGATCATGTTCGTTCCCAGGGAACCGAGGAACTGGTAACCGGGCTTGCGGGCCCACTCCATGTTATAGTACTGGGGCATTGCCTGGACAAAGACAAGATGCTGAAGCGGCGGCCAGGACATGCCCAGTCCACTCATGATGACAATAAGCATGTGCTCCTTCTTGTTGAACGGTCCGGGGTTGAGGTTGACACCGAGAATAGTCTTCTTCGGCAACCACTTGGCCATTGCCAGGCCGCATGGGTAAGCGATAAGTTGAACCACGTTTTGTCCGATGGCAACCGACGGGTAACGCTAATTCACAGTCAGTATGTATGTTGTCGCAAAGTATGTAGCCAAACGAACCAAGGAGAAGATGGAATTAATAACGCATCCAATGGCCGAGAAGAAAGTGCCGATAATCCACACGCGAATGGTGAGGGTGGGCAAGGTGGGGTCGTCGGTGTTGGTGGCAACAGCACGGACTTCAGGGTAGGCGGACGAAGTGGTGGTGAGGAGAGCAAAGATCCGCATTTCGAAGATGAGTTCCTTGTAGAGCTCTGGGTTGGCAAGGATCTCTGGGTCGAAGAGGAACATGCGAATGCGCTCGAGGGTCTGGGGGTCGTAACGAGGGTCGTGCTGGTGAACAGTGTAGATCTCGTCAAGGACCTTGACGTTGGTCAGCTGTGTTTTGCCGAGCGATCCTTCTGCGAGGCACACCACCTACCTTTCTGGCCTCCTCTGCGGGCATCTCGGGCAACTTGGATTCGAGCTCCTCAAGCTCAGCCTGGGTGATCTGGACGTGACCCGAGGCCATCAGGTTGGCACCCAAGTCGGCATCCTCGGCCTTCTTCAGGGGGTCACCGTGGTCATCGACATCGTGGTTCTCTGCAAGATTCTCCTAGGCACTATCAGTCACAGTCTCTCACATAAACAAGTGGCACTCTGCCACCGCTCACTGCCACTCACCACCCAGAGATCATTCCCTTTGGTTTCGGTGATGCCGTCCTTCTCGGCCATGGTTTCTGAGTTCGAAGTGGAGTGGCGCTGAAGCAAACCGAAGGAATCACGAGGGGGTGTTCCCTCGTGATATATATACCGGGTTGTAAGTTACACTCAGCGCTTGACCGGTCGACGGCCCCACCGGCCCCCATCACCACTCTTCCGAACTCCGTGAACTAACCGCCGACAAGAGATATGGAATGCCAAAACCGAGCATGCGGTAGGTTCGTACGTCAACTCCTCTAGTGCTTGTGCCAAGGCCACTTCCTTTCAGATAGCCCATGGGGACCCACATCTATCCTCGATGTGGGCAGAGACCGGCCCGGGGTTGCGACTCCAGGAACGTTTCCTTGCGATCGCTCGGCACGAAGGTTCGCGGCGTTTGCCCCGCGTTGAACGATACTGAACGCGCTTTAAACGTTGGTAGAAGGTCGAGTGTTTGGCTGGAGCTCCACACTCATTAGCTAAAGTTAGCTGAACTTTGGCGTTTCTCGGCCGAATCGGCGAGCAACGAGCTGCACCGCGGCATGTGCTGCCTGTGGAGAGAAGAGTCTGGTGCTGGGGATTGGCCATATCCGGCTCTCGCTCGATTGGCCATTCGGCAGCTAGCTGCAGCTAGGCTGGTTCCTTAACATGTCACCAGCTCCAGGCATCTTGGCGGAGAAGAGCGACGCTGTGTGGTTGTTGTGGACGGCGGTTATTGGCGGCGGCGGAGTGTCGGGATATGGGCGGGTTCCCTCCACGGCCCAACTCAAGCAACATCCAGGCAACGAGCTGCGAAGCATGGTCCGCTCATAGAGGCCTGCACGTCATCTGTCCATTTCCCTGCCCACCCTCATGCAAAAGGGTGCGTCGGCAGCATCGCCGCAGCTCATCACGTTCGTCGCAGTAATGATGATGCCGGAGCTACGGGATCCCCCACCTCGTACGCGTATATGCGGACACCTGATGCAAGGACCGCTGAATCTCCTGGGGGCCCGCGGTGGGAGTTGGGGTCTACGCCCACTGGAATCAAGTGCAGGTACCGCGTGTATAGAGCCATAGCTGCGTATAGCTGTTCCCCGCACACCACATGGTCTGGTGACTCGATTGGCGATGCCCACTAGGGCCCGTCGTTCCCATTTGCGACAATCGGTCGCGGTTGGCCATCATTCAACGTTCACTATCGTGTCAATATTGGCTACTGATCCGCTGACCCGCTGACCCTGCCTCGCGGTGTGTATGTGTGTTGGGGCCATCAGAACCGGCGTAAACTCCGTATCCTCATATAAGTATCGCTCGTCATCCCGTCCCAAGGTCACATGCTCCTGCGAAGGCTACAAACCGTACAACATACCGCGCACCATGACCAAAACGCTGGTCAACACCCAATCTGAAGTAACCGCCGCGCCTACTAAGCTGGGTGGTAGCGCAGGAGTGGCCGTGTCCTCTCTGAACAGCTGGGACGAGGAGTTTGAGCAGGACGACAAGTTCACCCTGGCTCGCCTGGTTCTCAACCATGTCGACCCGGTTGCCACCCTCAGGTCGCGCCGCGCGCAGATTGCCGATGACAAGGTCTTCAATGTCAACCTCAAGGGCGTGAGCGACAAGGACGAGGGCAAGTACCCCGGTCCGCGCGTCAACCAAAAGTCGTCGGGCCGTTGCTGGCTGTTTGCTGCGAGTGAGTACATGACTGTTGGCGTCGGTCGACTCGTTCACGCGACCAGTGGGAAGTGTGGCGGTGCTGATCCCCATCCCCAGCAAATGTCCTCCGCTACAATGTCATCGAACAGCTCAAGCTTGGCGATTTCCAACTGTCCCAGAGCTACCTCTACTTCTACGACAAGCTTGAAAAGGCAAACTATTACCTCGAGTGAGCTAGACTCTTCCACGCAGTAGCTTACAGGCAGAAACGTTCTTGAGCTCGTCGATGAGCCCCTCGAAGGTCGCCTCATGTCATTCTTCAACACGGACCCTATGGGTGACGGTGGACAATGGGACATGGCGTACAACCTCCTGGGTGTGTAAGCGTGAGACCAGGGAGAGAACTGACCCACACACAGACAAGTACGGCATCATCCCGGCCTCGCTGTACCCAGAGTCCTTTTCGTCCTCGTCCTCGAGCCGCATGTGCTGGCTCCTCACGGCCAAGCTCCGCGAGTACACCATTGCGCTCCGCAAAGCTGTCCGCCCCACAAGCGACGAGACAGCAGCGACTGCCGAGGAGCTGCAGGCGCTGAAAACCGGGTTCATGCGCGAGATCTACGCCACGCTGTGTATCACCCTCGGCACACCTCCCAAGCCCGACGACAAGGTGACGTGGGAGTACTATGACAAGGACAACAAGTTCCACTCGTGGACGGGCACACCGCTGCAGTACTACTCCGAGTTCTGCGAGCGCAAGGACATGGCGCCCAAGGACAGCTTCTCGCTCATCAACGACCCGCGTAACGAGTATGGCAGGCTCTACACTGTCAAGCGTCTGGGTAACGTGTGGGGCGGTCCCCGTGTCCGCTGTGAGTTGTGGCATCCTGACTGAAGGGCTTACAACTGACTTGTCGCAGACGTCAACATCCCTATCGAAGAGCTCGAGGACGCCGTCGTGACCGGCATCAAGGCCAACACGCCCCTGTTCTTCGGCTGCGACGTCGGCAAGTTTATGGACGGCAAGGCGGGTATCCTCGACACTGCCCTGTTCCAGGTCTCTGCGGCGTTCCCATACAAGTTCAACTCGACCAAGGCCGAGCGCCTGGTGACAGGCGAGAGCTGTGCCAACCATGCCATGGTCATCACGGCTGTTCACGTCGACGAAGCCACGGGCCGGCCCGTCCGCTACAAGATTGAAAACTCGTGGTCGGACGAGAGTGGCGAAAAGGGCTGGTACATGGGTACAGCCGACTGGTTCCGCGAGTATGTCTACCAGGTGGTCATCCCGCGCTCGGTGGCGGAGACCAAGTGGGTCGAGGTGCTGGACCAGGAGCCGGCCGAGCTCGAGCCTTGGGACCCCATGGGTGCCCTTGCTGGCAAGTGAGCGAGCGAGTGGCAGCGACGTAGAATCAAATATGAGATGCAAGAGTGATGGTTATTCTAGCTTCGAAACACCTACACCCCTTGGCCCCTTGAAGCATGGTTCCTGCGCAACCCGTAAACGTGCCAGCCAGGCTCCCCAACACTACGGGCCCCGGTATCTACACAACATGACACGATTGTCAGCGTCAAGGACGTGCTTCCCATCGTGATGACATCATGACGTGTACCAAACCACCAACTTTTGTCCGTTGTCTTGGAATGTGGTGCTGTCTCACAGGCCACAGGCGCACTAGTGCCACTGGGCTACTGTGCTGTACTGCGTCGTGTGCTCCGCTCTCTACCGGCTCGGTGTCTCGCACAGCTGCTTTGCAGAATTCATCATTGTTAATGAAACAAAAGGTACAGTGCCAAGACGGCCGCTCTCGTGCCGAAGGTCCGAATGATCGTCGCCCTCAGTCTCGCCCAGGTAATGTTTTCGCCTGTGCGCCTGCGCCAACCACCAGGTCGACCTCCTTTGCATCTGTGGCCAAGCCAGTGCGCACCAATGCAAATGCAACCAGTTGTAATACTCATACTCGTGCGCGTGCGCACTCTATTCATCGGCAGGGCTACAAAACGCCAATTGAGGCTTTCTGGATCTTCTATCACTCTAAGCCTCTAGCGTCTTCTTTGCCCGTCTATTCCCAGTATATACACCTAGACGGCGGGGGGGCGGCACAATGCTCGTAATATGCGGTTGGGGTGTGTGGTTGGTTTGATATCAATGGCTGTGCCTTGTCGCCATCATGTGGGAGGGGGGAATCTCTGAATAGGGTGCCCTTCTAATCGTACACGTCGTGTAAGGTCGGGGTATCTTGTTTGCGTGTCCGCCGTGCCAGCGGAGGCCTTGTGGGCAAGCGTGTTCTGATGCGTTTATCGAGTTGCAACGTCCATTTCGTTCTGCGACCAGCGCCGCTGTTGGTAACCAAAATCAATGCGATGTTGATGTATAATTGTGCGCTGTAGGAAGTTTGGGAGAAATGGAAGGGGTGGTTTGAGGAGACGCGTGAACACATGCTTGCGAATAAAAAAAATGCTGGACGGGCGAAGAGCCGCTTGATGAGATGCGAGTCGGAAACGTGAAAGGGAAACTTGAGGTTGGAAAGAGAAAACGGAATGCGACGAGGTTGTTGTGTTCTTAACAAGTCCTCATCCGCGTTGCGCCAGGTGTCGCGAGACATTCTGGCTGTTGTGGTGGTGTTGTTTACCACCAGCTGGCGCCGGACGAGCCAGCAGCGGGGGGGAAACCACCACCGCCGAAGCCGCCGCCCATGCCACCAGCGGGGGCACCGCCGTAGCCTCCGCCGAAGCCACCAGCACCGCCGTAGCCGCCAGCGCCGCCGCGCGAGTAGCCGCCGGCCGAGCCGCCAAAGCCACCGCCGGTACGAGCGTCACGGCCACCGCCTGAGCGGGCGCCTCCGCCACGGCCACGGCCGCTCGAGCGACCGTAGCCACCGCCGCCGAACGAGCGCTCCTGCGAGATGTCGACGAGCCACTGGGGGATCTCCTGGTTGGCCTCCTTGAGAAGCTCGATGAGGTCGCGGCCAATGGCAAGGTTGGTGCGGTTGAAGAAGGCAGTCGAGGTACCAGTGTTACCGGCACGACCGGTACGACCGATACGGTGGGTGTACTCGGCAACGTCGGTGGGGAGGTCGTAAAGGATGACGTGGGTGACGTTGGGAATGTCGAGACCACGGGCAGCGACGGCAGTGGCGACAAGGATGGGGGCACGACCAGTACGGAAAGCGTAAAGGGCGGCCTCACGCTCGCGCTGGGTACGGTCACCGTGAATGGAGGTGGCGTTGTGGCGCTGCGAGCAGAGGAAGTCGCAAAGCGAGTCGGCCATGCGCTTGGTCTCGACGAAGACGAGGATGAGACCACCCGACTGCTCGGCGAGGAGCAAGTCGAGGAGGAGCGAACGCTTGTCGTGCTCGTCGACGTACTCGATACGCTGGGTAATGTTCTCCGAGGTGGAGCCGACACGACCGACCGAAAGGAAGATGTAGTCCTTGAGGAAGGTGCGGGCGAGCATCTGGATCTCCTTGGGGAAGGTGGCCGAGAACATGAGGGTCTGGCGGTCCTGGACACCAGGCATGTCCTCACCCTCGACAATGCGGCGGATCTGGGGCTCGAAACCCATGTCGAGCATGCGGTCGGCCTCGTCAAGGACAAGGTACTTGACGTTGGCGAGCGAGATGCGGCCACGCTCGATCAGGTCGACAAGACGACCAGGGGTGGCCGAGAGAAGGTCACAGCCGCGGTCGAGCTGGCGGATCTGCTGGCCAATGTCGGCACCACCGTAAACGACGGCGGGGCGGACCCACGAGCGGTAGGCAAACTTGCGGGCCTCCTCGTGAATCTGCGAGACGAGCTCACGAGTGGGGGCAAGGATGAGGGCAGTGGGGTAGGCCTTGCGGCGCGAGTAGCCGTACGACTGGTTCTCGGGGGGAGGAGCCGAGGGGCCGTAGGTGAACATGGCCGAGAGGATGGGGAAGAGGAAACCACCAGTCTTACCCGAACCGGTCTGGGCACAGGCCATGAGGTCACGGCCGAGAGCGATAATGGGGATCGAGTACTTCTGGACGGGGGTGGGGGTGGTGTAGCGCGAGTAGGCAATGTTCTCGAGGAGAACGGGGTCGATGGGGGCCTTGAACTCGGTCACGGGCTCGGGAGCACCGGCACCGGTAGCCTCAACAGGGATGTCGGCATACTTGTCAAAGTTAATACCGGTCGACTGAGACATTAGCATTTCATTCAGCACAGGATTTTTGATTCCGGCGGGTCAGGTCGGGTCCCGTCGATCAATTTTTGCCACTCACCTGGTGAGAGCCGTCACCCTCCTCGCCGTAGAGCTCCTTCTCGAGACGGGGGTTGCGAGCACCAGGGACGTGCTTGCCATCGCGCCAGGCGCCGACACCGGGAGCGGTGCCGCGCTCGAACGAGCGGTCACCACCACCGCCACCGGCAGCGCGGCGGGGACCAGCGCCCCAGCCACCGTCGTCCGAGCCAGCGGCACGGACGGGGGGAACGTAGGAGCCGCGAGCGGGGACGGGGGTAGGAGCGGGAGTGGGGAGGCCGGTAGGCGACGGGCGGTAGCCGTTGCCAGCGGGGGTAGGGGTGGGCGCGGCGCCGTTGAAGGCGGCGGGCGCAGGGGCGGCCTTGACAGGCTCGGCGGCCTGGCGGGCGCGGAGGTAAGGGGGAACGTAGGCGGGACGTCCGGCGTTGAGCGAGACGCTGGCTGTAGGATGGTTAGCGGTTGCCATTGACAATGTAGGAAGACGTTGATGGCGCGTTGTGAGATGCAGACAGGGCAAGGGAAGATGGGTGGCAAGATGATGAATCACCCAACCCACGCCACCCACCCCCCAACCACTCCCGGGAGCAACGCGCTCACGCGACCGCCATCTGTCCTCTACTCACCGAACTTCTTCTCGAGGCCGGCGGTGCCGTTGGCGGTACCGTTCGAGTCGCTGATGGGGGCTGTGGTCATGATTTGAGAGAGGTGGTTTGTTGGGGTGTACCTTGCGATTTCGCTAGGTAAAGGACGCGTTGAAAAGAGGGGGGGTTGGTGAGATGGGGAAGGTGTGTTTCTAGTCTCCGGGTTGGGTCTTTCTTCTCGTCTATGAATACAGAGCGAAAAGAATGTGTCGATACGTGCGATCTAAGCCGGTGCCGGGAAGGGGGGAGAGGGGGGAGAGTGGTTGTTTTTAGAGGTGGGTTGGGGGGGGGGGGGGATGAGATGAGGAAAGAGAAGAAGGAAAAGCCAGAGAGTAGTTTTAAGGACGAGAGGGTGTGTGCCCAATGCGGGCGGGGGAATGCAGAGCCCCCGTGGGCGGTTCTGGCGGTGTGCACACGCAAAGGGGGAGAGAGGGAAGGACCGTCTGCCTGCCGCCCACCCGCGCCGCCCCCTGGTGTGACTACTGTGTGTGTGTCGCCGCCGCCGCCGCTCTGCCGCCCCCTGGGCCACGCCCGAGACCCGGGACCTATTTTTTTTTTTCTGATGCCGCCGGATTAATATGGCACGAAGTTTTTGGGATCCACAGAGCGGAGTGCTGGCCCCAAGGACGGTAGGCTCTCTCATTATGACGCGTTTTGAATCGGACGGACCAGGGTCAAACTACCGGGTCTATTGCGTCTATTGCAGCTTTTACAGTGGGGATGTAAATATTCAAAGTGGGGCATTAGAACGGGGGTTCCCACGTCATCGCATCCGTCCGGCTCCGGCAAGGTTCTTTTACACGTGTGTTTTGTTCTGTTTCAGTCCCGCTGGCCGCTTTTCCCTTTTTGTGATACGGACGGGGACGCACGGGACCCTCAATTCTGGACGCGTCGTCGCGTAAGGCTGCCACGTGGATTTGGTTCCGCTTGGCTTCGAACACGCCGTGTGTCGTTGTCAGGACGTACACAAACACATTGCAACTTGGCCACAACCTCGCTCCTTCCTCCTCAACCCCTATATCTGGTGTCCAACCTTTACAACACTACCTCTACACACTCATAATGGTAAGCTGACCCTTCTATTTTTCACCAGCTCACACGCAGTCCGCTCCCAACAACGCCGGTACGTTTCCAGCCGGCACCGCCATGCGCGTGTTGCCACCGCACCATCCTCCTTCCTCCATCGGGGCCCTCCACCCCCCTCGCTTAGCCGGCTCACCGCCTTGCAACTCGTTCACGGAAGGAGCAAGGTGGCACACACATACACATGTAGCTGACGCATTTCACAGAGTACAAGGAGGCCTTTGCCCTCTTTGACAAGAAGGGCACGGGCCAGGTCCCGCGCGAGTCCCTTGGCGAGCTCCTCCGCTCGCTGGGCCAGAACCCCACCCAGGCCGAGGTCGCCGGCCTCGAGAGCGGCGTCGGTGCCACCTGTGAGTAGTGTGCCACAGAAGCACCGTTTTCTGTTGCAGAAGAACGACACCTCCAATCAGTTCAATGTATCGTTACACTCAAACTGACCTGCTCAGTCGGCTACGACCAGTTCCTCCAGATCCTCAACCGCCCCGACGGCTGGAAGCCCGCCGGCACTGCCGGTAAGTGCCCCCCACGCACACACATTGCACCCCCGCGACCTCGTTCAAGCTGACCGCTGTCTCCCTACCTCAGACGAGTTCATCAAGGGCTTCCAGGTGTTCGACAAGGCCGGCAACGGCTTCATTGGCGCCGGCGAGCTGCGCTACGTCCTCACCCAGCTGGGCGAGAAGATGACCGACGACGAGGTCGACGAGCTCCTCAAGGGCTTCCCCGTCCAGGACGGCCAGATCAACTACCACTCGTTTGTCCGCTCCATCCTCGCCCAATAGATGCCCCCACACCCTTCCCTTTTGCCCCTCTGCCGCGGCGTGCGCGGAGACGCTGGCGTCTGGAGGTTGGGAGACACGGAGGTTTGACGGTGTTTTTTATTTAGGACAGGTGGTGGGCGATAAGTGTCATGACCATGTACGACGATTCGAGAGACATGGGGTACAGATACGCGCAGGCGAGCGCGCGATGGAGGTGGGAACCAGTCGACGCTCTGGGACAGCACTTCGTGTGCCTGGACACAGGGTGCCAGCCGCCTCCTCACTGATCACTGACCTCTTCTCTTCTAGCATGGTGTGCATATGTGCATGGGCATTAAAATATACAAGATCTCTCTCGAGATCAGGTCGTACAAAAGATCTGACACAGGGGTGGTGGTGGTGGTGAACAATTCCATTCCATCTCTCAGTTGATGTCGTGGTCGTCATCCGCCTCTATCAACGGCTCGCGACAAACCATACAGGTATTGCCTTCCTTGAACCAGCGCTTTGCGCATGTCTCGTGCGCCACATGGCCACAGCGGGGCAACAGCACCGCCAGGTCGGTGCCGCGGAACTGGGACAGGCAGATGGGACAGTTGGAGACGCGCACGCCGAGGACCGAGAGCTTGAGCTTTACTTTGCCCTGCGAGTTTGTGCGCTTGCTGTCGACGAGTACCGGCGCAGCAATGAGCGTCTCCATGGCCTCCTTGGTCGCGCCGGGGTCCTTGGCCGGACCGAGGAACTGGGCAAGCTGGTTTAATCCCTCCGCAAAGTGTTAGTATGTTTGTTGTCACGGCGGTGGACACCTACCTCGTATTCACGGCCGCTGCCCTCCAGTCGCGAGACGAAGATGTCCAAGTCGGTCACTTCTGGGCCGGACATGCCCCGCGGGTTGGTATGCGGTTGTGGCGGCGGACGGTGGTCACTTGGCACCCGGCTACCACCTCCCAGGGCGCTCAAAGGGCTGTTTGCGGTGCTTTGGTCTGGTGAGACACCGTTCGAGGCACCGAGGGAAGCGCGATTGGATCCAGGAATCGGGGGAAGCGCGCGAGGACCGCGTATACCAGGAGGGCGTGGAAGACCGCGGCCACCAGCAGCAGTCTGCAGAGCCGGTGAATTGAACCCAGTCGAGGGCGACGGTGTGGCGGTCGGTGGGTCGCTCAGGTCTACCAGCGAGCTGGTCGATGATGACAACGACTGGCCGTCCTGGAGGGTGCGACGCCGCGGCGCCGTCAAGTATGGGTGTCCAGTCACCTGGGCGGCATCCACGCTTAAGCGGAACGCGCTGTTACGAGGAGGGGGCACTGGCGGTGGTTCACGGCGGTTCACTGTAGACGCGTCTTGCGAATCAACCAGAATACGGTACTGTGTCATATCCGGTGATGGGAGGGCGGCTGGAACCTGGTTGCCACCGGGAATGGGCGGACGGCGAGGTGGAGGATGAGGAGCTGACGTAGGGTATCCGGAATGACCAGCTGGTTGTGGGGCATAAGGGTTTGGCGCTCCATATGCCGGATTGGTAGTTTGGGGGTCAAGTGTATGTGGGGATGGCGGTCGGAAGGCTTCCATTGCGCCAGGGGGTAATGGTGAGTGCGTTCTAGGGTCGTATTGTGTACGGTGAGGCAGCTGACGGGGTGGTGGAGGTGGAGGTGCACGTCGCTTTGTGGGAGACGTGGGCGTCGGTGCGTGGGACACTGGCATGATCAAGTGTGGGGTCGTACCGGGGTACTCTGCAGGGCGTGAGCCAGGAGGTGGTCCAGAATACACGCTGAGCGGGCGGTTCGACTGCATGCTGAGCGGACGGTTCGACTGGTCACTTGGTGGGTGGTTTGACTGCTCGCTCCATGACAGGTTTGGAGTGGCGCCAGGGAAACCGATGATGGATCTGCGGGATGGAGGGGGGATGGGCGCCTCCTTGTTGGAACTTGGCTGGCCCTCTGTCACAATACCCATGGCAGATGCGCGGCCACTGGCGATTTGAGCCTCAATCTCCTTTTGCTGCTCAATCTCGGCATGGAAGCGCTGCTGGGTAGCTGCCCTCGCGGCCGCATGTGCACTCGATTCGCCCGAAATCGCATCCCCATCGGACTCGAGGAGGTTGAGCAGCGTGCTCGACGGGGTCGCGAGAGGCACAATGTCGGGGGAGACCTCTGGGGGTCGGGACATGCGGCGCGGGTCAGGCGGCGAAGGCCGCAGATCGATCAGAGGACCAGTCGTGGTAATGCTTCCACTACTTGTCTGTCGCATCTGTCCTGGGTGTTGCTGCTGCTGCTGCTGTTGCTGTTGCTGTTGCTGGTGGCCACCCGGCACTGACCAGCGCGGCGACGAGGTGGTGGCCAGTTGAGGTACAAGCTCTCGCCGCTTCATCGCCGCCTCACGGCTGGGGCTAGGTTGACGGACGGTCGCTTCAGTCGGTGACGTATCCTCAATCGTCATCAGCTGGTCCTTGATACGCGGTGGCGGAGCGCGCGGGGACGGCAGATTGTGAAAGAGCGGCTGCAAGGTCCGCGATGGCCCAGGTGGCGACTGATGGACCGGTGGTATGGGCTGATGATGCTGCGCCGACGCATGTTGACTGGGCGGTGAATGCTGCGGCCGATAGGGATGCGGAGTGGGCAAAGCAGTTGGGAGCGCATGCGGAGAGCCGAATGGAAGCGACGAGCCGGACTGTGGTGGTGACTGCATTAGAGGCTGACCAGGAAAGATTGGCGGCAAGTTTGAGTGTGGCGGGGACATTGTGGCAGGTGTCTTGGCCACCGATGCCACAGACGTGATCGAGGCCATGGACGTGATCGAGGCGTTCGAGGTCGTGCGACGATAGCCTGGATATTGCTGGGTCCCAACCGACGGAATGGGCATGGTAACCGCATTTGGGGAGCTTGAAATGGGCACCCAGCCCCCCATACCTTCGGCGGCGCTGTGACGGTGGCCACCTGGGGCGGGGGCTGAAGGCAGGGGCGGTACCGTCGTCACGCTCGGTGTCGCCGGCGTCGTCATGGAGCGGTGCGGGGTTGGTGGGGGTCCACCGGCGTCATGATGTCGTCTCAACTGTTCAGAGGACATTGAACTGTCACTCTCCATAACAAAAGGCAGCTGCATGGACGCGCGCGAGGTACGTCCGCTCGTAGGTTGCGAAGTCGGCGAGTCAGGGCCTGATACACGACGTGCACCTCTGATCCGCAGTGAACGAGGAGTTTGTGCGTCGTCGGGTGTCTCCGACAGCAACGAAGCAACGTCGTCCTTGTATTCGGCCACATATGACGCGGGTGGGCGAGGCGGGAGCGGTGGTGGGCCAGCCGGAGACACAGCAGCCAGTGATCCATGGGAGCCACTCTCAAACGATGCCACGGACTCGCGCAACCGAGGTGTAACACCAGGGACGTGCTGAGCGCTTTGTGGGCGATAGGTTCGAAAGTCGGAACCGGAACGCTCGCTGGTGACCGGGCTCGGATCGGTGTTTGCAGACGTGGGGACAGGCCGCTGTGGTGCAGTCCCTTGTTGGAGCGATTGCGGTCTCGGCCCCCTGCCAATCTCCGGTGTAGTCTTCTTCCGCTTCCCATCCTCATTGGTGACTAGACGGTAAAGGACGCCGGGCTCCTCTGCACGGGTCACGAGCGCATCTCCGGAGGCGCGGTTGGAGAAAACGACAGGTTTGGAAAGTGGCGCTAGTTTAGGCTTTGCAGATTCATTCTCAAGAGCGGCGATGATCTCCCTCTTGGTCTGAGCTGCAGCAGCGTCACTGCTGGAGCGATCACGACCGGTCTCATATACTTGAGACTGGGCCAAACTCGTCGTTGAACTGTTGTTCGTCAAGGCCGAGAAGGTGGATGTCGAGTTGCGATTTTGACGTTTCAACGAGTCGGGAATGACAGGGACATCCGGGACAGACGAGTCGTGGAGGGTCTGCCTCAGGTCACGGTCTGTGACACTGCTGCTGTGGCTACGAGGGCGATTGCGAGGTAGCGAGTTGGACAAGAAACCGGGTCTATCGTCCAGCTCGCTCGTATCGACCGCGTTCACTCGATTGGGGTCTGCCCGTGCTGCCGCCGATGCCGGTCGTGGTGGCGTGCTGCCAGTGGAAGGTTGAAGGGCGTCCTGCCTCTGGTGCGGCGTGTTCGGAGTCTTGGGACGCTTGGGGTCCTTCTTCTGCACGAGACGGTAGAACACACCGGGCTCTTCGGGCCGGGTGAGGACCTTTGGCCCAGACGTCTCGACAAACACTGCCGGGCTGGTGCGCTGAACAGTCTCCTTGTCGCGCTTCGCCTTGTCCGCCTTGGCCGCTAGAGCGTCCCTTGCTGCTTGAAGGATCTGCTCCTTGCTTGCGCGTCCGGTACCGAGGACTTCAATTGCCTCGCGGACAGCCGTCTCGAGCTCGTCCTTGGGCATCTTCCTGCCACCACTGACCTCTTCGACGGCCGATTCGACCTCCGTTCGTCGACTAACCGCCAAAGCGGATTCCGTGGCAGAAGCCTCGGCCTCGGCACGCCGTGCAGTGGCAGCAGCTTCAGCTCGTTGAGCGGCAGCCTCGGCAGCATGGGCCTGGGCCGATGCAGCCTCGGCCGCTCGCCGAATGTCGGCCTCTACTTCGGTCTCTCGTCGCGGTCGTGTCTCGTTATGTGGCCGCGGCACGGGGACGGGGTCCGGGGTGTTTCCAGAGCGTAAACGGAGTAGCCGGTCGGCTCGCCGTGCGGCCTCACGTCGTACTCTATCCACGAGAGAATAACCAGCAAGGAGGTCGGCATTCCACATCCGTCGGTCCTCGCGCTCGTCTTCGTCGTCGTCGTCAGTCTCGTCATGCGAGGCGTACGAGCCGTCAACGCTGGGAGTTCCAGAGTGCGAAGCGCCGCGTTGACCAGGTACAGGCAGGCTTGAACCCACCGCAGCGTCGAATGATGGTGGTGGCGAGCGCGGGCGTTCGTTGTTGCCGCTGGAACCTGACGTTGGATCACCGACATATGGAGGAAGGTATCCCCCCGACGGTGCTGCATACTCCTCCTCCGTCTCCTGTAGGGGGGAGAATGTTGGAGGAAGTCGCGAGTTGCTCGCTGTCGGAAAGGGGAATGGCGGCAAAGGGTCGTTGGACTCTGGTAGATCTGAAATGATGTCAGGGGCTGAAATCAAGCGACGTTACATTCAACGCACCGTCCCAGACATTTGTTCGGCGCATGCTTGCTCCGCGTGCGAGGCCGAGAGCACGTCCTTCTTCTCGAGAGGAGACGGTCGGCTGGCGCGAGAGAACGACATTGTGCACGACTCGGCGGGGCCTCCGGCGCGACGGAGGGTTGGGTGAGGAGGGGCGTCCCAGCGACGTCGAGCTGCCGTCCATTTGCCCGAGAGTGCGGATGTTGTTTGAGCTACGCCCCCCGTGGAGGACGAGGGGTGGGCGCGAAGGCCCGACATGCTGCACAAGGGGCGGCGATGGATTGCCCCCAGGCATGATGGATGGTGGGGAGAGGAGGTTTGCGGCGTAACCTCCTCTCCCTTGTGCGGCAGCGGGCGACGGCGACCACGTTTGTGGACGACCGCCGTTGCCTCGGTCACTGCCACCACCACCGCTGCTGCTACCGCCTGGCATGATGCTTGGCGGAGAGAGGAGGTTGGCACCGTACCCGCTCGTGGGACGCGGTGTCTTGATGGATCGCACATAGTCGGAGGGGAGGATGAGGCCGCCAGCGCCTGGGACAGGATCTGGCGCCGAACTCGCCATCGGCGGCGGCGCGAGAGCGAGGTAGGGCTCTGGGACTGGTCCATTGTTCCAGTCGGCCTTCTTTCGGTTCTTGCGCGGTGCTGTTGTGTCAGTGAAGGACGATGGAATAGGCGGCGGAGGAGGCAGTGGCAACAGACGCCGACGGCAACAACAACCCATGTGCCGCCGGCCGTGCAGGCGCCAGTCCACTGGTGAGGACTAGGATTGTACTGCCCGGCATGCAGCATGACGGGGTACACTGCCAGGCCATACATCACATTGGCAGAGTGGGGTCGCGATGTGTACTCACTTCCCTGTCCCGACTGCACGACGGAGTCAGCTTTGCTTGTTACCGGACATCGGCGTGGGACTCACCCTTTCGCGACGGGCGCCGACGCCTAGGGCGGCGTCGGCATCGTCGCGGTTCATGGTGGGTGCTTAGGGCAGGCTGTAGAGGGGAGGCGGCATGGAGTGGTAGGGGGTGAGTCTGACAGTTGGGGTTGTGAGCGAGATGCGGAGTGTGGGGAGGAAAGGGTTGAGAGAGATCTTGCAGATGGGTTCAACTGTTGCCGCCCGGCCAGGAGATCGGATGCAACCCACCCCACACACGCGTCATTGGTCTTGGAGACAGCCTGGGCCTTCCCCGCACCCAGGCGTCTTTCATCGCACCGCATTCATTCCCACCGTTCCACAGCCTCCCCCACAGTGGTGCTGCAAAGATGACCGTGTCCTCCCCATATCCGTGCGTATACAGGACCAAAACATTCTGAGAGCCGATTCCTTCCCCTCTGATCCTCTGACATGTGTCAAACTGCAACCCCTCGTCGGTTCGCATCCGCTCAGCTCAGTCCTCTCTCACAGGTGGAGGGAATGTGGGCTCGTGGCCCACTGTCCGACCGACCTCTGCAAGACCACGGCGTCCTCTGCAGCGCAATAAACCAGGCAGCCACTTCATCAAGCTGACGTGCCATGTCAGTTGCCTTGGCACCCAGATGCGTGCTTGCTTCCTCTGGCTCGGCCTCGATGTCTCTCGCTTCGACGGGCTTCGGCCCAGGTGTTTAGACTAAGTGTTACTCCCGAAAAGTATATGAGGTCTGTTTTACCCCTATAAACTATACAGTCCGTAGGACAATAGGGTCATAACTTATTGACACTGTCTGAAGGAGTCTGGGGGGTTGAAGGTTCGATTCCTCGGGATAAACCAAATACATATCCCGAAATGAAGAACCAACACTGGTAGGAAGGGGGTCGACGGCCGTAAAGGGCAAGCCTCAACCTTTTGTCACTCCTCACCAGGTCACCATGTACTTGCACCGTGTTCCATTTTTGATCCAACTCTGCATGAGAGTGCTGCTGGTGGCCAGACCATTGTGCGACTCGCCCAGCATGAATGTGCTCCTACGACCAGATGCCTAGCGACCAGGGGACGTGGACGGCCCGCACACGGTCTAAAGGTCTGCGAGTCCCCAGTTGTGGTGGAGCTCGCTCCGTAATTTCCGGAGCTGGTTGGTGGCGCTGGTGAATGGACGGTAGTGTTGTGAGTCCGGTACCGGCGAGCAAGCTGGAGGGTAGGGGAGCTGTTCTTGGAGACCCGGGGGACACTGCTCTGTCGTATAGCAGCAAGATGGTGGGAACCCCGGGCACAAGACCCACGTTGGGGGACGCCCTTCCAACTTCAGACTTCAATGGTTACTTTCCAACTAATCCCACAGCCATTGTATAGGCAGGATAGAGCATATACGACAGTCGGTTTGTCAGACGGTAATCAACGTCCAGGTAAGCACCTAAAGAAGGGTCCAGGGCTTGCTGGTTCACCAAAGACGTGATCAAGCGAGTGTGGTGGCACAGTCTCGCCAACTGACTTGCAACATGGATTTCGGGAACGAGGTAAACTTGTTGCTCGTAGACCATTTTGTACTGAGGCGGGAACATAGATAGAAAAGAGGAGATATGTCATGAACGGGAATGAAGTGCTACGACAGAGGACGCATAAAAGGCAGTTCATAAATAAATTGCTCCTATCATAGGATATGTGATGGGGCTGATGAGCAACAGGCCAACCCGGACGCACTCGTCTGTCATGCATCCTGTCTAGATCACGACGGATGCCTCTGGCTGCATCGCAAGGGTTGTTTCCATGCATGTTACACATCCAGTGGTAGAACACTAGATGTTTTTCTGTTTTTCAAAAAAGGCAAACAATCTTTTTGCCGCTGGAGCATGTGTATCACACCACACGGTGGAAAAGCAAGAACCCACCATTGCTTAGGTAGGTAGGGGTATAGATGTGGATCATAAAAGTGTGGTCACCCCGTTCGCTCATGTCCGTGTACACAAGTGGCTCACTGGCCACTGGATCACTGGATCGTTGTGTCTGTTATAGGTGAGTTTTGAGTCCGTTGTTCGTGGCCGACTTATTTCACCTTTGAAACCTCCCGTTACGCCGTCGCACCCTGACAACACAGCCAGAGGTGGGCGTTACAGATGCGGGGGGAGTGGGGCCCACTCGGTAATGCGATAACTGCATGGGTCCACGTGAATAGAGCACATAAAGGCGATGGACACGAGGACGTGCCCTGTCTGGTATGCCACTTGCTCTAGACCGTGGCTAGAACCTTCCGGCACCGTGGTCGCTGGGACTGCCGCATACTGCTCCATATCCACATACTACTACTGATACTGCCATCACGGGGTAATCTGACACATAACAACTGGATACAATCTTTTAAGCGAGCTCGAGGTAGCGGCGCACTGCGGTGGGGGTCAGCTCTGCGTCATTGCAGGGGACGGATCGGCAAACTCACTCTCCCAGTCGGTGACTGCACGGCGGTTGAGCTCGAGCTCGTGCTCGCGGGTACCGCCGTAGTGGTCGACGAAGAAGTCGCCAAACACCTCGCGTGCCAGTGAGTCCTTGGCCATGAACACGGCGGTGGCGGTCTCGAGGCTCGTGGGCAGCTTCTTGAGGGTTGCACGGGTGACGCCAGGAGCGCCCATGGGGCCATAGGGAAGCGCGGTCTTGTTCTTGATACCGCGCAGACCGAGACCGAAGATGGCGGCCATGGCGTAGTGGGTGTTCATGTCGGCACCGGGGATACGGACCTCGAAGCGGGTCGCGTAGCCCTTGACACCGGGGGCCGAGAGGATACGGATGGAGGCGGCGCGCGAGTCGTAGCCGTACGACGCGGTGTCGGGTGCCCAGAAGGCCTCACCGCCCAACAGGCGCTTGTACGAGTTGATGGTGGGGCACATCATGGGGATGACTGGATGTCAGCTAAGAGGACCGAGCAGGTCTTAGCTCACCATCAGCGAGACCCTCGAGCAGGCCCGCGAGGAACCACTCGGCCTCCTGGGAGATATACTTGACGTCCTTCCACTGGGCACTGGCGCGACCGCCGTTCTTGACGTCTGCGTCGGTGGGAGCAAAGATGTTCTGGCCGTTCTTGTCACGCAGGGACACGTGAATGTGACCCGAGCAACCCGAAAGCTGATGGTGTCAGCTGGATATCGGGGCGAGGCGCGGTGGCGTCCAAGAGGCGCAGGAGACACAAATAGAAACACCAGATAGCGAGGCCGCGGGGCGAACCAACCACCAGCCAGTCCTTTGCCGGGTACTCACGTTCTCCCATGGCTTGGCCATGAATGTTGGCAGGATGTTGTACTTGATGCCAACGCTCTTGGCCACGAGCTTGAAGAGGGCGGCATTGTCGGCCATGCGGCAGGTGTCGGTGTACGCGAGTGCGGTCTCGAACACACCCGGGCCGGTCTCGGTATCTGTCAAGTGAGCACGGAGCTCCCCAGTAGGAACCTTCCACAGCCAGAATACGCACGGTGTCCCTCAATCTCAATGCCGAACTTGGCCGACTCGTGGAAGAGGTCGTAGAAGTAGTCCTTGTTGTTCGTGGTGCGCAGCATCGAGTAGCCGTGGTCTGGAGGGAAGAGTCAGTGCTGTCGCGGTACAAAATGCAGAGACTTACTGCCAGGGGTGAGCGGGGTGAGGTTGACAAAGCTCTTGTCCTGGACCGACTTGGCCGTCTCGTCGTACTGGAAGTACTGCAGCAAGTCAGTTGCCACCCGACCTCCTTGTCCAACCATCGATCACTCACCTCAAACTCGGCGCCGGACATGCAGGCCCAGCCCGACTCAGTTGCGCCCGCAACGACATTCTCGAGAAGAGTGCGGGGGTCGACGGTAATGTGCTCGTCCGACTCCTGGTCACAGAAGCGGAGGAGGAAGAAGGGAATGTTGTTCTCCCAAGGAATACGGCGGAAAGTAGCAATGTCGATACGAGCAGACAGGTCACGGTAGCCGTTGGCCTTGTTTGACACGAGGCCCTCGTTCATGTACGTCATGTCGTGCACTGTTTTTTATTTGTGGTCAGTGTTGCGCCTTGATGAGCAGTCCAGCCATATTGGCACATCAAACCACGACGACGCCCGCCCAACATTTTGGGTGTTCGCGTGACGTCAAGGTTGGCCGCGTCGCAAACTCACAGTCCCAGCCAAACACGACACCGCAGAAGCCAAAGTCGGACTTGGCAGCGGAGAGGAACTTGGACTTGCTCATGACCTTTCCACGGAGGACGCCATCAACGTCGATACCTGCGTCGGGTGTCAGCGGACCCGCGGGGCGGCCAACTCGACGACAACAACAGCTGGAGCGTACCTGCGACTTTGACCATGACATCGTCCTTGAGGAGGGTCTCCAGCTCCTGCTGGGTCTTGGGTGCGTTCTCGGTGGGGGAAGGGGGCATTGTGAATGATTGTAGTGATGGGGGATGTGAGAGAGATGGGATTGGAGTTGCAATAAGATAGATGAGATACACACGTACGGGAGATGCGAGAACGACGCTCTCGCGACTCGCTTGCCGCGCGGGGCGGAGAGGGGTGGAGGGGGAGAGACACGGCCGCTTGTCGCTTCACGCTTCTGCGAGAGCCCTTCGGACATGCCGTCGTTGCGTCGGCGGGGCCCAAATGGCCAGAGATATGAATTCAGCCTGTTCTTACAAGGCAAGTATCCCACGGTAGGATTACCTCCACTCCGTCAACATTGACACCACCCGCGCAACGCTAGGAGTTGACGCGACTTGACGCGACCAGGCGGGACGCAGTCACTACACACAAGCCACAGATCACAGAGCTCTGGTCAACAGTCATCGTTCATCTCCGTCTTCTCTCTCCACACCATGCCCCCCAAATCAATCGCATCATACTTCAAGCCTGCCAGCGGCGCGGCCGCCGGAACCCCCGCAGCGCGCAACCGCACCACCCCCTCAGCGGCAGCACGCAAAGCCGCCATGGACGCAAAGGACAAGGACAACAAGGACAACGACGAGCCGCCTGCGAAGCGCGCCAAGGTGGCCGCCACCACGACTGCGGGCCGTGCGAAGAAGGGAGCCGGTACGTTCTTATCTTTGAATTCCGTCGAAAAATGGAAATCATGTGGTCCTCATGGTCCTCACACCTCGCAGCTGTGATCCCCCAGGCCCCGACCGTCACCATTCCCCGCGCACAGTCCCGCGCCGAGCTCCGCAAGGCGCTGGAAGCGCATCCCAAGGTCCTTCCTCTGCTGGAACTCGAGCTTGACACTCTTGGCGAGGACTGGCTGCTGGCGCTGCAGGACGAGCTCACCAAGCCGTATTTCCTTTCAGTGGGTGTCCGCTTCTCGCACCCTGCTGCGTCCACTTTTGATATTTGGTATCGTGCCTGACTGCTGCTGATTACCCTTCGCAGCTCAAGGAGTTTCTTATCAAGGAGCAGAGTTCGAAGAAGGTGTTCCCACCAGGTGAGCTTACTGGCCCTACACACGTGTCTGAGCTCACAAGTATAGCCGAGGACATTTATTCGTGGTCGCGCCTGTGCCCACTGAAGGACGTTCGCGTCATCATTGTCGGTGAGTGTCAAGGCCGATAACGAGCAGCCGTATTGACCTTTGCAGGCCAGGACCCCTACCATGTGAGTTATCGATCTAGCCTAACCCGACACTGCTGCCGGCGTCGTTGAGGCCACCGCCAGTGCTTCCTCGGCGGTCGTCCAGTGATAATCGAATCTCTAGTTGAATGCCTGCTGACAAAACAGGACGATGGCCAGGCCCATGTAAGCTTGCCTGTGATAGCTCAATACTGACTCCGACAGGGCCTCGCATTCAGTGTCCGTAAAGGTGTGCGCATCCCGCCGTCGCTGCGCAACATCTACAAGGAGATGGGCACTGCCGTCAACGGCTTTGTTGTGCCCACACATGGGTAGGTGTGACCGTGGCGGTGGTGGTCGTCAGTGCGGGGAGCCAATGACCCGCCCAACGACTTGGAAGCCCTATTTTCTTTGGCTGACGGGTTCAAGTGACCTTACCGAGTGGGCCAAGCACGGTGTGTTGCTGCTTAACACATCTCTCACGGTCCGCGCGCACGAGGTGAGTGCTAGAAGCGTCGAGTCACGAGGGGGACACTGTACCTTGTCGGGTTCACTCGTCAACTCTGTGGACGATCCCTATGTCGACGCTGGCTTCTGAACGTCATCTCTAACCTAACCAGGCGGGATCACACTCGAAGGCTGGGTGGGACCAGTTCACTCTTGCCGCGTTGGGGGCAGTCACAGACTACATGGCCGGATCGCCCGATACTCCGGGAGCCAATGGACTGGTCTTGATGGCATGGGGAGCGCATGCCCAGAACATGATCGCAGGGCTCAACACTGTAAGTCAAGGTTCGGTGGTGTCCCGTCACTCTGCTGCCGCTCTTGTACTTGCCGCTGCTAGCGACCTGTACTGACGCATCGCAGACCCGACACCTTGTGCTCAAGTCGGCACACCCCAGTCCGCTGTCGGTGCGCAAGTTCTGGGGCAACGAGCATTTCGCCAAGAGCAACTCGTGGCTGCGAGAGCGTTACGGTACCGACGGTGGCATCGACTGGAAGAGCCTGGGAGCCTGATCGTGAGCCTTAGCTTAGCATTTAGCGAGCGAGGTTGGCTCGAATGTGCGCGACAAGGGTTTCCGCGGCCTCACTGTGATTACCTCTGGGCACTGCTCGGTCGCTGGCCAAGTGAAAGCCATACGCAAGCCCAACCGAACGCGTCCCGAGGACCGGTGTCAAACCATCATTGTACTGGTGGCGGTTTAACGTTTGGCACCCGTCATGTCGACGCTTGTACCTTTCCTTCTGTATGTACAACAGTACTTGCCGTAGCGCGGGCCGCATTCACCGCCGTGTGCTGTGGGGGGATCTTGCGGCATAGTGATAACGGATGCCACAGACCGCTGTACCACTGGATGGACTTGGGGGCCGTCGTTGTCTCTCACCGAAGCAGCTAGTGGCGTCTGACAAGACTATTTCTGAACCTCACGTCCATCCCATCCGTCCACCCATTCCCACCCATTGCACATGTGACAGCGCGGCTCACAGCCTCTGTTCCGTCATGGTCTGTTTGAGCTTGTCGGATGTGGTTTTGCTTCCATTCGCTCTGTGATCTGTGTCGTTGCTACCCTCGCGCGGAACGCTCGCTCTGCTCGCCGAGGCCGGAGATTTGGTCGCGGGGAGAATTTGGGTTTCAACGGCATCGACGTCCAGCTCGAGCAAAAGCAACATCTCGTCAACGCCGGTATGCCCCTCTTGCCAAGGCTAGTCTCTGGCACTAGCCATAGTTGCATGCCAGGCTTCGGGGAATGGCGTCTTTGCCACCGCCTGCTGCGGTGTCCTAGTCCTGCGTTTCGGGTGCGAAGGACTGGAAAAAAAAAGAACACCGTGACGAGGCAAAAAGGGTTCGTTGGGTTCGGTTCGGTTCTCGGCGATGGCCACAGAAACCCTCTTGCTGTCCGAGACATAACCTTAGTTCGGCTCCGCGAAAGGTATCCGGAACACCACCGATCTCATTCCTCGCCGTCCGCTTGCGTGTTTAGCTCGGTGTTCTCGGTGTCACTGCATGCCGCGTCCGCGTGGGTGTTACGGACGCCGACCAAGGTCGGGGTCTGTCCTGCTACCTCCGGACAGCACACCCCTGACCTCCGAAGGAAAAAAAAAGGAAAGAAAAAACGACAGCAAGCGAGCCGAGTAGCCCGGTCGCAGTAGGAGTATGGCGGTAACGAGTCCATTAGTAGAGTACTAGGAGCAGTAGTATTTGTCGACGACAAACTCTCGGGACAGGCAACATGCTAAGACACGACGGTTTAAAAAAAGGACAAACGGGACAGGCACGGGCATAGGTTTGAGGCAATCTGGTCCCTTTGGACGGTGCGTGTCGTCAGCAAGCAAGCAAGCAAGCAAGCAAACACGCAAAGCCATGCATGCACGCACTGGGCGACAGCCTTGACGCTGTGGCCTGCCCAGAGGATCTTTGGATGCATGTCATGTTGCACGTTCCACTAAGACCAGATATAAAGTTTACACACGCCACGAGGCAGCGCTGGCGCGCTGAGCGGGCGGTGCGGGGGCTGGCAAGCTCTGCTTGCTTCAAGCAGTCGTTGTTATTTATGTATTGTTCGATTGGAACTGGAACCGGGAACGGTCGTGTGGCACGAGCATGGAAACGGCAACGGGGTGCGCTGGATGTGGCATTTATGACATGCGCACCGAACAATGCGGGTTATCTCATGGCGGCAGGTACAGTACACTGATCCACTGACCGAGAGCGACACCAAGCGGCGGGCCGATGCGGCCGATGCGGCGCCGGGCCCCCTCCAGCGGGACAGTGCTGAAGCAGTCGCCGCGACTATGGCTGTTCGGAGGCGGGGGTGTCGTGTAACAGGCTACGCAAGCAACAGCAACGGTAAGAAGCTATACACACTAGCTAACATTGTGGTGGACAACAGTCACAAGCCGCATATCCCCTTGTCGCTTGCCGGAACATGGCTGGCAGAGGTGCAATGTGGCACGGCAACGCCCGCCACAATCTCGCTGTATTGTTCAGGTTTGGGACCCAAACACTACACTGTCGTGTAGAGACCAATACGCCCCCAACCCCCGGCGCCTCCGTCGCCTTGCCTCATGTCGAGGCTAATACGAGCGGGCGGTGGGGTTCCGACGGTCGGAGGCGAGTTGCGTGCCCCCCTTGTCTCTCGCGTCTCTGATCCTTTTAGCTATGGGTAGTGGCTTCGATTGTGTCTGTGCTAGCCACTAGCTGCTGGATACTGTGTCAGTCACCTGTACAACAGCCTCTTGACATACCGCAACGGCCGCACAGACCACCACACCTACCCAATTCATGTATCAAGTGGCATGCCGTTGCACACACCTGGCACCTGGCAGGTAGCAGAGTATAGGAGCGTCCTCGGCACGATCGGTACCCTAGGCAACAGCATCACAACGTTCGTTATCTCCTTTCTGTGTGTTTCGTCTCACGACACGGGCGATGCACCATATGTCTTGAGGGCGGGAGAGAGACTCGAGAAGGATCGATTTCCCGCTCGGGCCCGTTCTCGCAGGGGCTGTGAGGAGCGGGGAGGACCTTGGGACCTTGCGGGGGGGGGGGGGGGGGGGGGGCTGCCACACTGCACGATGGGGGGCGCCAACTGAAACGGTGAACACCGGGAACGTGAACGCCGATGGGAGGTAATGAACGTGGCAGGCAACGGAGGCGCGGCGTCTGAGACGATGAGACGAAGACTATCGGTGAGTGCAAGGAAAGGATCGAGGTCTGTGGTAAGGTAAGGAAGGTAAGGCAAAAGGTACGTGCGGGCTTGGTGTTCGGCAGGCTCTCGGGACGGGGGGGGGCAGAACTGTCAGGTGGTGGCAGGCTGGCCTGCGCAACGCCGGCGGCAGCGACTGCACAAACGGACATGACATGCGTGTTCTGCCACACGGTGCGTCTCTGCCAACTGCGTACTGCTCGGGGACGTTTGTGGCGCGCATTGGTAGCGTTGATGCAGTTGCGATGGACGACGAGATGTTGCCCGACTGGGCTGGTCGCTGCGGTTAACGGCGGCCGCCGGTTTCCAGTCCTGAAGGTTGGCAGGGGCACATGGGCGCTCTTGTGTCGCAGGACATGGACTTGCCAAGGCGACGAGAGCATGTCTGATCTGACCCATTTTCCTGTGAGGCGAACCAATGGCCTTTCTTTCACTCCGCCCTTTGGTGTTGTCGCAGGAGGTTTCTAGTGCAGCATTAAAGTGTGGCAACCACCAGCCCACAAGATGGCTCGTCCTGGCACCGGGCCCTTGGGACGGACCGCGGCAATGGCGTTTTGCAGCAGGAACCGCAGTCTCGTTTTTTTTTTTTATACCTGGCGGGAAGCGCAAAGTCGTTTCACCCTGGAACGGACCGGTATCCGCCCGTTTGGGTTATCGAGAAACAGCAGTGGTATAGGTGGGTGGGTGCACAGGGACCGTAAAGAAAAACACGCGGCACCAGTTACCAGCAACCCGGGGAGTACCTGGCTGCGTCGGGGGGGCGACGCTATCCCTTACGGCACCCAGGTCCTCTTGGTGGATCGGAACAGTTTCGGCAAGTCGATCCGGCCTCGCTATATATCGTTACGGAATGTGCCACCCCGCACAAGGGAAAGGAGGCAAGGCATCGCTGGCTCCAACCCTAGACCCACGTTTTTTCTGTATGTGTGTGCTGTCCTTCGCGAAATGGCTCTGGTCGACGACATGCGCGGCAATCGTCCAGGTGAGGCGGAATGAAACTCGTAATGAAGACCTATTACCGCGCCTGCCACCCCCATTCGAAGATGTAACGTCGGTTCGGCGTGCCCCTAACGAGTGGACACCAGTGCCCTCAACATCTACCTCGTTGCATCCGAGCCTAGTGCCGCACGTCTCGCCGCCGGGAACGAGACGGTCTCGCTATGGGCCCTAGCCCTGGACGCTGTTTTTGGAACAGTGGGCAACGACCCACGCGGCCTTGGCGCACTGATCAACGCCGCACATACAGACAGACAGACAGACTGGACGATGGCGGGTCCGTTGTCCTTTGTGGTGATGGAAACCGGCCAATGCATTCTGATATTCTGTTGTTGTGTCCAACGGTGGCCAGTGGCAAGCAACCACAACGTAAGCACCTGTTGCGCAGTCCGTGTTGAATGGAGTGGTGGAGATGGGCATAGGACGTGGACGCTTGACCAGCCCCACCATGTCTTGCAAAGGCCGCGCTGGCTGGTGGATGACAGAGGTGGATGGGGTTGTCCCTTGCACCGTACATGGCAACCGACCGCTTCAGGCCTTGACGACCCCCGCACCCAGCGGCCAGAGGGGTCTGTTGTATGCACGGGCCCACGAGGCCCCCCATCACCTCCCCGACCGCAGCACCCTGGGCGGGGGGGGGGGGGGGGGGGGGGGTGGTCGTGGTGGATGTGGCACGAGCCCTCGCTGACCCCTGGGTGGTGGTGTGGCCCAACCCTGGGAGGGCATGGATCCTGGCGTCCGCGGGCGTGCATCAAACCAGGATGCATGTCAGAGGGTGAGACGCATGGACGCGCATGGAAAGGCAGACAGACACACAGACCGTGACCAGGTGCACATGGCATGGGCGGTGGGGGGTGTTGCAATCAGCACCAGGGACGCGGCTGGAAGGCAAGCAAGGGGGTACCTCGAACCTCTCGTCGCACTCCGCCCCCCGTTTCTTTTCTCTCTTTGCCTCACAACCCTCCTTCCTTCCTCGCTCGCTCGCTTCACCCGTGCCACCTCACCCCCCTCCCCCACCTCCCAGCCTCCCAGACCGCTTTCCAGAAACACCTATAAACCCCACCCACACTCCTTCATCAATCTTCTTGCCCCATCAGCTTCTCCTCTTTCCACTCTCCACAGTAGTCGGTCTCTCTCCCCCTCTCGTTCGACCTTCCCTCCGTTCGCTTCACCTTCCAACACTCCTTTCCTCCCCCCCCAACATCACACCTACGATGTTCAAGTCTGCCGTCCTCGCCGGCGTCGCCGCCCTCCTCATCGCCCCCTCTGCCGAGGCTGGTGGTCTCTCCTTCAAGACCCTCAAGGCTTCCAAGAACTGGAGCTGCAGCTCTTCGGGTGCCAAGTACACCTGCTCGGGCAACACTGTTGGCTCGTTCTACACCTCCATCCTCGGCTCGGCCTGCTGTGTCTCGTCCAAGTGGACCACCACCACGTAAGTTTGCCCTCTACACACCGCACCGCGCTGCATGCGCATGCCGGTGGCCCATGCTTTCTGGTCTATGCGTTCCATCTCCCAAACACACCCCACCGGTTGTGTCAGGGATGTCTCGGACGCATGGACCTTTTTGGCACGACCCGCGGCCCGCGGGCCGACAAAATCCTTTTGCGCCACGCCACGGACGACGCTGACGCCACACCTAGCATCCCCTCGTCGTGCACCTGCCCCTTTGACTGGCTCTTCCACACCGGTGCCAAGGCCTGTGCTCCCCCCAAGGTTACCTCGACCTGCGACTGCGGTGAGGGCTACACCTACAACACCAACTCGTGCAAGTGCGAGTTGACCACCGGCGGCGGCTGCTCCAGCTCGCAGTGGTGGAACGAGCGTACCGGCCTCTGCTGCGAGAACTCGTGGACCAAGACCCCTCCCACCGGCAAGTGCCCCTCGGGCGTTACCTGCCCCACCTCGTGGTCGTGGTCCGACTCGCACAACTGCTGTGTCCCCCTCAAGCCCCGTTCGCCCGAGCCCGACTGCTCCAACTGGAACTCGGCCCAGAACTGCTGCGGTACCCACACCACTGCTACTCCTTCGGCCGGCTCCAACCACAACTCTGGCTCCAACGGCTGGAAGCACCGCAAGGGCAAGCGTGACGACACCTACGCCCAGTCTTCGTTCGACTCCATGTACTGCCCCGAGGGCAAGGTCTGCACTGTCCCCTCGGCTAACGGCACCGCTTGGGCTTGGGAGTGCATCAACCCCCTCACCGAGCTCGAGTCGTGCGGTGGCTGCATCTCCGACGGCACTGGTGTCGACTGCACTTCCATCTCCAACGCCGCCTCGGTCGGCTGTGAGCAGGGTGCCTGCAAGGTCTACTCGTGCAAGAAGGGCTACACCGCCGAGGGCGCCCAGTGCGTCTCCAACTAAGCGCATCTGCTCCACCCCATCAGATCGCATCTGTTATCCCAACCCTTCCTTCTCGAATATAGACCAACCACCACAACCCCCCCTTTCTCAACCACGCCTGTATAATTTCCACCGTACCCCTTCTCCAACCCTCGAACACTCGGTGTACCCACTCGGCACCTTTTGACTGGACGCGCCCACACTCCAAGACCGACCTTGCTCGTCGGCCCCACCCAGCCCATCATTCACCTTGTAGTACGAGGTGATGTGCGGCACACGCGGCGGCTATGCGGCGGCGGTCGGGCGCGAGGTCATGGGACATTATGATGGTACACCCTTTGGTACAAAGCCTGCCACGCTTGTATCCAACTCATAGAGCACCCCCTCTTCCTCTACGCGGACCGCGAGTGGAATCGAGATGAAAACCCTGGACACTTATACACGTAGTTGCATGTACGACGGACAATGTCATGCTTACGATGAAAACACAAAGATTTGATTTGATCATACTCGCTGTGCACAGGACTCACTGACCCATCTGAGACACATCTGATTCACTCTGCTTCTCCTGCATAAGCTTGTTTGCGCATCGTCGCACACCCTCTTGACGACGTACAAACATTACGGGCGTCGCAGCTGCTCGATATTGAAAAGAACAACCAACAGTCTCCATCGGAGGTGACACAACACGCGTGTCATGCTAGATACCACTCGTCGCACACCTGGTCTCCGTCTCCTGAGTATGTACCAGTTTCGCAAAGCATGTTCTTGGAAAGATAAACATCGTGCTGGTTTCCCACCATCGAAACGACGAGAAGCGGGTCTCGCAGGGGTTAGATGAAAACACCAACGTAGGCCCGTCCATGCCACAGACATGTCCGGACCACGGCCCGCGTCAACACCACCGCAGCTGCCTGCATCCTTGCCTCCCTGCTCGCGTCTTGCTTGCTGCTTGCATGCTTGTTTGCAGCTTTTCACACCGGCCGCAACCGACCGCGATCGAGAACACCAGACCCCAGAACGAGCGAGATCTTGCAGCTCAGGTCAAACAACTACTGACAGCAACATCCCGAACCCTTTTGGCTGAGCAGCATGGTTGAGAGCAAAACCCCTACTCGGCCATGCAGATCAGAACCCTTGTGGATTGTGGATACCAAGTGACCGAGAAAGAAACCCTTTGCCGGTCGTTACATACCATAGAGAACACCTCGATACAGGTGCTCGCGACTAGGATAAGGACCGAACACGGAATTACCGTAGACCGCGAGCTCTCGGCCGCGAACGTAGCGGGCTGGGTTGGGTTGAAATTTGGTCGAAAGCAAAGGCTGCGCACACGAGCCACGAGTTACGAGCCACGGCGCGCGGTCGCGACGCGTGTGCCGCCCGCCCATGCCTCCCCCACCCACCGGCCACCGGCCCACAACGGCACCAACACGCCATAACTGCGGTGCCGTGGCCCACCCAACACGACGCGTCGCGTCCGTACCAGAGCGCCGCAGCAAACCAAAGTGCGCCGTAACATAAAACAGCTACGGCCGCTGGCCGCTGGGCGGGGAGGTCTCGGCAAAACGGAGCGGCGTCTGCGGCGTCCAGCCTCCCCCCCCCCCCCCCCCCCCCCCCCCCCCCCCCCCGTAGACGCAGTATCCTTGCATCCTTGCACGTCCGCCAAGGAAAGCAGGTCCACCTAGTGTGTTTGGCACTACACAGTCCACTCTCTCTCTCTCTCCTCTCACTGAGGAGTGATGAGTGAGGAATGAGGCGTGCACCGTTACATGGGTTGCGGTGGCGTGCCACACCTGAACTAACCCTGCTTGTTCGCTACCCGATGATGTTGTACATCTGTCCCGTCCTGTATTCCTGTATGCCTGTATTCCTGTATTCCTGTATTCCTTCCCTCACCTGTCGTTTCGCGTCAGAGCATCGTTCTCGTCCACTGTTCCCTTCCTTCCTTTCGCCTTCCCGGCCTTGGTCTCTGTCGTCCCTTCCTCACCCCGCCGTCTCGTGTCAAAACAAAGCTAGTGCCGGCGCTAACCAGACACAGGCTGAGAGCGAGCGCGGTATGCTCGTGGCGTCGGTGTTTGGTGTTGGGGGAGGCATTCGCAGTTTTCGTTGTTTGGCCATCTGTGTGGACCGCGACGTGCGACTTGGGTGCGAGCTCCCTACTCATCCGGCCACGGCGTGGCCAACCTCGCAGAGCAGCTGGCTACAACGTGTATAACTGACGGCATTCGGAGCCGAGGGGGACACGGGGTTCAGGTCAGAGAGAGCTGACTACCTGTATGGAGGAAGGGTACACAAGAGACAGCGCTCGTGTGCACCTTGCAGCGCCGCCAGCCGCTGTCCTCTGGTGCGAGGAGCCACAAATGGCAGCTAGACGGCCTCGTGCAAGCAACTTTGCACCCCATACCATACCCATGTCGGAAGCGGGCTCATCTCAACGATCTCAGCATACCGCCGGCTATAAACCACTGCCGAGCTCCTGTCCAGCTCCTGACTTCCTGAACGCCAGTCAAGGCCGTCGGGCTCACATCGTCCTCTCCTCCACGGCCGTACTGTACACCGCTTCGAGGTGCACCTGGAGCAAATCCAGGTGGCGCCAACAGGGAGCCTGCGTTGGTCAGGCTGCGATAAATTCGAGGCGCGGCCCAAAAAGATGGGCCCGGATGGGCAGCAATTCAAGGTCGGTAAGGCCGGAAGGGTTGGTCCCTGGAAAAATCCCGACCCGGCCGTCGAAGTGGACGAGGAAAACGGTGTGTGGTGTGCGGCCTGCGGGCCTGCGGCCTGCGGGTCTCGAGGAGGAAAAAAAGCAGACGACGCGGAGGAAAGAACAGAGCGGAAGATCACTCCAGGCTCCAGGCTCTTGAAAGCTCCGCGAGGCGAGATCGGCGTGCGTGCCCGGCTTTCAATCACGTTGTGTTTGTTTGGGAGTGCAGGAGTGCAGGAGTGGCCGGGATGTGTTTTGTGGACCAATGGGAGAAAAAAGAGGACCCGCGTGAGACAACCTGGAGGACGGGAGTTCGCATCGGTGCGGCTGTTGTCTTGGGAGATCCGGTGCTGCACATGCACACGCATGCTATATCTCCGTCAGTGTTGGCAAGTTGGCAAGAATGTACACCTCGACGACTCGGACGAGAGACAGCGTGAGTAGTGTGATCCGTCGCCACGAACGCGCGAACGGCAAACCGCGCGCGTCGAGACGCGTCTAAGATTTAACAAGCTTTAGTAAGCTTTAGACTAAGACATTGGAAGCTTAACAGAGCCTGGAATGCTTGGAAGGACGCGCTGACGCGCTGACGAGCGTTGGGCGAGCATGGTCTGACCTTAGCTGCGACCTTGTTGCTGATGTCCATGATCCAGATGTCGTCCACGACGGTGCACTGCCGAGCATACGGTACACAGTACAACTGAAAAACACAAACACCCGTCTCGAAATCCATTTCGTCTCGAGGTATTGTGTTTCAAGCCGGGATTAAAAAACACTACAGGACAATACCCTTCTGCCAGGCGAATCTGTGCGAAAAGTATTAGCGGAAGTATTAACTGTCCACGCTCTTCTCAATTGAGACGAGACGGGTCTCCGTCGCCGTCATTGTGTGGGATTTGACGGAAGTAAAATCCACTCGCGACGACGTGTTGGTCCCGCGTCCTCTGCCCGTAGGTGGGGCTGTTGGGTGGGGGCGACGATCCCCCTGCCCATTCCATGTCCACCCATCCCGCTCCCGCAAGATCGAGATTGCCTCTCTCGCTGCTCCTGTCTTCTCCATCGTCCCGCCCGTCACAAACATCACATAGGTCACACGCATCGACTTTAGCGTCTTCCCCATCTCCATTTCATTTGGATATCGCAGCTCTCCGTATCGGGACACGTTCTTTGATCTACACAATCTCTGTCTTCATCTTGGTCGGACAACCGTCTCAACTACCCGTGTTTCCTCTGTTACGAAGAGACCACAGGTCAGATCGCCAACGCTCTGCCCACCCTCTCGGCTCCACTCCACTCCTCCCAATTCGGCTCGCTCCATCAGCTCCTCGGTGCCGCTTCAGCCTACCATGACCGCCTCTGCTCAGACCAACGGTCACGACATGTACGAGTCGCTGGCAGAGCGCGGCTATGCCGATGTCGTCGGCCACAAGCCCAGCGGTAACCCCCACGCCCACTCGCAACCCCCAACCCACACCAGGGAGAAGTCTCTCTCTGGCACTGGCGCGCTGTCGAAGCCCGACGCCTTTGACGGCCACCACCACAGTCACGGCCCCTCGCGCGGCCTCAGCCCCAGGAGCGTCGGCAAGGCCATGCTGAGCCGTTTCCTCCGCGCTGTGCGCCGTGGCAACCTGCCGTTCCTTATCATCTTCCTGACGTGAGTCGCCAAAAAAAAAAAAGCGAAACGTGGTCCGCAGCAACAGCACTGCGGCTCCACGATCTCGGGACGCCAAGAGATGAGATCCCAAGCTGACGGAGATCTCTTTTCGTTTTGAAACTCGTGAAATCTCACCTTATCTCGTCTCCGCTTCCGCACACATTACACTGCACACGCCACATACCTACACACGTACACACGTACACACGCAAACACACAAACAGTGCCCTCTTTGTCTTCTTTGGCGCACTGGCAGGCATCGGTTATGTGGACCCCGACATTGCCAGCAACACGCCCGCGGCAGCGCAGCCCGCGCGAGAGTTCGTCGTCGGCGAGCCCGTGTTCGACCCCAGCGACGCGCAGCTGGAACGTGAGGCCCGCGCCGCCGAGCAGCGTGCCCTTGAGGAGGTTTGGGCAAGGCAGAAGCGCCCCAATGCTGTGAGTTACTGGTGACTTCAACGTGGACTAGGAGTGGCCGTTCCACTTGTTCTAGAGACCAGGGTACTTGTCGGGCGACGTGCCGTCACGGCCGGACGACTGCATGCCTCCGAGCACACCTGTGCACCATTCACCACTGCTGTCATCGATGTAATGGCACAGGAGGGAAGCGGTGACCGGGGTGGTACGGCTGCGTGGTCGTCAAGGCAGACCGCATCTGCAGAGCCACATGGTGACTGTACCGCCCTGCAACCCTCAACAGTGGTAGCAGGGCTGGGTCGTCTTCTCTGCAGTGGTCCTTGGATGCGCGTGTTCTCGACGACCACGCACACGCTTCACTGTCACATAGAGCATGCGCCCAACCAACCTCGTCGTCGCCCCGGCCGTCATTCCTGTCCTGTGATTCCCCGGACATCTTAAAACGCGCATAAAACACCATCGCTGACACCAACCCAGGGAGCTTGGATGCAGAAGCAGCGCAACGACCGTGCGGTCCGCTTCAAGATTCTCAACGGCGGCGCGGCGCCTGCTCTTCCTTGGGAGACGGACGAGCGGACCGAGGACGCCGAGGTGGCCTAGAGACATTGCCCGCGCCCCCATCTCCGATCCCACCTGTGTCTCTCATCCCCATCGCTCTCAATCCACATTTCTTTCCCATCTCTTTCGCTCTATCTCTCGCTCTCGCTTTTGGTAGGCGTTTGTTGCCACCACACTACGTATATCCGTAGGAACACTGCATCGGGCCGTAGAACCATTGTTACCATGCCACAGTATCGAACCTGTACCATCCAGCCAGAGGCCAGCATCGTTGCTCGTGTGGCACGTTCGTGTTATGGATAGACCCATCGCCACATTCATGCTGGCACAGACGCTGGCTCGCGGCTTACGTTGGCACGGCGTGCCACACGCTACATGTCTCCTTCATCTCCATTAGGCAACTATCCGTAACATGCGTGAGTTAAGCATCCGCAACCCTTTCCGCCGGCGTGAAACGGTCGCCAGAGACCTTAATGTTCTGTAAAGTACATACGTCAACCGGGAGTGACAGTACTGTACTTACAGTACGTCAGCCAGGCAGCAGCAAATTACAGCAGCGGTCAGTGCTTAACAAGTCACTCCCGTGGCTATCCTGGTCCCTTACGATCACTTACGAACACTCCGGGCACGACTCCATTTCCCAGCGCAAAGCTTGTCGCAGTACAGTACGTTATCGGTTGGAGGGTGGCTAGGGTGGGGGAAGGGATGCGCGGGGGGGGGAGGTGAACATGTCAGATCTGTAAATGAGCGGGTACAGCAGCTCGGTTAGCGACGACGACCTTTTGGCCCTGCACCTTCCTTTCCTCTCTTTGTGAGCGGTTACATCGTCATTCCGCTCCTTGACGCACTGACGTATGTTTCCACACCCAGGAAACCAGGACCCCAATGGAAATGTCCCAAGGACCCCAATGGCACGAGGACGTCGTGGTGCTAGTTACTCGTCCTGTTTCTTACCGTAAACAGCACCACGAGGGCACCTCCGCACTCACTGCACGTCGCAGGACAGCCCGTCCCGGCCGTCCTAGCCGTCCTCAGCCGTGAAAGCGTCCCAAACTTATGTTTCCCTCGTTGCGATCTTACCACTGGGCCACTGCAGCTGTGGCACACCAAGCCTCAGTTGCGTTGCGTCATGCGTCATTCGTCAGACGTGTACAGTATCTTCACAATCAGGACGAGACGAGACCTCGTCCTCGTCCTGGCACCACACCCTGCCGTGCTCGTGGCACCCGCGTACGCATTGGAAGCCAGGGAGGGCACCCACAGCCGCTGGCCACTGGGATGCAAGGCCACAAGTCCCGTTTCCCACTGGCCAGTGGCACCCATTGCCCAAACCCTCCTCCACACGCACCGATTACCTTTGTACTAGTTGTCAGGAAAGAGAGCCGTGCTTGCCGCGCCGAGGCGGGAGGACATACTCTCGTGGCGGCGTTCAGAGCGACAATACCTATGGGTTGGCGTGTTGGCGTGTTCGTGTGTTCGCGTGCCCGCTCAGTCCACGGTCTCGATGACGGGTCACGTGGATGGACGATGATAGAGAGGTCAGAATGTCATTTCGGCGACGATTGTTCCGTGGATCAGTGGATCAGTGGATCAGTGGGCAGGCCATTGAGGAGGGACGGTGCCGCGAGAAACAGTGGTGGCCGTGGTGGCATGGTGTGTCGTGTGGGACTCTGTGGCGGGGTGCTCGTCGCCAGGTGGTCAGTGCTTGACGATCCCGAGTTCGTCACGTCCTCGTCCCCATCTCCTGTTCTGCGTTCTGGGGGTTCCACGCGCGCAAGACGTGCATGCACACCCGTAACGGACATGAGACCGCAACACGCAAGTTGGACTGACCTGGCGGGGCGCTTAGCGAAGCCCAGAGGGAAGGGCGTGTCCGAGTCGTGAGCCGGCCGGCCACACGCCTCCCATGGGCGACGGCTCGTCGCGAGCACAGGTCGTCATATGGAGGCGGGTCTTCGAGGACAAGACCCTCGTCGGCATGCGAGGCTCGTGTGCAGCTTCGGCACGGTGGTTCCGGACCGTTGTTTGTGTGAGTAGAGTACAGCTGCACCTGCCACTCTGTTGACCAGCCGGGCCATGCGGTTTGAAAGATTGGGCCACGTCCGTAATCTGTGATCTGTGCCTTGTGCTGCAGGATCAGCATCGTACCTTGCGCGCGCGGAGGTGACTGTCTCGTCGATCAGTTTCCCAACGGTGGGTACGGTGACTGCTTGGCGTTCTTCTCTTTCACGCCAAACTCTCACGTCCTCACTCACGACGTTTGCTTAGCGCTCTCACACAACAGCGGACCGCGTCCTGGCTCACTCACTGCGCACCCCTCCTCCGCGGGTTTCGTCCTAACAGATGCATAGTCTATAGCCACAAGGGCCGAAATCATATAGTGACGAGTCGAGTCGAGCCAAGATGCGCCGAAAGCAAGCAAGAAAAAAACAATGCAGCAGAGTCAAACGCCGTCGACCCGCGCCGACTCTGCTCCTCCTCTCCTCTCCTCCATTCTCTGCCCCCGCTCTCCACCACCACGTCTACGTTGCACACTCCAAAGGTGAGCCGTTTACTAGAGAGAGAGAGACGTCAGCGACCGATGCCGATGGGGGTGGTGGTCTAGTGAAGGCCTAGGGCCGGTGTAGGTGTGACTCACAGCACGGGACACGTCACGGCCAAAGAGCTTGACCTTGATCCAGTCGGCCATGACGAGGGTACGATTCCTGATCGAGTACAGGGTCGACTGGAGGGTGGGTTAGCAGATGTCAAAGGTAGGTTCAAGGGTCAGCTGCCACACTTACGACGTAGGCCGAGCGCCAGAAGAGATAAGCGGCACCACCGCCCGAGGCGACGTTGCCGTTGAAGAGGGGGAGGTCGGCAATGGCCTTCTCCGAACCAATGTAGGCGAGCGAGCCCTGGTGCGAGTAGTGGAAGGGGTTGACCTTGGCGACGCGGTTGAGCTTCTTGACGAGGCTCTCAATCTCCGCGGGCTCGGCAGTGCCGGTGGCGCGGGCGGCGGCGAGGTCACGCTCAAACTTGGACTTCTGGCCGAGCTTGTTGAAGACCTGGGCGAGGTACTGGCCCTGCTGCGAGGCGACCTGGGCGGTGGGAGCGTACTGGGTGGCAGTGCAGTCACCAAGGCAGTAGACCTGGTCGGCGCCGGTCATGTTGAGGTAGTCGTCGACAACGAGACCGCGGCGGACGTTCTGGGCGCCGGGGAGCTTGTTCATGAGGTTGCGGGTGATGGGGCGCGAAGTGTTACCGGTAGCCCAGACGAGGAGACCGTAGGGGATCTCGCGGATCTCCTTGTTGGCGTCCTGGACGACAACCGACTGCTCCTTGACGTCCTTGACCATGGTGCGGGTGAGGACGTCGATCTTGTTCTCACGGAAGGTGGACTCGGTGTACTGGATGAGCTGCTTGGAGAAGGCGGGGAGCACGTTGGGGAGGGCCTCAATGAGGGTGATGCGCAGGCGGTCGGCGACCTCGGGGTACCACTTCTTGAGGTCGTCGATAAGGAAGTCGTGGAGCTCACCGGCGTACTCGACACCGGTGGGGCCACCGCCGACAACGACCATGTGCATGAGACGGTCAATCTCCTCCTGGGACTGGTCCTTGAAGGCAGCGGTCTCAATGCAGTCCATGAGCTTCTGGCGGATCTTGTCGGCGTCCGTGAGTTCCTTGAGGAAGCAGGCGTACTCGGTCACACCCTTGATGCCAAAGGTCTGGTTCTCGCAGCCAACGGCGTAGACGAGGTAGTCGTAGGGGACAGTGACCGAGGCGGTGGTGCCCTTGATCTCCGAGATGTCTGCGAGAATGTTAGCTAGAGACAGAGAAAAGAGGATACCAATGAACGCACCCTGGAAGGTAACAGTCTTCTTGATGGGGTCGACATCCTGGGCCTCAGCCTCGTAAACCTGGACGGCGCGCTTCTTGTGGCGGGTGATGAAGCGAGTGGGCTGGATGAGGGAACGGGCCTCGAGGGTACCGACAGTGACGGAGGGGAGGAGAGGGGTGAAGAGGAAGTAGTTGCGGGGCGAGATGACAACGACGTTGAACTCGTCAGTGTCGAGGTTCTTGAGGAACGACGTGGCACCCCAGCCCGAGCCGAGAACGACAAGAGTGGGCTTGGTGGGGTCCTGCTCGAGCTGGGTTCCAGGGTGGGCCTCGCTCTGGGTCACTGTAGTCCGTGTCAACAACAATCGGGGTTGGCGGATGTCAATGACTGTCCGGACCGGTAATCCGACCAGGAATCCGACCGCGGACATTTGATCTCGCGACTTACCGTACAGGAAGGCGCCAGTGGCAGTAATGGCGACGACGAGGGTGACGCGACCAAAGTTGGTAGCGAAGCGGCGGAACTTGCCCTGCTTGGGGGGCTGGAGAACACACGGTCAGTCACGGGTTGTTCACTGTCAGTCACCGCGAGTGACTCACCTCAGGAGCGCCGCCGTTGGAGCTAGAGCCGGCGTCGGGGGCAGCGGCAGCGGGGGCAGTCGCGTAGGCACGCGACAGAACGGGGCTGGCCGAAACGGTGGCAGCGGCCTGACGGGCAGCGAAGAGGGGGGCGGCGACGACGCGGGGCGCGAGGCCGGAGCGCGCGAGCATGGGGGCGCGGGCTGTTTGGATGACAACATTGAGTAGATCAATCGGAGAGGGTCGGGAAAAAAGTTGGAACCTGTATCAGCTTTTTGCACGACAGTTTCGAGGAATGTCGCCTTGCACGAGCACGCTGCTGGCAGCAGGGCACTCGTTTTGACTGCATCCACGCTGCTGGGGTACGTACCAAGCTGGCGGAGAGCCATGGTGGACGAATGGGTGGCCTGAGAGTGTGAGTGAGATAAACGGGATCGCGGTGAGACGTTGGGGGCTTCTGATGTACGCCGTCGTGGGTAGCGGCAGAGGGCGCGCCACAAGCGAGGCCCACGTGGGGTGGGTGGTGCGAGAGATTTCTGAATGGCCCACGCAATTGGGATTTCGGAGTAGCCGGTGGCCAGAACGCGCAGTGCAGAGTGGTGTCGACTTACCTGTGAGGGGGGCGGAGGAGGTCCTTTTAGAGCGCGGGGAGAGCGGTGTGTTGTGTTGAAGACGGGGGTGGAGAGAAAGAAGGAGAAGACGAGGGGGGGTTGTCGCTGTTATTTGTGGGCGCCGGAGGGAAAACAGCGACTCGGGGACGGGCAGCGGCTGATAACAGGCGCTTGGCTCCAGGGGGACTTGGGGGACGTTCTGGCCGTTGACTGGTTTGCTGTGGGGTGATTTGCTCGTTGGCAGCTCCCCGGCCGCTGCCGCCGGTTGAAGCGGGTGTGGACCCTGGGCAGTGCAGGCCCATTGCCGCCGCTTGTCCCACCCTCCTTTTTACACGTCATTTCCCTTTTTAGCTTCCATGACGGCCCCGCAACGGTCGTCACTCATCTCTCTCCAACAGCAACGACGCGGAAGGGTACCCGACCGACTCTCTGTCCACACCACCCACACCACACAATCATCCTCCTCCCTCTCCCCGCTCCAAACACCATGTCGGTCTTTGTCGCTGACTCGGTCGCGGCCTGCTTCCCAGCTCCAGTGCCCCGCCCCGCGCTGCCCGTCACAGCAGAGGACGGCGTCCAGGAGCGCAGGTCGCGCAGAGGGTCGCGTCCCGAGTCGCGTAGCTTCTCCTGGATGCGTCTGGCCAAGAGCTACTTTAGCGACTGGATCTTGATCCTTCTCCTCTGGTAAGTGGAGGCCCCAAGGGGAGCCAGCCCCTATACTCTACTCCCATGGGGATATCTCTGTATGGCGCGGAGCAGGTCGGGGTGTGTCGGTCTGCAGCTGTGGTAGATACCCGGCGCGGCGCGTACAGAAGCAAGCAAGAAAGCCGCGCGTGCACGGCATATCGTTTGGTGACGGACCTGGGGGTTATGCGCAGTTGCGATTGATATGCGTCGGGTCTCATTTGCCGCCACTCGAGTCCGCACGATCCGCATGTTCCTGTCCATACCAGTGTCGTCTGCGTCATGCGAGTGTCCCGAGACACACCCAGGTCCCCACACCACATTCCTATACCCACCTGTGCACCTGTGTGCGACCACTCGCTTCGCTTCGAAAAGCGATGGCATGTCTGCATGTCACCCCCGGAACCACGCGCGTCGTTTCCGGGAAGACTCGGAGTGAGGAGATAGCAGTCACATCACATGACGTCGCCGGTGCCCATCGCTGTTCTAACCGGTGGCTCGCGACCGTTTGGGAGATACGGAGATGGGCACCCACCACCCCTGTCGTGTGGCAACATGATCGACACGCTGACATAGATCACAGGGGTCTGCTGGCCGTCCTCGAGCGTACTGGTGGCCACAAGCGCCAGTTCAGTCTGACCGACAAGACTATTCAGTTTGCGTACGCCGTGCATGAGCGCGTCCCACCTCAGTGTGTTTAACAGTTGAAACGGATAACAACTCGCAGCTGATCCTCCCAGCCTGCTCGCCATCGTCTCCGTTGTGGTCCCCCTGACCGTCCTCATTCCCATCAGCATCCTTGTTGCCCGCAATGCCTGGGACGTGCACAACGCCATCTGCGGTACGCCTGTGTCCTTGGTCGAATAACTGTTTCTAACCCCACCACCCAGGCCTCGGACTTTCATGGACCATGGCTGGTGTCGTGACCCAGATTGTCAAGATGATGGTTGGCCGTCCCCGTCCTGACCTCATCAACCGCTGCTTGCCCGCTGAGGGTGCCGCCGATGCGCCGGTCTGGGGCCTCTCCAACTACACCATCTGCACGTCCACCAACCAGCTTGTGCTCGACGACGGCTTCAAGTCGTTCCCCAGCGGACACTCGTCGCTCTCGTTTGCCGGTCTCGGCTTCCTGACCTTTTACCTGGCCGGCAAGATGCACCTTTGGGACAGGTACGGCCACCGCAACCGCGCCTGGTTCGCCCTCAGCCCCCTCCTCCTCGCGGCCATGGTGGCCATCACGCGTACCCAGGACAACCGCCACCACTGGCAGGACGTGCTTGTCGGCTCGGCGCTGGGCCTTGTCATCGGTATGTCTTTATCCCGGCACCCCACGGCATGAATACTAACCCGAGCCCCTGCGCAGCTTTCGTCTCGTACCGCACCTACTATCCCCAGCTCGCGCACCCCACGTGCCACCTGCCCCTCCTCCCGCGTCCCGGCCGCGACGACATTACAGACGAGGACATCGAGTACGAGGCCCTGCACCCGCACGGTCTTCTCTCCGACGAGGGTGTCCCCCGTCCCAGCAACGAGGAAGAGCTTGTTTGGCGTCAGTAAAAAGCCAGTTTGCACGCACAGCCAGCTGGCCCCACCGGAACGAGCGCGGATGTTTGCCCACCCCACCTTTCTGCTCTTTCTGTAGCAACAACCAAAAACGTAAGAATCCCTCACATGCCATTTATTTCCTTGTTATTTCCGTGTGCTTGCCGTCCGGCCCGCCACAACAGCCACCAGGAGCGCGTGCACAGCTGTCCGCTGCAATTGACGCGACCCCAGAATCTCGGGCAGTAATCGGGAGGGCAGGAGGCTGAGGTGAACAGCGCGGCGTCACCGGCGCTCGCAGTCTGCGTGTTGCGTGTGGCGTCCGTCGTTGGGACACCGGCGGAACATGTTTGTGGGCCATGGGGCGCGCAACTCGCGTCCACCCGCCAACCCCTTCAATGCGCGTCCCTTCCGTCCACGCCCTTCGTCCTCCTCCGGGGTATTCGCGGTTGCTCACATCTTGCTTTCTGCTTTCTCTCGTGCTTTCTCGTGCTCCTGGCTGAACCAGAACCAGAACAGCACCGCATGTTACCGTTGCGTCCCCCGCTCCCCAGCTCCCCAGCTTCCCAGCCATCGGCCCGAGTCCTGCCTGTCCTGCCTCACTATCTGTCCTGTCCATCTGTCCGCGTTGTCCGTGTTGTCCGCGCGCCGCGTCTGCCGCAGAACGGGAAGCGTACCAGCCAACCAAACCAACGCCAGACATTTGACTTTTTTATTTGACTTTTTTCGTCGCGCCGGACTGTCCGACAGCAGGGATCGGCGTCGGCCAATTGCCCCCCCTCCCTCATAGCCTCATGTGGTGCCCACCACAGCCGGACACTTGGCACCCAGGACCGCCCCTCCTCTCCCCACCGGCCTCCACAGCGCTCCGCCACTCCACTCCACTCCACTCCGCGCGCAGGACCCCGACCCTACGCGTCGCAGCCCTCGGCCACGTCGCCGCTACTTCTGCATCGCGGAACAAGGGTGCGTGGCGTGGCCGGGGCAAGAAAAACCGCAAGATATGAGCGGGGGGCGAGGCTGGCGAGGCGGGCGCGCGGAGGTTTTGCCGCTAATGGGCCTACTGGACGCGCGCAAGGTCGCTCCCAAACCATTCCGGACCGGCCGTGGCCGCGATTCCCGTTTTCCGCAAAACGCCTCGGTGCTTTCCGTGGCAACGCTGGCCTTGCCATTCCCGTTCGCAAGTGATCCAGTTGGGTGCAGTAGCAAACGCGGCGCAGTGGACGAAACCATTATTCCCGTTCGCCAAGGTGGTGGATTCCCGTTCGATGCATGTTCTCGCTGCTGCTGTCACATGATGCTGGTCGGCGGCCTCGCCGTGGCCTTTTGCGGCGCACATGCCACTGACCACTGGCCACTGGCCACTGGGCGAGCAGAGGCCGCTGCGCCGCCGGCGTGCGTGCGTTGTGCGTGGGGACAACTCGACGACTCGACGACTCGACGACCCGACGACCCTTGCTTGCTTGCCCGCTTGCGCGCCCGGCTGCTGACGTACAGTACGCGCGTACACCTGTGCTCGCTCACATGTCCGCTCGGAAAACGCCTCCTGGCGCCGACTCGCTGTCCTTGCTGTACAGTACTGTGCAGTGCAGTACATGGCATGGCACGACGGCGCGCGGGGCGTGACACGGGTCTTGGGCGTGGCAAACAACTGGGGCTGCGCCAAGACGGCCGAAATGGGCGACGACGCGGCCCATGGTCGATTGCGTGCCGCCCCCCCCCTTGTTCCCCACTTGTTCTCGTCCACACTCTGCTCTCTCGTGGCTGGTGGCAGTGCGGTCTCTTTGTTTTCCCGCTGGACCAAGCGGGGAGGTGTTTCCCGGGCTCTCATACGAGGGGAGGCGAAGGTGTCGTTGGCTCGTTCCGTGGTTCCGTCCACCGCTTGACTTGCTGGGCTTTGTGGTGTGTGTGTGGGGCAGTGGGGCAGGCGGTGTGGTCGCTTTGTACTGCCAAACATGTCAGGCACTTGATGTTAGGCAGTACGGGGGACATAGGAAGGGAGAGGAGAGGCCATACAGAAAACAAAGGCGGCACAACAGGTACATTCCCAAGGCCTTTGAACAGGCCGGCAGCGAGCTCGAGACATGTGATAGCGATCACGATATGATACTGCATATTTCTCCTTCATCCACAAGACATGTTGCGTTTTCTGTCTTCTCCCCCTAGGTACCCATACAACAACCCTCGTAACCATATTTTTGATACCTTGTCGTCCTCTTGTTACGTTTCCTGAACTCGAACGAATCACCCTCTCCCTCAGCTACACCTCGCTACTCGGGTGAGCTCTACCCAGCAAACACCGTCAACCCCAGACCAATCTCCAAACCTCCAAAACACAGCACACCTGGCCTTTTGACTTGCTTGTGAAGAAAAGGCGAGAGCGAGAAAAAAAAAACAATAGGGAAAATAGAAAGAAAGCCCTTTTTTTGGAGGCGGGGTATTGTCGAAACAAAAACATAGGACAGAAGAAAATGTTCCCAAAAGAAAAGAGCGGGCGCGGTGTCGTAGCCCAGTCGTATCCGCGCGCAGACGAGAGCGAGGCGAGCTTGAAAGAAAATGACTCGGTGGTTCCAGAGCCTAGCAAAGATGGCGCGGCGGAAAATGACGACCGCAAGCTGTCAAAGACCTGCAAGACGCGTCACAGGCTCATCCGCGGACCTTGACGGCGGGCTTGGCGTCGGTGACCTCGACGTCTTCGACGTGCACGTTCTCCCAGCCGCCCTTGTCCATCTTGAGGGTGGCGACGGCGCCGGTGGTCTCGCGCATGACGACGTCGTTCGAGTCGTCCTCCTCGTCCTCCTCCTCGCCGCGCGTGCTGCCCGAGTCGCCGCGGTTCAGGCCGGGCGGCGAGGGCGCGATGGGGATCCCGGCCTTGCGCAGCAGGGCCTCGAGATGGGTGATGTGCGAGACGGCCTTGCGGAGGATGATGGCCTTGGAGTCGGTGGGGATGGATGACGGAAGAGCCGTCCGGAGCGACTGGAATCCAGTGTTGATTGACCTGGGTGTGGCGTCAGCACGTATTTCCTCATTGTCCCGAACCCGAAGAGTCGGGCCGGCTGGGAGGGTGTGGCCCATTGCCCAGTGGCCAGTTGCCAGTGGGCCCAAAAAAAAATGTCCCAGGACTCTGCCGGTGCCACGATAGTACTCACTCTCGGCGCTTTTGCTCAGACATGAGGTGGGCCAGGCGGCGGCTCTGTCCGCCACCACCATTGCCTCCACTGCCGTTTCCCCCGCTCGAGTGTCCGCCACTGGGCGTGTACTGAGGGGTCTCACGTGGCGTAGGAGGCGCGGCCCAGTCACCCCCGTCAGACGAACCGGCACTGCGTGCCCCATATCGGCTCAGTGCGGACGCAGCAGAGTGCGAGCGCGACCGGCCACCGGCCGGCTGCTGCAAATAAGTCTCGGGCGAGTAGCCGTTGATGGCGCGGAGAGGTGGAGATGCGCGGTCCGCGGGGGGTGGGTACGACCTTGGCGGTGACGGGTCGTTGCGGTAGCAGCTGGACCCACCGCCGCCGCCCTGCGTGGAGAGGCCCAGTGTGGGGCCGCTGCGGGCGGAAGATGGTGCCGGCTGTGTGTTGTTCTGGTCGTACGAATACGAGGGTCGGAGACCCCCAAGCGAAAATAGTTTCGGACTGGCTGCGCGAGAACTGCCGGGGGAAGTGGCGGGAAGAGCCGCGGGAGGACCCATCGTGCCGCTGGGAACCGACGTGGGCGTCAGCGGGCCCGTGTTGTGCTGGATGGGCGAGCCATGTGCCGATGCCGAGATGCTTGCAAACGATGGCAGGTGGAAACCACGTTCACCAGGATACCTCTCGCTGTGAGCACGCGGAAGCGATGGGCGACGGTCACGCCATTCACGGTCTCGGGCGTCACGGACATCACGGTGGCTGTGGCTCTCATGAGGCGAGCGCGGGTCGCGCTGCTCCCGGGGGTCGCGGGGGTCACGGGCGTCGCGCTCGTGTCTCTCGTGCAAGACATGCAGAGGAGCACCAGAGTTGGGAGGGGGAAGGTAGATGCGCGATGGGTCCTCGCGCGGGGACAGTGACGCCTGGGTGCTGACGCTGTGGCGACGAGGGTAGGGATGGGCGCGGTACGAGGACAGCGACGACTGGGTGGGGGAACGCGACGACGACGGTGAGAGGAGGGGACGTCCGCCCAGCGAGCGCTCAGAAGTGTAGGGGGCGTGTACGGAAGGGATGGGGATGGACATGGCCATGGTGGGCTCGGTGGGTGAGCGCGAGTGCGCTTCGGGCGAATAGGTCATGGGCAAGTGGTAAGGGCGATGGGTGTGGCTATTATGTCTCGCGGGCGGTCAGCAATCCAGCGAGCTGTGCGCAGCCGACAGGAGGCGAGAAACGTTGTGCAGCTGACGCTGTACGAGGCAGCAGGTGGTAGCGGCCAGGCTGGTCAGGACCAAAGGGGGGCCACGTCCAGCACGGGCAAGAGGCGGGGGGCGGGGCCCAGAGGTGTCGAGGTGCCGCCGGCTGTTTGGGAGCGTGAGGATGTCCCCGTGCCTTCGAGTCTGTCTGCCGTCTGGTTGGTGGGGTGTATCGTGCGGGAGCCGCAGACAAGTGACCAAGAGTTGCAAACGATGGGTGTGTGTGTGTGTGTGTGTGATGAGGTGAGAGTGCAGTTGCAAAGAGGCGCGACACAAAGGTGGTGCCGAGGCGTTGCGGAACACGGATAACCGTCAACCGTGGCAGCCGCGAAGAGACACGCTATTACAGGTGTCGGATCAGAGGTCCAGAGGTCCAAAGCCAGTCCGAGTTGGGGGGTTTGGGAGGCGTTGTGGGGAGGCAGTGAAACTAGAGCGCGTCTGCCAAGAAATGTGGCCTGCTTCGGTGCCGGGTGGGCAATGTCCCGAGAGAGGAATGAGGGGGTGGTGGTGGTGGGTGTTGGGCCGAGGGTGAGCCGTGGGGGGGTCGGGCGCCGGGATCTCTTGCGCCGTGGCGTCGTTGAAGAGAGAGGGAAATATATGAATGGGTGGGAGGCGGGAGCGAACGGTGGGCGACGAGCGTCGGCAAGATTCCGGAGGAGAGTGGGAGGGAGAGTGGTTGGAAGATGGAGAGTGGATGGAGGAGGGATGATGTGAGATGTTGGGTGGTGGTGGATTTGGGGGGTAGGTGGGTGTGGGTGGGGGGGCTGGCGCGCGCGGGGGATACGGAGGATAGAGCCGGGTGTGTATAATAGAGAGCCAAGAAGTGGGCGGATGGGATGAGAGGGTCAAGAGAGAGCACGTTGCCGCAAGCAGCTGACCGCAACACTGTGGAGAACGAACAGTCACGAGGGCGGCAATACTCGCCAGCTCGTGTCTGTGTTTTTCTCTCGTTTGTTCGCGCCGATCACGGTCCGGTCCCAAGTTCTGTTTTACGCAGCGCGGAGCAACGGAGGGAGCGGGCCGACCCACACTCTTGTGACTCTGCTCTGGCGGGGTAACAGGGCGACAGCATGCACAAGGGACCCACAGAGACCTGCTTTCGGCGCGGGCTCCGGTGTGGGGTGGGGGGCATGTGGGGAGCCAAAAAGGGAGGGACGCCGGGTGCGAGAGAGGCAAAGGGAGGGGGGGGGATCAGCCGGGGCTGGGGGCCAGGTGGCATTGGTCTGTTGGCCGGTCTCCTTTTTTTTTTTCTCTCTTTCCCTCTCTGCTAAGCTGCTCTTTTTTCGGTGTGTGCGGCGACCTTCTTCTGTCGATCCCGCCGTGTGAGCGTGCGTGTCCTGCATTGTTGTTGTCCCGTGGTGTTGTGCCGCTGTTGCAGATTCTTGGCACACATGCTCGTCTTGCGCGCGCGCGCGCGCGCGCGCTCTCTCCAAAGACCGACAGGGCCGACACACCATGTGCCCCGCCTCGCTTCAGGTCGTTCTGGGGGCCCTGTCCTCTGGGCATGTTGCCCCAGCGCCAGGGCAGGCAGCACCCAGAGCGGCCAGCGGCAGTCCAGACGGCACATGTGGGTCCCGCAGCAATGGCCATATGCTCTCTCTCTGCCCCCTTGCTCCTCGCGGTTGTACGTACACGCATGTGTTCAGCCAAAGCACGGGGGAGCATGAACCGTGTCTCCATGGCCCTCTCGGGAGGCCCGATGTGGGTGCTTTTCTGCCTCTTGTCGGATGCACCGGGCCGAAACAAAACCCGGCATTCGTTCATCGGTATTCTCCATTGCACCCCTGAAAAACAACGACATAACCGCCCCCCCACCGGTCCCCAAATGCTGACGTCTGGTCCACGGCGTAATTGATCCGCCGTGCTGCAGCTGCTGGCTGCTGGACAAGGAAAAAGAATGTGAGCAATAGCGAGAGTGCTTTTGCATGCAGGGAGCAACACACACAGACACGCACATCCCTGGGCGTGCATGTGGCCCCAATGACTTCTCGTGCTAAACGAAAAGGGGACCGCCAGTCACTGCCTGGCGTCTAACGGCCACCGGCGACTCATTGCCACAGACAAAAACACACCGGCCACCGGCCTGTCGGCCAAGACCGCACAAGCTAAGCGTGTATGTATGTGTGTGTGTGTCGCCAACGTGCTCTGCGCGTGCAGATATTAATCAGCATCATGTGTTGGACGCAGAGTGACACCTGGGCCTAGGAGGCGCAGGGCGTGGCTGAGCGGCCACGCACCCCGTCTCTCCCGTCACCGAGGCGACGACAGACGGCGGACAGCGGGGATGATAGGCGACTCACGCAGACGCCACCGTGGCAGCTGCGCTGGTACCTTGTCATCTAACAGGGGCCAAGGGCGTGACATGAGCAGAGGAGGACGATGAGAGCAGGGGCTTGGACCGAAGACCGACAAGGCGCAAGAGAACACGCCATGAACTCGTCGTGGCGCGGCCTCACAGCGCGTGCTTTGTGCCACCCCCCGAATCCCACGCCTTTGCCATTCCGCGCCAGCACACGTTCGCGCCAGTGGCCAGGCCATGAGCCAAAGCTCGCAAGCCGGCGGTGCAGCAGATCTCGACGACCAGTGCTGAGAAGCACGACTGGTACCGGGCACGCAACTGGAACTTGTGCAAGGATCGCCGGGACAAACCGCCTTTCATGTCAATTAGCCGCTTTAGCAGGTGGCGACAGAGCGTGTGGTCCCTTCTCCATTTCGGCCGTCTGAGTAGATTTAGCCGTTGTCATGCACACATGTGTCCTGCGCTTCGGACCTCGCCTTGTTCGCCTGAACCTCGCGACTTTGATAGATACGCACGGTACGCACGTACAAAAAAAATGACAAAAAATGCACCGACCACCGACGGCACAGCCCCTGGGCGTGAGCCACTCTGTGCCACTTGGAATGAGCGACAAGTATGCTCCGAACCCGTCCGCAAACACGCGCACACGGGCATGTGAGCAGCTGCGCACATAGCGGCAATACTCGTCGTGCCCAGCTTTGCGGCCCCCAGATCCACATCTCCAGGACGCGCAGACTCCTGACGTCCATCCTGAAGGCTGAGGCCAACTTTAGCAGAACAGCCTCTACGGCGCCCGAAGCGTCTCCCCATCCCCTGATCCCCACACCCAGATGCCGACAGCCCCGACCACCCCGCACTCGCCACAGACGCCAGAAACGCCAACGCCAACGCAAACTCGGCGAGCGCGCGTGAGCGACCTACAGAAAGAAAGAAAAAAAAAACACAAAAAACCGCACATAGATACCGCACCCAATGCGCCGCTGCCGCCGCCGCATATCAAGGCCATGCCACAATCGCCCGGCTGCGCTCCTATATCCTCCGTACGCGTGCACTCGTGTTCGGCAGCCATCCGGACCCCGTGGCTGCTTCTCTGTCGCCCCCCGTGTGCCGTCAGCGCCCCCCGCCTCTCCGCCGTGGCCAATACGCCCGAAGTGGCTCCGCAAAGCACAGCAGCGTCCAGCGCCCAGCTTTCCGCCGAACGTGGCGTGGGCTTTCATCAGAGTTCAGCTGCCGGGTCTGCAGCTCACCCCGTTCGTGATCAACGTCACGTTACACCACCCCCGGCCCATTTTCGGCATGCAGCTAACAACGCGGAGGGACCATTCGGGCAGGTCTTGTGATCGTGGCTGAGGGCTCGCCGGTGATCGCAGTGTAGTTATTGTTTGTGACCCGGGCCACAAGGAGCGGCCAAGAGCCACAGACACGCGATGCCACATCACTTCTGCCGGGCTTTGGAGTCGTGGGTGCCGTATACGGCCTTGCCTGCCAGGCAGCTGATCATCTGATTTGCCTGTGGGTGGGCAGAATGCGTGACGTCGACTAAGGACCGCTGCCGGAGACGCCGATGCAAACGGTGCTGGCCAAAATACAAATCCAGCGGTTATCCAAGCGAACGTCCCCGCAAGCGGGCGACCGAGGACACATGCCCAGAGCAAATCGATCACTCGCGCGATCAAATCCGCCCCTCAGCTGCCTGTGCACATGACCACCAATGTCTCGGCCCCATCGGACCCCCTCCCAAACCCCAAAGCGAACGTCCGTTCCTCGCCCACGGGCCCCAAGGTCCATAGGCCGTTACCCGTGTAGCGGATCCCCTCGCTTCCCCCAGGCCCCGTGAGCCAAGCCACGGAAGCGCACATGCATACGCATGCTGTATCAAATCTGGCCTCTGGCCTCTGGGAGCCAGGCCCAGAGTCACAATTAATAGACCCCATACCCCATGCCAGCCAAACAGCCAACAGCCGTCCCCAGCCGTCACCGGCACCGGCACTGGAACACACGGCTGCACAGCGGCTCGGCGGTAGTTTATGCGATAAACCAACGGAGCGTCATCGCCGGACCGGTCACCGATGACCGGCGTGCTGGCCGCTGGGTCGCCGGGCACATGGCCGCTAGGCGACTCTGCATAGGTTCGCAAAAGCTGCAAAGCGCCGTACGCCGGCAAAGACCGGTGTTGGATCCATCGACGTCGTCTGCAGCAGGACATTTTCCGCTGTTTTCGGTCGATATGGCCATGTGCATTTTGCTTGGCTCCATTCTTTTTCGCCGGCGATCCACGCTGGCGGCCTGGCGGCCTGGCGGGTTTCGATCTACACCCTCCCAGCTCCCTCGTCTCTCGCCTCAGGATTTGTTCCTCGGCAGGGAAGCGGGGCCTGGCAGCCTGGCAGCCTGGTTGCCTTGGCTCGGCACCAACCCGGTGGTATATATCTGCCGCCGATGCTGCCGACCGCAGAGCCAAGACTTCGGGAGACGGGGGAGCAGTATGGGGGCTGGCACATCCGCTCTGCCGCAAGCATGTGATGCGCCGGGAAAATGACCCTCACGCAAAAGGTCATCGCTGCTCTCGGTGGGATAATGGGCCGAGCCGAGCACCAGCTTTCGCCAATGCACCGAAACTCCCGCACTGCCGGTCTGGGACCCGCAGGTCATGCCGACCGACAGCCGCAAACTGCCTGCCGCAACACCCTCGCTCTTTGCCTCCCACAGTGATTCCAGTCCAGCGGCAGTATGCACGTGAGGCGGGCACGAGGGACACAGGCGCCATCCAGGACCCGCGCGCAGGCAGATGGACAGGACAGGACCACCACCCCATTAGGGCCGGTGTTCCAGGACCCCCCCCCCTCCTCCCCCCCCGGGCTCCCATCCTGGACCGGCTGTTCGCGGCGACACGCACCGTGATCGCCGCACATGCTCTGGGGACCCCAATGGCCAACGGGTGAGTGTCGTCCGTCCAGTGTACCAGTGTCCAGGCGTCATTTCAACAGCTTTACCAGGCTGTCCATGCTCCGCGGACAGGCCGCACAACAGTCCCGCTCTCGCACGCACGCACAGTGGTAGCTGCATCTCTGGTAAACTCACAGAGGCATCTCTGTAGCTGTTAATGCTCTTGATTGTGTGTGTTCTGATAAACTGGTGGTGCTTTTTCAGCGGAGACACCCATTCGGTGCTGTCGATGTTTGCATTCTGATAAACTGATTGTCCTTTTCTAGCGGGCGACCACCTTTGTGGCTCGCCTCATTCTCCTTTTTCGCAAAAACAGTTGTGCCGCCTGGGGCTACTCATGCGATGTGCGGTACGGCGGGTCTGTGTGCGCGCCGCTCAGTCGACCGACGCAGGAGACGCCTCCGCCTCCACCTCGACTTCACCCTTGAGCTGCTTCTCCTTGCGCTCGGCCGCCTTGTACAGCTGCGTGTACTTGCCGGACTTTTCGCACAGGCTCTTGAACAGCGACGTGTCCTTGCGGAGGAGGTTCTGCGCATTCATTGTCAGCCACGGCGGGTCCCATGCATGCGGGCAGGCAGGTGCTCAGGGATGCCTGGGCTCTGCCGCATGCGACTTAGCACCTACCATGGGAGTGTCAAACTCGGCAACGCCACCGTCCGAGAGCACAAGCAGGCGGTCATAGTCGATGATCGAGCTGAGACGGTGCGCGATGGTGATCAGGGTGCTCTCCTTGAACTCGGACCGGATGGCCTGCTGGATAGCCTCGTCCGTCGCAAAGTCAACCGACGCAGTCGCCTCGTCCATAATCTGCCAAGTGTCAGCTGGGGCCGTCCTTTGCCTTGCGCGCCACAATCCCCCGCTTGCACCACCTCGGTCTCCACCGAACGCTGGGCAACGTGGGCGGGCATGTGAACGAGCACATGTGGACCGAGGAACAGAGAGGCGTTTGCGGCGTCTGCCCATGTGGGTGCTCGTGTCCCAGAACAAACCCATCTCGGCTCAGAGGTCGGAGACACTCCGAGTCGAGTGGTTTGCTGTTGCTCGCGAAACATCGGAGGACGTCGGGGCACCACATTGCACGTCGGAGGGACGCCGAACTATTTCAGAGACTTACGATGAGGTTGGAGCGACGAAGCAGCGCGCGAGCCATGGCCACGAGCTGACGTTGGCCTTGGGAGAAGTTGGTGCCGCCGGCCGAGACTTCGGACGCGAGTGTGATCTGGAGACGGGGCGTGTGGAGGCCGGACGAACGACCGCTGGCGCTGTCGTCGGCAGCATTCTCAGCCGCAATCGCCACAAGACGAGGGTGTGTCGGTGCCGACTTGTTGAGCACCGGGGTCGCGGCACCACTCTCGGGGCGGCTACCCATGCGGCTTGCGGGTGCAGTGTCAGCAACGAGGTTGACGCGCTCGAGAGCATCGAGAAGGTCGGCATCGGTGTGTTCGCCAAAGGGGTCAAGGTTGTCGCGCACAGTACCCGAGAAAAGCACGGCGTCCTGGGGAATGTACGTGATACGCGAACGCAGGTCGTCGACACCGATCGAAGTGACATCAATACCGTCGATAAAGAGCTTGCCGGAAGCTGGGTCGGTGAAGCGAAGCAGACTGACGAGTTAGCACGATGGGGCATTGCTCGACTCACCTCATAGCCAGGGTGCTCTTGCCCGATCCAGTGCGTCCAATGAGACCAATCTTCTCACTAGCCTTGATGTCAAACGATCCCTTGAAGACGGTAGGCAGTTCGGGCGAGTACTTGATCTCGAGGTCCTGGGCACTGATAAAGCTCTCGGTCGTAGAGTACGAGGGCCAGTAGGCAGGCGGGCGGCTGCCCTCGATGACCGAGGGTGGCTCTTGAGGAATGTTCAAGTACTCTTCGACACGCTCCACACTGTTGAGGTCCATCTCCATCTCGCCCCAGAACCTCGAAAGCCAGTAGAACGACTGGACGAGACCGGACGCAGCCGAAATGGCCACACCTGCGCTACCGTCGGTCGTGGCGGCGCGGAGAACCATCAGGGTGGTGATAAAGACGCTGGCACCGCCGAGCACGTCGATGCGGACCATGAGCCAGCGGTTGGACATCCAGTAGTAGTAGAACGCCGACAGAGCCTGGTCGACCTGGACACACATGGTCTCGAAGAAGCGCGACTCGGCGGAAAAGGCACGGACAGTGATGACACCGTCGAGGAGCTCGGCGAAACCACTGAAGATGGGCGAGTTGGACGTGGCCTCCAAACGACGGAAGCTGCGACCGGCACGGAGGTAGAGGAGGGCGTAGCTGTAGTACAGGTAGCTCATAAAGGCCGCAGGGATGAGGAAAGACGGGACGATGTAGGCGACGACACCCAGGCGGACCAGGAGGGCGGCACCGTAGACTGCCACAGTGCGCAAACTGCCGCTGAGGCGTGTGTCGATGGTTTCAATGTCCTTGGAGAAACGGTCTGCGGCGTCAGTGTTGGTCTCCATGAAGTCCATGAAAGGGAAAACTGGGACCTTGATCAGCACACAAAAACACGCACTGAGAATACGGCCGAGCGGCGTCGTGTTGAAGAAGCGGATGGTGCTATGAATCACAGAGTCAAGAAGACGGTCGTGCAGAGTCTTGCCGGCACGGTATCCGCCCCATGCGCCGACAATCGACTGGATAATGCTGACGAAAGCAGAACCAAGCATGATCGCAGCGTACACGCCGAGGTAAAAGCCCGGGTTGGTGTCCGCAGACGGCAGGCTGGCGATGGAACCAACGTCCGCGCCCTGAACGACAAAGCCAGGAGCGGCAGTGACATTGTTCTGCGAGTGGTAGATAAAGTGGTGGTGGTAGTCGGTAGAAAGCTGCTTGTCGGGCAGGCTGTTGGCGTATCCAAACGAAAAGAAGTTGGTGACCTGAGTGTTGTACGCTTCGCCCCAGACACGAAGCCAGAACCACTCTGCAACCGCGTTCAACTGCGAGAGCACCAAGGTGATGACCCAAAAGACCAGCGTGATGTAGGTCGACGCCTGGATGTAAAGCTTGTAGGTGTGCCACTTGACGTTGCCGACGGCACGCTCCTCGTCCTTGACGAGCTTGCGACCTGGGCCCTTCTTCTTCTCGGTCTTCTTGGAGTCGTCCTCCTCGCCTTCAATCTCGTCGACGACATTGTCGGCAGACACAATCTCCAGCTTGGTCACCTCAGCCTCCTCAACTGCCACAACGCCGTCGAGGTCGCCGGTCTCGCGCAGGTGTTCGGGCGCACCCTGGCAGTCCACGCGACCGTCCAGGATTCGAACGATGTAGTCGGCCGTCGGAAGGAGCAGGTCCAGGTGGTGAGAGACCAGGATCTGTGGGGAGGCGTATCAGTAATGCTTTTGCGGGCCGATATCATGCCGGCCCGACTCAAACGGCACGCGGAATACGCACCACTGTGCGGCCCTTGAGCAACGGCCCGTTGAGACACTTGTCCACGAGGTGTTTGGCCGTGTGCGAGTCCACCGCGGCCAGAGGATCGTCCAGGAGCACGTGTTGCGCAAACGAGTAGACGGCACGCGCAAGAGCGACTCGGGCCTTTTGACCACCACTGAGAGAAACCTGAGGCATGTGGTTAGGAATGTATCGCCGCTCCCCGTTCTGACACCATGTACTCACGCCCTTTGCGCCGATCTCGGTCTGGTCGCCGTCCTCGAGAATGTCAAAGTCGGTCCGACTGTAACGTCAGCGCCAGCCCATTGTCCTCCTCCCCTCTTCCCCAAACTCACAGGGCACAGGCATCAACGCAGGCCTCGTAACGCTCCTCGTCGACCTGCTCGCCAAACAGAATGTTGTCCTTGATAGTCTTTTGCTGAAGCCATGGCGTCTGCGCAGCATACGCCACAGAGTTACGGAGACCGGTGGTGTGATCGACTTGAGTAAGGTACTTGGGCAGGTGGGTCTCACCCTGGACGATGTCCATCTCGCCAAGAAGACCGGTGAGGATGGCGGTTTTACCCGCACCCGTAGGCCCAGTGACCACAGTCAGTTTTCCGAGTGGGAAATCGACAGTAACGTTTGACAGTTCAAACACCTCGGGGACAGACTCGACCGAAGAAGATTCGGGGCCCTCGGCATCAGGTGACGATGCACCGTTGCCATTGCCGTTCTCGCCAGCCTGGCCATTCTCGGTCTTGTCCTTGTCACCAGCGTTCCACCTGAGGGTGGCCTTGGTGAAGCCAATCTTGCTGTCGCTGCTCGGCGCCTCGTGACGCTTGAGCGACGACACCCAGTCAGGCACTTCCTCCTCTTCAAGGAAGGACTGGATACGACCCAGGGCAACCTTGGACTGGAGGATCCAGACAATGAACATGGGGATCGAGTTGAGAGGCATACGAAGCATGCTGAAGAGCGCAATGGACTCGAAAGCGATTGCCACGGTGAGCTTCTCCTTGGCGATGACAATGAAGCTGTTTCATCAGTTGAGTTCGCGAATCCAATACAACTCACCAGAAGAATGAGAGGAGTGAGACCATGATGGGGACAAGCGACCAGAGGAGCGAGAACATCAGGTTGTTCAAGATGGCTAAAGGTTAGCTTACGGTCATCGCTTTAGCACCTACATCGAATCATTTGCTTGAGCTCGCCCTTGCGCGCGTCCGAGGCGCGCTTCTCCCACTTCTCTGTCCACGCAAAGAACTGGTCGGGTCAGTGTACGTGTAGCAAACCAGACTCACCTTGATAAAAGTAATAGCGCCAATGAGCTCATTCATCACGTTAATACGCTTGTCACGAGCCTTGAGGAGGTCCTTCTGGATCTGCGCGGGTCAGTGGTCACCAGCGAAGCCTACTCACCCCGACGGCACGGCGCGAGATCCAAGAGTTTATCGGAGTGGCGATCACGACGGCAATGACCCCGGCGAACGCAGACCACCCCAGGAGACTAATGTCAGTTATGTCCGTTCGGTCAAGGTCAAACTCACCCGTAAAGGAGAGTACAGGCGACAGTGATCTCGATGGGGTTCGCGTAGATGATGTTGAGGAAGGACACAGTCATTGCGATACTGCAGGGTCAGTGCTGTCCACGATTCAGCCAACGCACCGGTTGGCATCACCAGACATGAGGTTGACGACCTTGCCGGCGTTGGCGTTGGTCTTCTTCTCCTCCTTGCCGTCCTTTCCATCCTTTCCATCCTTGGCAACGTCCTTGCCGTCCTTCGAGACATTGCTGGTCTCCTCCTCCTTGGGGTTGATGACACCCGAAGCATCCTTGCGACGGAGGGCCTTGTCACAGAGAGCAGCAATGAGGCTGCCCTTGATACGCACAGAAGCACGGCGACACGCCCAGAGGTGAATCAGGTCGAAAACAGACTTGGACACGCTAGCGAGGAATGCCAGGAATGCAAAAGTGTAGGCCTGAGCAAGGGCACCGTCGTGACCATTGCGGTGATGGCTGATGGCAGTGCTGAATGTGTATCAGTTTCAAACACTCAGCCTTTGATGCCACATTGAACACGTACAGGATCTTGCCAAGGAAGAATGGCGACAGGTAGTTCAGGCAGACGGAGACGAATGTGAGACTAAGGTCGACGAACACGTCGAAGCGGTTGGCCAGGGCAAGCTTCCGAAGCAGGGTGTTGGCGACCACATCCTGCAGCAAGCGGAAGGTGTTGGCAGTCTGTTGGGTAGGCGACAGCTTCGGGAGCTCCTCGGGCGTAAGCTCGTTGCTTGCAGTGTACTTGATGAACGAGGACACCCAGGAAAAGGTGATCCACTGCCAGAACGTCGCAGTGTCGTCCATGCCCAGCTGGGGCTAGTACACATTAGTCGGTAGCCAACAACCTTTGGAGCCACCACACTCACAGCACGAGCAAGCACGATGGGCGAGCTAAAGCGAAGCTGGCTCGCAAGCAGGACCAACATCAGAGTCGTTGTCAGGTTGGCAGTCTCGAATATGAGCGCCTGCTGGGTTGCCCACACGGGGAACTCGCCATTGGCGAGACGGGCGTTGCCAACGTCAATCCACACGGCGACGCTGTAAGCGCACAGCACGGCATAGATTAACAAAGACGACCCGGGCGGAGTCACAGGTGGGTGAACAACCGTGCGCACAGTGAGGAATAACTAGATGCTTGTTAGCGCGCGGCGCGCTTGTCTTAGTGCGGCGTGCCCGCCACTGCAGAACCTACCCAGACAATAACCATGCCACCGGCGAGAAGGGCGGTCTTGAGGTCGACAGTACTGGTGTTGATAGCAAGTGCAAGCTCATCGCCAAACACGATGGTCCACGCGAGCAGCTCCATGCCGCTCAGGAAGCCGAGGAGGGGATGCAAGAAGCCCGCAGGAGCAAACTGGGCCGCCTTGCGCTCGGCGACGGCGGGTTCGACATTGCTGGGGACAGCTGAGAGGGGGTAGGTATCAGTGAAGGCCCAGTCGAGAGCACGCTTGATGGGCGGGATACGGGTCACGGCGGAGGCGGCGATGATGCCCAGAGGGAGCAGTGTCCGAACTGCCGCCAACTTGGGATACGGTATGGGCCCCTCGCTGACCTGTGTGGAGGCGACATTAGCTTGAGCGACGCGTCGTGAGTGAGTGGCCGGCATACGCACAATCATGGCGAGCAGGTGGTTCTCGCTGTGAGGTTGTCGGTACGAAAGTGCTATGGCCTGGACCTGTTATGGGGGTGACGGATGTGTTGGGAGACATTGAGATATCGGAGCGAGTGTGGCCTGAAATAGTAGCGCGCGCCGAAAGACGTCACCTGCGCCGCGAAAGCGTTTGCCTCGTGCGGGAGACGCGCGGTGGTCGCTCTCAGGCACACCAGCCACAACTCCAAGCACACACATGGTACACAGGCTGTACCCATGTACCCATATGGGTCAGCCTGCTGCGGAGATTACAGATTGACAGATTACAGGCGGGCCAGCGTGATCAGCGAGATGTGGTAATGGAGTGGCAGGCACCAAGTAAACAATTAGAACAACTTTGAATTCACTTTAGCACTGTGCACGCCTATAAAACATTAGGCACCCACCTTCTTTCCCCCCACGTGGTCACGTGCCTACCACCTTTCACTGACGCTTTCACCAGCTTTTTGCGGTCACAAGTCAATCATCCACCAACATTGACGTTTGCTCGTGCACTCCACCACCAACAACACTTGTCTATCCACCTCGGCATCCGCCCCCTTCTCCCCTTCACCCCTTCAAACTACCGCCCTACCACCGACTCTTACCTCCCCGATGTCCCTCGACTCGGACCGCGAGCTCGCGCGCCTCTGGCGCGTCTCCAAGACCGTTCACGAGATGATCCGTGACCGCGTGCGTATTTGGTCACCTGGGAGCTGTAACATATCCCTCACTTGAGGATGTGCTGCTCCCTTCTCCAACAATTGGTAATGGTATACTAATGGCAGGGCTACGAGGTTGCCGACTACGAGATCAACATTGGCTTCGACGAGTTCAAGGACCTTTACGGTGGTGGCGGCAGTGTCGAGTGCGTAGGCGGCTTCATACATCCAGTTGGCTGCCGTGTTTTCCCAATCAGCTGGATGATGCTGCACGATAAGCTCCTGGGACATGAGCTGACACCTCCAGCCGTGGACGTATGGCCTTCCACGCCAACCACAAGGACGACCAGCGTGACAGGATATATGTTTACTTCTGCTCCGAGAAGAACGTCTCCAAGGCGGCTATGAAGAGGTGAGTGAAGACGGGGCCACGCGGAGGATGTGCTACAGCGGCCGCGTTGGCTGGTGGTCTGGTCTGCCCTCCAGCCAGATGGCTAGCTGGTCCGCGACGAGGTGGTCCCCCTCCCCTCATCGACACCAGTGTTGGACCCCAACCTCTCACTTTGCCCGTGCTTCTGCTGACAATCCAGCTTCATCACCTCGCTGGACGGCGTGGGCGCAAAACGCGGTATTATTATCTGGAGCGAGAAGATCTCGCCGGCAGCCAAGAAGACCCTTGTGGAGATGCAGTCCGAGTACCACCTCGAGGACTTTGCCGAGGCCGACCTGCTTGTCAACATTACCAAGCACTTCCTCGTTCCCAAGCACCAGATCATGACCCCCGAGGAGAAGTCGGCTCTCATCAAGCGTTACCGCCTCAAGGACACCCAGCTGCCCCGTATCCTGGTCACCGACCCCGTTGCCCGCTACTACGGCATGCGTAGGGGACAGGTCATGCGCATCGAGCGCGCGTCGCAGACTGCTGGACGGTGAGTTGATACTGCAAAAGGGAGAGAGAGAGAGAGAGAGAGGAGCTGTGGGTTTGCAAGTCCCAGCGCTGCGAGTCCCAGTTCAGCGAGTCATCCAGCCATTTTGGTCACCGCCGAATTGGACGCATTGAGCAACGCATTCCCTAGACTTTGCCGACTTTGGAGATTCCCGTGAACACTGCTGACGTCTCAGATACATTACATACCGCATCTGCATGTGAGGTGGCATAGATAGGAGCTTGATGGCATTGTATGATATGAGCGTGTGGGCAGATGAGATGGGTTGCATTGGTGGGTGGTGGCAGCTGCAATCCACACTCCCCAACTCACCTTTTTATATACCGCTTTGCTCCCCAACTCACCTTTTTATATACCGCTTTGCCGTAGTCGGTCGGGCGGGGGAGTTTATCCGGGGCTGCCAAACGCACCAGGGCCCAGGGAACGACGGCGGCAGGCAATGCAACGCTTCCACCCCCGCCCCGCGCTCACCCACACCCCCGGCCACACCGCTCAACCCCGCCAAATCGGGACACTCACCCTTCGTCGTCGTTCGTCGTTGTCCATCCATCCATCCCACTCGCCTGCCCCCACACCATGTCCAGACCTCTGGCAGGACCCAGCCCCCTCGCAGGCGGCATGCCACGCGCAGGCCCGTCGCCGCGCGCAGGTCCGTCACCCCTCTCCGGCCCATCACCCCGTCCCGTCGTCGCCCCCAGCCCACGGCAAATGTCGGCGCCGTCGCCGGCGGCCGGTCGAGCCCGTGGACTACCAACCCCAACTCGCCCATCACCTGCTGCCCTCCCCGGCCCAACAGGCGGTCCTGGGAGCCCATCTGTCGCTGGTCCCAGTCTCAAGCGTCGTGATACGGGTACCGGCAAGGATGGCAAGGACTCTCCGGCCGCCAAGAGGACCAAGCTGTCGCCAGGGGCGGCCTGGATTGCGGCTCAGGTCGACGTGATGCAGAGACAATACAAGGTATGTTCGCGGCCCACTCCCAGACCACTGACGGCGCAGAACGCTCTCGTCACAGCAGCAATGATTTGCCAGTTCCAAGCCGACTGCAAAGCAATGTACGTCACACGAGTCCTCATAGCCACTTGCTGCTGTGTGTCCCCAACTGACTCGTTTCCGCAGTGGGTACAGGCCCAAACCACCACGCCGACTCGAGGTCCGACTCGAAGCCGCTTGGCGCAACTATGATGCGACACGGCGACATGTCGAGTGGTTCATCAGCCAGAACCAAGAGTATGCCGCTGCGCCGGACAAGTTTGCCCCTCGCCGGCCCCCGCCGCTGGCCCCGGCCCCGATCCCGACGCCCTCGCCAGCGGTGACGACCGTGCCGACCCACCTCGCGGCTCTGCCAGTGGCGAGCCCCATCCCCCTATCGTCCGCCTCGTTCCTCGCCGACCGGCCACAGCCACAGATGGTCCCGCAGACGGCGCAAGCTGACGGCGGACTGGACGGACTGTTCCCGGAGGGCTTGGATCTGAACGGTCTTGGAATGGACGAGCTCAATGCCATCATTGCAGGTGGCAGCGAGTTTTCGGGTGACCTCAATGCGCTCGGCCTTGGAGGAGCAGGAGGGAGCGGAGGCGCGGATGGAAGTGGCATGACGCCAAATACATCCAAGATGTTGGAAACGATGGGCGCGAGTCAGAACCAGAACCAACAGCAACACCAACAGCAGCAACCACCACCACAACAGCTGCAACAACAGTTGCAACAACAGCAGCAGCAGCAACAGCAACAACAGCAACAACAGCAACAGCAGCAACAGCAGCAACAGCAGCAACAACAACAGCCACAGCCTGTCCAGAACATGAACGCCGTAGCGTCCGGTTCAACATCAACACAGCCACAGGCGCCCATTCCCACCGCACAGGACGCAGGGATGTTTGACTTCAACTTTGGCGACACGGATGGAGTGGACCTCAACAACCTCGACTTCAGCGCCCTCGAGGGCCTATTTGGAGACGATGGCAGCGGCGGCGGAGACACGGACATGAGCTCCTTCGGGGCTCTGCTTGCAGGCGGTGCCGGCGGAGAGCAGCAACAGGAGCAGAAGCCGGAAGTCAAGATGGAGCCTCCCAAGGTCGAGCAACCTCAGCCTCAGCCTATAGAGCAAAAGGTCGAGGTCAAGGAGCAGCCTGCTCCCCCACCTCCCGAGCCTGTACCTGCCCCCGTCGAGCCTGTACCTGTCCCACAGCCAGCCCCCGTTGTCGAGGCACCACCACCGCCGCCGCCGCCGGTTCCCGAGCCTGCGCCAGAGCCTGCACCACAGCCTGTGGCTGAGGTTGTGCCCGAGCCCCAGCCCGACTTGGACAACTATGGCGGAGGAGACATGGGTGGAGAGTTCACCAGTGACCTCAACTTTGACGACTTCAACTTTGACCAGATGCCCAACGTCGACGGCGACGAGTTTGCAAGTCTGTTCGCCGAGTTCAAGTAACCAGAACGACTGTCAAGACCCTCTCCTCCCTGTATCATCTCTTGTCGCGCGCCGATCTCGACTGTCACTATCTGTTCACCATGGCCCTACCCAAGGTCCTGGATCTTATCCCTCTCTACTGCCTGTGTGGCCTGCTGCAACTGTCACAGCCCTTGCAATCTGCTAGTATCTCACTCTCTACGCCCTGATAGGTTTGGCGCTTTAAAATATCTCCTGTATCTACGTCCGCTACAGTTCTACTTGTACATCAATGCACCGCCCTATGCGCTTACATCGATCCCCACGTCGTCCCAAGCCCTCACCGAAGGGTCGTCGTCGGTCTTGACGTCGTATGTCGCGTCGGGCACCGACTTGATGGTCGTGCGGCAGACGCTAAGAACATGTCAGCAGACTTGTTTGCAACCCATGGGTGGTTTGCTGCTGGTACTTACTTGCACTTGCGCGTAAAGTCGCTAAAGGTGCCAAACTCGGCAAAGTGGAGCTGGCTTTGCCAAATGTTATACTTGATAAACCCAGCCTGGACGCGCGCGTCGGTGGTGACGATGAGGATGAACGTGTTCTTGGTAAGCGGCTCCAGGACGACGGTACACCCATCAAACGTCGACTCAAAGCCGACAAACTGCTCGCCGGTACGCTGGCACGTCTTGCGGAAACTCTTGACAATGTCGCTGATCTTTTCAAAGCGCTCCCTGTCCAGGCGGCCGTAGCCGCGCGTGACCTCTGTAGAGTCGTAGTCGTTCGGGTCTGCGTCGAGCGGGGAGCCAGACTTGGCCATTGTGAGGAAGGTCTCGCCCTCAAACACCACAGCCTCGGCGGCGCCGCACAGGTCGCGCAGGAAGGTGAGGTGGGTTATGATGAGCTGGATGTTCGGGATAAGGGTGTGGATGACTCCCGACCACGCCTGTTACCGTTAGTTTGGGGATCTGCATCCTGCGAACTCACCCTGTACAGCGACTCGTCCCAGATACTTGTGGGGAAGCAGCGGCACGTCCCCGCCGCGCTCACGTCTGCGGACACGCGCTCGTCGAGCGCGAGGATCTCGGCCTTGCGCTCATTGTACTTGGTCCGCTTGGGGTCTTCCTTGTCGATGAGGTCCATCTTGTTGATGAGCACCCAGACACCGGCATCCGAGCTGTTTTCGCGCAGCGCAACGAGGTTATCTTCAAAGTACCGCATGTCAGTGTCCCAGTCCTCGGACGTGACGTCAAAGACATAGATGAGGACGGCGACGTTGGAGAAGATGGTGTCGCGCTGGGCGAGGAGGTAGTTGTCCAAAAAGGCGTCTTGGCCACCACAATCCCAGAGGTTCTGAATGTTAGATCAAGAGACGATGGACGTCGTATCTAACGTACGAGGACAAGGGAGCCCAACAGTCGGACGGCGCTCTGCTCCACATCAATGGTCATGCCCAGGCGCTTCGTGTCCTTGGCCGTATAGTTTGAGCTGAGAGGTCAGCGTTGTCAAAGTGAGGTGCATCCTCGCAACGCACAAGATGACTGAGCGCATCGACGTCTTGCCGCTCCCTGTGTACATTCAGCATACTCTCTCTCGCTCGCTCGCCACCGTATCTGAGGGCGATTGACTTACCAGACTTGCCCATGAGCAGCACCTAGTTCCGTCAGCTATGGCGCAAAACAGGCAGCTCACCTTTCTCCGAGATGCCGACGACATGGTGAGGGTGAATGGACTTGCAGTGTTGAGGTGAATGTTACTTGTGTCGAGTCTGTCTGGGCCGCGCATGACGTCGGGAGCTGGGTGGGACTTGCAGGAGGGAAAGGTGGGGGCGAGAGGTCGACCGTGGGAGACCACTGTTCACTGTGGAGAATGACGCAGGATGTGGGGGGGACGCGACGAGGACGATGCCTGTCAATGTCGGCGCGTTGAGTTGTTTCTTTTGTTGTGTTCAACGCGACAGTCTATCGTCCAACATTCTCTCTTGTCATCACGCTCACGATGGTCACACGCAGGACGCCCCGTGCAGGTGGCGCATCCACCAGCTCGAGCCTCGCCGGAGCCCCATCATCCACAGCACGAACGCCTCGCGGCAAGGGCTCAGGCCCGGCGCGCGCCGCCGCAGCGAAAGCAAAGACGAACCAGAAGAACGATGACAGCAAGACGACATCACCGTACTTTGACAAAATGGCGGGAAAGGGGAAAGGCAGAGCCAGGAAACCGGCCAAAGAGGACAGCGACGACGAGCTGAGCGATGTGCCCGAACCGACGGGCCTTACGAGCGAAAGCGAGAGTGACGACGACGACGACGAGAGTGGTTCTGGTTCTGGCTTTGGTACGGGGTCCGATTCGGATTCAGACCCAGCCTCTGGCGATGCGTTTGAGCCAGAGTCGGAATCCGAGCACGAGGAAGCGGCCGAGTCGGACATGGACAGCGAGGACCTCGATGCCCCAGCCCACAAGGGCAAGCGCAAGAGCACGGCGTTTGGCCACCGTACAACCCCCGGTAACCTGGACACGTCCAAACGCGCCAAGGTGGCCACGGCGCCGAAAAATGGGAAGACCAAGGGCAAGGCCATCGAGGTGGACGACGACTCGGACATTGAGCTCGAGGAGGGACAGAAGGTTATTGGCCGTATCCACTCTGCTCCAAAGACTGGTCTCGGTGAGCTCCCTAAATGGCTGTGTTGAGCTGAACATCCAGTGCCGCCTGGTCAGATTAGCGCCAACACTCTCAACTTCCTCGAGTGTCTCATGTATCCCGAGAACAACGATCGCGACTGGTTCAGGAGCCATGAGCCAGCGTTCAGGATGGCAGAGAAGGTTAGCTTCGCACGCGCTGCCGAAACTGACACTGGCAGGAATTCAAAGACTTTGTCCAAGTCCTCCAGGTCCACCTGTCCGAGGCCGATACGCAACTGCCCATCGTGCCTGCGCGCGACATTGTCGTACGTGGTACCTCATCCTTCTGAGCTGACCCCGCCAGCACCGTATCTACCGCGACGTGCGCTTCTCAGCCGACAAGTCACCATACAAGGCCAACTTTGCGCTCTCGACCTCGCGGTCAGGCCGTAGGGGAATCTGGGCCGGATACCACCTCTACGTCCAGCCTGGTGGCTCGTTGATTGCGTGCGGGACATGGCAGCCCGAACGCGACGTGCTGCAGCGTATCCGTACGCGACTCCTCTCCGACCCGGACACCTTGAGGCAAGCAATCAGCGCGCCGGCCTTTGTCAAGATGTTTGGTCCGGCCAAGCCACACGAAAAGGGCCACAGGCAGAATATCTACGGTCATCCCGATATGCTCAAGGTCGCGCCCAAGGGGGTGGATAGGACACACAAGGATATCGACTTGCTCAAGCTCCGGTCCATCACCGTTGTCAAGTAGTGAGCTATACTTTTTCTGCGGTTAGCTGACATTCAGTTTCACAGACAAAGAGGTGCTTGCGCCAGACTTTGTGGATAAGGCCAAGGCAGTCGTGGCGGTCATGGCGCCGTTTGTTCATACGTGAGTTGTAACATCCTTGCCCAACTGACCAGACAGATTGAACGACTACATTGCGCCATTCGCTGCTGCAGACGACAGTGACGACTCGGACATCGAGGCCCTGGACCAGTAGACCTGCTCTTCGGTTGGGTGTCTGTCTATACATGCATGTTGTATTCTTATCACTACTTGACCCTCGGGGGACGGTGTCGTGGTGTCCATGGGCCAAGGCTACCATCCTGAGCCGTGTCAGTTCTGCAAGAAGGCGAGGAGTTTCTACACTTACCGCATAGAAGTCCATCGGGTAGTCGCCAGCACCCTTCTCGGTACCGGCGAGGTCCAAGCCCTCCCAACCAGTGATACGTCCAGCAGCCACGCTCGCCTCGTAGGGGCTGAGCAAAGGACGGGAGAAGGCGTATCCCCAGTCAATACTCAAGCGGGGACACGATGTCTGCACAAAGGTTGAAATCTCCTCCTCGGAGAACAGGGCCAGCTTTTGCGGCGACATTTCCGACAACAAGATCAAGAGTGGCGGGACGGCGTCGGGTGGCAGACCGGCAGTGACGGTCTGGAGGACGCTGACGGATCCTTGGCGGCCGAGGGTGCCGAGAATGACGGCCCAGCTGGCGGCTCCGCGGTCCAAGAGAGCACGGCGGGCGGTCTTGACAGCGTCGCCACGGACAGTGCGCATCTCGGCGTGCTCGTACGTCTCGCGCGTAAACTTCTTCGAGTACGGGTCGAAACGGAAGGCCGGGACAGTCGGGTTGGCGATCATGATGGACTCGAGGTGGAAGCGGCCGTCACCGACGTAGCTGATGTGTGAGCTAAACTCTGAGATGGAAACAACTCACATCAACGCGTCGACGTCGCCAAGCTTGGGCGCTGTGCAACCCAGGATCTCACCGGGAGACAGTGGGCGGGTCTGGGGGACGGTAATGTCGTACTTGCCCCTCCAGACACCAATCTCGCCCTTGCGGACCTTTGCCAGCGCCTGGTCCTCTCCCGCGTCCTCGGCAGCCGCCTCCTCGTCAAGAGGGGGGAGGGCCTTCTCCAAATCGTCACGGAGCGACTGGACAGCAGCGACAAACTGGATAGTGCCGACCAGTGCCAGGCGGGTAGGCAGCTCCTCACTCTCCACACCCTCCTTTCCAGTCATCTTGGCCTTGTCGTCCTCCTCGAGTTCAATGCCGACCTTGGCACCCGGTGCGGCCGGAGCAGCACCGAGAACTGCACGGGCAAAAGCGTCGCGAGACGACGGGAAATTCCGGCGCACACTGTACGCGAGGTGCGGTGCGTCAATGGCAATCTCGACAAAGATGTAGAGTGTCTTGATGCTGGTCTGGTTGACGGGGATGAGGCACGAGTGGCCATAGTGCACGATCATCTCGGCGCCGAGCTCGCGGGCGGTAAAGTCGTCGATACAGCACGCGCCGTACGTCACGTCGGCGAGGAGCAGGGGCTGTGCGCCGGTAAACCTTGTTGTCAGCTAATATGTGCAGAATCCCTTAGCTCACCTCTCAACAATGTCCGCAATGGCTGTGCCATACATCATCAGACCCTCGGGCATCTGCAGTGCGACAGTCTTGACACCCTCGCGGCGGACATGGTGGATCGTCTTCGGGATCTCAAAGTTGTAGTTTTGCGGCAAGGCTGGGGGGTCATCATGTCAGCTTGAGTCTCCTTCCATCGTCTAATAGACCAGGAAACCCACCCCTCATAGCCTCCTTGAGCGCTGGGTCATTGAGGATCTCGTCGGGAATCTGGTTGGCGACCTTTCTGGGAGCAGCACGGCTACCGGTTGCGCGTGCCGACGTGCCCACAAAGCGCTTGCGGGGCTTTGTGGTTGGCGCCTTGGCGATCTCTGCCACAGCAGGGCGGTCGATTCCCTCAGTCGCGGGGTCCATTGTTGGGTGAGCTTTGTGCAAGACAGTGGTAAACAGTTGACAAATCGGTGGTTTGCGAGCACATGGTCGCCGAAGTCTCTCCAACTTCTTCAGTTGCCACCGGACTTTCCCACGGTCGATTTCAACATGTCTCTTAGGGATCGTTGCGCGAATGCAACCTCAATCAACAACCCTTTTCCACCTTCATTTACGCATACGCGCGCCATCACACACACGATGGACATCGAGACCAACCTCGCCGCCACCGCTGCGGCACGTAAAGAGCGCCTCATCGCACTGAGGAAACGCAAGGCGAACCACGACGCCGGCGGTTCCACCAGCGGCACGTTTACCTTCAAGCAGCGCAACTTCGACCCCGAGACGCGCCAGGCTCGCGTGCGCGTTGCCGGCGAGGCCGAGGAGAACACTGTCGAGAAGGAGGTCGAGGGCCTTGCAGAGGCCATTGTCGCCGAGGACGAGGAGCGCCGCGCCGAGGAGCTGGTGAGTGGCTGCTTTTGGTGGATCCTGTTCGAGCTACAATTAACACGCGTTTTGCGCAGGACCTGTTCAACATCCAGCCCAAGCGCCCGAATTGGGACCTCAAGCGCGACATGAACGTGCGCATGGGCAAGCTGGAGCGTAAAACAAACGAGGCGATCGCGACCATCTTCCGCCAACGGTTGCAAGCGATGCGAAAGGACAAGGGCGGGCAGGTCGACCTTGTGGCCAGCATCAACGCTGCCGAGCACGAGCGCGACGCTGTCGGCGGCGGCGAGGCGAGCGACGACGAGTAGACGGTGACCCGACATACACCCACACATGTATTGTATTGCTATAGCGGCGTCGTGCTTGGTCCTTTACTTACGACTTGTTGAACACCGTGGCTTACTGATTGGGCAACCCAATGGAAGGAAGCTGGGAGACACTTGCTGGGGATGCCCTAACGTGTTCTCATCGAGCGCATAGGTTGGGTTTGGTCGGTCTCCCTCGCTCAGAACCTATGTCCTGCGGAGAACCGAAGCTGCACGAGTCTCTCGTCACAGCTTGCCAGCGTTGAAGCGGCGACGGCACTCGGTATGACCTCCTTGCGCTGTTGCACCGCGGTGTATGGTACAGTGGTACATCTGCCGGTGGTTACAGCTGCTGCCGAAGCATGCCTGGATGTGACTGCTGTGACTTCGTGACCCCCCGAAGGCGACAAGTACCCAACGGGGGTGCAGTGAAATCACCGCCATGGAGGGCGATGTCCTACGACCAGTGACCAGTGGCACACCCTCATCGTCCCTCGGCGCCACCATGTCCTCCAACTGGCCCGCCGGCATGGCATGAATCATGTGTTTCTGTCATCGCAAATGGGTGTTATTCTACAACAATGATCAAAACTCTGGTCCTCGTTCTCCTCCCGTCCTCATTCTTCGCACTGGTGTGTGCACAATTGTCCGATTTGTTGGTTCCAGTACCATTAGCAGTGATGTGTGGGATGTGGTAGTAGGTTTGTGGTGTGGTGGGGTGTTTCGTATCCGCGGCGGCCCCATTTTCATTTTGCTGTACACGCGAGCACGCCCACGTCCCATGGGGTGCCCATGGGCCATGGGCTGTGAACGGGGCGCAGCAATTGTATTGGGGTGGGGGGGACGAGTGGGGAGTGGGGCGGTGACGCGAGCCAGTACTGTCGAGGCGCGGGGCATCTGGTGTGTTCGGCCTGGGCGGTGTCGTCGTCGGTGGGGTAACTCAAATTACTGCCTTGTATCGGCATGTGTACTTCTGTTCTGCTGTGTAGGTCGGCAAATTACTGAATGTCGATGTGTAGTGAGGATAACGGGGCAAGCAGGGGTGTGTAGATGGCCTGCGGCAGGGAAAGAGCGTTACCGGCCTGTCGTGTCGCGGTCCTCTTGCGAAGGCATGGCGGTTACCGGTGAGGTGGGAACCGAGGTTGGCCTAGACCGCAGCGCGAGCGGCGACGGCGGTGCTGATCCCTGTGGACCCGACACACCGTGGAGGGATACAGGAGGGCCTGGAGTCAGAGGAGTCGACCCACCGGTCGCTGACGACGTGCCAGTGCGTGTCCCCGGTGCAACCGTACCCGCGGGCGACTCGTCTTCGTCGTCCCACATGAGCTCCTCGTACCGTGGTGGGAGCTCAAAGACGCGCCTGCTGCTAGGACCAGTACCGGCCACGCGACCGGCGTCACGGTGGACGACATATTCTGCCGGTTGACTGCGGCGTCGGCGCGGGGGAGGGACTGGCTGTCCTGAAGCACCAATGGTAGGAGATGACGGCGCGCTACCGAGGTGGGCGAGAGTCTCGCGCTTAAACTCGGCAACATTCACAGGGTTGGCCTCCTCCTCATCACTGTCGTGGTCCGCACCCGTGGGGTCATGGAGGACGAGCGGGCCACGACGCGCGATGCCCGTAGTGCTCTCCGCAGGCGTGTGTGCAAGTGGTGGGTACGAGACCAGGCCGTCGATGGACGCTTGACGCCCGATAAAGTCGGCGCCACTGTTACGCAGGTCCGAGACACGGTCAAACGACATGTTGCGGAGCACTGGCGACGACAGCGGTGATGTGGCGTACTGGTACGAGTAAGGTGGCTCCTCGTACATGGTCGCTGAGCGCATGGATACGTTGGACGCCTGCGCAGCGTGAATGTACGGTGTGACCTCGCGGAAATCGGCTGACGAGCTTGGCGAGGGGTACTCCATGCCGCTGACTGCAGAGATCGGGCGGGGGGTAGGCGAGGTCGTAATGTTGGGTAGGCGGCGGCTGCCAGCCGTACCGGGTGGTGGTGTACCGCCGTCAATCGAGTCGTGCTCGTTGCCGATGAGGTCGAGCTGCGTGTCGGCACCATGTCCGTGGCCGGGCGAGTAGCGCGCAATGTTTCGATTGGGTCCACGCTTCCTGTCCATTTTGCCAAACGTGGCCAGGTTCACGATACTTGGCTTGGTGAGACCTGCCTTGACAGCACGCTGGCGGTGCTTGCGTATACGACAGCACCACCACAATACCATGCACATGAGGAACGTCCCGAGTGCCGAGAAGACGCATGCGAGGATGATGCCGATGCTGGACGTGCTGCGCTTGGGTGTGCTGGTGCTGGAATCGTCCGTGGGACCAACCGAGCCTGAAGTCGAGTCTGCAGTCACCGAGGGGACGGCACCAGAACTAGACAGGCAAGCGGAATCGCCTTGGCCAACAGTCATCATCTCACTGGAACCACCCGAGGCCCACTCCTCCAGGCTGCCGATACCCGCAACCAGAATGAAGCGAGTGCCCTTGGCGAGGTTGATGGTCCAGTTCATGTGAGTGATACCCTGGCTGGTCCATGTCGTCGGCGTATCGGAGAGACTCGAGGCTGGGAGTCCATCTGCGAATTTGGACGTTTTGCTGTACGTGATGGGCAATGAGAATGAGTTGCCCAGTGGGATGATGCCGAAAATAGTCGGCGGGACAGTGGTGTTGCCCGACGACTTGTTGCTGCTGCTCATGTCGTCGAGCACGTTGGTAGAGTCCACCGCTGCCACATCGCGTGCGAGGTTGAGGTTGATTGAAACTTCCTCGGTCTCGTCGTCGCCCGGAACACTTCGTCGCGTATCTGTGATGGCGCTCTCAAGTGACGTCGGCCACGTGATGCTCATGTTGGAGCATTGTGGTGGGAGGCTGTTGGGATTGGTGATGTTGAACGCAAATGTGTAGAGGCTGTTGATCGCACTGTCCGAAAGGAAACACGACGAGTCGCCTGTAGGCGAGCTGCCGACAGCTGCGTCGTTAGATCATGCTCTTCGACCTGCATAGAGACGACTGGCTCCTCCATCCCAACTTTTTTCTGCGTGCGCAAGCAACGCCGCAAACCGCTCAGACTTCCGTTTCAGTCAGGGGAGTCGCAGCAATGGACGCGCCATTATGCAGCCATCCGCCAGAGCTCTCAGGAAAACGCTGCGAGGGGATCGGCGCCAACGGTCCCCCAATGAAGACGGCGCGTGAGCACCGCCCTCCATTGTCCACTTGCATACCCACTTTCCCGACCAAAGTGGGCAAGTAGCAACAAGCGAGGACACACCGCGCCCCCCCGTAGACGAGGTGTGTGCGCACGTCGTGTGCAACGGCCACGCCACATCCTTCTTCACCACCCCAGAAACGAGACGCCGATAGGGCGATAGATTCTCAACTCACTGAGGACGGTAGTGGTGCCGGCATATTCGATTCCACCGTTTCCCCACACTGTCAACATGAACTGGAGGCCGGCCGGCTGGTTGATTGGGAGAGTGTACGAGTTTGTCCCGTTGGGAATAGTGGCGATCCATTGCTGTGGTTGCGTGAGCACAACCCCCAAAGTTGGGTCCGATAGAGGCTAGATACACTCTCATTGCCTCTGGGCGATGCCCGCTCGCAATGCCAAGTGATCCCTGCCTCCCCAGTGTACGTACATTGTAGCCATGGGATACGAAGGTGGTTGCTGCGCCATCAGTATTTGTGCGGGCTCTCAAAACAATCTCCACTAACGGGTTAAGAGCAAATGATATGGCCCAGTGTCGCCATACCACGAGACGTTGGCGTTTCCGCACTGCACTGGGCTTGATGACCGTCAGCTACGTTAAAGGTTTAAAGCCTGCGCCGGGCGTCGTGGTCACGACCCGCGGCAGGTCCGAGATGCCGGAACTCACTCATCCATGTTCACCGTCAGATACCCGGCCCTCGCCGTGCCGAGGCACGCGGCGAGAACAGCGTACCAGACCCAGCAGAACATGCCCTTGTGGAACATGGTTGTTGAAGACGGGCTCGTGGTAGCGGTGACCGTAGAACTAGGTAGGACGCGGAGCGGCGACGAGTGCCGAGACGCGAACAACAGAGGAACGACGGGCGCCGAGGCGCAGCGCGCGCCCAAGTGGGACTCGGGTCGAGACCGTGGTTGTCGAGGGCTGGAGGCCGTCGCCAAACAGCGTCAGCAGCCGTAGGGAGTTGGCACGTCGCGCGATAACAGTCGACGGAGCGGAGACGTCGAGAACGAGTGTGCAATGGGGGACACGTAGAAGAAAGGCGTTCGGTAGACTGGGATTGGCCTGGAGAGGTAGATCCGCAGTTTCCAGTGTACGCGTTCGCAGCAAACGGCGTGGAGGCTTGGAGGCTTTGAAGGGAGGGGGGACGAGTAGCGCCAGGTGCACCCAACAATGGCGGAGAGGGACGGGTGCGCGTGGGTCCTGCCGGGTGAGGTCACAAGGTTGAAATTTTCGATGCGCGTCGAGCGCGTGGCGATGGAGAGCAGAGGTGAAGAGGGACGGAGTACAGCTGCCTTGGTGATGACGGGTGCGCAGCGTCCTGCGCTGCGAGGCCGTGTGGTGGTGGACAAGAGTGGGAGAATGGGTTGAACTGAACAAATCGTTAATCCGGTTCACCCGTACGGGGCCGGTGGTCGCCGTCGGAGCGCAAGGCTGACTGCAGGCCGTTCGGTCGGTTCCATCCCTCTGTGCCCCGTTGTTGGTGCGGCCTGTGCTTTGGACCCACACCACCTGCAAAACCGACCTAGGTGTGTAGGTGCAGGGCACAAATGAGACCATTGAGGGGAGGGCCAGCACATGCGCGTTTTCCCTGCCCTGTTGCCACCGTTTGTTCCGTGTGTCGTGGGTAGTCTGCTCATGACGTCGCTGTTCCCCTACCAGGTCTCTGTGGCGAGTGAGATCCGTGGCATCTCGCATCCTCTCAGCCCCTCCTCTGCCAACAACGCTCTGTTACCAGGCCACACACGCTGTGTTCTAATCAACGCCCACTGGCCACTGGCCACTGGCCATAGCATGACACAGCGCCAACAATCGTACCCAACGCACCAGCCCACAGCTCCCTCTCGGCACGGAGCACCTCCGACTGCACGGGTTTAAACAGTGTGCGTTGGGTTCCTGCCAACCTCGGCAGTTGCCCCTAACCGCCCCGTTCAAGCTCCGTGTCTTGTCAGCTTGTCATTCCTGCCAGCACATGGTGCCCAGTAGCCCTGCAACCTTCGTTTGATGAACTGCACAGGGGCAAACCGAGCGGTACCCAGGGTTCAACAAACAGCAGATCAGAGATGGCGGTTCTGGACGACGACGCAATGACGACAATGATCACTCATGTTGCTTCCGACCGAGACTGCGGCGCACACACGGCCACACCATCCACAATGTAAACAGCGCGTGCATGCGGCCAGCCGACGAAGCCCAGCTTTATCCTCCCATTTGAAACCCCCCCCCCCCCAGCCTCAACCACAGCCTGTCTCGTGTGGCCTGTGTGTGGGTTGTACCCAACGACAAAAATGTGAACGCCGACGCCGTACCGAAGAGGCACAGAGGCACCGATTTCCTGGGTTCTGTCGCTGTCCCTGTCACCCACAGGCCACAGGCCGTTCGGACCCCGCGCACCGCTGCTGCTCCGCCGCCTCTGGTGTCGGCAACACCGAACAGCACAGCCCTCGCGCCACACAGGGAGGTGACATGGCCATGGATCAGCGCGTGTTCGTACAGCGGGGTACAGCACACCGTGGCGCAACGCGACGGAGCAATAGGTGACAAGCGGTTTGAGCCCATGCGAGGCCATGCGAGGCCGTCCTCGGCGTCGGCTTTGCAATTTCTTTGTCCTCTGATCCTCTGGCAGATGCACGCTGCACGCTGTGATACAGAAATCCTGACTCGCAACAGCCACACGCGCCGATCGCGCGCCATCTGTGGCAGGATTGGCAGGATTGGCAGGATTTGCGGCACCCTCTCGCCTCTTTTTGTTGCATATTCTTTTTTGGGTACGCGGAGCCGGAATCGGGCTGGGCAGCCCAAGACACGGCGAGGGCACACACCGGACGTGTTTCGCGTACGCTCTTGTCCACACGTGCACCGAGATCTACGGCGATGACAATGGCCAGTGGCCTGTGGCAGTTAAATTTGGGCCAGGGGGGGAAAGTGCATCAGAGATCCGCGCGGACGTGGCCTGTGGCCAGTCAGAGGATCAGAGGCTGCTGCTTTCCTCGACAGACATGACCGCGACCCAAACCCTTTTGTTTTGTGTGCACTCGGCGTATGCTGTCTGCCTCGACCTGCTACATTGTGTAGTACCCAAACAACCTGAGAGTATGGGAAGCTGGGAACGAGTAACGAGAGGGCGTTGGTGTGGAGAGAAGGTGCCTGATCTCACTCGTTTGAGGTGTATGTAACATGCAACATGGCCCTCTGCGCCTCTGCTAAAGACAAGAGGAAACATGGAAACACAGTATGCTGGGCGCGTTCATGGCACTGCCGGACGTTGTGTGTTTTGCGCCTCAGGCCGATACGCACTATCAAGGTGGCTACGGCTACGGCTACGGCAATACTGCTATCTCACCCCAATACTGCTATCTCACCCAACACAGGTGAACACAGTATGGCAGGCGTCTTTCTGGCTCCCCACCGCGTTACGTGTTTTGGGTCCTCAGGCAGATAGATACCCACCATTCAGCCGAGTGGCGGTAGCAGGTGCGGCCGTACTGCGTTCTCTTGCGCCCCCCGCAGATGGATATTGCAGGTTGTGCTCATCCGTAGCATGCCATACCACGTCTGTCCCCCAGTGGCCAGTGACTTCCTGTGATCCAGCCAAAATGCATAAAAATGTAACGTCTACTACACCGCGACACCCGAGCCTACCAACCACCAAGACCCAGTCCGCTGTCCTCGTCCTTTGCGCCAGCACCGACCTCCTTGGCACCGCCAAACATCGACTTCAAGTCGACACCGCCAGCACGCTTGACAACGTCCACGACACCGACAACGGCAGTCTGCGACTTGGACGGCTTGCCCGTCTTGCGTGCCGTTGAGGGGTCCGCCTTGACCACGGACACTGGTGCGGGGATGGGGACGGGCGCAGGTGCCGGTGCGGGGGCACGGGCGGGCTTGACGACGGCAGGCTTGGTGGCCTTCTCGGCGGCCTTGACGGGTACGGGGGCTGCTGCGGGCTTCTCGGCGACAGGGACGGCGACAGCAGGAGTGGCTTGGACGTTCTTGCCGTGCTTGCGCTTACGCTTCTTGCGCTCGGGCTCGGCGACCTCCACAGCAGCGGCGACAGGAGTGGGGGCAGAAACAGGAGCGGGAGTGGCGGGAGCCTTGCCCTTGGCAGCCGGCGAAGGCTTGGAGGTCTTGGGCTCGGTGGCCGCGGGGGTCTCGTCGTCACCCTCAAAGTCAAAGTAGCGCTCCTTGCGCTTCTTCTCGACTGGCTTCCGCTCGGCCTTGTCGCCCTTGTCGGTCCTGGACCTCTCAGGACGCTCACCGCGGGGCTTGTCGCCGCGAGGTTTGTCGCTCCTGGGCCTGTCGGACTTGGGACGCTCGCTCCTAGGCTTGTCCGACTTGCCGTCCTCCCTCCTGCGCTTCTCGGGCTTGCCGCCCTCAACACGCTGGCGCTTGCGGTCACCACCCTCCTCCTTCTCGTCACCTTCGGCCTCAACATCGTCCTTGCCGGCACCGCCCCAGGTCCTCATCTTCTGGTTACCGGCGTTGGCACCCGTGGGCTGCATCTTCTTCTCGCGACGCTCGCGGGCCCTACGCTCCTGCTTGGTCTCGGGAGCGACGCCTGCACGCTTACGCTCAACGACGCGCTTCGAGTCAATGATCTGCAAACGGGGCATGGCGGGGGAAGCCTGCAGGAGCTCGGCGTACTTGGGCTCCTCAAGGGCGAGAGGGTTGGCCTGGAGGGTGAGCATGCGGAGGTGCCAAATGTTCTTGGGCTTGGTGGCGGTGGGACCGAGGCCAAACGCAGTCGTAACAGCTGAGAAGGGGAGCGAACAGTTGCCGACATCGAGCACCTCGAGGCCATCGCCCTTACGGCCGGCATCGTCCTTGTCCTTGCCAACGAGAGCCAGGGATCCAGTTCCCCAGGTAGCGAGGTGGGAGGGGAGGGACTCGAGACGGGGCAAGTTGTTGGCGCGCACGTCACGAAGGAGGGGAAGAGCCGAGAGGTCGGGAAGGCCGCGGGCATCCAGACGGGGGCAGTGGGAGAAGGTGAGCTTGGCGAGGTGGGGGAGGGTCGAGAGCGTGGTAGGGAGGGAGGAGAGAACGGGTGAGTGGGAGACAACTGGAATATGTTAGCTAGAGTACATGACGATGTCTTCAGCTTACTGAGAGAGTTCAGTTGGCTCCAGCCGCCAACGACCTCGGCGTCCAGAGACGACCACTCGTTGTTCATCGCAACCACTGCCTTGAGCTTGCTCAGGTCGCCGAGCTCCTTGGGCAGCGTCTTGCGGCCACAGGCGCTAATGTTGAGCACGGCGAGGCCCTCGAGGCCGCCAATAGCGTCCCAGCCCTTCTCAATGTGGCAACCCTTGACACTGAGCCAGGTGACTCCAGTGCCAGCGAGCCAAGAGACGTCGGTGCACGAGCTTCCCTCCAGGTCCACGCGGGTGACACCAGCAAGACGCTCGGCAGGGGGAGGAAGCTCGAATGCCTGTTGCGAGTACACCAATGCACGGGCAGTACGGATGGCCTTGGAGGTGTACAGCTCGGGGTTGGGGTCTTGCTTCTCTTGCCTCCTGTCCGGGTGGACGCCCTTGCCCTTCTTGTCTTCGTCGTCCTCGTCGCCATCCTTGCGGCTCTTGTTGTTGTTGAACTTGCCCTTGTCGCCACGGAGGGGCTTGACGGGGCGGGATGAGCCTTCAGCGGGCTTGGCTGTCTGCTCCTTGTCCTTCTGAGCCTGCTGCTCACGCTTGCGACTGCGTGCTGCTCCTCTGTCCATGGTGTGGTTGTCGTTGGGGATGTGTGTTAGACGACAGTGGGACGTATGAGGTTCTATTCCTCTCCCTCCACCGGCCGCGCGCCGCTCAACTTTTGAGATTGCCTGGGACCACGTGTATTTGCTTCCGTTCACAACGTTCCCTCTGAAGTTCGGGTCAAAACTCGAAAGATGGTCCACCTGCAAAGAAGTGTCAAACGGACCACTCGTCGTCACCACCACCCTCGGCTCAGCACCCCACGCTCAACAACGACACTCGTTGACTGAGGAGGACTATACCGATTCGTCTATAATCCCCGTTTCCTGCTCCCGGAATGCTTGCGTCCACCTCCCGCGCGGTCCTCCGCTCGTCCCGCTCGATGGCGGCCGGCAAGGCGCCTGCCTTCTCCGTGAGTGTCCCCGACTTGGGTATGAGGACCATGGGGACCACATGGAGAGGATACGAAAGTGCTCCAGCATTTACTGCCAGCTGCTGGCTCTCTTGACTTGTCTCTGTCTCTCTCGCACATGCCCTTGTCTCTCCTCCGCCTCGGATCGACGTCACCTTCCTCTACAAACCGCTGACATTGATCCTTCCAGACCTCGGCACCCGCCTCGAAGAAGAAGACTGTTGTCGTCGAGCTCCTGCACGATGTGAAGAACCTTGGCATGAGGCGTGCGTGATCCTGCCCTTTCTCTGACGGCACAACCGAGCTGACGAGCGTCTAGACGACCATGTCGAGATTTCCGAGGGCCAGATGCGCAACAGCCTCGCTCCTTACCGTCTCGCCCGTTACATTCCCTACAAGATGCCCAAGACTGCGCCGCGTGTTTGGACCACACCACGAGTACGTTTGAAGACCAGCGTGCCAGATCTCCAGCTGGAGCTCATGTTCATGACTGGGGCTCTACGAGCACACCCTGTCACAGTACCTGTACTGACTGTTTAGGGCCATGTGGCCAAGCCCGACGTCGACGGTTACCTCGAGGACGGCTCGCAGTCGCACCTGCACCCCAACACCCCGGGAAACACCCGCCCCGCGGTCCCCACTCCCACTGAACTGCTCAACAAGCTGTTCCTCGTCCCGGAGACTCTGCCCTTCCACCGCCGCACAGTTGGCGATGACACCGACGCCATCCATGGCTCCATCACCATCTCAGACGTCTACATCCGTCTGGCCAAGCAGCACGGCATGAAGAGCGCGGACTTTGAGGTCAACTGGGTCGACCGCGACGAGCAAGAGCGCATGAAGGCGCTGGGCGGCTGGCCAGCGACTATTGCTGTCAAGGGGTACGCCGGCGAGCAGATTGCCGTTACGGTGGAGGTTATTCGCCAGGAGTAGAGTAGACAATGCATTGGAACCTTGCACTTGAAGCAGAGCCCTTGTTATGCCTTGATTGTGCTGCAGCTGTACGCAGTCGATACGCGCGCGCGCCTCGTCTGCACGACGAGCTAGAGATAGGTGCAACGGGGAGGGGCATCTGGTCCCGCGCGCGCGCGACTGGCCCCGGACGTGCAATTGATTGACCTGGGGGCGGCGTCGTGTCGTGTCCGCCGAGAGCCCCTTCACCGTCTGCGCACAAAGTAAGGTTTCTTGTTCGCTTTCCCGGTCTCGCTCGCCATTCTGTGTCCCCCCACGCGCCAGTAGTGCGCTGGCATCATCTCTCGTCGCGTTTCCTTTCGTCAATCGCTGCAACCCCCCCACGGCCATCCGAGCCAACCTTTTTCCTTTGGATTCGTCGTCTCGAGCTACTTTAGCTCGTTTGCCCAAGATTGCACCCTCCTGTACGTCCTTGCTCCCTCCCCCTCTCGCCCTGAATGGCCTGAACGCCTCCGAAAGACATGCCAGCTCACCGACGACTCCGCTCTCCGTGCACATCTCGTCTTCAACCTCTCTGCTGTCACTCATCTCCACCTTGGACCCGGTTCTCCTTCTCCCACCCATCCTCCCTCCCGCCCTCCCTCCCCTCGCCCCATCCCGGCCACCTCTCACGACTCCCTTTTGGTCTCCCCCCCGGCTTTGGTGACCTCGGCGACCTTTCCTTTCGCGTCTTTCCAACGCGTCGTCAACTCGTCCAGCACCTTCACCCAAGCCCAAGGGCTTTGACCACCGTCGGCCCCACCCCGCGTCTCCTGGCGCTGCCAACGTGCCGACCATGCCGATCTTGACACAGCGCGGGTTCTCGCTCACGCCCGCGCAGCAGCGGCTCGCAATCCGTGGTGGACTGCTCTTCGTGATCATTCTTCTCCTCCGTTCCCTCCTCTCCCCCTCGAAGCGCGCCGACGAGATCCAAAGCCATGGCATGTTTGAGCGTGTCCTCCTCCCCGAAAAGTACCTCGACGTGTACAAGTACCCCTTCCTCCAGGCCAGGATAGGCCGCGACGACCGCCCAGACCTGTTTGACGACGAGGTTGGGGATGGTATCCTTGATTTTTGGCAGCGCTTCCAAAAGCCATTTATCACGGGCAAGGACACGGCGCACCTTGACACCCAGGTCATGCGCTCGGTTGTCGACGATCTCCTCCAGTTCAACGGCTGGGTGACTGCCTCGTGCCAAAAGCTCGTGCGTCCCTTTGGCCAAAACTCGGGCCATGACAACTACGAGGACCTCGCCAGCGCCGACAACCTCTACTATGTGGCCGTTGTCGTCCACTCGGCCGACCACTTCCTCGTTGACCAGCTGGCCGTCATTGTCCAGCTCGCGCGCCGTCTGGGTACCCGCAACATCTTTGTGTCGATGCTCGACCAGGGCTCGGCAGACTCGACGCCTACTCTCTCGGATCTCTGCGAAGCCGTCCTTACGATCCTGGGCATTTCGTTCCGTATCCGCCGCATTCCTCCCCTCTCCATCAACTACTACCCTCTCGAGGAGGCCGAGGTCCGTAACGCGGTCCTGGAGCCCCTCCACGAGCTGTGGGACAAGCGTTCAATCAAGTTCCACCGCGTCATCTGGCTCAAGGGCTTCACCTGCCCGATGGACATTCTCGAGTCGCTCCGTGTCTCCGAGGTCAACAAGGCCGCCATGACCTGCGGCATGGACTGGGCCGAGCACAACGGCTTCTTCATCTTCTCGGACCGCTGGCGTACGCGTGACATTGCCGGCGACCTCTTCCGTCAGGCTCGTTCGTCGTCCAAGCCCGAGGCTGGCCCGCCCCGCGACAAGGTCGGCACCGAGCGCTACACCCACCACTTGCCCTTCCAGGTCTTCTGCTGCGAGTCGGGCACCCACGTCGTTGACCCCGAACAGTCGTACTACCGCGGCATCGCGTACCGCGCCGCGAGCAACGCCGTCAACGTTACTGGCAGCGCCGACCTCTCGGCCGACCCTGACACTCCTTGCATGGACTCGACCCAGATGTGGTTCTGCCGTGACATGTGGGTGGACGCTGCCCGCTCGGGCCTCAAGAACACCGACCGCGGCCCCCGCCGTAACCAGAACAAGCGCGAATTGATTGAGGTCGCCCAGAACATTGAGCCCCTCGAGAAGCGCGAGCAGGACCTCAAGGCCAAGGCCAAGCGCGCCGAGGCTGACAAGCGTGCCGATGCCGATGTCGCCGCCGAGGAGCTCGCCGACGGCGAAAAGGCCAAGGGACGTGTCGCCGCCGAGATTGCCGCCCAGGTCGCCGCTGCTGCCGAGGACGACCCGGCCGCCCAGCGCGAGGTCCCCAACCGTGACAAGAACGACGCCCACGCCGACAATGACGGCACCGAGTCGCCGGCCGACGGAGGCTCGGGTACCGACATTGACGCGATGGACGAGGACGCGGCCAACCCGGCTCCCGAGGCGCTCAAGAAGGAGGACCTGCCATTCATGATCCCCAACACCGAGTTCCTCCCGGCGCGCATCCTCGTCAACCCCCGCTGCCTGACGACGTACGGCGGTGTCTCGCACACCAAGCTCGCCACCGACCTGTTTGGTGGACCAAAGGACCACGTCTCCCACGGCGACGGCAACTATGCGCTCGAGGACTGGGCCGGCGCGCCCGACTCGTTTGTCTGCCAGGAAATGCGCACCACCGGCGGCCGTACCGCCGCCAAGTCGCAGCGCCGCGTCAGCTTTTTGCTCCAGCAAGAGGTAAGCTAAACGCAGCACATGCACGGTGTATCATTAGCTGACCTCCTTTTTTTTTCTTTCAAGCTCGACATGCCCATCTACGGCCACTAGACTCCATGGACGATGAGAGAGGCAGGCGAGGGGACACGACATAGATATCGATATGCACACTGTTGGCGGAACCAGACGGCGACTGGCACATGAGCAGACACTGATATATGTTTCGTCCGCACCCGCAACAATGCCTTTTGAGACCCAGCCAGATCCCCACCTCTGCCAGGTTCATCATGCAGTGCATTTCTCGGCCAAGAATCACTATTTTGACACGGTCGCTCGCTCGCTCACTATGAACTAAAACTATTGGAATGGGAAAAAAAGGCATTCGACTCGTTTAGATCGTCCATCCAACACAAAAAAACACACACACAGATCAAACTCTATAATCCACCGCCCTCGCGCGGCGGGTGGCGGGCGGGGTGCGCCTCTCATTCCTTTTACTCTACTTGATTTTGGGTACTTGCGGGAGTGGTGGTGCTGTGACTTGCGTCTCTACGACGCGTTCCTCTCCTCGTGGGCGCCGTGGCCCCTGTCCGAGCCGTTGTACGAGCCTCCAGGCATGGCGGGCGACCCGTTGCCGTCGGCAGCGCTCATGGGGCGGCCGTAGGCCCCACCACCCCCGCCGCCACCGGCAGGCGGCGAGGCCCAGCCAGGCATGCCGGGCTGCATGGCCGGAGACATCATGCCGGGCGAACCCATGCCAGGCATGCCCATGGGCGGCATGCCGCCCATGCCAAACTGCGGGAAGCCGCCGTACATGCTCATCGGGCTGCCGTAGCCGTACATGCTCATCGGGCCGCCGGCGCCAAAGGGCGATGCGGCGCGGTTGGACGGCGTGGGCGAGTTGCGGCCGTCCTGCGTCTGCGCGTCGCCCATCTGCGAGCCGGCCTGCGACATGGCGTACATGGTCTGCTGGTAGGCCATCTGGGCGGCCATCATGGCCTGTTGCTGGGCAGCGGGGGACATCATGCCGTAGGGCTGGAAACACGGTTAGCTTATCCCCAGTGCGGGTTGGATGTAGCTACTCACGTTGTAGCCCATTTGAGGGGCCATGCCGCCGTATCCACCCATACCGCCCATACCGCCGGGATACTGGGGGAAGCCGCCGTAGCCAGGCATGCCGGGCATGCCGCCGCCATAGCCACCTTGCATCTGGCTGCCTTGCAGTTCGTCAATCTTGCGCTGGCGTTCCTCGGCAATGCGGCGCTCGCGGTCACGGTCGGTGAGCGTCGCGCCAATACCGCCGGGAGCGCTACGCTGGGACTCGTGCTGGGCGACAACACCAAGCAGACCCGTAGAGGGGGGAGGGGGCTTGGCGGGGACGTTGATGAGGGACGACCCAGTCTCGCGGGCGACCTCTTCTTGACGCTTGGCGCTGCGGTCGTCCTTGTCCTGCAGGCCGGCGCTGAGGAGACCGCCGGGAGTGAACGCCTTGGTGAGGGTGACCTGGGGCTCTTCGAGCTGCACAAACGTGCCCTTGCGCTCCTGCATACCGTGCTCGACGGAGAAGTTGGCGTTCCAGACGTTCTGGCGCGTGGCGGGCGCAGGCGGCTGCGGGAGGGGAGCGACAGGGTGGGCGGGCTGTTGCAGCTGGGGCGGCATGTGACGGTGCGGTGCGGGAGGAGAGCGCGAGCGAGGACGGTCGGTCGTCTGGCCAATGTTGAGGTTGTTCATGGACTGGACAGGCATCTCGTAATAGTCGCCGCCGTTGCCGTTGCCATTGCCATTGCCGTGGCCATTGGAGGGTCCGACATCGTAGAACGAGCGGGTGCGCTCGTAACTGGGCTGAGCCTGCATCTGGGGTGGGATGGCAGGGAGAGCGCGCGAACCACGGCGCTCGACAGTGGCCTCGGGGTACTGCTGTTGCTGCTGGCTGTAAGGGCGAGAGGCAGGCGAACGGTCCTCGTCCTCCTCGACCTCTTCTTCATCTTCGTCTTCGTCGCTCGACTCGTCGCGAGGGGTAGGCGTGCGCGCCATGCCGCGGTTGGCACGACGACCACCGCCGGGAACGTTCATGACCGAGCGCTGCTGCTCTGTCTGAGCCTCTGCCTTTGCACGACGCTCGGCAGCGGCCTTGGAGGGTGCGAACGATGATCGGGCCTCGGGGGCGGTGGGGGTGGGGGCTTGTGCTTGGACGGGCACAGGTGCAGGTGCAGACTGCGCTGGCACTGGCGCTGGGATTGACGACGCCCGCGTGGCCTTGGAAGCGACGGGCGAGTTCTGGTCGGCATACGCCATGAACGCGGCGGCATCGTTATACTCGCCGCTGCCGCTGCCGCCAGCTGCGGCCGGGTTGGTGTGGACTGCCAGCTGGGGCTTGGGGTGGTTGAACGAACTCGCCATGGTGGAGGTCTGCGAAATTGGTGGTGAGACGTGCGCCCTAGGCTCCGACTCGCGCGAGCTGATGCTGCTGGACGGCGGCTTGCTAAAGGTGGTCGAGACCGGCGTGTGGTCCTCCTCGAGAATGCCGCGAGAAGTGTTACTGTTCGAACGAGTGGAAGTCGGAATTGCGCGAGCTCCAGATGGACGACGGGCGACTTCAGGTCGGTGGGAGGGCTCAAACTGTGTCACAACAGGGGCGGCCCGAGCTGGCTGCCTGTCGGAAGTGCTGGAGCCTGGGCTGGTCGGGGACTTGACTGGTGGCGCTACAGGGACGGCGGGGATTGGCACTACTGGTGGTGGTGCGATGGAAGCAGGCTCCTCGACCATGTTCATCAAGTACATGGCCGCTGGTTCGTCTCTGAGCAACGGCTCCGACGATGGCGCACGCTGCGGCTTGGGCGCGTGCAACGTGTCCGAATGCTGCGAACGCGATGATTGGCTATCCTGGCGCGAGCCCGCACCGGCGGCCACAGCTGCTGCTGCAACGCCGGCACCAGCGACGACGGCTCCAGCGGCAGCCAGTGCCTTTGCACTGGACGTGGGCGGTGACGACGGTGAGACCTTTGAGGGCGACATATTCCTGACAGCGGTGCGCTGGTCAGGAAGGCCTGCACCAGACACCTGTGGCTGCTGCTGCTGCTGTTGCTGGTGGGGCACCGCATTGGCGTCCGGGCCGAGGGTTGTAATACCGAGGGCAGAGCCGTTTGCAGGCACAGCGGTACGGTCCGAAAGCTGCTGCTGTTGCATCTGTTGGTATTGTTGTTGGAGACGCTTGGGCGAACGTTGAGGCTGAGGCGGAGGCGAAGGCTGGGACAGCTGTGCAGCGGCGTGGACATGAGGCGCTTGGACAGGGTTGGGCGGAGTTCCAAGCTCGCGGGGTCCAGGACCAAACGTTGCGTCCGTCATGAGCGAGTTGGAGCGCTGCTCCTCCATAGGCGTTTCGAGGTGCTCGGCCTGGTCGGGGATGGGGTTGAGGTCAGGCTGGGGGAGGTTGCCGACAGGTTCGGGATGGGCAGGGCCACGCTTGGTCGAGTTGGCACGCGATGCCTCGGCCTCAGTGATGGGGGTCAGCGAACGAGCTGCCTCGCCGGGGGACGTCTCCTCTTGATTGAACGAGAGCGGCGGGAGACGGAAGTCTGCGGATGACTGGCGCTGCGGCTGGACGCCGCCGGCGGAACGGTCGGCTTCAGGGCCGTCTTCGGCCTCACGATCGGTCTGGCCATACTGTTGAGGCTGCTGAGGCTGCTGAGGCTGCTGAGACTGCTGGGCCTGAGCCATCTCACGCTGCTGAGGGGCGCGCGACTGCTCGGCCTGGTCCTGCTGGTACTGAGACTTTTCTGGCAGCTCCTCGGGGATGGTCTCGGGCTGGGCAGCAACATACTGGGCCTTTTCGTCACGAGGCGTCGCGACGGGAGCCGCGGGGCCGAGACGCTGACGACGGAGAACGAGGTTGTTGAACTGTGCGCGAATGCCGGGTGTGTTGAGACGGAAGTTGGCAGCCTGTGCATCGTCCATTGAAAGGAAGAGGTCGCCGCGGAACTCGCCGTTCGGGTAACCAAAGACGAGACTCTTGGGGTCCTGCCTGTCCCAGCTGTATCCCTGTGGACGGCCATGGAGTCGGAAGGCATCGTGGAAGGCGGTGACCCAGCGAAGCATGGTGGCGACTGGGGTAGGGGGCTGGGGCGCAGCCGGGTCGTCGGCCACGGGCTCGGGCATGATCAACGCCCAGCCAGAGTCCCGGAGACCGCCCTCGATGGTGACCAGCTCGCCACTGATGCGTCCGACGGCCTTCATCAAGTTGGACTGGACGATGACTTCGACGCGCTCGGGGAAGACGGCGTACGTCTGGGTGACGTTGGTGAGGGTCAACACCGGGAGGGAGGTGGTACGGTTCTTGGATGTGCGAGGTTGCTGGTAGAACGAGGCCATGGGCACACCAGTGTTGGGCTCCTGGACTTCTTCGTGCTTGTTGAGACTGAATAGAGAGTGGCGGCGAACACTGCCCGTAGCACTGGCATCCTCCGAAGCACCAACGGGGTCCGAGAGCACGAGCCAGAGACGGTGCCACTCGGTGCCCCCCATGATCCTTACACGGACCCAACCTTCAAAGCGCCCGCGGACAAGGGGTGACATTGGTTCCTCGTTACGGAGGACGGACTTGATAAGGTGGGCGGTGTAGATTTCCTCAAGACGGGAACGCTCCCAGGCAGCAAGGCGGAGACCAGTCGTCCAGCGGATGAGCTCGCGGTCCGTCGGGGTCGAGAGGAGCAGACGGTTCGAGCCGGCTGTGTTGAGCGAAAACACATAGTTGTGGGGGTGCGAGTTGGGTCGGTGCGGGGGAGGAGGGAGGGGGTTGAGGAGCTCGAGCGACGACTCGGTAATGTTAAAGTAGGTCGGTGGAACCTTTGCTCCGCGAGCAGCAGCCGCACGCGTCTCCTTCATCGACCACATGGAGAGTGACGTGCCCGAGAGCTGGAGCCAGACGGCGTCCCAGTCATTGTTCGGCGAGCCGGGGACGCCCTGTCTGCTAGGTTAGCGTGTACCCGCCCTTTCGGAACCTACTTTGGCTGCTGACCAGCGCTGGTACGGGCCAAGATCATCTCCACCTCGGGCGGAGAAGCGACATAGGTCTTGTGCGGCTGGAGGGATATGAGCTCCACAATCGTATCAAACTGGGAGCGGAATGCCGGGTCGGTGATGGCCGGTGCGCCCATGGGCGACGACAACTGCATGCTGTGCTTGAAGGTGCCGGACGAAGCAGGCGACTGGGGCACGCTGTTCTTCTGGTCGTACTGGTCGTTGGGGCCAGAGGCGTATCCCATACTCCTGGCACGGGCGGCGTTGGCCGGAATGGGCCCAAAGTCGCCACCACCTTGCATTTGCTGTTGCTGCATTTGCTGCTGGTGCATCTGCTGTTGCTGCTGTCGTCCTTGCTGGGTACCAGCCATGACGCGGCCGTTTTCGTGCACGAACGACTCGCCGTGCTGAGGTTGACGGAGTGGGGCGCGGCCGTTGACAGAGAATGACGATAAAGGACGAGAGCTCTGGACAGGCTAAGATGAAGAGTCAGCATGTTTGTCATGTCGCAGACGCAGTCTGGCTTCTGTGTGTTGACGTTCCAAGGTTGCTTCGCTGCGAAGCTTGGACCGGGGCGACGATCTGCTCCATGCCCCAACCCAGGCCCGCATAGGCGTACAGCGCATCACGCATCACGCGCAATACGGCGGCCTGCGAAAGGTCGCCCCAGCTGGATGCGCGAGCGTGCAGCATCCCATGTCTGTTGAGCGAGGGACGTGCCCACAAGATGCAGTGGGCAAGGCCGGCCGACAACCCCCACTGAATCTCCGTTTGCTGGCTGTGTCTCTCTGTCTCGCTCTGTCTCGCTCCTCTCCGACCGCACTCGGCAAATGGGGGAATGAAAAACACAGTCGTCATCTACCCACCTCGTCCTTGTCCTTTTTGCGGCCCAGGCCCAGGAATCCCGACCGACGCTTGCTCTTTGTGCCGCTGTCTGTGGTGTCTACGCTGGCGATGCTGGCGATACGGTGGGGGGGCACGCCGATGTTCATGGCCGTCGACGCCATGGACGACATGGAGGCACGGGGGTCGTCGGGAGCCGGCAGTGGGGAGACTGCCGCCTGGTGGCTTTTGCGCTTGAACATTGTGGGAGTGTGTTGAAGCACGCGCTCGGGGGAGGGTGTGGTGTCTCTACAGAGACACCGCTGTGTGAATGCTGTGGTGGATGGGGTGTGTGTGTGTGTGTGTGGAGGACGGATGGAGAGACGAGGGGTGGATGGGATGGAGAGGAGGAATAAAGGGGTGGTGTCGGGGGTTGGAGAAGGGAGAGAGTATATGACGGAGGCGTCGAGCGTCGTGCAGGGAAAAGAACGAGAGCACAAGGGACAAGCGGCCGCGGGGGTGGTGTGTGCCTGGGGGAAATGGTGGGCTCTCTCGCCTGCAGACAACGCATGTTCCTTCGGCATCTCTTGCACAGCCTTGCAGCAAGCCTTTGTTGCTCTGGTGCACCATGTTTTTGGGCTTTACTGGCACTCTGGTACTCTGGTAACATGTTACTGCGCAAACCATATGCATATACACGATGCTACCCCACAGTTCTCCAGCCGACACGGGGCTTGTCGCGTTGCATATCTCCATGCCCCACAATCTAAGGCCTCTCCCCTTCTATTAACCTAACCGACACGCCTGGAACGCCGCCATGCGCGTCATGCAGTGCCCGCCTCTACAGCCAAAACACACACCGTCAACACGTCTCTCCTGCAAGCCACAAGAGACCGTGTGTGGACAGACAAGAGACCCCTTCCCCCGCTTACTTGTTCTCCTGCTCGCGCTTGTGCCAGTCGAGACGGATTTGCTCACAGCGCTCAGCCAGGCCCTTGGCCACATCGGCATTCTGGTCCCACTTGTCCACCTCGCCATACTTGACGGTCGGGGCACGCAAGGGCCGAGACACGACGTGCAGTTTGGGTGCGGGCGTCTTGGCTGCCGAGAGGAGGAACGTGTCGGCAATAAACGCCGCGTACAGCATGGGCATGGCGCCAGCCGTGGCCCACACAGGGTGGTAAGGCGAGCCGATAAGGTGCGCAAAATAGAACGTCAGCCAGTAGCAGTACCACTTGAGCTTGACGAGCCACTGCCACGCTCCCAGACCCGCAACCGCAATGTTGGTGGACACGCAGCCGGGCTCGGCGACGATACAGCGGATGGGGCGCTCCTCCTCGCCGAGGTCGCCGTCGAGGGCGGTGAGCACCAGGTCGCCCATGTACTTGGACGCGCGGTACGACTCGTCGTAAGAAAGCAGCTGGTAGTCGTCCAGAGGGTCCTCCTTCAGGCCCTCGGCGTCGGCCTCGATCGACGAGGTGTACACCACACGGGGTTCGAAGGGGAGCGTCTTGGGCGACGCGCGGAGGAGGGGAGTAAGCTCCTTGGCCTGCAAAATAGTGTCAGCGAGAGTGTCGTCCAGTGAGCGTCAGCCACTCACCAGAATGTAAGGGGCCAGCACGTTGACACCCCACACGCTTCCACGCTCTCCATCAGCCGAACGCTCGCCGACGTTTTCAATGTTGTACCGGGGACGGTGGAGGGCGTGGATGAGACCGTTGGTCAGGACCTGCATCATGAACCGGCCCATGACGACCTGCTTGAACGCCGCGTAGCCGGCATTGAGGAACAAGCTCGTGACGTGCGGGTACTTGTCGCCAATACGACGGGCAAAGGACAACAGGCCCTTGTCGCCGCCCACACTGTCGAGGTCGACCAGCTCGTACTCGACCCGCAGGCCTTCCTCCCAGCCATACGGGACGGGGATGCCCTTTCGCCTGCGAGCTGCCAGGTCCTTTTTGTGACGAGCAAGGACAGCGTCCCGGGCGGCAATAGCGTTCTTCTCACTCCTGCATGCGAGCACGAGCGTAAAGGTCGGGTGCGGGCGGGGAAGGGACGCGGCAGTGCTTGCTGCTGCTGCACCGGGGCCGTCGAGCAGGCCAGAGAGCGGAGAGGGCAGGGCGGCGAGCTGGGGGACAGCGCTTGGCACGGGCACACCAGAGTCGACAGAGAGGTTGCGCAGCAGCTCGTGGCAGATACCCAGGCCAAAACCGCTGACAGTCAGCTGGGAGGCCCAAAAACAAGGGGACATGGCTCATCCATGACAGACAGCGGACAGCTGCTAGCTCGCGGAGTAAACTCACCTGTTAGCACCCGTCACAATGGCGATGATGCGGTTCGCGTCTGCGGCGGGAGCCGACAGTGTCGGTGTGCTTGTGCCGCTCATGCTTGGTGGTATTGGGATGGTACAACAAAGAAAGTATGGTTTGAGGGAAGACGCGTTCTCCGTCTCAACTTATGGCACGATCGTGCCTTCCAGCCGGGAAATCAGTGGCAGCTGCGTGGCCGGGACACCTGTTGACCCCGCGTCGTCCCACCGTGGACTGCAGTGAACGGTTCCCCTGGCATGATACGTATACCTGGTAGAATATAACGAGCTCTTCTTGCATGCATGCATGCATGCATGCACAACACCCATACGCAGGTGCGATCTCCACAGGACGTTCAGGTCACGTGACTCTTTTAGCGGGACCAATTCGCCACCTTCCCCCTCCTGTCGGCCAGGTTCATGACATTGCTCACAGCTACGACTGTCAACAACGCCCATCCAACTCATCTCACTACCACAATGGAGGACGCCGTCAACGCTACCATCTCTGAGCCTCTCGACATCGTCAAGCTCTCCCTCGGAGAGTGAGTTTGCGCCCAAGTTTCAACCCGTTTGGACGGTAAACTGACAATGCCCCTCAGGCGCGTGTTCATGAAGATGCGCGGCGATAGGACCATCACTGGTACTCTGCATGTGAGTAGTGCGGAGCGGGAGGTCTGCTACGGAAATGAATGCCAGAGTTAGCAGGCCCCTCCGTTCTTCTCGCGGCACCCCACGTTCCGTGGGACGCGACGGTCCTCAGCTGACGCCCCAGGCCTACGACGCGCACATGAACGTCGTGCTGTCCAACGTCGAGGAGTCAATACACATTGTGGACGTCAACGAGGACGGTATCCCTCAGGCTCCCCGGGTGGGTTTGCATTCTCCTTAACAGCAACCCATACCAAGCACTGACAATGTCTCTCCCAGGTTGAGCGCCGTAGCCTCGAGATGCTGTTCGTGCGCGGCGACGGTGTCATTCTCGTGAGTTGTGGGCAGCCTTCCCTAACTAACTCCTCAGCTCTCGCCCACGCAGTAGACTGCTGGTGACGATATATATAACCCGATCTGAGCGAGCTGCACGAGTAGCGACGCCAGAGACGTAAACCAATGTACATGTGCATAAAGTAGAGCGTGGTACATTGTGTGGCTGCCTCCCTGACTCTTTCCTTCCACTCTAAAGGTCAATGCTCCCCGATGTCTGGTGACAATGTACATGTGCATAGTCCCAAGACGTGACAACATGTGCTATGAGATGTGGGTGCTATTTGCTACGGATTGCAATGGATTGCTGCTGTGATCTTCCTCTTGGTCTCTCTCTCTCTCTCCCTCTCTCTCCCTCTCTTCCCCGTGCTCTCCCTCCCGCCGCACGCCTAGTCGTGCATCTGCTCGTCAAACTCTCCGCCCATGCTCGGTCCAGACTCCATGCTGCCATGTCCGGCCCCGTCATACTCGTCGTCCCCCTCTGCAAAATTGCTGTCTCCCGGCTCGTCTTCTCCGAGCATGTCGTTGTCGAACCCTTCTTGCTCCCGTGCCTTCTTGGACGCCATAGGCAGGCCGTTGCCCGTGTCGTGTCGCATGGACGCAAACACGCTGGCAGCGGCATACTGCTCGTCGGTGTCGAACACGTCGTCGTCGTCGGCGTCTACGCGCAGGCGGGCGTAGACGGCTGCGTCGGCGGCGCGGCCGAGCTCGTCGTCGATCCGTCTTGGTTGGGACGATGAAGCGGACATGTTCAGGCCGGCCATGCGTGCGGCGGTCTGGTTGTCAAAGTCGCGTTCGCCGAGGGCAAGAGTCTGGGAGATTGGCCTGGGGCGTGTTAGCAGGAAAGCTGGTATGGGGAGAGGGACGGCCGGGCATTGGTCATTGGTTGCCGCCAACAACTGGGGCAACCAAAGCCCCCTATCGGCCACCTTGCGCCCACCCGACGCGAGTCCAGTCATCTGGTGCACCCACAAACTCATAGCAGGCCTTGTCTTGCCTGCCTCCGTCCGTTGGATTTGGTCCAGTGCGCGCGCCTTGCCGCTCCTGCTCGTCGGGCTGGTCGCGAACGCCGCCGAGCTGTTCTCGAGACTGATCCCGCCCAGACTCTCGGCGAGCAGCTCGGCCTCGCGCGCACGCAGCTGCTGCCGCACAGCGAGCAGCCGTTCGCGGACCGGGTCGTCGCCCTCTGCTGCGCCGCGCGTCGCATAGTAGGCCGTCACGGGCGATGTGCCCGGCGCAAAGCCCACACTGGCAGCACCAGCACCACCCGGTGCGCCTGGTGCGGGGCCCTGTGCCGACGGGCGCGACGCTCCCGGAATGCCGATTCCGACGCCGCCGGGAGACGTGGCCGCACCGCCGCCGAACCCAAAGCCGGCGCCGTTGGGCGAGCCCACGATGAGTGGAGACGTGGGTGCGCTGGGCGAGGTGCTGAACAGGGCGCTCTGGAGGACGCGCTCGTTGCGCGCAAGCCGCTCGCGCACCTCGGTGAGGGTCAGGTGGCTGATGTCGTCGGCGGCGCCAAACGACGAGCGGTGTGGTCCGCCGCGCGCCGGCGTGCGCCCGGGGACGCGGACTGGCGCCGTGGGCATTTGGTGAAGAGAGGGAGAGGTGGGTGGGCGGGATGGGGTGGGTTGGGTGGGTTGGGGGGGGGTTGTGTCGATGTTGGGTGGTTTGCGTGTACGATTCTTGGGCTGTGGCTTTGTTCGGATGATTGATTGAGGAACTGGATGGATGATGCAGGCGTCATTTATGGACCGGGGGCTTGGGCGGCAAACGCGGGGGGTAAGGAAGGAAGGCAAAGAAGGAAGCTGATAAGCGTTGGTGCAACGTAAAATAGGTGTCATAGTCCCGGGAGCGGCCCAGGCACGGAAATGGAGCCGCTTGGAAAAGAGGGGGGCACATTCAAAATGTGGTGCACCCGGTGGGGCTGGGAATTTGCTCCCGCCACCTTTGTTGACAGCAAAGCGTTCAAGGCCTTTCGCGACCAACCACACAACCTTTACAACGCTCGCTAATTCTGGGAACGCAGGTTGACTGGTCCGGCTAATGACATGCGCGCCGCTGGTGTTGACTGTTGACACAACTTGAGCTTCCAACTCGGATTAGTAAAGTTCGACGTGCCACCTGTAAAGTAGTCATTATGAACTACACACGCCTCTATACTTCTCCTCGATCGCCTTCCCCAACGCGTTAATGTCCTCAGTCGGTCAATGTTGGTGACCTTGCACTGCCTGTTCATCGGCAGCCATCCTCCTTCGGACAGCCACACGTCAGGGTTCCATTGTGTGTCATGGGGGTGCACGATCGCAATGTGATGGACAGGCACAGCACCTCAGTCATTTGTTGTGAATGAAACCGCCACACTCGACATGCTCATGTTTCCAAGGCCCCCGAGAGACACTTGTCCCCCGTCTGCGCGCACAGCATACCCAAATGGCACATCTGCACCCATGTACCGCACCCCTTGCTGTGTAAAGTCTATTTGCATACGCTGCATTACTGAATGGCTGCGATCCTACTGAAAGAAGAGCCTGGACGGCTCGCGCCTGTCCCCTATTTATACCTAGATGAAGAGAAACGTTGAAACGTCGTCTGAAGAGAGATCGAATCGGAGAAAAAAACGAGATCGTACAAGCAGAGAGGCCCTGCGGCCTTTACCTGCCCATGTACTTGAGCTCGAGAGTGCGGAAGATCGGATATGTGACGGCGGTGAACGCCGCGGCGAGTTCGTAGCCAATGTCACCGCCGAAGGGGTTGGCGCTACCTCCGACCTTTGCTCCAAGAGGTCCGATGTACCAGATCTGAGCCATGCCCATAACGGCGCCGACGACGCCGAAACAGAAGGCGCCGAGCGCTCCGAGGCCGATAGGGAGGAGCTTGCGGTCGTTCCAAGCCTTCTCGGCGTTGTAGCTGTCCCAGTTCGACTTGCGGAAAATGAGGTGTTCCTCGACGACGACGGTGACGAAAATGGCGAGCCAGTAGCCGAGCACAGACAAAAAGTCCTCGAGGGTAGTGGAGAAGCTGTTGGCACCGACAATGGCGACGGGGATGTAGATGGCGGTGATGACACAGGGCCAGACGATACGGGGCACGTAGGAGAGGTACTTGGTGATGACGGAGATCGACATGCCCATCGAGTAGACGTTGATGATGTTGTTGGCGACGACCGAGAGCACGAGGAGGACCATGAAGAACTTGCCACCACCCTTGAGAGGCGGGACCATGACGGCGTGGAGGAGACCGCCGAGCTCGTGGGCGTCGTACATGGCGTACCAGTTGGCGAGGGTGGTTCCGGCCTCCATGTCGGCGCCGGCGAGGGCCGCAGCGGCGACAGCGGCACCGAGCCACATGACAAGCACACAGGGGACCGAGATACCAATGTAGGTCCACATGAAGATCTTCCACGCGGGGGCTTCGGCGGGCATGTAGACGTTGTAGTCGGAAGCGAGCGAGACCCAGCCAATGCAGAAGCCCCAGATGACACCGCCAAACGAGAGGACGTTGGAGGCCTCGGCGCGGCCAACGCCCATGGGCTCGTTGACGAGGTGCTTGGCAGCCACACCGAGGACGACCAAGAAGGTGATGGCGGTGGGGATCCACGCAAACTGCTCGTACCTGTGCACAAACTTGTAGCCAAACATGCCGATCACGAGGGTGCACATGCCAATAATGACAGTGCCGGCGGCGGCCGAGAACTTCCACTCGCCAACGGCGCAGAGCGCCTGGGCACCGGCAATGGTGTTGGCGATCGACCATCCGACGCACGCGATACAGTTGAGGAAGGCGACACCCTTGGCGCCGTAGAAGCCCCACGAGAAACGCGACGAGGTCATCTGACGGAGACCAAGCTTGGGACCAAAAGTCGAGCAGAAGGCGGGCAGGATCGAGGAGAAAATCACAAAGAAAAAGACGGTGAGCCTGAAGGTGTTCTGTCAGTGACTGCGCGGGTGTCTGCCTGTTTTGAAAGGCTAGCGGTGTGTCACTTACATCGAGTCACCGAGGGACATGTAGAAGGTGAGGGGACCGAGAATGCCGACGCCAAAGGTGGGGAGCACACAGTTGGCACTCAACCAGATGGTGAGGTTACCCCACAGACGCTTGTCCGGGCGCTCATCCTCGGGAACACGCTGGATACCACGCTGAGAACGACGGTCAGCAACATGAACGGGTTAGATCAACCGTCACTTGTGAGCGGGTGAGGGTGCCTCCGCCGTGGTGCTCAATGAAAAGACCCAACGCCCAAAACGGATCTGGCCCGTGCGATGGGAAAAGCACACTTGAGCGGCGGGCCGAAGTGCCCGACTGCCCCGAGACAACAGCCACATCCACAGGCGGCACCCAGCCGCTCACAAATGACAGACAGCTTTTTTTTTCTCAACTCACAGCCTCAATGCCCATGGCAGCCTCCATGCGGCCGTTGTAGTAGGTGAACTTCTCCAGCATGGTGATGGGGACCACGTCCGAGGCCGAGGTCGAGTTGGACGCCGACACGACAGCGGGGCTGTCGGTGGCCACCTGCTTTTCAATGTCCGACATCGTTTGCACGAGGAAGGGGGGTGGGGGGGTTGGCGAGGATAGGGGGGGAGGGGGGGTAGGTGGGTAGCCAATGGCTTGGTAGAGATGTAAGAAAGTCTAGAAGTGAAAGAATGTGGGTGGGGCCATACGTACTGAGGTCGGGAGGGCCGGTATTTGTGAGTTTCGAAATCTCCACCCAGAGACCTCGTTGCACGCGGTGGCCTCTGCTGGGCCTGCTGGCGGCGGCGGCGGCCGTTGGCCGGGTCTGGCGGGAAATCTGCGCCGTTTGCCAAAGGGCTATCCGTATGGACCCCAGGGTCGTGGGTGGGTGGGTCGTCGGGCATCTCCCTGCGTGTCGCCTCAGGCTCTGCAGGCAGGAAGCAGCGTTTGGGATTGCGCGGTTCGGTGCGCAGTCCGGGAAATGCATATGCACACGAGCAAGAGCAGGATCAGCTGCTGCAGCAGCAGGCAGCAGCAGCAGCAGAAAGGAGCCAACGGCAAGAGGACACCTCGGTTGCACGCGGTGCGAGCGGGGCGGCTTTCGATAGTTATCTCTGACGGGGCGTTTTTCGATAGCTCGAAATAGCCCATCGCGGTCTGGGCGGGATGTGCACCACAGCGCCGTTGCCAAGACATGCAGCAACAGCTTCTCGAGGCGACATCGCCGGCGCGCAGTTGAGATTATCCCAAGCCCGTGAGAACCGGATCAGCCCGGTCAAGTGCGGTCAACAGCGGGGGCGGCGGCGGTCTGGGCCAAACTACTGGGCCAACCGACTGGTTACCAATTCACCAAAAACGGGTGTGGCATTTGACTGCGTGATGGATAAACAGGCGGAGCGCGGGCGCTCAGGAGGGGGGGCAGGAGGGAAGGCTGAAATTTTGCTGATAACCAAAACTTATCCTAGCGACGTCACCGCCCGCACCCCGCCACCATTCTCCACGGCATGCTATTTTGACCATTCTCATTGGCTTGGCCTGTGCCAGCCAGCGAGGGGACCAGCCAGGCCAGCCAGGCCTGCCAGGACTGCCAGGACATGTGCACAAGGGCAGTCGAAGGGGGGACGAAGGGGTCGTGGTCAGGAGGTGCAACGCTCCCTTTGTTCTGGCACAGATCACAGATCACAGATTGACAGCGATCCCACAATTTGGCATACCGACTCCACAACCGTCGCGCCGATGGAAATCGCCAGCCGACACCGGCAGGCCGTGAAAAGTGGCGACGGCCGACGTATCGCCGACAGTGTCGGGCAGTGCAGAGTGCAGACGAGGTCGTCGAAGAGGCCTCTATTGATGGTGCACAAAGGCACAGTTGGCGGCGTCCGTGGGTCCAGTAGAGTGATGGACATTGTCCGGGGGATGCCCGATGGTGGGAAGAGCGATAGGCGATATCAATGTGGGCTGCAAGTTATCACGGCGACGTAACACCACCACCGTGTCCGACCCCACCGGATCGGGGTCCATGCACTGGTGCTGTCCCGGTGGAGTCGGATCGGCATACGAGCGATGGTGTCACCATGTAATTAATAGCCGGTATCTATGCTGCTGCAACAAACTGCGACACTACTACTGCATCCCCGAGCGAACAGCAACCGAAAGCGATGGCGTGAGACAGAACACAAAAGCAAATCCGTTGGGTACGGAGCGCACAAGGATACGAAATGAGTGCGGGCGTGGAAGGAAAAGTGGAGGTGGGTGCGAAGCGCTCAAAGTATGGCATGTAACAGTCTCTCTTTGTCTCTCTCTAAAATTGTCCCTCTAACTCATCTTGATGCCCATCTCAGCGGCGTGGTGCTGCTCCTCGATACGGTCCGCCTTGGCGTTCTGCAGCGACAGGTACGCGTTCCACGGAATGTTGACAGCGTTAATCGCAAGCACACGGTACGCGGGCGGGATAATCTGAGAAAAGAAAACGGTCAGTACAGAGGCGTAGGTGCTGACAGGCTCGTCCGTCGATGGGCTACGTGACGTGATGACGCCGGCATCGTCTTGTTCTGGTTCAACTTACACCCTGCCATGTTAGCTCAGTCTAGGACCACTCGGTGTTCAACGCTCAATTCAGAAGACCCGGCCCCTCGTCCAGAACACTTCTCTCAGCCCTCAGCCCTCAGCTCGCTCTCAGCTAGCTCTTGGCTCTTGGCACTCGGCCTCTAGCCGCGCGCGGCCCTGTGGTACACGACGACTGTTGAAAGGTCCGCGCCACGGGACCTCGCCGTATGCGGGGGGGGAGGGGGGACTGTCGTCGCCGAATTGAATTGCGATATCATTCCGGCTTAGCCTACCGCCCCCGCAGCCCTAGCGTTGCTCTCTTGGCAAAGCCAGTATGCCAGCGGCTGAACTCCGGAATGGAGGAAAACAACCTCTCCAGTTACAGTACTCTGGGTACTCACCATGTTGACGGCCTGGAATGGCACAAACCTGTCCGTTAGCGGCTGGCAAGGATATCATAATGGCAGCCTCACAGCATCCAGTTGGACTTGAGTGTCGGCCAGAACGTCTTGAGGCAGGTCAGCAGGCAGGTCGGCAGCTCCAGCACTCACAGATTGCCACTTGTCCTTGACGGCGTTCATGTCCTTGCCCTCCAGCAAGGTCATCACCGTGAAGAAGGCTGCCATTAGCGCGAGTTGGTATTCGGGTCCCGTCCAACTCACTAGACAGGACAATTGGTGCGGCGACAGTCTGGTCGAGCGCGACGCGGGTGATGGTGGCTGGGATCTTGCTCTTGATGGGCAGGTTCTGGAGAAAGCGGAACCAGGTGGTTGCGAATGGCGCAAAGCATCCTCCTCCCCAGATGACGATGCGGCTGGGTTGGGCGATGTGGATGAGGCGATTGGTAGTCAAGACGAACACAACCCGCATGAGGTGGTGACAAATGAATGTTGGGACGCCGAGGGATGACATTGTTGGGTCACGCAGAGAACGAGGAAAGACGGGGGGGGAAGACGGTATACCGAAGGAAACAGAGAAGTAGAGCGTCAGCACGAGGTCAAGCGACACCAGTTGCCACCCAGCTCACCCAGTACGAGCATAGTCGTGATTCTTCCAGCCCTTCTTCTCAATACCCTGCTGGGCAATCACTGTAGTTGTTAGACGCGCTCGCTATGCGCCCGTTCGGGTTGATCGGCTGGACGCACCGTCGCCAGTCGCAAAGAGGATCTGTGTGTTTTCAATCAGCTCCACAAACAACCTGCAGTCATGAGCTGCTGATAAACAACGTACCGCCGACTGCAGCATGTTACCGCTGTAGGGGTAGCGGCTGACAAGGGTCGCATACTTCCCCAAGAGGCCAGACATGGTGGATAGGTGTAGAGGAAGGAGAGGAGTGCAGTGAAAAGCTGGTGTGTGCGGGCGGGAGGCGCGCTTGGTGTGCCGTGTGATGCTCAGCGGTGCGGTGCCTGTAGCGTGTCTGTGGGTATCTCTGTGGCCCGAGTCGTCGGCGAACTGGGTCTCTAGGGTATGCAGGTAGCTGTGTGTTAGAGTTGGGTGGTGTCGAGGTGCGAGTTGGTATTGACAACAAGAAGGTTGCTGCTTGCAAAACGTGCTAAACGAAAGGCTGGCCCGCTGTGGTCGGACCTTTTGGACGTTTGGACCTTTGTGTGGTAATCTGGTCATTCACCATGGCTCCAGCCGCGCATTTAACAGTATAACAGCGGGACAGGCAGTTCCGCGTCGTGGCCTCCCCCGGTATACATTCAGCAGGCCTTGGCACTCTCGCACTCACAGTTCAGCAGAAGTGTCGATGCCCACTGGGCAATGTCACGGAACTGGTTTTCCTGTTGCGTGGGCCCTCGCCGTGTCCATGACAATGACATGGTTGTTGTTGATTTTTGTTGGAGTCCTTTCCCCACACTTTTCTTCCCTTTGCTCCACACTCCCACATGTTCCGTGCTGGCGTCAGTGGCGGCGCAGTAACCCCACGCTCTCAAACGCACCCAACGGGGCAATGGAGGGGGCCTCTGCCTCGCTCAAGGGGAGTGTCAGTCGCGGTTGGGGATTGGGGACACTTGATACAAATGGTCAGTGCACGCGACCAACTACTCGGTTCACGGTTCATTGAACGGTAGCATGCTATACATGGCCGTTCGCCGAGGGATGATGTAACAGGCATTACCATCTCCCCAAACCCCGCCCACCCCGCCCCCTTCACCCCAGCGTTCCATCACGTACTGTAACCTTCAAGACCCAGCGAGGGGAAGGGGCGTGAAGCTTCAGCCTGTTCGACACCTGACGTGTCATGTTTGCAGTGCAGCTGTGCGACGGAGGGGAGCAAGGACAGCCGCTGGAACGATTAGAACACAGCCCCGATAAACACATGCCGTAGACTACGGAACATGCTGAGAGGTTGAGAATACAGTCGGAGAGGTGAGAGGTGAGAACCTGGGATCCTGGCAAACCGGTGTCACCGGTGTGGACCAGCAGCATAGCAAAAACGTTAACGTTGTTGGGGGGTATACACCATCATGACACGGGGGGTTATATGGCATGCCTCGACGTCGAGAGCCCAGGCCCCGCGATATTACCCACATGGCGGCCACACTGCTGCGCTGCTGCCATGCTGCCCCGCGTGCTCAAGGAATGAATTGCGCGTTGTTGGATAAAATTGTGTATGATTGTCATGGCTGCCAACATGCACACATCCGTCGCAGAACGTGCCTTTGGGGGCGACCCAGTAACGCATTCTACGCAGAGCTCTGAGAGGCAGCATATGCATGCAAGGAACGTGGAGCACACCTGCGCGCACATGTGGGCCCAGCTTGGCCAGCTGTGGCTGCAACAGGGGGGGACTTTCCGAGGCCTCCGGCGGCCGGTGCGACGGGGAGTCGGCGACGGAGCCGAGACCTGTCACTGTCGCCGGCGGGGGGAAGGAGGTGCGGGGGGACGTCACCGCTTTCAGTCATGCCGTTCGTCGTCTTGAATGGGAATGAGGGAGAGGGAACACACGAGTGTCGGCGCTCTTGTGTCTCCCGTCCCCCACGCATCCGCATTTCGTATCCACTCTCTGTTTCTCACTCTCTGTCGTTGTCTGTCTTGTCTCCATCTCCCGCTCACTACACGATCACTACACCCAACGGCCAACGAGCGAACCCAAATTCCAGCGCGTCGGAGATTCAACATCCCTCCACATCCCCCCAGCCCACAGCCCACAACGGCGGCGGCGTCGGTGGCGCACAAGCTTGACGCAGTTCAGGACAGGCGAGGACAGCTGCCAGCGATTTCCTGCGGGTGCCCGCAGGCTGGTCCATCGGGATCCTTGGCGACGACAGCGACAGCACGCGCTCTCTATCAGTCCAACGCGTCCACCTTTCTTCTCACTGCACACGACCACCCTTCCACACCCACCTCCCACTGTCTGCAGCAACGTCTGCGCAGGTCAGTCCTTCTCGACTGATCAACACCGTGACGAGTTGGTTGGGGAAGACGAGTCTGTGCGTGCCCCAAACCAGCGCGAAACAACCACCTCCCATCAACTTCTGGCGATCACTCCACCCCCACATTCCAATACTCGTCCCAGCTCGTGTCTTGTCCTGTTCTTTCCACCTTTGCCCTCTCCAACACACACCTGGCCCACACGCGCGCCCCTGCCACTCCTCCGCATAGCTCTTTAAGCACTCCCTTCTCGCGCGTGCGACCGCGAGGGCTGCATTCGTCCCACGGTCGCAGCGCGCACGTTCAACGGACACTGTCAGCGATCAGCAACGACCTCGCTCCAACCGCGGATCGCCCCCTCTGCACCACGTCGGTCACACGCCGCTGAAGAACCCGACAAGCTGTAGCCCGAAGGCAACTCATCCACCCCCATACCACCTCTTGTCCACCTCTTTCCTCCTCGACAACAGCTTGACATCATGGCGACCGCGGTGGAGCGTAGGCGACCACCCATGTCGTCACGTACCCCTTCGGTGCGGTCAGAGTCGCTCACGCCTCACGCGACACCTCCCCCGACCTCGTCGGCCCAAAGCAGCTCCAAGTTTTCCAAGCTCAAGTCCATGCTCAACAGCAACCCAGGCTTTGCCGTGTTCGACGCCCACGTCACCATCCATGAGCTTAGCAACGTTCCGCAGCTGGAAGGTCAATTCAGTGTCCGCTGGAAGTTTCGGGGATCCCGACCTCGAGACGCCGACCGATACCTCACCCAGCCTGTCCCCCGCCGCGGTGTCGTCGAGAGGCCTGCTCCCAATACCAACATGCGGACGTTGCGACCGTCCGGGTCTGTCATGAGCCTCCGGACTACGTCGACCGCGTCAACCTCCACTACAGGCACGTCAACAACGTCTGCGCTCGTCGCACCACAGAGCCTCGGCAGCAAGCCCCGCCATGCGGCATCGCTACCAGTTCCCAGTCCGCCCACACACCCCACTTCCCACCCGGTTTCCCACTCGTCGTCGATGCCTAGTCCGTTGGGACGCAATGCGACCCTCATGGCTGACCCGACGACGTCCAGACCGCCACGCCTGCGAGGCAAGAAGGGATCAGACCCTACTCCGTTGCGCCAGCAGACGGACGACAATGGACGCGACATTGTGGAAGAGCCAGAGGATCTGGGCGATGCCGAGTCGAGGAGCGATGACGCTCCCACTTCGTCGGTCCCCACATTGACGACCGAGTCCGCCGGCAGCTCGCGGGCCCAGTCGGTGCACTCGTTGACGCCTTCCCTCTACTCGGTCACACCCTCCATCAACACCACCGCGTCTGGCCCGTCTGTCAAGCCATTTCCTTCCGGGCTCGGCCTCACGGGTGCTGGAGGGGCCAGCACGCCTTCCCTCGCCTCGAGGTCGTCGACGATCCCCGTTACCGATGACCTGCGGCGACGCGTGCCGTCACGCGCAAGCACGCGGTCCGACCTGTCGCTCACCATCGACCCAACCCTCGTTGCCTCTCATAATCGCATACCAGCCGCTGCCCCTATCGATTCGAGTGAACGCAAAGGGCAGACGCCCATGTGCACAATTCGCTCCCATACCATCACGTGGGAGTACAGACTTGAAAATGTGTTGCGCGTGCCTTTGGGCAAGCCGGTGGCGGTCCCCAGCAGTGGAGGCAGCCACTCGCGCCACCCTTCGCCTACGCCCGATAAGAAGTCGCTACCGGTTCTTGGTGGCGGTCCCCAGAGTGATTCCGGCATAAAGCTCGAGATCCTGCAAGCACCGCGTGAGGGCGAAAAGGACACTGAACCCAAACTCTTTGGCTATGTCAACATTGACCTTGCGCCCTTTGCCGACAGTCCGCCTATGGCACGCAAGTTCTTGCTCAAGGACAGCAAGGCTAATGCCACTCTTCGAGTGAGTTTTTTTACCTTCTCCGGAAAATCCCTGTGTGCCTTGGTGCTAATTAGAAGGTCTCGGTCGACATGAGGTTTATTGGGGGCGAACAGGACTGGGTGGCGCCGCCAATGCAGGAGGGCCACCTCGTGGCCGTCGCAGACCTCACTGGCGAAGAATATCAGGAACGTGAGTACCGTGCCGTTTCGACGATGGGACGATGCTTACGCCCTTTACAGTCCAGCTGCTTCCCACACCCTCCATCTCGTCCAACTCGGACCTGTCCTCACACTCGGCCAACCCGCCCAGCCACCGCTCTGCTCACACTGGCGTCGGCCGGACCAAGCAGCCCCACGCGTACAAAGCCGCGTCACATGCGAGCAGGCATCGTTACAGGTCGTTTGAGCACCACTTGCAGCCTGAGCAAGAGATCAAGCCCCCACGAGCTGCGCATTCACGTTCGTCAGACTCCAACCGCTCATACCCGCGCCCGCAACGCACATACACATCGGACTTTGCTTCCTTGTCACCTACATCTCCCACCATGAGCCGCGTTGCACCCCAGGAGGTACCATACACAACGTCACCGTCGTCGACCCCGACTTTCCCAGAAACGCAGCTGCCCATGCTTGACACCAAGTTCAAGGTTGACAAGGATGCCGACGGCACCCTCGGATACTTTGAGCGCGTGCCTTCTGGTTATGGCGCGTTTGGTGCGACCCTGTCGCCCGTTACCACGCGTTTCGACACGAGCCGGATGGACGCTACTGCACCACTGTCGCCTACGTCTCCGATACTGGGAGGCCTCACGTCCCCGGAGTGGTCCCCACCAAACAACCACAACCACCACTCCCACTACCTCCTTGACGACACTGACGGTGACCTCCAGCCCGACCTTGTCATCGAGTCCGTCTTCAACCCTGCTGTTGGCGACGAGTTTTCGCCATTCACTTATATCCCAGGTGATGACGATGGCTACGATGACGGTGGCAGGGATGAGGACGACACTGGTACGCTGGACCTCGATGTGGACAACCAGGCCATGGCCATGGAACATCTCGATGTGGGACATCATGCGTGGTCGCGCCTGCGCCGCAGAGTGAAGAGCAACCCTTGCAACAAATGAGCAACATGGCAGTCGGTGTGCGAATCTCAGCCACATTCATTTTGTGCCTCCGCCACACCAAACCTTGACCCGTTCATCGACCCCATCATGGCCACGCCCACCCGGCAGAAAAATCAGACGCGAGCGACATTAAGTGGCGCACATTGTCCCCTCGTGCTTTTCGAGCTTTTCGACACCAGACCGTGCATTCCCAAACGACGCTAATATAAACTGTCCTTGCTACATATCACCTGCCCCACCGACCAACCCCATCCACATCCACATCACCCCTTGCATCATCGTCGACCGTCAAGCGACAACCGACCCCTTCCCCCCCGAACGACACGCATAGCCCTCACGCACCCGTTGCTCTCTGCTCCACCCCAACTTGTACTCCGTTTTGTACTAGAACGAATTATGCATCAATATACAGTGGCACCAGCGGCAAACCGCCTCCGCGCCCACTATGTACTTGCACTACAGCTCGGACCCGTTGCCTGGTCGTTGTCGCTAGTACGCACCACCATCCAACCATGCCCCGAGGTTGACGTGTTCTCGGTGAGAATGCCGAGTGTCTCGGCCGCGCGGGGGGCGCGGGAGCGACCGATCTTTTTGCCCGTCAGCCCCCCCTGGCGCACGCTTTCCTCTCTCAGCCTGATCCAGTGTTCGAACAATGTGGTCGTCATCGGGCAGTGGATGCGCGTAGCGACTAGACGGTCATTCAGGTTACACGGGCATCTGCGCAGCCTAGCTGTGCCGGCTTGCAAGAGGCTAGCGCCGGCATCCCGGCACGTCGGCACGCGATGGGCTTGGCACTTTGGGGTATTACAGGGCAAAACGAACGGAAAGAGTGGAGTGGGGTGTGCAAATTGACCCGCGGTAGAACTAGGATTGGATGGGTGCAGACGGGGGAGACATTGTTGTTGACAATGATTTGCCTATCAGCAACAGACGTTGCGATTAGGTTTACATTATAAATCAATGCCAATTCCATCGATAGGTTCTAGGGCTTGTACAAACCCTCTGATCCTCTGAGATGGCCTCGTACTACAAACGGGGTGTGTAGGTCGGTTTTGAGCACTGGGTACAGTAGGTACAGTACACGAGACGTAGTTACATTTGCACTGATGTCGCAGAACCCCCATGAGGGATGCTGGGGTCGGAGTCAGTCGCCGTCTGACGAAGAGGTATCATGGATAGGCGGTCCGGGGCGTCAAAGGCGCATAGATCTATCAGCCGTGTGCTCTTCGAGACAGTTTAGTGACACATGCTGACAGTGGAAGTTGGCCGGTTGGCTAGGTTTGACAGGCTCGATAAATCTCGGCTCGTGTGGCACCCTGGCCTCCCCGCGTTACTGTTTATTGGAGTCTATGCCAGCGACAGATAAAGCGTGCCCTTCCCGCAAACCCAAAGTGTAGATAACAATAGAATTGTGTGCGTGTCGCCATCGTACTTACTGTGCAGTACCCCTCCCCGCCTCATGTGAGCATGACAGCGCCACAAGAGGCTGATCTCTCCCAACCGCGTGATGCGTGGCCCTCCGACGACTCCAATTGCCCGATAGTTCATAACCCGAGCCCGCAAGGTCCATGGCACGCGTGGCCTGATGAACCCCGTTCGGGAGTGGCGGGAGGGACATCGGTATGCGGTTCATCAACATTGGCTGGAATGGAGCAGCGAACAAAGTTGGGTGGCGGTGAGGCGGCGACTGCAGGTGGCAGTGCGGTCGCCGGTTGCGAGTATGTACCCAAAACATGCCACCCATTAAACCACTTTGGTTGATTTTTGATGGCGGCTCTGGAGTCGTCGACGTGCTTCTCAAATCGGTGGTAGCTATGACGTCGCATTCCCTCCCCTCTGTGCACCGTCCATGTCGTGCGTCGTGGAGGCTGCTTCACCACAACTGGGTTTTCCCACCCGGGTGCCTGTGCCGCTTGCCCCCTCGCCCTGCTCCGCATTCTCCGCATCCTCCGGCAACCTCCGCTATACTCTTTTCCAAGCCCCCGTAACCTACGATGGACCACCATTGCCACTGGGTTGCTGATCGCTGACCTCTTCGTTACCCGCAGCGGCGGCGGAGGGTTGTATTCACGCGTTGATGTGGCAGAATTATCGACTGTTTTTTGTTCCATTTTTCAGCATCACGCCATTCCACTGTCGACACGTTTGTGCGGCGCCTTTAATCAACCGCAAACTACGCAGGCGCATGACGCAGGGGGGCCCAAGAACCGTTTCCGGAAACCGGAATGGCACTGGCTCGGATATTAATGGACGACGGCGAATGCAAAGACCGGAGCGGAGATCGGCATGAACGGATCCAGGTGTCGACGACAACGTTGCCGACGGCTAGCAGCCTGGTGTCCCCGGGCCGCCTGCACGCAGTGTATGTGTACCTCTCACTCGGAGCCAAGGCGCTAGCCTGTAAAGTAAGACACGAGGAACGCCCGCCTGCATCTACGGGGGAAAAAGACTCGTAACCTTCCTCGTTCTCTTCGTCCAAGGCGTCAGTGGCGTGGCGCGGCAGTGATTCCCCACCCCGGGTCTGCCGTTCTCTATGGCATTGGTCTCCGGCTGCAGTACATTCGGATAGGACGGCGTTGTTCCAATTGGCGCTGGTAGACACCTCCGCAGGTCCATTGGGGTCCGTTTTCTCTCCCCCGGCTCTCGCGTCGTGAGAGCACGTCTAGCAGTAGTGTCAGGCCGTTTGCTACGTGTGTATGTCGGTGTGGCATGTGGCGGCGAGATTCACACGTGAAACTGCACACCAATTATCGGCAATGACGTTCGTCGTCCCACATAAGAGCCAAGCCTGCCACACACGATGTGCTCCAGTTTGCTTTCGAAGCGGCGGAGATCCGGACCCCACCACCCCTCCGTCAGATCAAGCTCAGGCCTGACCCCGACACCTCCTGCAGTAGGACACAACTACAGCTACCATTGACTCTGCGTCCGCGGCCCACGAAGTGTGTGGGACCTGCTCCCCGGTCGCCGGGGCCTTTACAACGAGACCCTTTTCGGTGCCCGACTCCAGCAGGCAGTATGGCTGAATCGGACTGGGCAGGTCGCTGCGGTCGGGGACGCTGGGCTGCGGTACCCCGCCTGTGGCCTGTGGCCAAGAGACATTGGAGCGAGGCTGGGAGGGGGCCTACGTAAGTGGTTGTGCGTGGCGAAGGTGATGTCGATCTCCAACAATCCCCAAGTGTGCGTTTCTGCTCCACGTGGTGACAATTCAGTGCAGGCAATGTGGTGTCGTAGTCGCGAGCAGTCGGCAAGGTGCGACACAAGGGTGATGGCGTCTCATGATCTTTGATTGCGTAGAGCCCGTGATCCAATGATTCATAGATTCGCAAGTTTCTCAGTCGCCGGCCGTGCCAGAAATCGCCACAAAGTCAGAGTCCGGACCCTGGTGGCCTGGTGCTTGGTGCTGTGAACTTTGAATTGGCACGCTTGGTGAACTTTGTGGGAGCTCGATGGACCCTTTGGCGGACCTGGTTAAACTTTGAACTGTGCGCATCCACCGCAACACCGAGCCCAGAAGGCGGGCACGGAACCGCCAACGACGACGCACACCAACTCTGTCTCCCACCGAGAGACGGGGATCTCCTTGGCCAGCATTAAGGAGAGGGGGGGGAACTCAGGACGACACCGCGAAGTGGGTGCCTTAGCCGACGCACGCACCACACCGAGTGCTCCCTTGCATAGACCTCTCACTCGCCCCGACTGACGTACGTCCCAAGCCACGAGCCGAAAGGGAAGAAGCTCGGTGCTGCGCTGCGGAAGTAGGGAGGAGATGCCGTCGTCGCTCCACGACGTGCGGATGCATGGCGACAAACGAGGAATTTAAGTGGGCAGGTTCCAGCGAACCGGTAAGCGTGGCGGCAAACAAAGTGGCGGATTTGGCAACCTTTGGTGTGGTGGGTTATGCATTGTGCAAGACTCAAGTTGTGGAAGAAAGGCACTGATCACTGAGCGGCAAATCAATGCATTGAAGCTGTTGGCATTGAGACGCACGAGCGAGAAAATCAACATATAAACAAGGAGGTAAAAAAACACAAAAAAAGTGGGTGACGAACGACACAAACCGATACGAGTGAGACCACCAGTGGCGGAAGCCAGCAGGAGAAGCCAACCCGAGATATTGGATCGGCGGCAATTAGCGCGTTGCCTGTAATTGAGACACTATTATCGACCGAAGCCGATAGACCAAAATAAGGGGCCAAAGAGAGAGGGGGGAACGAAACGAAGTCTGAAAAGAATCCATGGGGTTCAACGAAAGGGCGAAGCCGAGCCGCGGCTCTTGATGTCTAGTTTGGAAGAGGAAGCGCAATAAGGGTGGTTGGGCGATATTAGGCGCCAAACGAGAGCAAAGGCGCCGGCAATATGACCGGGGTGGCGAGGGCCGGTACACGCCCTTTGGAGCAGTGTGCTCACAAACGTAAGGGAATTTACTGGCCATATGTCGACCAAAGAGGGTCAAACACAGGACCCCCCCTCGCAGAGTGCAGAAGGGTTACCATGGAGGCAGGATGGTGTCGCGGAAGAATCGTATATGCAAGGCCTGCGAGAGAGAGAGAGAGAGGGTGGGCGATCTCCGTGAGGTGGGTGGCGCAAGGTGGACCATTGGACTTTTATCCAAGGGAAAAGGGGGCGGGTGTGGACGGGAGTGGGTGGAGTAGTGTTACGGGGATGCTAGTGGCGGGGTTGTTGCTCACGCCAGTGATTCGGGGGAAAAGCAATCGGGTTCGGGTTTGTGGGTAAGGGGTTGGTGTATGCTGCACCCGTAGCGGCAAACGCTGCTGCTGACGTCGATGCAGCGGCCGACGCTGCAAAGGTGGTCTGCTGCTGGCCGTGCTGGACTGCTTGCTGCGGGGGTGGTCAGGGCTGAGCGCCGACTGACGCCGCCCAACTCACGTCCTGCTGGCCCCAGGTAGTAACCTCGCCGTCTGTGCGCGGGACATATGCCACGCCGCTGCCGGGAGGCGCGCCATGAGCATATCCTCCAGAAGACGATGGACCTCCGCCGCCACCGCTCGAGCTTCCGACGGCCGAACGAGGCAGGTTGTGCGGAGGCGGGACGGCAGGATAGACGGTCGACTCGTACCGCACGGGGTAGGCCGCGTTGTGAGTTGAAAGCGCGTGTGCGCGTGGGTCTGTAGGGAACGGCGCAGACTGGACGTATGGGGAGGCCGATGGCGCCTTGAGATTGTGTTAGCATGAGGAACAAAATAAAGGTCAGATGGGGAGCCAAAACAGCCATTTGGCGCTTGCGCGACGCGAGGAACAAGCACGGGGAGACGATAGACGCGACGCGGCCGACGTCTGACTTTAACCGCGGTGCTTTTGCTCTCTTGACATCATGCGTAGTCTTCTTGGCACCACATGTCTCGCGCGTAACACAATGACCGCACGCAATGGAAAGGAGGGCGGTAAACTTACCGAAGAGGAAGACAGGAGGCGGCTGCGGGACGAGCTCGAGCTCGAGCCACGCTGGGGGTGACGCGTAGGGTCCTGCGCGGCCCACTTGTCCTCGCCGACAATCGTGCCAAACTGGTATAGTGGTGGTGGGTACGACGATGGCGCCGACGTGCTTCCTTCGGCGGCGGGGTCCTGCCAAGTCAGCTGGTACAGCGTTAGGGGAGAAAGCGAAATATGTATTTGTGACTCCAAGATGTGGACGCTGGAGACTCACGCGAACAAAGTCGCCTGGGTGTGACATTGTGCGGCCGTGGGACGACGAGCCGACACGAGGAGGAGATACCATCCCGGCCGACTGGACGCCATACACGCCATAGGGTGCAGCTCCCGACGCGGGTTCCTGCTTGATGTCGCCTCCCATCCAAGGACCCACCTTGGGAGGTTCTCCACCGGCTGTTGGGGGAGCACCGAGAGGACCACCTGCGGACCCAGGGTCGCGCGGAGTGTAGTTTATGCGGACAGCATAGAGCTGGCGACGGAGGTCGGCGTTCTCATCGCGCAGGTATGCATTCTCTGCAGCGAGTTGGGCAACATCCTTTGACTCTGGCGAGTAGGCGATTCGCGAGCTCGCGTACGCCGCGGCGCTTACTTGACGGCGCGCTTCCTCGAGTTGAGCGGTGAGCAGAGCAACCGAATCCTCGAGCTGAAGATGAGAGGTCAGTCACTGAGAGTAATAGGACGTTCAGACTTGGCATTGTGCGCTGGATTTGACGCAGACAAGGCACACAGAACGAGCTACTCACCGCCTTGAAGTGTGCCTTGCGCTTTTCGCGGTGTCGGCGCTGGGCTTTGGCATTCCGCGAGCGGTTGTCGCCATCATCTGGTCCACCCAGCGCGGCGCCCGACGGTGTTCGTGTGTGAGGCGCCGAGCTTGAGCTCTGCATCATCGCCGCGACGCCGCCTCGCTCTGGTTCTTGATCTGCCTGAGGCGGAGGGTACGGGCAGTACTGCCCTGGAAGGACGTCGAAAGAGAACGGCGCCCGCGGAGTAGGGGGCGGAGAAGGGAGAACGAACGATACAGTGGCCGTGGAACACACGGTTGTTGTCGCGGGGTGTTTATATGTCGAGGGTGGAGGGGGGCGCAGATGGACTGATCTGCCACAGTGGCACTTTGACGCCTCTTCTGGCTGTTATGGAGTGAGGTGCCGAGGAGTGGGCGCGGCGCAGTCTTCTGCAGCGAGCGATATCTGGTGACCAACAAAGTGGTTGGGACAGGGCGGCTCAAACGAGTCGAGGTCGTTGGCGGGGGTATGATGGAAAAGAGAGAAGCAGTGGGAGAGCAATGGGAGACTCGAGTCGACGGGTAGGACGATAAAAAGAGAAGAGAGGAGAGAAAAGAGGAGTGAGAGGAGAAGAGGGATTGAGGAGGAGCGAAGAGGTCAACACGGCTGGCTGGGCCGATGAAATGCTAGCTAGACGCTATGATGCACACCCCGACCCGCGGGGGCTCTTGATGGCCGCTGCCGGCAGAGCAGGCGGACGTTGCATGCGGCGGGCGGGTTCGCGGTTCGTCGCTCTCGTCTCTCTGTGCAGGTGTAGTTCTCTTGTCCCTCTTGGGTCGCTCTCTCTCTGGCGCGCGCTCTCTCTCTCTCTCTCATGTTCTGCCGTTGAAAGAGTGGGTGTGCATGGGGGTCCCTTTGAGATGGCTCTCGGCCCTCGCATGGCCCTCGCGGTATCCCTCTCGCTCCCCACTCCCCCCTCATGTCGGCCATGGCCCATTCCGGCCCCGCGCAGAGCCCGACGCTCTTCAATAGTGCTCCCGGCCTGGGGGGTTGGCGGGGGGGGGCAGGCGGTCGCGGGTGGTTTGCGGGTGGGTGCGGCAGGCTCGGCTGGGCGGGGTGGGCTTCTCGAGATCTGCTGCTCATCCGAGGATCGAAGAGGGTGCAGCGCTCGGGGGTTTTGGCGGTCGATCGCATCGCCAGGGCGGGAGGCGTGAAGGGGTTGGTTACAGCAGCCAACAACCTCGCATCATAGGTACACCGGCCACGCAAGCAACAGGCAGAGCAGAGAGAGGTAACAGACAGAGGCAGGCTGCTGTTGCAGCAGCAGCAGCGGCACGTACACCCACCGGGCTACCCGATGCAATGCCGGTCACCTGCAACGACTGCTCTCATCCACGGTTGAACCGCCAGGGAGTGAGTGGCAGAACCACCCACGGTACTCTCGCCAGCTCTCTCTCTCGCTTGCACCTGCTGCAGTCCCCCCATATGGCCAAGCCCCGCTCCTCTGCTGAAGTCCTCCGCGCCTGACCTTTCTGTCAGCGGACCTTTGTCCCTACGGCAGCTGCCGCAACCGATACGGCTCCAGCTTTTTCCTCCTGTCCCTTCCCTTACAAAGCATGCACACACACACACCCAGATACACAGTGACCCTCTGCTACATTTCCAAGGGAGATGCGGTGAGGGCGGAGCGTTCCAGACTGTGGGGGTCATGAGCCCGCACCGCACTAGCGGGAGCGTGCCCAGTATCAGGGCCGCTGGACAGTGTTCTCGTGTTTTCAAAGCTGGCGAGCAGCGACTTTAACGGCACCCGACCACGTCGGTTGGTAGAGGATCTTGGGGCAAGACGCAGGCAAGCAAATTCCAACACGACCCAGTCCATTGAACTGGTTGCAAACAGTTGAGGACTGGTTGACAAGCAAGTACTCAGCTGTCAGCTGGAGGGAAAAGGGCCAGGCTGGAGCCTCGAGTGGGGGAGGACAACGAGCGCACTGCTGATCCAAGGCACCTTGTTTCTCGTAGCCCAAAGGAACGTTCGTCTCCTGTGGACCCGCGTACTCTCCTCGCCCTTTGTCTGCTGGCTATCTGCACAGATTGAGTATGATATCAGCCAGGGAGCAGCGCGGGTTCAGGTGTGGCTGCCAGTTACACCGAGACAAGGTGGCTTGGAAAGGCGTTGTCGGAAGTCATGTTCCATCCCTACCGGCCTTCTACAGAGTTTGTTCTCTGCCACCAACCACAGGCCCTACGTTGACGCGCGATCTATTGCACTGTACACGGGCCAGCATCCCTCCCTGCCCACCTTTGCTTGCCACAGTGTTGTGCCCGCCCCACCCGCAGCTGTTCTGGGGACGGAATAACTATCTTTTCCCTTGCAATGGGTGGGGGGCTGGCAAGAGAACGATTCGAGTAGCCCGTGTGGAGCTCTGCCATTCCTTGTCCTCTGCGCCACTACGAGCCAGAATACCAGAGTTGCTTTGTCGAAACACGAGACAAAAAAACAGGCGGAAGAGCACAGACTGCCCGAAACCCCTTACACCGTCTTACCAGATAGAGCAATGGTCTCGTGTAGCGCTTCCCGTCGCCGACCCCTTCAGCCGTCTACTCCTTCATCCTGCTTTCTTCTCTGCTCTGCCTTTCCAGCTCACACCGGAATTGCGGGACCCGCCCCCTCCCCGACTGCTATGACGTTGCCAGGATCGAGACTGATCAGTGCTCTTCACCTATCGCTTGCCTTTCAGGACTGGTGTGTCTAATAAAAGTCTGGCGCAAAGACCGCAAGACCCACAGAAAAGAGACGTGGTGGCGTTGTGCGGGTCTGGTTACTAACTGTGCATGTGACCTGGTCGTTGCGCACGCTTCCATGGTTTCTGGCCCCACAAAAGAAAGGGTGGCGAGGCAGTTGACAGCATGACAGAGGCAATACGCTTGGCGAAAGGGCACGGGGGCAGAGAAAAAAAGAGTTCAGAAAGAACCATCGCAGGGGTTCGGAGCACGTCACAGTCGGCACTCCATTCAGGCAGAATGGACGGTAACCCGATGGACGGACGGTACGACTGCCGTCTTGATTTGCCCCAGACGGCGCACGATCGGCAGTCCAAGAGTCCAATCCGAAGGAGCCGTGGTTTGGCAGCAGGCGTTGCCCGTTGCCGTTGCCGTGGAGAAGAGGTCTTTATGGATACGGCCTCGCGACCACGATCATATGACGTCGGCCTTTTGGCTCAATTATTGGAGTGTGGTGCTTATTGGCTTGACCAAGAGTTTTACAAACAGATCTTTGCGTGAGAGCCGTGGAGTCAAGTTCATGACTCGGAGATCGCAAGCGAGTTGGCCTGTATTCTTGGAGTGGATGTTCATCACGATCTGCACAGCCCGTTCATCATTCCGGCACGATTGATGGTTGCCCTGTATCCCTCATGCCCGCCGAGCAAAGTGGCGCCCGGCAGAGTTTGAGTGAGGCGTTGTCTCGGTGGATCGGCAGGGCAAGGAAGGAATGGCCTGCACAGAGCTCTTGACCTTTACAGAGCGTTTGACCTTTCACTGCAAACATCTGGTCGATCGCCATAGCGTGCGAGAGGACGATGGCGGGAGCGAGCGGGCTGTCCGAAACGCGGCGGAGCTTCCGATGCTGCGCCGAGAACGGACAAACCCCACGGAGTTGGTGCGGGCTGGCGCTGCCGGCACCAAAGTCAATCAAACCGAGGGTCTGTGTGATCGACACAAAAAAAGGCATGGCCGACTGCTTCTGGTTTCCCAGGCAAACGTCGACGACGTCGGTAACCAGCCGTGGCGCCGTGGCACTCGGAAACTGGTCCCACAACCACTCGTCCACCAACCACCACCAGCCAAATGACACGATGTATGCAAATTCACACCGATGTGGCCTTCCCCAGAACCGTTGCGCCGGCTTCCCAGAGTCATAGCACCCTACGTTTCGATCGAAACCATCTGCGGGCCTGGTATCTCGGCATCGGTCGCCCTGTATGACGATCACCTCTCTCTCACTGGCAGGCAGTGTGGCACAAGTGGTGGCCGAATCACACAACCTCACACAGACGGCAGTCAGTAGTCGGCCATTCTCTTCCTACACTTTCCATTGCCATCGCTATCCCTCCCACCCCCCCTAAACTCCACTGCATCCTGTGTCCGCCCTGAGGAACAAGTGGCTGGATGACGGCCCCACTTTCTGGTCGTTCGTTGCTGCCGTCCCTGCTCCGCGGCCTCTTGTTCGGACCGCTGTCTGATACGAAGGCCCTCGCGGGAATGTCTGAAACGACCCGACCCGATGGACCTCGTTGTGGCTCCGCTGCTGGATCTGGCCTGTGGGTTGGGGAGGCGGGCCCAGCCGAGAAGGGCATGTCGGGCGTGTACCATGTCCCATGTGGTGTGGACACCCCGCATCAGCACATGACAAGCCTGACACACTCAGTTCCCACCTGTGGAAAAGCTGGCTCCCACAAACTCACGCGGTCCCACTTCCCTGGGGGCCTTTGTCTCCGCGGCGGTGCGGATGTCAGACCACAAGGACCAAAAACAGGTACGTTGTTAGTGAATCTGGGTTCCTTTCTGGAGCAACCCTTGTCCGGGCCGTCAACAAAGACCACCCTCATCCACCCAGCCACAGACACTGGTGCACAACGCCACCCCACCTCTCCATGTCGGCACACCTGCCACTCGATAATAGGTGCGAGGAACCATGTGCCTGAGGCACGGCGGAGAAGACAACGACTGCCGGAGCGGGTGGCGGTGGCGGTTGCGGTTGCTGTTGTTGTTGTGCGGCTATGGTCATGCAAAACGCGCGGATACGGTACCTTCCAATGCGGCGGAGAAAGATCAATGGATTGGAGTGTACTTTGTGTGTGTGTGTGTGTGTGTGTGTGTGTGTGTGTGTGTGTGTGTGTGTGTGTGTGTGTGTGTGTGTGTGTGTTTGTGTGTGTGTCTGTGTTGTCAGAGGTGCAAGCCGTTGAGGACCTTGGCGCAACCGATGTTGGCCCCCCTGCTCCTTTCGACGTTCTTCAGGGCAGTACATCGTCCTGGACAGCCCAGTGCAGTGCAGTGCAGTGGCTCGCGACTTGTTTTGCAAGCGAGGAAACTAATACGACCAAGGCCGGTCTGGCCACCTTGGGCAAGCACTGTGGTTGCTGCCACGATATCTGAGCAAAGCACCAAAAAAGACGCTACGGACTGCCGTGGCACTCAACTGTGGCCATCGGGTATTGAACACTCCGAGCCATAGCAGATGAGCCGTGCATGACGTTGAGCGGGGCCTGACCGTCAGTTAATTGTAGCCTGGACAGCGGGACATGCTTGTTGAAACAATGAATTCGACCACATGTTGGGTGGCAGGCTGACATCAGTACCTCAACCTGGACCTGTCGTGCTGCTCGTTGCTGATCGACAACCCGATACGGACGCGACTTGTTTATCTATCCAGTTTTTTGCCTGTCACAAAGTTGTTGATACCTGCGGAAGTAGCCAAGCAGCAGGTCAAGCTAGCGGACCTGATGAACCAACCATGCCGAAAGAGTCGGACGACGAGACACGAGACAGACACCGGGTACCCGGTTGGGTCTGTTGTTTGGCGTCTCAGCCACTTGTTCCGTCGTTTTCAGTCCCGCCATCTGTCCGTGTGTCTGTCTGTGTCATGTCTCACAGCCGTCAGTGTTGTTGTTTTGCAGAGGGGCGTGGCGCGGATACAGGCGGACGGGTAGACGAGCCGCCGGCATGGGCTTGGCACCATAGTAACTGGCTACACAACACGACATTGGCGGCAAGCTGGCAAAGGTGGAGTTGTTGATCGCGGTTTTTACATCGGGTGGCCCACCCGTCCGGCTCTCAAACGGTGGCAGTGAGGCTGTGTGTGAGTTACCCATGCTGCTTGTGTTCATGTGTTTGTGTTGTGGCACACCGTGCGTCTTGATCTGAACGCTTGCACACATCGAATAGAGCCAGACACTTAAAGTGTTCGTGTTCACACAACGCTTACCCAAAAACGTAATTCGTGGAATGCAGACCGCACCACTTGCGGTTATCAAAGGACCAGTGGCTACACGAACGTACGCAAGTCCGTTCCGCTACAAATATGGGGTGTTTGCCGTGTTGGTGTGGTGTTCTGACGCGGCTTGCGGGATCGCAAAGAATACGATAATATTGCCGCGGCAGCAATGCGCCACGGCACTGCCCCGAGTGCTTGGGTGTGCCAAAAGCTTGACCCCCCACCCACCCCGCGATTACCACAAGCTGTCATCAATGCGCGTTGCAGGGAGACTTATTCCAAGGTATCGTGTTGAAGAAGCCCAGCAAACCACAACCATAAACCATGCCAAACAAGCTCTCTTGTGTACTTGCGTCTGCAGTGTCACGCGGCGGACCAGGTTTGTCCCAGCCATTCCTCGAGGCTGGGAGGGAGAAGGGACAACTTGTGGGGTTTGGTGAACGAGGGTGTGACCCAGTTCTCTTCACACAGTTGCTGACCGCCGTCTCGGGGACGCCGTCGTGGGGAATGTCTACAGCCATAATTTGACGGGTGCGTTGTCGTTTCGCTGCCGTGGGCTTTGACATCGGCATGTCATCTCTGCTGGATTGACCCAGGACTGCAGCTCCCGGACATTGTGAGGCTCAAAGAATCGGAGGGGCCCTGTTCCGATACAGTACAGTTCACGCGTGACGTTGCGGTATGCTCCATGCTCCTCGCTTGTGACCCCCCCGTCCTCGGATCGTTGGCGTCGTTTCTACCATTTCGAAGCGTCCACTTTGGTCGGAAAGGAGTGTGACGGGCGTGACAATCCCGACTCCGACACCATCTGGGGTCGTTTGTACATGGAGTTCGCACTCTTGTCTCGGATCATTCAAATGCTGCTTAATCAGACCCACTCGTCGTCGTACTTCGCTCCACCACGTTCATGAACCTCTAAACCAGAAGCGACGCTGGTTCACCATCGTCCCGCTGTAACACTACTACTACGACGTTTCATGGGGTGGAGTACGATATCAGGCGGTAGTGAAGTGACAGTAGTGGCACGCTTGGTGTACCGAAGTGTCAGCTTGCTACCCGGCACTATGCGCAACACCATGTGTCTGACCCTTGTACTAATTTAGTACGAGACACGGGCTTGGAGGACCGGTTTGAGCTGAGCGAGGTGTGTGTAGTGCGGGTCTGTCTTCATCTGCACATATAGCCTCCTCTACAGTTGAACCGCGATCCAGTTGGGGAGTCCGAGTGTCCCCACTGCACCATAGTGGCGACTTTGTCTGACAGCCCAAGTATGCCGAGGTTTCGTTACGCAGACCCACTCGGGAGAATCATTTTGAAGCTCGCTAACAATTTTGCCTTGTGTCTTACCTGGGTGTTATCATCCTGAGGTTAAGAACTACGCCGACACCGGTCGTCCGCTGCGGAAATCAAAAGACCGATGTCGATACTAGATTGATTAGACATCGCAATAACGTGTACGGCCACCGACGGCGACCGTGATCCCCACTGAAACCTGGGCCCACTGGCAGGCCCTCCCTCTCCCTGCAATGGGACGCTTCCTAGCTTCCTCAGTCTCTGGCTTCTTAAGCGGCCGAGTCTGTCCCCATGCACGCATCCACGGCCACTGTGAAGGGTCACCAATGTCCGTCTGTCCGTTCGATTCCTGGGCGTGCACGGTGGCGTCCTGTAATGTCCGCACATTTAGGTGGCCGAACGGGGCCGTCGGACCTCCACCCGGCACTGATGCAGAGGAGCGCTTAGCGAGCGTTGTTTTCGCACTTTGCTCTTGCATATAACCATCTCCGAGCTAGTGGTGCGCGCAACCAACCTTGTTACAGACGAACGGCTTGAAATTCGTGCACTTTGTGGACAGAAATTTAACGACCCACGCCCGCCAAGAGAACGCCCAAACGACGCGTTCTGGGCCCATCGTGCGATTCGAGAACCCCTTTTGCCGGCTATTTGCTCCCAGCTCCGCACGGCTTCTGCGACCTCCACTTTGGACATCTTGTCATTCTCATCCCCACCAACAACGCCCCCGGCCATGCGACAGCGACCGCAGTCCTCGCCACCCGCAAGTCCCACAAAGCACACGATGGACGCGCCCCGCGTCGCCGTCGTCGGCTCAGGCCTCGCCGGTCTCGCCGCCGCGTACCTCCTTCGAAGGGAAGGTGCAGACGTGTGGCTGATTGAAAAGGTGCGTCATGTCTTGGCGTTGATTCAATCAAACCTGGGTGTCATGTTTCGAAGAACAGCTCGATACAGCATGTGCCATCCAGCTCTGTTTCAAAGCTCCTTCACGCAGCTGCAGCAGGACATGTGTTGACGCCATCACAGTCACAGCGTCTCGGATTCCATGCGTGGAGCATCGAGCTGGACAGGCCCGTGAGCGTCGAGGTGCACAAGGGCAAGGCCAACTTTCGTCGCAGTCCGAGCGCCAACTCTGGTCTCGTCGCCGACGTCGGCTGCGACGGCAGTCTCGGTCTCTCTGGCCTGGGCGCTACACCGACGGGGCTGTCTCTGTCGCCCACAACAGCACTGAAGGCGGCCCCATTGCCATCCCTCGTCGCTGCCAAGTCGGGCGCGACGAGCACAGGGCACAAGACGGCCGTCGACGTGCCCATGCGCTCGTTCCAAGGGGGCTACTACCCGCTCTTGATCGCGCTGTACACCCACCTCGGGCTTCCCTTGGCTCCTCAGCGTTTCACATTCAGCTTTTCGGCGCTGCGCACGCGCGGACACGCCCACGGACACGGCCACGCCGGCCGCGCGGCCCTGCGTCCAGCCGACACTTACTTTATCCACGCCGGCTCGTCTGGTGTCTCGCGCCCATCACTGCCCGGCCGCGCGTGGGCATCGCCACTGGCCCTGGTGCGCGCCGTGGTCGACTTTGTCGTGGTTGCCATATGCTACCTCGCGCTCCTTGTCACTGCCTTTTTGTCGTGGCACGGCCGCCTGCCCAAGGCATGGGGCAGTGACGCGACGTTCGCACAGGTGGTGGACGGGGTCGCGCACGTCCTCGACCGCCCCCACCGGTGGGTCCACACGCGTCTGGGACCCAGGTTCAAGGCGTTTGCAGCCGACATTGTCCTCCCGCTCTTCTCGGCCGTGGGCACCATGACCGCCGACGACGTGTGGGCTACCCCGGCGCACTATGTGCTCGACTACATCCACGCTGGTGCGGGCACGTCGCACTATGCTGTTGGTGGCGGCCGGAGCGCGCGCGATGTCGCCCAGTCGCTCGCTGCGCCTATCCGCGCGCAAGGGGACGACCATGTCCGTCTCGGCACGGCCATTCGCTCGATCCGCTACCGTGCCGCCACTGCCACTGTTGCCGCGGGCCTCACTCTCAGCCTGGACGGCGGCGACGAGCTCGACGTCGACCGTGTCGTGATTGCCACCCAGGCGAGCGCTGCGCGGGCTCTCCTTGCCGGTCTTGAGGCGAGTCTCGTTGTTGGCGGCGCACGCACCGAGGCTCGCCGCGTGGCACGGATGCGTACCGCCCTTGCCGAGGTGCGCTACCGCGACACGATCGTAGCCACGCATCGCGACGCCAGCGTCCTGCCTCACGCCTTGGATGTGCGAGACATCAACCTCGTCCAGCCGCAGGCGCACACACAGGTTGCGGGCGGCGCGACCGAGTCGACCGACATCAACATCTCCATCGACACGCCGCCACTCACGCCCACGCGCTCCCGCTCGGCCTCGAGCTCGCCGTGCCCGTCCCCGCCCAACCCGCCCGCGCAGCTCGCATCGGGTCCTGCCGGCATGGACGTGGACGTGGATGTGCTCGGCAGCGGCACGCCATACTTTTCGCCCACGGACGCAGTGTACACCATGGCCACTCACGTCATCGCCACGCCCACGGGTCCCGTGTACCAGACGACCAACCCCGTCGTCCCCATCGACTCGAGCAGCGTCCTCGGCGTCGCGAGATTGGAGCGCGCGCTTCCCCTGCGCGACGCTGCCAAGACGCTGGCGGGCCTCAGGCCGCCCAGTTCCCCCACCGCGTCGATGTCGGTGCTGCCGTCGTCGACATCCACAGACCACCCGCCCCAGCCCGCGCCCCTCATCCACCTCGCAGGCTCGTACGCGTACCCTGGCATCCCCCTGCTCGAGGGGTGCGTGGGCAGCGCGCGCCGCGCCGCCGAGGACATCTGTGGCCTCCCCGCCGCGGCGGCCGTGGGCGGCGTGGACTGGGACGCCGGCCGCGGGTCGGTGTGGGGCCGCGCGTGGCGGTGGCGACAGGCCAGGCGGGGTGGGTACTTCTGAGCAGAGCCGAGTGCCACGAGCGGAGCGAGTGCGGGGCGAGTGCGGTCGGTATGCTTGTCAGTGGAGGGTTTGTTGGGACGGCGTACGATCGTCGTTGGGGCTCGGTGGCGGGCGTGATCGGGATCGGGATCAGTCAGATAGAGACTGCGAGTGCGCGAGCCACTCGCCCACACCTGACGCCACGCTCATCACGCTCGTCACCCCTCAAAAACGCCAAACGCTGGGTGCTCGTGTCCGTCTGGCCCTGTGTGCGCCGAGCGCGTGGCGGCGCTCCGAGCTCAGCTGCGACCAGCCAGCCAGCACTGGCAGCGGAAACCGTCACAGCCACAAGGGGGTACACCTGTACACCTCGATACCGGAACGTCCCCCGCCGCCCAGACCGTCGCCTTCGCCGACCTCCATCATGCTCGACAGCGTGTCTGCCGTCTGTCCCGACCATCAACCAGTCTTTGCCTGCCTGCCTGCCTTCCACCTGTCTTCTTCTGTCATGTTCAATGTTTCTGGAACACCCCCAACCTGGTTCCTAGCCACTGTACGGCACCCCGGTATTCTCGGCACACACCGTCCCCCACTGGCAACCAACTGGTGCCAAATCGACATAATACACACACCAATCAAGCAAGATAGCATAGAACACGTAGAGACGGGAGAGTAAAGAGTAATTACGTCGCAGTCCCGATGATGACCATGTGGTAAATGTAGCTTTTTTGACGGGTGCCATCTCCACAGGAGAATAGGGGGTGAGGAAGAGAGATAAAATGGAGAACGATAGACCTGGGTTTATGGGCAGCGCAGCGCAGCGCGAGCAGCGAGCGAGCAAAGCAACAAAGCCAGCCAGCAAACGCACGCACGCACACACACACGCTGCCCGGACGGCACCTGTGCCGCCCAAGCGAGGGAGCGAAAAGAAAAGAAAAGGGGGGAACGTAATCGGACATAAAAAAGGAGAGAAAACACGAGCCAGTGTGCATGCAGGGTTGATGGGGCGTGGGTGGCCGTGGACGTGACTCGGACCTGCCGCTGGTGGTGCCCGCGCAGCGAGCGGTCGGCGATCAGGAGAAGGGTGGGGAGAGTGCGAGAAGGGGAAACGACAAGGCGAGGGCGAGGGCGAGGGTGTGGTGTGGAAACAAAAACGAAACGCGAACAGACGGCGCGAGCGCGTCAAGTGCTAGCGGCCATCGAACGGCGCGTTACCGCCCCGACCACACCACGGGTGTCCCTATGCTTTTGGCTCTTGCGCCTAGTGGTGCGAGCGGCCGTGGTGGGCGCCACGGTAGATGTGGCGCTTGACGGCCGAGGTGGACGCGGCGACGCGAGCGGCGTTCTGGGCGGCGGCGAGGGCGGCGTTGTACGTGTCGAGGGCGCCGTCGTCCTCGGTCTCGTCGACCTCGACGACCTCGTCGAGGGTCCACTTCTGGTTGTCGTTGTAGTCGAGGCACTTCCAGACCTGGACCTCGGCGCCGACCTGGGCGGTGCCGTTGATGAGGTCGAGGCAGTAGTCGGTGCTGGCCCACTGGATGGTGTAGTTGCCCAGGACGTCGGCGGTGACGGTGCCGTTGGTGTCGGTGGTGTTGGACTGGGCGATAAAGTCAAACGCCTGGTGGGTGTTGCACGAGTAGCAGCCCCAGACCTGGGCGAGGGTGCCGTTCGAGAAGACGCCGTCGGTGACGTCGACACAGAGACCGCTGTCCATGTTGCGCACCTTGCCGTTCTTGGTGTTGTGGCGGAACACGGTGGTGTTGTCGGAGCAGTCGGCGAGGACGAGGGTGGCGCCGTTGGTGCTGTTGCTGGGCGCGAGGCACAGCCCCGGAGCGAGAGCCGGCGAGATGGTGTAAGTAGTCATGGTGGTCGACGCCGCGTCCGAGACCGAGGCCGACGAGGCAGTGGCGGTGTGCGAGGCGTGGTGCGACTTCTGCGGGGGGGACAGCTGTTAGCGACGGGCCGCGACAGCGACGAGGCGAGGACTGCAGTAATAATGTGATGGGCCGCACAGGTCTCTATTTCTGTGGGCCCACCAGCAGCACCGCAATCCGACGACGTCTGCAAAGACAGACTTACAGCGAGGGCCGAGGGGGCGAGGGCGACGAGCGCGAGGGCGGCGGTGTGGGCGAGCATTGTTGTTGTGGATAAAGGAGGGGTTCAAGGAGTGTCGTTAAAGAATGTGGGTAGGTGTAAGAGAGAGTCGTCGAGACGTAGAGGACGTGGGGGGACCTGGCGGAGAGAAAGAGACAAGAGACAAGAGGGGATGGGCGAAAGCAGGATCAAAGCGTTTAGAGTGACTCCATACGGTGTGCGTGAGGGTCGACCGGCGGGGTGTGAGGCCACACGGCCACACGAGGGTTGGACCACGGGCCACGGGGGTGTGGGTGGTGGGTTGGTTGGCGGCAGGGTGCTGGCCAGTTTGTTGTTGCCCGTCCTGGCCTGTCCTGCATGTCCTGCGCAGGTGAGCGCAGCAGCACTGGCAGCAATGGCAGCAATAGCATCCAGCATCCACAGGCCAGAGGCATCAGACGCGTCGGCCCAACGCAGTGGAATGGTCAGGGCAGCGGAATGCCCCCCAGGTAGAGAGTCTCCCTGGCTGGCGCGGGTGCCGCCTGCCGCCTATACGCCTATACGCGCGCTGGACCCAAAGGCCCAAAGTTGGCCCACGGGGAGGCGTTGAAACGAGCAAAACGTGTTCCCTATACACGCCTCTGCGCGGTGTGGCCCTCGCGCGTGTGCTGCGTCTCCCCAGACTGCGCCAGGACAGCGCACATTGAGTTTGGGCCGTGACGTCGGCGGCAACCAGAAGAAGAGAATGGGCGAGAGACGAGTGCATCGCTCTGTGCAGCGTTAGAAGCGTGTCAGTATCGAGTTGTAGTGAGAGAGATGCGAGAGCGGCGACGACGACGACGGAAGACGCGTCTCCCCCGAAACTGCGTCCGTCGCGGGCAGGGCCCGGATATGGTCCTGGCCAACGTCCTGGCTCGTCCCTGGTCAAAGACCTACATATAGGCACATCTGTCCATCTCTCTCTCTCTCTCTCTCTGTGCAGCCCAAATACACCTGCACGCGGATGCGCGCGATGCATGCACATGGGCCATGGGCAAGAAAACTTATCAGCCGAGTTTGTTGGTCCCCCAGAAGCCATACGTCCTGGCAGAAGGAACGGGGGGCAGAGATCTGTCTCGGGTGGGCCCTCCCAATTATAGAAACGGCTCTGACGGACATAAGCATGACGACGCGTTCATGCGCACCAGTTTAACCAGTTTCCCCAAGTGCAGGCACACCCACGCCGCAGTTTGCCTTACGCGGTGTGCTGTTTCGCGACGCGTCCCATTCCAATTCAAAAGCGACATCCGCGCTATTTGCCACCAAAAACACAAGGCGCGCGCACAAGAGGCCAAGAGGCCAAGCAGACCCGCCTTTCCATAATGTTCATATTGTGGTGTGTGCCCCCGCAAAGCAAGCGGTCCGAGGTCGCGTGCAACCAAAATTAAAGTGTGCGCAAGTGTGCAACGCCTATGCAATGTAATGGGTTCTTCCGCACGCGCTGCCGTGGAGCCGCCCCCTTGGCACTCATGGAACACAGAGCATTCCAGTGCGCATGGTTCTCGTCTCGTTGCCACCTGACGACCGGGATCCGCCAACTCTCATGTTCCTCTCTATATTACTCTCTCTCTCTCTCTCTCTTGCTTATCGTGCTCACGCATCCATCCCTCGCGCAGCTCAGGTAGCCGCAGCAACCAGCAAGCAAACAGCAGGTAGCAAGCGCAGGCGCACGCTCCTCCAGGGATATCGATCTGCCGGGCGACCAAGAGTTACCAGGAGACTGCAGTGCCAAGCACCTGGCCACCTGTGCACCTGGGTGTCGCACAGTGTTACCGTGTTGGCCCCTTTTGCTTCCTACACAGGTGAGTGAGCGAGCTGGCTCTTTTTGCTCTCGGTGCCCCCCGCCTTTTGGTCCTTGCTCTCCTTCTTGCTCTCTCCTCTTCCTATGGCTCTGCACTGGACGTACGCTCGGACCGCGTTGTGACACTGTGGCGTCCGGGAGGCTTTTGCGACATTAGTGTGTGCACAGCTCTTCCCGCCAGCGCAGCCTGCATCAGTAGTAGCAACGACTGCTGCTGCTGCTATGGAGTGACGCATGCTCGCTCCATCTCTACTATACAGCAGGTGCTGTTGCGGCAATCACACACGCACCATGCCATCTCTCTCTCATCCCCACGGCCACCTGTGTGTGCATGCCCACCCCTCTTCGCTCCGTTCTCACCATGCCCGCATGCCTGCACGCCACACTAGAGCCGTGCCGTGGAGCGAGCGTCCAGCCATTGGCGCCGCACTGACCGCCGCCGCCGTCGCTGTCTGGGCAACAACCCCCAAACAGCGACAGCTGTTGCCAGAGACCGGTGCAGGCCCAGCCCGCCCCCTCGCCCGTCGATTCTCATCTGTGTCAATCCCTCGTCTTGCTTCTCTTTTTCCCGTTTGCAACACTCCACTAACAGGCTGGTCCAGTTTTTTTGCACTCCCCCCCTCCCCCTCCATCACTCCTCCTCCCCCGTACAGCCTTGACGGCACGGTCTACCACACCAGCGCAGGCGCTCGGATCTCCATCCTCCTATACTCTACTCTTTCTACTAGTTCCACCAGCCCCCTCATCAATCGACCACACGAGCTCAATAATCAACAACAACCGCTACACCCCCAACCCTCGATTCTTGATCTTCTCGTGTTTACTCGTGGATTCCTAGAAGGAACTCCCCTCCTACCTCCATCAACAACAACCACCACCTTATAACAACAGCACCCCATAATGTCTCCTGAGCCCTTTGGTTCCTTTGGTTGGATCTGTGAGTAACAAACAACAAACAAGTCGCCACCCCCGACTCCCACACCCACTGACGCCATCCGCAGGCCGCCACACCACACTGCCGCAGTGCAACCTCTTGTTCACTCAAAAGTGGAACAACGGCAGCGACGTGACGGCCCTCTTCCCATCAACCTCGGACTTCTTTGCTCGCTACAATGTGGTGCGTGCTGATCCAGGATCACTTGGGCTCATATCCCCGTTTGTTTGGCTGATGGGAAACCCCACCACACAGACGAGCACAAGCCTCTTTGACGACACCAACGTCCAGCTCGCCCGTCTGCAGGCTGGCAATGGTTTTGGCGCCATGTGCGAGATCCCACACGTCGGCCAGCGCGGAAGTGTCGGTGATGTCGGTGAGTGCTGGCGAAATGGTCGCCAGAACGGAAAGAAGGAATGACCAACAAACACCCCCTCGCAGTCCTCGTCGTCATGTCCTTCCTCTCGATCCTCCTCTGTGCCGGCCTCGTCTACTACTCGCGCCACCGCAAGGCCGCCGTCGGCCGGTTGGAAATGGCCATCTTCCTCGGAGTGGGTAAAGACCACGCCGTCGCAAGCTAACCCGCACAGGGCTTTGCGCTCTTCTCTGCTCTCCAGGCCGTGACCATGAGCTCCATGCTCGAACAGGGCGGACAGGCGCTCACGATCCTGTCTGCTATCGAATGCGGCATGATTGCGGGTCTCGGATGGCTCCTCTTGGGTAACGCGCTGGTCGCGACCCAGCTAGTCGAGTGAGTTGTGCTCGTCCGCGCGGGGACTCGACTGACCCAAACCCTCTACCTCCAGAGACGCCACCATCTCGTCACTCCTGCCTACCATTGGTCTCGCGGTCATCACCTTTGCCGGAACACTGTACATCTCCCTGGCCACAGGCTTTGGGTATGAGTCGGTGTTTGACGTGCACGACGCGACCACCCTCAAGAGCACCCCGCTGTTTGTCCTCACGCTCATCTGGCCCGCCGCCGCCGTCGTCTTCTACATCATCGCCATGGTTTGGGTCATCTTTGACCTCGACGAGCTGAACCCTGCCAGTGAGTTTAAACACCGGGGATTGCGTACAAAATTGACACTTGTCTCAGTCTGCCTCGGCGCCGCGACGGCCATCTTTGCCGCTGGCCAGGTCGTCTTCTTCCTCGCCAACGAGCCCCTGTGCAAGGCCGCAAGCGGCAAGGTCAACGCCACGTTTATTACCGCTATCACTAACAACGCCGCCATTGTCATCATCTTCTTCATGTGGAACGTGAGTGGAGAAACAAAACACCGGCTAGCACGCAACATGCAACTGACACTTTGTTTCCAGCTCATCACAGAAGGCGAATGGTTTGACGACTTTTATTAAGGACACACGCCAAGAATCGGATTCCCATAGTTTCTCTTTCTCGGTCCAGACGATAGATGGCGTCTATGAGCGCACGGTGTACTATGCATATTACTTGGTTGCTGCAGCTAGGTGCCAGAGGAGGAGGTTAATCGTTGGGACGGGGATGGATGTGTGAGGTCGCCACGCACGGAAGCAAATATCCGAATGTTGATTGACCACATGGCCTTGGCCACTTGGCCACCTGCGGCCTCTACCACCATCAACACATCCACTCACACACCCAGCGGCCAGCGGCAAACAAAGCCCATTACATCCCACGTCTGCCACGCACTAGCGGGCAGTTGCGGCTACAACAACAACAAGGCGACCCCCACCCACGCCGGGCCAGTTACCGCTCCCTGCGCGCGCGCCGCCCGTCCAACTCGCAAGCGCAATGTCCGACGGCGCGTACAACGGCTTTCCGCCGTCCAACGGCGACCCGGGCCCGTCCTCTGCGGCATTTTCGCTCAACTCGCCGCACGTCGGCGCCGTAGATGGCGGGTTTGGCGGTGGCGAAGAGGGCGGGCGAGGACGAGGCCGAGGACGCGGCCGCGGCCGGGGACGAGGTCGCGGGCGGGGTACCGGTCGTGGCCGCGGTCGCGGCGCGGGCAGCAGCGGGCGTGCGAGCTCGCGCCTGTCGCAGCGTGCAGCGGCGTCGTCGGGCCCCACCAAGCTCAAGATCAGCTTCAAGGCCGGCGAGGCTGCTGGCGGGCGGCACACGTCCTTTCTCGGCGAGTACGACCGCGAGCTGGACGAGCAGCCCGACGAGCCGCTGGCGTTTGAGGAGCAGTTCATCCTCCGCGTCCCGCCGCACGTCGCCGATGGCGGCAAGGGCAGCGACGGTGGGCTGCGCGACCTCGTGCGCGGAAAGGGGCGGGGGCTCGACGGCGTAGAGTTCAAGTTTCTCGACCCGCGCCGCGGCGTGTTCAAGATTGGCAACACTAGCTATGCGACCAAGCTCGTCGACCTGCCGTGTATTGTCGAGTCGCAGAAGACGGCCGACTCGCGGCACTTGTTCAAAGTGGCCGACATTTCGCAAATGCTCATCGTCGGCGACCCCGTCACGAGCGAATCGGCCATCACGGCGTCCCCGCTCAACGTCGACGACTATATCTGGCAACACGGCATCACCCCGCCGATGCGGTATGCGCGTAAACGGCGGTTCCGCAAGCGCCTGTCCCGCCGCACCATCGAGGTGGTTGAGGAGCAAGTGGAGGAGCTGTTGAAAAAGGACGAAGAGGCCGACGAGTGCACGTTTGACCTCATCGACCAGAACCCCGACCCGGACGCGCCCGACAGCTACTACATCAACTGGACGCCCGAGGACCAGTACTATGGCCAGTGGGACGGCACCGACGCCGGGTCCGAGGCGTACGACGACCCGGGCACCGCCGGCGCCGACTGGTACGAAGGCGACGGATACGGCGAGGGCGAGGAAGGCGGCGAGTTTGAAGAGGGCGAAGAGGGGGACGGCGACGAAGACGACGTGCTCGACGAAGACCTCCAGGCCGCGCTCATGGAGAAGATGGAGCAGTCCGATGCGTCGGGTTCCGACGACGACCTGTCGGGAACAGACGAAGACGACGACGACGACGATGGCGGCGCCTCGGACCAAGAAGACGAGGACGAGGACGAGGAGACGACCGAAAAGCGCGCCAAGATCAAGCAGTACACCTCGGAAATCAAGCAGCTCGAGACTCTTATCGACAAGAAGCGCGCAGGGTTCACGGGCGGCAACCCCATCATTACAAAACGTTTCGAGGAGACCATCAAGGGCCTGCAAGACGACGTCAACACAAAGGTCGCCGCGCGCCAGGCGCTGCTCGACGCCATCGAAAAGGACGCGTCGGATGCCCGCGCCGCCAAGGAGGCCGAGGAACTGGCCCTGGCCCCGCCGGTCGCCACGCCGGCGCCCGAGGGCGCCGATGCCGATGCCGATGCGGACGCCGATGCGGAAGCAGACGACCTGTTCGATGACGGCGAGGACGCAGAGTTTGACGCCACGCCAGCCGTCACGCCCATGCCTACGCCCGGTGTCACCGCCGCCACACCCCTGCCCGAGGGCGAGTCGCCCGCCGTTGCCGACGACGAGTCGGACGAGGACGACCTGTTTGGCGACGACCTCGAAGACGACGGCGACGTCGACATGCCCCAGGCCCCGCCGCCGGCCGGAAACGACGACGAGGACGACGAAGAGGAGGAGGAAGGCGACGTCACGATGGAGGACGACGAGATGGACGAGATGGCCGCCCTCCTCGCCGCCGAGCTGGGCAACGCGGACCTGGGCGGCGGCGCGCCCGACGACGGGGGTGTCGGCGACGGTGCCGGCGAAGGAGAGGGTGGCGGCGTCGACGCGGACGCGCTGGCCGCCACGGCTGCGCTGGACGAGTACGCGCACACGGCCGAAGGAGCGGGCTTTACGGGCGTCGCGGCCCAGCCACCACCCATGCCCCAGCAAGTGGTGCAGTTTGGCGTCGAGGGCGGCGTGGGCATGCGCCGTCTCGCCAGTGGCGTGGTGCCAGATGACGACGACGACGATAGCAGCGGCAGCGACGACAGTGACTAGTGCGCCCGTGGCAGTGTTGTACATGAGATGCAGGCGTATGGTGGTAGTACGAGTGGTGGCAGGGCAGATGGTGGCACGTTGCGATGCACGACGGTTTGTGTGGCACCGCGGTCAGCAAGCGGCGAGCCGCGGGGACATTGGCCTCCAGCCGCTGGTCCGCTGAGCGTGAGCTCGATAACTGACGTTGGTGTTGCCATGGGGTTGCAGCTGGCCACAGACACTGCAAAAAGTCTTTAACATACAACGCGCTGCACTCTCAGCAGTCGCAGCGGCTCTAACCCCGCTTGTCGCTCGGGGATGCTCTGCCTAGGCACGAAAAAGGCAACGGTGGTTTCCAGTCACACTATGTGCTGATCCTGCGCAGTGCATCGGTGGAGTGGCATTGGACTTCAATCTCTGGTGGTCATGCACATGGAGATCTGCTGATAACAGTGGTCATAGCCCCAGCGACATGCAGGGCACAGGCTGTGGCAACTGCTGATAACAGCGGCAAGGAGGTCAGTCTAACACACTCGGAAAGCAGCAAAGTGCCCATGAGGCCACGGTTTTGCTCTTTTGTCATGCAGGTGTGATCGCATCCCACGATCTGGTACATCGCCCGCGGCCCTCTACACCACGCCCCTTCTCTCGAACACGCCGAGGGCCTATCGTCGACAACGGAAAAAGCAGGTCGGCCGTTTGCCATTAAAGTCGACAAGTTGGTTCCCCGACTAAAAAAGTGTGGTCGAGATTTTTAGAAGCGGAGCTTGGAGAAGAACCAGCGGTTGGCGCCCTTGGCGTAGCGCTCCTCGAAGGCCTTCTTGATGGCCTTCTTGGACTCGACACGCTGGGTGGGCTCCTTGAAGGTGTCGTTGGTGACGGCACCCTTGAGCGACTCGAGCTCGAGGACGTAACGGGTGGGGAGGAGGTGCGAGTAGTTGACAACCTTGATGAAAGGCTTGACCTTGCTGCGCTTGGCAACCTTCTTCTTGCCCATCGACTTGGTGACCTTCAGGGGGTAACTGGAGGCGGGGCATCAGCTGGCTGTTCCGCCGCATGGATGCAGAGGGTGAGAGAGGAGTGCAGGCGAGGCTTGCTCGTTTGCTCGTTTGGGCACACGCCACGCGGGAGATTTCTTCGACCTTGAAATTCCTTGGTCTCGCCAGACCTCAAGACCTTGCCATGCCCGTACGCAGCCATCTCCATCTGCGTACGCTGGCTACGCTTCTCCTGTGCGCTGGTTACGCTTCTCCTGCGTGCTCTGGCCAACGCTGCCCCTCGCCGATCCTCCCTCTCCCACTCTTTCTGGTCGACTCACCGCTCAATGCCGGCAACGATGGCGTGGGGGTAAGGACGCTCCTTGGTGCCCTCGTCACGCTGCTGGATGACGACTACCTTCTTGCCCGCCTGGCTTCACGTCGTCAGCAGCGACTCATGGACAACAGAAGGTACTCACCGGCCGTTGAGGACGACAGCGACCTTTCCGGGCTTGTAGATCTTGACCCTCGAAGGTTGTCAGCACGGCGTCCCATTCTTTCGCAACAACGCCTCGGATCTGGCGAGGGAGCGGTTCCCGACGTATCGCGCAGTCCGTTGTCGTCGGCGAGCTGCACACTCACATTTTGACGATGTGTTTTGAGGGTTAGGAGGTCGACGAGGTCAAGAAGTGTGAAGATGTGTGCCGCCTGCCAGCGGCGGGTGGGTGCACACCCAGGCGGGGCCGTCCTGCCTAGCGGAACCAATTTTTGAGCCACCTCGATTTCGCGGCCAGTTTGACCATCACCCGAGTCCAACCCGGAAACGCCGACAGTCGGAATATCAGAAACGCCGATGTGGCACTTGGACACCGAGCACCTGCATAGGCGACTGGCTGGCGACTGGTACTCAATCTTTCGTAGTTCCCCGTTGAAGCAATGCATGATCGATCACAAGCTGCATTAACGCTGCGTACGTGTCAGACTGCCCCACAGTGCATGGGGCATAGATTGATCAGCGCCTATCAGCGATGAGCCTCCATAGTGGTGTAGCCGGTGTAGACCCCTCCCCCGTGGCACACTTTGTGGCCTCGTTGGGTGGCGACGGAAGCAAACCAATAAACACACTATGTGGCATTTCCCAGTTCCACTGGGTGCGGTTTCGCCCCGTTACGTGTATCTCATGCACCCTGCCGCCTGTTCCCTCTAGGCCTTCAGCACGCACCATCGACAGCTGTCGCTAGAGAAAAACTGATGGATACGTATACGTACTGATGCACAGATGCTGTTTATCCTCGCATGGTTTGTTCGTGGGCTACAGATGTTGTGCCCGAGTGGTCCTGCGGGCTTGGATCCGGCCGACCTGCGTGAAGCCTCTTCGTCCTCTGCATGGCGCCATCCGGTGCACCTTCTATTGCTTCCTCCTCGTGCCCTCACAGAAGCCATTCAGCTGGCTGGTGACCCGTTTTGGAGGACGCTACCGTGTGCTTTCATGGTATCCGACCTTTCTACAGCTCCAAGCCTGTGGTTTTCACTTCGAAATTTAATGAAAATGACCGTGTGGCAACGAGAAATCAGGAAAATGAGCCAAAATTCCGAGGCTTCAGAGTTGTTGCGCCACGCGGAGGCACAAATACGTCGTTTGGTTGCATCTCACACCCCAGTGCTGCTGGATCCTTGCGGAGCAATACATATCTACGCTCTCTACACACATTCATAAAGGGTCTTGACAGCTTGATGCTCTCGCAACCGGAAGAGAACTCGTCACACCTGTAAATACATATTTGGTGTCGAGGCCTGCGTGTACAAACATGAACCCCCTTGTACTCCCTAATCCGAGCTCTACTGATTGTAATGTCCGTCCCTGCAACCTCCTGCCACTTCCCTGCTCTGAGTCGTCACCTGCGTACTCCTCAGAGGAGTCGTCGGCGGCGGACAGCACTGCGTCAGGCTGTGACTCCGACTCGGGCGTCTTGGCTTTGCGCTTTCGAGTCTGCTTCTGCTTGGGATTAGGCTTAGGCTTAGGCTTTGCCTTTGCCTTGCCCTTGCCCTTGGCAGGGGCCTTGAGCTTGGGCTCGTCGTCTTCATCTTCGTCTTGCTCGTCCTCGCTCTCCTTTGCACGCAATCCCTTGCCCTCCGCGTAGTAATGGACGGGCAGCTTCTTGTTCTGCAAGGTAAGCCAGGTCCTATTGCAGTGGCGGTGCTGTTGAATAAGACACGTACGTGATCGAGACCGAGGAGCACCTTGAGCTTGTCGGGGCCGATTTGTCTGGACTTGCCGAAGAGGTCGACCTCTTGCAGACGCGCAATGAGCTTTTTCCTCGGCCAGTCCTTGTAGTCCGAGACCGGCTTGGCCTGTCGGTAGTGTCAGAATTCAACAACGGTTGATGAAGGGGAACACTCACCTCTGCCCTTGCCAGCATCCACACCATGTCGTTGGTGTTGTATGTGTTGCGGATGCCAGCCGCGACACAGAGCTTGTATGCCTTGGAATCAGTCTCCTGAGTGTGGATGAATACGTACCGGTCCCTTGCCCTTGGCCGAGCATCCCGCGATATCGGCAGGTGGGACGCTCTTGACGAATTCGTCAACATCGACATAGTCGTCGATGCTGGCGAAGGTCGTCGGGCTTGCAAGCGCGGTTCCGTCCTCCTTCAAGTAGGCGGCTTTGTCGAGGCTGCCGGCCTTTCCGGTCAATACTCATTATAGGCTCGAAAAGGGGAGGAGGGACTCACGAAATGGTCTTCGAGCTTTCGCAGGAGGATGGGGAACGGGATTCCCTTACCGCTGAAGGCACCGGTCTCCTTGCCGAGTTTCAGCATTGTTGAAATGCTCATGGCGTGGGCGTTGGGTACCTGCAGCCAAGTCAGTCTCGTTCTGCGACCTCCGCTCGCCCAGCTTACACTCTTCTCCTCGAGCAGCTCGACCATCTCCTGGCGACTGTAGTCGCAGCGGATCTTCTTGGCGCGACAGATCGCCCAGAGCTCATCGAACGAGACCTCGCGAGGTGCGTCCGGGAAGAGGACAATGCGCTCGTACCTAGTGTCGTCAGTCAGAGAACTTGGCAGTGCGTGCGCGACCGATCCGTTCATACCTACGAGCTGGTACCGTTGAGGCGGTACGCCTCCGCGGTGGCCGGAACCAAGCTGAACTCCTTGACAAGCTCGACACGCTCGAGGTCGAGAACGTCCACGACGCGGTCGACGATGCGCTGGCAGTCGTCACGCGCGCCGCGGACGAGGGCGAGCAGGGAGGGGAGCCTCATGGTCCTAACGAGAAAGTTGGCCTGGCGCAGCTCGACGCGCACTGTCATGCGCGATGGGTCGAACTCGTCAAGGCTGCTTGGGTAAGGGGTGAGGAAGCCGGTGGCGAAGGCGACCCGGTGGATACTGTGGGCCAAGAGAGTCGGGGCAAGAACATCGTGCGGGCCGGTGAAACCAAACTTGAGACCCGTCAGCTGGTCCTTGTATCCCCACTTGGCAAAGTGGTGGCACCAAACGAAGATGACAGTGAGGGGGGGAAAGCCTTCGGTGGGGATGCGCATGCGGTCACATGCCGCCATTGCATGCTTGAAGACGGCGAGAGCAAAGAGAAGCGTGTCGTGGGTGCTGGTATTGGTAGCCCACCACACGGTGGGGAAGCCGTCGTCATTGCGGAGGAATGTAACACCATCACAGGTGGTCTCATACTCCTTAGTCAGAGCAACAAAGGTCGCGACGTAAGGGTAGAGGTGGTCGAGGACGCGCTCCTGGAATGTAAGTGCCTTGATGTATCCCTCTGAAATGACTTGGAGGTCAGGCGGTGTAGCATATTCGACGCCAGCGTCGACGTATGGGGCCCAACCGTTCAGGTCGACGACGGTGGGGTTGAACAGCTCTTCGAGCTTGGTGCTGTCCTCGACGGCTTGCGTTCGGGCCGCGATAGAGAGGGTGGGAGAGGAGGCGTTCCAGTAGGCGGAGTTGATGGGCTTGAGGGCGCGGATGAGCTTCTCAAGGACAGCCAGCAGCATCTCGCGGTGTTTCGCAGGCAGCGTCTCGTCGTGGTTGACCGAAATGGCCGTCTCGACGAATTGCACGGTCAAAGGATGGGTTCGGACCTTGCCAATGTTCTCAGCGGCCGGGATGAGCTGTAGCTCGAGCGGATGGTGGAAAGGGAATGTCGACACCTTGGCGTCGCCGCCCTCGTCGTCCTCGTCCTTGAGCTCGAAGAGGGGGTGCTCGATGTCCACCGACATCTTCATCCGGACCATACGATCATGGAAACAGTTGAAGGGCTGGAAAGCGGCAGGAATACGCTCAACGGGGGCGATGAGCTCAAGGTCCGTGGCCGCAAAGACCTCGGGGTTTACCTCAATGTCGCCTGTGACAACAAAACGCTCAATCTCTGCGTGCAAGCCCGGGCTCCAAAAGATCGACTCGGCAATGACACCCCTCAGCAGTGGAAGCTGGTAGACCTTTAAAACCTGTCAGTGGTTGATCTCGCAAGCGTGCGTCTGGAGAACTGCCTTAACTCACTTGCTCCGGAGTCGGGAAGGGCCAGGGCACCTCGAAATCTTCGAGGGAGTCGTCGGCAGTGGCCTCGACATAGTCCTTGTGGTTGCCCTTGCGTCCCAGACCCTGGCTCTCTTGGAAGTGTCGCAGGTCTCGCTGCTTGCTGATCTTGAGAGAAAGCTCAAGGTGGTTGGCGTGGACCTCGATGAGCATGCGCTCGTCGATGAAGCACGACATGCAGAGATGAGAAGGCCAAAAGGCCTTGCAGACGACGAGGTTACCCTCGAGGAAGAAGTGGGGAAAGGGGGACTTGCGCCTGAGCTCCTCGTGGCGCGGGCCGCGGCATGGGTGAGACCCCTTCTCACAATGTTGGTGTGGCATTGCGTTCCAGTCCCACGCCGAGTGGCCCGAAGGGAGAGTCAGACTGACGACGTTTTGAACGTTGCGGTCCAAGTTGGTGTCGTCGGGGAGGATGGGTGAGCCGACAGCATCGGCGGCGAAAGTCGAGAGATCAGCACGCAGATCGCATGTAGATGGGCCAGCGGCCATGATGGTGCTGGTGGGAGTGGGTGGCGGTGGGTCGGGGACAGTAGCCCAAGACAGTGTTGACGGTTGAGTCTGTGGCGCATCAGCGAAGCTCTCATGGGGGGTACAGTGAGATGTGGGAAAAGCAGTGCAAGGTGATGGTTGCTCTTTTATGGTGTTGGGGGGGAGGGGGGACAGCGAAAGGCGGGGGCGCAGGCAACGTGTCTGCCCAGCAGCCAGCCGGGTCCGTGGCTGTTGTGTTGGGCCACGTCCAGAGAGACACTCACGGGGTCTATGGGAATGGGGGGTGACAAAGGTAAATAAAGAGATGACGAGGTGGACATAGTTATCTCAGTTAAGTTGAGAGTTGAGAGAGATGGGAATGTGTCTGACGACGAATAAATAAGGAAACTGGGGAAGAAGAAGAAGCAGAAATAAGAAGCAGAGAAGCCCCCGTCTCCGCTCATCATTATACAAGGATTAACCTCCGTTTTCACAGCAGAGTGGGCGACGAGTGGACAGTCGCACAGCATGGGAGACAGTAATGGTGGAGTATTTTGACAATAATTAGGATACATAGTTTGGCACGAATAATATTGAGTTTTTGGGTGACACATGTCGCTGTTCAGACCCGGATATATGTGCAAACTCTGGCTTCAAAGATAAGAGAAGGGTTTAATAAACGACAAAACGCCGACAGTTCACGCTGCAGTCCAGTTGCTACCCTTGTGCGCTTTAACCAGGTCTAGCCTGCTACGTCGTCTGGTCGGGAAAAAAGAGCTCCACGATTGAAGATAACACTGGAATGTTGGTGCGGCACTAGCTTGCCGCTTCCGGACTGACCCTCTGTAGATCTGCAGTCGCTACAGCGGTGCCGCGCAACCGAGTGACTAGGCATCGATCTCACGAGCCCACTACAACGCACACATCGCATACGCATGCGTGCTGCTGTATAGCACCTGCGGGGAGCTTGCTGCTGCACAGGGGACTCTGCACTCTGTGTGACTTCACATGCGGTCTCGATTTCCCGATCGGCGATGAGGACGAGGCCCCCGCCATCAACCAGCACGAGGCCCCTCCCTGTACAGCATGTACAGATCCAAGCCCCATGCGCGCGTCACGCGCTTTGTCTCTCACGCAGCTTCCCACACACAACCGCATGCCCGAAGATGCATGTAAACAAAGAGGTTGGCCGCATATCGCATATATCGCATGCACCACGCGTCATAGGCACGCACGGCCAGGCGCGGGTGGGTGGAGACCCCAGGCCCCGTTGGTGGGGGTCTCCAATTTAGGCGCCGCCAGCCGAGAGACACGCACTGTGTGGGCGGACGTCACTGAGCGCAACTGACGCCACCGCACGCACACACCGAGAGCCGCTCTGCCCGCTATCATCCGGGGGCTGTCGCTCGTAACGCTCTCATCCTCATCCTCCCATTCAAACAACTCTCTCTGCTGTTTCACACAATCGTGCTACTCGCAACAACCCACTCTCATCTCCAGCCGGCTCTGGAGATCATCACATCGACACACAGCTTCCCACCACACCGACGACGTCGACCCTCTGCTCCACAGCCCAATCCACTCGCTACTCATTCGAAGCACAACCCAACCCCCCAACACACTGGGCGCGCGGCCGATCCATTGAACCCCCGCGCGATGCCCCTTGTGTGCGCATAGTTTGAGACGTTCTCCATCCCATGACAGCGCCCAGCAGCCAGGTGCGCGCATCGTCGCTCGCCACGGCAGTTGGCCGCACCGGCGGCGGCGCCGGCAGCAGCGGCGGTGGACTCGAGTCGTCATCTCGCCGTTCATCTACCCCGGGCCAACCAGGTTCTGGAACCACGCCCGCCACCGCCGCCACCGGCCCCGCTGTTGACCTGGCAAGCTCGTCTGCTGCCAGTTCCCAAATGGCGAGCGCGAGCGCGAGCGGCTCGCCATCGCGCTCCGACCAGATCGTGTACCGCTTCTACCTCAAGACGGTGGGCGTGCTCGTCGACGGGCGTGTGACGCACATTGGCGGCGTCCAGGACAAGAAGGACCGATGGTTCAACATTACCATCCCAGATACGGACGTGCACAAGGGAGACTTGACCATCTACCGCTCCATTTCGGCGTACCCGCCTTTACCTCGAGCTCCTCCCGGCGAGGGGACAAGTAGGAGCACTATTCCTCCACTCCTTATCGCCTTTATTCTCGACACGAATGACATTCCGGCCGGCCAAACGCTCATGTGGAGTCGGGATGGCGTGCGAGTCTCACTGGACCCATGTCGCGGTCATGCGCCGACGGCGGGGGCCAAGCGACCTGGCATCGTTCTCGAGCAGTGGACGTTTCGCGTGACGTAAGAACTCCCCCGACTGCATACCCACTTTGCGTGGCTGACCCTCTCTCTTCAGCGACGTTGCAGCAAGCGTTCCCACTGGCTCAGAGATGGCGCCTCCTACAGCCTACAGGCTTGGTATCATCCATTTCCGAGCACTGTACGCGTTCATCCGCCTCCTGCCAGCCTACCGACTCTTTCGCCGACTGCGGCGTCTCAACACGGGTCTCCGGCTGGGAATCAAGCTGTGGGGACCCGAGGGATATGCCACCAACACCCCTGCGGGGCTGGCCGAAGCGTGGGACATTATTGAGCGAGGTCTCGTCGGTATCAATGTCCCACTGGAGCACATGACCGCCGAGGCGGACACGGCGACGACGACGGAATCGACCATCGAGACATATGATTTCGCCCCGCTCGACTTGTTTGGAAACACGTACGAGTTGGGAGTGGCGTATCGCCCCAACGTGGATTTCGAGGTCGAGGACATGGAGAGTGTGCTCAGCGAGCGGTTTGTGGACATGGACGAAGAATGGTTCACGCCTACAGTGGCGAGGCATCGGCTCGAGGAGGCGCGTGCGGCCGCATCGACGGCGACGAGCAGGTCCGTGTCGAGGACGGCCAACCCGACCCCGGCCTCAGCCACGCCACCACGCCAGCCTGGCAGTTCTCTCGGTGCATCGAGACAGGTGGCATCGCGAACGGGTACGACCCCGAGCCAGCCTAGTTCGCTTGGTGCTGCGAAATGGGGAGCACTCGCCGAGAACCTTCCCTTTGCTTCTGCATCACAAATGGCCACTGAGAACAGTTCGCCAACGTCCACGGCCATTCCTTACCGACGACTGAGTGCACACTCTCTGCAACCTTTCCGGTCCATCTCGGCATCCCCTTCCACATCCGTGTTGCGTGGCGGCCCTGTAGCCGCCGTCGGTGGTCTGCCGTCGCCCATCGGGGCGGCAGGACGAAACATTCCAGGCGTGTCCGGCACAGCATCGCCGCTACCGGGCTCCCTACCCCGAATGTCCGAGTTTCTCTCCTCATCGGGGCGTTCATTCTCCCACGCGCAAATGGCAAACATGGCAGCAGCCAGTCCGCCGATCATGCCTGGTCTGGGCGGGTCACCACCGTTTGCCCCCAGCTCGCTGTCCTTTTCCAAGCAGGCAGTGCGGCAGCAGCCCACACTCGCCTTCTCGACGACGTCCCCCTTTGTCGCGTCTAGCCTCGACAGGGACAGTCCCTCAGTGTCGCCCCAGTCCAACCCTAGACGGTACTCGGGTTCCATCGGTCGCCGTCTCCCTGGGTCTCCCGCAAGTGGCGACTCGCCGTCGTCGATTCGCCGTACCAGCACGCGTGAGAGTGGTTTGCGACACAGTATCGACGAGCCCAGGCCAGACGCGCCAGACAAGGACGACGTGCACGCGTTTTTGCGGCAACTCGATAGCTGGACTCCCCCAGCGACTATTGCACCGCATTCGCAGTCCCCACGCACCACCACTACCGCCGTCCAGCCTACACCAACCGCTGGGCCATCTCTCACTACCACTGCCGCGGCACCCAGACAGTCGTCCGCGACGTCGTCCATCTCACCGTCGCCTTCTATAACCACTGGTCCCCGTGCCCCACTCACCCGCCAACACGTCGACGACATGCTCAAACGCATGGTAGGGAGCTTTAGCACACAAGCCAGTCCGAGCGGAACGTCTCCAGCGGCCATGTCACGTGCAGGGTCCAACATGGCCACCTCGAGCCTCGCCTCCAGACGCGAGTCCATGGGCTCGGAGCGGACCGAGCTCCACCTCGTCGGCACGGGCCTGCTCTCGGCGTCACGGCCGTCCACGTCCCCGCGCCAACTGCCACTCCCAGGCTCGCTGTCGGCCTCGCCTCGGTCCGCCGTATCGCCCTTGCCTGGCTCCAGTCTCCGCCATGGATCCCTCCCCCGAGCGAGATCTACACTGTCGCCCGTGGAAGCCGAGGCCGATGCGCCTGCCGCGCGATCGCTCCCCGGCGCCGTTCCGACCGGCACGACCCCGCCCGCTGCTGGCGGCCTACGCGCACTGTCTCCACTGTCCCCACAGACCACAGGCGGCACGACCGACTCGCGCCGCCGCGGCCCCGTGCTCGTCCGAGGCGGCTTCAACCCGCCCGCAAGCTCCAAGGGGTCCACCACGTCCAGCTCGCCCTCCCACTCGCCCGTCCGCGATTTCGTCCGCCCGTACCGGCTGGGCGTGAGCGCCGAACGCGGCCGGGAGGAGACGCTCGCGAGCGGGCCCAGCGGCGGCGGCGCAGGAGCGTCCCTCGGTGCGCGCCGGAGCGCGTCGGCCTTGACATCTGGCATCGGCATGCCGTCGTCATACACGCGGCGCGTGGGGCGGACCGCCCCCAGTTCGTTGGGCGCCGACGTGAGCGAGGACAGCGAGACGGAGGCGGCGACGGGGTCGACGCGACGCGGAGGTCGCGGTGTCGGCCGCGTAGCCAGCGAGGGAAGCACGTCCCCAGCCACGATCCAGGAAGGGACCGGGTCCGGGGCCGGGACGGGCATGGGCGGCGGGACGGGCATGGGCGGCGGGATGGGCAGTGGGGTGACGCGCACCGTCGCTGCGGCCGGGAACGGCAGCGGCAGTGGCAATGGCAACGGGAATGGAACCAGCAGGAGTCCCGTTGTCGAGAGCCTGATGGCGCGGCTGGCGCTTGCGGAACAGCAGGCGCGCGAGAGGCGCGAGTACGAGGGGTATGGACCTTGAGGACGCACGGAACGGACACCATCTGTGCGTCAGGTCGGTCTGCGCGCAAGGGTACCACCACCGGGATAGAGCGACGCGGCTGGACGTGTCGCGCGGAGGCCATCTCAAAGGAAAAGAGCATTAATTTAGCATAGTTTGTTAGAATTGCGGACTTGTCGTTGTAGTGGGGTTTTCCCAGAATTGTTTTTTTGTTCCTCTCCTCGTCTTCGCTTTCATCAATACAGACCGTACAGACCTCTTTCGCGTGGCGTATCCATCACCCCATCTCGTCCATATGTGCCTATACAGTACAGCGAAATGCCACTAGCACCTCTTGACCACTTCCATTCTGTCCCAGGGGTTATCGAATCTGACATCATGGCCGGTCCTGCTCGCCCGTCGCCCATCGCCCAACGGGCTCTCCCTCCTGCTGTACCGCACCACGCCTGGCCAGCTCCTTCTTTCTCCACTGCACGCTGGCCCAGCTGCACCTCCACTGTACGCTCGTTGGTCGCAAGAGATGCATATCTATCGAAAGGATCCGGAAGATGTATGTGGGGGGTTGGTTTTGACGGGGGGATTGGCCGCTGTGGTGGAGCACACTATATGAGAACATTGGCCGAGAGGGGATACACAAGAGGGGGAGATGGTGGTTGTTCTTCCAGCAGCGGCGGGCCTGTTGAGGGGCCAGCCTACCGAGAAGGCTAAGAGTCTATGGGACGTTTTTTGGGGTGGGTTTTCACACTGCGGCCGTTCACACGCCCGTGTTGGTTGTTGCTCACTTAATACAAGAGACGGGTGAGAACGTTGGCGCGGGTGTGGTTGATGGCCTCGTAAATGTCCTTGACCTCGTCGTGGCCGACGCCGGAAATGTCCGCCATGAGGTAGGCAATGTCGCCCTTTGAGTCGGAGAACTGCTTCTCGATGTTGTGGGCGGCGAGGATGGCGTTGATGTTGCGCAGGACACCGGGCTCGTTCCTGTGCACGTAGCAGACACGGATGTGGCGGTCGTCCTCGGTGGTGATGGCACGGAGGTTGACCTCGGGGAAGTTGACCGAGCCGAGCGACGTGCCGTAGTTGAGGTAGCCGACGAGGGCCGAGGCGACCTCGGCACCGATGGCGCGCTGGGCCTCCTCGGTCGAACCACCAATGTGCGGGGTCATGATCAAGTTGGGCAGCTTGCGGAGGCGGGGGATAAACTCGCCGAGAACCTCAGAGAAGCCGGGGCCGTTGGATCCAGGCTCCTTGGGGAAGACGTCGACGGCGGCACCGGCGAGGTGGCCCGACTCGAGGGCGTCGGCGAGGGCGGAGAGGTCGACGACCTTGCCGCGAGCGTTGTTGATGAAGAAGGCACCCTCCTTCATGTGCGCAAACTCCTTGGGGCCAATCATGCCGATGGTGTCGGCAATCTCGGGGACGTGGAGGGTGACAAAGTCGGCCTTCTCCAGGAGCTCCTCCAGCGTGTCGACCTGGCGGGCGGTACCGAGGGGCATGATGGGGACGACGTCGTAGTAGATGACGTTCATACCAAAGGCCTCGGACAGGACCGAGAGCTGCGAGCCAATGTGGCCGTAGCCGACGATACCAATGGTCTTGCCACGGATCTCCCAGCAGCCCTTGGACACCTTGTTCCAGATACCGGCACGGAGCTCCGAGGCGCGGTCGATGAGCTGACGCGAGAGCGAGATAATCTCGCCAATGACGAGCTCGGCAACCGAACGCGAGTTGGAGAAGGGAGAGTTGAAGACGGCAATACCGTGCTTGGCGGCAACGTCGAGGTCGACCTGGTTGGTACCGATACAGAAGCAGCCAATGACAAGGAGCTGGGGGCAGGCCTCAATGACCTTGGCGGTCATCTTGGTCTTGGAGCGGATACCAATCGCGTGGTAGCCGGGCAGCTTGGCGAGGAGCTCGTCCTCGGTGAACGCCTTGGTGAAGTGGTCGACCTGGACATGTTAGGAACGTGTGTGTGTGTCGCTCTCTCGTCAAAACCTACCTGGTAGCCAGCATTCTTCAAAAAGGCGGCGGCGTCGGCGCTAATGTTCTCGAGGAGGAGGACCTTGATGCGGCCCTGGCGAGGGGTGCTGGTGCCCTCCTCGCTGGTGACGGGGAAGGTAGGGGGCAGGAAGGCCTGGAGCTGACGGGCAGCACGCGAACCGCTGAAGGAGGCGCCGCCAAACGAAGCACCGCCAAACGAGCCCGTGGGAGGGGACGTCGAGAAGCGGGGCGAGGTCGAGAGAGCAGCCGAGGGGGAGACGCCGCCAAACGACGACTGGGGGATGCCGCGGGTGTTGGCAGGGATGGCAATGCTGGAAGGGGGACACGAGTCAGTACGGGGGTTGACATGGAGGTGCGATCTCGTTTGACGATGGCCATGAGAAGCACAAGGGATGCGCGCAGCCGCAGCGCGCGCGGGTGACGCGGGTCGGTTTTGGGCAACTCACGAGCTAGGGGGGTCCGAGGCCGAGACGGATGGCCTCCTGATGTGCTGAGGAGCGGACATTGTGGGTGTAGGGTGTGTTGGTGTGGTGGAGGAGGGGAGAGGGGGGAGGGAGCGATGGGGGTGTTTATGTATAGATGAAGAAAGAGAAGACGAAGGGATTGACTCGACTGACCCACCGCGCTCCCTCACACACATTGCTGCTGGCGTGCTCGCAGTGGCGCCATCTCATCCGAACAACTGCAACGGGGGGCAGGGTTCATTCCGAAAATTCAGTTTATACGGCCCACCCCGTTTAGCGCGCTTTTTTCGAACAGACAAATGACGTAATATTTTTGCGGCAGTTGCAGACCCCCCTTATTTCAATCGACGGGAATCTACACACCCAGTCCTTTTTGACAGCGACGCCACAGTGTGGCACAACAGGAGACGCACATTCCCAATACATCGACACACAACCTCTCCCATATATACAAACACACCCCCGTCACTGTCGCTTCAGAAGACACCCATTACATGAAGAACGGGCACGTGGCCGCCCTCTCCCTCATCTCTGCCGCATTCTGGAGCGTGGCCTCTTCGCCCTGGCCTTCGAGGTTGGGGGGTCCCAGCTGTGTCGACTGGAACCCTTCCGGGTGGAACGGCTTGCCCGGCTTGATCGTTGCGCCGTACAGACCCAGACGCGGGGCCTTGACGCTCGTGTACCACGGCTCAAAGAGGTATCCCTGGCGCACGTATCGCGGTTTGCCATTCTCGCCCTGTGTGACTTCTACTTTTTGCCACGACGGCTGCTCCACACGCGGGCCCATGAGGTGGCCAATGACCCAGGCGCGCAGCCCGATAAGCGCCGGGACGACGGTGTACATCCATTCCGGCGACCGGGGCAGGCCAAACGCCTTGCGGCAGAGCTCGTCGAGGAACACGCCCGTGACCTTGTGTGCAAACGGCTTGAGGATCTCGGGCTGCGGAGAGAGGAAAATGGCCGTGGTGGTCGCGGCGACCTTTGCGTTCGACTCGGCGTACACCATGACCTTTTCAGCGTAGGCCGCCTGCCAGTCCCACAGGCCCTGGCGCGTGCGCGGGATATCGGCAATCCCCATACGGGCGCCGACCTCGCGCCAGAAGACGTACCGCGCCTCCTGCTCCATCTGGGTGAGAGGTCGCCACTCAAACTTTTCGCAAAAGATGATGGGCTCAAAGATGAACAGGGAGAGCGTGTACAGCATGTCGTCGCGGGTGATCCGCTTGCCGTAGCGCCTGTGCAGCCAGTTCATGCGCGCGAGCGCCGTTGTGGCGCGCTCAGAGTCGAGGCCCTCGGGACACAGAAACTCTGCAATGACGACACCCGTGTCCTCGGCGCGGCGCGTGGCGTTCTCAGGCAGCAGCAGCTGCTTCGAGTCGGCGAGTACTTTGGAGATGGTCGGCACGGCATACGTCTTGAACAGCGCAAAGCTCAGGGAGATTGCAATGAGCCACGGCATGTCCTAATCGGCGGCGGAGAGACCCTGTCAGCGTACGTCGATCTTTTGCGCGTATCTCTTCATCATCACGCTCCACATCTCCGGTCAAGTCGGAAATGCCAGGCCGGCGAGGTGTGGGGGCGGTACGGGACCCCCCGCGGGGGTCGTGGGTGTGCGCACATGTCCCTCGCCACTGCGGCCCGCGTGGGCGACATGGTGCGCGGTGCGGCGGCGCCAGCACAGCAGCACAGCAGGGCGACTACTACTCACATACTTCTGCGACACGAGCATAATGTCGGCCGCATCCTTATAGTTCATGCCCGAGGGGTCCTTGAGGTAGTGTGGGTACTTGCGCTCCATCTCGCGGACGCGGTCGAACCGGTGGCGGCGCACGTTGACGGCGTGTGCGCCCAGCAGCCCCAGCAAAACAACAACACCGGCCGTGACGGCGAGGTGGTCTTGGGGGAGGGTGAGGAGCGAGGCCCAGAGGCCTGGCTGGCCTGCTGGCGAGGTGGTGTTGGCCCACATTTGGGTATGTCGCTTTGTGGTGAGAGAGTGAGCGAGTGGACGATGGTGGGGTTGGGGGTGGGGGCGGTTGACGGGTTAGGGTTTAATGGCCTTGTGGAAGAGAACCAAAAGCAGCTGTACCTGGCGCTGCTGCACACACATGCTGCACACCGGCGCGCGGAGTTCGGCAACAGGTACGGGGATTAATAATGGCCATCGGTCATCACATCACATGATGAGAGGGAGAGCTTTGGCCACTGTACCACTGTGTGCATAATGGTACTGCTGCCAGTGGTCGCAAGCTAGGATGCCTTGGCAGCGCTGCCACACTTGGCGGACCCACATTCCATTCATCTGCCTGCGCTCAGCCCCCCGCTGCCTGAAACCTGGCAAGCGATGGTGACGACGACGCAAGGCGGCGGGAGGCGTGTGGCGGAGTAACTGGCACGGCGGCGCGGCGGCGCGGCAGAACAAAGCGTTTGACCTGTCATCGGGCGCCGGATGGTCAATGGCACAGACGCAACCGTAGTGCTACACCAGTGGCCGGCCAGTGCCCAGTGGCTGTGGAATGGTTTCCGTATCCCGACGCAACCACACCCACATCCCCAAGCATGCTGCATGTCTATCTCTTGTTTGCCTTTTGCCGAGAAGCTGTTTCATTGTGCTACGTGCTGACCATTCTGGCCTGACACATGTCCACGCAATCCCCTTTAATTTTGGTCATGTATGTTCTCGGTTCTCGAGATCTCGAGTGAGATCCGCACAAATGTCCCGGGTGCCCATGTGGCCATGTGGCTGCTACAATGGACAATGAGCGGGCGGTGCCGCGTCACCAGTCTTCGCGCAGGCAATAGCGGGGGGTACATGAGATGTGACGGCGTCGAGATTACCGCGTGGACGACCAGCGCCTGATCACGATGGGTCCTCCCCTCCTCCTCCTGCAGCCATTCTTGCCAATGCTATGCAAATATCTATGATGACTATGAAAATGTATGAAATGCACACTTTTTAACGACGACATACCCCACACCTACGCGGGGGGACATGAGGGAGACACCTGAGGAGCGACACAGAAAGGGAGCACAGCGCGGTTTACACCAGCCCCTCCCAAACAAGCCGTCACACCCAAAAAGTCCACCAAACAAAGACCTACTACACACTACACGCCCAGGCGGCGCTTCATGTCCTCGTACACGATCCACGAGACGCCGACGGCGGGGCCGACCTTGAGCAGCGTCGGGAGCAGGCCCTTGTACATGCCGCGGGGTCCCTCGTTTCGCCACGTTTGTCTTGCCACGTCCATGAAACCCGTGTACTGCTGGGGATGGCCCGATGAGCCAGACGCCTGGAGACGGGTGCGCAGCAGGTTGATGGGGTAGACGCTCGCGGCACCGATGGATCCCGACAGGGCACCAAACGAGAGGACGGCGTATATCTCGGGCTCGTCTTTACCCGTCGAGCGCAGGTAGGCGTTCTTGAGCGACTCGTACGTGCCCATGTCGATGGCACTGTACGGGAACACGCCAATGAGGCCGAGGCCGAGACCACGGTAGAACGAGCGGACGCCGCCCTTGGCGTACATTGACTGTGCGACGCGCACCACGTCCCTCCAGCCCTTTGCGGGACCCGTCTCGGACTGGATACGCGTCTTGAGGGTCTCGAGACCGTAAATCGACAGCTGGGCAGAGATACCGCCAAATCCACCGGCGATGAAGCGAGACAGGCTCGACACGTCGGCCGGGTCGGAGACGCCATCCACCACACGGGCCAGCACACGTTTTGCCTGCTCGTACGAGACAAACTTGATGGCCGACTCTGGGAGAATCTTGACAATGTTCAGGCCGTTGCCGACCCAGAACGCACGCACGCCGCCGCCCTCGTGGTAGATCCTGCCCATGGCAGACCACAAGGTGTGGATGGCGCGGAAGGGCGAGGGCTTGCTGTTGGGGTCGGGCTGGATGGTCGAGGTGATGAGGTAGATCTTGAGACGGTCAAAGGGCGCGGTCACTGAGCGCGACACTCCGCCGGCGACGCCTCCGGCAAGGAGAAAGCGCCAGGCATCGTGCCGTCCCTCGTCGATAATGTACACTTCCTCGTCTTCGACGTCGACCGCGTCGTCCAGGTTGTCGACGGGCGACTCGGTGTGCTCGTAGTGTAACAGGAACCCCGCGGCGGTCGAGTGTTCTGGTCCACCGGGCGCCTTGGGGAAACTCGGGTTCAAATCGCCGTCTTTATCGACCCGGGCGACCCCGCGACCGTCGCTGAACCGCTTGTGGACCTGGTAAAACTTGTAGATTTCATTTGGCGTCGCGCGGCGGGGCAGCATGAGGAGAAAGTCGCGAAATTCGGGAAAGGTGACAGACTCGCCGCTTGCAGACCCCGAGAGCAGTCGGACAATGTCCTTTACAGTAGCGCCGGACAGCTTGACACCGCCCTGGACCAGTGCAGTGTTCATCTCGTCCATGTCGAGGACGCCGTCGCCATTCTTGTCGAGCTCCTGGAACATGTCCCACAGCTGGCGTTCCTGGTCCCAGAGGTATTTTCTGTTGCACACACCGTGTCAGCAAAGGTTCATGACTAGCTGCCTGTCACTCGGGGTAGTCGGGGGGTGACTCACCGGAAAGCTTTCCACGAGACACTCTTGTCGCGCACCTCGGAGGCGCCATCCATCACCGAGTCTGGCTGCAGGTCATCGGCACCGCCCCAGAGCCGGGCGTCGGGACGGTTCTCGCTACACCTGCGCACCAGCTCCTCTTGGTAGAGGATGCGGAGACGCTCGGCGCGTTCGGGACTCAGGGCGGCAAGTGTTCCTTGGCCTGGTAAACGCATACGCTGTGTCGGGGTCGGCTGGTCGCCCTCAATGTCGGGCAGCTTGGGGAGCGACGACCACAAGTGACGGAGCTTGGCGGAGCGCACCTGGGCGCCTTCGTGGATACGAAAGTCGGCCAAGGTGGGCTGCTCGCGCGGTGCCAGGTCAACGCCTGGTGGTTCCCGCAACGACGCGCCGCTAGTCCCCAGGAGAGGGTAGTGGGCATTGTCGTTGGGAGAGGGGGAGGAGGTGGAAGGGTTGGAGGGTCCTGCCTCAGAGGACGACGACGAAGAAGACGAGGCGGACGCGTTCATCGTGGCGAGAGCGAGCGCGCGTGGGGGGTGGGGTGGAGGATTATTGGTGTGCTGTAAGAGGGGCACAAAGTCAGCAGCTGGGTTTCGGGGATACACCGTTGTCTGCGCGCACGTTGAGACATCTAAAGCGCGTCGGCGCACGTGAAAGGAGGGCGGGGAGCGGGGTGTCGACAGGGATACCGAGCTTGACAGAGGGTTGTTGGTGGTGGTGGTGGTCGATCACACTTGCGCCGCAACAAGAATTTGCTTGTGCGGAATGGACGGGGGCGGCGACCTGGCGGCGTGTGCAGCGCAGGCGCCGTTGGGGGGTTGTGCCGCTGCGGTGGTGGAAGGGGGTGTGGTGTTGCCGAGGAGGTAGGCGGGGTGTGGGTGGTTGGTTGGTTGTATGTGGGTGTTGGTGGTTGATGGTACAGAGGCGGGGAGCGGGTTGTGAGTGTGTGTGCGGTCAGATGAGCCATCGTCGCTCTCTGCAAACCCACCGGCCCTCTCCCCCCGTCTGGCGCCCGCCTGTATGACGCGCGCCCTATCCCGCCAATCGTCAAGCCCGTTTTCATGCACCCCCCCGCCAACTCATCAGCTCGTTCATGCGTTCACTCTGCATGCATGCATGGGTCCGAGGTCGCCAACAGTGCTCTGCGACGGCACGCCCCCGTGGACCAACGCCGCATGCATCAGGCTCTGTAGGCGTGTCATGGTGTGGCCACCTGGCCGAGCGCCGTGCTCCACCGCCGCCAAAACACGCCTGACGTGGCTGCAATTCCTCGCTCTCGCTCTCTCTCTGCCCCGCTGCCACGCCGCGCCGGTGAATCGAACTGGGACCTCATAACACCCACAGAGCCTGTGATGCCAGTAACCGGTCACATGGAACGGCGCGAGCGCGTCGGCGAGTCGCAGCAGCCGCCTCTGTCACAAGCCTCGCAGGAGCCAGACAAGTGCCAGCCCAGCTCACCAACTGTGGGGTAAAGACTAACTGTGGCGCGTCTGCGAGGCGAGAACTTGCGCGGTCATAACCATCGCCCAGCGACACGTTTAGTTCTGGCTCTCTCGACGCGTATACCCTGCCGTCACACACCGCTGGCCGCTGGCGCTCTCGACACCCACGATCGCACCAGTCGTACCACAGCGCGTGACTGCGTGAGTACCCACCCATATTGGTGTGGACGGCGAGGTCCTTGGTCTCGGTGTCAATTCAGCGGCACGGATGCGGGGGTGTGCGGGGTAACACGGCTTTCAGCGGACCGGAACAAGGCGAGAGTGGAGTGGAGGCCAAGACTGACACCTCCGTTTGTGGCGAGTGGCGAGTGGCACAACGAGAGCAACGTCCCGTCTGCTGCCTTTCTGCAGAGCCCCCTACGCCCTCGTTCCACAAGTTAATCCCATGCAGAATGAGGTGCATTTGTATGTGTCCAAAAAGTGTGCTAGATATCCCTCCGTCCGCGCCTCCTCTCCTCCTACCCTCCTCTCACTCCTCTCACTCGTCCTCTCCTAAAAGTCAAAGTCCTCCAAGAGGTTGACTTGAGGCTTGCGCCGCCCGCCAGGCGGTGGGGGCAGGAACCCACTGGGAGGCGCAATCGCTGGCGGGTTGGGACTGGGCGGCGCCGGCCACCGTTTGCCAGACGTCTGGCTTGCGGCCGTGACGAGCGACAGCGCCGGGGTGTGGTCCACGCTCGGCTGGCGGCGGCTCGAGCCCGACACGGGCGCGATCCCGCGCGTCGAAAACGTAGACAGGGCGGGCATGGTCGTCGAGCTGTCAGTGAGCCGCGGGCCGCGGGTAGCAGCGCTGCTGCTGCTGCTGCCAAACGACGAGTCAGGAGGGGGCAGAGTTGGGATCGCAGAGGGACCGCCGGGGGCCGCGGCGGCCAGGCGCGACGAGATCCCGGCGGGAGGACGGATGGCGTACATGCTCGGCAAGATCTCGGGACCCTTGGCAGGCGGGGTAGGCCCAGGACTGCCCATCGGCGTGGATGTCTTGGAGACTGGCGGTGGGGGGATGGAGGCAAAGCTGGTGTCAAAGTCCCCAAAGTCGCCAAAGTCGTCAAACGAGTCGCTGCCTGCGTTGTTGGCGGCAGCTGGAACCACAGTGCTGGCTGCGGCGGAGGGAGCGGAAAAGTCACCAAAGTCACCAAAGTCGCCGAAATCGTCATTGTCGTTGGCGTTCAGGTTGACAGCGGCGACGGCGGCTGCGGCCGTAGCGACGGAGACTGGTGCAACCGGCGCGGGAATCGGCGAGATACCAGGGAACGCTGAGGGCGTAGCACTGCGGCTTGCCGGGTTGGGCGACAGCGGGGCCGTGCTGGGTGTGATCCCACCCCATGTCTGGGGAGCGAGTGCTGGGGCTGCAGGCGGCGGCGCGACGTGGAACACGCTCGGCGGAGACATGGCGCGCGAGGGAGCGGCCGACACTGATGAGAAGGAGCTAAAGTCCAGGCCGCTGAATGCGCTGCTGGTACCTGTACTAAACGCAGCGTCGGCGGCGTTGGCCGTACCTGTCGCTGTGGGGCTGACGGATGCGGGGCGCGCTGTGGGGACCATGGGGGTGAACGATGACGGCACTGGCGGCGACGCGACGCGCTGAGTCGGAGCCATGGGGGCCATGGGGGCCATGGGGGCCATGGGGGCCATGGGTGTCATGAGCGGTGGGGAGGAGACGCGCTGAGTCGGTGCCGAGGGGACCATGGAAGACATCGAGAGAGGAGGTGCAGTTGCCAGTGGTGATGTGGCGGGGGGCGACGCAATGCGTTGGATGGGAGGTGGGAACCCTGAAGACGAGGTGGCGGGTGGGGCCGTGCTCGCAGCAGGAGTCGTGCTGTGGGACAGTGGGCTCGACGTGAGTTGGAACGAGTTTCGTGCCGACGAGGAAGGTGATGAGGGATTAATGGGTGGGGCGATGGTTGGCGGCGTGGACGCGCGGGGCGGAGCGGGCGTCGCAAAGAGGTCGTCCCAGCCCGAAATAGACGAGGCCACAGGTGAGGCCGAGTTTGGACCTGACGACGATGTCGCCGACGCCGGGGCATCAAAATCGAGTCCAGAGAGCAGGTCCATTGCAGACTGCTTTGGCGCAGCAGACGGGGCCATGCGCGCACGGAATGACGACGACGACGTGCTGCCTTGCCTGCTGGCGTGGTGAGATTGTGGCGCACCGCGGGGTGGCGGAGCGAGCGGAGCCGGAAGAGGCGCTGGCTTTGGAGCATTGAGCACACGCTCCAGCGTGTTCATCTCACGGGTCGCGTTCGGGTCCATGCCAAGCAGGTCACCCATACCGGCCTGCTGGACAGTGGGCACTTCGGCCAGGAACGCGAAATCGTCGGCGCTCAGCTCAATGTCCGGATCCTGTGGTGCGAGCGAGTCGGCCTCCTGTGCCGGAGCAGCGGCCTTGCGGCCCCACCGGAAGAAGCGCGACATGCGTGCAGGCTGAGCCTGAGGGTCCTCGGACAGGGAGCGCGACGGTGCGTCGTGGCCCTCGTCCTCGTGAGACTCGGTGACAGCGAGAGCCGGTGGCGCAGCAGCCACGGAGACGTCTGGGGTCGCGGGACGAGATGCAAGGGACGGAGCGCGCGATGTGGAAAGGCGAGCAGACGCGACCGAGGGAGCGATGCTGGCCGTCTCGGCCACAGCTGCGGCAGCAGCGGCTCCAGCAGCGGTTGCGACACTTGTAGGGGTCGACGGGCTCAACGTTGGCGTCTTGACCTCGAGGATACCGCCACCAGACGTGACGAGCGACTTTGGCGCAGCGCTCTTGCGCCAGAATCCCCAGCGGCTGGATCCAGCATCCTCTTGAGCAGGCTGAGCAGCAGCCAACTCTTCGGGCTCGCCCAGACGGGAACGGCCAGTCCAATTGTCCTCGAGCCCAGGCCCGAAATTCAATCCCTCGAGGCGGCGAGCTCGCGAGGACGGCGGAAGATGCAGCAGTGACGTTGACGGGTTCGGGTTTGCACGCGACAGGGCACCAGTGTACCGCTGGTGTGTGGTAAGGGTGTGTAATGGGGGAACACGGCCATCTCCAGGTGTCGTGAGGGAGCGCATCGTCTCGGCACTGAACGTCAGCAAGGCAGCGGTGTGTTGCCACAAAACTCACACATTGTCTTGGAGCGCCTTGACGCCAGCCTCGAGCTTGGTCTCCTCAGCTTCATCGGCGTTCTCGACCTTGTGCGTGATCACACTGGCAGCAACCTCGTCCCACTCGCGCTTCAGTGCCTCAATCTTGGCGTACGGGGCGCGGGACTCTTGGACAGCAATCCGGCGCTGGGCTTCTTCCCACTCGGTCTCCTGTGTGGTCCTAGACGGTTCTGGAGCGGCCGCAGAACGCGACACACCGCCCCAACCCTCGTACGCGCCTTCGTCGGCATCACGGTCTCCGTCGCCGCCACGCGGCTCGTCTGGCGCTGGTGTACCCCAACCGTCTTCACTGGCACGCGTGGGGCTGCTGGACCTGCCGCCGAAACTCTGGAAACTCTCGTCCTGATCACCACCTGCTCCTGCAGGCTTGCCCCACTCGTCTCCACCGCCGCCCCACGGGTCGCTGGCGCCGGCGTCTGCAAAGCCGCCAAAGTCGCTACCAAAGCTTGGTGTACGACGGAGCTGGGGAGCGTCGGCATCGAGGCGCAAGGCGTCGAGGGAGGCACGGGGGGAGGACGCCGATGCTGCCGAGATGGTGGGCGAAGCGGCGTTGACGGAGACGGGCGGAATGGAGTCTGCTCTTGCAACAGCGCTGGCTGCAGCCACGGCGAGAGGCGACCCAGCACGAGACGATTCGCGCGATATACGCTCGATAGCATCCAGCGATGCGCGCGGGGACGCAAACCCTTCCTCTGCTTCTTCTTCTTCTTCAGCGAGGCGGGCGACCTTGTCGACGCTCTTGCGCGGGGAGGAGAGAGTGCCGGAGATGGAGCGGGCGAGCGAGGCAGACGATTGCGAAAAGGACATGGATAGACGAGCCGCAGACGCTGTCATGTCGTCGATAGACGCGCGGGGCAGTGCCGAGGCCGTGAATGACGTCGGGGAGGTGGGGGAGGGTTCAGGAGCGGTCTGCTGTGGGGCGGGGTCCGTGGACTTTGAGGGTGTTGGGGCACCCCATACGTCGCCGGTGAGCTCGGGCGACAGAGAGCGCACGGGGGACGGAGAGCGAGTAGGTTTTGATGGCGAGGCAGAGGAGGTACCCCATCCTGCTGCTGCGTCACCCCATCCGCCGAGGGCTGCGCCCATACCGCCCATGTTCATGCTGGCGACGCTGCTCGAAGCCTTGCCCATGAGTGTCGCTGGCATGTCGGCAAACTTGGCCGCGTCAAGCTGTTTGGTCGCTGCAGCGCCCACACCCATGAGCGAAGTCGAAATGTCTCCCATGTCAAACCTTTTGGTTGCGTTGGCCATTGCAGCGGCACCTATGAGACTGGCAGGCAGACCATCGAGCTGTCCCGACATGGCCGCCGAGGCTGCAGCGCCCATGAGATGGTTTGGCAGCCCCTCGAGCGCGCCTGCTGCTGCCGATCCAGCCGCTCCAGTAGCAGCACCCATCAGGCTTGTTGGAAGGCCTTCGAGTGCGCGGGCGTTGGCCTTTACGGCGTCCACGGCCGCTGTTGCGTGGGCGCGGGTCGCGGCAGCCGACGCCGCTGCCGCCTGTGCGTGTTGGTTGATTTCGCGGCCGGCCTGCAGTGCCGTCTGGGCATGCTGCATGCCGAGGTCACGGAGCATGCCCATGTCTGGCATGGCGGGCATGCTGGGGCCTGCTGTGCTGTCGCTCGCCGTATCAGGAGCGGTGCTCGAGGACTGCGCTGCCTTCCTGGCGGGGGTTGGGGCCCACGGGTCGGAGACATCGAGTGACTCTGGCGGCGGGGAGAGGGACATCATGCGCTGAGCAGCGCTGGTGGCGGACTTGCCCCACGCGGCCCACGGGTCGTCCATCGTGCGTGAGGTGGGCCGGTGTAGTGTAGTGAATGGAAAGCGACGAGGACGAGTGGAGGAAAGAAAGAGACGTCTAGTTGCGGCCGCGTCGTTCTTTGGTCGTCGCGTCATACCTCCATGCCCGCCGCCGTTCGGGAACAGAACTCGAATGCCGCCTCCAGGCAGTCACCACTCGCGTGGTACTTTCGACATTGTCCATTCTATCACCCCACAACGACGTGCGTCTTTCAACGACACTCGGCTCGTTCACCACCACCATGGCTCCGCCAGCGCACTTTCGCTTGCCGTCGTTGATCCTCCCGACGCCTCCGGCCCCGCGCCGCCGCTCAGGCTCCGTCGGCGGCGTGAGCACCCTGCACCTCGCGCGCTCGGCCGGCCGGTCAGGCGGCGGCAGTGGGCCGCCCTCCATCGCAAGCGGGGTCAGCGACGACGACCGCGAAGCCAGCGGCAGTGCGCGCAAGACCAGCCTGCACCTCACACCCATCTCGCCGTCGGCCGAGTCGTATCGCGACCGTGACACCGCCCGTGAGCATATCCCAGCAACCCCCAAGAGTCTCCCGACCTTGCCCGCAAGTCCACGGGGCAGCACCGACGCCCTCTCGCCGCTGCTACCGCTCGATCCGGGCGAGTGGGCCGCGGCCAACGCTCACCCGGGCGCGGGACTCGAAGACCACGACCATCCCGGCCATCCGGGCCAACCCCGCCGCGTGCAGTTTGCGACCGAGGCATCCGTCGAAGTGTACGATGCCCTCAGCGACGACCTGGACATGGATTTGGGCCTGGACGAGGCCGAGTTTGAGCGGCCACGAGGAAAGGAGATGCTCGCTATTGTGCTGAGCTTTTCGGCGCTGCTGGTACTGGCTATCGCTGCTGGCCTGACGACAATCTTCGACTGGGTCTTGTAGGCAAGACGCAGCCGGCGCGCAGCTTGGCTGCTGCCAAGCCAAAGAGCTTGCAACCTCCCGCCCTCTCGGCCTTTTACGCTTCACGACCTGGTGTCCCCCCCGTTGTATCCCATCCTGCATCATCATTCTCTCTGTCCTTGTGTAACATGGCGCCTTTGCCTGCAATGCATTTCTCTAAGCGGGTTGTCCATGTATGTCGCCCGCCGCACGCAGAAAGCTAAATATATATATAAACGTGGAGAACACCCACGGACGCGAAAACTATACATGATTCGTGTGCCACACTTGTCGTCCACACTTGTCGTCGACACCATGAAGTCGGAAAACGACGCGGTTGTATTCGTGAAATAAGGAAACAAGAAAATGGAAAAAGAAAAGAAAAGATTAGAAGTGGCTCTGGCCCTCGTGCTCGACCTCGAGGTCCATGCCGCGCGGCCTGGCATCCACTTTGGTGCCGACCGAACTGGAGAGAAGCTTGGCCTCGACCTTGTCCTTGACAAACTTGCCTGTCCGCGCGAGCTTGAGCTGGAAAATGCCCTTGTTCGACTTGCGCAGCGCCTTGCCGTGGGACCCGCTGCGCTCGGCGAGCTCGCGCGTGTGGTCGCGCTGCATCGCCTCGTTGGCCGCCGCACCCGCACCCGCGCCGCCGCTACGCCGCTTGGCCCTGCTCTCCTCGCGCGCCAGCGGGTCGTAGTCGTCATTGTCGGAATCCGAATCGTCTTCAGAGTCGGACCCGCTCTCGTTGTCCGTGTTCAAGTTGCTGTGCGAGCTGCCCTCGAGCAGGCGCGCTGCCTCCCACGCCTCGTAGACGTGGCGGAACTTGAGGTCGCGTTTCTTCAGTATGTGGTGGACTCGGGACATGCCCGAGTGAAGTACAAACGTGACAGTGATAAAGCCGACGAGCTCGACCTGGGGGATATCACCGCCACGGAGCACGCCGTGCGGAGTGTTGGCAGTACCTCCCTGCACACCCATGTCGATGAACATGCGCGCAGCCCTCATGGCGTCCCGCACCGACGCGGTAGCGTACACGGGAATCTTGCGGGTCGTCTCCACGCCGTCCTGACAGTCGTCGAGGCGCAGCGTGGCCAAGGCGTGGACCTTTGACTTTTTGATTTTGCGCCGCTGCACAAGGCTGAAGACCACCGAGCAGCTGTGGCGGTACATGACAGCGAGGCGGACCGGCTTGGAAATGTCCCACGAGACGCCGTTGCCCGAAGTGTGCGAGGCATGGATATGTGACTTGGTCGTGTGGTCTGACACGGCCGAGTGGCGGGAGTCACGCGCCGAGTTGGGGCTGGCCGTCTGCTGGCCATTGTGCGCCTCGTACGCTTGTCCATGGCCGTTCTGCGCTCTGGCGGAAACGGCCTCGTCGCTGCGGTCGTCGTCATCGGGTTCGCGAAGTAACGCGCTGTCATGCTCCGTCTCAATGACGATGGAGGGCTGTTTCCCATGCAGCTCGGACATGTCCGTCGTCGCCAGCCCAAGAATGTCGAGCGTGGCGGCCTCGAAAGACGAAATGCCTTGTGGCAGGTGCATGTCAAAGGGCTTGAACAGGAGTGAAAGACGGATACGACCCCAGCCACGCCCACCAACGAGCGGGAACCAGCGCGTAAACTGGCACTTGTCCTTGAGCACGTCCTTGAGACGGAGAGAGACCAGACCGATAATCGGGTCGTGCTCGCGGTTACGGTCGTCACGGACCACAAAGGTGATCTTGGCCAAGCGCCAGTCGGCAATGAACCGCTCGCTCACGGCGTTGAAGTATGGAACCGGGTTGAGTTGCTTGGTACGTGTGCGATAGACGTACTTGTCGTTCACGTGGATCTCGACGTATGAGCTGGGCGGGTCGGTCTGGTCGGCAGCCGAGCGGTCAATGGCATCGTGCAAAGCGGGCTTGCCAGATGCCGCAGACTTGCGCCGACTGATGGACGAGCCAGAGAACGTGCCGTTGGGCGACTCGAGCTCCAGGTCTGCGTGTGTATGTCAGCTGCTGCAACCAAACAAGGCACTGTCAACTCACCCGTACACTGGTGAACGTGGAACTGGAGAACACCAGAGCACAGCTCGGCAGTCGGTTTGCCGGCTGCCTCCATCTCGTCGCGGGCACGCTCGCCCGTGAAATACGCCAGAGTCTCCTTCCGCCTCTCCTGCCTCTCAGTCTCCCAGCCCGGCACCTCCATGTAGCTGGCAATCTTCTCCATCCACCAAGGAGGCGGCGGGTAGCCTTCACCCCGCTTGTCCTGGATGGCCTGCAGGCGGCGCTGGACTTCCGCCTGAGGCATCTTGTACAGCGGGAAGAAACGAATGGACCAGTCCAACTCGCCCTGGGTGCGCATACCGGTCTGTTCGGGCTGGAGTGCATCGGTACGGCGGAACAGCGTTTCGCCAGGGGTGTTGGTGGACTTTTCAACAAGGTCGTAGACGTCCACCTCGACTTGGCCAATACTGTCGTCGGAAGAGAAGCGGTCCGAGTCGATAATGCGCATGCGGAGCTTCTCGCCGACCTCGATGGCTTCGGCTGGGACGAGAATGTAGGCCGGCTCCTCCCATACAGGGTCGAGAGTATCGACAATTGTGCGAGTAGAGAATACTGTGAATGTCAGCTTCGTTCAGACCAAGATCCATAGCTCACGAGGCTTGTTAAACTTGGAGTAGGAGACGACAAGGTAAGGGTCAGAAGAGCCAACCGTGTCGGTACGCGGCAGGCCCGACGCTCCATGGATCATGATGCGGAAGACACCGACCGACTGGGTCCGCAGGGTGCTTTCGTGGCCCAGGAGGAGACGGTCGACGTCCATAGAAAACGCTTTGGGAGCGACAAAGGCACCCGCCACGCGTGCAATGGACTTTTCAACATAGCTCTTGACGAGAGGCACGTCCATGGCGTTGAAGGTACCCAGAGGACGGGCGGCAATGTCAAACTGGGGCATGGTGACAAACGAAAAGGCCGCCTCGCGCACAAATGGCGGGGAGGCACACAGCAACAGGCGTATGCGGACCTTGCCGGACAGCTGGCTGACGTCGAGGTACACTGGCCACTCGGTGCCGGTGAGACCCTTGACACCGACGCCAAAGTGGGTGATCATGTGTAGGCCGTTGCCACGACCCATGGCTGCCGTGTGCTGGTACACAAACCCACATTCGTAGTTTACGTACTGGGGCCCGTCTGGGTCGTCCTTGTCATAGAACGGAACGTATTCGTCGTTGCGGTCGTGGTCGTCCTCTCCGGGTTCTGAGGGAATAACACTGATACCGGGCGCACCGTTGCCGTTCGTGGGCGGTGCAAATGAGGCCCGACGAGCGCCCTTGTTGCCGCGCAGCTTGGCAAGGAGGCGGTCGCGTTTACGCATAGTTTGTGCGCGTTCTGGCGCCCCAGACTGTGTGGAGCCGTGTGTGGAGACGGCATAGTCGGAGGCGGTGAGAAAGGAGGCACGGGACGCGTTCGAGGCGCTGCGGGTGTGGCGTGTGGTTGCTCTGCGCGAAGGAGTAGTTGGGGATACAGGGGTGATGATTGGAGCTGGAACAGATGAGGGTGACCCGAAGGAGGAGGCAGAGGACGGGGACCATGGGGTCGCACCTGGCGAGAGTGGTACGGCCAGGGATCCCGGAGAAAGAGAATATGGTCGCTGGATCTCGGAAGGTCGACGCCTTGTGGAAAGCGTCTCGGATGGCTGACGGCCCTTTGTGATGTTTGCAGGAGTGATATGTGTATCTTTGGCCTTGGCATATGGTACACTGGACTGGGTCATGATTCGTGCCTTTTCATCCAGCGATCTGAACCATTCGTCATCGGTAATGGGCCGGAGCGAGGTGAGGACGATGGGTTTGGTACCAAGCGAGACGGACGAGACGCGAACCGAGGTCTAAATACCGGAATTAGCCCACACACAGCCTTTGGGTCCAAAATAGCCCGATTAATTACGCACCACAATAGGAGGGACCTGCTGAATGAGCGCATCTTCCAGCAAGTCGACAAAGGGTGTGAGAACATCGGTCGAGACGAGGGGGAAGAGCGCGCGCAGAGCGTGGTTGCTGTGGGGTCAGTTTGCAGGTTCCCAGTGCGCTAGTTTTGTTGGTGACTCACACCCAGCCGACGGCATCGCCTTGCGCGATTTCGTCTAGTGACAAGGGCGGATTTGGGCTGCCTCGGGGAGGAAGGAGGTAGCGAGCGATAAAGGGGGCGGCGGCCAGGCCGACAAGGGTGAAGAATAGGCGAGGGCCAAGTGCGTAAATGATGAAGAGAGTCGCGACGATGGCGGCGGGGATAAAGTGCTTGTGCTCGGCCATCGTCCTCACGGAGGAAGGGACGTAAGAAGAAGATGAAGTGGGAGTCGTGCCGTCCTTTTCGGCCAGGGGCGATGGGGACTCTGTACGCACAAAGGAGCCTGGCGGTGTTGGTGCGACGTGGTTTGCCCGGGCGGCTGACGCAGGCCGGTCATGAGCTGACTGATAGTCTGCACTAGCAGGAGACGGGGTGGTTGGCGTTGGAGGCAACGTGCGCTGCCTCTCGTTTGGTAGTGGACCCAACCCGAGGGCCGACCTCGAAGCTGATGGTGATGGCGCGAGGTATAGTGGGGAGGGAGCCTTGAGACTCGGCAGCGGCTTGTCGACGGCAATGGGTGAAGGCGGTGACGGGTTGTTGCCATCGGCGTGTGCAGGGAGGTTGAACGTGGGATGCGTATGCGCCGTGTGTCTGCCGTTGCCCACGGCCGTGTTGTTATTGTGGGGCGGGGGCACCGCCGATGCGCCCATGCTGCTGGACGCGTTCATGGCATGCAGATGCAGGCGGTCGTCGCCATTGAGAACAGCTGTTGGATAGTTGTGGGTCGGTGTGAGAGGCGGTGTGTCGTGCGTGTCGGTGTCAATGGTCAAACCGAGACCGCCAGGGCCTGATGAGGTGGAACGTTTGGGCGGCGTTGCCGTCGTCGACAGAGGGACCGCTTCCGGCATTGCGATGATGGTTGGGCTTGTCGACGCGCGCGAGGGGTCGCTGGCTATATTATAAATGTGTGAGAGAGATAAAGAGAGTGTGGTATGCGGGGTTGGACGTGTGTATAAGAAGTGCGTCAAGATGTCTCGGAACAGTTCCCACTGCTGTGTCGGGTGTGCGTGTGATGTGATGGTCACTGCTGCACACCCCACCGCCCGACCGGTCGGTGCACGCGGCGCCAAGGCCGTTTACGAGGGAGCGAGGCGGGGTGGAGGGGCAAGAAAAAAAGGTGCGACGTCGACGTCATACCCGCACAGTGCGGCAACGGCCAAATTAACCTTTTCCTTCCTTTTGAACTGCGCGTCGGCACAATGGCTGCAGCGGCGACAGAGCCTGACGATCAACGACGACGACGACGAGGAACGTTTGTCATGTGTCGGTTTCATCGTCATGTCTCTCTCCGTCATCGCCCATCACCTTGTCCCCGACCCCCCCCTCTCTGGACCGTGCATATACCTGCGGAAATTATACTTGGCCCAGCATCACCACGCACATGTGCTCTGGCTGCGCGATCACACCGCCTGCGCTAAGGCACCTGTACCAACGAGGCGCTGGAGGCTCTAGCGCGAGAGAGGGCTTCTCTTCGCTCGACTCTCCTTTTTTTTCCCAGGCGGCGGCGGCGGCTTGGGTGAACGCCATGAGTTGTAGGATGGAGAGAAGGCTCGTGCGCACACGCGAACCCATATGTCCTCGTCCTCGTCCGTGTAATGTCCGTCGCAGATGGCTGAGAAGGACGGGGTGATGTGCAAGGGGGGCGCGCGGCCGCGGCCCGTGGGTGCTCCTTCTTTGTTCATGTTCCACACTCACTCCATCCACTCTCACTCACTCACTCCGCATCCACACGTTTCTGACTCCATTCACACCTCCACACCTCCCCTCCCATCGCTGCGGACGAGTCGCGCACTTTAACAATGCTCAACTGGTTCAGGAAAGCCGGGGCGGCCGACCATGATGATGGCGGCGGCGACGACGCCGACCACCCCGTCCAGTCATTCGCGGTCATTTCGCGCATGAACGAGTTCGAGAGCAAGGAACCCTTCAACTATGTGCATTACCCGGCCTCCGAGTATGAACCACTGGTCATCACCGACGAGGAGAGGGACTTGTACTTGGCCTTTATGAGCTCCCTCGACACCGTTCCAAGTCTGCCCCTGTGGTCGGATTCACCACCAGAGATTCCAGACGTGCAGGTTGGCGCCCAGCCCATTACCCCGCCCGACGTACCGTACCCCAGGAGCCCCCTCCTCCCGGCCAAGCACCTCGTCTCGCTCAACCCCAGCCGTTATGCTCTTGTGTCACTCGTCAGTGATGCCGGCGTGAGGTTGTGTGGATTCCCAGCGGCCGCCGTCCGCGCCGCCGATGAGGCTCTGGCCAGTTGGCACCTTGGCGTCGTCGCCCGCAGCTGCGACCCAACACAGCTCGTCGACTCGAACACACCAATCGTGTACCGCATCGCCCTGCGTGGCAAGGCGTGGCAGAAGAAGGGCAACCAGGAGCTAGAGTGGGTGGACCGTGCTGTGTGGCCCACTTGCTGATCGCTGACATTCCGTGCAGGTCAATCCGTCTCATTCTCACCCTTCTCACCGCTCTCGGTAGACATGGATGGTCAATGGCTGGTGACATTGCGGCGATGAGCAAGGTGGGGGACACAGAAGCGAGAAGACGACCACTGACAATGTCCAGGTTGACGCACACAACCTCCTGTTTGCTGCCAAGCCCGACCCTCCACCCGCACCGCTGTTTTTTGCAGTGACCATGCCTTGTGAGTAATGTCTGTGCGACATGTCGTGAAATGTCGGGATCCGCCGGGATGGTTATGGGGGGAGCAACAGTAGTGTAACTTTTGGCTGAACGCCTACAGTGCCTGACCGCATCTCTCTCGTGTCCCCTCCCAAGCCTGCCTCTGCGGCTATCATCAGTGGGGTTCGTCAGTGCCTCTCCAACTTTGCAGACATCAAGACGGAGGGCTGGATACACGCTGGCGTGTACCGCTTCTGGCTTGCAGGTCTCCGCCGTCTCGGTGGCACTGTCAAGCGTGACCAGGTTTCCAAGTGAGTTATCACGGCGCTGCCACGCTAACGCTACAGGATGCAGCCTCCCATGGTCATTGGCATCATCAACATTCTCAACAGGCTCAATTTCCAGTTTGTCAAGAGCATCCCCCTGTCAAGCACTGCCGGCCGCGATGTCTTCATCTTTTGCTCGACTCCCGAGTCTGGTCTCAGCGCGCGGGACGCGTTTGGAACCGAAGGATTCCTCGACACTGCCACGTCTGACGCCATTGCGGCGGTGGTCCCCTTCTCAGGCTTGGGTTCGACGGAGACGACCCCGACAAAGTCTCGTGGCCGTGCAATGAGTGTGCCCGACATCCACGCGTCCTCGACTCCGCGTACAAAAGATCGCCGACTGGTCACTCCGACCACCACATCGACTGCCACAAACCAGACAGGCGCAACCATATACCACACGCCACCTGTTACCCCCGGATCAACAACGCCACTCATCCGCCGCTCGTCTCTCGAGGTCTGGGACAGGTCCGCCAGCGCCCAGCAGCGCCCGCTCCGTCGTGTCGAGTCGGCGGGCAACCTCGCCCCCAGCGTCCACTCGAACAGCAGCGTCAGCATTCCCTTCCCGCTTGGAATGGGAATGGGACCGGCCCACCCTGCCGTCGCCCGTGCCGCTAGTCACAGCAGCAAGGCTTCTTCGTACTCTGGAAAGTCTCGGGCGTCTCAGCAATCGGGACACAGCAGCAATCACAGCCACAGCGGCTTCAGTCACCGGAGCAGCAGCCTCAGCCGGGGAAACTCACACCGCGGCCTGCCTATCGGTACTGTCCTCTTGCTTCCTGGAGGCCAGACACAGACCATGTCTGCGGATCGCAGCGACCGTAGGCATAGGGACAGCAAGGACAGGGCTACTCCAATCGACCCGGAGCTGAGGACACCCGGTTCGCCCATGCCGCTCGGATTGGGCCCACCACCGCGTCCATCTCCCAGGAAGAGCTCCAGCTCCGACATCTCTACACAGGCTCAGCCAGACCAGAAGTATCCACTCGACCTGCCCTCCGTCATTGGTTTGGAGCAGGACTTCAAGGACATGGGAAACACTGCCCCGCTTGTGCCGCACATCAACGCCTACTCGCCCTCCCAGACTCGTCACCTGCGTCACGGCCGGTCGGTCTCGAGCCCGGCAAGCGCAAGCGCCATCCCGAGCGAGGCGTGGGGCGCGGCGCGCCTCTCTCCCAAGCCGACCACGCAGGACGCCAGCGCCGTCTCCGCCCCCGCGCTGGGCGCCAACATCCTCGCCCCGGCCCCCGCCGATAGCAGCCGCCGTAACAGCGGCGCGCCGGGGACTCCCTCCACGCCCGGCGTTGTCCACATGGTGTCTGGATCGGGAACGGGCTCGTCGTCGACGTCCCTGTCGTCGCTCGCCTTTCCTACACCCACGGTCCGCCCTCGCAGCTCGGAGATGGAGGATGGCCGCGCGCGTTTCCCATCCATCGTGCTCGGAAACGTCATCACCGGCTCGGCTAGCGCCAGCATCAACAACAACGACCTCAGCAGGCACACCTCCCGCCAGGTCTCGATGGGAAGCATCGCCTCCACCTCGAGCACCGAGCGGCCCCTCCCCGGTCTGCCTGTCGCGGGCTCGGGCACGGGCACGGGTACTTGGACGCCGCCCATCCCCCACCGCTCGCCGGCGCGCGCCGCCTCGCCGCCGCTGACGCTCGCGCACCCGCCCCTGCCGCTGCCGGCCCGCTCACCAGGCCGGACCGGGGCCAAGTCGCCCACCCTCCCGCCCATGCCCATCCCGCAGGGCAGCCTGCTGCACGACGTGCTCCGCGGCTCGGGCGCCGGGGTCGGGTCCGCCGCGTCCACCACCAGCCTCCTCTCCAAGGACGGCGCCAGTGCGGGCGCGAGTGCCGCTGTCAGTGTGCGCGCGGACAAGGGGTCGCGCACGCTCAACCACCGCGCGAGTCTTGCCGGGAGCGAGTTTTCCTTCAAGACCACGACGTCGACGGCGAGCTCGCGGCCGCCGGGCGTCGGCAGTGGGCGGACGAGGGTGAAGCTGAGCTTTCCGGAGAGCGGCAAGTGAGGTGAGGTGAGGTCAAGTGAGGTGAGGTGAGGTGAGGTGAGGTGATGGAAGGGCGAGCTGAGAGAGGGGAGAGGGAGGGCAGAGAGAAGCGGGGAGAGGGGAAATGGGGGAGCTGGGGAAGCGCCGGACAATCGGGGCAAAGCCGTAGAGACAGAGAAACTGGACAGTTTCGGACAGTGGACAGTTGTCATTGCGCTACAGAACACTTTCATTTGTACATAGCTTTTATTTTTATTTTACGCATGCCGTGTTCATAGTCTGGTATCACATGAGGGTATGGAATGATGGTGGTGGCGAGGTTATGGTGTGCAGGGTGGTTTGTGTTGTGGGTTTGCGTCATTTCGTCGAGGCTGGTGCTTGTAGAAACGGGTGACTGCCAGCTGGTGTGGCCCAGGTCTACGGACTGGCGATGACAGCTTGTTGCCGCTGTTGCTGGTACCCCCAGCTGCGTCTAGGTCTGGGCATGGACACGTTCGTCGGCATCCTGCGCCAGACGCGCGGCCACATCCGGGTCCAGCGGCCAGCAGAGTACCTCATCCTGCGCCATCCCGGCCCGCACCGCGACCCAAGGGAGCAGCCAGCGCAGCCCGCGGCCTCTGGACACGGCCTGGTCGAGGTTACCTTCCGGTCCAAGGTTGTATGGTCGCTCGAGCGGGAGAGTTGGGAGGATGACGCCGGCCCAAGTCGCAGAGTCAGGGGTGGGCACGAAGAACCAGTGTCGCGGGCCGAAGCGCTCCAGATCAGCCGTGAGCGCGGGCGGGACAGGCTGTGCAGCCGCGACGAGCTTGGCGATGCTATCCCGCGTGCGGAGGAGCGCGCGCGTGCGTTCCTTGTCGACAGTCAGCTCGCCGTCGCGGATGTGCGTGTACGTCGACCAGCCGAGCGCCTGGGGGTGGGTTAGATCCAAAGCCAGTCAATTTGTAAACCCACTAATGTGATTGCAGCGAGAACGTTGCCGACAACACACAAACACCCGATCTCGAGGCGCTGGGATCCAGCGACCAGCCCGCCGTCGACGGCGTCCAGTGCGCGCCAGCCAAGTGCCAGCCCCGCGACCCAGCGTCCGACGGGCCCGCCGGCAACTATCCAGCTAGGACCCCACGACCACCACGCCACAGCCCGCGGGTCTACCTGGGATTCTTTCCATGCGGCGATCGCGCGGAAGAAGAGCGGCCAGTATACCGGCGTGGCGAGGACGAAGACGGCCAGCGGTGTGAGGAAGCAGAGGGCCAGGAAGGCCGGGAGGTGCGGTGCAGTCAAGCAGTTTGCAAACTGAGCAAATGGGTTAGCGAGAAGCATCTGGCCGGTCTACCCACAAAGGCACAGTGGTGGTCAAACCCGGCACGACACACACCACACTCGGAGCAGTGTCGTGCGCGAGCTGGTTTCCACCGTCCGCCACACCTCCCGCGATGGCAGTGGGACAAGAGCGAGTCGGCGGTTCCCGGTGCAGGGGTCGAGCCGCGCACAACGAGGGAATAACCATCGTCCAGAGCCTGTGGTGGGGGAGAGCACTCAAAGACGCACTTGAGCGACGCAATGTCGACAGGCGGGCGGCACGGAGGCACAGACTGTGTCGAGGGCAGAAAGTAGAGCCGGAGGAAGATGGTCGCGACGCTCGGGATGAGGATGTTTGTCGCGGCCATGTAGAATGCTGGAGCGTTGGTGCCTATCAACACAGCACTCTTACTCACCTCCAAGCCAACGGTGGTTGAGGCCGAGGAAGAGGTAGTCGCCTGGGTGGGTCAGGAGATATCAACACCCCGTTACCCACGACCGATTGTCCATGTGCAGCGTCGCCATGCCCAGGCAAAGTATGTGAGGATTGCTGGAGGTACGACCTGCTGGATGACCCAGCTTGGCCGTAGCGAGGGCATGTTCTTGTTGTGCAAGAGTCGATGCGCTGTGTGGGGAAATGCTTGAAAGAGAAGTCAGGTGCGTAAGCTGTTGACCATTGTCGTCATCGTCATCGCCCCGCCCGCCCGCCCGCCGACTGGGCGGGGTCTCCATCCGGCTCTGCCACAATCCATTGCGTGTGCACCACCGTGGGAAACCCGCCCCCAAGCACCTACGCCATCAGGTCCGTTCCCCCGTCGTATCCTCCAACGCACCCCCGTCTCCCTTCCGTGCCCATTCACATCCTCCATTTCCACCTCTCCCCTACTCCACACCCACCTCTCACACCCCTTCCTCTCCCACCTTCGCACCTCCCCTTCCAGACGGGCAACATGGCAGTGCCCATCCCCGCGCGCCCCGACGCCCGTGGTGCTCCTGGGGATCTGGGTACGTGCCATCCCTCCGAAACAGTGTCAGCGACGGCAGCACAACACACACGTTGTCCCGCCAGCCGTCACCGACACCGACCTTTTTTATTTTTTCGTCATGCAGAGAATCAAGCTAACTGATCAGCACGCAGCCCTTCCTTGGCCACATCGGTCGGATCGGTGCCATCCTCGACAGCCTCGGCGCTGCACAACATTAAGCTCCTGACGGCGCTTCGTTCCGGCAACCCAGCCGATGTCCAGCCGTTCCTCGATGAACTCAAGAACGCGCCACAAGAATCCTCTGCCGGACGTGTCCTTGGGATGGCCGTCCAAGTCGCCTCTGGTGTGTACTGGTATGACACGGGGGACACTGCGTCCGTCTACGGAGCTTGGAGACGTACTGCTTCTGTGGCTCGCCACGGTCGCTTCGGACGCATCTCCGCCGATGTCGCTTGGCAGTTGCGAATCTCCTCTCTTTGCCCCAGACGCGTTGTTCCCCACAGACATTGCGCCTCGGCGCGCTCGTTGCATCAAACTGTGCTGATCCACTCCAGTGCCCATCATCGAGCTCGTCCTCAAGTCGCCAAACGTGCCCAACCCCAACGTCCCCGTCGCACCTGGCACCACGGCCACAGCTCTCCACGTCGCGAGCGAGATTGGCCGTCCCGAAGCAGGTACGTTACGTTGATCAGTTTCCGCAGCAGCAGAGTCTGGCGGTACCTCCCCCTTTTGCACTTGCCGCTGACTTGAGCCGCAGTTGCCCTTTTGCTCAGCGACCCGCGCGTCGACGACACGCTCAGAGACGAGAAGGGACGCACGCCCCTGGAGTGTGCCGCCAACCAGGACGTGGCCACTCTCATCGAGGGTGAGTAACATTCACATTACCACCCACAACCTCCACGCCACCACACACCTTTCTCAACCCTCCATTCCCTCACTTACACATACAATTGCAGATTCCCGCTCAACCCACCAAGTCCGTTTTATGAACCTCTTGACCGCATACGTCGCCAGTCCCCTGAGCTCCGTCGAGGAGAGTTCCAACATTGCCACTTTCCTGAACGAACCCCGCTCCGAAGCCGTCAATCTGAACGCCCTCGACGAGCGGACTGGCACCAGCCTGCTCCACGAGGCTGCACGGTAAGCTGAGACATCTTGACGCAGGACCTTGAGCTCACACTGCAGTCGTCGTGACCTGCGTCTTGTGGAGCTCGTGGTGAAGAAGGGAGCAGACGTGTTTGTCCGTGACCGCCGCGGCCGTCGCGTCCTGGAGCACGACAAGAGCGCCGACGAGCGCATCAAAGCGTACCTTCGTCAATGTAAGCTAGGTGACATTTGATGTTAGCTGACATTCACAGTTAGCAACCAGGACAGCGTCGTGCAGCCCAAGAGCGATGGCCGCCCGCCTGACCTCAAGGGCTTCCTGTCCAAGTGGGTCAACTACCGCCAGGGATGGAAGACTCGCTGGTTTGTCCTCGAGAACGGCGTGTTGAGTTATTGTGAGTCAGACCAGCCATGTGTGAACAGTACACAGCGTTGACCTCGCCCCAGACCGCAACCGCGAGGACGAGCACATTGCCTGCCGCGGTTCCATTGCGCTCGCCACCGCCTACCTCCACCCCTCGATTGATGGCAGCCGCTTCGAAGTGAGCTCGGCCGTGACCACCTCCGTCCCCAAGATTGTTGTCAAGTCGAGCGCTCGTGGCGAGATTGCTCGTTGGGTCCAGGCCATCCGTCTCAACATGGAGTTTTACCAGCACGGCGGGTCCAAGACCAGCCCGGCTCCGTCGTCGCGCGACCCTACCGGCAAGGGCAAGTACACCCCCAGCCTCTACTCCAACCAGGACCGTGCTGCCCTTGGCACGCAGATCAGCGAGCTTCCTCCTGCCGACGGTTTCCTCCACCCTGGCCTGAAGCGTTCCCCGACTGCCCTCAGCGGTATCAGTGTCAATACAAATGTCGGGAAACCCCAGGGCATGCGGCAGGTGTCGTCGCCCATGTCCACGACATCTCGCCGCCTCAAGCAGCATACCGCTCTGGGGCTCGGCATTGACCATGACACTGGCAGTGATGGCGCATCGACCAGTGACGAGGCCAGCGGCGATGAAAAGGACTCCGAGACCATTCCCCACGAGTCCGAGTATGAGCTGTCGATGAGGGAGCTCACTGCTCAACTCGAGGCCACGGAGCAGCTTGTCGGTTCCATTGTCACCCCTCCTTCTTCGTCTCAAGGCTCGCCCGACCCGTCACGCAGCTCCGCTCCTGTCTCGTCGTCGCGCCAGCATGAAGTCAAGAACGCCCTTCGCGAGTCGCTCTCCACCATTCAGCGCCTTGTCGCCCGTCAGGGGCAGATGACCCAGGACCGCGAAAAGTACTACGAGAGCCGCATCAAGCGCGAAGTGAACGCTCGCAAGCTGTGGGAGGAGAACCTCCTTGCCGTTGCGCAGCAGCAGCAGGAGACCGATCGCCAGCTCACCGAGGCGGCCAAGGACAATGAAAAGAAGCGGCGTGCGCTGCGCCAGGCGCGCAGTGTTCTTGCCGACATTAGTGCCAGCCAGCCCACGTCCCCCAAGATTGAGGGCGAGGACGGCGGCTATGTTGCTTCCCCTGGCATCATGGAGAGTGACTTTGCGCCGGCGCTCCCTCCTGCGCTCTTGCAGCACACTCTGCGTAGTTCCATCTCGCGTGGATCCATGTCGCGCCAGTCTATTTCGCGCGGGTCTCTTTCCCGCCACTCGGTCTCGCTGTCCAAGAACTACTCGCGCCAGTCGCTCAGCATACACGATGTCGACAAGGTCGTCGCGGCCATGGACGAGTCGGAGGATGACGATGACGAGTTCTTTGACGCCATCGAAACCAACACGATTCCCAACCTCAAGCTCTACGACTCGATCGCCCACCCAGAGCGTCCTGCTACTCCTACGGCCCCCCCACCGCACGCGGAGATTACCCCGGCCAACGAGCACACCATTGCCACCTACCTCGCCCGCGACAGTCTTGAGCCATACAGCCACGTCCGCCACAAGCTGCCCATTGACGACGACAAGCGTCCTGGTGTCAGCCTTTGGAGCATTCTCAAGTCGTCCATCGGCAAGGATCTTACCAAGATTACCTTCCCTGTCAACTTCAACGAGTGTACCTCCATGCTGCAGCGCATGGCCGAGGACATGGAGTATGACGCCTGTTTGACGGTTGCTGCCGGGGAGAAGGACCCGCTCAAGCGTATCGCCTTTGTCGCCGCCTTTGGCATGTCCAACTACTCGTCGACCATTGGCCGTATCGCCAAGCCCTTCAACCCCATGCTGTCTCAGAGTTTCGAGTACGCCATCCCTAACCGCTACCGTTACATCTCCGAGCAGGTCTCGCACCACCCTCCCATCTCGGCGTGCTACTGCGAGGCCCCCACTTGGAAGTACTATGGCGAGGTCGATGCCAAGAACAAGTTCCAGGGCCGCTACTTTGAGATTCGCCCCACGGGTGTCGCGCACTGTGACCTGATCATCCCCAGGGCATGGGTCAAGGACGGCGACAAGTACCCCGACGCCGGACCCGAGTACCCGGAGGGCTACGTTGTCGAGCACTATTCGTGGAAGAAGGTCATCACCAACGTGTCCAACTTTATCATGGGTAACCCGCTCATCGACCACTACGGTGACTTGACCGTCACCAACCACCGTACCGGCGAGACGTGTACCCTCACGTTCAAGCCGCGTACCTGGCGCGGCAAGGACGCCTTTGAGATCAAGGGCGAGGTGTACGACAGGCAGGGCGATTCGCAGTGGGAGATTGCAGGACGTGAGTACAGCTAAGTAGTTGTGTAATACGGTAAAGCTGATACCTTCAGGTTGGGACTCGCAGCTTATTGCCCGCCGCACGGGTATTGCCTCGGAGCCCCTCGAGTCCAACGAGGAAGTCGACCACGAGGACACGACAGAGTACATGCAGCTGTGGCGCAACACCACCAAGCCCAAGGCTCCCTTCAACCTCACCCCTTACGCCGTCACCCTCAACGACATTCCCAAGGGTCTGGAGGCCTACCTTGCGCCCACCGACTGTCGTCTGCGTACCGACATGCGCGCGTTCGAGAACGCCGAGTACGAGCGTGCGCAGTCACTCAAGACTGCCAACGAAGACCACCAGCGCGCGACCCGCAAGCTTCGCGCCGAAGGCAAGCTGCCGCAACACGAGCCGCGGTGGTTCAACCCCGTCACCGACCCCGACTCGGGCGAGCGCCTGTGGATGCCCAAGCGCGCCGACGACGGCGAGGTCAAGTTCTGGCACGACCGCGAGGCACAGGGCAGCCTGCCGGCAGGGCAGAAGTGGAGCGAGGTGGAGCACATCTTCGTTGACGACCAGTAAAACAGCAAAACGAATGTTGTGGCTGCTTCCTTTTTAATGACTTTGAACTCTTTTTTTTCTTGTCCCTCCTCTTCTTCTGAAAAGAAAATTAGTTTAGCTCCGTACACACGCGGGTCTTCTATCTCGCTGTTTGGTAGTTTTTGTGCTTTTCGAATAATGAAATCGTGTTGCGTCGATTGGGAAAGGCTGCCGATGTAGCGGACATTGACAGCGAGAACTGGCTTTTGCCACCTGATGGGCGCGCAATGTCAAATTGCTTCCGCTGCTCAGTGCAGGCCGATCCAACAACACCAGGTAAGAGTCCATCGCCTCATCGCCTCATCGACGCGTTCAACGTAACGCAACAAGCATGAAGTAAGTTATGGCCACGATGGGACAAGGCTTTTAGCTAACGATCAGCCGTGTTCGCGAGATCAACACGATCAACCAGCGCGAGCTCGAGCTCGGCGTCAAGGGCTCGTGGCACGACGAGTACAGAGGTGAGTGCTCCGGCCCAGCGCGCTACCACTCCACTGCCGTGAACTGACAAGCGTCCCAGACTCGGCCTACGTGTGGGTCGGCGGCCTCTCGTACGACCTGACCGAGGGCGACGTCGTGACCGTGTTCAGCCAGTGGGGCGAGATTGCCGACGTCAACCTCCCGCGCGACGCCGAGACGGGCAAGACAAAGGGCTTTTGCTTCATCATGTTTGAGGACCAGCGCTCGACCGTGCTGGCCGTGGACAACATGAACGGCGCGCAGGTCCTGGGACGTACCCTGCGGTGCGACCATGTGCGCGAGTATCGCCAGCCAGGGAAGAAGAACGAGGGCGGCGACTGGGAGCCCGCAGAGCAGCCGACGTACAATGCCCGGCCGAAGCCGCTCGACGGTGAGTGTCTGTGTCTGCTGGGATGGGGATGGCTGTTTGGAGGCGTGTGCTGCATCCCACTTCGGCTCTAGCACGCAATAGGGCCTCCTGGCGACCCACACCATGGCTCAGATTCATGCAGTCGCTGACGGCTCACGCAGACTCGGACGACTCGGACACGGCCTCCGAGGCCGAGGACGACGGCCTGGACGAGGAGGATCCCATGACAGAGTTCATCCGCGCCGAACGCGCCAAGCAGCTGAGCGGCAAGCGTAAACGCGACGAAAGCAAGGACGAGAAGAAGGCGCGCAAGGAGGCCAAGCGGGCGCGCAAGGCCGAGCGCGAGCGCAAGCGTGCCGAGCGGTCTGGCCGTGAGCGCGAGCGCGAGCGCGGAGACAGGCCGAAGAGGCTGGAAGACAAGGAGAGGGAGAGGAGGAGTGAGGGACGGGACAAGGTGGAGAGGGCTGAGAGGGTTGACAAGGCCGAGAGGGATGACAGGGAGAGGCGGGACAAGCGCGACTCCGAGGACCGCCGGGATCGCGACGGCGGTGACCGTGCGCGTTCGTCGCGTGATGATAGGGAGCGCTCGTCCCGCGACAACCGTGATCGCTCTACTCGGGACGACCGTGAACGCTCTTCTCGTGACGACAAGGAGCGCCCTCGTGACGACAGGGAACGCTCTGCTCGCTCCGACCGGGAACGCTCTACTCGCGACGACAGGGAGCGTTCTGCTCGCGACGACAAGAACGGTGTGAGGGACGAGGACCGTGGCGCCCGCAGCCGCCGCGACGACGACAGGCCACGCGACCGGTACCGCGATGAGCGGGATACCCGCGACCCTCGCGACTCTGGCGACTCCCGTCGAGACGACAGGGACCGTTATGACGACCGCCGAGACCGTCGTCGCGATGACCCGCGCGACTCGCGCGACCCCCGAGACTCTCGTCGTGACGAGAGGGACGACTCGCGATACGACCGCCGCCGCTGAACCAACCGGTTCCCAAGCGCCGCTCTTCTGTACACGCACCAAGCACACTCTGTCTCGCGCGTTTTATATCTCATGCGTGAAGGGTTGCCTGCATATGCCATTGTCTACATACACCACATCGTTACCAGAAGTCCTTGCGACGCTCGCGGACGGCACGAGCGGTCGCCTTTTTGTTGGGCCAGTTGGCCTGTTGCTCCTCGACGCGGTTGGCCTCAATGGCGAGACGCTCCGGCGAGCTACGGGCCACACGGCTGATCAAGTGCTTCTGCTCCTTGGGAAGCTTGAGCCTGTGGGTTTGGTCAGTCTCGGCTGCGACGTGTGACGCGGATGACAGAGGACGCTGAGGACACCCGCCTCGGTTGCCCTTGACTTACTTCTTGAGAATCTCTCCACGTGACCGGCCAGCAGCACGGAGCTGGGTGATCTGCCCAACCTGCTCCTCGGAGAAGGGCAGGCCGACACCGCGGGGCAGCTCGGCACGGCGGAGCGGCGCATGCTCCTCGCCCGTGACGGCGACGCCCTCGCCATCGATCCAACGGAGGAGGGCGGGCTTGGCGCCGGTGGTGTAGCTGGGAGCGGTGGGAGGGGGTGCGTGGTGGAACGTCAGGTCGCCCTCGAGCTTGGACGACGACGGGGTGGTGAAGGAGGAAGCGGGAATGTCGGACTCGGTCGCGAGCGCCTGGGGACGCGCAGTGTTGGTGCCTTCTGTCTTGCGCGGGGCGTGCTCGACGTGAGGACCCGAAATAATAGGGACACGAGGGGGGCGGGCGTGGTGCACGACTGTGCGCCGCAGGGTGGGTGCCAGCGAGGCGACGAGGGGACGGGTGGTGGCCATGACCATGGTGGTGTGTGTATGAGGTGTATGAAGTGGTCGTCGGATCTTTGAAAACGCCAAATGGAGGTGGAAAGAGGAATTACGTAATGGAGTTCAAAAGTAAAGTTACGTAATGTAATAAACGACCAGTTTTATTTTACGTAACTTCTGGTCTGGGGTACTTCCGTGGGAAAGTTTGTTCTTTGGCTTACCGTGGGAAAGGAGGCGACGGACAGCCCACAGGCCACAGGCGTCCAGGTGGCACCGAGGGCCCCGACTTCTATGCGACCATCCACAGAACCTAGCAAGAACCGCATACTCTTTCCCAGGACCTTACAACTGATTCAGAGCATACCTGGGTCAGAATACCATCTTGCTAAACCCTCACTCTGAGTCTCCGTTCCGGTGCTCTTCTAATACCAGCTGCAGCTGCACAGACACCTGCTCAGTCCCTGTCGCACCCTATTCATGTTGGCATCGTCGGTCACCAATCAGTGTATATCGTCCGTCGGTCACCAATCAGTGTATATCGTCCGCCGACACCAAATGCTGCTGCACGCTCGCACCACTGTTCTCCTGGGCAATCACGCCACAGGTCATACAGACTACCTGACCACGATTCCCCATCCAGGTCCAAGCAGCTGAGCGCACAGACAAGGAAGGTGTCTAAGGCGTGCCTCGGATGATGTTATCTGCACTCTTTCTTCTGTCGTGTGACTTGTGCGTTGACCTGGCTCTAACAGTGACGAGTGGCCAGATAACAAACAGATTGCTGATCCCAACAGGGCTTCTACCACCTGCCTCTTCTGCCCTCCTTGCAACTGTTTTTTTTTCCACTGGGCGAGCTCTCCTAAGCCTTGACTTGACCCAGGAGCAGCGGACATTCGTGGACCTTTGCCACACCAAATTGGAGCCTGAGTGCCTGGTGCTTGTGTTCCAGGATCGCCATAAGCAGGTCTAGTAACCGAGAGCAAACCGCAGTGTGTGTGGTGAATAAGGATCAGTGGGTGGACCAAACGTCGAGTGGAGTGGTGACAGCAACCTGGGACATTGACGCCGACAGTGATCGGGGCAGCTTTGGCGAGTCACCCGACAACGTTGCTGATGTAAACAAGGCCTTGTTGATGAACCTTGAACCTTGCTTGGCGTGGCCACTTTCAGACGTGGTCGCAGGGTATGGACCGGGTTGCAGACAGACGCCATCCCGGTCCACCGACTGCGCCACAGCTCACAGTCTGCAACGTTGACGTCAGTTGACTCAGATGAGCCGGTCGCCAACATAAGGTAGGTCGTCGCCACGATGTTATCCCAACGTCACTGCACACGGCGGCCACGTATAACGTACCGACTGCTCCAAGATGCGGAAGGCTGCATGGCCCTCGAAAGGTGAGGGGGGGTGGGGGGTCCGGCCTGCGGCCTGCGGACTGACAGTCTGGCGGCTCCTTATAGACACTGGTGGGCGGCTCCAACCTCGATCCCTCAATGTCAACAAGGACCCACGAGTGGTTGGCCGTCTCCCCTGAATGCGCCATGGTCGGATCCATTCCCCGACGGCCGTGACATGATTGAATTGAACGACTGCCCTAACCGAGGCGAGGCCGAGAACAAAGAGGATGGGCAGAAAAGCTTGTCTGGTCGACGACCTCGCGGCGAGTGTCAACACAAGGGCCGCGGGCACGACACGACGTGCGGGATGGTCGTGTAACAGTCTTGTTGAATCCTGGCCTTGGACACGAAATGGTCCATTAGTGGCAAACAGATCGGGCGGCTTTAGAGGCCTAGAGAGCTAGAGACGAGCAAGAGCAAGAGTGTCCCTGGTCTTATTGACGGCGAGATGACCTTTTTTTTTCTTGGCCCATTTGTCCCGCTATGCCAGCCCTCTATGCCCTCCCTGAGGGGATCATGAAGATTGATCTGGTGATCACAGGAAAAGCACATGGGAGGCCAAACTGTTGACGGGCTGGCGCGTAAGCGTGAGGGGTGAGTGTGAGGGCCGGGAGAGGGTTGAACGTGAGGTCATGAAGCGAGCGTGACCGTGCGGGTGGGGTGTACACGTCCTTGAGCTTCCAGGCAGAGCAACGCCACAGGCCGGGGTCCACCCAGCTCGGCATGCAGGCCATGCAGGTCATTTGCTGTACAGCTGTACAGGTGCGCCATTGTTAGCTTCCGCCGTATTTGGGCTGGTGGGTGGCCGTAGGTGGTGCGCCAGCGCGGCTGATTTTTCTCTCCCGATGGGCCCGGGGGAAGAGGTGGACGTACGCCAGCATTCCAACTGACGGTGAATTGTGACCAGCCATCGTGTTCCTGTACATGACACTTTGGCCAGCAAGCAGCAGCAAGCCAGCAGCAGGCCAGCAGCAGGCCAAGCGCCATCGCAGTTCCCGTTCATGACCTGTTCCCTGCACAAGTACTGAAAGCAGAGCAGCCAGGGCAGGTGGGTCGACCCAACCGACGCAGCATGTCGACCACCACAGGGCAATCACAGTTTACTGAACACGCCTCGTGCTGCGCGGGGGTGGGGTGGGGTTGTCGCCACCGCACCATGGTGCACGGCTCCAGAGGGACCAACATTGGCCTTGGTATTCAGGACACGCACACCACCTGTTCCATCAAGGCAGAGACTAGTGGCCAGCAAACCCGACGACGACGACGATGAGGGCAAGAAAAACCAGTCGCCCCCCTCTCCGCCCAGAGTCCCGCCACCACACCCTGTCCAGCCAGCCAGCCAGCCAGCGCCCACCCACGCATGGCTGACGGCACCCAGAGACCCACCATATAGGCATTCCCCCCACCGCATCTCCATTCTTCACTTCTCACTCCCCCTCATCCTCCCGACACATCCTCCCACGCACTCGCTAGTCGAGCTGCATCCACCCCTCACCTGCTTGACGCAGACAGCCCTGGCGGCATCCATCCTACTCTCCACCCCCTCCTCTCAGCACCCTCACCACCACACAGACACGTACCGACAGTTCTCTCCCTTGTTTGCAGCGCAACACAACAGAAACTTTACTCACCATGCGTCTTCCTTCTTCGGCCGGCCCGTCCCTCCTCCTCCTCCCTCTGCTGGCGACTTCTGCCGTGGCAGCCCCCAGCCTCCGTCGTCCTGGACACAACGGTCGCACCACAAAGGTCTTCAACGGCGAGCGCCGCGCCGGTGCCCCGATCGACCAGATCCTCAAGGCTGCCAAGTTTGCTGCGGTTAATGCCACCGAGGCTGACCCTTCATCCTCCGTCGAGGCGGCTTCGTCCTCGCAGGGTGCCTCAAGCACCACTGTCGAGGCAGCGACCATTACCGTGACTGCTGCGGACGCCAACCAGACCACGACCGCTGTCGTTGATGACTCGTCGGCCAACTCGACTGCTACCGAGACTGTGTCTTCTTCCCCAGTTGAGCCCACCGATAACGCCGTCAACGCCACTGCCACCAGTGTTGTTGACTCGACCGGCAACGTGACCGCCCAGGTTACTGCCACCGACTCTGCTACCGACTCTGCTACCGACTCTGCCACCGACTCGGCTGCCACCCAGTCGGTTGTGGGCGAGGAGACCACATCGACCTCGTCTGCTGGTGTTTCAAAGCCCACGTACCCTAGCCGCAACACGACTGGAACCGACACCGTTCCCAACGCCCCGGACCTCAGCAACTCGGACGTCTCCTCTGCTCAGTCAAACGCCGCCGTGTACGAGACCCTCACGTACACCCAGTACGTCGCCACCACGGTTACCCAGACCTCGTCCGCTGTTGTTACCCAGGCAGCCGCGACCTCGTCTGCTGCTGGCAGCGACGACCCCTACGCGCAGGCTCAGCAGATTGCCGCCCAGTACATCTCGTCGATGATGAACCAGAACATGGGCAAGTACCTCCCTACCGTCACCCTCGAGGTCGTGCTTGAGCCCACCCAGGAGGCCGATGGCTCTTGGGACTACATTGTTCACATTGGCCCTGACGGAACGGCTACGGCTTCCCCAACCTTTGTGGCCAGCACAACCGCCGCTGCGACTCCCACTAGCTCGACTGGCTCGAGCTACGTGCCCCCAGTGACGACCGTTGCCGACCTCTCTGGCGGCGCTTCGGCATCGGCGACCACTACCTCGTCGAACCAGTACCTTGTTCCGGCCTCCAGTGTCAACGTTATCGCGGCGTCGTCATCTACCGCCGCTCCCACGACAACTAGCGCTCCCGTCGAGGCCGAGGCCCAGGCCACCAGCTCGAGCGCATCGTCGGCCCAGCCTGTTGCTACCACCTCGTCTTCCCAGTCGGCTGCGCCTTCTTCGGATGCGTCGTCGAGCAACAACAGCAGTGCCGATGGCTCGGGCGATGACCAGACTGCCTCGACCGTCGACGGCTCGGAGCCCTCGGCCTCGCAAGAGTCGACCGACCCCACCGAGACGGCTACCCAGGAGGAGCCTACCCCCACCGAGGACGTCTCTTCGGCTGACCCAACGAGCGAGGCTGCCCCCAGCTCTTCGTCGTCGGCTGACGTTATCGTTCCCTCGTACCCTCCCCACATTATCGCCACTTCGGCGTCGGCTGAGCCTACCCCCGAAGTGAGCGACTCTGTTGACCCATCGACCTCGGCCTCGTCTGTCGACCCCTCCAGCACCGAGTCGGCTGCGGTTGTTCAGCCCACTGCCACCGTTGGTTCGGGCCACAACTACCCCTCGGGCGCTTTCCCTGCCGTCGACGAGTCTACCTCGGTTGAGCCCACCGCCACTGTTGACTCGACCGAGACTGGTTCGCCCGCTGTGGAGACTGCCATTGTTGACCCATCGGTCGAGCCCACTGTCACCGGAAACTCGACTGTCGTTGAGCCCACTGTCACCGGAAACTCGACTGTCGTTGAGCCCACTGTCACCGGCAACGCCACCGACGTTGAGCCTACTGCCACTGCTTCGCTCGAGCCCACTGTTACTGGCAACGCCACCGAGGTTGAGCCCACTGTCACCAGCAACTCTACCGAGGTTGAGCCTACTGTTACCGCTTCGCTCGAGCCCACTGTTACTGGCAACGCCACCGAGGTTGAGCCTACTGCTACCAGCAACTCTACCGAGGTTGAGCCCACTGTCACCGCCTCCGTCGAGCCCACCGTTACTGGAAACGCCACCGAGGTCGAGCCTACCCTCACCGCTTCGCTTGAGCCCACCTCAACTGGCAACGCCACCGAGGTCGAGCCTACTGTCACCAGCAACTCGACCGAGGTTGAGCCTACCTTCACTGCCTCTGTCGAGCCCACTGTCACCAGCAACTCGACAGACTTTGCGCCTACCGTCACTGCCTCTGTCGAGCCTACCGTTACCGGCAACGCCACCGAGGTCGAGCCTACTGTCACCAGCAACTCGACTGACGTTGGGCCTACCGTTACCGCTTCGCTTGAGCCCACCACCACCGGAAATGTGACCGAGGTTGAGCCAACTGCCACCGCCAACTCGACAGAGTCCACGGCTAGCGTTGAGCCCACTGCCACTGTTGACAACTCGACCTCTTCGGCTGTCCCCACTGAGTCTACCACCCAGGCTCTCCCCACTGTCGAGGAGTCGAGCACCAGCCTCCTGCCCACTGCCACCGAGTCGACCTCGTCGCAGTCTCCCAGCGCTACCGAGTCGATTGCCAACTCGACATCGACTCAGGCTGTCCCCACGGCTACGCCCACCGTCTCGGTTGAGGAGAACGACAACGGCATTGCCACCCTGTTCGAGACTGTGTACACCACTGTCAACTTCACCATGACCCGCTCTGGCACTGCTGCTGTCCCTACCGCGACCGACTCGGCCAACGTTACCTCGACTGCCGACCCCGTTGTCAACGCCACCTCGACTGTTGACCCCGTTGCCAACGCTACCCAGACCGTTGAGCCTACGGCGTCGGCCAGCGACGTTGTCAACGCCACCTCGACTGTGGAGCCTACTGTCAACGCCACCTCGACTGTGCAGCCAACTGCCAACGCTACTGCCACCGTGGAGCCTACTGCCAACGTCACTGCCACTGTCGAGCCCACCGCGACCTCGACTGTTGTCCCTACCGCCTCGGTGAACGCGACCTCGACTGTTGACCCCGTCTCGTCGGCTGAGCCTACTCTCAACTCGACAACCACTGTCGACGCCGTCCAGCCTGAGGCCACCACTTCGGCTTCGGTTGACCCGTCTTCGTCTGTCCCGGCCTCGGCTGAGCCCAGCGTCACCGAGAGCAGCACGTCCGAGGCTCCCCTGTCGACCTCTACTCCCTCGTCGTCTGTCGAGCCCACTGTCCAGACTACCGACTCTGCTTCGCCTGCCCCTACCGGCAGCGATGTGACCCCGACGTCCACCGCAACGACCGCCGAGGCTACTGCTTCTGAGATCTGCGCGCGTGACAGCTACTACGAGGACGACTACGAGATCCTCTGGGTCGAGGAGCACGAGATCCGTGCCGACGACGAGATCCTTGAGTAGGACAGCTACTTGAGAGGCGGAGAAGGAGACACACGGACTTTGTCGGCGGACTCTACCCCCTAGTGACTAGGCGGGTTTTCTTGGTAGTCAGTACATAGATACAAACCCCCCTCGCTGTGCTGGTTCACGGCTCCATACAGATGAATTATAGTGAGAATGTACGCGTGGTGCACCCTCCAAGAGCTGCAAACTAAAGAGGAACTGATCGACATTGCCGTAGAATAAGAGAGCAGACGCCACACGCAAAGTGCCACACAGGGAGCTAGCGCAACATCTGCACAGACTGGATCTCGTAGAGGAGAATAATGGCCCGAGAAGCATTGTATTCTGCGTCTGTGCAGCCTCGCGCATGCTCGTGCAGTCGAGTCCAGTCGAATGTGAAAAAAACTAGTCCCTAAATGAATGGTTGCATGTGAATATCTATGCTGCGCGTCTACTGAGTCCTCTTTGCCGCCTTGGCCGCCAAAGCCGCAGCCTTGGCCTTGGCCAGGTAGCCGTGGTTTTCGGGGTTGGAGTAGTACTCTGTGGGGAGGCGCTGTCAGTGTTTCGAGTTCATACCAGTGACATTGTCCCAGCTCACCAATGTCCGTCCTACGAATAGGCTCGGCGATCTTGATGGGCGAGTCAAACTTGTGGGGGAAGACCTCCTGGCGGAGGGCGAGGGCGTTGCGGTAGACGGCAGTGACCTTGCCGCCGGCGTCGATGACCGCCTGCGCCGAGCTCTTGGAGAAGCGCGAGAGCTCAAGCTCGAGCGCGGGCAGCGGCAGGTCGGGGTTGGGCGTGCCGAGGAGCTTGATGCCCTGCTTCTTCGAGAGGCCGTGCACAGCGTTCGAGTGGACGACGGTGCCAATGGTGATGGGCTGGCTGGGGTCGATGCGGCCCGACTGAATGAAGCGCTGCAGCGTGGCGATGGAGAGGGGCGCATACTCGCGCTTCATCTGGTTGACAAAGCCGCGCTTGGGGAACAGACGGGTGATGGGCGTCTGACCTCCCTCGAAGCCTGGGCCGGGCTTGCCGTTGCCGGAACGCGCGAGCTGACCCTTGTGACCGCGACCGGCGGTACCACCCTTGGTCGAACCCTGTCCACGACCGCGACGAGTGTTCTGGGGAGGTGTCAGTGGGTGTGTTTGGGGGAAGATGGCGTTGGTCTGGCAACGAGGCAGTGAGGGAACGGCAGAGGCAGAGCGGGACCCCCAGCGGCAGACAGATGTGGCGATCAAAACACCACACCCGGTAGGTTTTCTGCTCTCCAGCGATCGCCAGGCTCACGAGGAGCACAGTGAGGAGATGCTGAGGGAGAGGAAGAGACGCTGAAGGAGCGGGAGGTCGGGACACCCAACGATGAAGTGGCTGGACACTCCGTCGAACAGCCCAACGTTCCTGGGCCAATACTCGAGCCAACATGGGCACGATTCCAGGCCATTCTCCCGGGGAACCGCCTTCACAGTTTATTCCTCTCTCTCTCCCTTGCGCGTCTGCCGTGTCGCGCCAGATATCCTGCCAGACGTTCCGCTAGACGATACGAACAGTCTTGGTCGAGCCCTTTGCTGGGGCAAGGTTGCCGAGATGGATGGTAGACATGGAGCGCGAGCTGCCGGCGGTGGCAAAACGCGGGAGGCGGCTGGCGCCCGCCTCAAAGATGGCGGGGAGGGCGAAGAACATGGCGAGGGAGTGGTGAGGAAACGAGTTGTATGGATGTGTCCTTGCACTTCAAGCTCTGCTGGATGCTCTCGAAACAAAGTCGGAACATCCTGGACCTTTTGTGATAACGGGGTGTGCAGTGGGATTTCCTGATACACGTCATTTATTTTCCCAAAATGGAGACACTCGATCGGCGCGCACAAAGTTGGCAGAGCGAGAGAGCATTGAACGAGTCGAGATTGCTATACATTTCATTTCAACCCCACCCACCACTGCATGATCACAGGCCTTGCTCGCCGCGTGAACATCTTCCCACCACTCATCTCATCGGCCGCACACCAGCAACCTTCCCGGTTCCTCGCTCGTCGCCCGTCTCTACCCCTCACCTGCCCCAACGCTCCTCCCCCGGCTTCTTATCACAACCGCCTGTTCAGCATGTCTGCCCCCGACGCTGCCCTCCACAAGGACGAGGTCACCGGAGAGATGATCTCCAAGGGGTGAGTAGAGATAATGTCTGGGGAAGGGGGGTGCGAGTGGCAAGTCTTTGATGCTGGCGTGCAGAGCTGCGAAGTGCTTTTGAAGCCACCAGCTCTTGCTCTCACTGCCCCTGCCCTGCACAAGTAAAAGGCAAAATCAAAACCCGCAGCCTTACCCCACGCCAATGACGCGCATTGCTGATCATACGCGCAGTGAGCTCAAGCGCCGTCAGAAGCAGCGCCAGAAGGAGGCCGAGAAGGCCGCCAAGGCCGCCGCTGCCCCCGCGGTCGTTGCCAAGGCCAAGGCCGGCGCCGACGCCGACGCCGAGCTTGACCCCACCAAGTACTACGAGATGCGCTCGGCTGCCATCAAGAAGTTCCGTGAGACCAAGCAGCCCGACCCCTACCCCCACAAGTTCCACGTTAGCGCTGGTATCCCCCAGTTTGTGCGCGAGTGGGGTGTCGAGGGCAAGGTCCCCGAGGGCCAGACCGTCGAGGTTGAGCAGCCCATTACCCTTGCTGGTCGTGTTGTCTCGATGCGTTCCAACTCTGCCAAGCTCCGCTTCTACGACATTCGCGCCGACGGTGTCAAGGTCCAGGTCCTTGCCCAGGCCCAGAACGCCCCCAACCTCGACGACTTTATTGCGTCGAACGACATCATCCGCCGTGGTGACATTATCGGTGTCACCGGTAAGCCCTCGCGTACCAAGGCCGGTGAGCTCTCGATTGCCGTCTCCGAGGTCAAGCTCCTTTCGCCCTGTCTCCACCAGCTTCCCGGCCGTGAGGGTCTGGTTGACGTCGAGACCCGCTACCGCAAGCGCTACCTCGACCTCATCGTCAACAACAACACGCGCGACATTTTCATCACCCGTTCCAAGGTCATCAACTACATTCGCAAGTACCTTGACTCGCTTGGTTTCCTCGAGGTTGAGACCCCCATGATGTCGTTGATGGCTGGTGGCGCCACTGCCAAGCCCTTCATCACCCACCACAACGACCTCAAGCTTGACCAGTACATGCGTATCGCCCCCGAGCTCTACCTCAAGGAGCTTGTTGTCGGTGGCCTCGACCGTGTGTTCGAGATTGGCCGTGTCTTCCGTAACGAGCAGATCGACATGACCCACAACCCCGAGTTCTCCATCTGTGAGTTCTACATGGCCTACGCGGACATGTACGACCTCATGGACATGACCGAGTCGATGATCTCGGGCATGGTCAAGTACCTCACTGGCGGCACCAAGGTCACCTTCCACCCCAAGGGCAAGGCCGACGAGAAGTCGTACGAGATTGACTTTGCTACCCCCTGGAAGCGCTTTGACATGATCGAGGAGCTCGAGAAGCAGCTCGGCGTCAAGTTCCCCCCCGGCGACACCCTCCACACCGAGGAGGCCAACAAGTTCCTCCGTGACATTTGCGCCAAGCACAACGTCGACTGCTCCGAGCCCAAGACCAACGCTCGTCTCCTCGACAAGCTCGTCGGCGACTTTATCGAGGTCCAGTGCATCAACCCCTCGTTCATTGTCGGCCACCCCCAGGTCATGTCCCCCTTGGCCAAGTACCACCGTTCGCGTCCCGGACTTTGCGAGCGCTTCGAGTGCTTCGTCGCCACCAAGGAGATCTGTAACTCGTACACCGAGCTCAACGACCCCTTCGACCAGCGCGAGCGCTTCGAGGAGCAGGTCCGCCAGAAGGAGCAGGGTGACGACGAGGCCCAGGGTGTCGACGAGACCTTCCTCAACGCCCTCGAGTACGGTCTCCCCCCTACCGGTGGCTGGGGTCTCGGTATCGACCGTCTTGTCATGTTCCTCACCGACAGCGCCAACATCAAGGAGGTCCTCCTCTTCCCCGCCATGCGCCCTCTCGGCCAGAACCCCACCGCCACCGAGGCCGCTGCTGCTGCCCCCGCTGCCGCCGCTGAGGAGAAGGCTTAAATGTAGTGTCCGCAGACGTAATCTACTACTACACAGATCAGATGCAGTGCTAGGATCCTAACCTTTCGGCGTGTGTGCCGCTGCAGACAACACAGGCTCCCACAATTGATGAGGGTAGGAAGACTGACTTTCCATGTGCTTGCACTTGCGCCACGAACATCTCCCAGCCACGAACACGACCAATGTACCACTGTAGACCACCCGTACCAGCCAAGCCGCAATCTGCACCGAGTCGAGCTCTTCTCGACTCGATATAATGGCTGGAGCCCTTCTCAACTGGATCTGTTGGCTGTGGGACGCATCAACATACCACCGGCCCTGTGTGAATAACCGTTTTGGAGTCGACACGGCTAAATAAACAGGCAGATTTCGTCACCAAATTTCCGCAACCTGTGGCTGAACTAACACATGCATTTGGACCAAGATTGACGAATTGTTTTGATTTTTCTCTCGCTCTCTCGTTCGCCCACTCGTTTTTTGTTGGAACGGCACATGGAGTGCTGCTCAAGAAATGCTATCGTATCCCGGGTTTGTCCTTGTCCCACAAAGGAACATGAAAATCTATCTTTGTCTCCTCCACCGTCTATCTCCTTCGCCCCTCCACCTCCTCCTCCTCCTCCTACACCTCCTCCTGGTTTCGCTCACGCTCAGCGCCTTACTTGGCGGTGGCGAAGGCGTAGGCGTTCTGGAACATGCGGAACCAGGGGCCCTTGCCCTTCCACTCGGCGCGCTTGTCGGCGGGGAACCACGAGTTGGACTCGGCGGCAACGACACGCTCCGGGTGGGGCATGATGGCGAGGACGCGGCCGTTGGGGGTCTGGATGGCCGAGATACCCTCGGGCGAGCCGTTGGGGTTGAGGGGGTACTGCATGGTGGGGGCACCAGTCGAGTCGACGTACTGGACAGGGATGAGGCCCTGCGACTTGAGACCGTCGAGCGAGCCGTGGGTGTTGAACGAGGCGCGGCCCTCACCGTGCGCGACGGCGACGGGGAGACGGGCACCCTCCATACCGCGGAGGAAGACGTTGTTGGTGGCGGCCTCGGTGATGCCGACGGTGGCGACACGGCCCTCGAAGCGCTCCGAGCGGTTCCACTTGAAGTTGGGCCACGACTCGGTGCCGGGGATAATGTCGGTGAGCTGCGAGAAGAACTGGCAACCGTTGCAGACACCGAGGGCAAAGGTGTCCTCGCGAGCGAAGAAGGCGGCAAACTCGGCACGCGCGGTGGGGTTGAGGAGGACAGACTGGGCCCAGCCGGAACCGGCACCGAGAACGTCACCGTAAGAGAAACCACCACAGGCAGCGAGACCGGCGAAACCGGCGAGCGAGAGCTTGCCGCTGATAATGTCGCTCATGTGCACGTCAATGGCGTCAAAGCCGGCAGCGTGGAACGACCAAGCCATCTCAATGTGGCCGTTGACACCCTGCTCGCGGAGAATGGCGACCTTGGGGGCAGCGGTGAGGGAGCGCTCAACGTCGGCAAGGAAGGGGAACTTGACGTCGTAGAGGATACCAGTGTCCTTGTCGTCGAGGATGGCGTCAAACTCCTGCTTGGCGCCGGTAGGCTCGTCACGGAGCGCCTGCATGCGGTACGAGGTCTCGGCCCAAGCCTGCTGGAGCTCACCACGGGTTGAGGTGAAGATGACCGCACCACCCTGGATAACGTTGATGGCCTGGTTGTCGCGGCCGAGAACGCGGCCGATGGAGTGGAGGCTACGGGTGGGGAAGCCGGCCTTGACGAACGCGTCGGTGAAGGCAGCGAGGTCGGCAGTGCGGACCTGGAAGAGGGCACCGAGCTCCTCGTTGAAGAGCGCGGCGGAAGCGTCCGTGGTGGTAATGGCGTCGACAGCGAGCTCAATACCGGTACGGCCAGCAAAGGCCATCTCGGTGGCGGCAGTGAAGAGACCACCGTCCGAGCGGTCGTGGTAGGCGAGGACAACGTCGGTCTTCTTGAGCGCGTGGGTGGCGTTGAAGAAGGCCTTGAGCTCGGCAGCATCCTCGACATCGGGAGCCTCGTTACCGAGCTGCTTGAAGACCTGGGCAAGAGCCGAACCACCAAGACGCTGCTTGCCCTGGGCAAGGTCGGCAAAGACGAGCACAGTCTCGCCCTGGTCGGTGCGGAGCTCAGGGGTCCAAGTGCGCTCGACGTTGTCGACGGGGGCAAAGGCAGTGACGATGCACGAAAGGGGGGCAGTGACCTCCTTCTTCTCGCCCTTGGCACCAGGCCAGCGCATCGACATGGACATCGAGTCCTTGCCGACGGGGATACCAACGCCGAGAGCGGGGCAGAGCTCGAGACCAATGGCCTCGACGGCCTCGTACAGGCGCGAGCCCTCACCCTCGGTGCTGGCAGCAGACATCCAGTTGGCCGAGAGCTTGACCTTGGAAAGCTCGAACGAGGCGGCGGCCAGGTTGGTGAGCGACTCGGCGACAGCCATGCGGGCCGAGGCACCGGCCGAGAGGAGAGCGAGGGGAGTACGCTCGCCCATGGCCATGGCCTCACCGGCAACGACGTCAAAGCCAAACGACGAGCGGGTGACGGCAACGTCGGCGACGGGGACCTGCCAGGGGCCGACCATCTGGTCACGGGTGACGAGACCAGTGATGGAACGGTCACCGATGGTGATGAGGAACTGCTTCGAGCCGACCGAGGGGAGGCGGAGGACACGCTCGACGGCGCTGGCAACAGCCGCGTCGGGGGCGTAGGTCTTGAGGGTGGTGTCAAAGGCAACACGAGGAGGCGACACGGTGGTAGCGTGACGGTGCATGCGGGGGGGCTTGCCAAAGAGGACCGACATGGCAATGTCAATGGCGTTGTCACCAAGGAGGCGATCGGTAACGACGAGGCGCTCCTCCTCGGTGGCGATACCGACAACGGCGAAGGGGCAACGCTCACGCTTGGCGATAGCCTCAAAGACGGGGAGGTTCTCCGGGGAGACGGCAAGAACATAACGCTCCTGCGACTCGTTGCACCAGATCTCCATGGGGGACATCTTGGGGTCGTCGACGAGAACGTCGCGGATCTCAAAGATGGCACCGAGGCCAGCGTCGTGGACGAGCTCGGGAAGGGCGTTCGAGAGACCACCGGCACCAACGTCGTGGATCGACTGGATGGGGTTGAGGTCACCACGGTTGACACAGGCGTCAATGACCTGCTGGCAGCGACGCTCCATCTCGGGGTTCTCGCGCTGGACCGAGGCGAAGTCGAGGTCAGCAGACGAGGCACCCGAGGCCATCGACGAGGCGGCACCGCCACCAAGACCAATGAGCATACCAGGGCCACCGAGGACGATGACCTTGGCACCGGGAGTGATCTTGTCCTTGAGACAGAACTGGGGGCGGACCATGCCGAGACCACCAGCGATCATGATGGGCTTGTGGTAACCGCGCCACTCGGGCTCGCCGTTGGGCGAAGGGACCTCCATGAGGAACGAACGGAAGTAACCGCCAAGAGCGGGACGGCCAAACTCGTTGTTGAAGGCAGCGGCACCGAGGGGAGCCTCGAGCATAATGTCAAGGGCCGAGGCAATGTGGCTGGGGCGGCCAACATCGCTCTCCCAAGGCTGGGTGGCGCCGGGGATGAGGAGGTCCGAAACGGTGTAACCGGCGAGACCGGCCTTGGGCTTGGAGCCACGGCCAGTAGCACCCTCGTCACGGATCTCACCACCCGAACCAGTAGCGGCACCGGGGTAAGGCGAGACGGCGGTGGGGTGGTTGTGGGTCTCGACCTTGATGAGGATGGGCATGGCCTCCTGGTTGGCGTCGTACTTGTTGTCCTGGCTGGCACCGTCGACAGCAAAGCGGGGAGCACTGTAGCCCTCGAGGATGGCAGCGTTGTCGTGGTAGGCCGAAATGGTACCGGCCGACTGGCAAGCCTTCTCAGTGTTACGGATCATGCCAAAGAGCGAGTTCTCCTTGACAGCGCCGTCAATAGTCCACTCGGCATTGAAGATCTTGTGGCGACAGTGCTCCGAGTTGACCTGGGCGAACATGAAGAGCTCGGCGTCGGTGGGGTTGCGGCCAGCCGCGACAAACGACTCGACGAGGTAAGGAATCTCAGCCTCGGAGAGGGCGAGACCGAGACGGACGTTGGCCTCCTCGAGAACCTCGCGGGGGTTCTCGGCACCGACAATCTTGACGGTGACAAGCGGGTCCGGGGTGGGGTGCGAGGGAGGGAAGACGGTCTCAGCCTTGGGGATCGACGTGTAGACAATCTGGGTCATACGGTCGTGGATCGAGTGGAGGTGAGGCGCGAGCTCGGGGAGCGTGAGGGGCTTGCTCGACGAGAAGAGGTAGAGCGCGCCGCGCTCCAGACGCTGGACCTGGTTCTCAAGGCGACAAAGCTGGGCAATGTTCGTGGCCTTGGACGACCAGGGAGAAATGGTCCCCGCGCGGGGCAGGACGTAGAGGGCAAGAATGCCCTCAGTGCCCTTGCCCTCCGCAGCCAGGAATGCCGTGGTTGACTCGAGACGCTCGTCGTCACCGTAGGCGAGGAGCTGGTCGAGGATGGCACGCTCAGCCGAGCCGGGGGTAGAGAGCACCTCACCCGCCGCCTCCGAGGTGGGGTTGACAAGGTGAAGGTGCACGGCATCGATCGCCGTAATGCTCGGGACAGCAGCCTGGAGAGCCGCAAGGAGCACGGCGCGCCTGGAGGGCGTGACAGCCGACGAGCCGGAGAGGACGAGCATCCCTAGACCGTCAGTGAACTGGGTCAGTGGGAGCGATTCTCACTGAGAAGCTAGAGTCCAAGTGGACGGTTTGGGTGGGGGGTCCCGAAAAAGGGGGGTAGAGGAGGGGGAAGAGAGTATGGAGATGAAAGAAAACCGAGATATTCGAGAGTTGAGTCGTTTATGGGCCCTTTCCCTAGCAAAAAGGCGGGGATCCGCAACATAGCGGCGAAGTTTTCAGTGTGACAACAGCAACATTAGGACGTCGGCCAGTCACGTGACTTGAGTGGTATAGAATTCATATTGGCCGTTAAGGAAATGGGAGTGGTATTAGAACAGGGTTGGCGGTTGGGTCTATTTGCAGGGAATAATAGCTTCCGTCCCGTCGCGATTTCCAGGCGCGTCATTGGGGATTTTGATTCCGTCCAGCATTGTGCGCGCGTCCCACTGTTGTTGCCACGCCACTCACAGCCCGTCCACAACGTCCACCTGTGCTCCCCAGTCTATCATCTCCGCCTAGTGCTCGGCCTACACCATGGGAGGTAAGCTTAAACATGGACGGACCAATAAAGCTAACATAAAGTCACATTCTCGAGCCTGTGGTCGCGCCTCTTCTCCAAGCGCGAAACAAAGGTCCTCATCCTCGGTCTCGACAATGCTGGCAAGGTACGGACCGCTACGAGACCCACATTACCAGTGCCGGTAGCTCGTAGCTCCCAGCAGTTTGAGCTGACATTCGCTAGTCGACCATCCTGTACCGCATCACCATGGGTGCTGTCGTGGCGTCTGCACCCACCGTCGGCTCCAACCACGAGATTTACGACTACAAGGGCGTGCGGTTCGGTCTCATCGATCTTGGAGGACAGAGCTCGCTGCGGTCATCCTGGAGCCAGTACTTTGCCGACACCGAGGCCATCATTCTCGTCATTGATTCAAACGATGCGGCGCGCTTGAGTCTGGCCAAGACAGAGCTGCAAAAGCTGACCAAGGCGGATGTAAGTGGCTGCCCATGTCGCGTGTTGGACAGCCAGCTGACCCGTTCGCAGGAACTGCGCTCGTCTCTCCTCCTCGTCCTCGCGAACAAACAGGACCTCCCCGCAGAAGAAGGTCGCCTCACCCCGGCCCAGGTGTCGGAGGCATTGGGACTCACCGACCTGCGTGAGCGCGAATGGCAGATCATGGGCTGCAGCGCGCTCACTGGCCTGGGCTTGATGGAGGGCATGGACTGGCTTGTCACCAAGCTCGAGGCCAAGTGAGCAGGTCGATGCGAGGGTCACGTCGCACCGGCGGCGACGCGACAAAAAGTGAGTGTGTTAGGCGGGACGCCAAGGACTATTCATGTCCGCCAACACTGCACCGATGGCGAGCCACATGGACTAGATGGTCGCCTGGGTGCAACTTGTATGATTATCTGCAGCGCATGTATTCGCTGGTTGTGCAAAGTCCTAGAGGCCCGAAGGGCCAAGAGGTCGTGAACGCTGCCGGTGAGCGCTTCTCATGTCTGCGCGGAATCAGTGAGGTGCGCGGACTGGCAAAGGCAATTCAATCCGTCGTCGCCTGCCGCAGGGTTGGTCACCATTTACAGGTGCACTCCTTCACATTATGACTGCTTTGTACTGTACATTACACCTCCACACCTCGGCCTACGACCATCCCGCGGCATTGCTGTTGCTTTCGCGGCTGATTCCGCTGCGCGGCCAGTCGGGGTACTCGCCAGTCTTCTCGTTCCAGAGGTGCATGGGGAAGTAGCACATCTCCTCGGCGTCAAAGTCGCACAAGCCATACGTTCCAGGCTCCTTGTTGACAGCGTCGTAGTACTTTTTGCCACAGGCAACGACAAAGCCACGGTTGTAGAGGAAGCCATCGTCGCTACCGTCCAGGGCCTCGTGCACGTCCTCGCGGTCGATGTCGTACTGCGCGCGTTCGAGGTGCGTGTCCCATTCGTGCAGGCGCTCAGAGGAGTATGGTAACAGCAAGGCCTTGAGGTTGGCGAGCATCTTGTCAATGAGACCGTTGGATCCGAGGTGTTGGGCAGCCTCCTCACGCTCGCTGTGCGGGAGGGTGGCGTCGACGAGGCGTGCACGGGCGCCATCGTCCTCGATGCCGTGCCAGGCAGACTCGAGCGTAGCCCAAAAGTCGTCCTTGGTGACCGGGGGTATGATGGTGACGGTCATGGCTGGGCGAAAGGAGTTGGTGAAGACGTACAAGAGCGATGGTACTGTATTGGTTTCTGGTGCAGCGCGTCTTGTGTAGCGCGTCTTGGCGTCGTGGCCGGTCCTGGCAGGTCAACACCGAGATGACGTAATAGAGAGCAAGGTCCACTCAACCACCGTGGACTGTGGTACTGTGGGGTGAGGACAAAGGATGGACGAGCGAATCGACGCGTTCCCAGCGCCTGTGGCCTGTGGCCTGTGGAATAGCTTATGGGTGCTGCCCGGGAGTGGAGTATTGCTTGGGCAGACACGGACAACAATATGATGTTGTTGTTCGTGCAGTCATCATCTTTGCTGCTGCAGCCACCTCTCCCTGCGGCGATCTGACTCCCGCGGTGGCCTGTGAATGGCCCATTGGTCCTGACAGTTACCAGCAAGACAGTTGACGGTTGGATCTGTGACGCCTGCGCTAGACACGGCGCAGTGGGGTAGCAGGCAGACTGGGACGCGACTGGAAGTGTTTGTAGTGGGGTTATGGGAGAACACACTCGCTGTTCACTCACTGCTGCGACATTCAGCCCGCCAGCGAGCCAGCGGGGCCCTCGTCCAGCTAGACGTTGACCAGTCTTGGTGCACTTGTTGAAGACGAACGTTCCACCTGTGGCCTGTGGCCACCTGCGCTCCAAACTCGGGATCGCACGTTCGCGCATGCCCAAGCCGGGAACGGTACCTGTTGATCGCCACACGGGTTCTTGCGACCCGACCGGCTATCACGCAGGCTAGCGCGTTGGACGTCGGACGCGTGCAGCTGCCCATGCACACGCCTGTGCTGAGCAGCACCAAGCTGTGGGTACAAACAACAGAGACTGCATAAGATCAACACAACAACCCTCGTCGGGTTGGCTCTGCGCATGGGAAGTCGGCCCGCCAGGTACTGCGTTCTTATCGCGAATCCAAAGCGAGGCGTACGGCATCGGCACCATTGCCGGACACGGCCGATCGGCACACCTCCCCGTTGCGGTTGTTGTTGTTTGTCCAGACGCCAAGTGCCATTTTCGTGGGAACATGGACATATGAATGATGCAGCCCACCCCCACCTGTGCAACGCAATGAATGGCTTTGAGTCAGTCTCTTGATCTCTGGATCTTTCTGAATCTCTGGTGCTCTGGTTGTTGCTGCAGTCGCGTTGTTGGGGCCACAGGGTGCGGCTATCTCCAACGCCGGGGCGTTAACGCGGGGACTGTTATCAGGAGGAGCGCGTACACCCGCGCAGTCTCTCCAGGTTGGTTTGTCTGTTGACTCTTTGGCCAGATACACACTACCCGGGACGCGTCGATACACGACGAGCAAGCACAACACCGCCCCAGGCTGCCCGAACACACTACGACGGTACACATACTCTGGCGTCACCCCCGATTTCCGAGTCCCCGGTTCTCTTCTCTGGATCTCTGGACCGTTGTCGCCACCTTCCTTTGCTTCCCGCTTCTCGGGCAACCCCCGCGTTGCCACCGGCCCGCCCCCGCCAGCCCCCACATCACCCGCATCACCCGCATCTCCCATCTCTCTCTCTCTCTTCCCCTCTCATCTGTTCCACATCCCTCCTCTCCACCGACTCCGTTCACAACGTGTACACCCATCTCGCTCACCACATCCAACCACCACACGCCACTACACCTACCCCCCTGTTGCCACCCACCATGCCCATCCCCCCGCGCCCAATCCCGACCGCACCGGCCCACTCGCGCCGCCCCGCTGCTCGCCCAGGTGTGGTGACCCGCAAGGAGCACAAGGACCACCGCGGGTCTCTCCACTCGCTCGTCGCCGACAGCCGCGCCGAGATGCAGCTGTTGCCGGCGTTCGGGTCCTCGGCACCGCCGCTCCATGGCATCCGCATCACGGCCGGCTCCCCCTCGTCCTCGGGGTCGAGCACTCGCGCCTCCACGCCTCCGGCGGGGTTCCCATCGGCCGCGTCGCGCGAGGTGGCCCTCACCACGCTGATGATGGACGGCCGCGGTCGGCCCAAACGCACGGGCGCCGCCGCCCAGCTCGGGTTTGACTTTGTTCCGCGCCCCGAGGTTGTGGCAATGGGCGACAACGAGTCCATAACACCTCCAGCCGTTACCGAGCCGGTTCCGACCCCTCCCCGTCCTTCTCTCTGGCCTTGGTCGGCCTTGTCAGCAGCTACGTCGCCTCGGCCTGCTGCTAGCCCACTCGTGACGGCTGTCGAAGTGGGAGAGCAACTAGCCGAGGCGCCAGAGCCTCGTCTTGCGGGGCCGGCCACACCCCCTCTGGAGCCTACACGTCCCGATGAAGACGACGATGACTGGGAGCACGTCTACGTCGGCGTCGACGATGACGACACGGTCAGTATTGTAGGCCAGCTGGAGCTCGAGGAACCTCCTGTCAAGCACGAGAACAGCAAGCTCCACCCTAGTTATGCCGCGGCGGCCACGATCAACACCTAAGGCCCAGGTCCTGGAGCAATAGCCCAACAACATCAAGAGTGTGTAAGAGAGAGAGAGAGAGAGAGATCTGGCGACGTGTCTGTGTGTCTTCCCCCCGCGCTCGAGAGCGTATTGCATTTATTCAACGAATCAACGAGAAACCCCCATATCATCGACTCCCGGTAGTCACCCCCCCAACGCCTCAGCTTGGCAGACCTTCGTGGTTGCCGTCTTTATTAAGTTTGTAGAACCGTAACGCCCCCATGGATATCCCAGAGATTTTCCACCCATGACTCTTGTGCAGGTAGTCCGATTGAGTGGTGACACGGTGTTGAACGTTCAGTATCGGGCCCAGTGACCTCCCCAACCAGCCACTTGCCCGTGATACAGCCATCGCATAACTTTCGCTGCCTTGGGAACAGTAACTAGAAAGAGGTGTAAAGTAAGCCGTTGGTATGATCTACATGCCCTTCAGTGATCAGTGAAGCATGTCGAAGGTGAAAGCTGAAGACAAACACAGACGCTGCACTCGGAGGAGCAGCGATGGCCTCGTCGCGCGCCTCAATGACGCAGCAACGTGTGTGAGATGTCACGTGATGATCCCAACGCTGCTGCTGACGCGCGATTTGAATGGTTGGTTTCAGGCTCTTTGGTTTGAACGAGGACCACTTTACGTTATGATGTTAGGAACACCCACGGATTACGGCCCACGGAGTAATGACGCATTAGCGTGAATCCAACAAAATAGGTTTAGGTGAAACACGTAATAGAGTTTGCGACCGTAGGCGGGCGGACATTACGCTGCGTTTATCTTCCGGTTGCAATAACACAGTATCCCCTCGACTGGGTGCACGCCGACATGACACAGTGAGTTCTCCGAGCGCACCAATGCAGCCTTGCCAGCTTCGCTTACTTGAATACAGTCACATTCCTCTGGACTCTGGCTACCTGCGTTGGCATGCATCTCTCGCGGTGGTGCTCTACGCCAGGCCGTCTCACTGCGCTGCATGTGATACGCACAGCGTCTTTCAACGTTCCAGTTGCAATCACGACGAAGTTCCATTTGGGCCAAGCTGCCAGCTGGCAGGAACGCGAGACCTTATCACCTCGTCAGACATGGAGGGGCTTCTGGTTGCCTGGAAGCTCTGGTGGCTACAGACAGGCGCGACGCGTGCGCCGACGCGACGCGGTTCCATCACCAAACTGACTGAAGGTGGCTTGTTGGCCTGAACCACCACTCCCAAGTGTCTCGACGGCGAATGCTGACACAGTAACCATTGGAACGCCCTTGTGTCTTCGTCGCCTTTCCAACTTGGGGGCCAACTTGGGGTAGAGGGATTCAATCCGACACTTGCCCGCGCGTGCGCACCTGCTGAGCTGGAGGCTCGGTGGCCACCCTACTCCAAACCTTCCCCACTCGCACTCTGTCCCTCTTATCCCTCTTATCCCTTTACGGCCAACATGGGATAACTCCCCTTGCCGCACCAGGGTGTTTACCACACTCTGATCTTTCCTTGACTTGCAACGCAGGCAGGGACGGAGACGACTCCGAGTCGCAACCTCAGACGTGTGTGGGCACCACGAGCGGATTCCCGGCTCGCACTTCGTTCCACCAACACGGCTCGACACTTACGGAAGGACAACTCCTCCAGCCTGGCGAGCCATGCAAGCCCAGAATACTTTGCTGTCCGCAATATCAGGCCTAGAGCCTGAATCTCCAACGTCTCCTCGCTGCCTGGCCACATCAGCATCAACCATATCCCATCGTCGCCACGCTCCGTCATCCAACGGAACTGCTCCCACTTCTCAGCTGTGTTCCGCCCACGTCTGCAACGCACCATGAGGCGCTGGAACACCATCCCCTTCATCGTGGTGGTGACAGTCGCACTCATCCTCTTCAGCGGATACCATGGAACCCGCTACACGTACTCGCGACCGTCCAAGGTCAACACCTGGTGGCCGCAACGGGTCGGTCTCTTCCCGGACAGTAATGACGACCATCGCGGCAGGTACAATGTCGGCGACGACGAGCGCCGAGCTGCCGCAAAGTCGCTCTTTGTCCTGGAAAAGGTCCCAACTGGCCTCCGAGCCCAGGGGCAGGAGCACTACAAGCTCTACTCGGAGAGCAAGCTGCGCTGGCTCACTGCTTGCATGGCCCGTGGCGACTGCCCCGAGAATGCGGACAAGGTGAGCACCGGTTTGGGAGCGAGGCTCGTGTGACATGTGAACACGAGTGCCAGGGCGCCCATACGCCGCACACGGGTGTGTGTCAACTCACCGTGACTTCATGCCGGCTAACGGTCCATGGGTGTTGGCTGGTGGGAGGCAGTCGAGACTGACAGGAACAGATTGTGGTGTTTTCCGTGGTGCACTGCGACTGGGCGTACTTTGGCAAGTACTTCGGTGGCGAGGGCGTATGGTGAGTGGAGCACTGCAGGAAGGTCAAACGATGCTTGTGGGATTGAGAAGTATGATGTATGCGCTTCTGCGACGCTATGCTGACTCTTGTGCAGGTGTAAGGCAATGGTGAGGGGCTTGAACAAGTGGCGCGAAAGGGCACCAATCCGCGGCGCCGATCAGTTCGGCGGGTCGGATTTCTGCCCGTGCTTTACGATGCCGCTCCTTCGCCGACTGGCCAACCTTGACTGACATGCTCAGATCAATGCACTCGAGGGCATGGGCTTCACTGTCCTGCATGCAGGCCCCGCCGACTTGGGTATGTTCACGTTGTCCCTTCGGTCCCTTCCGCCACGTCGCTTGAGCGGCCCACGTCTCACCGACGACGAGGCAGCCACTTCCGCCTTCCACCACATGGTAGCACCCATTGACATCTTCTAGCCTACGCGGAACATCTGTATCGCCAGGTCGGTGACCTCATCAGAGTCGTCATTGCCAACCACCATGACCAGAAGGGTCTTTACACCTACTTTATCAAGTCGGACTCGAAACCCGACAGCATTCCGGCCTGGAAGGTGAGTGCCTCCGCACAAGGACCAGCGAATGAGTGCTGCGCGTGGTGGCTGACATGTCACAGCACTTCCGGTTTACGTACTTTCCTTCCTTGGCAGGAACCATTGTTGGCCAGCAGTGGGTGGTCTGCGCCGAGCCGCCTTTCCTCCAGTCCGATTCTGGTAACTTCAACAGTGAGTCACTTTTCTTTCGTCGTACCATTCCGGAAGCCACTGTGTCGGCTTTCCGGCTGGCAGTCTTTGGTCGAGACGTCTCGAGGTTGTGTAGCCGGGGACGTTCCGTGGATCTGTGGGCGCTCGGTACCGCCTGTGTTCTGCCTTGCGGCCTAGATGCGCTGGTCTTGTCTGACCCATACAGACTTTACCTACCTCGGATACTCCTTGGAGCCCCCCGCCAAAGAGATGAAATTCATCCCCTTCAACCAGCGCCCCTACCGGGTATACGTCTTGGCCAAGCGCTTGCATTACTTTTACGAGTGGCGGGCACCGGCGACGACCCCCAGAGACCAGTTCGCCCGCGCTGCCAAGGAGCTCGCTGAAGAGTTCCCTGGGTTCGAGTTTGTCGGTGCCGTCCGGGACGACCGCAGTCCACAGGATATGGAACAGTCTGGTGAATGAGCCTCCCGGAAGGTATCAAGAACATGTATCCGCTCGATGCGGACCAGTGGGACGCCGAAGTGGCGCAGGCACGTCTACTCATGGGCATTGGGTGGCCGACCCTCAGCCCATCGCCATACCGCGCGCTTGCAATGGTGAGCTTGTGGTCATTCCCCAAGGCTGCCGCAAGAGTAGTAACGCTGATACCACAAAGGGTGTTCCCTTCCTCAACGCCGTGGAACACAACGAACAAGGTCGCCGGCTGTTCTGTCAACACGAAGTTTTAGATCTTGAGGCGGAACCGTGAGTGGCTTTCGTCCGTCGCAGCAGGCTGGGATCGAGGCTGACGGGTTCAGTTACGTGTACGCCGCCGAGGCCCACAACTACACACGCCTTGTCGAAGTGATTCGTAAAGCCATGACGACTCCCATTGCGCCGTACGTTTGATCGTCGCCCACAGATCCACAGATCCACTGAGACACCGTACTGTGTGCGGTGTGCTGACTGATCGACAGGCACCGCTACGACCGCATGTCACCCACCGCGTTCCAACAACGCATGTACAACTTTGTCATAAGAGACTGGAGGACTGAAGCGGCGTACATTCTCGAGAACCGCATTGCCGGCACAGAGGTCCAGCGCGGCGATGCAGAGAGGCAAAAGTTCAGCATCTTTGCCTTGTAGTTGGTTGGGCCGTGGGGGGCTGGTCGGCCGTTTGTGGCGTTTTTAGAAAACTCAAAGAGTGTGGCGTTTTTATCTGTTATCTTTGCCTGTGGTTCAACACTCTCCTTCCGATCTGGATATCGACAACACATGTTGGTATCCCTTGCAAGCTACAAGCATGTGCCCTGGGTCAGACGACCTGTGAACCATCAGTCTTCTAGCGCACGAGTTGTGGTCGCCGCGGTCCGAGTCCCTCTGCACATACTCGGGACCGCGGGCCGTCGCACGGGCAGATACTCGGCAGCGGTGGTACTGCAGGGTGTCAGGACGATCAGGAATAACAGTACTGTACTAGTGTCTGCAGGTTTTTGTGTGGGTGTCCGCAAAGTTTTCAGCAGTGTGCGCATTCACAGTCCCCCTTCGCAGGACACAGGCCCCCGCAGCCGTCATGGATGTCCGGTCGCGATTTGTGTGGCCCTTCGGTGTTTCCAACTTTTCGTCTCATCCACTGGGGAGTGGTGGCGCTGTGCCGTGAGCACATTGCGATGGATGTGACAGCAGCAGCATGCAGGGCTGGGAACCCCGGACTGAACGCGGTGGTGAAAAGTATGCCAGCGAGTAAGGCGAATACGTGACAGCCAGAGGCAACAGTACGTAGGTGGAGCAGCGGAACCTTCGCTTGATCACCTGGCTCAACTGGCCGAACCGGTTGGTGGCACAACGGCCTGTTCTGTGATATGCACGTGACTTGCTTTGACAGGAGGACCATGAGCCGTATACTGTACACACCACACCATGCGGTCACCTCCCCAACACACGCAAGCCTTCGGGCTTGGCCATTGACACGCATGGTCCTCACTCAAATCGATGCGAAAAGCGTACGACGTGCAAGATTAGGTTTACCACCGGACACGATCGTTGCTGCCCACAACCAGTCGCGGTAGTGCGTCGCTGAATTCTTAAATCGAGTCTTACTAATCTCTACCGGTAAATTGAGCGCTAATGATGAATAACTCTAGTCAGCTTTGCCTTTGCAGTTGCGTCGGTAGGCAGCATATACGGGGGTACCACCGAAGAAAGTTGCGTATGTCTGACGTCGTACGGAATACAAAATAAAGGGGTGGTGTCGCACTCGACGATTACGGCTTCTGTGACTGCGCCGCTGATGAGTGCTGATCAAGGTCAAGTGGAATGTAACGAACGTTCGAGGCCCACATCGCCTTGGAGATGCAGACCTTTGAATTTGAGAGCTACGGCTAGGTATGTACTGTAGCTGTGGCCGTGATGGGGTCTGGCAGGTGGGGGAGGACGTGAGAGGAAGACGCAGAACAAAAGCCGTATTCGCCAGGGAGGACGTATGTATTGACCCTTTGACGTGATTCCTGCCAAGCCTGCATCGGTATTTCATCTCTTTGGTTGTGTGTGGTGCAGTATGTTTGTGTTACGCATGCTACACACATACTGTACACAGACGAACCAGATCTATCATCCTTGAATAGACAGGGCAGGCCGGGAGAGCAGCGGTGTCGGGCTTCGGCAGGTCCGGCAGAGAGACCTGGAACAGAACCAGAGGAGGCTGCCGGCGCCAACCTCTGCACCTCGGGCCCTATGGCCTATGACCACGATGCCGGCGTGGGCGTGAGCGCCCGCGTTGGCTGGCCTGGCTGGTCCGGCCGGGGCTGCCGCTACCTCCGCTACAATTCCAATGATCAATGAGCTTGAAAAGACGGCTGTTGTAATTCAAGCTCCAGACCAGTCGACACTCAGTGTGCCTCAACGGTGCGACACGTTGGTTTGGAACAGGGGGTATAATCTTGTATACAGCAAAGAAGCCCCCACATGATACGTCCCATGGGATGCGTGCAGAGGCCAACAATTCAACGGACTGTGGGCGTACTGGGGTGAGGGGTTCTGAGGGTCGAGCCGGACCAACGATGAATAGGCTGTGAGACATGCCGGACGACGAGACGCCATTGCCTTTGCCTCTATTCAGTAACGCAATATGGTTTTTATTTTTCTCGGCGAAAACGAGACGCGCCGTACATCCTTTGTTGCCGGCGTCATACGTGTCCTGACGCGTCGAGCCGATGTGCCTCTGCCGTCACCGACGCCACGGCACCCGGGCGGTGAATACAACGAACGCACAGAATGCGTATGAGTGTCCTGGAAAGTATAGGGCAACATGGCTGGCAGCCTGTCCATCACGGCTCTTTGCTTGGGACAGGGGGGCCACAGACCACAGGACCAAGCAATGACACGGCTGGGTCGAGGCTGCCGTACGCGTACGTGCGGGCCTTGTGCGAAGTGAGAGGCTGAACAGACACAGAGGGTATACAGAGGGTACAGAGGGGCCCAGAGGGGCCCAGGCGCGTACAGAGGTAATCGACACGGTGCGCTGAAAATTCCATTGAAAACTGTGGCGCCCAGGGCCCCCGTCCGGATGCTAAGTGCCGCGCCTGCCGCGCCTGCCGCACCCGCCGGCCCCACAGCCGCCACCGGGTCACCGGGCAAAAGAAAAAGCCACCGGCAGCCACACGCCGCCACAGTTACCTGACCGTCAATAGATAACGTTCGTCAGCCACACAACCACCTTCCTTCTCTGCTGGACGCTGGGGAGAGCCCTTGCTCGGCATCCACCATATGGATGCACAGGTTGGGTCCAGAGCGCCCAGCCAGGCCCTTCGGACGGTCGTTGTTGAGGCCCAGGGACGACGAGTGGTCTCGGAAGTGCTCTGCAGCTCCTCCAATTGGTACAGGGCTCACACAGTGTTCTGGTAAAATGGTCTTGTTGAGAATCCTTAGACGCAGCATTCAGTGATCAGTGATGTTTTCCTCGCACCGTGCTCTCAGGCTCCCAGGAGAGGGCCGCGCCGCCAGGTGAACAGCCGTACCTACGCACAGGCATCAGTCCCGCGGCCAGCGGCACAGTCGACCGCCGTCAACACACCCAGCCATCAGAACAAAGCCACACCGCGCTCCCATTCACACCTTCCCTCGACACCACCCCACGCAAAGTGGCCGCCTGTGGCCCCCCACGCGGGGCCTGGAAGATACAAGCCCCTACCTAGGCCAAGGCCAAGGCCACCTGCGCACCACATCCCCACTGACACTTGCAGCGCAACATGCCCCAGTCGTGAATAATGTCCGAATGCATGCCATCAACCCTCCAATGACTGGGGAATGGGGAAAGAGAGAGAAAAAATTATTACTAAACAGTGAAAGACAAGGAGGAAAGGCGTCTCCGTGCCAGTAGCGCTACAGCTTGACGAGAAAAGCGGTGTTTGTGTCAAACTAGAGCAGGCGCTTGAAGTACGAGGAGCCGTCCTGGATCTTGAGGGTGGCATCGTCGGCCTCGCAGGTGCCGTCGATCAGGTGGTAGCCCCTGCGGCAGCGAGAGACAACACACTGGCCGCGGACACACGAAACAGAGCCAAAGCTGACACCGGGGATGGCAGTGCAGTCGACGCCCGAGGAGGTGATGTTGCTGGCAGTGTCCTGGCCGGTGTAGACGCCGTTGACGCAGCCGCCGCACGACTCGAGCTCAGTCTGGGTGTCGATGCATTCGAACGAGGCAAGGGTGGTGGGGGTGGCAGCGTTGACGAGGCATTCAGAGTAGGAGGCGGGGCAGTTCTTGGCGTTGCGAGCGGCAATGGCGGCCGCCTGCCTGCGGCGGCGACTCATAGCGCCCGTAACAGCGAGCGCGTTGTTGTAGAGAATGGGGACGTTAACGCCGCAGGTGGCGGAGGCTCCGGTAGTGGCGACAGTACCACAAGTGCATGAGTAGGTGCCCGACGCTCCGACAGGGGTGAAGGTCGCGTACTTCCAATCGAGGCACTTGGTGAAGCAGGCCTCAGGGTTGGTGATCGAGGAGGTGGAGGTGGTAGTGCCGCTGAGGGTAACAGTGCTGAAGCAGCCGGAAAGAGCGACCTGGTCGGCAGTGGCAACAGCAGCCTGAGTCCTCTGGATGTTGTAAATCGGGTAGATCACGCCAAGGGTAACTCCTGGGGGGATGCAGGAGACGCCGGTGCTGTCCTGGGCACTGACGATCTTGCCCTCGCCGAGAGTGGTGGTACCGAGCGCGCCGGACTGGGCACAGACACACGAGGGAAGGAGGGTGATAATGCCAATGGTGATGCCGACGTTGAACATGGCGTACTCAAAGTTCGCATTACCGCAAGCGGTCTGTTGTCATGTCAGCTTCATGCGACTCCAAGGAAGATGGAAAACATGCGCAGTAGACTTACGTTGCAGGAAGCCTGGGTGGTACCAACGACAGTGCCGACGAGACCACCAAGGGTGCTGGTAAGGAGGCCCTCAAGAAGACCGGGCGCGTAACAGCCAACGAAGACGGGCGCGTTGGCGGCGGACGCTGCCTGGATAAGCGACAGAGCCGCGGCAATAAAGAATGAGACCTTCATGGTTGGCGAAGACGGTGAAGGAGAGACTGGGGGATGAAAGAATGAAGAAAGAAGTTTGAGAGAAAGAAGGAGGTTGAGAGAAACGGCTCGCCTCTTATATGTTTGGGGGGGACAGAGGCTGGGCCATGCCACTCCCCAGCCCAAACACCCCAGCGGTGTATCGGCGTCAGAGCTGAGCAGAGGTGACGGTGGTGGGCTTGTCGATTCTCAAGTGGCACAAACATCGGGGCACAACAACGGCCACGCACCCACCTTCCCTGAGCGGTTGCACAACACACACACACACACACGCACGACATGCCTGTGCGCGCATTCAAGGTCATTCGATCTCTGCCAAGAGACCCGCATGCAGGGGGGGGGCGCATGGGAGGAAGGGGATGGGACGGTGGGGGATGGGACGGGTGGTGGACGGGCGGGTGTGGGTGGTGGTTGTGGTTGTGTTTGTGGGTGCAGACCGCCGCCACCTGCTGCTCTGACCTCGCTCAGCCGCGGCAATCAACAGTCCCCCCAGATCTGTGGCCCCTGTTGGATCAGCGGTGCATTTTGTCGACATTGATTTTAGGTTTTACCTGAGGCATGCAAAGAAAACAGGTCTGGCAGTGCCTGGGTGCCGCCGCGGCTGCCAGGGAGGAGGGAGGGGACACAGAAATCTGTCGACACCGTCGACTGAATTGCGACAACGCCACAGTTTTCTGCACTTTTCCTGTGTGCACGTTCTCTGCTAACCCGATCGAGCAAAGGCCCAGGATCCAGGACACACTGTATGTACGTACACATGCACGCGCGCGGGGTCCAGAAGGCCATGACTACGTTTGCGCGCATTGTGTGGACTAAGGAAGAATGGACAATGCTGTTGCTGAATGTTTTAGGACGGTCCTGCGACGCCAGATATACCAGATAGCGCGCCGCGCTAATATAGTTCAGATCTCGTGAGACATTCTGTGTCTCGTCATTCGCGTGCGCCGCCCGAAGTCGGAGGCGTACACAGTCTCTCTCTCTTGATCTCTTTTGTGCAAAGCAGAACACCTTGAGCAGGAACGTCAGCCGCAACAAACATCAACACTGGTGTGCGTGGGCAATGCATTCACTGATCACTGTTGGGCTGGCCAAAAGCAACCTGAGCAGGTCAGAGGCCCAGCCGCCAGCGAGAGCTCCAGGGCGGTTTGCCGGCATTCAGCCATGGGTGGCCTCTTGTGCCCTTGTGCCCTTGACGCAGGTCAGTCGGTGGAGTCATTCAGCCATGAAGCTGTACCCCCTTATCCAGACTCCTAAGCTCCCAAGAGCAGTCTTGGCATGCGCATCCCACTGTTCACTAGGTCGCTATCCTCGTCACATAATACAATCGTTTGAAAGGAAGGTACGGAGAGAGGCGGTGTGTTGTCTGTCCTCAAATAGACAGCAAAGACAGCCATGAAGAACGCGCGCCGCATGGATCAGACACACGTACACACGCCAACACCAAACATGCAAACATCAAACATGCAAACACCAATCATGCTGCGCTGCCTCAAGCCTCGACGACGACGCTGTCGACCACCTTGCGTGCCACCCTCCCCCTTGGGCCGAGGAGCGGCCTCCCGTCAAAGGCCAGAACCTGGTACTGCGTGTGCGCCTTCCAACGCCCGAGGTTGACACGAAACACATTCAGCGACGAGAGAAGGGGGTCGTTCTTGTCGCCCTTGTCCTTCTTGGCCTTGCGACGCACCCAGCCACCAGCAGTCACCTCATCGCTATCGCTCAGATCGGCCGCTGCGACACCTTCGCGCACGTCACCGCGGGGTTGAGGTGAGGCAGGTGAGGCGCCGTTGGAGGCGGCTGGGCTGTCTCGCGCCAGTCGCAGCGACCCAATGCCAGCCTCGCGGACGTCCTTTGGCACCGTCCTGCCGTCAGAATGCTGGTCTCGCTGTATGCCACTCACTTGGCAGGGTCGTAGATAAGCAGGTTGAAGTCCTTGCCAGTGAGCTCGTATCCAACGACGGTGCGGGAGTGGCCAGCGTGCTGCCTGTCAGCCTTGTTCCAAACAATGAGCGCCACACCTGTAGAATGAACGGCAACTTGGTACCGACTCGCACTGCGGGACGCATGAGCTCGTGAAACGCGTCGTCGGTGGACCCGGTTTGAGAAGCGTCGCTGTCAAAGTACGTCCTCGTCCAGCGTTCGAGAATCTTGTACGTGGGTTCGTCGGTTCGGCGGTCGGAGGGTTTAGGGAAGTCGTCTGCTGTCAGTGACGGTGCTGGGGCCGCGACACGTACAAAGTGTGCACGAGATGCCGAGTGCAGAGAACATGGCATAGAGGTCTGCCGTTAGTGCAGGTCAGAGAAACAGCACAACACACCTGTCGTTCCAATCCACTTGCGCGTGCCCACCAGCTTGCCTTTGAGTTGCTCCTTGCCGGCCACGTCGAAGCCCGACCGCCAGGCGTCTTCAATCCAGGTCTGGATGGCTCGTACACCGGGGTCTCCCTGGAAGACTGGACCGTACGTGGCCCATGTCGTGGCGATCGCCATCAGGCCGTTGCGGTATCCACATCCCCAGGCTGCCGTCAGTCCGGTGTCCAAAGTAACAAACTCACTTCCATCAAAGCCCCAGGATCCGCGAATGTGAACACCGTTCTTGGCCAGGACTGCTGAGCGCGTGTTACCCGACTCTGCGGAGCGCTGGAGAAGACTTTGAAGAACGGGTATCAGGCCTGATGGTCAACATCATTGCTGCCACACATATCGTTCGTCGGCCGCAGGAACCTCACCAGGGGAGAAGTTTGGGGGAACGGCACCGGCGCCCAAGCTTCCACGCACGGGGTCCCACCTGGATGTCAGTCAGGCCACAACAGTGGAGTTTGATCTCTCCAGCAGCCATGCTCACCACTTGTCGCCCTTGCCGGCCTTGTCGGTTCCACCTCCACGCGCGGCAAAGGCGGCGCCGTCCCACGCGCCGTCGGCGGTGCGGTCCTTGCGAGCATGCTGGACGGCCTCATCTTGCGATGAGTTGTACAGGTCTTCATCGTCTTCTTCGCCGAAATCGGGCTCGGGCGCACCACCAGCACCGCCGTCTGCAAGTCAGCTGCGTCACCAGGGATACGACCGGGCTCCCGACTCACCCAGGCAGTCGCTGACGTGCGCGTTGGCCGCTAGCTCGGACAGACCGGAGAGGTCGGTACCGCACACAAAGCACGCGGTGTCTGCTTTGGCAGGCCTGTCGCTGTCAGCATTCCCTGTCTTCTGATAACTCAAGACGCTCGTGTGTACTGGTCACGTGCAGTAGAAACCCGGGCCATGGTGAACTCACTCGTGTCCGAGAAACTGGTTGTCATTGTGGGCCACAAGAGTTGCCGCGCTTGGGCCACCGGCGTCGCTGCCAGAGAGGTCCAGCGGAGCCTCGTCAAAGTGGGCATTGACGTGGTGCGCGAACGCCGCGTCGTCTGCGTGGATGACCTGGTCGCAGACGGGGCAGGTGGACATGAGGAAGAGTGGAATGATTGAAACGTCAGTGCGGGGCACCGAGATTGCGTCTTCAATGTTCTTCGTGTTCCGACATTTGCTCCCGTTTCCAAAGACGCCAGGTTGATCGTCTTGGACGACATCCAATACGTCGAGCTCGACGTATCTTTCTCCACACAACCCTGTACATCCCTAAAAGCAATGTCTGACAACACTGGCATTGAGGACTCCCTCGCCGTAAGTGGCTAACAAGGGATGCGCGCGCGAGTGCTGACTCTTCCCCCCGCAGTCCGCGTTCAACAGCTCGTTCGCGATGCCCGCCGCCGAGCCCCGCGAGGCTCCGGCTCCCGCCGCCGACGTCGAGCCTGAGGCCGAGGCTGAGGAGGCCGTCGAGGAGGCTGTTGGTGGTGCTACCGAGGACTGGAAGCCTGCATACGACGCCAAGCTCGCCGAGTGGCGCGAGGAGGCCGATGTTGCCCGCGAAAAGGCCGCCGCGACCCGCGCCGCCATCGAGGCCGAGCACGCCGCCGTGGCCAAGGCCAAGGCCGATGCTGAGAAGGCCCAGGCCAACGCGATCAAGGAGGAGAAGGAGCGCGCCGAGCGTGAGGTCCGCCTCGCCAAGGCTCTCGCCGACGACAACGCGTCGGCGGCGGGCCGCCTGCACCCTTCGACGTCGAGCTTTGCCGCCGTCGCCTCGTCCACTGCCGAGGACCGCAACGCCAAGGTCCGTGACGCATGGCAGCTCGTCAAGGGCAAGGACCAGCCCGCTGCCTCGGGTCCCTCGAAGACCGAGCCCTCCACCTCCGTCCCCTCGGCCGCTGCCAGCCAGTGGGAGGAGATCAGCGCTCCCCACAGCAGCGTCGAGGACATTGGATCCGTGTCGGCCACTGCTTCGTCGCCTAGCACCTCGCAGCGCTCTCCCCCCGAGGAGAAGGAGAAGGCCACCGCTTCCGCTCCTTTGTCTCCCCCGGCGCCCAAGGACGTCGCTCTCGCACCCGCGCCTGCCGCCGCTGGCGAGCCCATCACCACCCCTTCCCTCACCCTGTCGCTCTTCACCAGGCCCGGTGGCCTGACCGTGTCCCGCGTCGTGGCCGCGCTCGGCATCAACCTCGTCCTCCCCTTTATTAACGGCATCATGCTCGGCCTTGGTGAGATCACCGCCCGTGAGGCTGTCCGTGTCGGCCGCCTCTGGTGGCGCGGCGAGCGCGCCGTCATGGGCTTCTGGCACCGCAAGACTGGTGGCGCCTCCAACGTCTCCGGTGTCGGTCTCTCAGGTTCCGGTGGCTTCTAAAACGATAGATATCATGCACGACTGCGTATAGGAACGCTCTGGCGCGGGCCCGTTGAGGATGCCCAGCGCCGGTCGCCGCACAAAGCGGAGTCCAGTTGCGGGCAGGTGCTTTGTGGAGTGTTCGGTGTCTCTGAAATGACTGGCAAGAGACCACAGGTTGACTGAGGAACAGTCTGCTTCCCGTTCAGTGCCAACTGACATTGCAACTGACACGCCCGTGACTTTGGTGAGAGAAGCGAGAGGTGGATCGGACAAATGTTCGTTTGTGAGGGTGCCGTTCAGCTTCACCAGTTCATGGACGGCAGCTGGAGCGTTGCCAGATCCCGGGATCCTTGCAGACGCTGTGGTCTTATCTTATCCTGAGTCGCATGACAGCAGCAGCACTGTGTGCAGATGCTAGCTAAAAGATCTTGAAAACCAGTCCACGCAACTCTCGTCATGGGAATCGGCCTCCACTTCAGTTCCCGCGTTAGGCACAGAATCACCAGAGCAACATTACTCGCCTACACTTCCCGTCACCACTACGCATCACCCATCCCACCATGAGCACGATCCTCTTCAACGACAAGCGGTGGACGTCTTTCGACCCCAAGTCAAAGCTAGAGGGCACGGTGTCGCCCGATGGGCTCACCTTGGCGACCACGTCTGTGGGAGGTACAGACTGGTGGCGCAGCCCCGAACGCAGTCCAAGCAATGGACCAACGCTGGGATTCACGCGGTCAAGTGCCGACTCGTTTGAGGTCTCTGTCATTGTCGGGATCGATCCCCAGCAGCAAGTAGGTAGCAGAATACGGGCAGGTGGCGTGCTGACAGTCGCAGTAGTGCGTATGATGCGGAGGGGAGGTTGCAGTGTGGGTAGGCTCACACGATGCTGACTCCACAGCGACCAGTTGTGTCTGTTCCTCCGAGTGTCGCCCACGTGCTGGGTCAAGACAGGGTTGGAGTTCGATGAGGATGTTCTCTGGAACTCGGTGGTCGTGGTCAACCCGTACTCTGACTGGTAAGTTGACGAAACACCCAGGTCGGAGCGTTCCATTCCTCTTGGATCTATCTCTTGGGGTCGTGGCCACGATGACGTCTAACTTGTCAGGTCCAAGGTGAAGCGTGGTCCTGCCGAACACAACCGCTTCACCATTGCGTACACTCCAGGACTCGTAAAGGTCTACCTGGGCCCTGACATGATCCGCCAGGTCAAGTGGTTTGGCCCAACAGTAGACAACGATGCCAGCCGCGATCACACCGCCGGCGAGGTGTTCGTCGGCATCATGACGTGCAGTCCCAAGGAGGGTGGAGCACGGATGAGCTTTAGGGAGTTCACGATGCGTGATGGAGTTCGCACAAAGTAGGTAGTGTCAGACTTGAGAAGAGCGATAATATGTCAACTGCCACGTGACTGTGCCAGAATGAAGTTGCAACATGAAAACAGGATGTCCTCGGTGGCATGTGAACGTATAGGCTCTAACTGTTTCAACGCTATGAAAGGTCAGCTGTCAGCTATACACCCCTCTGTACCTCTGTGACAGATAGCTATGTTTAGCCATCTATGATACGCTTTTACCCACTAGTTTCAAAGTGCATTTGTGATCAGTGCCACTCAATTTGTCCGTCCAAATTGTCACGACTTTGGAAGCATGAAAGGGACGTACCGTCCCTCGCCGTTCACTATATGTGGGCCCCTCCCCTTGTTTATTCAACGCCGCGCTTCTTGTGCGGCTGGGCGATCGTGCTCTGCTGCGACCGGTCATGGTCCGTCCTGTGTTGAAGGGAGGGCAGACTACGATAATGGCAGTCGCACGCCCACTTTGACGACCTGGGAGGATAATTCGTCGTCTGTCCGTCGGGACCTGGCATCGAGCAAAAGCGGGGTGGAGCTAACAACGATGTTGCTGTTACTTTACTGCGGGTATTGCGGGGATTGAGGGTATGAGTAGGTGCAATCAAGCGCTAGTCGGACAATTGGTCCTATGGTTGAAGGAGTCTGTGGGGCGCCCCCGCAAGGGATGAACTTACTGGGCACGGTTCGGTAGTGGGGTCACTGCAGTTTTCTGGGTAAGGGTAGGTAGAGGGTAGGTGGTGACGTGGGCTGACAGGTTCATTAAGCATCTCTGCAGCTGGAATTGTCATTCAGGAACCTTATAGACAGCAACCTCTTGATCAAGTTTGGAGTTGCAGTCGACATGACAAGACGATAATCAGTGGCAGGGTTGGGTGGGGTTTGTGCTTGTCCGAGGATAATGCAGCCACGGCACGCACTCGAAGCTTGCCACCTCTGGCTCAAAGGGACAGAAAGAAGCAAGATAGACCGCGCAGGTCCTCCACTATTTGTTCCCACTGCCGGTGCTGAGCGGCGAGCGTCAGCCACCATTGCTTTCATTGCTCTGTTAAACAGTTGGGACATGAACTCGGTGCACAGCTTGTGCAGCAGCGGTGTCTCGCCCAGTGTGGCGGCGCTGTAGGTAAGCTAGGTTCCTGCCTGCCCCAATGCCTCGCTCGCAGCACCACACCCTCATGAACAGAACCGCACCCCAATAAAATCATCGGTACTCCAACGATGTGCCCGTCTGGTCCTGAAGATTGAACATAAGGTGTCCGTTGAATAGCGCCGTTTATGCGGAATCAAGAGACTGTGGGGTAGGAGGGTAAGTGCTAACGAATTCCCCTGTGCACTTGTGCGGCCTCCTCGCGGTCATGGGTGGAGGTAGTCCTGCATACTTTCCAATGCACTGGTACCGTCCAATACACAGTATTAGTCGCTATCGACTCACCTACGTGGACCATGCGGTGTTTTGCATAGAGGTTGGAGTTTTCAGACAGGGCAGAAGCAAACGGGCAGGGTCCTGAAATTTCAACTTCTGTTGGCCAACGTGGCGTTGTCGATCCTGTCCTTGCCGTTGCATTGCGTTGCATTGCTCCATTAGTAAAGCCGCCGAGGCCCCACCTGGGACTCTGTTGAACGGCAGGATCTGTTGACCTAGGGCATGGTTGACGTCGTCTTAGGACTACTGTGGAGTTTTTTAGACATTTTGCCCTGGACGTATATCGGTCAATTCGAGTTATCGGGCAACGGGCCTTTCTTGGCATCTTGGGGCGTGAAATTTGTGGCCGATCCTCATTGAATTGAAGGCGAAGCTGATTACAATGTGGCCCACTTTTGACAGCGCGGGGCCATTAACCTTTCTATTCATCATACCGCACGGGCGTGACCGGAATGTGTTGCGGTGCGGCTGATGGAAAATGACCTCACTCCTCTTAGCGTAGGTGCTTGATATAACAGTAAATGGGAGTCAGAGGATGGAAATCAAACCAGTGGAGCAAGCGGAGCAGTGGCGCAGTTGGTCCGACCCTCGGGAAGCAAGATGACTATTCGGAGAGCGGAGTCACTTCGGTTGTCGACTTGGCCTGCGAATCACTCTGCGTATGCATCAGGGGAAGCACGTATGCTACGTTGTAAAATCGTAAGACGTAGCTCTCGACGTGACAATCCCTCATGCCGACGCGCTCACGGTTTGCGTGAGTCTGCCGGACGAGCGACATGTCGATCAGCCGAAGAGATCGTGGCCGCCACGATTTGCCATCACAGATCGCAGATCACTTGGGCTGGTGGAAATGCCGTACGGCGGTCCAACGAGGACAGATCCAATGTCTCGGGGAGGACACCATGTACCTGCGGGCCACGGGAAGGGCACCGGGTGCTCAGTTGATGCTGTGACGCATTTGTCAAAGACGGAGAGGCACCTGTGTTGCATGCTGTGCTGAGGTATGCAGTGTTCGTCGCTTGCTCCACTCGGTAACGACCCAATGTTCATCGCCAAAAATACATCTTAAAAAAAAACGTCCGTGATGCTGGCTGCCTTGGTCTTCTTCCACAACCGTTCGTCCTGCGGCCGTCAGATTGTGGGTACGCGTCGAGAAGGGTGTAGACATTTTCTTCGACGTATTAATAAAAAGAGTATGCTTATGTGTGGCTCCCAAACATCCAAAGATCTGTCGAAAGCCACAAGATGACGACGAATCTGGTCACGCAGCCAGGCACGGCCACTTTTCGTACCTTATTTTTCGGTTATTTTTGCTGCTGGTGTCGTCGTGGCTGCCTACATCATCTTTCATCACATAAATTCATACTATGTTGTCTTCGCAGCTTTATCGAATTGTTTGCTTGAACAAAAAAAAAAAAAAAAAAACACTATCTACGCTTTTTGTGCGACTTGGCCAACGACATCATGCCCCTTGCGATAGCCAACTGGGGGCAACAGGAGCGGTGTCACCGTTGGATTGCCACTCGCGATGTCGCAGGTGTTTCACGAACCACACAGAGGATTTCTGCACGAAGCACTACCCGACAGCCTGATGTTGCTTCGAGTCTGCGTCCGGTAACGGTGGATGGGAGAACAGCAGGTCTTTGTTTCCCGCGTTTTTGGTAACTGCCTGTGTGCCACAAACGCGCGACAATAAGCGACATATCTACCTACTCCGCCATTCTTCTGGTCCCACTGGACCTGCTACGACATTCTGTTACTCTCTAAAGCACTCCATGACTTCCAGGGAGAAATACGCGCTACATATATACATATACAGCTGTCTGTTGCGTTTCACTACACCACATCATGCCCGCTTCACTCATGGAAACGCAATGGAAGGGACGGTAAACCTCGTCCTCTGCCAATGGTGAGCCGTTTCTAGACTATCTCTACGTGGTTGAGAGGACGACCGAGCAAGAGGAGAGGACGAGAAGCAGAGAACGTGTCTTGCAACCGCGTGGATGGAGTTGTTTCATGTCCTTCGATTGTTGACCGGTTGCTGCCTTCCCAATGTGTGGCTTGCTCGAAGTAGACAGCGACAACACATCAAACCCAAGATATTCATCCCCATATGAGGATAAGACTGGGCATAATTTCAAAAATGAGAAGCCGGGAGCCAGTGGCAGATCAGTCTGGAGCACTGACAACCCAAGGGACCCAAATGGTATTTAACCGCCCATTCGTCCGGTTGTCATCATCATGCAGCCGGTGTCGGATCCCTCGTAGGTCCTTCCAGATCGATCAATGCTACCAAGAACTGCATCTGGAATTATTGAGAATCCGGTGATGGTGTGAGATAAACAAGAGACTTCAAGGGTCATTATCAAGCAGGTAAGCTCGCCATCCTGGCAAGGTCCATCTGGTTGCTGATGCGTTCACACCGCAGATTGTTGTCAACCCATCGCGGCTTGCACCTGGAGTCATTTCGTCTACATTGAGCACGTCTTCTGACCAGAATATGTGCCCACACTACACTGCACAGGCACAAAAATACGGAGCTGGGCAGCATAGGCGGTTGTCCTATGTGGGCGTTTGGTTGGCGTTTGGTTGGCGCCACGATTTGCGAGCCTTGGCGACTTGCATACTGAGACGACTTCGTGCCACTGGCCTCGGCAACAGCGCACAGGAAATATATCAGGCCCACTCGGAGTTCAGGTGCGGATACAAGACACAGGCTCATACGCGTATGTGCATCCTGGTCGTTTACATCAAGAGAAGTAGACCGGTCAGCTCTGTCCACCGGCCAATTCTATTCCAGCGAACAGAGGCCCGTCGGCTCGGAACCCGCATCATCGAAAGCGAACACAACGACGTTTTCCATGTAATTCAACTCTTTGGAATGAGCCTTAATTTGCAGTTATTTTCAAGCAACACATAGGACCAACCAATGCATCTTTAGAGCCGCATCGCCGTGGCACCCTGGCCTACGGACCACATAGTAGAGCGACGTCACTTCTCCAGCCAGTCTGCATGTCTGTAGTATGCCTCCCCCTCCATGGTCTGCTCTCAGTTACGCATGTCCTCCTCTCGCAACGTAAAGTCCAGGAGCGACAACTGTCAGCGAGGAGACGGGGCGGACGTGATACAGACGACCATAGTCTCCCACAGAGTACTCGCGCAACTCGACTCTGCCCTTCGTGCTTTGGTCATGCCTATCACTCGCACCCCTCCTTCTGTACAAGGACACATGCAATACTGGACTGACTGAGTTCATGAAAAGCCGTACAATTGAGCCAGCTCCGCACAGCTGCCAAGGAGGAAGGTGTCACCGTGGCGGCTGGTATACAAACGCCGTTGCTCCTGGCTGCCCTGTACCTATTCCGCTTTTCGCTTCCTCGGCTGTGCACATCACGCCACATCACCCAAACGCACTCTTTCTGTCTCTTCCCCTTGATTATCATTGTCTCTAGCTCAGCGTCCTTGCCTCGGGGGAGATCCAGATCGGCCATCGGCACAGTCGCCACCCTTCTCCGCCTCCCCGCCCTGGTCTTTCGTGGCGATGACGGAAGCAACGGATACCGCGCTGTATGTACATGTCGACGTTGAGGTTGCTTCCGCCCCCTCTCGGTGTCAGCACATGCCCCTGTCCTTGCTGCGCAACGGGGTAACAACTGCGGGTCCTCCGACAGGCCCGAGCACAAAGAGCAAAGGAATAAAGCTTCGAATTCTGAGATCGGCGATGCAACCAACCTTGAACAAGAGTCGCATTCCGCACTGCCACTTCCACGGTCGTGAAGGGAAGGCGCGGGTGGGGGAGAAGCGTGAGTATTTCGGGAAGCAGCGGCAACCTCCGGGCCAAAGTTGGTATGTAACAAGTGACAGTGACACGGCACTCCACTGGCGTCGTCCTGGGTAAGCAGCAGACGCCAAGAACGGGAATGACGAGATGTGGCAGTGGAAGCGCAACCCCCGGCGTCTGGAGCGCCTCGGTTGCGTTATTCATTCATCAACGAGAACCCATGTTGCGTCCAGGCGTGGTCGGGTTGCGTCTTGCCTCGGTTCATTTCGTCTGGAACTGGTCGTACCTGTAGCCTGCGGTCGGAGGTACGCCGTGCACAAACCGCTTCCCAGCCGGGGGAGTCGCGTTCCTCCGCTCACCCCCAGCCACAGCAAACATATGTGTGCTGTTGCTAACCTACCACGTTGCTAATTATTGGATTTTGTCACCCTCTCACGTTTCCCCTTTCCTGCCCCCGATATTCGGATCCAAGTGGAAGGCATGGACGCGCGTTGCTGGAACACCCAAAACACGAACAAACAACGTCTCTCATTTTCCACCCGATGCAGCAAATGCTCACAACAGAACACTTGAGCACATCGCCCGTGGCTACAGGGTTTTCCCCGTAACTCTATTGCAGCGCCTTTTACGAGCCAGCCTGTGGACGTTTCGAGGCAGAGCATGCCGTGCACCGGAACCCGAGTCTGGGCCCCAAACAAACTTTTCTCGGGCCCAGCGAGGGGATGGAAACACAGCCGGTCCCCGCGTACTGGTGCACACAGGAGGTCTTCCCCTGCAGTCACAGCTCGGTTTGCCCGCTGCAGCGACAGCGGCCTACGACGTCGTGTTCCAAGCCGTGTCCATCTCGTCCATCTCGTGGGCCGACGGTCGTGGCATCGTGGGTTTGTCTGCGTCGAGCCAACAACTACTGCTGTATGTAGCCTGGGCCCACTCTCCTCCTCCCCCTGTGCCTCGCGAATGAGACTAGCAAGATCGTCCACATGGGTATCAACGCCTTGTTCTGACCCTGCCGCTTCACCCCGCCGCCGATGATACCACGGGGGATGGGACCTTCGTTACCGGCCCTGTTTGCCATGTTCCACGGTTCCACAGGCCTCAGGCCACAGGGTATCGCACAGGATAACACGGCAGGTAAGCTTGGCACGCGGGCGCGCGAGGCAGGCGGCATGTCGTGTCGGCAAAGGTGTGCAAGTGTGGCACTTTGGGGATTGGCTTACGCAGCCTTTGGCCCCCCCCGCACACGAGGCTGTGAGCAGAAGGCACCGTGACATGGTGTGAGAGTGGCACGAAGTGGGTGGGGGAAGGAACACGCGCCGGTAGTTGAACATCCTGGGGGAGATGGCAACGTGCATGCCCAGCCGAGTCCTTGCAAGGGTCCAAACAACAGGACACAGGTTACAGAGGGAGGGACAGTGCCGAGAGAAAACGACTGCTGCGTGACTCTGTGTCGATGCCGAGACACGCCTGATGTGTCTGTGCCATTGTTCGTCTATGGGAGGGTGTTCCAGCCTCTTGATTGCAGCTGTGGTGAACGCTACCAAAGGACGAGCAGGGGGGACGAGCAGGGGGACGAGGTGTCCAGCCGCAATGTCTCACGCCCGTCTCGGTATACTCTCCGAGCCGGACTGGCACCGACGTCTGTAAACCACACGCTGACGAGTTTGGCACTACGCAAACATCCCAGCGCGGCGAGGCAAAGCTGGCGCCACGGTCCACCCACGTCCAAACCCTTTTTTGGCGCCACAAGATGCCACGCGCCATGTTCTGTGTGCGGCTTGCGTGGTTTGCGCTGTTCTGTGCGGGCGCCTCGCAATCACCTCTGTCCGACACATGCGGACCATGACGCACCGCCGTACCGCCGTACCGCCGTACCGCCACGACGCCGCCGCACCCGTGTCACACACGAGTGCGAGTAGTGGCCGTTGAAGGGGGATACCCCACGTGCAGTGACTGCGACTGCGGCGGAATCGCGACGGAGCCGAGGGTGTCTCTCGGCGGAGAATGAGTGAGAGACAAGCAGAAAAAGGTCAAGGCGCCGGGGGGGGGGGGGCGGGATCATCAGATGGATCAATGGATCTCAATGGATCATTGGGTCTTGGGCCTGCGGACCCGTAGAAGGTGGCTTGGTCGAACAAAGGACAAAGGAATGCAAACAAAGCGCATGGGCCGTGTCCGATACAGTTTAGCCCCCCGCCATCCTCTCCTTGCCTCCTTCTGTGTGGCCTTTTCTGTCCTCTGCGGCGCGGAGCTCGAGACGCCACGGGACCGACAGCACGGCGTGAACGGCGAGGTACAAAGTAGTCCACACACAGCAGGTGAAAACAGGGAACCACGTCGACCTGACGCCGACGGGCACGGCCATTCGGCGCGTCGGCGTTCTCGGGGGCGTTGGGGGATGGGGGGACCGGGATCGTGTGCGCAGCAGCATGCCTATTCTGCCGTTCTTCCTGCGCACGCCGGCTCGGGGAGGCGCTGCGAAACCATGGGAGCCACCGTGGCAATCTAACCCGGGGTATACCACGACGCCACGCCACGGAATTAGCGGTGGCGGTAGCCACATGCCAATCAACACGTCTTCGCGTCTTCACAATCCTCAAAGCTCGTCGCCGAGGCATCTAGTCAGTGTCTTGCCAACAATATATATATTCTTTTTATTGGTTGCTTATCTTCGTCGCATGTCATCAATGAACAGACCTCCTACTATGCGATACCAATGCTTGAGAGAGAAAATGGACGGTTGGTGTTGGGGTGGGGTAATATCCGGGGGCCCAGTGTGAATATAACATGTTTGCGTCCTGGACGCTATTGTTTGTTGAACTCGCTAGACCCGCCTGTTGTTGCTGGTGTTGTTGTCGTGTATTCTGGCGGGGTAATGGGGTGCGGGTACACTATGTTCTCTAGACATAGATTCTCGAGAGACCGTGTGCGCGCTCTGTGAGATCTAGTGCAGGAGGTTGCGGATGGACGTTTTGGGGGCGTTGATGTCCATGGACGACGAGGGTCTGTCGTCGGGGGTGTGGGGGGGAAGGGGGTCAGTCTCGCGACGAGACAATGGGCGGGGACGTTCACGGTCCCGGTCACGGTCGCGTTCGCGTTCACGTTCCCGAGGGGGTAAACGGTCATCCAGCGGGGGTGGCCTGAAGCGGAAGTCTGATGTGGGGGGAGGTTGCCTGGACGAAGGGTATGTGCGTGGCGAACCCGAGTACCCACTCATCGCAGTAGTGTCCGAGGTCGACGGGCGCACGCGGTCTGGCATGCGCGACTGCGGCGGCGAAGGCTGGTGGTGCGACGTATACACCTGGCGCGGGTCGTGCATTGCCGAGTGTATTGACCGGTTGGGAGGCTCATCTGAAAGGTCAGTCAGGAATTTCTTACATACGCATGGGTCAAGCAAGACTCACAGCTCATGCCGCGGCGATCATCGTGAGGCGGACCACTGGCATACGTTCGCGCCCTGTCCGACGCGTTGATGGCCTCGATCCGGGAGATCAAGTCGCTGCGCTGGTGCATCAAGTGGTCATAAGGAAGCCTCAGATCCTTGCTAGCGTCGGTAAGCCAGTCGGTCATGCGCAGCATGCTGTGGGCCATCTCCAGGTTGATCTGCATGTTTGACTGGCGCTCGGCGTGCAATTGACCCCAAAGACTCTGGACCTGATCCTGAAGCGAGGCAACTGACGCGCCGAGCGATTCCACAGGCGAAGGACGCGACGGAGGTGGGTGTGGGTAGTATGGCGGCTCAGACCTCGAATTGTCCTGATATATCGGGCCGGCGGGTGGGTGGCTCGGGTCATGGGCGATCGTGTGTGGCGGGGGCGGGGGCGACCGTGGGGCGTCGTAGTGATGTCTGCTGTCGGGGCGGCCAACAGGAGGGGGAGGGGGAGGAGCTGGGTAATAGTTGGGGTGATTCGGGTAATCGCGACCAGGTGAGCCTCGATACTGAGGCTGAACCGGAGGCTGCTGCTGCCAGTTGGGCGGTCTCGCGTCCTCATCGTTCGCAGGCCCATCCTGGTTCGATGGGCGGGTCGATTTGCGCTTAATGCTAGGCAACAGGTGTGGTTCGCCGCGGCGAAACAGTGGGTGTCTGAATTCCCAGGCTTGAGGGTCACTGTTGGCAGTCGAGTACAAGTCTGATACCTTGTTGAAGCTAAGAGTGGTGTTAGAAGGAATAAAAAAAGGAGAGAATGAAAGCAAGCCACACGTACGAGTACATGTTCAACTGCCGAACAAAGGACTGCCAGTTGTTGTGCTTGAAATAATTCGGCAGTACTTCTCTGCAGTGTGTGTTAGCACTACTTCCGCAAAAGTGGTGACAGGGCGCAGTCCACACTCACTTTGAAAACTCGGTGGGGTTGGGACACACAAAGGACGAGCCGTCGCCCGACCAGTAGAGCAAGCCCGACTTGGCAATCTTTTCGTCCTCAAGCATGGAGTAGAGCTTGCCGACAAAGGCCGCTTGGGTCTTGATCGGCGGCTGGACGATCGCATTGCTAGAGGACGAGAAGCCACCTGTGGGAGTAATGGCGCGCGACGGATTAGCGCTTGAAGGACGCATGGATTCCCGCTGCTCTCGATGGTCGCGCGGGTCACGGTGCTCGCGCTGCCAGTGTGAGTCGCGGTGCTGGTCCGAGGGGCCCTCGGTCTGCCATGTTGGTCGAGTCCTGACGCTGCCCGATGCCTCGGGATGACGAGGGGGCACCGAGCCTCGCGCTGTGCGAGAATCATGGTCGTCACGATGGCTGCTGGAAGATTCTGGAGACGACATGGTGGGTGAAGAGGACTCTTGGTGACGGCGTGAGGAATGTTCGACTGGCCGTTCTGGCTTGACGGGGTACGAGGCAGCCGACGAAGCCGACGAGGATGGGTTTGATGGTCCCGCAGAGGCGTTTCCCCTGTCATGAGAACTGCCATGGACAGCGCCAGCGCGAGCGTTGTCTGACCGTGGCCGCTTGTCGGTTTGTTCGCCGCCTATCGAGAGGCGGCGCTTCCGCTCAGAGGAGGATGCTCTCCTGGACATGTGCACGGGAGATGTAAGTGACTGTTGATGCGGAGGAGGGGCTATGGCATTGGCCTGATGGCGCGAAGATGCGTATTCGAGTAGGACGGTTATGGTGGGATGGGTTGTTTAGGGGCAGGTGAGAAAGTGTTGTGCAGGTGGGTGGCTTGACTGCCTGTGTGGCATCTATATCGACCTGGGGGCGAGAGATCAGCAAGGGAACCAGACTGTGTGTTGATGTGTGGACGGAGGAGGAGAAGTGACAACAGACGGGCGCGGAGAGGGCGCCGGAGTTGGAAAACCACGAGACAAAAAAGGCAGAACATATAACGTGAGCGCGCGATTGCCGACCGCCGGCACGATAAGGTGCCGTTGGGGGGGGGGGGGGGGGGGGGGGGGGGGCGTCAAGCATGACGACCATGTTGGCAAGTGTGTGTCTGTGAGCCCCAAGTTGCGTGGTCTGTCCGGGGCTTTTGTACACATGCCGACAGGAAGTACAGGAACTGGAATACGCCAAGGCTTCCTTTCCTCTGCTCTGGGAGCCAACGTGTCGGCACAGGTCCGCATGTGCGTGGTGACCAGCAGTTTACAAAGGAAGGCAGATGGTCGGACAATGCGCCCAGTCCGAACGAACACAGGATCGACAGATCGTCGAAACTGTCCAAAGCACAACAGCATGCGGAGTTTAACCCGCAGTGATGGACAGGAGAGAACGCTGCTCACAGTTACTGTACGAGGAGGACTGTACGCCCGTGAGAAATAACAAGGAGGGATGAGGCGCTGGGGTGGGGAGTGGGGTGTGTGGAAGGCAGATTGGTGGGGAGAGAAGAAAAATAGGAAAAGGGGGATAAACAAGAGGAGAGGAAAGGGAGAGAGTACTAACACAAGGAAGCCTGTGTGTATGTGTCGTGTTGGTATGTGCGTCGTGTACTGTGTCGTACGGTCGTCAATGACCAAGTTTGCGACGGGGTGGAGGATGCTGTGCGCTGGAGACGGGACCGCGCTATGCGAGCGTGATGTTGAGCGCGGAGATAGAGACGACGAGAGGCCGAGGAAAAGGACTGGGCGACGACGGAGACGACAGGTGCCTTTGGTGCCTCCTGGTTGTGCCACCCTCGAGATGGGTTGTATGTACGTCGGTGTGTTCAGGAACCGCGTTTGAGAGAGCCGATGTCGGACCCTACCCCTCTAGGCTACAGACGGACGAAAGCGGGGGGTGGTTGCTTGCGGGTACGAGAGAGAGACAGACAGACAGAAAGACGAGGTCCTGGGTTGGGATAATGATGGATTCACGGGAGAAAAGCACTATGCCAATATGGCAACCGGCGAATCCACGAGGCCCCAGGGAAAGAGACGCGTGATGTGCGAGTGGGGCACAAAGGTCTTGTCTGTTACCTGTGCCTTCTGCGGTAAAGCCAAGGACGCAGGAAGAACAAAAAAAGCGGCTGAGGCTGCCAACAAGCAGGCCAACGACTTGGGGGTTGTTAGACTGAGGGAAGGAAAGGTCGTTGCCACCTCCACGTGGCGGCGCCGGGGGAATCCTTCAGCAGGACTGTTGATGGCGTAGAAAGATCCAAGGAACCCAACAGCTGCTGCTGCGCTTCGTGTGGTTCGATGGCACGTCGCTACTCCGCAAGGGCGCTGTAGGAGAGCCTGCTCAGTTGAGGCAGGTGGTGGTCAATCTGGGGGGGCACACAGCTGTTTGGCGGGCCGTGGACTCTTGAAAATGAGCCAAACTTTAAGGGCTGCTACTCCCGCGGAAGCGAAACAGCGCAGGTTCCAAGGTGGGTGGCCAGTGCGGTGGTGCAGCTGTTCTGGACCGGTCCAAGCGCGTCGCAGCGACTGGTTGTGTTGTTGACTGTGTGGATAGTAGCCCACGCCAGAAGGAATGACCGAAGTAGGAAGCGGGGTGCCAAGTGGTGGATGGGAGCTGGGTGCACAGGGGGCGGGGGGAATGCGGCGATCAGCGGGCGGGGCAGATCGGGCGCAGCGCGTCGAAACGGCGGTTGATTTGTGAGCGACGGGCTATCTGTTCGGGATCGAGGGCTAGAATGTCGGGTGCACGCTCTTGTTGCTGTGCTGCAAGCCGACAAGCAATGAGGGGCCTGGCCTAGTGGATCGATACAACGTCTTTTGATGGGCGGGGCGCGATCGAGAGATGGTACAGCGGTAGAGCACCTGGGGCTCTCTCGGGTTTGATAGGCTGGAAGCAGAGGTACCGGAATGTAATCTCCGCAAACCAGGCAATCTTTTACAGCAACAGACGAACGTAAGTGTTGATGCAGCGACGACGTGGTAGCTGCCGGTGGCGATATGGGTTGCTGGAGGATGCAACGCTGCGTACACGGGACAAGGCGGCGAGGGTAAGGAGGCCGGCGGTTTGTTGTTGATGTGTGGCGTAGGCAATTGGGTGAGCGGGACAAGGGCGGAGGGGGGAGAGGGGAGGGGGAGGGAAGACTAGCGGGGGGAACAGGGGGTGGGTGGAACACGGGGCAAAGGCAAGATTGGGTGTGTGATTGATGGGAGGTGGGTGCGTTGCCAGATACGAGGGAGAGGGGTATGCAATGTAGACGTGTAGTGGATGTGGGTGGTAGTGGTGGTAGTGGTGGTGGTGGGGGGTGCTGATGCTGATGCGAGATGCGATGTTGTGGAGTCTCGAGGGAGGGGGGGGGGGAGAAGAGAGATGAGGGTTGATGGGTAAGAGTGTGTGTATGTGGAGTAGTGTGTGGTGTCGAAGGAAGACTACAGTTTGAAAGATGGAGAAAGGAAGAGTGGGGGGAAGGGGGAAGTACGGTTGTCAGGCCGAGGGGGGGGGCATTTGGGTGTGGCCGCCAGTCTGGAGCAGTGCACCGATACCGACGGAGACTGGCGGCGGCGGCGGGCAGATGCATGCATGCATGCAGGCAGGCAGACGGACAGACAACACGCACACCTCTCTCTCTCTCTCTCTCTCTGTGCCAGCGCCGTTCCTGGCTGTGGGCTGAGGGGGGGCCAACGCCATCTCTCCGCCCACAGAGCGCTCCTGCCGAGCGCCGAGCAGCCGAGACGGTCGCTCCTCTCTTCGCTCTTTTGCACGGTGTATATCCTGGGATCCTGGGCAATAGCGTTAGATGTGGGTCCTGGCTGCGTTCCCTCTCTCGTGCGCTCTTGCTCCTTAGAACGTCCATTTGCGTTCTCCTGGCCCCGTTTGGCTCTGCTCCCTCTCTCAGGTGTGTCCTGGACACTGAAAAGACCCTTTGTACATTCTCTCCACCAGCCGGCCATCAGCAGCAGCAGCACCAGCAGCACCAGCAGCACCAGTACTACTACCACCACCACCACCACCACCACCATTACCACCACAACCACAACCACCACAGCACCACAACCCCACCCCCGGGCAACCACAGGGTCACAACCTGCAGCGCCTCTCCCGGAACCCCCCACCCTAGAAGATGACGAGGCCACACCAACCACACACCAATCTTGTTCTCTTCCACCATAAGCCAGCGCCCAAGCCGCCGCACTCGTAAGCCAACAAAGCCAGAAAAGCCAGCCGCAGCAGCCGGCCAAGCCCATATACAGAGTACAGACGCCGATGTAAAACGCCAACCGAGAGAGAGAGTGAGAGCCTTGTGAGAGACACCAGAACGTCCGTAGCAACCTTGCGCCGCGCTTGTCGCCCGCACTCGGCGCCTGCCCCCGGCCAGCAGAGCCAGCCAACAGAGCCAGCCAGCAGCCAATGCGGCTCGACGCTATGCAACGCCCATTGACGCCTCAGCTACCGATCCATGAACACTTTGACCCTGACTGCCCACACTTATTTTGGCGGGTCGAGGTCGGCAAGGTCGGAATCCTGACGGCCTGACGGGGCCATCAGGCGCGTGCCCATCGCTATTCGCCGCGCGGCAGGCGCCTTTAGGGATCCTCGGTCAGCCCGGCCTCTGCTACAGGACGACACAACGGAGAGACATGTATGCACGGCACAGAGGGGCCGCGCGGCCGCAGCGGCACGGTGCGAATGGCCGGCCGCTCTTTGCAGGTGTACTGGCTGTCGCTGTCCGACGGGGTGGTCGTCTCCGTCACTCCGCCGCCGCCGCCGCCGCATCCGTCTAGGTTTCTTTTATTTACTTTTTTTCCCCTTTTCATTAGACCGGCCCCCCACAGGTTTCGGAAGCAAAATGGCGGTATTCCGGGACAGGTGGGACAGGTGGGAGTGAAATAATGCTCCGAGCTATGGAGCATGATGATGGCACCGGCGCAGTGTGTCTCCGGCGCACCGGACAGGTGTGTCTCCGGGAAGGAGTGTCTCTCCGGATAGGTATGTCTCGCCGCACTTGGCTTGGGAGCGGGGGGACTATGGTGTGGCATGGTGTGCTCCGTGCACGAAATGGGCAAAACATGTTCAAAAGCCACAGATCCACAGATCCCAAAGAGATTCGGCACATTGTTTCTCGATGCCAATGGGAAGAACAGCCACCACACTCCACGCACGGGCAGAGGCGAGGGGGGGTACGGGGGTGCAAACTTTTCATCAAGGTTGCCGACGAGGGCAACGGAACACGAAACTGTTGTTCTGCTTCTCCTTCCGCCATATAGGGTATTGTGGAATTCCAGAACCGAATGCGCTGCTAAACATGCAGCGCCTCGCGTCGCCTTCACGACCACGACCACGACTGCGAAGCTTGCATGACAACCACACCTACACCCACACCCCGCGTGCGCGGAGCTCTCCCCCCGCCCATCTCCCTGCAACACCCTTTGCGTCCTCTACCGTGTGTGCAGGCCAG